TATAGCTATATTATAATAACTCTTATTAAATTACTTTAAAAGAAAAAGAATTAAAAGCTAATTTAGTAAAAATTCTATTAAATTAGTATTAAATATAATATTAAGGATTATATTAGAATCTATACTATATATTAGGGGGCTATAGCCTAATAATATTAACTTTATAAATAGCTTAAATTCCTACTAATTTCTAGTAACTCTAAAATAAATCTTAATAGATTTTATAATTAGACTGCTAGTAGTTAATTAAAAAGAAAAGAAAGTTAATATAATTTTAATTATTATTAATTAATTTATAAAATATATTCTATTTCTTTTAGTATCTATAATAATTACTACTATAGAACTTATAGAGCTTTTTTACTATAAAGTAAAATTAATCTATAGTAACCTTAAGAGATTATATTAAATTAGATTCTATTTTTACTAGTAAATTCTAAGTGGAATTATACTATATATTATATATAAAATAAGGCTTTTAATAGTATTTTACCCTAAATTAATAGATAAATAAAGTAATAAACTAGATACTTAAGTACTACTTAGGTATTTTATTAATAGCAATTAAGCTAATTAGCTATATTACTTTAATTAATTTAATTTCCTATAATAATACCTAAATAGTATAATAGAATACTTATCTTTTATAGCTTTTTAAGGCTATAAGCTTAATTTTTTACTAAAGTAAAGGTAATATCTTAAAAGATATATAAGGTATATATATAGCTATAATACTTAGTAGACCTCTATAAATACTAAAGAAATATTAGTAAAAAGAATTAAAAAATAAGTAAAGTACTATAATATATATTATAACCTACTTAAGTTTATATAAGGATCTTATAGGCCTATCTACTAGAAATCTTAAATTAAAAAGAGAAAAGAAAAAGCTAGTAGTATATTTTATTAGATTCTTTTAAGTAATTAAGGTTATTAAAAAGTAGTATACTACTAGCTCTTCTAGAAAAATACTTTTAATTATATAATATATTTTATATTTCCTTTTAGAATTTTAATATACTTACTATAAAATATATTAAAACTCTTTTAATATCTAATTTTAAAGAAGATAATATAAAGTAGGAAATTAAATATATTAAGAAGAAAAAGTAGTTAAGAAGGGAAATATATTACCTTATTAAATAAAAAGCTAGCTAGTAGAATATAATTAGTAGATATTAAAAAAAACTTAAAAATACCTCTTATTACTATAAGAATTTAATAACTCTAAGTTAAAATATAAGTAAAAGTATAAAAAAAGATTATAAAATAATAAGAGAATATTAAATTATATAAATAAAGAAAATAAAAATAGAATTTATAAGTACCTATAGCTTTTTTATCTTAATAGGCTAAAGCTATTTCTAACTATAGAATACTACCCTAGAATACTCTTAATAAATAGAAACTTTATTAGAGTATAGCTTAAAACTAGAAATAAAATAAAAAACTCTTAAAGAAGTAGTATAACTAAGAAGTATAATAATAATAAATATTAAGATTATAAGAATTAAATATTAAAAAGAGAGGATACTTTAAAAGAAGCTTCTTATAATATTATTACTAACTTACTTATTAAAGTTAAGAATCTTAATTAATTTATTATAAAAAGCCTAAAAGCTAGATATTATATTATAAAACTAGAATTACTATACTTAAGATATAAAATTTATATTATTTCTAATAAGTATAAATAGTAGCAAATTATATAAAGATAAAATATTAGTAAAAATATAATTAAGTAAGTAAAAAGCTAGACTTATAGTAGAGGTAGTAGAGTAGGGTTATAAAGTAGGTATAGATAATAGCAATTATTAATAAATAAATAATATTAGCTAGAAGTATTTTAAAAAATTAATAAAAAATAGAAAAATTAAAAAAAGGTTAATATATAGCAATAACTTTCTTAATATTAATTAAGTTATAATCTAATAATATATAATCTTAATAGCCTTAAAAATACTATTTAAATTTATAGCTAAATTTATAAAATAAATTTATATAAAATAAATAAAGAAATAATAAAACTTATTACTCTTCTTAAATTTTAAGTTATTATTCTTATTATTAATATTTATATAAATTAGATTATAAATAAAAATTAAAAAATAATTAATTTATAAATCTTATTCTTAAAATTAATAAATAAATTAAATAATATTAATTAATACTTATATTCTAAGAAAAATACTTACTACTAATAAAAATACTTATAAAATATAGAAATTACTATACTTATTATACTACTTATACTAAACTAACTTAATATTAAAAAAATATATTAATTAATATTATATTAATAAGAAAAAGTTACCTTCTTACTAATGTATATAATAAGTAAGTAAGATAGATAAGTAAGTAAGATACCTAGCTATAATTATACAACTACTTATATTTAAATTAACTTTTCTTACCTATAATAATAGAGTTATCTAATAAAGAAAGCTGTATATTCTTAGTTATTTAAGCTATTTAAAATAACTAAGTCTAAGTACCCGGCTGTTATAAAGATTTATATAGTTAGTATAGCAATATTAAGTTGCCGATTTAATAGGATACTATCCCAATGTAATACTATACCCAAATCACATAAATTTACAGATCTAAAGGAGAAAATAATTATTAAATATGCCCTTGACTAAATTTACAATTATTTCCTCCCTAGCTTTGTAATATGGAAGATATAGCCAATTAATTGCTTGCCGACTGCAATATACTTCTAGTTGGGAAGGCTGGCTTTAAACTTCTCAGGCGAAATTAAAGCTTAAAATGCATTTTACGCGTAGATATAACTATTAGAAAGCTTAATGTAAAGATCCTAATATTATTTAGAGTTAGTTTTAGCTTATATAAAATATAATTGCAAAATATAATATCTAGGAATTAGATATCTATAATTTAATGAGATTGAGTTTATAATAGTATTATCTCGACTGGAATGGTTATTATAAGTACTAAATGATGTAGAAGATTAAAAATAGCCTAGCTAGGAGATAGGGAATAGGTTACTATAATCTAGGGTATTAATTTAAGGGTGGCAATCTCTATTTATTATTATTACAGGTAATATTATCTTAGGCCTAGTATAATAAAAGAACTTCCTTACAACTGGGTTATTGCAACCTTAAATAACAGCTGACAACAAATAAAAGAGGCCTAAAATGAATCCAGCACTTTAATAAGTATTTAAAGGTATGTTCTTCTAGCTTTTATTGCCTTCTTATATTAAATGGGTATAAAAGCTACTATTTAACTAAATTTAAGCTATATTATAAGGAGAATAATATTATTACTTTTATATGCTACTATATTTATTTATATCTTCTAGCTACTTAATTTAGTTGCTTTAGGCTACTTAAGTAGGCTATAGTTATAAATTGAGATTATAATAAAAACCTAAATTATATATATTACTAAGGTTAATTTCTTTTTATATTTAAGTGTATTTTAAAGTATAATATTAGAAAAAAATATTAGAAGTTTTTAAGTATAGAACTTATTCTATATAATTTAGAAAGTATACTTTCTTACTTAAATATTAAGTTACAGACTCCATTGCCTATATATATAATTTAAATTACCCAACTTTTAGGTTCCAAAGACCTTAAATAACCTAATTAAAGCTACTTTACAAACTAATTTCATTAAAACTTAAATTAGTTATTACTAGGGGAGCTCTTTAACATTAATTTTAGCTACTATGGATTAATTTATAAAGGGGGCGCGAGGAATAATACACTAGATAGCATTATTGCAGGCGGAGGTCAATGAGCTTCAGGAGGCAAATGCGACACTTAGCTAGCGGCGCAGGACGAAAAAAACACGTCTCCGGCTTTCAGGGAGCATGACAGTAGCTGAGGGGCAGGAGCTACAAGATCAGAGGGAAATCGCTGATCAGATACAGCAGGAAACGCAGCAAAGTAATGGTCGGAAGAGGCGGACGGAGACGAGGGAACGGCGATGTGGAAGATGCAGGCAGCCTGGGCATAATGCGCGCACTTGTCAAGCTGATGTAGATATGTCTAGGGAAGAGGATAGTGATTGATTTTAATTGATTGAGGTGTTGTAGTTGTTTTATTTTGATATTTACTGGTGAAGGTTTGGTTAGGTGTCTTACTTGCTTGTCTGTCTTACTCGCTTATCATGTACGTTAGTAGTACTAGCTATAATAGTAATAATTCTTCCCTTTATATATTTTAAGACCTTTTTATTCTAATTAATCCTAATTTATAGCCCAGACTGTATATAATTATAATAAGTATCTATAAATTGCAATATAATACTAATATTATAAACTGCCTCTTACTAAGAGTATTAAAATTAAAATTAGATAATAAATTAAGTTAGTATCTAAAATAAGACTTTAAGATCTTCTATAGTTTATCTAAGATATTATATTTTCCAGATACAGTTTAAATATACCACTAGCCCAGAGTCTTATTTATTAATAACAGGATCTTAGGGTCGGGATTGCTTGTACGCTGGCCAGCATCATTGCGATATTGTAGCTAATAAAAGCCCGGATAAAATTCAGTTGCCATTAAGCGGCTGAACCGCGTCAGGTATTTAGCCAGGGAAAGTTCCATATCTTCAATAGGTTTAAAATAAAATCCCGCTCTCCCGTCCATTGCGTTATCCAAAACGTACGATGATACACCTTCGTAGCCTCCACTGGTGCATGAGCGGACTATTAATTGCAACGAGGTGAGCGGAGGCACTAAGGGCTGTGAGGGAGAGTGCGAGAAAACAGGTCCTTATACTGGAAGTACCCGGGGGCTTGACTAAGCAGACTCCGCAGCTTTGGCTGCCCCTCTCCTCACCGGAGAGGGGTCGGCGTTGCTTGCTTACTCAGACCCCCGAGTACCAATTATGTTTCGTTTTCTAAGTTGAAAATATGTAACTTAGCGGTATTTGTACGGCGTTTACCAAGGCCAATAGCCTCTGCTATCATGTTCCGCAGGCCCATGTTGTGTCATTGGGTAGTTCTCGCCTATGTACTGTTACCACGCCTGTTCCATTGGATAGACCCCTGTCGTGTCAAGGTTGAAGGGGACCTTGCCCATCGATGCAGTACCACTGGGGTGGTAGCAGCCACTATAAAAGTTAGTGATACAGAAATATGCAAGGTTCTTGTTTGGCAAACTTACGCTCCATTCTCACGGATGCGAGCATTAACCTCATCGTCAGTTGAGTTGATAGTGAGCGGCTTCTCGCTAACCTCGCCTGAAATAATCTCCCGGCCGATAACAGTTTCGTTGCTTGTCATGAGCTTGATGTCTGTGCGAATTGCTTCGCGCGGCGCATACCGGTCAACTGTAGTACCCAAGAAGTTGGGTCGATGATTGGTTCGTCGTTAATGTCAGCTAACGAGATGGTGACAGAGCCTTCGGCTTGCACATACAGGTGATTCATTCAGTCTGATGCTGGATTGGTCAAGGCGGGAGGGAAGCACCCAGCCGTCCACGCGTATGCGCCATTTGGGACAAGATCTGCTCGCAGCTCCGCCCGACATCAGTGACGGGTGATTCCGCCGCGCTGAATCAAGAAAATGCCTCGCCTCGACTGCGATGTCTGCCCTAGGCATCCCCGGGCTCACATGGTACGCCTCGGAAACGGGTACCACAGGTACCACGGGTTGGAGCAATATCCGGTCGACCGAATACGAGCTCTCGTCGTGCCACTGCTGAGCTTACCCTCCAAAGAACAAATATTTGGAAGGAGTATCCAAAGTTTGATTGAAGGGCTATTTGGGAAACCATTGTCATTACAAAGAGTGCGCATAAATAAAAAACCGTTCTCCCTTTTAAGATTCGAACCTGGAAGGTGTGATCGGAGTTGATAAAGGAAAGGAGAATTGCCACGGCCAACTTCGTTCCTCAAGGCTTCTTTGCGCAAATTGCGACCGGTTGGCCTCTCCTGTTAGTTTACTAAAGCAGCGGGGTTAAGTATTTCCATCAATCACAAAGCTGTATTGAATAGCCTAAATGCACACAGAGCTGATCCGGCTCCGTTGTACTGGGAACATACTGTGAGAAGTCTACAGAGTACCAAGAAACTCTTTAATCCTCTACCAAAATGTTGTACTCAGTCTAATTTCGACGGCTTGGTTAACATTTGGTTCAACTGTGCCAGGACAAAATGCCCCTCAACACTAAGCGACTGACGACAAAAGACCGCATCGCATCTTTGGCGCTCAACAAGAGACCGGGTCTTGGTGTGAGCTGAGCAAGCCGCCCCAACCGTCACAAAATATACACAAACTTCATGCAAACACTTGGAGCGATTAAAACCAGGCAGGAAAGAAACAGGGAACTCGACTATCTCAGCGCCGCAGCAGGATCAAGTTTACTCCGGTCCTATTCAGTGGCGTAAGCACTGAGCGGCAGACGGGCGCCGACTCGCCGACTCGATTTGTGATCTTGCATGTCTCCCTGGCGGGCGGCTTGCGGCTGAATCGTATATTCGCACTGCTGACATACGAGAACTCGGTACTCGGGCAACACGTTAGAAGGTCCGCCGATGATGTTAGCGGGCATATGCTGGGTAGGTCGGTACCGGAGGGCTTTGGACTGCCCGAGCAATAAACTCCGTAAACTCCACGGATTACCGAGCATGCAAGCGGACAGAAATTGAGGCCACTGATTGGAGCAACGGCTGACCCCTTGTCGTCATTGCAACCTCCCATGCACCCTGATTAAACTCTGTGTGTCTCTCCAGTTTACCAAGCCGTTAATCCTACTGTACAGGCCACAAGGGTATCAAAGGTTGATTGGGCATGTATCGCTTAGCTGTGCATTAGCTGTGGGAATACCTGCGAGACTAGCTGCCCAAATAACCTTTGTTACCCTTGTGCCTGTACTATTGTCTAGTGCGAGGTGAATTGTTCGATGCGAAGGTCAATCCCGATTCCAGCTGACAAATTTTATGCACGGATTCTGCAACCTAACTCGGCTCTTCAAGAATTCCGAGTATAAGTTGAGCCGAGATGCGAGTTCCTGTGGAAGGGGTCCGATTGCGTCAACGCCGGGTTGCTCTGCTCTTTCTATAAGGGTTGCTGGATGGAACACCCTGAAGACGTTCCGCAACGAGTACTGCATTCAGCCATATTCACTTGATCCTTATTATCAACAAAATCTAAACAGCCATGCGTCTTACACTTGCTACTCTGGTGGCTGGCCTCTTCAGCTCAGTCGCCTTCTCATCACCCACCTCACATCCCGGCGCGTCCAAAGTTAAGACACGACAGCTCATCCAAGTCCCCAACGTCTGGATCGAAAACTTTGCCGTGCGTTCCAATGGAGAACTACTTCTAAATACCTTCAACGATGGCAGATTGTACTCCTTCAATCCCTCCAAATCACCTCCCACGGCCCGCGAGCTTCTCAAGCTCGAAGGCGTCAACGCACTCACGGGAATCACCGAGGTCGGCAAGGACGTCTTTGTCATTGCCGGGGCCAATATCGATCAGGCCACCGTTTCTTTCGAAGAGGGATCTCAGAAAGTGGCGCTCGTCGACTTCCGAAAGAGCAATTATGGCAGCCCTTCAGTTCGGGTGATTCTTGAAGACCAAGATACTACATTCCTCAATGGCTTGACTACGCTGCCTCGCCACAAGCACATCATTCTCGGTGCAGCCTCTAAAACCGGAGAAGTTTGGCGCATTGATACCAGGACGGGCGCAACCAAACTTGCTTTCAAAGACGAACTACTGGGCACTGTTCCGTCGGGGCCGTTTCCTCTTGGTATCAACGGCCTCAAAATCTTCAAGAACTACCTCTACTTCACCAATACCGCTCGCCAATCCTTCGGGAGAGTCAAGATTGATGAATTTGGAAACAAGAAGGGCGACGTTCAAGTCATCGCTCAAGCACCGGCTGGCTCAGCGATTTCACCTGACGACTTTTCACTGGACAAATTTGGCAACGCATTCGTTACTTTCCACCCCAACCTGCTATTTAAGATTACTCCAGATGGGAAACAAACCGTCCTTGTCAACGGTACACTTGCCGGGCCAACTAGTGCCGCCTTTAGCAAGGATGGTCGAAGCCTGTACGTTGTCACGGGCGGCCAGGGAGTGGAAGAGATTACGGGCGGGCAAGTCGTCAAAGTCAGCCTATAAAGTGTGAGTTATGTGCCTGAGGAGTCGGCCTATAAGGGACGAGTTGTGGGTTTGAGAACTCAAGCGGCCTGTATCAGTTTGCGATTCAGTATTTAAAGCTGTCACCTAATTACGATTGCGTTAGTAAGAAACTTGATTTAGTATTCAATTTAAAGTCCGGTATTTATCAACTTGCGATACATAGTAATCATCTCGACCTGTAGACGTACATGCCCAGGCACTGCAATCGAAAAGAGTCCTTTACTTTCTCTTACACTGTGCCCTCTCGAGTGCAAGCCAGCTAGGAGTCGGGATGACAAATACAGACGCCCGCGCTGGCCGTATACAAAGCCCAGCTCCACTGCACTCTGCCGACAAACTTACCAAACCACTTGACTCTTCCATTGTACCTGGTTTGCGCAACTTTTGAATTCTCAAAGCCAGCAGCACATCATCCTCGAGCTTTGGCTGCATAACGTGGGGTGATGCCGCGGATAGGGACGCCTGGGGGCCTTTGCAAACGATATAACAACAAGTGGTCTGCCTAGGCGGCTTGGTAGACGGCCTCCAGAATCCCCAAAGTTTCAGTTAAGCTCGCTTCCTCTTGTCATCCTTTCTCTTCTTCTTGCCATTCCCTTTCTTCCCCTTAGTTTCCTTGGGCTTCTTGATCTTTTGCTGCTTTCCCGACATTCTCATAGCTCCGGTGTTAACAATTTCGGTCACGGTGTTACTCGGCTGCACTCGCTGCTGTACTCGTAATAGCCTCTTTGATTTCTTGGCCAATTTTCTTTCCCAGAACCCTTTTTGTTGCATTTGTCACCCCGGAGGATGTCATTTCACCCCACTTCTTCGAGGGCCTGCTGTGGCTTTGCTCTTCCGATGATGAGTACCTCCGAACAATGCCTCCAGGGTCCCTATGCCATTGGCGGAGACTGAGATATAGTGTTTGTCGTGTTTGCTTTCTTCGCCTTGCCTTGAACTGACTTGGAGGTACCTTCCCCGGTATCTGACGGAGCCTCTGTCGCATTTTTCTCGTGGGATGCCTGCGACTGGATCATCAATGTCCCGTCCTCGTCTCGTTTAGATATCGTGGGTAATTTAGTGACAATGGCCACCACCGCCTTTCTCTTCTTCTTCTTGTTCTTGGGAGTCTTAGATTGAGTAGCTGGTAGGCTTCCACAGTCGACATACATGTCCTCGGACTGCTCGCCAGACAGGACGTTGCCGCTGCGGAGAACCATACCCTTTTGCTGAGGCGCAGCTTCTAGTATGACACCGCCTTGGTGGCTCTGATCAAGTATCAGCAATGGAGAAGATGCACAAAGAAGCGTGTATATGGTGGCCTTGTTTCATGGCCGACTTACTTGTGATATCACTGTCACTCTTGCCGCATTAACTGAGCCCTCGTCATGCCATATTGCGCGGTATACCGCATCTTCTTCCGGGTTTCCTGCCATTGAATGCAAGAGTTTTTCAATCGTCCGCACTTGGCCCGTTCTTGATCGCTGTTGCCACACTGTCTTCTGAATGGCCACCGGGGAAAATCTTTCTATCCAATACGCACCTCATCGACCAGCCTAGCTGGTATCTAAAGTCTTCGGCACCCTGGACCATGGGGTGAACCGCTTCGATTCGGGACATTGCACGGCCCCCAACAATGCCAGTCAGTATTGGGAGTTCCACGAGTTGCATATTTGTTCCCCCTCCGGGATTGAATCGGTCGGGTGGTGGTGGACAGAGGATTGTGACGACGTCGTCGTCAGCGGCGATGTGCCATGCAAAAAGGGCTGAGGCACCTCTCATGTATCTAGACCGGGCCTTGTTTCCATTATTAAACACTTGGACGCACAGCGGGTTGTTTCCATTCGCCAACGGCCCCATGGCGGTTGACAATGTCCGCATCTCTCTCCTATCGGCCCATGTCTGCGCCTCGGAGCGAATGTTGCCGGTCCACATAATATGCCTGTTTCGACGCCATGACGTGCGGAGCTGTTGACTAATTTGTGCTGTCTGAGTGACCGTCAAGAAACGGAGAAGGAAATTATTGATGGTAGGAGGGTTAGGACCATCGGAAGATGGGCCAGACCAGACTTGCAAACAAATAAATCGTATCCAAATCAAATTAAATAAATACAAATCAAATCAAATCAAATAAAGAAAAAGATCAGCCAAATTAAATTAAATCTTAAGGCCTAGATTTATTTGGATATTTAAATTTATTTAGATAAGGGGTTGTCCAACTAGCATTTGCATTAAGACGAGTCTCAACCCTACTTCTACCTGAGATCCTACTCAGTTTAGTAAATAACTCGTATCTCACAATTAACCCGTCACGCTATTTCAGCTGATACTGCCTATTCCAGCACTATATTCAACTCGCAAGATATAGTTAAGCAGTTTGTCCCGATATATCAACGGTACTTATATACCTCGGACTGTAGCCTGCTGAGCTTTGCAACCTCAACTATCCCTAACAATCCTGCTCTAAATAGCTCAGTCTATAAATGCCAATTATAGAGCAATACCTTTAATAACTCCTTCGACTACTCCCAGTAACCTCAACGCCCCCCTAAGCTTCGATCTATCTAATACCAACAGAGAGGTGACTATAGATACTTCCTCCTCGATCGACTACACTGGCTATAAAGGTATTGATTGGAATCGCCTTTTAGGGTACTGTATCTGCAAATAAAGACAAAGGCCGCGGATGGGATAGGTCTGGGAGCACGGATTCGATATCAAGAAAGACAGTTCTGGTTGCCGATTCTGGCTCTGTAAAGACTGTCACAAAAAGAAAGCTACGATCACTTATATGTACGACGCTGCTTCTACGAGCCAAGCAAACGGTCATATAGAAGATGTCCACCGCATTAATCAAGACGGGCCTATATCACTGCAGAGGAAGAAGCAACGCACCCTCTTTGATATGGCTAATCTGGACTGTCATCGACTGTAGGACCAAGTGGTGATGAATGTATTTATAGCGTCGTTTGATCCTGTTCGCTTTTAGTATTTACTTGTACGCTAGGTGACCTGCGATAACGTCCCGTTTAATAAGCTTGAGAGCCCGTATTTCCGCAAGCTCATAGGATACGCAAACAGCGCTATCATCGAGTCAGGAAGTCTCCCTACCCATACTACAATCCGTAAATAGATTGTACGGTCCTTTAATCGTCACAAAGGCGTCGTGACTGAGATACTTGGTCGCTCACTTGGCCGTATTAATATCTCCTTTAATGCGTAGTCCTCTTGCAAGTTCACCTCCCTTCTCGGCCTTGCCGTGTACTTTCTTGACGACGAAGGGAAGTTTCACACATTCCTTCTAGGCTTGCCATAAATCGAGGGTCGTATTAGTGGCGAGAACCTTGCCGATCGCGTTAGTGAAATAATTCACGAATATGGGTTTGAGGATCGCATTGGGTACTTTGTCGCAGACAATGCGGAGAGCAACATCGATCACTCAGGATAGAACAACATGGCCACGGATTCCAAGCTAAAAATTTCGCCTCTGCTGGTCCCTATGGCCGAAGCAATCCCAGTGCCAGCCCCAGCTACCCTACAGTTAGCAGGGTCGGCTACAGCTGCACCAACTACAACCAACATACCAAGATCCATCCAAGCTGTCATTGGGGCAATGGAGGAGTACAACAAAGCGGGGCGCTGATTCAGCTCCATCCGCAAGCTAGCTACGCACTGCTAGTCTATTAACCATCAACGATCAGGACGTGCATCATGTCCCAGTCCGAGTCTTCTTCGAGCTCAGTGAGCAGTCAAAGACGTCGAACTCGAAGCCCTAGTCCTAGTGGTCAATTACGTCCACGAAAACGACAGCGACAGAGCCGACAAGACAGGGTCAGCCCACCCTTACTTGCCAACAGACCACGGTCAGCAAGCAGCATAGCACCAAAGTATCGGCCAGTAGTACGGGGCCGGCGACGAAGATACACTCGGAAATCTCTTCACATCTTATCCAGAGACTTTCACGACAGCTACACGACCCCGTGGATTGCGTGGGACGAACGGGCCACCATTGGAGCTGCGATTCGATCACGAGATTCATCTTTTGAATAATTTCCAGTCCTCTGGAGGACGGGAGCAGCGAGTCAAGTACCTATACCAGGGCCCGAAGCTGACCAACCCCCTGCCTACTCTTGGCATGGGTTTATAATCTACCCAAGCCTTTCAGTATGGACCGGATATAGAGTCCTTAAGTCCGCCGAGCACTCTGCATTCACATCGTGAGCTCTAGCCTAGCTTATCCCGGTGTGCAAGCCTCATAAGGTTAGTATGCCTAGCTGTTAAATTATAGCGTGGCCTTGAACCTAAAGCTTGACATTCTCTATTGCTCCTAGTCTACTTTTGGGCTGCTTTAAGGCCTGTCCCTATCGTTCTCAAATAAGGTTTGACATTGCATTGATTGTTAAGCACGCGTTCCACTTTTCCAATTGCAAGCTCGCGTTCTTCGGCATTAAGTAAATATCTCCATTTCACTCGTGTATCGCGCTTCGGAAAACATTCAACTTATCGCACTTCGGAAATGTCAGAATTACCGAGACGTGAATATTTACCTATTAGTAGAGAAAGAACTAGTATAAAATCACGAAGAAGAGCTTTATTACCTATAGATCCCAACGAACTGTTAAACTCAGACTTATCACTCTTATCCAACAAGTTTTTACTCTCCAACTTCCATGATGGCGTCTTCTATCAAGCCAGTTCTTCCCACCTCCTACAAAGCTGCCGTCATTGAAGCACCCGGAGCTCCTTTGAAAGTCATCGATGTTGATTTGAAGAAGCCCGGTCCTGGCCAAGTTCTAGTCAAGGTTCTTGCTTGTGGTGTTTGTCATTCCGATGCGGGACTTCAGCAAGGTCATTTTGGGCCACACCTTTTCCCGCGCGTCCCAGGCCACGAGATCGTCGGGGACGTTGTTGAAATTGGCGAGGGAGTCAGCCGCGTCGCGAATGGAGACCGTGTTGGAGGGACTTGGCATGGAGGTATGGCGGATCTACACTTATGACTGAACACCCCGGATTAATTCATGTCCTAGGTCACGACCATACTTGTCGCCAATGTCACATGGGGCTCTTTCAAATCTGCGACAATGCCGTTTCTAACGGCATCTCTCAAGACGGTGGTTATGCGGAATTCGTCTTGCTTCGTTCCGAGGCAGTTGTCAGAGTTCCCAAAGACCTAGATCCGGCTCAAGTTGGTCCTCTGCTCTGCGCTGGCGTCACAGTTTTCAACAGCATCCGTAAGATGAAAATTGAACAAGGAAACCTTGTTGCTATTCAGGGCATTGGTGGATTAGGTCATTTGGCAATTCAGTACGCCAACAAAATGGGATACAAGGTTGCGGCTCTCAGTTCTGGTCCAGAAAAACGAGACCTTGCCTTGAAACTCGGAGCGCACGAGTTTATCGATTCCAGCCAAGTTGATCCTATTGAAGCACTCAAGGAGTTGGGTGGCGCCGCACTCATTATTGCCACAGCACCCAACCCCAAATCCATTGCTCCTCTCACGGGGGCGCTTAGGGCAGCTGGAAAGCTTTGCGTGCTCTCGCCGGTGGGCCAGCTTGAGATCAACAGCTTTGATCTGATTTCAAAAGCCGCGTCTGTTCATGGTTGGCCTAGTGGGCATGCTTTGGACTGCGAAGATGCAATCGATTTCGCGCGGACGCATGGGGTAACGTGTCTTGTTGAGCGTTTTTCTCTCCATAACGCTCAAGAAGCGATGGATACAATGATTCAGAATAAGGTCAGGTTTCGAAGTGTTCTGGTTATGGGATCGGAATAGAAGATGGTCAAGCTACATTTAGAACTTGATATTGTGTTGACGCAATCAAGACTGGTTGATACTGCTGCCTTTTGTCTTTCAGTCAAATCCGTGCGAGGGGCACACAAATGTGAACGTTATTACACATATTCCGCGATTAAGTTGGAAGGGCCTGAAGTTCTGATAATTGCGACATGGCCAACTCAACCTACCACCATGAAGATTACTTTTCGTCTGAAAGTTTGTGCATATGGCATTTGCCACGGAAACCTTGGGACAAAGGTATGAACTGTGAGTGGAATCTTGGTTTCTCGAGCAAAATGTGGGAGTGGCATCTTTGATAACGACTTAATAACAAAGTAATGACCGACGACGGGGTCTTCCAGCTATTGTGGAAGACTACAATTCATATCTATATTCTAGTATCCCTGAATAAGAAGTTTCTTTTGATGCTTTCCCGCGCTCTAATTGTGACGAATAGTCGAGTATAGCGTTTCTGTTTAAGGTTTTGTGACACTAGTAGAATATGCCTAGGCGACTGTCTCACGTGGAATCTTGGGGATGCCGTCAGTCGCACCTTGTGACCAAATAACGAAGATTTGTAAGACGTAGACTTTTAGGTTGGTAAGCAACTTAACCGGGCGAATGCTGGAGACTACTGCATAGTTCAAGTCCGCTAACTCCGTGTCCGGCTCTGACCTGTAACTCCGTCTTCACTCCCAATCCCCAGCAATGTTACTCTATTTAAAGCTCTCAGTCCTGTATGATATGTCTAAGTAAGAAGCCTTCAAGTCCTAGCCCATGGTCCCATCTTGTTAAACTAGCAGGCCCACCGATAATAAACCACCCCCAGACCCAATTGTGACTATATCCCATTTGAGTTACTATGTCATCTCAACTACCCTCCAGCTTTAAGTCCAGCCGTCCATCCCAGCAACGTCTATTAAAGCTGCTTTTGAAAGGAGGAACAGTGATCCTCCATGCTCCTGACGACCACATTCAGATTCTCAAGACTGATATCTTGATAGAGGGCAATCGAATTTCCCAGATAGGCGAGGCAATCTCTAGAGATAGCTGTACCAACACTATTGACTGCACCTCAAAGATTATCTCGCCAGGGTTCATTGACACTCATCACCATCTTTGGCAGACTCAGCTTAAGGGAAGGCATACCAATCACCTCTTGCTTAATTATATAGCATCCGGGAATCTTCAATCTTCCAACTACAATCAAGGCGATATCTACTGGGGTCAGCTGGGGGGCTGCCTGGAATCCATCAACGCAGGAACCACGACAGTCTTTGATCACTCACACATCAACTGCTTTCCCGAAGCTGGTAAGTAGTGGGGCATTGGGAGGACCAGTACTCACCGAAAATAAAGCTAACAGGAACCTCTGGTATCTAGCTCCGACGGCCATCTCTGCAACAGTGTCTTCCGGCATTCGCTGCATTTATGGATACTGCCCAACTCCACGGGTCACCTCTTGGTCGCCATTCACGCTGGCGCCTGATGTTCTTGCAATATGGGTCATAGATGGCCTTGAGAGCCTTGCTACGAAAGCACCTTTTAGTGACGGGCGAGTGACACTTAGGTTTGCGTTCGATCAGTGGTTTCTGCCCTCAGAAATCATCCAGGATACCTTCCGCAGAGCAAGAGCTGCCGGAGTCAAGTTGGCAACAACTCACGCAATCCGTAATGCTCAGATCAGCATGGCCGACCCGATTGAGCATATAGAGGCCCTCGGTCTTCTTGATTCTGACATCGTCTTGAGCCATGCCAATAGCATTCCAGCGAAAAGTATCAAGGCAATTGCAGACGCAGGAGCCCATATTAGCAGCACGCCTTCTGCAGAAATACAAATGGCAGCCGGCTATCCAGCATATCTGGACGATAATTTGCCAGGAGCGCAGAAGCAGTCGAGTCTGGGCATCAACTGTCACAGCAACCAGGCCGCCAGCATCATCTATAAGATAAGGCTCGCTTTGCAAGCTTTGAGGGCCAAAGGACACGAGAAGTATATTAATCAGGGAAAAGCCCTACGACATGCTCTCAAGACCGTGGAGGAGGCATATAACCTCGGCACAATACAGGGCGCCAGAGCATTAGGAATAGAAGACCAGATTGGAAGTATCGCTGAGGGGAAATTGGCTGACTTAGTCATCTTTGACGGGAACAGCCCCGAGCTTCTGTGTGCGACAGAACAAGATCCAGTGGCTGCAATCGTGCAGCACAGCAGCATTGGCGGCGTGGAAATGGTCATTGTGGACGGCATCATTCGGAAACGAGAAGGGAAGCTTCAGGAAGCGCTGGTCGAACCAGCGTTTCAAGACATTGCAGGCGACGGCCCCCTGCAGTGGAGTCAGATCGCAGCTGAAATCCGGCAGTCGAGGGAACGCTTGCGAAGACGCGAAGCCAAGGAGCAGAATCACAACGAGGTCAAGAAAGGACTTATCCAAAGCTTTTACATAGATAAGTCTAAGTTGGTGGGCGAATTGAGAAAGTAACAGTGTATTAACTTATTACTAATTATCTCGTCTAAGAGTACCCCCTGCCAGGTGTCAACCAGGGGTCTGTATCTACCCACTTCTATCCACAACCACCTCAACAGTAATAGAATAGATAACTTACTAAGCCAACCTGAAGTTAAATTAATAGAAATAGACCCTATCTATTAACGTAGATGCTATCTACGGTAATACAGAATGCCTTAAACGCTACAGCGGATTAAGAATATCCCGCCAGTATCAGCCTTATAATCTCTTAATGCTATTATCAGACTATCTACTCCTATTTCCCTTATTAACCTGCTAGTCCAGTTTATCCTTAGGTACCTTAATCTCTATACTTCTAAGAGTAATTTTATTATAGTTTTCTATTAAGCTGGCCTTAATTTATAATCTAATTATTTAAGTAGTAGAGATTATATCTATTTTAAGTTATATCTACTAGATTATAATTATAAAATTAGTAGCTAAGAAGGTTTTTTTATATTTAGTAGCTATTAGAGGTATATTAAGTATATTAAAAACTATCTTAGCTAGCTGGGAATATTTAAACTGGTATTTTATTTAGTATCTTATTAAATTATCTTTTAAAAAGAGCTTTAACTTATAAATAGAGAGTAGCTAATAATTTAATTTATTAGCTAGTAATATAAATAATTATAATCTACTATAAAGTTTATATTTTAAATAGATAATTTATTTTTTCTTATTAAAATTTAAACTTTCTATATTTATAGAAGCAGGAGATAATATTGTTGGATTGCTTATATGACGATTTGATGACCTTGAACATGTGTGTTGTTCTTCCCTTTTTCTAAGGGACGGGCCTAGAGCCTGTCTTTTATACATGATGAAGACGGCTGCTGCCGGAGGCGGCAGTCCGTCGCCGCCGCACAGGGGCCGGGGTCCTGTGTGCCCCAGGGACCGGGATCGCGGTCACAGGGCCGGCGATGGAGGGCTCGTCGAGCCCTGCCCGAATAGGCCCCTTATCCCTCACGTGACATCGTGGAGCCCTGATATTCCATGCCTCCAATTCAACACGCCCCTTCAGCTCGAAGGCACCGCCTTCGGGCTGACCTCCGGCATGATGAGGGCTTCCTTTTCCTCCTCCAGTTCCTGCTCCCTGTGTTGGGCCAGTCTCGCCGAGAGGTCGGCGAGCTGTAGTTGTGTAATAAAGGTCTCAAAGGCCTCTCGAGGGAGGCTCTTTGTAAAGCCGTCAGCAAGCAGTTGGGCTGACGGAGTGTAGATAACATCGATCCGGCCTTGTGTGATTTCCTGCTGAAGCTAGTGGTTATGTATATCGACATGCCGTAGTTTCGTATGCAGCTTGATGAGTTCCTCCTTAACTAGACGGATAGTCTGTTGGTTGTTGCATTGAATAGTCACTTGCGAAGGAGGGGCGATTCCTCGCCGAGCAGTCGGCGACTGCAGGTCGATCTGTAGGGATGAGATCAGTCGGCTTGCAAAGAGAGCCTCCTTAGCTGCCTGAGAGAGAGCTAGTAACTCTGCCTCTGTTGTTGACGTTGTGACTGTATCTTGCTTATTGGCTCTCCACGAGGTCATACCGCCGAAGAGGGTCATTGCAAAGGCCTGTGAGCTCCGGCGGTCCGGCGAGTTATCCGCGAAACTAGCATCAGAAGCCACCGAAAGGCCGTCGTTTTCGCTGCCGGGCTCGGCCCCGTATTGCAAGGAAAGACCCCGTGTTCGTAGGAGATACCAGAGGACCCGGTCTGCGGCTTCGTGATGTTGGGGGCCTGGGTTCTGGTTGAATCGTGCTAGCCTGCTTGATGCAAAGGCGATATCCGGCCGAGTCATGACTGCGGCGTATATGATTGTCCCGACTTTCCGTTGGTATAGGTTGATGAGCTGTGGGGTTGACTCGCAGTCGGAAGGAAGGAGCTCTTCGAGGGCCATTGGGGTCTTATGCCTAGGGTTCGGCGAGGAATCGGCGAGCAGTCGGCGGGCTTTGTCGATATACACGGACTGGGAAAGCCATAGCCTTCGGGTTGCTCGGTCTCGAATAACCTCAATGCCTAGGAACCAGTGAAGAGGCTTCCCTCCCTCAATATGGTAGAGTTCCTGAAGGGATTCGATCAGCTTGGTTGCCTTATGTTCTAGGGTCTTTGGGTAGCAGAGGACGCAGTCATCCACGTAGAAGAAGAAGATGATTTCTTCGTGCAGCCAGCAGCAGTCCTCGCCGGGTACTCGCCGAAAGCCTAGCGAAAGTAGGCCTTTCTCGAAGTGTTGTTGCCATAAAAGAGGTGACCGTCTGAGGCCGTACAGAGCTTTGCGAAGCTTGAGGATAACGCCGGGTTTTCGGTATCCAGTCGGCATTTCCATATAGATATCTTCGTCGAGGTTGGCATGTACAAAGGCGTTAACTGCATCATATTGCAACATCTTATAGTCGAAGCGGTTAGCTAGGGCTACGAGCGTTCGGAATGATATTCCGGCTAAGGTGGCTGCATAGGTATCTCGCTCGTCTTTCGGCTGCTGGTCGCCACGGATTACCAGCCGTGCTTTGATCTTAATGAAGCGGCCGTGTTTATCGAGCTTGTATGTGTATACCCAGTGGCAGCCGAGTACTCGGCGACTGCCTGCTGCTGCCTTGGCGACTTCGATCCATGAGCCTGCTTCCTTATGACTCTGCAGGTGGGAGGTTTCGGCTGCGATTAGCTGGTGTCTATATGGATGTTTATCTATCTGAGCATGAGAGCTGGGAAGCCGCTCCAACAAACGCCACGGCGTTCCGGCCAGTGGCCTTTCCGCAAGGGGTTTTTCCCCTCCACACGTGTAAGTATCATCATGTGCGCGGTCGAGAGGGCGAGTTGAGCTTCCCCCTACTAGCTTCGGTGAGGAGCTGGCCAGGCTACCTTCCTTAGTCTGATAGGAGCGTCTGCGATGCTTTGGCCCTTGCAGGCTGCCCGCTAGGAATGCAGCCTTGAAAGACGTCCTTGGCGTCACCCTTTCGGGGACGACTCGGCGAGCCTTTGCTAGCTTTGTTCCTCCGGTATCATCACCATCCGGCCGCCCCCGCCCCTCCACGTCTAGACAAACAGCTAAGGCGTGGAAGAAGGCTGATGGGGGTGAATCCGGAGGCGTGGGGAGAACCTCAAACTTGGAGGTAGTATAGGTATCCTGCTCGGCGGGCTCTCGCGGGGAACTCGGTTGCCTATCGCCGTGCACAGCGGGCGTTATCGTAGAATTCGCGGGCCTATCACCGGCATTCTCCTGCTCTAAGCTACTAGAGCCTGGCAAAATCTCATCTGGTTCCTCATCAGGTAGTTGTGATGACCACGCTGGAGGCGGCTCTGTTGCTGCAAGCAGCTCTCGGATACGTTTCTCAATAGCTTCTAAGTCTTCCTTTAGTAAATCGTCCCGAAGGCTCTCTAAACGCCCGTCGAATAGCTGCTGTTCATTAAACGTTACATCCCGCGATGTGATTACTTCCTTTGATAGCGGATTCCAGATGCGGAAGGAATTGCTTGATGTATAACCGACTAGGAACCCGATCCAGGCTCGCGGAGCCTGCCTTTGGAGGCGGTTTCGTCGGAGTTGCGCATCTGCAGTCAGCGTGAAGGCTTTGCAGCCGTATGATCGCAGGTGAGATAGATCAGGTTTCGCCGTGTTGTCAGTACGGTATCGTAAATGAAATACTTCGTAGGGAGACTTCCAGCCCCGGCGAGCACTTGGCGAGCGGTTGTAAAGATAGGTAGCTGCCTTGACTGTCTCGGGCCAGAGGTATGCCGGGAGCTTGGCTGCTGCTCGCATTGCACGGCTTTTCTCAATAATGACTGCTGCAACGCGTTCCGCGCCCCCGTTCTGGGCTTGAGTATTGGCGCAGAGGGCTCGCATCGGATCCCTATTGCTTCTATTTCGGCAGCCACTCGGCGGTGGGTTGTCGAGAGCTCGTTGTCACACTCGAAGACCTTGACTGTAGCGCCGTATTGTACCTCCATCATCTTAATGAATGTCGTAAGAGCGGCCCGAATCGTAGGCGTTGACCGGTCGGTAGCATAGTAGTCCCACGCATACCCGGAGGCCCGGTCTACCATAATCCATACGGATGTATAGCCTCCATAGCCGGTTTCCATCGGGTGGAAATCAAGGGCAATTCGCTCTCCAGGCGCCGCCCTTACATTGGCTTCTCGTGGAGCGCGGCAGACCACTCGGCGAGCCTTCGCCACACCGCAAGCGTCACAGTCGACTGTTGTGATCCTTTCAGGGCCTTGAGGGTCGCCTAGCTTCAGCCTGACGCCCCGAGCTGCGTTCGTAAGGTGCCTGAGGACATCTGGGCCCGGGTGGCCGAGTCGCTGGTGCCACGTATGCGAATCCCCTTGGAGGGGCCGGCGTTGGCTCCACGATGTGTACTTCCGAGTGCGGCGTGAAGGCGGCGTGCGGTCGACGAGTAGTGCCGAGGCACTGGCGATTCGTCGTCGTCTGTAGCGATGTATTCGAGGACCTGTTGCCCATGGAGCTCTTCGATCTCTCCAAGGTGGCTGCCATCGGCCCTGCGTAGGCAGTTGTTGCCTGGTCTTGTGTCCCACCAGAACCCCCGTTTCCTTAGCTGTGAAAAGGATACTAGATTCGAAGTGAGAGCTCTGCAGTACGCAACGTTGAATAGTCGGAGAGAGGTCGGCGAACTATCGGCGTTTCGTAGGGTTATCGTAGCATCACCGTAGCCGTCAATTGGGACCGGCTCCGTTCCTGACCACAGGAAGTCTCCTATCGGAGCGGCTCTGAGGTTGTGCATTCGTTTGGTATCTCTGAAGATGTGGATTGACGCCCCTGAGTCGAGAAGGTAACTCCGCCGTAGTGGATAGGTCTTGGCGACCATTAGGCATGCGTTCGCTCGTGCCTTTCCTCGACAGAAGCTTAGGATCTGGCGTCATTGCAAGTCGGTCAGGGTAAGCTGCCGAATTCGGTCTGCAACCCCATCGATATTGCTATCGATACGTTCCTTTACCATTGCTTCTGCAGCCTCGTTTGGTCTCCAGCCGCTATAGCGTAAGGCGGGGAAAGCGTAGTAGCACTTCGGGAGAGGGTGCCTGCGGCTTAGGCAGGCAGGGCATTTCATGTCTATAATATTAGTATCACTTCGTTCCCTTCTCTTTCCGCGGCCTCTCGCCGAGGACTCGCCGGCATGGCCCTGAGGAGCGTGGAATGCCCCGGGAGCAACCTTTCTGCGTTGCGGAAGGTCCGGGCTGTCTGCGATTACTCGGCGAATAGCTGCCGTTACTGCCTGGACTGAGAGGGCATTCTCGATCGCGTCGTCCGTCTTCGAGGCGTCATATGCGTTGATCCATGACTCAAGAGGGGTGCCTCTGAGGGCCCTGACTAGGTCCTTGAACCACTGGCTTGCCTCCGTTGCTTCTTGTAGCTTGACAGTCTGAGCCTCTTCGATTGCTATTTCCCAGAGAGCAAGCCACTCGCCTGTTGCCTTATATGTCGTTATGTGGTGTTGGAGTGGTTTTGCTAGGAGTTCGCGGAGGGTTCGGCGAGCCTTCTGGACCCTTTCGTCGTAGGCGTATGCAAACTTGGTTTGGAGGGCCTGTACCCAGTCGGCTAGGGAGTCGTCGGCTCGGCAGTTCTGTTGATAGAGAGGAACTGAGATGCTCTCTTTGATCCAGTCTTGGATGACGTCTAGGCTCTTCTTCGTCTCCTTATACTGCCTCTTGCGGTATTCGTAGTTGGCCCACATCGCGTTGTAGGTTGAGAGCCCTTTCTCTGTGAGGTCTGTCACATCTGACGCTCGAAGGGCCGAATCCTCGCCGATTGCTAGGCGAGGGTCCTCCGAATCGGTCTCCGTGCCGGCGGCCGCGATGATCGTGTCGGTGGATGTGGAGCTAGGGATCAGAGACTCCGTAGTCGCGCTCGTAGCGGCCCCTTTTCGCTTGCGAAAGTCTGTAATTGCTGGAGGGGTCGGCTTCACAAGGTGTAGCTTGGGCTTGTTGGTCTTTTCCGGGTCGAGGTATTCCCAGAGGTCTTGGTTCAGGGCTTTCGTCTTGAGGGCTGAGGACCAAGGAATCCAGTCATCGCCTGTAACAAGCTTGATAGTCGTCATCGCGCCGAAAGCTCGGCGAATCGTCAGCGATCCGGGGGAGAGAGGTTTGCGAGTGGTAAGGGCGTGTAGCACGTATCTGACTGTTAATTGTTGGATTGCTTATATGACGATTTGATGACCTTGAACATGTGTGTTGTTCTTCCCTTTTTCTAAGGGACGGGCCTAGAGCCTGTCTTTTATACATGATGAAGACGGCTGCTGCCGGAGGCGGCAGTCCGTCGCCGCCGCACAGGGGCCGGGGTCCTGTGAGCCCCAGGGACCGGGATCGCGGTCACAGGGCCGGCGATGGAGGGCTCGTCGAGCCCTGCCCGAATAGGCCCCTTATCCCTCACGTGACATCGTGGAGCCCTGATATTCCATGCCTCCAATTCAACAGCACTAGCTTGGGTTGCCACGCAGGGATTGATTGCTATCCCAGGCACGACTAAAGCCTCACGTCTGGAAGAAAACTGGGCGTCTCGAGATGTCGTGCTGACGGAAGAGGAGTTAAAGAGGATACGAAGGATTGTAGACGATGCTAAGCCGGTTGGAGAGAGGTTCTCTGCCATCTTCCAGTCGATAGTCGGTCACTAGATTTATGGCAGTTTACTGCAATCACCATACTGCAGTTACATGGCATCAAAATAAACCCCTTCAGTCTGTATTATCCTGACAGTCTTGATGGCTCCTACGGTCACCCCGCCCCTGTCTACTTGCGTTGCCCCCCGAACCTTTGCTTTTAACACAACCCCGCTCGGCTGTCGCGTGCAATATCCGCTGTGTTGTCAAAGGCTTTGAATTCTCGAGTGGGCACGCAATCGAGCCAAATGATTGTAATGCTCTTGGATCCCCGGGTCGCGTCAACCATGGTGACGGTGTAGGTCCTAGAGAGTAAAGACTGCGTGAGACAGTGTCATGAATGGCCAACTTCCTAAGATGTATTGTATGCATCTGACCTCTTCAGTGTCTGGACTCCACGATTCAGAATCGTGCCTCAAACGCCCAGAACGACTAGCAAATTTAACTTACACTCGGTGTGACTACTTTACCTACGTGGTGCGGTGCCTACAAGACCAGACTGTGTTACCAATCGACTATTAATGTAATATCTGTCAAGACATTCACGACAGTTGATGGATTTTGCCCAGTATTAATATCGCAAGTGTTTGGTTACACAATCGTGCTGGGTCAGAAGCTACCTATTTTCCTTCCACGCAACCAACTATCATCGTACTTTGAAGAAGCCAGTCCAGAGTCCCGAAGATGTGAAGACACCACGAGGGTCAATGGCTTGTTGAATCTCGACCAATCTCTGTTGATTTTCTTTGCCATAACCAGCGAAGACGTCTTGTCCCTTGCTCGCATAATTAATGTAGACGAATGGGTGGAAGGCGTTGACACTCTCAGCGGCTTCTCGAAAGTCTGCAATGAAGTCGTCTGCCAAAGCGTATGCGGCATTGTCCAATGCGCTAGTAGTCCAGCTTAAGGAGAGGAGATTGACTAATTATGGTTGTCAGATTGCGTCTGCATTATCATTACATCGTCACCACGGGGAAGTAGAGATAGAGGGGCGAGGGGATAAGACTTACTAACAAGATGCCCTTTAACGTCAAGACCGAGGGCGTTGCCGCCTCTTGCCTTCGACATTTTCATCGTCGCGGCAGGTATGGAATACGTAATTAGCTGCGGGTTGAGGCTAGTCAGATTTGCCCCCTCCACTTTGCTCTTGAGAATTTCAAGGCCTTTCTTACCCACCTCTAAGGACGGGTAATGTGTTAGAGTGGTAAAAAGATTCCTGTGGATAATTTAGTGCTCTGCAGCTGTGGATGTTTTTGAGGCTCGTACCTTGTGATTCCTAGTGGCCCACTGAAGCTTGTGCTGCTCGCTAGGCTGTTTATGCCTCCGGTGAGATTTCCCAAAGCCGGAATGCTATTAAGGGCATTGAACACCGGTGGATTCATAACAGGCTCGGCGTAGCGCTGGGTACTCGACATAGTCCAACCATTCTGTACAGAGTAGGCATACCGGTACTCGAGACCAATGTTGGTATCTTCGTAGTCTTGGATCGAAAAGATTTTCTCGGCTTCTTCGAGAAATCGATCCGTCTGATCATCGGTAAAGGTGCGCGACCCAGCGTACACAGGACGCTGAGGAAATACACTTACATTGAATGACGTTACGATGCCATAGTTGTTCCCACCGCCTCGAAGGGCGTAGTATAAATCTGGATGTGAATCCTCAGATGCCGTCACAATCGTGGCGTTTGGTAAAACAACCTTCTTCGATTAGCAAAATATGGCTCCATATAGAGCTAGGGCAGGAGGTTGACTCACCTCATACTCCAGCACATGATCTAGAGCCCATCCATACCTCGCTGCGAGTACAGACGTACCACCACCAAGGGTAAAACCCCCCATACCAACTTGTCCGACTCTTCCCCCAACGTAGGCCAAACCATATGGATCAAGAGCAGCGAAAACCTGGCGCGTGAGGGATCCGCCGCCGATACGAGCAGTAGTTCGGTCATCTGAAACCACCGTACTATTGATCAGACCTAGATCGATAGTAACTCCGCCAACAGAGACCGCATCGTCCGGAAAGCGCGAGTGGCCACCGCATTTTACTGCGAATCTGCACCAGTTATTCACAAGAACCTGCAAGACTCTGGAGACCTCATCGGCAGATGCAGGCTCGGCACGACAGACATAGACGGTCTCTAACTGCTTCTGGTCCCAGATTGTGAAGTTGTTATCGGAGCCATCATAGTGCAGTCTGCCGGGGAACTCGGAGGCCAAAATCTCGCACTGTTCCAGTTAGACGAAGGCTTTCTGTATCATTTAGAATTTCACACATACAGCCTGTTGACAGTTCGTCCCATCGCGAGGGAGGGGCAAACAGTCCTTCTGCAGTTTGGTGTCGGCAGCATTCGTCGACACGAACAAGTGACCGAGCAAGTACAAATGCGCAGGCTTCATTTCGTTGACAATACCTGATGACAATAGAGAAAAGGTAAGTATCACATCCAAGAGGATATTCAAGTTGGTTGACCACTGGACCGACGATAACGCGACTTCCAGCAGCCCTCGCACTATCTAACTTCCCCTTATGAATTGGAAAAGGAAAGACGTACCGTTTCCCAGTTATTAGATAGAAAACCAACAGCTTTGACAAGTATGGTCCATCAGTCAATGGGACAATGAGTCAAGGACTAACTGAGGGATTTTATAGGACAGTTTGCATCAACGTGTCTTGTTGAACTCTGTCTTTCTATCAACTGCCAGTTTTTGACGTCCACCGCGTTTCAACTACATAGATCCTTGCCTAAGACTCCTTATTGAGGAGATCACTTGCGTCACTGTCGGCGTTCGGGCCTGTAGCAGATGTCGGCCCGAATCGACACTACCTAAAATGGCCACGGAAAAGTAGCGTCTTCCGACGATACATTGGCTGTGACTATTTCCACATTGCCCAGCCTGTTTTCGGGCCGTCTGTGTGCCAAAACTCCTTGGACTTGTCCGCTATCAAGAATCTCCACCAATGCGCTTTGGGTGCACTGCGGTCCTAAGAATTTAAGTGGAACAATTCAATGCTTTAGAAAGTAACCTCACCCAGAAACCCTTCCAGACCGGTAGCGGTGCGTCCCCTCAATACCTGTCAAGGGGAGCCTTCAAGGTGGAGACTCTGCGGGGGGGGAATTACACTTGTTATCCGTACAAGGGGAGGAGACCGACATGGTTTCGACACAGCTCTACCTAGATCTTAGAAAGTATCTAGATGAATAATAATTTATTTAATAAATAGCTCGCTTAATTAACTAATTAATATATATTTATTAAGAAATTGTTGAGAATTATAACTTATTTATGCTGAAAGTAATACTAATAATATAGCGGAAGTCCGGGAAGCCAGGTAAAGCATGCGTCTATCGTCCGTGCGTCCGTACAGAGTACCTTGACAATTACTCGTCCCTACGCTAGCGCGTAAGTAAGTAGGTTGCATTCGCGCTACTGATGCTAGTGCGTAAGTAGGTTGCATTAGCGCTACTGATGCTAGTGCGTAAGTAGGTTGCATTCGCGCTACTGACGCTAGTACGTCAGTCGATTGCATTACCGCTACTGACGCTAGTACGTCAGTCGATTGCATTAGCGCTGCCGACGTCCACTTCACGAGGACGTTGACGTAGCTGTTCGTCGTCCCTGGCTTCGAACCAAACCTGCTTGACAGGCCATGAGCTAGCGACATGTTCCCCATTGTCGAAGAACATCTTCGAGCACCTTCGATAATATTCTCTGACAGCATCGTGTCGTCTGTTCGGCATAAATACCAAAACATGGCGCCCAAGTCAATCTACACCGCTCCATCCCAAGTCAATCTAAACCTCTCCATTCCTGATCGTCTTCTGTCTTATCCTTGCCCACTCAGAGACCACTGCAATCACACACCTGTTACACATCAGCCATGGCTTTTCCAACCCCACCAGAGCCCAAGACCGAACTAGGTCGCTATCGCATCCTAGCCAGCACTGCGGGTGTGAGAGTGTCACCACTCGCGTTGGGGGCTATGTCCATTGGCAAGTCCTGGGCCTCTTGGATGGGTGCAATGGACGAAGAGCAATCTTTTAAGCTTTTGGACGCATACGCCGATGCTGGCGGCAACTTCATCGACACCGCCAACAACTATCAAGATGAGGATTCAGAGTTGTATTTAGGGAGATGGATGCAGGCCAGGAATAATCGGGACCTCATGTTTGTGGCAACCAAGTTTACAAATGATTTTCGTGGATGGGAGATTGGCATAGGAAAGACTGTCAACTACGCTGGAAATCATAAGAAATCCCTCCGGTTATCTGTTGAGGCTTCGCTCCGAAAGCTGCAGACGAACTACATAGATTTGCTCTATGTACACTGGTGGGACTGGACGACGTCGATTGAGGAGCTAATGGACTCACTCCATATCCTTGTTGAACAAGGCAAAGTCCTCTACCTTGGTATCTCTGACACCCCGGCCTGGGTTGTCTCGGCAGCCAACACCTACGCAAAAGCGCACGGCAAAACTCCCCTCTCTGTTTACCAAGGTCGCTGGAATCTTATGCTTCGAGATTTCGAACGTGACATCATTCCGATGGCACGGCATTTTGGCATGGCGCTGTGCCCTTGGGATGTCATCGGCGGCGGCCAGCTTCAGACAAAATCACAACGGGCGGCCCGTAAAGAGTCTGATCCAACAGGTCGTGGCAGTCAGCAGAGCGAGGAGGCTCTCAGAGTTAGCGACGCGCTGGAAAAGGTGGCTGCCGAGCACGGAAACGCGAGCATACAACAGATCGCACTAGCGTACGTGATGCAGAAGGCGCCGCTTGTTTTCCCGCTAGTCGGCGGTCGAAAGGTCGAGCATCTCCACGACAATATCAAGGCACTGAGCATCAAATTGACAGACGGTCAAATCAAGTATATTGAAAGCATCAAATCATTCGATCTTGGCTTTCCGCTGGATTTCATTGGCGATGACCCCCGGGAGACTGGACAATCAACCCACATGATGGAGTCATTGCTCGGCGCGAAGATAGCTTGGAAGAAGGCGCCGAATACTATAGGGCATATTTAACAGTACAGAATCCGGGATATACTGTACAATAACAATATCAACTGTAGTAGAGTTGATTTTTCGGCCCCACTTTGCAAGGGGTAGAGTTGAATTAAATGACAGGGGTAGAGTTGATTTTCTGCCAGCCAATCATCATAGCTGTAACGCGTATTATATAAGGATCGCGACATGATAGGGGGCCAATAGGCGCGCCACCAGTGCTGCAAATAAGTGTCACGTGTTGCGCCACCAGTGGTGCGATTAAGATAATTACATAAGCATCGCTTAATGTGTAAGCCGGCCATGCTGCGAAGCAAAGCAGATACCGCGTACTATGAAAGACAACATAAACCTAAAGAAAGGGAGGTCAAGGATAGGGTTAAGCAAGGGAGAGGGGAAACTTTGCTTATGATGTTTCAAGTTCATCACTTATTTATGGTTGAAAGAAAAAAAGTATGGAAAAGTAACTGTTGAAATGAGAAGATATTAAATGCTTGATTCAGATTAAGTGTGCAGTAGGGGAACCACTGTTTATATACAGACATAATCTCTTGTAGAATGTTCCTCCTTCTTCCACACCTTGCCACCGACTTGGTCGCCTCACACTTGTGATCTCCAACATTAACAGACTAAGCATCAACTATAATACAGTCTTCAGCCTGGTCGTTATTCGAGTACAAAGCCTGTTGCTCGATAATGTCCTGCTCAACGCTCTCCCAGATCTCTTTCATCCCTCTTCGTCTGTTTGCCAAAGGGTTGCCACCCATCTCCTTAGAGACACGCACCTCGACCCGGTCATCCTCGGCCTTGCTCCAGTCTAAGTATGCCATCATCTCCTCCTTGGTCTATTCTCTCGACCTTGATGATATGACACAGCGCTTCGATATCTGCTTGTAGTCCAAACACCACTCATAACGGGTCTTACTATACCGTCGAGGCAGGCCCATAGCCTTTTGATATTGCTGATTAGTTTTCAAGCCCCCTCGGGGCAGCTGGTTATACCATGCCTCCCGTGCTGCAGCATATCGTTGATAAATAGCACTGGGATGATCATAGCGCAACTCTGGCTCTGGCTCTGGCTCCGGCTCTGGCTCTGGCTCTGGCTCCGACTCTGGCTCCAAGGACAGCAATACCGCCCTTGGTGAGTGTGGCTGTAGCTCTACATCTAAGAGCGACTCTTATAGCACTACAGGCTGCAAAGTTGAGCTTATTGCCAGTGCCAGCGGAGGTATGATTGGATTGTGATTAGGCGTTGGCATAGAACGTGGAGTGATTTCCAGCGATGGAGCTAGAGCTGAAGCTATGGTCTCTTGAGACGGTGCTGCGGTTGAAGATGGTATAAGATGCGCGTAGCGTAGCTCGCAGGCGTGTGATTTCCTTGTGTGGCCATACTGATAGCACCTTGTGTATTGGGGAGCTGCTTTAGTCTGTTTAAGCGCCTGTGATGCTTGCTTAACAGCCTTAAATGCAGATGGCTCACGACGAGTGCTGGTCTTTGCAAGTATTAACCTAGCCGCAACTTAGTCAAACTGTTAGCGAGGCTCTATAAGTATTTGAGGCCTCCCTTCCCGCTGAAGATGCCAATGTGTGTGAAAATGATCCAGCTAAAGAGGCTTCTCTTCTTATATAAGAGACTCAATTGTATGAGAATAAGGGAGACCGAGTGATTCTGTAAACCTTCCTGTACAGGCAGGAGGTACGTCATCCTGTAGAAGCCGCTTCCTCTGTGCTTTAACCTTGCGCAATGCCTTATGAGAGACCCAGCCTTGTATAATGCTGTATAGTCTTCCTGTGAGTTCGATAGGCGTGCGGATTCGCTGCTTTGCCTAATTTGCTTAAAGCTTAGCTAACTGGTTTAGAACTGCGCGCTTAATAGACCTCCAAGCCTTAAAGAGATCGAGCTGATTTGTGTTGAGATGAATTTTAACAAGCTGATGGATGCCCTCCCCTCGGGATGTAATAACATTCCCGAAGTAAAGATACTAATCAACCCAAGCTTTCACAAGCTTCTTTTTATAGGGTTCAAGCCAAGTCTCGATGATATAGCCCACTTCTCGAGCATGGGCTGGAATATAACGTTCTTTAAGCTGCTGAAGTTTCTCTTTAAATGTCTCCTCGGTTGAAGATGCCATAATTTCATGCCACTTCCCATAGAACTCCTTCCATTCTTATTGGCCTTGGGCGGCGTTGGTATCCTGTAAAAAGCTTGGAAGGCAGTAACGCAGAACTGCCTTGTTAGCATACCAAAGGCATAGAAGCGATACTGCAGTTAGGAAGCAGTGGGACACAGCATTCATACAGGCAAGGCAACAATCTGTGAGGATGACAGATGGCAGCCTTGCGCTGCATGTTTCATACATCGAGCACAGCCGATCCAATACCCAGATATAGTCTGTTTCCTCTTCGCCGCTGAGAAAGGCAAAGGCAATACAGAATAATCGTTGGCAAGCGTCAACGCCGACGATATCCAAAAGAGGCATATTATACTTGTTCGTCTTGTATATACAGTCCAAGATAAGTAGATCCGGGTATAACTGAAGATATGCCAATGACTCTAGGTGTGTAAATAATATAGCTATAACACAGCCATCCTTATTAAATCGGATTCGATTCCAGAACCCTTCTTCCTCGAGCTCGTTAGCAAGGGTATGTATAGTACTTTGACCTTTTTGCAGCTCTTATTTACCCTATGCAATATAGTTGTATATATCTTGCTAAGTTGTATTAGATTGTAAGTTCTTACGGATGTAAGATCTAATCTCTTTTAGTACTACTCGAGTATTCGCAAGGTTATTAACAGTTATGTCACGGCCCAGCCCAGAAGGCGGTCTAGGACGGCAGTACGTGGGACCCATAATATAGCCCTGACCAATGAGGACAGGATCGCGGGAGCAGGAGCGCTGCGCTCCTGGATCGAGCGCTCCGCCAATCATGCGATCCCCCTAGTATATAGTCAACTGAGAAGTGCACATCTAGTATGGGCAGCTACTCAGCTATCAATACAACTTGGTTACATTGAGTACCTTTGACTCTACCATTACCAGACGTGACAAGCTTGTTCAAGTTTGACCCGCCTGATCCATTGCCAACATAAACCCTAGCACGGATCACCCCCCTACCCTAGACTCACGAGCCTAGTGTGGAAGACCGATCGTCACAAAGCGGGGCCACTTTCAGGATACAAGTAAGTTGGTAAGCTCACTCAGCCTCGCCACTTCCAGGGCAGCTTGACAACGCGCTCTCTACAATGCTTCATCCGTCGGGCCTGAACGATGGCCTCCCGGCCGATGTCTTGCAGGAAATCTTTGCAATCTTGGTAGGCGACTCCAAGACTCTCGCTCGCGCCGGGCTCGTCTCCCGCTCATGGCGTGTCCTCTCGCTCCGCTTCTTGCTCAAGGATGTCGACCTCAGCAGTCACAATCTCGGTCGGCTTCCTGAGTACGAGGAACCGTCTTTCCCTCTTCAGCGCGGAATTGTCATGAGCGACTATTCGGACGAATACCGCCCTCGTAGCCTGGTGCCGCGTCAACGCGCCTTTCTTCATCTCTTGACCGACCGCCCCGAGCTCGCCATGCACGTCAAGGCCTTTACTTGGACTCTTGTTTGGATGGAATTTGATGAAGAGGCCCTCATTGACATTGACTTACAGACCTGGGACGTCTTTGGTCGCATGCAGAACGTCTCCCGACTGGACCTCGCGTCGCTCCACAACATCAGCGACCAGCCGTACATCCGCCAGAACCCTGCCAAACTCTTTCCAGGCGTTACTCAACTCCGCCTCGTTGGTTGGATGCCCCGCGGATTGGTCAAAGCCATAGTGACCTCACTCGATGCGAGCAAACTCTTCTGCGTCAAACTTGATCACTTGCAAGAAGAAGGTGCTCTGCCCAACGGTGAACCGATGCCGGAAGACTTGGCCAGTAGACACTTTCACGAGCCTGGCAATCCGTATGAGGACGAAGGCATTGACAACAAGCTGTGGGAGCGCCAAGAGGGAGGCGATGCAGGCATCTTCCCAGGGCCTTCATGGTTTCCCTTGCGCCTTCTCCGTCAACCATGCCTGGCTCCACTGGCCCATCTTCATATTAGACTGAGCCCTTTCACTGACAGGCTCGACCAACGCAACTACATTACCATGTTTCAGGAGACGGCTATGTTCATCCGAAGGTGAGCATGGAATCCAAATATGCTTCTTCATTCCTGGCAAGAGCCAGAGTGCTGCAGAAACAACCGGACATGATGGCTGACGCATCCATAGCGCGAAAGACACGTTGAAAACCATCTCCATCGGACTAGGAGAGAGTCCCACTCTCCACTGCGAAGACGAAGACCTGCTTAGCACGTGTGGCACATCTCGGATCCAACTCCACCATGTGTACCGCCCCTTGTGTTTTGATCTGACGTCGGCCTTCCTTCACCACTTGCTTGCAGCACTGACCGAAGAGCAATTCCCACATCTCACACGAGTCAACTTGGAGGGGTTTCGTATCATACGGAGCGGCACTTCACGACTGGCCAGGCCTCCGAATCCGGACCTGACGTGGCAATACATTCGTGACTGTCCCTTTGTCGACGAAAGATTTGTGGAGGCGGCCAACATCGACTTCCGTCAGCCGTTCCTTGGCTACGATTTTTATCTCTTGAATATGGACCAGAACGAGCTGGAAGAATTGGAAGAGATTCTAGAGACTAGTTGAGGCAAGCTTTTTTGTCACGGAGTTATAGTTTCTTTTGATGTTTACTTCGAAGTCCCGGCAGGTGACTCGATTGATGAGTTCATGGCCGTCACTTTGGGAATATGCACCTGTTTAATGTCGTACATGCTGAATAAAGAAGGCCCTAAAGATGGTCTGAATACTGTTGGACTAATGTGACCCATGCCCGGCCCGCTCCGTCAGACACCCCTTGAGTCCCAAATGCCTCGGTGGCTCCAAAACATTCTTATCATGGACCTCCGATACCACTTCAGACTCAAAGAGCAACTACAGCTTGTTCGGCTTGGCTTCCCCAGGAGGCCAGACATCGCTCCCGCATCCCTGATTGTTGTTGTTGAAATAGGCATATAGAGCAAGCCAGGTACTTTCACACAAACAAAAAACGTTAGTGACTATTTGCAGATGAAAGGGAGGCAACGACTCACTAGTTGTCTGGGTTGACTTTGATAGGTCCCCAGCCCGCGGCGCGGGCGTAGTCGGCGACCTTTAAGTAGCCAATGTGGTCTGGCGACCTGGCCGTGTGGCCGGGCATATTGCGAATCCACGGCAAGTGCATGTACTCGTGCAACAAGATGCGCTCGGCACAGTCAACCTTGTCCAGAGTGTGCTCGCCAGATCCGACGACGGCGTCAATGGTGGGGAACTCCAAGTTGTTGAAAAAAGCCGGACAGAAGGTGACACTGGACGACTTCTCGAAGCTGTACTTGGGCTCGATTGTTGGCCTGTAGTTAGGGTCATATGGCGGCGTGGCGATTGACTGGGCGACGCCATCGCCCGTTCTTAGGTCCAAGTGAGCTAACGATAGTAACGGAGAGAGGCAAGGGAGTGCGACTTACCCGCAGTAGGGCTGACCATCAATATCCTTAACCTCGTTTTTGGCGCTGCAGATGAATCGCAGAGCACCTGGTTTATTGCCGCCACGCTCGCCCGGTGACTTTTTGGCATTTGTTGTCACCAGGTCAAAGGTTTCTTTGATATACTGAATGCGGTTGTCCTGTCCGAGGAACATTTGTGCAAATGCGGGATCCTTCTCAAAGATGTACTTGCGGTTTGCCACATTTACCGAGGTACCAACCGCGTTTGGAAGACCGGCTTTGAGCTGGTCGAGGTGTTGGGACGTCCAGTCGCTCAGCTGGGTCATTTGTTCAAACGCTGTCACTATCTTTGCGCGCTGGTCCTTGTCAGAACAGCTCTCGTCCCAGTCGAACCAACGGTCATCAGCTGCTTGGGGGCCCACGCCGGACAAGACTCGCGACTTGGGTGTCTTGTCTCCGCTCGTGGGATCCTCGTAGTCAGGATCGTTGTCAGGATTTGTCAGAGTCTGGCCGGCTCGGCCGGCAAGACTCTTCTTGGGTCAGGGCAGGACATATCCCACGGCGAGTGACGCAGAAAGGAAAAGAAGAGTAGTAAGTTTCATGGTGGCTGTGATCGAACAGGGAGGATGGAGTGTAGGTGTCTGTATTGCCTATAGGAGCTTCCGCTTGGAACGAATGAGCGTGGCTCTTTATACCGAGCCTCCAAGTTGTCTCGTAGCAGAGTCCAGCACCAACGGCAAAATCAACCCAGGCACCCAGGAATAGACATGACGTGACAAGTTACCCATCCTCATCCTCCGTGCTGCAGTTGGACATGAGGCAGTGAGTGAGATAAACATCAGCTGAACGTGACATAGCCTGGTGGAATAATCCTTCAGTCAGCTACGACGTTATGTATGCTGGAAACTGTATATTTCGAAACCTAACCGGCCAGCTCGGGCGTAAAAGGGGTCAGTTGGACAATTAAACTGTACAACCAACTAGCCTCAGCCTGATGAGGATTCCATATGCGGCACTATTTCTCGATGCAATCCTACAGCGGCTGAGGTGGGGGCTGCGGGCTTATGAACAGCATCTCGTGGTATAAAAAGCGAGGGGCTGCTCTGCTGTGATTAGCCAGAGCCAGCACTTTGGGAGCAAGGCCGATGGCTGCGGCGATCTGCATCTGCGGTTACATGCACGTCGGTGGCGTGATGGCGTAGTTAGGCTTAGGCTTACAATTAAGCACTTTAACCAACAGTGAACGTCGCAATACGAGAACTTTTGCACCATGTTGGATGTTACAACAGCCCGCTGAGGCACTGGATGCAGTCATTGTTTGACATTGATCAACATGTCTCGGCTGCGCCGTGATGTCGTCCTCCGCGTAGACGCATCCTTCGATCCATCATTCCTCACCGCGAGGACCAACAGGCTGTGCCACAGGTCTCACGATAGCTGTGCAATTGTTCTAATTATAGTGGCAAAGATGAGGTAGCTGCGTCTCTTATAGCCTCATATGGCCATCCAATGCATATATAAACCTGCTTGACCATAACTACTAACACGAGTTCTCTACAACGACCAGCGAGACATCTTCAGACACATCTCCAGACTCGTCTCTACACCCATGTCCCTGCCTCCCACCATGCTCAACCAGAGATACATATCCGCAAGACGGCTCGCAGCCTATCTGCTCTTGTGGACTGGACCCTAGGTTGCTGCCAGACCAAACCCTCTGCATCAAAGGGATTCCGCATCAGAGACCGTGGCACCAGAGACCGTCGCGCCTGTTACTTCGATCGCCTCAGTTGACGGGAATCTCATCACCGCAATCTACACTCCCACATCCATATCCATCACAGGGCTTGTTCCCCCAATCACTGCTGCTACCACAGTGACCACGACCGACTCCGCCGGCGATATGGTTGCTATTGCCGTTGCAGCAGGCGCCGGAGTCGTTGCCGCCGGAGCCCTGGCCGGCTGGTTGTTCAAGCCTGTTGCAGGTGCACCACCAGCGCCGACTACGCCGCCTCCTTACTCAACATCGGCTCAAGATGAGGAGCCCCCAGTTACAGACCCTCCAGATGACCCAATCACTACAACAGAGGCGGCCGCTTGTCCCTTCCCAACCAAGGGTTCCGGCATTGCGTTCTCGCCGGCTGATGAGCAGCCGGCATGACGGCCGAGATCCCATCCCAGACTGGCAGCTCTTACACTGCAAAGTGCACCCCGTTGGGAGACAATGGCCAGCTTTTCAGAGGTATTGACCCTGGATTCATCAAGGAACTCTCGGTTGTCTTCTGCAAGAATGACCTGTCTAAGGACTTTACCCAATCGATTGGTAAAGACGACCTCCCCGACGACTCGTCTTGGAAGCGAGACGGTGGTCCCGAGGAGAAAGTAAAGTTCACCTTCGACTTCAAGAACCAGGCCGACGGATGCGCCGATTATTGCGAGAAAGCATATTCAAGCTTGGTCTCCAGCTGTAAGTTGACTCGGATCGACATAGGTGAAGCTCTTGATGATGGTGGCTGACTTTGACGCGCTAGGCCAGTACAATTCTCACTATCTCTACGGAGGCGGCAGTCTGGAACAAGGCTGTGGCACGTATGCGCTAGAGGTCGATGGAGAACCAATCACCAGGCTGACATGTACCGGCGACAATGGTGATCCTCTCCGGAACTACGTGTATCGAGACGCGGCGCTGGAAGCCATCGACAACTTCTGCACGGCCCAAGACGGAAAAGTTGTCAAGCAGAATGACGATTCCACATTCATCACGGAAACAACCTTCTCCATCAGCTATGCCAGTCCATGTGGCGGAAGCGGCGAGTACAAGGTGGAGAAGGATCTGTGTGTCAAGTACTTGAGACGAGCTGTAGACGACTGCGATACCAATACCATCGTGTATAAGCACGGCGGCGGCTTGGAAGACGAGGACAACTGCGGGCTCTTTGAGCTCCATCCAACGGGCTATGATCTAGTGTCCTGCTACCCCGACAACGCAGAGAAAGGCTACATCACGGCAGGCGATCACGCGTCTGTCACCAGTGACATGGCTCAGGACGCCATCAACGCCTTCTGTGACCGGTCCGGCGACGGACAGCAGTATACGCTGGATCCCACCGTGCAGCCCGACACCGGCAGCTTCATCCAGGACACGTGCAAGGAGGAAGGCATGGCCAGATGTGGCTACCAGTACCTCAACGACGGCACGCGGGTGAAGGATGGCGAATCGGGAGATATCTTCATCCGCCTCCAGGCTTTTCACTTTAATCCCAACGACGCACTGAAGTGCAACGCCGATCAAGCCTATGAGATCCACGGCGATAGGTGCGTCACGTTTCCGTAACTTTTGTCCTCGCGGACTGCTGCTAACAGACGACTACTTACAGGTGCAAGAAAATGCTGGGCAAGTTGATTGGCGATGGCTCAGTCAGTACGTGCGTCGGCGACGACAAGAACAAGCTGGACCTTGGCACCTTTATCGAAGTAGGAGACAAGGGGTGTGTGACGTGGAACATGTGGGCAATCAATATATAGCCGGGGCCTAACGATAACTCCCCCTGGCGGTCCTGCGGGAGGATCGGTAAGAGGTGGTAGTCTCACTATGTTCTCGTGGATAGTCTTTTAAGTTAACATGCGAACTGGCTATAAGAAGCCGGCTAGAAATCGAGTGTGTGAGTGTGACGGGATCCAGCCCTCGCCTGCCCGATTGATGCCGAGAATAGCGGTAAAATGCAACAGCGGGTTGTTATAGCTCTTGTGATTCAGCTTCTGCTTGAGTAAGCAGATGCAAAAGTCAAAGACGGCTTTATCAAGCTCCTTCCAGTCCGGGTTCTCCTCTTCTTCTAGTTCCTTTTCTACTATCTTCTTACCGTCCCTCTTAGTCGCTGCAGCTATAATATTCAACCTCTATATAACTTCGCCAAGAGTATTCTACTATATATTTATAAACCATATTTTATGCTCCTTCTTAACCTTCTTACGCCTAAGTGCCCGGACCCTAATATAATAGTATAGATAACGCTACAAGTATAAGTAATATTGGTCTGTTGTTTTTGAGTTCTCTTTCTTGCCGAATAGTTTACCGTTTGGCTTAGCTGGGTCGACGCTCGCGAGCCACTCGAGTATATCATCTGGCACCTTATCCAGCTGCTTTCGGCCTATACCCATAACTCGAGCAAAGCTTTCTAAGAGCTGCTGCAGCCGCCGGTTTGCCTTAGCCTCCTCCTCGCTCTATAGCTGCGCCTCGGCCGCCTTGAATACAGGTGGCTGCTCTGCCTTTAGAAGCATTGGCCGGGCCTTCTTGAGGAGGTGCGTAGACTATTTCATAAACCCAACCCATCTTGACTCCCTATCTATAGCTTTAACTGCTTCATCTTTGGCGAGCCTGCGGTACTCGTCTGCTTCCCTCTTGATCTCTGCCTTGTAACCCTGGACTATCTGCAATATCGCCCCGCAGCTGATGCCGTAGCCTTATTTTGTCAATTGGCTCTGTAGCGTCGATGCTGCCGTGCTGCCGCCGTTGCCGCTGTCAATATTTTTGCTGCTGCATCTAACTTAGTATAATATACCCAAGGTAAGAACGCGAATGGATAAAAGAAAGTGTATTTCTAGATGATACTTGTATGTTGAATACTTGTATCCCACCCAAAACTATCGGGAATCTACTGTTTCCCTATTTTCACAACCTCTCTTACTCCAACAGATAGCTGAAATGCTCACTGAAATTTAGCGCCGCAAGAAGTAACCCTCCAGATGCCCATTCTGCGGCTGCTCGGCATTTCTAAATCAAAATCGAGATGGCAGTCAAATCCGGCTGCAGGACCTTATACTCGATACTTCCCTCCGTCTGGATAGCCGAGACATACTCAAACGCCAGCTTGAGATCATTCAAGCGGCTGTAAAAGAGCCGGGCAGCCTCGGCAATATCGTGAGAGCAAAACTTATGCTCTTCCTCCTCCAACCGGTCCTTGTTGACGTTGTACAGCGACTGGGCGTACGTGATCAAGTTGTTTTGCTCAGCAACTTGGTAGCTGAGCAACTCGGGCAGTTGTGCGGCAAGCAGCCAGTCCTTCCACTTGCCCCCGTCAGTGCCGATGGGAAGGGCGGCGGTGAATTCCGTCTCGGTGTATGTCTGCAACGCCTTGAGGTCGTTGGGCAACGCGGTGCAGAGCGCTGGTGGCTTGGTGGCGACGAAGCTGTAGTAGTAGTCTTGTAGATAGTTGACCGCAGTATGCTGGGGCGACGCAATGTGAATACACATGGTGACGGCGTCAATCAGTTGGTCCACTGAGGTGATAGTGGGGAAGTTGTTAATTTGGCCCTCAGTGATGAGTTCGTTGCACCAATTCTTGATGACTCCATCATCTTGGACGTCCTGGTCGGACTTGTACTTGGTGGCAAGCACAGACTTGACAAAGTCGCGAATCACCTCCCAAAGATAGTAAATGTCGGTGGCGTAGGGGTAGTTGCAGTACTTGTTTCCCGTCTCCCCCTCGAGATCGAACCCTCGCTTCTTGAGATCGTTGGGGACGTACTTGTCCTGGAAGTTGAAGTTCTTGTACGACCATCGGAGGAGGCTCATGACGCGGCTTCCAGCGACATCCATGGAAGAAGGCCCCAGCCCAGAAATCCTGGCAATGACGCCTGGGACGAGGAGTTGGCGAGCAGCAAAGTTCAACGGAAGCGTCTTGAGCCAATGTGGGCTCAGAATCTCGTACAGCAGATGCTCCTCTGGGATGGTCCGGTGCGAACCGACAATGACGGCCTCCTCGATCAAGTGCGTGTCAACGAGATGGACTGCTATTTCGTGCCTGGCCCAGTCGGCCGTCTGAGCACACGTCTTGGCGTATCTCCATGGCCAGTCATTCTTTTCGTCAACCTTGGTATCATCCGGAGTCAATTTTTGGTTGAAGATGGTGATGGAGTTATCCAGAGAGCCCTTGTAGTCGAGCGTGATGGCCAACGGATGAAGCCGCCCATCAGAGTGAAGCTGGAAGATGACAATGGGCGCGCACGCATAGCGCATGGAAGAATTTCCAGTGGCAGTGACAGTGGGAGTGGGCCCAGAGCCCTGCGTCAGTTCAAAGATTTTGTTCGAGAAGACTTCGTTGCCGAGACCAGTAGCTTCACGGAAGTACGAGTAGTCCTGCATAAGCAGGTCTTGCCCCCCTGAGAGCAACGTCTTCATGTCACCAAGGCCCTGCTTGTCTGCTTCAGCCACGTAAGCCTTGACCTTGTCCGGTGAAGCCGTCTCAATGGTACACGGGTTGACGCCGCTGAGGTGTTGCTGAGCGAATCGGGCATCCGTATACCAGTCAGCCAGGTTGCCAATGTTTTTGCCCTTCATGATATCTGCATCCGTGTTTTGGATCTTTGCATTGTTGAATTTTTCGCAGTCGGCAAGTGTTGGCCCCGCGTATGGCGTGTCGCCGTCGTGGATGATGTCAGTCGGGACAACGAAAGAAAATGTACTTGCGATACACTTAATCTCGCCAGCTTGCTGCTGATTGAAGATTCCCTCTGTGTCAGGTGACGGAGTATCGGGCTTCAAATGCGGAGGAAATCCTTCATCAACGCTCCATTGATATATAGCTTGCTTCGCCTCAAGAGTTCTCCTCGTGGGTATGATGTTTTCAAAGGATTTCGAGTCATAGTGGGATGTACAGCTAACTACTTTTCAGCAAACACTCTGCACATGAGAGTATAAGGGGGCTGTGTGACTTACGCTTCTCTACGATCAAATGAGGCACGCCTTTAGCTCGTAGTGCGGCCTCATTCAATTTTTGGGTTACTGCCTGTTGCCGTATACCTAGACCTAATGCAATGCCCAAAAAGCCAAACTACTTAGACGTAGCTGAATGTCATTTCGGCCGAGATTACCAGACTATCTGACTCAAAGTCTCGGCTTCGCCGGCAGATTCAGCTCCCAATATGTTGATCCCATTGCGCCACCGAAAATAACACGGAATAATTCTTTCGCCCTTGCATCATTTGAACTCATGCTCGTTACGAAATAGATATTCATTGGCTAATTCGGCCTACACGACCGTGTCATAGCGTACCGCAAAAGGGCTGAACTATTTGACGTGGCCGTCTAAGATGCAGCGTAACTAAGGTTTCAATATACTACTTCTAGACCTGTGTCTGAGACTTACAGACGGACGGGAGGCCTCAGCATGCCGAGTGTGCGGGGGAATAAATGGATAAGAATGCTGAGGAGCGAATCGGGCATCACATTTGGTCATCACATGGTATGAGCCACGTCAGGTCCTTGCTCTTGAAAGCCACCTCAACAGTCTCAGTTCAGGACAGGTTGAAAATTTTGACGAGGTTGAGTGGATCGACCTAAGTAAGGCGAGACTAGTTTTGTTTGTATGGTGGGCTGACGAGTATTCGGCCGGCATCCTCCAGAGCAAGAGTTACAAAACCAACCAATAGTATGCCTTGCCGGCCCTTTGAAGTGAGCTACAAGACCGCTCACTCGGTCCCTTGCCGTAGACTATTGCGAATCATGTCTTTTTCGCCAAGACAAGTTCCACATACAGTCCACTGCATTAGCTATCAACCCCAGGCTATGGAGAATTCGCTTTACTAGTGGGCTTGTTGCGTTTTCAGCCAGCCCCAAGATGAAGAGTGGAGAAGCCAATGACGAAGTCTGCATTACAATCCCCTCCTCACCATGTCGTCAGCCGCTCCATCTAAACATTCCAGCTGGAGTCATGTGTGAGTTGGACTCTAAATCACCTCTCTATCTTCTTTCTACGTAATCCTTCACATCATTACCGCACACCGCCGGTGACAACTCCATTAATGTTCTAGACCTCACACGTTGCGCCCTTGCATTGTTATCGGCCCCACTTGAGTTCTGGGCCTGAACCCACAAACTCGCATGCCAAACTATTGCTTCACCAGACTTCTAGCTGCAGATTTGTCACCATGTTCTCTCCAATCGCTACGCTCTGTATGGTCAGCGATGATTGTGGGCTGATTGTTATGCTGCCACTTTTCTGTTCTTGACGCACTCACCCCGGACGCGAGACGGCTACCCTGTACCAGGCATGAACAAATCGGTGGACGAGGGTTGCGGGCAGTCCGGGAACAAGACTCTCTAGATGGCGAGCCACTGCTCCTGGAACGGTCCAGGCCTAGATTTGCGCCGGAGCTGCTTGTCCGGGTCGAGCTTCCAGATGGGACAGGCAAGGTATTTCGACCCCACGGGGCAGTTGGGCTGGTGTGCTTTAGGCCACTTGGGCTGCCGTTGATCGCGTCCATCCTCATTGTTGCCTCCATCACCAGAGTTCCCAGCGGTTTCCCGTGGGCGCTTCCGCCAGGGTTCTAACGTAGTCAGGCTCGAGGCGGTCGGAGACACGTTCGGTGCCCCTTGCATCGAGGAGCCGGTCGCTTTATCCCCTGCGCCAGCTCCGTTCTTTGTATTGGCCTCTGCATTAGCCTGCAGTGCTAAAACCAAGCGATGTAGAAGACGTTTGAAGAAGCGGAAGTCAATGCTGTTTTGCTCTAGATAATCCACGTCTTCGGAGTCACTAGGTATGGAAAGGATGTCATCGGTTAAAGGCGTGCCCACCAGGGATACGGTATGCGTGGAAATAGAATCGGCCTCTATAAATACGGCAGGGACGAGGAAGGAAGGGTTTTTCGAGGCGACAATTATTATCTATGATATCAGAAGAGGCTGACTTTCCATTGCAGACAATGTGCCGACCTGTCTCGAGATCGGCCTTGCTGATGGTGACAAGATTCACCCAGTTGGGACCGCGACCCAAAGAATTGCTTTGGCATAAGTTGATCCCGTTCCATCGTAGATCTCATACCAATAAAATACGATATAGAGCCTTTTAGCCATCTTTAAATGTATGCTGGACCCCTTCACAAAGTGGAATCCATCCGAGACTGTGGTACCAGAAGCCCCCGCGGCTTTCAGAAGCAGGCCAAATGGAAGTTCGAGTCCTGGGCAGGACTCGGGCCGACGTGCGGTTGCGAGGCCATACACGACCACCGGCATCGTTATATCTTCCAGTAGCTTGTGCCAGCTACGTTCCTGTTTGGAATGCGTAGCAGTGACGCCTTCTTCAATCACGTCAATTTCAAATGCAAGTACACGCGGGCTGTCGGTCGGCGGATACGGGGACTCCCCTGCGTCGTTTACTGGGTAATGCATCCTCTGCATGGGATCTGAAACGCTCGTCAGTCACACATGCGTCTTGGAGACGAAATCTGATGCGAGGGGAGCTTACCACGTTCAACAGGAGCCGAAGACATGTTTATCCAATGGGATTGCCTAGACCTAATGTCGCCATCGTTGAGTGCCTTTCCTCCGCAAAGACTTGCCCGTGATGAAATGCCGTCTCTGGAGATCTGTCCATATAGACTGAGGTCGAACATGGGAGTGGACTGGCTCGTAGACCTGCAGCTGGTGACAGAGTTGTTTCGAGGGGGGTGAATCGCAGAAACCAGCCAGGCCAGCTGCTCAGCACACTCCACGATTGAGTAAGCCCGCCCATCAACAGTTACAAAAACATGAGACCCATGGGTTTGTGCGGCACTACTGGTTGTATCGGAAAGCATGGCTTGGCAATCATCAGTAGTCGAAGTATCAAGCTGTGTACAGAAGTATTGGATCAACTTACCTCGAGGCTTGATTCTATCACTAAGTCCCAACACTTGTTGAAGGACTTCGAGGAGCGCTGTAACCGCAGAAGGCCACGTCTGGGCAAAGTATTCCCGGACTGTTATTGCTTGTGTCTCGTCCGACGAGCAGGTCACCGTAACTACATCTGATATCCTCTTTGGCGAAACTCATCTCGATTGAAGGACATCGTTTACGCGGTATATACGGTCCCTCAAGGGCGCCAACAAGAGACGGAACGTGCAGTGGTGCCTGGGCGGGACTATCCGCTTCCTGATTCTCCTCGAAGGAAGCTTGTCCAGAACCGTCTGACGGATGTCGTCAATTATAAGGCGTAATTCTCTTGCACCTCGTTGCAGTGAGCATTCTTTGTGGAGATTCGTAATCAACCAACTGTAGGTGGAGCTATCGAGTATAATCTTGTTGTACCTGGGGACCTCTTCCGGGGAAATGATTTCTTCCCCCTGGTCCTTTACTTAGTCAAATAGCTCACCGCTATCGTTCTCTGGAATATCCACTCTAGCATTGTTTTCCTACATGTTCATTTTGTCGAGGAGAGACATGCCATCTGGATCCACTTTACGGGCGTCTCCAGAAGCATCGTCGTGGGGATCAAGGAAGAGCTTTTCGATCTCCGTGGCAATTTATCTAGGCCGTTGGAGCATCCTCCTTACTTCCCTTGGGGTTATTCCTAACCATTTACAGAAAGCTTACCTGTGGTGCTTGTGGGTAAAGTACATGACGTCTCGGTCGAGTTGCGAGGGCTTCTCGCAGCCAATCTTGATCGCAAAGGCCTTGATGAGCTCAGAGAGCGACCCGCAAAGTTCCGGCCTGCCCCCAGAGTCTATGATGATGGAGATTATTTTGGATGTGGTGGGAAAGATCAGATATATAGTTCTGGGCTGTTGTTGAATCTGTGGGACAGGTACTTGGTCCCAATTGTGGATCTATTGCGGATTTTCTTTTTATATTGTTGAGCTTCTAGTCCCCCCTCCGCGTATGCGTGCTACTACAACCCCTGACCAGATGATGGTATAGTTCTGGGCATTGGCCTGGCTCACAGAAGTCGCCGCCGAGTACATAGTCCACGCATCTTCCTCATCCTCATCTTGCCGCATAGCTGAGACGAGCTCGCGGGGTTTCAACAGGGGATTCATATTTCCACCCGAGTTGTGCATGAGGCATATCTGGAGTCTGTATATGATGTTTCATACTCTAGACCTATGATTTGCAAGGGCCGTACTGGCGGTACTGGTAATAAAGGAAATAAATTGACCAACCCTCGCATACACACCAGCGAAACCGGGCTGGGCACACCCTTGACCCCAGGAAACTACTCCAACCACCTCTCCAGTCGCATCATCAACGATTGGGCCGCCGCTGTCGCCCTGGCAGGAGTCCTTGCCTCCTTCATCCAGACCAGCGCAAAACATGCCTTCAGTAATTGCGGCCTCACCATACTGTTCACGACACTCGGCACGTGAAACGACGGGCACAGTGACTTTCTGAAGAGCCTCGGACGAAGGCCCGCCTTGGGTCAAGGCACCCCTGTGTCGTCAGTTAGTTTTCTACTGCTCACGAAGACAAGACGACCTGAGTCTCCCAATCAACTTACCAGCCCGCAACCGTAAGGAGAGAGTCCGCGACGGGATCAGAGCCATTTTTGGCCAACGTAGCGTAACCAATCGTGTCACTGGCCTCGATTGGGCTCGCAAGACGCCAGATGGCAACATCGTTATCGACGGTCCCCGCGTTGTAGTCAGGATGGCTAACAATTGAGGAGACGCCGACTTGCTTGCCTCCTGTCGACCATTTCTGCAACCAAGTCAGTTCGAAACAGCTTTTGTGATGGGTACGAGAGGTACCGCAACAAGCTGAAATATCTCAGCCTGTAGGGGCGAAACAGCTTACGAGACTTCCTGCGCGAACTTGCACACTTGAGGGGTTCAACTGAGAGCAATGGGCTGCTGTCAAGATAGTGTTGGCGTCCAACAGACTGCCACCACACCAGCGACCGCCATTTCTCGCGATACTGACGATGTAAGGGAAATCGCCCAGCTGGGCTTCAGTGCCGCCGACAATTCCGGCCGGAACCTGAGGAAGCGGGGACCCCAAAGACAGGGCAGGCATTGCAAGGATAGCTGCGAGTGAAAGTTTAGATGCCATTGTTGAGAAATCTGTTTGGGAATAGAGGTGGGAGAACTTTTGAGAGTAGCTGACAACAAGAAAGAGGAAGACAAGAAGCTGAATGTTGACATATTATATATTCCTAGGGATAACTAGTAACTTATCTTGACAATCTATGACTGTCTACGACAATTCTGGTAGTTCTAGGTACCATGTCATGTTATCAGAGACGACTTTGGACATGTAACCTCACTGCAGGCTTGGCAAAATTGGGACATGCCTCCTTGGGATAAGTAAGCGCTCGTATTGGCGACGATCTCGAATAAAGTTTCTCAAAGGTCCAGCTATATTTTCCAATACGGGATAATGAACCCCATGTCCAAGTTAGTCTCTGGCAATCCCTGTCGATTATTTTCAAGGAGAATTTCACAGCGTACACTGCCGTGCTCCGCCAATATACGGGAAGAAAAATAAGCATAAACATGCACGAGGTGAATATGCCGCTATGAGCAATTCTCTATCAGCAAGTATTCAGTACTGCTAGACAAACGGTCCGCTACCTCCGGCGATCCTTTCTTCTTTTCCCGGGAAGTTGACTTATCCACTTGCAATGGTACGTCCGTCTACATGGACCTGCTGCATTTGGCTTCTAGCTTGCAGTAGGTCTAATGCTCGCAGCATTTCAATTAGTACGATAGAACGTCATGCCAGGGGGAGCTTCTGACATATCATCCATGAGCTTAACAGGATACTCCAAATGTCACATACTGCAGGCATTCATTCTCTCCTTCCCAATATGATACTGACCCGCCGGTACAAATCAGGAAAGTCAGAATAATACTCAACCCCCCACTTGATTCTTTGGGAATTGTAATCTTCACTTTAGCCGAAGATCAGCCTATGCCATCCGTGCTATCCGAAAGACGAGGCTGCTAAAATCAACATACCTGGCTTGTGCATTTCCGTGGGACATGGGGCGAAGTCTTGAATCAGTTTATCCAATAGCCAGCTGAAGACCGCCCCGGCTTTAGAATACCGGCTCAGACAGTAAAGAGACGCGCAGATGTCAGTCATATTTTCTACATTGGAAAACCGGTAGGAGAACAATTGATAATGTGGAACCAGGATCAGCTTAACGTCTATCTCTTCCTCTGTGCAGGTCAGATTTCGCGAGTTCCGGGGACTATCGTGTCGAGATGTCGTCACTTCTGAGCGAAGAATATCACGTAACACGTCACAGTTGAAAGTAGGCTCTTTATCATACAACTTATTTAGATGTCTCTTTGCCTCAGCATAAAATCCCGCTATATGGCTGACGAGTGAGTGAGATTATGCTTCCGGGATCCGCGAATCTGCATGTCTGGCAGATAAAGGTACCAAATTGGTAATAAGAAAACAAATAGACATATCGATAGCTAGGGGTACACCTTCTGTAGCCGGTTAACAGTAGCGCTTTAATCCTTGGTATAACCTTTAGGGGGAAAGAACTCCAGAAACACTAGTTTCTTAGGGAGTTTAAGCAGACAGCGGTGGGGCACCTGGATTAGCTCATCAATTCAAGAATGACAATGAGCTGTAACCAATCGGCTCGAAAGTTCACGAAGAGCTGGTATTCGGTTGTTTATTTCACGTCACAAGTTTAGTTCTGGACGGTTCTGTGTGTTCCGTTCTCAATTCGACTAGTGGACGCTTTTGTTAACGCCTAGACCCTTTGCATGTTATCACATCTCAATACAGTGCCGACGGTCAACTTGGTCGCGGTTTCTAAGTATTGAAAGAGTTTCCACAGGGACACACTCTTGCTTATTGTAGCGCATGCAGTGCGAATCCAAATTTACACGACGTACCTTTTGCCCCTCCAGTTTTGGCTTTTGTCTATAACTCTGTTATGCCCATCACTTCAAATGTACAACTGCTTTGTTGCTCCGCACGGTACAATCACACTTGCGCCGCGTAGTGGTTAGTGCTAGAACCCTTTCAGTACTTGGAAATGGCGATGTATTGGCAATCGGTACTGTGCCTTCTGCAGCCCCATCAATAGTTTCTTTCCTGTCCTGCTTCAGGCAAGCCAGCTTGCAAGTGGCGAGCTGTGACTTATCCATCTGTCGTCTAGGCCAGTCTACAAGAGTCAGATTATTCATATTGCAGTGTTGAGAGCATTAAGCTATTGGCTCATATGGATGTACTCGTCTGCAAGGGGCTGTAGATCCTTCCTTAATATGGTAGACCAAAGTACCGAGAATTCCCGAGCTGAAAATTCCCCTTGCAAGAAGCCCTTTGGCCTCTGGAAAGCAAATCTAGACGATTGTAATGCTTCCAGCAACTTCCATCACACGCTGGGCGCCGATCTCAAAAGCTCGAACTAGTTGTTCTCCATCATCTACCGTAGTCTCTCTAAAACAATGACACAGCTTAGCGTCGAGGCAGATCACAGGCTGTCGACTGAGCAGGCTGAAGTGATGCAGTTTGACGGCCTGTCACACGCCGAAAAACCGATACGTGGAGACATTAGAGTGCCGTTTTATTGAGAGAATATGGTACTTACGTCACCCGTAATATTGAACTCACATGTCACTCTGCTGCTTCCCGAACGTACAAATATATTAAGTCCTTTATTGCCCAGAATTCCACACTTCAATCACCCTGTTCTAGATAGTAGATCAATTCAGTCATCTTTTTCAAAATGTCAATCCCCCTCGACTTCATTCAAACTATTACAGTATCTGCCCTAGAGTACCCTCTCTATGACCACTTTTCCAATCCTACCAAATGCTACTTCGCGCTGGGCCCTGTTTCCATATGGGACGTCACAGACCTGGATGGCAAAGGTCGCCCAAAGTCATTTCCAGCAGCCCTCAACCTCAAGTCCACGTTTGAAGTTCAACTGTCCCCGGCAGGCATCGCGGCTTTACCAAACCTCACGCCGCCATATACGCTGACGGCAAAGCTCGACGCTTGGGACATTTTCAACTCCAAGGAAGTCGTTGACATAACCACGGGGCCAAAGAACCTTAGTTTGCTTCAACCAACGGTCAATGGGCAGCCCAAGTCACTCCCGTGGGCGCTCTATGGAGATGCGATATGGACGCTTAAAGGCTCCAAAAGCGACCAGCCTCAATACACATGCGAGACCACCATTGAAGTCTTCGTCTTGCCTACGAACTTGCCACCATTCTTCGATAGGTCTGGCATCCCTCTGGCTTTTCTCCGACTTAGCAACTATCTTCCCACATGGATGCAAACACCCGAGCAAGTTCCCGGAAAGACTGCTATAGATTGGCCGTCTTTTGCGGTCAATGCCGTGTTTTCAGATCCACGGCTGGAGTACGAGACTTGGAGTGGAGCCCGCAAATACTCCAGCTGGAGTCCAACGTCGAGCCCGCGCACCCCCTTTACGGCCAATGAAGGCATCGAATGCTGGTTTGATCTATGGCTGTCTGACCTTCAAGGTGTGACCAAGAAAGGCCTGAAACATGCCGTCAACTGCTACGGCCTAGCTGCTCTCTGTCAGGCTGTTGTGTCACTGGGTGTTGATTCAACCGTCAACTCTGTGCGCATGAAGTACATGAAGCCCTTTGGCTACATCAACCCCACACATCTGATTGGTAGGGTGGAAATTCCCCCAAATCCGAAGAATCCAGACGCCCAATGCAACAATCCCTTTTACGGCAATCCGGACTACAATCCTCCGATGCTCTGCGATTTTGACACTGCGGGACGTTCTGCTTTTGACAATCACATGTTTCTCACCATCAACAAAGGCACGTCGCCTTTCGTCTTAGACGCTTGCTGTGGACCTCAACTAGGGACAGTGCTGCTCATTGACTACCCGACCAGTGTCATCGGCTAGAGATCGACTATATACAAGAACAAATCACGTCCTGGTGCTCTGGGTGATATTGCAGATGGGGTTGGTGTCACTGACACTGTTAACTCCCGTTGTTTTGAACGCGTAGGCGCCCCAGATCCAAACTCGCCTGCGTTGATCGACAAGATGGCCTTGGACATGCAAAAGTACTGGTACCAACCATATCTCTCTGCGCCAGCCGGAAACTGGGAAGTTACTGCTACCTGGACTTACTTACCGTTTATTGACAAACAAGAAATTATTACTGCCAATGTCTTTACCTACTCATCATATTATGAGGTTAATGAGGCGTACGAAAAAAGAATTGCTGACATTCGTGGGTGGGTCGGGACGAACAATCTACAGGATGGTTTTAGTGACATGATGACTGAAAGCATCCGCATCTTCTGTGGCCCTCTTCGTCTCTACTTGGCTATAGTGGAGGCGAAACGCGGAAAATCGGATACGGCGGTTCAACTAAAGACCAAGTTGCAGTCCATTCTCAACAACAGCCTGTCGCAAAACCCGCAACCAACGAGTTACATCGCCAGCGTCGCGTGCCAGCCTCAAGCAGTTTGCCGAATAGGATACATTGCAACAGTGACTATCAAGGTGAATGTCTAATTGGAAAGCTCTCCAAGACTCCACTGACTTGTGGTCCAGAGTACCGCACCAGGCATCAAATACTGGAGAGGCTTCAACGTTCGGGTTTCTCGCGGGGTAAGCAATGTCGCTAATCAATAAAGATGTATTACATGTACTAACATGGGGGAATAAGTATCTCCTATTCTTGGACAGCGATCAGCAGGGTGATGTAACAACGTTTCGTTTTCTTGCAAGATCGAGTAGATTCGAGATAATAACACTTACAATACACGGTGGAAATTTGGAATCCGAGGCAACAGTACAGAACTTGTAGGTTGCATAATGGATATCAGTTGCGCATTGGGTGCAGCACAAACAATGGGGACATAGCTTCTTCATGAATTCACATAATTCCTTAGGGTTAGAATCTCAGCTAAGAAACCCAGGCATGCTACCTGACTTGAGCATAACGTCGTTGTCTAGGACGAGCCGAGTTTTCGGTCTGCGGGATCCTCGGAAGCACTCCTCGAGGGAGAATGCTACCAAGGGGTTGGGAGATGGTAGACCTGTGAGTGTAGGAAAGTAGCCAGCTCGCTTGTGGTTTGCGTTTCTGCGATTCACCGTTCCCATCACATATATATAACTCGCCGTGATGACATTTTTCCCTCTTTCGGCCTAGTTTGTCTCTTACTAAAGTTTAACATTAGGCCCGGAGCTCCCGTGGCGTATATCCTAGCTTAATTTCATTTTCTCCTCGGTTAGTGTGGGGAAACTCTTTAAGTGTCGGTCCACCAGGCCTCCTGACGCTGCGCAACCAGCTAATTTATAGATCCCTGGTCCACAGCCAAGCTGCTGGCTGTCAGGTCTCGATTCTTTCGTGCTCTTCTTGACTCGAGGACCCCGACCGGCTCGTGTCGTGTTACTACACACAGGACACGGGGAACGCATCACTTCAAGTCTAACCAATCCTTGCTAGCACCAACTTCGTGTTCGTTCTCGTTCCGTTCCGCCATCAAAAATCGATTTTCTTTTTGAGGCCTTCGTAAAACACCACACATAAGGCGGCACGGTTAGGATTTGGTGTATTCAAGGCTCTAAGTGAAAACCCTGCAGAGATCTTGCGAAGTCAGTAATACAGCCGTTCACCGACAATGTTGAGTTTGGAAGCATGTCCTTGAAACTAAGGGCATTTCAATGGGTGTGGGAGGAATATACACTCTATATTCCTCAGTAAAGGAAATGCCAAGTCCCACGTATTCTGATTATGCATTAATTGGCGTAAATACAAGCTTTCAGTAAAACAGACCCAGAAATATACTGTTTTTAATTTAAATATACATTCTTTTAATTCTATTTGGGAACATCTCATGTGGCGATACTGGGCTCGCATTCGGCGGCCTACCCTATACTATGTCTTTGAGAGGGTACCGTCGGTCTCTCCTAGTTTGTAGTCGAGGTGACAGTACTTCCTAATATTACATGTTAGATTTTGCAGACAAGATACCTCGTACTTCAATATCTCCTACGCAACCTGTATTTGTTATGGACATCGGTCAGATGCCTTAGAGCGACAAATTGGAGTGCGGCCGAAATTTCATCCACCATCTGATTATTGCTGAGATGATGGGCGGCTGCAAGGTGCCTAATCTTCTATCGATTTCTCTCGGCGTCTTATTGTACTTGCTAATGTGTCTTGATAATAACGCGCAAATGTGGCCAGTGAAGCATGTCAGACTCAGTCACCTGAGATTGAACAAAACTGGTCAACGGGAGCTACCTAGACTAGGGTTAGCGATATGGGTGGACTCCGCCTCGTGGGCTAGGCTGAAGGAGGAAAGAAAGCCATCGAGTGGAGCTAGGACAACACCTCGGGAGATCTATTAAACTTCAGTCAGAGACACACTAGGCTGAAATGGGGGAAAATGTCATCACAGCGAGTTATAAGTATATCTGTGACGGAAAAGGCGAATAGCAGGATATGAGATCATAATAATTGATTTTGTGTGTGAAGCATCATTCACGGCGTTAACTCATGGATTTACTCCTATTGCCGGGAAGGACTGTAGCTTAAAGTAAGACCGGGGCCGAGGTTGATGTGGCCCATGTGGGATGATGATGATGTCGTTCTGCGTGGAACATAAAGAATTAGGCAGTAAGCCCACCCGATATTGTGAAATTACTGCCCTCTTTTACTGCTACACTAATGTCTTCAACTCCTGCTTGACTTTCCAAAGAATCCCGACAACTTGCTTCATCATAGCCTCAAGTTCTTCCTCGACGAACTCTAGAGAGCGTATTAAGGCTACAGCTCGAGCGGCGAGCGGCTAGACCCAGATTATAAATCAATGGCCAACTGGGCTCGCTTAACTATCATGGGTAAATAAACCTAGATTGGTACCGCCGGTAAGAGCCGGTAGTTCAGGGGCCAAGTGGGATTTTATTGGGTATTGGCTTCTCAAAACCCGGCGCTTGCAATATGCTTGGGACTTGGCATCCGAAACATCCGACTTTAAGTCGTGTTGTACATCCCTTTCCATCTACAATATTAGTCATCCGGGTGTAAATCATGAACCGCGATGGGAATGGCAGCAGATCTGGTGCAGTAAGACGACTGGGGTCTAAGAGAGTCAAACTTAATGTAGGAGTTGAACCAGCTTTCCTAGAGTAATGTCCATCTTGTGGGCCTGGCTATTACCCCCTGCCAGATGTACTTAAAGGGACGTGTCCTCCATCTGTCTCGAGCTTTCACCCTTCATCACATCCATCTTTCAGCCCCAAGTGTTCCAACGATCTCTCTCTCTCCCTCAAATATATCCAACATCTGCACCGCTATATAATCATGCGGTTTGTAAGCCCCTGGGAGGCGGCTTCCAGGCTCGGTAGCATCCTGCTTATCGCCAGCACCGTCTCTGCACTGGTAACGACTGCCAGCTCGGTCGACACTTACGACTATGTGGTTGTCGGCTCCGGTCCTGGGGGTGGTCCATTGGCCGTCAATTTGGCCCGAGCTGGTTTCAGGACTCTCTTGCTCGAGGCTGGCGACGACGACAGTGCTGCTATGATCACGAACGCTATTGCGTTGACAAACACCGCAGATACCACTGCCCTGACTTGGACCTATTGGGTTCGTCATTACGACGATGTGGAATTGACGATAAAGTACCAACATCTTACCTGGAGGCTTCCAAACGGAAATTTGTGGGTTGGTCCAGGCAGCTCTGCACCTGCGGGAGCAGAGATTGTTGGTATCCAATATCCCCGTGGCGCTACACTCGGAGGATCGTCTATTGTCAACTCGGCTCTGACTGTCCTTCCCGCCAACAGCGACTGGGACTATATCAAAAACCTCACAGGCGATGACTCATGGAAGTAAGTTATCCCTAAACCCTTCTACTCTTACTATCCTGTGATTTTTATGGAAGTAAGCTGACGCAGCAAATCCCAGTGCTACTCATATGGGGGAACTGTTCATTAAATTAGAGAAGAATCAATACCGCCCACGTGGTACCCCAGGCCACGGCTTCGACGGATATCTTGAAACAGTTTTGGGTAACGGCACCGTCTTTCTCTCTTCACCTCAAGCAACTGAAGTTCTCAAGGCCATGGCCGCCGAGGCGGGCCAAGATCCCGAGGACCTGGCAAACATCCTGAATATTGACCCTAACCAAGTCTTGAACCCCGACCGAGACCAGATTACAGGACTAGTGGGAGCGCCTCAGCATGCCAATACCACCTGGGCTCGCTACAGCTCGAGGACACGAGTGCTCGATACCTTGCGCGCCGTTGACGAGAAAGGCAATAAGAAGTACCGTCTAGAGGTCCGCCTCAATTCATACGCTACCAAGGTCCTCTTTGACAAGCCTCAAGGGGGCTCAGTACCTCGCGCCATTGGTATCGACTACCTAGAAGGCAAAAGCAGCTTTCAGGGTGACCTCCGCTATAATTCAACTGTCAAGAAGACGTCACGCCGAGTCTATGCTCGAAAAGAGGTTATTCTCAGTGGTGGATCATTCGGTTCGCCTCAGCTGTTGTTACTCAGCGGCGTTGGACCAGCTGCAGACCTCAAGGCCCTGAAGATCCCGGTCGTCGCTGATCGACCAGGGGTTGGCCGTAACATGCAAGACCACAACGAAATTGCCGTTATTGGACACGGTGCCCAGGCCTTCGATTTCTCTGCTGCTCCTGGCGGTCCTCGCTCCCAGTGCACCTTTGGGGCTCCTGGCGACCCATGTCTTGCACTTTACCGTCAGGGCCAGGGACCATATGTTCAGCCTAGTCTCATGCAAATGGCCTTCCTCAAGACTAATCACACCACCAACGACGAGCGTGACATTGCCATCTTCCCGGGTTCTTTTGGATTCCGTGGCTTTTGGCCCCGGAACACCGGGCAATCGTGGGATGATCCCCCCACGACCTGGGGCATGCACAGCGTCCATATACATGGGAACAGTACGGCTGGATACCTCAAGCTTCGCTCGGCCGATCCGACCGTGACGCCTGAAATCAACTTTCGACACTTCAACGGCACAGGCGCTGCAGGCGACATAGCCGCCATCAAGGAGTTCCTCACTTGGGGTCGCCGGGCTTTCAACCGCGTCCAGGCGCCATTCGCTCCTTACAATATCTCTTGGCCACCTTGCGCAGGCACAGTTGGTGCCGATGGAAGCTGTTCTGTCGCTAACAATGACGAAGACTTCATACGCGAAAATATCTTCGGCCATCACGTCATTGGCACTTGTTCCATCGGCCCCAGCTCTGACCAAAACGCAGTCTTGGACTCCAAGTTCCGTGTACGTGGTGTTTCTGGCCTGCGAGTCGTGGATGCCAGTGCTTTCCCTAGGTCTCCTGGCGCTTTCCCGGTTATTGGGGTCTATATGTTGAGCGAGAAGGCTTCGGAAACCATCCTCTTGGGCCATTAGTCCTATCCAGTATCTTTCTTTCCTTCTATACCTGTCAATTAGTTGTAATAACGCCTCCCACTATAGAAATGGAAAAGGAGGCTGAGATGCCTGCAGAAATATGCCCCAGCCACCACCAGCTGAAAAGAAAATGCAAGTTGGCTTAAGTCTTGTGACTGATTTTTAACCGATGCTTATCGCTGCATGGACTAATTTAGCCTTGTCACTTTCTTATCTTGCCGAATTTGGAGCGGCTGACATATATCACCAATAGTTCAAGCCATGCCGTTTGTATTATTACAAATCTGGCTAGTAGACAACTGCACGTTGTTCAGGCGATAGCAGTTGTCACTTTGCATTTGCTGGTGGCTGTGCCTTTGGGCTGAAATCTCTGCTAAGGCTCAATTCTCTTCGTTCGAGATTAAGTATAGGATGCGGAATATAAGAGATGCCTGTCGCGGCGATGAGAACGACAATCTGACTTGGTCCCTCATCTTTCTCAGGCCAATCGCCCTTTGTTAAGATCTCAAATTCAGATTGACCCATACCCTCTTTCTCACTGAAATGCTGGATCTCTATCGTTGACTCGATCAAGCCTAACACTCCATTCACCAAAATGGCCTGCAATAATTATACCCACACTCCGCTGCCTCACTTCAGCGCCACCGCTCTTGTCGACTTGATCGGGAACCTCAGCGAGACCTGCCCCCATGATCTAGTGGATGGCATTGGGGTAAAGGAAACCGTTGCAAATGAGATATTCCAAGGCGAGAACTCCTTCTTTGCTAATTTTCTCGGTCGCTGGTCGCCCTATGCGGTGGCTGTCATTTTCAGCCGGCTGATCGATTTCAAACTGCCTCTATTGCAGCTGATTTCCGAGCTTCCCCGTCCCCAGCTCCTTACTGGGTGGTGGACGCAGGCTTTTACGGTATTGCATCTTATTGGGGACCCAATCGACTCGATGAGTAGTCATCTCTTCACTTTGGAGACCTGCATGGTTGTGCTCAAAAGAACGAAGGAAACCATGGTTGACAGGGAAAGGGCTGAAGCCGAAGCCGAGAATGTAGAGGCAGGGGAACTCGAGCAAAGGATCGAAAGGCGATGCAGACTCATCGCTTTGGTGTACCTGACATACGCTTCAAACGGCCATCCAAAAACTATTAAGAATTTGATAAGGTAACCCATCAGACTCTACTGTCTCGTGAGCAGATGGCCTAATACAAAATTGTCGCAGATTCGAAGCAGAAGATCCAGCTGGCTTCGAAGCCGCAGCCTTAGCTCTTGCTGCGGACCGTGGCTCCAACTTCTGGGCCTTGGGAGTAGCCATCTTCGGGTTTCTTATGGCCGTCGTGCTCAAGTATGTCTATATCGACGCCGACACTTTTGATGTGACCAACCCTCAGCACATAGACATCTGGAGTCTCTCCTCGTCGATGACTATGGTACATATTATCCCCAACGTCCTTCTTGCCTCTATCATCAGTGTACAGCAGTCACCTCACACGGCTAAGCGTTTCCTCGAGCAATTTGAAGAGGGCCTTCACGGTCGAAAGGCAGGCAATTATACAAACAATTTGCCAACCGACTGGGCTCGCTGGGATCTTGACAGCCAGATCAGCAACGGGGCGATTCCTAACTGGAGGCCGGATCGGCGACACCCAAACCTCTCGCGAGAACACAATGCCCCACCCACAAGCTGGCGACGGCTTCTCGACGTCGCGGCATTTCTCATCGTCACCATCGGGTCTGCTGGTGCCATATGGTTGGCTGCCGCGGTCCCCCCACAAGGAATCAACTGCCGCACAGTTATTAAGTTGATCATGGTGTCAATCTATGTGGTGAAATACGCGGTGCAGCTTCTTGTCAATCGACTGGGCGCTCCGTCGATCCCCATGAAAATGAAAATGTATATGACGGGAACGATGGATGCCTTGTCCGTGCTCTTATTCGCATTCATCATCTTCAGTACCCAGGCTGGGATTCTGAATCGCCCTGGGTGCTACCGGCAATGCAAGGATGACGGCGAATGCGGCGTCTATCCCGCCTCGGTCACCTGGGAGGTTGTTCAAAGGAGGCTTCATGGACTGTATCCGGGCATCTTATTTGGGTTTCTTGGGATGCAAATTCTCGTCTGTGCCGGTCTCTTAGACGTTTTCCGTGACGCTAGGAAGGTATTTCTACAGTCTGACGAACCCCTGACTGAAAGGGAGCGCGGAAGGCAAAGAGGCCAAAGAAGGGAGAACCAGAAAATACAACTCAGGCCTCTTATACGTGGAAGGACCAGCAGCATTTAGAGGGCTGTGAAACCACCGCAACGAGTGATGGCTGCGTTCATGTATTTTAGTCATTGTGTAAAGGGATTATCAAGAACAATTGACAAGTAGGTAGGAGAATTTCTCGGAAGAGCCGAGAGCAAGAAGCATCATATTTAAGCATAAATGCCTATCACAGACTTCCGCGGAAGAAAAGTGAACCTCCAGGGCGGTTGTACTGTTTGTGGAGTGTACCTAGTGGAGCTTGGAGAGAATCATGTGGGCTCAAGGGAAGTGACTGTTGGGTACATAGCGAGGTTAGTACATTCAATTCTTAACACCGGTACGGGTATCTTCGTTGTGTGACTCGGTGGAACCTGGATCGTCACAAGTCAACTGATCCATGGCATTCGTTGTGTGCACAGCCACACCCTTCACTGTCCCACATCAACTCGAATTCCTGTTCATCTCTCAAGTGGACTCATCAACAGTCAGAGGCGGCTTTCACATTTGCACTTTCTTTGAACACATTCATCCCTGTGTCTGGTAGTGGCAACGTGTCCCTTTCTATAGTAACCCACCATTTCAGCCTCAGCTAGCCGATGCTCTAGGCAAGCATACTTGAGACCAAGGCGTTCGATAACCCCGTCGCCAATTCCGCCTTGAATATGTCCAATGAGAGCATGTTGTAAAAGTGAAGTTGTTTCGGGAGATGCCTCTGCAGGTTTGCTTGAGGGTCGGGAAGATCGATTGTTTCGTATAGATGAGAGCATTAGGATATTACACATCTCCAAAGGAATCAATGCAACGTCTTATGACCTGGAGATATTTATCATGTGTGCTCGGAGAAACATAGGAAATTTGACGGCCACTTTGGGTTCCACGTTAAGTGCTTGATTACTTACCAGAAACCCCCTCTCGGACCGGCCCGGTCAATCCGGGCCCAAGCTATCATCAAGATCGTCATCATCACTTTGAACACTATTGCGCTGCTAAAACCGACCGCAACGGATCCCCCAGTCCGTTATTGGAACAACTCGTACTCACGGGACCAAACATCGTGGATGCCTCTCTGCTGGTCTATTGCCGGTCTCACGAGTGACTCTCATCCCCGAGTGACCTCCCGTCTCGAAAAGAAAAACGAGAAAGTTTAGCGAGGGGGTGTGTGCCCAAAAAAAACCCGGTGAGGCAAGTTCCGGGTGACGTTTTGACCCTGTTCGCAAACCTCTTACCGGGATAACAAACCTGCTCAGTGTTATTATTTTGTATGAAGCTCACTTCCGTGAGCCAGGCACCCTAGTAATCCATAAAAATGACATTGTGGGACTGCACTATTGGACATAACCCAGTACATTTATTCTACTAGCTCTATATTTCCCCAGTATCTTAATATTCACCATACAGCTCGATTTTGTCACAGATTCAACTTGCTGCTATGAAAAACAACTTATGGAAGAGCGTCCATCCTCAGCTTAGGACTCCAGAGACTGTTTCAAGGCGATATATGTCTCAAAGATGCATGGATATGGAATTTCATCAGTTGCCCGTCTTGTGGGATAAGCGACGTGGGGAATGAGTGAACTTTTACCCTCCTACCTATTACGTGGCAGCACTTTGACCAGTTTGGAAGGAGCTTTGATTAACTTTAAGCTTGAAAGTTCCTCTGGAGCTACACATGGACGGGTACTGCGATACTATTGGTGCTACTGGTCCTATGTATTCTGGAGTGGAATGTCAAGGTTCACGTTGCCAAGTGATGATTGCGAAAGTTCCCGACGAATTTCCATTTTTAGAAGGAGGCCTGGAAAGGATGTAACCTTAAATTGGCGACGACAAGGCTCATAGAGCCGGCATAGGGTAGTAGTGATGGACTTAACCGCCTTAAGTGCCTACCGTATTTGGCTAGAGTGTGTTATCAGTAAACTATACTTTTATCGGCCGGCGAGAAAACGAACTCAGCTTTGATTCGGAGAATATTACAGTTCTAAGCTTATATGAGATCGACAGCATCGCCGAATTCTTCGAGACGATCGGCCCATTGCCGATATGCCCTGCCCAATCAATCAACGTTTCATATTCGAGTTACTTTCAAGGATAGGTTCTAGATGTTACGTCGAACAGTGACTTGCCCTATTAGGCACCTTATCCGGTCGCACCTTAGCGAGTTTTTGCAGAAGTCCAAATGCGTAAAATCTAGCATCGGATTGAGGTGCTCCGACCACAATTTTATGGATTAAGTTGTGGATTGTTGAAGTACCTAACGGACCTTTGGTCCGCCTTCTTGATAGAGGGGCTGCCGCTCCCATCGGCTTCGGCGATACGAAGCATAAAGCGCGACCCCGATGTGTTTGGAAACTAAGTATCCCGTTGGGTCTCCACAGGCCTGCGTACCGCGGACATTGGCACACTGAGAGATTGCAATGGATTTGATGGCACATCATACAACATCTAGTAGTAGGTCTTATAGTAGGTCTTTTGACGACTGGATGTCACAGCGATTCTTATGGTGGCCTTGGCAAACCTCCTGCGTACCTCGTTGGAGTAATTTGTTACGACTCTGCTTTACCTAGTGTTCTAAAACTTCACCTATACATACATCTGCCGAACTGCTCCAGTTGATGGCTGAATAACATCGCGTACCATGCTAAGAATTTAAGGGTGCGGATCATCACTCGGACAGGGGCACTTGATAACAAAGATACCTCATTCGACATACAACTTCTTGAATCGGAGGAGCACTAGAAGGGCAGGTGGATAATGAGAAGAGTAGCTAAGGAGTATTCATTTACTATAAATCTCAGTGCCTACGACGCCATTCTGACTCGATCATCGCCTTCCCAAGCACCTCGTCAACCTCTCTCTACTAGCAAACACTCTCCAGCTCAGCAATCAAGATGCAACTGACACTCGCTCTCGTGGCCGCACTCGTGCCCTCCATGTCTATGGCAGCGGCCCTGCCTCAGACTCCAGATATCACTATGGAGGTTGGTATCGTCGGCGGAGAACTGGCCGCCGCCGGCGACTTCCCCTTCATCGTCAGTCTGTCGAGAAGCGGTGGTAGCCACTTCTGCGGTGGCACCCTTCTGAACGCCAATACTGTACTTACGGCGGCCCACTGCTCTGTGGGTCAGAGTGCCTCGAATGTCCAGGTTCGCGCAGGAAGCAAGGTAAGTTATTTATGCCTTTCTTTTGGTTTGAGAAACACGATTGCTTGTTCAGGGGTCTTTCGTGCTTCTTGGAAACTCAAGGACAAGGATAGCTTTAGACTAACAACTGCACAGAAGCGGAACAGTGGTGGCACAATCGTCGGGGTTTCTCGCATCACTGTTCACCCAAGCTATTCTTCTAGCACGTACAACAACGACGTCGCGATCTGGCGTCTGTCGACTTCAATCCCGACTAGCTCGACCATCTCGTACGCCTCTTTGGCTGCGTCGGGCTCCGACCCTGCTGCCGGCTCTTCGGCAACCGTGGCTGGCTGGTAAATATCCTCCTCCCCGTCGACTCGGGTTCACCCAAGATATCTTAGGGAAGTGCTAACCTCGAATATAGGGGTACTACCACGGACGGTGGATCAACCCTTCCCGTTGACCTGAGAAAGGTGACCGTCCCCATTATCTCTCGCGCGACCTGCCGGTCCCAGTACGGTACTTCTGCCATTACCACCAGCATGTTCTGTGCTGGCCTGACTGCAGGAGGTAAGGACTCATGCCAAGGAGACAGCGGCGGTCCCATCATTGCAGGCACCTCTGGAGCTCTCATCGGTGTCGTCTCATGGGGTGAGGGTTGTGCTCAGCCCAATCGCGCTGGAGTTTACGCTAGTGTTGGTAGCTTGTACTCTTTCATCAGCAGCAACATGTAGGGGTCTTATTGAAATGGGGGGGAGACGGGACACCAAACTGCCTTTCTTTATTGCTTTGGTACCAGGAAGCAAAGAAAAATGTCGTCGTCAACCAAATTCTTCTTCAAATTCGGCAACTCCCTAGCTCATGGGGGCGTCAAGAATTAAGCGGTTTTTGTTGGTCATCTAGGTAGTTATCTAGCCTTTGTCAAGTTCGCCAACAAAAATACACTTCTTAACCCAGCTCTTCACTTGCGAATTCCTGGTGTGTTACAGGGCCTGTTTCGATTTTCACCTCTACATTTCAACGGCTACACTACAGTGCCGCGTCTACAGGAGCCACTCCTTTGTGAGAACATAATTACACATGTTATCGAGGGGATTTGATATGTATGTGATCTTCTGACAACATAATGAGAAGGTAGAACCGAGCTCAGAAAATCCCATCTTTGCGGGCCACAAACCCAGCGCAGAATGGGCCACGGCACAGACAAAAAGGTCAATACTTCACCATGATATTCATTTCTGTACAAAGGTTTGGTGCAGATCTTCCTAATCTAAGTACAGAAATCTGTAGTGGTTTTTCTTACTTGTCTTCAACCACTTCCTTGACAATCACACCGTCCAAGTCCTGCAGCTTCTGGATGCCGCCTAAAGTGAGAGGGCTTGCCATGGTATTCGTCAGTCTCTGAGTGTATAGTACGAGGATCGAGGGTACTCACGGTGGATGCGAAGTTGGAGGCAGGGCTCGATCGCTAATCCAACTCTCTGAGCCGGTGTCTTCCTTCACAATACTGTTGTATTAATATGTCAGCGGGGACTCTGAATTTTCATTAAAAAGCAGCCTTACACAGTCACCGTATGGTTCAGCTTCTGCCATTCCTCTATCCCATCAAAGGTGTAGATGATTTTCTTCGGCCAGTTATTAAATGCGCAGGCGACACATCAGTTTCGGGGTATTCTTCATTATACCTTGCGGTCAGTCATAGTGGAAATAGGTAGCGTGGGAAATTGAAATGGGTTGAGGAGAGCGCCAGCCAAAATCGTTAAGCTTAAAATAGGTAAGGCATGCATGAAAGTCGGGAATGAGGGTTTGGTCTGGTGAAAAAGAGTTCCGTGGTGTGGGATTGAAAGAAGCTTAGTTAAAAGGTGGGCAAGGTTCTCGCTGGTGATTTATATACCTAGACCTACTCGAGACCAGCCCGAATCAGGAAGGTCGGGTTGGGCTGCCACTCAGCCAGGAAACTCTGTATTGCCTGATCACGGGGTTACAATAGGACTTCGGCTAATTAGTACACGCCTGACAAACAGTCATGTTCTCCCAAAGCAATTTCTAGCCGTGGGTTCTAATAATGTTCAGAAGACGAAAAGCGGGTTATTAAAAAAGGAATAACGTACATGATAAGCGAATGTCCCAGACAAGCGAATGTCCCAAAAATCCCTCAATCTCTCTTTCTTCTATTTGATCAATTAATTTACCACCACCAAACATGTCTCAATTTAATAAAGAGGCTAATATCCTTCTTGCTCTTCAAGCCCTTCAAAACAATCCATCATTAAGCATCCGACGCGCTGCATCAATCTACCATGTCTGCAATAAAAGGCTAGGGCGCCGCCAGAAAGGCATGCAGTCTCGACGCGATATTATCCCTAAGTCACGCAAGCTATCCGATCTAGAGGAACAGATTATTGTTCAATTCATTCTCGACCTAGATTCGCGAGGGTTTCCCCCGCGACTGCGTGGTGTTGAAGAAATGGCTAACCGACTGCTCGCTGACCGCGACGCGTTACCTGTCGGCAAGCGCTGGGCTTCTAACTTCGTCAGGCGACAACCAGAGCTCAAGACGCGTTTTTTTCGTAAATACAACTATCAGAGGGCCAAATGCGAAGATCCAACCATTATTCGCAATTGGTTCCGGCTTGTGGAGAATACAATTGCGAAATATGGTATCGACCTAGCCGATATCTACAACTTTGATGAGACCGGCTTTATGATGGGCATAATTGCAAGCGGAATGGTCGTTATAGGTGCAGATAGGCGTGGAAACCCGAAATCAGTGCAGCCTGGAAATTGGGAATGGGTTATAGTTATTTAGGCGATTAATGCGGAAGGCTGGGCGATCCAGCCGTTTATCGTGGTTGCGGGCCAATATCACCTCGCCAGCTGGTACCGGGAAAGCAACCTCCCGGGCGATTGGGCTATTGCGACGACTCAAAATGGCTGGACCGACAATGAGATAGGTCTTGAGTGGCTTAAGTACTTTGACCGGCACACAAAGAATCGATCGACCGGTTGCTATTGTCTTCTGATCCTTGATGGGCATGAAAGTCACTACTCAGTCAACTTTGAGAAATATTGTGAACAGAATGATATTATTATACTTTGTATGCTACCTCATTTGTCTCATCTACTTCAGCCTCTTGATGTTGGGTGCTTTGGGCTGCTTAAAAAAGCCTACGGTCAAGAAATTGAGCAGTTGATTAGATGCTCTATAACCCACGTTTCAAAGACTGAGTTCTTTCCGGCCTTTTATGCCGCCCACCAAGCCGCCATGACGGAGAGCAATATCAAAGGGGGTTTTCGAGGGGCTGGACTTGCTCCTTTAGACTTAGAAAATGTCATATCAAAGCTTGATGTGCAGCTACGGACTCCAACATCGGTTGAGGAGGAGGTCAGCCTCCCTGACCCTTGGGTCTTGAAGACCCCAAAGACAGTCCTTGAGGCCAGCTCGCAGTCCGAATACCTCAAAAGACGAGTTAGGAGGCATCAAAGCAGCTCTCCGACATCTATCCTTGAGGCGCTCGAGTCATTTTCTAAGGGAATAAAGGTAATAATGTATCAGATAGTATTATTGAAGTCTGAGAACCAGATCCTTTGACAGGCAAATGAGACCCTTAGTAAGCGGCGCAGAGCGAAAAGAACCCGCCTACAGAATAGAGGGAAGATGACTCTAGATGAGGGAAGGGATGAGATAGATCAGAGAGACGTTAATGCGCAGGTAGTGGCTGAATCATCGAGAAGTAGTGGTCGACGAAGGTCGGCGCCGCCGAGGGAAAGGCGCTGTGGAACATGTGGAAAGGCTGGTCATAATGCAAGGACCTGTCAGGCTATAATTGAGACCTCTGGAGAAGAGTATAGCGATTAGTTTTAATTGATTAATTATATTGTTGTGGTTTTATTGAGGTTTTAACTTTAGAGGTTAGGATTTTTGGGACATTTACTTGTTTGGGACATTCGCTTATCATGTACGTTAAATGAATCACTATTACACAAGTTATGTTGATAAGAGTGGCGAGAGTGCAAGATATTCTAAACTTATCAAGCCAATATAATACTGAGCGCGGTAGGCCATGCTCGTGTAGCCTCAGGCCCCCTTTTTTCTCAAGAGAGGTATTATGTAATCTGACACCCTGTGACTAGAGTCAGAGGATCGATCTATCAGAAGCTTCGTAATCCAGGGTTACAATCCAACACAGTAATACTATTGTGCCCCCTCCCTCGGGCTTGACGGGGTAAGGTGTAATACAAGGGCCGGCTCGGTCCGCCTTTATCTCGTGTCACATATCGTGTCACATATCATAATATAGCCAACTCGTGCCCCAATTGTAAGATAGCTTGTGCCACAGCATTGACATCAGCTGTCTTAATTGGCATCCGGTGGTCACCGTCCCACTCGATAAGCCGTGTTGTCCCCGGCTCGCAATATGTCTCTAGGAGACGACGATGGTGTTGCAGGCCAGGGTCCGTCATCCCATGGACGTGTATGGTAGGTACTTTTAGGACATGTTCGGTCCCGGAACCATCTGGCCAATCCCTGAACTCGACGCTTGCATGTGCGGCATCCCCAACATCCTGCGGCGCCATCAGCCGGTTATCTAACACTGACAAGGGTCCTCGTCCGGCAAATAGCACCGCAAACCGCCAACTCGCCACGACCGCCCTGCTTCGGAGTTTCTCTCGCAGAATTTGCTCCGTGTAAAGCAGGCTAGCGCTGATATTGGCCCCCTGGCTGAATCCCATCAGGCCCACCCATTCCCCCGTGGCGCCGAGTGCATTATCCTTCATCATGGCATTCCGCAGCTGGAGGTGGATTTCGTTAATTGCCGTCTTGGAATCGACAGGTTGGTGGGATGGGAGCCAACGAAGCCATCGGCGAAAGGGTCCATAAGTCCCATACACTGGGATGATGTCTGGGTGCGCGTCGCAGATGAAGGGTCCTTCCACAAAGACAAGACGGAAGTGTCCGGTCATGCGTCGAATTATGTTACGACATTGAAGCCGAAACACTGTCGCGTTCACGCCGCCGCCATGTAGACACAGGATCCGGGGGAGTGTGACTGTCGAGTCCAGGTCTTGTTGTGCCATGCTGACGGGTCCTGGTGATGCACTGAAAAGCAGTGTGCCAATCCTTTGAGATATAGGTGAGGCACCGTTGCATCCAGCAGATGGAAATGATGATACGTGTGGAAAGCTCTCTATATTCTTCCTATCTAATGAGGGTCTTTGGGTCAGTCTTATAGGCGAATGAAATGATGATGACCTCAGATGACCTCGGACAGCCGAGACGCTCCGGACGCTTTGGGGTCTTTGACTGGGGGTAGGGACGAGGCCGGTACCGAGGCCGGTGGCGATGGACACCTGGGATGATAGAAGGAAAGCTTGTGTGCCGCGACGACCGTTGAAATCCACCCTACCATATTCTGACCGGTGTCTCCTTTCGGCGTTGTTTTATCTTCAAGTGACGTTTCCGGAAAATAACCGTTGCACGATGGCCCTGTGTCCACCGCCGCGTGGTCAACGTCAACTACATGCCATTCGGCCCCTGTCTAGCGTGTGCTCAAATTTGTCTTGCTTATATTGTACGTAAGACTCCACTCCCTACAATGGGGCTGTGATGGCTGCAGCCGGTTAAGCAGGCCATGTTTGAGTCTTCCATAGGGCTTACCTCAAAAATAAAAACGGCAATGGATCGACGCTGTTTTCTCTTTCCCCGAAGAGGGGCACTCCACAGCGGAGGCACGCAGAAAGAGCCTTTGGATACTACTAGACGGGGGGGTCGTTGATTAGCAAAAGTGTTGTCAATTGGAAAAATAATGATACATACAGCCCCACCCAATTTACACGTAACCCTTGGTACCGTATTGGCAGATATATCCTCAATGAAGAGACCGAGGAGGGCGTCAGGTAGTTGTATATTAACAAAAGCAATTGCCGCAAATTCCAATGCTTATTCAAAGCACAAATAACTACAAGACTATTGATTAATGATAACTGGCATCTGCCTCCAAAGATATAGCTTTCTGTCCTGCTCACTGCCTCCCCTCCCGAACCCAATACCCCGTCATAATACACATCTGGAACAATACGAAGAGAGTCGTGCCATGATTAGGTAGTCACTGCTCCAGTCTCCTTCCAGCGTATCATCCTGAACCACCTGCGACTGCAACCTCCCAGTAAACCACCTCGGCCTGACCAAGGCAAATTGCGGTTCGGACGGCAAAGTACATGACTCCTTTGGGTTTGCCGCAGGATTGAGTATCAGGCAGCAATCGGCCAATGCATTTCGGCAATATTGTTTGAGAAAAATACCGCATCCTCCCGGTTTTATCCGCCCCAGCTGCTGACGGTAGACGAGCAACTGTTTTCGTATTGCGTGAGGCAAGACAGGAAGCTCGGCCGCTCCAACACCTGCAATGCAGCAGCATGTGTTTTCCCTTTGAGGTCGAATAGATAACGCAGATACTACGGTAGCAGGCATAAGTGCGGCAACGCCCCACGCCCCCCCGTACTCACTACGTAGTATGCCTGATAGTAGATCCTCCATCTCGTCAGCGCTAAGCGATCTGCATCTGCGCGGGAGCGGGCCGGTCTCCCCTAGTACGATTTGATGTTCGGTCTGCCGGACGACCGATACTTTTTGACCTCCCCACCCAACTGTCAGACCCTTACGGGCGCAGCGTCTCTGCAGCTCGTCGTATCTCCTGCTGAGGGGACCCAACACAAAGAGATGCAGGCGACCATCTGCCAAACTACTTAAGGCAAGATCGTGTTGTCTGGGCGCTTGGGACCAGGGAAAAGCAAGGGAAAGAGTTGAGGTACCGTCTGGGATGTCAGAGTCCCTCTTTTTCCATCAGCTCCATTCTATGTGGCTCTTCTAGCTCTATGTCTCGCCAGCTCTGTACCACAAATCCTATATACGCTGCCCAAACACTATTGATGGATGCCGCTGAGCGTCGAAGAATCCAAAACAGAGATGCTCAGCGCAGGTTCCGCAGTAAGTCACCCGCAACCATCTCTCATCTTCTAGTCCGTGGTTTATGTGCTGATAGAGCAATCGCCCAGGCAAGCAGTCGGCATCTGATGGTACAGGCGTCTTCCTACAAGCATTCGATACATCTATTACGTCAGTCACTAATCAAACTATGCCATAGGTGGAAAATCACAGCAACAAGCTCGACTCACATCGAAAGCCCAGGAGAAGCCGGGCTCTTCATCTGGCAGGAGCAGTCGTAGAGATAATAGAATCGACACCAGCTCTCAGTCGTCGTCAAGTTCGTCACATCTCCAGTCCAATCGTAACTCTACCCTAGTAGATGTCCTGAGTCAACTTCAAGATTCAGTAGTGGCTATGTCGCTTCCACTACAGTAGGGCCCCCAACGGTTGCAAGATGACAACGCACAAAGTCATGAACCTAATCATCCCAACAGATCAGATCTCACCATTGAGGACCTTGACATGCCACCTTCAACTAGCCACTTGCACGATGCAGCGCACTGGCTCAACGCTTTCCCCACAGATAGCCACAAGTTTCAGCAAGACAGCGTAGGCAATCTGAAATGGCATTTCCTTCGGTCAACCAAACCCATGACTGACTGTGCTTCGCAGCGAATCGAACAACCAGCACGATTGCAACAGCCCAGCAATGCTCGTGCTCTTCTCCCACCTGTAAGCTCAAATGAAGCATAGTGCACCCGCCCGAAATAGTCGACGACTGATGCCAAGCAACAGCCCCCACCCTCTCAACCGTCCTACTGGACTTCCCCCGAGACACCCCCACGCAACGGCCAGCCCTATGATGCTGCCGAGAGTGACCAGGTGCTAGAAAATGGCAACTACAGCACCGACATTGATGAACCAGAGACCTTCCAGACCGCCCTTCACATTGCGGCCGAGGGCGGCCACGATAACATGATCGATATGCTGCTCGCCGACGGAAGACTGGCTGTAGACGAGCGAGACAGCAACTCGGACACGGCACTACACGTCGCCGTAGCAGGCCAGAAGTTGATCGTCGTGCTCCGTCTACTGAGTTACGGCGCCAGTCCCAATGCTGAGAACGCAGCCGGCTGGACACCACTACACGTTGCCGTGCAGACGGGATCCGTCGATCTTGTCGAGGCACTCGTCACGCATGGGGGGGACTTGAGCAAGAAAACCCGGGGTAGAAAGGTGGTGGGACCATGACTGGACCCGATGATTTGGATTAACGACACACAAGCTTCGACTGGAGGGACAAGCTTGTGCTTGTGAACTAAAGAGGAGGCCTTCTAACTGGAAGGCTCGTCTCCCATTTAGTATCGCGACTTATTCCAGTGCTGCAGATCAGTCCTTAGCGAGAAGAAAATCACAGTGGGTTCACGGCGCGTCTCTTACATGGGGCACGACAAGATACAGGAGATAGAGAAAGGTGACGCTGTAACAGCAGGGATAGACACCCTAATGACGAAGACGAGAAAGAAGAATTCCCGTTTCTATGAAACCTATATCCACAAAAGCAACTCTTGCGTTAGGAATGCGGTAAATGTGCTTTCTTAGGCATGAGCCTACTTAGATATGCATTCAACCCAAGAGCGCCCTCCCGACACTTGACTTGCAAACTTTCAACTGCCCCATGCGCATGGAGAGAGTCTGACTCCACACTCCAAGTATTCTGCCCAAGTCATGAACTCCAGCCCTCTTTGTGCGTCCAGGTCGAGCTGAGGCGAGCCAAGTTTTCTATTGCTACCCCGGGATATTTACGCATCCCTCTTGACCCGGTGAAGCTTCACATAGAGCGGCTTCTTAAGGCCAACAATATATGTCTTCTGGTTCATCCAATCCATGCTCTCCTCGCAGACCTCCACATCATACGTCCAGAAGAACTTGGCTGCCAGAAGTCTCGCTTCGTGGTAGGCGAGGCTAAATAAACCAGTCAGTTCTGATGCATGCTAGATGTAGGGGAGGTGCGTGAGTTATTACTTCTTTCCAATGCAGTCTCGCGGACCAGCGGAGAAAGCCTGGACCGCCTCTAGACGGTCGTTGGCAAATTCTGTCGGGGGCGATGAAGCCCACCGCTCGGGGATGAACTCGTCGGGACGAGCAAAGTGCATCGGAGAATGATACGCGGCAGACTGCGCATAGTAGACTACGATCTGTCGGTACGTCAGTTAGAGGCTCTAGCGCGAGTACAGGAATGGTCCTACGTCAGGAGGAAGCTCGTGGCCGTCGAGGTTGCCTCCCTGTGGCCCGGTGCGGCGAGGAAGACCGCCGGGCACAGGGGGATAACAGCGGAGGCCTTCCTCGATGCAGCATTGCAGGTATTCCAGATGGGGCAAGGTGAGAGTGGTCATCTCTTCAGTCGAGCTGAACTTGCCCCGAACCTCGTCCGTGAGCTTCTTTAGCTTGTCCGGGTTTTGGCCCAGGAGGAAGGTCAGTGCCGTCATCAACGATGAAGTCGTCTCCGTGGCGGCTGTCAGGATGAGGAACGAATTCTGGCGCATTTCACCAAAGGTCAGACCCTCACCCTTATCCTCAGCCTGCAGAACAAGAGTCCACATATCCGGGTGGTCGGTGACGTTCTTCTCCAACCGCTTGTTGACACGGTCGTCGCAGAAGTCGGTATGCTCCATGCGCTTCTTGATCATGGACCTTGGAATAAACTGGGCAAAGATCTTGTCCATCATAGGGAAAGACCGAATAGCTCTCCGGAAAGCACTGAACTTGACGACGCCGGAGATGTTGGCTAGGAAGGGGTGGTATTCCATTCGCTCCAGGTGGTCAAGACCATCGCCAAAGACGAGATCGGCAGCAAAGTCAAAGGTGGCAAAGTTGAAGAACATGTGGATATCCACCTTGCCCTTGGAGTCGCAACATTCACCCGACTTCTCCACGAGGAGATCCGTATACTTCTTCAGAAGCGGCTCTTGCTCGCGAATGGCTCGGTCGCTGAAGGCTGGAGAGAAAATCTTTCGCATGCGGCGGTGAGATTCGTCATCGGCCGTCATGAGACCCTCAGTGCCGTCTCCTCGCTGGTTCTTCATGTAGTAGGCCTTGAAGTCTTTGGGGATTTGACGGGCGGCATTACGGTGTCCGTATACGTCCGTTGCGGCAGCCGGGTTGATAGTGCTTAACTCGCCCGGCGCGACACGCACATACTGACCATACTTCTGGTGGAGCTTGGCGTAGGTAGCAACCTCATCACCTTTTATGCGCTGGATGGTGATGGGAATCTGTGAGGCAGCGTAGTACCACGGGCCTGGGAACTTGGCAAGTGGATCAAAGTAGACTCGGTAGATGGCCGTAACCAGAAAGTAGCCAAATGTCTGTTCACGAAACACATTAGTCGGTAATTCTGAGAAATAGGTGCACAGGGTTTGCTTCTTACTACGTAGAGGATGGCAGGCCCCAGAAACGAAATCGAAATGATTGCCATGTTAGAAACCCTTTATTGCGGTATCAAATATATTGACAACACAAGCTCGATTTGCTCGGTTTAAGTAGTTAGGAACCGACTTTGGCGGAGTTATAGATGGCTTCTTCTCCGCCACCACTATAGCAGTGGTGGAACCTGCGGAGTTTATACAGCTACGTTGTGGGGTGTGTGTGTGTGTGTGTATTTTGGTGTCTTCGGGTTGTCCTGATAAGCGGTGCGACCATTCCTGTGGGGATATCGGGGGTGTTGCGCTACATAGTTACTACGTAGATGTAACAAATCTTTAAACGATACTCACGAGTGTACGATTTAACGATGATATCCTCCGTTCCTTCTCCGTCAGCGGATTAATGAACTGCAGCACAACTTTGTCGTGTTGTTTGTGTGCCGAGTGTTCACTTGGGGGGATTGGGAGTGAGAACCTCTCCCCTCCCTGGAGCCGATTCGTGTCGGTGCCACATAGTACGTTGTGAAGTAAACTCCGCAAAGGAGCTTGTGATAATGGGCCCCTGCAATCCATACACTGTAAACTACTACGTAGACACTGTACCGTGGTAATTCCACGTACGTGAATGGCCACCGCGTACCCACCATCTTTTAGGCGGCACATCATTACAATCCGACCCCTGTATGTGGGTTTGAGTCAGCAATGGACGAACATGCAGGGGTTGTATTGTATTGTACAGTGTGGACCATATGCAGTCAGCTTACCGTAATGCTTCTGCGCCATGCGCGATGCTGACAATACAATTTTGCAACAGCGAGGAAACACTAGGGTCAAGTGATTTCAGGGCCCATGATAGCCTCGCAGCACGAGCATTCCTACATTTCCACGATAGGAGCGAAAGACAGAGCACAGGCTTACCTAGTTGCGTGATTTTGGCGATACAGAATGCTGACCTTCGCAGACCTTCAGCTAAGCTTGGCTTCACGGAATGTGAAGGCTTACTATTGAAACCTCCAAGATCGGCATGCTGACGACTTTTGACATGATTGCATGAGGAAATGTAACAATTCTATGGCTATTGGTCATTTTGAGGATGCTTACTTTGATTTCTTATCGTGTCTCGTGACTGTTCCATGTCGCGAGACGGCGTTACGGATAGGAACTAGTCTGTCGACGTCTAGTTGACAATAAGGGTTGAAGAGAGGCTGATAAAATGCATCGAGAAAGAAGAAACAGTAGTCATTTAGTTTAGTATTGTCTCATTCATCTCATGATCTCGAACCTCAAGCGACTTGTCTCCTTTTTCTACCATTTCTCACAGTCACGCTGAAATGCCGTCCACCATGCCGAGTGAGCCTAGGGCTCCCATTGCCATTGTAGGCTTGGCATGTCGCTTTCCCGGCGATGCTACAGACCCATTGAAGTTCTGGGATATGCTCAAGAGCGGACGAGATGGCTACACACCAAAGACAAACCGATACAACGAAGATGCCTTCCACCACCCAGGATTCGACAACAAGCGCCAGAATGTCCTGCCCGTCAAGGGTGGATACATGCTCAAGCAGGACCCCTATGTATGGGATGCTGCCTTTTTCAACATCACAGCCGCCGAGGCCATCGCCTTCGACCCCAAGCAGCGTATCGCCATGGAGGTCACGTACGAGGCCCTCGAGAATGCCGGCATGCCCCTGCGCAAGGTGGCCGGCACGCAGACTGCCTGCTACATGGGCACCTCGATGAGTGATTATCGAGATTCCATTGTCCGAGATTTCGGCAACTACCCCAAGTACCATCTCCTTGGTACCAGCGACGAGATGATTTCAAATCGCATCTCCCATTTTCTCGATATCCACGGCCCTAGCGCTACTATTGAGACCGCCTGCTCATCCAGCCATGTGGCTACTCATCTTGCTTGTCAAAGCTTACAGTCTGGCGAGTCAGAGATGGCTATTGCCGGTGGTGTGGGCATGACTCTGGTCCCAGAAAGTACCATGCAGCTCAACAACCTGGGCTTCCTCAGCCCTCTGGGCCAGTCCCGAGCCTTTCCAAAGCAGGCGGGTATGCCCGTGGCGAAGGCTGCGGAGTGATTGTCATGAAGCGGCTAGACAAAGCCATTGCGGATGGTGACACGATCCGCGCCGTCATCCGCGGCTCTGGTGTCAACCAAGACGGTTGGACTCAGGGTGTCACGATGCCTTCAGGGGCAGCTCAGGCCGCCTTGATCAAGTACGTGTACGAGTCTAACAAGCTCGACTATGGCGCTACCCAGTATGTGGAAGCCCACGGTCCGGGCACCCAGGCTGGTGATCCTACAGAAACTGGTGCCATCTACCGCACCATCGGAGTGGAGGGACTCAAGACCAACCCGTCACGCAAGAAACTGTGGATCGGTAGCGTGAAGCCGAACATTGGCCATCTTGAGTCGGCCGCTGGTGTTGCCAGTCTAATCAAGGGCATCCTCGCTATGGAGCACGGGTTCATCCCACCCAACATCCATTTCGACGAGCCGAATCCAGCCATTAAGCTGGATGAATGGGGCCTGGCTGTGCCCACGAAGCTCACTCCCTGGCCTGCGTGCCAAACGCGACGAATGTCCAGCAGTGCCTTTGGCATGGGAGGCACCAACGCTCACATCGTTCTTGAGCGGCCCAACAACCTGCTCGAGAACGGCAACGCTGCAAATGGCGCCACTCCTAATCATGCCACGAGGCTCTTCACTTTCAGCAGCCACGACCAAGCTGGCTTCAAGCGTATCGGAAGCGCGCTGATCGAACACATCGACCGCCTCGGCCCGGCTGCCTCGACGCCAGAGTACTTGTCCAATCTCTCTCACACGCTCGCCGCTGGACGCTCGGGTCTATCATGGAAGGCCTCGTGCTTCGCCGACAGCGCGGCCGAGCTTCGGGAGCAGCTAAGCACGACATTGGGAGAGAACGCCACTCGTAGCCCCAGCAGCCAGGAGCCGCGCATTGGTTTCGTCTTCACTGGCCAGGGCGCCCAGTGGGCTCGTATGGGCCTGGAGCTGATGGAGCGTAAGGTCTTCGCAGACTCGGTGGCCAAGTCAGCCGAGCTGTTGCGCGAGTTCGGTGCGGATTGGGATCCCCTGACGGAGCTGTCCAAGGTTCAGTCGGAGTCTCGCGTCGGTGTTCCTGAGATCAGCCAGCCCATCTGCTCTGTACTGCAGATCGCTCTAGTTGACCTGCTCCGAAGCTGGGACATCACCCCCTCCAAGGTGGTGGGACACTCTAGTGGCGAGATTGGTGCTGCCTACTGCATGGGCGCACTCACTCATCGCGATGCCCTCATGGCAGCCTACTTCCGTGGCAAGGCGTCTGCTGGCCTCAAGGACCGCAAGGGAGGCATGATGGCAGTTGGTTCCTCGCCCAAGGAGATAAAGAAGCACATTGCGGATGCTGGAACCAACGTCACCGTCGCCTGTGTCAACTCTCCCTCGAGCATTACCCTCTCTGGCGATGTTGATGCCCTCGAGACTCTGCGAGCTCTGCTCGAGCAACGAGGCATCTTTGCCCGACGCCTCAAGGTTGACGTCGCCTATCACTCCTCACACATGCAAGCCTGCTCCAACGAGTACCGCACATCCATTCAGGAGCTCGATGGCCAGATGTCAGAGGAAGAGGCAGAGGAGCCCATCGTCATGGTATCCAGTGTCACTGGTAGCGAGGTTGATCCCGAAATGCTCGGCCCCTTCTACTGGGTGCGCAACCTGATCTCGCCGGTGCAATTCTCCGACGCTCTCAAGGAGCTTGTCGCTCCCGCTGGCGAGGAAAGCGAAACAGGCCCTGCTGTGGACATCCTTGTTGAGATCGGTCCCCATAGTGCGCTGGCTGGCCCTGTCGAGCAGATCCTCACCCACCATGGCATCAAGAATGTCGCCTACGCGTCTATGCTCACGCGTGGACAGAGTGCCGTCGATACCAGCATGAACCTTGCTGCCGAGCTCTTCCGCCGCGGCGTGTCCGTAAACGTGTCCAAGGTCAACGGCGACTCCCACACCCACCTACTGACCGATCTGCCACCGTACCAGTGGAACCACTCCGAGGTGTTCCGCGCCGACTCCCGTTTCCAGCGTCAGATTGTCTCTCAGAAGATGCCTGCCAAGAGCATCCTGGGCGCTGAGATGCCCAGTATGAGCGAGACAGAGCGCGTCTGGCGAGGCTTCATCCGTCTCGAGGAGGAACCGTGGCTGCGTGACCACACCGTCGGAACCACGGTTCTATTCCCAGGTGCTGGTGTTATCAGTGTCGTCCTCGAAGCTGCCCAGCAGATAGTCGAGGATGGGAAGAAGCCTCGCTCCTTCATGCTGCGTGACATTTCCTTCACTGCCATGATGGCCCTCACTGAAGGTGTGGCGACAGAAATCATCATTCACATCCAGCCTCACCTTGTTGGCACAACAGGATCTACTCGGGCCTCCTGGTTCGAGTTCACCGTCTCTTCGGCCACTGGTGTGACCGGTACCGTCCGGAACAACGCTCGTGGTCTTCTGTCCATCAACTACGAAGATTCTCGCAGTCCTCAGATGATCCGGGAAGACGCCAGCATCGAAAAGACTCGCGTGGAAGACTACCGCCGCATTCTCAGCGAGTGTCCCGACACATGCTCCAAGGAGAAGTTCTACGACACCATGGCCAAGTCGGCTCTTCAGTATGGAGACGTCTTCCGTGGCGTCGAGACGTGCCACCCCAGCAACGGCAAGACGGCCTTCGAGATTCAGATGACTGACATTGGCGAGACCTTCACCAAGGGTCGACTAGCACGGCCCTTCCTCATCCACGGTGCGGCCCTCGATGCCGTTCTCCAAGCCTGGCTGGGTAGCACCAGCGGCAGCAACGGTCCCGGGTCTTTCGGCTTTGACATGCCCATGCTTCCCAAAAGCATCGGAGAGCTGGAGATTTCCGTGGACATTCCCGCCGATATTGGGTACATGATGCCAGGGTACAGCCGCTCCAGCAAGTATGGCTTCAACGAGTGGTCGGCCAACATTACCATGCTCGACACGGAACTATCCCGCGTCTTCCTGTCCATCACCGACTTCCGCCTTGCGGAGCTTGACGTGGACGATGCCGCCAAGCCAACGCGCGAGGGAGAGGCTGTCGACGTCGACCCAGCGGAGATCGCCTCCGACGTTCAGTGGAACTACGCCCTCGACCTGATGAAGCCGAGCGAGGTCGGTGAGGTGATCTCCAAGGCTTCTGCCTCTACCCCTTACGATAGACTCGTTGAGGTAAGCCGTGTCTGATGTTGTCCTCGGGGCTCTAAATGTACGCAGTCTGTTAACGTCCATCATAGCTCGTCCGTATGAACATCCACAACCGCCCCGCAGCTGATGTTATTGAGCTTGTTGCCGCTTCCACGAAGCTTCCCAACGCAGTCATGTCGAAACTGCCCAAGGGCGTCATTAACCAGACCCAGATCCGATACGCCCTAGCCAACACCGCTGATGATGAGGGCCCCAAGGGCATTGACGAGGACATGCTGGCACAGTCGTTCCCTCTGGGACCTCTGGACGCCCCTCTGGCTGCTGACATTGCGCATGCGGACCTGATTGTCATTCCGTACCACACCATCGAGGATCTCAAGGCAGACACTGACAGCATCATGGAGCGTCTTATTAGCCTTGCCAAACCTGACTCGACCGTCCTTCTTGTCGACTCAGATGCCTCAAGCGTTGGCGGAAACAAGTTCACCTCTGTGCTGGCAGCCGAGGGCTTCGAACTCTCCATCTCGACCCCCGCTGGGGTTGGTTCGCTCACTCTTCGACAATTCAGTAATAATAAGAGTACCCAGACCGAGAGGCTGAACAACGGCTCCACCGGCAAGAAGGCCGTTATCCTGGCCCCGGCCAAGTCGTCCTCTGCGGCACAGAATTTTGCTCACGAGATCGAGGATCTCCTCAACGACCTTGGCTTCTCCACTTCAACAGAGGTCGGTGTTGGTGCCGGCATCGACGCCTCCACCACGTATGTGTCTCTGCTGGAGCTTGAGAAGCCACTGCTGGAGGACCTGTCTGAGGCCGAGTTTGACGGTGTCCGCACCTTGATGCTTAATTCAGAGCGCCTCCTCTGGGTCACCCAGGGAGCGAATCCATCCTTTGGGCTGATTGATGGCTTCGCTCGAGTCATCCGCAGCGAATATGCCAGCGCAAAAATCCAGGTCCTGCATCTCATGAGCCCGGGAACCGAGCATGGTCCCGCTCTGGCCTCGCGTATTCTCCTCTCACCTACCGAGGACAGCGAGTTCATGGAGATTGGTGGCCTTCTAAAGGTTTCTCGCATCCACAGGAACCTCAACGAGGATGATCACATTCGTCATCACCTGCTCGACTCGACTCGTGTGATGAGCCTGCCTACAGATCAGGACGCCCCTGCTCTGAAGCTGGCCGTCGGCAAACCCGGTCTGCTCAACACCCTACAGTTTGTACCTGATGAGGCTATGGAATCGACGCCTCTTGGCGATGACGAAGTTGAGCTGCAGGTGATGGCCTCGGGCATCAACTTCCGAGACATCATGGGCTCTATGGGTCTTCTCCCAGTGTCTGGCCTTGGTCAGGAGGCTAGTGGTATTGTCATTCGCACAGGCAGGTTAGGCGCAGCGAATCTCAGGCCCGGTGACCGCGTGAGCACCCTGACAGTCGGTGGTACTCATGCCACTAAGATCCGATGTCACTACCGCGTTGCGCAGAAGATCCCCGACAACCTCTCTTTCGACGAGGCCGCCGGTATCCCCGTCGTTCACTGCACGGCCTACTACGCCCTCGTCAAGCTCGCCAAGCTTCAGCGTGGCCAGTCTGTCCTCATCCACGCCGCTGTTGGTGGAACTGGACAGGCTGCCGTCCAGCTCGCCAAACACCTGGGCCTCACCGTCTACGCCACTGTGGGCACTGACGAGAAGCATCAGCTGCTGATGAAGCAGTATGGCATCCCAGAGGAGCACATCTTCAACTCTCGGGATAGCAGCTTCGTCAAGGGCATTGAGCGCATTACCAACGGCCGCGGTGTTGACTGCGTCCTTAACTCCTTGTCTGGTGAGCTCCTCAGACAATCATTTGGCTGCTTGGCAACATTTGGTACTTTCATCGAGATTGGACTTCGTGACATCACAGACAACATGCGCCTAGACATGCGTCCCTTCCGCAAGAGCACGACTTTCAGCTTCATCAATATGGTCACGTTTCTCCAGGAGAACCCGGATGCGATGGGAGAGATCCTGCAGGAGGTTTTCGACCTCCTCTCCCGGGGTATCCTGAAGCCGGCATACCCTGTGACCGTCTACCCTGTCGGCGAGGTTGAGGATGCTTTCCGCGTCATGCAACAAGGTAAGCATCTGGGCAAGATGATTCTGTCTTACACGCAGGATGGTGGCAAAGCGCCCATTCTGTGCAAAGCCAAGGATTCGCTCAAGCTCGATGCTGCTGCCACATACCTCATCATTGGTGGTCTCGGAGGCTTGGGTCGCAGTTTGGCGACCGAGTTCGTTGCCTCTGGAGCCCGCAACATTGCCTTCATGGCGCGCTCTGGTGACTCCAAGCCCGAGGCGAAAACCACCGTCCATCAGCTTGTCTCTCATGGTGCCAACGTCAAGGTGTACCGCGGCGATGTCTCTGATGATGCCTCATTCCTTGCCGCCATGAAGCAGTGCTCGGAGGAGCTGCCGCCTGTGAAGGGTGTCATCCAGATGGCCATGGTACTCCGTGACGTTGTATTCGAGAAGATGAAGTACGAGGAGTGGACTACTGGTCTACGCCCCAAGGTCCAGGGTACATGGAACCTGCACAATTACTTTAGCAGTGACCGCCCTCTCGACTTTATGATCTTCTGCTCGTCCATTGCTGGCGTCTTCGGTAACCCCAGTCAGGCCCAGTACGCTGCCGGCAATACTTTCCAGGACACGCTTGCCAACTGGCGCCGCCACCAAGGTCTCAAGGCTGTCTCGGTCAATCTAGGTATTATGCGCGACGTCGGCGTCATCGCCGAGGGAACTTCCAACTTCATGGCGGCCTGGGAGGAGGTCCTTGGTATCCGGGAGCCTGCCTTCCATGCCCTCATGAAGAGCCTCATCAATGGCCAGCGAGAGGACGCTCGTTCAGATTCCTGCCCAGCCCAGGTTGCCGTTGGTCTCGGCACGGGTGACATCCTTGCTAGCAATGGTCTCAAGAAGCCTGCGTATTTTGACGACCCACGCTTCGGGCCTCTGGCTGTCACTAGCACCTCGTCAAACGCAGCGGGAGGCGCCGGTGACGGCTCGTCCGTCTCACTGTCGTCCAAGCTGTCGGCAGCCAGTGTTCAGAATGACTCGGCCGGGGCTTCAGGCATCGTCAAGGACGCCCTGGTCAAGAAGGTTGCCGAGATTCTCCGCATCCCGCCTTCCGAGGTCGATGCCTCGCGACCCATGTATCGCTACGGCGTGGACTCGCTTGTAGCTCTCGAGGTGCGAAACTGGATCTCCAAGGAGATGAAAGCAAACATGCCGCTCCTGGAAATCCTGGCAGCTACGCCGATGGAGGCATTTGCGGTGCAGATTGCCAAGAAGAGCAAACTTCTCGAGGGCATGGAATTTTAGGTCAATGTCATGGGACACAAATTGGACATCGGAATGGATGCTTTTTTTTCCACATCTTTTCAATGGCTTCCAGCTGCTTTTACTCGAACGGTTATTTAGGTGCTTTGCTTGGTGCTCTATTGTAACTTGAATGTTAATAACCCGAATTCACATACTCCTAACTGTCTGGCGAGTTCACTTATTAACTTTGACAATCGAGTGTTCGCATGAACTATTCAAGTGCCTGTACTTCGCGCCTGTCTTGACGAACTGATTGGTACAAATGTCTTGGATCAAGGCTAGTATTGCCAATAGTCTGACAAGTGAGCAAGCACGCAGATCATTCCTTCTATCTAGATCAATATTGTCAAATAGAACTAGCGACTGCGTACCCTGTATTTGAAATCGTTGCTTGGGCTTTATAATGAATGATGCATGACTAGCTGTGTTATAACGAGTTCCCTTTTGTGTTACCATGGACGTTGATGTCCCCATCACGATTCTCCTGACCCCATACGCTCGTTTCCGCGTCTACACGCTTAGTTCCATCCCTGGTTCCCGCATATTATGTGTGCCTCACAGTTTGACTTGAAATTTGGGACTCGTTCGCAAGTACTCGCCGTACTTGATGAAGAGTGGTGGAATCGGCCACATGCCTAGCGCAACGAAGCCGAGCAGACTATTACCCCAGCCGAGACCGAGGCTATTAAAAAGCTGCAGGGCAAACAATGGGAACGTAGCACCAAAAACAGAGCGCAAGACGGTCGATGCGCCAAGAGCCGAAGCTGCGTAGATGGTATATGCATCCACAAGGTACAGGTTGACGTTGATGTTGATAATGCATACACCTGCACCGACAACGAGCGTCCCCAGGAGAGGCACGGCCCACTGGATATGCTTTTGCGCTGTCCATCCGTATATAAAGAGTCCAGAGGGAATCAGAATGCCACCCAGCATCATTATAGGGAGCCGATATTCAGGCTTCGGTTTACCGTTGTTGTGTTTCTCGGCCAGATTCCTCAGAATTCTGTCTCCCGTCGCCTGCTGGACCACGAGGCCAAGCATCATGCCGATGCCGAGAGCGATGTATACCAAGCCAGTAGTGCCCTGGCCGAAGCCATAGTGATCCTGGAAGACGAAACTGAAGGTGCTGAACATGAAGTAAATCATAGCGTAGATGAAGGCGGCATATACGCTAAGCAGGAGGCAGACTGGAGAGAAGATCAAGAGCTTTGAAGGACGCAAAATAGACCGGAGGAATAGCTGCCTCGGAGCGATGTTCGAGTCGAGCTTGGAGCGCAGCTGCGTGTTGCCGGTCTCCTTCTGGAGGCGTCTCGTCTTCCTCTTCAAAAGCGTCGGCGGGTGTGTTTCACGGAGAACGGCGAAGCCCATGATTGTTATTACACCGGCAGTTATCGTGAGGACCCAAAAGATCCAACGCCAGCCTTCAGCTTGGGCAAGGAAGCCTCCAGCAATTGGACCGATCGAAGGGCCCATAAGTGGTCCCAGGCTCCAAATGGACATGGCCGTTCCACGCTGTTGGATGGTCGTGAGATCGACAATACTGCCACCGCCAATTGTGATGGGACCAGCGCCAACCAGTCCTGCGAGGAAGCGAAAGGCAATAAGCATGTCCAAGCTAGTTGAGAGAGCACATCCGACCGTGAATATGATAAAGAGAACGTTTCCGACGTGGTAGATCATCACTCTTCCGTAAAGCTCGCTCATCGGTGCTAACGCAAGGGGTCCTCTGGTGCATTAGGAGCGACAGTTAGCAAACATTGCCATATTCCCCATGAACTTGTAACGTACACGGCCAAACCAAGGATGTACACAGACACCACAAAAGTAGCCAGGGACTCGCTATGTGTGTTGAAGTCCTCGAGGAGTTGGGGCACGCCAGGCGCAAACATGGTGGAAGCGAGCGGGACGTTGAATGTGATGATGGCGAGGACGACGATATTTCCCCATTTTTTCAACGGCGACCTGGCGAAAAAGATGTCAACAATGTGCTCCCAGATCCTCATCTCTTTAATACATACCAATTCTGAGGATTGGCTGGGTCGTCAGGCCCGTCCCAGTCGACGATGTTCGCGTCGGGCTCATCCGCGGTCTGAACGCCATTGGCTAGAGGAGCAGGGGTGACTTTGCCGGTACTACCTGTGTCCTCGTGGTGATCTGATGCCAAAGGACGTCGGTTGTTGATGCCTTTTGGGGCTCCTGGGTCGCTTTCCAGGTGCGCTTGATCGTTCTCCTGTCCATGGTGTTGGTGTTCCTCAAGCTCGTAGGTGTCGGATTTCCGCGATCTTGGGTCGGGGCTCTGCGATTCTTGCGTTGTTGCCATCTTTGACCAACTTCTCCCCTGTTGCAAGACGCGTAACGGAGGAAAGCTCTCACTGGTCGATGGCAATCGTTGTTGCTTGAACACTTGGCGTACCAGGCTGGTTGACTAAGCCTGCAGCTGAGACCTGATCCGTAAGACTTGATCCGTAAGCATCTTCCACATGTCAGTTGGCATCCTGTGATTTGACTCAGCAAGGTGTGAGGTGTGTCGGCCGCAATAAACGCCTGACAGAATTCCTGCCGAGTCAAGTCTCTGAGACAATCTGTGGCGTGCTCGCCTGATGTTACCGCAAGCTGATCGGCTCCGGCCCGTGTGAGCCGTCTGCAGGAATCACACCTTCGCGATAAGCGTGGTGTGGTGTTAACAACGCATCCCTACCATGCACCCACTTCGAAATTTGCCAATTTGCCGACTAAGTTAGCACTGTGGAAATTGCTCCCTTAATGTAAGGATCTGCAGTAAGCTGACTGCAGACGGGCCGGGCCGCTCTTAGAGCGATTCCCATCCCTCGTAATCATCTTGGCGTGATTTGCCAGAACAGGTGTTGCTGTAACAATCCATCCTTGCGATCTTGCGGAGTTCTCATGTGTGATGTCTGCAGCTGCGTCTGGAATCGGCCGGGGAGGGCGTGGAGGCAATTCTTGATGCGCCAATAGCGACTGGGCGATATGAACGTGCGGACATAGTATTCAATGTCGAGATTATGCGCACTTTGGCCCTCGACTAATCCAGGCCAGGCCGAAGATAATGTGAACGATGAATTCCCATGTGACGCAACGTGTTCCCAGACTGTTGCGAATTCACCGTATTTAGTATCAACATGCAATTATTGAAGCTCTCGTTAGCGCTACATCTCGTGATTAACTTGCCGCCATTGTTCGCCCACGTATGTATGTGTCTGTGTGTGTGTTTTCCGTCACGTAGCCGCAAGGCCACTTAGGTCTCATGAGGGAGCACAGGGCATGCTGAGGTAGGCTACTACCTGAGCGTAGACTTAATTCTCATATCCTAATCCGGTATCATGAAGGTTATTATCTTCAATTCTTCAGTCTGTTTCATTTAGTCCTTCAGATTTTGCTTGCACTGCCCTCCCAAGTGTACTGGGCATTGCGTCACGGCCACGGCTGTAAATACCAATGGGTACCCACGGGCGGGTTACCCGTGCAAGTTCTAGTGATTAAAGCCTATCACAACCGAGCAGATAAAGAATAAAATACATAGAATGAAAATAAAATAACATTTCAGCCGATATTTTCTAGATATCTTACGAGACATTCATTCCGAAATTTTGTTTTATTTTATATAATTTGAAATATAATTTTCAATTTTTATAAAATCCCACCTACCCTATAGTATATTAGTGGAAATAGGTTACCCAAAGGGGCTAAAAGAGGTCATCACCGTCAGGATACGAAAGGAATAGCTTGACTTAGTTGAATTGACTGAAATAAGTGAGGTTAGGAAGGAAAGCCCTAAAGGCTGCCTTCGAGGACCCTTGTGGTCACAGTGTAATCCCACAGTGTGTGGGATGACAGCACTGTGCCACAGGCCAAAGTGGACCCTGTCCTTCACAATATTCTATTTTTAGCTACCCACGGGTACCGCTGGGGAAAAATTAGCGCTTCTGGGTACCCGTAGGCGCCCATGAGTAGGGAACCAATTTTACGCCCTACGAGAGACCGTGTGTCGCTGGCTCGGGCCGGGATGTCAAGGCTCGAGAGCGCCAACAGCACCGCACTGGCTGCTATCGTTGCCTATGAAGGGTTGGCAAGAACTGGATTTTACAGGATAGAGTTGATTGTTTGCCCACTCAATAAAATTGACATTCGTTTATGGTAGGTGGGGAAAGAGAAAATGACTTCAAGAGCCGGGGTTGTGTCTGTCTATTGTGGTTGTCTCAAGCTTTTAAACACAACAATACCTGCGACTACCTGGTCGTTCGCAATATCCATGATTTAAACCCTGTTAAGGCCCAGATTGCCGCGCTCCAGGCGAGGCACCAGACCATCAATGACCGTACCCTCAAACTTGGTCGTGTCAGCGCTGGGCGCCGCTTGTTCAAGGATTTTGAAGCCGGTCAGGACACCCTCGTCAGGCATGGTCATCTCTGGCTGGAGCTTGCCATCACCGTTGGACTGGGCGGTATCATTATCATCCGTAGTAGGGAATGAGTTGAGCGCTTCGACAGCAAAGTCAATCGTCTTGGAGATGTCATCTGCCGAGAAGGGCTTGGTGATATTGGAGGAGCCAGAGCCCTGGATGACTAGATTACGGTTAGCTATGCGCACAAAGAATCCCCTTGAGGGGACGTACCTGGCTTGAGGAAGTTGAAGGCCTGGTCGAACCCAGCTTCGTCAATGTCACTCAAGACGGGGTTCTCCTGCATTCGTATCTGCTTCAGAGCAGCCAACACAACCAGCAAAAACAGATTGTAGCCCTCGTCTACCTTTTTGGCGTGAAACTTAGAAGCCTGATACTCGCTGCAGTCGCCGTTGATGGATGCCTTGATGGTCACTGCGGCCGCAAGTGCGCCAGTCAGCGCCAAATGTGCCCCGGACGAGAAGAACGGGTCAATAAAGCAGCCAGCATCACCTACGATGCGAAAGTTGGGTCCAGCGTACGCAGTAGCCGAGTACGAGTAGTCGGTAGCTTGCTTGATGTCGGTAACGAGCTCGGCAGGCTCAAGTAGTGACTGGATCGTGGGGCAGAGCTTGATGCACTCATTCATCATCTGTGAGTTGGTAGCGCCCTCACCAAGGCTCTTCTTCCTCTCCTCAAATATATCCTTGCGCAGGACAGCGCCCACTGAAACCGTGTCGTTATGCAGTGGAATCGTCCAGACCCAGCCGGTACCGTCTGTTCGGCGCAAGTTAGACCCTCCCCAGGAACCTCGAAGCAGGCCTAACGAAAGGGAGACTCACCTCGCATGCCCTCAAAGTAGGGCTGGTTCTCTCTCTTGGTGCCCTCAGCCCAGTGAGTCCAGCCCTTGTAGTAGCCCCAGATGGCGAGGTTCTTCAAGCCAGCGTTGAACTTGCGATTCTTGAGGTACTTGGTGGAGGTGATACCGGCTCGGCCGGTAGCGTCCACCAGATACTTGAACTTGATTGTGCCAGAGCTACCATCCTTGCCAGACCACTGGGCAGAAACCGGACGCCCGGGGTTGGCGACCTTTTCGCCCACGGGAAACTCACCCTCAAAGTCCTCGAAATTTACCGAATTGACCTTGATGCCGTTGAATGTCCTGGCACCGCTCTCTCCTGCGTGATTGAACATGAGCTCGTCCGCCTCGGATCGAATCACATTCCACGAATAGCCCTTCGGGCCGTGCACAGAGACAAAGTCGGTGTCTGTGCTAAAGTCAGCATACAGGGCTCAGTTTCACGGAATCGATTCTTCATGGCTTACATCCTTCACGCTTGGCCGTAAGCTTGAACGCGGCTCCGAGCTAATGATACGATCAAAAATCTGCACTTTGAGTTCCTTTTGCATGCGTCTTGACCGGTATCCTTACCTTCTTCTGGAAGCCATGCTTGTCAAAGGTGTCATCAAGATCAATGAAACGCAGCAAAGGCCTAATGGACGGGAGCATACTCTCGCCGATGTGATAACTACTGTTGTAAGCATGCAAGCCATGTGATGTTTTATCTCAGTGGGAGAGAGGATGTACCGAGGGTGCTTATCCGCCTCGAGCAGAACAACATCAACACCATCCCTCGCCAGAGCTGCGGCGGTATACGACCCACCTGGGCCACCTCCAGCAACCAGGACTGTGCAAGATTCGGGGACTGACATTGTGGTGGAACTGATAAGGGATTGGTACGATAGAGACTTTAACTAGAGTTAGACAGCTCATAGGTATCAGCAACGAACAGTACGCAGTGTGCAATATAACAAGTGAGCAGAAACACGCCTATCTGCGTGAGTATGCTCAGTGGTTTGATCTCCCGACGAGGTGGAACGACTTTAGGATTTACTCGGACTGTTTCGGCTACTGCTTGCAAACGACAGTCCGCAGGAATGGCCTTATCGCAGTAAGCGGCGCCCTACGCTCGAGTCAGCATTTCTGGAAGTAACGCATTGCCTCCCCTCTGAGTAGTCTTCCCTATACCTAGTCGGCGATTATCGAATCGTGGAGGTGGGGAAGTTCGGCATTGGGGTGGGATTGAGAAATTCCCGGCCACGCCCCGGGCCAAGTAAGCTGACTGCGTATGCGAGTTGCGAACGCGTCTCGATGCTGACATTACATCTCCACGGCCGTCAGCAACTCAAAATGCTTACAGATTACGGCTATACGCCTATGCATTCGAACGGTTGATCGACAGACCTGGAACGTCAACTAGCCATCGACGATCCCAGCATTGCTTACGCGGCTTTTCGCCCGGTGGCATTACGGTTGCGATTGTCAGCCCAACACGCGACAGGGGTGCTGGATGGATGAAATCGCCATGGGTTGTGATCCCGTGGTTTGAGGGTCATCGTTCCTATTAGCGGTCTCTGGGGAGAAGGTTGGCCAACTGGCTCGATCTGGAGCGTGATTCCTATTAAGAGAACATGCTCTGAATGTGAAGCGCCTACTGCTGAGGGGATTTGTAACTATTCCTGTTTTCGTCAGTCTCTAAACTACCGCCATCTCTAGACATCTCAGTTCAACCGTCCCTGCGCCTCGACGAGATGGTTTCGTGGTGAGAGAAGATTGCCCATCCGAATTCCATTCTAGCAGTAAAGACCCAGTGCTGGTTACTAGTCGACTCTGGCTTTTCTGCCCGGTCCTTGCTTGCATTCATTTTTTTCCATCCCCTGCGAGACAGAAACCCAAAATCAACATTCCATTTCACATTCATATGATATATCGTGTTTGAGGACGCCTTCAACGAAAATGTCGAGAGCAGCGCAACAAACGAAATCGGTCCTCCTCTTTGGGGACCAGACAGACTCATGGGGCGAGGGTCTTGACCAAGTCTACAAGCAGGCCGGCTCAATGCCATGGCTGCAGTTATTCCTGGACGAGTTGACCAGGGTAGTGAACGAGGAGACAAGAGCAGTAAGGCTTGATCCCGTGTTGCAAGAGAGCCTTGGTACTTTCTCGAGCCTATACGAGCTTGGTGAACGGTATCGGCACACGACAGACGAGCTGGGCATGGCACATTGCCTGCTCCTGCACACGGTCCGAGCCAGTAATCTCTTGCAGTGGGTGACACGAGACGCGAGCATTCTCGTGAATAGTGGACAAACGGAATGGCTCGGCATTTCAGGTGGCCTAATAAGTATGTCTGCATGGGCCATCTCTGCAGATTTCGACAACCTCCGCGCCGCCCTGCTCGAGATAGCCCGGCTCTTGGTGCGGCTGTGCAAGTTCACTTCTGTCAAGTCCAGGTCGGTAGAGGACCGTCCTGGTATCTGGGGCTGGGCTGTCGTTGGTGTTTCGCTAGAGGACCTCAGCAAGACATTGGAGCAATTCCAGCAAAGCGTCGGTATCCCACCCTTGAAGAGAGCAAAGCCTGGTGTCACCGGAGCCGGCTGGAGCACCATCATTGGGCCGCCCTCGGTTCTGGAGCAGTTTGTTAAGCAATGTCCCGCCATGAAGCGGGTCGCAAGCAACCCGCTCAAGATTCATGCTCTCCAACACACCATCGACCTCGCCCAAGCAGACATCGACTTCATTGTCGGCAACAACAGACAGCTCCTGGACAGACCGATCTGCGCCACAGGTCGTAACCTGTGGGGCATGGATGAGCCCGATGCTACGTATGCTAATTGGGGAGACATGCTCGGGGCCATTTGCTCGCAGGTCTTGTCCCGTGGTCTCGACATTACCAAGGCCATTGGCAAGATGAACGCTACCCTTGGTGGCGTCGAGTCGGTCAGGGTCATTGAGATGGGAGCTACCAGCCACACCTCGTACCTAGTTGGTACTCTGGAGAAGACAGTAAAAGTGGTGTCGCTCCAGGATGGAAAGACTCTGCTTCAGGCACAGGATGGACAGCCACCAGCCGCTCCCGCCGGCCGGATCGCCATTGTGGGCGTGTCGGGACGTGGTCCGATGTGTGACAACATTGACGAGTTCTGGAATGTGGTGATGAACAAGACAGACACCTGCACCCAAGTGCCCAAGGACCGCTTCGACATCGACGAGTTCTACTGCACAGAGCACGCTCGTGGAGGGAAGTGCACCATGACCACCAAGTACGGCTGCTTCATGGATAATCCCGGCCATTTCGACTCCCGGTTCTTCCACATATCCCCTCGGGAAGCTATGCTCATGGATCCATGCCACCGGCACTTCTTGATGAGCACCTATGAGGCGCTCGAAATGGCCGGCTATTCAGATGGCAAAACCAAGTCGACAGACCCCAACCGGATCGCCACGTTCTACGGCCAAGTCACTGACGACTGGCACGACCAGTCACATCCGACTCTCGGCTGTGATGCCTACACATTGCCTGGTGTACAGCGAGCGTTTGGTCCAGGCCGCGTCGCTTGGCAGTTCAACTGGGAGGGCCCGACGTACTCGCTCGATTCTGCCTGCGCCTCTGCGACCTCCTCTATCCACCTCGCCTGTATGAGTCTCCAGACTCGAGATATTGACATGGCTGTCGCCGGCGCCAGCAACATTCTCAACTACCCGCACTCGTTCGCTTGTCTCAGCAAATCCGGCGTGCTGTCGGACACAGGTAACTGCAAGACATACCGCGACGATGCCGACGGGTATTGCCGCGCTGACTTTGTTGGATCAGTGGTGCTGAAGCGCCTGGAGGATGCTGAAGCCGACAACGATAAGATCCTCGCCGTGATTGCAGGATCCGGACGAAACCACTCCGGTAACTCGCCATCCATCACCACGTCAGATGCGGGCGCTCAGGAACGCCTGTTCCGCAAGGTCATGCGCAACGCCCACGTCTCTGCCGATGAGATCTCGTACGTGGAGATGCATGGAACAGGCACCCAGGTTGGCGACCCGGCCGAGATGGGCGCCGTGGGCAACCTCCTCAAACACACACGGCGAGCTGACGGACCGATCCCCGTGGGTGGTGTCAAAGCCAACTTCGGCCATGGAGAAGCTGCTGCTGGCATGGCCTCGCTGATGAAGTGTATCAAGATGTTCGAGACGAACGTGATTCCTCCCCAGGCAGGCATGCCGCACGCCCTCAACCCCAAGTTCCCTCCGCTCGCCGACTTGAACGTCGAGATCCCCTCGGAGCCCAAGGAGTTCAAGCGCAAGGGCAACGCGCCCAGACGTATTCTGCTGAATAACTTTGATGCCGCTGGAGGCAATGCCTGTATGCTGCTCGAGGAGTACATGGGTAAGAGTGGTGCGGTTGAGGCCGAAACCACGGCGGATCCACGATCCAGCCATGTCGTTGCCCTCTCTGCTCGAACTCCTGCGGCTCACCTGGAAAACAAGCGTCAACTTCTCGCTTATTTGCGTGCCAACTCAAACGCCAAAATTGAGGACATCGCGTACACCACCACCGCTAGGAGGATGCACCATCCCAACCGATTTGCCTGTACGGCTCCAACCACCAGCGTCCTCATCAACAAGCTGGAGAACGACATCGCCGGCCAAGATTCTCTGTCGGCCACTCCCCCATCACATGTCGCGCCTATTGTCTTTGTCTTCACGGGACAGGGCTCTCACTACGCCGGGATGGGCAGCGAGTTGTACCGGACAAGTCCTGCGTTTCGCGAGTCCGTCGACCTCTGCGTGCGAATCGGAGAGCAGCACGGCTTCCCACCGTTCATCCATCTCATCACCAATAGCGAGATCGACATGGCGTCCAAGACCACGGCCCAGACCCAGCTGGCTGTGCTGACTCTGGAGATTGGCCTTGCTGCTTTCTGGAAGTCGGTTGGCGTGCAGCCGGTCATGGTTATGGGGCATTCGTTGGGCGAGTATGCCGCTCTGTATGTTGCAGGTGTTCTCTCCCTGGCGGACGTCATCTACCTAGTTGGCCAACGAGCTGCGCTTTTGCTTGAACGATGCGAGGCAAACACGTTTGCCATGCTCTCTGTGACCATCTCCGCTACCGAGGCTAAAGACTTCCTCGACTCTCGTCCGCAGTACTCATCCTGCAGCATCTCTTGTATCAACAGCACGACTGCTTCCGTCATTAGCGGCAGCACTGATGAGATCAACAAGCTTCAGTCCGAGTTGACTGCCCGCTCCAAGGCTCTCGCCGTCCCCTATGGCTTCCATTCTTTCCAGGTGGACCCCGTGCTGGCTGACTACAAAACTCTCGCCGAGGGTGTCACGTTTTTGTCGCCCAAGATCCCTGTGGCATCGACGTTGCTTGGATCCATTGTCGACGCCCAGGGCACTTTCAATGGCCAATACCTTGCTCAGCAGACGCGCCGACCCGTGGACTTTGTCGGAGCTCTGAACGCTATCAAGGGGAAGCTCGTCGACCCCATCTGGATCGAGCTGGGACCTAGCAGGGTCTGCACATCCTTTGTCAAGACTACCCTCTCGCCTGCAACGAACAAGGTCATGTCGACACTGGAGGGTTCCAGTGGTGCCACCGCCTGGACATCCATCTCCAAGTGCATGGCAGCAGCATACCTGCTGGGCGTCCACATCGACTGGCTCGCCTTCCACCGGCCGTACGAGAGACACCTGGAGATACTAAAGCTGCCGGCATACGCGTGGGACATGAAGGACTACTGGATCACATTCTCCGAAGCCAGGGACGGCGATCAAACGGCTGTAGCAGCGCCTGCCAGCACGGCTACTAGCCAGCAGATGATCTCAACCCTTGCGCAGTACCTTGTCCAAGAATCGTCGTCTGCTGGAAAGATTTCGGTGACGCTGCGTGCTTCCCTCGCCGAGCCGGGTCTGAGCGCCATCATCGACGGTCACCGAATGGAAAATCTTCCCATCTGCCCCGGAAGTGCGTTTTGCGAGGCTGCCTATGCAGCTGCGGCGTATGTACTCGAGGCCAACGGCAGGAAGGCAGATGCCAACGTCGCCAAGTTGTCGCTACGCAGCCCGCGAATGAACCGCCCCTTGACGAGGAACCTCGTCGGTGCTGATGGCGAGCTATTCACCACGGTGACCATGGAGAAGACTAGCAACGACATTCAGATATCGTGGAAGGCATCGTCGGCGTCCAAAGGTCCCACGTACGATCTTGGAAGTTGCTCGTTGATCGTCTGCCCTGATACCGAGGGTCTGCAGGCTACGTGGGACCGAACCTCATATTTCATCAAGGCTCGGATGGACGACATCATTCGGTCTGCGAAGGAGGGACGGGGCCACAGGTTCCAGCCTGACATCTTCTACGCTCTCTTCGCGCCCACCGTCAAGTATGACTCCGAGTTCAAGTCCCTTAGAGAAGCATTCATCTCCAGCGACTTCTCAGAGGCTGCGGCAGAGATTGTGCTAAAGGATCACCCTGCCAGCACCCGCTTTGTGGCGTCACCATACTGGGGCGAGAGCGTCACCCACCTGGCGGGCTTCGCAGTCAATGCGAACCCGGAGAACTTCAAGACAGCCGCCGGTTCGTGCTTCATCAACAGCGGCTTCGAGAGCTTCGAGCAGACGGTCCCCTTCGAGGCCGGAAAGGCTTACTTGACGTACGTCCGTGTCTCGGAGAAGGACAAGGAGAACAAAGTCTGCGACGTCTTCGTGTTCAACTCCAACAATCAGCTGGTTGCGCAGTGCTCGGGTCTCAACTTTCACATCATCAACAATGCGACGCTGCAGCAAGCTCTTGGCGGCAAGTTAAAGGCTCCCAAGCCTGGCACTCAGAGCCGGAGCATTGCCAAGGCGAGCCCACCAAAGGTCGCGGAGAAGGAGGCGACACCGGCTCTGAAGAAGGCCGCAAAGCCGCAGGAGAAGATCCAGCCCCGTGAGACTCCTACTCCCTCTTCTGGGGTGTTCAATATCATCCTCCAGACCATCGTCGCCGAGACGGGTGTCGATTTGGCGGAGCTGACCAACGACACCGCCTTGGCTGACATTGGCATCGACTCCATCATGTCTATCGAGATCGCCTCCAAGGTTTCTGAAGCCTCAGGTCTCGAGCTAGCGCCGTCGTTCCTGATCGAGAATGCTACCATCGGTGAGCTGCAACGTGAATTCGCCTTGACGCCGGCCTCGTCGCCCAGCCCCGAGTCGGACGCCGCGTTGGAGGAGAGCAGTTGGGGCAGCATCCCCGAGACATCTCTCAGCTTCCGCGAGGAGTCGGAGTTTGTGGATGTAGAACGCCCATCGGACGACTTCATTGGCACCGCAACCGCCAAAGCCAAGGAGGCACCTGTGAAAGAAGCGCCGCCGCCTGTCGAAGCCCAACTACGCCCTGAGGTCGACGACTCATCTCCGGCGCCCAGCGTGAGGCTCACACTGCTGCAGGGAGCAGGCCGTTCAAAGGGCGCCAAGTCGAAGCCTCCGCCACCCTTCTACATCATCGCCGACGGCACCGGCACCATCGCTACGTACCTTCACCTGCCTGCGTCTATCAAGACCAAGGTGGCCATCTACGGCATTGACTCGCCCTATCTGCACTGCCCAACCCGTTTGACTCCCGATGTGGGCATTCCAGGCGCTGCTAAGCTCATCGTCGAGGCGCTGGTCAAGAAGCAGCCCGAGGGCGTACCTTTCTGGATTGGAGGGTTCTCTGGCGGAGCCATGATGGCGTATGAGGTCTGTCGCCAGCTGTCTTTTGCTGGTCACATCATCGACGGCCTCCTGCTCATCGACATGTGTGCCCCGCGTCTCTCCAACGTGCCCAACGACGATGAGGTCGGTCTGGCCATGTTCGAAGCCATCTCTGGGCAAGACGACAGCGGTGTCTGGCAGGGCACTGAGAATACCCGCCTGCACCTCCAGGCGCTATTCGCTTCCGTCGCCGCCTACAACCCGCCGCCGCTGGACAGGGAAGAGCAATCGCCCGCCAAGCGAACGGCGCTCATCTGGGCGGAAAGGGGGATGATTGACCGTTGCACTCACAGTGCACGCTTCAATCAGCTGCTGAAGGAGCGTGGCATTGCGACTACGGCGTACCCGGGCTTTATGGAAGACCCCAAACTGGGCGCCGTGACATGGGGGCTGCCGCACAAGACGAGTGCCGATCTGGGCCCCAACGGTTGGGACAAGTTTGTAGATGGTGGAAAGCTCATCTGTATGTCCATTGAAGCGGATCACCTCCAGATGCCGACTCCGAGCCATGCACCGTTGCTGGGAGACCAGATGGATAAGGCTTTCGATTTCTTCAAGCAGGGTTAAATGAGATTACCACTAATAAACCAATCTAAGGGCCCTGGGACGGGGCCATCATTCTAGTCTCTGTTGCCCTTCTTTTCTCTTCAGCTTTCCTTCTCACAAGCTGAGTATGGTACGCTCGCTTCCAGAACTTTTTATGGATGTTGTCTCGTATGCTCTCATCCATATATCTGAGTCCTATTGGAAAGAATATTTGAACCATAGCAAGACCCGCTGTAGGAACCCATTTCTCCAGCTCCATCAACGCGCCATGCACTCCAACAGCGTGTATGATGCCATTCTTCTTTGGTATCGCATCCAGCCAATCGGGGGCACCGTCTTCCTTGGACATCGAATCTGTCCATTTCGGTGCCGTTGGTCTAAAGAAGCCTTCCGCCATGGCCTCTTCCGATTTGGATGATGATGAGATGACGTTGACGAGCTCGTCTAGGTCCCCTTTCATGTCCACGGAAGCATCACTGTCATCCTTGTAGTATTCGCGTACTCCAATTATGGTCGGGGCTCGCTCGAACTTGGTATAATGGAAGTTCGAAGCGCCAGGGCTTCGAGGGGTGCCAGCCGCAAACGCGTTTTGCACCATCCCTATGGCCCCTATCCCCACGAGGAACCACGAGTGCTCTTGGAGACCCGAAACGGTTACAAGAAGACAACACCATAGGGCCGTAAGCGCGGAAGTGACCCAACGAGTTTCTCGACGCGGGTTGACTGTGCCGGTTGCGAGAGCTTCCAGATCCCAGGAGTCTTGCGCGCCAATGAAGACCATGATGTGAAGGCCGCCGTTTCCACTGGTAAGAAATGTGACCTTGTCACGTCCTTGGTTAATTTGTTAACGTCACACTTATAAACAGATTGAATGGTGCTCTGTGGTGCATACCTAACGGTCTCGCGGCCCATTTTTCTTCGATCCACTGCGGCATTGCGCAAGTTATGGCAGCAAGCAGATTTCCACCAAGAGTAACAAACATGACGCCCCAGTCACCGTATAAAACCCAAGGTACAACAGAGATTAGCAGTTGCAAGAGAACAACGCTCCACCCAAGCCACCATACAAAGTCACAAGTCGGACGAGACGCAGGGCCGGGACCAAGCTTGAATATGTCAATCCTGATAGACTCAGCCCGGCCACCCTCTTCCTTCGGTCTGGGGTCAACCTCATGATTCGACTGGTAGTCTCGGAAGAGTCGGCCTAGTGCCCAAGAGCTGACTTGTTTGGCGAATGCGTTGGAACAATTGACGACCATTACTCGAGAGTTATTGTCCGGCATCAGTTTCATCTCGCCGACGGCGGAGAGGAGAATTGAAAACCCAAATGCTACCCACCCAAATGAGAATGCTACAGGCGCAGTAGATACGCCTGAAGACTTTGAAGACTGCCCCGGTAACCGCAGCTTGTATCCAATCAATTGGGCGATGGTTTTCTGCACCGTATCGCCCCCAATCAAGAGGATACGTTGATTTGATGCACATTGTTGATGAATGGTCCGAAGCTTTGTAATATTCATAACATTCTGCGAACATAGTTTCTGAAGATCGGAGATATCCGGAAAGAAGATGAATTTTGGCAATGTCGAATTTCAGTTCCCATTCTGCGGGACACATATCGATTTCGGGAAACGGCCGCTGTCCAAGGATGGCTTCTGCATGCGGTAGAATTGCTTTGCTCTGGAGAAAGGAATCGGATAGTGTGAAACGATATGTCCCATGGGCTCTCAAGTTTGTGAGTACAACAGAAATCGCGAGCTCGTGTAGACGTCGGCGATCGTTCATGTCTCCACTTGCATGATGAAGAGCAAATAGAGCCGTAAGACGATGAAGACAATATCCTTCAGTGTCCTGATATTTCCTGGAGATCAAACTGTGACGGAGCAGGACTCCTAACGCCTCGCGAAAGGCATGCTCATCTGCCACACCGAAAATTTCTCTTCCGCCGCTCAATAAGGTGTCAGGAATCCACCCAACACTGAGAAAAGACATGACGCGAAGCATATCCCATGACTTTTCGTTTTCCTAACAAATCTTTTCGAATGAGGCGTTCAAAATTTGTTCGAGGTGCTGCTGTGGAAGAGTATTTGAAATCCTCGTGGTTGGCGGACCGTTGCTGATTACAGTCACCGCAGAGGGTCCATACCGGATCTTCTTGAGGAGTGTATTAGCGGAGACTTGAGTATTTGAAATGTAGCCTGCAGCATGAATGATAGCGAGAGGCAGGTAGTCAAGTAGCTTGAGCAATTCTCGATCTGGGCCTCCTGCAACACTCGGCACCAATCGCCCGAACAACTCCTCAGCTTCGGGTTCTGACATTCCGTCAATCTCAACTATTTTGCCGAGACGTATGACTGGGCTGTTTTCGATGCGTTTGTCCCGGGAAGTGATGAGTATGATACCCCGGTGCATCGGGATGACATCTGGTGGTAGAGATTTCCATTCGTCAAGATTGTCGATGATCATTCTCCAATTTCCCGACTCCTCAGAATCCAACCAGTCCGTGAGGCTTCGACAGGCTCGATATTCATCCATTTGGTCCGAGGCAGCGCGAATTGAACAGGCGAGAGTGGAATAAGCATTCATGAAATTGGCCCCGTCGACCCAGAAAACGTGGTAGTCCCCACGCCATTTGTAAGCCAAATCTAGGGCAACCTCTGTCTTCCTGATGACAATGAACTAAGTTAGAATATCTCATCAACCGGACTTTGATTGGAAACACTGACCCGCAGCCACCCATTCCTACAAGTCCAATGCGCAAATTGTGCTCAGGATCTTCACGTTCAAGGAGTTTTTCAATCTTCCTGTGTATGGCAGGGCGATGAACGAAATCTGTGTTTTTCGCGTGCGGCAGTTTGTAGTCTTTGCAACTACCCATTAGCACACAGTGAATAGATGGGTAATAGACTCAGTGGTACTGCGTGCTCGTGTCAAACGAGTGCGTTGCGGACTACATACCAGCAATGTCCCAACCTGCAATATTCTTCTGTTGTCTAATGTAACGCTGGCTGCGAAGACGATTTCTGTCCATACTGTTTTCAAATTTGGTTCTTTCATCATTCGTGATGATTTCGATATTTTCTCGGTTGATTGCGGCTTCCGCTTCTAATCGCCGGCTGAAACTGGAGTACCATTCACTGTATTGCGTGATGTATTCGTGCTGATCATTGTGCTCTGATGAGTAAAGTCGGAGTACGAGTTTGAAGAAAAGCTTGCGCAGCGATTCCTCTCCTCCGGGAGACTTAGGCTGTATCACAAGCTGGGTGCCATGTAGGAAAAACAAATAGTCCATGCGATCATCTGTGAGGGTATCAAATGAGATGGGAATGATGCTAAGCTGTTTTCCAAGGGAACTCCTTATCTTAAGGAAGGCGATCTCGGTCAGCACATGGTGAAATTCGGCATGATTGCTCTGTTTGTCCACGAGGTTCTTCATGCGCAGCGGGAAGTCTGGTGTGCAATCCTCGTGGCAAGCCTCAACGGCACTGATGTATGTAGTAGCAAATTCGCTAGTACAGTATCCCCTAAGGACTTCAGAGCCACATACTATAACTCGGTCTACGGTGGCCATGGCCTTGATGGATATCTGAGGATTTCGGGACGGTAGGAGATAGAGCTGGTTCTCGACTATGTCGTGAACAGCAGTATTCCTTCCCGCCCGAGGCGTGGATGCTAGCACTGGTCTCCTGTCTGAAAAGAGAAGAGCCCCGCTGGATCCAAGCCACTGGATCAGGCGACGGACGTAGTGACTGTTGGCCCGTTCTTTATGTTCATTGTCATGCGCATATACAATGAAGATTGTTGGGCATAACGATGAGCTAAACGTCTCAGTATCGCAAAGCTTGTCTAGGATGCATTTGAATTGCTTATCCCGGGCTAAACCAGTCAGTTATACCATCAGGATGAGTTATATGGAGGCCCCTACCAGCATCTAGCTCAAGTGGTGCCACACTGGGGAGACAGGAGGACCCTGAAGTGCTGTCGTCATTGGCCATTTCCTCCTGAAAAACGGCCTAAATGCGCAATAGTAAAGCAAGAAAAGATATATCGGATGCGCTAGCGAGGTTTGTCAACAGGGAGCATGTGGTTCAGCACCTTGGGCAATGAAGTGATGAGGGAACTTGTGCCTTGAGGAACGGAGCGGGCTGAAAACATAAAATGGCTCACAGGGCTTACTTAATTAATCGGTGCCCGGCGACACCCGACGCAGTTAGATCAGTATTAATTTGCGAGGCCACGACCCCTGCAGAATAGTTTGTTGGTTGGGTTTGTTGGTTGGGAGAAGCACTTAGTGCGGACAGAGCCTGCAACATCGAGAGTCCGGGATACCCTACAGTGCAGGGCAAAAGGAGGTCTAGCAGTCAAGACCAGCAGAGGGAAATCAATAAGAAAGAAACGTCAAGTATCTGATTAAGTGCTTCTGACTAAAATAAGATAGGAAAGATCAATAAGGAAGAGATAAGAGCTGTTGCGACAGCTGGTCAAAGGGCAAATTAAGCGACCAAGATTGTCTCGAAAAATTCAAATTGAAAAAAGGAAAAAGCATGCCCTTTCTCATAGAGGCTGGGCTTCACCTTTAAGTAGTATCTAGTCAGGCAGGCTGGACCTACTGTCATTAAACTCCCGTGTGTCTGTCAGCACCATCACAACAGTAGTCTAAGTAACTATATAAGAGTTTGCAGAGGCTGACTAGAAATAATGAGTCGGGGTTTTCCGGTCTTTGGGGATAAAGGTCATCTGATCAGACCCTTGCAGCCACTAGGGCTAGGATTGACGGCTTCCTTTAACAGGAAATACCGTACCAGGTAAGGACCAGTGGCCTGACCTATTGGGACCAAAAATTAGGAAGGTCCCGTACAAGACCTGTTATTAAGAATCGCCCCTTTTAGCGTCTTATTCAATTGACAGTCTTTTGGCCCGTTCTTTTGAGACCTCACAGAGATCTATTTGACCAAATGGTATCAGCCGAGAAAGTTATTATTTTTGCTCAGTCAGGCTATATGTCCGGATTTTGATCTTGACCCATTCGGCCTGGTGTTTAACATGTGCTATGGCGCAGTACAGGCCGAAATTTCCACCACGGATGCACTTTTATACCCGTATTGGTAAGAATACGCCTGATGCTCTAGCATCCATCAAGCCGAATCAGTACCTAGGGCTGAAATCAAGCAGTACAGAGGCGCCCTTGTTGATGTTCCCTCAAAGCAAGAACACTGGCAAGTAGATTAACATCCTGGTTGCACTATGGCATTTCTGACTGGATCTCAAGGCACAAGTAGTGATGACACATTGCCTTACTCTGTTTGGAGACTCGAAATTGCTTAAGGACATAGTGTATGTATTGCCGGACCAACACGTAACAGCCTCACCGGTGACTAAACTGCCATGGCGTGCTACAGATCGGTCTAGATACTCAAATATGCATCAAATCAAAAGCCGCGGAGACTGGTGCCAATCTACAGTTGGCTGTGTACCGCAACGCCCAAGGCGTTTTCATGCCAACGATAATCAGTAACGAAGAACCGTGCTCCTGACGTCTCCAGCGGACGTCGGCCCGTACGAGCACTCGCGCAGACCGCTACATGTATGGAGACGAGGTCCGCTTGACATGGTCTTTTTTTGATCAGCCTGGTGGATTCCGGGACTATCTTGGCGATATCTACGGCCGGCGCAACCATCACAGACCCGCCGAGGGAACGCATGATAAACTCTGCTGCAAGGTGCCGTTTCCACGGTTCGAGGGCATGGACAAGGACTGCGTTGGTCTTGTCATGAGTACAGTGCTCACTGCAGACCCCATCATCGAAAGTCTCCCTGTTCGACCGCTCGCTGGTGAGCAGCCCAGTATGAAGCGGAGCTACCAGATGCAGGATTTGAGGTTTCGAATAGATCCGGTCAGTAACAAGGGCCGCGGAGATGCGGATGACTACATGAACATGGTTACGGATGGAAGCTCCCAGCATATCACGATGCAACTGGGCTGGGAAAAGTATAAGATTTCGAGCGACATGCGCATGGCTTTGGAATCAGGGGGCCCTGAAGCAGTTATTGCTCGCAATGCACTAGGACCGCTTGGCTATGCTGCAGGTGGCGTTTCTGGCCTGATTAAGAGAGTTTTAGATGTATAGAGTTCTTGACTTGAAATACACACCAATCTATTGAGAGAGACGGAAGCCTATTGATAGAGGATTTTCTATTATCAATAAGTCCCGAGTCCGGTTATCAGACTGGGGTATTGATGCAGTGCCCGGGCTATATCGCGCCTTTGCCCTCTCCGAGTCCATCCGGCGAATGTGGCTACTGTGCAGGATCGCCACCGGTGTTTATTATTGTTACAAAGGCGAATGGCCATCCACATTTTCGGGCGATGTCTACATCACCACCCGTGCAGCGCTATAGGACGCGCAACCTCACCTGCGCGCTGGAAGGCTCCAGTCCATCAACAAGACCCCTTGTTCATCTATAGTCTAGATAGCCAGTCGTCGGTCACGCGCGGCGTGACCGCCTCGTAGGTTGATGAGTTCGCACGCCATTTGTTCACAATCATATTGGGAATAGATAAGGTTGAGGATTAGGTCGTGCGGACTGAAGATGCCGTGTCGATCATGTATTGGAATACGTAGCGATGGTCAGATGTGATACGCTTGGCAGAACATAACAGCTCATCAGGTTCGAGACCTGCCATGGGCTAAGACTTGGCGGACACAAGAATTGAATCATCCAGAAGCCTGACAATGCCAAGCATCAAATTCCTCCATCGTAGAATTTGAAACTTCCCCCCTGGCTATAACCCATTGATCTCCGCAAGCTTTCCACTCACCTCCGCTAGCCTTCTATCAACTCCGCCGCTTGATTACCAAGCATATGAGTCAGATGCATCCTTGGTGCTGTCCGTTTTCTAGATATCAACGAAAAGGATAGTTCTTCTTCGGTCATAGATTTCCTCAGTCCTTGTGCCAACAGTCCAACTTTAAATCTCACCTGTGGCCGCATCTCGAGAACCATAAGCTGGAGCGGTTAAGCGATCGACACTGGGAATCCCAATCGTTTCTTTTCGCTAAAAACGCAGCGTGGCAGATCTTCCTTTAATAGGTCGACACAGCCATCGATCCCTCTGGTCGACCGGGGAATGCTTGTTTCGTTGGGAACCCTGAGATCGCCAACTGCGACTTCCCCCTTCTAGATCGCACGAGGACTTTGAAGACCTGGCTGTCATTGCGGAGGCTATCGAAATCAGTGACCACGTGAGAGGTATATGCAGGCCCGTTTAACATGTCTACTCCGGTTATTCAATGTTTGAGAGCTACAGGCGTTTTCCCTTCTGATGCTCACGAGATCCTCAAGATAGTGGCGTCAAGTGGCCAACGGAGAAGTTGGACCTGCTAGAGGCCGGCTTATTCTATACCCAGCAGAACGCAAAGGCATAGCCTGTTGATGAGCGACGACTTCTCTGCCGCCGCCGCCGACGCATGCGGGAGCTTCTACTCAGAAGGTCCTCAGACCTAGAAAGATGCGCACCTCATGACGCCGCTCAAGGTCCGTTCGGGAATTATGGGCTCTACCGCGGACAGTATACCGCTGGTCAGCAAGCTCCTAGAAACACTAACAGGGAAATCAAGCACCGAGGAATGGATCTCGGCGATTTCAGCGAACACAGGATGGACAAGTGCTGGCTCAGCGGCCAAGCGTTGGCAAGGATAGTGCCAGATAAGGTGGTATCCCGCACTCCCGAGAACATACCTGGTGGACGACGAAAGGCTGGCGTATTTCAGCCTGGACATAGCTTCCGAGACGTGGATGGATTGCATCGTGGCCGGGGGGAGCCAAGAGCCCAGGAGCAATGTGTAGTGCTTGTCCATGTTTGGACTCGCTTCTGGGTTTAATAACTTCAACGGCCGAGACACTAGAGTAAATCAAAGAACAAGATAGCGCTTGGCGTTTGACTGCAACTAACCAACGGGATAAATGAAGCCCGAAGCCCGATGATATCCACCGTGATCCCATTGATCTCCGCAATCCCTGCCCAAGCCTTCCACCCACCTCCGCTAGCCCCCCACCAACTCCACCACTCAATCACGAAGCATATAAGCCTTATATCCCTGGGTGGTCTATTTCTTTTCTTTTAGGATATTACGTCAAGGCAGTGACGGCAGTGTTTAATTATGGCGGTGGCGCACATTTTAGTCATCGGAGCTACTGGTGAGTTCTTGATTTTCTGCAATTTTCGCGTTGACATTTGTATCAATAACGATATCTAGGCCCATCAGGGTTGCAATTCTGTTCCGCCGCCCTTAAGGAGGGACACCGATTAACACTCTACATACGGAATCCTTCCAAGCTACCTCCTGGTATTAGCAACAATGCAAATGTGACCGTCGTTCAAGGCGCCCTCGACGATGAATCCGGCTTACGACGGGCCATTTCATCTGGAGCCAAGATTTTTGTCTCGTTTGCAGGACCCGTTGCGAACTCGAAAGGCACAGTGCGTTATCCCGGATGAGTTATCTAGGCATCCGTCACACTCCTTCCTACCGAACTTATGAAATCGAATTAACAGTCCATACAGCCCGTCACGGATGCAATGAAATTGATATTCCCACTCCTGATCGCTAACCAGTTCGAAAGAGCTTTGGTGCTCGGCACGTGTTCATTCACAGCGCCAGGCGACAAAGGCGCTTTGAAGTGGAAACTGTCGATTGTTCTCATCAAGATCATCGGAGGGTCCGCCTATGACGAGTTTACGGGATTGGGCAGCTTTGTTACATCTCAAGAGATCTCACAGTTGAAATGGACCCTCTTCCGGGTCCCTTTTCTTGGGAACGGTGTTGAGGCACCAGTGACTGCCACGTTCACGGGGTCCGGCAAGGATGGGATGTTTCTATCCAGAAAAAGCATGGCAGCATGGGTTTTGAAGGAAATGAATAATACGTCTGATTGGATTGGCAAGGCGCCAGTGCTATCGAATTAGGCCATATGGCCAACGTCTGTAAGATGTACGGGAGCATGTTGCAACTTGGGTAAATAATGAACTGAAGGAAACTTTGTTTAACCACGAGGTGTCTCTTTGAATACACACCGTTCCTAGGCTTGGTCTAAAGACAACCTCCCTTTAAACTGTTGCTTCTTTCTTGATGATGTGGACTTAGTAGGGAGATCAGGACGGTCAAACATCTTGGAGCTATCTGGATTATCGCATCTACAGAGCTTGTACATGCACTTATATGGTCCTCATACAATATCCCGAGGAAGCCCAGCACTGTCATAGGAGATATCGATGTTGGATATGGTTTTCCTAGGAAGGTCCAGGAAATCAGCCTGAGTCAGACCTCTTAATGGGATAAATAAAAAGTATGTTGCAAGAGAGAGCTCATTTGGGGAACATCATGCCCTCTTCACCCAGTCATCCATGTAGAGCGCTTAAGGACTATGCAAATCTCGCGAGTAGCCGACCCCACCCTTACTTGAGATGTTTCTCTGAGGAATCGTCTGGACGGGTGTTAGGGTTAAATATTTATACCACCCACCATTAGTTAGTAACACTCATATATTCCCCAAAGTATAATTGTGAATGGTATAGTATACAGTATTCTTAATACATATAGAGATAGAGTACTGTTTTAACACACAAAAAGCACCATAGAATCTGTAATTTGTTACAACCAGCTAAACCACAAGTTTCGGTTCCATCCCGATCCAATCTGCCAAAATGATGCATCTCGTAACGTTTCCGACAAATTCATTCGCAAATCAGGCTGGGACTTCGCGAATCTCGTATTGCAGTGGTATAACTTGGGTAAACTACAGGTCAGCAATACCCAAGAGATTTATATGGACCCTTTGTTCGAGTTTCGATTGTAATGGGCGTCATCATTTTTCGTGCCGTGGATGACATCGGAGGGTACCCCGAAGTAATTCAGCCACCACCGCGCCGAGGTAAGGCATCTTGCGGATAGCGCTGAAGTCACAGTCGTTGCGATCAAAGCCGTGCACAGAAAACTCGTTTATCATCTCCTAAAAAAGTCTACCGGACACATATTCCCACACGGTGTGATGAAAAATGTGCTAGAAGTCGCTGACAATGGCTCTAAACCGATCCACAGCCTGGATATCGCCGTAAAAGGACGAAATATTGTCCACGACCAGCGCAATGTTCCATACAGCATCTAAAGCATATGCTTTCGACACTTGTAAGAGGTCCGGGCCTCCCCGATAATTTTTCATTTTTTGTACGTGTCGTTTCGCAATCCGCAGTAATCCTCCGTATGACCTCTCCAGAGCCGAGGTGTTGGAGAACGAAAGCTCAGCCAACCTGGCAATGTGGATGTACACAAACTGAGGGTTAGCAGCTAGCTTCCTTGAGGGGTGGGCCATTTTGCAGGGTTTAAAGTGGGGCGGAAAAAAGCTTGGCAGTGGGATGCGAATAGCGATTTAATTGGCTAGAAGGCTATAATTGTGGAGCAACCCACAGGTAAAGTTAGTCTCATATATAATAATGCATTAATAATGCATTATTAATAGATTACTATATAAATATAAATATCAAGTAAAATTCTTAAATATTATGTGGAATAGTTGTATATTTTTCTTCTTCTAACTCAAATACCTATTTAGATAGATCTAGAAGGATACAGTAAATTTCAAACAGTAATTTCTATCAGTCCTTGGGTTATACTTTTGGTAGGAAAATAAGCTTAAGGCTGCCTATAAAAACCTCCTTCCCTAATTAATTCAGTAGCTATAACAGTAAATTTTTCTCACTCATCTAGTATAAGTCAAACAGTATTTCCAGCAACGCTGTTTTTTCTAATTGGTTGTGTACAGACCACACTAGCCAATTGCCTCTTTTAACGAGGAGGCCTCGGGTTCAGCTTCTTAAGCTCCAATTTTTAGAGGGTGCCAAAGCCTCTAAAATTTTTGCCTTAGTTACTGTGCCCCCAGCCGGGTTCGAACCGACAGCCTCTCTGAAAGAGGTCCCAGGTGTTTAACCGCTACACCATGGGGGTATTCTTAAATATTATAAATATATTTTAAATAATTTTTATAAATTAAAATAAGATTATTAATTTATATATTATTTTATTTACTATTTTTTAAAAATTTATATATAAATATATATCATTTATAGATATATTTTTGTAACGGGCTGTGCCCGTAGGTGGCCTCGGGAACCCTCGGCCTTTCGTGGCCCACTTTTTACCTTTAAGCCACCATGGCGAGTATATTTATGGATGGACCTCCTCTACTCTCTTTCTCTTCTTCTTCTTTCCTTAAGTTTGGTATACTCTGTAGAGTGGCCTAGCTAGTTGCAATATACTACCTTGAGACCGTTACATTATACCAAACTTCCTTTCTCCCTTTCGTTGAAAGTACGACGACGACGACGTTTTCCTCCCGTGACGTTAGTATACGGGAGAAGGGATCTCGATGACGACGACGACATTTTCCGCCCTCGTACTGTAGATTCTACAGTAGGATAAGCGAGCGGCGAAGGGTTCATATTTCCGCCCTCGTGCTGCAGATTCTGCGGCAGGTTCAGCGAGTGGCGAAGGGTTCATATTCCTCCCGTGCTGTAGGTTCTGCAGCGGACGTTACGGGAGAAGGGATTTCAACCAGACAGCCATACGAACTCGATCGCGAAAGAGGCGTGGGGTCTGGAGTGACGACTACAGCGGTTATAGCGTCACAGTAATCACATGAGGATGGACGATGACCTCTCGATGCGGGGTCCCGAAGGATCCGAAACCCAACTGACGCCATCAGAACGCCAGTTATTGGAGCAATTGAATAGAGTTCGGGCAGAACAAGAAGCTGAGCGCCGGGACAATCAGGCTCAGATTCAGTCACTACAGTCGAAAGTTTCTTCTCTCCAATCAGCTCAAGCAACACCGGCCACTTCCAATGCGAATACGTCACATGACGAAGTTCCACCAAGGAGAAAGAAACCATCGTTGCCTGACCCTCCTAAGTTTGGTGGGCTACGCTCTGGTTTCCGGGCATGGTACTTAGAGATGAAGAATAAGTTGTCTGTAGATGGGCCTTCAATTGGTACGCACGCTGACCAATTTGCCTACATCTACTCCCGATTGGAGAAGACGCCCCAGAACATGACGATTGTTTATGTCGAACAAGGGGGCAAGGCAGGTACCCGTAACCCTGATGACTACATGGAATACCTAAACGTCTGCTACGGCGATCCGAATGCGCAATCACGAGCCATTGATCGTTTGCGGAGGTTGAGGCAGAAGGAGACCGAGAGCTTTGCAGTTTTTCACCCTCGGTTTGAGAAGGAATTGGCTGATAGTGGCGGAGCCACTTGGTCCGACGTTGTACAAATCAATTACCTGGAAGGTGCTCTGAATAACCGGATGAGGGATCGGTTGGTCAGTTGCCTGGATGTACCCAAGGAATACCCAGGTTACGTTAAAACTCTACAAATCCTGGGATCAAGGATCGACAGCTTGGAGTATGGTCGGAAGCAGAATCAGCCTAGGGCCCAGAGGCGGTCCCCTTCTCCGAGACAACGAGAACAGAAATCCCAAGGGGCGACGATGGATGAGATGGACTGGGAACCCACAAAGATCAGCCGTATGATCCAGAAGGCGAATAAAGAGCTGGAAGGCAAGCGAGCAAAGTGGGTAGACCAGGCTGAAATAGATCGTCGACGAGAGGAACAGCGCTGCTTGCGTTGTGGACGGACTGGGTGTTGGTCTAGCAAGTGCCCGCTGGAACCGGCTCGGAGACCGGGAAGCCTAAGGGGTACCGCTATGACGGAAGTTAAGAGAGTCGAACCTGTTACTAAAGCGGCTGTGGCCGACGACGACGATGACGAGTTTGATCTTATATCGAAGGACCAATCGGAGGGCAGGTCGGGAAAAGAATAACCCCTGGCGAAAGTCGGCACCAGGGGTATCAGGAGGCTAGGAAGCAATGGGACAAGTTTGAAAGGAAAATGGACGGTGAAGCTTTCTACATCAATTTCGGAATCAACGGAGCTTATTACACTAAAGCCCTCGCTGATAGCGGCTGCCACTGTTATGCCTCAATCAGTCAATCCCTTGCAGACCGCCTAAGCCTCCCACGCATACCAATCCCTCCGAGGGACCTCGAGCAAGTCAACGTCATTACGAGAAAATCTATCAAGTACGTTACATACGCAAGTACGGATATCGACGGACATAAGAGAAATCGGACCTTCTTTTATATAATTCCTGGCCAGCAGGATGATGTGTTATTAGGCCGACCTTGGATGGACCATGAACAGATCACAATGTCACCCGCTAAGGGTGAATTGGTTATCGGAACTTCCGGATTAGTTGTTAAAGAGAGGGACCCTAAAGAGAACGAGAAGTATCCCCTTCAGCGACAGATGGCCTCAGTCTACGTTGGACTAGTACGACGAGCACGCCGGACTAGAGGTCACTACCAAGGACCTCTCCAAATCTTTTCCGCAAGTTTGGCTGATATTGAGAGGGCCCTCGCACCGAGGAAACATAGTGACCCACGACAGAAGCTACCAGCCTGCTACCATCAATTCCTACCCCTATTTGACCGAAAAGCCGCTGAACGGTTGCCACCACACCGGCCAGGGGTAGATCACGCTATTGAGATTGAGAAAGACGAGAATGGCAAGGAGAAGGCTGTCCCCTGGGGCCCATTATACGGCATGTCAAGAGAGGAGCTTATTGTCTTACGGAAGACCTTGACGGAACTATTGGAAAAGAACTTCGTTCGTACGAGTTCCTCACCAGCAGGTGCTCCCGTCCTATTTGTCCGAAAGCCTGGTGGAGGACTTCGTTTTTGTGTCGACTACCGCGCGTTGAACGAGATTTCTCGCAAGGACCGTTACCCGCTACCATTGATTAGCGAAACACTACGATCACTATCAAAGGCTCGATGGTTTACGAAGTTGGACGTGATTGCTGCTTTCCATAAAATCAGAGTTAAAGAGGGGGACGAATGGAAGACTGCTTTTCGTACACGGTATGGTCTTTTTGAATGGCTAGTCACTCCCTTTGGTTTAACGGGCGCCCCGGCCACGTTTCAACGGTATATTAACCACACGCTACGCGAATATCTCGATGAATTCGTTTCAGCCTACATCGATGACGTGTTGATCTATTCTTGTGGCTCCCTATCTGATCACCGCAAGAAAGTCAAGAAAGTGTTGGCAAAACTACAAGAAGCCGGCTTACAGATCGACATCGATAAATGCGAGTTCGAGGCTAAGAGCGTCAAGTACCTAGGATTTATCGTGGACGCCGGAGAAGGTGTCCGTGTGGACCCCGAAAAGATCAAGGCTGTGGAAGCCTGGGAACGTCCCCGATCGGTAAAAGGAGTTCGCAGTTTCGTTGGATTTGCCAATTATTATCGAGAATTCGTCGCTCATTTTTCTACTATTGCTATGCCCTTGACAGCCTTAACGAAGAAAGGAGTTCCATTCAGCTGGACTCCTCAATGCGAAGAGGCGTTCAAAGCCCTGAAGGCTATGTTAATCAGCGCACCCATACTGGCTCAATGGGATCCTGAACGAAAGACAGTCTTAGAAGCAGACTCATCAGGCTATGCAGTCGGAGGAGCTCTCTCTCAGTACGATGACGAAGGATTCCTACGGCCAGTAGCCTTCTTTTCGAAAAAGAATTCCCCAGCAGAGTCAAATTACCCAATTCACGATAAGGAACTACTCGCTATTATTCGTTGTTTAGAACAATGGGATCCGGAGCTTAGGAGCACACCATCTTTCGATATTATAACGGACCACAAAAACCTCGAGTACTTTCGGAAGAAGCGGCAGCTCAGTGAACGGCAAGTCCGATGGGCAGAGATCTTGGCCAGGTACAGCTTTACCCTGAAATATCGACCAGGGAAGGAGGCCCTAGTACCGGATGCGCTGTCACGAAGGGAACAGGATATGCCACTGACTCCCCAAGACGATCGTTTAATGGGCCGGAGCTTCCAGCTTTTGAGATGTCAAGGACGACGACAACTCAAGGTCAATAAATCAGTGACAAGGATATATGCTGGATTCACATCAGCAGGAGACCAAGACCAGGACACAGATGAGCCAGCAGATAAATCAGACCCGCCAGAGAATCCATTCACTGAATCTCCCCTGAAGGACCTTTGGGACCAAGGACTGAACACCAATAGTCGATATTGGTTAATCAGGCAGGCTGTACTAAATGGGGAACGACAACTCCCGTCTCAATGGAGTTTACCAATCTCGCTCGCTGAATGCTCTATTGATGAAGGAAAACGCCTTTGTTGGAGGGGTCGAATCTGGATTCCGTACAACGAGCCTCTACGCACCAAGGTTATTCAGGAGACTCATGACTCTTATCTCGCTGGACACCCTGGGCGGGATATGACGAAGGCCTTGATTAGTCGGAAGTTCACTTGGCCAGGACTAAGCCAAGATGTCCGGAGATTCCTCCGGAATTGCAATGTGTGTGGGCGAGCCAACATTTGGCGTGAGAAGCGTAGGGGACTGCTGAAGCCACTCCCTATTCCTGACCGCCCTTGGGCGGAGCTCTCGATTGACTTTATTACGGACCTGCCCCCGTCAGGACCTAATAGAGCGACTACGATTATGGTGATTACAGACCGACTATTTAAGAATGTGATACTCGAACCAATGGCTTCGATTACAACCCAGGCCGTCGCAGATACACTCCTTCAATGTCTAATCCGACACCATGGACTCCCGAGAGCTATTGTTTCGGACCGAGGAACCCAGTTTGTGAACCATATGTGGAAACGAATTTGTCAGTTACTTCGAATTACGCGACGACTATCAACAGCATACCACCCAGAGACAGATGGAGCAACTGAGAGAATCAATCAAGTTGTGGAAAGTTACCTACGTTCCTTTACTACGTATTGGCAAGAAGATTGGAGCTCCTTGCTACCAGTAGCAATGTTGGCAATAAATAACCGGGACGCAACCTCCACTGGAATGAGCCCGTTCTTCGCGACACACGGATATAACGTCGACCTTATTTCCCTGACCGACCCTGACGAACTACTACGGACCAATGGCCGATCCCCAGTGGCAAGAGGAGAAACATTTGTTGCAAAATTGAACGAGGCTTCCCAGGTAGCGCAAGCCGCAATTGCGTCTGCTCAGGAACGACAAGAGGAGCATGCCAACCGAGTCCGACAAGTGGCGGAGCAATTCAGAGTGGGCGACAAGGTCTGGTTACGACTTAAGAACATCTCGACAGACCGTCCCTCTAAGAAACTTGACTGGCTCAACGCGAAATATACTGTTACGGAGTTGATTGGGTCTCATGCCTGCCGGCTGGATACGCCACCGGGTATCCACAATGTCTTCCATGTCATGTTATTAAAGAGGGCCGCCAATGATCCACTACCCTCTCAAGTCCAGGATGATGTTCAACCCCCTGCCCTAGTTCGCGAGGTGGACGAAACCGAGAACGAGTGGCAGGTCGAGGAAATTCTTAATGATAAAAAGATCCGAAACCGGACACAGCTCCTAGTCAAATGGACTGGCTATGTCCGCCCTACTTGGGAACCCCTTCAGAACTTCCTCGATACCGCAGCCCTGGACCGCTATGAAGCAACGCATGGCAACATAACCGATGATTAATTGTACGACAACAACAATCGTTAACGAAAAGAGGGGGGCTATTGTAACGGGCTGTGCCCGTAGGTGGCCTCGGGAACCCTCGGCCTTTCGTGGCCCACTTTTTACCTTTAAGCCACCATGGCGAGTATATTTATGGATGGACCTCCTCTACTCTCTTTCTCTTCTTCTTCTTTCCTTAAGTTTGGTATACTCTGTAGAGTGGCCTAGCTAGTTGCAATATACTACCTTGAGACCGTTACAATTTTAACTATATTTAATATTATTAGATATAATTATATAAATATATATAAAAAACTTTATTTTAATTATTTAATTAAATACTTTAAAAATATATATTATATTATAATTTTATTTTATATTTTTAAAAAAAAAATATTTATTTTTAATATAATTCTTTAACTTATATATATATATATTAATATATTAATAATACATTATTAATACATTATCAATGCATTAATATAAATCTAGTAGAGGGGTGGGCCCACAAAATAAAAAGCTCAAGCCAATTAAAAGGCTAGTAATTTTTTGACCACCCCACAGCTTAGGGTCACTAGCGCCACCCAACCCTCAAGTAAGCTAGCTGCTAACCCTCAGTTTGTGTAGGTCCTCCCTGGCAATGTCGGTCGGCATTGTGGTCCGCGAACTAAAGTCGAGCTAATGTGGATGCTTCGTAAACAGGGATACCCATGATGAGATCTGCAGTTGCCCCGGATCCTTCCAATGATGGACGCCCTGATGGAAATTGCTTCCCCCCCTCCGTACGAAGCCACGAATCAAATCGGACTTCATTCATAAAGCCACGCCCCTTAAGTAGCACGCCCTGTCATGGCGACCTGAGCTATGTTCGATTGCTGACACATGTGATCTGTACATACTCCATGCATTACTGGGAGTGGGGTGATTGACAACAAATCAACAGCTACCATTGGCAGACCTGGCCCTCTGGTTACTCTTTCAGTCGTCAACTGTTCCTACACCATCATCAAGCTAGCTTGTGGTTATGCATGTCAGACACTAGGCAGCAAGGCGACACCGTATCATGCCCCATGACATGAGACGAGTTTTACAGAGCCTGATTCTACATAAATAGCCCTCCCAGAATCAACTTTCGTCCTGTTCCTCAACGCTTCAACCTTCAAAGTCAAAGCAATATGGACTCTCCAGAGAATATCCTCAGCAAAGGCTCTCTTGCCACGCTTCTGCAGCTCGTCTTTCCCGGCGGAACCTACATGCCCCATTTTGCCTTCTTACTCTTTGTCACCCCATACATTACCGAGGCTTTTGGAGAGCATCTCAAGTCTCGGCTCATATCAACCGTTGAGATTGGAGCACAAGATGAAATCTACAATTATGTCATGAGTTGGGTTGCCAGGACCAGCCTTTCCCAGAACAACCACCGCCTCTTCGTATCCAGCACCATCAAACATGAGCCGTTTTCGTTCGATGGAAATCCGACCAGAGACGATCATGAAGCGGATGACTCCTCTGGTGACGTCGACACTGAGACCAGTCTCGATGATTTACGTTCAAAGATATCGCTCTACAATGCCCGCCCTTTGCACTGGACCCCAGGCATGGGGACTCATTTCTTCCGCTATGAGAATCGCTTCTTGACCTTCACAAGGTCAATGGAGAGCCAAGACTCGATGCCATGGTCTCGCCGAGCCGAGAAGATCGTTATTTCTTGCCTGGGGAGAGACGCAACAATCATCAAGCGCCTCATCTACAACGCCCGCATCGAGTACTTGGAGAGGGAACGAGGAAGGACCAGCATCTACCGGGCCTCCAAGACCTATGGCGACGAGTTGGGTTGGACAAAGTGCATGTCCAAAGCAACAAGGCCCATGTATACGATCGCTCTAGGTGAATCCATCAAGCAAGGGCTCATCAAAGACCTCCAGCGCTATCTGAACCCCAGAACCAAACGCTGGTATGCCACCCGGGGCATTCCTTATCGACGCGGCTACCTTTTCTCTGGGCCTCCAGGCACAGGCAAGACGAGTCTGACTCTTGCAGCGGCAGGATTGATGGGCCTGGATATTTACATGATTAGCCTCAACTCACCTCGTCTCTCCGAAGATAGCCTGGCCACCCTTTTTCGCAATCTTCCTCGTACCTGCCTGGTCTTGCTTGAAGACATTGACGCAACCGGGCTCACGAACAAGCGAAGTCGGGACGCGGGGGCTGACGGACCTCAGAAGGGCGGGCGCCGAGAAAAGATATCGCTTTCGGGGCTGCTCAACGTTATTGATGGTGTTGGTGCCCAGGAGGGTCGTGTTCTCGTTATGACCTCAAATCACACTGAGGACATTGACCCTGCCCTCCTGCGTCCAGGACGAGTCGACTTTTCCGTCAAGTTTGGCCTTGCAACTTCCGAGACCATCATGCAACTGTTTACACAAATGTATACCGAGGCGCAATGTGATAAAACCTCTGGAATGGACAAAGAGGCGCACGCCAAAGATTCCATGCCGGTGACGACATCATCATTGAGTTCCGTAGCAATCGAGTTCAGGGACAAGGTTCCGGAGTCTCTCTTCAGCCCTGCAGCAATTCAAGGATATCTACTCATGTACCAGGATGACCCACACGGCGCTGTTGGTGCTGTGGATAATTGGGTTCGAGAACAACAAGAATCTTTCGCGAGGGATCAACAAGATGTGGATCAGCCGAATGAATCGGCTGAACCAGATGAGGAGTATTCCGATTCTGAAACGGACGGAAGTAGAAATGATGATTAATGAAGAGGATGGCGGGGTTGGATATGGGAATCTCGACGCGGCATGGGAAGCCAATTTTGGGAATTGACGAGCCAGGACGAAGACCGCTCATGGGACTCGCAGATAGTCCGTCCTACTGCAGTCCAGCTAGCGGCATTCTCGGTAGGCTTGTCTTTTAGTAAACTGAGAGCTTATGACTTTATCTTAGCTGCCTTTAATCTTCTCGTCTTAACTTTACTCAAACTGAAACGTGAGGTTTGTCTCATGTATCAAGTCCATCATCTGATGATTATCGCTAAACCACCCCTTCAGGTGGCTTGCGTTGTTCATCCCTATATCTTTCTCTGTCGAGTCCTGTTCAGATAGATCCTCGAATGTATACTGCCGTATACTTCACTCGCGTCCGCCCTTTCAGTTTTGAACCGCCGATGGTGTCGGCTGTAAATTATGTAACTCTATTGGTCAACCCAGCTGCACAGAGGAGTGAACGGCCGACGGTGCTCACTTCAGAACAAGAAGCAACAATTTCAAATTGAGTGATACAGATATCTTCCTTTTTCTATCGACACGGTATAGAAGCCGCCAGACAACAAAACTTACTCACTTCCTTCAAACTTTCTCGGTGTAAGGTAAACGTGGAGAGGGTCTTTCTGCCAAATCATGTACATCTCGCTGTCTTCGATCCATCTCCTGCTGTCATCTGCGATCTTGAGATCAAAGTTCCAGATCATCCGGGCAAGAATTAGTCTACTTTCCGCGTAGGCAAGGCTGCAGGTGAAAGACAGATCCGCTCGTTAGCATGTGTATATGATGACTGGGAGGGGTCATAGGCTGGGGCATAAGCTTACTTCTTCCCTATGCAGTTACGTGGCCCAAAGGAGAACGGCTGCAGGGCGTCGGTCTTGTCATTGGCGAATCTTGGGTCGCCAAGCCAGCGTTCGGGAATAAAAGTCTCGGGGTCGGTGAAGTTGTTCGAGTCACGGTTCATGGCCCACTGCCAGATTCCCAACTTGACCTACGTATTGGCCGTTGGTCAACTCTGAAGCATACTAGGCACCCACAGAAGAATGGATTCTGAGCGTCTGCTCGCAGGGGTGTTGCTTACATTGCCGGGGAGATATTCGCCTAGTATGGTGTTCCCGCTGGGGGGTGTTGTCCGTGGAATGGCGGTTGGTACTGGTGGATATACTCGCATCGCCTCGTCTAGGACCGCCAGCATATACGGCAGTTTCTGGACGCTGAACAGGTCGATCTCGCTCTCGCTCTTGAAGACAGTGCGAACCTCAGTCTCGAGCTTGCTAAGAATGGTGGGATGCATGCACAAAAGATATGTCGTGCCAGACAGGGTTGTGGCAGTTGTTTCAGATCCAGCCAAGATGAGAACGTTGGCATGGGCCCGGATTTCATCTGAGGACATTTTCTGTGAGCTCAAAGTTAGCGTAGATTCTACAGTCTAAATTTGACCGTGGGTTTGGCAATCCAGGACGAAAGAAAACCATGGGAGTGTGCAGGAATTTAGACGAACCAGGGCGCCCTCCTTGCGAATCATGGTGTCCATGAAGTCGGGTCGATCGTTGTCGGCGGCCAGTCGCTGAGCAACCTTTTCTCGCACTAACTGCATATGCTGCTCCCTTTTCTGGAGCAGCTGACGGGGAATGAGCCGGTTCAGGGCTACTTCAAAACCACGTCCCAGTCGTCTCATCGACGTCATGAAGGAGCCTGCCTTGACGGACTGGAAGATCAAAGATACCCATGGATGGTAGTTGGAGTTGTCGAGGCAGCCGAAAGATTCTCCGAAGGCGAGATCGCCAATGATGTCGAAGGTTGTAAAGTTGTACCAGGAAACCAAGTCTAGCGCCTTTGTGCCATCCTCGCACTGCTCGTGAAGTCGCTGTAACAGCAGGTCAACATACTTCATCATCATAGGCTGTTGGTCTTGCATGGCTTTGGCCGAGAAGCCATTGGAAAGGATTCGGCGATAGCGCCTGTGGTCCTCGTGGTTGGCCCCCAAAATGGTGTTCTCCCAGCCGGCCGAAAAGGTGACGTCTTTAGCATTCTCATCACTGGAGCCCTTGCGGTGGCCCATGATTTCTTTCCATGCTTCTGCCGAGGTGAAGGACAACTCGTCCGGGGCTACGCGGACAACAGGGCCGTATTTCTGGTGAAGCTTGTGGAACTTCTTGTGGGCGCTTCCAGAAAGGTAGCTTCTCGTGTATGGGATACGGCTGATTGCCCAAGACTTGGGCCCGGGAAAGCGCTTGAGGGGATGGAAGAACAGGTTGTAAATGGCGCTCCATAATAGGTACCCAAAAAGCTAAAGTCCTCGGTCTGTGAGCGCAGTGATTCGAAGAAGCGACCCAGCCTGGAGCATCTCGACACTTACGCTTAGAAGAAGCAGAGCCGGCACAGCCACGGCCGGTTTTGTATTCTGAAGAATACTCTGGCTTGGCAGCTGCATTGTGATTGACATCACAGCAGAAAAAGAATAAGGGATAAATGATGTTGTGGTTGGTAAATACTACTGGATTATAATGGAAAGACGGCAATGCATGAGAGTTCGTGAGACCAAATGAAGATGGTATGTAGTATATTAATATATGGCCGTTTTCATATTGCGCAACTAGGTAATTGTCGGCTCGGTAGGACGGACAATAGAACCAGTCCGACTTTGGCGTATTGGTTGTGGATAGACTTGGCGGAGAGATTAGGATCCGCTACGCCGTGATGTCAACAAGCATTCAACACCAGCGCGAGTCAGTTGAAGTCTTCTCTTTCACCCCACTGGTGACGCTTCGCTACCTCGTTAGCCTAAACGCCCGCTGGTCATTCCTAGGGCACAATACGCATGACGACGCAACCGTCATTCCGAGGGGTGGTTCAGCGGCGCAGTATGTTGTTGTTGTCGGACTTTCCAGGTCAAGATGTGCATAATGTAGCAGGCGGAGTTGCCGGGTGGAGAATATCAGACTCCGCCATGTTTTGAAGATAAAAATATATGCATCCCACACTCGCGTTGGTGGAGACGGCGGAGATGGAATTCCGTATTCTGTCCGGGTTCCCCACCGTGACACCGCTCCCTGTCACCATGGGATGGGTCCGAAGTCGATGCTTCGGCGTTCTCGGATGTTTCCGTCTCTGTCCAAGTTCAAATCCGGCCTTGCGCTGGGGAGAAGCAAGCAGTAGAAGGTGGATACATGGTGGATAGTCAATCAACAGTATATCCAGCCATGTTTCGCAGCCCTCATGCCCGAGGACCAGCTGCTGGGAGCCGGCCCAAGTGCTTGTATGACAACCAACCGAGCTGCCTCTCAATGACTTCAGACATATGACTCGCGGTCCCAACTTATCAAGGACCTGGGACACGTCACTTTACCTCACCGCCACTTTAACCTACCATCAACTGGACCCAGTGAAAAGTCGTTGATGGTCAGCGACCTAGCACAAAGTGGTGCCCCTGCTGCCTGTCTGTAGGGTGTGCTTGGTTCTGTAGTTGTGTGGGACTTCACAGCAAGTATGAATATGGGATACTTCATTTCCCGCCGGGCAGACGAAAATACGCGGTGGTGCTGAAACGAACAAAGGCTTTCTTAGTCTAATATGGTATTTGCATTGAAGACGTCTTAGGCTAGCTATTGGTCCTACAGGTTCCAGGTGTATAGTCGGGTTATTGCCACTACGCGATACAACTGGGTGACCAGCCCGGGCCCGGTATAGAGAATGAAACTTCAGAGGGGCTTAAATGGAAAAAATCGGCATGGATGAAAAACCCTAAACCCTTCCTCCTATTAAATCCCTCCGTCAGAGTCGTTACGATCCAACTAAAGTCCACCGCATAAATTGCCCTATCAAGGTTCTTGTTCATGCATAACACCATTTTCTCATGGATGGAACCGATGATGAGATGGAAACGGTGACAAGGTCTAGTAGCGATCAGAATGCTAATGAAGCCTGCTTAAATTGCCCTAGTATGAAGGAAAGAAAATCTATGGATATCGCAGTGCATTACACACTGCAACGATGAAATACTAATCTAAAAGTCACCTCTTCACTCGAACCCTCTGCTAATCCGGGGTTTCGCTTCCAGTTTGATCTGAACACTTCAGTCCTCTCCAATGCACTCGTCATTGCCGTCAACCATCCCATTACTATAACGGAGATAGTAGTCCGGAACCTCGGGCCAGTTATCAACCCCATCCATGATCAACATCGACATGCCCCCCTCCGAGTGCGTTAGGATGTGGCAGTGCAGCAGCCATGGCCCGGGATTCTCGACATAGTACCTGACTGCCATCCACGCCGGCTCCGTGGATGCTCTCGGCGACGAGAAGGTATCCTTTCTCGGCGGGTTGACGAGGTTGAACGCCCCGGGCATGGCAGCAGCGGCCTCCTTGACGGAGCGCCATGTCCAATCGCCTGTGCCGGTACCGAGGAGGCGCATCTTATTGCCGTGCTTGTGCAACGGGTGGGAGGGCATGGGGAAAACCTTGGATACGAAGACGAGGTCGACCCACTGACCGGATCTGGTGATGATGGTGGTGTTGCGGAGAGCGTGGACGGCTTCCTGGTCGAGGAGGATGGGGGGCTCGAGGTGCTCGAACTCTCCCGGGTGAAGGGGCACATCGTCGACGGCCCAGTATAGCGAGGACCCATCTGTGTGCATTTCCAGCTTGTAGAGGACGTCGGCTTCTTCAGGGATGGGTTCAGCGGGGTACGGCTTGGCGATAGTCTCGTTGAAGACGGCCACTTCTGGCGAAGTCGGCATGCCGTTATCGCGGATGTACTGTGTCGGAATAGATGTCTCATTGCTCCTCCCGCTGCGAGCGCCGTGTTGGCGTATCGAGAGGGTTGCGTAGCCACTGAGGATCTGCACAGCCGCGTTGGAGGCAACTCGCAGGGTATAGTTTCCCGCCCTGTTGGCATTGATGAGGACCGAGAAGCGGTCACCATTGTTAACGGGGATGGCCTCGACCTTTTGGGGCACGACGTAGTCACCGTCCACGGCATACACCCACATGGCCAGTCCGTCGATGGAAACCATGGAATTCAGGAGGCCAAAGGTGCCGACAAATTCAAGAGCAATCCAGCTCTGTGCCTGGCAACGGCTCTGTTTGAATGTGAGGACGGTCTCGCCGCCATCTGAATTCTGACAGCCACGATAAATGCCATGGGGGATGACGTTGGGGTGACCGGTGCCCCTAGACATGAACTCGGGGGGGATACATCTAAGGGTCAAAGTTAGCCAAGAGTCCCCTTAGGGGGGAGCATGAAATGCCAGTTGAGGTCGGCAATCATACTTGCCCTTTGTCTGTCATTGTCATATTCCCACTGCTTATGAGGGCCCGCTGCTCGGGAGTGACTAGCTCCTCAATCTCCTGAGGGCTCCGGCAGCGCGAGCTTCCTTTGCCATTCACGAGTATCGAGTCATAACACGTCAACTCCATGTTGGCCTTAGTTGCGATATCCCACACTTCAACTGAGGGCACGTGTCGATGGTCAGACAGCACAACTGGCTGGGTTCTCCGCTCAGCATACTCCATGGCCGTAACTGCGGCGGGGTCCCGAGAGATCAGGCCAAAAGGCTTCTCTCTGCCCTGACGCGGATGGATGATGATGGGCCCGTAGAGGCCGTCGTCAATTTGGCCTCCTACGTGGGCGTGGTACCAGTAACTCCCGTGCTGAGATGCGGTCCACCTGTGCGAGAAGTTCGAGCCGGGTATGATGGGAATCTGAGTGACGCCGGGAACACCATCAGACCAAGGTGTGTGAAGCATCTCAATACCTAGGGGTTGGTTCATTAGCTATTTGACTGATGCCGCTGGTCGACCAGGGGGAAAGACCGAGGTGTGTACATACCGTGGAAGTGAACGGTAGTGTTAAAAGGCATCTTGTTGTGAACCTTGACCTCAACATAATCGCCCTCATCCATCTCTAACAATGGGCCCGGGAACTGGCCGTTGATGAGAATCATATCTCGCTCGAAGCCGTCAGGGGCGTGCTTCTCCCATGTGAGGGTCAGGTCGAAGATTTTATCATATTCTTTTGCGAGGGCGAGGGACCCTAGAGGCAAAAGGTATAGTAGAAGGAGCGGTTGAAAGAAGAACATAGTGTGATAACGGAAACGATCCAATAGTCATTGGGTTTTCCGTCTTTGGCGTTGTCTGGACATACCAGGGCATTTGGGAATACCAAAGAATTTATATCAATGTTTAGCTCAGTACATACACGAGGCGTCGGAAGCATCGGGAATCACCAAATGACCGAGAATAAAGGATAACAAGTCAACCAGGCGCTACAATCCACAATATTTTTCACAGCCCGGCGGGACTCACAATCTCTCATCAAAACTCTAAAGCGATGTACAAGAAAAGAATCCGGCATGGCCGAGGTGGCGAAGGAATGTGGCTAGGTGTAGATGACGATGTCTCTTACACGTTGACAGCGAAACATTTGCTGATCAGGATTCAAAGAGCCCCGGTCCCATGACGAAAGAACGCCTTGCTATGGGACCGATGGAGGCAGTGTTTTCTAGATTAGCGTTGGCAACGGACTGCTCTAAAGCCCGTACATGATCGACAATCAGTCTCTTCACAGCCTTAAGCCTGCACTGGTTGGCAATCTCATTCATGCTAGCGCTTGGTGGCATTGTGTCCAGGTTGTTATTTAGATCTGCTTCTCCAAGAGTTAAAATCCTAGACACACACCATCCCTCGGATCCTCCTGATAGAAACCCCTTTCTCAAGGAATGGATATTTCATCAACAGATCGATTGCAATGACGAACTTTTACCCCCTTGAATACAGTGCACTTCAAGCAACGCGAAAAGCCCATAGATTAGGAGTGATAACATCAGGTTTACCAGTCATCAGTGACGTCTGGTCCACCACGTCGGGAGCGAGGCCACGGCACTTGACACTCAGGCGGTCTTGCATGCGGGAATCCACGCGGCCATCCACGCGGCATTCATGCTAGGGAGTCCTACTCGGCACGGTCTTTCCGTTCGAGACCTACCTGATAGGTTCCTGATTGTCGACTTTGGGGAGGAAGGGCTAGAAAGCGGCCAGAGCAGCACCATAAACGTGAGTGCAATTTGATCTTCTACGCTTCGGGCATTGATCACCCAAGCTAATCACGCCCGATGACATGAAACAATTGGGATGCACAAGGGTGTCCTATAGGTCTAAAGACCGTTGAATTGTGGCCCATGGCGTAAATGTGTTTCTGGCTTCTGACCACAAAGGAGTGGAGATTGTTTATGAACATAATCCCGTCTTCTTGATTACTGCCGTTATCCCCCTTTTTTCATCTCTCTTCCTCACTCGATCCCCTACCTAAATGCTCAGAACGCCCTAGGTCCAATATTCTCATTCATGCCCCAGACAGCGGTGTGGTTGACGCTTTCGGGCTCCACGTCACAGGCAGTCCCGGAAGACGTGATATGCCTGGGCGGAGCTGGCGGAGTTGGCGGCATTGAACAATCACCCGTTCCCCGCGACCCCGTCGGATGACTTGGAAAGTTAATTTATTTAATACCTTTTCCCGTATCCATACGAGTAATGGATAGCGGAGTTTCGGGCTTCTGGCAAGCTTCCGTGACAATACCCAAGCTCGCCGACTAGAGGCTAGGGGTTTACAGTATCAAGGGCAGGAATGGAAGAGGCGGCCGTGCCATCAACATCGACGATCACTAGCTGTACGCGGAGATAGAGCGGTTTGGGATTCCCCTTGGCTACCTCCCATAGCTGCTGTGACGTGTGGAGTTAGTCTCAGAGGAGCTTCGCGGTGCGCCCGGCTGTAAGAGATTCTGTGCCTGATCAAGCACCGGTACTCACTCGCGTCGTTTATCAAGTCTTTTCTTGTAGTCTCCCCGGTGAAAGTTATTATAATTTCTCGGAGGCCAGAAATCCAAGACGATGAGGGAGCAGAGCAGTTATTAAAGAGATTCACCGTAACACCAAATAACTCTACAAATGGAGCTACATCAGTAAAGATCCTAGTGATTGCCTTTCCGCAACCAGCAGCTGGGTTATCTTCTTGATTATACTAATGCTCGGGAGTGTTGTGATTAGCAGATAATTTGAAGATAATTAGCTTATCTGTTGTAGTCTTGAGAAATGAATTTGCCACCTCGGAGATCAGTAGCTAGAAGAGGTATCGGCAATTTTCAATCTGGCCCGGGAATAGCCACAGAGCCTGGGCAAATTGAAGAGATATTGGATGTACCGGAATCAGAGACAGACGACATATCATCTTTGTAGCACTAATGAAGCACGGAGGATTACAAGACAGCATAAATTTACTACCTCATCTGTGTCCGTAATGCTAGATACGTCCTAATCCATCCGTCAGTACCGCAGGTATGGCTCCTTGGGGACTAAGGGCCGCCAGAAGCAAGTCGTTGAAAGAGCCCGGGGCCTGACTTTGCGATATCAGTCTTGATTTCGTAGTCCTTCTCATCCACCACCTGCTCCCAGTTGTCCCTTATGGTCTCAACAGTCCAAGCCTGATCCGCAGAGCCCATGAATCCCTTAGTTTCGGCCAAGAAGATGCGAGTGACAAGCTTGCCAACCGCCCCAAAAGCCTCTCCAGTGACCTTGTTATTCTCGTGGGCCAGCCACGCGACTGTCGGTGCTACATCCTTGGACGGCGTGAACGTGTCCATGAAAGAAATCGTCTGCTCGTCCTGGACCTGCTTCTTCGTGCCGGGGGTGAGGCCGACAGGCGCAACCGAGTTGACCAGAATGTTGTACGGCTCGCCCTCGATGGCAATGGACCTGGTCAAGCCGACCAGGGAGAGTTTGGTCGCCGCGTACGCCGCCTGCTGAGCCGAACCCAGCATGATGGGCGATGTGATCATGACGACGCGGCCGTACTTCTGCTCCTTGAAGTGCGGCCAGGCGGCCTGCGTGACGTTCCAGGAACCCCCGAGGCTGACGCCCAGCGTGTCCCAGAGCTGGGAGCTGGTCGCGCTCTCAAACTCGGAGGGGATCGAGATGCCCGCGTTGTTGACGACGATGTCGACGCGCCCAAAGGCGTCCACCGTGGCCTTGACCAGGGCCTTGGCCACGGCCTGATCGGCGACGCTGCCGACGTGGGAAATGGCCTTGCCGCCGGCCTTGGTGATCTCGTCGACAGTCTTTTGCGCTGTGTCGGTGGTGGTGCTGTTGACCACCACTGAGGCACCTAGGCGCGCAAGGAGGAGGGCATAGTCCCGTCCGAGACCGCGGCCGGAACCTGTCACGATGGCCACGCGGCCGTCGAATCGAAGAGAGCTCGACATGGAGTGGGAAGTATCTAGATGATCTGGGAGAGGAAGAAAATGTGATGTAGCAGATGATGTCCCGGGCTAAGTGGCGTTTGGTGAGGCATTGCGGCGGGGATATCTTGAAAGACTCAAGCGACTCCTTATATAATATCCCATCTTGTCTATTTTCCGCAAAAAGACTTGTGTTCTCCTTGAATCAAGTCCTGTCCGCTGACAAACTACCGTTTCGCTCCATCACCAGAACTGTTTTGTCTGTGCCGATGCTGAATTGCGGTGTTGTCCTACTGGATTGCTAATGGAGAGGGAGTTGGCGGTGTTGGCGGTGTTGGCGGTGTTGGCGGCGTTGGCGGAGATGGTGGAGGTGGCGGAGGTGGTGGAGCAGGGCTGAGAAAACCGGAGATCGGTGAGATAACCTCTTAGATGGCTGCCAGCGGGGCAAGCTCACCATTTTTAGTTCGGGCTTACAACCATCTGGCAATCGTTGAGGATATATTGCGTGCCCAAGAGGACGGGTCCACCGCCCTTTGAAGATGCTGCCCGCACAAAGCCAACAGGTATGATCATCAGGGCCGAACATCCCGGAGGCGGATGGCTTCGACTTAAAAGCACCTGCGAGGTACTTTAGACCTAAGGAGCCAAACTGCCAGCCCTTAATCACAACACGGATGGAATTCTTCAACTCGTGCTTTGTTTCAAGGAGGGGCCTCAGGCGCCATACCAAGCGAGGACACCCGATCTCTACCAGGAGAGATGCCTGTAGAGGACTGCATTGATTCATAAAGCGCCTATAATCAACAGGGAAGCATCAAAGTAATCCCCATTTCATCATCATCCTCGCCAGGGGTTCGGCTTTGCTTTGACCCGGGATTCGCCCCATGTTCAATAAGACGCAGGCTTGAATCTAAAAACTCCAGATGCATACAATTAGACTTTGAAATATGTTTCAAGCCTTGCTACTTTGATATTTAAGCTTCTCCCATTGACAACTGTCGACATCAACACCGCCCATCTGCCGGGGTGACCTTGTTCCCATCTCCACCGCTCACCTTTATAAGACATTAGAGACCGACATGGAGACAAGAATAACCCATTGTCAACTGGTCCCACGAAGAAGCCCTTTGATACCCTGACTTAACAACAATGTCTACTACATCTTCTCCTGACCAACCTTGGTCACTTGCCGGCAAGACCGCTATCGTGACCGGCGGATCACGAGGCATAGGCCGAGCCATCGCCATCCACTTTGCACGAAAGGGGCTGGAAAAGATTGCCATCACATACGCCTCCAATAGTGAAGCAGCACAAGTCACCCTCGACGAGTGCCGCCGCCTCGGCGTCAGCCAAGCTATCGCCATCCAGGCAGACCTCCTTGACCCTCAGTTCGGGCCCCTCGTCATCCAGAAGACCCTCCAAGGCCTCGGCACCAAGACCATCGACATCCTTGTTAACAACGCCGTCCTCATCGACATGAAGCTCTACCAGCCCGTCGACGAGACAACCGCCGATATCTTCTCGCAGCTCATGCACGGCAACGTGTACAGCGCAATGGCGGTCACGACAGAGTGCATGGCGCACTTCCCCCCCAAAGGCGGCAGGGTCATCAACATCTCAAGTGCAGCGGCCAAGATGGGGAACCCTTCTCCTACGTTTGTGTACGGCGCTACCAAGGCAGCCCTCGAGAGCATCACGCGGTCGTTCGCCAGGGAGTTTGGGGTGTCGACGGGGGCCACGTTTACGAGCGTCTCAGTCGGGACGACGGCTACGGAGGCCTTTGAGGCAGCGAAGGAGTCTGTTCCGGAGGAGTACCTGAATGCGCAGATTAACGAGGCGACTGCTGCCAGGCGGATTGGGACTCCGGAGGATATCGCCTATGTTGTTGGGTTTTTAGCCAGCGAGGAGGCGAGATGGGTCAACGGAGCGAGTGTCAGTGCAAATGGCGGGATGAAAGAGGTCCTGGCGGCTCTCGGCTAGGGTGTGTAAAAAGAGACCATGAAATGCGTTGTATCGTAGGGCGCCAGCGATACTACAAATCGGTAGTATTGAAGTGCTGAAGGCGCTATAGACGAGAAGGGGGGCAGAGTTGAATAAAAGGACCGTGTTTACTTTATTGCCGAACGGTCTGTCTCCTCGAGTTCAAATTTTCAAGTACCAGAAAAATACAGGAGCAGGAGAATGAGGAGAACCAATGAGTCTTCTTGCCGTGACAGGTCGATCAAGTGAGGCTAGGAGGAACTCACATGGTAGTGATTACAGAGGCAAGGCAAATTATGCCGTGGGATCTGTAGAAAAGGCTGGGGTTTGAGGACAGAGCGTAAGAGATGGTAAGCAGGTACTAACTGAGTGGCGCAGGAATTCTGGAGAAAATACATCGGATATTAAAAAAGAAATTTAAAAAGAATTTATGAAAAAGAATTATAAAAAAAAATTATGAAAAAAAATTAACCACTGTAAATCACTAATAGGTGCAGAGCAGAAAATAACCTGTAGTCGAGATGTATCATTAGTTTACCAAAGTAACCTTTTGGGCAGCCATTAAAATACCCTCGTTTCATCCCGTCCCCTCAAAGCTCAGTCCAAGCTGAGTCCCCTTGGTGTTACGTAGTACAATTCTCTCAATTTCATGCAAATACAATAATGCCCGCTTCCGGTGAAGCTTCCAGCTAGTCCGGCCCCACCCCTCCATCTCCGCAAGCTCGAGTTCAGCCCTTTTCTTCCGAACCTCCTCCGCCGCAATTCCACTTCCACCGCCGCAATCAACCCCCTTCGTCCTGTTTGTCGCCGAGGGCTCTTCGCAATGCACCGCCGTTCCAAGCAGAAGTCGTGCTTTAACTGCGTCGGGCGCAAGCGGAGATGTGACCGAACGCTTCCGTCCTGCACCCGATGCGTTGACCAAGGGACAGACTGCGCATACCCGTCGCCTACAAACCGGTCTGCTTGGAGCAACGTCAGCGTGCTCGATGCGGGATTCAGCGGCGATGGCAACCTGGCCTTGTTCTCGCCCCCAGAGCCGCATGCTCCGGCGTCTGTCGATGCCTCTGCGCTAGCATCACAGTTCCACGGCGCTCACAATGGCTCTGGCACCGACATCAGTATCTCGCCGGACTCGGTGGCGACCAGCACTGGTTTCACATCGGGTCCCATGCCTTCTTCGGCGCCCACACTGTCTACAGCATCTGTTTCGGCCCAACCACAGGCTCCTGGCGATCTGAGATGGTTCACCCAGCCCTCCACCTGGAAGATTGCCTATCACTACGAGCCGCCAGAGGCTCTACCTCCGCCACAGGACTTCTCCAACTTCGTCCGGGGTCTTCGCTCGTGGCTAGTCCTGTTCCAACAAGAGGGCCACAACCCTTTCATCCACCGGCATTTATACCCTGCCAGAGCGATACCAGACTGTATCCAAGATGCGTATTCAGCAATATCTGTCTCGCAAGGTGGCAACGCCGACAACGAAAACATGGTCGACATCATTACTTCTTCTTACGCTTCAAAATTGATCTCTTTTCAAGCTCCCTTGCTTGATCAGCCGCCTCATCTTGTGACGGTCAAGGATCACTTAGCCCGCACACAATCCCTACTCATACATCTCATTCTTGCGCTTTCATCGTCGTCAATATCTCACCAGACGAAGGGTGAGGGCTTCATTGAGATTCTTCATCGCTGGAAGAGTGAGATGCTGGCGTCAGCCGAACAGGAGGCAAACCTCGCCCAGGTGTTTCCCTGTACACCCTCAATATTGCCTGAAGGGGGTGGACCAGAAATCGATTCTGTTCCCGAACTACACCGGGCCTTTGTCATTTGCGAGTCAATACGCCGTACGTGGCTCTTAAGCTCCATGGCCATTGGCGTGTACCGCAGCCTCAAGGGTGATTGGACTTCGATGTGTGGAGGAGACATCTGCTTTACAGCCCGCGCAGGTCTTTGGGATGCCCCGTCGTCCGCTCGGTGGGCTGAGGTCGCCCGCAAGAAGGGCCCAATGTTCGATTTCAGCTTGCGCGGTGAGGCGCTAGTGAAGAGTGGTGTCCCTGCTGTCGAGGTTGACGAATTCGCTCATCATTTGTTTAACCTTATGTGGGGTACAGACAAGGTAGAGAGTTGGTTTGTCAGGACTCACAAGCCAGACTCCATTCCGCACTGAAAGGGAATCTCGAAGCTTGGTGTCGCAGTATTGACCAGTCTTGGGACAAACTTGGTGTTCCGATGGACGTCCGCAGAACTCCGCAAGCCCCGCAGCATCTCCGCGTCGCCGCAAAAGGCAGAGGTGCACGTGAATAATGAAGACGTTGGAGGCTTCATATATAGCCAGGCCGGCGTTTCAGTCCAGGGTGTATGATCATTTGACATTGTTATACAATATGCATCTCTTATATACACAACTTATCTGTGCCTTCTGTTGGAGTGTGCATCCTACTTTGGCCTGATTAGTTAGTAAGACGGAATGGGACAGACGTTCTCACTGCTTTCGTTGGAAAATTAGATATATTGAGAAAGCCAAATCACTCTGCCACTCACCAAACCGCCCAGTCCAAAACCGAGAGACTGATCCCGGCGCCGCTTCTCTGCCCAGTATCAATACATTAATACCCGGTAGACTCTTGTCTCTGATCCTAATCCAGCCTGTACGTAGTATAGGGTAGCTTAAGGCGGGATTCCTCAAGATGATGAATTATGGCACCGTATACGGAGTAGTCTCAATAAATTAGCCAAGTCTAGCGCCGCAATTAGTACGGTCTTAGCAGCTTTATGAGGCTTAACTGTGGGCCCGATCGAACCTCAATCCAATTAGTTCAAAAAAGAGTTACTTTGGCGTCGCGCTAGATTTTGCCAATTCATTAAGACTATACAGTATATACTAGACGAGTATATTGCGAACAAAAATCGCAAAGGCAGGCGGAGCTGGATTCAAGCTCACAGATTCTTCCTTTTTAGTAAAGTTGGGTTTTCTATATTTCAAAACTCTTTCTCTTCATGGTCTAGGAATGCACTGATTTATATGGAACCGGCTAGGTCGAAGGATTGTAAAAACAATGAGCTCGTATTTTTAGCTTGTACAGTTTAAAATTTCAGCTTTCGTTCCCCCCTCCTCGTCCGCCAGTAGTTGGTCCCTTCTAATAAGTCGGTGCATCCCTCCAAAAGCCATCCCCATTTCCTCAGGAATGGCACCGTTACCTCCCATCCACGGGAATCCCATGGTTCACCCCAGACAATTAAAGATACGCTTTCCCTGTCTCGAGGGGCATCAAACTCGGCCATATCCAAGCACAGATCGTCGTCGTCCATTTCCTCAGTGATGTAACAGAGGTAGATGATTCTGTCCCGTAGCTTTGGCCAGGGTAATAAGTCGATCCAAGGATGATGCGGCGTCGATAGCTGGAGCATCGTCGGGGTGAGGCTACGAGGATATTGTGCCGCCATTCCAGCCGCCAAGATGGTATTTGAAGGAGTTGAAGTATTCTCCGGGTCTGTCTTACCGAATGGGGAAATTGAGTCGCAAAAGAGCCAAAGAGTGGATTGGCCTAGGGCCTCCGAGTTCCGGTGCAGGGCGTGGAAGATGTTGATCTGCATGACGCTCAAGAGCCTCTCAGGACGTCTATGTCGTGCCAAGTATTCGGCCTGCGCCTGCTGTGTCACCCAGAGAACTCTTTGCAGCCTCCCATCCACGTCTTTTCCGGCTTCCGGGTTGGAGGGTACATGCAGGGATTCCCTGAGCGCTACGGCTGGCGCCACGACCAGAGCCTCACTTGACTCCTCCAGCCGCTGCCTCCTCCCTGGGAGCGAGAAATGTCAGAGCATAGCGTTCCCGTCCAGTGTGGAATTTTAGACTTACTACGCGCCCGTTGATTGAGACGGTTCTGCAACTTTCTTCTTTCAGCCGTGCTCGTCACTCCAGCCCAGTCTTCTTCCAGCGTCTGCATCTGAGCCTGGTGAGGCATTTGCTGTAGAACGAGCCCTGCATATTGATTCTGGGGGTTTTGTTCATCCATGCTTCGATTCGATTGCTCGCGTGCTATAATGATGCGGTCCAGATGTCCAGAGCTCCTTGAGGGGGGCGACCCTGTTTTTGTATGCACCCTGCTGACAGGCGTTAAGCCCTGTACGCTATGGTATATGCAACCTGCTGACAGCTACTAAGCCTGATGTGTCGCAAGGGCGGCTTGGCGACTCCACCATCTGTAATGTGGCAAGGTTGTAAGTAGGGCTAACAGTCGGGCCGGCGTACCATAATTACCACGGATCAGAGACAGTAACAACGACGCGTTTGGTTCGTTCAGCTTGCATGTTCTCTTGGGGAGCCGTAACCATATTGGAGACGCTATCAAGAGGTCAGGGTGCCCTAGTACACATACCCAGAGGGGGCATTGGAAGCTCAACATAAAAGAAAAACAGCAAAAATAGTATCAACAATAATTGGAGACACTATATTCTTCGATAGTATCAGGCAATTAGAGGATTGGTTGAGAAAGTTTGAAGGACGATGGACGATCTAATAAATAAGGACGCTTAGGATATAACAATAAGTAACAAGCACCTGACGCAAAAGTCGAGCTTAGATGCGTTAGATGAGACGAACAAGAGGGAAGGAAGTAGAAGAGAAGGAGGGGAAAGAAGAAGAGGGGAAGCAAGATAACACATTGGAAGAGAGCAAGGAGGAAGCTAACGAGGCAAATGAGGAAGCAGATGAGGCTAACAAGGAAGAGGCCAAGGAAGAGGTAGAAGATGCTGATGAGGATGCGGATGAAGCCGGCGAGGACGTGGAAGAAGTTGCAGTCACATGGGCTTGTCTATGCGACGAGTGCGATACCCAAGTCTTGACCGCCGACGTCGCCATCTATTAATGCATGGAATGCGCCACCTACAACAGCTTCGACAAGACGATGCCGAGGAGCGGCAGATTGGCTGGATGCCTTTGGAGGAGTGGAAGGCTAAGTTAAAGAGCCTATATGTAAGGAACGAGGCTGATGCGATTCTGCCGCAGTCGTGGCTAAAGGTTTCATCTGATACTCTTGTATCCTACATTGCAATGTCTTCTTGTTGAGACTTTGTTGCAACTTGAGATACAAAATGGAGTATTATGTAGAGCCTTTGCGAGGGGACGCCATAAATACCAGATTGAAGTAGCTGATTCCTAAATAAATGTTCTGAGCAATGCGTATTCACTGAGTTACACCACAGTGGAAACGTGGTAGTTCATGGAACTGTGTTGTTGGACTTGTGCTAGCCACTTGCCCCTCTTTGAGGGAGGAGATAGCATAACTTGGGGAGGAAAGCACATGGTGGAAGGGAGATAGGCGATATACAGCTAGGCCAATTTGAATACGTTTGATGTTAAAAGATGAACCGAGGGTGCCTTGATGAAGGTGCATGTCTACCACCAAATCTTGAGCTGTGACAGGCCACCTCCTCGGAGGTTACATCTGCTCATGCTTTCCATCCAAAAGGAAATCGTGGCGAGGCAAAGGCCAAAGAAGAGCCTAGATGCATTCTTCCAGGAGGATACGAATCAGGCCTCTCGCAATGTGCTCTCCCATCCACTCGTAGCCATCCGCAGTCAAGTGCAGCCCATCATCCCAATACAATGTGCGCTCGGCCTCGGTGAGGGAGTGGTACGGGACGTGAGAAGCCAAGTCAAAAGCATAACTGTCGAATAGTTAGATATACCCTCACTTTGGCTAAAAGGGTATATTTATACAAATTTGGCCGTGAATGAGACAGAATTTGCTGATTGAGCTCATCTCGGTTGACCACAAGCCATTCGGGTTTGGCTTTACACTCTGGGACAGTGAGGGCGAGAACCTTGCTCCCATTGCCGATTGCTGTGTTCCAGTGGGATTCGAGGGCGTCAAAGACCTTGTCGACGGATAGCAGGCGTCCTAGGTCACTGACACAAGGGTGAGGTCAAAACGCGTCAGTTTGCAGCTACACTTATGATACGTACTTGGTGCCTCCGAGAATTATGACCCATTCATAAGAATCGGAAGATGCTACAATTTTGAAGATTGAAGTTAGCCCAAGGCGCAGAAAATCTGGGCAGGTAGCAATGAAGGGTTATAAAGGGATGATTTGACAATACATGCCCTCTTGGATGAAGCGACGCTGAAACGATGACGACGAAGCAAGGTCTCCAGGCACGCCGCTCGTACGAATAACAATCGTTCTGTCGGGAAATGCACCCTTGAGCTTTTTCTCCAGTGTTTCCGAGTAGGGACTTTCACCCAAGCCATAGTTGTGGAAGCCTTGGGTGAGGGAGTCGCCGAAGCAAAGGATGCTGAGGGGCTTGTCGGGAGTAGTATTGTCTCGCATAAACGATTGGGTGTCCATAGTTTGAATATCAGATTAGAATCTCTTGCAGATATGGCTGATTGTATGGATCATCAGTGATGTTGCCCAGTGTGCATTTATGACACAGGGTTGCGGGGTTGATGCGTTCAGCCTCAGCCGCAATCACAAAAGGACGAGACATTTTGCGATATTGTGCGACGTCAGCAAAGACGACGAAAAAGATAACCGAAATTAATCCGATTCGTGCGTTGCGGCTGTACCTTCACTGGTGCAAATAATGACCCAAGGCGGCTTCCTCTCCATTACAATTGAACGCTACACTTTAGTTACCGAGCAGCGAGATAACACTAACCGTTTCTCGGCGTTACAGCTGCGATGATGGATCAGGTGTGTTGCTACAACGAAACTTGTTAATTTCTCACCTAGGCGCCTATGCCATCCGTTTTCTTCTCACCTTTTGCAGCACAGCTATCGATGGTTTCCATGATCCCTAACCTCTGTGCCATGATAACATCGAGTTACTATGATAGAGGAGATTAGTCATCCGAACCACAGAAATGTGGTGACACTCACTGGTCCTTCAAATGTTTTGCACCATATGACCCAGTAGCTCGCAAAGGCTACCATGAATATCCCAATAACAACCGAGGTGTAATCTATTAATCGTGAAATTAGATATTGGCATTATAGTGCTCGTGTGATCGATCTTCGTACTCATCAGATTTCCAGTGACAGGTAAGACTGGGGGGAGATAGTATATAGTGTATTCCCAAACTTGCGGTGCAAAATTTCCTCGATATATTTCGCTGCTATTTTAATAGGAAGTGTTAGAAGCAGGGAGAACGTATATGGTAAGATATGTGAAGAACGGTAGATTCTGTGTGTTGATCTACTTCTGCTTGTCTTCTGAAAGGGAAGACATTCTAAGCTGCCATGGGAGGTCGGGTATTGAAAGGGTAAGATCCTCGGCGCCGACCGGACCTTTGATCCGAGGCAAAAGCTTAGAGCAGCCACTTCTGCCTTTGGCCCTGGCAGTTATAGTTTATGACCGAAATCCTATTCCGACATACAGAGTTAGCCGTATGATGCTGTGGCGCCGGCAGAAAGGCATTCAATCCCGACGCGATTCGATTCCCCAATCGCGTCAACTATCTGATCTAGAGGAACAGATTATTATTCGGTTCATTCTCGACCTAGATTCCCGAGGATTTCCCCCCCGACTGCGTGGTGTTACAGAAATGGCTAACCAATTGCTCGCTAACCGGTCAGACCGTATGAGGAAGGCGGTCAGGGAGGCAGTAATCTCATGGCCCCACTTATAGGCCGTGCACCGGCTTGAATCCGATTCGCCCAGGGCTGCGCCATAAAGTGCACTATGGCTTTCTCTCAGGAATGCCGCCTGCCATCGGTACCTTTTAGGTACGGGTTAGTTATTATGGAGGCTGAACGCAGCCCCGCTCGATCGCTGGCATGGGTCACCACCACGTCAAGTCAATCTGATCAACAACATCAAACACCCGACCCTTTTCCAGCTCTTCTTCTCTTCAAATCCATCGAGTATGAGGCAAATGGCATTAAATCCCTCATCCGTTCCCAGCGCACGAACAATGATTGTCATCTGGTCGCCAGCGGAGGCGGAAGCCAAATCGCAGAAATCGAGGCCCGGCGAAGCTCAGCAACTGCCCTGCTGGACCTGTGTAAGTCTGCTGCCTCGTCCCGAGTCCAAGGCATGGCTGTCGACCAAGAAATGGAAAAGCCACTGTCGACCATCATCGATGTGCCAGCTCTGGGTCTATCACAGGCCCAGATGCGTCTTGGTCGGTCTACACGCTCTCTCATGTACATCCCGCCTGTGCAACCCGATCTTCCTTTCCAGATGTCGCAAGAGGAGATTATGCACAATGTCAATCGTTTTAGGTAATAACTCGTCATAACCCTTTTCGTTGCTTGGCCGCGCTCATAGCTGTTTAAGGGAAACGCTTGACAGCTTCATCGAGGAGACCATCAATGTGCTTCAACCGCAACATGTACGCTCTTACAAGTCCATGGAGTGCACGCCATACGAAGTAGACGACGCCTCTGAGATTGGTCATGGCGCCTTCGGCAAAGTTCAGAGGGTTATTCACAGACAAACAGGCAAGGCCTTTGCCATGAAGACGTTTGAAGTAGTCCTTTCCGTCTCGGCCAAGAAGTCTATCCTCCAGGAGATTCTCATTCTCAAATACTGCCACCACCCCAATATTGTCCGCCTCATCGAAGCCTTCAGCCTTGAAAGCACCTCCAAGATGGCCATCGTCATCGAGCCTTGGGCGCCATATACCCTCTGGAAATTTTTGATCAACACCGACGCGGAGCGAGACAAGGCCTGTCCCTGGTTCGACCCAGCATCGCCACGGTCGACCCAAGTCGTACTGCGCATCATGCACGGTATCGTTCTCGCCATAGTGCACTTTCACCATCGATCTGTCAAGCACAAGGACCTGAAGCCGGAGAATATTCTTCTCTTTGAACCCGGCACCGCAGATATTGCTCCCTTGATTACGGACGTGGGTGTCAGTAAGCTCTCCTTCCATGGAGCTCCAACCAACTTCACCAAGAGCACATATCAATTTCTTGCCCCAGAACAGATTCGCCACGAAGAGAGCACGCTCAAGGCGGATGTTTGGCAACTCGGATGTTGCTTCGCCCTCCTACTCGCGGTAGCCCACGGAGGTGCGTCGGCTTTTAGGCAGCTCTGGGGAGTTATTGACAGTGACACGAGCTCCTGCCAAGTTGCACACGAGCACCCTCGCTTCATGGAAATCTTCAAGAGAGTTTACCGTCGAGGGGGTGCCAAAGAGTCAGTGTTCAAACTGATTACGGGTATGCTGCATGTCGATCCGTCTGAGAGGCTCACAATCATCCAAGTAGAGGCGATGGTGCAAGCGTTGATGAGTAGCTGACCATCTTGTCGGTGAGGAGTAATGGGGAAATACTTTCAATGAGCCGAAGTGAGAGTCGCTGGGTTATGAATGAATGAATGAATACAGGAACGAGCGGCGATGACTGGAATTGGTCTAGATTAGTTTATGCACTCTACCATCGTAACGAAAATCACGCCCAGCATGCTTCTGACTGTACACTCGTGCATCTAGGATGCATTTATGTGGTGCCCATCACCTCTGTATCTTCAATTAACAGATTTAGCACTGTCATAGACAGATAGCCTCACCAGCTATCAACAGACTTAGGTACCAGTCTTACAACACATTACCAGACCCGTCACCTATCTGCCTGGCGATGATACCTGATGCTCTCGATCATACATCTCACGTCTCGGACCAACCACACAATCCGGGCCAGACCCGACTGTCACATCAGGCGTGTTGTAAGTCCTTAAAAAGCATGCACTGCAAAAATAGTTCATGCTTGGCCTTGCTGAAAAGCGCTCCTCTGTCGTTCCTTGCGCTAGTCACTTACGACTGCTTTGGCTTGTCCACCGACATTTATTTTAATGGCACCTGAGATGTTATCAACGTCTTGTCCCATTAGAGCTCGGCAGTGACGGTCATTAAAAATTTGACCCGCGTCGCCTTCATACTTCTGTTCATTGAATCACTTCTAGCCATCGTCACGCCCACATCCAGATACTCACCTATTCCATTTCTCTGTTTGACGTGTTCTCACCATGGCTCCAAGGGCGGCTGCCAATCTTCCCACGACATTCGCTCCGAGCTTTCCTAACAACCTTAAACACTTGCCGGGCCTGTGAACTTCAATATCTAAAATATTACTGTGCGAGTGTATGTGAATCAAGGACCTAGTTTTCCTTGAAGCTCCGAGAATTTTTTCACCGCAAGTTTGGGAACGTATAACAGAAGAACTGGGTGGCAGTCTTCCCAAAAAGCGCCGAGGGGGGCTGGAAAACGCCTAATGAGGTTGATCTGTAGAGCCTCCATTTCCACGAATTTCTTGAGTAATAGTTTCCATAAAATCTGTCCGAGTTCATGAGCTTGGGGATGGGAATACCCAATCCCCGATTAGCTGCATGCACTCTTTTGTCCTTGCCCCTGCATCTTCCATCAACCCGGGATCCTTGACCATCCTGCCAATTTGTTGATCGAAGCCGTGAATCATATCTGGCACTAGCAGCCATCTGTAAGTAGCCTTTTCATTACCCTCCCCAAGTTGTGTCTCCCAGTGAAACCTTTCGTCGTCCAAAACAAGCTGCCCTTGCTTGTCTGCCACCGCTTCCCGGCCTACTGCCTCATTCAGGTCTGGAACCTTCCGCTCAGCGAGCTTACTTACTAACCGCCACGCTTCATGCGCCAGCATATCCATCTCGCAACCTATCACGAATACTCGCCGCGGTAGCGCATCTCTGGCTGCAAAAACAGGACTCAACAACGGATCACACAGATCCTGCTGGAAAGGCAAGTAGGCCCAATTGAAAATAGGTGCCATGTTGCGGAGGTAGTCAGTTTGAGCCGCGCGAAATCCACCCAGAGACGGCTTATACCGCCTCGTGTTGGCCTTTTGGGCATCCTCTGTAGAGAAGTCCGCCACAGGGTACATAGCAACGACAGCAATTAGATGGTCATGGATGGACGGAAGCTGAGAGACAGCCAGAGCCAGATTCCCACCGGCGGACCAACCGAGCAGGGCTATGCGTGAGACATCGATGTGTAAAGATAGAGCCGGGTCGTCGAGAACAGCAAGGCAGAGAGCCTCAAGCTCATAGATGGGGCCGGGGAATGGTGTACCAGGGGCTTTGGAATAATTAAGGGCTATAACGACTGTGGATTGTGTGGATGCGAATTTCGAGTTCCAATGATCGTTGTCATCGGGCTTGCCCACGACGAATCCTCCTCCATGAATAGTGAAGAGAGTTGGAAGACGACGGGGGGTCCTGGGGTCATAGGATTTGGGGAAGAAGATGCTTCGCGAAAGAGTGAGCAATAATGCATAAATCAAGGAGAAACAAGACGACTGACCGAATGGGTAGATGTCGATGACTGCCATAAGTCTTCACAAGATCCGGCCGGACTGCCGGTGGTTTGATATATGCAAGAAGCCATTGCACGAAAAGGATAGGCCGTATGACGATCTTTTGCAGGGCGAAAACTGCTGTCCTATAATATAGAGTGGTCAGAAACGACAGCGATGGAGCAATCTTCTTTGGTATGGACAGGCCATCCAGTGCTTCATTTGAGGGTGGTTTCATTATCAAGGGGCGGGGTAATTTCACTGTTGCAAGATAAAAAAAGGTCAAATTCAAGAGGTCACTAAAGGGGATGGAGCTACTATTATAGAGACTAGTAATCTGAACCTCGGTCTCGGTCTCGGTCTCGGTCACAACCCATGTCATAAACACGGTAGTCTGGCCAAGCACACTAGAACACCTCCTAGGGAGCGTCAATGCTCCCGGAGCGACAGGCCACACCGCCAATTATATAGCTATATAAACGACGTGCCCCTTCGATATTTAATAGACATTCATTAGCTGCCAGGATGTGAATTCGTTCATTTTCAAGAACCTAATTCAGTTTAAGCGCACGATTCATAGCCCGAGACTCCATGGCATCAGTAGTAAGACGTCATGGTGGCACTACGGAGTTCTCGCAAACTTCCTACAATTTCGTACTCAATCAATACAAGACTCACCAATGCCAAATGAGCCACTCACCAATCCCCAGTGAGTCACTTACTCGGACATCGTGAGCACTTCTCCATGGTTAGTGAGCCACCCAAATCCACCTGGGCATACTCTGTACGTACAAATTCATTAGCATTTCCACAAAGCACTTAGCTACCCCAGCTACCAACACACACCTTTTTACGCAATCAGCAAACCAAGTCAGATAAGTCCGACAGAATCAGGACGCTTCTCCGCTGCCGGTACGTCAGCGAGAAGAATAAAGACGCCAGTCTTGCCACCAGTGGTCTTTATGCGCCAACCATACGACATGATTGCAACACGACCTATGTTGTTCGTGCAAACGTGCTTTATCGAGATTCCACCGCTGCAAGAAAATAATTCCTGCATATCATCTCCACTCGGGACATCTAGTCCAACCCGCCGGAACGATCCCATTTACTTCAACCCGCAAGGAATTGACCCCAGCATATTCTTCAACAACAATGTACTCTCACCTGTTTAAAGATGCTAGTAGAACTAAATTACTTTAATCACCTGCTTTGAAACGAGCCCCCAAACATGCGAGAGGTCACTGCCAAAAAAGCTAATATGGATAGTCTCGGCAATGTTGTTGCTCAGAGCCGACACATTTATAAACAAAGTATACGGTGCTATCCCATAATCGCTGAGGGAGACACCTGCGATGGTCATATTGCGAGGGGAAGAGACATTATGGGACCCTGTGAGTCATATGAGCACAATCCTATCATTAAGCCTTGCTCAGCGGACTGCTTTATCCAGCACCCTGATTATAGTGACCTCTTTTAGAGTATATGGGGAAAATATTTTCTTGCCTTATTAGGTGCGAGAAAGGAGAGACACAGTTGATGGGCTATGGAGAAGTTTTTGTCTCCAGTGAGTTGGTCTCAGGATGACTAGTGACTCTTCCTCGCGAATGACGCGATGTACACAAAATGATGCCCCCTATAGAATGATAATTCGCAACTAGAATCCAATTCAGGGAACTTGGATCGTGTTAGTATGGTGGCTCGCGCGGTTCTACGGCCTTGGATTAGTCCATCGGGGTGTAACATGTCACGGTGGAACAAGCGGGCAGCTCTGTGAAAACAGGGATTGTATTCAACATGATTCTAGACGGCAACATCGTGAACAATCCTCATCCACCAGCTGAAAGGCACAATCGGAACTGGAATCACACAGATTACGTATCTTGGCTTTCTATGTGTTCATTGCATCTTCGCAAACCGCGTATGACTCACCAGCTCTTCCGACTTCAATCCCTATATTTTCCACAAGATGTGCAAGGCGGACTTTGAGGGGGCCGGCGTAACGTTGCGTTGCCAGACCCGTTTTCTAGCTTGCCTTGTATAATAATTCTGTCGTTAACTAACTGAGTGTGTATGCCGTTCATCAGCGACCCAAACTTGTACTGTATGTCGACTCTTTTCCATTTAAGTTCAAAACGGAGCCAAATGTAAAAATCTTTTAATCTCAAATTTACTATGGCCCAGCAGCTCCTTTCCCATATGTGGATATTTGTATTGATTCCACGTTGCAAAACGCCAGTCGTAGGGGCATAGCTAGGCCAGTGTGATGGGGCCAACAGTCCACCTGGAGTTTAAAACCGTAGGGTAGATGTTTTGCTAGCTTAGAAAGTCCCTACCTAAAGCGTTGAGTCTACTTGAAAAATACGACGGCACGCCTTTTCCCTTCTTATCTCCCTCAAGCCCCTACCCTACGGACGGGTGTGGTCTGCACTAAGCACCTCTCCCACCAACAAACCAGCCTTTCTGGGATTCACGCAATGTCGGCAGCAATAATTCACTCTAGATTAAAACAACAACACAGTACTCAAGTGCTCTCTAATGTCGGATAAGCGCTGTTGTTAAATTTTGGTATTCAATTACTTCCTTGAGTGAACAGACCTTGATATTTAAAAGAACACTACTTCCACTGTCGCTTTGACATCATGGCATAAATTGGTAGATTTATGAACTCATCATTAACTCCGCTAGCGTTGCATAAACTTCAGGTGTCTTGATAGAATAATCATTTGTCGTTCGCACTCCATGACGGTTGACAGCGGAAGTAGCGGCACTTTATCACCTACAGTAGCCGTGACGCTATACTCTCCTTGATAGAAGCTTTTAATATTTGAGCAAGGCCCCATCCATGATGGAATATGATCTGACGAGTGATCGTCAGGAGACAAATGTCAAATAAGCGAGCATCGAGCGGTTGCGGTTTCATAATTCACTTAGCGTCGGTAAAGGTTCCCGTTGTGGCCTGTTGCCGCTATTTTTGACAGCGGTGTCCCCTGTAATTGTCGCTGTCTTTTGGTTGACGGTCCTGATAATAAAGCTTAATAAATCACATACGTACTCAATATTTAGCATTTCATTCGCTGTTTCTCCTGATGCTCTTGTTCATGATTCCATCCGTTCTCGTCATTTGACGTCACTCTTTTTGTCCATTTTTTCGTCGCTCATTTTGTGCTTAAACACCTTCAATATGGCCTCTCCCTGGTGGTGGCTTTTTTTTCTTCCTGCGGCTTTTGCCTTTACGCATCCTGGCCTTCTTGTGACTGACGAGGATATCTCCCGAGCCAAGAAACATATTGGCGTTGAGGAGGAACCGTGGTTCGGTTCCTGGAACAAGCTGACTAGCCTTACCTTCTCCAACTCGTCCTATGTTCCCAATGCTGTGGAGATAGTCTCACGGAGCAGTAATGGGGAGCTCCTTTGGCATGACGCGGCTGCCGCATTCAATCTTGCGCTTCGCTGGAAAATCTCGGGCGAGGAGGAATATGCCGATGCCTCGGCGAATATTCTTCAGACATGGGCGGCCAAGCTCCAATCCCTCTCTGGCGGCGGGGACGACAACTACCTTACGGCAGGCCTGCAAGGGTATGAATTCGCCAACGCTGCGGAATTGTTGCGAGACTATGCGCCCTTTGCCAAGGACGGCCTGTCTGATGTCCAGTCCATGATGGAAACTGTCTTTCTACCAATGAACGTGGACTTTCTCAACCAGGCCTTGCCCTCTCAGCACAATGTCAAACACTTTTTTGCTAACTGGGAGCTCTGCAATATTGCATCGGCTTTAGCTATTGGTGTTCTTACGGACAATGAGACCACCTGGGACTTTGCTGTGGATTACTTCAAGACTGGAGTGGGGAATGGTGCTATTGGGAATGCCATTAGCAATATCGTGGAGGAGCCAAATACGGGCAACTTGTTGGGCCAGGGACAAGAATCAGGTCGCGACCAGGGCCACTCAGCTTTGGACTTTCAACTTCTCGGCGCCATTGGCCAGCAGGCTTGGAACCAGGGTGAAGATTTGTTTGCCTATAACAACAGTCGCATCCTTCTTGGGTACGTCCCAAGGGCCTTCTACCCTCTGCGTGGTTTGCTGACATGCGATCTACAGTGCAGAATACTTTGCCCGATACAACCTCGGCGAAGAAGTTCCCTTCGAGCCCTACACCAATGGCATTGTCAGCTATACGGAAATTAGCTCCGCTTCTCGTGGCGCTATTCGGCCGACGTGGGAGCTGTTGTATGCCCACTACGTTCAGATCAAAGGGCTTGACGCGCCGTGGACAACGGCTTACTTGAATAACACACTTGAATACTTCGGTGGTTATGAAGGAGGAGCTGGGTCTTGGGGAGAGGGCTCTGGCCATTATGACGGACTTGGCTGGGGCTCTTTGCTCTATCATTTGGGCGAATCGGATCTTGCCAGCCCGGCATCTTCGTCCACGCATACAGTGGCTTCGCCCAGTTCTTCGGTTGCTACTATCAAGACCGAGGCATTGAGCACTGGACAACCTTCAGCGACTGTGACACTCTTGGGCACATTGAGTGATAGCACGCCACAAAGCAGCACGGAATCGGTCAGTACTGTCACCCTTGCGCCGTCGTTCAGTCAAGGACACACCGTGGTTTCGTCAGCCGCCGGCACAGAAACCACCAGTAAGTCAGGTCGCCGGAAGTGTCACATCTAGTCGTGGAGACTTCGCAAGAGTTTTAGATGTGACAGAAAAGAAGATTTGCACGAGGAGAGGGTATGAATGCTTGATATTGCACAGCGGAAAATCTCCCGTTCCTGTTCAATTCCGCCATCTTGAACACCTTACCCCACCTCTCGGTAGCCACGGTACATATCTGGCCACATGTCATTCATTTTCAACCCAGTTTTTATTACTTTCTCAAGTTTCATCGAGAGCAAGCGACTCCTTGAAAGACCACTTTTGATCTATTGACATGTATTAAACAAATGTCGCTATTAAATTTACATAAACTTTTGTTGTGCATTTGCGTGTCTGACTTCTCCCTTTTAACTGTGTCCTGGGGCCTTTCCCACCCCGACATGCTAGCTTGGATCCATAGCGGTAAGCGACAGCTTAAACAGGAGCTTGAGAAAGCTGCATCAAGTAGCTTCAATCGGAAGCTTGGTGCATCTTTGTCTGGCGTGAGTGGTATCATTCTGCCGCATTGGTATGTGTGTGGGTGAGAATTGCCTTTTTGTCGGGATCACTCGGATATTGGTAGGCATGGGGACAGAAGAGTTAGGCAATTAGGCTCGGCTTTCTTTCCAATCTCACGATGTGCCCGCCATTGGGTGAAGTATATTTCCTCAGCTCAAGTCTCAAGTCCAAGTCCTCCTCATGTGATCGCGAATGCACTAATGATCCCATGGGCTCAGCCAGTATTGCCATCATGCTGGCGTCTATTGAGCTTCTGGACCACATCGGGTACCAGGTCATTTCCTTCGCTAGTCTCGGCTCAACAATGCCACAGCCCCCGCTTCAGCTCTGGTGACATCGCTTCCCCGCAATCACTAGCTCATCTATTACACCATTGTCGAGGGGCATTGTCGCATTGTCCAGGGTCCTTGTACGTGAGAACTCGGTGTCTCGGTTAGATCCTCTGTCGTGAGAACTCTGTGGAATCCTTCGCCGACCCCGCGGCAACTCTGCACCTCTAAGGGGCCTCCGAAATAGGACTGCCACGTCGTCCAACATTGGGTTCAATTACGTACTGCGTAGTACAGAGTGCCTAAGATTAATGACGAATCCTATGTATTCGCAATTTCTCGGGGGTAATGAGAAGTTGCAAATGACTTTATAATTACGTTACTAGTCCGAAAAGTGCGGGCTTGTCCGAATCCGCGTTAGCCGATCGGGTTGAATAGTCCAAATTGTCATCTTGCGTGTCAGATTTTCCACCACGTGGGCACGGCAAAATTTTCAACTGAGGGGGTTCAATGCGAAGCAAGATCTAGAATCTCGCAACATGGCCTCGACGGTGAAGATCCAGGGCGGTTGCGGAGGAACAATTTCATTGTGTCATACGAGAGAAGCCCGGAACCAACGGCGACATGCATAATGCTGACAGTTTAGCGTCTTAACCACTCGACATGGCCAGCGGTGGGACATTCTGGAGAGACCCGGAGATTGAATATATAAACAGCACTTTGAGTCGCGTAGTTTACTCTGAAAAAAAAGCCGCTGGGACAATTTTACACACTGCTCCAAGTTTCTCATCCATCTCAAACTAAGACACTATGACTGCAGCTTTTCGATTGGCTATCCTGGAGTGCGAGGCGCCCCCAGCAGCAGTCTTAGAGAAGTACGGGACGTATGGAGATATTGTCAAAATCCTCCTGACGAGTGCCTTTGAAACAGATTCCCTTCCAAACCTTGAAGTATTGAAGTGGAATATCATTCAAGCGGAATCATTCCCAAACTTGGACGCTGTTGATGGTATTCTCTTGACAGGGAGTCGTAAGTAGTGCTATCCGAAGATTTAAATGCAATGGTACTGATCATTTGCAGAGTACACTGCTTTCGACGATGACCCTTGGGTTTCACCTCTTATGGAATACATTCGACTCGCACACAATGCCCGTAAGCCGCTTGTAGGGTTTTGCTACGGGCACCAGATCATCGCAAGAGCGCTTGGCGGCACGGTGATCCGAAATCCAGTCGGCTGGGAACTTGCAGTTGAGAAAGTCAGGCTCAGCTCATTGGGCACAAAGCTATTTGGTAGGAACGAGCTGGTAAGTCCAAGTTAATGAACCCAGATAAAACTCCCTGTACTGAGGTATTCAGAACATCCATCAAGTTCACCGCGACGCTGTGGTTGAAACTCCCCTCGATGTCGAGGTAATTGGGCAGAGCAAGCGGTGCGGGGTACAAATATCGTACCAGCCAGGGAGGCTTCTAAGCTTCCAGGGGCACCCCGAGTTTAATGCATTTATTACGACTGAAGAGATCGAGGAGAGACGGCAGCAGGGTAAAATTGATGACGACCTCTATGAGGAAGCCATGGCCAGGGTGACCCTCGAGCATGATGGCAAGTTGTTGGCGAAGGTGCTGTGGGAACATCTCCTGAGTGCTGATCAAGAAGCTACAATGGGCCGGGCTAGCCGGCTTTGATGGTGGTGATTCGGGGCCTGTAAATTAGTCAGAATGAAAATAACGGCGAGGGAGTTTGAATAACATAAATTGGGACAAAACGGTTACATTAGCTGCTACCTCCTGCGCTTCCTCTGCCACTTTGACTTCCTCCACCTCCCCCACTGTCCCCATCGCCTACATCTCATTGAGTTCAAAGGCGCGGTACTTAGCGAAACTATTTGCACCTCCCTTATACCAGCTATGCTGTCGCCCGTAAGCTTCTAGAACCTCATGCCATGGAATGATAAAGGTTAGTCCTGGTTACCTGCAAGCATGGAATGCATAAAGGAATAGAGGAATAAAGTGATAAAAAATTTGCCCCTAATTTACTAGATCTTTTACATTTGCCACATGCACCGAGTCCATTGCAGGTTCCATAACCACATAATGTCCATGTCCCTCCTCCTTTACCTGGCTCCGGCCACTATACATGCTCAAGTTGATAAGAGTGGCGCATATAATTGAAGGATCAGTCACTTGATCTCATGCGCCAGTCTTTATGAAGCGAAAAGGCCCAGTGTATAACAAAACCATCCGTTTCTTTCAGGCTCACTCCCTGGCTTGAGTGTAGGGTTAGTGGGGGAGAACCTGACATGGAGTTCCAGATTCCCCAAAGCCACTAGGTGAAAGGTCCTGCTGTCAATTTTGAAACGCATACATTTGTTTCAGATGCATCTAATAATCTTCCATGCCTGTATTTCCGGACCCCCCTCGAGGAACGGTGATTTCGGGGTCTAGAATGAAGGCCCACCGGGTATTTCAGAATGAGGCCTAAACATTCACCACTTGTTTGTTCAAGAGCGTCATGCCATTGGCCTTTGAGAGGAGCGTTTCAATAAACAGCGCTAATATTCCATCGAATGTAGTCTTCAGAAAAGGGCTAGTGATGGTTCCGATACGCGAACACAGATGAGAGGACTATCTGATCTCAGAGCCTAATGAGTGTCCCGTGGGTTTCCATCGCGTCTAGGCCCCGGTGCTCGCCCAGCATTCAATCAGACTCACATTGCTTGACCTGAAAAGTGTCTCAGTACCTGGAGCCACGTACGTCATTGTGACGTGGCGCCATGTAATTGGTGCAATCCGTGGGGTTCGTGGGTTTCCAGCCCAGCTCAACGAGCTCCGAGTCGGAAGCCGAAAACTGATATCTGACAGATGATAGACATTCTTTACGAAACAGCTGAAAGCTGACACTAAGGAGGGCCAATCGGGGAGGAGGATGATCGCCGAATGTCTTAGATGCCCTGCGCGGACCCTTGGCGAGCCCAACTCGACAGGCAGTTCTTGTGACACGCTCCCTTCAGAACTTGCCAAGAGTCAGACCTTAATATTGATCAGGGCACCTTGCCAGATTTCCAAGACTTCATCAAATTCGGCAATGGGATCGAAGACTTAATCAAATTCGCCCACAAGACCGGAAACTTATTGCAGTGTGCTGGTATTCAGCTGTAAAGGTCTAACGTATGGTACAATCATGTATCTCGACTAACGCATCAGCGCTAGCATCGGCCGTCGATCTTGGCTCAAACCATATTTAATAAAAAGCAACATGTCTTGAATGATGACGGAGAAGGCGGCAGTCTCGGATCTCATCTCTCCCTCCCCTCTTTCTATTTCTCTCAACCAAACCTGCGAGAATCGCGCACATCAATATTTCACGCACACGCATACCTCACGAGATCACCTCTCCCGCCGTCGTGCTGCTGAAGCAATGCCGAAGGCCACTGTCGAAATGAGGCGGCAAAACCGCTCGTGCGACCAGTGTCGAAAGGCCAAGCGCGCATGTGATTTGTATTTACGCGATCCTCAGCATAACGTCAAGAGGCCAAATCCTAGTGTTGGCCGCGTCGGTAATGCCTCTCTCACGGAAAACTACCTAGGTAAGCGTCCAGTCATGCTCCCCTACTCTTTCTTCCACTATCCACTTGCGGTCGCCCGAGAACGCAGACTAATCGGTGTAATCAGAGAGCCTCACTGACGATAATGACACGCGCGTCTGGCCCTGCTCTTACTGCCGGCGTACTCAAAAGCAGTGTACCTTGAACTGGGTTCGAAGCCGGCTTCAACATGACTCTGCCGGTAGAGTGTCCGGTGCAGCGAGCAGCGGTGATGCGCACAGCAACGTGCAGCGCCAGTCCCTTCATCCCCAACCGCGAATCTCAAATCCTCCGATTGCACATGGTGGCGACTTTGGCGCCACTGGCCCGAGTAATATTCCCTGGGCGCCAACATCGACTCCCAGTCAGACTCCGCGAGGCCGCATCGAGACGAACTTTGCAAACGGCCTCGCCTCTCCTACCTCGCCCACCTTCGCTTCCCCATCCGCCAATGTCACCACCTTTGAGCCGCCCATGTATCCGTATTCTCAGCCTACCGAGATTGGAACTTGTCTCAATACTCAACCAATTCCGTATCAACCTCTCTTGACGGACTGTTCCTCAGTCACAGATATGACAACTCCGGACATGTATTCCCAACATTCATCGTCAGCTTCAGAGGATGAGGACACGAATGAGCTGTCATCATTCCAAGCTCAATCACATCGGACCACCGCTTTTCAACCGTTCACACCCGTCTCCAACTCGCACAAGAAGGAACCCCCTTCTGCGTCCCCAGTTGGTCTGGTCAGCACGGACACTGGTCTAATTTCTCCCTTTTCTACGACTCACGCCATGGTCATGAATGCCAACAAGAGGATTATTTCTAATAATCTCATCTCTATATACCGCAATGCCTTTGAACTCGCCTTAGCCTGCTGTCTGTCCCAAGAGGCATGTCCATACCAATTCAACGCCATTAGTCAACCGCCGACAAGTGGAATCAGCTGGTTGTCGTCTCGTTTTGAGAATGTTCGTCTTATCAATCAGTACGACCCGAAGAAACAGGCCAGCGGGGTCTATTTCCGTGTGTTCAAACTCGATAGAGTTGCCCGGGCAAACAATCTCATCAGGTTGACGGAAGCCGAAAACAGAGCCGCGTCTGAAGCACTTTACCTGGCGATTATGGCATTTGCCATTCAGTGGGCCCAAGGAAATCAGCGTGGGCATGAGAAGTATCCACACACTTGGGATTCTACCGACAACACGAATCCAGATCCTGTCGGTAATCTGAGCGATGAGTTTGATCGTACGCTGCAGAAAACCCTCTGGTTTCAAGCCAAGCGAGCCCTTCAGGATTGTGCGGACATTGAGTGCTTCAGAGTCATATGCGCTGAGTGGATAATGACTCTTGCACAAAAGCCAATGGAAGATGTTGATTTTGCATTTGACATTCCGGAGAGCACGTTTAGATCAAAAACCCCAATTGTTGGCAAAATGGGCACCATCACGTCACAGATCAGCAACATAATGGAGGCAGATGGACCACCGTGGTTCATCGAACGAGCTGCTCGTAAAATCCATACCCTCAAGTTCCGATACGATGCTCACAAGGCGTCCGTGGTGGCCTCACTAAAAGGTGGTTCTCCAAGGCTGATGAAAATCGCCACCGTCGAGCGGATTAGCAACGAAGATATGGGAACCTTCAATCTCATGTATTGGATGACCATCATGATTGATACAATATCGGCGGTCATCAATAACCGCCCAATTGTCATTTCGGATGCGGAGTGTCACCACGATTCAACATACCTCGGTCATCCCGAACTCGAGCAATTCTCCATCGACCACCGCCCCTATGACCCTGAATGGTGGGCTACAGTTTTTTCCCCAGCATACGATGACCGCCTCCTACGTTGGCCATGCTTTTACGAAACTGCCATCAAGGTTATTGTGGCAGCAACGCCAGTGAAGGTAGTTCTCTTTCGACACGTTTCGCATCTGCAAAATTCAATACGGAGTAATTTTCACGGCGAGTCTATTGAGAATATACTCTCGAATGCTATGGCTATCTACAAGCACTGGAATGTCACCTACAGTGCCTTCTTCCGGGATATGATCGACCAATACCATACAGTCCCAATGCAAATGCGGATTTGGTTTATTCACGTCGTCGCCTACTTCCACTGCGCAGCTCTGGTTCTTGCAGATTTAATCGAATTAGTCGACGAAAAGGGGCTTGGCCTAGAATATCCCTCCCAGGTCCGCGTTCGTCTTGGTGTGGTTCGGTGCTTAAGAGCGGATAGCACTACAATCATCTCAGATCTCGCACAAGCGTCGGAATGCCCACCAGCCACTGATGTTCCCGCTCTGAACTTTGATCTCGTCAAACGAGCCATCTTACCGGAGCCTTGGACAATGATTCTCATCAGAGCTTTCACCAAGGTTGCGACGATCCAACTGGCGGAGATGGAGGAAGCAAGCTGGAATAGCCCCGCCTCGCTGAAAACTCCCTCCTTTGTTGACCTGACAAGACGATGCGAGAATTGCATAAAGGCGCTCTACCATTTAGGAAGTAAATCGGATATGGCGCGAGCCATCGGTGCAGTTCTTTTATCAGCATTACGCCCGCATTTGGCAGAAGTACCCAAGCTCGAATGTTACACTGCAGGCTAATATGTGGCGAGTGTCCTTGATGATTGTTCCTTACGCATTTTTTTTTTACTTGAGCAGATGCTTAAGAGATCATGGTTAGATTAGGAAGCTGTGAGCGGCCCTGAGATCCCTCGCGCTATCGTTTGTACGTTAGACTAGGTCTGAGATTATCTCCTTGTTGTCAATCGGCTGAGAGATGGACATAGAGTGGCGCAGCTGCAAGTAAACTGTTGGGCTGTATTTGGAGTAAAAGCATTGAGATTTGATTCTTGCTAGAGGATTTGAATATTATTTTAGCCTCACCTCCACTCAAATTAAACTTAAGTATGAAGTTGTAAACACATGAGCTTTGGAAGAAATGTAATCTGACTTAGGGCCAGGGTGTGAATGAAATGCATGAATATTTGAAGACTTGCCATGAACTGGCTTTGGCCAAAGCCGGTACGGCCAGTTCAACAGCATTCGAATGCGAGCTGGCGCAGCCCAATGAGGCATCTGGTTGACACACACGCCCTTCAGGTAGGATCCCTGCATTCATAACCGAAGGGCGCAACAGACAAGGTCTTTCAGGGCTCACCAACCGGGTGTCTACTTATTTGATAATCCTCGAATCCGCTTTTGAGCTAACCGCGCCCTGTGACCGTACCACGCCTTGTGGATATTTCGCCGCGCCCTGTGGGGCTTTTGGGTGTTTGGGTGACGGCCAGATGAGGATGGATTTTACCATGTTTCAATCATCCCCGATATTTAACAAGTCTTATCGAGACTGCCAGGCACAGAATGTCACTACCATTAGCATAAGAAACTCAACATCAGTTCTTTTCAATCCGTCAACCTTTCAATCCGCCCAAAGCGTCTCACAGCCCGACCACAATATGAAGCTCGGGTTTCTAGGATTGGGAATGATGGGCACGCCCATGGCTCTGAACCTGGCTCGCAAGTTCCCCCTCGTCGTCTGGAATCGGAGCGCTGCCAAGTACCCCCCGTTAATAAAAGCGGGAGCGACGATCGGTGAAACGCCATCGAAGGTGGTTGAGCAGTCCAGTGTCATCTTCACAATGCTGTTTGATGGGCTTGCAATCCAGTCGATATTTAACGAAGATTTCAAGCAGGCATTGCGAGGGAAAACACTCGTCAACACGAGTTCTGTCTCGGTTGGTTTCAGCCATTCTCTAGCTCAGCAGGTCCGCGACGCAGGTGGTAACTTCATTGAGATGCCCGTCAGTGGTAGCAAAGTCCCTGCCGAGCAAGGAAACCTGGTCGGCATGATGGCTGGGGATCTAGCCATTGCCGAGAGCATCCGTCCTGTCTTGGAACCGATTACCAACGCCGCAGTCTACTGCGGCCCCATTGGATCCGGCCTCCAAACTAAATACGCTGTCAACCTCTATCTTGTTGCAATGACCGTCGGTCTCGCCGAATCCTTCAACCTCGCTCGAGCACAGGGTCTCAACCTCGAAGCTCTTGGAAAGGTGCTTGAAATGGGCCCCATGGCTTCCGCATACTCAAAAATTAAAGTTGCCAAGATAATTAAGCAGGATTGGTCGGCCCAGGCATCTATCAAAGATTGTCACAATAGCACCCAACTCATTCAATCAGCCGCCAAGGCGGCAAAGGTTCAATCGCCACTCTTGGAAACCTGCGGCTCGCTGTACGAGCAAGCCAAAAATTCGGGTCTTCAGGAGGAAGACATGATTGCTATTGTGAAAAAGTTTTCAAAATCGTGGTCTGAAGATGGAAGTAATGTAGAAAACAGCCAAATTCCAAAGGACATTTAAAGTAGCGTGTTTAAAGAAAACTTCGTGAGGTTCTCTCGGACACTTGGTGACGTAGGTTGGGGCACTAAATGCCCAAATTATGCAATCTTTTTATTCCTGGCAGGAAAAACATGGATTCTCTTTCTGTGCCTAAGTATTCATCTCTGCCACTGCATGTGTAATGTAGAGCAATGGCAGACCCTGAGTGGCTTCCCATCATTGCCGCGTTTCGATTGCTACCACGGACACGTGGATTTATAAAACGAGGGGATTGGAAAGACCAATCAGGCCAAAAGAAACAGTGAAAGGTTCAAGTACATAATGACCTTTCAGTGGGCTAACAAAGTAGAAATAATCGAGGAGCCAACGCCCCTCAGCTGGAGCTACAGGAGGCTGTCAAAGTCACAAGGCTTCTGCAAGGAGCAAAGACAGGCTACTGCTGATGGTGACAGATCTCAGGTCTATCACAGGTCGATGTGCGTCCCGCATAATTTTGGTGAGGATGAAGCATATGGAAATTAGCCCGTTAAGGTGGGTAATATTTCCCCAAATCGTATAGCCTGCTCGTAGGGCGTGCTCAAAGCTGGCCATCTTAGTTTAGGATGACAAATTCTCCACCAGCGCCCAAATGTCATGTCAAGAATAGGGCGTGATGCCATGTGTGGGGGTACCAACAAAAGTAACCCCAGCGAGCCTACAAATAACACACCTAACAGGCCGTAGTTATAGTAATAAGTAAAATGAAACAAATACCCCATTGAGGTTAAATACGGTCGCGAAATTCTCGAGCACGTTGCAGTTTTAACCCGACCCTGAGAATCGAAACTGAGCCTCGGACTCTTGGTGCAATGGAATTGAAGCCGGGCTTCACAAAGAACTCTCCACCAGAGGTGCAGATCAACATCACTCACCATTACTCATCAAAGACGTACACTTGCGGTTCTGCAGTTATCGGCATCGTCACTGTCACTCCACGAAAAGATACCCCCTTCGAACGAATCCGCATAAGCCTACTTGGGACGGCGCGTGTAACATGCTATGGCGTCCAATCTCCAAACACAGCTACTCATTACTTCCTTCGCACAGACATGCCGCTTCCCGCATCGACCTACCCGGACTCTATGATCTTTCGAAGCGGCAACACATACCCTATCCCCTTTCATTTTGTCATCCCAGATCGGCTCAGCACCAATGCCTGCGCTCATCGGGTCGAATCGCACCACATTCAACCTGCTCACACTCGTTTACCTCCAAGCATGGGTGATTGGGAGAGACACCACATGGGCCCACGCACATCTGAGATCGAGTACAGCATCCATGCGAGCGTCGTTGCGCTCTCTGAACCTCGCAAGAGGGGATCAAGAACGATGTGGAACAAGCATGTGATTAATGTGCTGCCATATTTTCCTGAAGATCCCCCACTCAACATCACCAAGTTAAACCTCCAATATGCTCTTGAAAAGTCAAAGAGAATAAGAAAAAACATTTTCTCGGCACCGGAAGGGCGCATAGGCGCAGTTGCAGTGCAGCCGAAGGCTATTGGTCTCGATCCCGATGGATCTGACTCGAGTGAATCTACACTCTGGATGAACCTGACATTCGAACCACAATCTCCCGATATCCCTCCTGTGGCGATTAAAAACATCTCTGCAACCCTTCAGATACAGACTTGGTCTCGGCAAACGCCAAATATCGCGTTTCCTAACCTAGGCCTCTTGCGCGATGCGTACACAGATCACATTTCTCTCATTTCCCGTCAAGAGGTCCAGGCATACTGGATGCCGTCTACCAAGGAAACAGGGCCGGGTCTCGAGCACAGCTCGCCAATCTCATATTCATCAGCTGTCAGGGTTCCCTTCAAACTCCCCACGTCAAAAAAGGTCTTCCTTCCAACATTTCACACATGTTTGGTTTCCCGGACGTACAAAATCGACATAGTCCTGGCTGTTGGAAATACAAGCCTCCGTTTTACTGTACCCATTCAAGTTACGATGGAACACAGAGGAGATAAAATCAGAGATCCTACTCACGCTTGCCACTTGGAAAGTACTGGAATAAGCCCAGGCTTAGGGATGAGGGAGAGTTCTTGCTTGGAAGACTTGTGGCCACTTGTTTCCAGACCCTCCAATGATGATGTCCTGCCAAGTTATTCTGACTAAGAATTGTATGCAGTGATACAGTAGGCTGTCAGTAAAACCACTTGAAGTATCTTGCAGTTGTGAGGCAGTCACAATGATACGTGCTAGTTGGATGATAACTGAATAAAATACAAATCTTAATAACAGTCATGAAGTCTTATGCTAGACGGTGAAATAGAGTACAGCTATGGCATTTCTCCTCAAAGGAATAGCGTGTATCTAGTATAGTAATAATAAGTAAATATGCAGTCTCTTATAAGTAGTGAAATCAAAATTACTAATTTAAGATCTGATGTACACCATTGCATAATTTCATTAACATTTCCTGCAGCTTCTATTAGCTTAAATCTAACTATTTTCTGTTTCCGGTAATCCGCTGAATAATTAGTCTACTTTAGTTAAGATCGTAACGCTCATGAACTTCGGATCACGTCCTCGTTTTGATTTATCAGCGTACACTGTAGGGTAGCAATTCGCTCTCCACGCTGATTTAAATATTTTGCTTCCGGTTTTGACAAATCAATTCTGTCATACTCTACCCTCTTCTCACTCTATCAGATACCGCCCAGGAAATTCTATCTCGAATAGAAATCGTTGGGCTAGTAATGGTCATTTTTTCCAAGTTACAGACTCACCTTTGTGCCATAATATCTGGGCCGTCGTTGCAGCTCTACACTATACTGAGCAGGACCGGTGATATTATCTTAGGATTAGCCGCTCGATGAAAGTGCCAAAAACACGGGCACTAGATCTTAATGCTCATTGCGGCGAAAAATATCACAGAATTGGGTGATTGGGTTTTTATCCACTTTCATGCTCGTGACGAGAGTTGGACTCAGTCGGGTATAGTGACAACACACTTGCGACAATGCGGTTAAACTGCTAAGAAAAACCGCTTGAGTGACGAATCGGCTCTGTCTTTCCTGATCGGAGGCCACGTGTTTCTGGAGCAGGCCTGTTTATCCCACCAAGGTCATTGGAGGATTTGGTTCCACCGGCCAAAAGTCATCCGATGTTCTTACCGAGGGGGTGAGGTCTTGATCATTCAAATACACTGATCAATGCGTTATTTAGTAGCACCATCGATGCGAGATTAAAGCAGTTGCTTCTGAAATCCTACTGAATGCTTTGGAACCTGCGATTTCAGATAGCCTCAACCCCTGTCTCGTTCTCGCCAACTGCTAAACGAATACGGCGATCAATCTCGGTTACTCATTCTGGGCCGAGTTTATGACTGACCGCTCCTGAACCGTTTTAATACACGCGGAAGTGTCGGAAATACCGACCTCAAGGTTTCTCGTCATGTGTCCCGAGCCTAGCACTATTGGCACACCGGCCGATGGAGAGGAGGGAACAGCAGCAATCGAAGCTGAGGTGAGAGGCTCTGGTCTTGTCCATAAAAGTCCCGCTCCACATTGAGAGTGCCCTGGGCTTGTTCTGATGACGGTGATCACAGACTGAACCTGATAACGACACCTTCTCCAACTACGCCAGCGATGTGTCTGAGACTACTAGCACTACTTCCTCTGTGAGAAACTACGTGTACGAGAATGGGCGCCGCTACCACTCTTATCGGGCTGGACAGTACCTGCTTCCGAATGACGAAACAGAGCAGGATCGCCTGGACATGACACATCATGTATTTTCCCTCACGCTGAATGGTGATCTTTGCAAAACTGAACTCGACAATCCACAATCAATTTTGGATATTGGTACAGGTACAGGGATCTGGGTAAGTAAAAAGAGGACAGTTTAAATTTTGACTACGTGCTAAACCAAACCCTAGGCAATGGACATTGGTGACGCATACCCCTCGGCAGAGGTGATTGGGACTGATTTGAGCCCGATCCAGCCGGAATGGTAATTTGGATAAACTTTTATATTACTTGACATATTCTAATGCTTCCAGGGTACCACCAAATGTTCAGTTTGAAGTCGATGATGCTACATTAGATTGGACATTCCCTCCGGATAAATTTGACTTCATCCACGCCCGTACGCTGGCAGGCGCAATCCAGGACTGGCCAGACCTGGTTCGCAAGTGTTATATACACTGCAAGCCAGGTGGACAAATTGAGGTCTCCGAGGGCCGTGCCAACTTCTTCTGCGACGACGACACGCTTGATAAAAGTTCCAAGACATGGGAGTGGCTTTCCGAATTTCGAAGACTGAGTGAGCCTTTGGGATTCGATATTGCACCGAAATTGCCCGATATACTCAAAGCAGAGGGTTTTGAAAACGTCGAACTGACCCAAAAACACGTCCCCTTGGGAACCTGGCCAAAAGATGCCAAGTTGAAGGAGATTGGTCGAGTATTCAGGGTACAGTTTCTAGAGATGGCCATCGAGGCATATTCCCTCGCGCTCTTCACAAGGTTTGGTCAGTGGACCAGCGAAGAGGTACAGGTGCTTCTGGCAATGGTGAGAGCGGAGCTCAAAACGAACAAGATCCACTTGTATACCTATAGGTAAGTCTTTCGCAGCGTTCCGGAACTCGAGTTTTCTAATTTTGCGATAGCGCATTTGTTACGGGAAAGAAACCGCTGGTGAAGGACCGAGCTGGGGAAGATGTCGTAGCATAGAGTCTATAACCGCGATGTCACGAGAAGGACGTCCCGCCCAGAGAAGATATTGGCAACCGTTGAATACTATTATGATTCTTATGGCATTCCAAGACCGGTGTTAAGAAGCTCGATGGGGACATGAAGTGGTATACATGAGTTGGCAGGAATGAGGCTGCCGATAGCTTAATGCAAGACGTGAGGAGAATTGATTTCTGCGCTCTATGGTATATTATCGAAACATTCTTGTGCCCACCTTGAAGTCGTCGATGGAGTACTGCGTTGAGTGTCATCTCACAAAGAACCTCATGTGCATCTATTGCTGAGTATGGAACGGCGGCTCAGATGATACTACCGTCACAGTCCGAGTAGAGACCTCTCCTCCACACAAGGATGAGACAGCATCGAGTAGTAAGAAGATTCATAGTTCGCACAACCTGGTAGGTCAAGGCTATGGTGATTATGAAGCTACGGGAATCTTCACCATCCAAGGCCTCAAAAGCTAAACGTTGCCGATAATAAAATAACATTCGTTGAAAAATTGTTACTTTTTTCTCCCATTTCCTTCGTATAAGTAAACTGTATCTAGAGTGATATATACTACTTACCTCCTTTAAAATTGACATGATCTATCAAAAGTGCAAACCATAGCTTTCAAACGAGTCCTTAACACTGTCCAGGAAAATGCCGTCTAGCATATTCTGCTGGTCACCCAGGAGCCCAAATCCTATGTCTGAGCTCAAACCCAAGCTAGGATCATCCTCTGCTATGTGGATGTGATCTACGCCCTCAGCATCAACTACTTCGAGCGAGATGTGCTCCACCTCATCCTCATTATTCTCTAGTGGGTTAGGCGCAGCTTGCGCTTCGTTGAAGGTTTGAAGTATTTGCTGAAAGACGCCTTGGGCAAGTTCAACGATCCTGTCAGGAGTGAGCGATTCTTCAATTACTTGATCGAGCATGCTCTCGAGCCTCGGCCGCATCAGTCGAGGAAGTTCCCTTCTGGCATGGTCTCCAAGATCTCTCACGAAGGATGCAGAATCACTGCCTGAGTCGCGTCTTTCTCCCAGCTGCTCAAAAGTGAAATCGTGATCTAAGTTGATATTAATATTTCACTGGAAATGAATTCCAACCAACTTACAGGGCGACGGAACCAAGTCTTCATCCGGGAATATAATTTTGTATACTCCAATCCACTTTTCCTCTTCCGACAAACCCCCACGCGGTCGTTTTCGTGAACGAAGTGCTTGGAACTGGTCTTCATTGATTCCATCCTGAGATTCTTCAGTCTTCAACTCGCAGGGTTTATCAGCCCGTTGATGGTCAAGGAGTTGATTTGATGTTCTGAAGTCCTGGCAACAGCGCCCACACTTGAACTTAGGTAAACGGTGCTTCCGGTACACGTGCTCTCTATGCCAACGTCAGCAGCGAACTCGAGTTTGCCTCGTTGTGAACTCACTTGACTCTGTGGACAGTAAGCCAGCCCCCCAAAATACAACCTCGGCAGTCTCGGTATTTCTCTGGATTGTACTTCAGGAAAGGACAGGCAAACTTTCGAGAACTCGATTCGGTCTCCAAAAGATCCGGCACTCCGTTCTCATGCCCGTCACCATCTTCGCCCAGTTCGTCGTCTGGGCGGTTGGGTCGTTGACACGTTCCAATACCGAAAACTGCCTGCTCTGACTGGCTGGTCTGTTGCAACGACGACATTCGGCCACTGTCAGCTGACTGGCCGTCGCCATTACACTGGCGCGCAAAAAAATCCAGTCTTCTCTCAAACCAAGCCTTGCATAGCCTGATGATATGCTGGATTATCATCTCTTTTCTTGAGGATACCACGGCCGATAGACAGGTAGCACTGCCAGAACTGGATTGGCTCGCGGTGCTCTCTGTAACAGAAATCACACCGCTATCTCCACACATTGAACCGGTAGAAATGTTGTCAAATCCATCTTCGCTTGCATTCCCCAAGTCATGATGTGCGCCTGGGTCAACATTCAACGCGCTGGGGGAGGACATATCCAATTCACGGCAAGTACCACTTTGGGTGTGACCTGTATCCTTAGAACTCAAATTACTTGGAATTCTTTCGTTGACGATGTTTTTGGGATCAGATACGCTCAACATGTCGAGACAATTAAGAATGCTCGGGTCCTGCTTTCGTTTAGAGGCATCTCTTTCTCTACGCATCAGCTTGAGTCACTACTGAGGGAGAACTTTAGCTTACTTCGCAAAACTCGAAGAATCATTCGAAACCAACTCAAGATTCCTGTCAGCCGAGAGTTGGACGCAATGACCCATCATGTCTGGATATGAGTGGATGGGATTTCGTGAGTGTGTCGTATTCCAAGTTTTCTCATAATCCGCCTTCGTATTTCCAACATTTTCAGTGTCATTCACAGTTGATAGGCTGTTATGGTCAACTGTATACTGAAGCAGAGATTCTTTAGACCCAGTCTGACGATCCAATCCTGTTGCCGATGAAAGCGCGGTGGTATTGAGGTCAGCTCCGGCTCTTTCAACATCATCAGTCTTTGGTTTTGGTGTTTTCTTATATATGCAGAGTGTGTTCAAGTTAATACAGGAAGTGCAGGGTTTGACGCCATTGCAATTCAATTGTTTTCGTTGCTAATATGGAGAGTGACTTATTAGTACTGAAACGGGTTGAAACTGAACCAAGCACGTACACAAATGAGGCACACTTTATCAGCGTTGATTGATGTCGTGTTCGCGGTAGATTTTGTTGTGTTGCTCTCTGCATCTCGGGAGGCAACGCTCGATTTACTCATAGTTGTAGGAGGATCTTCGGTCATGACTCGGCCGTGATCGGCGTGGAAGGATGATGTGATTATAGCGGTTTGAACAGCGCCAGGCATTGGAAATTGCCGCGGAGAAGGTGAGCGAGCGAGGGGTCGAGAAACCAAAGGATGAGAAACCAAGGGATTGCTAGTTGATTTTGGATTTGAAGAGGCAGCGCTTGCTAGAAGCGTATCATCTCGAAGGGGAATAGGATATTCAACAGTGGACCTTATTGAAGGAATCGCTGTGAAAGCATCCTCCTCGTCACGAAAACTTTGAAGCTTGCGTTCGTGGTCTCCCTTCATCCAAAAGATCTCTTGCTTCAAAGCGTGCATTTTACTGCCAATTTCCTCAATCATACCACTCCGGTCACCGTCACGCTGCCGCTGCTGGACATCACGGAACATCTTGTCGTACTGGCGCTGCTTGGCCTCGGTGTCGTGACAGAGGCCACACACGTCGGGATAGGCCCACGTCTCACGGATGAACTCTTGATCACACATGACGTGTATCAGCTGCTGGCTTTTGCACTCCTGTCGGAAGTAGCGCCATCTCCAACCGCATGTCCAACGAAATTCATCATAATAGCACATTGCGATGATGATGAAAAGAAAGTTGTGGGGTTTCGTTAGGCTAACGAATGAGTGAGGGAAGAATGAAAGGGTTCATTCGCGATTTTCAAGGAGAGTCAAGTTTTTGGAAGAATGGATTGTATTATTTTCTAGAAGAGGGGAATTATCAGATCAGAATGCGCAAATGCGCAAAACGCAGGTCTGTCAGTAGTAGCCTGGGTATACCCAAACGCCACTGTTACACGCAGTAACTACCTAGTCTGCTTTAGGAACAACACTACGCCCATAAAAGCTTAAGACTGAATAAAAAGCCTATCTTGTTTTAAATACGTTCGATTTATTTCAACTACAAGTGGCATATCGTGAGCATTTTGGCAGCTCTCTGGTCTTTAATCAGGAGTTGCCTGATCCTCGTCGGTTCGGTCAGGCTGACACATAACGCAAGTTTCACTCGTTGCCTTTTCAGCTCTAAGCTGCACGTCAGCCCAACCATGGCAGCTTACCTAACTAACCATGACCATGCATTAGGCACCAATCGATTTTATACCTCAACACTCCAGCGTGGTTACTCCTGGAACTAATATCTATCTAGGTACACTCACGTACGACTCGCTCATCAGTCCATCTTTACTGGAATATTGCATATCCTATCCCACTTATTCATTCCACCGGAGACCTGTGGAGCACGCGTTAGCAAGCAACAAGATGCCAGACCCCCTTGAACCCACGAGGCCGGCAGCCAATTCCATTCGGAATAGCCGCGAAGACCAATCAAATCGCATTCAATATGTACAACCAGACTTGAAGGCTATGGAGTTTGAAGAAGCGATCAAGTTAATATCCTCTCCACGCCCACGCGACGGGGTAGGGATTGCAACAATGTTAAACCACTTTGAAACTGAACTCGCTAGTCAACCCCCAAGTCTTGCTGCAGGAATTAAGCACGGGGAGTTATTCTTCATTGAAGATCACATTAAACTTGCTAGGATATCACTCAACGCAATGCCAGCAGACCACCCCGATAGGGCAATGTTTCTAGAAGAGCTCAGGGACCAACTCAAGAAGAGACATCTAATAACAGGGAGCAAGTCAACCCTTGACGAAACCATCGAAGTATCTCACCAAATTGTCGACATCAACGCGGAATTTCTTGACCCAACGACAAATTTCATTCATCTTGCGGATCAGTTGGCCACCAGATATATATCGACGGGAGATGCGGCCGATCTTGACGAAGCAACTAAGTTTGCAAGGCAAGCAGTTCAGATGACTCCCGTCCAGCACTCAGACCGTGCTATTCACTTGAATGCGCTGGGAGCCATACTTGGTCACCGATTTGAGAAGACACTCGCTGTCGCAGACCTCGACGAAGCCATTGAAGTACTGATGGAAGCGACAAAGGCCACTCCAGACGATGATCCATCACGGGCGATGTATTGGAACAACATCGGAATATTGCAAGAGAGGTACAGCAAAGTCGGAAAAGTCGAAACGATTGCCCATACTGAGGAAGCGATTCGCTGCTATCAATCTGCTTTACGTCAACCCAATGCACCTGCGATCCATCGCATTGAAGCGGCCATGTCTCTGATGAATATTGCTCCCAGTTCAGACTGGAATCGAGTGTATGAGTCTTCAAGCCTTGCCGTCAACCTTCTTCCGCTCTTAGAACGAGGTCCGGTCGACAACTGCGATAAACTACGTCTGCTCTGTCAAATGTGTGGTCTCGCTTGTGATGCGGCTGCGGCAGCGTTACATGCCAAGAAAGGGCCATTTTGTGCTCTGAATCTCCTCGAGCAAGGGCTCTTTGTGATTGCTTCGTCTTTCGAGGAGACGCGCAGCACTGTCCCCAGCCTACAAGAGAAATACCCCGGGCTAGCCTCTCGGTTTCTTGATCTTAAGGATCAGCTTGACCAACTTCTGTACGAAAAGGTTCTTTCTTGGGACGAAATCCGTATGTCCATCACAAATCCCAACACAAACGGCCATGGCATCGTGGGAAGGCAACCAGAACAACCCAAGCTACCCGAGCACTTGGTTCCATTTCAGGACTCATTCAAACAGATGGTGGATATGGAGTTCCTTACTTGGGAAGATGTTACTCGCCATTATTCAGGGCACATTGACGCAAACCCGGATGACAGTCCAAGGAATGAGTTTGAGCAACTTCTCGGCGAAATTCGCCAAAGACCCGGCTTCGAAGACTTTTTACTTCCCCTCAATCAAGCAGGCATACAGAATGCCGCAACAGAGGGCCCAATCGTTGTTATCAACGTCAGCAAATACGGCTGCAGTGCCCTCCTGGTCGAGACTGATCAATTACGGTCCTTGCCATTGACCGGTCTTTCCGTAGGGGAAATCGAACGGAAATTAGAACAGGGTAATCTGGGAAGCCCAAGTGTACTTGAATGGCTGTGGGATACCACGATGGCTCCCATCATGGATGCTCTTGGGTTTACCAAGACTCCCCTTGTCGATGATTGGCCTCATGTATGGTGGATTCCTACCGGGCCACTCAAACACTTCCCACTGCATGCAGCTGGCTATCACAGCAAATTTTCAGCCGAGACAGTACTCGATAGAGTTATGTCATCGTATATATCTTCTATCAAGGCCATTACGCACGGCCGGCAGCGTCAACTCCAACCGTCTACGTCGGACAAGGCATTGCTTGTGGCCATGGAGCATACACCAAATAGCTCCCGGCTTCCTTTCGCGAAAGACGAGGTGTCGATGTTGCGCAAGCTCTCTGAATCGATGGCTCTGGACCCCATCGAACCGGAACGACGCAAGGCAGATATCATGTCGCATTTGTGGAACTGCAAGATATTCCACTTTTCTGGTCACGGCTACACTGATAAAACCAACACGTGGAAGAGTCAGCTACTTCTGGAAGACTGGAAGGATGACCCTTTCACTGTGGCTGATCTTCTTGAGATGAATCTCCGAGATCGCTCGCCATTTCTTGCCTATCTTTCGGCCTGTGGGACCAGTCAGATCAAGGACAGTAGATCCGTGGATGAGGGTATGAATCTGATCAACGCATATCAACTAGCAGGGTTTCGCCACGTCATAGGAACCCTGTGGGAGGTCAACGACGAGCTTTGTGTAGACATGGGGAAGCTCACTTATGAAGGGTTGAGAGATGGAGGCATGACTGACAAGTCGGTGTGTCAAGGACTCCATCGGGCCACTCGACGGCTTCGGGATTCTTGGGCTGGGGTGTATACTAATGACAGAGCTGAAGACTCGGTCGTGGAGTCGAGCAGACCCTTGGGAGAAAAAGGAACGACCTCGAAAGGTGCTGGGTGTCAGGGATCAGGAGGTGTAAGAATCGCAAGAGATGCAACCGTGTGTGACTTTAATGAACCTGAGATAGCTCATTGGGTTCCCTATGTTCATTATGGTATATAATGCCTTAGTGTAGACACTGCCCGTACTGAGGGGTCATCGTAAATATAGTTGAAGGCGATGGCAAATATGTCCAGAAGTGCGGCCTTTTTTCTTGCCGACAAACACAGCTCGACATGGCGAGAACCAGTATCTCAATAGTTTACACATCCGTTGCCACGCATCAGCGTAGGATGGAGTGAAAACTCAAACTGGTCTCTGTACATCGGTAACAACTCCGGGTAATACAACGTAAGCGCTTGCGGGAGTGGCCCGCCTTCATTTTCAGCTCCTCATTCGATATCAACGATGGCATTATCAGCAACAAAGTGAGCATATCAACAAGACCCAAGGATCGCTGCTTACTCAGCCAGGTACTCACCAACCAGCTGAGGTTGTCGGTTCGAACCCCACAGTGAAGAACAATTCATCACAGCTTCCTCGCATTTGTTCAACCCCGCAGATAATCATTCTCACCGTTTCTTGGTGGCGTGATGGCTCAGTTCACCAAGGCGTTGCACAATGTCCGACATGGTTGAAATGTCTCCAGCGTCTCGCGACGAATACAAATACATTCCCATCGAACAGACCCATTCAATCCGACTTCTGGAGTTGCAACCCGCTACGTCGTGGCAATCACCAATCGAGGTCTCGCTCCGTGAATACTCTCTTGACGCCTGTCCGGAATTCGGAGCCTTGTCATACACGTGGGCAACAGAAGATGGGGACTCTTCTCTATCGAAATGTCTCGAGTGCGGCGGAGGCATCATCAAAATCACCGCAAACTGTGAGGCGGCACTGGTGAGACTTCGCCAATCTGAAGAAGTCCGCGTCCTCTGGGTCGACGCAATCTGCATCGACCAATCCAACGACGCCGAAAAGAATCTTCAGATTACTTTGATGCGTCAGATCTACAGCCTAGCCACTTGGGTTGGCTTGTGGCTTGGCGAAGCATCGACGGCGGTCGATGAGCAGACTTCCAAACCACTTTCAGAGCTGGGAATGACTTTCATGCATGATTTCGCAGTCGAGATTGCGGAAAGAAGCAATTCTGGCCAGACTCCGTATGGAGGAGAGCTGTATCAAGAGTTCATCGGGGATCGAAGGGCGTTCCAAGAGCAGGGCATGGAAGTTTTCACCCCCCGAGTTCAAGGATTCTGGGACGTATTGCACCGACCCTGGTGGGAACGCCTGTGGGTTGTTCAAGAATTGGCTCTTTCACAATCAGCCCATCTCATGTGCGGAGGTTCGTCCGAGTCATGGCACAACCTCACGGTTGTTATTGACGGACTGGTGAAAAGTGACGGCCAATCGGTTGAGGTTTTCGAGTTCATCGCCACTTTCATCACGAGCGCCTTTCATCAGATTCACATGGCTAGTTTCGTGGATAGGAACCAACCAGACAGCATTCCGTCTCAACCCCCGACTCCAGGGACAAGGGCTCTCGCCATTCTTAATGCCACTCGCAATACGCGCGCGACTGACCCGCGGGACAAGATATACGGCATCCTCGGCTTTTTTGGTGACGCAGAGTCTGATCCAGAAAACATATTTCCTCTGCCAGACTACACGAAGACGGCGGCGGAGCTCTATGCCGATGTATCTCGGTCGATCATTGCAAACACCTGCAGCCTGGATGTCATGAGCTCGTGTTACGGCTTTGTCAAGTCAGCCGTCCCCGACCTGCCGTCTTGGGCGGCGGCTTGGAATGACACTCCACTCAAATACTTCGACGAAGGTCCTTTCAACACTTCTAACGGGTCGTCTGCCATATACGAAGCTTCCGGGGACAGCTGGTCTCTGCTGAGGATCAAAGGAAAGAGAGTCGACTCTGTCAAATTCCCAAGCCCAACACCCGATGAGATTCACTACGACAACCAGATCATGACTCAACTATGGCGTCAGTGGACCGAATTGGCTTTTTCACTACCATCCTACCCGACTGGTGAAGCCATAGCAGATGTCTTGCTTAACACGCTGTGCTGGGGAAGTAATCTGGCACTGGACCGTCTAGCTCCAGGAGAGTACCGGGAAACATTCGACGCCTGGCTCAAAATTCTAAGAAGCCCAGATACCTTGGAGGTCGCCTCGGAGAAGATCTTCACGGACGAAACAGCCTACACATACTCTCGGCGGATTTCGTTTCTGACTTGGGCCCGGGTTTTGGGCACCACTACAAACTCAAAATTAGCCCTGCTGCCCATGTCGGCCGAGGTTGGCGATGAAATCGTCATCTTTAATGGCGGGAAATTGCCATTTGTGGTAAGATCTGAAGGGGACAATTTCAAGGTTGTAGGGCCTTGCTATGTACACGGTATCATGGATGGGGAGGCCTTTCCGATGAATGAGTCAGAATCTGGAGAATGGTTTAGTCTTTGCTAGGGAATTGAATAGTGCCTCGAGACTTGTAGTTGGATACTTCCCTGCAAACTTCCTCGTGGCTTTGCCTAAAAATGGTCAACTAGAACAGCCATGCGATAGCCTACTATAGACAATGTTGACAGCCACCACCGAATACGAAGCCCAGGAGTGCACTTTGGATATTACATGGGTCTCTTATCAGCTACTTGTTTCTCGCATCCTCTGGAGTTGATGCCTCATGGAACAGCATTGTTTTCGCATCTTGTCGTCGTTGAATGCCAGCTCATCAGAGATATCATCGATCACCTTTCTCGCTCGTGTCTGCCTCGCAGTCACACTTTACCACCGCTCTCTTCCTAACCTAGCCAATTACCAGAGTTACCAGTTCAACTCCGTCCATCATGAGTAGCGAATTGACCAAGGCCTGCATGCTCTTTGTGGATACTCCAACATCTGGATTGAGACACAAAAGTTCGCTACCTTGTGCTATAATGAGGTACCCGAGCTAAAATATAACAAGTATGAGCCACTGAAGGACAAAGCCAGCGTTCAACTTCTTCTGTAGTCAGAAACGAAGACACGACGGCCCAAATCTCAACCGAGCCATCCAGCAGCATCGCAGCGCCGGATTGTGGACAGGTGGGCAAGACCAGAGACTGGCAAATGACCATGGAACCTGGTGTCCCAACGAGGCGGTGGCAAGGCACTTGTTCGCCAGGCACGCAAAGGGGAGTGGCGTTCTTCTGGTCTCCGCTGCGCGAAAGCAGACGATTACAGTCGCCGCCACACAGAAGATAGATGAGCGGAGGGCCTTTTGCGAGAATCCGCGCGTGAATTTTAGTTTGTGTAAAGCGAAGATGTACCATCACATCAACACTCGCAGCCGCATTAATTTCAAGGTTTCCCAATAGGAGAAAGAAGTATTCTGTCGTCGGTGCGGGCTCGAATGTCACTCCATATAAAAAACCCCTTGTGAAAGGTACTGCTTCGAGGGCAGTGCCGAAGATCAAAGCCGCCTTATCAGCTTGACTAGGAATCTAGGTAACAAACAATACGATCCACCTGAATAGCTCCATCTTCAATAATTGCTTCTATTTTGCGAAATGGCCTCGTTGGAATCTGGTTTTGCCTCATAACTTTCACGCCCTCTCAACTTCTTTATTTATCTAGCCTCCTCGAATACCCTGCTTGCTCCCTGTTCTTCCCACTCTCCAATCATTTCTTGAGCATCTAGAGGATCCAGAGGAATGTATTTTCGTGTCTCCCAATCCATTTGCCGTCCTGTTTCCAGGTTTGAGGCTTCAATAGCCTTAGTCAGCCTAGTGAGATCCTTCCATTTAGAGGGCTATATTAAGCCGAAAGATGTGACTGAATCCAGACTTCCCTACTGCTCCCATTGGATATGATCTGTTTTTTTCTTCTTGGTTGCGAAGAAACACTTTCCTTTCTTTGATCGGGATTCTTGGACCAACAATACCGATGTATGGCTAAAAACTACTTACCCCATCAAGACCCTTGTGATAGACCAATAAATGGTGCATGTAGCGAAAAAGATTTATCCTCATTTGGCCAAGTCGATGACACTTGCAGGGCATGGGCTGACACGTCGCGGGGTACTTATCTCCATATCACGCTCTTCTCCTGTCCGTCTGTCATTTTCATTTTTCTTCACTTTCAAAGAACTGTGTTGCAGAGATGTCTACCACACTCCCATATCTTCACAAAAAGCCAACTTTCTCTATGCGGACCAAAAAGAAATGCCCACAGTGTCAGATTCAGTACCAAATCAAGCACACATGCCCTGGTCGAGGGCACAAGAAGGGCTTCAATAAGCCGCTGAAAAACCTGAACAGTGACCAGAGCGATTTGGTGATGTTGATCGCGTTTCTTGGCGGCAAGGTCCCAATTAAGTTACTAGATCGGCTGAGGACCAGCAAATTGATATGGGGAAATGGCGGCGATGTCCAGCTCAAGGCTTATGGCGACGTGCCTGTGGTTGCAGATGAAAGCCGCTTTAAGAAAGCCATCCAAGTCTTGAAAGAGGGTACCATTCTTTCTACTGCAGAGCCGGGTCTCTTATCGATCAATCCCGAACTTCTTCAACGCATCATTACCCAAACAAACCAACAAAACTATTGGAAGCTGCAAGCTTTGATGGCTGTAATGCACGCCTTTCCAGAGCATCGACATCTTGAGCCAGCATTGTGAGTTTCATTACCAAGCCCAGATTATCGCTAATCACATCCACCAGTTACTTTGCCACCGTGAACAGTCTTCTCCCTCTCTTGCAACACGTTTTGACCTACATTGGTCAGCAAGCTGTTGGCTGCAACCTTGACCTTTCTCAGACTTCTGAGATTGTCAATGTTTGCCTGTCCAGCTCCTGTTTTCTCAACATGGGCTGGAAAGAAAATGTTCTCGGCGTTGCTGAAGGATTGTTGACTCTCCATGGCCAAACTTGCTCGAGAATCCGATTGCGAAGGATGGCGCTAGCACGCATTTCGATGAAGCAGGCAGAGACACAGATCGACCAGGTTCGAGCATTGATAACGGATAACCACCCTCATGACAAGCGATCCAATGCCCATTTTGCAGAAATGTTGCTGTTCGAGGCACGTTTGTTGGTCGACCTTGAGCGGCATTCGGAAGCCCTCTCTGTGTTGAGCACCTTCAAAGTACGGGATCCTTGGGACATCTCAAAGTTGGAACAGATTCAACTCAGCGAAATGACTTTCCTTCGAGGGCTAATAGACCGTTATGATGGAAACTTCATAGAGTCTCGGGTTTGTTTCTTGCAGCTTCTTGGGCAGTTACCCTCACCTCCAAAAATAATGACCCAGCTCAGCGCAGTATCTTGCGAGATTGGCCAATTTCCGTTCGCCATAGCCTCTTTGATTGACGAACTCAGATCACTAGCGAGATCTGGTTATCCCAAAGATGGCCAGAATGTCCGTCGCTTGCGACTATCGCTCGCGGAAGCCTATCTCATGAGTGCTGTGAAGTTGGTAGCCAGTCAATGGGAGGACATCAAGGAGCACAAGATCTCCCTCCAAGCTTTGGAGCTGATTGGTAAAGCAAGAGAGCAGATTGAAATCCTGCGCAGGCACTTAGAAAATGCCGATAATCTCCAGAAAGCCGGCATAATTAACAGATTCCGCATTTCCTTAGTCGCCGCGATCGCAGAGCATCTCGCCGGCGACCCTCTTTGTGCCGTTTCACGCTGGAATGAGGCACTGGAGTTTTCACACACGTCTTGGCCGGACAGCTATTCAGACATGATCATCGCATATTCTAAAGCCGACTTGATGTACAGGCTTGGGGAGCAGGTTGCAGCTCTTGACTTGGAGCAATTTGCTTTTAAGCTCCATTCGAAAACTCGACGCCGGTACCATTTCACTGGCTTTGGAACAATTTGGCCTGAATGCGTGGGGATCTCGATGAGAGTGCGTCACGGTAGACTTCCTTTGTATAACTATTAATGATATGTGTTACTGTCTGCCAATGTTGAAGCGTGTGATCTTGGTGCAAAGCCAAGGCTTCCCCGACTAGATAAGTCGACCCAGTTAAGATTTAGCCGGAACTTCGAGTGGACGGTTCTCTCATGACAACTTCAGCTCTATGCACTTGGAATATGCACGGCAACCCCTGTCACGATCAATGCAATTCAAAGAGAAGCCGTGTTGTAGAATTGCCAGTATTCATTCTAGAAATATTGGTGTGGCGATGCGAATTTACGCGATTGATGAACTTTGAAGTTAGTCCAAAAGCTTTCGACGCCGGCGAAAAGGGCAAAAGATGGGGACACAGGGCCCAAACTATTGTCCTCAATCCCAAGCCCTAGGTCACGTGAACATAAGCCCAAGGTGTTTGCGCCTCAGCCGGACGATCATCCTGATCCCCCTATTATCAAGAGGTTAGGGTGCCCTAGTACACATACCCAGAGGGGGGGCTAGAAGCTCAACAGTAAAAAAACAACACCAGCAATAGTATCAACAATACAGACCATATACCCAGTCCATTCAAAGATCAACAGTACACTCAGACAGACTAAGGTTTCCAGTCCAACTGATTACCTTTCCCAATACCTCGATGAGCGTCCCCCTATTATAATCTTGCGATTCCCGCTCTTTTCTATCTTGTGCACTACAAAGTATTCTGTTATCTTCCACCGTGGTTAGAACAGAAGCTCAAGCCTGGCTTGGTAGTCCTGGTTCTCGTTTGGCCCGAAGTAGCTCTCGTCCAGAAACTTCTACTAGATAAAATCAAATGTTCAGCCCTTCCTAGCCATGCAGCTAAGTATCCACATCTGCCTTTCCCAGCACTTCTGTATATATTGAGAGAGAGGGCCGTTCTATTTCTCCACTGCCAGTCAGTAACATACCATTGGCCTTTGCGACCAAAATCAATTGCTGCTATCTCATTCTCCTCGGCTTCCCACACGCGTAAAAAAAGTCTAAAGCCGAGGCTCCATCCGTAGTATCCGCCAGTTCAATACCCCAATACTGAAACCAGCTACAATATGCATTCCAACATATGCTATCCACCAGTACCAAGCCTGGTTGCTGTTAGTCTCCAATTTCGGCCTCCCTTCTTGAGACCTTGTTCCGATCATAGCGCGATACAGTCATCAGCTAATCATCTTGTTAGTATTATGTGTGTATCAAAGGGGAGAAGGGGGGGAAATAAGATATTAAAGATAAAAAAAAGCAGTGTAGTTGCCCATGACACTGCAATATTGGATGCAATATAAATTTAGAGTAAGGAAATAGCTTTAACTTAAGCTACCTAGTAGATTGGCGGTCTGACCCCGGTATCGCACTAAGATCGCAACAGGGTCTCGAGAAGGGAGGCCTCCAATTTTGACTGATCCTCATTAAGGGTGGGTGGAATCGTGGGGTCATGCACCGTCCTAATAGGCTCATTAGCCGGGGAGTCCCACACACCACGTCCCCCTCGGCTCAGGTTGAAGCAGCAGTATTCAGGGTCATGGACAAAGCAGAAAGCAACTCAAGACAAGATTCGGATTGTGTATTACACTGGAACGAGCTGTTCACCACAAAAAACCCAAATATGCTAGTATTATAGCGGCGAAACACAAGGTGGTTAAGTTAGGCTATTGATCGGGATGTTAAAACAGGGCGGTGTGATGATCCGCAAAACTCAAAATGGCTATTTCCTCGAATCTGACAAGGCGTAACACGACAATATAATATTTTGATCTGCTTATCCTTCAAAGCTGGTTCTATTTGTCGAATATGTCAAAAGTTTTTGCTATCATCGTAAGATCAAAGACGAGCGTCGCTGTTTGGACGCTGACGGGGTGCCATACTATAAGACATGTTGTAAGCCGTCTTATCTGCCGTAATGCAATCGGATGACACCGATCTGTAGCGGAAACGCGCTAATGCAGGCAGCTGACAGCGGGGCATCCGTCATGAATGGCTTCATCCCGCGGTTCTTTAACTCCGGCCCAGGAATCCGGCCGACTCGGGCGCTTGGCAAACATGGCCAAGAGAGCTAGAGAGCAGAATCGCCATGGGACGCGCAAGATGGCTTTCAATAGGTATTACATGCCCAAACTCAAACGCACAATCTATTCGACAGTCCTCTATTGCACGATCCTACCTGATTCTGTGAGGATTCTCGATTGACAGCTGTGTGTCTCGTTTACGGGCGCACTTGGCATCGCTGACTGGTATTGACACCGAATTATTGAGGGCACATGTGCTTACAAACTCCCAGTGTGTCCCATGATGACTTTTTTCCTTTCGCAGTGGAAGTTGTGAGTGGAAGTTACGCAGTGCAAGTTCCGCAGTGGAAGTTATCTTTCGTGACGAAGCTGGGGTGGCTTAGCGACTTTCATTCCATGCCAGTGGTGCCAAGCTTCTCGGACCGTCCCCACGCGGGCTTGGAGGTGACGCAAGCTCTGGATTGGTAATTGATCTCCGTTAAGGCCGAACCAGAAAATTTATAGTGATGCTGTCATATGTTATTGCTCAAAGCAGATGGTGTTAAAGAAGCGAAAATCATCTTGAATTCCAGTACACAACATCTCTAGTCGAGATCGTATTGGAAGTGCTTGTTGTCTCGTGGAAAAATCACCATTATCATGAACCTCTTGGGTCTATTCATTGGCTTTGTTCTACTCTCTTTCACTCAGCTACAGACTCTAGGTAAGTCTACGGGACCCTAAGACGCCCAATTCAGATCTATCTCAAGTGCACCGGTGGCTAACATGGTCGCGGTCCTTCAGCGCTTTCTGTAAGAACGGCAAACATTCGCCAAGTCTCGGCAGTTGAAAACTTGCATTTCTCAGTGGGTGCGGGGCAACTGGATGCGTTCTCAAATTTCCAACTAGAATTCAAGCTGTCTAACGAGCAAGGAAGAATCCGGCTCAACTTGCAACCAAGTCGCAACATTGTTTCTCCCCTCACAGAAGTTCGGTATCTCAGACCTGGAGAGAAAAGTGGTTCTCTTGAAAAACCTCTGGAGAGCTCTACACTTCTTTTCAAAGGAGATGCGATTGTCTCGGACGATGGAGGTCGTACATGGCGGAAAGCTGGATGGGCACGAATTATCATTCGACCCCAAATCCAACCGCACTTATTCGAGGGCGCCTTCAGCTTGGATGGCGATCACCACCATGTCTCACTGGATTCAAACTATCGGAAAACACGGCTTGCCCAGGATCCAACACTCCCCGAATCAGCCTCTCCGTATATGGTGGTCTGGAGTGAGTCAAATATGGTCGAAAACAGATATGATGGTGGAATCTCCCAACGATCTGTATCGACTGAATCCCCATGCGCAGCAGAAGTATTCGGTTCGCGACCGCAGGACAACAGTGCACAGCGCAATTCACCAGGAAATGAAGACGACCAATGGACCAATTACACCATGACGAGCCATAGGCGACAACAAGGTGGTTTCAATCCGATCGATACAATAGGATCCACGGACGGCTGCCCAACGACCAGAGTAGTCGCGCTGTTAGGAGTCGCAGCCGATTGCACATACACCGCAGGGTTCGATTCTTTGGAAGACGCTCGGGCAAACATCATCTCTCAGGTCAACATTGCATCGCAGATATACGAAGACACTTTCAATATCTCCCTTGCGATAAGAAATCTGACCATCAGCGACGCCTCCTGCCCAACTGGCTCCACAGAGTCAACGCCATGGAACATCCCTTGCAGTGCGAACGTTGACGTCTCGGGTCGCCTGGGCTTATTCTCGAACTGGAGAGGCACGGTTCGCGACAGCAATGCCGCATGGACACTACTCACCACGTGTAGTGCTGGGTCAACTGTCGGAATGGCCTGGATTAACAGTATCTGCCGCAGAGGATCTAGATGGGGAGGGACTGCTGCGTCGACGAACGTCGTCGTTCGGACCAGTTCTGAATGGCAGGTCATGGCCCACGAGTTGGCCCATAACTTCGGCGCGGCACACGACTGCACATCAAATGACTGCAGTTCTTCAGGTGGCGCTCAGGATTGCTGCCCGCTTAGCGAGTCTTCCTGTAGTGCTGAAGGCCGGTACATTATGAATCCCTCGGTTGGTCAGCGAATCAGGGAATTCTCACCATGCACTATCGGTACGATTTGTACCTCATTTGGTCGAGGACTGATAGACACAAGCTGTCTGGTCAGCGAAGACGATGCCCCGGACATCAACGACAGTCAATGTGGTAACGGCATTGTCGAGCCCGGCGAGTCGTGCGACTGTGGCAGTGCGGAAGAGTGCGCAACGAATTCCTGTTGTAATCCTTCTACATGCCAGCTGTTACCGAATGCGGCATGCGATCCGGCAATCGACGCCTGCTGTACGGAACAATGCCAGATAGCTAGCAGAGGCCTTGTCTGCAGGGAGAGCAGTGGTATCTGTGATCTTGAGGAGACGTGCGACGGTACATCGAGTCAATGCCCCGTGGATGAACAAGATTCCGACTCATGTGGTGACGATGGAGGGAACTCACGAGATAATGAATCAAGCGACAACAATGGGGGAGGGAGCGTGGGGAGCTGGTTTGACGATAATAGGACAGTGGTTATTGCTGTTTCAGCCTCTGTAGGAGGCTTAATTTTAATTGCCATTTTCTTTACTGCAATGTTTTATTTTAGGCAGCGGAGGAGAAAGATTGAAACATAGTAAATGGAAGTTGGTACCGGAAAAACTCGGTCATCTCACGCAATCCAGCGTCTCCTCGAAAGAAAAAGGCAACCAATGAAATGACTTGTTTGTGACGTTTTCGCGGTTAACATCGGGAATACGGATACGCTAGCTTGATTGGGTTGAACTGAGCTTTGCGGTACTCAATTTAAGCCATCTCGTCGCCCGCGACATGAGGCATGTCAATACAATGGGATCTGGCATCAATTGTGACAACATCTCCGTAATGAATCACAGCAATCTAACACCTTCCTCCTACTTCCTGAAAAAATATGCCACAACGAATTTATGGCTGGCACCAGGGTACCTTTTATCAGTGATAAGGCTTATTTATGTTGGTGATGTTGCCGCCCCCCCCCCCCCCCCCCCCGGCCGGGGCTCTGGCCGCCCTCGGCTGTTTCGGCACGCTAGGGCTACCTTTGAATCCTTCGTATCCAACCATATTCTCATTCCTGGGATTGCGCCCCTTGTTCTAGGGCAGTGCATAAAGCCTGCTCTATGTGGACCACTCATGTCTGTGAAGAGAGACTCTGTCTTCCAGTAATATCTGCAACGGCTCCGCCGGGTGCAATGTATAGTCTCTTGAATAGAGCTTTGCTAATCGTCGCCAACGTTAGCTCAATGTTAGCTGTCTGAGCTATGGAAAGGGTGTAAAGAGCCGTGATGGTAGAGTCGTGGCATAGACGGACCCTCAACCAGCATCGCTCACATTATTTTTGGATTGTGTTGAAAGATGATCCCGTTTTACGAAACCTCTGATAGATCGATGTCCTGACCTTAGTCAGAAGAGTCTGATGACCCCTCTTCCGGCGCGGTCCGGTACACAGGCGTCGTGTGTTAATGAGAAAAGGGCGATCTGGAAGACAAGCAAGCCCCACAGAGAAGGCGGAGGAGGACCTGGAAATCTGCACACTGTACGGAATATTGATGGGGCATTTTCCCTCAGCTTTTGCCATGGAAACCGTCGATCCTCAGAGACGCTGATTTGACGGATGCACCGGATGTAGCTGCAGTTCCACATCGCGGGGTACTTACCCTATAGCCAGGCCAGGATGTCCCCTTGCCCCGGTCCAGGGATTCTGCAAGCTCTTAAAGCTCTCAGAGCAGTGACTAAAAAGCAAATAAATAAACAAATAATCAGAATTTCCATACTCCTGACACTCCCAAACACGTCATTATTCATAAGACTCGATCGACACAGCAACCAAAACAACCTCCGTCAACCGGTTTGCTGTCGCCTCAACTATCAAGAGCTCATTTTTAAACTACCAGATATATAGCATCACTGATTGAACTCGGCAGCAAATATCTATTACATATCCTTTTTGTAAATCAAGTTCGCACGTAAAAAAAATCGAGATTACCGTAAGTCGTTTGACACAGCGAATGTTTTTCACCATGGACATTTTGTAAGGCTGCAGTGTAAAGAAATGGCTTCAAACCGGATGATGATGATGTCATGGTTCTACCCACGATTGGCAGAGCAACATTAAATCCGTCATCTTTTAGATTTTGAGATGCTTGAGGGATGACTTGGGCTGGGGTGAGGCTGTGCGGTCGGTCTCGCTTTTGGTGGGACAATTGTGCATTTTCCTGGCCAGAATTAGCTTAAAAATAGCCAGCGCGATAGCGAACCCGAGACCGAAACCTGCGAATAGGACGCAAAAGAACGCTAATGCACTGCATTTGCTCTTATCAATAAGCAGAGTATGGCAACTTTCTCAGGATCAAAGCTGAATAAATACCTGCATCAATACCCATGACATCTGACCTCTGGCCACTTCTCCATCTTCGCTCTATCGGGAGCGACTTCTTCTGTCGTCTATTTCCGCTTTCACATGCCAAGCACTGAAAATGACGGCCTTTTTCGATACCCGATATAAATTCCCTGTTCAGCTCCTCCAGCTGTTCTTGGTCCATGTGGTATTGATCCTCTCAGTCGTGCGCATGTTCAATCGGCCGGCTGGTGCCCCCCGAACCCGGGCGAATACGATGTCTCTCGGAATGGTAGAACACACTTCTCATCTAGGGTCTTGTGGTGGCTAACGATGGAGTAGAGTGCCAAGTCTCTGGTCATCTTACTTTACGAACTTCTATCTGAGCACGTCCGAGCCTTCAAGAAATGGAAAAGCCTAAAGGCATACGTCATTCTTAATGGACTGGAGAACGTCTTCTGGGGCGCAGTGGTGTTTATGTTGATCCAGGCAAACATCAAGTTTTGCCAAGGGATTAATTGCACCCTGAGCTGGGTGATTGTTACTCTGGCAATTATCCTGAAGTAATTAATCAACACCATTTCCGATGTCGAGTTGTTTGCTGACAGATATCCTAGTATGCTGGCCTCATACATGACGGTTGTTACGTGGCTCGACTTTCGATATTTCCGGGCTACCGGACACGAACGCGGCTCGAGACATTCGACCAGAAGCGCGGCTAAGCTCGAGTCTGCCAACAGCGATGCATTGCATGCAGCTCGCAAGAGTGCCCGAAAACACCGAAGAGACGACAACCGCGTTCCCATGACCCGACAGACAACGCCACGACGCGAGAGCCGTTCGGGATCTAGACACCACAGCAAATCCTCCAAATCCTCCAAACACCATAGCAGCAGCTCCTCCAGACGGCACCGCGATCCATCGAAGCCCCCGAGCTATGAAAGCCACCGAAGCCAGCGTCATCACTCAAGACGTCACAGTGGTTCAGGACAGCAAGTCCGACAAGCTCACCTTAACCGTGAGACGTACTATGAAGTTGACCCCACAAGCAGTCAGGTTCAACAAGGATACCCCAGCCAGAGTCATGGAGGGCATTCAGGGTACCAGTGATGATAATGTGAGAAATGTGGACATGATCTTTCTATGCTGTTGGACACCTGGGAACGATATTTCCTTGCTACGGATGTGTGGGATGGGTGTTAAGGAGTCAGGCCTTATACATGGCATATACAATTTGGATTTTAGAAGGTTATTACGGGAAGATGAAGTGAGGCCCGAATCCCTGGCCTCGATGCTGGAAGGTAGCTGCGGGATAGCACACATGGGTGAAATAACATTCTATTTTTGAACTCCATGTCCCCAGGTATATACCGTGCTAATTATTGTTGATGGACCTGCTAGTCAAGCTGGTATTTGGAACCCGTTCTCAGTCTTTCGCCGTACTTGTACGCAACCACTATCATGCCCATCATCCCAAATGATACACCCGCAAGCAACGTATTACCCCATCCCTGATCTAGCGCCTTGTACATCTTCGGGCCAGCGAGAGGCAACAATGCACCACCAACACTGCGAAGCACCGTGTTTGCTGCTGTAGCACTCGCGGCATGAGTAGGGAAGGCATCGACCAGATACGTCCCGACCGAAGTAAATACCGTGATCATGCCAAAGCCGATGAAAAATGTACCGATAATCGGCACGAACCAGAAAACTCGGAACTGCGCAGTCCAGCCATAAATCAGGAGTCCGATCGGTATAGTTGCGCTCCCGGGGATCATTAGTGGGAGACGATACTCGGGTTTCATCTCGCCACCCTTGGCCATTCTTCCAACAATAGCATCCGACGCTGCGCCGAAGAGAAAGAGGCCCGCGATCTGGCCGCAGCCGAAACCGAGATACACCAGTCCTACATTGGTAATGATACCGTACCTGGTTTTGAAGACCTCGGTCGTAGTGGTGAATAAGAGGTAAAGAGTTCCGTAGGCGACGGCCGTTAGGAGCGAGAGACCGAGAATGATGGGTGACAAGCAGAGCATTTTTAAAGGGCGAGAAAGACTCCCTTTCAAGAGTTGGGAGCGTGAATAGTTGGGATCCTTGGCTGCACGGAGTTCCGGATTGCCTTGTAACTGCAGTTTCTTCGCCTTACTCCTTAGGAGGGTTGGGGCGTGTGTTTCCTTTTGGACAAAGACACAGATGATGAAAACTACACCAGTCTATAAAGATCAGTATCAGTGTCAGAAAGTGAAGCACGGAGGAGAAGCCAAGTTTACCATGATGACTAGGAGCCAGAAGTTCCACCTCCAGCCAAGACCTCTTGAGACATATGCTCCAACAGCAGGCCCGATACTGGGTCCTAGCAACACGGGCATAGTCCAAATGGCCATGGCTTTCCCTCTCTCCTTCTGCCTGAAGCAATCCGCGACACTTCCAGGCCCAACTGTCAACGGGCCGGCGCCCACTAAGCCCGTAAGGAAACGAAATGAGATGAGCATGGGGATATTGATAGACAAGGCGCACGCAACGTTGGTGATGATGAAGAGTATGGTGCAGATGTGATACACGGGAAGTCGACCGTAAAGCTCGCTGAGTGGTGCAAGAAATAGAGGGCCGAAAGCATAGCCGAGAAGATAGATGGACACAGACAAGGATCCGATGTCACGATTCGTTTCGCCCATTTGTTGCATGACTTGCTCGACTGCAGGTGCGAGCATGGAAGAGGCGAACGGTCTGTTAGATAAGCCATTTGGTCAGACGAAGATTCATAGTGTCAAAAGGGATCGGGAAGAGACAAACGTTAGTAGAGTCATTGTCGAAATGGCCAGCAGGTTTGTCCATTTCCTGAAATTTGGCCAGTTAATTGGCATTTCGGGATCATTCGGACCATCCCAATCGACTGTGCCGGCATTTTCCTGATTGACGGTTTCCTGATCCACATTTGACGATATGGACTGGTTTGCTGCGATTGCGTCCGACGTCGAATTCTTCTCCAGATCCGATTCGGGATGCACAGGAGTGGTCGTCCGGGGCAGAGTCTGAGAAAGCGACGAACGCTGCGAGGTTGCGCCGGGAGAGACTGACGCTTGGTCAATCATGATGGATGAGATAATGAGGACGAAAGCGCTGCTGCAGGGGCCACAATCGATGAATGGTAGGATATTGAGTCCTATATGAGCAGAGAGCCCACGGAGTTAAGCTGCACGGAGCTGAAGAATTAAGGCCGACATAATGGAAAGAATGAGTGAGAGAAAGGAAGGCAAATGACGGAGGTACAATTGATTCATCCACCAAGACAGGATCGTAGTCCGAAAATCGGCTAGATCATCACCCACGTCCAAGATCTAGGAGCTCGTCTTGTCCATCGGGGAGCTTGCCCGACGGTGGATCATCAAAAGACATGGGCCAACGGCGGCGTCATCGCAATCCTCGGATGATCTAAATAGGTTACGTCTGCAATACCCTTGTTCAAAGTGTCAGCACCTTGCATATTGCTAAGCCAGCCTAGGGAAGGCCTACAGTACACGCTAGCCTGCATCTAGAACTACGGTGAAACATCCTAGCAAGTGTCAAGGGGAGTTGGTGGGCATCTTCATTGCCAGGTACGGAGTATGCGAAGAAAGCATGGGGAAGCGGGAAAAAGTGGTGCAGCTGGGGTACTCGGTTGGACATTGAGAGCGGCAGTGTGATATCTCCGTAAAGGAAAATGTCTCGGTCTACCTGTAGAGGATTCATTTTGAAGTTTTCGAGTTAATCTCAACGAAAGCCTCAAGGGTAGCTACGGAACCAAACCTTCATTCATCATGGCGAGCAAAAATCATGGGGAACAAAATACACGTCTCTTTAAACCCAGAGTTATTTGTTATGTTTCCTTCTAAGTTATTTAAAGGTACCTATCTCACAGACCAGACCACATTGTCGTCTCTTTCAACGTCAACTCCACCTGCAGGTGAATCTTTTGGCTGCTCGATCCAACCAAGATCTTGTACACTCCCTTCTCGCACACCCAACAAGAAAGCTCCTCGTCCCAGAACGCTGTTGCAAATCGATCCAAGGCTATTTCTACGCGTCGCGTTTCCCCGGGCTGCAGATGAACTTTGTTGAATCCCTTGAGTTCCTTCTTCGGCCGTCTGATAGACAACGTGGCCTCGTCGGCAGCAATGTAAAGCTGAACGGCCTCTGAACCAGCCACTGAGCCCGAGTTTGTCACGTCTAGAGTTACTTGTGAGGCAGTCACCGCCAGATTGGCGTAGACAAAGGTGGTATATGAAAGACCATGGCTACATCGAGTGGTTAGCTTAAGGACTCTCGCAAAAATGCAGCAAGGTCATTACTCACCCGAAAGGATAGAGTACGGCTCTATCCACCTTTTCGTAATATCGATATCCGACGTAGATGCCCTCGCCATAAACGACACGCCCCCTTTCACTTCCAAAGTTGAGGTATGTGGGCGTGTCCTCAATACGACGTGGGAACGAGAGCGGTAGCTTTCCACTGGGACATGTCCTGCCGAATATTATGTCCGCAATGCCATTTCCAGTCTCATTGCCAGCCAGCCATGCGTGTAGGTGTGTCTTCACACTGTCAGCCCAAGGCAACATGCTGAACGGCGTACCGCTCTGGGTCACGATGATTGTGTCGGGAGCAGCGGCCAGCACGGCGGCGATGAGGCGGGGAAGTACTCCGGGAAGCTCCATGTGCGGACGGTCAAAGCCCTCGGATTCTTGATCTCGTGTCAAACCGACGCACAAGATTGCGACGTCGGCTCGGCTCGCGGCAGACACGGCTTTGCCAATTGCGACATCTGGGTCGATGACCTCAACGAGACCAAGTCTTCCTGCGCCGCCGCCGAAGTTGACAACGCCGGGCTTGATAAGCTTGGAGGAGGGCGCGCTTTCGAACTCGACTTTGATCCTATACGTCTGCCCCCCGACGAGGTCAATCTGGGCCTTTTCCTCGAGGGTTCCCTTTCCAAAGAAGAATGTACCACCGCGCTGTACGGTGCTGTTGTCGATCAATAATTGATCGTCGATGTATAGCTTTCCAGAGCCGTAAATGGCCATGCCAAACTCGAACCTGCCAGTGCTTTGGGCAACAAACTCGCCCTCGACCTCTGCATAAAAAAGTCTCTCCAGTTTTGCATGCGAGTAGCCCATTAGTTCCCATGAAGAATCAGACACAATGTTCTCGTCGATTACTTCCCGGTCGGGGATCGAGGGGGGTTCCCGGTAGAAGCGAACTCGAAGACCGGGGCGGCCATCTGGCGTTGTTACTTCTGAAGCTTGCAGTGTAGGGTTCCATCCGTTCGCAGACGCCCCAACCTCATATTCGACGGCAACATCGGGTGGCAGCTGGTTCACAATCCCCTCGAAGGGAGAGACAGTGTAGTAAGGCTGAAGAAAGGCGGAACCGCCTCCACAAAACGCCGTGTTCTTCATGTTGGGACCGATCAATGCAATGCTTTTGAAAGGCCGAGTCAAGGGCAGAAGTCCACCCGCATTTTGGAGTAGGACGACGCTGTCGCTGGCCAGCTTTCGATTGAGTTGCCTGTCTTCAGGAAAATCTCTGCCGCTCTCTTCCGCAGCGACAACGACATCCTTGGCTCTTTGAACGAACTCGAGGACGTTGCGCGCGCGGGCGTCGATGGTAGCCCGTGACACCTTTCGAGTCGATACAGCAAGATCTGCCAGCTGTCCTCGTTGTCTGGATGGCCCCGGCATTTCCAGATCTAGACCTGCGTTTAGAGCCTCGGCGGTGGAGTACGTGCCAAACCTGAGTGTTTCGTTAGTCTTGAACTTCACTTAATTACAAAAAGGGATTCTGATGTACCAATCACTCATGATGAGGCCCTTCCACTTCCAGTCCTCACGCAGGAGGCCGTCTAGAAATTCTCTGTTCTCTGAGACGTGCTTTCCGTTGACTCTGTTGTAGCAAGACATGACCCCCCCTGGTCCGGCCTCGGCAATGGCAATTTGGAAGGGAAGCATATGGACCTCTCGCAGCGCACGCTCACTGACGACGGCATCGACCGCAACGCGTTCGTGCTCTTGGTCATTGGCAAGCCAGTGCTTGATGACGGAAATAACGCCTGTCGACTGCACGCCTTTGATGTATGCAGCAGCCAATTTGCCTGTTGCATAGGGATCCTCTGCCATCGACTCAAAGCCGCGGCCACCCAGTGGAGAGCGCTGGATACAGACAGTTGGGCCCAGCCAGGAATGAGCGCCCTTTGCGACGCACTCCTTGCCGATCAGAACGCCAGCTTGGTATAGGAGATCCTGGTCCCAAGTCGCCGCCAGGCCAGTACCACATGGCAAGCATGCCGCCGGTACGCCGTCGAAGAACTTGGTCCCTCGCACCCCGTTTGGCCCATCGCTCACCCTGATAGAGGGAACGTTGAATCTGGGTAGCGGGTTTGTGTGCCAAAAGTCCTTGCCTGTTGCAGTGCACGTCAGCATTTTTCCCTTTCCGATGTGAGGGCTCGGCTTGTCAACGCCGTGTGGACATACCAGAGAGTAATGATATCTTCTCTGTGACCGACGCATTCTGGATGACATGCTCAATGTCGAAATCACCGCATGCAGCATCATACGGTGCCTGTTTCCGCAAGACCATGATGTCTAATATGTGTGGAGACGGGGAATCCGAGCAGGTAAGATGCAAATAGTCACAGCACACACAAGATTGTTATGTTTGCTTTGCGTATGAAGGGTCAATACTAAAACTTATGAGTCGACTGTGAGAAAGGGAAACCGGACGGCCCGGACGTGGGGTTTCATGGCAAAATCATGTGCAAACGATGCCCACACATGCAGGATACTCCAGACTAAGATATTAGTTCTCGGGGAACCGCGGGGACAATGTTCATTCTTGTCGTGTGATGGAGTGTGGAGCAATATTCGACTCCGTCGGGAAGATTCCCCGACGGGCAGTGTGCAGATCCCCATGTTTTCGCCGCCATTACGAGACGCAGCAAGCCCTCCATCAAACAAGGGTTCTCAGCCATCGTTCGTTCCCAATACCGCTTGGATTATCTTTTTCAGGTTAGAAGCGCCCCCGTCCGGCTCGTCAAAATATCCGGGGACGGCATCCACGGCCTGTTGAACCCTACGTCTCCAGCCCTCTGGGATTATCACACCCTGCACGGTAGCGGCAGCTCCAGATGCTTGGGAGTCTGCCAATTTAGATTGCGCCATTTCAACCGCCGATAGAACCAGGGACGCGGTTGTGGTGATTCGTAACATGTACCAAGTCCCCTGGTGGCGATGGGCTACCGTTTGAGAGAGCTTAAGCATGCAGAATTGCGTACACTGGGACGCAAACGACGCGACCCGAGCACGAAGCAAAATGTCAATCTCGTCTACCAGATGATCCACGCAAAGCCTAACGAACGGTCGCGAGACGAGTTCGCGAAGAGTAAAATATCGGTGGCGCAGAACAAAGGTCATGGCATCGGGATCAAACTCAGTGTCGCAGCCATCTGGGATATCAAAATAGAACATGGGCGGCAACGACGAATACCAGTCGTGTATTTGAGCCTCCATCATGTCCGCCCGGGCAATCATGCGGCGAACATGTCTCTCCGTTGGAATATCAGGCACCTCCGCGCTCATCTGGAGCACGCGGTTGATGAGATGTCGTGCTGCAATTTCGGTGAGGTAATAATACCAGCCTCGCTCTCTTTCTGCCACATCGGGATCCGACGACTGCGAGCTGATACTTGGAGGTTGCGGAAACGCCAGCGGAAAATATGTGTTGTCGAGAACGGGGGGACTGGGCAAGGGCAACTCCAGCCTCAACTCGCACTCAGATTTCCAAATGGTAAAGTAGAGAGCTTGCATGACAGTAAAGTCATTCAACGACCCACCCGTGTTGTTGACAAGTTCGCCAGAAGGAAACTCGATCAAGCTGAGGCTATGCCAGGCTGCTCCAGCGAGGCTGAACTGCTTCCAAGCCTCAAGAGGCCGCATTCGATGCATGTACCAGATTCCTGCGAGACATAGGCATTGTACGGCCTGGACGTTGTTTTGGCTTGCTGCATATCCTAGGCGCTTCATGGCAAGGTTCCAAAACTGCATCGACAATTCCACGTCGCTGCCTTCATCCGCTTGTTGGCTGGGCGAAGGTGTCGGATGCCCCTCTGATCCCATTACTGGGCGTGGATACGACTCTGTGATGGCCGCGATTGCACAAACCAACGTCACCAAGCAGGTTTGTGTCGACCAGTCCAGACCGTTCTCGGCAACTTGCACCATCATCCCATGTAGCTCGCCAAGGTCTAGAATTGGGTTCTTGGTGTGAATGTCATTGATGTACTTGGACTCCAGCCGCGCAAGCTGAGCATAGCTCGTATCAGGCATGGGGTAGCTCCGGTCGGCAGGGGGGTTTCTCTGAGCAAAGAGGCACAGCGAAGGTCTGTCCGGGGCAAATATCTGCCAGTCGAGGACAGTTTCGACGCCCTGGGGTCGCATGACTGGGTACGGTGGCGGGCTGTTGGCCTCTCTCGGGTGATCCTCTTGTTGCTGGGAACCTGACTGGGTCCATGATACCGAAGGACTCGTAGTCTGCGCGGGCGTCGAGCTGGCGCCACAAGAAACACACGATTTCTGCTGCTGTTGCGGCTGTTGGTTCTCGACCAAGCTTCTCAGGCTGTGGATGGCCTGAAGGATGTCGGACCCTGTTACCGGGCCACTGGGGTTTGAGTTAGCGAGAAAGCTGCATGCCATGGCCGAGCATCGCGGAGAGGTTCCGAGCCTCACCTTGGACCATCATCGTCGGCGTATACGCAGGCGATGCGGCGCTTCAAGCAGAACCCACAGCTGGGACGCCTGTTGTCGCACTTGGTCTTGCGGACGCGGCACTTCTCACAAGCCCCACGGGGTTTGGGGAACGGACCATCGGCGCTGGCGCTTTGGCGAGCTTCACGACTGCGGCTTGCCATGGGTGATGCTGGTGGCGATGATTTCTGCGTAGAAAGGTCGAGGGTCGCGAGAGCTGAGGGGCACTTTTAAATGCGTCGGCCACACTCCCCGACGGGAATCGACCAAGAACAAGAGCCAACTTGGTGGATACTGGAATATCTCGGGCGCATTCCCCGATGGTAACATGCCATCTGCTGCGTCTTCTTAGCACGGCGCTAGACCACGGCCAGACCAGACTCTTGGCCGGGGCAAGCCATCGTCTCTTTGCAACCGACTCGTGATTCGCTTTGTCCCAGACTTGAGATTGATTGGACAATGTAACATGAAAATTTGAGTCGTGCAGACGATGGTGATGGTCTGGCCAAGCTTCATCCCGGTCCGTCTCCGCATCCCCAGACTACGAGCTAATCCCCGCAACTGCAACATGGCCACTCCGCAACCCCAGGCTCGACCGTCGCTTGATCAAACCTCGACAATCGAACAATGCCGAGCAATTTTGGGTGTCTTGGAGTGGTCTAGGCCGCTCTAATCCTCAGCTCACTCTGTGCAGTTCGGCCGCCATTATAAATATATCTTGGTGGTCCGTCCCAAGTCGTGATCTTCATCGACAAGCATCACGACTCGGCAACATAGAGTCCACGGAAAGGGTTTCACTCTTGATTCTATCTCGGAAACAGCAAAGCTCGCCATGGGGTTGTTCAACAAGAACAAGGAAAAGAATGAGTCCGCGGGGGATACAGTCGGGCCGGAACTGTTGAAGGTATCATCCACCTCACTTCATCCAGTCCATGACAGCTTTTTCACTTGGGCAGTGCATACTAATCTGACACAACTAACAGGTTCTCCCCAAACTTGAGGCCCCATGGTACCGAACCAAGCACCTCGTCCTCCTCAACATGCTTCTCTTGATCCCGCTGCTGAGCTCTTCTGCTGTCGGCTACGATGGTTAGTTTCCGTCCGTCCGTCCGAAATTATTGAACCAGGGTTTAAAGATTGTCTTCCACAGGATCCATGATGAACGGTCTTCAAGCCCTCCCGCAGTGGCGCAACTTCTTCAACCACCCACGCGCTCCGCTCCTCGGAGCCATCAACGCCATCTATCCCGTCTGCAAGATCCTGGGCTTGGTACCTGCCAGTATGATTTCTGACAAGTGGGGTCGCAAGATGCCCATGTATCTCGGTTTAGTGGCGCTCCTCGTTGGACCAGCTGTTCAAGCATCCTCGCAGAACCTTCCCATGTTCATCGTGTCCAGAGGCATGATTGGCTTCGCCACCGTGTTTCCGCAGGTGTCTTGTCCTATTCTTGTTTCCGAGTTGGCTTACCCTACCCACCGAGGCAAACTCACTGCGCTCTACAACACCTTTTTCTACTTTGGTGCCATTGGAGCGGCATGGATCACATATGGAACTTTCAAGATTCAGTCCACATGGGCATGGCGAATTCCTTCGGCATTGCAGGCGGCTATCCCTTTCATCCAGCTTCTGTTCATCTACTGGGTTCCCGAATCTCCTCGGTCAGTAATAAACTCCTTTCACTTTCTCATACCAGGCTAACTAAATCATCTCTCAGATGGCTCATCGCCAACGGAAAAAGGGACGAAGCCGTCAAAATTCTCACCAAGTGGCACGCAGCTGGACAGGAGTTTTCTCCTCTGGTGGAATACGAAGTTGCTCAGATCGAAAAGGCCCTTGAAATGGAGCGAAACCAAGAGTCCCATGCATCATGGGTGACCCTTGTTCGCACCGCTCCTATGCGCAGGCGGACTCTCCTTGCCTTCATCCTCGGTTTCTTCAGCCAGTGGAATGGCATCTCCGTCGTTACGTATTATCTGACACTCGTCTTGAACACTATCGGAATCACTGCCGTCAAGGACCAGACATTGATCAACGGGCTGCTCCAGATCTTCAACTTCGCAGCCGCCGTCTTCGCGGGTGCCATGATGGTTGATCGATTCGGACGTCGCAGGCTGTTGCTCCTTTCGACTGCTGGCCTTTGCCTGAGCTACGTTGCCTGGACAGCGCTTACCAGCCATTTCGTTTCCACTCACGACCAATCAGCCGGTCGAGCCGTTGTCGCCTTAATCTTCATCGCCTTCTTCTTCTACGATATCGCTTGGACGCCGCTCCCACAAGCCTACACCATCGAGATCTTCCCCTTCACTACCCGGAGCCGCGGCCTGACTACCGAGCTCACTTCATCTTACGTGGGTCTGATCTGTGCTCAATTGATCAACCCCGTAGGCTTGGCGGCCATTGGTTGGAGGTACTACATCGTCTTTTGCTGCATCTTGGCTGGCTTGACCACGGCGATCTATTTCCTTTTCCCGGAGACAAAGGGCCGCACCCTGGAGCAGATTACTGAGATTTTCGATGGCAAGAGCGTCACTGTGGCTGCTGATGATATCATTAGCAAGGGAAAGCTGGATGTTATGGAGCATGTTGAGATGCGTGATAAGCGTGATGACTAGAATATCTAGTTATCTTTTGGGGTTACTGATAGGTAAAGATGTCAGTGTCCTTGGATAGACCCGAGTACTTCCACGGTTCAGACCTAGACTCAAGCTACAATAGGACAGCTCCAAGTGGTATCATTAGTTATTTACTCGCATTGGGAATCGATAAACACCGCGGCAGCCTTGAAACTCCACCGAAGTAGAAAATACGGCCCTTATCTAGTGCAGTAGCCAATCTCTTTGGAGAAATTTAGCCATCACACATCAACTGGCCAGATCTGAACGTCAATAGTCAGCCTTTAACACACGATGTTGTTAGTGGCTGTCAAAGGGCGTGGGAGGTGTTGCCGGAGGCTCGTCGAACTATCTTCCTGACTTTCTGACGAGAGAACCTGGGTCCCGAAGATCCTGGACTGAAGGCTCTGGATCCCGGCATGGAAGATGCTTTCAACACGGACGCTGGTTGGGAATTGTAGTCCAATATGGTAGTTTACAACACTGAGTCAATTCATTTTGGTGCCATCTAACTCGCAGGTCTAGCTGTAGTCCAAGAAGCCCTTACTCTTGTTCCTCATTGTGAGCATCAATCTTTTGCTTTTTCTCTTCTTCAGACAGCTTCTCAAACTCCGCAACGTTCTCGTCCCATTGGCGGACACACTCCGGGTCCCAGTTGCAGGCCTCAACCTGTCCGTAAGCCGGATGACTGTAGCGCGGGTGCCGACTGGGCCAGTTCGAGGCGTGATAGTGATGCTTCACCAGAGCGCCGCGGGCATTGTGGTTACCCGAGTCGGAGTGACCTTGTCCCGCGCAGAAAGCCTCAACATCCAGCACCAGCACACGGCCGACGATTTTGGACTCGGCCATGTTGTGGAACATGTCCCAGGTGACCTCGGGCCCGTTCGACTTCTTGTTCATCTCCTCTAGCAGCGCTATTGTGAAAGCCGAGGGCCCCGTGCCACTGATGACCTGATCGAAGTCGAGTTGGACCTCACTCAAGGGCACACCCTGCTTCTTGGCGACACCCTTCAGCCATGACATGATGTTGTTTATGAGTTGTAACATGACGGGTTGCTGCGGGCGCGAAATAAAAGTCCACTGGCAGAAAGACTGTGATTTCTTGCCTAGGATGGGGTGGTTGCCGAATTCTGGTTGGTCAATCTCGATTCCGACAACGATGTCGATATCCTTGTCGTCGTAGCGCTCTGGGATAAAGCGGTGGACAGGCTTGAGCGCTTCGACGTCGATATCAGCGTATACGCCACCCTCAGCGTACATGATCATGTACCGGAGTATATCTGCCTTAATGATGGGCAAATTGATAGTCCGGTAGAATTGGACAATGTCTGGGCGGTTGAATCCGTCGGGGCCGAAGTGCGCTTCGACGTAGGCCATCTCGTTGGCGTCAGTGAGAACCTCATACCGCATCCCCGGGTTTTTTTCCAGCCACGTCCGCGCATTGGTCGAGTCGCGCTCTTCAAAGTCCAGCGGGTTAATTTTCCACGTTTGCCATATCTTTTGCGGGAACGAGCTGCCTGGAGGAAGAGGTTGCTGTGATGCCTCCTCTTCCCAGAATATATCCCACTTGAAGGGGATGGCATAGAATATGTCGGTGTTAAGTATGATCAAGAAGATGCAAACACAGCCCAAGTACAGTCGGAGGTACCTCTGCACCTGCGTCGGCACCCTATTTCTGAACTTGACCGTCGAGGCGGCCAAGGGTGGCGAGTCCAGCGAAAAGCCCATGCTGTCTGCGTCGTCGTTGTCCTTGCTGAACATTAGGTCTCTAACAGAGTTGCAGTGGTGAGAGGAGCCGCGTGCGTTATTTGGAGGGGACATGGTGAATGCCATCTGGTATCTCGAGGGATTCACCATTCAAACAGGGGTTAAACGCTGATCCAAGAAGGGATTGGAACGTAATCATCAAGTAACTCGCGGGGATAACCTCAGCCACCCCTGGTCTCCCCGCAGCAATCTTCTCCGCAAATCTCATTCTGTCGCAAGAGCCACAAGTACCCCATCCTTGGCAGGGGATCACATCACAGCCGATCTTCACATGGGTTACAAGTGCCGACCTGATTGAAAGCTGAAAGCTGGACAGGGATTCCTACCAGGTACAACGCAGGAGCAGTGCGGGATATTACCCCGTATCCGGGGTGGAGGACAAACAGTAAGACCCACTCATAAGACATGGAGTACCGGCAATCTTGGGCTGCAATCTTGCTGACGTTCGTACATGCTTTTCGTGTTACGAATTAATTCCAATAGGTAACGCCTTCACCCTTGTCCGAAGCTAGCCAGGGGGTTGCAGAAGTGCGGGACTTCTCCGGACAGTTCACAAGACGGTTCAGCCTGAGATCCACAACGCTTACTCCGCCAGCCACCTTTGTCAAACCTCGGAATCGAATATCTTATGCATGTGAGCACACGCACCCTGAGGCCGGCTTCCTCGGACTGATGGGACAAGGAACCATTGAAAGGGGAATGACGTGTTCGATGATTGGTAAGTTGCAACCCGTCAAGTCAATGCACGTGGTAGGGTTGTTACTTGACCTGACAGATGTCTCTATTCCTATAACTGCTTAGCCTAACACTCATTCTCCGCCTCGGATGAGCCACGGTGTATCAACTCTCCACTTTCTAGATGTTTGACACACGCAGCCCGTCAAGAGTCCTGTAGTGCTTGGTCCCTTTCCTTATTACTCACCCTCCATCTCAAGCCTCCTGCTTATGCCCCACGACAGCAAGCTACAATGCCGAAGCTTCGAGCCGAGGTCTACCTCAATTTATCAGTTCTTTCATATGTAATAATATTTCCTCTTTGGCTCGTGAAAGTCGAGTAGAGGAGGGGTTAACGTTTCCACCCCGACCCGCTCTCCCAGCCCTATCGGACGACATTGGAACAAAACATCACTCCTCCTATACTTAAGGGAAATTCATTTTTACCCAGGTACCTTCCTTGTTAAATAAGCTTGACTCGCGACCATACCTGAACCATATTCGTCAATGCCAAAATGCCGTCTTCGCGACACGGCATTCTCGACGGCACAGGTTGGGATGATGTCAAACAAAACCCCAGTCCAGAATTGGCACTCTCGGAAGATTGGAAGCCAGCAAAGCCTGTCCAAAGATACACGCCGATAATGAAGTGGATCAAGTGGCCTTTCTGGTCCAATTCGCCACACGCGCCGAAGTTGCGTCCGACAGCCTACCTAGACGGGCTGCGAGGCTTCGCGGCCTTGTTGGTGTATTGGCATCACCATGAGCTATGGGTTCACGACATGGAGAGCGCATTTGCGAATGGATTTGGGTACGAGGGCAACTACTATTTGGTCTCCTTCCATGGCATCAGGCACTTCTTCACTGGTGGTCACTACGCCGTGTCGACCTTCTTTATCATTTCGGGTTATGTGCTGTCCATACAGCCTTTGACTTTAATCCAGGCCGGAAACTACGTCAAGTTAGGCGACGTCCTGGCGGCGGCACTTTTTAAGCGCTGGTTCCGGCTCTACCTCCCGCTCATCGTCACTCTCCTACTTTACGCAACGGCGTGGCACGCATTTGGGATCTGGGTGCGCGGAACGACTCAACAGAGTAGCTTAGGGGACGAGCTATGGGAACTCTATATTGAGTTTAAAAACTTCAGCTTCGTCTTCAAGGAAGGCGGGAATCCTTGGCTCAGCTACAATTTCCATCTGTGGTCCATACCAGTCGAGCTTAGGGGCTCAATCGTCATCTATACCTCACTTATGGCCTTCTCCCGCTGCTCACGCACAGCTCGCCTCTGGTGCGAGACTGGACTCATTTACTACTTCATGTACATCGCCGACGGCTGGTACTGCGCCATGTTCGCCGCCGGAATGCTACTTTGCGATTTAGACCTGCTTGCGAAGAGGGGCGAGCTGCCGCGTTTCCTACGACGACTTGAGCCGGGCAAAGATGTCATCTACTACCACCTGCTCGTTATCAGTTTATTCTTGGGCGGGGTGCCTTCCGAGAACCGCGACGTCAACCAACTTGCAAAGAACCGTGGTTGGTACTATCTGTCCTATCTTAAGCCACAGGCTGTCTTTGACTACAAATGGTTCTATCTATTCTGGGCCTCATTATTCTTGGTTGCGTCAGTCCGCCACATCCACTGGTTGAAGAAATTCTTCGAGACAAGATTCTGTCAGTTCTTTGGGCGGATTTCCTTTGGTCTGTACATCATCCACGGCCCAGTTCTCTGGACCTTGGGAGACCGGCTCTATTTTGCCACAGGATGGCAGACGGAGGAGCAACTGCAGCACATCCCGCAATGGTCTAACAAGTTCTCGCTCCCGAAGGCAGGGCCTTTAGGTCTAGAAATTTCCTTTCTTGTCCCGCACATCATTTTACTTCCAGTCACTTGCTGCTTAGCAGAAATGACGACCAGGGCTATTGACACACCTAGTGTCAAGTTTGCAGCTTGGGTATACAAGAAGACACTGAGAAGTTCACCTCCTCTACGTGCAAAAGAATAAGACATGCATGCATCAAGAAGGTTGAGCGACCACTTTATGTAGTGATGATATATTGCTCACATCTATGTGCCTTCTGTCTCCATCCCATGTTAATCATTGCACTTGGTCTCCCTATGCGGTAACTATGAATTGACAGGAATTCTTCTTTGAAGTTTTGCACGGTGAATTTCTTTCGGTCATGATTATCGGGACATCAGAGTCAACACATTGATGTTGAAAACACCAATGGAAGTAATTGTCACGAACGACCCGCCAAGGAGCCTAGGCAACTGTAGATATCAGGTCTTAGAAACCTCCACTTGACATCTCATTTCTGCCTTAAGATTGCTCCCCAAAATTTGTCCCGACCTGACGGCCGTAGGCAGTGAGTGAAACGAATGGTACTGCTTCCGGGGCTTGCTGTAGCGGACATTGAGGCGGCAAACCCGCTTCCAGCATATTTTTCAAGAGTGGAAAGAACCCGAAAAGAGTCTAGACATGGCATTCAATCTCTATGATGATGATGAGGTCAGAAACATCCCTGCCGCGGCGTCAGGCACCGGGATCTGGTTCCCACGCTAATGCACTCTAGTCTTGCGCGAGGTGAGAGGGCGGTGCAGTAGTGCGATACGGTACAGATCCGCAATTGATAGTGTGATAGAGGGCGGGGAAGCGTAGAAGACTCCTCAAGGCTACAAACCTCGCCTTCATGTGATACTGCATCTTTCAGGTGTTGCGGAGTGTTGTGAATAGGGGAAGTAGATGGAAGCACACTCCATCCGCAAAGTTTGGAGTACTAGCCACTCGTACCTCTCTGCAATGTAAGAGCACATGCGAAGAACATGATTGCCGAAGATGGTATCCTCGTCTCAGATAACGGGCGCTAATCTAACCCCTTTATACTAGATACATTTATTGCACATCATCATGCAGATCATCCGCGGTACCTCGGTATCAAGAGGCACTGGTACCAGCATACTCCTGCTTAGGTACATCCAGTAAACAACACTCGGTCCTGAATCCCCTCTTGCCCCATCTTTTGCTCTCGTCTCTTCCTCGCATCATCGGCCACCTTCATGAGGTTCGTAAAGAGAGGGAGTCGGGCTTTCTATCTGCTATTTACTCCCGAGGCTTGCGATGGTGCGAGTAAACATGCCACCTTGAAGACCCCAAAGCCCCTACCTTCGATCAAGCCGACTCAAACCTCCCCTCCGAACTTCTTCATATTGGGTACAGATGAACCGAAGAAACAATACAAACTGGGTACAGGAGGGTGAACTTGTGATTGGAATCAACATCACCTTGCCACCACTTGTCACAAGCATCTCACGCTCGTGTTACCTGCTCGCCCCTACCGAACCCTCACCATGCTTCTGAAAGACGTCAGGCGCCTGGTGCTCTTTGTTTGTTTTGTCACTGTCGTACTCTATATTCATTTCAGCCTCTACGGCGACCCAATTGGCATTTTGACGAAGTGGAACGACTTGCGCCAGCTTACGCCGGCAAACTCGTACGGGGATAATGACCTCAGTCAGCCGCAGGAGCAGGCAACACTGTCGACTTCTGGTTCAGATCCCTCAAGTATCCCAGGTGATGTTGTAGTGGCATCATCTACAAGTGATGATGCAACGGATGCCTCGGCCGGCCGTGGCTCCGTTTCTGGGAATATCGACGAATTCTACAACGAGATCTTCTCGTTATCTACCAAGGACAGGAAATTCTTCTTGATTGATTTCAAGGGAATGCAGGCCACGAACCCCAACATCATCCCGCACCCGAAATTGAAGGACATCTGGGTCGTTGTGGCTCAGCAGGTGCAGGAGATGCAGTCCAATCGATACATCGAACTCGTTTGTCACGCGGTCTTCCGTGATGGTGGTCTGCAGTGTCTGCATCTACCCGCCACTCTACCCATCGCCGCTACAACCGGCCATCAATGCAAGGGCGACCTGTCATACTTTGATCTCAGCATCGGCCCGCACGACGCCCGCGTCTTCCTCGGGCCGGAGAAGCCCTACGTGGTGTACGGGTCCAACTCGATGTCCACTTGCTTCGGTCAATTTATTCAGGACTTCTGCGCTCTTATGGACTGGAGGTTCGACATGGCCGGTCCAATCAATTTCCGTACAGGCACAGAGCTACAGCGACCGCCACCATGGGGCAGAATCGAGAAGAACTGGTTTGTGTTCTGGGATATTGCCGGTCAGATGTACGGCCATTACGATATTACACCCAAGCGTGTTTTTGCCCAAATTGGCATAGACGGTTCCGTAGGACCTGATCTAGCACCTCTCGCAGCAGCCTCGGACGAGAAGTGCTTGGCCAGGTACATGCCGCAGCTGGTGCCAGATTTCGAGTCCATTCACCAAGCGACCAACTCACTACAGATCACATTGTGCTGGCGTGCAGACCCGTTGTGCATCCCCGACGAGAATAACACCTTCCTCTTCACCATTTACCAACACAAGACTTATTACAACTACCACAGCGTGTACGAGCCGTACGTCATGGTTTTCCATCAGCGAATACCATTCCAGATCCACGCTTTGTCACGCCGGCCCATATGGATCCACGGACGCCAGCGGTATCCGGACCGCGCTACCTCTGACATGTTCTATGTCACCTCGATGAGTTGGAAGAATCAGGAGCAGCGGTATCACGGGTACTTGGATGATGAGCTTTTTCTTGCCTTTGGAATCGAGGACGGGAGCGCTGCCGGGATTGACCTGCAGGCAGGCGATCTGATGGGGGACCTAGGGTTATGTAGCGATATTTATAAGTGACGGTTGTCTAGTTGCACATCAAAGTCTGCTGCCGCTATTGACAGGTCATAGGGAAAGATCTAAGGCGATTTCATTTTGCGTGATCTTGAGAAGTAACCACGTTTGACTTACTTCGTAGGTACCTGGCAAATGTTTCTAGCTCCGATAGGTTCATTAGGAAATGGCAAGGGGAAACAAAATAGCTGTACTGGGTACTAAGATAGTCGAGGTTCATAATTACGAAGAGGACTTGGGGGAATATTGGCAGATTTAGTTGAAAATTGGGAATGGATGGAGAAGGCAAACTTCCCCGTAAAGTCTGTTGCGATACTAGATTCCACCGCTGCTAGGAATGTCTCGTCGATTCTTTTGCTCGTTCTCAATAGCAGTCTCCTAGGCCGAACTTCCTCATTGCAGCTACTCGGCTAGACTGATGGGTGTTTCGACCACCCGGCTCCACATACCGCAGATAGATGGGCCACTATACCGAGGCAAACTGAGGGGGGCACATGTAAATGCTGTCTACACCAACCGGGCGACGGAAGTGACCCGGCGGCAAGTCCCGATCCTCGTTCGGCATTTTGGAACTAATCGAATGTGGCTAAGCAAATCAAGCCTTGCCAAGAACGGGTGCTTGTGCATTAGATTCAAAACAAAAGACCCCTGTTCGGCCATGCCGGAATGAATACGACCGGGGCTTGCTTGGTTCAAGACTGGAAACATAAATTGAGTTTCAGTCTACGCCACGACGTTGACAAATCAAATCAGACAATGAGAGGCGAGGAACCAAGTGTGGCCGCAAGGGTGTGCGTCATGGCCCTCCAGACACCTGTTTCGGCTATATTTTCTTGGTGGTAGAATAATTGAAGAACTCCTATGCTTGACTCTGATCGCGGATTGGAACCAATCGGATGGGTTTCCCAAGAGATTCCAATGGCTAAAAGAAAAACCGCTCCACACCATGTTTTGGCAAGCAATCTCGATTCGGCTCAATTGGACAAGAGCCGATAGTTGACGATGAGAATATGAGGTTGACATGAAGCTTCTTACCCTATCCTCGGTGAGTTTCTAGTGTCGTCCTGAATTTTTTTTCTTCAAATACATGCCCGATTAGGTCCATCAGTCATTGCCTCTTCAGGTGCAACCTTGGGAGACACTGAATCACAAGCCACAAAGTACGATTATTTGTGACATCAACCGACCATTTAGTGTGCTTTCAGGGACTTACATACTATAAGAAGCCCTTCTCTGGTGGATAATCATCTTGAAGATGATGGAGAGTCGTACCTTACTCGTTTTGTTGAAATAGCAGTTATTACTGTGAATTTTGCATTGGGTGTCATACCCCGGTCACCCGGTGCTACCGTTGCATTGATCTCGGCAAGCTCAACGGACCAATTTGACATACACCTCCGTGCTCTTCCATGCTCCCTGGACCATCTCAGCACCCCGGAGGAGGTTATCAAGGCTGCCAGAAAGCCCAGGGGTGAAATGAGGACGAGGCCAGGCATAAAAAAGCAACATGTCAGATAGCCCAACTAATCAAGATGCAGCACAAGACGAGAACAAGACCTCAGCTGAAATCGACAATCTCCACAGAAAACAGAAACTCTGCGAGGCTGTCATGTTTCCACGAAATTCGGGGTGAAACTACTCGATAATCCTGAGTTGGGCTAATCTAGAAGTAGCCTCAGCATTAAAAAGCTCTCGTCTTCATTCATCATCTGTGCCTGAAGTTGAGCCTTTCCTAATCGGCCCCGCAATCCGTCGCTAATTATTGCGTCGCTACGATTTGAGTCGCAGTTAACCTGGGTATGACTGAGACAGCCCGTACCTTCCCATCCCTGGGCTTCTCTCTCTCTCATGCCGTTGGCGCTCTGCCTTTTCTCGGTACTCGTGTTACTATGAGTCTGGACATACCGGACTATGCAAGCCAGCCAAATGTAGCAAGGGTGTAGGCTAAAGCAAAATTCCAGCGCTTCTATTACGACATGATTATCGGTGATGGATATGCTGTAATATTTCTCGGCAAAGGTAGTTCATTAAGTCAATAGTAATCAATGTTTCGCGAAGCGATTCCTCTCCCACCTGTCATGTCCGCGCTTGAGGGTCGGCATATATAATTTAAGAGTTTGGGTATGCTGATTGCGATTATAGTCTGTGAGTTAGTATAAGCTTAATGTGATCTTGCTCGAGTGGATCAAACACCAGGCTAAGCAATGCAAGTCACGTTCTATTAATAACTAGAGACTATTCTTGATACTATTGTTGGTATTTTTCTTTTACTGTTGAGTTTCTAGTCCCCCCTCTGGGTATGTGTGTACTAGCACCCTAACCTCTTGATACACTAGAGACACCCTCTTGAGGAGAACCGTGTATGGGGATTAATTCCATTGGTAAGGAAGTGAGGATGTGTAATTTCGTCACCATGGCGAAGGGTATAGAAATATAGCCCTTGTATGTCTTATCTTGTGAGTCTATCTCTTAGGCCTACAAGTTTGTCCAGGACCGAGGTCTTGGCAGTGCAAGCCCTACTTGTTGCACGGAATTCTGGCACAGTAAACATTCCGCTTCATACTCCAGGAACTTCTCGGTGACTCTCTTCCAAGTCTGGGAAACATATCCGAAGTCACAATGTCGTGCCACTTCTCTGCAGCGTCATCGGGCCGGTTCAGTGTATAGCAACACCCTAGCTTATCCACTTTGGCGGCGACCTCAGTACTGGCTGTTCCACAAATATAAGCATAACGGCTTTTGGATGAGGCTTTAGCTAGACCCGGCTGGAGAGAAGTCACCCGCGACTCAACACTCGGTGTGTGCATATAAGACACAGAACGCGGGGCTGTATCAGGACAAACTTGCATGTTCATGACCTGGAGCAGACAGAGTTCTGTTAAAAAAAAAAAAAAGATACTAACCTTGTCAGAATTACCGCAACAGCTTTGGAGTCCCTCGGCCAGGTGCGGTCAATATTAATAACATTAAGGACAGGGTATTCTGCAGGCTCGGAAAAAGACGGTGTCGCTTAATAGGATCCTAGGGTTGCCATCAGTGCTCACTTCGATTTGTCCCCGTTATCGAGGGATTTATCCCCTCATATTTGACCGCGTGACAAAACCATTATTTCATTCTAGGATATTTCAACTTGCCACAACCCACAGAAAGTGCCAGCAAAATCATCCCACCCCACTCAATTAATCCACCCAGGTCATACAGTCAGATTTTAGCTTAGAAAGCATCGAGTTTCGCAAATACCACCTTCATTTTTCTCAATTTGCCGAGTTATTATATTACTCCACACCAATCAGGTTCGTGCGCGGGTAGATTACCCAGGGTGGGCCACTTTGCCGAGGTGTCAAACTTCGTCATGCTCCAGTCGGTTGACGTCTCATTCCCTTTGAAATGAATTTCGTCGGTAGCTGACGCGGCAGTTGCGGCGTCGCAAAGTGGTTGCAGTTATTTAGTTTCGTCGCGTGAGCCGAAGCGTTTGTGGTATACTGCTTGACATATAAATACGAGGCCGATCGCCACTAGTTCCTGATTTACCTACTATAAACATTCAATTCTGTCCTCCCTTCCGCTACTACACGACGACTACGATGCATATCACTTGGCTCCTCTCAACGCTGGCTCCTGCCCTCACGTTTGCTTCGCCAGCCATTCGAGCGGCCAGCGACAGCCCCTTCTCACTTTATGCCTACGGCACAGGCCTCGGGGGTTTGAGGTTGTTTACTTCTGGAGGTATGTTGCTACTACTGCGCCAGTGAAGGCCTGTTGAGGAAAATACATAACTGATGAATTATCACGAGCATCTCTAGACGAGGCTTATGTTGGCAATTATAAACTTGTTGGCGACGATCAAGCTGCCCCTGTAATTTGTACGTGTCTTCCTGACTCTCTATGTATCTCCTAACTAACTGCCAATTTAGTCACTAAGCAGAGCGATGATACCTTGCTTGGTAGTCCAGACACATCCGTTACCTCCACTGCGTCGTGGTCCAGCCTCACCTTCTATGTGCCCTCGCCTTCGTCCTCCGAGCACGCAGTTGGGTTTGTCGAGTCTGCTGATGACAGTTCGGAAATCGTCACCGAGTTCACCTTTTATGGCGCCTGGATTGCAACTTCTGACAACACCGGCACATTGCAGACTCTTTGGTATGTGACACCAACAGAGACCGAAGGTATCTACTCGGTGAAGTGGAACAGCACCGGCGACAGCACCGATGGAAAGATTTCTATTGCACTGCGAACGACTGCCCCGTCAAATTAAGAAAGAATACGGTCTGTCTACGGGGTCGATGCACCTGGCAGCGGGGACGAGAAGTCATGGCAACGCAAGAAAAGCAAATGAATGAGTTTGTGGCATCTCAAAGCACCTCGGATCTGATAAGGATATCAACTTCTAGCCTATTACGTTGAGAGAGGGCTGGTATAACTGTGTTCGTCTTTCAAGCAGGTATCATCGTGAGTATGGCGTGTGGAAGTTGCTGAGATCGGGCCAACTGGGACCCCCAAGGATGTCTTCATTGAGTCTGGAACGTGTTGATTAGGTTTTCTAGTCCATGACTATGCTCTGAATTTATCCACCGCGATTCGCATATTATTTCTGGCGCCAATACACTTTGACATTGCCGTCCTTCGATTGTTGTTCTCACTAGCCACCCGCGGCTGTGTCTGCATACTTTCAGAGGACAAATACTTCAGTCAGCCTGCAAAGACCATCACACGAAAAAGGGCAAATGGCCTGGCTGCTTCTAGCATGCCATGAACCGGGATGGAACGCACCTCTGGGCTTCCGGAAACACACGCGAGGCTTGGATGCGATTGACTCGAAGATTGAGTCCTCTCCGGATACCACATCAGCCCTATTCGATGCGTGGAGGGTCCTGTGATGCAATATCCGTGACCAGAAATGGCAAACTTCCCCGCATTCATTCCACTTCTGAACATTGTCGCTTAACGTTCCGTCGCCCAGATAGTATTCGAGAGCAAAAGATCCTGGTCATCCCCGCACTTAACTTATTAGACATCGCTTTAAGCTCAGAATTTGGCAGCTACTTCCGTGGTTTACAAGGATGAACGGATTTAAATGCAGGCTTAATGGGAAACGAACTCATGACTTCACCCACCACTTCCACATGTGGCTAAATTCCCGGTATGTTATGATAGATCATCAATGCTTATCACATGTTATGTTTCTCGATGTTTAGGTAGTTTAACGTAGAAACAAGGACTTGAGAGTCTATTACAGCCTCGGCTGTGGGGTCGTGGTAGGTGACGTCGTTCGTGGGTATGGAAGTCCACGAAGACAGGCCATGCGTATAAAGGCACTTGTTAAAACCCATACGAAGAAGAAGATTCCCGGGCAATTGTTCTCGTTCAATGAGAATCATGAATAGCCTACGCTCCCTTCTGGCTGTTGCTGCCCTTTGTGGCCTATCCTCTTCCTTCGAATACAACACCTTCGACGGTGAAGGCCATCCTTCCTGCTACAATGTTACTGCTGTTTATGATCCAAAGAATGTCGATGAGATTGTAGATCTTGTCAAGAAAACAGCTAGTAAGGGCCTCCAGGTACGCGCCGGAGCGAAAGGGCATATGTGGTATGATACTCAGTGCTCTGACGATGAGACCGTCATCATCCGCACTGAACATGTGAACAACATTTGGGACTTGGATCTCGACAAAGGAACAGTCATGGTTGAGGCCGGAGTCACCTTTTTTCAGTTGGCCGAGTACCTTCACGAGAATGGCGCCAACATCGGAACAGGTTTGGTCAATTGGAACATCAGCCTAGGAGGAAGCATCGCCATGGGGGCTCATCGAACTTCGCTCCGAGAAGACGCAGTCGTTGTTGGCGGGGTCCTTGCAATGGACATTATTGACGGCAAGGGAGAAATTCGACATATCGAACGCGATGAATCGGATGACGATTGGCTGGCTGCTTCCACGTCTTTGGGTATTCTGGGTATCATCGCCAGGATTAAGATGCAAGTGTTCCCGGAAACAAAGGTTTGGGCTATGCAGAAAACGTAAGTTGGCCAGAGTTCGTCGATTTATGCGGCATCTGATCGGAGGTAGACTGGACGAAAAAGATGTCCTTGATGGAGACATCTATGGAATGATATCACCATATCTTACAGCTAACTTTTGGGTATGTGCCTAATAATCTCTGCAGTAGCGGTGCTAACGTGAACAAAGTGGTGGCCGTATAAACGCAAGTTTCACTGGCGCTACTATGACTCCGTACCCGTGGATGAGAGCGACCAAGAAGGATTCCAATCGACCTTCTCCGTGACCGAACTAGAGGCAGTTGCAGCACGCACTCTCCTCGACAGTGGTAAGTATCTGCCATCTTCGAACTGGCTAATGGAGGAAATCTTCTTCGGCCTGTGGGACAAGCCCAATTTTCACGACAAGTCCACCGACGAAGAGATCACGAAGTGGCCAGTGTACGGGTACAACTATGATGTCCTTATTGGAGGATTGTATCCTGGTCAAAAGCCGGAATGGGACTACGATCTCCGCGGTTACACTTTGGAGCTGGCATTCCCCGTGACGCGAGCAAACGAGATGCTCAAGAGGGTCCGTCAGCTGTTCGACGCTGAGGCAAAGAAATTGATTTTCATGACCTCGACTTACAGAAGTGGCATCAACATAAAGTTTAGCAAGCCGCATTACGATTTCCTCGGTCAATCAACGGTTGACACTGCGGATGGTCAAGACTGGAGCAAGGGCGCTATCATGTTTGATTTTCCGTCATATCGCCCAACAGTTGGCGACCACAAGCGATACAATGAGCAATTCTGTGAGTTGATGACATGAAAAGACGGGAAAATACTAATGGAGTAGACATCAACCTGGCCAACACACTGATAGATGAGTTCCCTTGCCGGCCTCATTGGACGAAGAACACTAGGGATGTCTTTAAGAGATCAGTGAAGAATTTGGATCCAGAGGTATGTATTACGGCCTTAGTAAGAGCTTAGTCGCTAATTCATGTAGAATCTTGCTCGTTTTAAGGCTGTGAGGGAGAAATTCGATCCCGACGGTATTTACAGGAGTGTAGTTGGAGAGATTCTGGGAATGTATAACTAAGGGAAGCCTCGTAATTTGAGAAAGGCAGAACTGAACTTGAGAATAGCTAAGAGCTTTTGTCTCCCCTTCCTGTCAAAATCCTCCATTATATCACTGATGTGGCCACACTACCGATCTGTAGCTCTCGTACTCAAATTCGTGGAGAGTCGAGCTGTCATCGGCCGCTGCCTCTGTCATGCCAGGACTCAAGAGGTTGAGCAGCCAGAGCGTAATAAGTAGCATGGCAACCCGAAATTGGGGATAGCTGATAAAAAAGGAGAGGTTTTGCGTGGATATTTGTGACATGAACCTCACACCAGGGTGCCTATTCAGCTTCTCGGTTGCTGGTGATGTGTGGAGGATAGCCTGAATAAGATGTCCAGTTCCTTTCGCCGCCGCAGAGCTAATCCAGAGGAAGACTGGGACAATGACGATAAGGGATTTCCAACGTCCTAGGACATCTCCACCGCTATTAAGACCGCCGATAAGCAGGACTCCTCGTGAATCGGCAGCCAGAAGGAGATGAAATTGGAGCGTAAAGGTTTCCAAGGAGCATCGTCCGAGCCAGGCCATGGCCTTCGAATGGTAGTTTCGAGTCAGAGTTGTGATGTTTCGCATCGCAATAAAGCCCAATATAGGGAAAAGTGAAGTATAAGGATGCCATTTCTGATAGTCCTTCCAGTCAGCATAGAAGTATGCAGTAGAGGCCATAAAGCCCACTATAGCTAAGACGATGCGATGGTTCAGTCCCACAGTTCCTTGGCCTTGGAGTTTGAAGTTTGCTAATGCGAGGAGCATGCCAATATAGACAATAAAGAGATCCCATGAAAGTCGAGACTGCCACTCGAGAAGGCTCCATTGGATATAAAAAACGGTCCGGAGCAAATTGAATATCCACTCAGTGACAGGAGTAGCGAGAGCAATGCCAGAGACGAGAAGGGCGGAGATGAAAATCTTTGCCAGAAGCAACCAAACGTGGTCATTATATCTCTCGTGACCAATAGCCATGGTGGCATATACGACCAGAAACCAAAAGGTAACAAGTGGTGAAAGGTAATATAGCATATAGTCTGTGTTCATAAAGAAGGCCAATGAACAAGCCAGGAGGTTGAGGCGAAGTAAAACAGATGCGACGCAGTTGAATGAGAAGTCCTTTTTCTTTAAGAAGAACTGGGTATTTCCGTATCCGGTTTGGAAGAGATAGGCAGCAATCAGAACTCGAATAAGAATATTGAGAGAGCTTGAGCTGGAGTTCACCCAATGATAGATGAGAATAATGCATTGCATCCAGCCCTTCCATTCATCCGTCTGATCCCGAGACAGAAATGGCTGATCTTGTTGCACGAAAAGACCGCCTTTGCCTGGCGGAAGAGACTTGCGGATAGTCAATAGGGCAATAGCAATACAGGGGATGCAAAGAATGGCGAAGTCGTGAAAAGTCCACATCGCAGATTCCTTGGCCATCAGTTGCGTTCGATCAGCATAGTAGCACATGAGCGGAGCCAAGATGAAGCAACCTGCTTCCATGCTCAGCAAGGTCCACCGAGGCTCGTTGCGCTTGGCCATGAGATCTAAGATCTCATTAAAGACGCAGACTACTAACCACGCGAGGCCAAAAGCAACAACGCCCAGCTGAACAAGTGGCTTACTGCCATAGTCAGTACAGCAAGTGCGGTTGTACGGATAGCGCTGGAGGCGATCCAGCTTGGCGTTGCATCGGAGGTTGAGCAAGATATTGGCCCGTACTTCGGCCACCTGGTCGATGACGTGTATGCCGCTTTGTAGTGAGTCGCGCCAGACCTTGTCTTGGCCATAGACGAGTTCAGGCATAGCCCATACGAGGGAGAAGTTCAATTCGTCGGTTGAATTGTGGAGAAAGTTCTGGAAATCCTTTGTTTCCCTGGCGCGCTGATGGCTTTCCTCGATATTTTTGGGTACTTGACCGGTGTATACTGGTCCTGAAGGAGGCGTAAAGAAGATTTGGTTGCCAACTCCGTCGACGGGGTCCATGGGGTCGGTGAGAAAGTCGTATCCTGAGTCGCCTACGATATCGGACGCGTTGAAGACGGCTTCCTGGAAGGCTGCTATTCGTGCCTCTGGAGTGTAGTATTGGGTGCGTATCGTGTTACTGAACCAAGGACCGACAGCAATATAGACGAGGGCAGGACCCTTTTGCTCCTTGATGGGCGGAGGATTTTTCTTCTCGTGGCCGAATGTTGAAAGGTGCACGACTGAAGAAGCTAATCGGTAGTCGTCGCCGCTCGTATTCAGCCAAACGTTGTAGGTGTTTTGGATGCGGACGCCGTGGTAGGTGAAGTTGGCGTTGGTATGTTTTGGGACGAGCCCTTGGTCAGTCATGGCCTGGTCTCCCCCCATCTGATATGAAAGTCAGCATGGATTTACCTCAGTATTTTAACCCAAATGTAGCTTAAAGTAAAGTAGAGTAAAATCGAGAGGTAAGGGGGGTTCAATGTGCTCACCAATCGTCCTAATCCAAAGGCGACAGCGCGAGACGTCGAGTCACCGATGAACACGATGTCGCGGCCTTCCATGCACTGTTGGGCATCGGCCGCTGAATAGTCGTGAAGCATGCATCCATCTGGTTGCCAGTGTTTAAAGGGTGCCCGGCTCCCCTCTTCATCTGGAGGGTCGATCCAGCGGCCTCTCTCGAGCAAGGCGCGGCAACGGTAGGGATCATCGCCAGGGATTATCGTATTGTAGCCCACGATTGCCAGGAACAATACTGCAACAATGGTGGGCACAATCCTGGGCGATACTGTGGGGAACATGGTTGCAACGTAGTCACAACCTTCCGATTCACGATAAAGAAGATGGATGAGGTGTAGGCCGGGATGACTAGCTGGGGGGAAGTGTGCTGAAGGTCGATTAAATAAGGACAGATATCCAAGGTGATAGTATCAGGAATATGGCAGGGAGAGTCGTCAGAGGGCAGGATTGGTATGTATATGTGTGGGCCACATGTCTGTGAGAGGTAATATGGTCTAAGACAACATTTGCAATAAGCTGGAAGATGATTTGGTAGAAGCAGGCCTACAATAGGGAGTCTGGCGCCACACTCCCTCGATATTTAAAGAAGGGTATCTTGGTCTCTCTGCCGAATGCCATCATTGGGCTGCTTGGCGCACTATTGGCCATAGTGGATGTCTCAATGCAATCTCTGCCGCCCTTGGGAACGCACCAAATAATTGCATCGGTCCCTCATAGGTTAGATTGTGAGCAATGTCTCAGCGATTCCCACCATCTCCACGCTTGAAGCTTCACAATCTGCGGGAACTTACCGTAGGCTCAAAGACTTAGTGTGTCAGCACCGCTGGAAAAGAAGACATGCTCTAGACCAGGCACCCAACAATACGTTATAGGTAGGAAGGGAGAAGTAGGGCGTAAAATTGTGTACCTATGGGTGCCCCCGGGCATCCTCGGGACCCAAAGATTTTTTTAGCTAGCCGGTGGACACCTGTAAGCGCTATTTTCTTTCCGTACGAGTACCTGCAGGTAGCTAAAAAGAAAAAGAAAAACTTCTATAGGGTAGGCAGAATTTTACAAAAAAGAATAATCTAAAATAAACTAAAATGTAATAATATTATCGTGTAAAAAATGATGAAGTGTAAACTAAGAATTATTTTATTTTTATTATTTCCAATCTACTAGATAGTTATATGTCGCAGTTTACCAAGGATCTGCTTGGTACCTCCTTTGATTAAGGAAGAGATTTATGCAGACAAGCAGGGGTGGGCCCTCAGCCGTCGACAAAATCTTCAAACCATGCAAGGACCTGCTCCTACACTGTGATTTTGAACATGCCCTTGACAAAGGCCATCTTCTCATTGGACCAGGCGTCAATAGAATCCTCGAGAATGCTATTCCGGACGAAGGCAACAGGGGAGCAGACGCATGCGCTCTGACTGTTGATGTATGCGATGTCATCCAACGGTTGGATCAGTGAGCGCACAGAAGGACAAGGTTGATAAATTTGACGAGGATAAGAGAGAGGGCGACGGTGAGAGAGAAGGAGAGGATGGGGATGAATAGGATCGTCCATACGCGGTCTTTTAATGAGAGGATGAAGGAATATGTAGATGTTAAATTGTTAAGAATGACACGTATGTCCCCACGATTGGCGGGGAATTAATTCCGAATTGAAAGACATCAAGTCACAGTAAGAAAATAAGTCGCCGTATCATCCATCGTGGTATTCAAGCCCTCACCTTTATATGCCGTAGGGTTGTAAGAGGCTTGGCATCGTGGTGAGCTTTTTTCCTAAGTGGGCTCTCTATGGATATTAGAGCTTATTTTTGGAGGTGCTACTTCATCGGCACACTGCCTTTCCCGATGACGACGGAAACAGCAGCAACCTGATTGCTTGTGTTAGTCGGGAACCAGGAGAGGTTCTTAATGCTGCCACGGCTATTAAGCATCTCTGTGTGTTATCTGTGCAGTGCAGTCATCGGGCATATGATAAGAGGCAAACCAGTGGGTAGGGCAAAGGCTGGGAGAGTAAAAATCATAGGGACTGAGCTGACAATTCCAAACACGACTGGGCGAATTGTGATCAGTTCCAGATGACCGGGTTGGAACAGGAGTATAAGTTGGTGGTCAGTATCACGGCCCATGACGTGATCTCGCCAATTACGAATACTTGCCGGACCTAGCATGGGCCGTTCCAAACAATACGTGACCGATTTTCGCGGGGAAGGTCAATTACCTCGCTATTACACCAGAATGTAAGAGCTGATTGACCCGACTCAGGCACCCCTCCTATTCGGGGCTACCAACCGTCTACAGCACTGCCCTCCGTGTTATCAAGATTAATTCTCGTGGAGCGGTCATTCCCGTACACCTATTCTACCTAAAACCTGTCCGGGCCTCGTGCTAACGTGAGCTAAGCCACGCATTGCTCAATGCCGAGATCGTGTTATTAAAAGAAGGAAAACTCTGTTCGATAGCGCACCGCCACTGCGATTTGAGTGGCTGGCTGCCTTCCCTGTTATCTGGCACGTGTCGTGATGCTTGCTTGCTGGATGATTATTTGCCATCAACACTTAGCGTTCGCCAACCCATGTTCGTGACTGACTCGTCCTCCTCATCATTGTCGTCTTGTGTGCCAGCACTTGTGACGAGGGACAAGCCACTTCTCCAATTTAAAATGTGCTAAGCAAGGTTCTCCGAATCCCATCCGTAACTAAGCTGGGGTGGTGGATTGTCTCCCCTGGCAGTGACTAGCCGATTGGCTAACCCACAGCCAAGGATCCCATTAGCATGCCCACTTGTCTTTGATACAACAAATGAGGGGACGCTGTGGGCGAACCGGGGCACCGGGGGATCCGGGGAACTAGGCAGTTCCAAGTGCGGGCGCAGCGCTTGCGGGGGAAGGATTCGCCTTTTCAGCTCCTCTGTCTAGATTGTCCATACTTGGTAGATTGCGGAATAGAACCCCCACATCCCAGTTTCACTTGTTAGACTTACGGGTAAAGCTCGTTAATCGAAGGGTCTAGATTGTCTAGTTGAAAAAGCGTCTCAATAGTGTGACCCGCCCACCGAGCACGAGCACACACGATAACGGGGCAAATACGGAGCACTGTACCCCTGGATGTGATGGAATATAATGGGAGTAAAATCCCATTTTTTGCTTTTTCCTTTGTTGCTTTGCTCGTGCCCCTGCTTTGTCTGTGCCCCTGCTCTGCAGCTGTCCATCGATCAACCATGTCGACAACGGCGGCAGACGCGAATGCCGTCTTCTTCGAATTGAGCTGGTCCATCCTTTGTACTATCTGTATCGGCAATGTGTTTTTTGGGCTTCTCGTCTGCAGCATCACCAACTTCACCCCGCTCGCTGCAGTCCCCATACTCTCGTCTGCAGCTGGGGCTGTCGCCAACGGCCTTTGTTTCTATTCCAATTATGGAGTCCACCCTGATATTAACAGGGCGGTTTCGTCAGTCTTTGCAGACATGTTTTGGGTGGTATGGTTACCTTCGAATTAATGGTCCCCGTTGGCTCTCTACTAATGCTTCATGCTTTTATTATTAGATGCAAGAAACTGGTCTTCTATTTTACAGCTACATCATCTTAAAACGTGTGCTTCGAGGAGTCCGCTGGCAGGTATTTGTAACTTGCTTCTGGACGGGTATCACCGGAATTCTCGTTACGCGTGTAGTCATCTCCGTGTTCAGGGTGCGATCTATCATGAGCCATGACGAAGCGCTGCAACACATTGTCAACTACCTCCACATTGCCTACTTTGGGCTATTGGCTATTCTGGAATGCATTGGTGCTTACTTTCTTATCACTGTATTCACGTCTGCCAGGGCCTCGTCCGTGCAAATCGCCCTCAATGTCGGTTTCTTTCGATATTTGAGCCGAAGTACAGAAGGTAGAGTTGCCATCCTAGCTCTACAAGGTATCTTCCGGGCCATCACACATTCCATAAAAACCCCTGGGCAGAGTGCAGAGAACTTGGCAAGTCAACTGGATCGCTTTGCGTATGCACTCTTCTGCCTTTTCCCGGTTGTGTTATAGTAAGTTGCTATTGTGTTTCCCTGTAACCCTCGCCACCACAACTAACAACCATTGTACCAGCATCGATTTGCTTGCCTCCAAGCTCGTTTTTACGGAACAGAAATATCCATCATCTCAAAGCCAACCTAGAGTGGGAAGCCAACCGCGACAATTCACATCAACACAGAAGGATGAATTTGCGGGAGGGAGGGGCGAGCACGTGGTCGAGTTTCATGGGGGTGTCAGCAAAACACACAGGAGTGACTCACAAGAAAACATTTTCAAATCACAGGAGCCTTCTATTGATCTTGAGGAGTTGGATGTTAAGGGGAATGGGATTAAGAAGACGGTTGAGTTTAGAGTGGTGTAACTACTTGGAAGAATATTTAATAGGGGGGGATCAGAAATAGGGAGCCACAGCACAAGCTTAATAAGACTATAATAGAGAGGCCAAGGTCTACAATATCAAATACCTAAATACATAATTCGAATTTCAATATGTGGTTGGAGCGGGCAAGATGACCAATTGAATTGGACCAATAACCCAAGGGGCAAGTAAAAGCAGCCCCCCGTACGAATAACCCTACATTGGCAAAGCAACGAGTCTAACATGGGCCTGTACCCCCAAAGGCCGATGATACTAACACAATAGGGTCGTGGGAGGTACTCGTTTCTAGAACGCCATGGTGTCTCTCGTTTATCGTTGCACCCTGGCGGTGGCGCGAAGTCAGTGGCGGCGGCTTGCTGGCTACACCACACTTGTTCAGCCACAACGAACGATCCTTGTACCGAAATACGCATGGCATGACAGCGCACATGTCCAGGAGAGGAAAGATCGTAGAAATGCAAAGGCTGCAATTGGTAGTGTCGAACCAAGGCGCGTTTCTTACTTTAATACCCGAGTGGCTGCTGGCACAAGCCATAACACTTTTTGGGAGTTTTGCTAGATCATCGCCATGTAGGACATCCCGAGCACAGCTGACTGCAAATCCGCCATATGAAACTAATCGCTGTTCCATGTCGGGAACGAACATCAGAAAACGGGACGTACAAACGCGCATCCCTCGCATTGTGAAAACGACCTGATGGTGAAAAAGGCAAACCACAGATATGTTCCGATAAAGAATTTTACCCATTTGACTACGTCATCTGGCCTTTTACTTACATTCTGAGGATGTTTGTTAGCGTCTATTGTCACTGATAATGCACAATCGGCCTGATTTCCGTTATCGGTTACCGCCTTGAAAAGCGCGAATCTGCCGACAAAGACCGACTTCGCCGGCCGAATGCCGGTGCTGTTAAAAGTCCCGCCTGTCTTCGACGGCATGTGAACCGGTATCTGGTGATAAGCCCAGTATTGGTATCTCGCACGCGAATACTTGGGTATATCTATGCTGGGATGTTTATCTGCTTTGGATGTGCGCCTCACCGCACCTAAGCTACCAACTCACAAGTTGCTATCCATTCGGCGTTCCAGCCTTCTCCGGTGTTATCGGGAAAAGTGGCCGTGTCTCTGACTTGCGACTTGACGAACTACTATGTAGAGTTTCTTCAGATTGTGCCAGTTTCCCCGCCGATTCTACATTCCGCGACGATCTAGAAGACAGGTAAGCCTGTGTGTTGGGCTGAGTGCTCTGGCGCCGGCCTCGACGTTCTGTGCCAGGGCTATTATGTAGGCAGTGGAATTCAATGTAGCATCATCATTTACCATGTACAGAAGAGGAAATAGAATATAGTTTACATCATGCACTCTCAGATACTTTGCCTGCGGTGTTAAAACTCCATTGGAAAGCCTTGGTTTCAAGGTCAGCACACGGCGCCAGCACCGTTCAATCGACACAAGATGGGGTTGAAACCTGAACAACCTAACTCCGCGTTCCTAACTAATATCAGATCCATGAGGCAAGGTTGAGAGACTACAGAAAATTGACTACAAGAATGTCTTTCTTCGCTAGAATTTCAGCCACCACTCACACCGCAACACGCTTTGCGCAAGTGCGCCCCTAAAGTATTCATCGCAGCCAAGGAATTCACTATTCCAGAATTCAGGACAATAGTCACTTTAATCTTTCAAACGAATTTATTGCGTTGCATCATCATCTCATTCAATTAGCCGTATAATATAGGTCTACCCAAGTAAGGTGTCGAAGAATATTACTCATACCATCTCTCCTGTGCTGGCTTCTCCAGCTCTTAGAAGCCCACACGTTTCCAGATCTTGCATATTTCAACACAAGAATTCCTCTCAGCTTAGCAGCTCAAGTTCAAGGACAATCGTAGGAATGCCCTGGAAGCTCTCAGGCATTGTGTAGGTGAAGTTCCAAAACTCAAAGTCCCTGATTGTGCTGCTAGAACCTCCGTAGCCTCCAGCGAACGACAGCTCATAAGCCTCGTTGACATTGCCTGACACTGTGACCTTAAGACCTTGCACGTCTTCCCAGCCAGAGATGGTGCGGATATTGGCGAATGTGCCGGTGACGAGGGTGAAAACAGAACTAGAGTTTCCGTAAGGATACGACAAGGTCAGGTTCCATGGGTTGACCTCAACATCGAGAGCCATTTCGGTTGGGTAAAGCTGAAATCGAAGTGTTAGTATTTCTTTGGTTTGGATAGTTGGAATTACCAAGGCCGTGTATGGAAGCTCGGTGCACTCTTATTACTCAGGAAAGACATACCGAAATGAACGAAATCTCGCTACCAGTGTCCCACTGGATGACAGCGGGATTGAATGACTGCTGCGACCGAGCAGGGCCGCCAACGACAATTTCGTCGAATGCCTCGGCTCCAATCGTGATTTTGTCCGAGAGCCAGGTGGTGAAGTTACGAGGGGCATTGTCAAAGGGGGGAGACCGAGTCGACGTTGAGAATGTGTGCTCGCCGCTAAATTTCGAAATACTCTTTCGAATCTTCTTAGGAATCAGGCTCTCATGCTTTTTCGCAAGAACTGCGAACAGAGGAGCCCAGGCGTAGTCAGCCATGTGAGACATGGTTTCGGGCTGTATTGGTGGTCAGCATGGATCAAACATGGCTAAAGAACTTCGGGAGTATTCGGGGTACTGACCTTCTCGATAAGTCCAGCGTTTTCCTTTCCAATCAATGGCCAGAACCACAAAGCCATCAGGCTGAGATAGCGGTTCATGTCATAACCATAGGAGCGATCCCAGGGACCAGCCATATTCTTCAAGCCTGGGTGCCAAAGCGCGGAGATTGCCTCCCAGGTGTACTCAATCATCTTAGGTCCATTCTTGGTCATTACGGAGTCCTTTGGTAGATACTTGCTCCATAGAATAAGACCAAAGAGCGAAACGCCAGTATAAGTACCAGAGTTGAACTCAGAAAGGGTATTTTGTTCGTTAAAGAGATCAATGATCTCTTTGGCATAGGTCTCACCTGCCTTGGTCATGTTTGAATCTTTGAGGCGTCGGCCTGTCCAGCCAGATACAAAAGCTCGCATGATAGACTATTATTTGTTAGACTTCTGAGTTCCCAGCTCGCTTTCTGCGGACAGTGACTTACTGGGTTGCTATATGCGGGATATAGGTTGTCCTGGCTGGAGTCCAGATGACCAAAGCGGTAGGAATCACCCACAGTGGCCTTGTAAAGAGATGCCAAAATGAGTTTCTGAGTCTTCTTATCCAGAAGATCAGAGAATTCCTCCATTGCGAGAACCAATGTTGTGCCAACAAAGCCTCTCCAGTTAGGATCCCAGGAGCCATATATCTTTGCAGGATATACGGTTGAGCCGACGTAGGGCTCTTCAGGCTCCTGCTGGTAATCTCCATACCTGTTGACATGTTAGCATTTATGGATCTTTACTTCTCTGATTGCTTAGATATTGAACTTGAACTTACCACTCTTCGGCAGGCGCCGTATATTGACCGGAAATAATGTTGGTTATGATTTTCTCGGCCTCGGCAACATCGGTGCCTTCGTTTCGCGCCAGGAGACCCAGAGCATACCAGGCAGAGCTGCGGGTCTCATGTCTCAGTGCGGTAGCAGCACTAAAGTCATAGAGATAACCAGCATCCGAGTCGTAGTACCCATCCATCCAGTTCATAGATTCGGTGAACATTTGTCGCGTGTTTGACGACATGGACTTGACATAGGATCCACTGACAGCGCCGGCCAAGGCGACGAGCCCCACGACACGGGTTGCACGTAGAAGCACCATGGTCGTGACTTGTTCCTTCAGAAATTGACGAGTTTAGAGAATGCTGAGTGAAGGAGCCTGGTCGCCCTGAGAGCGGACTGCGGGGGATTCATATGCTCCCACGCGTCCTACCCCATTCGTGCTCTTTCTATTGTCCTGAACTAGTTTACTCCGGCGGTGTTCGGCTCAAGTGCCCCCGTAAGGAAACATGATATCCATCCCAGACCCTTAGCTCATGAGTTGTGGATCAGCGTTACATCAAATTCCGGGGACAGCCCAAACCCCAACCAATCAAACAGGGTACGATGCGCGCCACCTTGATACTCCGCGCTCTTAAGTGATCACCGGTTAATCACGAGCCTGATCTTTGCAGTAACCGGTCCGGGTTCGCCGGGGTGCATGCTGCCATTCCCCGAAACTACCGGAGCACATTACAACCTGGGAAGATAACGATGTCGATCACACGACAGCGTCAAAGCGCAAGGTTATCTGTTCGCTAAATCACTTGGCAACATCCGACTGTCTGGCACTCTGGGGTGTAGGGTAATCGGCCAGGGATATTGTGGCCTACAGATCAAGCCCGGCGCCGGACAATTGGCATATGGAGCGGGATGGCTGTCAGGAATGTGACTACTCTGGTAGTATTTAATTTCAAGCTATGGCTGAATACCACTCAAATATCTCTTCGAGCGAGTCTAACAAGTAGTAACGCCTTTGGTAATACAAGTTCTAAGAGTGGAACCGTTTCAATCCTTGATTCAGCACACCGCATTGTCCCTGCGTCTATCGCAGAGGCTGCATCTTCTCTGGGTCAACTCGAGATACTTTTCTGGGTCGAAAATACCGTTTAGGCTATCTTCCCAAAAGAGGAATGGAACCAGCAGAGTCGATAGAAGCTTTGAGGGTCTTCGAAGGCAATTACAGCAACAACATGCTGTGCCAACTTGTGCGTCATCGTCAGGTAGAAGCGTCGTGCGTGTCGTGAATATGTGTAATTGAGGTGAATGCGTTTCCCATCCATATTCTCTAAATTAACACACAATATGTAACAAACCATTACTCTAATGCGCTATGGATCAAACATCAATTATGCAGTAAGCCATATCCACTCAAAAATGGTAGGGCTGACACGTCAGCTTAGCCAATTCATCAACACACCGGAATACAATTCTTTTCCAGCCACCGACCTTCTCGGCTTGATTCGCACGACTGCTGGTTAACCCTTAAATTTCGCCGTCACATTCAAGTACAAAGTTTCACGGCACCTCCCTCAACATGGTAGAAGACCAGCGGGACAAGCTATGCGCAAGATGCCGGGGGATCGACTTCGACCACTTGTTCCGAGACCTGGCCGACCGAGAACTGCTTGAAAAAGACCCAGCCTTTGTTATTGATAACCCTCAAGAGTGCAAGAGCTCGTCATGTCCTCTCTGCCATTTCCTGATGGAGATGGTACCGGACGGTGAACGGGATACTTGCGACAGCGTATCTATCTTCAGAGCGTGTCACACGAGTAGAAACGGTTCGACAAACAGAACGCCACTTGATGCGCCGGCTATGTCAGAGCGAACGGCTCTGGAGGTTCGGACGCGCACGAGCGAAGATGAGCTTAGGCTTACCATTGGAACTTTTGTGAACTATTCCAAAGAACCGGAAGCGCCAGTCCTGATTGATCATGCAAAGGTCAGCTACGAGCCGTTGCGGACATGGTGCAAGGTGGTGCAAGAGATTCCCAGAGCAACTATGGATGTGCTGCCAGTCTCAGTTATTGACTGCCACAAGCGGGAGATCGTACCGGTGCGCGGCCCTTGCGATTATGTCGCTCTCAGTTATGTCTGGGGGCCGACAGTGTCACAAGGAGATGCCACAAAAGGCAACTCTCTTCCCAGTCACCTTCCTCGTACTGTGGAGGATGCCATCACAGTGGTTAGGGAGCTTGGCCTGCGCTACCTCTGGGTCGATAGGTACTGCCTGGACCAGAGCAACAAGTCCGAGTTCCAAACACAGCTCAACCAGATGGCCGATATTTACAGGCACGCACTTGTCACCATCATCGGGGCTGCTGGATCGGATGCGGATTATGGACTACCTGGCGTCAGCTCTCGTCCTCGAACTAAACAACCTCGGGTTAAGATTGGTGACTACACGCTCTGGTCCTCCATGAACGATCCACGAAAACTGGTAAAAGAAAGCCCGTGGATGACTCGTGCCTGGACCTATCAGGAAGGTGTCTTCTCCTGGAACTGGATCGCATTCACCGACGAACAGGTCTTCTTCCAGCGATCAAACAAGGAGTGGGCCAACCTGGAGCGCTGGTGGAAGGTCTCTTGTGAGATGTTTCCCCATGGCGGTCTGGGAGCGGACGCCAACTGTCCGTTGTTGCAAATGTACGACAATGTATGGAAGAATGAGGGCGCGTTGCACCATCTCCTGAAATTTTATACTGCTCGCAGTTTGACATATCAATCTGATATCCTGAATGGGGCATTGGGGCTCTTAAAACGGTGCGAGAATGGTCCGTATCGCATGAACCACTATTTTGGAACTCCCATTTTGGGGCCATTGATAAACCACCGTAAGGCCTCGGGCCGTGATCCCTCTCGAAGTTGGACGCTAACGGAAGCATTTCTGGTGAATCTCTGCTGGAGAACACCGGCGGCCGGTCCACGCAGGCCTGGCTTCCCGAGCTGGTCGTGGACTGGTTGGCAAACTGTCTACCAAACCCCTGGACAATCCCTGGTTTACCTGGGGCTCTCGATGAATAGTGTCACCGACGTGAAGCTATCCGTGCAGACCAGCCAAGGTTTGGTTGATTGGGAGGCTATGTGCAACAATAAGAATTGGGATGTTTACGAGGACTTGGGTTCGTTGTCGCAAGAACTTTATATTGGCGCTCCCACTATTGCCCTTAAAGTCTGCAAAGATCCTAGAGTGTCCAATGGGGCCATGTCCGGACACGCCGCTGACCCTTCACCCATGAGGTGGTGTGCCATCTTCTCCGATGAAGAATGCGATGCTCTGATTGAGGTCAATCTGGTGGACGTGGCAGTTGAATCAGCCCTTCTCAAGTCGGGTACTATTTCGTTGAAAGGTATCTTACTCCGCCAGGTGGATCCTCAGCAACTGATGGCCAAGGATTACGAATGGCACGCGAACTATATTTGGGCTTTTGCACTCGTCGTACTTGAAAGCCAAGACGGAGCGACAAGAGTTGGAAGTCTGGAGCTCAGGCCAGACAACTACTTCGTCTGCTGGAAACAGGATGTTCATCATTCATCAGCGAAACCAGATAAAACCTGGATACAGGGTGATCTCAAGGACTACATGGATTGTACTGAATGCAGGACGAAGGCATTGGAAAAACTGGTGAGTGGACAGACGCGTGAGTTGGTAACTTTGCTGTAGCTAGGTATTAGTCTCCTGGTATATTTGAGTTTCTCCATTCGACTGCAGCTAAAGGCTACGCATCCCCACAGTTGCTGGATGTTTCATACATCTGGTGCCAGCAGGACTCAGGTTGATAGCAGGATTCGCCAGACGTGATGATGCAGTAAATAACCCTAATCGGGCTAGACCTCAATGGATATCCGGATGTCCAGGATAGCAGGAGACCTATCAGAACGTCATTACCCCGCGTAATATGGAGAATGTTTCCTCGCCAACCGTTATTCCACTCTTCCATACGCGCCCATTGGCCATTTGCGCTGGAAGCACAACTTCTTCTGACAGCTCCCATCACAACTACCGCCGAACTATCTGATGTACTTGGCATCCATGCCCTGATCATTAATCCTCTATCCAATGGCTGAGGACGCCGGTAACGCGAGCTCCACTCAGAACCGCCCCGGATCAAGTCAGGGTGCTCTGAATACAAAACGCACCAACACAGCGTGAGTAGTCTTTCCAGCGTGGCCTGCGGCCTCGGCAACATCGGTATGCTCACCAAGTCTCACTTGCAGATGTATCAAGTGCCGCGAGCGCAAGGTCCGCTGCTCAGGAACATGTCCATGCACAAACTGCTCTAGACGCTCTGCAGAGTGCATCTTTGAACCGGATGAAAAGAAGGTTCTTGTATCTGAGAGGTAATGTTTATCCTACAAGCTCGTTCTTAAATTATCGTTCTAATACTATCCCAGATTCCTTAATGAGCTGAAACGAAGAGCAGAAGCCAATGATTTGAGCAGCTTGAAATCTCCCACAAAGCGCCAACATGAATTGATTACATCGTTAGGGCGTGGGGACGGGCATGGCGCGGTCACACACCATCTGATCGGGCGTCCTCAGGATGTTGGTGCCGGCCCTTCTGCCCAGGAAATACTCCCAAATATAGAAAACCCCCTTGCAAGCACCCCATCCCGGTTTCTCACTGACTTCCAGGGACGGCGGCGTGAGTTTCTTTTCTCCTCCAGCATTTCTGTCCATTAACAAAGCCTAGGGTTTCTCGGGCCGTCCTCAACGTGGGCCTACAGCCGACATGTCATGGGCATGATTGGAAAACACCTGGGACAGCACCAGTCTCCTGAAGTTCCTCTGAATACCGATGGGGCTGCATTCACGTTGGAGTTCCCCTCCAGAACCCACCCAGGCATGACCATCACCATGCAAGACCTGCCTTCTCGCGACTACGCCCTCTATCTCCTTAATACAGTCAAGTTTCACGTCTGCCAGACCTATCACCTCTTTGACGAGCCGAGCTTTATGCAAGCCTTTTCAAATTTGTACAGCGAAGGCCCACAACCCTTGAATCCGAAGAACCGGTTGTGGTATGTGCAGTACTTTATCATTATGGCGTTTGGCAAAGCTCTCCTGATGCGTGGCTCCTCAAGAGCGAACCCTTACGGCAGCGAGTACCTTTCCCGGGCCATGGAACTTCTCCCAGACGTGAATGGGCTGTACGAGGACCCCATAATCGCAGTCGAGATTTGTTGCGGCCTGTCATTATATCTACAATCAGTTGATCACAGGAACAGTGCCTATGTCTATGTGAGTGCTTGTTCTAATCCAAAAGATGCCTCATACTTATTTGTTGTAGCTTGGACTTGCCTTGCGCATAGCTTTGACACAGGGGTTTCACCGTGATCTGGTCAGCGAATCTGACGGCCCTGGTGATGCGACCAGATATCAAAGTGCTTGGTGGACACTGTACATCCTCGACCGGAAATTCTCGTCGACTATGGGCGCTCCAAGCTCCATCAATGACAATGATGTCACGGTGTCTTTGCCAAGCACTCAGAAATCAATGCAAACCTCTAGCGCATTAGAAATGCACGTAAAGCTGGCTCGCCTGGTTGCAGAGGTCCTCAACAGTACGTGAGTTTCTGAAATATGTGGACTCTGCTAATACTACTCCCAGCGATATACAGCATCGATGGTCGGCTGCACTCATCCTTCCTCAAGAATGTCCAAGTAATTCTGCGACAACTGGCTGCTTTGGCGGTCGAACTCAATGCATCAGAAACAAGTTTGGACAGTCCAGATCCCATATCACGAGTTTCAGCGACCGTGAATCTATGTTATCATCAGGTATCGTGCAACTGCTCCCTTGAAGTGCCTTATGGAGTGACTGATGCCGCGAAAGTGTATCGTCCTCGCTACACGGCCACTGCTCATGTGTCTCTTACGAGACAAACTAGAGCAACGAAACGACGGCAACAAAGAAAGCCGTGAGATGGCTGGACCTATCAAGGCTTTCTTGAAGACATCCTGCGAGTCCGCCAGCAAATCCTTGGGTATTTTATCTGCCCTCCAATCTCAGGATCTCTTAGGTATAAAATCTCCTGTCTGAAATACCCTGTGCAATCCAGACTAATGTAAAAACCCCACTCTCTTTAGAAACATTCCTTCCTTTCGACTTGGAAACTGCCTTCTCCGCCGGTTTTGTCCTCGCACTCATATCGGCTATCCAGTCACCCCGAGAAATTCTAGATGATTCATCGTGTCTTACAACAGCTTCGAGTATCATCAAATGTTTAATCTCCCATGGCAATGTCCCTGCTCGCTTTCGTCTTGAAGAGCTAGAGCGCTTACAGGAAATGCCGATGCTTGTAACCCTACAGACTGGGTCCAGTGTCGAATCTCATGACCTGAGCGCCGCTCGGCCAGACCCCGTTGATTTTGCCGCCCATACTTTATCGCCAAACCAGATGCTGGCAATAGCTGAGCTGATAGAGTATTACCCAACACTGGGTGATGCTGGACCCGGGGTAATTGACAACGACTGGCTTTGGGAATCTGGGGACCCGTCTACAGCTCCGTATTAATGTTACAATATCAATCTTCTGCGTATTATTTCTTCCTCTAAGGAATCAACTAGGGATGAGATGAATCAGCTTAGGAATGGAAATTGGTGTTCTATGATGCTGCAAGCTTCCATAAAACCACGGAGCATGCACTTACTCGTATACTTGACTAAGATACGAAGCGCAGAGAAGCTACTGTCGTCACGTTTATGCTATCAGAAAAGGAACCCGTTACTGAAGTGCCTCGGGAATTCGTCAATGTAGTGATGCTGATGGATACGCATAACCGTGTACATCTGAATGATTTGACACTGGTGCTTATATCTTCCATTGATGCTGCATATAATTTGTTTTTGAATGGCATACCCAACTGAAATTATTGACGAAAACTTCGAATTGCTGCCAGCTTCTAACTTGAAACGAAGTCATGGAAAGCTTGGTGTAACTTGTCGAAGTTTACCTTGCTTGCAATGTCCCACAAGTTCTTGCGACGCAGATAATTCTCCGGCTCCGTACCAAAAACGAATTCCGGCTGGCCAGAGGTCGGAGGTCCGTACACTCTAGCGCCTCCGGCAGATGCTTCATACTTCTCATACGGCTCCTCACCGGAGACAAATTTGATGAAGTCGGTGGCAAGGGTTCGTGCCGAAACCTGCTGCTTCGACTCGAGCATTTCGTTGAAGTTTTGGAAGAGGAATGCAACATCGAGTATGTGAGTGGCTTCCCCTTTCCAAGGGCCCTCCCAAGGGTTCGGCTCATTAAAATGATAAACATAAGCTGGGCCAGGCCACCCACGGGCAATAGTGATTGCTGATACGTAGAATAACAAATCAGTGAAGAATTTGAGCACATTGAACATGGCCGTGTCGTCGTCGATGTCGTCGGTGATATTGTAGCCTGTGCAAATGGCTTCCACAATACTGGGGTCTTCATCTAGAGTCGACGAGAGCGAAGTTCGGAATCCTCGTGAGATGTTGGCTTTCTTATGACCAATCATGTATGCAAAAATAGAACCCTAATCTTGCATTAGCTTTGGATAGACCTCATAGAATCGTAAACACACATCGAATTGACAATCTCCGATCATTATGCGTCGACACCAAGCCAACCCAGGAAGTTGAACTTCAGACTGGGGTTGGGTCCATTCGGAATACGTGAGACGTCGCTGAACGATATCGCCTGCCACAACAGGCAGCATTGGCATGTTTGGCGTAATTGTTTGCAACCATACGCTTGGTGAAACCTCCAGAATTGACCGGGCCTGGTCTTGGGGTGGAGAATCTGGGTTGATTTTGAGCAGCGACAGAACCTCTCTATACGCACCCTCGGCAGTTTCGACTGGAATTGGCTGCAGCATCAAAGAATTGCCGGCCATGGCCACAACTTGTGTAAAGAGAGGCTCACTGGATTGGAGATGCAGCGTGGCAGAGGCTGGTGACACTGATTTAGAGCCTCAACAAACTGGAGAAAGGCTGAGATGGACTTACCACCACCGGCACTCTCGCCCACCAGCGTGACCTGGCTTGGATCTCCTCCAAAACCCGCGATATTCTTCTGAACCCATCTCAAGGCTGCTTGTTGGTCCAATAGCCCACGGTTAGGTTTGATACCGACTTTTCCTAAATCCTCCGAGTAGAGAAACCCGTGGGCTCCCAGCCGATAACTGCCATCCATCATTAGGGCGGGGAAAAATAGAGGAAGGCGAGCCATACTTGATCTGAATACCAATCACTGGCTGGCCCAACTCTTCGCTGAGAGCGACAATACGAGTAAGATCATATTGAGGCCAGGCGTTGGAGCCGATCATAAATCCACCGCCGTGGAGGAACACGAATACTGGTAGAGGTTTGGAGCGCTCGGATGGCATGGAGAGGTTTAAGTTCAGACACTCTGTGGTGGACATTTGAAACGGTTCGTGCGGCAGGTTTTTTTGGATCAAGCTCAATTCCATATCGCATCCCATCGGGGTCGTAACGGTTGTTGGTCTCGATGAATGTCAGCGCAGTTAGCAGCATAACCCGAGCTGTGTGACTGACCCATGAAACCTTCCCTCAACAACGTCCCCCACCTCGGTTGAGAAGAGCACAGGATCTGAGAATCCATTTTCCAATGAAGCGTATTTTAGGCCTCTGAAGGAAAGTACTGCTCCGGTGCGGATACCCTTGATCGTGCCGAGGTCTGGGTGAAGGAACTCGCTCATTGTTGCTTCTCTGATAAGATTGATGGTATCGGAATGTAGGCTAGCGGCTCAGAGCAACGAAACGAATTCAGGCAATTTTATCCTTTCAAGATTTAATTCCAAGTCTAGAATCGGGAATAGGCAGTAATTAAACGCTCCGTCGGCTAGTTGTGGAGGGCTGTAGGGGTCCAGTTGCGAATATGGTGAATGTGGTGTAACCCCACCTGATTTAAATGCTGTACGTCCCCACAGTCGGTGGGCAGCGTCTTTCCCCTCGCAGAAAGGTTTGTATACATCTGCCTAATTTTGTGTCACTATTACCAAGCCCGCTTGTATCGAGGGGTGGACCAAAGACGCTAGATAGATCCCTGGCAGTTACATCTGCATGACGGTAGCGCCCTAGGATTCGGAAGTCATCGCGACTTGGGCGTGTGGGGAAGAATACTCCACTACCCCACGAAGTCCCCAGATTCCATTGCTGTCAATTGTGGCGCATCTTGTCGTCTTGTCGGCACTTGGTCACTGCTACCAACAGCTCCCGCGGCAATTCCCTGGCCGCGTTCGCTTTCGAGTAGGTACTACGCTTGCTTTATACGATCTAGTTGTAAGATGTGACGCCAGATCCAATGCATCAGCTGCATCTACCCCACAACAACTACGGAATCACAGTCCGAGTCAGGGAACGAGGCTAGTCAAGTCATGAAGTGTGCTCGTCTAGCCGACACGTATAAATGGTATCCAAGCGTCGTAAAAAGGAATTGGTCCAGCCCTCTTCTCAACATCCACTCGGTCAATCTTGTATTGTCCTCGCTTACCTCAATTAATACTCATTCATGATGGGGTTGGGAGTCCTCGAACATCGATCGCCCCTCCAACATGTCCCTGGAACAGTCGTCCTTGCAGATGGAGAATCACACCCGATTCGTGATTCTGTGCCCGCCAAGCACGGTACTGGCAAACATAGAGACATCATCCTCACTCCTCGCCCATCCGACGACCCCAACGACCCGTTGAACTGGCCCTACTACAAGAAAGTCCTTGCAATTTGCATCTTGGTATACGGCTCCTGCCTCTGCGCGTGCTGCACGGGACCGTTGCTCAATGCCAGCTTGTTTGTTCTTTCGCTACAGTTCAACCGCCCCATCGGAGACATCACCGTCCTCTCAGGCTATCAGCTCCTTGTCGCTGGAGCTTCAGGTCCAATTCTGTCGGCCATTTCCCGGAAATATGGCAAGCGGCCTGTCTTCATATTTTCTTCCGTCGCCTGCCTCGTTGGCACCATCATCGGCTCCGTCAGCAACACATACAATACTCTTCTCGCCGCTCGAGTAGTCCAGGGCCTCTCTCTGGCCGCCTACGAATCACTTGTCTTTACGGTTGTCGGAGATGTCTTCTTTGTACATGAGCGCGGTCTTTGGACCTCAGTCATGGCCTTTACGTTGACGTGTGTTTCCAACCTGAGCTCCGTTGTCGCTGGAAAAATCACATTTAGCTTGGGCTGGCATTATCTCTTCCACATCTTGAATGCCTGCCTTGGGTTCCAGATCATCCTTTTATTGTTATTTGTACCTGAGACGTCGTACATCCGCCACGATCGCTTTATCCAGGAGCAGACCGTAGCCAAAGACAAAGATGATACACAAGCCAAGGAAGAAGGAGATGCTTACAGAGTGGAAGATGTGGATATTGAGTCAGCCGACGTACCTCTAAAGAAGACATTCCTTCAAGAAATGGCTCTTTTCAACGGTTCATACAGCGACGATAATTTTATCACGCTGGTTATCGCACCTTTCGTCTGCTGTGCAAATCTGGCCGCACTCTGGACTATTGTTATTACGGGAACGATTACCTCATTTTTTGTTGCAGTCGCGTATGTTATCGCTCAGCTCTTTTCACCGCCGCCCTATCTCCTCTCAGCGGCGGCTGTTGGATATATGTCGGTTGGTCCATTCATTGGTGGTGCGATTGGCAGCGTCGCCGTTGGCCTCGTCATGGATCCCCTCACAATCTGGCTCACCAAGAAGAACAAGGGTGTATACGAGCCCGAGTTTCGCCTTGTTACTTGCGTATTTGGTCTGCTCTGTGGAGTCAGTCTGTTTGGCTTTGGTGCTCTTTCACAAAACCAGGGCAATATCTATGCCATCGACTTTATGTGGGGATTAACTCTTTTCGGCACTTCCTTCATCATCGGGCCCTGTTCAACTTACGCCATTGACGCTTTCGGTGGAATGAGCAATGAGATTTTCATCGCCAACGTCATGTTCAAAAATTTCTTATTTTACGGCTACAGCTACTTTGTCAACAACTGGACGGCGTCTGCAGGACCCATTGCTCCCTTTTTCACATTCGGTGGCATCAGTCTCGGACTTGTGGCGACGACATTAATTGTTTACGTCTTTGGCAAGCGGTATAGGAGCTTCTGGCATACTCACAACGTTCTTGAAAAGATCGGCATCAACACTCACACAGGCATGTAGGCCACTTTAGAACGAGGCACATTTCAAGCACATTCCAGAGGTGGAAGAAGTCCATGGGAGAGAATAAGGAGACAGTCAATGCAGATTTTCAGGAGAAGTGCCATTACGTTAATAACTGGTTTCCCGCATCTAGGCTTATGCAATGTGAATATTGGACACGTACATTGTCCTTTGACTGAATACCCAAGCTAAGTTGGAACAACTAAATCTGAGACTCGTGGGCTCGGGGTAACCGACCCGTGCTGTAGATAAAGAGAAGTCGTTGACTATGATTCGGCGTAGGACTGGTGCATTTATCTAGGTACCGTCACAAGATCTGTGTGGGGGGCCTGATGGACTCCGCAAAATCGTTTCCCCGGAATATCGCGGGGTTTAGGCAGAAATGCACGCAAGCTCACGGCGTAATGCGACTTCAGCATCTTGTCAAATCTGGATCCACGCTCCCCACAGCGTGGTGGTAAGATTTAATGGACGCGCACAAGGGTATCTACCCGCCATATTCACTTCTTCAGGATAGACAGATCCGTCTTTTACACCTCGAACCCGCTACAGACAGCGACGCTCCAATCAGATGCAGCTTCACGACCGTTTCTCTCGCTAACAGCCCATGTTACGAAGCCCTTTCATATGTTTGGGGGGACTCCACTCTTCTGAATACTGTGAAGCTAGATGGCTTTGATGTTGCCATTTCCAGCAACCTGTTCCAGGCTTTGTGCAGATTACGACGACGAGATGCAGGTCGTATTCTATGGGTTGATGCCGTGTGCATCAATCAGGGCGATATCGATGAACGCTCGCGCCAAGTTAGCTTGATGGGTAGCATATACCAAGACGCTGAAAGAGTCGTGGTCTTTCTTGGACAAGAATGGGACGGTCACGATCTTGCATTTGACTACCTAAATCTCTGCGCTGAGCAAGGTGAATACCACTTTGTACCATCACTTGAGCCGCACTTAAAGGTTAGTTCAAATCAGCACCCTGAAAGTTCCTCCGACTATTTTAGAGAGCACAGCTTGATCGAAGCGTCGGCCTGATCACCAGAAGACCTTAATCTTGCTCCGTTCTTTTCGCTAAGGAGGCTAGCTTCATACCCGTGGAGTCATATTAACGGAAAGTAGGTACGAGGTCACGATGCGTCGTCACCAATTCTCAGAGACAATCTCATCAGATTCTTCGACTCCCCCTGGTTCTATCGAGTATGGACAGTCCAGGAGTACGTGTTGTCAAAGACGGTCATATTCCAATACGGGGACGCCCTCATTGATGGCCAGCGCGTCCAAGATGCGTTTTGTCATCTCAGAAAACACGCAGCAATGGCGTGCTGCGGAATGCATGCGTACATCCTTGACGAGAGCCCAATGTACGGCACCAACTTGTTCTTCGCACTATGCCGCATGGATGATCTCGACAGCATGAGGAGGTACAAGAATCGGAACGACGTCCTGGAGACTCTGTCTATGTACCGCCAGCGAGGGTGTTCAGATGCCCGCGACAGAGTTTACGGGATTCTGGCCATGGGCTTCAGAGGTACTGGAAGCCAGATCCAACCCGACTATACGATCCAGGCGCAGGAACTGTTTGTCCAACTTGCTCTGGAGCAGATACACCAGACCAAGTCACTTGACGTCCTGACCCATGTACTTTGCGGCGAAAACTCAGTTTCGGGACTCCCCTCGTATATTCCCGACTGGAATATCTCGTTAACTCCCATCACCCTCTTCCGATGCAAGGGGCGCCCATTGACGCTGATGTACTACAACACAGCGGCAGGAACCGAGGCTGATTTCCGCATGGTGTCTTCCTCTCGGGCAATTTCAAAGGGAATTATTGTTGACCGGATCGAAGCGGTGGGCATGATTGCCTCTTTTTCGAAGGTTGAAGATGCAGCGCGCACAAAGACCATTGTCGATGAGGCGCGGTCATTGTCGGGGCTTCCTCACCTACCCCCGAAGTCCTTCGACGATGCTAGTTCTGAAGAGATTGCGTTCTGGCAGGCTCTTACCGGAAACCTATCCATTCATATCCATCACGGTGTCAGTGTTTACGAGCATGCCGATCCGGCTGTTGACTACGAGCGGTACCTGCGATGGAGTCGTCTGGTCGAATCACACGCAAGTCGCGAACTGGATCTGCCAACTGCTGACGTGGAAGTCTTCGGCAGTACGCTGCTGTCTAACTTGGCAGCCCGAAGGTTTATGCGAACCACGAAAGGTCTCATTGGCTGTGTCCCTGCAGAGTCTCAACCCGGCGATCTAGTGGTGGTGCTCGCTGGAGGCAAAGTACCATATGTGCTGAGGGAGCAAATGAGTGCTGGGACTGAGGATGACCATGTCGTCTATTCCTTTGTTGGTGACGCATACGTCACAGGTTTAATGAATGGAGAGGCGGTTGGAGATGGCTCAAACTGGAAATCATTGCACCTGGTCTGACCAAGCTCGAAGGGTCATAATGATGTTCCAGCATTAAACAAAGTCCAATATCTAGAAACAGTTAGACTGAGCCAACCCCACCATAGGAGCGAGACCAAGTACCACATTCGAGCTCAAGGTGTGCGCACTCACACCTCAATACCCCACATTCTTAAAGGCGTCTTTGGCGTTATTTTAGGCACCACGTGCTGTATGTCCATTGGTATTCGGATCAGAATAGATCAGATGACTTGAAATTAGGGTCTCGACCAGTCCTACTATGTGGATCTCGGGGGCCAGCTCCTCACAAGATCATGAGAGTCGGTCTTCCACATACCCCACTCCACCAACCTTTGTTCCCAACCCCACATAGCGAAGGGTCAGGTCCTGCAGGTGACCATATGGCTTAGAGAGTCTAGAATATCTCAAAAGAGAAGTAGTAAATAGGAACGATATGAATGAGAGCCAGTTGGCGCGATTAGAATTTGTCAAGTCTACCACCACTATTGATATGGCACTATCCTCTTATTCCGAATTCACAATGCAGGCTCTTATAAAAGATATCAACACCTTGCGTACTGAGCTGCTATGCAAGCCATGGCTTTTATTCCTAGTTCCAGGTACTATCCTGCTACTTGTTTATGTCTATCGCATCTTTTTCCATCCACTTCGCCAGATTCCCGGTCCGTTCCCTGCCAAGTTCACCGAATTGTGGAGAACAACCAAGTACGCAAAAGGAAACTGGCATCAAGACATCTTAAACCTACACCGACAGTATGGACCGGTGGTCCGAGTTTCTCCAAACGAGATTAGCATTGTGGACAAGATCGGTCTTACTGAGGTTTTTGGACATGGCAAAGGGACGCGAAAGGTACAGAGACAAATATGTCACCTATCAAGGCCCAAGCACTTTGAATCGCCGGAAGATAGCCTTGCTAACTCAACACGTTTTTTGCTTAGACATCATGGTATGACGTTTGGATGATTCCCGGCCATAACAACTCAGTAAGATTAGCCCAGCTACCCATTCAGAACGGCAAGGTGCTGATATTTAACTTCCATCTAGTTTTTCCACTCTACGAATCCAGCAGAACATTCCTTTCTTCGGAAACGAGTGGCCAGCGCATATACCATGTCAACCATCCTTTCGTTAGAGCCTGAGGTCCAGCAAATCGCGGATGCTGTCTGGACAAAGCTCGACAAATATGCTCAAGAGGGCAAGCCTGTCAACATGAGCAACTGGGCCAATTATTTTGCTTTTGATGTTGTTGGGAAGCTGGCCTTGGGCTCGCCCATTGGCTTCGTTGAGCAAGAAAAAGATGTCATGAGCATCATTCGTTCTATCCACGCTGGTTTCTATCAGATGGCTAGTATGGGTTACGTCCCTGGGAAGATGATATGGATCAACAATCCTGTGACCCAGACAATCCTGTCGATTGTGCAACGAATAATGCAGAGTGGAAGCTCTTTCAACACATTCGGCAAGTGGAATGTTGACCAACTCATGAAGCGATTGAGTGAGCCAGAAGGCACTGAGCGGAAGGCAGATATGCTTGACCACTACATCGCCATGAGAGAGCCGGATGGTAGCAAAGCTACAGTTCCATCTATACTGGCTGAAACCGGAAACATTATTGGCGCCGGTGCTGATACAACATCAATCGGTATTCGTGCTGTCCTGGCCCAATTGGTCCTCCACCCTGGAGATTATCTTCAGGTTCGTGAGGAAGTCGACAAGGCATATGCTGAAGGCGGTTTCACGCCTGGGTATAGTGGTATTCCATACTTGGTTGCAGAGAAGCTCACCTTCTTGAACGCTTGCGTCAAAGAAGCTTTGAGATTGCACCCAAGTATCTTGTGGCAACTGCCACGCCAAGCACCAGCGAACGGAGTCCGAATTGCTGGCCACTACATCCCATCGAGTGCGACAATAAGCATGAGTCCAATCGCACAGAACAGGGACGGGTCCGTCTTCGGGGCTGACGCGGACCAGTGGAGGCCTTCGCGGTGGATGGCCAGCAAGGGGAGCGACCCAGCCCAGATTCGAGAAATGGACAAGTTCAATGTTACGGTAATTGCCTGTCTTAAGTCTGTCTAGGGTCATTCTGAAACTAATCTTTTTTTATGCAACACAGTTCGGTTACGGTGCTCGAACCTGCGTCGGACGCAATCTCGCTCTCGTCGAGATCCACAAATTCATCGCTGACTTTGTTCGGCGGTACGATGCGCAATTTGTGAATAAGCAAAGACCGTTTGTCGTTAAGTCGCAATGGTTTTCTTATCAGGCGGACATGTATCTTGACTTGAAACTACGAAAGCTGTTGTAATAAGAGCCGCTGCCCTTGTGTAAAGTTACTATATTATATTTGTTACGCCGTCGAGACCTGGAATATCGACGGCCCCACCATCAACCGGGTTATCGCCCGAGACGTCGGCGAGTCCGGCTTGCTGCTCCAGAAGACCACAAACGCACGGGTCGGGCTTGTAGATAGTGACAACGTCGGCGCAGGGAGTGGGTACCATCAATCAATCAACGTCAATATCACCACCTCGTTAATTGAGTTGAAGCTTCACGTAATCACAACAACAGTTGATTGACGTCAACAGCACTCGGATGTTGGCTCAACACCCTGCAATAAGCCGTCGTCCAGCAAAACACCCTCCAACTGGTCAACTAAGGCCTAATTTTCATGACCTCCTGGGCGTAACTGGGAGTGGGGCCGGGAAGTGGGCACGGTTAGATGCCTTAGCGGCATCCTGAATTGCGATATTCCTTGCACGACAGGGCAGAAAGAACCTCAATATGTTGAGCATCACGAGAGGTGAACCGATAATATTGGTTGAAATGATCCAATCGTCGAGAGGTCAGTACTACGGGTGCTTCGCCAGCCTCCAATCGGTCCTATGCAACCGGCTGACACTTGGCGGGGCTGTGGGGTCACGGGACGGCGGAGCAAAGTGCAATATGACGACACTGAATATTGTGCAACGTGTGCAAAGTCAAACATGGTACGCTTCGGGCGGACTTACGGAGACGTATCTCCGCATTTGATTACTTCGATAGTCGCTTCTGAAAATATTCAAGTGACGAATGACGGTCCGCAGCGTCATCTTTCCAGAGGCGAGAATTCAGAAGAGGCCGGATGTCGGCTGAGGTGGGTACCCGCCAATGTCTCCCGCACTACCGCAATGGTACTACACCCCTTGTGGATGTAGACAAGCTTAAACTATACCGCAACGTGCCGAGAAATGGTCCCACACAATGGGAAATGCAAGATATTCGAGGCTGCGACATACACCGGAGGCCTCTCTGCCGGGGTTCGCCAAGCTTAACGGGCTGAAGCACCAGGTCGTTTCATACCCAAAGCAGCAAAGCTGCTGAGAAGAATGACCGGGTGAGTCTGATCTCGTGCAGCGTATTAGTGCCGTGTTTGTGTCTATTCCTTGTAAGGCGGGCCTCCATAGCGGTGGGGATTTTACTTCCTCCTCAGGCCCTATCGGATTTGCAGGGTGCCATGCACTACCTCCGATGGATTCCACTTCTTGCCGTCTAGAGCATTATTCTTGGCAGCTTCTCTGACGATGAGTGTTGATGATATAAGCCGGGGGCTCCAGAATGGCGCCTTGGCATGGTGGCTGAGCCAGAGCGTACGTACTCGGATGAAGCCCGTTCTTTCAGTAGAGGGCATGCTTAGAGTGAAAGTGCCGCGCGTTCACCAAGACTGAGCATCTTTTCATCGGCAGCCCGGGAATGTAATGTGTTTTCCCAGTGAGCGCATTCAAGTATTTGTAATATGCAACAGTGGGATCAGATTAGGATATATTCATCGGCACTGCTAGCAATACAATCTCAATTGGGATTTCAGTACAGATAAACCTCATAGCACACCCACTCACACTTTCTGGTATTCTATTTGCTCCATTGGGATATCAGACTCTCCTCCGGCAATGGCACTTTTGCGCTTTGCCGCTGCTATTATTTTAGTGATATCCTGTTTTTCAAGTAACCCCCAAGGTCAGTTACGCATATCCCACTTTTATCCCACTCAAGGCCCGTGGTTACTAACAGAAATTTATAGCCTTGTCCATTGAAAGGAATCCGCCTCGCCATGTCACTTGGATAGAAAATCTGTCCCTTGTAACAGCATCAAATAACTTCGATGCATATTCAGATTTTGAATTATTGTTCAATCTACATGGAGAAACCCAGAAAATAAAGCTGCAACTTGTGCCCAACCATGACATCCTCTCAAACTCGGCCTCAGTGCAATTCCTTCGACAAGATGGGACCATGTCCCCCATGGAACCCATTCGGAGATCCCGCCATTTCGTCTTCAAAGGGAATTCCTTCGTACATGAAACCGCTAGCAACCAATGGAGAGATGTTGGAACAGCCAGGATATCTATTCGAGAGCACGAAGACGGGCGCCTTTTCGAGGGTACATTTACTATCGACAACGACCGGGTTCACGTCCAGATGGACTCGACATTTCGCAAAACCCAGAATCCAGACCATGCTTTCCAGTGCAATCCAGGAAAACCGTTCCTGGTGGCATGGAGAGACAGTGATGCTCATACGCTTGAGCCTCGGGGCGATGAGGGTCAGGGAGAAGCTAGTGATGAGCTGAGATGTGGAACGGACAACCCCTCGAATGCAGTCCGACGCTATCTATCACGCTCGCCTGGTCGTGAGTTGATGGAAGGCTCGGCAATAAAGCTTCAAGAACGGCAGAGATTCGGCGGAGATCTCACAGATACTATTGGTTCTACAACCGGATGCCCATCGTCAAGACGCATTGCTCTGCTGGGCATCGCGACTGATTGCAGTTACACTGCAGACTTCTCATCCACAGACGAGGTTCAAGCGCACGTCGTCGCGCATATCAATGCAGCATCCCAAGTCTACGAAGACACCTTCAACATCTCGCTGGTCATACAGAACCTGACAATCTCCGATGCGAACTGTCCCTCTTCTTCATCTTCCCAGTTAGACTGGAACCGCGCTTGCGGCGGGAGTACTGATACTCGAGATCGTCTAAGTCGCTTTTCGCTGTGGAGAGGCGAGTTGAGTGATGATAACGCACTCTGGACGCTGTTGAGTGCATGCCGCACGAGCTCTACGGTGGGCGTCTCATGGCTCGGCGAGGTCTGCCGTCAGGGATCCAGCTCGTTTCAGCAAAGCGGTACCACGCAGACTTCGTCATCGACCAACATCGTTCTCAGAAATAGCCAAGAGTGGCAGGTCATCGCGCATGAGATCGGTCACAGCTTTGGTGCATCCCACGATTGCACGGCTGGAACTTGCACTGATGGAACATCTAGCTCACAAGGGTGCTGTCCTCTGAGTGCAAGTACTTGCAACGCAAATGGGCAATACATTATGAATCCTGCTGCCGTATCTGGGGTTACAAATTTTTCGCCTTGCACCATCGGCGCGATTTGCTCAGCGATCGGCCGAGGATGGATAGACACGAGCTGTCTCAGGGACAATGACGAAGTCACTGTTATTACCGGGCCTTCATGCCCCAACGGCACAACCGAAGAAAACATCCCAGGCTGTACTGTCCAGACTACCTCGCGGCCAACTAGCGGTGGTGATGACCCGCTCGACAACGACTTTGGAAGAACCAACAACTCTGGAAGAAGTTGGTTTGACCGAAACAGAACCACGGTCATTGTAGTTGCTTCTGTGGCCGGTTCAATTTGCCTTCTTGTTGTTGTGTGGTGCATCTGGTGTTGCGCCCGACGGAAGAAGTCAGCAAACCTGCTTGTAAAGCAGCAGGAAGTCATCTCTCCACGACCAGTGCGTTATGCATAATCATTTTAGTTCAGTGTCAATTTTGGACACATGGTGCGGCGTTCACGGCTTCCCAGCTTGAATCTTAGAGTCAATTCATGAAATGGGTGGTTTTCAGCATTTAGTTAGTGTACAACAGTTCAACAAGAAAGGGAACATGCGCATACTGCCAACCATCTTGGTTGCACCCAGTACAGAAACAATCAAAAGTGTATTCATCACGGCCAAGTCCTTGAATTCAGTGTGAGCGAGGTGTGTGCGTCAATTGGCTAATTGCGTTCAGTACCAACGCCTCAGCTGTCTGTGTTGCCCTGTTTGTTTATATGATGCCTCCTAGGCCGTCCGACGCATCCCAAAGAGGCAATTACATATACGCTGCCGTACTTCCCGAGGCTTCAGTATTCGTAATGCGAGATGATTTATGGCCTGCTCACGGACCGCGTGGCACAGCGAGCGACTGTCTTACGAATTCACCCTGGTGCGACGGACTACCGGGAGATGGACGACAAATCAATCTCCAAACAAGCTTCACCTAACGAACGCCAACGGACTCGGGGCTATCAGGCTATTCCGAAATAAGGGTGTACGGACACCAATACTGCCGTCAAGTGCGCTGCCCAGCTGAAGTGAAGTGGGGACGGCCCGGAGTGTGTAACATGTGGGCACGGAATCTACCCATTGCCAGGCACATCAAGCCGAACGGGCCGGGGACATACTACTCCCGGGGAACGTACTATTCACCACCCTTGTCTGGCTCGAAAATGCTGGAGTGGTGGAGATGGTGCGGACATTACGGGGATGGATTTAACTGTGCGACTCAGTACTTACGAAGTGTCAGCCTCGGCCGCGGTGTCGACTGCTAAAAGTTGATATAATGACCCCCAGTATTTTGACACAGACGATCCCGACCAACCTGGACGCACTTTTGTCTCGGTTTTTTTATCAGGGACATATATCTTTACTAGAAATAACCAAGGTTGCTATAATTTCGAGCCGCTGCTATCCTCAAGCAAAGTCACCGCATTACATCGAGTAATGGCGTATTAGTTAAAGAGTGGTGTGCAATAAAGAGAAAAGTTGAGTTATCTGGAGCATAAAGAAAACCGTACATTAATTTTATGTAGTTAGCAGGCTTATCGTGCGAGGTGGTCAAAGATTTTACGCCACCCAAATTCCTTACTCGCTGGTTGAGGTCTTGCCTCAGCCAACAACGCCTACCCTATACAAAGATGACCGTTCCGGTGCTTCACTGTCTACTTATTGTCTCACCACATGAAACCTTGCTATTCAACTCAAAAATATGTTGCTGAGACTAATCTTCTGTGACTCGGATCCAGCTGTCGGTATAAATTGCGAGATGGAGAGTAATTACGCCTGCAGATTCTTCAATTACTGCCTCATTCCTTATCCGCCTTAGTTGTGGTGCCAAGATTTTCCACTTGAACAAATCAATTTATAAAAATGAGCAGGCAGTTTCATAACATATTTCAATCTATAGGATATTCAAAATTCCAAAATATTTCATCGTCGTGGTTCCATGAGCTAAGTATAACACCAGTTACTTTACTGTCTTCAGGATTTTATCCACCTCATCTTTGAAATTGGAAAAGTTGTCAACCAAGTTGTCCCACATCTTAGGATCGTGCTCATGCTTCTGTTCACTATTCCAAGCCCAGTCGGTGATAGTGAAAGCGCGACTGCTCTCAAACATGAAGGCAATAGACCCGAGCGATATTTGCCTGACGGGAGGATCCTCCTTAGAAGCAGCGGAGAATTCTTCGTAGGCCACACCGTGAGGGACGAATCCACATTCGAATGAAACGCTTCCAGGCTGAAACTCGTCTGATCGGCCCCCGTAATCCCCGTAAATGAGTCCCATAAGCTCAGAGGCGCAATTTCTGTGATAATATGGGGGTCGGTAGGTGTGGGATGCGACGTCCCACCGCGGGGAGAATATAAGAAAGTCGGCCAGCGGCGCAGCCGGGTCGCGAGATTTGGCTGTGAGAACGCAAAAGATTGAGGGGTCGATGTGATCAACTGAGATGGAGCCAACATTGACAAACTTGGTGAGGTCATATTTATAGGGCACATAGTTTCCGTGCCAAGCAATGACGTCGAATGGACAATGGTTTTGGGTGCTCTTGAAAAACTTGCCCCCGAGCTTGTAGACAACACTCCATGGATCGTCTTTAGTAACCTCATACGCGGCGACAGGATGGAGGAAGTCACGAGCGTTGGCCAGTCCGTTTGCGCCCAACGGACCTAGTTCAGGAAGCTCCCAGTTGGACCCCCATATTTCGAGGATGTAGCCACGAGTAGGGCCTTCGATGTTGACTTTGAAGCGTTGGCCGCGTTGGATAACGCAAATCTCCCCGGGCTGAACGTACATGAAGCCGAATTCAGTCTGGATGTCCAAGGCGCCTTGTTGAGGTACGATGAGGAAGTCGCCGTCTGAGTTGACAAACGCTTTCTTGGTCATGCTTTTGTTGCATAAGAACACGTGGGTTGCTAGCCCCTCGCGGAGAGTAGGATCGCCGGATCCGGCCACAGTCTTCAACCCATCAACGAAGTCCACGTCGTGACCTTCAGGGATCGGGTATGGCTTCCAAGCCAGCTGGGTAGGGGAGATATGAACTCGAGGATTGATTGGGATGAAGGTGGCCTCTGTGTCCAAGTTGTCGGGAAGTTCGGTCTAAAGGTATCGGTCAGCTACAAACGACGTGTCAGGCCATGGGGCTATGATGTACGAACAAATCCTTGGTGAGCAACTGCCGGTCGAGATCGATACAGCCAGGCCTTCTTATTGACGTTTCGAGGAGCGACAAATGCTGAGGCTGTCATCTGCTCGGCGTAGAGGCCGAATCGAATGAACCTCGGACTGTTTTGGCCCTTTGGGATAGTGCCAGGGATAGCTTCAGACTCAAAATGATTGTTGAAGCCTGGCTGGTACTTGTAGGGGTCATTTGGCCGGGTGTCAAAGGAAGGAATGGCGCCATCCTTCTGGGTTGCTGCCCAGTGGAAGGCGTCTTGGAAATCCTTGGGAGTGAGACTTGTCGATGCCATGGTGTTTTCTTTTTGGTAGCTCACTATGGCTTGTTGAGAGGGTGAAAGTTAGCGTTGAGTGCAGTAAAAGCCGTCTTAAAAGCTTCTTCATTGTGGGGTAGTCCCCGCAAGCGCAACGGAGAGAAATGCCAAGATCTATGGGGTAATGGGGTTCAGAGAAAAGGTCGCTATCCGACTTCTCTTTTCTTTTTCCTCGCCGTGTATCGTCTTAGGCATCATCTTGAAGGTGATGGAAATAGCCTGATATTTGACTTTTTGGACTGCAGATTGTCGACACCTCCCAGCATAGACTACTGCAATGGCTGAACCGGCTATTCTCCCAGCTAGCGCGAGCGGGCAAAAGTTCGTCACTGTGTCTCCCATTCTCGGTGGCAGTATTACATTGCCCGAGCGATATTTCGTCGACCCTGCCAATCCAGACGCTTGCCAAACAGTCCCGTCGCTGGCGTTTTTCATCACTCACCCGAATTACAAAGGAAATCGTACGCGAATCATGTTTGATCTCGGGCTGCGGTCTTCCCTCAGCAATTACACGGACGCCCAGCAAAAACACTTGTCAAACAGAAAGCCATTTCTCATCGGCCCTGGTGTCGCGCACGCTCTTCGCGAAGGAGGTACTAACCCCTCGAACATCGATATGGTCATATTAAGCCACGTTCATTACGATCATCACGGAGATCCAGAGCATTTTCCCAAGGCTACGTTTATTGTTGGACCTGGAACACAGCATTTGCTCGAGCATGGCCTTGGCGCCACGGCGAGTCACCAGAACTTCACTCCAGATCTCCTCCCTCAAGATCGCGTCCTGGAGCTTCCAAACATCGGAGAGGAGGGCGAGTATACTTGGAAGTCGTTGGGGAAATTCTCCTACATCGATATTTTTGGTGACGGGTCAGCTTTCGTGCTCAATTCCCCTGGCCACCTTCCGGGCCACATCAACCTGCTTTGCAGGGTTGGGCCTGACAGATGGGTCTGCCTGTGCGGAGACTCGTATCATGACCAACGCCTACTCACTGGCGAGCGAGATATTGCGACTTGGAAAGATGCTTGCGGAATGAGCTGCTGCATTCACGTCAGCCCCGACGCTGCGGGGACGTTTATCGGCTATTTGCGAGAGCTGGCTGAATTGGGAAATGTGGAATTGATCAGTGCTCATGATGCTATTTGGTACGAACAGAATAAGGGACGTTTATTTCCGTCTACTCTATAGGCTCACAATCAATACTCTTTGCTATTCCTTCAATAATAATACATGGCTTGAGCTGGTGTTTTGTCTCGTCTCCTCCACATACCCATGTGGAGACGTGTACCCCCACATGACGAACATAATTAGCAGTGGGAAAATGATTACAAGTGAGCTCTTGGATATGGCGAAACGATCCAACACCCTATCGAAATAATTCTCCTGTCAAATCTTACTGCAACTTGCCTGTGAGCGACTGCATCATGGATTCACGTCGCACGGATGTTGGCTTCGTCGGCCTCGGCACGATGGGGCTACCAATGGCCATAAATCTTGGACGAAAGTTACCCCAAGGCAGCAAGCTGTATGCATATGACATCTCTCAAGATGCCCTACAGAAACTCGGAGCAGCTTTGCCAGACGGAAGAGTGGTAGCTTGCGAATCTACATTAGAAGTCATCAATCATGTTGTATGTGCATCAACAGCACTTGACTCTTCATTCCCGATGCACTGACATGAGATTCGTTTCAACAGGATATTCTCATCACCATTGTTCCGGAAGGCTCCCATGTCCGTGCTGTATTTCTCGACAAGAAGAACGGTGTACTTGTTGGGGATCTTCAAAACAAGATTTTGATTGACTGCTCCACAATCGATACTGCGACCTCGACCCTGGTAGCATCGGAGATTCGCCGGAAGGAGAGCACCGCTTTGTTTTACGATGCGCCAGTGTCTGGAGGGAGTCTTGGAGCTGAGAAGGGTACACTCACCTTTATGGTCGGTAGCTCCTTGGAAGATCCCAACTGGACACTCCTCGAGCATCATTTGAGTGCAATGGGCACGTCAATCTTTCCTTGCGGTGCCCCAACAATGGGACTCGTCGCAAAGCTTTCCAACAACTACTGCTCCTCTTTGATTGCCCTCGCAACGGCAGAAGCTATGAACATTGGAATGAGATCCGGCATGGACCCCAGAGTCCTGGCCAAGATCTTTGCGGCATCTACTGCGCAGTCGACAATCTGCGACAAATGGTGTCCCGTTCCTGGAGTCGTGCCAGCAGCGCCGTCAAGCAATGGATATAAGGGCGGGTTCAAGGTCCAGCTGATGACAAAGGACCTTGGGCTGGCGGTGGAGGCGGGCAAGATGGCCGGTGCAAAGATGTTTCTCGGAGAGCTGGGACTGGCTGTGTACACTGAGGCTTCCAATGATCCGAAGTGTAGAGACTTGGACTCGAGAGTGGTCTTTCGCTTTTTGGGAGGGAACGAGAACTGGGATAATTCGTTCCCGGAATAGACCGTAGATTGCTTAGCCCAATACACTACTACTTCTTCGTGGAGATTGATCATTCATCGTTTCATTTAGATGAGGTGCCATTGTAATTGTCCACGAGGATGAAAATGTACAAGTATGCTTCCTGTAGGGCTTGCTGAGGAATGTGGTGGTTGAGAGAAGCTTGCCCACACAAGTGGTACGCGTGCATGTGGGGTGTTGTTCTGCGGGCCAAGTTTGCAAATCTGGTAGTGGCCATATATTGAGGATGGTGTCAAACACATCCGGTTCAAATTATGGCTGAGCAAAAAATCCATACTCGACTCACCAGCAATGGCTAAATTCCCTGTTTCCACCCCAGCAGAAATGGCCCGCCTGGGCCACCTCGACATCCATCTATTTCGGTACATCGACCGTTGGGCTTTGGGGGTTATTTGTGCTCCAATCCTGGTGCTAGTCAGCCTCTATCTGCTCCTCATTCCAAATCAATTTACTGTGAGGCTCCCGAGCAGACCAAGAAGGTAGCCCGAATTAATTCCTCATACCTTGATAGGACCCCCGAAGAAAAAAGTTGCCACCAGGCCCCCGAGGCTGGCCTTTAGTCGGGAATTTCTACGATCTTGCCGACTCCGAATTGGTGCGCGACAAGGTCAGGGACTGGTACCACAAGTACGGGGACGTATTCTACACCAAGATCGGCGTCACAGACTACATCTGGCTTTCGTCTCCCAAGGCCGTGAAAGACTTGATGGACAAGAAATCTGCGATATACTCGTCACGCCCCCACATGCCTCTAGCCCAGCAGGTCGCAAGCGGACAGTCACGTCAGCTGTTCATGCCGTACGGACCCGATTGGAGAAACCTCCGCAAACACAGCCACGGGCTTCTCAATCAAAATGCCTCGAAGAAGTATCAGCCAGTCCAGAACTTTGAGTCTAAAGTGCTGCTCCAGGATCTTCTTGAACAGCCAGATCAGTTCTACACTATCACACGCCGGTATTCCGCCTCCGTCATCATGCTTGTAGCCTATGGCTATCGGATCCCGTCTTTCGAAGATCCACTCATCACCAAGATATATGGCGTCCTGGAGCATCTCTCAGTCATGATGGCCCCGGGTGCGTTTATCGTCGAAAGCTTTCCTGCATTGGCTGCCTTGCCTCAATGGCTGTTTGGAAACTGGAGATCTTGGGGTGAAAAGGTCTTCGCCCAAGATAGCAAAGTTTACTTGGAGCTTTGGGATACTTTGAAGAAAACGACCGACGACGGAACTGCAAGAGATTGCTTCTGCAAAGACTTTTACCTGAGTGACCCCAAGAAGAACGGCATCGACGATTTGTTAGCGGCCTACACATGCGGTGGCCTGATTGAAGCCGGTTCAGAGACAACTGCCACAACTATCAACAACTGGATCCTCGCCATGACGCTGTTTCCCGAGGAGATGAAGAAGGCGCAGGAAGAAATTGACAACGTGATTGGAAGTGGCCGGCTACCTGAGTGGGAGGATGAGAAAGACCTTCCATTTGTGCGTGCTACCATTAAAGAGACACTGCGATGGCGCCCGGTCAATAAGTTTGGGATGTACCACGCTTCGTCAGAGGATGATTGGTACGGCGAGCACTTTATCCCGAAGGGATCAGTGGTAGTACTCAATTGGTGGTAAGTGACTGTGATGACCATTCTCTTGACAACGATCAGCGATTAATGGTTTAAATCAAGGGCCATTCATCGCGACCCGGATCGGTATCCTGAACCCGACCTGTTCAAGCCATCTCGGTATCTCAACAAGCCGTTGTCGGCTGCAGAATACATCAATATCAATGATCCCAACGAAAGAGATCATTTTACCTATGGTGCAGGACGGTAAGCTATCGCATATAACCAGTTGAATCGGCTTCTCATCACTGACTTTTAAACCAAGGCGCGTCTGCCCGGGAGTTCATTTGGCTGAGAAGTCGTTGTTCATTGTCATCGCCAGGATGCTGTGGGGTTTCAATATCAGCAAGAAAAGAGCTGCAGACGGATCCTTTATTGAGCCAACGACCAAAATGTTTCCAGGGTTCCTCAGCGTGCCTGAGCCTTTTGAGTGCGATATTACCTGTCGCTCCCCAGCGCATGAGACGCTCATGCGTGCCGCGTTCAATGACACACTTTCGGAGGACCTGAACTTTAGATCCTGAGATAGGTACGGTAGCTAGCATCACTGGAACAAGAGCATTGTTTTGGCCAATTCCGAATGAAGCAACCGATTGGCTCTACCTGGATTGCTATGATAGATGAAACGAGACTGTACAGTAGTTATGAACAGTTGCACGAATGATGCACTTACGGTTCAGTGGCAATTTCACGTCATTGTATGGTTGCATATTAGGCAGGGCGTGCCAACGCGCAAGAACAAAAAATCTCAATTTTTTCCCAACCCGGGATACAGGGCTAGGGCCCCTATAGACAGGTATTAAACAGAGCAGTCTAGCTACTATAGCCCGCTATAACACTTAGGGCTCTAACTACTGTAGGCTGCTACAAGAAGCGCAGGTTATAGTGGTCTATAGTGGCTAAAGCTCTATATTTAATTAAATCTTTTTACAACTTAGTTCAGGGTCTTTTTTGAGGTCATCGTAAATACAATCTCTAATATTCCTGCTCGTAAAATCGTGTTAACCTCGATTTACTCTGATTTTAATATGCCTTCACTCTTCATCTCTTCCAGAACCTTGGAGGCGACTCTGAAACCCTCCAAGCCAACAGGCATACCGGCATAGATACTAGCCTGCAACAAAGTCTCCCTGATCTCAACCTCACTTGCGCCGTTACTAACGGCTCCCCTGACGTGTACAGCTAGCTCCTGCGACCGGTGCATAGCGCAAAGCATGGCTATATTCAGGAGACTGCGCTGTTTCCGCTCCAGCCCAGGACGTGACCACACAAATCCCCAGCAGGCTTCAGTCACAAGCTCTTGCATGGGACGGGCGAATGATGAGTCCCCATTTGCCAGAGATTTATCGACGTATTGCTTCCCTGCGACCTCATAGCGAACCTGAAGACCCTTGTCGAAGAGGATTCGGTGAGCCTCGGCGACTTCCTTTTCTGAGGCAGGCATCTTATTGAGTGACTGTTCGATGTGTTTAGGCTTGTGTTTGCGCTGATGTGTAGTGTAGATGACGAGATGGAACCTTTAGATTTGGTGTTGAGGGGACCTTTTTTCACTAGATTGAATACGTAGAAAGAAGACGAGAATCTTTGAAGCCAGAATGTCCACAAAGGGAATACAAGTGGTGTCCATTTCCTCTCCCGCTCATCCTTGTATTCGCAAGTCTTCATCTCATCCCCACATCCGGAGTCCACATCCCGCCCATTCGTGATACCCCACCTGTTTCCCCCACACCGTAGTCCTTACCGGCTAATAACTCCGCGAAGCAATTCAAATGAAGGGACGCACAAACTTGGGGGAACGTCAGGAATGTGGGGTAAATATAATACAATTCCCGACTATGGGATGAGCCTACGTTGACCTTCACGCATGTGCTTGTCAAGCTCGTCCCCCAGCCATATCGGCTGAGTCTCGTTTAATTTGTCCTCGACCTCGGTTATATGTCCGCCGTTGATGAGAAAAGACTTCCCATTCACTTCGGGCTGTAAGACTGGCAACAAGCTCGCTCTGGCCACATCCAGAGGAGAGTTTGCCGGTAACTCCCCCCATATTTTGCGGATATGGTCGGTAACCATGCGCGTGGCTACGGTGCTGTCAATAGTATGCCCTGAGATTATGAGGAAACATGAAGTTGGGTATCTCACTCGTCATCCACGGTGCAATCATGTTGACTGTAATGTTGTCTTTGGGTAACTGAGTCCGGAGCGCGCGCATCAATCCCAACACGGCGGCCTTGCTCGCACAATACGTGTATAACGGCGGTGTGTCAAAGAGACTCGCTACGGAACCAAAGAGAACCAGCTGGGATCTTGTCTCCGGATGCTTTTTGAAGAAGTGAATTGCGCATTTGGTGACATACCAGGTGCCAACTGCGTTGACGTTCAACACCGACAAGTCTGGCGCCTGTAGTTCGCCTGTAGCTGTATCGATATCGTCGTCGAGAGATTCAACCACATTGATGGCTGCATTGGAAACCACTGCATCAATCGGGCCCAGGACGTTGTACGTGTTTTTGAAGAAGCTCAGCACGCTACTCCAGTTGCTTACGTCGCACCTTTGGAAAAACAGATTTCTGAAGGTCGCCGTAGTCAGATGAGTGTATGCAGCTTGGGCTGGGAATAAACATTTCAACCTACTCTCCGGATTCTTGTTCCATCTCCTTTCCTTTCGCCTCGTTGACATCACAGACGGCAACTTTCGCACCATGACCTGGAAGAGATTAGCTGCATCGTGGAAGTAGAATCAGGAACGAGTACGAAGCGCAAGATCGACAATTGCTCGACCGATCCCTGTTGCCCCTCCAGTAACCAGAATCACCTTGCCGCTGAGGGCTCGGAATTCGCCTTCGTTGATAATATAGTTTGACATGATTTTGCTTGGCGATAGCACTGACAAAACTGATATGCACACCGGACGGAGCTCCTTGATTCACGAGTGCCTGAAGTAGATCTCTCGATCTAAATCTATGGAGGTAGCTTTAGACCATATCCCCACCCTGTTTCGCAGTATTAAACACAATCTACTCCACAATGTCCTCCACAAAGGCATCAGTATGCCATCGTCGTGCTTCGATGTTATTCACATCCCCACACCAACCCAAGATCGGCTTGTCCCTCCTTTTGCTCGTGATACGCTACTGACTTCTTTCTATGTAAAGATAGCTCGCTATTCGTAGGGTTTGGGTATTTGTCATTCAATTCCATTCTGCGCTCAACCTGCGACCGCAAAATCACCATCCTTGGTGACACAATGGCTCTCGATTATTTGGAAATAATTCTGCTTTCAATAATCCTCTTGGCGACCACTACATACTTTCGAAAACGGAAAGCCTCGCCTGCAGACACAAAATTCCTCGCAAATGGCCACACAAGTGTCGGCGGTGGCGAAGAAGGCAAGACAAGGAACATCAAAGACACGCTGGACCAGTCTGGTAAGAATTGCATCATATTCTATGGATCACAGACTGGCACTGCCGAGGACTACGCCTCAAAGTTGGCTAAGGAGGGCAAGAGCAGGTTCGGGCTCGAAACGATGATTGCCGATCTGGACGAGTACGACTTCGACACCCTGGATACCATTCCTGAGAACAACATCGTCATGTTCGTTCTCGCCAGTTATGGAGAAGGGGAACCAACCGATAATGCCGTCCGGTTCTACGATTTTATTACTGGGGACGATGTTGCCTTCTCTGAAAGCAAAACCCCGCCGTTACAAAACATTGCGTACGTTGCATTTGGCCTCGGAAACAACACCTACGAGCACTATAATGCCGTGGTTCGCAACGTAGACAAAGCCCTGGAGAGGTTGGGCGCGTCTAGAATCGGCGAAGCAGGCGAGGGCGATGATGGTGCTGGGACGACCGAGGAGGATTTCCTCGCCTGGAAGGAACCTATGTGGTCAGCTCTAACCATGAAGATGGGTCTCACCGAGCGCGAGGTTGTTTTCGAGTCATTGTTCAAAATCAGGGAGCGGACAGAGCTCACGCCTCAGTCTTCCGAGGTTTATCTTGGAGAACTGACTAAATCACAACTGGAAAATACTGCTCAAGGCCCCTTTGATGTGCACAACCCATTCGTTGCTCCAATAGCAGCATCTCGAGAGCTATTTTGTGTCGAAGACCGAAACTGCTTGCATATCGAAGTTGACCTTGACAAATCTGGCCTCACCTACCAGACGGGCGACCACATTGCAATCTGGCCCATGAACCCCAGTGGAGAGGTTGATCGATGTCTCGATATTCTCGGTCTCACGGAAAAGAGGAATACTGTCATTGGTGTTGATTCCTTAGACCCAACCACCAGAGTGTTCTTCCCAACTCCAACGACATACGACACTATCGTCCGCTATCACCTTGGGATTTGCGGCCCTGTCTCTCGTCAATTTGTTTCGAACCTTGCTGTCTTCTCTCCCGACGAGAGAACCAAAGCTGAGATGAAAAAGCTGAGCAGTGATAAAGAATACTTTCACAAGCAGACGGACGGCCACTTTTATACCATCTCGAAATTGCTAGACATGGTTAGCAATGGCGAGAAATGGACCAACATACCTTTCTCTGCATGGATTGAGGGTCTGACGAAACTACAACCTCGGTACTACTCTATCTCATCATCATCTCTGGTCCAGCCCACGGTGGCTTCCATTACCACCGTTGTCGAAAAGAAAGCAATTGATTGCCAAGAGAACACGTTTTATGGGGTTGCCACCAACTATTTACTCTCCCTCAACCAAAGACAGAATTCAACTCCTAGTGCGGAAGCTTTGGGCCCAACATACCAGATAACAGGACCGAGGAATAAATACGAGGGAATTCGTGTGCCTGTCCACATACGTCACTCTAATTTTAAGCTGCCCTCGGATCCGTCAAGCCCAATCATAATGGTAGGCCCTGGAACTGGCGTTGCACCATTCCGTGCTTTCTTGCAGGAAAGGGCCAAGCAAGCCGAAGAAGGTGTGCAAGTTGGCAAGGCGATTTTATTTTTTGGGTGCAGGAGATCAACCGAAGATTTTATCTACCAGCCGGACTTTGAGGTGACACATTTCTGCCTTGACTTTACTCTAAGCACTGGAAACTGACACGCATCACTCCCGTAGTCATACGCAAAACGTCTTGGCGACAGATTTGAGCTTGTCACAGCCTTCTCGCGAGAAAGTCTGGAGAAATTCTATGTCCAGGACCGCCTCAAGGAGCGAGGAGTCAAACTCAACGCTCTCCTCCAGCAGGGAGCCTACTTTTATGTTTGTGGCGATGCTGCAAATATGGCCAAACAAGTCCATGATGTTCTTGTACAGCTCATTGAGGATCACCGCGGTCTATCGAGAGAAGGCGCAGAAGAGATTGTAAAGAACATGAGATCTTCAAGTCAATACCAGGTATGTTCACGTGCTGCGTTGGTGCCGTGTCAATATGTATTGGCATCGTGTATTGATCTAGTTTGATCGTGATACGGATTTAAATGTGATTATGAGGCTGACCATATCTTCAAGGAGGATGTCTGGTCCTGATTATACCCAAAACGCTCTGATGACACGTTTAGAGGACATGGGTGTGGTATCAAAGTAGGAATTGTGGTACGCCAGGCGCAGCTATCATCTAGTTCTGGTCATAGTGTAATTCATATGGATCATGGGGTTCCGCCCATTCTTCGACATTCCAAGTGTACATTGACTCGTACCGATGAATCTACTTGGAGAGGTTATGTTGACAACGAATGTATTTATGATCAGGTGTAATTATTCTCTCCAAGTCGGCACTCGGCACAGCAAAGAGGGAGAGGCCATCAAGAAACCGCCTCTGCGATTTATCAATGTGCATGTAATAACATTGATCTAATCGAGTTTTGCCACTCGTCGGTGCGTTCTTCCCTGAATATGGCGGGGACCTTTTCATGGGGTTGATGTGGGGAGACGTGAGTGTTTGATCAAGCAGTGTGGGGAAGAATTTGATAAACTCCTGCCCAGTTCCGTCCACATGCCGCCCTCTAACTCAACCGTACCACTATCCACGACGAAAATCGGATCTGCGACGAAGATACAGAGCCAAGAAAACACGATGAGCCCCAATATAGCATTTCTAGGTATTTACTTCCTCGCAGCCTATATTCCAAGCCCAACGAGGTCACTCCTCCCAAGATCGATTCCTACTAACATGAACGAGGCCTCGGTGCCATCGGCTACCCGATGGCAGCCAATATCCGAAGGAAAATGCCCAAGAGCGACACCCTTTACGTTTTTGACATTTTCAAACCGGCTTGTGCGAAATTCGTGGACGAGTTTTCCAGCTTTGGGCCTATTGTCATTGTGGGGTCGCCTCGCAAAGCTGCTGAAGGCGCTGGAACGGTTATTTCCATGGTACCTGGACCCAGAGAGGTCGAGAAGGTATATCTTGACGCCAGTGATGGAATTATTGCCGCCTGCAATGCGAGCCATCGACTCTTGATCGAGTGCAGCACTATAGACACGCCAACCGCACGTAAAGTTGCAAAAACAATTCAAGATTCAGGCCGGGGTGTCTATGTTGATGCCCCTGTTTCTGTGAGTTAGTCCCTTTCCCAATCACTCTCAAATTGTACATCTAACATGTTCAGGGCGGGGTTCCAGCAGCCGAAAGAGGGAACCTGTCGTTCATGATTGGGCATCCTGAGCCCAGTGCTGGAGATGTGAATAATCTCAATCTAATTCTTGGCATGATGGGTGATCCAGAAAAGTTCTTCTGGTGCGGTAATGTGGGAGCTGGCCTCGCCGCAAAGATCAGCAACAACTACATCTCCTGTTCAGTGCTGTTACTAGTGGCGGAAGCCATGGCCATCGGGACCAAGTCTGGAATAGATCCAAAGCTGCTTCACCGAATAATCCACAACTCAACCGGCCAGACCTTTATGGGGGATAACGTGTGTCCTGTCCCAGGCGTAGTGCCCCATGCGCCGAGCAGCAATGATTGGAGGCTTGGATTCAAGACCCAAATGTTCATCAAGGATATTTCGTTGGGGATTGAAGCTGCAAAATCGGTCAATATCCATCCAACAATGGCCGAGGCTGCGCTTGGCGTTTTCGAGAAAGCATCTGTCGATCCACGATGTGTTGTAAGTCCGAAGTCCATCTTTCCCTGTCGCGCAAGTGTTTATCTGCTTGCTAACTATTTCTATCCGTGCCTTCCAGGACAGGGATGGCTCATCCGTATATTTGCACATTACCAATGACAAAAGTCCCTAAATAGCTAAAAGTAACTATTCTGCCGCAGTGTGCCTTTCACGTACGGTGACTTATGTGGGCTGTGGAATCCACTCAAGAGCCGCGACGCCCAATGTTTCCTTACCGCACTTGCTGGTGCCGTATCAGGCAGCCGTTCAGAAACACTATGTCCATATTAACACCGAGTACTGTCATCAACAATGATTTCACCTTCCGCTGCGCTTTTGTTCCGTCATGGCTTTGTTTCCGATCACCCATCGTGGTAGCATTGGGTAGGAAATGCTTGGATTGTGGATAAACTGTGTTTTGTTGACCCCGTGTCGGCAACTTGCCCACCTTGAGGGAGCAGACAGAAGTTAGGTTCCGTATCGACTCGATAAATTGGCCCTGTTTTATGGACTAAAGCTAATATACATAAGGCTTAGATTTTCTAAATCATTTATTATCATTAGGTATAAAAAAATCCCGAAGGCAATAAGTGAGGGAAGGATTCAGTGTCAATTTACTGAGTCGATACGGTAGTTTTGGATCACAGTACTTAACCAGAACCCTAGACAGTTCTCCCCAATATGGAAATGTTCCGGCTGGCCAACTCAAAGCTTGCGTGTGGGGCCGATGAGAAATCAGACTTGAGGGTTTCGGAAAACTCGATATCGTGGACTTCGTGCTCTGTTCGCCATTTCCTGCACTATAACATCGTCTGATAATCCAGGGTTGCTTGCTTCTAAAACTTGGCGAATTGGGTGCACGCGTCATTGTTGGCTTTTCATAGTTTCAAGGTGTTTTAGTGCTACTATTGCTCCCCATTTGCTGGGCTACCTAGCTGGACACACAGTACAGTGTCTGACAAGAAATATCATGTTCAATGGTCAGACGCCAGCTTCATCGCTGCTATGAAAGAACGGATAAGTCCATTTCTGGCCGCTTCCTCGTCAACAACGCCCCGAATTTCCTTTAGCCTTTGGCGACTTTTCTCCACTTCTCTCGCCACCTCATCCCACTGAAGTGACTCTGATGTGTTGGCGACCATCTCTTCTTTTTGCGCGATATCTTGAGGAATGACAATTTTGTTGAGTAATGTGTTTTCCTTACGGATTACACCATCGACAATGACAGTCTGGACATCTTGCACCGAGCTGTGGAGCACAATAGCCGCGATAGGGTTGCAATCAGCTGCAGCTAACATGGCCGGGGTCTTGCCGTTGAATACAACAATATCCGCCTTCTTACCCACTGCTAGACTACCAATGTCATCCTCTAGGCCGACGGCTTGGGCTCCAAGTATTGTTCCGAGGTTATAAACCTCTTCTACACTCGGTCCGATGGTACCGTCCCACTTACGATTGCGCAACTGCTCCTCCGATCTTCGGGCGCGTGTAACTTGTAGTGCAATCTCCATTTGTCGCGGAATGGACGAAGAGCAGATGCTACAGGAGTCTGTCCCCAAGGAGCATAGGTTCAGGAACTCCGGTTGTAGACATACAGGGTGTCCATGGCCCATCTGCAATTCAGACAGCGGCGTACTTGATAAATGTGCCCCTGAGGTTTCAATCTGGCTCAACTCGTCGGCTGATATATGATTGGCATGGGATAGTAAGATATCAGGCCCCAGAAGCTTGTTTTCGTGCATTATCGTTACCGGAGACGGAAGGCCTAGTTAAGATATTAGGCCTTGCATTAGAAAGTGCACCAGCATGAATGCGAGTTGCATAATGGGGAACTGGATGGTTGAATGGACTTACCATCCATCATACTCACACGGGTGACGTGAGAGGTGATCAGGTGAGCACCAAGCTTGCGAACCTCGGCGAAGGTGTCTTTTAAGACTTGCGGTCGCACGAACATTACATCCATCGCGAACCCAAGCCGCACTCTGCCCCTTGGACCGAAAGGCTGCATTGCTGCTAGTTCTCGGAAAGTGTCCATCACCCCCTCAGCGAGGGGGTTATTGTCCATCTTTAGCTCGGGGTGCCAAGTCTCGACTCGAGGGTGTGCACAATAGCAGAAGATGCCACGAATGCCAGAAGCAACAGTACCGCGGATGGCCTCTTTGGCTAATGGAGAAGTCAGATAATGTGGTTACATATAAGAAAAGAGGTTGAGAAGCCTACAATGTTCAGGAGAGTAGTTGACGTGCGCGTGGTCGACCACTGTGGTTGTCCCGGCATCAATAGCCTCAAGAGAACTACTCAACACCCCCCAAAACGCATCCTCTGGTGCATAGTGCGAGCTCGCCAGATTTCCTAAACAAGGTGTGTGAGCTAGAAGATATGAGTAAGCGACTCGTGTTTATTTCATACCTGAGTGGTAGTAGTCCAACAGATGGTGGTCTGCGTGAAGACCTTTCTGTTGTGATTGCCATTGATGTCTGTGAGTGTCGATGAAGCCTGGTGAAACGATCGTATCTGTGCAATCTATTACGACGACACCTTCAGCAGGTTGGATATGATCGCCAATCTCGTGAATACGATCGTCATGGATAAGCAAATCTGCATGTCGGCAAACTACCCGCTTGTTTTGGTCATGTACCAACAATCTTCCCCCTTTCAAAAGAAGTTTAGATGATGACATGCTGTGTTCGTATTTCACAATGTGGCCTTCCAAAATGAGCCAAGGGGTTCACACGCAGCTTCTGCCGGACTTCTCAAAGACGCGCTGTGTATTTATGCCGGTATCACCTCTACCAACTGCGGGGACATTGAGTAGCGCCTATGACCCGGGTGGTGTACAAGTGGAGAGTAGGTCCAATTCCCTTTGCGGTAATATTCCGGCCGACTTTTCTTCGTGGTAAGTTGGACAGGTGTATCCACGTTTCCATATGTAGAAACGGGTGCGGAGAGTCGGGGTAACTTAAGGCGTGGAAGTCTGATCTTAATTGGCTGCATTGGGCCAAAGGTTTAAGATCAAGTGAGCGCGATATTTGCGATGTCAATGCCTGAGCTCACGGAGTATTTCCATTTTCGGATTTGCGCCTCCGTTCCCACATAAGTAAACGGCATAGCGATACTCCAGATAGTATGTTCATTTCACGTTGTGTTTTACTTGTGTGTCTTTCCAGTGGGTGGGCTGTCTCTTCTTTCTTCAGATGTTCGGCCGTCACGTTGCTCGGCCACTCAGCTCTGGTGATGGACTGGGTTTTGATGTGCTTGAGTTTCGTCACTGGTCCTTATTTTTGATGGTACAAAGTTGAAGAAGAAATTTCTATACTATAAATAACCCTATCGGTATCTAGCCTCATCGTCGCATGGGGGGGAAGCCATCATTAGCATCGTCATACGTCCTTTCGTACACGTCAACCGGACTCCACAGGGTCTGCGCATGACCTGCGTCACGACAGTTATTGCAGCCGTTAACGGTGACGTGGCATGCGTTGTCGAGGTACGTGCTGCCGCAACCCTTTGCGCCGTTGAGGTTGTAGATATTGAGCATCGAGTCCTTGATCTGCTTGCCCGTCATGCCCTGGGAGAAGGCGTCATCATTGTCACAGGTCCAGATGACGGTGCAGCCGTAGTTGATTCCGAAGAAGTCGATGATATCGGTAGGGATGAGTAAGCTGGCAATGTCCTTGCCTGTGTCGTCGGGCCAGACGGCCGAGGTGTACTGGTGGTACACGACGTCATCTACGTAGCGTGCCGCGGCGTACAGGCAGGTGTCCTTGGAGATGGAGGCGCAGATGGCAGAGCCATCGTGGTTACCGTGATCCTGCTCAGAGTCTGAAGGTGCCGGGGGAGCGTAGGGGTTCGTGGCAGGACCGTTGTTGTTGACGTCGGGGGTGCTGCAGCCTGTTGAGCGTAATGATTAGCGGGCCCATACAAGTTTCCAATGAGCGTTGGGTACGTACATTGATCGAAGATCTTGTTGCTCTCGGAGTCGTAGAGACAGCCGTCCTCCCCGAAGTAGACGTCGCCGTAGTTTGCGGGCCAGCGAGCCTGGAGTTGGCAAGTCGCCAAGGCGTGGAGGTGGTTGTCGACGCTCGAGTCGAAGCCGGAAAGGATCAGAGCGGTGCTGTAAGGCTCATCAGGGTTGGAGGCGACGTCTGCCGCGCGTGTTAGCTGATGGGTTAAGCAGAGAAGGCTTCAATGGCATACTGTACGAGCTCTCGTAGACGCTAGAGATGGAGCCGGCATCAGAGGCACACCGGGGAGAATTGTTGATGAGGATACAGCCGTGGTTGACATGCTGGATTTTCATGTTAGGCTCTTGTGATGGCTCCGTTTCCCAGAGATCTGACTTACGATGTTGGTGCCGTCAGGATTAGCTGTGGGCACATTAATGGGGGTGCACACAGGGTGAAGCGATCCCTCGATCAATGTGCAGACCATGCCGTCGGAGGTGACGGTCCTAATGTTAGGCGTGGTTCGCGTGCTCGTAGACTCGCTTTCGGTAGAACTGGTGATGGTCGAGGATTCCTCGGAGGTGCTCCTTGAGATGACAGCCGTGGAGAAGGTCGTGGCGGTGGAGGAAATGACCAAAGTGGACTCGGTGGAGGTGGCCTCTTCGGTAGTGGAAGCTATGGAATCGCTGGTCGTTTCAGTTGTAGCATTAGACTCTGTAGTAGTGACAACGGTAGACTCCGTCGTCGTCTGCTCCGTCGTCTGCTCCGTCGTGGCGGTGGTCGAGCTGGCCTCTCCAGTGGTTGTAACGGCGGTAGACTCCGAGGTGGTCTGCTCCGTAGTAGACTCTTCAGCAGTCGTCGACTGGCCGTTAGACTCGGTGGTAGTGACAGCGGCCGTGCTAGTCTCTGTAGTCGAGATAGGGCACGAGTCACCGTCACCGTCATCTCTCCCTTCGAGGCCTCGCTTGAAGCCAATCACATCCCCTCCAGCGCCAGCGAGATCTCTGTTGGCCGAGAACGAATAATGACCTGCGTCGGCGTACTTGCTAGCCTTGAAGGCGTCGAAGAGTTCGGTCAGTGTTTTCTTGTTTTCGTCCTCCTCATCCAATGCTGCAATGTCCGTTTCAACCTTGGTCGTCCAGGTCTGCACGAATTCCCACGCTGCCGCGGCGTCACTGTTGAGTCGGTCGTCCATGAAGGTTTGGTACATCTCGGCGAAGCTGAACCCGCCCCCGGAAATGTCAATGGCCTTGTCCGTCACAAACTGGTCGATGCCTTGGAAGGAATTGTACATGCGCTGATTCGTCGTCTCGAAAAGGGCCTTGACGGGGTCGTAGTTGAAAATGTCGACGGCGTTTCCGATAGCCTCGAGGGTCTGGATTGTCTTGAGAGTTGAGCCCGAGAATTCGCTAGTAAAGCCATCTTCCTTCAGCTCTCCAATCTTAAACATGGCACCCTTCATCTGATTGATTTGTTTCTGCATGATGACGAACTCAAGCTGTGTACTTTTTGGGGCGCTACTGGGGGCTTTCTCGACCAGCTGTTGCATGACCGTTTTCGGGGCTTTGCCGCAGGCATACGGGGTCATGAAGATGGTATCAAACTCGTCGCAGGTAAGCTTGGCACCTGTGCTCCGTTTACTAGGGACCAGATCAATCTCGAAGAAGTCGGTGAAGAACTTGAGCTCCCAGACATGATCGACAGTCCAGTATTCGGACATGCCGCCGGCGGCTGCGCCCTTGGCCTTTGCGATGGTGCTGTCGACAATAGTCCAGCCAGGCGTCAAGTCGCCGCCTTCGCAATCTTTGCGGTCGTACCACCTGAGGATCTTGTCTATCCAGTCCTGGTTCTGCTTGGTGGGTTTGTCCTCTGCCTTGATCATCTGTTGAGCAGATGGGTTGGATGGAAAGTTCGGGGGAGCGACGTTCTTGCAGAACCCGAAGAAGGGAGTCCGAGCCCTCTTTTCAATGTGGCCACGCTCGTGTAGCTGAACAGCCGAGTCACGGAACGAGTCAACGGACCGCCGTCTCGTATTGTCTGACGAGTTGTCGTCGTCATCGGAAATCTGGAGGTTCAGCTCGTAAGGAATTGCGCTGCAGAAAACGGCGGATGAAGTCGTAGAAGTCGTCTCGGAGGCTGTAGACGATGCGGCTGAAGACTGCTCGGTGTTGGTAGGATCATCATTATCGTCGCCATCATCATCTTCGTTGCCCAAGTCCTCCAGTCCGTCCAGAGCATCAGCCAAAAGGCCACCAGCAGCAGCGGTACCAAAGGCGGTAGCCAGGTCTGCAAAAACTGCGGGAGCCAGGGTCGTCGTGGTCACCGCCGGTGCAAGGGCGGCGAGTTGTGTCGAGAACCAGCCAAGCAAAGCCGCAAGTCCGATGAGGGCGGCCTCGACTCTGTGGGAGTCGTCGTCGCTGAGGCTATCACGGTCAACCTGCTGTAACTGGTCCTGGATGCGCTGGAGCTCCTCAGACTCCTCCTCGGCACGCTGTTGGAATGCATTGACCTCTTCGGCGGACGGCGTAGGGTTGGCGGCGATGGAGGATGCAGCAGCTGCAAGATCGGTGAAAGAGCTGGCAGCGTTGGTGGCAGCAGTAGGAACGCCGATCAGGGCGCCTGTTCCAGTGAGAAGGGAAGTTTCGGCCGTGGTAGGGGCAGCCGTGGCGGTCGTTTCCGTGGCAGGGACTTCAGTTGTGGAAGCTTCAGTCGTAGCAGAGACACTGATTGTAGAAGCATCAGTAGTGATGGCAGTAGTGGAAGCGTCGGTGGTGATGGAGGCTTCAGTCGTAGTTGTCGTATCAACCACAGGAGTGAGAGCATTAGTGGAGTCGGTGCTTTCAGCACTCGTCACAAAGGTAGAGACATCTGTAGACGCAGCAGGGGTAGTGGTCTCGAATGGAAGCGGGAAGTGAGTGGTCGTAGTGGCTGGCTCGGGAGTTGTGGTGTCAACGTCTCGAGCCGCAAGCCACGCGCGAGGGAAGCGGGCTTGGACGCCGGACAGCAGCAGAGCTGCCGTCACGAACCCTTTGGAGGGCAACATGCTGGCGGATAAAGGAAAGAGAAGTCTAAGAGCGAGAGACTAGAGCGAAAGAGGGGATCTAGCGATGGCGATTGTGCTGGTTGTGAGGCTAAGCCTGGGGTTTATATCATTGAAAGGATCGCGCGTCTGGTTTACCGCGGAGACAGCGGACGAGGATGAAACACAGTTACACAGCCTCCCAGCTCGAAAATCGGCTCGTTCACGAGAGTGGAATCAATTCAACTCTTTGCTGCCAGACTACATAGCAAGGAGGGACCTGGGTGATCGCCCCATGCGAAGTCATCCAAAGTCCCCAAAGGTCAGATCCTTCGCCAGGAACCCCTGCATCCACCAAGATGCTCGTCGAACCAAACGCGAGCCTCTATTTTAGAACTGCTCCTTTTGGCAGCGGCTAAAATGAAATTCGAATCCTGCGCAACGATCTGCATGTTTCGTCAGCATTAGCGAAGGATGCACCAATCTCCACCCTTGGCTAAATTTAAATACCTTGGGCCCCTGCTATTTCGATGCTGACAGCGGGATGGATCTAAGGATTCTCAGCACCCAACTTGAAACGGGCTGTCTCAAGATACTTCTAGATCTGGAAATGGCGCCGGGATGGCCTCGCGAATCATAGTTACGGACCCCAAGTGGCTTCGGCCGCACCATGTCCGCCACTTCGGATAGCTTGACTCCCGGCAATAATACACCGTCAGCCCTACTGAGTACGGGGCAGATAACTCAGCGCCTTGTGGACCTCAACTGGTTATTGGTAAGTCGCCTATTTTCTTCTTTGCGCCCCCAATGATTCCTCATTCCTTCAATCTCCATCTCACACCTCGGCGGCCGCTCCTCTGTTTTTGTTTTTCTTGGGCGGCTACGCTGTCGCCACGAATTAACCGTTCCCTCAGAGCTCCGCCATGTCTCCTCCATTTATCTATTGCGTCGCCTGCGGGTGTCCCTTTGAGATCCCACCTGGCGATGAGTACGCCGACAGCGAAGACGAGACCTGGGCGACACAAGACCCTTCAGAGGATCCTTCAAAACAGGTCAGTCATAGACGCGTGCGCGTGTATTCCCTCACGTATCCTCTTCGTCTAGAAAAATTGGAGCCTCCCCACCGCGAGGATCGGCCGCTGCCGGGCGGACCGGATCCTACTTTGGCCCACACGACGCCGACTCACACATGCCGCTCGGGACTTTAGCTGCTCCCTTTTGTTTGCGAATGCTAATGTGGCAACGGCAGTGGTTGAACGACATTCGGGTTTTCGGCACTGCTGCCCATGTACAACAGCTCTACCCTCGTGATGAGTAATTCTCCCTTGTTAGAAAGTGCTTTTACAACGCTGACATGAGGATCCACAGGATAAACAACGAGTCCAACGTTAAAGGCTTGTTTATCTCCGGCCCCGCGTACTGGAGCTTCACTGAAGGCCGCGACTTTCGCACCAACGATCCGGGCGCAGACTCATTCCGCGTGCTGAGCCTGGACAAGGACACTGGCGATGGCTTGTTCCCTCTCCACGAGCGGTGCTTGAGCATCCTTCGACACGCCATCGCCTGGCGCGCCGAGTTCGGTCGGCAGCCTCCGTCGCCGTCTCCGAGCCTGATGGCCGTCTACAGGTTCTTGTGTTCCCAGCGGAAGCGCAATCTAGCAGAAATGCACAGGATTGCAGATCAGGGAGGCATCAACGGCACAAGTAGCTACGGATCGTACGGCCTCGAGTTTGATCACGACTACTATGGGGCCAGGAGGTTCTGGACTTACCAAGGCTGGGAGGTCTGCGCGGCTAATGAGGTTTGTTATGTGCCATCGTGGGTCTGGCGACGCTGACCAAGCCGACGCTCCTTTAGTGGTTCTGTAACGACCCTGTAAATGTCCCAAGACTGCCTGACTTTATCTCGGCGTTACTTGGCGAGATCTCCTCTGAACAAGCTTCCACCCCAGAAAACAGCCCAGATCCCGCGGATACAGCAGACACCGGCACTGCTCCAACGGGTTCAGGGACTGGGGTTGAAACCCTGCCGCTTGAAATACTTAATCACGTCACCAGCTTCCTTCCAGCCTCGTCCGTCGTTCGCCTGCAACGATGCTCCAAGGCCCTGTCTCGCCGCATTGTCCTTGACAGGCAATTCTGGCGGACGCAACTCCTAAACGGGTGCACAGCTCCTTATTTGTACAGGCTTGGCGGTGGGGACATGGATGCGAATACAGCGCAAATAGCTCAACTTGATGTGTCAGGTTGCTGGGACGGCCTCGCACGGAAGCTGGGGGCTATAGATGAGATTATCGAAGCGGAGGGGCAGGCTTTAACATCTGCGCCCTGGGGATTGCGGAACCGGTGCAGGCTGTGGGCTATTTGTAACCATCTAATAACTTCTTCGCTAGAATGATATTCGACGATATTCGAATTGACCGACCGGGCATGTTGAATTTCGCGGATTCTCTCATCAGATCGAGTGTCAAAGGATCATAAATCAAAATGCACCAAGGGATCGTTTACAATCAACATTTGCCCTTCCTCTACCTTTTATCCGCTTGTTCCTTCGGACCAAGATCGTCCCAGCGGGCCGGTTTTTATCCCCTCCTTCCTCTGTCTCAACGGAATGCACAATTTACGGTTTTGCAACAGAACATTGGACATCAAACATGACGCCTAACTAGGTAGTGACTTGCGCGAGGATCAAGGCAAGACTGGGCTCCTAGGTTACCCTATACTCATCACATGAGTCAATTGTCACCAGGACAGTTACACATTACTGGCCGATACATCACCATCTACTTTAGGGCTCTTTACTTTCAAACTAATTCTTAATAACCAATTTTGCCTGCTATTAGAAATTAAATTAAAAGCCTGCTGTAATTTTTTCATTTTAGAATTAATATTTTCAACTGAAGCCTTTCAGTCCAGCCTTACAGCTTGTTAGTCCCAGGAAGCCAGAATTTCAGTTATATAATTGCCAACAACTGGTATTTCTCAATGTGTAGAATGAGGAAGGGATACAAAAAGACAATATAGTTAGTCGTTAGGAAGGGAAGTTAGAGATTAATACAGTCACTACCTGCCCCCCTGCTAGTTAGCTTTGACCTCGCAGTCTTTGGCTGACACTCTCACTCCCTTATATACCAGTCCCTGTCACTCTGTCGCTGGTGGTGGTGAATAGCGGCAATGTGACAACGTCCATACTGGTGTCCCTAGAGCTGCCCTCGGTCTTTGTCTTCTCATTTGTCAACGGCAGGCTGCGGCTGAATATTGTGGCCTCTCAGGTGTAACATGGCTGCAGGGGGCGTGGCGGTAAGTATGGCCGGCGCCTAATAATAACAATATTCCCAATGCCCATTTTCTACTTTTTCAATTTTGTCAACTGCTTAGCAAAAGATGAAGGCGACCATTATCCTAATTGCCGTCGCTCTGAGCGCCAGCGGCGTCACCGCCGATTGGTGGGCAGACTTCTCCAACAACCTCTTCACAGACCTAACTCCGCTTATCTCCTTGTTCGGTGAGCAGCCGACGAAACAATTACTGGGCGAGAGCCTGACGTATTTCGACTACTTCATCTTCGCCATGGCACCGCTGGGCATTCTCACCGCCGTTGTATCGGCTATCCGCGTTCGCGGAGGCCCATCTTTGCGAGCCTTTATCGGCCGCGCTCAGGAGGGCGCTGGAGGCATCGAAGCCGAGCTCTGCTCGTCGACGAGTCGTGATATCTGCGAGCTCTACGATAGCGGGGGAATACCTCGGGTGTTTGGCACAGCACGACTACTGGAGCTAGTCCACGATCCGGCTGCTCCTACCGACGACTTCATGGATCACGAGGACCGCGACGCTACGGCTGGCTTGTACACTTTTGCCGACTACTTCAACAAGAAACGGGGTCATCAGGAGTGGAAAGAGGTCGAACCCTCTTTTGAGAAGGCGGTGCGTCGTCTGAATACCGCTTTCGGGCGGTGCAATCGGCCTGAAACCAAAAAGCCCAGTGTCTTTGCGCCGGCTCCGAATTTGACACTCACGCTATGGATGAGGCGCCCATCGAACCTCGCCATCTGGATGGCCGCCCTTACCGGGTTCGTGATGCAGGCAGGTGTGGTAGTCGTTGCCGCAGTAGTCACATATCGCCTCCAACTCAAGGTCGACGATAAGCCTCCAAATGATTATGGCTTTCTGACCATGTGCACCGGAACCGCTTTACTATGTACTGGAAACTTTCTTTGCGCGTTCTTAATAGGGGAGATAACAAAGGAGAGGTTGTTCGAAAGAAAGCTCCCCGCTGAGTACGACGACCCTGGGCCGGATGGCCACGCTCCCTCGACCACCAGATTGATTTGGCTTCAGGGTGGCAATCAGGTCATTGGCGACCAGACTTTCGATTGCTTTGCCTACAATGACGCTCAAAACCCAGCTCAGCATTACATAACGTCCTGGAAAGATTCGTCACAGCGAGACGGTGGGGTTGTGGTTTGGCTGGCTATCATTCTCAGCACTATTGGCTTCGTCGCGCAGTTTGTTGGCCTGAGAAAACTTCACCCTCTAGTGTCCGTCGCCCAGCTCGGCGCTATGCTGGTCATGAGCGCTATTAGGTCGCTGCTTCGTACTCAACGCCTTTTAAGGAAGTTCAACCTTCTCAACGGCGTGTCAGACGTCCTGCAAGGACATGAGCTTGACTGGCTCGCTCTCCATCTCGAAATTGACGAGACCAGCAAGTGTCTGGATTCGAAGCATTTCTGGACAAAAAACCGCCTGCTTATGGGGTCCTTCATTCGAGATACCACTGCCCGGGACGAGCTGACCACCAAGAAATCTACCTTCTGGGTGGCCGGTCGGGCAATCGAGCGTGGGAGAATTATTTTCATGGAGGGCAATGAAAAGATTCCAGTTGGCGATCCCGTCCGCATATTGGGGGCCCGCCAGATGTATCAACGGCGTGAAGTTGACTCTTTCTTCAACAAATGTCCGTTGGTAATGTCGTCGTCAACCACTTTAGCCTCCAAGATCCTGGCCTACCGTACGAGGTTGGCCAGGTTAACGAACCCCTCGAGAGTCTTGCACACCCTCATATGAAGCTACCGGCAGGGTTCAAGAACTGGAAATCGGACCACATAATATGCAGAGACGAAGCAGAGGCCTTGGTGTCTGCTCTCAAACAAACAGCTGATATCATCTTGTCTAATAAATCCGCTTTCTGGGATCATCGCTGGGACTACGCGGTGAGATTTACTTGGGCGACTTCATGTCACGTATCTACTGGATATAGGACAGAAAAAGATGCTTTCTATCTGAATCTTCAGAGACGCACCTGGAATCACGCGTGGGATATGGATGTTTCAGTGGTGGAGGCGGTCCTCGGACTCTGGGTGATGGCCTTGGCACTGGATCCCAAGGGTAGGACGTATGGATATGACCTGGCAACCAACTCAATTTCTAAGAAAATAGCGAAGACCTCCAACCAACGAATCATATCGTCGTCACCTGAGCTTGAAGACGCTGGCTTGATACGGCGAGGTATGGGATCCCAGGAGTTGAACGCATTCTGGCTCGGCAACGAACCCATCGGCAAAGTAGACTGGAGCCAGAACCTCAAAATTTCTTTCGAATCTGTACGTGAGGCCAGTACTCGCCATGGCCATTCGTACGACATTTGGATTCCTGAATGGACTAATGGCCAAACAACAAGACTGAAACCAAGGAAGGACCCTGGACCTGCTGCACCGGACTTGGACGCCAATGAGGAGGACGAAAAGAGAAAGACATTCAGGTTTTTCGGCTGGAACGCCTGCGTAAAAGAGACTGAAAAGATACACCTGTCGGCGATACCAACCGATTCTTCGCTCACGACCCTGTGTGCCCAGGAACTCTACGCCTCATTCATGATTGCAGCGATGTCAATCCTGGATTGTCGTGAGAGTATTGTGAGCATCATATCAGAGGGCAGAACCTTCCGGATCGAGCATGAACTACTTGACAAACTATTCGGCGCATTCGTCAACAGCGGACTAGGCTCGCGACGTGACGCTGTACTCTGCATCATGCCAGCTATCAATTCCACCAGCGAAGTGACTCCAGACCCGGTCCATTTCCTCCAACTTGTACATCGGAAGGCTCGTCAGCTCCGAAGGGAAAGGGATTGGAAACAGGCAGCCAGTTTTTTCCAATGGGCTCACGGATTTCCAGGTTACGTCTGGCCGGCGACTGACGAGAGCTTCCTCTACAAACGTATATCACACCTACGAGGGGAATTCTACCGGCAGGCCGTTAGTGAGAATCCACTTGACTCGGAGCTATTCAAGATATGGATTACATACGCGGCATAGAAGATGGTTACGCCAGTAAATGCTACGAACTATTTTCTCAACTCGAGTTTCGCGGCGTGAACTCAGCCGTCTCCCCTCGTCGAGACTTGCAATCCGATATATTCGCAGCAGCAATGAATGAGGGCCAATTTGACAAAGCTTTCGTATTCTTCAAGGCTGAGGATGCTCAGGGAGAATGGCCAAATTGCTCGCCTTTGATAACAGCTGTCAGGAACTCTCGGACGGAACTTGGCGGTCTTCAAAACGATGATGAAAAGGATGCAAGTGTTTTGGTTGAAGCCCTTCTCGAGACAGGGTTCGACTGTGACGTTGTTGATGAGGATTCAACACCGGCGTTGTCGATCGCCGTTGGAAGCAACGCTCTCTGGGCTGTAGAGTCTCTCATGCGGCATGGCGCGAACCCTAACATCGAGGACCGTGATGGCATGACTGCTCTAAATCATGCGGCTGGCAGCACGACGCTAGCGAGGCTCCTTCTCTCAGACAAAAATGCAAATGTGAACAAAGAAGATAACAAGGGATGTTCCTTCCTGGACTACGCCTTTGAGGAGTCGAAAATTACCAATGACGATGGTGTCTTGAAGATGGTTCTGGGGTATCGGGAGAGACGCCAAGACGTCCTCTTATGGGCGTTAGGAAAGCTTCACGAAAATGATACGAAAAAAGTCTTGGGACTGCTTTTCTCGTCTCATCGTTTTATCGACTCCTCCCATATAAAGGTGATGGAGAGGGCAGTCCTCCGAAGACTGAATAATAGCCCCGATTGGTCCCCGGAAGGCCTGAAATCTATTTTGCAGATGCTTCTCGACCACGGGGCAGCGATGTGCATCTCCACCTCCTTTCATGACTGGTCGAGACTGGTTGAACTTGCTATCAAGCACGAATACGAAAGCACGCTGGAATTGCTCCTCGACACCAATCCTGAATTCGTCGACAAAGATGAAGCCCACATGGCACTTGGCCTAGCGGTAGCTGCCTACGGCCATGATCTCGAAAAGGTCAAGATCATGCTTCGGCGCGGTGCCAAGTGCGATACCACCTACCACTGGGAACACGTGCCGCTTCATTCCGCAGTCAAAGGCATGTTAGACGGCCTGACTGGGGACGCGCCCAAGGCCGAGGTGGACACCTTGATCGAGCTGCTTGACTTACTCATCGAGCATGGAGCGAACCCGAAAGCTAAGGACTCATCCGGAAAGACTGCTTGGGACATAGCACAGAATGTGAGTGGAGTGCCTGGATGGGACGGGGTATTAAAGCGCCTGGACATTCAAGACGACAGTGACCAAGGAGATCAGGAGGCAAAACATGCATAAATGTAGCGCAATAAGCTATACTTTGTTGTGATCAGTATCAGAAGGATGGAATCTCGTATCTGAGTAGGGGAGTAGTCGACGCACGCCCTGTAGGAAATGTTACTCTGACGCCCATGTGCACAAAGGCAAGTTGCCTTCCTATCTCGATGCCCTTGTATTATCGACAAAATTTTGCTGATTATTTTCATTCCATTCTGCATTAATCTGGTCCTGTGACGCGCAAAACAAGGTCCAGCGGCTTGGTTGATACTATCCATCGGGAGCTCAGCCAAGCCCGGTCCAAGTTCAGTAGCAGCTCAGCTTAGAGGAGCAGGAGCTCAGCTTAGGGGAGTAGGAGCTCAGCTTAGAGGAGCAGGAGCTCAGCTCTAGAAACGGATATCTATTTTGGCATCCTTGAGTTTCATCTCTGAGTATCTTGGCATTCATATGCTCGACCCACGTGTTAATACCAACTGCATTCTATTAGGAAAGTTAGCAATTGAGTCTGAATGTCCCTCGCATAAAGAACACAATACTCGCCCAGGCAGGGAAGTAGACACCACAAATGGCAGCACCGCCCTCTGGCACGACCCGAGCTTAGGGAAACTCAGTTGCTGGGCGCAGTCTCAAGCCTTCCTTAATGCAGGCCTGGAGAAAAGGCATCGTCCGCCTGTCCTTTAAAGGTATCTTCTCTAAACTTTCGATCTGAGAGAGCTTTTCATTAATTTCTTGTCGTCGCTACAACATTAGAATTAGTTAAAGATTAACTGACGAAACGCCGAGAAATTCCGGCAACTTGACAAGAACCTTGGGGTGACACGTAAGGTTATGAAGGATAGCGCTGAGCAATCGAGGTAGTGTCAGACCCAGCCCCGATGTTCGCAATGCAGGTCGTGTGAACAACATCCAATGTGAAGTCTTCGGGATTATTTCAATGCGACTCGAGAGTCCTGAATAGAAAATCCTGGCTCTTTTCAGTTCCATCGCTACCTTGACGCTCTTTTCACCCCTTCTCAATTTGGCCAGCAGTAAACGTTCCGACACGAACGAGGCCAGATTCTGGGAACTTGTTCATGAGCTACTAAAGAGTGTTACAGAGCTCATGAAAACGCCAACTACTGCACAGCACTTCAAATAGTCATGAAGACTCCTTTCGTCGTTGTGATTCGATTTTTCTAGCATTTAAAGGGTCACGTGATCCATTTTGCCAAAGACCAACTGTCTCACCAGCAACTCTACCGTTCCATCTAACTTCATTCATTGACATCCACCACCACAACACCGTCAATCCAGTCTCCGGATATGGGAAACTGGCGTCTAAATGGTGACTCGTATGGGTTGTGGAGGCCCCCTCCAGATCCGCGACGGCCGCAATTCCCTTATCGCCGTGGCCTCGAGCTCTCAATTCGACGTCACAGCCCACCCCCGCCGTATGGGTTCGGATATGTCAAAGGGACGGAACGACAACAAGCTCCGTCGCCACAAATCCTGGAAGTCACCCAGAGCGAATGGTGTGTTCGACATCCCCCTGCAGATTCTCCTTCTCCTCACCCCGATCCGACCTTGCACAAGCTTCGTGTCCTCGATGAAATAGCCTGTAAGGATGGGCGCGGGTCTCAGATTGTCCGCTGCTGCCTTGATGACGATGAGAGCCAAGTTTACGTGGCGAAGATCTACGATGCCCTCTACTATTCCTTCATGGACATCACCTGGCTCGCCGACATGGACTATCGCTGTGAAGCAGCCGCATATGAGGATCTGCAAAAGGCGGGAATCGATGGCGTGCTTGTCCCCAAGTATTACGGCTTTTGGACTTTTGACGTTCCGTTGTTTGAGTCTGATATAGTACGACCAGTTCCCTCGATGAGGGAACCTAGTGTTTGAATTTACTGCATTTTCGTTGCGCGCACGTCACAGTTGCCAAGGCCCAAGTTTTGGGTTTCAAGCTGCTTTTTTCTTCTCTGCCGGAATCCTGTCTAACTTTTTTGACTCTAATCTTGATGAATGCACTGAAAACTCCCACGACCCGACCTAACGCCCCGAGATCCCCAATGCCGATGATGACCCAAGTCATTCAAATTCCCCCTCTAGCCAGCACCCTATATAGCTAGCATCCATACCAACCTAATGCAATATAATAGCTCTTGGAACTAGGGGTTGTATTGGGCTCCGGTAATATCTTAAAAGAAGACTTAACCTCTTAGATTGGAATTATTAATATTTTTAGCTAAGTTATAAAATATAATTATTTCTATTTAAATATATAAAATAAAATTATAAATAAAAATTTAATTTTATTATTTATTAATTTTAATTTTATTATTAAAAAATAAATATCTAAAAATAGCTAATATAATTTATTAGCTTTTATTTAAATATTATAAATAATATAATAATAATTTAAATAGATTTTTTTTTTAAAAAAGCTTAAAAAGAAATTTAGTTTTTATTTTTTTAATTTATTTTTTAAATTTTTAAAAAATCTAAAATTATATTAAAATTAGAATTTATAATATAAATATAATACCCTGGGGCTCAGTGGTTAAGAGCTTGGGACCTTTTTTCAAGAGGTTGTTGGTTCGAATCCAGCCCAGGGCACAATCCTTGTAATTGTGCTGTGACTGCTAGCCTCGTCCCCTAGCAGAAAAGTCAGCCTGTACAGGGATTGAACCCGAGGATCCGACTCGCTAACCGGGCCTAAGGTAGCAAGCTAATTGGTCCCTAGCTTGCCTTTAGGAAGTGGACTGGCCAACCCACTATAAGAGGCTAACTACAGCGCATTCCTGCGCTTATAAATAGGTAACCCCCCCTCTACCCAGAGAAAATAGGAAGGTTGGAAGACTAGAAGGTTGAGGTGTTAATGGCGAGGAATAGCTTGAGGTGTTGTTACCAGTTACAGACTCGAAGTTGCATTGTATGCTCTACAGTGACCTTATGGGTACATAGAGTGGTAGAAATAGAAGGAAGGGGTAGGGTTTTCATCCAATGTTTAGGCATACGGTTTTTCCCTATCCGATAAAGTAGTAGGAGTTCTATAGGCCTTGATAAAGGTAAAATAGCGTATACTAAATAAATAAATAAATATAAATATAATAAATTATCTTTAAAAAGAGCTACTTAAGTAAAATTTACTATATTAAAAATTAGTTATAATAGGATAAGTATTAAAAGAGAAGTTAATCTCTTAATAATAAGAGATAGTCAGTCTCCCTTATATCTTATAGCTTAGAATAAAATTACTATCTTAAGGTTATTAACTGCAGATAGCAGGATTGAAGTTAGAGGGGTTAAATAGAAGCTTTAGGCAGAGACTGGTAGGCAACAACCTTATTATTTAGCTACTGTTTCTTCTGGTGCTGGGTGTAGTACTTATTGTTTATTCCTACTGTTTGAGATTACTGTATGGCTTTGATCTATCTGATGATATTGAGTAAAGCTAAAAAAAAACCAAATAGTACGACCAGTTCGAATAGTGCTCATAGAATAGATCCAAAGTGTTACTATGTATTCTCTTGTCCAAGAGGGCCAAGCTACTCGCATCCCCCCTCAGCAACGCCTAAATATACTTGCAGGCGCCATAGAGGCGTACTGCAAACTTTCATTTCATGGAGTAAACCATCGCGACTTTGCTCCTAGAAATATCGTGTTGGTTGGATCGAATATCGAAACCGATTTGCCTCGAATTTTGCTGATCGATTTCAACCGCACGGCTGCTACGAACCGACCAAACTCAATCTCCCCAAGCTTTAGCACAAAGCGGCCACCCAATCCTATTACATGTCTATGGGGAACATGTGACAACGAATTCTTGCCCTGGGTACCGCAGCCACATCGATCGAAGCCATCAGTGTTCAAAGGATGGACGAAAACGACCTGGGAGAATTCCGAGGAGTTTGATGCTCCTATGGGGCGTAATCTACGGCGCTTACAGACAGACGAGATCGAGATTTGTCCACCTTTGCCAGATGCAGAGCCGGAAGACCCATCAGCACTCTGGCGTCGACGTAAGAGTTAGTTCATTCCAAGTTTGGTCAAAGACTGTGCGCTGATTGATTAGGTCGCTTGGAACATGAAGCCAGAATACGAAGTTCCAGAAAGGCAGAGCAATCTTGGCATACAATCCTCAGCGGGAAAGCCAGTAGTGGAAGCAGTGACCCGATTGAAGAAGAAAAAGCTAGATTGAGAGACGTGAGAAAGTTTTTTGACGATTCTGGTAGCAAGGCACTTTGAAGAAATAGAGCAGACGTGAAGGGTTTCTCAGACTCATGGGCGATTATTTATCATACTTGCCAGACTATCATTGTCAGACAGGGATATGGACTACAATAACGCTTCCGACAGAAGGAGGGATCATTCCCTTTTGCCGTAGCGGTATTGCGACAATCCTGGATCACTCAGGCTAATATTTTTTTAATTCAAGACTTCTAGCATAGGTATTGGTCCTGCAAATCCTGTATCACTGTAGTGAAATTTCAGCTGCCATGAAGCCCGAAAGTGTTAATTGCCACCCTCGCAACATAAGACTATCCTTGGGTTTAATTCAACAGGCTAATCTTCCCAGCAGCTAAAGCTATAAATACCCGGTCTGTCACGGCTAGGTCCACCTTTGCCAGGTATTCTACTTGCGTCATTCTTCTGCGCAGCCTCAAGCCGTCGTTGTCGAGCTCACGGTACTCGCCGTGGGGCCCGAACGCTGCGCACACGTCTGGAGACCAGGGCTCTTCGGAGTGAATGAAATCAATCCACTTCTTGCGCATTTGGATCCCTGTTTTATGTGCTGCGACTGAAAAGGATAGGTCGAAGCCGCCAAAAAGAAGGAGCAAGTCAACAGCGTGATGTGATCCGCTTGAAGGTTGCCAGGGGTTGACCTCGTCCAAAACACATCGAAAGACGGGTTTCTTTGCGGCCTGCCACTTCTGGACCACCTTTTCTATTGGAAGAACAAACTTGCAGTCGTTGATGAAATCAAGAGCCCCGGTTTTAGACGCAGAAGGCCTGTCGGGATCAATGTTGTATACCCGTTTCAATTCAGTCCCGCTGTCGCCGGCCGATTCGAAAGCACTGACAATGGCATCAGTGTCTGTGGACCAGATGCCTGTATTCCAAAGGATCGCCTGTTCAGACGTTAGTGCCGGATATCCAACTTGGATATATAAGTTCCCTCACCTCATTCTGGACATCGCTTATGAGTAGCCTTTGCGCAGTCCCCGTGTTATCCTCCCAATCCTCAAAAGCTGGCTCCATTTGCAGAAACCAGGACTGAATTCCGGACTTCTTCAGTGCCTCTATGATTGCCGAAACAGGAGCGTCGCGCAGGTTAAAGTCACCCACATCTTGAAGACTCCTTTGAAGTGTCTGACGCATAGCCTTCGCCTTGGCCAGCGGTTGGGGAGGCGATAAATGCAAGGAACCAGAGGACAGAATGAATTGCTTCGCCGGTGCTTCGGAAACCAGGTGTGCATGGGAGTACACTGCTCCTGCGCTTTCCCCAGCTAGGGTGACTCGACTCTTGAAAGACAATTAGCACCATGATTCTGGGAAAGTTAGTAATGAAGTTATTCTTACAGGATCGCCCCCAAATCCAGATATGTGGCTTTGGACCCATTTCAGAGCCAGTGCCTGATCCTTGAGAGCGAGGTTTCCTACACTGTCATCGTCACCGAATGCAAAGATGTTAAGCCGGTATTGAACAGCAACAACAATGATGGGTTTTGAAAGACGCAATGAATCATTCACGATAGTTGTCATATCTATTCGTGGGCGTCAGTTGAGGTTCAGATAGAGAGTGCTGTGTCCTATATTGGACGAGCAGGTAGCTACAGGGTGAGATCTTACCGCAAACTCCGGATGCTGCGCTTCCAAATGTCATAGCTTGGGAGCCGCCTGCGGACCTCGTGTTAGTTTACCATGTGGCGTATTGGTGTGTTAACAAACATGCCATGTATCCACACCATAACTGGTAGCTTCTCCGTAGCAGGACGATGCTTCGGCAGCACAACATCCAAGTTGAGACAACGGAATTCATCTTCGGGTTCTGTCGGAAGTACATGTTCGCGAGGTATTCGGAGGAGATGGCCGACATCGATTGGGACTTGTGGACATCGAGGACTGTGTCAGCGGATACAAGAGTCAGCTCAATCCAAGACACATAAGGAGATGTGAGAACAACCCATAGTTAGTGCAGTCCAAGCTCTCTGGCAACGTGGTGACGGGCTCGGGCGGAGAAAATCGCGCAGAGATTTGGCCGTACGGAATGCCTCGGAATTGAACAACGGAGGATAGATCGACGCCGGTCAGCGACGACCCCAGAGACTCGTGCTTGAGCGACGACATATTGGGATTTTCACCTAATGAACTTTGGATGACTTGCAGGTGTTACACAACCAGTCACGGTTCGATTTAAATGTAGCCCAACTAGGCGTGGGCGATGATGCCGCGTCGGGTATAATTAGCCGACGATGCTGCACTTCTCGATGCCCAGAAGACGCTGGAGAATCGTGTTGCCCGGTAACGAAAGAGACAAGAGTAATGGACGCCACCAGAAGGAGACAGGGCCACAGACCTCAGAGACGGAACTCATCAGACACGCTGTCGAAATCGACCCCACATCCGGCATATCAAAAACCTCACTTACCGTGTCCCACATGGAATCATCACCACAATCTACCCCACATGATGAGTTGGATCAAGACCCCACATCCCTCAATGCTCTCCACATGCCATGTCGGGGTCAAAATGTGGACAATGTCCAGTCGTTACCATTCTAGCTTGATTGGGTTGGCACAGTTTTTGACCATACTGTGCCTCCACATGCGTTCAACCGCGTGGCTAAGCTTCACAGGGTGTTGGAGTTGTGGCTTGGTAGATAAGATGTGCATAGATAGATTAACGTAATTACTACCTAAAATATAGGTCATCCTACTTGTTTAAGAACCACAACACGGATCATGTGCAAGTTTAAAGTAACAGCCCCGGAGTTGTCTCTAGACATGGATACAATCAACACCACGTCTGCTGCCGGGTGCGCGGAGCGGAAAACTATATTGCACCCCAATGGTCAAACAACAGCCTACATTCACGATACCTTCACTGATCCGTGGAGACCAGCGGAGACGATTTTAATCCAGCATGGATTCGCCCGGACCGCTGACCACTTCTACCACTGGGTTCCAGCCCTGAGCCGCCGCTACAATGTCATTCGGCGTGACCTGCGCGGACACGGATTCTCAAGCTACCCACAGCCGGGAGAGGACTACGACTACTCTACAGCCACCATATTAGAGGAGATCAAGGATACGCTGGATCAACTCGGCGTGCAGCGGGTTCACTTTCTGGGAGAATCGACCAGCGGAATGCTTGCCGAGGCCTTTGCCGCAACGTATCCAGAACGTGTCAGTTCTATCATCGTTTGTTCTTCTCCAACGCACTTGCCACTAGCTGCCCAGCAGTTTCTAGCATTTGGAATGGACTCATGGCCCGATGCATGCCGCAAGCTGGGAGCTCGCAAATGGGCTGAGCGCCTGGCTGCCTCGCCTGGAACACTGGCCAGCACCGATCCGGCCTACGTCAAGTGGTGGACAGACCAAATCGCCGTAAGCAATGGCTACGGGTTGGCTGGATACGCAGAGTTTCTGTGCCAGCTCGATTCTCGGCCGTTTCTAGACAAGATTCAGGCACCAATGCTCATTCTCGCCCCTACAAACAGCGCCGTTGTGACCATCGAGTCGATGAGAGAATTAGCAGCAAAGGTTCCCACGGCCAGGCTGCAGCTTATTGAGTCTCGGGGCCATGAAATATACTTTGAAGCTGCTGAAGCATGCCAGAGTAGTGTATTGGACTTTCTTTCTCAAACCAATTAATGTACGGCGAAAGGCCTCCCGCGAGCTCAAACTCGGCACACTGCAGGAAGTCACGCCAGACGCAAAAGAGCTCACATTCTCACGTAGCGCATTATCGTTACGTATTCATGGGAACAGTGGACAACAGCAAGGAGCCGGTACAGGCGGGGCCGAAATCGACTTTGCGATTCAGCAGTGGGGAGATGGCAAAATCCTCGGTAATTTTGTGGAGTTCTGTTGACGATGGTATGTGTGTCCAGATAGCTTAGAAGACGTTCCTTAGAGAGAGCTAACAGTCCGCGGAGTATGACCTATTTTGTGAGGTAGGATTTAACCCCATTATAATAGTTAACCTCTGAAGGTATTGGGAAAGGTAACTAGTTGGACTAGAAACCTTAGTCTGTCTGAGTGTATTGTTGATCTTTGAATGGATTGGGTAAATAGTCTGTATTGTTGATATTATTGTTGGTGTTTTTTTTTTTACTGTTGAGCTTCTAGTCCCCCCTGTGGGTATGTATGAACTAGGGCACCCTAACCTCTTGATATCAGTCAAGCCACCTCCTCTAGGCCTAGAAGAATTGAAACACCCACCTCCACTAAGACACCACTCCACTAGGACACCACAACCGTCAACCAGAGTATCACCCCTTCAGCTTGCACTATGGCCTTGATACGCATAAGGCCGATTACGGCACATGTTCTCATGGTGTTCGTGGCTATGCTGAACATCTGCATCCTATCATACGACGCCGGCATGATTAACAATCTCAACGCGGTCAAGCCGCATTTCGACCGTAGGTCGACTCCTCTGCTAATGAATTCAACTGACACGCCTGCAGATTCAATCTTAACAGCGATCTCATCGGTCTCAGTGTCGCCATCATCAGCGGGGGTTCCATAGCGAGACAAGCCTTCCACGGCTGAAAAGGTAGCTCTAATAGCCAAACCACCCATCCTACCAGAATTCGCAGCAATTGGTGGTCCGTAAAGCATCTTACTGCAGAGCCTGAACTTGCCTGACGGAGTCATCAGGCCTCAGCTACCGACAATTGAGTTATCTACATCTACCTCAAGCCAAATACACATTCAGTCCATCTACTTCTTAGACAGCTTCACCCCAATCGAATTTGTTCTTATTATGTTGTAATGACGAGCGATCTGACACCTCCTGATATCACCATGTGTCTCAAACGCGAAAAGGCGGTCAGGATCACGACTTCGCCGAGCACCCTCAGTGGCGATGCTAGTCCAGGTCAACCCGATAGATCACAGCGGGAGAATATGCCAGATCGACATTCTTCAAGTAGTAATAGAGTTCTCGGGACTCCAATCTCTCTCTCACGCCTAGAAAACCTGCCTTCTGAGTTGAGATGCAAAATCCTCTCAGGCATGCCAGACCTGCCGACACTATGCTCGCTCGTTCATGCCTCACTCATAATGCACGCTCAATACCTCCACGACCGCAATACTATTCTTCGCGCGTGTCTAGGCCGCGAACTACATGGCTTCATAGTCGACGCCTACGCCAACCTAATATCTCGGGTGTGCGAGGTAGGGTCGCCGCGGACTGACGAGAAGGTCACGGACTTTCTCCTTACCCACCGCGGTTGGTTCTCAGGTTCCAGTCCGAATCTAGGGTTAGACTCGGTTGGCTCAAGTCGCCTTCTCTGGTTGGTACATTACCACCTATCCGTTGCCCGGCCTCTAGCTCGTCTATATAGCAAGTGGGCAATCGCGACTCTCAAAAAGGCAACGCCGTCAACTAAGCAGCGAGTGACGGCACAAGCACCAGAGGTACCCGGCGATGGAGGCGTCAACCTGACAAGAAGCGAGTAGATACGCGTTTTCCGAGCTCTGTACCGTTATGAGACCTATTATCATCTCTTCTCAAACGAAGGCAAACGCTATGGTGGATTCCGCCATCACATCATTAATGACATATTCTTCTACATTTTCAATCCGTGGGAGGCCGATGCAATTGGCTGTACCGACGAGTTTTTCAGGCACATATACAAAGACATCTTCGCAAAAGTGAGAATAGAGCTGCATCCTGACAATACGAGTTTTCGGCAGGAGAATGGGGGTTATACTTCCGATGGAAGTTTCGATCTTGATAGCGAACACCACGGTAAGAATGATCCCCAGCCATACTGCAGGGCCTATGCGTTACGCCAATTATGAACAAGCCTCACCTAATAACGCAGATTTCCACAGATTACATGGACGGTACCATTTCTCGCAGCCTGAAGATGGTGGCTCGGCTGTTGGCAATCGAAGACCACGAACAACTCGTCATCGCGATGGAGTAGAGTCTCACTCATGACCAAATCGTTGGTGCTGCCGTGAGGGACGCCCTCGGGACAATAGCACAGGATGACAGACGCACCATATTAACTGATTTCTCCGACCCCAGAGACGAGGCTGAGCGGATGAGAGATCCGATGTATTTCACAGGTGACGAAGTCTCGGCCGAAGGGCCGCCCCTCACTTGGGTTGTTCTGTGGGGTGGAAATTACGTGAACATCCACGGAGGATATGTGCCCGAGCCACTAAAGCTTTGGGGCCATGTCATGTGGGACGAGTGTCGGTGGGTAGATATGGGAGCCAAGGAACTTGTTGCAATGCAGTGGGATTTGGTCCCAGATCTAGTTCAAGAGATCAAGGATGACCGCATGTGGAGCCCCGTAGGACGGTAAATTATCAGAATTGTCACCGAGCATCATCTGAATGCTCCCAAATGAGTAGTGAATATTCGTAATATTAGCATGACCTCCCTTCCACAAATCTCGCTTCTCAGACCGTCTTGTCCGAGGGTAATATGCATATAAACCCCGATCCAAGTTCAAAATACCTTATCCCACAATGATTAGTGCCGAACTATTATCGACCATCACTCCCCCAGATCCATGTTGCCCGGCTTTTCGCAGTAGTCATGTGGGGAAATTGCAGAATGGGACTTAAACACATCCACGATGTACCCCACTGCTACCATGTCCCTGGCATCCCTACCCTCATCGGCGGTTTGCCTCGTTAACTCGCTCATAAGCAGTAGCCAGTCGCTCAAGGATGCTGCCCATTCTAGGTGTGATTCCCCACACCCATACCTGCGTGGCTGGATTAACATTTCTCTTTAACTTGTCAGAACTCCGGGACTCACATCTTGAAGAAACATGCTCCATGTTCTCGCCAACCCTGCCGCCAACGATTTGCTCTCGTCAAATTCGTAGTCAGTCTCCTCCAACACTTTCTTCATTCCCCGCAGGAGCTCGCTTTCTGCTGGGCTGGGCTGAATGTGATTCAGGCAGTCTATCTCTACGGAGTGTACCCATTTGGTAACAAGAAGCGCTGCGTTGTCAAGTCAGCAATGAACAATGAGTAAGCCAACGTTCAGGGCACAAACCGCAGTCCCAGCCTGCAACGGCATGTTCGACTCCCCAGCGGAACGCCGCCGTCTTGCGCACCAACATATGGCCCATTCTAACCGGAGTACAGAAGCCTTCAAACGATGTACCGACGGCGTTGAGCAAATGCGCGCTTCGCTCTAGCTTTGCAGTTGCAAATAAGGAGACGGAAACCTCGACGGCACCCGGATCCTCGGTGATCAAGCTCAGTTTGTTGAACCCAATCGCAGCATTGAAGAGCCTGATGTATGCAATTCTCAACATCGCCTGGCAATTGAACACCAACGATGTTTCTGCTTCATCGTCGTTCAATTCTGGAGGGTTCTGGTGCAGTCCACCTTTGAGAAGCGTTTCACACCTCGCCAACGATCGCAATGCTGTATCCAGGAGCGATGAGCCGAGTAAGTCGCGGCCTGGCATCGAAATGAACGAGTCTCGTGCAAACGCTTGAGCGACCTGCAGAATCTGCCGCATGTGTACAACAACAGCGTGCATGACAAGAAGAGCGGAGAGAGGAGAAACGTGATAGGGCTCGGTCTTTGCACCATGGAGATCCTCCGACATGACGTCTGCCAGGACTTCTCTCAGCGTGGGGTACTCTTGCTTGATGTGGTGAATTCGCAATTCCCTCCACTCGTTCGTTGATGCAGCATTCCACAGGCTCTCGTCATGGAAAACCTCAATATCCAGGTCTTGCGATGCGTTGAAACCGGGGTTAACATCGTACATAACCATGCCGAGGGTGCTCATGATGTAAACTCCACCCAAGAGTCTCTTTCTTGATTCGCGTTGTATCCAGGCCTTCCAGGTTATGTTTAATAGGTCGGTAGTTTCTTCCAGAAGGGCTAGACGCATCCGTCCATAAAGCTACTCAATTTTGTCAGGTCACGACAAGATGACGGTATTCATGAATTCATACCAGCGTGTAAAATCCGTTGTCAACCATGGCCGACGATACCAAGGCAACATCCCCGCTAAAGACGGCGAAGACGCTCAGAAGTAGCTTTGTCTGGACAAGCCATAGCGGGAATTCGTCTAATGATGGTGAGCCGTGTTGATATGAGACAGGGGCCTACAGAAAATTAGCGTCATGGCATTCGTTCTTGTGAGGGTCGATTGTACCGATGCGATGGACTTTGTAGTCATGTCGTATAACCGTCTCGCCCGACGCCGATCGAGGCGGTACAGCGCCCCAATGCTGCACATGGCCAGAATCAGAGGGCTTGGGGTCGTCTTCAAGCAAAATGTTTGCAGATGGATGACTGGCAAGTGGCCGTGAAAACATTCGACGTAACTGGACAAGAAGCTCTGGAAAATCTTTGGTGGTGGTAATTCCTCTGTTACATGTTGGGGCATAAGTCGCTCGGCGAGATCCTTCAAGATCGATGCGTGGATGTAGTGATCCACGGTAAAGGTCGGCATCGAAGCAGGCTTTTCCTCCCGCAGAAGAGGGAGATTGCTCGGCGGGTCGGCGGTTGGCATCGACTGGGTGTTCGTAAAATTCATCTGTCCGTTGAATTTGAAATTTTCGTTCATGTCGTTTGTTTCCGACAAGGCATCTTTGGGTTGTGCAATCGTAGTGAGGTCGGCTGCTTGAGAAGCTTCTAGCTGGGGCCAGTCCGGGACATCGAGAAGAGTAAGATCTGGGGTAAATTGGAATGTTCCATCGGGCAAAGGAGCAAAATCGACGTAGAGCATGTCTGGATGGACCATTGGCGGTTGGGGAGCGCTATTTTGTGGCCGGTGATAGCTTTGTTGATCCAGCTGCTGATGTTGTTCATGGTGTACCGTCTCGCCATAGTCTCCATGTCGCGACGGTGATTGATCGGCGTCGATTTGCATTGTCAAGTGCCCGTTCGGGTTGTAGACGTCAAACCCATCTTCTAGGAGCCCTACGGAGAGAGATGTGTGCGCTGACCGAGACGTTTCGGGCATTGTTGTGGGGAGAGATGGAGGTGTGAGGATTGCCGCGACATGCTGGACAAGAGGCGCTTCTTCGTCAATCGCGGTGTCCATGGTGCCGCCGGGATTCTGGCTCCCTACGATAATCTCACTTGCCGGCGGCAGTGTAGATACACAAGAGTCTCTTCTTTGTCCAGAATCGATCGTCGGAAGCTCGTTCTGGGGCGATACTGGAGCATTTCGAGAAAGACGCGCGTGGACAGGTTGGGGCTGGTCTTCTTCCTCCAGTTCGCTCGGAGTCGCTTCAGATGACTGGTCGACTTCTATTGACACGGGAGGTCCTCGCTCGGCTTGATCTGCATGTAGAGTGCGTTCATGTCTTGTCACGAGATCCCTGTCGGGTGCACCATTAGCAAAGTGAAGATCTGTGAAGCAGCCAACACGACAGAATGCCGTACTTTCTTGAGTAAGATTTGCGGCAGTATCGACATGAAAACGGCTTCTCGCGAGTATGGCTGCGCTCATGGCGAATGCAGTGCTCGCTGCGCTTGAAGGCCTTGTCGCAGTATTCGCATTTGTATTGTCGCGGTGGGCGACGGGTGCGTTTGGCACCGTCGATCGGTATCGACGGTATCTGAGCTGCTTCAATTGCGAGGACGGACATGAGATGCTGCTACCGCAGAAGCAGCGGAGGTAGGTCGCGCCGTGGCGATGTGAGCTGTGGTTCAGAGACGTTCACGACGAGGCTCGGTGACGATACGATAGCGGGCTAGACATCCACAGAACGTCAACGCAGATGTGAATGATGGGGAAGAAAGAGACTCGGAGCGGGCGGGACACGACAGCGACCCGCAACGATGAGCACTCGTCAGGGTCAAGGCCGCCAGCCCAGGACCACACCAGGCCAAACACGGGATACTTCGGCATCCCGGACCACGTCGAGTGATCAATCAGTCATTACTAAATGCCGTGGCTGCAGCTGAGTTTGCGGGGAGTGCGGGGAAGGGAAGAAGGGAGCGTGGGGAGAGTCGAGATGGCCGAGGAACCGGGTCGATCTAGACTCACTTGGTTTTGCCACGTTCAGACCAGGACCGAAGAAGAACAGCGCCGAACGGGTTTTCAGTAAGCGAGATAAGACGTCTGGACTAGACCAGGGAGAACAGGATAGGACAGGACAGACAGGACGGGACAGGTTGGAGATAAATAACTACCCCCGAGTGTCCCGTTGCAAGCATCTACCTGGAAGTTACCCATGTCATCTACAACCCAACATGCAGTAATACCGCTTCAAGCAACCCTTTCTAGATGAACTAAATACTCTATTCTTTCAATCACAATCAGCGGCGTGTCATGCCACAACCATGCCACGGACATCCACCTTGACCTTGCCCAGGTAAAAGCCGTCCTTCTGCGCTTGGCTCCATTCCGCTCGCAACACCTCCGACCGTCTCTCGTTGCGCGGAACGAACCGAGTCTTGAACGGCTTCGGCAGCGTGTTGACGCCCTCTTCATACGCTGCATCTGAGAGGTCAACCGGCAGCTTGTTCCCGCTCTCGTCGAGCGGAGGCTCGATCTTGAACGCCCACAGGATCTTGGCCAGCGTGATGAACAGGCTGTTCTCGGCCAGGTGCATGCCAGGGCATATACGCCGGCCGGCGCCAAAGTCGAAATGGTCGCGGCCCCTGGCATCTCCCGACGCCGCGTACACGCCGGATTTGTGAGGATAGGCTAGGTAGCGCGATGGATCGAACTTCTCAGGATTGGACCATCTGTCGGGGTTGAAATGCAGTGTGTACTGCGACATCGACACGACCGTGTTCTTTGGGATAAAAATGTCCTTGTAAATCACATCCGACGTGGTGTAATGGGGGGTCCCAATCGTAGTCACCGGTCGGATGCGGAGTATTTCCTTGGCTATTGCTCTGATGTATGGTAGATCGCCTTCATCGTCATATGTGGGCGAACGGTCGTCGCCGATGACTCGTGACAGCTCGTCGTTTGCAATTTCCTGGATTTCAGGATACGCCGAGAGGTAGAGAATGCAACTGTTCAGGGCCGACGACGTGGTCTCCGATCCTGCCTCGATCATGGCTGTTCGATACGACGTTAGTCCAATCTGCTCGCGACAATGATACCACGCATCACTCACAACCAGCAACAAAACTTGCTTGCACCTCAGTAATGCCCTGCTTTTCGAAATCCATCTCCAGAAACTGCTTAACAAAGCACTCCGGTGCCCTCTTCTCGTCCACTTCCGCCTTGAGCCTGTTCCAGTATTTCATCCACGTCTTCTTTTGCTTGTTGTACGCCCGAAGAGCACGCGGCCGCCACCATTGAAGCCACACTGGGATCCTGGCAAGCGGTGGGAAGAGGTCGGCAACAAACGCTCCAGGCGCTGCAGCATCAGAGAAATCTTTCATGACGTCGTATACTTCGCTGACGTCGTCGCAGTCCTAGACCGTTGTTAGAGATTTCAGCCTTGTTGCGTGTCAGCACGTACCCAGATGGGAACACGGCGCCCATATGTGCTCGTCAAGACTACTGAAGTCGTATATCTGCGGACGTGCATATAGAAGCTCGTCTGATCTTGGTTATTTGTCGCAATGTCGAAAATGAGCTGCTTAGCTTCGAACTCCTGGCTAGGCTTATATGCATCCGAAGCTTTTGGTGTGAGAAGCTTGTGGACAATGGCCCTCATCTTGCGCCACTTCTGGCCATACGTGAGAAAAAGAAGTCTATTCTCGCCTGAAAGAAGATCAGCCGCCACGGGCATCGGCGCTCGCCCAGATGTGATTGCTGATTGCTTGTCGAAGATCTCGCGAACAGCCTCGGGACTGTTGACAAAGACCCAATTCTCCCAACCGAGTTGGATTTTGAAGAGTTCGCCGTACTCATCTGCCCAGCGCTGGATCTGGCGATGCGGTGTACTTCCCATCTGTAAGGCATTTCCTATTAATGGCCAGCCCCGTGGCCCAGTTACAGCTCTGTAACCCTTCGGTACTTTTGTCCGTCGGCTAAGGATGATGAGCAGCAATGCCACGCTCAATAGAGCACTAATGACCTGAAGGTTAATCATTTTAATACAATTGATGAGAAGAGGTACCACGAGGAAAGGAAACAAGAGGGCCATGAGCATAAAGTATTATCATTATTGTGAATTACCCAACTCACGATGAATCCCCACATGGCATTTTGGAACATGAAGTGGACGCGGGCAGTTCCCCACTGCATCACGACACCCCACATTATCTCTCATCGCGTGTGCACCTTAATCCTTGGATAGCCCGGCGTAACAAGGTCAATTGCCCGCATGCTATGCGTATTCTGTTGTTGCAAAACACCGCGGTGGAGAAAATGGGCACTACAGATGCACGATCCCTTACCCTAGACAGTTGCGACACCTCTCTTCTCTGCTGGAGAGAAAGTGCCCGGGGGAACCGTTTCGCCTTGTATCCACTCCATGAGTTATGGCTCAGCGCAATTATTCGTCTTCTCACATGGTTGAAATACAGGTGGTAAATTGATTTGGATATCTTGTCATAGACTATCCGTCCACAAATCACGCTTGTTGGTGTGCGCGGATCCTGGCCAAACACTCTTGGTCAAAAAGAGGGTGTAGAAGCGACATCAAGACCATGTTTTTTTGTTGCTTAATCCATTCAGCATCGTGAGACATGGCAATATGCATGCCATAATCATCAACCGCCTCTCTCAATTTTTGTATCGTGTCCTGAGCTGCGTCGAGATCCTCGTGAAGGCAGAATCTAGACCCGTCTGGTAGTGGGACATTCGCAATCTCCTTGTGGCCCATGAATATGTCCCTGTTTATCAATTAGTTAAGAGAACTCGGGGACGTTGTAACTTTCGGTATTCCGCACCTGGAGTGACAACAGTCGCTTGCCAAGATGACATGATCCCCAGATGGCACACGTACAACCGCTCCCAAATTGCCGACCATGTGGCCTGGAGCTTGGAATACCCAAAAGCTGCCATCCCCAAAATAATCCATCGCATTTTCAAATGGTCCCCAAGGTGTCCATGGGCCCTTAAGCTCACTGAAAGCTTCTGTTTGAACACCGCCGTCACCAAAAAATCGAGAGTCCCACTGGACCATGGGCATGACCTGACCATCTTGAATATGACCGGGAGAGCAATGCAATCCGGTCCCGGGGCCGAAAAATATTTCTGCATTGGGAAAATCTTTCTTCAAGGGTCTGCAATGATCCCAGTGTGCGTGGCTTGTGAAAGGGTCAGCTCACGGCACTCGTGATACGCCACTGGTAAGAGGCTTCAGCAATACCTAAACAGCACGGCATCGATGGCTTCAGGCTCAATATCTAAGGCTTTCAACTGATCTACCAGTGAAATACGCGGACCGACTGGGTTGCAGCTGGGAAAGTGGTAGTTCACAATGAATGGCGTGTAGTCATTGTGGTCCTATGTGCCTATCTTAGCGGGACCTTGGTGGAAGCTTGGATTACTTACTTCGCCTATGCCAAGATCCCACAGAATACTCTGTCCTGATTCTTTGTGGTATATATAGAAGCACCAGTCATAAAGATAGTACGGGTTGCTGTGGCCATTGGCGTGGATCTTGGTGTCGTCCGTTGTAGTAAAGCCTCCCCCGTCCAGTAGAACCACATCTACAGCCTTATTTCCAGCTGGAAGATTCTTGAGTGAGGCCATGTTGCAATAGCCAGTCAAACTTTGGCAAGCAAAAACGAAAGCTTGTTGTCTTGGGTTGCAGAGTCATATTGCTGCATTGTATTCCCGGTCTCTACCCCACTACCCCGGATTCTACCCCACACGGAGATGTGGCATCGCGAAACCACCAGCTGTATATGATCAGCTAATGTTTCTTGGGTGGCTCATTGATCAGAAGGAATTCATATCGAAATCCGCTGAAAACAGTAGCATCTTTTATCTTCTCGGTACTTTGCGCAACTCAAAATGACCGCCGCTCCAGGATCCATCCTTACTCGAGACACCGAGCAGTACGAAGCATGTCGCACGCGATCGTTCAATGCCGACGACCCAGGCAGATTTCCGGCCGAAATTCACCTGGTCCACACGAATAAAGATGTTATTCAGGCCCTTGGGCGCGCTCGTCAGTTGAAAAAGTCAGTGGGCGTTCGTTCGGGTGGACATATCCCGTCAAAGCCCTCTTTGCTACACGACGGCGTCCTGATCGACACGACACACCTCAACCGAGAGGTTATCTACGATTCCAAGACACATGAGGTTAATTTTGGTCCTGCCGTACGGGTATTTGAAGCCTGGCAACGTTTGGAGCAACTGGGGCGTTTCTTTCCATTCGGACACGCCCCAACGGTAGCTCTTGGAGGTTTCTGTCTTGCAGGCGGGCAAGGGTTTTTTATGCGAGGCTGGGGTGCCACAATCACCGAATGGATTGTGAAAATGGAGATTGTTGTCCCAGACGGCCGCGTCGTCATTGCCAGCCGGACTGAGAATCCGGATCTTTTCTGGGCTGCACGAGGTTCCGGTCAAGCCTTCTTTGGCGTCGTGACCCGTATCTGGAGCCGTACGGTCCCGAAAAGACAACTATTTGGACGGTCTTTCGTATTCACAGTCCAGGAAAACTTCGAGGAACTGCTATCGTTTGCATTTGAGCGCAATCGCGCCACGCCGAAAATGTGCACCGAGACGGCACTGTGTACCTTCTACCCTGAGAAGTTTGGACCTTCAACCACTGAATTGGTGCCTGAAGCGTCCCAGCTGCTTCTGGCAGTCGCCGTTTCTGCTTATGCCGACAGCGTTACGGAAGCGAAGACCATGCTTAGTGCGTGGGATAACCTGCCGGAGCAGCTAAAGCCTTATTTGGTTGAGACCAAGCCAGTGGCAGAGGCCAGTTGGGAGGCATTTTTCCAAGATCAAGAACATTGGAACCCAGAGAATTCGGACCAAAAATGGGGTATCAACAGTATTCTAAATGATCCATCGGTCCCAGAGTCCAAGGTGAGAATGAGAACCTGTTGTTGTATCGAGAGAAAGTTGCTAACCATACCGTCTGTCAGCTCATCAAGGCAATTAAACCAGCCCTGTGCAATCTACCGACCCTGTCTTCATATGGATGCCTGTATATGAGCGACACTGTCACGCCCGATGAAGACGACGCCGTCTTCAGTTTGCCACAGCAATATTATATTTCCACCTTTAGTGGTTGGAAGGATCCTTCCCTTCGCCCACTGATTCAAACTACCATGAGAGACTCATATCGACAGGCTGAGACTGTCGCATGTGGAATGTACGTTGCTGACTTTGATCAATCCAGTCAGTCTTTGCACTCTCCGGAGGTATGTTTCCATCAAACATGGTACTATAACATCCATTGACAAGTGGCATGCAGATAAAGGTGTGGACGGACACGGCACGCGCACGATTCCTAGCTATTCGTAGGAAGTGGGACCCTGATGGACTATTCCCTGGCTACAAGGCATTCACAGTGGGAGTGAAGAATGACGTGTCACTATAGTAGTGGGTGGAGGCGACTGCAGCGCACGCTTGATCCGTGTCTGACCAACTGGGGCAGTTCGGTCGGGAAGTACAATGTTCCTCTTGGATGTCGAACTTTTGGGTGCCCCTGACGAAGATAGCGAGTCAGACATATTTGCGGCAGTAATAGAGAGAAGTCCTCAGTAACAGAGAGAATGCGGCAATAATAGAGAGAATGCTAGAAGTTGGCCTCTCGAGGAGGGGAGACGTCTCTCTTATATATTGTTGCTCGGGATAAGGTTCCTCTCTCAAGGTTGTTACCTGCAGACAGCAAGGTTGGTTGTTACCTGCGGACATTAAGGTTGGTACCCACAGACAGCAAGGCTACAGCAAGGTTGGTACCTGGTACAGACAGCAAGGTCGTTGACTGCAAATAGTAAGGTCGTTAAAGTCAGAAGGGCTGAAGTCATAGGAGGTGACAATTTGAACTTGAATGCGACGTCAATCCACTTGATTCCTGATTGTTGGGGCCGGATGTGTACATTCATGGCATACAACAGTGGCTGACGCTTTGCATTGAGGTAGTGGTCGGGCAGGCTTGGTACGTGAAGGAACAGAAACCAAGGATACTGGTTCTTCCAAGATACAATATAATATGTTCGAAATGCTTCAATATTAAGTTATGCATCTTGCGTATGATAATGCCAGATTTGGGCTACCTAATTGACAGTGACAGGTTGGCTAGGAATAGGGACATCTGCTTTTGCCACATCTACCGGCTCCTTATAATACTGCGTGAAATCATGCTGAATGGATTTAACGGACTGTGAGGTACACCACCAGGGTTAGCAGACGCCTTTTGATCGGAAATCGATGAAGGTTTGGAGGTGACGTACATTCTGGAGCTCGGCTGAATATTCTGGGTCGGTCTCAGCTCTCTTGACCATCTGAAAGAAGCCATCAAGTTCTAGAGCTCGCTCTGGATCAAGATCAAATAATCTCATAATATTTGAACTAGAGACAACGTCGATGATTTCTTGATACTTTTGTCTTCTAACAGCATTGTACGTATCGAGGATTGACGGGTCTGCTTTGTTCTGGTAGATGCCACGCAGACAGTCGTAGAGACCACCGACATCGACGATGCCACCAGTCAGACCGAGACCACCACTGCAGACATCAGGTTAGTTGAAGCACGGATTTTACTCGAACATGGCGAACTCACAAAGGGTTACAGAGGTGCGCAGCATCCGCGGCCAAGAGAAAACGACCCACGCGCATTGACTTGACCAGGCGCTGGTGAATCTTGTAAGGGCTGAAATTTACCAGCCGATACTCGCTTGGGTCGGGATGGCCTGGAAGCATTTCCCTAAACTTCTGGGGCTGTCTCTCTCGCAATTGTTCATTTGTCAAGCCAGTTGACTCTCCGTAGGTGACGCGCCAAAGCCCGTCATTTGAGATTTTGGCAGCCATGAACCAATGATCCGGATGAACAATGAAGTTGGAGTCGTTCCATCCGAACTTCTTAAAGTCATAATACGTCTAACGGACTGAGGTTAGTGATCCGATTCTGGGAATACTTTGAGGAGTAAGCATACGTTGGTGGCCACAATTTGCTTGTCCCAAGTTTTTCCAGGGAACTCCCAGTCGCCAAAGAGTGAACGCCGGATTTGACTATTTGCTCCATCACAACCGACAATGTAGTCGGCTCCTAGCTTCTTGGCGCCGCCGGGAGTTTCGACATGGACCCAGGCTTTGTTGTCATCTTGGTCGATGCCGACAACCTTGTGGTCGAAGAGTATCTTCACGTTCTGCTGCTTCAGAAGATGTTCTCTCAACAACTGCCCAAGTTGATCAAGTGGAAGACAGGTCATGCGATCCGGGTCTTCAGCAAGGGTTCCGGCATCTAGTGTGACTATTGCCGTGCCATCCAACTTGCGCCAACTGACTCCAGAGGGAACAAACCCTCGCGCACGCATGTCAGCACCAACACCGGCCCTGTTGAGCTCGAACATGGCTGGGGCAGCATAGTGAGTTGCTCGGGGGTTTTTATCCAAGTCGCTGCTCATGTCCAACAGGGTAACCGGAATTCCGCTTTGCGAGAGTAGAAGGGAAAGCAACAGCCCTGCTGGGCCGGCGCCAACAACAATCACCTAGGATCATGATCAGCCGCGCCCTTGATGAACATAAAGATATTGGTCTTACATCTTGGAAGCCAGTTGGCTGAGTTGCGGCCGTCATGATCGATAGAGAAGATTTTGAGTGAGAAACTGGATGTGGTACTAGTATCATAGGAGTTGTTTATGATGATCCTTTATTGGAAAGGATGTTAAATGCTTTGCAATGATAGCATTATACAGTAATTTTCCGCAACCAGTGAGCTAATCACAATGCGGGGAGGTCCCATTATGTCATAAACCGAAGTCACCCTTGGGTTTTCTTCGTACAAGCTCTGGATCAAGCTTGAGATGGAAGTGGAGTTGTAATATGGCGGGGCTTAGAGCTCGTTGGTACGCCATCGTCAGGCGTCGTGATTCTTGTGATGGAGGCTGACCCCACATTGCTTAAGAGATGAATTTACCCCACAGAATCAACATCTTCTCCCCACTACGCGATGGGATTGTGTATGATGGAAATTGATTACTCGGAACAAGTAAACCACGATATTGGGACAGCAAGAGTACCGGGGATCGCCCACTCGCATATTATCCCGACATACTCTGACGAGTGCAACTCTGCAATTGTCAACTCTTTTCACCAACACGCGAGACAACCATGGGACTCAAGACCGGGATTATTGGGCCAGCAGGCTTCGGTGGCTCATACTTGTGTATTGAACTAATTAATCGCGGCCATACAGTCCGCGGCATCTCTCGACGGCCGGAGAAACTGGGAACTCACGATGCCTACGCCCCGTATTCGATTGACATTGAGAATTGCTCCTTGGAGCAGCTCATCGATGCGTTCAAGAATCTCGATGTTCTTGTCAACGAGTACGGACCTCATACAGGCGGAGAGCACGCCCTTCAATATCGTACGAGCGCTCTATAATACTAGTCTTTTCTAGGATCCCACAATGCATTTACTAACAGTAGGCAGAACCGTTTCTGGAATTGACACGAAAAATAATTATCGCAGCCAAAGAGAGCAGAGTCAAGTACTTCATCATGGTTGGCGGGTGTGGGTCTTTAAATATGCCCGGTAGTCGACTTCAAACTTGCTCCGAGAGTCCAGCTTGGTGGCTCGCCTACCGCCGAGGCATCGCGGACAGCCACGCACATGTCGCATACATGGAAGAGAGGCTTGGTTCCATGGGCTCCTCGCTTCGTCAATATCGAGATGCGCGGGCTAAGCTTCGAGAAGGCAAGACAGACGACGACGCGCTCCGGATCATCGATGAGTATGAGCAAGCAGTGCTTAAGAATGACAAGGCCTTGACCTTTGTTACGGCATGCCGGACCAGCTTTATGTTTTTTAACGGAAACACCTCGTTCCCGTGGACATTTGTCTCGCCTCCCGCGCTCTATCGTTCTGGAAAACGAACTGGCAGCTACGAGACGATTTATGATGAACTTCCAGTAAAGCCACCGTCCGGTAACGAGGATGCGGAGAATTTGGATGGAAGGTTGCACGGGATCACAGCGGCAGACCTCGCAATTGCCATCGCCGATGAGGCTGAGAACCGAACGAAAGTTGGGAGACATTGGAGTGCGTATGCAGACATGTCTGATGACACGCCAATGCCTTCGTATGCCAGTTTGTTAGATATATGAGAAGTGACAAGAATGGTTCATTTTGGTTCGCTCCATTGTACTAGTGCCTTACCCTATCCTCCATGACGGCCCCGTCGGGAAGCCGTTGAAATTCCTCAAGAGGCATCCTTACAGACCGAGTCGTATGCATTTTATGTTCGAAAAGCCCGGTTACGATGATTTCATAACGCAAGTCGCAGCAATATCACCGGTTATTCAGTTGGAGGAATCCGTATGCCAACGCCGTTTCAGATCACTGTTCGTTAAAGACTGATTGTATGAAACATCCGATGTGCTGTTTGGTGTAAAGGACTGCCTTGTTGTTGAGATCGGAAGTGTAGATGCAGACCAGATTCGGGAATATGATGTTGCCGAGGGACCTAAATTTATGGCATAAGAGTTAATAAGGAAGCTAAAATTATGACCTAAGAGTTAAGGAAGAAGCTAAAGAACTAGGAGGAAAGAATGCAACAAAGGCAATTCGGAAAATTGGTAAAGATATGAAGCTCTGGGAAGCACTACCTGTTCCAGATATTGATTGAGATACGGTGGATTGACCAGGTGTTTGCGTATTGTATCAATATCGTTCTAGTAAGTCACCCAATGTTTGTGAATCACATGGCATCATTTATCACAATCTACATCTTTGCTCTCTTACTCCCTTCATTCTAGGAGCCTGCGGCTGTGAGAAATTAAAGCTGTAGGTGTCTCGTGTTTTTCTGGAGCGTGGTATTCCGTACCACCCAAACTGTGTTCTCGGATGGCAACAATCTTCAAAATTTATCAACCAATGTGCAAAAACCTACCGTGATGTTTGGTAAATTCCTCGAGGTGCTGACTGCACTTCCAGGGTCTGGGTCGTTCTTGCGAGGTCTACAGCAATCGCCAGGTATCCAAGTTTGTCTGCCATTTGCTTTTATCTTGCCACGATACCCTCTCAGACTGCGCGAGGTCTCTGACCGACAGAATGGAAGAGCAGTGTTATTGACTCTTGCGACATGTCCCTGGCTTGTACTGCTCGCAACCCCGCGGGATGAACATCGGACTAAGATCATCCCGACTCGTGATGAGCACGCTCTCGTGTTTATCTCTTTGCATGATCTTCTGACTTCCGTTGCCGAGGTCGTCCACATTATCGACAATAACTAGCCACTCGACATTAGCTTCGAACATGGACCCTAAGTTCGTGCCGGAGGAAAAGCCGGGTTCCGGACCCAGGTGACCGGGATGGTGACATTCAAGATTGCTCACTAATAAAAGAGCCGGACCAATATCCCAACACAGCTAATGCTTATGCTCAATTGTGGATACGCAAGACTCAGCGGATCGATATCGCGCCGTACCGTCGGTATTTTCTTTCCACTCAAACCACCCTGGCACAGACAATCTGCCAAATAACGACAATACTGCCTGAGGTCAAAATCAACGGCGAATTGGTGTATTCTTCAAGAAAGTTAAGTCAACACCAGCTTTAAGAATATCGCGAAATTTATGGTATTACTCTTTATTATTATTGTATTGCTTGATGTATCTGAGGGTATTGTAGGGAGTTCCATTGACAACATTGAAGGAAACGTAGAAAGCCAACTGCAAGTCCCGAAATAGGAGATTTCTGCTTCATCTCTTCAAAATTTCACTTGACCGAGTCTATACCTTCGGAGCCTCGACTACTTATTGAGCCTTCTCCGGTTTGTCTAGAAGCCCCCGCGGAGCTGGCATAGGCACCCTGGATCTGTACAGAGTAGGGTGCTTGATCTAAAAGCATGTCGGTGTCGTTGTGATTAAACCCGAGCTGTGCCTTCGTACCTGGATTAGCCTTTGCCTCCATTGTGTGCATTTCCACAGTCGTGGTGACGGTTGGCCAAGCCTTCGATCTGGTATGTTCGTCCTGAGTTTTATTCGCCAAGGTTGTATCTCCTCCCGCTCTTGTCCCGCGGGATCTGGAGGTCGTATTGTTGTAGTCGGATCCGTGGGCATGTCCAGATTGCCGAGCAATCTTGGCGATAAGACTAGCCATGGACATTTCAATGTTGAGTTTGACGATGTAAGCAAGCGGGTGGAACTGCATGTATCTAGACGGGACATGGCTGTTAGAACCTTCCATCTGCTGGGAGACACGGGTACATACACAAAGGTGTTTTTCAGGCTCATCATGGAGACAATGAGGACATCCATGCTCAGAGAGAATACAATGATAAACATATTGAACTTGACGAGATTGTCGTATTTGCTGAGTCCCAGTTCGACCAAATTTTGTTTGACGGTGCGAATAAAAAGGAGGTTGAGAAAGGCGTCAACGAGGAGGTAAATGACCTTTTCACAACGGTCCCAAACCTCGTTGATGTGAATATATCTTTCTGAAATCTGCAACCGAGCAGGGACCCAGATGCAGTAGACGGAAATGTTAATGGCGGTAATGAATGCGGCAACACCGTACTTGAGTCGCCATACATAAGTTCGGTCGTGGAGAAGGATCGCACATCGATTGACGATAATCTGGAGGAGGAACTGAACCTGGAGCGCCCACAGGGTCACTGAACCGGACAGCAGGAGTTAGTCTGAGATAACACGGTATGTCAGGGGGCTTCTGAATAACTATACTTACGGATGCAAAAGTAGAAGGCGAAGCTGCATGCAATATCAGTACAGTGCCCTTTGGAGTTGGGAACGCAGGATCATCTGCCGAAACTTACCTGGGCGCTATCACTCCTAGAATGTACATGAAGCAGATGATGCCGAACCCAAGACACACAGAAATCTCGCCCCAAATCATCCAGATGTAGGGGTTGCGCATCATAGACCCGAGCCCACGACGGCGGTAGGCACTGGCCGTCTGCTGAATGGCCGACCATGTCGTCAGCCAGCCGATGCCGAGGGTGAACCCCCAGGCAAGAGACGCAATGATCAGGTCATTTGATGTTACTTCTTCGAGGACGAAGCGGTCGGGAATGAGAGTGAGCATCGTACTGGTAACCGCGGGATAGTGGCCACAAGGACGGAGAACGAATCGTCCCTCGTGCTGACCTAGGCGGATGAGCAAAAAGCAAAGATGGCACAAATGCCGTCGATTAAAGAGCCAGGGGTGACCAAAGACGCAGATGCAGAGCAGTCGACGACATTAATAAAAGTCGGTCGTTCATGTCCCGAGGTGCACGAATCTCCCGAATCTCCCGAGCGCGCTGCTAAGACCAACAAATGGACTGACCAAAGCAGTGCGAAAGCGAAACTAAACTCTAATATAAGCCGCTAGACTCGACGGTTCATTCCCCTCAATTTAGGGGATTGTCCGCAGCCTGCGAGACGATAGCCAAGCCGACTGCCAAGAGACACGAGCGGGAGCTGTGGTGTATCTGACTCGCGTGGTGCGAACCCTATCATCGGGCTATCTGTGCCTAGTTGGCGGCTCGTATCCGCGGGCCTAGCATGTGTCATACAGGCCGGCCCTGTTCAACAGAGCAAGTTAGGCGGTGCCACAAGCTGGGGATTCAAGTCGGGAGCCGGCAACCTCTAGACTCGGTGAGGAGAGGGTCTCCAGCGTCCCCAGCGGCGGGATCGGCATGATCCTCATTTCCCCAGCCCGGATGTTTTGCCCAGTGCAGATAGGTGCCAGGCGCTGACATTAAATGTGTCGTGCGTGCCTCGAATTGAAGCCATGCCCAAGGCTGTCGCCCAAAGCCCGTCGGCCAGATATGTTGCCGAGAGATGGCGCCGAGAGATCGACACCCACTAGAGGGCATAGAGTTCGCCGACGAGCCGTTTCAGGCGTGGGCAATGTCAAGGCGCGACTCTGATGTGCGACTCTGCGGCAATTGTGGAAGAGGCTTTGTGGGAGAGGCTTTTGTAGAAGCCAACTGGCAGCTTCTTTTCTGCAGGCTAATTGGGAGGCGGTGTGTCATTACTTTATCTCAAGCATCTAATCAATTAAAGATCTGGAGTTGAAGAACTGTCAGTCGTCACTCGCGCGGTGCATTTCGTGCTGCTTCTCCACACTCGAGACCCCTTGATGCCAGTCTGTCATCGGCAATCGACGATAGCGATGCTGCCTGAATCTTGCGTCGGGGATCCTGCTGCAGTCTTTTGCAGGCCCAGTTGCAGATCCAAAAAGATCTGCACATGGTCGAGAGTTCGTTCAGTCTAGGGATCTGCCGGCATCTTAATTTGGGACATCCGGCTTAGCTCGCGCCTGGTTCACGCCTCGCTCAAGCCTCGCGCTGGCTAGCTCAGGGGGGTTGTACGAGAGCCGAAACCGCACGGCCATTCTCCATGACACGGTCCTCCTGGTCTAGACCTTTTGTGCACCAGACTGCATATCCATGCCGAGAAGGGGATGCAAACACGGTCAAGGAGGGTCAGCCAAGGTGACTAGAGCGGCTAGGCGCTGGACACGACGCAGCTACGCGCGTTAGTGCAGGTTCAGACAGCCTCGTTCTCAAATAGCCTCTGCACATATTCCATGGCTTGTGCCGTCCCGGAGGAAGCGGTTTCTGAAGGAACATGGCGTAAGCTGGCTGATTTGTCTAGGACCTCTGTCAGCCATACGAAGCGAGTCTCTGCAGGGTGATTACGCATGTCACTCACGCGCACATCGCTAACTGCGGAGATCGCCGTTAAGCCATTACCGACGGCGGCAATCAAGCGAGTCAATACTCCGTGTAGGATCTAGGAGTCGACCTCCTCATTGTGTGACGTGTGTGACGCCGCCTTACGAGTCGTCGCGTCTACTCGCCGGGATCGTCTGTCTCGCATAAACTGCAGATCCTGGAGCAGCCTCGATGACATCAACGACGTCGAATCCGCCACTCTGGGAAACAAATCCGTCCCAAACAAGTTGCCACCCGCCAAGAGAGTCTTAGACCACTAGAGAATAGGACATCTACAGCCCCATTGTTTCACCCGCTAAACCACCACTAGGCAGAGCCGGCACCATGCCGGCACCATACCGGCAGGCCGGCGGAGGAGTCCGATGGAGCAAACCTCGCGGAGACCGTCCAAGAAAACGGCATAGCTAAGCCAGTTCCCGGGTTCCCCTAACCTGCCAAACGGCTTGAGGATACCACCGCTCACCTAGTCCAACCTGCCACGTAGTATTAACTAGCCGGCATTCACCGCGGCCCAGCATTCGAAAGACTAGCCGTCAGGGGTAAACATAAGCCCTGCCGAAAGTGGCTGCCATCACCACCACCTCCGTAATGCTGAAGGTAGACTAAGTATGTCTCGGGCTGCTTTTAGTAGCAATGCCGCAGATAGAATCCGATTTGAGCGAATGGAAAGGAGCCTGGTTCTCCTTTCGTACAGCCAGCAAAGTGATTGGTTTAGAATGCTGTCATTCACACCGTGTAGTAGTCTGACCTGACTCGGGTTGCGAGTCATACAATAATTGAGGAGGGCACGTGAAAGAGAAAAAGGTGGAAATGATCAACGCCGATAAAACATCAGTCGTGTTTTAAATACAAATCCATTATTTATCGCGTCATTTCCCAAGCAACTCATGGTTCATAGCGCAGAGAGGCTCATGCGGCTGTGGAAGCAATACTCAGCCGCGCCAGCACCGCAGTCTAGGGTAGCAGCAAAGGGGAATTGAGGCAGCACCACAGAGGATATTTCCCAGGTCTCTAATATTCGCTTTATTCTGCATTTGTTCTTCTTGTAAAACTAGAAATTAGTCACTCGTTAGAGATAGGTGTCTCGGGTGTTGTAGGCTAGCTCTACGGATAGGGCTGAATAGTGAGGAAGCAAGGGGGAACCTGCACACGATTTGCGCGGAGCAAGTCCCGTGCTTCCACTCGATCCACGACGATCACTTGAGACTGACGGACCCTATCATGAGTAGTAACAATTTTTAGACCTGTGCTTTTGGATATTTTAATTAGTTTCTCCACTGTCAGCATCTGAGACATTCCTACCATCTAGCTGATAACTAGGCCTATGAAGTCTACGCGAGCCTTGGCCAAAGATATAGGCCCACGTCCCTGAGTAAAAGCCGGAGCCGATGCCTTTCTTATCAGAGACGGGAATGCTGTCAGTGATGCGTCGAAGATGCTCAAGTCGATCTCGATCATAGAATTGGCAATTAGCAACGCCCTTCAACCTTCCTAGACTGTTGCTTCGAGGGCTGTTTGGGCGATATTTGCGCTGGCGAGACATCCCTTGCTTGACATTTGGGTTCCTTCGATGGCGCATTTAAGTCGGACGATAGGGGCAACGGAGCTCCTGTACGAATGTCAGTCATGTGCGCGTAACTATCTCCGGGACGGCTTGTTTACACTGCGTCTAGTCGGAGAAAAACAAGGATTGAAACCTTCAGTATGAGGCGTAACTGGGTTGGCCAGCATGTGAATTGGCAAGCCCTATAACATGGCATCAGAAAAGACGTGGGTGTATAGGTCGTGAAGATGTCTGCACCGCATCGAACCAACTCGCAGTCATGTCCATGGCTGAAAGCGCAATACGTGGGTTCCACATGACGGACGTAGAAAGGCATGTGCCTGTGCCGACACCCAAAGCCACCGACAGCGGACGACACTGCAAGGCAAATACCAGAGCCATAACCAAGATCCATATGCAGATAATTACCATCGAAACCACTAGAGTCAGTCATACAGATCGCATGCCGTATTTATCGGCGACTCGGAGAAGGACCAATGCTGCACCGAGCTTCGAGATACCAGTGGTAAGGATGTATACGATCTGGGCGACGGTGAAGAACTGCACATGAATACGTTAACACAAGTAAATGTGACGAGACGCGGCCTCAAAACAAAGTACCCTGACCATGGCAGCCTTGATGGGATCAAACCCCTCTTCTGATGGCGTCGCCCCGATGCCGTAGTCAATGGACTGAAGCTCTATGACACAGAAGATAGTAAACCCAATATGCCCGCACATCAGACCTGGAGTTTAAGCATCATAGAGTCAGGTGGATCACTCACGGGGGGATCTGTCATTGTAACACCGTTATCAACAACCGCCTTTTTGGAGCCACGAGCCCATAATCTCAGATTGACGGCAATGCCGTCAGGCATGAGAAACATGATAATTGTTTATCGGATGGATGATGAAATCAAAAAGACAAGTAAGCGGCGCCAATTTTGAAGTTGTACCAGACACAGACCACTTGGACTACTTCTGTTAATGCCTAGGGGGACTTTTCGCAAACCTAATTGGGATACATAACTAGCACCACGGGTGTCAAGTATGGACCCTTTCGAGTGGCTTTCGACCCGTGACGACCCAGTAAGCTCAAGGATTGGTTACCCGATGTTGAAAGCGGCCATGTGTAAGAAAGAATCCTCTTTAAACTTTACAACAAATAAGGTGGCATGTAATGCAATACCACGAAGATGACGACGTCTGGGCGGTTCAACCTACGTATATCTGCCTCAAGGGAGACTTCAGCGCAGCCATGCTGGCGTTGGAGGGGTGCCATGAGATCGTAATAGCCGTGTACAGGCGCGAGACCAACTTCTTCTACCTCGTGGCGCCCAAGCCTACCGAATGTCTTCCACCCAGGTGCGGTGGGCCGGCTAGGAAAGATAGCAGGCTATTCTGGCCATGGATGACCTGAACCACGAAGTCTTCACGTTTGGAAACCCCGTCGAGACTCGGCCAGTTGAGCGTGTCATGACTGGCGTCGAACAAATCGCCGCTCTGCATGCTGGGATCTGGGGTATGTCTATGGCTGACCACTCGTGGCTCACGCCTGCGTAAGAGCGTGCCATGATTGGCCTCATATTGATGTGGGATGCCAAGCCCTCGGGGAGGGTCGCCCGCCGTGCCTTGATATTATCAAGCAGAGCCGCGAGCGCACGGTAGCGGCTATGAGGAAGCACTGCGTCACCAAGAACCCCAGATTCATCTCTGCTGCATGGTGACCGTGAAACTGGTAACACATACATCGACGAAGTCGGCAATCCGCGCTTCCTCGACTGGCAGACACTGCACATTGGCTCGGCCTTCCACGGCTTCGCCTACTTCATCGTCGGCGCTTTGTCCATCGAAGACCGAAGAGCTTGTCGAGCCTCCCCCAGATGCCGAGGAGACACAGTAGAGGATGCCTATTTCTAAGCAGAGAATTAGAGTAGGAAATAGATGTTTGACGCTGCCTATTGTTCTGTGCCTCTCTAGTGTGTAAGGAATTGAAGCTCATGGCCCGCTCACGACCGTGGCCGACGGCAACCGAGACGCCTACAGCCCCTAATTCGCTTGCCATATTAGCTAGGTACCTGAAGGAATCATCAATACGACGTGCACAGAATTTGACTTCTCAACATTTTTTTGAACGGAACGGGCCGTCTAACTTACGCTCCGAGACCCCATCCGTTCTCGGTCAATTTGTGTTACCTTAAGTCATAGCGCCGTCAGCCATTGCTTCATCACCTGGTCAGCATCACCTGGCCTGCATCAGCGAGTCTGGTCTTGTGACAAAACAGCGGTCAGAATAGCATATGTATTAAACCGATGATAAAACGTGATTCCCAGACATCAGGGCCCTTCCGAGACACCGAGGGGTAGTCTTATTTCCATTGGCGGTTAATCAGTCACGCGGGAATGATGTCAAAGTGAAGTATTGGCATTGCATATTGAAGTATGCGCACTGCAACATACGGCGTGTCTAACCACCCAGTCACGGGTTTCTCTTACGAAACAATTAGTTTCTTCAAAATTCCATCTCAAAACATCGTCCATTCCTTAGGGAAATCACCAGCTTAATAGTGGGGAGTAGGCCAGTGCAAAGGAGCGTCGCATCATTAGCAGGTCTGCCCCGGATTGCCAAGCCCTCCACTGCGCCCATCACCAACGTGGTGAGCTACACTCCAAACCTGCTGCTCTTTCTTCTGTATTTGAGGAATTGCTTTGGAAGCAATCACTTTGTTCAAGTACGCGCAGACCCTTCGGCACTTGCGGAACCTGGCTCCGGCAATGGCCCACATGTGGGACGCTAAAAGATTTTCTCCTCTGGTGACTTCGTTGAATTCTCACTTTTTACGTATTCTCTTATTCATCACTGGCACCTCGTCCCCGCACCATCTCTGCCCGCATAAGCTAGCAACTGCGCGGGGGAAATCGGAGGCATCGAGATTGAGTGAAGGAGAGAAACCTGGGGTATGCTCGGGATATCCATGCAGGTCGGGTGGTTATTAGCTAACGCAAAAGCCGGCGAGCGGAGCCCCGCAAACTCGACACCAGTCGTCGTGGAGATGGCGTCAATACCAGCCAATAACCTCGACAGCGTCTCACTGTCTGCGTGACTAATGAGGAGACATGGCGTGCCGTTACTGCAGTTGTTGATTGATCCGTTGGGGCAGAAGCCTCCTCACCCCCGTCGGCAATTAGATAACTATTACCTAAATGCCGTTTCTGAGCGGAAGGGGATACTCGAGAGCGTTGTAATAATAGAGGTGCCAGAGCGTATAATAATGAGAACTGTGCGCAGGTTGAAATGAAACCTTCCTGTATTGAGCAAGCAGCATTCTAAGGCAATCGCAAACATGAGTTCCAAGCACAACGACGAATACATTTCGACTCCGGTCTCAACCCCGGTCTCGACTCCGACTCTGACCAGCTCTGGCCTACGCCACCAGATTGGTAACCCTGTAGGACACCCATTTCCATGACCGAGAGGACTACTGCTTACCAGATGCCAAAGTCGCCTTTAGCTATGGGAGGATTCGCCACTACCCTGCTGACCTTGTCATTGGCAATGATGGGGTTCCGAGGGGTGGAAACACAGACAGTCTTTATTGCCAACTTATGTTTCGCCGCCGGCATTGGCATGTTGATCTCTGCTCAATGGGAGATGGTCCGGGGTAACACGTTTGGCTATACATCCTTGAGCGCCTTTGGTTCGTTTTCCTCAATACGTCTCTGACACCAACGTTGGGTCATTGGCTATATCCACGATCGGACGCAAGACTGATTCAACTTGACAGCGTTGTTTTACGGCGGATACGGTGTGATCCTAGCCCCGTCACTAGGTGTCATGGACTCGTATGGCGGGGCAACCGCTGAATATCACAACGCACTCGGATTTTTCGTGCTTAGTGAGTCTTCCCCATCAACACCAGCAAGGAGCTTGATCTAACTGACAACCTGAAGTCTGGGCGGTTTTGGACATTTTCTTCATGATTGCATCGTTGCCAATGTAAGTGATACTCACCTGTATGCTCATGGTTGGCCTGTTACTAATTCATCAACAGCAATTTGGTCTCCTTCCTCATCTTCACCACTATTGAGCTCTGTTTCAGCCTCGATGCTGCATCCAACTTTGCCCTTGCAGATGGAAAGGTGGAGACTGCCAAGGCTTTAATGAAAGCCGCGGGCGCTTTTGGATTTATTTCCGGCTTGTTGGGCTATTATAGCTGTGCCGCATCCATGTGCCAGGATGCCCTCCCATTCTCCCTCCCAGTGGGAGACACGTCCCATATTTTCCGCCTGCATCGAAAGAACTTGTAAGGGATGTACCCTTTCACTGATATTGTATCATTCAATTCTGGGATAGCAAACGGGAACTGGACTTGAATCTCTAAGCTCTGGTATGAAATATGCGACGTTAAGATGGTTAACCACGCACAGAGGTGTTCAAAATTGTCTATTCTATCAAGAACAAAAGTTTATTGTTGTCTGTCTATCAGGCTTTCTCCGACTGCCTTACCCGAGATACACCTGCAATGATTAAGCAGATTGTAGAGGATAATATAAAAATAATAGATGTCCAGTGGAAGCTTGATACCTAGGCACCAGACCTTCCGGCGTAGGGACCGTAGAATCGAGAGATATTTTTGAAGGGATGCGGGGTCGCCACAAGAACAAGAATCTATCAGTGCCAAGTAAATCTACCACTGAGTCAAACCTGATCGTCTTCTCTATTGGTTGCATTGATAACGTTACGGATCGGCGAGAGGGGCTTGACCTGAGCTGGTCTGACAAATCCATTTGCCAAGAGTCCGCAACTCCGCTGCAAACCCCGCTGCAAACCTGGATATCTCACCCCATTGTTCATCCATCTATTATCTAGAACTACCTACGAGAAGCATTATTAAAAATCCATCAACTGCTCTTGAACACCGTGTATGACAAATTTGAACTTTACGCTTCGTTATCTCATTCCTAAGCCGCAATCATGGCAATTCCGGACACCTACTCAGCCTTCAGACGCTCTACTGGCGACTTCCCAAGGACCATCGAATTATCATCCGAGACACTCCCAAAGGATCTCGGCTTGAAAGACGTCTTACTCAAGATCCACGCTGTCTCTCTGAACTATCGCGATGTGGCAATGTTGCAGGAAGGCAAGTACCCTGCGGCCGCTATTGAATCCGGTATCCCTGCCTCGGACGCCGCCGGCGAGGTAGTCGCTATCGGTAAGGATGTCAATGACTTCAAGGTCGGGGACCGCGTTTCGCCAATCTTCGATGTCGGTAACATTACTGGGCATGAAGATACCCCTCCAACAGGCCTTGGTGGAGACTTCCATGGCGTTTTACGTGAGTATGGCGTGTTTGAGGAGCGGCACTTGGTGAAGCTGCCGCAGCATTTGTCATGGGAAGAGGTAAGTCAGAGCTCCAGAGCTAATTCTGATGCATGTTAAAGTCTCGGTTGTGCTAAAGAAGTTTCACTGATCTGCAGGCATCCCTCCTTTCTTGTGCTGGAGTCACAGCATGGACAGCTCTTCGTGGGCTCCCTGAAGGGACTAGAGCCGCTTTCTTCCAAGGTAAGCAAGGTCCTGCGTGCTTGATGGCCGATATGACTCCGAGCAATTGTTAAGCTAGATTTTGACGTTGGTACAGGTACCGGGGGTGTCAGTATGTTCGGGATGCAACTTTGCCTCGCTGCAGGCATCCAACCGATCATAACATCCTCCGACGACAAAAAGATCCAGTATATCGAATCACTCAGCCCCAAAGTCCGCGGCATAAACTACAAGACTCACCCCGACCAGTCCGCCGAAGTCCTGCGTTTAACGGACGGCAAGGGTGTCGATTTCGTCGTCAATAACACCGGCGTAGGGTCCATCCCGACGGACATTGGACTTTTGCGCAAGAGAGGTGGCACTGTTTCACTCGTGGGTTTCTTGGACGGATTTCAGGCTGACTGGAGCCCGGATGCCCTTTTTCTTTTAATGAGCAAAACTGCTCAACTGAGGTCAGTCATCGCCCCACGGAATCCCTCGGTCTCAAATGGCCATGTTACTCATATCCAGAGTTTAGGGGCATCGGAGTTGGTTCGAGAGAGGATTTTGTGCGTTTAAATCAGTTCTTGGAGCAGAAAAAGGTTTCTCTTACTCCGATTATTAGTCGCGTATTCCCATTCCAGGAGTCAAAGGCTGCCTTTGACTACTTATCCTCAGGGAAACACATCGGCAAGGTTGTCATTAAAATGTAAGATGGGGTGTGTATGATGGGCTACAGGAAATGAACATGCTTTTCCCGGTCGGCCTCTCCTCTGTTGAAGAATAAGCTGGTGACAGGGTATTCTTCATCTGTAAATGACTGAGAGACCGCGCCCGTAATCCATATTAAACTCTGAGACAAAGCTGATGGTGTGATAATGTGGGATGGTTGCATAGACCAGGAACCAAAAAATCTGCATTCACTGTAAACCAACTAGAAGCATCGTCATTTCGTCCTCCTCATTCAAATGCTAGCCTACACCATAGAAAAATCGCCCTTCAGAAGACTAGCATCACTCCCCTTCTCCCACGGATGCTCAATCTCGACAGATCTGATCAACTCCACATGCCTCGCACTCCTCGGCTTTATGCTGTAAGGGAAGTCGAGCGGACGGCTAATCAGACCAGGCGTCGCCTCCATCTTAGGATCAATTTTATTGCCTAAATTGTCAACAGCCTTTTCAATATCAAATGCGGCCAAGAGACGTGAGATGGTAATGAAGAGGCTATCGTCCGCTAGGAACCGGCCTGGGCATATTCTTCGGCCGTATCCGAAAGAGTCATTCGCAGGGTCTGGCTCATTTCGAGGTTCCAGGTACCTATCAGGGTCAAAGGAAGACGGATCTGAATAGGTCTGCGGGTCATGCAAAAACCACCATATTGCCGGCATCAGGATGGCTCCCTTTGGAATGCGAAACTCCCCGTAGTTGATCTCCTCATCAGTCGCATGTGCTGCACCCAACGGCGCAACCGGGAGCCACCGGAGCGTTTCCTTCACCAGAGCACTTACATACGGCAAACTGTCTCGATCTTCAAATTGAGGCAGCCTGTCGACACCGACAACGTTATCAATCTCTTCTTGTGCCTTCTTCTGAACCTCGGGGAAAAGTATCATGGCCAAGATGAAGCTACTGATGGATGACACAGTAGTATCGGCACCTCCAGCGTACATGATCGCGGCCGTTCTCTTGATGGCATTCTCGCTGTTCTCGTCCAGTTTTTTGTTTTCACCATTGTCGTTAGTATGCTGTGCGACAAGCGAAGAGACATATGATGCTCGGTGGGTTCCATTTGCCATTTGCTGCCGAACAAACGCATAGGGAATTTCGATAACCATATGAGTGATCTCGTTGCATTTGCGGGCTATCTTTCGGAACGACATTCCTGGAAGACCTTCCGGGAGATACTCGAGTATTGGTAGAGTGTCAACCAGCCAGGATAGAGGGACAAACGCAAGAGATACATCATGCATCATGCGCTCAATCAAAAGGACTAGAGGATCGGCCGTGTGCGGAGCGATGGAATAGCCGTATATTATTCGTAGAATGATAGCGCTCGCCTCACTGTAAGGAGATTAGAATGTCAGGTTCGTTGCAGCGATTTTGAGCAAGACCAACTTACGTCTTTATGTGTTCCATCAAGCTGATAGGGCTATCCAGAACTCGCAGGAGAAATCGACGTGATTCTACGTCTTGAATGTCGTGAAACCGCGACGCCACGGCCTTTGTACCCAGTTGCCGGTGAACCAACTTGCGATGCAGCCGATGCGTGGCGTTGTATTGCTGGAAGCTCAGAAGCACTCCGTAACCACATAGTTTACTGGCGAAGTGCAGTTGTGGTCGCCCTGAGGTTTTCGTCGAGTTTTTCTCAAAAAGATCGTGTGCCGCATCACGGTCGTGAATGATAATCATAGTTTGTCCGAATAGGGTGACGCAACTGATAGGGCCATAGGTGTCTTTGAACTTGAGCCAATGCTGGTATTCTGGTGCTCCTACGGGTGGCATATCTCTGATATTACCAACGATAGGGAGTGGCTTCGGCCCAGGCGGCAGATTGGGACTGGCCTTTTTCCAGAAATAATGGAAAAATAGGGAAACTCCCAGGAGAGCAAAGGTGATTTGCAGCATTGTTCAACTTGTGTTGTTGGAAAGATAGAATAAGATAGATGTTGTGTTTCAAGGTTCGTAGATCTTCAATAGTGTGCTAGATTAACTTTCAAGGTAGCGGAGAAGGGGGAAAGATATGGGAGTATATAATTCAACCAGGGACCTATTCCTCCAAGATAAAGCAGCAATACTTTATGGCTATTATCGGATGGCCGTATGGAAAAACAGGTTTCCGTCACATTACTCACGTATTAGCCAATTGAAAACTAGGCCAACTCACAGCCGCTTCCCCCGCTCCCCGCCCTCCCTTGCATCGCAAGACTATGCAAGATGATCACACCGTAGGCGGGCAAGTCACTGAGACGATTGGCCCTCAGTATACTTCATGTAGGTAATTCTTCTTACAGGTAGTGGGGTAGTATCCTAGATTATAGGTCGCCATTCAGGGTAATTGATTACCAACTTGATCACGAGTCACATGCCAGTGTCTCCAGTATTGAAATGTAACATGTACAGTTACAGGTGTACGAAGAGCAAGAAATTGAGGCCAGCTCGTAACGGCCCGCTCTGCATTAGCGTGAGATTTTGCATCGTCGAGGGATTTGAGGGCCTAGTCATCATTGGGCTTATCTCTTGGAGCTTGACAGCAGAACACAAATCACATCCAGCATGCTAAGGAAAGATCAAATGGATATCATGGTACTGGCAAAGGCAAAAATAAAAACATCGTGTCTCGCCTCCTTTTCCCACGTTAGTTTCTCCCCGCTTTGGATAGACAGTTAAATCCTGAAGCCTGTCCAGTTCGACCTGATAGGAAAATTTAGAGATGACTAGAGTGAAGATGCGAAAGGGGGGAGGGGAGAGGGGAAAGGGCAAACAACCTCTTAGCCAATCAACCCACAAACATTGAAATTGAGACAAGCAAGCCACTATGCACAGCTAGAATTGACCAACCCTCCTTCTGGCGTCTTGCAGGCAGCGTGTGATCTTCTACACTATCATGAGACCATTTGTGCAGTAACTTGCAGGGACAGTGGAGGGCGATCCGATCGGACATCATTGGCCGTGGTATCTTGCCTCGATTTATGGTGATATTGAACTTTGAGGCATTAAATTGCAGTAGGGCTCTAGAAAATCCGTGCAGAGCGAGCCGGTTTGCGCAGTACATGATTCAAGCTGGCACCCTTTAGAGTGTCAGCTGAGCGAATGTGCTCCAGCTCAATTTCCCGGAGGTAGGCTTCGGCCTCTCTCTAGGACTGGAAGCCATCAATTGGAAGCCAGAACTCATTGTCAGGCCGCTATCTCATTATCGGGCTGTTATGCCTCTTGTCAGACCGCCGTTCCTCAACATGAGACCGCTATCATCTCTGCTGGGGTCATATGCATGCACGGAACCCATCCTCGTGATGATCCACATCCCCCGCGAGCATCTTGCCTAAATCAGTCATGACTACGAGAATATCGCTGACTTGGTTGCACCATCTTCCAACAAACGTACACGCCATTTCGAATAGAAAGCCTTATCAGACCACGAGCGATCGGCGTTAAACCTGCTGAAATTGGCAATAAAGTGCCACGTTACTTAGAGGCCGCATCATGGATGATCTGGGCCTTGTGTCAAGAAAAAGAAAAAAAGCCGCCTACAGCTGATCTCACTGTCATAGCACAGGTGTCGAGTAGATATTCTTACGAGTTGAAGGCGCCATGCCCCTCTTGCATCAAGAGGAGACCTGCCAAGGTAGAAATACCTCTTGGCTTAGGCCATTAGCGTGACCAAAAGTTCCCGGCATCTGGTCTGCCGACCAATGTATCTCCTTGTTCATGTGTCCCTAGGCCGAAGCTTCAGCTCGTTTTAGAGGGATTCCGTGACAATATCAGAGGCAGCTCCAATGCCCACATGGCGCGACCCAATCCATTGTTAGGTCAGTGGGTAGTCCCATCCATGGCCACCAATATGGGAATGCACTCAACACCACCTTACGCCGATTTTCAGCTTGTCCCGGTGCCGCACGCAGAACAAGGGAAAGTCGGAAAACTAATCTAACTTCTGTCTGCTCCCTCAAGGTGAGCAAGTTGCCGGCACAAGATAAAAAAAAACACAGTTTTATCCACAATTCAAGCATTTGTTACCCAATGCTGCCACGATGACCAAATATCAAGCTTTTTAGCTTGGAAAAGTTAAACCTGTATGAACATATAAGCTGTAGTCGGCTCAAGAAGCTGAGCCCTGATTCAAAGTCGGAAAACGGAATCCCGGGGCAAACTCCGTGTTCTTTAAGGACCCATGATGGCTTCATAAGATCTTGACTAACATGACACGTTCAATCGAGATTCTTCACCAGCCAAAATGAAGACAAGACCACCGACTTGGCGAGTCGACTCGGAGAAGCAGAGTTAGGTTTCTTGGACTTGGGTCTTCCTGCAAACTTCCTCGTTCTCACTCCAACCTCCGAGGATCTCATCTCAGATTTCTTGGGGGACAATAAACCCACTTTGCAATGGAATTCGACCACCGATGAGATGGAACGTGCCTCCTCTAAATGTGCCAACAACAATAAACTCGATGAAGGCATCCCACAAACCAGAACAGCATTGAACAATCACTTTAGACGATGCCGTCGCCAACACGGCGAGCTGAACGAACCGCTTTCCTCAGCATCTCATCCTCATCAACCACTCAAGCGACATTGAGCAAGCTACAACGCCACGGCCACTCTCCAGAGTAATCGCCGCCTAGGTGCGGCGCGCCCCCGTCAACTCTATCATCGAGGACGTCTCATTATGTACGTGCTGTCCCATTCCATTAGATGTAGAACCAAGCAGAGGTACGATAAAATGCCCGATTTCAGAAGACTCACCCATCTACAGCGGACAATGCCGCATCCAATGTGGATTGAAGCGGTGATATGGCCGGAAATCTGAGACGGAATTATCAGAAACATGGATGGGGGTCAGTTTGAAGAATTCCAGAAACTCACTACGGCAGGAATATCGGTGGGGTTGCCGTACGCCGATTATACAGCATTTTTCGAGTCGCCATATGCACAACTGTTGATTTTGAATCCCATTTTAAAAGCAAATATTGAGCATTCAAACATTGGAAGATTAGCGGGGTGGTGGGGAACAAATTTGCATTTCTAAAGCCATAATGTACACTCGACAAATAGTTATGCTGATACGGAAAAAGAGACGTAAACCCGAAGATGGCTTGGTTTCGACTACTAGCGTCCGTCATGACTGCTCGCAGAACCGAAACTTGCAACACTTATTGGTCTTCTGCGTGGTTTATAACCAGGGTGATGAGAGAGGTTTCGGGGGATAAAAGCAGATTCACGAAATCTTGGTCCTGATGTGATATAGGGAAGCCATGAATATATCGACAGATCGCGGACGTACTCAAAGAGTGTAGTGTCTTGGGCCACGTCCTCTCTCAGTGCTATCCAACGAGCCCACGTTGCCTTGTCTTGGAGACGCTTGGCGATAGAGGTCGGGTCAACCACATCAACATTCACCCATCGAGCATGCCTGAACATACTGAAGGCAGCGTACGAAAGTAGCGCGGGATGTGCTTCCAAAATTTGGGACCGCCTTGCATCGGAGAAATGCGTGGACGAATGGAATGAGCGCTCACTTGGAGGGACCGATCCGTCAGAAAGTGACATATCATCTGCCATCCACTTAATGACGTCTATTTTCGGATATGGGTCAGACGATCTGAGCATCTCGAAGACATTTGGCGTCCCTGTCTCGAATGTTGGCTTTTGACATGGTGCTGGGGCGTTGTCGGGTAGACGACCCTGATACATTGCAGAAGCACCCAAACAAGAAGAATCAGTGCTGTCGGATGTGGCCACATCAGGGAAACCTTTTGTAGGACGATACCGGACTTGTCGACCTGCTCGAGTCCTTGCCTGGACGAGGGCGTCCAGCTCGGTAATATTCAGATAGTCGAGACAAGTCGCCATTATGGAAAGGTGTCCTTTGCTGATGGGATCGGGTTTCAGGAATGGGTCTAAGATACAGAACCCATCGCTTCCCAAAAAGAAGCCACGTACCGACTCGTGTATCACTTGAACGATTCGGGTATCGCCGTGCTCAAGATTGAACGATCCAGCTCCAGCGTGAAGAGACATCTTTTCAGTGTCCACATCTTGAGGGTCATCTGATTTGATCTTCGTCACCTCGACTAAACCCCTAGAGACACTCCGGATCTGCCTCTCAAGCTGGTCATCGTTTCTTATGAAGTTGTGCGATCTTTGCCACTCAACAAGAGACGATGGCGTGGGTTCTCCTATGAAGGCCATTATGTGATACCACTCGTGAAGACGAAGGGGTTTTATCGCCAAAATAGCCCACTGAAAAAGCCGAACCGTGAAGTTCCTTGTCTCCACACTGAGATTGGAGAAAATATCAGAAAACAGGGCTTTAAGGGCGTCAGGGACGTTCTTAAGACGCTTAGTCAAGTATTGGATGTCCTTGCCATCATCCCAGTCCCTAAGCACTTCGTCCACCACCAAGATTACCCACAGAAAGACTCCAGAGGACTTCTTCAGGATGATGTCTCTCAAGAGTTCCCATTGTTCTTCCTGGGTGGCGATTCCGAGTTGAAACCTCTGCTCCACATATGTTGCAATATCGTGGCTGTTGTGCTCCTCCACGATTATTTCTGGACATTCACACACCGTAATAGAGGGGAAGTGTCGACTAGATAAGCAGACACTTAGGTCACCCCCCACCTTATCGGCTAATATCGTGACTTGCCGGAAAAAGAAGGCTATATGTCGAATGTCATTCGAATCACATTCATCAAGAGCATCGACGAAAATCATCGTTCTCTTCTTGGTCCACTTGTAAAAGATAGACTGGAAAATACTCTCGAGCTCCAATTCATTCCAAGGGAAAGTCTTTGGCTTGATGCCGCCACTCAATCTTTTTGCATCCAAGATCTCGTGGAAGCTCCTCAGAGACTTACTATCCCCAGGTAGAAGCTGATAAAGCAAGGATCGGAAAAGACCAGTTAGAGAGTGCTCTAGCTTATCTCCTTTAGCGCTAAAGAAGAAGGCTGCAGCTTGATACTGAGACTTGGCTTGTCCGAGTGCAGCTCGACGGAACGCCTCTCTCATCAATATGGATTTCCCTGTGCCTGGTTTTCCTTTCAGCCAAAGGAGGCCCCGGTGGTTCTCCTTATTGCGGCCATGGAACCAATCTTGATACAAGCCATGCTCAAACAGCCAGTGACATGTTCGCTCAGCCGGCTCTCCTAAACTCTGGAGTCGAATGTTGATAGCGGGAAACCATAGGCATTGGAGGGAACCTAGGTTCTCTTGGCTCTTCTTGGTAGCTGTGGCTGGTTTTTCTGATAACAATCCTGGTTCACCGGGCGGTGTTCGCCGAGTTTGACCGAGCTTATGTTTGGTCATCCTAGCGGTAGCGTGGTATATAGAATGTAGCTCTCCAGCTACTTTGCGGTAGTTTGGATCGTCGATTCCAGAATACCGACACATTTCCATGTGATTCGCTTGAAGAGTCTCGGCGTATTCACGATAGTCTCCAATCAAGGAGGAGTAATCGGGAACCACCTTCCTCCCAAGTTTCGCCAAGTTGAGGCCTTCCTGAAAGGTCTTGACTCGGAAGTCATATCTCTGCCATAGCCTGGAGAACTCCTCTTGTGCACGTTCCAGATCCGTAGTTTTCAAGCCAAGAGAATCAAGTATAGCGGGAGTTGTCTCCATACCCAAGGTACTGATGAGCGATCGTACCACCTCGCCGAGTGCTGCGACATCTAGGCTACCTCGATGAGGTGTGCCAAGAAATATGACTGCCGAAGTTGACTGAACAACATTTTTGTGTTCCCTTTCTTTACATGATGAAGATATTGCGAGCATCTAATATACACTATGAATAACAGTCTGAGGTGTATGTAGTGTCTTGACTCACTTCTTTGATGATGATACCACCGAGGCTATGGGCGACACAAATCAATGGGCGATCAAGAATTCTTTGCCTGGCCAGCGCAAACAGAAGGTCTTTGCTGTGTGAAAAAATGCTATTCTCGTTTATCGCACCGGCCGTGTACTTGGTGATCTTACTATCGTACCCAAACATGAGGATGCGCGAATTTGGACAATCTTTGGGAAGTAGATCAGCAGGCCAGAATACAGACGTGGATCCTGTATTGTGGGCCTTTATCATATTAGTAGAGTTCACGTCTGTTTCGGCTTTCGGCATAGCCTTCGATGAATTTCCACGAAGTCGAGTAGCGACGCGTCGGATGACGCTCCTTCGCTGCTTTTTGCATTCTGCTGGCTGGGAGGTTGTTGACGATTGATCAGTCTCGGAATTTTTTGTGGAACGAGTCCATGTTTTGTACGGATGGCCCTGTAAGCCATGGACGATGATAATGCTGTATAGCCAAGGTCAGTAAGTCTCTACTGTGGATCGGAGTTGCAGAATGCAGAATGCAGAGTGCGGAGTGAGGACGCACTCCACGACTGGAGAGCAGTTCTCAGGCTCGTAGACGACAGAAATCCCAGTATCCCGAATAATGTTTTGCATCTCTCACTGCACGTAGGGCGTGTTCTGCACGAGATCTAGGCAACACATGGAGGCGAGGCTTGATGATGTTGGATTGTTGCGGCTGAGACGCCTTGGAGCCGGAGGTGATATCAGGTGAACTGGTTGGACTGTGCCTCCATTTTTGGATTAGCGTCTTGATCAGAAGACATACTAACCGGAATATATATTATTCCGAAACATTTCAAAAAGAGCACAGCCTTGCTGTGTGCACGCCAGCCATGGCTCATATGAGCTAAGGTTAGACGCAACATGTACTGTATATGATAAGTTTCAACTCTCGTCTATACCTAGTCGCCTTTAACGAATGACCTTATTCGAATAATGCCCAGTATTTATCATAATGCTCCGGACACAAGATGAAGGTCGATCCGTGTATAACAGCTGCTTACCCTAGACCTTGCACAATGAGATGGAAAGCAATCCATCTATTGTAGGCGATTGGACCTTTTTGTGCGGTTTAGAACACATGGTGAGATTTCAGGAATTTCAGTCCTGATAATTATGCGAGATTGAGAAATGCCCACTTGGTAGTGAATTAATTCCTTTCCTCAACACATGTTTCCCAGGCACTCGTCGGCTCGACACCCTACCGTCATTGGAGTATCCCAGCTTGATAAGGACCAAGCTAGGTTCCATACCACATTAAGTTCGTCCTCCAATTCATCGCGCGTAGCATATCCAAAGATGTGTAAGTCCAATGGGTCTGGACAAGAGCAGTGGTGGGAAAGTGCCCTGGAGGAGGGGATAATACCGAGCTTCGGTAACTATAAGATCTCCGTCAGACGCTACCTATGTGCTTCTCTAGCGGCTAATAATCCGGGGTAGCGATAGAGGCGGCGCCCTCGTGGATGTTCCGATTGTGTCATTGATTATACACGTAGGTATGTGCTCTGACGAGGGAGAAATTTAAAATTGTAGATGTTATATATAGATAAAGATGTTTGTTGTATATACGAAGTAGCCACGCGTGAACGACCGTTTCATCGAACACCAATATGTGCCTTTGCCTCCATGACACCCGAGTCGGCCGCACCAGTTCAGCGTCTCAAGTGCACAACAAGCTTCCCATCTATCTCATTGATCTTCTTGATGTGCTCGTTCAACTCATCAAGGCCAATGTTGACCGTCTTCGGGGTCACAAGCCCACGACGAACGAATTCCACAGCCCCCTGAATGTCTGCACGACTGCCCACCATAGAGCCGATAATCTTGACGCCGGAGCCGATCAACTCCAAGGGATGAAACGCGACCTTGGTGGTCGGAGGTGGGATTCCGACGCCTACCAGGGTCCCGAAATAGTCGACGCAGGGGAGGGCAGCCTGGTAAGCGGATGCAGAGCCAGCGCATACAATTGCCGAAGAGCAGAGCATCCCGCCGGTCTCTCGCATGACGGCTTCTTTGAGATCACTCTCCTTTTCATAGTCGAGATAAACCTCTGCTCCTGCGTCGATGCACTTCTGTCTTTGGCCCTCGCCTCCATCAATCGCAATCGGCCGGAAGCCCATCGCCTTGGCGTATTGGACAGCCAGCGCCCCGACGCCTCCTGCGGCCCCAGAGACGGCCACCCACGAGCCGGGGATTGCCTCGCTGCATTTCAATGCTTTATATGCAGTCACTCCCGCGCACATAATGGGAGCCAGCTGCTCTGCGGAGAGATCTTCTGGCAAGGGAGTGACGTATCGCTCCGGCACGACCGTCAGCGTCGCCAATGTGCCCGGAACTTGTCGTCCACTGAACATCTCCAACTGGCATCGCGTCTCGCCACCAAGCATGCAAGGCCGGCATGACCCGCAGGAGTCGCGGAGCCAGCCAACGCCGACGCGCTGGCCGATTGCTACGCTGCAGTCAGCCGAGCCAACAGCGATGACCCGGCCGACGCCTTCGTGGCCGATGATGGAGTTGGGTTTACCCAAGTATCCGCCGGCGAGTCCAAGATCCGTACCACAGATGCCAGTCAGTTCAATCTCGACAAGGACATCATGGGGGCCAAGAGTTGGGCGGTCTTGAGCCTGGATCTCAAACGAAAAGTCGGGGCCTTCCTGCGATGGTATTAGTTGAAGAGCTAATTGATGCAAGTCCGTCCACTGACATTTAAAAGAATGGCAGCCCGCTGATCTGCGGGAGCCTTTTGCGGGGGAGCGGTGCTATGCATGGCGGGATGTGGTCAGATCAGACCATATGCGAGGAGCGAGACAATTGATTTTTAGTCGACATTCAAGCCACAGAAGTACTGTACTTTCAAGTACGATCCCCTCTCCCCTCGGTATCTAAGTGCGGGGGAACGGCAGACGAATACGCAAAGCGATTGGCCCCATGTTGCAAGCGTCGTGGCAAGCGTGGAGAATATCCCGCTCGTATGAGGGGGTGGGGATACTCCGCTGGTGTCTCGTGCCATCCCCGCTCGTCATATTAACTGCAAGCTATAGTGGCCCGTCATATTGCCGTTATTGTCAACCGTAGCATCGAGTGATACCCAAGGTGATGATCCTTTTCAGCCAAGGCGGGTAGTTTCCCGACGTTAAACCCGGCGAGCTGAGATGAGATGAGGTGTCAAAGATTCCCCGCCATTCTCCACTCGTCCGTGTCGGGACATAAGTATAATATCGTAGCTACCAATGCTTGAATGAATCGTATCTCCATCAACTTGCTACGATTTCAAACGCAGTCACCATCCTCATCTTCTCCAGTAGCAAAGGACCTCCAAAATGACATCCCGTCGATCTACTATTCCCATCATCTTGCGCAACTCTGACACGGAGTCTACAGCCGTTCACAAGCCGCTCGTCCTGCCACCGCAAGTCAACATCGAGTCATTCAACAAGTTTATAATTGGCATCATCAACTTGATTGGGGCTGAAAATGTCGATGTCATCTCTTCCAAAGACCAGATCGACGACGGCTCGTATATGAAACCAACCTACACCCACGATCCCCACCATGTTCTTCCACAGGACCACTTCTTGGCTTCCGCCATAGTTGCTCCACGTAATGTTTCTGATGTTCAGTACGTACAAGCAAATTCAGTCCCACCATCGCCTGGCTAATTACCTCAGGGCCATCGTTCTCGCGGCAAATGAATTGTCATTTCCTTTGTGGCCAATTTCCATTGGAAGAAACTCTGGCTATGGAGGTGCTGCGCCACGAGTCAGTGGAAGCTTGGTTATCAATATGGGGAAAAACATGAATAAGATTCTCGAGGTAAATGTGGAAGGCGCATACTGTCTGGTAGAGCCAGGTAAGACATTTCGAGACTGAGACGGGCCATACACAGCTGATGGATGAGACAGGCGTGACATTCGCCGATATGCATGAGTACCTTGTTAAAAACAACCTCCGCGACAAGCTCTGGATCGATGTCCCGGACCTTGGTGGAGGCTCCATTCTCGGAAACACACTGGAGCGCGGTGTTGGATATACTCCGTATGGAGGTAAGTGTTCCGATATGACTTAACTTTTTCGAAGCTGTAGCTAAGAAAAACTCTAGATCATTGGATGATGCACAGCGGTATGGAAGTTGTACTGCCAAACGGCGAACTCCTTCGCACTGGAATGGGCGCATTGCCTGACCCAAAGCAACCGAAATCCATGGGGCTTCGACCTGAGGACCAGCCTATGAACAAAACAGCGCAGCTGTTCCCCTATGGTTTTGGCCCCTATGTTGACGGCCTGTTCAGCCAGTCGAATTTGGGTATTGTAACAAAGATGGGAATGTGGTTGTTCCCTAACCCAGGAGGATACCAATCTTACCTTATTACAATCCCCAAGGACGAGGACTTGAAGCAAGCCGTTGATATTATCCGACCGCTGCGGCTCTCCATGGCACTTCAGAATGTCCCCACAATCCGGCACATTCTCCTCGATGCGGCCGTCATGGGATCGAAAGCCGAATACACGTCAAAAACTGGGCCGCTCAATGACGAAGAATTGGATGCCATCGCCAAGAGGCTGAACTTGGGCAGGTGGAACTTCTATGGCGCACTTTATGTAAGGACAACGCATCGCGCTACTGAGCCACGCGAATCGTAGACTGACAATATCGACTAGGGACCTGAACCGATTCGAAATGCTCTTTGGAGTGTTATCAAGGAGGCGTTCTCAGCCATTCCAGGAGCCAAGTTCTACTTCCCAGAAGACGTTCCAGCAAACTCTGTTCTTCACACCCGCGACAAGACGTTACAGGGTATCCCGACTTACGACGAATTGAAGTGGATCGACTGGGTTCCGAATGGCGCCCATCTCTTCTTCTCCCCCATTGCCAAGGTCGCAGGAGACGACGCAATGTTGCAGTACGCGGTTACCAAGCAGAGATGCAAGGAAGCAGGTCTGGATTTCATCGGTACTTTTACTATCGGCATGAGAGAGATGCGTAAGTTGCTGGTTCGTCTTCCGGTACAATAACAATTGCTAACATCTGGAATAGACCACATCGTATGCATTGTCTTTGACAAGAAGTCAGACGAGGAAAAGAAGAAGGCGCATTGGTTGATCAAGACGCTGATTGACGACTGCGCTGCGAATGGCTGGGGTGAGTATCGCACTCATTTGGCCGTCATGGATCAAATCATGGGCACCTATTCATGGAACGACAACATCTTGTTGAAATTTAACGAGGTGATCAAGAATGCCGTTGATCCAAATGGGATTATGGCGCCTGGAAAGTCTGGGGTCTGGCCGAAGCAGTACAGCAAGCGCGACTGGAAGCTGTGAATTTCTTGTAAACTATTCTGCTGTGTAGTATTTAGCTGTCAAATAAATATGAGTACACAAAGATAAGGGATTGCTTCATAACCGTCTCTGCTAAGTATTAATTACGGATGTGGATGAGCGGATGTTCGTACGTTGTTCTGTCATGGATAGGGACTGTAGATGAGTAACATGGCTAGAACATCGGCGGGGGTTGCAACTGCAGTGGATGAACTGCCAGATGACTGGCTCAGGAGACTCATACAAGCGATAAACGTTCTATATGCCGAAATCCCTCACACGGGCCCATATGGTAATTCTTCCGGATTAGTTTTGTCGTGCTTTTAGCACCGGGGAATCTAATACAGAGTTGTCGATCAGAACAGTAGCCTTAGCATGCGGTTGGCAAGTTCTAAAGTACATGTCTTGACCGCCATAGTATCGTGCGCTCGGCTCAAGCGCAGTCGCGACGCCGTCTCGAGTAAGCATCCTATCCGCGCACACCTCTGCAGAAACATCCAGGAAGATCGACATGTGCCAGACATCGGCTAGTTCTGGCCGATGCAAGAAGATCCCGTCGACGATGACGATGGACGCTGGGGCCGCTTCATGAACAGGCTCCTCATCTAGAATCGTGTCACTGAGGATGTCATGGCTTCGCATCCGGTACCGTTGCGAACCCCCGCGGCTTAATGGCGTGACCACGTCTGCGAAGAATCTGTCGTAGTCGTAGCTGTCCAGCCAGAACCCTTCCGGCGAAGTTTTCCCTCGACGATACCGTATACTTTTTGGGTGGTGGAAATCGTCCATGGAGATTCGAATCACATCCCGTGGTAACTCTTGCGAGCACTGATGGGCAAGCTCATCCGCAAAGTAGGTCTTCCCCGCCCCATCCCGCCCGTCTATCCCGACCAAGGTACAGCTGTCCTTTTGGTCCGGAATAAGGGAGATAACAGTGGCGAGCACCTTGCTTCGAGACATTGTCGAGGAAAGCGCTTGATAGAGAGGAATAATATTATATTCGAATAATGATGTTGTTCATATAGAAATGGCTCTAATCCGGCAGTAAATGGTTCGGAGATAAGGCCTGCGGAGGCTGATGGAGAGCAAAGGCGGCGTGATGTTGTTATATAGAGCTAGATTCCAATAGGCTAAGGTCGCATCACCTGATATAAGACCACGTTGCTATTACAAAAATACAGCGTTTTATACGATTCGTTATTCTTCCCATATATGAGTCTTCAACATCTTACTATAACTATACGGTGCTTATGTGGTTTGTTTCTCATAGCACTTTATCTGGATTCACATAATCGCTATCTTAAAAGAGCCAAGTGTATTGTAGTGTTGCGTGAAGAGCTAGGATTGGTGGTCTCGTCAAGAAATGAGAATTTGTTATTAGATGATGACTGTGCTGATAAACTCGTAAGAAATAAATTTCGCTTTTCCTCCTGATGCTTCCACTGCGTACAATTCTGAAGCACATTTGCTGCCTGTCTTGAAATCATTTGAATATCGCGGATGCCTACCGGGGGCGTTCCTTGAAGAGATGTAGGGCACGAGGATGTGTTGGCCAAATCTCCAAGACTGGGTCTTGACATGAATAGGCTACCCAGTTTGATATACTGATGCTCAGAGTACCCACTACCGCAGGAGGGTTTGACTTGGAACAGTTATCACTCCGAGGCATGTTGGTGTCTACCTTAATTAAGCCTTGACAGAAATTTTAACAGGTATCAAGGTGCACAACTCCATATTTTATGCATCAGGACTGCTTGATAATTGCTTTTTCTGTTACTGCATGCCGTGTCAGCACGTGATTCGACTCAGGATTTGCGTGAACCCCTCCTCGGTGAGCGATGCCCAACTTTCCCTTTGTTTTTGCAGAAACACGCGTTCCCGGATGTTGCTTGAACCGCTTCTACTATCACTCTTTGCTTCCTTCTCTTCCATTTGCTCGTCCTCAATCCCCTCACAACAGGATGGCGTCACCCTTCGAGAGTCTGCCGTCACTCGTCACCCATGGAATTTGCGAATACCTCGACGTCGACGCATGCTACTTATCCGCCTTCTCATTGACCTCCAAGCGATGTGCGGCAGCTGCGGAGACCTTCCGGCTCAAGTGTATCCATCTTCGATTATCTCGAAAGTCGAAGCTCCTCAAAGACTTGAAAAGGCTTGATGAGACGCTGAGCTCCACTAGCCAAGGTTACAGCCTTGTGCGCCAGCTGAAGCTCACAGGCGAGTTGCTAGGCAGCCAGAGCGAAGATGGCGAAGAAGCGGTAGAATTTCCGCAGCGAATCGAAACCCCAAAGACCAACAGCTACGATTTCTGCATGCTACCAACGCTGTCTCGCGAAACCTTGTCGAGATTCGTTCCCCTCCAAGGGCATGGAAACAGAATTCAAACGGAATCAGATGAGCAAATGAAAGAAATAATGGAGGATGCTTGGCTCCCACTCTCGGATCTGATCTTAAAGCTCTCCTTGACGGACTTGGTGTATGCCTGCTCTCACCAGATCCCCCCCTGCATCTTGAGAACTCTGCATGGGCATTCTCTAGAGACTCGTCTTCATATGCACACCTTCAGCCTTCGGAGTCTTTACCAGCACAGAGACAGACCTCACGATATCGACCCTGACGAATACTTGCTTGCTACATCACCTTGCCTCTATAGCGTCTTTGCAAAGTTCCACATGGTGGGTGAAAGCGGTCGCTATGGGTATAACCTCCAAGCCTTGAAAGCTATGCTTGGCGGTTTGGCACCGACACTAAAATTGCTTTCAATGTGGACATTTTCTCCCATTCCTTTTCCTCCTAGGACATATTCTGGTCGTCGAGATTCATCGTCACCGCCCCCATGGCGGGGCTTCCATGGCGAAGGCTTCGAAGCTCTGCCAAGTTCGAAAGGACATCTTCACACCCTTGTTTGTGATTTCAGCGATGTTCAGACTTGGTTCACTCACATCTACGCTGAAGGACTGGCTAGCCTGACTGTTAGCCGCGGTATTTCCATCCAGCAAGTTCAAGCTCTCATCGAAACTGCCCAAAGTCCGGGCTTGACGGGCCTTCGCTCGTTACGGCTGCGTCTGAATATTACGTCCGAGGAACATCGCGCAGGGAGAAGTATGGACCTCGCTGCGAGCACGTTGATTCGACTATTACCGCCTCTGGAATCGCTAGACCTAGAGGGTATCACCCTCGCTCAACACACTCTCCATGCAGTAGCGGATCACCATGGCCAGTCATTGACAAAACTTCGACTAACATCATCCGATGGGTGGTATTGGAATGAAGATGAACGGGGCCATTTCCGTCATAATGACATCGAAAGGCTGGCGGCAACGTGTCTAAATCTTAAACAACTGGAGATTGTCACTCGCCGAACGCAAGGAGATGACGATGAAGTTGCCATCTACCACGCCTTGGCGAAATTCCCACGGCTAAAACGCGTCGTTTTGGTTGTTTGCACCGACCATGACATTCGAGAGCCCGAAGCGGACGGGGATGTAGAAAAACTACCCCCGTCTGTCTTTCGCAAAGTCTTGGTCAACGTAGCCATTGACGCGAATCTCGCACGGAACATCTTCCACATAGTGTGCAGCGAGTCGAGTTCCATTGAATCTCTCCGGCTGATAAACTCGGGAGGAGGAAAATTGAGAGCATGGCGCGACGCTGCTGCACAGGATGTCTTGACAGGAGTCGGTCGGAGCTGGGATTGCAGACGAGAGAGAATGGGGGGAGAAGTAATGATCGGGTCGTTCGAGGTGGGATCTAAGTCACTCTACTTGAAGAATGATTTTCAGGTGGACTACAACGACCGTGACCCTGAAAATATTGGCAACCGTCTCGACCTACGCGCAGTTTGGTTGGATCTTTGGCCGGGGCCTGCAGGGGATAGAACAAGTCAGTGGTCAAGTTTTCCTCTTGTTGGAGCCTAGAATGTTATGGTACAAGGCGCGATTTTTACCCATTTACATGCATCAAAACACAGCTCCTTGTTCCATGCCCTGTCAATTCAGAGCCCTAACTCATCAGCTATGACAATCACATGCCCCCATGGTCACAAGAGCCACGGTCTAGGCCCATCGACTCGACCATGTGCGGTGGGGAATTTTCCGCTGATGCCGATTTGGGTAAACGCCCGGCTAGTCACTTCTCCGCATCAATCCGTCTTCACCTGGGTCATTTGCCGTAAAACTCTAAGTTAGTGATCTGTAATCATCTAATTCGCGGGGTCCCGAGGCAAATGTGAGAATGTCCATGCGTTTGGGTGCTATTTAGAGTATACCATCTGGCAAACAAGGAACCGAACCATCGACATCCGACGACCTTTATTCGCAAAGCACATCGCCATCATGGAGTTTTTCAATATTATCAACGCAGGGAAGAGGGGGGGCGACAATGTGATGACTTCGATTGATCCAAGAACCAAAGAGAAGCTTTGGAGCGCCCCTGTTGCGGTAGAGGCAGATCTGAACGACGCGGTCCTGGCAGCGAGAAACGTCTTCAAGACGTGGAAATTTGTCCCGGTAGAGGAAAGGCAAAAATGCTTATCCCGCCTCGCCGAGGAGTTGGATGCGCGTAGGGCCGAGATTCATGCGATCCTCTCCAAAGAAACGGGGAAATCGGTATGTGATCAGTTCAAAGCCGACGAGTACCTACTTACAATTTACGCGGGTAGGACCTCCTCACAAACATCGAGATTGACGACACATTGAAATTTATCAGATTTAATGGTAGTGTTTTCAGCATGACAGTGCGGTTCTGTGCTAACATATGGACAGCATCGCACTCAATCCCAGACGAGGTTCAATATGAAGACGAAACGGTCAAAATCATCTCTACACACCCACCAATAGGCGTCGTGGGTGCCATTTGCCCCTGGAACTTCCCGCTTGTCCTTGCCGCCGGAAAGATTGCAGCCGCTCTGGTCATGGGGAACTGCATCATCGTCAAGCCTTCGCCCTTCACACCATACGCGACACTCAAGTTTGCGGAGCTCGCCATTCCGATATTCCCCCCGGGCGTCTTCCAAGTGCTCAACGGCGACAACGACGTTGGGAGGCTCATGACGCTCCATCATGGAATCGACAAGATCACGTTCACTGGGTCAACAGCAACCGGCAAGAAAGTGGCTGAAAGCGCGACGAAGACGTTGAAACAAGTTACGCTCGAGTTGGGTGGCAATGACGCGAGCATAATCTGCCCCGACGTGGATGTCAAGACCGTTGCGCAAAAAGTGGCCGCTGGTTGTCTTTTTCACTCCGGCCAAATGTGTGTCGCCACCAAGAGGGTGTATGTCCACAAGGACATTTTCGAAGAGTTCCGCGAGCACCTAGTCAAGGCTGTGAACACTACCGAAATCGACATCTCCGGCAATCAACCAACATTATTTAGCCCCATCCAGAACCAGATGCAGTACGACGTTGTGAAGGACCTGATTGCAGATAGCAAGTCTAACGGTCACACCTTCATTTCTGGTGGGGATTCAGATGCACAGCCTGGTCTCTTCATACGCCCATGTGTTGTGGACCGCCCACCAGACGATTCAAAGATCATTAAGATGGAGCAATTCGGACCCATTATTCCTCTGATGGAGTGGAGCTCTGAGGACGAGGTAATCACGCGGGTGAATGACACTGAGAGCGGGTTGGGATCCTGTGTGTGGGCGCGAGACACAGCCACCGCCGAACGAATTGCACGCAAGCTCGAGGTCGGCTCGGTGTGGATCAACAGCTTTGAAATCCCGCACCCATATGGTTACTTTTCAGGGTGGAAGCAAAGTGGTGTCGGTGGTGAATGGGGCAAACAGGGCTTGTTGTCGTATTCCCATACGCAGACTCTCCAGATCTACAAGTAGCTACTATCGCCGGAGACCATTTGAAACTCTAAAGATAGCGAAAATATAGCTCATGCATTTTGATTTTCACTGATATGAAATATAACTCAGGTTGTTTCGTATATGCGTAGTAATACAGTATCACACGGGGATGGGATGCAAGTCACAGAAAACGGCCCAGATAATGCGGGAATCCGGGAATACAATGTGCCACAATCTAGATCCTACGTCCTGATCTTATGGTCAATCACTTCCCGAGAGAGAAGAATGGTGATGCATTGAATGCACTGCTTCCTCATGCAACTCCTTAATCTAATCACCTGCGTGTGATTGGGTGCCTTGCTTGGTATTATCTACATGTACATTAATCCACTAATGCTATAGCTGAGCTCCAGTTGCCGTGTTCAACTGCCGCGATTTGACCCTGGCCAGGATCTAGCTGGTAGTTGAACTCAATCGTGTGCCTCGGAACTCGCCCGGTGGTACTCTTGAACTAGCACGCGGGGAACCCTGACAAAACTAGCTGCGGGGAAATCTCCACAGCTAAAGTAGCATTCAGAAGTACATAGTCAGAGCACCCTGGACCTATGTGGCTCAATCCGCGCCTGAACAAGAGAATTCCGCTGTCGATATACCGTGGTGATTGCAACGGCGGAGTTAACCCACTTGGAAGAGCCAAACGACAGACATAGCCACTGCAGATCTAACCGCATGTTGTCTAGTCCAACAGTTGACAAGACACGACGGACTGATGGAAGCCCAGTGTATCACCGAGCAGCCGTGCATACGCATTATCTGAGCATGCATATGTATGAGAGTTGGAATGTGTCTAGTTTTGGGCTATAAGAGAATGCTTCCGTGCGAAGAGTGGAGAATCAAATCAGCCACAAGTTGCACGTTTCGAGCAAGCATTTGTCAAAGAACTCACTCGTGGTACCCTTGAAATTTCTTCATGATGATATCCAACTCTCTTCCATCTTTTTCCCTACCCTTTTCGTGGGGGCTGATATGCACAGTGGGTTTCGTGGGATATTGGATCGTATGGATCATCTACGCAAGATGTTTTCACCCACTTGCCAAATACCCAGGGCCCTTTCTGGCCTCCATCTCTCGATCATGGATTATGATGCAGGTTATACGAGCCAAGGCTGAGAAGACACAGCAAGACTTACATGCAAAATTTGGTAAGCTGATCTTGACGCCTTTCTTAGAGAGCCATCTAACATTTCCAGGTCCCGTTATTCGAATTGCCCCCAACGAAGTTGCTATTGCAGACCCACAAGCTATCAAAACAATATACTCGATTAATTCAGGCTTCACCAAGGTAGCATCCCACAGGTTTAGAAGTACATATGGCGTGCTAACTGGTCCGCAGACCGACTTCTACCCCCCATTTCGAGCAACATTTGGTAATCAGCTACCTGCATGTCACAAAGCCAACCGCTAACGTATTTGCAGCCAGGTACCCGGATTCATTCACCTCTTTGGACGAGCGAGTACATGCGAGCCGTCGCAAGATTGTCAATAACCTATACTCCATGTCGAACATTGTAAGAGCGGAAGAAGGCATCGATTCATGCAACGACATGTTCATGGCGCGGATGACGGAGTTTTCCAATACGGGAGAAATCATCGACATGTCGAAATGGGCTCAGATGTGAGAAGACTACGCTAGTGGAAGTCACCAACACACAACTGACTGTAACACGCAGGTATGCATTCGATGTTGTCGGCCAGCTCTTCTTCAGCCGCATGTTCGGGTTCATGAAAGACAAGAGCGACTACCGTGGCTACATTCGGTCCCTTGACTTACTCATCCCCATACTAACAACAGCTTGCGTCTTACCAACTTACATTCGTCCTCTGTTCCTCTTCGGCACTGTGTCAATGCCAGGCGTTTACAAGGCGATGGGGAGCTTAAAGCAGATTGAAGCCGCTGCTGAATCAAGTGTTGCTGAGAGAAAGAGCCTTATCGAGAACGGAGATGTCTCCGAGAAGAAGGATATTCTCTCAAGTCTGTTCGAAATTGTTCGCGAAAAGGGCGAAAAGGTGGACTTTGGAATGACTGAGGTGCAGGTCGAAGTTTGGGGTGCCCTGTGGGTTTTATCATCTTGTTATCTTGCGTGACTGTGTTCTAACTCGACGCAGGTTTGCTGGGTCAGATACCACGGCCGCCGCTATCTCGTCCATCTTATATCACCTTATGAAGAACCCTGCAGCGTATCGCAAGCTGAGAGACGAGATTGACGAGGCAACCAAGTCTGGTCAGCTCAGCTCCCCACATGTGCGATACAGCGAAGCTATGCAGCTACAATATTTGGTTGCGTGCTGCAAGGAAGGGATGAGAGTGCACCCAAGCGTTGGATTGACTCTACCACGGCATGTTCCCCAAGGCGGGTGCAGCATCTCAGGGCATTGGTTTCCAGAAGGGACCAGGGTAGGCGTTAATGCCGCCGTTGTTCATCTCGACAAGAGCATTTTCGGCCATGACGCGCACTTGTTCAATCCAGACCGATGGTTCCGTGGCGATGCAGTGAACATGGATCGATACATGTTTCAGGTGAGTAACTATCACTTATTGTTCGTTATGGATTCTAACAAGGTCGATGCAGTTCGGTGGCGGGTCAAGGACATGCATTGGAAAGAACGTGAGTTATTTTCCTCTAGGGTATAAAGTTGAGATATTGACTGTCTAGATTTCATTGTGTGAAATACACAAGCTGGTCCCCCAACTTATTCGGTCCTTTGACCTCGAACTTACAATCGAAGAATGGGAGACACATAACTTTTGGTTCAACAAACCTAGCAATGTCAATGTTAGATTGAGATCTAGGCACGCCACCAATTGATCTCTCAGTGGAAGCAACTGATCGTAAAGCCTGTATCTCAATTGCTTCAAGTTCCTCTGGCTATGCTAGAACTGGAATAGCTGTGGGGGAATTCCCGCCGTGGGGAGATCCGGTGCGGGGAAATGGGAACCTGGAGGGCATCCGGAGGCACAGTTTACCGACGGTCCGCATGTTCGGTTAACTTTATATACAGCAAAAAGGGCTCATTTACGCTGGGTTTAGTCCTGTCTCATTCATGAATCTTAATTGTGATAGGGATATGGAGCGGTACATGTTGATCTTGGATACATAATATCACCGCAATCCGCGAGAAGTTGAATGATTGAGCGGCTTTATTGGTGACAAATGATATCGTTCCAATCATGTTCTATGGCGGAAATTCCGTTATAATTTCCATTCCAAGTTCCGCTCGCTACGAGTTCCGTTATAAATTCCGGCATTTCTAATGTCACATGTGGCTTCCTCTCAAATGATACCCATATCAGTAGGGCGTTGGCATAACGATGGAATTACTACTCTATAAGCTCACGGTGAATCGATGCTGTAGCTGATGTTGCTCGGCTCAAATCTTGGAGACCTTGTGTGTAATCCGGCAACGGCCCTACAATGGCCAAGAAGACTTGACCACAGAGAGTCAGCTGATGAGAAGCCCGTTGTGCGAATTACATGATGAGGTACGCACACAAATCTCGAGGCTTCAAGTTATTTACTGAGGGTTCTTGATTGGCTATTGCTTGCGGGGGAGTTTGCGGGGAAGATTCATCCATGCCAGCCCCTTTTTGGTGAAGCGCGTCTGCTCGCCCATATTTATTCAGGCCCATGTCGAGTACCCCGGTTTGCCTCCTTCAAGTACTGGATTTTTTACACCTTTGACTTCGACCTGGTTCCAATATCGTGGGATAGGTTGCATTCTCCAATATCAACACGACTGCAGCCTCTCTGACTATCCAATGGCGTCGTCCTCCATTCCATCGACGTCCGCTTTTGGGTGCTCCGCCTGTCCCGCTTCTTTCAATCGCCGGGAGCATCTGCAGCGCCATTTACTCTCGCGTACGTAGCAGATCTAGTTCCCGCCTTATTTTTGTCACATGCCATTCTCTCTACCTTACCCTATCCTGTAACTCTTCTATAGGTCTTGTTAATGTGAGACCATGGCTAACAACTCGCAGACAGTTCAGATCGGTCCTTTCACTGCACCTTCTGCGACCAGTCCTTCAACCGGAGGTTCGTCAATTCCCGTCGCTGATCTACCATACCATAGACCACTAAACCCTACAAGGGATGTTCTGAAGCGCCACTGGACGTCTTGCAGACCACGGATAGACGCCAATGTCGACATCCCGACCCTCTTCCAGCACGTCAGAGGCAAGAAGCGCAAGTCGTGCGACCGCTGTGTACGACTGAAGAGAGCTTGCAATCTACAAAAGCCTTGCCAAACATGCTTGACAAGGAATGAAGAATGCTCGTACAACAGAGTAGCCGACAGAAAATTGAAACCCAGTTCGGCCGTTACTCTGCCACTCCAAACTGCATTCGTCGAGGATCCTATGCCGAACGTTGGTATGGAGGCGTTGCAAAGTTCAACAGAGAACTACTTCAACGAAACAACCCCTACAGACGAGCTGGATCAGTTCTTTGTTGATGGCCAACAAGCAATATGGGATTCAACCGATGTGCTTCAAATCTCAACGCAGGATCCGTTGCCCACAGGCCCTATCCTGGACCGTCGTATTACTGGCCCTCTTCACCACGAAGGGGGAACTTTAGGGACAATCCGACCACGCCATGCTGCAATATCCATGATTACCCTTACTTCTGGCTGGGGATTTCCATTTCTAAGCAGATTCACTCTACCCAACGGCCTTGCGACCAGTTTTGAGTGTGGAACCCGCTTTGAAAGACAACAACTTATCCAACGACACCTGGAACGTTCCTCATACTCCTTCCAAAATTTGACTGGACTTGATATCGGAACTTGGGATGCTGAGACTGACTGGGTATCGGCTGTCGCCTTGCAACCGTACAGTCTCCACTGCCAATGGGTTTCAAAAACTGACGAGGGCTTGTTCCGTCTAACAAACGAAATTGTCCAGAGGATCAAAGACATCACCATATCGAAGCCGAGAGGATCCAAGAATATGATAGATTGGTCACCTGCCATGGAGAATATTTGTTACAACTTTTTCTCACCTGCGAACCTGGAGAAATTCCTGCTGTTGTTCTGGGGCTGTTGGTACCGCAATTGCCCGATATTTCACAAACCCAGCTTCGTCGCCGAACATAGTTCGCCTACTTTGGTTGCTTCTATGGCCCTAATCGGCGCCTGCTCGTCTCCCAATGCCAACGACCGTATCCATGCAAACGTGTGGTTTAACTGCATGGAGGAGGTGGTATTTAACGACGAGATCCTCCAGGACGAGTCAATCGTGCTAGATGAGTTCATGCATGGTCGGAAGAAAATTCGCAACAGATTGGAGGCTATCCAAGCTGCGTACCTCGTTTGCATTGTACAGAACTGGGAAGGTTCTAAGGAGAGCAAACAGCGAATCCGACGCCACCGTTACACCACGCTGATAATTGTAAGTGCAAATTCCGGCCGCTTTGATCCTTGGCTAATTCCTGTGGTTAGATTGCGAGGGGGTTCGATTTTAGTCGAGTAAGCCTTAAGGATGTCTATGTAGATGACGTCTCAAACTTTGATTGGAACGAGTTCATCTTCTTAGAAACTCTGATACGGTGAGTCGTTTTGAAAGCCGCATGGCACTGATACTAATGTCGTGGATAGAACAGGGACATTTATTTTCCTTCTAGATTCTGCATTTGTTGTCCTTCACAACTCCCCACCAAGAATGATGCTATCTGAGCTCAACATCGATTTGACCTGTCCGGATGCGTGCTTTGAGGCCAATTCCGCCGAAGAATGCTTCATTCTTCTGTATGACTCCAAACCGAACGGCGCTGATCATCCAAGTTTAAACATTTCAACAACTCTGGAGCTACTCTGTCGGACTGATTGTGATGACCTCGAGAGTCTCAAACACTTGAGCATTCTGAATATGTTCACAATAGTGACGGGTATGTTGTTCGTGTCATTTGTGAACACTAAAGCACCCCCGATGACTCTAGTTGCTTCAATTCTCTAACTATATGCAGCACTGCATTATCTCATTTTCCACTTCCAAGCAACCCTCGCCGACTTGTCTCAGGCGACGCCTGCCGAAGTTGGACTTTCCAAATGGATTTCGCTGTGGCACCAAGGTGCCTGTCTACCTGAAATGGAGCTCCGCAGATTCCCATCGTGTGAAGATATGTGGAAGCGTGTGGGATTTATGCAATTTGCTCCGGAATATTATCTTCTCTCCCGGATCATGCTCGATCGTTGGAAAGTTTGTACTAGCTCGCCACCTTTGTGGATGGAAATGCCGGCCAAGCGACCAGCGGCTCTGAAATATGATGAGAGTGAGATGGACCAATTCAGAGAGTTAATTACGAGCATATAGACTAGTTATATGTTGAAATTTGAGATTCGGCCACAGACTACAGCGATATAGCTTCTAATAATGGCAAAAAAGCCTATCCTGCAAAAGACTATAGTGAATCGAATGTTGAGCCGATATTCCCAGCGATCGTCGATTTCTCGTTGTCTGCTTGCTTGGATGGCTCCTTGTCGCTTGCAACACTTTGCGAAGCGTCCAGCGTTTCGCCATCCAGGACGGTAATGCTCGCAGATAATTTGGTGGCACGATGGGGAAAGAGCTGGTTCAGCATCCAATAGACGATGAACGGACCTATGGTACTAATGAACCAATTCAGGTGAAAGATACGTTCCATAACAGTCGATATCTGGACGGAGGGATTGATTTGATGGATGATGCCCGGAAGAAAGATTGCCAGGAATCCAAATTGAACCACGGCAGCTCGCCAATTGAATCCGCCCTATTGATGTTAGCTTGAAGCTGAAAGACTGTTTAGGATGTCACTCACGGTGAATCTGTAGCGCCCATGTGGGTTGTATAGTGCTGGAATGTCGAGCCTTCTCCGATTCACGACCCAGTAATCACAAATCATTATGCTAACCATGGCGCAAATGAAACACCCGTATCCGTTCATGAACAACAAGAACTGGGACGCCGAGCTAACCAGAAACCATGGCACGACTGCCCATGATCCTAAGAATAGACAAAGCATAGACCCTCTCCTAACATTGATCCATGCCGGAGCAAGACTCATGACATCGTGTCCAAACGGGACCGAGTTGGCGGACACACTGCAGGAGATCTGGGCAAGCATCCACAGGCAACCGCAGAAAAATGCTAGAAACCGACCGCCAGAGCCAGTCCATTTTGGAAGCAGTTCAATAGGGCTCCAAATGTCTTCACTGTAGAGAACTCGGCCGGCGCCGACTGTTGCGATGCCTAAAATAGCGTACACGGTCTTGACAATGGGGATCGTGGGAATTTGTGAATAGGGGGCGTATCTATTTAATGTTAGAGTCAAACTCTTCTGTATTGCTAGGAAGCTCGCCTTGTTTTACTGAACCGAGAGAAGTCGGACATGTTGGCTGCGCTTGTTAACCAAGAGTTTGTAATGCCGCTGAACGTCGACAGCCACAGCCAAACCCTGGTTGAGCCGGATACGGTAGCTGGCTGGGCAAAGATTCCTTTGACATCTCCAGCCTTGACACAAATCCACAACACCATAGCGACTGAAACAGGGAGCAAAAGAATAGCTTTCCAAAGGAACAGTTTTCTACCAAATGTGAGCCAACGAATATACTTTCTCGCCTCCATATAATTTACATACCGTAGCTTGTGGAGGGGAATAATAAAAAATGGCAGCTGGGCAAGAAAGAATAGAAAATAGGAGACCATTTTCTGCGTTGTAATATGAGCAGATGCTGGGAGGTGGTTTTTGATGGTGCGATATTCTGGCCAGAGGGCTGCGATTGTCTTGAAGCTGTTAAGATTCCTTCTCCCTGGGGGGCTCGCGTTACTCACCTCGGTCATGGCGGCAGAACCAACCCAACAGTTGACCCCAAACCAAGTCATAGCTATGATAGCACGGGATACAACGCAGAAGCTGCCAAAATAATATCCATATGCCGAACGGACCGCGATGGGAAACGGAATGCGGTGATCAACTCCTGGGCCTCCATTCAAGACTTCAGGCTAGTTAGCAATTGCTGCCGTACTGAAAGGGGCTATCATACAAACCTGTGGGGATAGAGTTAAGCACTCCAGAGAGAAGTGTAATGACCACGGCATCTGCTGTGCTCAGACCAACTAACATTGCAGAAGCTGCAATTTGCCAACTAGTAATGTTGATCAAATCAGACATCCAGTATGTCGCAAAGTCCCAGCCAGTCCATGTCCACTGATGCTCTGGGACTGGATCTTGATCTATAGGACAGGGTTAAAACGCGAAAAGGGACCACGACCACTGGAAGATATGGGGCTTACTGTACCTTTGTTCGAAGCGACGCCAGGAGGGGCAAGTGTTCCTGGCTCTTGAGGTAGTCTCCAAGCCTCAATACTAGAAATGCGAGCTTTGAGAGCTTCAGCTCGTGGGAGAGACCCGGTTAGCATTGCCATTTCGGTTCCTCGGGATGCAGTAGAAACAGATTGATGTATGAACAATGAGGCAGAGCACCAATAAGACACGGTGGGAATTTATGGTATTAGGGAAGGATCACTCATATTTGTTTCCGTCTGAATCTTCCAAGAGGGACTCGAATTCAACATGCTTGCAATTGCCGAGAAACACGGCACTGGTCTATCACATCGAGTGAGATAACCCCCTAGTGCTAGTACGTATCTCGGTGACGATAAGAACTTCGGAGACGATAACGATATAACTTTCGGCCGCGGGTGAGATATCATCTTATCAACCTGGCAGCTAGGCTTATCAGTGTTTCGTATTAGCAGCAATCTATCAGACGAAAGTTTGACAGGGCGCTTTATCAATCTAGACCGTATATTATTCCACCTGCTGTCTGCACTTTGCGAATACTTCAATCTCGCCCGGAATTCAGCATCTCTCTACATCGCTGTATTCCATCGAGATCCGACCAACTCACGAATCATGACGTCGACAAACGAATTCCCCATCCTGGATTTCTCCAGATTCAACGCAGACTTTGAAGGCTTTGCAAATGACATATTCGCCGCCAGCAACAAGTGGGGCTTCTTCGTCCTCACCGGCCATGGCGTGCCAGGTGTGGGAAGCATGTACGACTTGGTACGTTAGTCATGTTGTTGCAGTGCCATGATGTAGAACAGAATCGCTCACACCTGTATTGTGAAAATAGTCACGTCAATTTTTCGACCTTCCCCTAGAGAAGAAGGCAGAGAAAATAATCGACAGAACATTGACCGGATATGATGGAGCAAAGCTGACCACGTAAGTTATATCCTGTAATGGACGGTCAGCCTTTTTCTAACAGGTCAGTTTTGCTGCCTCTGAAGGCATAAGCTTCGGACTACCTGCCGGTTCTGTCATGGGTACCGAGAATTTGCCCTCATGGTGGGATACCCCCAAACGCCAAACGATTGAAGACTTCAAAGCGAGTTGTTACGACCTAAGTATCGCCATCATGTCATGTTTTGCTGTCAAGTTAGGTTTGGGCAATTCTCACTTCGCAGATGTTCACCAACACAAGGACCCTGGGAATGTCTTGAAGTTTATCAAATATCCTCGGTTTGAGCAGCAGCCTGAAGGTGTGCCCCGGTTATCTGAGCATACAGATTGGGGCAGTATCACCTTTGTCTTCACCGAACAGCCGGGGCTAGAAATCCGTGACCCGTCAAACGAGTGGTTCGAGATCCCGGCTGTCCCTGGTGGCGTAGTCGTGAATATCGGAGATGCTTTGTCGCTGTGGTCGAAAAAGTCTTTGAAGTCGACCATGCACAGGATCAGTTGGAAGAATCTTGACGTGTCCAATGATCGACTCAGCGTTGTGTACTTTACTCACCCAAACCATGGTATTTGGAGCCTCGGCTTTGGGTTGGAATTCCACGCTGACAATAGAATAGACGCGATTCTTTCAAGCCCAACTAAAGATTCTTCGACCGAAGTAAAATCGGTCCTAACCTACAAAGAATATCTGAAAATCCGATCGGCACTGACATATGGATCGATCCGGAAGGTTGGAGAGGACGGAGAAGACTTTGAGGCATTGGATGAGGCCACACTCAAGATGGTGAAGAGTCTTAATGTTGCCAACTCTGGAGTTCTCGAGTCACACCGACTGGAGGTCGTTTAGCAGTGTGTCAGTTTCAATGCGATAGGATAATGCTGTCGCACCTACAGAAGCAACAACGCGTGTTCACTTTGGTAACATAAATGGCAGAGTACGATCAGAAATTGCATTTCATTTTGGTCTATTAAGGATCAGTTTAATTAATCGACTTCGTGTGGAATATGTCGTAATAATGAAACTGGCCTATTCTGAAGACCCGATGTCATTGAAGATATCCATGATGTCAAACTCTACAGAACCAAAGACACCATCCCAAATATCCGTGCCCAGTTGCTGTAGTACAAACTGCTCGGCCTCGGGTAAGCGGCCCTCATCTCGACCACTGTCTGCTCGAGAGACTCGGCGAACAATATCTCCAAGATCTAGCCGCACATGTTTTGTATCATCGGAAGAATCGTTAAGCTGCAAAAGTAGGTCGAGCAACACTCCGCCTCGCCGAGCGATAGAACTCGAGCCTTCCAATTGGCGAATGAGGTCTCGACCGAGTTCTGCTAAACGACGGACTTTGATGGCGTCATATAAAAGCTCATTTTCATGGCTGAAAAGAGATGCGAATGCGAGAATTATGCAGCAGGTGACGAGATGTGTTGATAAGGTCCACATGTTCTTAACCACATGTGTCATAGAACCTTCCGGCCATTTTTCCATATCAAGAACACATCGTTCGGCAATGGCTAGACAGGAAAGCTACCCAAGTGACATGTGAGCATTCTGTCGTGTTGATATCCCAGGGTCTCATACCTGGGTGTACGCATAGGTCCTGTCCCGGAAACTCCGAAGCTGGAAGTGGCGGTGAACCGTCAAGATCTAAATATTAATCAGTTGTTGTCCTGCTTAACATATTATTAAGCCCACCTTGTGTGCCATAGAAAGGAGCGCGGCAGACGCCAAAAGCCCGATATAAGGTGGACAGCCGGATTTTGAGGCAGGTTCTTGCGATGTAACTTTCAGAAACGAGGGCATGTCGGCGTATGTCTTGTTTAACTCCTTGTCCGCCCATAAAACCTGATCGTATATCTTCTGAAGACCATCTGTTATGTTTCCAGGGTGTCCCACACTGCACATGCGATCTTGTTGTTGCCATATTACTACGGCGACTGGAAGATATTAGCATTTGGGGCACGCAGCAAAGATCGGACACATACCATTGGACGTATTCTGTGAGTAACTATTCAGCGTGTATACTTCAGCTGGTTGCGCTACAACTACGCAGTCTCGAATCATTAATTCTGGTTCGTCGTGGCAATTGTGTGGTTGCGGGGTGTTGAACTGCGTTGCATGAATGAGATATGTGTTTTGAAACGGTATTTGAAGCCAATCTTGTCGGACAAGAAACCACCACACTCGTTTTTTAACCTCCCTTTCAATGAGAATTCGGACAACGGATCGATTTGGTTGTCCGTAGTAATAGCTGCCCGGTCGATCTGGACCGAGGCGATGCATGTTCAGACATTGCGAAATTCGGATGCCAGTGGCTATTAAAACGCAGGTAAAATCCGACTGATCTATGTTGTGCGCAACCTGCATCAAGATGCAAATGGTCTGAACAGAGCATAGAGTGTGCTTGGCCATGAAATTAGCATCAAACAAGCACTGTACACTTTTATCGTAGAGCGCGCGGGCAGAGTTGGCACTCGCTGCTCCAGGAGGTCAGTTCCTGAGGTTTATCGCAGAGGCGTGGGCACGCACCAGTAATGTCAATCCCTAGTTTAATGAAATCATCTTCATGAGCATGAGAGAGTGTAGTCTGCCTCGTCAGTTTTTGTTTAAAGAGCTGTCGTGCAATGGTACCTACGCATAAAATGGCGTAGTACAGGGCAATCCAACTCCGGTCGCATGTAGATTGTGTCAGATTTGACTCGAACTCTTGCTTGAAAGTAGGCATATGAACGACGTTGTGCATCCAGGCAATAGTTTTTTGGTGGTAATCAAGCAAGAGACGAGCTTCCTGCGCAGAGAGAACCGTATCCCATGAAGGAGCTGCTACGTTTGTTGCGGAACCCTCACTGAACAGGTCGACAACATCCGGGGAGTCAACGGGGTCGGTCGTCTGGTTGGAAGCATTGTGCAGGCTCAAAATATTGTTGCGACCGTGTGTGAGGAATTCGAGAGTCACGACAGTCTCATTCGTCGGCACAATGACAGGGCTGTTGGCCCTACCCAGAAGCTCACGATCGGTTCGAACACCTCCAGCGGCGCTGTACGGCGTTTGGACTGCTAGGCTGGCACTTGATGGCGACGACTGATTGACAGACTGACTCATTGTGCTCAAAGGGCCCTGGCCTTCAGAGATTGACGACGCTATGGATGTGGATGCAATGGGCGCATCGCGCTTCCGGACCACGGCGACCGTCTCTCGGTGACAATCTTGAGCTTTTCCACGATCGACACAGGAGGAGCATGGAATTGATTTCGAGCATCGTGTCTTCCGACGAGCGCATTCCGTGCAAGACAATACCGATCGTTGACTCTTTCGCATCGGAGGCATTGTGCGTCAAATATGAAGATAAACGACGGAAGAGATATCGCGTCTTTTTTCGAATTGCTGCTCCTTTGGCTGTGCTGAAGTTTTATCCAGAAGCGTGTCGGAGGTCGCCGAAAACCCCCGCATTTGGTGAAGATAAGTAGCCGTCACTTACCCTCCACCGCCAACTTCTTACGTACCCCATTCCAGCGTTGACCAAATCGGCTGTGGAGAGTAGGGCGGGATCTTGCAGCAAGAAAATTGCGGTTGGTAATACATCGATACAGGGTGTTTGACACAGTTGTCTCGTTTCTCCATCAAAGTCCTGGCAAAAAGTCCTGCCATCTTTCCCGTTGACAGAATCGTGGCTGTGTATGATTCGTGGTTTGACTCACAACATCTGCAAATTACCATGGAAGCCAGAAAATAACTACATTTGAGTGGAGGTTACGGGGTATTGGCGATTGACGAGCAATATTCTCAACAAAATGTCTCAATACATCCCCTCCCTCGGCCTATACAGCATGCTTACAATGCCTCCGAGGCCGTGTCCGACCAGCCCCGCGATGGATATCTAAAGGACATGCACGAAAACTCCAAGCACGTCGATGAGAAATGCCATGGTTATTTTTGTGCCCATCTTCCTCAGGCTGCTATGCCCCAGTCTAGGCTAGTCGATCCAGACAACGGTGTATTCGGAGGAGAATATCTCCATCAGTGGCTGGCAAACATTTGTGCTTGCGCCCAAACCATGAGCCATAATCATGACAGGTCCAGAGCCATCGATTTCGCAAAAACATTGTAATCCACGATAAAGGTAATGAATGAGTAACGCTTCGGCGTTGCCGCGAGCTGGAGCACGGCGACCGTCATTGCGATAAAGTGATTTGCGTCACTAGTGGGACCTGTACACACCGCGTGGAAGACAGCAGGATGATACAGCAAAGAAGTTTACATTCATTAAAATTATAGCAACGCCTGGCCATTCTGGGAACAATTATCGCGGATGTCACCAATTGGTTGAGGCGGGTTGATTGATACGGGCGGCTCACATCTCGGCCGCGGGTGAGATTGCCCTTCTCTCAAATCTCGGCCGTGGCCATCACCCATACTAATCCACACCCAATTCTCGTATTCGATTTCCAATGCATCTATCAACGCATGCCATCATTCGAGGCCACGAACAAATGGCCCTTTGGCGGCAGCCGTAACAGTCCCGTCTCCCGACTAGCAGCCTCGTACCCCGTAGCCAGTTCCTCTGCCTTCCCACGCAAGGCTATCGCACCGCTCTGGGACAGGTAGATGTGTTGTCCCATCCAAGACGTCAGGGCTGGTGGACCCATCCATATCCGGATCAGTCCAACTAGGATCGCCAAGATGCCGAGGGCCATAAAGATTCTAGCCGCGACCTTGTAGCAACCCGTGGCCCCAGAATATCGTCGTCCGAAGAAGAAGGGAAACTGCCTCGTCTCAAAGTCGTCTGCATGGGCCCCGAGTATCGTCAACACAAGCTCGGAGTCAAACCGTTCGGGACCAAATGGCCTATTGTCCGACTGTAGGTGTCGGAGATTGGCCACACTGTTCTTCTCTGGCGTTACCGAAGCCCAGCCTGCCATCACCACCCGCACGAAGGCACTGACGCCCTGGAGAGGTAGTGTGTCCGGGTCGTTGATTATCGCATCAACCCAGTTCTGGTAGTATGGAAGGGAGGCATCCTCGTCCTTGGTTATAACCGTGTTGTTGTCTTGGGATACGATCACCAGGCCGTCGCTGCCGTTGAGGATACCCAAATCGAACATGGCAGAGCATTCTTCGTCTTCAACACCTCTGCCAACTAGCCCGACAGCATAGTGTAAGCTGTACGTCAGACGGTGTGCCGCAAGTGTACTCTGTGCTGGGTCATTCAACCAACTTCCAGCCTGCGTCCATTGTATCTGCACCCGGCCCGGTTCGAGGACACGGTAGTCCACCACGGCGTGCCCTGTCGAATTGAGCCAGTGGTTGTTGGAAGTCTCAGTCCGCATCCAGCCAGTGCTGTTGGAAGTCATGACAAAGTCCCCTTGCTCCTCCGTCATGTTGGCAACCATGACAGTCTCTCGTGAGATGACATATCCGTTTTCGCGAGGGCGGAAGAGGCCAGAACAGTTTGCCCACCCGGCCATGATAATACTGATCGGCGGCAAGTTTGGGTCCCAGTCTTCCTCTGCCGAATCTGCACTGGATCCCTCCTTGGGTTGGACTTGATGGGTAAATGCTCGGTTCGAATTGCCTTGTGGGACATCGCCAAACCACGGGCTAGATATTCCGTTGTTAAGTCCTTCGAGAGGAGGAACAGTGAGCTGGACTCGAGTCCGGTCGAGATTCTCGTATGACAGAATAGGAAGCTCCAGTACGGCGAACTTGTATCCAAGAGAGGCAGCAATACTCGAGATCGCGAAGATCAATTTCAAGATGGTGAAGGCAGGAAATCCTCTAATGCCGCACTGTACCGGAGCTCGACTTTGAGAGTTCAGGTAGCGACCGTAGTCAAGTCCAGTCTCCTTCCGTGCCGCCCAACTGCACCAGGCATCGAAGAGATGATTGTAGGCCTCGTTGAAGCCATAGGCAAGCATACCAAAGCCAACACCGATAATGGCCACCCAGGTTTGGATGTTCAGCGAAGATCCGAAGCGGAAGCGAGCTTGGTTGTCGTATAGCGCAGTTCCGCTTTGCGCGTTCCCTTGGCCATCTTTTCTCCAGGTCGGGGCCAGACTGGTGTTAACGCCAACGAGGATCAAGATGACACCGCCCGCGAAGAGTGCGAGGATGGAGACGGGACCGAGTAGTCGGAAGCGCGTGATGAGACCAAAGCGAGCCATGTCGAGATTTTGCCTGCTGTTGCGGAATGGTAGACCTGAGGAGGGGCCTGTTATTGAATGTTTTAAGTCATAGTTTATTTTCAAGGTTAAAATTAAGTACAGGTTCGTTTCCGGCGTGTTGTTGTGGTGGCGTTTCCGCGTGCTCAAAACATAAGCCACTTGGTCTCGCCTCAACAAGAACAGATCCAACTATTTGCTATAGTCCCTCTGTTGTGTCACTTCTTGCATGTGGTGGCTAAGCTGAAATCTTGGCAGAGCAGTCTAGATCATGGTGGCGGTAAGACACAAGCCGCCTTTTACTCACGACCAACACCCAACGAATGTCTGTGGTCTATTTTGTTTGCACTAGCGCACACGGATTCATTCATTCCGCCCCTAATTGTTTGCCAAGACGAGCTGAATGTTAACCGAACCTTGGATCAAAGTAAGACGTTCATTTGCCTGGCCCGAAGACGAATGAGTACCAGGAAGCTTAGCCACCGAGGGTCACCGAGTGAGACACATCGTGCGATCAAGTTGTGATCGAAAAAGAAATACGAGAACAGTTTCCCCACCGCTGTTTGATTAAATATAAAACGCCGCTGAAGTAGCCAGGTAGCTAGGTAGTGGTAGATTGGGGTCTAGAAAGTCCCAACTTTCGAGGAATAAGGGTTGAAGCGGCAGTGCAATTGTGTTATCCAACAGTACCGTTCTCTGATCAGTCGCCGGTAGCCGGTCATTGATAAACGATTCCGCGATGCGATACAGCGCCCTGCAAAGACCAAACTGTCGTTGCAGAGGTTCACGTATGGAGCTAATCTGTTCGATGGTGTCAAGAACGTTCTTGAGCAGTTCGAGGTCTCCTGTGTCTTCATTTTTAATGCAATGCAAAAAGGCAACAATGAAGGGTGTGAATGACGAGTGTAGGAAAATCCTATGACCTGTCAGTGTACATTCCACGTATCAGAATGCTGGAATCCTACCAGATGCCATAGTAAGACATAGCTGTCATCCCTGCAGATATGGCTCGAGGCCAACGAGTAAGGTGTGCTCGCAAGCCCTGCTGGGCAGCCTCAAAGCAGGCGGGTACAATGTCCTGAGCTGAATTGGACAACGTCGCGCCGCGGTGGAGGATGGTCAGGACCGAGTAATAGGAAACCTCGGTGGGCTCCAGCAGTCTTTCGAAGACTTCTTTACAATGCGCATTGGTGCTATCAATCTGTTGCCAGCCGGAATACCATGTACTCAATTGTGTCGATAGGTCGTCAATCAATGTCTGTCGCTGTGCTGTGTCCAGCTTGTTGGACGAAGGGGAGTATAGGCGTTCATAAACCTGAGCTTGAATACGCGCAAACTCAACAAAAGAAGCAAAGATCTGTTCCCAAGGCAAAGACCCGGTTTCTTTTGACGCGATCCATTGCTTCACGTCGACATCATAATCCTGGATGAGCGGAGCTCTACCCAAGCGCAGCGAAAGGCTCTTGTCGAAAATGTAAATCCGCCAGAACAGCCGGCGGCATCTCTCAGCATCTACAGGGGGAAGATGCTCCATCCTCTCTTCGCGATGATAGCCTAGGGCAAGGCAGTGTCGTGCCGCGACGGATACCAAACTGGTGTGGAGAGCTAGATTCCCCTCGATTTGGGCATTGATCAACTGCAGTCCATATAAGCAAGAGTATCATCACAAATAATGGGAAGGCGTACTGCTATGGAGAGCGCCAATGTGTGATGGTAGCTTGGGATCATTGCCGTCTCGTACGTCTCAATTCCAGCCTGAAAGTTCTCCTGACAAATATCATAAAATCGGTTGACATCTTCTTCCGACAAGCTGCTATGCTTCTGAATTTTCAAGTCGCCCAGGATGACGAGGAAGATGCCATTGAAAAGCGTAAGTTCACCTGCGGAAAGGGGCTCCAATGGGAAGTGAACGCGCCGACAAAGCTCCTCGACCTGTGAGCGATCGTGAACTGCATGGAATAAGAAGAGCAATGATTGTGTGTCTCGACTCGGTTAGTACAGATGATGATAGAGGTGGCTTGGGCTCACCTTTCAAAACACCAAGCACCTGAAGAACAAAATTCGACGGTGGAAGTTCCATCCTCGTGATGTCATTGTTCCGATGCTCACGGGAGGTACTGACGGCCCGTATCGCCGCGGGATACTCCGGGTTTCGGAGAATATTACGGAGAGTGGCAACCTCTTCCATAATGGAGGGCGAGTGGCCAGCCTCACTCGACGTTAGCTCCGAGACCTGGCACGCAAGCAGTGTCTGCCGCCCAAATGATGATGCGCCCTCAAAAGACGTCGTTCGGTATGGTATGGAGGTCTGCTGATCAGCGCCGTCGTCTCGAATCGTCTGTCCGACGTAGTGTCTGCATTCCGTGGCCTGTGTGGGTTGGCTGGACTGAGTCTTGAGTGCCTCCTCAACGACACAAAGTCTCTCATGAAGACTTTGAAACTGTTTGTCACTGGTAAATTACTTAGTGCTAGTTTACAACGCGTAAGTTAGGTGACGATGCGTACCTAGGGGGCTTCTCATCTGGTGAAACCTGTGCCACAGTCGATTTCACCACAGCCCGACAGACGAGACGAGACGTCACGCAATTGGAACAGGGCAACTGGCGACTACATCGAATCTGGATTGCCTTAGTTCTTGATCCTGGCGCAACGAGCGCGAGTATGGGTGGCTACCTTTCGGATCCGACAATTATGACACTAGAACGGAGAGAAAAGCAAAAGCGGTTAGTATAAAGTGCGCATGTGAATTCCACGGGCAGCTTGGGAGAGGACTGCAGTCGGCTTACAGCTCTGGGGATGATATTCTTTGGGGATTGGTCCCTGTCCATGGTGGCCGTTTTCCGATGAACACACGATAAGTCTGCAGGAACAGGCTCTGTGGGTATCGTCGTGGGTTTACATATTTTCCCGCGGCGCCCACGGAGTCCACGGAACCCACGGAACGCGCGGGGCCCACCGTAGAGGATCCCATGACGAAGCGAGGCCTCATCTGCTGGGGAGGCTTCTGAAGCCAGACGCCTCTTTGCGGGGAACCATGTAGGATATTGCCATGGAGGCCATTGGTCTATGGACTGAATTGGGTTTCAAGGTGGGGATGGGAATGATGCAGATCGGAGCAGGGTTGAGAATGACTTATGATTGATGCTGCATTATATCCTTGGGAACGGTCTAGGTTGCACGGCGGCGGTCTGTGTGTTATACTTAACAGCCATTTAGTCTACTAGAAATATGGTTTATTCGCTTCATGCGATATCAAAGCGGTGTGTTCCATGCAACGTAATCAAAACTCGCTCGGTAGTCTTGTCGCTCCGTCCAGGCGGATTACCTCGCCATTCAGCATCACATTCTCAATTGCCTGACTCGCAAACTTGGCAAATTCCTCGGGCCTTCCTGGCCGCGCTGGAAACTCCATGGCCTTTTCGAATTTGCCCCACATTCCATAGTCGCCAATCGCCTTCGTCATTCCGGTGTCGAACAATCCGGGGGCAATGGAGACGACGCGGATGCCGAACTTGGAGAGTTCGCGTGCGAGCGGGAGCGTCATGCTCACTACGGCGCCCTTGGTTGCGGCATAAGTTAGCAGGCCGGGCTGTCCTTCGAATGCTGCAAGACTGGCAATCATGATAATGACTCCGCGTTCACCATCGGTGCCTTCTGGGGCCGCGATGGTGAGGTGCGGGAGGGTCTGCCGGATGAGATCGATTGTCCCTCGAAGATTGATGTTCAGAACCTTGTCAACGTGGTCCATCGAGAAAGGGTTGTTATTCTCATCGATGATCTACTGCTGTTAGCCCCATACGCCTCTTCAATAGGACCCAGTCGAGATTGCTCCGTCGTAGAAGGATTAGATGATACGTACGGGCGTGGGGACTGAGATTCCGGCACCAGGGATGACTCCCCCGATTGGTTTATCAGCCTCCTTCGCCCACTGTGCCGTCTTCTCGACCGCATCGGCGATACTGGCAGTCAATGTAACATCGACGCGGAAAAACCTGGCGCTAGACCCCAGTTCTTCTAAGGCGGCTGCACCAAGTGCCTCGTTGAGGTCTAGAAGGGCGACATTTCCTCCGCGCCGGACGATATCTACGGCGCATGCTTTTCCAAGACCAGAAACACTGGTCAATAGTCAGTACGTGATCGGCGTGGTTTGAAGATAGAGGGCAACTCTTCTCACCCTCCAGAGATAATGAAAGTCCTGCCCTCGATCTTCATGTTTAGCTTGTTATGTAAAGGCGAAATGGAGGTATGAATAGAATGACATGGATCAAGATCAAAATCTGACCAGAAATCAAGACATGAGATGCCAGTTAAAGACAATTTTTCCGTGGTAAAGCCATGTCACGGATTGATTCAAAAGGCCCACGGCTTCCGCGGCCCCCACTTGTTGTCCGAGCCGACCGACGACAAGGCGACCGCCGGCCGGAGCGGGATCATGCGTATGCCAAAGCCGGCCACGGGCATCCGCCGGAGGTAAAGGGAACCCGTAGAAAGCGAGTAAAGATCGCTTGGCTTTATACACACTGCATAATGTCCGCCGTTTGCTCGGCAGCCGGGATCGTTAAAGCAACGCAATGAGGTGTCGGCCTGTTATTACTGAACCTTACCAACTAACAATCCATCTACCTATCTGCTATGATATCCTCGAAACTGCCGCTGATGAGCTCGATGACATTTCCCCACTTGTCCTCAACATAGCACGCCTTATGCTTGAGTGAGAGTGGCATGTTTGGGCCAATTCTTTTTCCACCATTCTGTTCCACCCTCTCAGCCATTTCATCTACATCCGCAGTCGTGATTGCTATATGAAAATATCCACCTCTCTTATAGTCGCGTGCAAAGTTGGCTGTGCAGCCTGACTCTATCTTTGGATCCTCGAACTCGAAGAGCTCCAGGCCAGCAGCTCCAGCGGAACCAGCGCCGAGGAATGCCGTGCGCAACTTATTGCAGTCAGTTGGATAGACCTTGAAGACATCGGCAGTAGGATAGGTTGATCGATCCAGTGTTATTGTCGGCATTAACACTGTCATGCCAAAGGTAGTCTTGTACCACTCGATAGCGGCGTCGATATTCGGCACGGATATCGCAACGTGATTGAGAGCAAAACTAGGAGTCTGCAGGGTAGGCTGTGATGATTAGATAGGCCACAGCGTAAGTGGAGGGAGTTCTCACGGATGCCATTTTGGTGAAACCAATGATGAGAACGATGAGCTGGGAATGATATAGAAGCTTGTGGCAGTCAAATACCGGCAGTTTTATGCCGTATGTGACGAGTTTGATCAGATATTGTGAAAATTCATTTGTGGATTGCTGCCAAACTTATATCATACCAAATCTCATTGCAAAATCTTCTTCTACTGCTTACAGTTTATCGAAAACGGCTATCGTCCCTACCAGAGCACACTACATCGTGGATTGACCTCTAAGGCCACCCCTATTCCACGCCACTACAGATCGTGGCTAAGTCGGTTCAAAGGCTGGCGTCTGTGGCCTGTGCCTTGAACCCTGGAGCTACCTGGAGCGTGGTGGGCCGAGCTAGCAGGCAGTTCATGCAGCAACCCTGGAGTTTGTCAATAAGTGCGCAAACTCCGACAAGTCCTCGGGTTAATGCCGAGTCTCCAGTCGTCTGCAGGTACTCGAGATCTTCAAACCGGAATCGTATATCGCTACGGCCCCGAGAAAGTCCGCGATCCGTGTCCGCATGCCCCGGAGATCTGCATATAGCAATTCAATGGGAGTGGCATTCGTTTGTTTCGAAGTAGCCCAAGTCAGCGCAGGTGTCTAAATGTACACTTTTTGTTTTAGCAGTCATTGGAGAGATGGTACTCAGTCATATCCATTTAGCATCATGATAGATGTATATCGTCCGGCTTATATTCAGACGTCTTAGTAAGGAAATCGCATGTTACAATGTTGAGAATCATCGTATTCGCACCTAACTGCCTCTGAACAGCCAATGCGAGACTTGGTGTGGTGATTTCCTCTGAAGGGAAGCATCTTTGCACCATTCAACTCCATCCCTAGCCAAATATAGCTATACAAAACACAATTGCTAAACATCCACGTATCTGTTCTACATGAATCCTTTTCTCCTCGTAGCGTAAATATATGCAGAGCGGAGGACAATTAGGTCCCATGAACCCGAATTTCACCTCGCCGATAATAAAACAGACACGGTTGTGCAGCGATCAAGAGAGCCACGCGAAGCATGGTTCATTTATTTAGTTCAAATTCTGAAAACCACTAACTTCCGACTCATATGGAGGCTCTAGAGGTCCTTGAATGGCTTCATAGGAGCGATTGGGCCAATGACAGTTTCGCCCAATGCAGCCACCGTCTTTCCACTGTCTGCGACTATGTTTTGGCCGTTGATGGATGCTGATAAATCCGAGGCCAAAAATACGCCGATGCTGGCAATCTCCTCAGGTCCCGGAATGCGGTTGTAGTAGTAACGATCATCGGAGGCTTGACCACCCATAACCGTGTCAAATATTTTCATGGCCTCTTCCTTACTGAGCTTCTCATCAGGCGCATCTCCGTCTGTTGTCCACTTCGAAGTAGCATTGATGCTGGTCTTGATGAATCCAGGGGCAATTGCGTTGACACGCACATGAGTCGACGATAGCTGGACGGAAGCTGACTTGACCATGTTGCATGCTGCAGCTTTTGCAGTCGCTGTACAAGTTAGAACCTTTGTTTTATCACTTAGAGGTGTACTTACAATACGAAATATCAGACACGCCACCAATCACACCAGCCATGGAGCTTGTTACAATGATTGAACCTCCTGGCTTCGGTTTCTCTGAAGATGTTGTGCTCATTGCCTGTCCGCCATATCTGATGGCGAGGAAGAACGACCGCTGCATGATGGAGATGGTACGATCATAGTAAGCAGCATCTGTATCTTGAAGAGATCTATAGTCAATTAACATAATGGAATCATAAGAAGAATATTAAGGGTTAGTTACCTATAATTTCCAACACCAGCGTTGGCGAAGTAAAAGTCTAAACGGCCATAGGTAGAAACAGCCTTCTTGAGAATGCCAATGGTCTGCTCCTCTGAAGTAACATCAAGCAATTCGCCATGTACTTTGCAAAGCGAGCCGCTATCCTTGACTTCTTGTTGGAGAGAAGCGATGTTGGAGAGCGTTAGGTCAGTCGCATACACCGCGCGAGCTCCAGATTCGGCAAGCAACAGAACAAGAGATCTGCCGATGCCATGGGGAGAGCCTGCACCTGTGACGAGGCCGACCTTGCCTTGCAGTAGTTTTGGGAGAAGGCCATGATGAGATGGTTGGATTGAAGAAAGTTGCCGAATTGGACCTCTCGGTTGCGGGGAAATAGATGTATGCTTTTCTAGAACAGTTCCTTAGCCTGTGAAGGTATTTGGAGTCATGGCAAGCTGCGTTTCGGGGTCTAGAAGGGCCCGAGAAGTGATCCAAGTCTTTCGGCAGTGAGGCCGAAGTCCTAGCGCCCATCATGCATGCCCTGTTGCAATGAATCATAGCTCACCCAAGTGTCAAAGAGCCTAGACCCAGGGATTTGACGTAGTAGCCGGTCAGATGAGGCAGATCTAGCGTCGATCAACTGCGGTAGTTCACCAGCCGGCCGCGGAGGCCGCGGAGAGCGCGGTCTTTGACCCCACAAACCCCAGTTTATGTCGCGGGAAGCCCCCGCATTCCCCGGCTTCACGGAGTTAGTGGGAGATGGAATAGTTGATGGCTATTCTGAGACGGCTTCGACAAACCCCGTATTTTCAGCCATCCATCCGTGTTGCAGAGAAGTGTCATCAAATGTCCGATTCGCAGGAGATTCAGTCCTTCGTCACAGCTGCCGGACGTCCGGGAGCCTCCACTATCCGTTTCGCAGATCAAAGGGATATTTCTAGCTGTTAAAGTCCAGATTCCACTTGTCTAGTTTTGCTTGTGACTATTTATATCACTTGCCATTGACCCCCTTCAATTCTGAGGTTCCGACAACAAGGCCGTGAAACCAACTCGGCATCCTCTTGTGCTGTCTTGTCCAACTCAATCTCCCGTGTCCTTGCAACTAAGAACACATCTTTCAAATTTCCATCATCCCCTTCACTATGGACGATATTCTGGAGAATATACGTCCGGCCGAGGGCAACAATCTGTCGTTGTACCTTGAATCACTAGTCGCCTGTTCCCTTCTTTGGGTCCTCTTCACATACACGTCTAAACACCGCTACTTGCGCGATGTCCCAATTGTGTCCTCGGAAATTAAAGGCCCCCAGGGCACAGGATGGTCCATGGAAGGTGTTCAAATGGTGTTCAAGGGGTTAAAGACCTATCCAAGCACCTTTCAGGTTATGTCTGGCACTGGGCCACTTGTTGTTTTGCCCAATCGCTTTACGGATGAAGTGTGCAACCGCAAAGACCTCAGTTTCAACAGATATCAGTTTCAACAGATATTTCGACAAGGACTTCTTCGTTAAATATCCTGGTTTTGAAGCTTATGACACTGGCTACAAGGACGGAACATTTATCCAAGAAGTCGTCAGAACGAAGCTCACCCAGTCGCTGGCGCTCGTCACGAAAGATCTCGTTGAGGAAATGACCAATGCAACTCACGAGCTTGCTGGTGAAGACACCAAGTTCCACGAAATCACCGCCAAGCCCTTTGTCTCTCAACTTGTCGCAAGACTGTCTTCCCGGGTTTTCTTGGGCAAGAACCTAGCCCGCAACAAACGGTGGCTGGAAATTGCTATCGGCTACACCGATGATTCCTACTCCGCGGCATACGAACTTCGCCAGTGGCCTTTCTTCTTCCGTCCGTTTGTGCACTGGTTTCTACCCAAGTGTCGTCGCCTTCGCCAGGAAGTCAAGGACGCTACTTCATTGATCATGCCAGAGGTTGAGGAACGCAAGCAAACTGTTCGCAAAGCCCTCGAGTCTGGCACGAAGCCACCGAAGACGGCCGATACGATTGGTTGGATGTATGAGATTTCTCGGGGCCGCGATGTCAACTACGTCCATGGTCAATTGTTCCTCAGTTTCGCAGCCATCCACACCACTACGGAAACAATCACGGCATGCCTCTATGACATTTGCGCATACCCTGAAATCGTTCAGCTTCTGCGCGAAGAGATCATTCAAGTCCTTGGAGAGCATGGTTGGGCCAAAACATCCCTATACAAGCTCAAGTTGATGGACAGCTTCATGAAGGAAAGCCAACGTCGTCACTCCATGGGAACTAGTATGTCTTGGAAATGGCCTTACCTACTGCAGACCATCTTTTAATGCTAACATCTCGCCAGCTTCAATTCACCGCTACGTTGATAATGACATCAAGTTGTCGGACGGAAACACGCTGCGTAAAGGATCTCGAGTCATGGTATCAGCCGATCCATTCATGGACCCTGAAGTATACCCAAATCCCGAGAAGTACGATCTCTACCGCTTCTACAATCTCAGAGCCCAGCCGGTTAAAGAGAATGGCTACCAGTATGTGACAAATTCGCCCCAACATTTACTCTTCGGTCATGGTACACACGCTTGCCCGGGAAGGTTTTTCGCCAGCAACGAGATGAAGATTGCTCTTTGCCACTTGTTGCTCAAGTATGACTGGAAGCTTTGCGACGGAGAAACCACTCGACCGCTCAACCTTCAGGCCGATCAGGGTTACTTGACCAACCCTGTAGCCAAGATTCAGATGAGACGAAGGAAGGAGGAAATTGATCTTGACACAGTCACCGAGTGAGACTCGGGACAGCAAGATGGACAGCGACCTTCTGGGTTCTGAGGATTTGGTGAAATGATGTATCGTGCCAATAGTGTGGAGGATATTGCAAGTCAATTTTTGTATCCGTGGGTCTGGTAACCCCTCAGTTTGAATAGTTGCCACGCGATGAACGCCAGTAAATGATATGCATATTACCACTGAACTCGGATTTAATCCGCCATTGTAAAGTTGGCCCGAGAAGCAACCCCATCAGATCAACGTGTATTACCCACTTTCCATGCTTGCGGCACGAGTGTGCGTACGTAGTGAACCCAGCTAGTACCGTCCTTCGACGTTAAATGGTCTACTATTTTGTTGCCGTGATCAGGCACATCGGTGTAGTCTTTTGTGGCACCATTTGTGGACCCTTTGACCTAAGCCTCAAACGTAACTGCGTACCACGTACAATCGGGCATTTGGGGCTGCGGCCGCGGATTCCGCGGTCTTTACACCCTTGCATGGACATGGCGCAAGATCTAGTAAGAACTACGGTGAAGGTGAAGCGCCTTCGCTGAATCAGCCCTTTGCTACGTGTCTGAGAGTTGAGGTCTGTACGTACTATTGAGAGAATTTGTTTGGACGTTGTTTCTTGTGTGAGATCTGAATCGTGCCCAGACTTGGTTGTTTGAACCAATTGAGCAGAATAGCCATTCAAAAAAACTTCAGCTCAGATGATATCCAATTAATATATTATTTGATCAAGGACTCCAATTGGGCCACTATGTTAGGAAACTGTGGGCATTTTACAAGGGATGACACGATTCGTGAATCAATTCTGTTCAATGGCCTATCTCCGTTTGTCTCGCAATTTGCCAACCCAAACCTAACAGTTCCTCCCATAGCTGGATAGCCCTAATCCCTCGTGGCCTTGGTAGTTTCCCCAATGATAACAGTCTTCGTCCTGGCAGCGTCCATAAACGTGCCGCAGTCTTTGCCGACTATTGGGGCGTTTTCTGGTTCGGATAACAATGCGGACATCTTCTCAAACCCCGCTTGGTCTTCGAAGGAAAGCGTGCTCACGCAATCGAAGCTGAAGTCGGATTGGCCTCCCGTGAGAACCGTTGCAGGATAGCCGTCGGCACTGCCAGCTCTCTGGATGTACTGTCGTGTATGAGCCAGAGGAAATATATCGCCAGCGAGTGACTTCATGAGAGGAATGTGGATATTCTCATAATGCTACTTGAACTGGTCGGGGTTCATGGCAGGGTTGCGAAAGACAAGCATCATTACAGTGAATGCCATTTTAAGGTGATAACGTGTGATTTAGGGTGAAGTTTAAATAGTAATATTGAGTGCTTGATGTAGTATCTGGTTTCTCTATACAATCAATGCGTGGTATTCGCCTGTATTTAAATACAAAAGTACAAGAGATACGACACAGCCAACGGCGCGCGGTAACCCCGGCCGGGTTTGTGGAACTTTCCCAGACGGCGTTATCGTAAAAACGAGTTAGTAGTGACACACAATGGGCCATGCAAAGGCTTATGCGGGGTAAAGGATTGTCGGGCCAGTGACTCGCCCGTCGGAAGCTTCCAACAACCCGGGCACCCGAGGTGTCCGAATTTCATCTCCGCGTGACAGTCCGTAAGACTAGGGTATTTAGCTTGTACTACCAGGGCGGCTGTCCTACAGTCATCTTGAGAGAGGAGCATGATGTTCTTAACCTTGGACACACGGGCATGTTCTTCTCTATCATGTAGATCGGGTAATGACTGTATTCATTACAACCGTAGACCCGTACCTGAACTCGCTACGGGCCTATGTCCCCAGCAATCCTGAGAAGCGAGAAATGATGACATCATGTCTCCAATGTTGATTGATAGACTTAATCACACCAACTCACAAAAGCTCATTTCTATAAATGAGCCGCGCTTCCTGATTCCAGCGCTTCAGAAATCACTTCTGTTGCCATCAACACCTCCTCATCTTGACCTGTCCATCCAACAACTTGTAGGCCACATGGAGCTCCCTGCGAAAGTTCCGGATCATCTTTCGACAATGTCAGTGCAACGTCACTCCAAAAGAATGTGAATTATGCGGATCCAAATACTTACACCCCTCAATGATCTGTGGGTCAGTGGCGTTGTCTGCCGTCAAGAACGGGATCACAGATGCCGGGCACTGCCAATGATGTTAATACGCTCTGCTGAGACCTCCTGCTAGCCTTCGACAGATCATTCATTTACTCACATCCAGCAGATTCCAAACCATCGTATGCCATGGGGCCCCAACTTTTCCGTGAGCCACAGCTGGAAAACGAGCCGCAGGACATAGCAAAACGTCGATGTTACTCTCTGCCCATACCTTATGCCAAACTTTTCGGTAATCGTCTCGTTCGCGATTAAAGTCCCACACATCTTTCAGGGTGTATTCGCGTTGTTCAGTTGGTACACTTGCAGCGGTGTTCAGTAGTGCAGGAAGCGGCTGCTCCCCGCCATCTGCGAGGAGTTTAAATATCGAGTTATTGGGGTCAAGTTTTGTCGATTTTAAGAAAGTCTTGGCAACTTGCATCAGAGATAAAGGAAATTCAATAGGCGTTATCTGATGGCCAGCCGCTTCAAGATCCGCCACAGCAGTATGCAGAGTTCGGGTCACTTGCAGAGATACTGGGAGGTCGGGATTAGTAACCCAAACCCCGATGTTGAGTTTGTCCTTTGTCGGAATGTCTCTCCATGGGATACAAAGCGCCGCCGGATCGCGTTTCCAAGGCTGGGCTTGGATGATCGTCTTTGAAAAAAGGGTGAGGTCCTTGGCGCTCTGTGCGTGCGGTCCAAGAGCTGGAGTTACACCAGGCGATCCTTTCGGAATCAGGTCTTGCTGGCCGCTGTATGGTATGCGATTAGCCGTAGGCTTGAACCCAAAGGCACCGCACCAGATGGACGGGAGTCGAATGGAGCCACCAATGTCACTACCGACACCAAGCAATGATCCTCTGAAGCCCACCAAGGCACCTTCTCCCGAACTGCTCCCTCCTGGAGTAAGGCACAGCTTGTGAGGATTCATCGTATAACCAAACACATTATTCATGCCTTCGGTCATCTACAGACATTAGCTTATAGCGTGCAATAAAGTCGTTGAATACATACGAAAAGAGTCTGGGGAACATTAGTCTTGCAGTACAGCACCGCTCCGGCCTCGAGCAACATATTGACTAAGACAGAATTCTCGTCGGCCACTGGCTTGACCAGATAAGATACAAATCCCAAAGTAGCGGCTTCGCCTTTAACCATGAGCGTATCCTCCATTCCACAGTTAGCAAGATAATCCGATTCAAGCAGGCATAATAGCAATAGAAAGACACTGATGCAAGATTCATGCTTGGATACAAAAGAAAGAGGACACACCTTGATGCTGATCGGCATTCCATGGAGTGGACCCATGGGCCTCCCCTCCCGCGCAAGGAATTCATCGCACTCATGTGCTCGTTGTAATGCGTTGTCAAAGAAAATTTCCGTCAAGCAATTTGTCTAGGGATGGTGAGCTTTCCCTGCCAACAACCCAAGTGCAGGAGGACACAAACTAGTTGCTGTGCGATAGCAGCCCGCTTGCAAAGCGCCGTGGTCACCTCTACCGACGAGATAGCGCCAGTGGCCATCATTTGGATAAGGGTTGATGCATCGTGTTTCTCAGTAATCTCACGCTCCCTCTCTGTAAAAAAGGTAGTTTGATCTAAAAGATCAAAAGCGCTCAAGGTCGAATGGTGGTTGACTTGCATGGTGATTCGCTCGTCAAGACGCCATTCCGGACGGATTCGCGAATCACGATCTGCCAGTTTGGCCTCGATGAGTTTCTGCCAGTCTACAGAAGCCATTTTAGATAACAGGGTCTTTGTGTGAGAGGAGAATTGATGAGGATGCTGGGAGTGATGTGATAGAGAAGCCGTACCGTGCCAGCACAGGTTAATTTATACTACAACTGATTTACAAAAGAAATCACAACAGGGATGCCCAGATCACCGTCTATCTAGCCGTTGTTGTTGCATGATACCAGATAGCTAGCTAACGCGGGGTGATTAGGACACTTCTAAATCGGGAAGTTTTGTGAGAACGGAGATCGCACTCGCTTAGATTCGCACTCGCGTCGCGGGGCCCGTGAGTTCCGGGCAAATAACCACTACCTCGGTCAACCATCAAATAAGCATACCATTATGAGGATCAAGGGTTCCTAATTGGATGAAGAGAAAAACGCTCCTCTAGCTTCTCAAGAAATTCCTAAATAGAGAAATGTGGGTGCTTACCTTGTCGACTGTACCACGGAGGAGGGAACCAGAATAGGCTAGAGCAACAGTCTTAACTGGGTGTTCGGGATATGGCATTGCACAGACATAACGAAGGAATTCATATTCCGCTCCACGTTCAATAAGGGGCAACGAATTAAAATGGTCACAATACGATGACATATTAAATCTCAAGACCACAGGCTTGCATCTCCCACCCCCACTCGGCTTGAGACCCTATTTTCGCATCCCACACTTACCTCCAGTGACGTACCTAAGTTGCAATCACCTCCCGTGTGCTTTTGCGAGAAGAACCCATGAGAACGTGTACGCAATTAGCTCGTGACTGTAACCTAGTTCATGGAACTGCCAGTGCACTTGCCGGACAATCCTTCGAATACACTTGGAGGCATACTACCCAATTCTATATACGCACTTCGGATATTAACAGAACAAATTTGAGAGGGGAGCATGAAATAGTCAAAAAGCTAGCCAAATCTGGCAATAATGCGAGAAATTCTTCGCACCTCTTTCGATCACATGCATAAGCCAGCAGGATTTGGAACCGTGTATAATCACTAGTGCCACCTCACTCCCGCGGATGTTTGCTCTTATTGCCGAGGCAACACAGATGGGACGATTACACAAGTAGAACTCTATGTCCCAGGCTTTTCAGGCATGCTCCAACATCCCAGGACGTGCTGTCCACCTCCTGTTTCATCCAAACATTTTCCATGATGCTCAGAGCCTCTTGTGCAGTCCCAAGAGCTTGGAACGCTTCCATTGAGCCCCCTATTCTTCGGAATGCTTGTCTATCCTGACCCAAAGCGAGGCATCCACTGACGCAGAACGGCCACACAAGCGACCGTAGCCAGGTAGGCGATGATATCTTATCGAAGAGCTCAATCATTCGTGTAGTATTGCTCCGGATCCTCGGGTCCACTGGCTGCCAACCTAAAAGTAAAACAAGGAGGTATGTATGGGCGGCGTGAGCCCAAATACGCGTGATATGGGTATTCAATTCCGGGATAAGAGGGTAGAATCCGTAAGCGCAATTTGAGCGTTGTAGCATTTGTTCAAGGCGTTGATCTGGCTGAGAGCATTGTGATGATTCTCTTTCATGGAGAATTTCTTTGTCATCGAGCTGGGCAAGGCCCTCTTGCAGGCGTGCCTCGATACATGTCGCGCGAGAAATGAAATCTGCTTCAGACCAACTGCTGGTGTTTGACTGTTCCTTTTTCCATTCGCCAAGGGTTGCAGTATCGCTTATTGCTAGCAAGACCCAAGTCTCGCAACCAATAACCTCTTCCATCTTCACGACAGGAATTTTTCCCCGCCCGTCCTGTTCCAGTTCGGGATGATATGTCTTCAATTTTGGAGATCGTTCAAGTGATGTGCCAGCAATGATGTCATCGATCAGTAGGATGGTAGCAAAGAACCGAAATGCTCCCTGATTTGGGTTTGGTGGGATTGACAGCGACAAGCCGGGACCAGCTAATCTTTCTAATACGACATGGATCCCTCGTGCGGTGTCGTCACCGCCGTGATCTCGAATGATCTTTTCGAATAGGTTGGTTGCGGCGTCAAGGTGAATTTGCCACTTCCCTGATGGGAGGGCGATTTCGAAATTGAGGAGCTGTGCGATAGTTGCGAGAAGATAAACATCGTTCAGAAGAGACTTTCCCACACCCCGAGAGCCAATGTCTTTGAGGTCGCGCTGAACCGTCATCAGAGCCAGATCCATTTGTTTTTGGAGTTCCTTCCAGGTACTCGAGGCACACGCATCGTGCGCTGGACCCGGGGCTATTGGTATGGTGCAAAAGAAGTACGATGATAAGCTGACGATGGTGTTGAAAAACCCAGTGTTTTTTGTTGCTAGGACGAGCAGCCAGGTGCGGCCGCCTTGCAGTATAGACGGCCGATAAAAGGGAAAAAGGGCTGGGAATACATAATCCATGTAGCCTGTGATGTAGCCCATGTCTATATCGCTGCGGGATGTCGTGGACAAATTGTCCGTTACTGACGCACTGAAGTAGTCCTGGGAGATGCTGGGTTCGACGGATGGCGCGAGAGGGTGGCCAGATATTTCCACGAGGTCGAATGAGTTGTTTGATATCGTGGTATTGCTTTTAGCCGCACAAATCGAATTCTGAGGCGTCAAATGATCAAGATGCGATGGGCTAGCGTCCAGATGAGACGAAGACTCGGCATCCTCGGAAGTACTGGTAAGATCTTGCGCAATGCTTTCCATCATGGCAATGCCACGCCGCCTTTTTGCACTTTGCTTGACCTGAACCTTTATCCGCTTGGTCATCTGCTGCTGCCGCTCCCCGCTGTCCATCCAATCTGGTTTCTCCGCGACATAGTGGCAGCTGATTTCCAGGGCAGCGCAGCCTCCACACACGGGCAGCAATGCGTCGCACTTCTTATGGCGAAGACGGCACGTCCAACAGGACGCCTTTGTGTTCTTCCTGGTGGGCATGGGTCCTGGGCAGCAGCGGTTGGCTGGTCGGGCGGTCTCTTCGAGCATTCGTGCAAGGGAAGAGTTGTCTGGTCCTCTTCCTGTTCCCGTCGTGTCTTGGTCGCGCTCGGAATTGACCCGCTCGGAAGTTTGTCCGCGCGGAGAATTTCCCGCGCGCGCTCGTTTCCGCGCGGAAGTTGTCCTTGGCGCAAATTTGAGATGGTAGATTCGTACCGGTATCAACAAAACAAGGATTTCTGTATAAATAAGGCTGTTAAAGCTGATCAATTTGATTTCCAAAGGTCCTACTTCCCAGACAAACGGAATCAAATGGCAGACTTTACTAAAAGTGGCAAGATTCTCGTTCTTGGAGCCACAGGACCTGCGGGTATTTGTCTACTCCGGGAACTCATTCATCAAAAATATTCCACCATTGTTTACGCTCGAAATCCTGCCAAGATCTCACAAGACATCGCATCAAATGCTCTTATAACGGTATGTGATAAGACATGGCGCGTTGTGGATTTGGCCATGCATTTTCCACGTCGACCCTACCCTACAGTCGGACAATTAACTAACAGGCACAGATCATCAAGGGCGAGATAAATGACCTCGGTGGTCTTTCAACAGCCATGACTGGGAGCTCGGCTGTCTTATCACTTCTCGGCCCTAACATTAGCGACAAAACAATTCCGCATTCACTGTTCTCCGATTATTACATCAACTCGATATTCCCCGTCATGCGAAAGCTTGGAGTTCGACGGATTGTGGCGATGGGCACTATCTCAATCTCTTGTCCAGATGACCATTGGACCATTTTTCAGCCCATGGTGCACATGTTCATGAAACTATTTGCTCGTGCGGTATATCAAAACATGCTCAACTTGGCAGACGCATTCAAGAACGAGGCACAAGGACTAGATTGGTCTCTGTTTCGGATTGCCCAAATTCCCGGCGAATCCGATGAGGCAAGCTGGAAGGCCGACAGGGAGGCGGATCAAGTTTATGCAGGTCCGCTTGGTGGGAAAGGGTGGTCTACCTCGGTGAAGAGAGCGGCACTGGCAAAGTGGATGGTTGACAATGTGGGCTCAGAGGAATGGGTTACGAAGATGCCAGCACTGAGTCGTCTGGCAAACTAGCAAGGCCGTCTTCTAGCAGGCTGCAGGCATTAGAGTGCTGGATATATTAATTCCTAGAAACATGTTGGGCACTAGTCTGGTTGGTGATTTTCCATCCTCAAGCTGTTCGGATGGCAATTGACGGGAGGCACTTTCATCTCACAGGCTTGCGGGCGTAGAAGATATGTTAGACTTGACTTGTTCGTCATTTTACTGTCTGTTAACATGTGAAAAATATTTAAGCAAAGTCTGAAAGTCTGGTTACTGAATTCTAGGTTGTCAAGCATGCAACTAAACTCGATGCCGATAACGCTACTGTCTTCAAGCACAGTTGGGTTGTCACATCCAGTATATAGGCCTCAGTTGCACTACGCATTAGTGCGGCAACATGCACCTCCCTGGCTGTCACGCCCAGGCGAACCATCTTCCACGCCGCCGACGAGGCCTCGCGCGCGACCAAGGTCACCTTCGATTCGTTGGACAAGATGAGTAGCACGGAACAACATGAGCACTCCGGATCAATGAAGAGATGGATGAATATGTAAAGGACACTCATTACCTTAGCCATTCCATAGTTCCAGAAATTCCTAGTCAATGTAAGCATTCTCTCGTGAATGGGATGCATATCCGAACGCACTGTAAGCGATGGCTGCTCGCCTAGTACCCACGACACCAATTGCACAATCATGGACCAGGTATTTCCCCCGGCGTATATCTCACAGATAGCCTTGTAAAGGCCTAGCTAATCAATCTAATATTACTGCGCCTATATCCTGTCGTCGATCCTGTCAAGAGGTCAAAGATATGTGTATTGTGATGACTATCACGAAATAGCTAGGCAAGGGAATTATGAGGCCATAGGCGGCTGTGGGCTCCTGCAACAAATCCCACCGAGCCCTGGTATCATACAACGAAAGTTGTAGACCTTCACTCTGCGCCATGTTTCCAGCCTGGCATGTCTGACAGATCCTTTGCTGGAGCGCCGCGTCTCGACTTGAGAGCATCGCCTCCAGGTCTCCATCTCCACGCATCGGACAGATCTTGAGAAAGAGATCCTTCTATTAGCTCAACCACGTGCTTGCCAATGTTCGGTAAAAACTTGAAACTATGTCTGCGGTATATAGAGTCAGAAAGTTTATTGCGTTTTGCAGCTTTTGGTTTATCGCTTACCCGCTGTCTCCCGTGGCCAATATAAAGTTCTTCCACTTGGGATGCTCGCAGATCAACAAGTTGGCGTCAGCAGTATCTGTGCACCAGCACATTGACCGGTTGAAAAGCTCTTGGTCCTTGAAGCGTGGCATGAATCTGGCCATCGCCTTTCGAATGCTTGCTTCGGAAGCATCTGGGTAGGTATCTGTTGGATGTTTGGCGTGTGACCGAGGAACAGAGATGTGTTTGGGAACCGTGGCACCATAAGGTTGATGCCACTCGAAGTGGGAAAACCCTGGAAACTCGTCGCACACCTTGATTACTCCGTGCCTACATATGCATATTTAGTATTTCCCGTTCGTTCTCTCCAGTCCTGGATTAGAAGCAATTCCTTACTCATTTGGCTCAAAGAAGAAACCGTATTCACCGTCATATATCACAGGAATATCTTTGTACTCGGCCACCTCTTGAGGCTTGAGTTGGATATGAGCAAAAACCCAGGCCTTAAGTCATCTTGCAATTAGTTACAGGGTCATTGAATCTGTTTATCTCGAACGCACTGCTAACGAGATGCAATATACTTACCTTTGAAACACATTGGTCCTCCAAATCTACCAAAGTCGGACTCCAAGCACCGGCAGCCAGAACCACTTTATCGGCATAGTATTTTGTTCCGTCTACTGTTTCAACGCCGTTGCATGTCGTTCCGTCCTCGGCGAAGAGAGGTCGCGTAAAGGTTCCAGCACTAAAATTCCGCGTCAGTATAGTGAATACCTTGCACATCCCCAGAGATTCGTAACAGTCCTAGTACATACCGGCCAAACCCAAAATTGACGCCTTGGCTTTTGAGGAACTGCCCTATAGCATCGATGGCCTTGGCTGCAGCAAGCCAACCTCCCTCACCGTAAAGTAGGCCTTTCCATCCCTGGTTTGTGTCTCCAGTCAGCTGCTCTTCTTCAAGCTTTTCACTGGTCCAAAGTTACCTCGACTTGGTCTCGCGTAAAAGGAGGCACTTTCGCCAGGATCTCATCCTCACTACCCAACCAGATGTTCGTCTTCTCCAGCTCACCATTCGCGGCAATGAGGGATTGGTGCGCCCGTCGAAGATTTTCAATGCCTTCCTTCGACGACGAACAGTGGATCTCAAGATGCGTAAGCATGGTGCTCATATGTCTCTCATGATAAAACCCGTTTCGTGACTTACCAGGCCAACATTGTGGAAGAAGGGCTTGAATAAAGCATCGTTCTTCCACATATTGAGAGCTTCTAGCGATAGCTGCAAATCTGGCTTGTTTTGCAATCGGATGCTCATGATCTTGTTGAGGTCATGCCCGGCAGATTGAGCCGAAGGAATCGGATATACATCCAAGACCGTGATGTTCGAGGGGGTGTATCCAGAACGGATCAAGTGCAGTGCCGTTGAAGAACCCATGGTGCCGCCTCCCCCAATAACGACGACTTTTGTACTCGCACGTGAATGAGTCATGTTGTTAAAGCGATCTCTGTCTGTGATGTGGCAGTCTTTGCGGTGGACTCGAGTGATCACGAAAGAAAAATGAAGATTAGGGTGAATGTTGACCAGATTTGTAGTATTTCAGGATGCCAGAGGAATTTTGGTCGCCCTCTCAATTACGAGATGGGGAGCGCTGGGTTGATAAGGTGTCAGATATAAATAGATAAAAGGCAATCGCTATTGGTTCTAATGTTCCCACATATCGCTCAAGTGATGCGACGTGGCCGCATTTTTATCGCGTGGACCTTCCCCCGGAGTACGCCGGGGAAGGTTGATACGATCTCTGGTTAGGCGATTTACTAATCGCCTCGGGAATTGTTGCCGGACAAGCATCATGAGAGGCACACGACGATAACTGCCGAGCATGGTAGAGTCTTCACTTTTGCTTAGCCAACCGAATGAGCAGGAACCGGTTTATGTAAGGGGTCTCTCGACAAGCCCTTTCCTTAAAAAGATTCCCAATCTTGTGGGCAAGGTTGACACGCTCTGGCTAGGCGATGTACTGATCGCCTTGCTATAAGTGGGTCTCTCCATCAGCTCTTTGTTTCGAAGATTCTCCAATCTTGGGAAGGTCGACACGTCTCTAGTCATGCAATTCACTAATCGCCTTGGGAACTAGTATCGTGGGTCTGCTCACACACTCTTTTTCTTCAAGGTTCTCCAAACTTGCGGGGAAAGTGCTTGGACCTGATCCTTATCTCGAGATGCTAGGGAGATGGGGGCTCTATAAGTTGAGTCCGTCCTCAACAAACTATTTCACCTCAGCTCGCTTCAGGTTGTCATTGTCTTCTAGTTTTGACTTATTTTTCCGCTTAATTCAATTTGTCATTGTCTTCTAGTTTTGACTTATTTTTCCGCTTAATTCAATTTCCACTATTCAAGTGTTCCCCCTCAATGGCAGATCAGAAGGATGTTGCTGTCGAGTGGCCCGGAGTAGAAAAGCAAGGTGTCTCCAGCTCAATAGACAAGGCAGCAGAGTATCTTGCTCAAAGTGCTGGCTTTGACTCATTGCCTCCCGAAGAAGAGAAGGCAATGATGTGCAAGATGGATCGGATTCTGCTGTCAATGGCATGTCCCCACTTCTCTCAGGGCACGCGAATAAGCTCTCAGACTTTTAGCTCTTCATGGCTGCCAACTTGTGTGCCGTTGGCAATCTTTCTGGCTTCCTAACCGTGTTTGTGTCCTACTCATGGCGGTCTGCTGGGCTATTTCGTTCACGTTGAATCGCCGACGTTACGACTTATAGATGGCGTTGACCCGAGAGAAGAGCACTTGCACGAAGATGTGGTGGATGGTTTTGCTGATCAAACTGGCTTTCAGCAAAAGACATTCAAGCATACCACCTAGCTGCTTGAGTATCCCTAGTGGTTCTTTGATTTTCCCCTCTGTCTATTCCTTCTCCTTCCGCCCTTACGGCTCATCTTGCGGTCTCTACCTTTGCTTGCTTGAGCCTTTCTATATAGCAATGCCGATCAAGCATCTTGAGCGCTGTATAATGTCGCTGGTAGCTGCCTTCAAAAGCTTTCTTCGGACGTGCTGTTTGTCACACAAAACATTTCATTGCGGCACTTTGCCAGGGCTCAGGATACCCTGTTCCAGAGCGCCATCGAGGGCCACGTCCTGGTCAAGAACGACAACGCTCTCCCTCTCAAACCTCGTAAGTATCTCGGCGTCTTTGGCAACGATGCAAAAATGCTAGGTAGCATGAGCGAGACTTCGACCATCTACATGGACACCCCGGCCTTTGTCAACTTCACCATGTGGTGCGGTGGCGGTTCCAGCCAAACTCGCCCCCTTACATTGATGCCCCTATCAACGCTATTCACCGCCGAGCTCGCGAGTACCACACGCAGATCTCGCGGGACTTTGAATCACAGGACCTTACTGCCGATGCTACTGTTGACGCCTGCCTCGTCTTCTTGAACGCATTCACCAAACAAGGTGCCGACCGCAATGTGCTGAGCGGAACCTAAAGTGACGTGCTCGTCAAGAATGTCGCGTCCAACACTATTGTTGCTATCCACAACTCGGGCGTTCGCTTGGTGAACGAGTGGATCGACTGCGGGAATGGCACAGAATTCATCTATGCACACAGGCCAGGACAGTATACTGGAGGGTGAGAAGTTGAGTGAATAATATGCGCAACTCTACGCTACTCAAGACAAATGACTCGGACTCCTATGTCGCAATTGTGTGGCGCTGAAGACGAACAAATTCCTCCAACTAGCACCACCTAGTATTCGTTCTAGAAGCTTTGAACACCTGCAGAACCGTCCAGGCACGGATCCGCCGACGCGCGTGTGGGTCGTGATATTTTTCAGTGTTGAAGATTGGCTCAACACCATCTCGTATGTCGCCACTTTCGGCGCCAACTTCGCAAGCAGCTTAGCCAGTATCCACCATTAATCCACCATCAGCAGACACTTTACCAGGAAGAAGATCTGATGCCGTAATTGAAGCGATTGCGCAATCGGCGTTGAAAAATCAAATCAGGACGTGATATATCTTTGACGGCCGCTTCGAGTTTCCCTTTCTCTTGGCAGAGAGTCTCTTTTCTTTTTCTCCATCAAAACAGGTTCCATCATGGAGATCAATTCCGTGACGAGCAAGCCGGCGCGGCAGCAGGACCCAGATGCCATTCAAGATGTTGAAAAGACGGGTCACGACGACAACGCAGACGGCGCCAGCTTCAAGCAAATGCCGCAGCTCAACGTTGGAGGACACGGCGCAACTCAACGCCGGCTTCGAAACTACCAGGTGACGATGATTGGCTTCTGCAGTGGCATTGGCACCGGTCTCTTCGTCGGCACGGGAGCTGCGTACTCCAATGCCGGACCGGCTGGTTTATTCTTAGCATACGCTGTGGTGGGAGCCGTTCTCTGGTGCGTTATGCAGAGCATCTCTGAGCTGGCCACGGTAGTAAGTGCCCCATACACATCTCCACAACAACGCGTCTCTGGCCGATGACGGCGCTGACCACCTGCAGATTCCCACGGCTGGTTCGTTTCCTCACTGGGCTACCCGCTTTATTGATCCCTCGGTTGGCTTCTCTCTGGCTATCTCCTACGGTTACTGCTACACCATCGCCATCGCCTCCGAAGCGTCTGCTGCGGCCGTGTTAGTGTCCTACTGGTCAGACATTTCGCCTGCCGTGGTCATTAGCATTTCCCTCGTCCTGATTTTGGCCATCAACCTCTGCAATGTCCGATTCTACGGAGAAACAGAAGTCGTCACCGGAGCCATCAAGGTCATCTGCTTTGTAGGCCTCGTCATCGTCGCCATTGTCATCACCGCCGGCGGAGGTCCCAGCGGCGAGGCGATTGGATTCCGGTACTGGAACAACCCCGGCGCCTGGGTCGAGTACAATGGAATCAAGGGATCGACTGGCCACTTCCTCGGCTTCCTCTCCGCCTTTGTCAATGCGTCTTTCTCCTTTATTGGTGTTGAGACTGTTGTCATCAGTGCTGCAGAGTCGGTGGATCCTCACCGCGCCATCCCAAGAGCTGCTGGCCGTGTTACGTACCGCATCGGCTTCTTCTACATCCTCGGTGCCCTGCTGATCGGACTTATCGTCGACCCCCGCAACGCAGATCTCGTTTCTGGCTCTGGCAACGCAAACAGTTCGCCCTGGGTTATTGCCATCAAGGAGGCTGGAATCAGCGCCTTGCCTTCCATCGTCAACGCGTGCATTCTCATCTCGGCTTGGTCTGCTGGCAACTCTTACTGCTGGGTCGGTTCTCGAATGATCGTGGCCATGACTACGGACAGACAGCTTCCTCAGATCTTTGGCCGCACGAACAAGAGCGGTGTGCCATATGTTGCAGTGATTACTGCATGGCTCTTCGGGCCTCTCGCCTACTTGAGTAAGAACCCCTCTTACTGGGATTATAAACTGTTTGGTATAATGAATACTGACTGTCGAATTAGGTCTTGGAAGTGGTGGTGCGTCGCAGGCCTTCACCTGGCTGCTTAACCTCAGCACTGTTGCCGGCCTCATCGCCTGGTCTACGCTGTGCTTCTGCTACATCCGCTTCCACCGTGCACTCAAGGTCCAAGGTATCAGCCGAGACTCTTTGCCTTGGAAGTCGCCTTTCCAACCCTATACTGCCTGGTTCGGATTCATTGGCTCCGCCATCATCACTTTTGTTGCTGGATTCCCGGTGTTCCTCAAGGGCAACTGGTCGACTGCCGACTTTATCGCATCTTACATTGGAATCCCCATTTTCATTGTGCCGATTATTGCTTGGAAGATTGTTTACAAAACCAAGGTATGCATCCACGCAACACTCCACTCAATTAAGGAAGAATGTTCACTTACGCTTCTATTTCCAGTTTGCTCGTGCTAAGACTATTGACGTATGGTCTGGTCGGTACTACGAAGAAGAAAAGGAAAAGGTCCCGAAGGAGCACAATGGAGCTTCTCGAGTTGGCCGAAAGGTTTTGGACTGGGTGGTGTAAAATAATACTGTTTTCGGCCGTGGCGGTAATACCTCTCGATGGGAATTGTTGGAACAACAGCCCTCAATTAGAATTAGACGATACATTTTTAGGATAGAAAAAAGTCTTTACCTTTAGCTTATCTATACCTAAGTGAATCACGATTCTGTTCCGTAAAGGCAGAAGTCCAATCAAAGCCATCCGGGGCAAAATGCAACAAGTTCCGGGCTCCGGGTGAAAATAACATCCCGGACCGGTTCGCTTCTTCACCCGGCCGAGGTAATCCACACCGACAAACCGCCTTCACCGTGATTGCCGTAGACAGGAGAAATTCCCTACTGTCGCGGCCAGAGTCAAAATATTAAAAATACAATCTTTGTATATGCCGCGTAGTAGCCATCACGACGGAGCTGTGTCTAACGTTCTTTGCACCACAAGTCGACTGTTTTTATTGCGTTTGCAGGTGAAACCATGGCATCCGATATTGCTGCTCAACCTCGTCTACTATGGAAACCACTTTCATCATCGGGAATGAACCTGAAAAGGCTCATTCAGACGGTGAACAAAAAACACGGCCTCTCAATCAACGACTACAAGTCTCTGTGGGAATGGTCAACCAGTTCAGCGACTGCGCCTCTTTTCTGGATGGATCTTTTTGACTTTTTGGACATCAAATCTCATGGTCAACCGACATGCGCTTTCAAAACTACGGTAAATGACTCCGGCGGCTATTTTCTAGGCTTGAGATTGACACACAAACTAGGGACCACCTCCCGTGCCCATGTATCCCCCTCCTAGTTTCTTCCCAGGAGTTAGAATGAACTTTACTGAGAATATCCTGGCCCACCATCAACCAGATGACGTCGTCTTACATGTCGTGCCCGAAGGAGGTGAAACCTCCCGCGATGTCACTTGGCGTGAACTTCATATCGAAGTTTCCCGTTTGGCCAGTGCGATGGTTGCATCTGGAGTCAAGACAGGCGATCGCGTCGCCGCTGTCATCTCCAATTGTCAGGAAGCCATCACTTGTTGCCTTGCCGCCCTGTCTCTCGGAGCGATATGGTCAAGCTCTTCACCGGACATGGGCGTGGAAGGAGTCCTAAGCCGGCTGAATCAAATTCGACCCAAACTCGTCTTTTGCGAAAGTGAGGTGGTGTACAATGGAAAGCGCAGGAACCTGTTGCCACGACACTGCGCTTGGGCTGAGGTACTAAACGAGAACACCAACTTGGGCCAGGTTATTGTCATTCCTCGCCAAGACCGACTACCCTCAGCTCTTGGCCCTAAGATGATCTCATGGGACCAATTTCTATCCCGAGACACCGGTAGGACCCTCGGCTTCGCACAACTACCTTTCAACCACCCCGCCTTCATTGTTTACTCCTCGGGGACAAGCGGCCTCCCCAAGTGCATTGTGCATTCTGCTGGTGGCCTGTACATGCAAGTCAGGAAGGATTCGTTTCTTGGCTATGACGTTCACCCCGGTGACTCCATTCTCCAATACACCACAACCGGTTGGGTGATGTGGGCCATGGTTTTGGTGTCTCTGTCTTTCGGCGGCAGAGTCGTGGTTTATGATGGCTCCCCAATGTTCCCGGATAATTTGGTTCTCCCGAGAATAGTCGAGCGTCTGCGCGTCAATGTGTTTGGCACATCGGCAAAATTTCTGTCTCTACTCATGGCAAGTGGGACAAAGCCTAAAGACCAGGTGGACCTTTCAAGCCTCCGTACCGTCACATCAACTGGAAGTACGTTGACCGCGCAAGTTGCGAGCTGGTTCTACGACGAAGGATTTCTGCCGGATATTCACCTTGTTTCTACATGCGGTGGCACTGATCTTGCGTGTTCTTTGATATCCGGAGCCGCCATTATGCCCTTGTATGCAGGAGAGATACAAGTACAATCACTTGGTATGGCTGTGGATTTGTTTGAAGTCGACAATGAGGCCGGGGAGTCGATAATGAATACTGGCATTGCTGGAGAGCTCGTATGCAAGCAACCATTTCCAAGTCAGCCCGTGGGCTTCTGGGGCGACGAAGTGGGCGAGAAGTATAAGAACTCTTACTTTTCCCTGTACGGAGATTCTATTTGGAATCAGGGCGACTTTGTGTCTCGCAACCCAATTACTGGAGGATACGTGACACATGGAAGATCAGACGGAGTACTGAATCCAGCTGGTGTTCGGTTTGGATCCGCCGAGATCTACAATGTCGTGGAGCAAGATACCCAGATTGGCGACAGTGTCTGCGTAGGACAGCGGCGTCTAAGCGATGCCGACGAATCTGTGGTTTTATTCTTGAAGATGGCTCCTGGCTACAAGTACAATCACGCGGTTGTTCGCAGGGTTCGGGAGGCAATACGATCCAGCCTCAGCCCACGACATGAGCCTCGCTTTGTGTTCGAGGTGCCAGACATCCCATACACTAACAACGGGAAGAAAATAGAGATTCTCATTAAGAAGATTATCAGTGGGAAGATGGAGAAAGCCAGTCCGACGGTAGCGAATCCGGAATGCTTGGAATTCTATAAGCAGTTCGTCAACATTGAGGAGGCGGCTGCAAAGCAGGAGCAGAGCTGGAACAAGGCTCTTCTATAATTACTAGATTTGGCACCTTAGAGCGCACCGGTTAGTAAAGCACACAGAATACGCCTGTAGCCTATTTCAACCAAATTATTACTACAGAGCAGCCCATTGTAGTGATATCGGATGATACCGGTCCCGGAAAATATCGGTCCATGTCGGAAGATGACGGCCCACAGCAGCCCGGAACCAGGGGGCGGAGAGTCTGATGACGCCGGGCCGGAATGCGTAGTGCTGATCCAGTCTAGTAAGCCCGGAGACAGTCATGGCTTATACGAAATATATATATGAGTCAGAGGATTGGAGTTATTAAGTATATAGTCATCTAGCCTAGATTTGATAAAATAAATCGTCCATCATCGTGTTTACGGCACTTATTTGAATCGATAGCATCGTAAAGACTTCATGATGGCGTCTGGGTTCCCTTCACTTGAGCCTGCTTTCACAGCTCGTCTGTATCCCGCAGAGGGTTTCCAAGTTGGTAAGTCAACGGTGAATCCATTCCCGGAAGTTGATATTTATTCTCTATCAGGCAATGTCTCGGATGGAGGAAGCCTGAATATTGTGGTTAGTTTTACGCTTCGTGTGCCATCACCCAAAATGGATTACAAACTGACGGGTTTGATATCTTTAGCCGATTGCCTCTGGCACTCTAATCAGCGAGCCTGGATTTAGCGTTCCGTTGGATGCTGATATTGTCTATGGATCAGACTACGTGCGCATGGAGCCGTCTCAAGGCCACACGCGAATCAACGTCAACGCAATTTTAAAGTATGTCAGCTGCCAGAGTTGTGCACAGGCGGTCTCTAATTCATTCAATAGAAACAAAGACGGTTCCTTTCTCACGTATTCCTACACGGGAATTGTTGAGGTGGATGAAGCGTTCTTGGCTATTTTAACCGCCAACCCAAACGCGAAAACGACTGCTTATGGGAATGCTTTCTCTCATGTCACGTTTAAAACAGGGTCGGAATCTTTGAGGAAGCTGGATCACAGTCTGTTTATTGGGAGCGCTCATTTCGTTGTTGAGAACGGAGGGTTTTACATTGAAACAAAGGTTAGCCGTGTTATCGGCTGAATACCAGCAGTCCTACTTTACTAGAAATACATACTTCTCCCCTTCCATAGAAAATTCTGCCACAGAGTGCCGAGCAACAGAACCAGTTCGGGGACGTTTTGTATAATTACAATCGCCCCGAGAATTAATGCAATTGTAGTGCATTGCTATCCTTTATTTCCCATGCAGATGCGGCGCACGATGAAGCCGAAACGGGAGCTGTGAATAATCCGTGTCCGGGTTGTCGTCTTGAAGCCGGAAACCCGAAGCCGGAAAACTGGCAAATCGGCTTCAAACGCAGATCCCGGGCTGGCTCGGCGCCGACTTTCCATTTCAGGTCGTAGGGCGCAATCCAGACTGCATTGTACTGGTACAACGGCGGATCAGCCGGGGGGTTATTGGGACTATTACCCCGTATTTAACCCCCTCCATTTCGAGCCAAGGGATGGAGCAACACTCAAAACTGTGCCGCTAAATGCACGAGCTGTGCAATGTTTTAGAGGATTGCCTGAGTGTCCGGATTTGGGGGAGCAAGTCAGTATTTTGCTTCGTCCGGAACCAACTGCCCCGGTTCCGCACGCATCACAAATGTCCACTTGAATAGCGCCGGCAGCTTGGCAGTAATATGGCTAAGTAAACAGGCTGCAGCTAGTAATCTAGATTCAAGAAGCAATATGGTGCGTCTATATATGAGGCTTCGCATCTGGTTCAGCAGCGTTATCAATCTTGACCCTTATCTTTATCAGTCCTCCACGAAGCAGTAAATTTGCATAGAGCTCTGTCACAATATCAAGCATGGCTACCACTATGCCGTACCACCAACGAGAGTATGACAATGGTCTCGACGAAACCAGCCCGTTGATTGCGGGCGGCATCGGACGCAAGGCAGAACAAAAGTCCCGCGACGGCACGGCTTCGGCCATGGCTACATTCGGCCTCGCTTTCAGCATCATGTGGGCACAGGCCTTGATCCGCTGGTTCGCCGATCCCATCGAGTTCAAGCCGGCACCGATTCTCGGCCCTGATGTCATTGAGCCGTGGCGTCTCGTGAGTCTTCGCATCTTCGAGGCTCTCAGCGTTGGAGTTCTGTTCGCCCACATCTGGTTCTGCGTGCTTGTGCCGGCTTTTCCCTATCTGAGACACTTCAAGGCTACAGACGAGCCGCGTCAGTTCACGCTTGATGGGCGTCACGTCATCGGAGGCTTGGTGGCGCTCTGTGCAGATGGATTCCTCAATTGCAACCAATACATCTTCATGTGGAACGCCAACAGCATCAACCGAGGAGTGTGGGCCAAGTATCTGCCATTCCACAACCACCAGTCCTCAAGCCGCTATGGCGAGAGCCTCCTTTGGGGACCGCCCATGTATGTCTACTTCTGCGCTGGGTTCGGTATTCTGGGAAGCAAGATGGCCAAGCCGCTCAGGAAGCGTTTCCCCGACCTGTCGAACGCGGGCATTTTTACCATCATCTGGTGCATCGAATTTGTCCTGGACTTTATCATTGAAAACCTGGCAATCCGAATCACGCACGGCTACGGATACGCCAAAACATACCGGCCGTTGACACTTTTCCCCGAGCAGGTGTATCAGTTCCCCATCTACGAGTCGATATTTGTTGCCAGCCTTGGCCTAGTCTTCACTGCCATGAGGCTCAAGGCGTATGATACTGGACGGTCGCCTGTCGAGGCAGGGTACGAAAACTGGCACCCGCGCCTCCAGAGCACAGTTCGAACCTTTGCTGTCATTGGCTTCTGCGCTGGCGCTGTCTTGATACTCTATCACCTCCCGCTGAACTGGCTCGGCGTCATTGGCGATTGCCACGCCAACATGCCAAGCTACATGAAGCCAGGCCCAGTGGAGTGAGTGAAGTAAATGGATAAAATTGTCCCACTTGGACTCCTCGTACAATGCCACGGCACCAACAAAGAACCAGTTCGGCTCACGGGGAATGAGTGTACATCACATATGACATTGCCCAAGTTTGAATCCGAGGCCGGATGGGGACGGATCCCGGTGTGGATAGCAATCCAGTGGTGAGAATTTAAACTAGCAACCAAGTAGTAGAATCCGGGGCTTGAAGATTGTAATTAATCTGGACTACTTCTCAAATACATGTCGGTTCATAATGGTCCCAATATTTGTCACACTCACCTCCACTGTGTCTCCATCTTGAAGCCAAGCCGGAGGCTTCATGAAAGCTGCAACTCCACCAGGCGTCCCGGTCAAAATGACCGTTCCAGCTTTTAGTGTCGTTCCGCGACTTAGGTGGACGATGAGGTCGCCTACCGTAAACAACAGATCATCTAGTTTGGCTCTCTGTCTTTCAACACCATTGACCCTCGTCACAATTGTAAGGTCGCCAACATTTCCGATTGCCTCACTCGAAGCAATCACCGGCCCTATTGGCGCAAATCCATCAAAGCTCTTAGCATAGCCATGTTGCTGTCCGCTAATTTCAGGCATTTGCCAGTACCGGCTACTGACGTCATTTGCGACGGCGTAACCGAGGACGTAATCCAGGGCATCTGCTGGCGAAGACACATTTTTGCAATCCCGGCCAATAATGACTGCTAGTTCACCCTCGTAGTCCATGTTGGCGCATTGTGGGTTCACATGAATGTCCGCAAAAGGGTCGTTGGCCGCATTTGTCGGCTTCGTGAAGACGGTGGGATACTGAGGGGTCGGCCAGCCGGCTTCAGCAATATGCGTCTTGTAATTCAGGCCGATCCCGTAAATTATCGGGACGTGAGGTACGGGGCAGAGCACCTGTAAACATGGTTTAATATACCAAACTCGAGTCATCTTTCATTCGTAAATGTACCTCCGATATCTTTGCAGTCTGAGTAGTTTCCTGTAGATTCCAAGGACTGTCCCCGGCGTACACAGGGACTTCGGACCCAATCAGACTGTCAGACAGCGCCTCGCCGAAGAAAATATGGCCGTCGGCATCCTTGAACCGCACGAGTCGCTTGAAAATGGGATTCATAATGAAGTTTGGTGATATTTCAAGGAAGACAATGGCGCGTTTCAATACGTTAACTGAGTTATGTTTCTTTGCTACATTTTCACATATCAATTTCTCGTCTTTATGGTGCCCGACTAGTGGGTCCGGAAGACTTTCGCTCCCTTCCGACGGAGTGTCAACTTCCGGCCGGATCGTAAGAGGGCGTTTGCCGATAGATAACGGATCAAAGTGGGACCAGGGAGGAAAATCAAATACATGAGATTCCCGAGGGTACGCTCAGTGCAAGAAGAACGAACCTCGGGTGTTTTCTACATTCTCGTTTGCCTGGTCTAGCCTCCGCCACTCTTGCTTGATGGATCTCAATTGGATCTTATGAACGATTGGAATTGAATGTGCTGTTCCACTCGATAAAAACGCTAATCAGGCTTCAAAGATATCAAAGAACGAATGACCTCAGTGATAGGCCAGGTATCTGCGCAAGCTTCTCCGTCACATATCAACGCCATCACCTCTTGATCCAAAACAATACATCCCAGGACGCATCAATTCCAACCCGAATCAATACAAGCTAAGCCTACTGGAAATTCAATGGATTATTTTCCAGTACTTGGCTCTCATCACTCTCAAAAATTCCGTTAAATGGCATGGAGCCAATCTGAGGAAACGAGGGGAGAAATGTGCACCAGTCTTCCATTCCCAAGACCATATCGAAAGAAGGTATCTGCGGAGGAGAAGATGTCAGCTAAATTTCATACTATAGCTAGTAGAACTAACCTCTGAAGCGACTGGCATCGGGATAGATTGAGACTGCGTGTTGCTGGCTTTGCTCTGAGGCGGGTCGCGGGGCTCGGCAGTCGTCCCACTACGTGCTTGCTTCACGAGATTCCGTGCATACGATGCAATTTCTCTCGGAAATGGAAACTCTAGTTCAGATGAGGAGATAAACTCCATGTATCCGAAATGGCCGACGACAATGTCCATCAGAGAGAGATCGGATGCTGTTGAAGGACTGAGGGGATTTTTCAACACGCAGATAAACATGTTGATCAAGCCCACCAGTGGGAAATAGAAAGTTACCCTGAGATTGGGTTACCAGTAAGCATCAAGTGGTTAACGTGTAAAGAATTTACGAAATGTGAAAACTGGAGTCTCGGGATGACGTACCAAACTGGAACACAGGCAGTTATCTCAAGCCTTTGAACGCCCAGAATTATTTGCCTCGAGGCGTCAGCCACTGCTTCCGTGCTCTTGCGTATCTGAGCATGGATTTCTGGGTTCGTGCTGTTTTGTAGATCGGGTCTGTTCCATGGATAACAAAACACGCCGTGAACTGCAATCACCAGCGCATAGTAGGAAAAGTGCAGATATAGGAGGTGGAACACTTGTGTTCCTGGCGGCAGTCCATGAGTCTTGAACGGGGCTTGCGTTCGGAACAAGGGACCAAGGGACTCGCGCCATTCTCGAAGTTGATTGTCTAGATCTTGAATGTGTCTCAATATGGTTTCAGGAGAGTCTCTCATCGCTTTGGCGGTGTTCAATTGCTTTGCGACAGCAGATGAAATCTGGGCGTGGGCGATGGTTTTCGCGACAAACTCCAAAGACACGTTCGATCCGCGCTTCAGGGTGGTAGGGATGGGACAACTAATGTAGTCGTCATCGATTGCCTATTTCAACATTAGTTTCGCACCATAGGCTTAATACCAAATAGACTGACGGATGGCCGCCCTGACCGGTACGCAAGATGCTTCTCATATGAATACAAGGTCCACCATAGTGACTGTCTTTCCAATAGCTCCTCACTAGATGCTTGGAGAGACCGAGGTGGTGCCAGGTGTAAACCCTTGGACTGAGCGAGGCGAGTTGCACTTGATATCAACATGTACTCTAACGCGGGGGTGCCAAGAGCTTCAGCATGAAATCCCTACGACTGAAGTTAGTCTTTAGGATACAAAATGTGGGCCATCTCGACAATGACGAACCATAAGCAGCAAAGCTTGTATCGAAGTCAAGTCAGTGTTGATATAGAGGAGGTCGGTGTGAACAGAAAGGGCGTTTTCAAAATATTTCCACGACTGAGTTCGTGATTCGGTGAATGCGGTGCGACTCGATGCCTCAGATAATGAAAATCGACAACCAGAGGCGTATATTATGTTCCGTAGGGCGTACCACGACTTGTTTGAAGTCGAGTTTGGGTCGCCTTTGAAATGGGCGCTCAGCCGGTTCTCAAACTCGCGACGATCTGTTATTTCGAACACAGCGTCCAGACAGTTGTCGAAGTAGGCTATTAACTTGAGTCAGCCATGTTCCATGAACTTCAGATTGGGTTAGGATGAACCTTTTGTCCACTTCGTTGCTGTCACAATATCCGGTTCAGGCGCTCTCTCAGGGTTGATTACTCGGTCGAGGCGTTCTCCTTGCATGACCTCTTTCGAAAGCAGTCTTGCGCTGGCAACGAATTCGGGCTTGCCAACCTGGCGCGAAATCCATTCTGCTGCTGGAAAGGTGCAGATTGATAGGTATGAAGGGCACCCTGTTCAACTATTAGGTTTAAATCCTACTCTCGTGTCATCTAGTTCATACCTTGCGGGTCCGAGTTTTCCTTCACGAATTAGCTGTTTGTCATCAGAAGCATAATGATGTACGTACCTGATCCACCCCTTGTGATGCGCAGTCGTCGGGAGCTGCAGTACTCGGCGGCGATACTGGCATCTGGAGTGTTTCTTGGGCGCGTATCGTGTCGACCGGCGGAAGGTCGGGGATGTTAGCGGGGATGGCTCCTGGTAAGTCTGGCCTTGGTTCCATTGTCGGGCTAAATGCAGTTGAACTGGAGAAGATCAAGGACATATCTGCACATGGCGAGGGTAGGATAGCTTGGAGTTCATCATCTCGCAATGACCTAGGCGGCGAATTCATAATCTCTGGAGGCTCTGACGGAACGCTGTTCGCAAGCTGTCCGGGGCTCCTAGACCACTGCTCTTGAGATGCAACCGAGATGCTATCCACGATGCTTCCAGAGCGGCTTTCGGTCGAATTTGACTGTGTCGCGGTGCGTAGGAGCACTTCCATACGGGCGAGTCGATCCTCCATGTCTTGTTCCCGTTCTTTGCGCTTTCTGCTTCGACGTCGTCGTTCCGGAAATACGCATGGTTCGTTGTGATCCTGCGAGAGTGAGTCGATAAACATCTGAGATGGACCGGGGTCACGAACAGTACAGTTCCCACATGGGTGAGTCCCACTACCTGTGAAGATTGTCAATCCTGGATGGCGAGGGCGGGGCGCATTGCGCTTACACTTGGCCTTCTTGACGCGACAGTACTCGCAAGCCAGGGGGCATTTTGTAGATTCGCGCTGGTTAGACATGGTGACCGGCGACGGTCATCTCTCGTGGTTCAATTGCGACGCCTGCGAGTAGTTTGGAGATTGAGGAAGCTCGTCGCGTCGACAGCCGAAGACTGGGCGGGTGATGGCCCTTCATCAAGTGAGGGGTGCAGCTCGGCTGGTCCTCGTCATTCCCAAAAGGCACCTAGAGCTCCAGTACTGACCGTTGTACCGGTACAATTGCACTGGTACAGGTGCTACTCCTGCATTCGGGGCTGTGTTTTAAGCCGGGCTTGCCAGCCACGTCCACCCCCGCATTGTTTATTGACACCACTCCATGTCTCGGGCTATTAAATGGCATCCTGCGATATTTCTGGAGCTCCTTACTAATGCGAGCTGCAACTATATGCAAATCTTTATATACTTTCATCTAAAGCGACTGTGAAGTAGCAGGATGATCTATCCTTGCACCTGCAGTGACGCAGTGTTTCGCCGATGCTCACAACCTGAACATGATAGGAGGTACCAAGCACCCGATGTATTAGGTCACCTACCCCTCCAAATTAACTCGCCCATACCGCCTGAGCACTCAGCTAGCTTGCACCTCCTTGATGAGTTGATTGATACGGAGAAGCGGCTTGCAGGATGCGGGGAACATGACACTAGAGATGCAAGCAGGGTTCCCCGGATGCCACGGGCACCAATTACACGGGCTGTATTTTCACGCAGGGAGTTGGTGACCCTGCCGACTTTGGTATGGGGGGGAATCCTCTTGATCTGCTGCTCCGGGTGTCCGGAGTTTGCTAACTCCGGCTTCCGGTTCGCCACTGGGCTTGCATTGACGCTGGTGATCCTTTGAGCCCCGGGCTTTCACCATAACGGGTTGTATATGTCATGAATTCATTTGTGCATCGTAGGTGCCTGTCTGGGATCTGGGTTGACCCATGTTATGTGCGGAGACGGAGTGAACCGATCTGAACCGGCTCCCTGTAAGCTTGAATGCCGTGCAATTCCCGAAGCACTTGTTCTCCGTTCTCCGGGGCCAAGATTCCCGGCGCCGAACGAGGCGAAGCAATCTCCGCCGCTGACCAGGGTGCAGTCGTTGTACAGATTCGGTCCCGGCAAAATAATTGTCTCCCGCATTAGATAATTAGGTCATCGTGCTAGCAAAAAATAGACGATTCCAACAGGCATCTGAATAAGCAACCACCTTGAATACTGAATCATACGTAAAACACAATGGCGCAACAGGCTTCACTACAGCACCTGAGTGCGATTGTCATCGGGGCCGGCTTTGGCGGGCTCGCCGCTGGCATTGAGCTGGCATTGAGGGGTGCCAAGGTTCGCATCTTTGAGTCCTATCCCGATATGACGAAGCAGGGTAAGCGCCAAGTTGAAGCCAGGCAGTGTGTTCATACATTTAATAACACTTACTTACTATAAGCAGGAGATGTCATTCAAATGCCTGCAAATGGAACACGGCTCATGTCAAGATGGGGCGATGTCCTCGAGAAAATCGTCAAAATTTCGGCCAGCCCAGACACCATGACCATTATGAACAAGGACGGAAAGGTGCTTTTGAATCAGCAGCTCCATACAGATTTCGACGGCTTTCCTATTGTGTATGGCCATCGAGGAAGAATCCAGCAAACTTTCAACGAGTATGCCATTTCTCTCGGAGTCGAGATCGAATGGGGAGCCTCTGTTAGCCAAGTATTCGAGGATGAAGGTTCAGCTGGTGTGATTGCCGGTGGCCAAAAGTATGAGGCTGATTTCGTCATTGCGGCAGACGGAGTTCACAGTAAGTCAAGGAGCTATGTTGTTGGAACTGTCGACCGACCGAAGAAGAGCGGGTTTGCCGTGTATAGGTCGTGGTTCCCGCTTCAACTTCTCCAAGATGACCCCGTTACGCAAGAGATTGCCACTTCAGACAAGCCCCTCTTCAAAATCTGGATCGCAGAAGACACTCATGGCATTCTCACTACCAACCCTGCTCTACAGTCCGCCACTTGCTTCGTGACTCATAAGGTGAGTGCCTGCAAAGTCCATTCTGGTCATGACTAACATAAAGTAGGACCTGTCTGATGTCGCAGAGGATTGGAATCTGAGAGGTGATGCTGGGGATATGTTGGCGTGTGTAAAGGGTTGGGACTCCCAGCTCCGCCACATCATTGAAAAGATCCCCGCGGACTGCCTTATTGACTACAAGCTTCTGTGGAGAGACCCGGTTCCCAAATGGGTCTCCGAAAAGGGACGTGTCTGCCTTATTGGCGACGCAGCTCACCCGCATCTTGCAACTTCTGGAACGGGAGCGGCGCAGGCCATCGAAGACGCCGCAACAATTGGAGCGCTGCTAGAGAAGACTGGGAAAGCCAATATCCAACTCGCGATGAAGTCCTACGAGAGGCTCAGGTACGTTCTTAGACGGTTTATCCTGAGAAACTCTGAACCCTAGAACAATCACCGTTAATGCCATGTGATCCAGATATGAGCGCACAAGCCTGACTCAACGTATGGGATGGGAGACTCGTCATGTATGGCATCAGACCAACTGGGATGCAGTGGCTGCAAACCCAGAGATGCTTAAATTCCCTCAGCCGGCGTGGTTGCTCGGATCGGATGCGACAAAGTACGCAGAAGAGCAGTTTGAGGCGGTCAAGGCCAGCATTGAAAGTGGAAAGCCGTTTGTCTCCACGAATATACCCGAAGGACACGTTCATGAGGACTGGACCATTGAAACAATGCTGGGGCATGAAGGCAAACTTGCTGATAAGGACTTTTACAAGACCCGGGACTGATTGATGAATATCGGAGACTAGAAGCATTGAATATGATTATGATATTACACGAACCAATGTTGAAGGCCAATATCGCATCCATTTATCAGCATTGAATCATGTCTTGACCAGTATTTACAATATTGAATAGCCAAACGGTGACCGAATCTTGAATGAGGTTGTCTCCCAGTGTTCGTCATGTGTCTGTAAAGCAGGATGTAACCAGGGGGATTTTAACCGTCGCATCTCACCTATCAATCAGCTCTTATATTGCTGAATTGTATGTTTTGCTCCAGTGTACGAGTCTTTCAATTTGTGTACCATTCTATAGGGTCTAAAGCAACGTATATTTCATGTCTCAAACCAATCGCGCAATGCCCTATAGTCCCAGTTGGGAAAACTAACTACATCGCCCTAGGACCCCGAATGTCCACCTGCGGCTGCCCTATCTGGCAACCAACACCTAGGTATTCGTCATGATTTCTAGCCGTCTGCAGTTATTTGAAAGACGCTTGGATAAATTCCGGTGTGAAGTTTCCTTCCGAGTCAAGATCCTTCTCTGCCGCCTGCCACTGCTCCTTAACTAGCTTCTCTCGGATGTAGTCACGCGGCTTGATAGTGCATCTATGCAAAGTTAGATTGCCTCCATCATGTATTTACTCTCAAGAGAAATAACTCACTCGAAGTCTTCTGGTCTGACGATCATTCCTGGAGTGACTGCGTCTCGATTAATAATGGTGAACTCCCCATCAGCATCGCGGGCTCGGGAAATGTTGAACCCCCACAAAATCCGGGAAATGGCAATGAACAGGTTCCGCTCCGCAACATGAAAACCGGGGCAAACTCGCCGTCCAGCCCCAAAGGTGAAATGAAGTCGCTTGGGGGAGTCTTGGGTAATCGCATTGTTTTCCGTGAGGGTTGATTCTGCACTGTGGCGCATTGGGTCAAAGTCTCGAGCATTGGCGAAGCGTTGGTGGTTCAGCGTCCAGACCTGCATGGATAGTCAGTCATGAACCGGTAAGTTTGAGACCCAAGGAGTTGGATGACTTTATTGACGTACGTTTATCATGATCATTGAACCCTTGGGAATGACCATTCCGTTATATACATCGTCTTCCTTGGCTGAGTGCGGAACTGCGGCGCTGAGTGGACTCGGTGCCCCTGTAAACTAGTCAGTGATTTTCTTCATTGGCATCAAGGACTCGACGCGCATCTCAGTGTTTCTTCGACTACTCCACGGATATAGGGAAGTTCAGCCCGGTCATCCCAAGTCGGCAGTCGTCCGCTTCCAATGACGGCGTCAAGCTCCTTTTGCGCCTTGGCCTGGACGTCTGGGAAAAGAACCATGGCCTATGAAGAACATTAGCATAATGTGCACGAGAAGGTTGATTTGGATCTCATTGAACCTTAATGAAGCCCAGGATCGTATTGGCAGAGGTATCCCTAGCAATTTGGTCAGAACTGAGGTGCCGGGTTGAACTGTGGGTAGTAATTTCTCACATCGCGGCTCCGAAGCCATGGGCAGCATTATTGGCGATTTGGCGATCATTAAGTCTATCGCTATCTTTATCAGATAGCATGTCGCGGATGAAGCCTAACATCGAATTAGACACGGAGCGGTAAAGGGATCACGTCCATGTTGGGGTGGCCACGAACTAGGATAAGCATCTCCTGTTGACAATTTATCTTTGGCGCGGTTGAGGAGATCGATGAAGACACGATTCTCGAGCTTTTGTAGATTGTGCAGCTTTCTTTTACTTGGAAGCAGCCAATAGGGAACAGCATGGTAAATGTCGCGCAGAAATGGGTAGAAGTCAACAAGCTGGAAGTTGATTGCCTCTGAGGTAACGTCCATCCACTTTCTACATCGTTAGCCTTGACCTTGATAAAGGACGAACCAAGATTCTAACCTCGAGCAGATCTTTCACGTAGCCAGTACTCGTTTGTGGTGTACGCCAACCGTACAACAGTGTCGTTGAGATGCTTGCCGTATATCTTTGCACGTGTTGAACCCAGCCACCAGGGTTGATGGCAAAGTCATTGAGAAGTTGCAGGCTGTCAAAGTGCTGGAATCATATGTCAGATAGCGTTCATAAAATGCGCGAACGATCTAACACTCACTTGGTATGGAAGATATCTGTCAGCGGATTTCACGTTGAGACGGACGTGATACATTTTTCTCTGTCGGCGCCAAATCTCGTCATTGCTACGTCCATTGTTAGCACCCGGTGAAGAAAGGAACAACTTTGGTTGTATCCACATACTCTCGCAGGGCAATATTGAGATTATCACCAAAATGTCGGGCGTAAAGATCTGGACGACAGGAATAATTGTTGCTTCGCTTCTCGAGCAAATCCCGGATAACATCTGGGTCATTGAGCAGAAACAGACTTTGTCCACCGAGCTTCATCGTAGTAATGGGGCCATCTGCTCCGGGCATTAGTGCTATTTTTATTTTCAAGTCTTTAGTGTTTCCCTACATTCTTGGGCCAATTTTTGGAATTCCAGATGGAAATTCTTAGTTGGCATCTGGTGCAAATTTCCAAGTATGGGCAGTGTAGGAGGCCCTGGACCCAAACCGTTAGTTCTATCCTGTATCCAAGAACTTGCTGCAAGATATTCCTACCCGGGGGATAATTTTTAGGCCGACTTCCATATCGGAGGGCCTTGGTGAGGACCAGAAGACCGCCAAGGGCCACAAAGGCCCAGTACAAAATCGAAACGGAGGGGTATTCCATAATGCCGCCGATGTTGAATACAATTGTCATTACTCAGTGTGTAGGTGTCTTTTGGAATTGGCTTGGTTCAGTTCTTTCTATCATGAGTGCTCATCTCCCTTGTCCTGATCGTCACAGCTCCGGGTACCGGGGGTTGTGTTCCGCCTAAGCCCGGCGTACTAGACTCGGCCGGAGGCAACGGTTTCAAGAATTCTGCATGACGCCGGAATTAAGAAATAGTAGGCCCGGGATGAGCGGGATGAGCATGCCGGCGCTCCGCCGGGAGACGATTATATAGACATTACATTAGGTGTAATAAGGGTAATTTGCTACCTCTGCGCTTATCATGAGTCACCTGGAACATCTTCCAGTCCAGCTGTTAGGAGTCTCAGATTTCTAACGGTTGGATCTTATGATTTCATTGATTTGGACAATGGGTGCTCTAATGTTTTATTTCTATCTTGAATAGTTTTTTCTTGTATTTCATTGAACTTCCCGACCTCTTCATGAGTATTATTACTTTGATGGAGCGAAATAAAATAAATAATACTGTACGAATTATTCGTCACCTTTTATTAATTACTGTTGTATTTATTTATTTATTATTTATTTCATGTAGATGCTGTTATTATAATTACGGCTATAATCCTAGCTGCTTGAGCCACAGTCAGAGCCGGGGTCAGGGTTATAGTCAGGAGTACCTAAACATGCACGAAATGATTCCAAACTCGTACGACCTATCAGGTTTATCAATACTGTATGTTTGGGATTTTTCCATGCATATTTAAGCCCTCTATATCCAGACCGAAAGTCGGGGCTGCTGGAAGACCCAGAGTTACTGTTACAATCCGGGCCCGGATTGATGCGATAGGCTGAGCAGTGAGGACAGTCAGAGCTAAGGTCGTCGCCGTAAGAGCTAAAATCAGGGCCACAGTTACATCTGAAGTCTGGGCGAGGTCTGGCTTATGGCTGCGACCGTCTGATTGGTCGGATTGATCAGCTGTTGAATAGGAGCGGCCGCCCAGGGAATAGAAGGGGATTTCAGACTCCCGGAAGGTGGGCGTTCTGCACCCGACCTCAGTCCCAGAGGCTGTCGTCGGCCGCTTCATCTTCATCTATAAGACCGATCCCAAGCCCTTCGGTAGATAGAGGATCAAGAGTTTTCATCATCATCGTCCTGATCCTATCCAGTCGGTGCGACATAATTAAATAGGACGGGCAAGGATTCCACCACAAAATTGCACCCGGACTTTTACACACGACAAGTTCCAAAATGGCCTGGCAATTCTCGACTAAGGATAAAATCGTCACGGTGACAGGAGGCGGATCAGGTAACATCAACCCACTCTATCACAGCCTCGCTACGGTCTCACATTGACACAACTACAGGCATTGGGCTTTCATACGCTCTCTTGGCTCGCAAAAATGGGGCCAGAGCTGTCATAATTGCAGACCTTGCGCTCACCGATGAGGCAAAGAAGGCTGTTGAGGAAGATGCAAATATTACATTTATCCGGTGCGACGTGACCAAGTGGAGCGATTTGCAAAACTTGATCGACGTGTCGCTCTCTACGTTTGGTGATGTGCCGGATATCTTTGTCGCATCCGCTGGAGTTTTTGAACCCGTAAGACTGCACTCCCAAGAAGACTGCCTCACCCCTTGTGGCTACTAACATAGCTTGTGAACGTAGCCGTATTCCAACTTCTGGGATGATCCTGAGCCCATTGAGAGCGATGGCTACAAGCACGTCGCTATCAATGTCGAACACCCCGTCAGTATATCAATTGGAAACAGTCCGATAAAGAATAACTAACATAAATGAAGATCAAATTGACACGGCTTGCGATCCGTGCTTTGCTTGGGAAAGACAAGCAAGGTGTAGTTGCCATCGTCGCCTCGATCGCCGGGTATAGCAAGCAATACCCGGCGCCGATCTACAGCGCGACGAAACACGCTGTAGTTGGCTTTACCCGCAGCCTCGGAGATGCCCAACAGGTTCAAGGCGTCAAGGTTGTGGCAGTTTGTCCCGGGTGAGTTTTATGTTCGGCCCGATGGCCTCGGCTCAGTGATACTGACTCCACGTGCACCAGTATTGTATCAACTCCGATCTGGACCACCGGAACTCCGGGATCGGGAAAGCGATTTGGAATCAACGATGATCTTGCAATTACACCCGAAACAGCCGCGGAGGCCATCCACGCCGTCGTCGATTCAGCCGAATACCCCGGCGGAACGATTCTGGAGGTGTCCAGGGATGGAACCAGGGTCATTCCGGAATGGTTGATTCAGCCCCCGGGCATGGTGGATGGCAAGATGCCGAAGGGCACAGATGTGCCACCGGAGATGATTGCACAGGCGATGAAGCCGATTCTGGATCGCACAGCCGCCGAGAGGGGAAAGCTGAACTGATGCACTGAGGGGGCTTCACTCCAAGTAGAATAGTGCTCTTCCGAATTCCGTACTCTTGCCAGATTCTCGATTGATGCACTCCTGCCGTCTATCAATCCACTGTCTTCCGTGTCGGATTATTGACCAGGATTTGATCCGGAGTGTCGTGGGGCGTAAACATGTTCAGCCCGGCCGGGACAAAATGGCTAGGAGCTCCGGAGAAGACGACAAACCGATCTGGCACCACTTTCTGGGTCGCAACACCGAGACTTCACGTCCGTTTATTGGCTAGGCTCCATGTGATAGATAGTCTCTTCAAGTATCCACCACCTCAACCCTGAATTGAGAGTAATGCGCCTGGTATTTGTCAACCAAAGTATCGAAACAAACGTCAGATACAATGTCCGCAACAGGAAAATCCGAAGTAGTCCATACCGTCGGGGATGACTCTGTATTGGTCTTGGGTGGCGGCCCTGTGGGCCTCATGACGGCCGCCGTCTTGGCCTTTTACGACGTCAAGTCGGTGGTTTTGGAAAGAAATTCCGAACCGACGAAGTAACAGGCTCCATACAATTTCACAATAGGAAGGTGGCTGACACATTGCAGGTGGCCGAAGATGGATCTGACAAACGCGAGGTCCATGGAACTGTTGCGCAAGATAGGGTTGTCGGAAGGTCTGCGCCGTCTGGGTAAGAATGGATCTGCAAGACCGGCCGAACACATCTGATTTATCATCATCATAGGAGTCCCCAGTGATATTCCATATACCGTCTTAATATCGACTGGCCTCAGCCAGGATACCCATGTCACACAATGGAACCACCCCTCCGTGGACCAGTACAGGCAGACGATTGAGTCGACAAACGATGGAACCCAGCCCATCGAGCCATATCAGCGGATTTCCCAGCAAATCTTTGAGTCCTGGATGAGGGACATGTGCCAAGAAAGCCCGCTGATCGACCTTAGATACGGGCACAAGTTGGAATCCGTTACAGAGACCGCCGAAGGCGTGGAAGCTCGGGTCAGTAAAGATGGCGATGACAACGTTCAGCTATTCCGATCAAAGCTTGCTGTTGCATGTGATGGAGCGTCGAGTAAGTGTCGGAAATGCCTCGACATATCTCTGGATGGAGGGCCAATGTGAGGCACTCAATTCCCTTTCACTTTGGTAGCATCCGCTGACCCTTTCTGATTAACAGCCCGGCTACTTTTCTCCTTATCCACTTTAAGTCCAAAGACCTACAAAATCTACACAAGCAAGGCCGCTTCTGGCACCTATTCATGCTGAAAGATGGTGGTTTTGGCGGTGCCGTCATAGCTCAGGACGAAAAGGTACTAGGTCCCAGTAACAGAACTTGAGAAGAAATGATGCTAATAGTGATCGTTAAACAGGAAATATTCACGGTTCATTTCCCCCTCGCTCCAGGTGCAGATGAGTCCACAGTCACGTCCGAGGAAGCCGTGTACACTGTGCTTGGTGGAGTCTATGAGCCATACAATATTCAGATCGACGAAGTCCTTGTTCGCTCGACGTTTCAGCCCAGTATTGCAGTTGCCAACAGCTTTGCTGGCCCTGAACTACGTCTATTCCTGGCAGGAGACGCAGCTCATATGAACATCCCCACCGGTGGTTATGGCATGAACACCGGACTAGGTGACGCTTTTGACATTGCTTGGAAACTCGCAGCCGTCGTGAACGGTTATGGTGGCCAAGGGCTTCTCAGATCGTATGAAGAGGAACGGAAGCCCATCGCCACTCAAAATGTCCAACGATCCGGTGTGCACATGGCAGTCCATCTGGCCGCTGTCGAGCTGATGGGCAAGAATGCTCCAGCCATCGATGACAAGTCTGAGGAGGGTCTTCAGATACGCCAAGCTATTCATCAACACTATACCCAGAATGACGGCGAAAACACAGATCTGGGAATAGAGATGGGATACAGATATGTTTCCTCGGTCTGTCTGCCTGATGAATCGGAAACCGAGCCGGTTTGGGATCCGCATACTTACCTACCTACCACATGGCCTGGGAGCCGCGCACCCCATGTGTTCTTGAAAGACAAATCGCCTATTTTCGATCATCTTGGTCGAGGTTTCTCTCTAGTAGAGTTCAGCGATGAAACTACATCCGACAGAGGAGGCTCTTTGATCGTAGAAGCCGCCAAGGTTCTTGGACTACCTCTTAGCTATGTGAAGCTAACAGGGGAGGATCACGCAGCAAGCATATGGCAAAGACCGCTTGTTTTGGTTAGGCCGGATGGTCACGTTGCTTGGAGAGGATCATCCGTTGAGCATCGATCGCAGGCATATCTTATTTTGGAGACAGTGGTCGGTCATCATGGTTCTCGATAAATGGGCATGAGGATGCTTGATGGCCTTGCGTATAGTGAGATCTTAGTTTATGATTGCTATTTGTAGCACATTTAAATATGCCTGAGTAGCTGTCTGTACCAATGATATTTCTGCAGATTGCGCATCAATTCCCTGCAATCATGTTACTCTATGACATTTGAACCCACTAAAATCAACCGTGTACAATAGAAACAGAGAAAATCACGCAAAACCAAAAAGATCTAGAGCAATAGCATGTCGATAGTACAGTCATTATCGTGCACAAAGGTAATATTCAGCGTCTGGGAGCTACGCCTACCCTACAGCAAACGGCGATGACTTCAATTTTTGAGAGGATAGAATAATTTGTTGTGAAAAGTTCGTAACATCTGTACAGGGTAGGTTCCAACACCTGGATCAAGTATCGAAGACGGGAAATGTTCTCACTTATATAGGGTTCGTTTATTTTGGCTCTGCTCAATACCATCAGACCAAAATCCTGCTGCATCGCAAACAAGAGCTGGAAAGTCATTGGGCACTTTGCCGCATCGAGAGAGTTCATCCCTTTAGTTGCTCAGTCAAGATATTTAAATGGCAGTTTTAGGACGGACGGTTGATTCGCCTATTCTTCAATACTCTAGGAGTTGATCACTAACATTTAACAACCAAGTACCCTTCCATCCTCAGCTTGAATGAGATCTACGATTGTCCAAGTTGGAATCATCCGCCTAGTCACTCTTTCGGATATTCCTCTTTCTATTCATCGTCACTCCCTTAGCTTTGGCTTCAACCCAAGCCTTCTGCACAATCTCACCATGCTTCTTGGTCCGAGGCTCGATAACCGCGTGAAATCTAGCTGGAACCATCAAGAACCCCGGCTCAGTCTTCAAGACAGGTTCAATCTCTTTTGAGTCGGGCCCTATTGCGCGCTTGATATTGTAAGCCCAGAGGGTACGCGCCATGATGATGTACAGAGAGTTTTGTGCAAGATGCATGCCACTGCAAATGCGGCGACCGGCACCATAGGCAAAGTGGTCTCTTGCATTTCCGTCGGCGAGGTTGACTGATTCTGCCGTTGTGTAAGGGTCACTCAGATACCGACGTGGCTCGTATGCATGAGGATCATCCCATCGAGCGTCGTCGAAGTGGATAGCCCTAGGATTGTTAGTCCAAAGATCACAGCAAATGAGAAGAGGGTGATGCTTACCACCAGTTTAACATGACGACACTGCCCTTCGGGATAAAATACCCGTCATACCAGTCATCCTCAGTTGTAGCGTGATTCATCCCGACCTTGGTAATCGGCCACCAGCGGAGAGTTTCTTTGACCATAGCTTTGATGTAAGGCAGATTGTCCTCGTCATCAAAATCTGGCATCCGGTCTGGGCCTACGACTCGATCCAATTCTTCTTGTGCAGCCTTGACAACATGAGGATTCATTTGGCAAGCCAAAATCCACCCATTGATAACTGTTGAAGTGGATTCGCTCCCCGCTTCGACCAATCCTCCAGCTGCATATGCGGCTTGTTCCTCATTGATTCCACTCTTCTCAAGTCCTCCTTCGTAGAAATCTCGGATGAAACAATCAGGCGCAGTTCCATCCTCAATTTGTTTAACCAGGTCGAGATAGAATTTGAGGTACACCTCTCGGTCGTACTTCCACCATTCACGCCCAATCTTCCACCAGTTCTGCACCATAAAGGAGGGAAGCTTTGCAAGTGAAGGAAATGCATCGACCAGCCAGGCGCCGGGCTCGGACATGAGTGTGAAATGCTCAAGGACTTCGTAAATCTTCTTGATGTAAACATCGTTCCAATCAGCAACACGATGACCATACGTCACGGTCATAATGACGCTGGCGGAGTACCGTCTATTCATATCATAGAATGCCATGTCATCCTTTGCGTGTAGGAACTCGTAAAGCAATTGTTTAGATTCAAAGTCTTGGACGGGTCTGTAGGTTGTCGAGGTGTTTTGGTTTAGAGCAGCGTGGCTCAGCTTTCGCAAGATTCTCCAATGCTCTCCATAGGGCATGAAGATTTCTCGATTCTGATTCGACGTCGCGTCAAATGCCATGGGCATCTTTGGACGGTCGGAGTATTTTGATCCTCGCTTATCGAGCAGCTCCTTGGCTACACTGGCGTTATTAAGCCAGATCCAATCGGTGCCTCCGATCCTTGTGTAAACGACGGGGCCAAATTTCTTGGCCCACTCCCTGGTGATGCGTGGGATATCATCGGGAACAGAAAGGGAGAGAAGATTTCCAATCAGAGGATATCCCTTGGGGCCAGGCGGTAGAAGCTTTCGGCGTTTGTCGCGCATCAAAAAGCTGGAAAGAAATAGACCCTGAAGAATATCAGCCAAGTTTCAGTCTATGGAAAGCCAGAGCCAATGGACATACGATGATAAAAATGGCCACTCCATATCTTCCTTGCGCAGTTTGGATGGCTGATCCTACGGCCTCCTTGGCAGACATGATCAAATTGGTGAATGCCATGTTAGTATTGGCAGGGCCGTACAAGCCGACTTGGAGAAGAGGTGGCTGCTTTCGAACTGCGGAATTACTAATTCAATCAAAGCGCAGCACCATGGATTCTATGATGTATTTCACCGTAATCTTCCGGTACCGATAGTATGACACCTTAATCGTAGAGATATAGGCGGTACTCCGAGGGTGCCGGTTGCGGATGCTCGGTATGATGATCGACCACTGCCACGGAAATAGGAACAGTGAGTTTCTTGGTAATCACCCCAAACCCAGCCAATAGTGAAAATTGTATTGAAAGCGGCACTAAATGAGCAGCTGCATCCACGGAGAACGAGCCGTTCCGGTGCCGGCGGGTGGCCCGGAACGCGACCGGGGTGCGGAGATTCGCATCTCCGGATGCTCTTGAACGCCTAAGAGAGAACTGTAAAGCTGAAAGGATGTGCACGAATCCCTATCGAATAGTCAATTAAGATAATCTCGTTGGCGAGGTTTTCGAGTGAGATATATCCCACACCAAATATTTCTCCAGTGGACTTGCCGTCTTCCTCATATTATCTCGCTACACAACTCATCGTATCTGCGCCATGTTTGTTCCCAACACCACCAGCCGCCCACCGGAGGGCATGGCCATTCCCTACACTGAGCAACTCATTTTTACCATCGCCACTCAAATACCCTTTGTTATTTTCTTTGGCATGGGAATTCGGAATCTGATCTCTCGTGGCGACCCTAAAGCTCTATTCTTTGGCATTGGCGGCGTTTTAGCCTCGGCATATGAACCTATTGTCGATGTTATGGGTTTCTGCTACTTCCCTCGTGAAGGAAATTGGGTGGCATTTGAAGCCTTTGGGAGGCCAATTCCAGTGTTTGTCCCAGCAACATATGGTTGGTATGTTGGAGGCATGGGATACTGGTTCTACACTGTCTTCCAGAATCCCAAATCGACGTCTCGAGACATTCAGATGCTCTGGTTTAGAGCATTTGCCATTAATCTGATCCTCGAGTACCCGCCAATTTACCTCGGTATTTATTACTACTACGGCTACCAGCCGGTAGAGGTCGGAGGGTTTCCTCTCTGGTTCCCGGCTGTTCATGCGACCAGTCCAATCCTTGCTGCGTCCATCGTCAGTCTAATGACCCCTTATTTGAAGGGGTGGAAAAACCTAGTGATTATTCCTACGGCTACCACCGCTTATGGGTTCGCCAATGCCGGATTTGGCTCCCCTGTTTGGATAGCATTAAGCCTTGATCTTGGATATCACGTCACATACCCCGCTGCTGCAATTTGCGCTCTCCAGATCTTTTGTGGCGTGTGGATCATGTCACTACCGCTAGCTCCAGTTCCGCCTGTGAAGCTCAATGGCGTTAATGGCAAGTCAAAGGGCCTTAGGGGCTAGTTGGGATCCTGGGGGTCGCTCGGTAGGGGAGGAGAGAGTGAACGATGGGACACCCCTTCCACCACAAGCGACATCCAGAATAATGTTGGTTTAGTTGCACAGAAAGAGTAAAAGTTGGGCTGTTGAATAACAGGGGCACAAGTAGCTTTGTTGCCTGAGATAGAAATCAATAACCACCTCTGCCGAGACTATTAACCCCGACGACAAATGTTCTATGCTAGATAGACTTCGAAGTTGACCATAATTGCCAGTAAAAACAATCACTTAGTGACATGGTAGAGCTATTAGTGATTTCCCTATCTATGATCTATTTTATTGGCGACGTCACAGCTTCGGAATAGACGCCGTCAGCGGTCACTCGTATTTCCTCACGAAGATGCGTTGAAGGATATGATGCACAAACCGTCTGGAGTTTTTGCTAGCTACTCTACTTCTTCTTAAACTCCACTGACTCCGTTGCCCCCTGCTTCCCAGTGAAGTCTGCAATCTTCGTGGCCATATCCACTGGAAATGAGTAGTGCTCGTGGACGTACTTCCACACACCCTCTACCTTTCGAACCATAGATGTCGAGCGGAATGAAAAGTCGTACGGCGACCCATCAGCCGCAGTCCCGTCGACACGCTGAACAGCGGTAATGTAGCCGAAATGAGGAGTCACTGCGGTGATTTCAACCTGTCTGAACCGCTGGTTCGTCTTTCCCAAATAGGGTGTGATGTGGTCGTAATGAGCCTCTAGGTTTGGGCGAGATACAGTTCCCATCAAGTCAAAAATGAAGTAATCCTTCAGCTCAAAAAACGCCTTGCCAGCTTCCGTGTCGGTGTGGGCCACGTGGTTGAGGAAGTTACCAAACTTCGTGTAAAAATCCAAGATTTCTTCCTCAGTGGACACCAACGAGGGATCATGGTACTGAAGCCCCGATTAGTGGCCAAACACGTAGAAGAAAGGAATTCTTACTGTACTCAGTGGTTGGGCCAGGTCCTTGTGTAGGGCCTCGACGGTAGTGAAGTCTGTCTGTTGAGTTGTGGTTAGCGAATGAAGCGACTCCCTTCAGGGCTGCCCCTACTTCTTTCTTCCAGTCTTCCATGGTGCTTCTTATTTTATTTGCTTGCTTATTTATTAATTGGTTGGTATTTAGTATCTCAGATGTTGAAGTGGCATTGGACTCAGTCCGCCCACGTCTTATTTCTAGAAGTACCCATCGTCGATCCCCACCCCTAGCAACGAATCGGAGGCATTGATCTCGGGCCGCGGATACCCAGGGAAATTGTATCCCCCCTGTAGTGCTGCTCGGAGTATGTTATCATCTCTCCCGGCCGGTAATCGCGTCCTCAAGACTCGCCTACTATTGTCTCTCTCGAAGACAACCACTTTACCGGATCTACTGAAGTTGATGCCATCACGGTGTGGTATTGACTGCGATGAGATTTTAAGATTCCATCTCGCAAACTTGCGATTTGGGCAGTTGTACAGACTTGTTGACTCCATCCTTTGATCTGAATGAATGAGTGTAACCGCTATGACTATCCTGCCACTACTTCACGTCTGCAGAGGGCAAGTGTGCATAATCTACGATATTATGGGTATGGAGCACAAATAAGTAGCTAAATATAGATTCAAACTACTACAAGACTTTAACATGTGATATTCAGTTTCCCGCTACTCGGACACAAAATCAGTTGCCATCCATCACATGCTGCTTAAGTGATCTTTAAGGTACATCAGGAAACACTCTCAACGACATCATAACGCTCCCTAAGATCCCTAGCAGGCGGTGTTGGGATCGTATCAAATCCTCTGGGGCCGATATCCGCCCTCTTTTTCATCGCTACTTCGTCATCTCCATTTCGCAACTTGCGAATCGTCTCCAGCGGATCAAAATCAACGCCAATAGGGTTCACTGCGTACTCCGACGATGCCATGAATTCACTGGCCTCGTCAACAGTGTCGAAATTGTCCACCTGAGTCTCGAGCTGATTGCCATCCGGGTCCTGATAGTAGATGCTGGTTGTTGGGCCGTGATTGACGCACCAAATTGGTAGGATGCCCTTCGCCTTACGCTGTTCGTATGATTGCATAAGATCACCCAGAGTAGCGAATTGGAAAGCGATGTGTTCCAACCCCGAAGAAGTGGGAACCTTCTCCGACGTTCCCGGGATGTATCCTATAGCAATGCGATGGTGTTCTTCGTCATACGTCAGAAACGTGAGCTGATCATTTTCAAAAGTGGCATGAGCTCCGAGAAATGCTTTGTAAAATGCCACCATTGCTTTGTAGTTGGCTGTTCGTAGAACAACGTGGGCAAGGCCTATCGGAGATAGCACCTTGTCGGACTTTGCGCTGGTGTAAGCCATAGTTGCAGTGGAATGGAACTCGGTGGAGAAGATGATTTTGCAAAAGAAGGCGAGCAGGGGAGTGGATCTGCGGGAAGGCGGCAGGATGTTTATTAAGCCACACGCTCTAATCTCAAGGATAAGATATATGCGTTCCAGGGAAGATGTTCCTCATTTTGGTCCCCGCGGCATGGGCCTTCCGGAACTTGTCAGCTCCAATCCGGGATCAGTGTCCCGAGCTCCGAAGGGAAGTGGAATCTGGATAGGCAGTCATTCAGCAATACAGAGGAAGAAAAATGTGAGTTTTAATACTGTCCATTAGCGATATGGTCACAGAAAACGTAGTCAGGGCTAAAATGATGGCAACATGAGAAGTTTATTTTTTGATAACCAACTCATTCATGATGAGAGGAATTGGTGACAACGTGGACGTCCAATTTTCAACAATAGTGATCCTCTCCGTAGCCATGAATATGCAGCTAAATTTCCCAATATCGCCTTCCAATTCCTCTTCCAAGTACCAGATGTAGCCAAAATTCTGAAATCCGTCTCTATGCAGTACTCAGCCTTCTCGAAGTGCGTTCACAAGGGCCGATGTATCCTAGAGCCACATTAGTATAATAATTCATTCTGCAATAGATGATACTTACACCCCAGACTTGGTAAAGGAGAAGCTTAGGGCTCGCCGTTTGGGGATCGGCAATGACGAGACGACCCGTAAACTCCCCTTCGACGTTCCTCCCATTCGTGAGGCCCATGGCAACACGGGCTGTAAACAGCAGGTCGCTCGCATTTTTGTCGCAAAGATACACCTTCAGCACCTCGTGCTTTCGCGTCGAGATTACTTTCCAGGCGTTGGCTCGCGAATTTCGGATTTCTATGTCCTGTCAGTTCGAGTACAACACGCCGCGCGCCACTTGCACCAACCCTCGGTGCCACTAAACGGGGTAGCGCCGAAATATGCCACTCCATTGTCTGCAAAGATCTCGTCGGCCAAGAGATCTCCAATTCCTGGGTCGGAATTGTCAAGCAACTGGTAAAAACGTTCAATCAGTTGCTTCACTGGCGAGGGGACCTCGATGCCAGTTGGCCATTCTGCAGAGTCAATTCCGTAACCCATCGCCAACACGCTAGATTGAATGCAAAGCAATGTTAGTCCGATGCTTACCTGCCATCCTTTGTGTCTAGGGACTACAGGCGCAGAAGTCAGTCCGTCCGGATCTGATTGTCCCGAATCTTCCGCGGATTGCGCGGGTCGGATCCAGTCCGTATCCGATACCCCGGACATCCCTGCGGCCATGCCATTCGCGGATCTTATTAGCGTGAATATTCTTGGTCATGATATTCTCACAAATGTCGACTACCGGACAAGGGTTGCACGCCACTCGAAACGGACAGCTTTAATGGGGGTCTCGGCTTCGGACGCGGCCTCGGGGACTGACTCTCCCTTCCCTTCACACCAGCCCGAATACATGTCACTACCTATTTCATGCTACTTATTTCCGACACCGAATACCCGAAGTTATGCGGCTGTCCCCGAGCTGGAGCTGAATAACGCTACCCCTGCAGGAGATCCGAGATCCTCCATGTGCTCCTTGCATCCCCTTCTCCATTTTTTCAATCTGGTCCTGCAATCCAGCAGCACCTTGACGCTTCACGATGGAGCTGCCAGCAACGTCCTCTTTGGTCCTCCAAAAGCGACGGGCGGGATTGGAAATAAAGGCGGTGCATAGATCGCCGCAAGCCTGCCTTTATTGCCGATCTAGAAAGGTCAGATGCGATGTGTCCAAGAACGGGCAGCCCTGCATGAACTGCAACCTCGACGAGCAGAAATGCGTCGTTACCAAAAGAGCCTCACGAAGGTGAGTAAAGAATAGCCCCAAAATTACCCCAGAATTGCTCCAAAAATGCCCCACATCAAGCGAGATTCTTTACTGATCGGGCAAGGTTCTCAAATGGTCACAGCAAGTTCCAAGCATGCCCCCAACCCGACACGGGACGACGCAAGAGTACGCGAGCCCAAGAGCCGATCATTGAGACAATTACCGAGCTCGACATTCACCCCCAGGGGCATTCAACCTGCGATCAACCTACCTACAACGACAAACCGAATAAGGCCGTTGTTGAGGACCGTCATGACACGCCAACGGGGAAGAATGCCCAGTCAGATACATCGGGGACATCTGACTCGTGCTATGAGGCCACACCTGCAGGTGGGTTCCCTGTCTTCGAACCAACAAGTGTGCCAAGTATCATCTGCTCACCACTGTATCATAGTTGACCCTCCCGCTACCGACCTTCTATCCTCCTTCTTCGTCAACCCCGGCGCCGACCAACCTCCCGAACCATCGGAGATGGTCGTATACTGCTCGTACTCATTCCTCACCATCAGCAACATGTTTTACGTCCCAGCACAAGATGTCCGCTTTCTGGACAAAGAAGATTGCTTCCGCCTTCCCGCTCGATCGATTCTGGACCAAGCAATCCAGCAATACTTTCTACACGTGCATCCGCTCTTGCCAATGCTGAGTGAAGCAGACTTTTGGGAGGCGTATTACAGCCCGGCACCGGAAGAAACAAAGAAAACATCTCTTTTGTTGATTCAGGCCATGTTATTTGTATCATGCAATGTTGGTCAAATCTACCGCCCTGTTTAACACTGCATGACTGACAGATGACAAATAGTTCTTGCCACTGGAGTCGATCAATCGCCTGGGTTATAGTAATGTCCGGAGCGCAAGAGCGTCGTTCTACAGAAAGGCCAAGGTCAGTGGGCCAAATACCTTCCGTACTCTTGCCATTTTTCTCTAACACCTATAGCTTATTTATGACTTTGATGTTGAACCATCTTCCTTGGCAACAGCCCAGGCCGCATTGCTCCTCACATTTTGGACTCCACCATTAAATGCCGACTCAAAGCCCAACACCTCCTGGCTCATGATTGCGATCGAGAACGCAAGGAGGACCAAGGCAGATTACTATTCCGACATATCCAACCTAACCGCAAAGAAACCCGGCGACCATGCTATCCTCAGACGTCTCTGGTGGTGCTGTATCATTCGCGACCGGATTCTCCCTTTGGGCTTACGACGAAGCATCCTAATTACCCCGGCTCATTTCGACTTCAAGAAGAACATGGAACTCGGATCTACAGATTTGCAAGCAGAAATATGCCGCTCAAACATGTACAATGCAGAAACAAAAACGGCTTTAGCAAACGTGGCAAAACGTCTTTTGAAGCTCTCTGTAATATTAACTGACGTCCTTCTCCTGCTCTATCCTCTCCAGCGGGTGAATGAAAATTTCCAAGACACTCAGCCGAAGAGTGCTTCCCTACGGAAGTGCAAGGAGGACTTGCTGCGTTGGTACACGGAGACGCCTATTACTCGAAGCGGGAGGCGGGAAAACATCGTGGAACACAAATCAGTCACTATGCACACAACTTTGATGTACATATACTACCAGTAAGTCAGCTCATCCAAGATCAGCGATTAGGTTCTAACAAAGGATTTAGCGGAGCAGCCATTTTATTATGCCATTATGACCTTAAATTGGTAGAGGTTGCATCCAATCCCAGCCAAATAAGTAGGATATCCCAAGCGCGACAAGAGGTTCAGCACTCCATCGCTTGCATCGCGGACCTTCTTGATAGACTGAACCAACTTCACGTTGCACGATGGCTACCCATTACCATGTAAGAGTTAAATGCCGATCGTGTATGAGCGGATAATTAACCATTTCGCAGAGTCGCCTATGCCGCATTTCCACTGGCGGTACACATCCTTGATGCTCAATTTCCCAGACTCCAAGACGGTAAACCCATAGACGAAAAGGAAAATGGCCAGTCCAAGCAACGCCAGCTCAGCACTCTTATCAAAGCCATGAAAGTATTCCACGAACAATATGACGGCGTTGAGGATGTCGTCAAAACTATCCGAAATGTTATTCGTCACATACAACTACACGTTGAGATATCTAGCGCGGATGCTGCAGAAAGAAACGAGCCACTTAGTGACAGTTCAAACTGGGACCTGCTCCTTGCACTTGCCATCGACTGGAGCCTCAGCACTGGCAAGTCGGCCGACGGCCAAGACTTCACAGCATACCTGGGAGGACTCTTCGGCCAGCCAAAAAAGCCGCCCGGTTCTTCAATCAATGTTAGCACATCTACTTCCGAAGGCATTCACAGAGGACAGCACAGTCCTCCCACCAAGGATCAGGCCCCAAACTTTGGGATGAGCACTCCCTCATCGCATGATGACGAGTTTGAGCACTACAGGTTCGTGGATTCATCTCTGCTTTCTGGCTGCACTCTCGGTGACGACAGTCGGCAAAACGGATTCGCCACTTCAATATCTCCCCATGCAGACCCGCACATCCTATCATCAGTTTGGGATGGAATGATTCTCGATAATTTTGTTGGGGTTGACGCCGGTAACGATGGCACTATGACTTGGGATCTTCACGCAGCTTGTGATGGACATGACCAAGTGGGTGTGAGAACGGGCCAATTACTTGACATCTCTCCTGAAGCAGATTGTTGCGACAGTTTGAGCAGCCCATTTGTGATAAATCAGTGACGAAGTGCGGCTATTATGACGCGGAGTGTAGACTATTTGGATGGCCGCCCACGGCCGGCAAGGGGAAAACGGATATACAACGGAACTTGTTCAATAGCTGCTAGAACTTGTGATGCTTTTGTCTTTGGGTGTACAATTAAAATTCATAGGACCGAATCGATAGCGAAGCATACCAATATACTCGGAGGCGAACCCAAGCACACAAATTACATTCCCATTCCTAGCGGAGCTCGTGCAACCTTAAACTAAGCTGTAGCTGAGCGATGTGGAACTTGGGCTAACATTGACTGAAATGAATTGACACGTAGGCTTGAATTACCAAGAGGTTAGGGTGCCCTAGTACAGACATACCCAGAGGAGGGACTAGAAGCTCAACAGGAAAAAGAAACACCAACAATAGGATCAACAATGCAAACTAAATTAGGCTTGACTTACAATCCAACTATTCCTGTTACCATAATTTTAAATGATTTCTTCAATAGTCTGGACATAAGTGCTAGGCTCCATGACTGGGATCTCTTTCAGAGATCAGGTGGAAATGTTCGACGTACATTCGAAATGTTCGAAGTGTATTTGGCTGAGTATACAGCAAAATTTGACGAATTGCGCGTCGAAGTCGAAGGTGAGCTGCCTTAGAAACAACACTGACTGTCCATCTCAGCAAATAGACCGCACTCATTATGTTGCTGACTTGAAACAGACCGGTCGAGACATCTCTCGCCGTTTCCAAACCCTCCTTGGGTTCAGTCATGGATGAGCGGTGCCAATATTTCATCCGGCGGGATCGTCCAGAGGACGTCGTTCAGAAGAGGCAATTCTGCCCCTAAATCCCGACCAAAGATCAGCACCACCAAAAAGTTTCAAAAGCAACAAGCTCAGGCCACAAAACTCCTCGAGTTTGCCAAATCGCCTGTGCTCCTGATCCTGGCCGCGGGAATGCCATCCGCCATCTACTCCACCATTCTCTCCGAGACTCCAGACGACCTGCTCATAGTAGACAGCAACTTGCGGTCGACGTTGAGCCAGTGTATTACTGGATTTTCAGGGCTGTATGTTATCGTCAGGTCAATGTTCAACAGCAGCGACAAGGATAAGATCCAGACGGGTTTCCCGAAGGTCTTTTACACAATGCTCGTATTGTCATTTACAACCAACATCGTACGCGCCGTAGCTTACGCTTGGAGCCCACCGACTAGCATTCCGCTGCCTTATGTATCTGGATTGACGCTTAATATTGCAACACTTCTGATCATCCAAGAATTGGGCAGTCAGATCAAGCAGACAAACGGAGAAAACGCAGACCTAGCGGTCGAGGTCGATACCCGGAGATGGAGCTTGCCGGATATCGGGCACAGATACGATAAAAGTCATTAGCAGACACATCAGTTGTTGTTAGAATGATACAAGGATCACGATCATCATGAACGAATTCACTATAGTGAATGCTTCAACATAGCAAGCGTCAGCCAGGAGACTGATGCCTATGACATCGACAGATTAAACACCGTCTAAGCCTCCAGTGCCCCTTCAGCCCACCCGCTCCCTTTCCAAGCCCTTCAAGACCTGACCCCCAATCAGTCAATTGAACCACCATCGTAGACAAGGTGGTTTCGATATTGATATGCTGGCCAATTATTTACCCAACGTAAAGGCGGGCGGGATGTGATATGCTAGCGAGTCCAATCAAGATTTGACAATAGCATTTGAGTGAATTCTTTATGGATGGATGGCCTGGTGTATTGAAGCATAAAAGACATATCGGTAATAAGTGCTTGTGATTTAACTTGTTAAAAATAAAATAAGTTATAATACTTCTGTAGGACTTGTCGCTCTTTTCTGCCTTAGTCATCTTACTTAAGGCTGCTTCTGCCTAGAAAGACTCTCTTCAGTATATAAAGACCTTCGCTCTCCCTCACTAGCTCGGGCTATATCCATTCTATTCCCTACTCGTACCCGCTTCCCCAGTCGATCCCCACCAATCTTAACAAGCGGTTTCAGCAGTCGCATAGAAGCAAGGATGCCGACAGAATCATTTGAGCGCAAAACTATTAATCTTCCGTCATCGAGCGAGCAGGCGGCAAACAGGCCATTTTGGCTGGTTGACGATCGCGCCAAGACTGCTCTTCGAGAGTTGCAAGAGGGCGAATTACTGCAGCTGGTACAAGAACCCGCTCCCCTCTCTAAAGAAATGTCCGAATGCAGAGCTAAGCGCTTACCCTATTGTCGGCACAGGTGGTTAATTATTCGGAAGAAGAGATTCAATTTGTCAACTCCTACGAGCAAGTTGCGCCCGACTCCGTCAGCGAATACTTTGCCGCTCCGTCGCCGCACACCTTTTTCTTCTATCGCTACCCAGGATCTGGTGCCGTCATTTTGGTGTGGACTCGCCACCATTGGGCGACTTCTACTAAACGGACCAATGCCCAGAGGAGTTTGCGGAGGGACCTGGCTTTAATTGCTGAAAGGGAGGGCATCAAGGCCGTGCAGATGGTAACTACCTTCTATTTTGTCTCTACCTTGGATGCTGTCACGAATCTCACAAGTCACAGCTTCAAGTTTCTTCGCAAAAGGGAATCACTGGTGATTGCTTGCGGGAGGCAATTAGTTCGTCGATCACCCAAAGAACTACCAATCTCGAGTGAAGCCATCGCTCTGATATACTTGTGTGGGTCGTTATGTTGAGTAAACTGTTTTTGCTTTATTGTGAGGAATATATAACCCTAAATCTTTATTGCTAAGGGACTGCCTCTTCTGGTCCTGGACATATTGCTAAATGACAAATCCAGGCACCCAAGCCTCAGCGGGCAAGGGTTTTTGTAATGAGTAGGCCACAGCGCCCAATTGATCTGGTCTTGAATATGGCGAGGTCCAAGTGATACCTAGAGCTTGAAATAACCTCTCCAAAGCCTCGCCAGCTTTCCCTGCGGATCCCATTCCCTGGCGATCCGCTTCAGCTTGCGCTGGTTATCCTTGCCATAGTGCTTCTGCACTTGCTGTGTGCTGCCCGCGTAGTTCATGTAGACGAACCCGTTGTCCAGCCGGCGCTTCTTTGCCATTCTCTCGACCTTGGCCACCAGCTCCCGCGAGCTGTCCTCGACGAGCGCGTCCAGCCGTTCGTCTTCCCACGTCGTTGTCAGCTGCACTAGCATCAAAGGTCCATCCGAAGGTTCCAGGCCGAGCGCGTTGCCACCGTTCTTTTGCATTGCGGAGAGGACATTCACGGGGATGGGCTGGAAGACCAGGAACGGGACAACGCTGCTTCCGTTGGCGGCTGCAAACAGAGCGGCGTTGCGGGCTTCGAAGAGAGGCACGATGTCGGCGAGCAGGGACGCCGACGTGGCGGAGACGGTCGTGTCCCACCATGTTTGCCGCGAACCGTAGGGGACGTCGATGACCCTGGACTGTGTCGAGATGTTGGTGACGATCGTCGAGTTGACAATCGCTGCTGGGACGGAATGGAACGGGGCGAAAACTGGAGGCGTGCTGTCCGGTGGCGAAGGAATGGTGGCATGATAGAAGCTCGTGAGCGCAATGTACCCGCCAAAGGAAGGCTGGTACGTCAAAACGAAGTACGTGTGAGCCGCTGAATCGCTCGGCAGGCCATTGACGGTCAAGTTCTGGAACAGCGGAATGAGCGTGGTGTTTAACGCGCCCGGGAAGATCAGCGAGCTGGTCCACAGATCGCCCTGCTCAAACGAAGCCAGGTCGAAGCGCGTCACGATGCCGAAATTCGAGCCTCCGCCGCCGCGCAGCGCCCAGTACAAGTCCGCGTTCACTCTCGGCGACGCGTTGACGATGTCGCCCGACGCAACCACGACTTGGAAGTTGCGCACGTTGTCGCAGGCCCATCCCTTCAGGCCAGAGAAGTACGAGATACCGCCGCCGAGGATCAGTCCGCCTACGCCGACGTCTGCGACGCGCCCGGCCACGACGGCCAGCTTGAGCGGGTCGAGCGTCTCGGAGACGTTGATCCAGCGGTTGCCCGGGCCGACGGAGACGGTCTGGCGATCGGCCGAGACGGTGATGGCGTTCAGGTACACCAGGTCGATGGTCACGCCGTCGGCCACGTTAGAGCCGCCCGCGAAGGCGGTGTGCCCGCCGCTCTTGACGGTGAAGGGTGTGTTCCGCGACGTGAGGATCTTCATGACTGTTGAGACCCCCTTCGTGCTTCTTGGAGTCACGAAGCACCGCGGATGCACCTCGGCCTGTCGATCCGACCAGTATTTGTTGGCCTGGATGTAGGGCGTGGTGTTGGGATACGCCACGTCGCCCGGCAAGGCTGCTGCGAGCGCGGCACACTGGAAGGCATGTCAATGATGAGCTTGGGCTGGTAGAGACGGCGTCCATACCGCATCGCTTCGGGACCTCAGAGCGTCCTCGGCTGCCGATGCCAGTCCCCCCAGAGTGAGTGCGTAGGTCAATTGGGAGACCCTCATCCTGGCGCTGGCAATGACACTGTCGTGGAGCTGTATAGGCGTCAATTCCCTCGACAGTCGAGCTGCGAATGGAGAACCCAGCAGTAAGAAGCGAGGAAAATTCGCAAAAAAGAAGCTGGAAGCAGGCTACTGGCTTATACATAATATTACCAACCATCCAAGTCCCATGCCGTCGCTTGGTAACGTCGATCCCTGGTCTCGGGAAAAACAGATCCCGACTTGGCAGCCCTATGTGGCCAAGAGTCCCCGCTCTGAGCCCCCAAGCCGAGAACAAGATAGGCCAGCGCCAAGCCATCGTTACTACCGTAATATCTCAACGGATCCGAGAAGCCTAGCGTCGCATGGGAGGTCGGGGGGGCCAATTGCATTCTGTATGTCCACGGGTAGAGCAGCGTAAAGTGGGATGGCCTTTACGCTAGGCTCCCCGGATCCGTTGAGATTTTACTCCGTCCAGTAGGTAAGTAGGTATTGCAGGACACGCTGCATTTCTTGCCAAGTCAGCAACATAGGCCTAGCTAAAGGTGGTCTAGTCTGGTACTCTTCTAACAGGCTGAGCAGCGCCAATACGGGCTAAGGACGGCTGTGGAAGAGAGATGACCAGCTGAGCCGAAGCCAAGCCACAGAGCGTCATGCTTAAACTATTGCTCTAAAAATATACACTCCAGGTCTAAGCTCCAGGTACAGTTCCCATTCTTTATCACAGATGGCGAAGCTGATCCACAGTCAATCGAGCCATGGCCGCTTACTGAAGCTCGTATCCCGCCACGCAATCGGGTCCAAGCCATATGATCAGAACGCTTAGGGATCCCTCGTGGAGTCCACCCCGGCACTGCAATCCCGACACCACCTCACTCTCCCTCTAAAATGGGTTTGAGTTGTTCCCTGCAAGGATTTCTGAGTCTTAGTCGCTGCCAATCGCATGCTTTATTTTACCTGGTCGTTGCTACAGCGCAGTAGAGTGAAGAGCGTCAGGAAAAAGACCGCACAAGTTAGTAGACAGATTTTAATAAGTATGTGAGGCCTACCTTTGCGCCGAGGGCTATAGAGGCTGTATTGATGAGGTATGGCAGCGTGAGCACAACGATGAGGGTATTCAGAACGCTGATGTCGCGCTTTGCACCGTCCTCTCGCCGACTAATCCATGAGGCCAAGTACAGTCGGGCGGGTAGAGGACGCAGCGAGGCCAGTAGGTCATTCTCTCTTTCAATACTAAACGATAAAATACACCAATTGATACAATAAATAGTCTACTACTTATCCATAATAGAATTGAACTTTCAGACTCAATCGCGAAGAAACAAACCAATCAAATTTAGTGTGTAGATTTTATAATCTGCTGAACATCAGCGAAACTGAGTTCTTGGAGCGTCTCAGTCCAGATCAGATCCGTCAGCACTTCTCCGTCAGTGTAGTACCAGCGAGCTAGACTAGATTTTGTCAGCGATCATTCCAAAACAGGCTCTGACTGAATCTTCACTCACGGAGCAATTCTGCAGTTCATGAGGAAGCAACCGTGAGACTCTTTACCATGTCCCAAAGCAGCGTCGATGTAGGTTGCCGCTCCTCTTTCCACGGGCCTTCCTGCAATGGAGAAGAACATCTTTGCGGCAATGGCAGTGGCTCCCTTGACACCTCGTGCCAGTTCTGTGCCTTTGGTGAGGCCTGGGTCGACCATGTTGATGATAACGTCGTTTGGACTGACGTGGTCGGCAAGTTTGACGATGAAAAGCTGAAGAAGCAGTTTAGACACACCATATCTCTCCTCGGGGTTCCATGGAATGATAGATGTATCGTCGAACGAGGGCAGAAATGGTCGTTGGCTTTTATTGGACACCTTGCATAGATGAGCCATGACAGAGTTGACGATGGTAATTCGCGGCGGTTCTGGGCCCTTTGACTTATTCTTCAAGACTGGAAGAAAGAGAAGAGTCAAAAGTACTGTGCTGATGTGATTGACCTGTATGGTCTTCTCATGGCCCGTTCCGGGAATGATGGCAAATTGCAGGGGGGAGAGGCCGGCATTCAGGATGACGATATCGATGTGTGAAAGGTCCTCTTGGCACTTGCGGGCAAAGGCTTGGATAGATTCATATGATTCCATGTCCAGCTGATAGACGTCAACCTTCGCACTAGTGTTGACAAGACGAAGCTTGGAAGCAGCTTGCTCGCCTTTTTCGAGTGATCTCACACCCAACACCAGATGCGACAGGCCAAGAGACAGGAGTTGCTTGGCTGATTCAAAGCCCAGCCCAGTGTTGGATCCCGTGACGATGGCACATTTACCCTCCACTCCCGGATACTTTTCTCTAGCTGGTAGCTCGATTTTGGTCCGGAACTGATTTTGGAAGAAGACTGGGCCAAAGTTCTCAGGCAAACGGTCCATGTCTTTTGAGGGAAGTGACTGCGCATCTGCAACCTGCTTTTTATCGCACTTCTGACGTGAAGACATCTCTGCCGTCGTGGGAAAATAGGAGTCTTTGGAGATGGTTTGGTGTGCGTGTCTTGGATCAAGAGGATGAGGGTGCTCAAAGAAATGCGCCGGTAAACATGACGAGAGCCAGGGTATGGGGGGAAAGCTGCTGGCGGTGTTGCATTTATATTTAAAATCGAGATTCTAAAAAACGGATTTGATGCTAGTTTTAAATGCCAATGTACGTCATATTGATAGATAGGATATTGTATTTTCGGAGTTCGTGGTGGAGTGTCCTCCGGAGTCCGTATCTCAAACCGCGGATTTGACAATGTACCGCTAAACCGTAGATGGTAACCGAGCTGGTACCGTACCGTCAGTGGGTCGCCTTAATCCCGCCAGCCGCCCGTCATATCTTGCTTGGTCACGAAACGGACGACTGTTCTCATGCTCGGTTACTTCTTTCAGCTAGGTAGACAGGTCGGGGAAACATACATGCAAGAAGCTTGGAAATCGTGTCCGAATTCCGTGTCTTGGACGTTGGGGAACAGGACATCCGCGCCCTGAAGTCTTGCGGTGAATCTCGACCCCTGCCCACACGGAGCGCTGTAAGCTGTAGCTCTCACTCATCCCGTTGTTGTAGTGTGTGACTGATTGATGTTGTATCAGGCCGGTGATCCCGTCGTGGTGGTGGACGAAGATCCAATCGCCTCACCTGTCTTGTGGACCTGCAAATTGACGCTCCCTACGCTTTTGCTTATGGATTCCTGGGCCTCTACTGAACTAGTTGGGGATCGGTATCGCAGCTATTCCGGAGCTTCTGCCCGTGGCGAGGTCCCTGTCACCGCATCATCTTCTACTTTCGAAACTCAGAGGGTTGTACTACGTAGCTTTCGCATCAAACCGCGACCAGGGGCTGAATTCGGAAGCAGAACGTACTAGGTATATGCCAGTGAGCTGAAAAAATTGAGGACAGAAGAAACTAATTGAGAGAATGATTATTTATTCAGCACACGCTCTTCTACCTATAACTGGTAATTAGTGTTATGAACAATCATGCCATCTGTGGCGTTGGGTACTGGCCTGTTGAGGCTTTCGAAACCAATAGTCTTTGTTGTTGAGCCGGCCGTTCGTTGGCGACGTGCGCTCCCAACTTCGAATCAACCTCCCACACCGCGCGCCGAGATTCCCTATCCACACATGACGTGGTTGTAGCTCACGCACCGAGGTTCTACATCTCATTCAGGACATCATCGCTGCAGGAGAATTTACCCTGAAGCTCTTCCGGCTCGATGGTGGTAATACTAGCCTTCAGTCCCACGATTCGAAAGATAATGGGACCAGCGTTAAGAAGCCGGATAGACTGCCATCGTTGTCCTCCTTCCAAGAGAAACGAACTGTAACGCCCAGGCTTTGTGATGTTGAATGTTTCGGCTCGAAAGGCGATTGCCTGGCCCATGTTGAACGTAAATGGCCCATCCGAACCCGAAAGCAGTAGGTCGGGAAATGCTTCGTCACTGTACTTGATTTCCATTTAAAGCGAGCGATCAACCGCCAAGACGTCAAAAAATGTCCACCCTGCGCGCTCAGTGCCGTAGTCGATTGAGGTGAAGGAGGATGCCGAATTCAGTTGGAAAGTTTTCGCAGTCGACGTTTCAGACAAGTATCCGATTCCGGCTGCTATTCCGACGGGGCGAAACACATTGAAATTAGATTATGTGCGGGATCTATCGTTCAACGTCGCCGCCGAGGCGAGGGAGAGTTGGAGAAGCCAGAAGACAGTGCTGAAGCCCATGGCTGAACCTGGAGCAAATGGTCGTGATAGCTCTCGTTTACCCAGACCCTCACCTCAAAGACGCCCCTAGATCTTATATTAGTAGTCGGTTAGCAATACGAGATGCAGATCCCGCACTCAATTGCCAAGAAGCTTTCGGTAATGTGGTGGGACATCAGAGAGAGCTACGCCGAAGGTTGGATCAGAGGAAAACTGAGCAATCAAAGTGAAGTGTTCGGGCTAAACGTGGCTTATTTTCCTCTGGCATTTCTTGGGGCTTTCCCCGATGCTTACCATCCAAAGACTGAATTTAGCGAAGAACACACACGGTGAAGTGTCGGAGTTAGACCTTCTATCTTTATTGCCAGGAAGGCGACGCTGACCGAGACGACAGGCATACACACAGTTCTGGTTCCATCCCGGGTCCTCCGCGATTAAAGACTGGCTCATCACGGGTTTTCCGCACGCGATGGTAGTTCGTTCTAGACGAGTAGATCTCGGCCCGGCTTGGCCTCTCAATTTGCGCTAGAGCGGCGCGAAAGCGTCCTATCAAGGGCCGAGAATAGCCAGGGAAGCTGAGACGCTGATTTTCCCCGGATCCTAGCGCGCGGCAGAGCTGATGAGTGGGAAATTGAACCCCGGAATTTCCGGATGGATCATTTGTGTTGCCCTGTGACGACTCGGGTGCATAAACTCCATCATTTCCCCGCTGGATCTTTGTTATTAGGGCCATCATTCACGCGGAGACATCCTTTGACAATGCGCAGCTGGATTCATCTGTGTGGTAAGTCTCCGATGCTTCCTAGTTTTGGAACGCTCCCGATGTTCTGGGCCGCCTCTACACTAACGGAGCCTGTTTATTCTTGACCGGGAAGGCCCGAGTGATCGGGTTAAAGGACTCCGTTTGCAATCATGGCTTTTCAACGAGCAACAGCCGGCCGTAGCAGTCATGGGACGGCAGCTCTTATTCTTTTGCAAACACAACTCGTTGCTGCTCGATTGACTACGTAGAGAGGTCCAGACTGGCCTCGACAAGTGCGAATTGCCGATGTGGTAGCACTGCACAGCCCTCTAAACTCGGCCATTTGGGGCAAGGAAAGTCGCAACAAGGTCTCCTCGGTGGGTCGACGGAGGGGTCATTTAACCGTACTATTGATTCATGCTCTGTGGCAATCTGGATATTAACGATCGGCGTCTTTCACCACCCTCCCTGGAGCTAAGTTTCGTACCATGGCATTTATACATAGATTCGCACCAAGTGAAGCTTCAGATATCGCAGGCGCTGTAACGAGGCAGGTGTTTGGCCACTAGCTCCAACTATTCCAGTTTCCACTTTACTCGAAGTTGATGGGAAGTGTATGTAGTGAAACCAACCGTTAACCGTATTGATGGACATTCCCCTGGTTGTTACTCTTGCCACCAGGTAGGGTTCCGTGCTCCCAGCTGCAGTACCAAACTTATGCCTACGGTTGGAGGGAGAATTAGGATTCCTGGCGAGGCGAGTGTGATGTGACCTGGTGATCCTTTTCCTGCGCATCGCCCTGTTACCGAAAATTTGCTGACGACTTCCTGGTGGCATATGGAGCTAATGCGGGAATAAATCACACCGCGTCATCCGATCTTCTCCTGATTTCGATTATGAAAGTGTTCCCCGCAATCCATTTCGATCGAATTGGGCAATCGGCTCTTGGCCTCCGCTGCTGTTTCAGCTAGACTCACAAAAGGCTGCAACGTAACCCTACAATCCATCAGATAACTAGCCACTGCCTCAATGCTACCCGCGTATTCAGAGGGTGCTGTTGGTGCGGATAATGAGCCTGATCAAGTAACCTAAATATTAACCTTACTCAGTTACGGCCCGGTTACTCAAACCCTGTCTGGCATCGCATCGTCGGATTTGGAATCCCACGACTAAGATGTATCCGCGTAACTGAATGGGGATCAATTTCCGCTTCAGGTCGACGTACCCCGTGGCAAACAGCATTAAGCATGAGCAGGGGATAGCAGATGACAGCTTGCGACGCTTCGATTGGAGGGACAGCATGACAAACATCTCTCAACATGAAACAAATTCATGCCTTTGGATGTTCAGCCCTGCCTCCCCCAGGCTGGGAAGGCCATAAACAGACGTATTTGGATCTCGGACCCTCGGATTACAGCTATGTGGCCCGCAAAATCGTTGGGATCCGTCGTCCCGAGTAATTTCCATCAATCATTGATACAGGTAGCAAGAGCGAGCTAGTTTGCGAGTTCCAGGACTAAAATATATTTATACAGCAATATCTTGCTGCAAATTTGAGTTGTCGGCGACATCTCATCATCATTAGCAAACGTTTAAGTCTCGACATTGGGCTTTGAACCTACTTCTTGAAACACCTCGGAGCCTGAATCAACATGGTTTCCGCTAAACACCTTAGTGTAGTGGCTATGGGCCTTATCCCCGCCGCCATGGCCTGCTTGGGATACGAGGGTGGCGTTCCCACGGCGACTTCCACCAAGACTAACTCGAAGGTTATCACAGTCCCCGCTGGTACTGTCTACGACGGTGGCTGGGCCAGGTTTGACCGTGGCTCGGGTGCTTGTGCGGATGGAGAGGGCGGCAAGTAGAATCTGTCTGGACTACTCGGAGGTGGCTAATCGGATGATGCAGGCGACGCTGACGCAGTCTTCCTTCTTGGTGCCGGTGCGACTCTTCAGAATGTCATCATTGGTAAGAACCAGCAGGAGGGCGTCCATTGCAACGGTCCCTGCACCTTGAGGTTTGTTTGGTTTGAAGACGTCTGCGAGGATGCCATCACCATTGTAAGTTTTACGTCGCGGTTCGAATAGATCCAACCCTCGCTAACTCGTATCCACAGAAAAACGACAAGAAGGGAGAGGAGACGTGGATCATTGGTGGTGGCGCGTACCATGCCTCAGACAAGATTGTCCAGCATAACGGCTGTGGTACTGTCAACATTATCAACTTCTACGCCGAGGACTACGGCAAGGTCTACCGATCGTGTGGTAACTGCAGCTCGCAGTGCCAGCGAAACGTCTATGTCGAAGGCACTACGGCCTACGATGGCGGCGAAATCGTCGGCATCAACTCCAACTACGGCGACACTGCTACTCTGAAGAATGTCTGCACCGATGCTGATCATCCTTGTGTCTTGTACAATGGATGCTCCAACGGCTGCGAGCCCTCCAAGGTTGGCTACTGCTCTGGATAAGAGCTTTGTTGAATGAATCCTTACCTTTCAATCTGAATAATCGAATTATTTGGAAAGACTTCTTTTGGGACAAATTCTGGGGATCTGAAACCCGACGTCTTTTTCTTGTATCTACTTTCACTCATTTAGCTATGCAGCCTACGTTGGCAACTTCCGCAATTGAGGCATTGCCAATGCTTGGCACACAACTAGCTTGTAACTTGGCTAGTGGATTGTTTTCTCAAACTTGAACATCCTGAATAGGTTTTTGCAATCAAAATAAACTACAAACCTTCCGTGGATTTTAAATGGGGTCGAGACCTAGTACAGCTTCTGGTGCATGATCGGAAAATCCCCTCGATGACCCCGTTTTGGTTGTGGGAGCGCTATGATTTGGGACAACTTGGGACTGGACCAGCAGCTGTGGAAGGGTAAATTTAAAGGATTCACGGATCGTCTGCTTGAAGAACATGATTGCTAGCATGAGAGAGCTCTATGTCCAATGCACCATTTCCTGAATACCTTCATTTTACCTTGCGTCGAACTTGCAGTACAAGCTGATTTATACACTTGCGGGTAGTCTGTAATGTTCACTATCTGCGGCCATCATTTTAGGTGGTTAACAAATGGAAATTTGTCTACCGCTTGTATCATGCCTAGATCGGTACCGAAATAGGAACCTGCCTCTCAATTATTTCCCAACCTCCGCTGTCCCGCCTTTTCCGATACTTTAAACCAATGTTTCCCAAGGGGTTGTTTGGAAGCTCTATCTCGATATCTCGAATCCTAAAGGACTCCGGTGTCAGTGGTACAGGGCCACTGCATCCATTTGAAACCTTGGTGATATCAGAATGGTCCTGCAATGGAAATAGGTTATGTGAGCAGCCCTCTTCAATCACCATTACATTTTGAGCAATAAGTGCTGCTATATTGGCATCCCAGATACCCTCCCGATGTGGCATTGATCTGAGTAGTTCAATTGCATGTACTCTGAGCCGATGAACTCGACACTTCAGTGCTGTGTAGTAGAGCGGTGGAAGCCACCCCATATCCGCTATGGACTGGGGCATGTCTGGTCGATGAGGTGGTAGATCCCCAAGATCGGGATTCGACAAGATAGATCGACGTAAACCATCAGCCTGAGTTATAATAGAGGCGAATTCATCGGTGTAGTTATCGAACACGGTCTCCGACCTTGGATCAACCGCCGATTCCATCATTATCCGTGTCATAGTGTAGTAAACTCGTAGCAGCCTATAGCCAAAGCTATCTATAAAAGGCATGGTGGTGTCGATGGCGACTGTTGATAAAGAGTACGTATTAGACCAAGCCTCAGGCCCGGTGCGAACACGCTGTTGCCGGGAGAGCAGTGCGAGATGGCAATCCTCGGATTTATCATCTCCATTTCGACGACAAAGTTCATTTAACTCGAGCGCTTCCTTGATGAGTGGATCAAGACAGTCTCTGGCCTGTTCAATCGATTTGAAGGTGCCAATTATGGGCCTCGGTTCGACTAGAAGATTCGTGAGCGGATCCTGGTTGACCTGTCTTAGAAGCCCGACTTGCACTTGTATTCTTGAAAAGGCCTCCAGTATGCCCTTGTCGATCTGGTGACCGGATGATTTAACGATGACACCGGCTTTACTGGCCGCATTTGGGCAGGAACCAGTCTCATAAATAAGCTTCAGTCCATTCCTTAGATGAGTTTGGGCAGTCTTGTAATGGCCTCGGATGAATTCGAGAAAGATAAAAAGGAGGCAAGTTAACAGGACCGCGTCAACAGATGGCTGGACCTTGGCCTGTGATTCCGGGACCAAGTGGCTGATGGCTTTGCTGTATTGGCGAAGCATGAACTGCTCCTCGCCGTCGGGGATTCTGAGTCCGCTTGTTGCATCCCGGGCTTCCACCATCTCTTGTCTTTGCACGGAGCCGAGGGCAAGGACCGCGTGCAGCACAGCCGGCTCATTAAAGCTTGCTTGAAGCACTAATGTATCCCAGAAAGCTGAGCCGAAAAGACCTCGGAGCTTCTTTGCCGAAATAAGCGTAAACCACTCGAAGCAGTCTCTCTCGGCAGCGTCCAAAACGCGGGGAGAGATAGCAGCTAGTACTCGCGAGACGGGGATATTGTTTTGGCCAGTAGCGGAGACTTGGGGATGCCTATTGTCCCCTCCGCCCCATATACCGTAACCATCACACGTACGGCCGGTTGAGACACAGCGGTGGCATGCGGGCCGACCTTCATCGCATTTGACCTTGCGGATCCTAAGCAAGATGAGCCATGATGTCACCGCGAGCAAAGGCACGGCACTTACTTGCAGGTGCGGCAGCCTGATCTTGCCTTTTTCCTTCTTGGGCGAGAAACCAACCCTGGATCTGCTGCCGTATGCCTCGGCGCATCGCGTTGTGGCGTGAGATGGTTGTGAGTTGCAGGTGTTGTCCAACCTCTGGATCATCCTCACCTCAAGACAAGTCATGTCAGCAGTGGAGCTTAGGTCCCGCTAAAATGCAGCTTTATCGACTATGATTGGTGTGCTCGGGTTTTGCACACGTTGATTGGCTGCCCAAGGAATGCCAGAGTCCACAAAACCCTCATGATTGAGGATGTGTAAGCCTGCGATGGCATCGAAACGGGATAATCACGACTAGATGTTACTCACCGGCGTGGCAAAATGCACTGATTCGACCGATGTGCTAATTTTCTTAAGGTTTATTTCCACGAAGTCATTGGCGGATAAAGATTGGTCTGTGGCTCTCCGGTTGATCCTGTGAAACTGCCAAGTATAAAGACGTCCTCAACCTCCTGCTTCTTGGACCCATTCTATCCTCACCATCAACCTTTTACCATTATTGCGCATTAAGAGCAGTCAAAAACGCTTGTCCGCCATTTCATCTCCATTATGTCTACCTCGTCCATTCCATTTCGTACCCTGGGCAAAAATGGTCCCCAGGTGCCAGCCATGGGTCTCGGACTCGTCCCCATGTCTGGAGGCTACGGCGCCATACCCAGCGATGAAGAGCGCTTCAAGATTCTTGATCGTGCGTTTGAGCTAGGGATAACCCACTGGGATAGTGCTGAGTAAGATGACACAATTCTCTCCTATGGCAAGGACATGTATTAATTCCCGAAGCATCTACGGCGACAATGAGGTGTTGATTGGCAAGTGGTTCAAGCGCACTGGACTTCGACACAAGATTTTTCTTTCGACCAAGTTCGGAATGGTCAAGGGCTCCGGGTTCAAGGTCTTCAACAGCTCTGCTGAGTACACCAGAGAGGCATGCGAAGCCAGTCTCAAGGCCATTGAAACTGACTACATCGACATTTGTGAGTATTCCTTGACTCTCATTATCCTCTCGATATTTTCAGAGAGCCATATAATGCATCTCAACCTCCCAATTATACCCTGCATCACCGTAAATACCTTATCTAACACTGCTGACAGACTACCTTCACCGTCCCAACGTTGACACGCCCATCGAGGTGACTATGAGAGCCTTGGCTAAGCTTAAGGAGTAAGATGAACTCCCTGAATTCCAGCCTTGGCACTCACTGACTACGAATTAGGGAAGGCAAGATACGAAATATCGGACTTTCGGAGGTGAGCTCGACCACCCTCCGCCGAGCTTGCAAGATCGCCCCGGTTGCCGCGGTTCAGATGGAGTACTCTCCTATTGTGCTCGACGTCGAGGGTCCTGCTGGGACAAACATGCTTGATACTTGCAGAGAACTGGGTGTGTCCCTGGTGGCATACTCGCCCCTTGGACGGGGCCTGCTGACCGAGACATTCTCCAACAACGATGTGGGGGGAGACAAGAAAGATATGCGCCCAGCTTTTTTCCCACGATTTCAGCAAGAGAACCGAGATTCCAATGTCAAGCTGGTCCAAGATTTTAAGGCTCTCGCCGATAAGAAGGGTTGCACAACGTCTCAGTTGTCCCTTGCTTGGTTGTTGAAGCAAGGCGCCGAGGTCATCCCAATCCCTGGTACGAGGAAGATGAAGTATCTGGAGGAGAATTGGGGTGCTCTTAACATGCAGTTGACCGACCAAGAGGAGGCTGAAATAAGGCAACTCGTGAAGGGGACTGGCATGATTGGCCATCGCCTCCCGGCCGTTCACGCCACTGATCTTGTTGATACAAAGGAGGAGACGTAACTAGAGCCTCAAGAGATCTCACTGCCCTACACTTTGCATAAAGCCGCTAAATAAATCTGTTGAAGGGCCCAGCCATATATATCACAGCCCATACAGTATTAGTATGGGTGTCCACACTATTGCTGGTGTGGATTGTGTTTCAACAAAATCAGGTGTCTTGAAGTTATGTGGATATTTGCTAATTTGACACAACAAAGTAATCCATCTAACGGAATATAATGGATGGCAACCTGGGCGTCTGGTTTGATGCAAGTTGCTTCGTGTGGGATTCATCCTTTTGAGTCATCTTGTAACAGCAATGCACACGTAATCAAGTTCAGTCTCGGAGCTTGCCAGTGAGCTACTAAGCAGTTTTCATGCAACCGGAGCTCGTTCCGGAGTGCCCGCTCGAACTAGAGTCCCTTGATACATGATGTGAGGTCGACGGTGTGTATTGATGAAGTGTAAATATGTGTTGAACTGGGAGTTTACGCATGTGTTCACAAGTGCTGAAGGAAGGCCACGACCGCTGTGGTCTCAAGCAGCCGGGACCTCATAGAGACCCCAATTCCCTCGCCTAGCTAGCTTTTAATAGTCGCCACAATACACACATATTTGACCTCTTAACAATAAGTCTGACTAGGTAGCTACCTCAGTTAAGGGGCGCGAGACTCATGTCCTCATGTGGGTCACGGATGTCGGTGACTGCCTCACAAATTGGGTGTGAGCCGGGACGCCGGGTAAATATCAGTTTAGCTGGAGGGACTGGATGCCTGAGGCTACCACTACCGCACAGGGCAGCAGCCCTGGGGCTTCTTTTACGGAACGGTAAAATGCACGTGATAAGCACGCTGATATTATGTAATATATTTTCCCTTTACTTTAAATTCTGCCTCTCCTACTGAAATTTGTGCATATACAGGATAATATAATAAATACTAAGTATATATACAGTTTTACATATATTGCAATAAAGCCCAGTTAGAGAAAACTTTTCCAAAAGCATTTCTCTGCAGTTCCTCTAAAAATTTCGTAACTTTCGGCTCGGCCTGGATGCTACTCTGGTTACTGCAGGCTACTGTGGCTGTAACTGTAGCTGTAACTGTGGCTGTGGCTGTAGCAGCAGCTGAGCTGTGGTATAACAAGGAGCAGTTTACATAATACACACGTGACCGTCACGTGCATTTTACTGGTCGAATGGAAGCTGACTGATTGAATTGAAGATTACGTCACTTTATTTGGCTTCGCGCACTCCTCGGTGAAGACGATAACGGCCAGCTCCTCGGTGAAGATAAAACAACAAAAGTAGCATACATGACCCGCGAAACGATACGAACAGATCCGCCCTGACTTTGAACCTCTTCCCCGCCGTCTCAAAGCTCCCGATCCTCAGCGTCAAACAATCCCACGGCGACCTCCATAGGTACAACGGTGCGCTGGTCGTAATCGTCGTAGAAGGGCTCAGTGCGGTGGAACAGGTTAACGGAATAGGCCCAATCAAAGACTCCATAGATTTGCAGGCGTGGGCGAATAATGAAGTGGACGGGGAGGCCATCATCACAGGCTGACCCATAATAACGGACCATGACGTTCGGGTCACCTTTGTAGGCGAAGCCCGAAAGCTTCAGCGTCTCCGGTTCGCGCATCTCGAAAGAAGCGGCCGCTTTCATCGCATGGACACGGAAGTCCACATTGATAGCACAGTCGATCACCCTTCCGAGATAGTCGTCTATTTTGTGGGGTGAGGTGTCTCTTAATTCGATTAACGGGCCGAGCTCGCGACGAACAATTGCTTCGAGTCGGGCAGGGTCCGAATGGGGTCCGTGAGTGGCATAGAGCATTCGTACGTGGTGATATCTCCAAGCGTGGAATGAATAGGTGAAGGCGCTGTCTTCGTTGGGAACGCGCTCTGTGTCCAGCACGATGCATCAGTAGAGTGCCTCTGGGGGAGTAATACGTTGGGGGGGGAATGCCTTACCTTGAAAGTCTCGACGGGCCTTATCGTAGTCAGCCCACCGCTGCCCTGCCCATTTATCGTGGCAATCTTCCGAAAAGAGATTGTCGAACAGAACTCGCCACACGCAAGCGCTCATTAGTAGCCCATGTCCCCCGTACTGATGACCTAGGTACAGCTCCGCCTTTGGTGCCCACGCCTTGATGTGATTCAGGGCCTCCGTGTCAAGGCTCTCCCATCGCAATTGATACGTGTTAGGGAGACAGGCGTTCGCAAACAGACCAACCGCCTGATCTAGGGTGCTGGAGAAATCATGAATGACACGTTCAGGGATTGCTGCGTAGCCAAAAATGTCCTCATCCTTCCAGCGGACTCTTTCTTCTTTTGTGATCAATGACGCTGACGGTTCCCAGAACTCGGTCTTGGAAAATATCCCCCTGTAGTCATAATTCAGCGCAAAGCGGGATTGCTCAGGGGTGCACATATGCATCCATGGAGGAGCGGACTTTGGCTCTGAGGCATCCGGGCTTATTGGCTGAGTCGACACTGGAGGCTTCGTGGAATCGCTATTGCCTGTGGCGAGGGGGACAGGGGCATGGTCTAGAACTTCTGTATTCGTTAGCTGGGTCAACACCTGATGCTTTATGGTGTTGCTCTTACCTGTAGTGAGGGGGGCAGAGCCAGAATCCAGGACCTCCGTGTTCGTTAGCTGAGTCGACGGTGGAGGCTTCATGCAGTCGTTGCTGCCTGTAGCAAGGGGAGTAGTTTCAACGTCCACGACCTCCATGTTCGTTAGCTGAGTCGACGCTGGAGGCTCAAGAGAGTCGCTGTTGCCTGTAGCGAGGGGGACAGGGACAGGGTCTAGGACTTCTGTATTCGTTAGCTGGGTCAACACCCGATGCTTTATGGTGTTGCTTTTACCTGTAGTGAGGGGGACAGAGCCAGCGTCCAGGACTCCCGGCTGAGTCGATACTGGAGGCTTCATCGAGTCGTTGTCTGTGGCAAGGGGGGCGGCTTCAACGTCCACGACCTCCATGTTCGTCTCAATAGAGTCGCTGTTGCCTGTGCCGAGGATGGCGGGAACAGGGTCTAGGACTTCTGTATTCGTTAGTTGGGTCAACACCCGATGCTTATGGTGTTGCTCTTACCTGTAGTGAGGGGAACAGATCCAGCATCCAGGGCCTCCATGTTCGTTAGTGAGTCAACACTGGTGGCTCAATGGAATCATTCCCACTTACGGCAAGGGGTGCAGCGTCGGCATCTTTGTCGTCTAGATTGTTTTGCGGAGAGTGACGGGGTTTCTTCGCGCGAGAAGGGTGAGCGGTGTCGTCCGTGGTTGATTCCATCGTGGATAAGCGACGCTTGTGGACACTGCCAACCGTAGGCGCGCTGGTGGAGATAGACGACGATTTCGGGATGTGCAATGGCTTTGGGGATTTTCTGGGCATTGCAAGTGTTCGAAGAAGAAGGGCAAGAAATCGGGACCAGGGGAAGGGAGGAGGCCGCAGGGGAGAAGAGAGCAGCGGGGAGCCGGGGAGGACGGGAGGGACCATAAACAGAAGCGGCGGGCGGCTACTCTTCTGACTCTGCTGGCTCTTTTGGGACGTGCCAGAAATGGATCAGCCAGTGAAGGGGGTCTATTCAGCTCATGCAAGGGGAAAAGGTCAAGTGATTTCACTTCCTTTGTTCATCACCGGCGGACGGTCACACTCCCAAGAGGAAGGCAGATTTTTTTTTACGCTATAGCCACTGCCCATCCAGCCCGGATGGCCGTGTGATCCGGATCTACTGAATGAAATAGAGTAGCCACTGGCTGTTTTGCGGCCTGCGGCGTGCGACGTTCCTCAGTGCGGAGTGAATACAGAAGTGATTGGCCTGAGCCGACATATCAGCCGACGGCCACGTCTCAAATTCCGGGCTAAAATGTCCAAGCTACCGGAAGCCAGGGTGTTACAGCATACATGAGATGGTTGGTGTGGCAAGCAAGCCATGGCGTTTGGCCAAGAGGCGCATTGGGGCCCAACCATTGTGCAAACATGGCTGCTCCGCATGCAGGGAGGATCACTCTGTTAGACTCTCTCAATGGCTGGCATTGGGTCAATAAGGTAGACTGTAGCCCTGAATGGAAGTGTATCAGAGCTATTGTCGGGTCAAAGATGTGTATTGATGGTGCGTAGATGCCACAGGCGCTGCACACGCGGTTGTAAGAACTTCCTCCAACAAAAGACACAAGAGAGAAAATCCAAGCGCCATTTAAGTTCTAGCGCCTGTACCTACGCGCCCGATGCGACATGCTCTTCCGGGCTTTCTCTCAGCCTTTAGAAGCCCCGCTCTGAGGGTGTCTGGAGCGCAACCACCCTTCCGGCCAGACGCCTCTCCTGCGGATAATGGATTCAACATTGCCGTGGCGTTAAATCACGCTGGGAGGGGACAGGGACCCTTTCCGAGCGGAAATTACCAAGGAGAACAGACGATGTGCGGGCCTGGAAAGTACTGGTCCAGAATCTGCTGTGCAACACACCCGCCTGAAATGTGTCCTGTGTGAGGCTGGCACACGGCGCGTACGGACGGGCACGGAATCCGCGCATGGACTGCGAGAGCTAGAGCGTATTGGTGACGGGATTTCAGATAAAAAACAATCTTCGTTAGCCAATCTAAAGGCCGTACGTCAAAAGGCCTACGACATCAAGAGGGAGTGTCATACAAGCACGCTGTCGAGACGTATGGCACATATTGGCTTCGCATTTGGTGGAGCATGCTCCCTTGTGCGAGGCGCCGTAACTTGACACACGCCAAGATGGGTTCCTGCTTCTAAGGCAGAGCTGAGCTCCCACCGCTCTTTTCCGAGCTGCTAGGAGGCAGCATTTACATGACGCTGGCTCGTGACGCTGGCTCATGACCGTGACATCTCATAAGTGACAAGCCACTCACTATGAAGCTCACAGTCACAGCTGCGGGCGCCATGGTTTCCACCGCTCTGGCTAGTGGCTAACTCATCCTTGGCAGACTGATTTGGTTGCCATGCGTGAACAGTGTGTGCAGGCAGGCTTCCGCCGACCACCAGGAGACGATTGAAGCTCAAGTATTGGACGGCAAACTCCAGGCTACTCTTTTTGCTATCGTATAGCTTTCTCCTGTTTCTTGGTCTCACTCTCGCTATCAAATTACAGTGCGGCCTGGCTAGAGTCAAATTCGCCTAGTTTTCACGTCACAGAGACCACGGCATCATGGCTCAGCATCACCACCCTTAGCGGGTTTTTCTTTTTTTATTCAATACGAATACTGGGGTGCTGATGAGGGGCTTGACCAGCGCACAGAGTGTTAGGGTAAGACAACGCGGCAACTCGTCTTCCGTGCCGGGCGGTACGCCACTCAGCAAGCAACCGTCGGTGAAGGTCGGGATGCAGAGTCGCCGCGATGGCTTCGGGGTCAGAGCTGGGATCCTTGCCTAGAAGTACCTGGTACGGCGGTTCTAGCTAGGCTAGTTCGGTCTCAACTTCCTCGTCTGACCGCTGTGAGAATGAGGTGCCCAAAGCCCACTCCAATCAAACAGGGCTGGCGTGGCAGAAGGTATCTGCATTGGCTCACAGAGAGATCAGACCAAAGTGGAGAAGTGATAGCTTGTTTGTGTTTGCTGAGGAGGGAGGTCGTTGCTTTCCCAACAGCAATGCCCCTCCTGAAGATTCTCCTTTCCCTCTTGTTTCCTCTTCCCCCCGTGTTTCCTTTCTTCCCATCCTTACGCCAACAACATACAACTCCGTCAACCTTCTACCTTTTTACTTTCAACCTCACGGGGACAGACGCTTCTTTCTCTGTTCAGTTCCCACATCATTTTTCACATCCTCAACTCTTCGTTGCCGCCTCTCACTTGGGTCTTTTCCCACGACTTGATCGAGCATCACAATGTCACTTCCTTGCACTTGCCACGTTCCGCAAGTCTCCATTGGCCTGGACTTCGGGGCCACGTAACTCTCCCCTTTTCTTTTCCCTTGGCGTAGCGACATTCACTGACTCAGCGTATGCAGCCACTCAGGCGTAGCCTTGGCCTCCTCCCGAACCTGCGATGCCCACCCGAACCAATCTTCGCCGCCCACGATCCTCTATTCACAGAAATTTCCTACGGTCCTGCGTCGGCAGCCAGGTGGCCAACGTTTCGAATTCTCTCAGGAATCACAGTTTCCAAGTGAGAGCGGAGATCTCCTAAGATACTTCAAACTAGCCCTCGTTGACCCAGCGGAACAGCGCAATCCCCCTGACGTCCATGCTGCAGCCCTCTTGCAAAAGACGATGTGGAATGTTCATGTGCATGAGACAATCTCGGAGCTTGTTTCGATTTATCTTCAGGGTCTTCTGGAGAAGGTTGTTTCACGCCTTTCAAGGGTTACTGGATCCAGTCTCGGTGCGTGCGACGTTGTGATCTCATGGCCGGAACTGTGGGAAAACAACCTGTCTGGATCTCTGGATCTTCTGAAAGAGGCTGTGGTCTTGGCGGGCATCTCGCCTGCGTTTATGAAGAGCGTAAGCTACATCAAGGAGCATGAGGCTGCTGTTCGATCTGTCCTCTACTACCACGGAGACGAACTTGATAGGACCCTGAAGGTATGTATCAGCCGCCCTTGTACCCCTCTGCTCCAGAACCCATCGGGCGTTGTTGCCGGCGAAAGGCCATCGCTCCGGAAACTCCCTTCTATCTGGTACTAAAGAAGTTTTGTTTAGACAGGAAATCCGATCCTTGTTGCTGACTGTGGAGGGATCACGGTAGTAGGTTTCCCAGCCCCCATATCCAATTCCCTCGGTCGGTTTTTAACGCAAGTCGCAGGACGCTGCGATCTACCGTCATCCAGACTCGACAACGGGCTCAGATATGATCCGACCGCTGTGTCGGGTCACTGGATCTGTCGTCTTGGACGTTGCCTTCCGCGAGAAGGTGGTATCCAGGATCTTGGGGATGACCGGGGTGCGGGAGGAGTCGGAGATCCCCGTCGACGTGAAACGTGACCTCCAACTGATAATGGAGAAGTGGCATCTGAAAATTAAGAATGCATTCGACCCATTCAACATGCGCGAAGGTTCAGTACCATTCAAGATCCAAGGCAAAGACGCCATCATAACCCGGTAAGTTCAACTCCTCCTGGTGATGGTACTGGGATTCTATGTTTCCACCTACTTTCTTTTAACCTTCTACCTTACCCTTCCGAACACCAAAGGCCTAACTGTTAAATAGGACGGAGATGATGAAGATGTTTGACAAGGTTACTGACCAGATTGTCGCGGTTATTCGGGAACTGTTCAAGTCATCCCTGGATGAGGGCAAAACTCCAGGAGTGAGTATCCATTTCTTTCTACTACATCCTAGAGACGAAGCTCATATCCCCCCTAGTTCATTATCCTGACTGGCGGCCTATCCCTAAACGAATACGTCACGGGGACAGTCCGACGTCGGTTGGAGCAAGTGTTCAGTCCGATTCACCGCCTGAAGTTCATCATGGGCGGTCCCCAAGCGTAAGTCTCATACATCTCTTCCCGGTTTGTCATCTGCGTTCCTAAATTTATTTCTAGATGGACAGCCGTGGCTCAGGGTGCAGCACTTTCTTATGGGAGACCTCATTCGAACTGAAAGGCGGGAGGTTTTATTGCGGCCGGAACAGTCGTGATAGAATGTGGGTAGGCTCTGACCGAGGCTCAACAACGGGATTACTCGTGCGTCTGATGCATGGCGGTGCTCCCATCGTGGCATGGTGAAGGATACAAGACGGTGGTGAGGTGGTTGCTCTTCCATCATTCGATATGGGAGAATCTGGTGCCTGGCCATGAGTAGTCTTTTATTCGCGTTTTGTCTTGGCTACTATTACTTTCTACTTATTGCGAGAGAAAGAAGGAGTTTATGTTCTCTTTCTTGCTATTTTAGTCTATTAGTTCAACCTCAAGGGGGTTGATACTCTTCAGCCCTGTGCATTGCTGTGAAGCTGCGGTCTGCCTGTCGGACCAATCGGCACTTGTATTGATCTGAGGAGCAGTTGCATGTACTCCTTTAGTCGTTTTCTGCACAGTGAATTGGAGACGTCCATCTATTACAGTCCTTTTGGTTGACGTCGGCGCATTTCCATCAACTGCTTCAGAGCTTCACCCATCGCTGACTAGCAGCTAAATGAGTAGGTGCCGATCCAATCTTCTTGTCGACCACGTCAACCGCCCTCGATTCCTCTCTCAATTCCGTTTCCACCTCTTGGCCTCGCCTAAAGTCGGCCTCATCATCTTCTACCCATGATATAGCTTGTCTTAACATGTGGGTTTCCCGATCGCCGGAATCAACGCCGCTTTCAAGCCAACTGTTGGATTCAATTTAATCTTCATCACGACAGAAGACTTTCCTGAGAGTCGCGCATCCCGTTGGTATGTCATTAGCTTTTTGAAGTTCGATCTGGCCTGTTGAAAGACTGTCGCAAGGTGTTGAAGATGGGGAAGAAAAGCGTACGTCGCCCAACTGCCATGTAGGTAGTAGGAAAATGTAAGAGATGTGTACTTTGGACGAGAGCTGAGGCCTCCAGTCTAATTATAATTATAAAATGAGACACAAAGGAAGGCTAGGAAGCTGGGCCACTGCTCCGATCAACGAGCGACACTTCCGGGACCCGCCATCACCAACAGCCAGCCAGGGGGATAGGCCGACCAACAGTTTTAGGAGAAGCCTTCAACCCGATGCTATTTAAAGCATGCAGATGGCGCAAGCTGAATGCGTCTTAATTTAGAATATCAAGGTTTGGCACACATAGTTGGCACACATAGTTAATCGTCCAAGAGGATGCTGAGTTTGCAAAAGAGGCCATGATATCCTCCCTGCGGATTGCTGGCTGGACTACGCATTCAGCGTGCTCAGAGGCTCATGTTGTAAAGTTTCATGATCCCAGTGTGAGGTTCGAAGATGAAGAGATAGAGCGCAATAAATTAAATATCTATGTAGCTCATGCGTGCTGCCACAGCCTCTGTGTGACTAATATATAGCCATTCACGATCCAAGTCGTGGTTTAGGATGGCTGCAAAAGGCTGCTGTCAGGATACCATAGAAGAAGCTTGCATATTTTAATAGCTACAACATGATGATATGAAAGACAATGAAGTGCTAATGAGCAACCTCCATAGGTGCCAGGAGGGTGTCTAAACCTGGCTCATGTCTTCATTGTAGCCTGATACCCGAAGGAGCAGCGGCTATTGTTTGTTTAAATCCCCTCGATATATGAGCGGCTGCAATGCAATTGTCTTTGGGCACTGGGGCGCAGCTACGACGCATCTATCAGCTTCCTATCCTTCCATAAAGTATATATACGTGGTTAGCCTTGCGTTCGGTGACACTTGTGAGGCGGGGAAGCACCCTCAGGGGACATAGCTAACCCAGTGTCTCACACATGCGACGATGAGTATATCCGTATGGGGGTCGTAACTGAGCAGTACCACTCATCAACGATTCCACCAGGTGATATCTGAAGATGGAAGTAAGGAGTATATGCCACAGCGGGACAAGGGAGTCAAAATACCGCTCTATCTATGGCTCCTTTACGCCCCAGCAGGCCTTTACCGGGATTGCTTCCCAAGCTCCAATACGCTTGAATTTGATGCTTTTATTGAATGAGGCGGATTATGGTGGTCGGTGGTAAGAGCCTATTTTGACCACCAGCGACAGCTCAGTTTATTGATCCCGTCTAGGCGCACTCATTTGGCATACCTGGCGGCATTCACCTGCGACTTGTCTGAGAACTTCCACAAGGAAAGACATTTGTCAATACCAACGAGATATTGACACCAGCAAATACTATTAGTATTGCAAAAGGATTCGCCTTTGCCAACCAGACATTGGTTACCTCGTACCTGTTAGACACCTTCAAAGTCCCGTTCTCCGTGAAAGAGAATACTTGATATCGCATTAAGACCGTTCTCGATCCCAAGGGTTCTCTCTAGGTATCAATAAATACCAAATTAGTGTTCAAGGCCACTCTTACAGACTGCTATTCAGGAGGAGGTTCCATATCTCAAACTGGATCATTCGGCTTTGGAGCTTGGCAAGACCATGCCGCATACTTTCGAAACGTCGTCGTCACTGATACCCTCAATGGTTCGACATTATACACCAAAAGCTTGAAGAGCCAAGACGTCCTTCTGGAGTATGGCACGGGGGAAACCCTTGACTCTGTCTGTCTGGATGGTCCCAAGAGGGATCGCCTCGTCTGGCTTGGGGACTTTTACCACACACCTCGAATTATTGGAGCGAGTACCGGTCGTGTTGACCATTCGACAGGCACGTTAGACTTTCTCTTGAAGTCACAGATAGAGAATAGGCAATTGAGCATCCATCCAAACCTAGGATATGATCCGTCAATCGCGTCTGCATTTGCACCATTCGGATCATACTTCTTGGACGACTACCAGCCACTTGGGCTCCTGTCCTTCTACCAGCACATACGCCACACCAACGACGTGAAATACGCTCAGAAGACTTGGAATCAATTGGAGGAGCAACTGAATTAGCTTCTTGGCAAGATCAGCGCCACGGATGGTCTGGTTCATTTCGGCTCGGCTTTTCTGGGTGGCGCAGACGCCGGCTCAGCTGTCTCTTGTGTGACTGTCGAGACTCTTTACGTGGCAGCTGAAGTTGCAACCGCCATTGGGAAGAAGATGGTTGCTGCCAAGTTCCGCAAATGCATTGGCCGGTGCAATCAATGATAAGCTCTGGAATGAAGCCAGCTGGACCTACAGCCTGTCGACTTCGGACAAAAGCGCCTTCGCCGTGGCGGGCCCGCCTTCCGTCTTACTTCAGGCATTGCATCTAAGAAACGGGTTTTGTCTGCTATATCCGCCCTGGATGATCTTCAACTTGCCTTTGGGTACAAGGACAGCTCAAACGACGACCCGGAAAAGACCGACCTGAACATCTCTCCCAATACCAACGGCTTCTTGCTTCCAGCCATTCTAGCTGCTGACTGGGACAGAGCTTCAGACCTAATTTACGGCGTATGGAGAGCCATGACGGCAAATCCAGAGACAAACACCGGAGAAAGCTGGGAGTACATCACACCCCACGGAAAGCCCGGATTAGGAGCATATACCAGCTTGGGACATCCATGGGGTGGCACTGCGACATACATCTTAACCGAATGGGTTGCTGGGCTTCAAGCCGTCAATGGCATCGACGGCTTGGCTTCAAGAATTGGCTTCTTAGTCCAGATCTGGGAGTTTACATGGGATTAAAGCACGCCAGCGCCACGGTTCCTTTCTTCCCCTCGGTTGAAATATCCGTGCATTGGGAAATTTCCAAGAGTGGACAAATGGTGGTTGACGTACATGATCCCGAGAGTTCCATGGGCGTCTTCAAACTTGGTAAAACAAATACCTTACAGGGCAAGAGTAAATACACATTCACAGTACATGTGTGAAGCAATCGTTAATCATTATTTTGAATTATTACTCTAATTCATGTTCTTCAATGGTGTACGAGTATTTAGACATTCTTCCAGGAATCTTTATCCGTTGACCTCGCCTCTATCCCAGCATAAACCTCAAACTCCGAATGCTCCAGTTCAAGTACTGTTATGCTCTAGTTCCGTCGCTGCCTGCGCGTCGTGTTATTCCTGCTGGCATGGGACCGTTTGTACCACACTCTGTCCGGCTTCCTTATCGCTCGGATGCGGCTCGGGGTCTTCTTTGCTTAGGTAGGTCCCCAGGACTTCAGCTATAAACCTCTGGCGGTGTTCAAAGTGTTTTGGACCTTCGTTTCGAACGAATTGGCCAGCAATGTCGAGAATGGTAGCGTGGTGCGGCTCCGGCAGTGCCAGCAAACCTGCCACGTCGATTTCAACGCGATTCGTCTCCTCCGCACAGAGAATCTCGCGCATATGACGGTTCTCGATGAGACGTATGGCAAAAGTCTCAAACATGCCGTGCTCGACCAAGAAATCAAGCACTCTTGGTAAGGATCTAGTATCCGGTACTAGTTGCCTCAGAGCATCATCGCCTTGATCCTTCTCGATCCCGCGCCGAATCGCAGCAGCAGACTCGAGTGCTTGAATGAGTCCGTTTTCGTTCATGCCAATGGGCAAGTCGAGATATGGTCGATCGTATCCGGCGTGTTTCCGCCACCAATGGTTGCAGAAGAATGACGAGATAATGACTGGGATGAGAATCACGTACGCCCACCATCTGGTCGCAGCCAGCATCGATGCTATGCCTCCAATCAAGGTAGTTGTCCCATTGATGGCAAAGAAAAGTTGAACGTTGAAGCAATACTTCTTGACGAGTTCCAATGCCACGGTGCCTTGTAGTCCTTTCATGGCTGCCTTTTTGTGAGACTGTTTTCTTCGCCACATGACAACCGCCCACATAGAATTGGCCAGCCCATAGAGCGCAATGGGAGCGTTTCCGACATAACCTGAGAGTATATTACTGGCCATCCATACCTTGGGATTTTCGCCGCCCATGGCCAAGTAGGTACCCACGGCGATAAGGACTGCGCCTCCGCCCATGAGGATATCCATGCCCCAACGATTGATGACTTCTGTGTAGAGCTCTCGGCGAGCAATGTCGAGAAATACATCGACTTGTCGAGTAGGCTGGGCTTCTTCCAGTAGCTGCATCTTGTGATCTCTCAAGCCGCGACGCTGGCGTTTGAGGAATTTCACATTGTGCCAGGCCTTGACCGCATCTCGAAAGGCAAAAGTCGACAGCACAGCCGCTGCAGTGCCACCAATCGCCATAAACACGGTAGCATATACGGGAACGGGCGTGTCGTTCCATATATTTGCCGCAAAGTCCCCCGCGTTGGCCAGTTCCAGCAGCCCAATGGCCCAGTGGAGATTGTGTTCGAGGCGCAGCCCCCGCGGATACGCCCATGTGCGTCTTCCCTTGACAAGTGTGACCTGGTCCAGTGAAGGGGCATGAAAGTCCGCGGACTCGTAGATATGGGCTGTGACTTCCGGGGTCTCTGGCTCCTTGGCGGTGGCTGTGCTTTGCGGAGCGGCTGGCGGCTCCTTCGAGGTGATAGATAGTTCGACGTCGTCCCGGCCGATCCCCCCCACGGGCGAACTTGATACGGCCATGTTTATCTTGTCAAAGTGTTCAATCGAACAATCTCAAGTGCATGTTTGAGCAATGGCGGTCAGCATTGAGGATGCCCAATGCCCGAGTCCCAAGCAGAAGCCCAACCGTTACCAGCCGGCTACGAAAAATGCGAGCCGTACAAAGAAACAGAAAAGAATGCGACGACCTGGGTATAAACCAGGGCGTGTATTATGACCGGTGTCCTGTTTGTCACTGCCCAAGTCTGATTGAGAGGTTTTGAGGACAGAAAATCCCGATTCCCAAAGACTTTTGTTTCCTCGCCAAGGGCACTAGGCCTTGGCATTTGTTGTTCCGAGCCAAACGCCAGCTTGCTCGGCAATATCGGCCCACGTGTGGATACGAGGCGTAGTATTCCCATGCCGATGTGCCGTCGTGGCCAATGTGGAGACTGAGCGGACATATCAAGGTTACGGCTACTTCCACAGGAACGAGCTATTCTTGACACCTACGTCATAGGACGCGAGTCCACTGTGAAAGAAGTCTCCGAGTTACTATAAAAAGGGGCCGTTACGAGTAATAGAACTAGGTTGTCGAAGAGTGTCTCGTCTGCGTTAGCCGTTTTGCTCGGCTGGATGTCATCCGCCGGTGTCGATTGGTTCAACTCCAGATGTGGGACTGTTTTTAGGAAACGTTACTTTGTACTGTTTGTAAAGCCCTTTCATTCATCTAAGAGCGCTACAAAGGAAAAGTACTGTACTATGCTAAATATCCTGACGTCTCCTGAATCGAATGAGATCTACCCCAAGCTCGGATATGGTCTCGGCTCTCCCGACGACCCAAGGTCTAAACAGTACAGTAGCCCGCGTGCTCATAATCGCTCAAGCACCACCTAGTCATGCCATCGGGCGTAAGGAACGTAGCAGCAAAATCAGGGGTTCCCACGGGGTGACATCCCTTACCACCATTCTCCGTCGTCGCCTCGGCGTTGGCCAAGAAGTCTTGGGCGTTCCCAACCGTCATACAGCCATATCCGGGACCGCCGTGGGCAGAGTCCTTGGCGGCCATGGTGAGGGCGCAGAAATGGATGTTGCTGTCGTCGAGGGCGAGGCGGCACCAGACGCTGTTTTGTCCAACTCCTCCGTCCTGGCAGTCGCTGGAGCAGATCTGCTTGTCGCGGTCATCGCCCAGACTGGCGACGGCCTTTTGGCAGTAGGAAAGTTGAGTGACCATGTCCTTGTTGACACCGTCGGAGGTCAGGCAGGCAATCTCGTTGACATTGGTAGGCAAGGCGGGCGTATTGGACTCCTGGTTTCCCTGTCCACCGCGACGCGCCTGCTTGCGAGCTGCCTGCATGCCTTCGGTGCACTGGTCATCATAAGTGGTGTAGCCGTCGAACTTGGCAGCCTTCTTCCAGTCGTCGACTTCGTTTCCGCCGCCACAGCCGCAAGGCATGATTCGGTCGCCGACTTGGACGTTGTAGCTGACATCGCCAGTGTCGCAAACAGGGATGGTGAAGGTGCCCTCCCAGCTGGTGCCCTGGTCCCAGGGGTTGGCCCAGCCATCCGTGACGGCTTCCTGGGCGCGCTTGACTGCGTTTTCTCCATCGTAGGAAAACTTGGCGACCTGGTAGGCGGAGATGGACGATTCAAAGACGTCCTTGAGCTCGAGCTGGTAACCCTCGTCAACCCAGCCAGCAGCTAGCTTGTCCCAGCCAGTGGGATGGTCCATCTTGCCAGTGTCGAAGTTGTTGAGACCAGTGGTCGATCCAGCTCCGACAGACGCCTCGTGCCACCAGTACATGTAGTAGACACCGGCGTCGCCTTCTCGGCAGTATTTCATATCCTGAGGACCCTGCTGGTCCTGCTCGCAAGAGCCATCGACATCAGTGGTGTAGGTGATGAAGATCTTCTGCTGGCGCCAGATGTAGTTGATAGCCCTGGCGTTGAATTGCTTCTGCAGGTACTGTCGGAGCAGCGTCAGCTCAGAGGCGGTCGGGTCAGCGCTGAACTCCTTGCCAGGGCCAGGGAGGAAAACTCCACCAGCGGCGTAGTCACTATGAGAGGCTAGTGAGTTGAAATTCTCGAATTTAGAGTCTCGACCACTTACAAGAATCGCTTACCCCCCCAGTAGTTACCAGTGGCGAGATTCTCCTGCATATCGTTCAGGGCAGATCGAGTTTGTTCAAAGACGTTGGTCATGAAGACACCGAGGTCGGCAAAGTCGTTGAAGGACTGGCTAGCAGGGTATTTCACAACCTCTCGGTAACCAGTTCCAACACCGTTGAGTAGAGCACCCAGTGCAGACGAAGACTCCTTGGTGATGTCATTGGCCTTGACCCACTTGGTGAGCTTCATGTAAGACCCTCCGATGGAGAAAGCAGTGCCGAGTCCGACGAGAAGCTCCTGTACTTTGCGTTAGGGTGGTTCAAAAGGGAATTGTTGCCAACCAAAACGTACCCTGAGGAAGAACTCAAAGCTGTCGCTAATGGGAGGGAAGAAGTCGGAGACGAGATAGGCGGACATGCCCTGAAGGTTCATTTGGGTCTCATCGAGCACCTCCTGCAGTTTATGTGGTCAGTAGATGTTTGTTGACGAACCTACGGCTCACTTTTTGAGGTGGCTTACAATGTAGTCTCTAAAGTAAGACTGGAATCCTTGGATGGACTGCAAGACCATGTAGACAGGTCGCTGCTTGTCATGGTCGATGCACTCCTCTCCCCAATCACCAGAGCACTTGATGTCTATTGCTTGTCAGATTCATTGACAATGAGCAAGAATGGGAGTTTTCTTACCGTCACACGAGACATCGCCGAAGCACTGATCGTTGGGCTTGGCGCAAGTGTAAACCTCAGCCTATTGATCAAAGGTTAGACCCTCATCTGAGCCCAAGAGCACGTACAACTTACACCATTGAGATACATGCGTCCAAACAAATTGACCTAGAGAAGTTAGAATCTCCAGACAGTTTATTGACGGCTTGAGGGCTCACGAAGTTGTTGGGCCAGTTGTTAGGAATGACCATGGTGGTATCAGGGCCATTTCCGCCCAGGCGGGTGAGCCACCACTGGTTAAACCAGGCATCGGTGCCAGCATCAAACCAGTTGTTGAGGTTGATGGAATCCCAGGTTTCAAAACCGCATCGTCGCTTGGTCAGGCCGCTCGAGGCCTCAGCAGGCAGTGAAACAGGAGTGGCAGAGCCAAAGGAAGGGAGCAACAGGCCTGCAACGGCCGTTGAGAAGGAGATTTTCATTTTTGAAAGACTTGGCGGTTAAAATAGTGGTTTGTAATGACTGGTGATGCTGTAAGAGTGGCCTGGCGAGCTGGGGAGACATGATTGAATTGGAGAGATGCATGTGGCTATATGTACAGATTCTGTCATGGAGATTCGAATGCCCTCAATAAGGCACACTCATTCCACCTACCCTCAAACTGCAGCGCTTACACCACAGCCAGCGGCCGACCCTGGAATTAGAATTGCTATCGGTCGCATAGCCACCAGCGCAAACAGCAGTGAATAGAGGAGCATAGTGTAATCCTTTGCTGCATCAAGCGACCGAAGCCGTCGTGGGATTTGGAGTTAGGATTGATTCCGGACCCCAAACAGGCGAGCAGACTTCAACGAGCGCTTGCATTTCTAGGGAATGTGACGAATTATGAACTTCAATCACTCCCACGTGCCAAGGGCTCGGTAGACGGGTCGATCGTCCACATGCCACGCAGGATGCAGAACCGTAAAACTAGGCTTAATCAATCAGCCCTACTGGCCGGGCCTTGATCCTCCCGACTGTTCCGGCCGCTCAGCTTGTGGCGTGCCTTGCATTGGCATGACTATTGTTAGAGTCGCCCGACTTGCTAGGGTTAACCTTAAGATCATCCTTCTGCGGGGACGTCACTCACTCTGAAACAATGCTGGTAAGCAATCGTCGTGTAGCGAAATATCAACCAATAGCGATGGCGTTTGATGTTCGACTAAGCGAATCCACCCGTGACGCACGGCTTGGTGGTGATATTGCAGGACGGGAATAGCAGCGATGGGGACACGCGAAACAGAACATTTCCAAACATGTCAACTCTCTCGTATGACCGAGCCCAGGTATCAGGATCTGCCACTTCATCCCGTTGTGCCCAAGAAGAGGTGCTACACGATGAGTGCGGCTCCATCGTACAAGACGTACAAGCCCAATCGCTGGATGGATGTCAGCCCTACTTTCAACCTAATGGTTACAATGCAATTTTAGCACTAAAAGAGGACAGAAAATACAAGCACTGCAATTTTAGCACTGCGAGGGGAGTTCAAACGGTAGTCAGACTGAGAGGGAGGAGGCTTGCACTGCAATTTTAGCACCGCGAGGAGAGTTCAATGCTCGAGTCAAGGAATCGTCGCCAGGAACCACAGAACACAAGACCCGTCTCAATGATCATCCTTAATTTTGACCAGCACAATCGTCACTCTTCTCTCGTTTTTGTCTACGAATCACCCAGTATGAGCCGATATCATAGTTGTTTGTCACTCTCAAGATCAAGGGTGGGTATAATCCCCGTGGAGAAGCATACCGGTGAAGTATGCACCCTGCAGTTGGTGGATAGGACAACGGATTGAGACGTCACGGCATATGACGGCCATGTGTCCCTTGGTACATATAGCTGGTTCGTCACAACGCCGTCAGCAACACCTTGACTGAATAGAAATCGGCCTACTCTAGCTTAGGATATCACCTTCAGTGTGGAAACTCCCTTTCTGACGCGGTTTCTCCGGAGCTGTCACCCACACTCACCTCAAACCAATTACCGAATTCATGTCTCTCACTGCATTGTCATTTTAGTCAGCGGCAGGATGCAATGAGTGGTATAAGCGAACGTCGCATTCAAGAACGTGGAGCGCCAACCATGCATGTCCGCCAAGCTACACCGCAATGCGTATCGCAGCTATGAACAATTTCAATACCAGTCAATCATTACACTCTCATCATCACCCCGTTAATACATGATCCTCGCTCATCAACTCGGACTCCCAGCCAAATCGGCAAAGTCCACCACCGTGTACATGGGCTGCAGCACCTCGAGCTTCTCCCTCAAATATTCCCGCTGGTGCTTCTGAGTCCGCTCGAAGGTGAACAAGAATCTGACGAGGAAAACAAAATCCTCCATCCTCGCCTTGGTGTCTTCCTGACTCTGCCCGGGACCCTGGGGGAGCGCTAATACATCGGCTATAGTACTTGTGATCTCAAAGAGTTTGTGCATGATTCCACTGCCGTGGATGCCAATCGACGCAACACTGCCCAGCCTGTTGACGAGGCTGCGGAGCTGAGCTGACAGCCGCTCCACGGGGAAATGGAGAGAGAGGCCTCACACACGAGGATCGAGCTGCGAGCCAGAGCCAGGGCCAGGAACTGCATGAACCAATGCCGGGATCCAATCCAGCTTCCCCAGCGTTACTCTCGGCAGCCTCATGCCGGGCCGACAAGGCCAATTCCGCCGTGGTTGGCAAACAACGTCTCAGCGACTCAGTCTAGACTTTGACGATTCGCAGCCCTTTGCTTCTGAATCGTCTCCCCGCAGAGCACGCCACGCTCTCGCACGACCAAGAGACACGGGTGACACCAAGGCCGCGAATTCGGCTAGCCCGAACGCCTCGTGTCCATGGCCCGAAGCTAGTGGCCATATTGACTTCTCCAGCTTGGGGGAAGCGAGCCTCTTCTCCTCCTCACCAGCCGACTTCATCGACGCGAGCAACTATATAATGCTCGGGCGTGGAACCTCCAAATCGAGTTTCTATCCGCAAGCCTGACATCGCCGGCCTCAGACTCCAGACATCGGACAGCTCGCTGCTGTTTTTGACTGGAGAGCATCGCAAATACTCCTTCTTTGCCTGACTTCTTCATCGCTCTCAATTGATCCGGGTCGTCATCATGACTCTCACAGCAGACAGCCACGACGCCGGGGCACGCCGTGTCTCGGTCGGCCATCTCAACATGGACGCTTCCATTGCTCGCGAGGCCGCCGCGGCCACCGAGAAGGAGCACAACATGGGGCTGTTCCAGTCCCTCAAGCTGTACAAGAAAGCCTGTTTGTGGTCCATCTTCCTCTCCCTGTGTATCATCATGGAGGGCTTCGACGTTGTCCTCCTCAACAACCTCTTCGCCTACCCGCCGTTCCAGAAGAAGTTTGGCGAGCTGCAGCCCGACGGCAGCTACCAGCTCACTGCCGCCTGGCAGTCTGGTCTCTCCAACGGAACTCTGTGCGGCCAGATCCTGGGTCTCTTCGTCAACGGCATCATCGCAGATCGGTTCGGCTATCGCAAGACGCTCATTGGCGCACTTGGCGGCTGCATCTGCTTCATCTTCATCATCTTCTTCTCCGAGTCGCTGGTTCAGCTCCTGATCGGCGAGATCCTCATCGGCATCCCGTGGGGTGTCTTCCAGACTCTGACCACCACCTATGCTTCCGAGGTCTGCCCTACCCATCTCCGAGCCTACCTCACCACCTACGTCAACCTCTGCTGGGTCCTTGGCCAATTCATTGCCTCGGCCGTGCTCCGAGCCATGGTTACCCGCGACGACAAGTGGGGATACAAGATTCCCTTTGCCCTGCAGTGGATGTGGCCTGTTCCCCTGATGATCGGAATCTGGCTCGCTCCCGAGTCTCCCTGGTGGCTTGTTCGCAAGGGCCGCATCGACGAGGCCAAGGAATCTCTCAAGCGACTGACTGCCCGAAACAGCGCGGAACCCTTCAACCCCGACGAGACGGTTTCCATGATGATCCACACCAACGAGATGGAAAAGGAAGCCCAGGCCGGTACATCCTACGCCGATCTGTTCAAGGGTGTCAGTCTTCGCCGAACTGAGGTTGTCTGTGTGACCTGGATGATCCAGACACTCTGCGGTGCCACCTTTATGGGATACTCGACCTACTTCTACCAGCAGGCCGGCATGGCCGTGGAGAACTCTTTCAGCATGTCTCTTGGCCAGTACGCCATCGGCGCTGTCGGCACCGTGTTCTCGTGGTTCCTCATGGGCTGGTTCGGTCGCCGAACCCTGTATCTCTATGGCCAGCTCGCCATGTGCGTCTTCCTCCTGGCTATTGGATGCACCGCCTTTGCCGGTCGTGAAAACGTTGCTGCGCAGTGGGCAATCGGCTCTCTGCTCTTGGTCTATACCTTCACCTACGACTCGACTGTCGGACCCGTCTGCTATTCTCTGGTTGCCGAGTTGACATCGACCCGTCTCCGAACCAAGTCGGTTGTCCTTGCCCGAAACACGTACAACATTGTCGGAATCATCACGAACATCATCACCCCTCGAATGCTCAACCCGTCTGCCTGGAACTGGGGCGCCAAGTCCGGATTCTTCTGGGCCGGAACCTGCTTGTGCTGCGCCATCTGGACCTATTTCCGCCTCCCTGAGCCCAAGGGTCGCACCTACGCTGAGCTTGATATTCTGTTCGAGGAGCGCGTTCCTGCTCGCAAGTTCAAGAGCACGGTTGTTGATAGGCTGGACGCGGATGTCGATTATTCGTATGAGAAGGAGAAGAAGGCTGAAGCTGTCATGGTTGAGCGAGTTGCAAGTGGCCCTTCTGCCTAATGGCGTGTTGTCTGGTCGGATCAGTTAATTCAAAGTAGTCAGAATGTCAAATGTTATGAAATCAATCAATTCCTCGTTCAAATTCAAATCCGCCCACTTTCCCATTAAGCGGGTCGCGTGAATCTCCGTAGATCCCGATCTACAGTGACATACACACCTTCGGATATTGGTAGGATTATTTCCACGGTGCGATCAGCTTGTTCCCGATGACCCCATGCAAAGTTTATGCTCGGGTACAAACTATGATGATCACTCTCTAATCCAAGGGTCTTAAACACTTTAATTCACTTCGACGTGACTTGGAATTGGATGATGAGCTGACCTGCAACTCAAAGGTGCCTGAAAAATCGAGACAGAGCCTTTGGGCAGTGAAGCTGGTCGTAAATGTCTTACCCTACACAGGAGCCAACAGACAAGTTCAATTTGCACTCGGTTAACGCTCATCGGACTAGCCATGTCTGAGCTATCCACAATATTCTCATGGATCTTTTGAATATGGGTGGAGCTGATAGCCGAGAGATCAATCACCGCATCATGGTGATTAAATTGACCTGTTGGTTCCATCACTGTTGGTTCAGTCGTCAAAGCCGAGACACTGGGATCGCCCTTGGATTATCCGGAAAGGTTTAGCATCGTTAGTAGATGGCTCACCTTACGTAACATTCGGTGAGAATGAAATGGTGTGGCTAAAATACCTCGGTAGCAGATGGAATGGGATGTGCAGAATTGCCATGATTTTTCTCCGTCAGCCGCCATCCAGTTTGACGATGGTGCTTACTGCCAGCGTGGACTGAAATCAATTTAAATTCATGCAAATCGCACATGACTCGGTGCTCTCGGCCACATCCGAAACAGGCACTCTGGAAAACGTGGGACAAGATCGATCAACTGATACTCCTCTCATGTGTGAGATGCTGCACACCTTTGTACCACTTACCGCCTCGTGCTTGTGCTTCCACGCATCGAAGACTTTCGGCCCTTCGCTTTGCATCCGTCTCATCTCGTATCGCAATTTTCCCAGGCCACCGGCGACTTCCAGATCTGTTGGCTCGTCAGGTGAGCGAGCGTGTCATCTTACTGGGCATTGAACGGCCTTTCTGATCTCTGCCATGCAAAGACTGCGCCTCCCCCTGCCTGGTGGCTCGTCTAGCAAGGGATGCCCCTGTCTCCGCCTCGTCTGCTTTGCATCTAGCGTGGCCGTTCGGAGTGTCACTAGGGCTGGTGATCTCGCCCCTGGTTTGCTAGTGAGCTGATGGGATTTTGGCCCGCGACGCCGAGGCAATTTGCGTAGGCTACACTGCGCTTGGCGCTGCTTTTTAAGCAGTTGGCTTGGACAATTGAGGAAATCGCCGGGCCTGGGCGACAGGGATGGCGATCCTTCTCCCTCCACAAGGCCCTTGCAGCTCTGGAGAGTCTCTCGTCCGAACAGTCAGGTTCCATTCGCGTAGTCGACCTGCCCATTCGGTTCGTCGGGTTCGAGACGGCAGGTGAGACTTTAGGCCGCCACTGACTCCTTCATTGGACGCCAAAGGAAATTGCATCAATAAGGTTGTGCACTTCTTCTTGGACCTGCATGTCCTTTGGGACTAGAGCCAACATCGTTGAGCCACAAGTGGACCACACCGTCGGGCGCTTCGTTCCGATCACCAATCCACCATGGCGGCCACATGCCAGCCTTATGGGAAGGGACAGCCTGAGTCAGGGATGAGTCGGCTGCCGTGCTGGCTGAACGCCATTTATATCATAGCCGCCTGCTAGTATCGTCTTCCCGCCAGCCCACGTCTCCACGCTCTTTCACACTGCAACCCTCCTCCAGCAACTCCTCTGATTCTCATCCAAGATGGGTCCCAGAAGCGGTTGTCAGCCACTCTTTTGGTTGCTGTCTGTAGCACTCTTTGCCTTCTCGGCCTCTGCTGCCACCGAGGCCTCCCCCCCGATCGAGAGCGTCAACCTCGCCAGTCCCTTGGACGATGGCTGCCCCCAAGCGTGCCAGGATGTCGGCTCTGATCCCACCGGCTGGACGCAAATCCACAGCTGGGGCGAGCTCACTGGATGCTCGCAGCCGCTTCTCTTTGCCCTGAACGTCCAGAACACCCCGAGCGAGTTCGCCACTATGCAGACCTGCACCAAGTCGACCACCACGACTCGCAGACAGGAGGCCAACCACGTCGAAGCTAGAGCCGCCGAGGGAACCACCGTTTCCATTGCCAACAACTGCGGCGCTGAAAAGTCCACCGTCAAGGCCGCCACTTCGTTCGGTCCTGCGGGAGTCGTCAGCGGAGGAAACGATGTCGCTGCTGGCGCCAAGTTGCTTGCTGAATACTTGGTTGAGGACGCCACATGCGGACCTACAGTCATGTTTGCCAAGTCTGGCAATGCTGTTGTTGGTATTTACGTTGGCTCAGAGGTTCAGAAGACCAGCGCTGCGGACCTCATTACTCAATCAAGGTGAGTAGTCCTGTTAACTATGAGGAAGCTTTACTGACATGTCCTAATGTAGTTCGTATTCCTATCTTCCATCTTCCCACATCCTCGACAGGCCCCGGAACAATGTTTGAAGACCATCGCCTCGCGTCCCTCTCGGTTCGTTGAAAAACTGAAAGAACAAAAAGCTAACAATTATCTCAGTTGATCGCTTGACCAAGGGTAGCCAAATTATCCAAACCTGCGACCCCAACGACAAGACCACCCAGACCGTCGGCCTCTTTGCCGTTGGTGCCGTCAAAAGCCTCGGCGACGCCCAAAAAGCCGTCAAGGCCTGGGCGAGCGGCAACTGCGTCTCTGTTGAAGGATCAACAACCGACGTGGACCTCGGAATCCTCGTTGCCCCTAAAGTCGCCAAGCGCAGCGTCGAGCTTCGATCCAGGATCAATGACCATCACGCGCAGCTCTTTGCTCGAGCTGATTGCAAGACTACCAAGGTCGTGTCCGGCGATAGCTGCGCTTCTCTGGCAAAGCGATGCGGCGTCACTGCGGCCAACTTCACCAAGTACAACCCGGGTACCAACTTCTGCTCCAAGCTCGCTGTCAACCAGGTTGTTTGCTGCAGCGCCGGAACGCTCCCCGACAAGAAGCCCAAGCCCCTGGCCGACGGCACCTGCTTCACCTACTCCATCAAGTCTGGCGATTCATGCTACACCTTGGGCCAGGCTTACACTCTCACCGAGACTGCCATCCGATCGTTCAACAGGAACACCTGGGGCTGGGCTGGCTGTGACCGTCTGTCCCTGGGACAGCGTATTTGCCTGAGCTCTGGAAAGAACCCGATGCCATTGCCCGTTACCGGAGCCGTGTGTGGACCGTTGGTGCCGGGAACTGTGAGGCCTTCGACTGCCAAGCTTGGCTGGGATCTCGTCAACCTCAACCCTTGCCCCCTCAAGGCCTGTTGCTCTGGCTTTGGATTCTGCGGAATTACCGGCGAGTTCTGCACCAACACGACTGCCCAAGGTGCTGGACCTGGAACCTACAAGGCTGGCACCGCTGGCTGCGTTTCCAACTGCGGCACCAAGATCACTGGCAACACTGCCAAGCCGGCCAAGTTCATCAGCGTCGGATACTTCCAGGGCTACAACGTCGGCCGCCCGTGTCTCAACATGGACGCGTCGAAGCTCGCTGCAAAGACCGAGTTCACGCATATGCACTTTGCCTTCGCTGGACTCACCACCTCCTATGCCGTAACCCTGCAGTCGGGCGTGACTGATCAGTTCAACAAGTTCGTCGCCATGAAGGGGCCGTGGAAGAAGATCATCTCCCTCGGAGGATGGGCCGACTCAACCGATGCCGCCACGTTCGAACGATACCGTTATGCCATGAAGGCTGCCAACCGAGAAAAGTTTGCCAGCAGCGTGCTTGCGTTCCTCAACCAGTACAAGCTGGACGGAGTCGACTTTGACTGGGAATACCCCGGTTCTGCCGCCTCCGCCGGATCTTCGGATTCCACCGCCGACACCGACAACTACCTCGCATTCTTGACTCTGATGAGGAAGAAGCTTGGAACTAGCGGCAAGACCATGTCGTCTGCCCTCCCTGCGGCTTACTGGTACTTGAAGCCATTCCCTGTGGCCAAGATGGCGCCTCTCCTCGACTATGTCATCTTCATGACCTACGATCTCCACGGTCAATGGGGTATGTTTACGACTGCTTTCTCTAACCTCTACCATGCTAACTTTGACTGCAGATTACGGCAACCAGTACGCCAGCCCCGGCTGCCCAACCGGCAACTGTCTTCGATCCCACGTCAACAAGACCGAGACGATGGATGCCCTTGCCATGATCACAAAGGCAGGAGTCCCCGCAGCCAAGGTCATTGTCGGTGTCTCCAGCTACGGCCGCAGCTTCAAGATGAAGGACCCCAAGTGCACCGGACCGAAATGCCAGTTCACAGGCAGCTTCAGCGTGTCCAACGCAGAGCCTGGCAAGTGCACCGGCAGCGCTGGATACCTCGCCAACGCCGAAATCGGCAAGATCAAGGCCAACGCCACCGCCGGCGTCGCAGGAACATCGGCTACCACTTGGTACGACGCGGCTTCGGACTCGGATATCATGACTTTCGGAACCAAGGGTCTGGGCCAGACGGATTGGGTTGCCTACATGGGCACAACCACGAAGACAAGGCGCATAGCATGGGTCAAGAGCCTCAACTTTGGTGGAACCATCGACTGGGCTGTCGACCTCCAGAAGTTTTATTAATTCTCGGGACAAAACTGGCACATAATAACACATAATAGTCCATATTAGTCACATAATACTATTGTGATTTTTCAACTTCGCTTTCACCCGTTTTGCTGTCTGACGCCGTTGTATTTGAACGCGTACATACTATCAAGTGGGTGTAATTGAATAACATTCAGACAAAGCCCCGAATACCTAAGAAATTAATCCATTTTCCATCACAGCTTATCGAAAACCTCAACTACTGCTTTGGCAGTCGACAGAGAGCTGGCAGGGTTCTGACCAGTGACGAGGCGCCCGTCGACGATATGAAAGTCATCCCAGATACCAGGTGCACGCTTGTCTAGGATGAGGTTAGTTTTGGTCCGGGCGACTCCTGGTTCTCGCAGTGTTTGAACTTACAGGTGGCACCCAACCTCTCGGCTGTCTCCTCTACCATCTCAGTCTTCCAGCTCCGCAACTCCCCCATAATGCCCATAGTGTTCTCCGCCTCAGTTGTAAAGCCGGTAATGGTCTTGCCCTTGATCAGGGGCTCGTTGGTGGCCGGGTCGATCAGGTTGGCGAAGATGGCCGGACCGTGACACACAGAGGAGACAACGCCACCATTGGCCCAGACCTGGGCGGCGATGTTTTGGAGGTTAGATGCGGTGGGATAGTCCCTCAGGGAAGCGTGGCCAGCCGAGGCGAAGAAGACGCCATACCTGGAGCCATCAACGTCGGCAGCCTTGGGCATGTTGTCCAGCTTCTTACGGAAGTCACTGTTCAGGTCGTTCCAGGTGGCAAGATCATCGCCCTTGAGGAAGTCGGGCTGCTGAGACAGCCAGTCAGGCGTGTAGGTGCCGGTCTCAGAGGCGAAGTCAACTTCGAAGCCGGCGGCCGTCAGGACATTATAAGGATGGAGGGCCTCGATGATAAAGAGACCCGTAGTCTCCTTGCCGTCGAAGAGACTGGCATGAGCTGAGGTGATGGAGATGAGAGCGCGGCGAGGGGGAGCCATTGTTGTAAAACTGTCAGTTTGATGGTTGCAGATCGTGTTTATAAGTTTAGGCTGGTGAAGTTTGAGTCGTGTAAAAGGTAGCGAGATTTGGATGCTATTGCTTTAAGCTGGTTGATTGTGTGTTGTAGTGAGTTGATGCTGAAACTGTAGGCTGAAGCTCTATTTATGTGCAAGATTACTACCCTCTGAACTTGCAAGAAATGTCAGCTTGGTGTGGCCAGGGATTGGATCATCTTGCCCAAGTCATCAATTGACAGCTGTTGCCCGCACAATCCCCATCTCCTTGGGCTTTGGTCAGCATGCATATACGTCATGAAGTCGTCAATGTCGGCGCTTCGGCGATGGTCACACCATTAACGCCGAAAATACTACGTATGCCAACTAGAATGGTGGATGCTGCCAATCATAATACCCTCGCGAGTGTTAGCTAGGACGTGGTACTTCGGTTGTAAAGGGTTCAAGTCCAATGCGGCGGGTTTTCGGAGCGGAGTTTCGGACTCTTGTCAGCCATGTTGGTCGTGAGAAGTACATGGCCAAATGAAATTTCACGGAGTTTCGGAACGGAGTTGTGGAGCATTGTCTCCCGATATGTTCTTGGTTGGATTTTGGAGGCTATTCTATCTACTAAGATTCGATCACTTATCGATTCACGAATCATAAATTTCGTCAAGTTTTTACAGATGGTGAATAGATGAATTGATGGATTGTCTGGAAAATTGACGACAATATTATCACTAATACAGCCTGATCGTCATTTCCGTAGTGGATGTAAATGTCCTCTGAGTAGCGCCTCTCTTGCAACCTAATCCAATCCGACGGAAAGCCAACGGTCGACTCTCATCCTCAAGGCACCCAGTTTCCGTCGCAGGCCCCAGAATGAGAAATACCTCTTTGAATCTCCCTTGATCTCCATGCTTACGAGTTCGTACTAGCAAACAAGTGTAATCTGCGTATTCGCCCGGCGAGGGGTCCTCGCCATCGAATTGCCCGATGCATGTCCATGGAAGGGGATCAGATGTGTCCAAATCTTCTCCTTCAAATTGGAAATAGGGAGGATCGAAGCGTCCTTTACTTCTGGGATCAATCCTGAAACGTAGTGTCTGTACAGGGCCTCTAATGACTAGGCGCGAAGATTGAATGGTTGATGTCATTGGCAGACCTGTCCAGATCACTTCGTCCTCAAGCAAGACAACGTGGTCCTCCTTTGGTTCTGCGTTAACCATACTTATGGTGAATTGATCGATCATGATCGGGGCGTTGCAAGATAGCCAAGTCCATGAAGGGCTGCGTGGGCACGATGACCCTTTGATATCTCCGCTTCGAAGCCACAGCAGGTCTCGAGCAAAGGTTTCTCTCCATAGCCCCAATAGGTGTGAATGTCCCGTGATTTTTGCGTAATGATCTACAATGCCAGTCAAGGCTGGTAGTCGATCATTGGCAAAGCTGAAGTCTCTAGTAGAATACTCTTCCATCCAATCACACCACATACGCTCCCGTCGCTTTGACGGCAAATGATGGAAGTTGTCTCGGTCCTCACGGAGCTTTTCGTCATCAATTGACTGTCCAGCTTGAGTCTTATATACCTGGCGGCACTGCCAATGAATCTCTGCCTGCATGCAATGGACGATTCTGTTGGATAGAAGCTGTTCCTGGAACACCCATCCGCGGGAACTCAAATGTTTGGCGCGTTGGATAGACCAGGGGGTTCCTGCCTGAACCTGTACCATCATATGTGATCTGAGCTCAGGGATATCAAACGAGATCACATGTGGTCTATTTGGAGATCGGCGAGGCGTTGTAGGCTGAGTAGTAGGGTGCGGAGTAGAGACTTCGCCATGTGGCCATGTGAGAGGGTCAATGGGGGCACTGGAGAGATCCACTGTAGTTGGCAGGCATCCTCCAGTGCTATTCTCGGCATCAGCGGCAGCAATGGTGAGAGAGCTCCCGGAATACACATGCTGCATTTTCGCTGCCTCTTGCTGCCAGTCTTCCATGTCGTCTTGCACGATGCATAAGGAGTCTATCCAAAGATATGGAATGTCCAAGTAGCGTGCTATCTTGATTGCATCTAAGAAGGTTTTCGGAAGAGTGTCCTCCGGAATAGATGCTTCGAAGGCGGCCAACGTAGATCGAGAAGTATATACGGGCGAGGTGCCCCCCCAGCAGTGACTTAAAGCCGCATATCGCATAGTTGAGATAGGTTGGTTCACGGACAGCACAAGCCGAAGCGAATTTTTCTTTCCCACGTGTAATAGTCGGCGAGGGAGATGTTCCAGTGTTATCAGCGTATGACAGGTAGAATGATGATCTTGACATTCCCGAAGCCAGGCTTTCATGAGTTTGAGTCGCTCTTCAACCATCTGATCAACGCTCTGTGATGCTTCCCTGCATTTCGACCAGTCTGGGTGTTGACTCAGAGATCCTCATGATAAGTCAGTGCTAGTTCTTGTTCTAGATACGCTCAAGGTACCATTACCCCCTGGTTGAATGGAGATGCCAATACAGTCAACATGAGTAATGATTTCTTTGTACTCTTTGACTTCCAGGGTTGTGTGTATATTCGCCCAGTAGACGCTGTTGACCTTGTTGTAGCTACCGAATCTGAGTAACACTTTGGCAATGTTGTCCAATTCACGCTCGGTATTTTCTAGCAGAGGTAGTAGAGTGGCCTGCCAAATGCTCTCACACAAGAGACAGGAAGTTCTGGATTCTAGGATTTGTTGAGGGGTTTCGTGCCATTGCGGCTGCCTGGTGGTCGTTTCGACTGACTCTTCTGCTGATCTGTCAATGGTATTTGTGATATGGGCAATAAGACCACAGCACAAACTGCAGGGACCCAGCGGTTCTTGAGCCATAGTTGTCTTTGAGACATTGAGTGATTTGCACCGTCGATAATCTTGGTTGATTATGTTGCCAAGAGAGCAGCTGCCTGGAGTTGGTATTACTTCCTGGCGGTCAAGCTCGGCAGAATCAGTTGATGGGTGCATGCACTGCCTCGCAAGTTGGGGGCCGCACGTCATGCAGGATTTGATCTTCTGAGGCTGGGAAACTGCCGAAGTAATTATAAAGTGTTACGTAACGGAATATATTTTAAATGACCGTTAATTTAAGTCTAATATGGCATCTCAGAGCCTGAACTGTTGTCTCACTCCTTGAAGATGTTTTGCTCTTGGTGGGAGCGCAATCGAGGTCATCTTCACCAGCGCGATGTACGCATGTCCTCCAACGACAGAAACCGCCTTACCATGCGTTCTTGAAGTAAAGAACACCAAGCTTCCCACATAATTAACATCTCCAAGTTGCGTTTAGCATGAAACCGACTCGGTGGTGTGTGTGATGCTCCCTGCTTCAAGGTGAATAAGATTCTGAGACGCACCAATTGCATTTCGAGACTCCATATCGAGTACGTCGATACACAACCCGCAATTAATGTAACTTTCCTGTACTTATAGAAGGTGAGAGACTCAAATAGAATGTACTGCCTAGGTTAAATATAGTGTCAGGGATTCAAGGTCTTTTGGGGAAAGCAGGGAAATTGAAACTTGCTGCATTTTTGAGAAGGAGCCCACCGCCGGGTGTCTCCTTTGGGATATCTCACCTTAGCTAGGGCTCTTGGATCAATTTGATGAGCCAATTTGGGGTCTTCTAGGGAGAAATTTGAAACAGCAGATTGATCTGTCCGTCATCTTCTTTAGCCACTATCTACAGAATGCTTTATTGCTAGTATTTGGGCCCATTGATACGGCATTCCTTTGTGAACTGTTTGATCAAATGGGGCCCGTATTAACATCTCTATTATCCCATCTCTTTTGTTCATTTTTTTTGTCTTCAAACCCGACCTTCTTAGCTATTGAAGACACATCACCACGGCAGCCTTCATCAACCTTTGGCTGGGATGTTGGGTCTTTTAGTCCTCTCTGTTGCTCACTTCCCCCACAGTGGCCCGAACTCCACGCTGCTTCACAGAAAATCATGCGACAGCCACTATGGTACGCGACGCTAATACGACTTTTGTGTGACGGTCGCGTCGGCACTCTGGGGTGCTGACAGATCTTGTGACTCCGTAATAGGGACCTGGCGGCCTGAGTTGGGTGCCTTTCACGAAGCGAAATGTACGATCAAATGATTTCAAAGGCCGATTGAATTAATGATGATTACGACCTTGATAAAGTTATTTTGACTTATTATTTGACCGCGTTGTTGAATATTTTGACCAGCGAGGGATTTCTACTTTCTACAGTGTCCCAGACCTCTGCTTTCTTAGTTACCCAGCCGGACTGGATCCCTCCGTCTGACCAGTCCCTCCGTCTTACAAGTGTCCACGTCACACACTATCAAGAAGATTCACCCGACCACAGTGGCTTCGGCAAGTCTATGCCGGCGAAGCTCACCCGACCCCGCCGAGTCGTACGATTGGCTGGTGTACTGGTGCGAAATGCGCATTTTCATTAATCCTGGCAATCCAGCGTGACTGAAACCACGGTGGCTTTTCTGGCATAGCTTCAAAGCGTTCCTCAAATACCTGCGCCTTTCTGCAATTCTCATAGGCGTTATTAACTGCCAAGCCCTTTCAAAATGCACATCCTCATTATCGGCGCCGGTCCCGCCGGCTTAGCTGCTGCCCTCGCTCTCTCCCAGACAACATTCTCAAGCTCCCTGCGCATCACCGTCCTCGAACTGCGCCCGAAGATCGAGACCATCGGCGGTACAATCAACCTAACGCCTCTGGCGCTACGGTATCTCGACGCTCTCGGTGTCGGATCACGGTTGCGGCCAAAGGGCATCCCAGTCCGGGGCATTGATGTCGTGGTGCATCGAACAGGCCGATCGCTGGGTCGGATACTCGCCGAGGCGGATGTGTCGAGGGTCTTGAGGCATGATCTTGTGCAATGCATGCTTGATGCCGTTAGGGAATTGCCTAAAGAGCGTGTTACTGTACGCTATGGCGCGAAGGTAACAGCTATTCAACAATCGGAGGATAATGGGAATGAAAAGGGGACCGTCCGCGTCGACGTACGATTCGAAGAAGATGGGTTGCAGGAGACAATTGAGTGCGATGTTGTACTCGGATGCGATGGGATACACTCACTTGTCCGCAACGTGGTTGTAGATCCCGAACGGAAGAAGGAGTATTCCGGTCGAGCCGTCGCTTATGGATTTGTCGAGCCTGCTGAACCTGGAAACTTGCCTGTGACAATGCCGAACGGGGAGCCAGTTCTCCTGGACTCGACCATGATGTCGGCCCGGCATGGATCGATTATAATGACGTTCTTCGAGCCGTCGAGGAGCAAGGCATACTTGGCAGCTGTCATGCCGATGGCGGAGAACAAGGACGCAAGGGAGGGATGGAAGGCGGTGGGAGAAGACAAAGCTGCCCTGAAACACGACATCATGACGCGTTTCGAAGGAGGGAAGCTCAAGGGCCTGCAGCCCGTGCTTGCGGCCTGCGAGTGGTTTTTCTACCCCGTATACATGCTTCCTGACGGGGGAGTATGGAGCAAGGGGAGAGTCCTGCTTCTAGGTGATGCCGCTCATGCTGTGCGTAATCTGTTTCATATCCCTTCCAGATTCCATCTCTCAGCTGACATCCGATACTAGATGCCACCCCAAGGCGAAAGCACCGGCGTTGCGATTGAGGACGGCGTCTTATTCGCCCACGTGCTCAGCAAGGGAGCGTCGAAAGGTATCCCTCAAGTCTTTGCCGCCTACGAGTCCCTGAGGAGGCCGGACATTAAGAAGCTGTACTACGAGAGCATGTTTCGCTGGAACGGCGCTGGTTCATCCTCATGGTTGTGGAGCATCGTGATGGAGCTTATCACTTGGATTTACATCATCGTGACTAACTGGAGGCAGAAAGATTACTTTGCGCGAGATGTGAGGAAGTTTGAGATGCCAGCCTAAGAGAATTCGTTTGTATTTGGTGTTGCGGGATTATCGTTCTTCTTGCAGAAATCGCTACTCATTCATCACTTAACAGTTTAGCCCTATTTGGATGACCTAAAAATACTGCCACTTTTGCTTTATGCCTGCCAACAAGGCTAAAGTCGAATGCTCTTATACAATGAATAGAGGGTCTTAGGTTTGGCTGATGGAACAACCAAAGTCGAGAGATATAAACGTGACAAGTAAAGGCTGCGGTTCAACCGGCCTGCGGGTATTATTATACAGCGTAAGAATATCGTAGCCTAGTAACAAGGAGGTACAAAGCTGGGTTCTGGCACCGAAACTGACACATGGTGGATACTCGCATCCTCATTTCGTCGATGGCAACTATACGCAGGAACGCAGGCTGTTGAAACCCTGAAATGCCTCTAGGTATCTGGTTCTGTAATTTGAAATACATAGGCCCTGTTCGTCCAAGTCCATGTCCTAATAGATACTGGTACTGGGTTAAAGGAATGAGGGGTTTGGGATGACAAAGAGGTGACCAAGAGCATATCCCAGGGGTTGTCTTGGCACAACGTGTCAACGACCCACTGGCTGGCGCTTAACGAACCATGTCGGTGAGGTAAATGGTTGTATCCCCGCATCATCTTTGCCTCGCCCTCAATCCTTCACGTCGTGAGGCCTCAAGGAACAGTCCCATTTGTCAACATGGCGGAGCAGAATCAGCAACCAGGGATCGAGATTGTAAGCCAACCTAGCTCTAGCTGTATCCAGAACTAACAAGTCCAGGACCCTGCCGTAGTTAGCGCAGATGACAATGTTTCTACCGGCGATGAGGAAAGGCAAGCTTAGCGCCCATCAGCTTTGCGCTCACGGTCTCTAACATGATGTTACGTCTGCTTAGTGTTCGCGAATCAACTGCATCCCTTTCATCCAGTATTTGGGAATATCGAACCGTGCAAGGAAGAACCTACCAGGCTTCCAAGTCAACTGAATACTGGTATCTGCGCCCCAGCTCATCTAAATGGCACGATGATGCGGTGGTTCAGTAGTGCTTACTCTATCAACAGGGCGCCCAATGATGAAAAGCACATAGAGGCTTTTGATGTCGCGTATGGGCTCTTTCTCGTGTTTCCGGGAGATCCGGTGATTCTGTCTGCAAATTCTGACCATTATTGCTCATAGACATCAATGGCTCACCATGATGCTGGATGACGAATTATACGCCGCCCCTATTGGCGACAATCCCCAGGTCGGATCACTTACTCCCTAGCATTTGATTTGAACTAAACTCGGAAGCAGCGCATCTTGGATGTTGGCACGGGAACAGGCATTTGGGCGATGTAAGTATGGCAGTGACACCTGTCCTCCGGTGTTTCTAACGCGTGCAACACAGTGACATGGGAGATAAGTTTCCCTCAGCTGCAGTCACTGGTATCGATATTTCCCCAATGCAGCCATCCTGGGTGCCCCCGAATGTCTCATTCCAGATTGATGATGCTCAGTTGGACTGGACGTTTGAGCCAGAGTCTTTCGACTTCATCCATGTTCGTTACATGCACGGGGCCATCGAGGACTGGGAAAAGCTATACCGTCAAATGTTTGCGTTTCTGAAACCCGGCGGCTGGTTCCAGCACATTGAGCCTGACATCCAACTACGCTGCAACAACCCGACTTGCACAAAAGAGAACGAGTGAGAATGATTGTGTCTAAATGCAGATACAAGCGCTGATGCCGGACTAGGACGTTCAAGAAATGGGCCCAGCTATTCTACGACGCTGGCGACAAGCTAGGCCGCACCTTCAGGTGCACCGATGGAATGATGGAGAAGTTTGCCTCGGAAGCCGGCTTTGGCAAAATCACCAAAAAAGTCTTCACCATTCCGCACAGCGCGTGGCCGAAAGACCAGAAACTCAAGAAGCAGGGGCAGTACGTCGGGCTCTACATGGACTTGAGTTTGGATGGTTTCGCCTTGTATCCCATCGGGCAGATCCTGGGCTGGAGCTTCGAGGAGGTGCAGGTGCTTGTCGCCGAGATGCGCAATGCCATCCGTAACCCGAAGAATCTGACCTGCAGCGATATGTGAGTGGTACCGGTGAATGGAGTTTATGGGTTTGTCTTGACTAACGGAATGTTTTATAGGCATATGGTGTACGGCCAAAAACCAGAGAAATCTACTTAACAAGTCGGTATGTGGAGGATAGGGCGACATAGCGGGATATACTTGAGCGATCGCTTGTCCTGGCCACTTCTGAAATAGAACCTGGATCAGGTGGACTCGCGATCTATTCATAGAATTGCACTTTCCCACGTCAGGATCGTGTTTGTCTTGCTTTGAAGCTATCCACATGTGCATATATTTCGAATCCTGGAGAACAACTTTCTATCGCTTGATACAGAATAAGGAAAAATTGGTCATAAATTTGCAATACTGAAACGGCAGGCACTTCAATCCCAAGATGAACATGGCATCAGAATCAGGGTCATAACATGGTATCTTTTCAAATTATAGCCGCCTAGTCTACCTGGCTCGCTCCAGAACCGTCTGCTTCCTTAGCAGCGCCTTGGCCTCAGCCTTAACGGCACTGGTCTTCTGCTGCTTGGCTTGCCTGGCACTGGCGAAGCAGATGGCAGCGAATCCAACAAATGTGGCGACGGCGAAAACGATGGCAACAACAATGCCGCCAGTTTGGATAGTCCGGGTCTCCATGCAGATGTCGATACCACTCGAGTCGGTGGTGCAAACGAAGTTGTCAGAGCACGTGCTGGTGAGCACGTAAGTCGAGGTGCAGTCGCTGGCCGTGACTGTGTGGCCGCTGCTGGTCGTTACGGGGCAAACGCTGGTGGACTTCTTGCTGGTGCTGAAGCAGTGAGTTCCAGACAGGATGGAACCGGTAGCAGTCGAAGTGGCTGTGGTGTCCGTGGATGAGGCGCCTGTCGTAGCTGAAGCAGATGAAGTGTCTGTTGACGATGCGTCGGTCGTTGATGCGTCTGTAGTTGTGACATCGGTAGTTGAGGCTGCCGCAGATGAAGATGAAGATGAAGCCTCGGTGGACGATGCAGCCTCTGTTGACGATGCGTCTTCCGTCGATGACGCAGCTTCCGTTGATTCCGCCGACGATTCCGTCGCCGTAGATGAAGCATCCGCCGCCGTGTCACTTGCGGCGGAGCTTTCGGCGTCTGATGCACTGCTGGCCGATGCGCGCTTCTCGTTACCGAAGCCCTCGCGACGGCGCAGGACGAATTTTCCTTCGGCAGCGGCCATGGCGATCATGGTGAAGAGGGCGGTCAAAATGCGCAAAAGATCCATGTTTGGTGCGTTAACCCGGAGGATCCGACAATGAAAAATACCGGGCGATAAAGTTCGTGGAAGATGACGAGAGAAATGTTACAGGCGGGTTCGTGAGGGCGTAAGGGTAACGAGCGTGAAGGTGCACACACAGATTCAAGGTGCAGAATATCCAAAGGGCCGTCTCAAAAAAGAAATCTCCACAAGTCAGTTGTTCTTTTTTTGTCCCCAGAAGTGGGAGCGATGGGAATAAATAAAGACGTCGACAAAACAATCAGCTTGAAAAATCAGCCTTGACGCAAGGGCTTGACAGCAGGAACATGGGGCTGAGCCATCACGCACGCATTCCGCATAAAAATGAGCCAATTCTGTCTCTCGGCTTCAGCCGTACAGTGGATGTACGTGGTAGCAGCGGTCCAAATATAGCAAGCTTTTGGCAGGCTGTGAGATGCACCTACCAGAGAGACGGCCTCTACTCCATTGTACGAGGTACGTAGAACGCAGTAAGCTGGAGAGGCCTTGCTGGCTGCGCAGTGTGATTATCTAGGGTCATCTCTCCACAATGCTACGCGTCCTGTGGCGAAGGGAGTGTCCACCAAGAAGAACGGCCAACGTCACGTCAGGTGGATGCGTGTCTCCGCCTCGTCATCGGGTCCTGGGCCAATTATACGCCATATCCCAACCGCCGAGCATCCGTCGAGGGCGCCTGTGCGGAACGAGCCCACACTTACGCGTACCTCGTCAGGGGGTTGAAACCCGGCGGGTGACGCAAGACGGCGGGCGTCAACTGGCGAGAGACGAACGGCTTCTTCGAGAAGCTGTTGGCTTGGCGGTATATAGATAGACGGCGGACGCCACGAGCTGATGGGCTCGCCGTAGCGCTCGTGTGACAGGGCTGAAGGCGTTGCAGGACCCTGGAAGTAATGGGGGATGGATGGAGTGGAGTTCCGCTGACTAGACAAAAGCAGCCCTGTCGAGATCGTCATTCATCTTCAGGCGGTGAATTTCTTCACGCTGAGATGGTCCAAACGTCCGCCAACGGGAATCAGACGGCTGGTATTCGAGGACAAAGGTGCCCATTTCACGGGTGCAGATCCGGGCCTCAAATGATGCTGATGTGAGGACGCACACCACCATAATCAACGCGCTGTATGTCAGCTGAGAACCCAACGCCACCTAACCGCGCAACAAAGCAAAACAAATCAACACGGCAAATGCAAATCCTTGAGCACCAACGCCCCGTCCAAAACAAAGCCGATGCTACTAAACACCCGCACCGACCGTCCCAGCATCGGCATCCCCGAAAGCGGTATGTGAAGCTGCAGCCAAATCTGCCGAGACGCGCCAAGCCGCTCGCATCCACTCCACGGCCCGGAAAGCGGAATCGCCAAGGAGTCGACGGCCTAACGGATGATGCGTAAAACCTAAATTGACTACTCCAAGGACATGGACGAAGGAATTAATTGACAGTCGTTGATCTTTCTGCATTCTGCCGTTTTATCTGGGGCCGTCTCCCGGTGTGGACCTCGTCGATGGACCTTATTCATCCGTCCAATTGCCCGACGTCGCCAATTTTCAAAGAATAAGACAAATTCTCGGTATTTATCTTCCTGAAAGTGTGGAGCTTTGCTTTGTTTATTTTGTCAGATTTTATTGAGCATGCAAGACGCCGGCCTGCGAATGTGCCCTCCAGCTTCGCGTTTGGGCCAGGTGCATTGATTCAACCAAGCTTTAAGCAAACTCATGAACGAATTGCAGTGCATACACGTGCGAATAGAAATACTCTTACCTTCCACATTCGACACCCTTGTTGAATCACTCCGAGCGAGCTGCGGCGTCACAGTCAATAGATGAAACCATAATGATAAAAACCGCTTCCTAGCTAAGTAATCGACGGCAGAGAAATCTGTCTATTGTCGATGAATACGACGGGGCTTCGGGGCCTTACAAACCCCCGGGCTCGGAGACTCCGGAGGCTTCAACGCTTTCGGGGCCTAAGAAGAGATAAGGATACCGGAGGCATCGGCAATACAGCCACTGCTCGAATGTGACGAAACTACACGGCACGTCTCTAAATTGCTGACCTGCTCGACACTGCGCGGGTGGTCAAAGCAAGTCATGGCAGCATATAAATGCGAGATGCCGTGTCAAAGTGTACGACATGTAACAGTAATCTGAGATGAAGGTTAGCTTTCACGAGTCGCCTGGTTTCACCCTATACAGCGCATCTGTAAGCAGCTGCTAAGAATAACTGGGTTGATAACAAAAATCGCATTTCTAAATTTACAATGAAGATGCCGTTTACTTCACTCGCCATCACTCTGCGTCAATATATTTGGCTTTTCTTTTTGGCGTTGCTCAATCCAAGCCACACAGTAGTTGAAAACAAGGGATAAACGATTAGCACTACACCCATCACCCTGTCAATCTATACAAGGCATCAATCCTATTCTCCAAGGTATTCTTGGGTACTCCTTCCCATAAATGCACTGGGAGTTGCGTGAAGCGCTCATTTATTTTCTTAACTTAGTGTTAAGATTTATCTTAATTACATCAGCTTCCTTTCAATTAGGTATTGGATTGCTGAAAACACCATTTCGATGAAGAATGCCTCTATTCTACGCTTAGCCAGCTTCCTCACCCTATTCAGTGGCCCCCCAGACCCGCCTTGGTGCAAGAGGAGAGCATGCAGTTAACGACTACTATGTTCTGTACCTGGATCATTCAACATCCTTGGACAAAATCGTCAGACACTTGGGCATAATGTAGAAGACCCCACTTGGCGATTTAAATGGCCATTATGTGTTCCGCGCCTCCTCTCCCTCATTCGTGATGAAGGCAGGTGGATTGAGAGTTGCGAGGCGGCCACTGTTCTTAACTACAAAGCAGAGGCAGAATCCGCGCTTTCCCTGGGGTCAGAAAGTAATCTGAGGGCCGCAGAGATGATAATATAGCATTGGAAAAGGGCGAAAACCAACACTCAACTCATTAACTTATCTTTAGGAAGATACACAGAAAATCGTCGCACAGGCGACTTGTAAGATCAGCCTGAGGCTACACCAGACTATGCGTATAAGGTCGGATAGATCTGTAACTAATATCTTCAAATAGGAAAGCATCTCATGGAATAGAATATGGAGTTGGTTGCAGGAAGTTCCGCTGATAAGGCTTTAATTGGGTCTGCGGCAGCGTGATAATTGACTAGATGGCAGACGGAGGTTGGAGAAGGATCGTGATGTCGGTGGGAATAGACTCGAATAAATCTCTCAAAAATAAAAACAATACATTTATCGACTCGCACAATAAGTCTCGAGCTCTCTGGGTCTCTCTAACTTCTAGGGGAAAATCTCAATAACAGAAAACGCAATGATTCCTCCGCTTTGTCCGCGGTCACCTCCTCTTTTTATCTCCGAGACATCTCAGCTAGCGACCAACTAGCTCAAATGCCCTACCAGCCCGTCACAATAAGCTTTGGCATGACACCCACACGACGCCGAAAAACATCCATGTCCGTATACCTATATAAATATCAATTCAGCGCTTTTCGCCTTTGAGAAGATATAATGGCATGTGCGAACCGAAGAGAGTGACAAGCCTTCCAAGAGCGAGCACCTTTTCGGGCTTGGAGCGTTGATAGGATGAATTAGATTTATTATCACATTTTCTGAACCTGTAGCATAAGCGATGTGGTCGATAGTCGCCAAGTCGCCACTCTAACCAATTTAGAGGTGCTTCAGAGACGTCGTGAGCTGATTGATCCACTAAATCCGCATCCATGCAGCTTCAGCTACGCCACAATCCGATAGTCGTTGAGGATACGAATTCGATATTTCGCCCTGCATACTTTCTAGTCAATCGGAGAGTATCGGAGTGGGGTGATTGTGGGTAACGCTTAATTTATATTAACTAGATATGGCTTGTATCCAGTGTGTGAGTATCGCAACATCCACGTGTCATGATTAGAGAGCGAATCCCAGATGTATCTGCCCCGCACATATTGTTCAAGGCATGGCATAGGTTCAATGAGCGCGAATTATATGCTGGTAGGATACCTACACGTTTCTATAATACAAGTATTTTTGACTTCTAACGTTTGGATATGTTGGGGAAGTAAAATAAGTAAGTCAACACTCTGTAGGTGGGCTTTACGGCTTCCCCGCGATTAATCTAGACCACGCTATGACTCTTCCTCCATGCAGGTCTCACGCATCACATTTTGGCCTTGCCAATTGCAATCGGGTCTGCATCGACTATTGACGCTATATCACATACTATTGCCAGTAGTCCTGTCGGTCTGGGTTTTGGTCAACTGATACACCAGTGGCATTGACGTTTGTGTTTCAACTCAGCATCCATTATTCTTTTGAGGCCAGCGTCGGGCGTTTAGCTAGTCCTATTTTGATAAACTTGTTGCATATTGCAGCGAGCTCGACACGTCAGCTATTGCGGTGTGTTGCGGTGTGCTGCGGTGTGTTGCTGAACGTCATCTGCTTGATGGTAGACGTGTACATAAAGGTCTGGGGGGCCTTGGACCTACGGAAGTATCAGACCGGCTCAACACAGCTACCTTTACCTTTGACTTGAACTTTGACAATCTGCAACGCCATCATGGTGGATGGAACTTATGCTATCACGGGGCTTCCCAGACCCGCGGATGCCGTCACCAAGACCAAGAAGATCCCCTACGTCACCAACCTGCCCCTGCGCTACGAGATCTCTGCCTTTGCGAGTTCCAAGGACAAAGAGACTCGCAAGCAGTGGACCCTTTACGTCCTAGCCTTGGAGAGGTTCAAGACCAAGCCCGTCGATGAGAAGCTTTCCTACTTTCAGGTCGCTGGTATTGTGAGTGACACCTCAAACAAGTGCATGTTGGACAGTCTACTCATTCACCGCCAAAGCACGGATACCCAGAGACTGTTTGGGACAATGCTCCACCACCGAGGCCGGATCCCGTCGGCGAGCAGCCCCCTGGAGCTCAGCCGTTTGGAGGGTACTGTAACCACAACGGTATCAACTTTCCAAACTGGCACCGGCCGTACATGTTGCTCTTCGAGGTATGTTGCACACCATCGTCTTCCTTTGTGCACCGGCTAAGAAGCGTAGCAATGCATCTGGAACAACATGAAGGATGTCATCAAGCACTGGCAGGATAAGCATAAGCTCCCCGACTCCGAGGCGCAGGTTTGGTACGCAGCAGCCGAGAAGTGGCGCCTACCATACTGGGACTGGGCTAGGAAGCAGACCTACACCCAGGACTTTGCTTATCCCGAGGTTCTGACGCAGGGGACTGTCCGTATCTACCCCCCGGCCGCGGTGAAGGAGTACTACCCTCCGAATGGGAGCTACGCGAACCCTTTGTGGGGCTTTGATAACCCCGAGCTGGACGCAGATGGCGATCCCCTTCCTTTTGGTCAGATGCCGGAGGGCAAGACAAAGTGGAACATCAACGACGACCCGGTTGAGCACGTAAAGGAACTCCCAGATCCCGAGAACCCCAAGAAAACAGATTGGATCCCCGTAAGTCTTCGACGACAGATACAATTTACCGTGTGCTAACGCTACTCAAGTGGAGCCAGGCTACAGGTGTCAGCCGATACGGCATCTTCGTGAACAACGAAAAGACAGGCTTCAGGGGTCTGGATGGTATCAACAATCCGTGGACAGCCAACACCTTCCTTTCAAGTGTTAATCTCCTGAAATCCGATGACCCAACCATCAGGTTGAAACAGAACCCAGGAAATCTGGCGGACTCCGTCAATCGCATGTTTTGCCCAGAGTATAACTCGACATGGGGACAGTTCGCCTCCACCAAATGGAGGAATGAAGGCCACACTAACTCTACGGGCTATATGTCCCTGGAGTACATTCACAACAACGTCCATGTAAGTCATGCTTCTGCGCAAGGTTTAGCAAACTGCGTCTAACTTACGTGGTTAGAACCTCACTGGAGGCAGCGCTTACAAAACTGGAGTCGGCCACATGAGTGACGTGCCCGTTGCGGCCTTTGATCCCATTTTCTGGCTTCATCACTGGTAAGTCGCCCGCAATCGTTTATTTGTACATTCTGACAGTGATGTAGTCAAATCGACCGTCTGTTGGCCATCTGGCAATCCCTGTACTGGGATCTTTGGTTTGACCAGGAGGAGCCTCCGACCAACCCTGGTGCCAAGTATCCCAACGTGGAAGATGACAAGAAAACCGACTTCTTGCAGCCGTTCCACAACAAGACAGACGGAGACCCCGCGAAGGACGTCTGGACTGCTGAGTTGTGCCGCAACTGGACTGATCTGGGCTACCAGTATGACGATCTGATGAAGTTGTCCCAGAACGCTCTCGCGCCTGACGGAACACTTGACGAACAGAAGTTCATCAGTGACTTACAAGTCTACATCAACGCGACATACCCCAGCACCGCGCACCTCGTCAACGCCATCCGCGAAGCCCCGAAGGTTGAAACACCTGAGGGTCTCGCGCCCGATGATGCCGATGAGAAGAGCAAGTCGTGGAAGGACTACATCATCAACGTCCTCTATGACCGGTACGCTTTGAACGGCCGCTCCTACACCATCGAGTTCTACCTCGGTGGACCTGAGAACCAGCCCAAGACGCACTACGAGCCCCAGAACCTGGTCGGCCGTATCTACACTTTCGGCGGCGGCGTGCGCAGCTCCGAAGCGGGGTGCAGCAACTGCAAGAAACAGTCCGACGCAGGCGTCATGTCGTGCGGCCAAGTGCCCCTGACGATCGAGCTTCTGCACCACGCGCTGGACCACGTCCACGACCACCCCATCGCCAACTTCAACGAGGTCGAGGACTACCTGAAGCTGCACCTGCGATGGCGGTTCGTCCAGTCCGGAGGCGCCGTCCTGGATGCGTCCAACTTCCCCAACACGGAGATTTCGGTGCTGCGCGGCGTCGGTCGCCCGCGCCAGGTCAAGAAGACGGCGGCTCCTGAGGGTGGTGTGCGGTATTTCGCCATGGAGGCCTTGTCCCTGGAGGCCAACGCTGCAGCACCCACGCTCCCGCCTGTTTACAGTGATTACGAGGCGCTCCCGGAGATCACTCAAGGCAAGCCAGGCGGTGCGCCGATTCCATCTTAGGTAGGCCTTGGGGGAGGATGTGACCTAGGCAGGGGGGTGCAACAAAGTCACCAAGTACAATTCGTAGCTGATGCTTTTATTTACTACGGTAGAGCTAGTTTCTCTGCTTTAAACGTAACCCTTGATTGAATATTAATCGCACTCGTTTTTGCTGGTCTAATTCTCTTAATTGCCGGTTTCTTAAGGCGGACCCCTGAAGAAATCCCGGCTATCCGAAACTCTTTATAAACGCCAGGATCTCAGATGTTTGAGCCTTGGCAGGTGGCTATAATACCTGGACGTTTATCCGGGATTCGCGGCGGTGCTGAGAAACGACATGGGGTTTCGCGACTTCACCCATACACCTTCAACATTCACGTCCCAACAAATTCAAGCGAAACCAATTCAATGTTTGAAGTAATATATTTAGCCCCTATTTACATTAACTTTTAATGAATAGGCATTTACTCAAAGGGCTGAGCCGGCAATATTTACGAAAGCCGGTCAACTGTAGGCCCTGTGCCAGCCGAGGACCGCCTGCCGCTAGAGATAGCTAATAACACTGGGGTGCTTGATCTAGCTGGTGGTGGCGTCAAAGGCAAGGAAGGTTGAAGCGTTTCCGGCCTCCGCCACGTCCTGCGCAATGTTGTTGTTGAGCTTGGTCGTCTCCTTGGCAAGGTCATCGGCCACATCCTCGCCCTGCGCCTGCTGGGCCTGGAGCTTCAGGATGGTGGCAGTGAGCTTGAGGACCTTGTTCTTGATCTTGCCGCGCTATTTGAAGTCTGTTAGCATGGTGTAAAGGATAGTTTGTCGGGCAGTCTTACCTGGAGAGCATCAGCGTCCTCGCCCGAAGCCGCATCAATGGCGGGGTTGAAAGCTTCATCCTCAGCGTCGTTGGCGATCTGGTTCACGCTGTTGAGAAAGTCCAAATCGGCCTTCTCGACGGTAGTAAGGTCGCTAGGCAGGCCGGCCAGCTTCTGCTGGGCCTCCTGCTGGGCGTTTCCGGCAGTTCCGCCGCTAATGGAGAGATCATTGTAGCTGGTGGTGGAAAAGACTGCGCGCTTGCTGAGAGGAGCGGCGGAGACGAGGGCAACAAGGCCGAGGGCGACGATGGAGAACTTCATGTTGGATGTTTGGTGGTTTGGTGTGGATTAGGTATTGAGGGTGGAGTGAGTGTAGTAAATGAAGGTCGCAGACCGTTGAAAAGAGCAAGAAAGAATGCAGCGCAGCTGTCAAAGAATGGAATGTGATTGTGTGATTGGAGTGATTGGAGTGATGATAAAACCGATTGAGGCTGGGCGTCGCTTGGCTTTCATAGTCGGCAGCTCTAGGCCCATGTCTCCAAGACGGGAGGTGTAGATCTCAGCTGGACCGGGGGTGGACGGTTCAGCTCCATAGCTCGATGGCCCTGATTCATTAGCGAGCCTCGGAATTCGATACAAGCCGGAATAGTGAGACGTAGCTGATGGTAAGCGACCAAGACACTGGGTGGCAATTGCCGCAAACGCAGGTCGCCTGATACCGCGGAGTACCTCTAACCACGTTGGATACTCAGCGCCTCACTGGAAAGGGAAATCAATGCCGCAACGGCCTCGAAATGGGCGACCAGCTCGCTGGGCTGCTACATTCTGTCCCAGTTTCAGCCCGGCCGATCTTACCGAGGGCGAGACGTCTGAACCTGGTGGGGCTGGATACCACCAATTGACGATGCTCCTTGTCGAGTTGTTCCCCGAAACAGGATTAGGCCGTATTTCCAACCGTCTCATCTCCCCCCTGGCGCTTAGCTTCACCACAGTTGGCTATTTACAACTGCTATTCATCGTTTCTTCCAACAAATTCCCCTTCTCCTTCCCACCTGTCACGTATCAAAGGTGACACCGACGGGACGTATCATACGAAAATCCACAAATGAAAAGGGAGGAAGAGTCGATCACAACTAATTTTGGGTTTATTTGTATGCATGAACGACAGGCTTGGGAAATCATCTGAATCCCATGCTCCACACCGTCTGGAACTGGATCGGCAAGGCATCCAAGTCCGGAGATTGAGGAAGTTACTCGTATTTATGTATTCCGTCGCGGATGATGATGATAAGAAAAGCGGGTTGTAGTGACTGACTTGACATCGTTAATGTAAGTCAGGTAGCGGATGACCGCATTTTGATATCAAGCCCTGCGCTCCAATCGTAATTGCCTAAGAGCTACATGGAAACTCTCAGAATTTTGTATCTAAAAAAGGTCCCGTTTAAAAATCCATGTTATTGCTTTCATTTTGACTTGACTTGTAGCTACGCGTGTGTGAACCACTTATTGGCCACAACTGAGGGCGCTGTTTCAGAACTGGCTGTGGCTCTCATGATCACGACATGCAGACCCAATGTGCCTTGGTAGGATTATTAAAATTTCTACTGCTACACAGATTAAAACATTAAATCTACCTGACCTTTCATAATTCCCTCAGATGTTTTCCGGTATCGGGCTTGGATCATCGCGATCAATTGACTACTCCTTCTTGAGCCCCATCCTACCCTAAACCTTCAAGAAGTCATCAAGAGCATTTTGCTCTCCAAGATCAAAGAAACCATCTGGTGCACGAGGCAAAGTTGCGCTACTACCGGCGGTGGTCTCCCGATCCCCTTGAGGCCTTGGCGTCAATGTCGAAAACTCCCTTATGAGACCACTTTCAAATTTCGAGCAATTTCCACGTCGCTTTCCGGGACATGCGGGACGAGAAGCGAGTCCGTGACATTCAAATATTTGCCAATTTCCATTCCAAGTACTACTTAAAGGGCTTACTCGAAGAGTTATAACCCCAATGCATCTTCGGAACCTGGACCTCCGATTACAACTCAATCCGGGATGGCGCTATCACGGTCCACAGGCTTCGTCTTGCCGCCCGTAGAACTAGCTTTATTGTCAATAAAATATATTTCTTGGCTCTTAATCAATTGTGACGCGGATCGTGCAACTCCGGTAAATGAGCTGGTGAAAAACCCGTTACTCATCGGGCTAGAACCCGGGGTCTTCCCTCCCGGGTCCGAATAGAGAAGCGATCGGAAGGCTCCCTCCGAATTTATGATCCATTTTAATATATTAGAAAAATCGGGCAAGCTCCCGAATATCCGATGGATATCCAACATAACGCCACTTTGACTCCATTCGTGGTGTGCCCAGGCCCAAACTACCCACCGGGCACTCATGACCAGGACAATATGCGTATCGGCACCGGGCATATAAAGCTGCGATGCCTTACCTCTGTGCGATGATCTAGCTCAGAACAGTGACTCTAGCAATTCACCAGCACGAACTGATCATCATGTGGCACCTTCTCGCTCTCGGTACGCTTGCAACCACGGCCCTCGCTCAAAGCGGCGCCTGGGGACAATGCGGTGGACAGAACTGGAGCGGATCCACGACGTGCGTTGCCGGTTTTACATGCACTTACTCAAACCCCTACTACAGCCAGTGTCTGCCTTCGTCAAACTCGCCTTCTACCACGCTGTCGACTGTGACCCAATCCGCCTCCTCCACAACAACCTCCAAGCCACCAGCTTCCACCAATAATGGTGTCTGGTGGTTCGGAACCAACGAGGCTGGCGCAGAATTCGGAGAAGCGACTTTGCCTGGAGTATGGGGTACCCATTTCATCTTCCCGAGCCTTTCCACAATTGATGTGAGTATCTCAAAGCTACAACTGCAGGCCGTGCTGAACTGACACGTCTTCAGACTCTACGGACTCAAGGCTACAATACCTTCCGTGTCCAGTTCAGGATGGAGAGACTTACCCCTAACACTATGACCGGCGATTACAACACTGCTTACCTCAAGAACCTCACTGACGTGGTCAACCACATCACCGGTAGCGGCGGCTGGGCCGTACTTGACCCACACAACTATGGCCGCTTCTTTGGCAACATCATCACCGACACGGCTGCTTTCCAGACGTGGTGGAAGAACGTTGCAAACCAGTTCAAGAGCAACGACCACGTTATCTTCGACACCAACAATGAGTATTACGGGTTGGACCAGACGCTCGTGCTCAACCTCAACCAGGCGGCCATCAATGGTATCCGCGCCGCGGGTGCGAAGCAGTATATCTTTGTCGAGGGAAATCAATGGTCCGGCGCATGGTCCTGGCCCACCGTCAACGACAACATGAAAGCGCTCACGGATCCCGAGAACAAGATAGTGTATGAGATGCATCAGTATCTCGACTCTGACAGCTCTGGTACTTCTGCGACCTGTGTTTCGACAACAATTGGCGTTGAGCGGGTTACTGCGGCCACAAAGTGGCTGAGAGATAATGGCAAGGTCGGCATTCTCGGCGAGTTTGCGGGTGGAGCAAACTCTCAGTGCCAGACTGCCGTGAAGGGTCTCCTCGACTACCTTAAGGCAAACGATGACGTGTGGATGGGTGCTCTGTGGTGGGCGGCCGGACCTTGGTGGCAGGACTACATCTTCAGCTTGGAGCCTCCCACTGGGACTGGTTACCAGTACTACAATTCTCTTCTGAAGACGTATGTTTGAGCATGGGGAAGTTATTTAGGCAAGATGGGAGAGTGAGGATGTGTCGCTTGGACAAGTCAGAATGTATATATCGATTGTCATGTCAAGAACGCAAAATGTGCATTATATTGCCACTGAGACTGGAAGCAGCCGTGATTAGTGTAAATTAACCCCCGAACTCGCAACGTAGAAAAGTGTAAATGGGTTGCAAGACAGTTAGTATCCAGCTTGTACTCCAGTTGAGGTTGATAGAGCTGCATGAGTCAATGGACAGACGTTCAACGACATGCAGATTTTGTGGAAGAAGATCCGGTGATTTCTGGTAGCTCCTCCCATTATCCAAGAGAACCTCAGTCAACCATCTTTCTTTTCCCAAAATCTTTTCCCCTTTGGATTCGACACACGGTATAGGGTAATAAAGATTCCTTAGGGGTGGTTACAAAATGGTAGACAAACGAAACGATGATTACATTTACTATGACGACACATATAATTCACTATACATCTATTGCCCAAAGTTTATCCTATTCCTAAATAAGTTGGTTCCTCTCCTGTGCACCTTTCAAGATGGCACAATTTCCAAGGCGTATCAGCTCATCCACAAAACTATCTACGCTCTCCATAGAGTCAGCTTCATTATTGGATGCACTATATCCTGGCATATTTCTGATGAGAATAGCAGCTGAACGCATAAGGTCCAAATCACTTTTTGCTTGTGGCTTGAGAGGATCTGAGAGAATATTCACAAAGAGCACCTTGGTAGCGGTCCTTAGATAGAACGAAAGCAACCTATAATCGTTTTATTAGTTGACTGTAGGCCACTTGCCATAAACGTGTCAAACACGAAACCAGGTAAAGTAAACTTGCCAAAATGTTCCGCTCTCAAGTTTATGAAGCGCTGCATCTAAGTAGATCACAGTCGAGCGGCTTGCTTCTAGAGCAATGGTGGCACTAGATTGAACACTCGGACTGTATTTGCATCCCATGCCTGGTTCAAAGTGTAAAGGACGACACCTTCTGCTGGCTTGGTGTATCAATATGACGAGGTGGTGGTATTCAAAACAAAGGAAAACGTGACGCATCATTACCAGGGCCATCAATTTGGGAAGGCGAACGCTGGACTTATTGATGAGTGAGAGTGCAGGCCGTAAGTCAAGGGGGATAGACGACCGCCACTCCTCGAGATCGGCATCTAGCTCTCGGATAGCGCAGAGAAGTTCAGCATCTGATTTCTGTCGAGCCTGCTCCGAGTACAGCAACCGGTAGGCCTTGGATTTGATGTGACTCAAGTAAGTGTCACATGGAAGGTGATTATTACCCGGCGGTGTAAGATCGCAATAGTCATCAGGAATGAGGGGAGGCTGATGAGTCCGTATCATGATCTGCTTGTCGAAAATGTAGCACTGCCAAAATAGCATCCGTAGCTGGTGATTTTCTCTGTCCGCGAGAGTTGGTTCGGCGGTACGTGACTTGGTAGGCTGGTGCATGTGTCCACCTAAAACGATGACAAGGCGGCAGGCAATCGAATGCAGCCGGAGGGCAGATTTCAGACGGCCGGAAAAGGTTTGGTGAATATGCTTCAACATCATTAACGTCGCTCAACACAGCTCCAAAGACTCATTTGTACTTACTAGCATCAGAATTGTCTGAAGAGTTACTATGCTCACATCCTCGAGTACATCTGACAGTGCGTGAAATACTTTGGCTGCACACATATGGCCGTCCACAGAAGGCAGTACGCCAGCGTGCGCCTGCAGAAAGTGCATAGCGGAGAGAAAGGCCAAGACACATGCTCTAGCGCTCGTACGGTCCATCGAAGGGGTTCCATCGCACGGTTCAAATGCTTTTGTAATGGTACCTTCGAACAACACAGGGTCCACTAGGGGAAACACAAGCCCTATCGCAGAAGCGGAAAAGGTATTGAGCGCTTGTTTGACTGAAGCTTTGCTAGGAAGATCATTAAGGGTTCCCAACGAAGTGAATAAACGTGAGGGTGACAGATTCGGCTCATAAACCGGCCGCTGCTGCATAGAATAAAGTGCGGCTTTGTCTGCTATTTTAGACCGCAGCCATTTCGGATCGCACTCGAAGGGAGTCGGTATACTAGCTTCGGAGCCGACATGTTCTAACTGACTCGAGGGATTGCATGTGTATGGACAGCCGCCAGGAATTATCAGACCGGAAAACTCAGTTATGTGGTGAGAGTCAGCACACTGACTCAGTAGATCGTTTATGCCTGTCTGTGAACCCGGGATGGCCACGGGGGGCGTGGGCCTCGGCGTCTTCGGTGCCGCCGAAGGGTCTTCGGTGTCCTGGTGAGTGGCTACCTGGACAAGAGCGTTGTCGATATGCTCAAGTCGCTGAGACAAGCTCTGTGCAGTCTTGAACTTGTTCCTGAACGATGCGAGTGGTGCGCTTGTTAGAAAAGATGCCGTTACTTTGTACATGAAGTAAAGCATGAGATGGGTGGGGACTCACCTAGTTTTCGGCTTCTTCCTATGCCTGGTGAAAGTGCAGGTATCGCCATGGTGATGGCACCAATTGCAGGGAGCACCCGAGTCGGTTGAATCACACTGGATCTGTTGGCACCAAAGGTATCAGCAACTCATGTCTTGATTCCCTGTGTACGGGTTCCGCGTCGTCGTCGATAGAACCCACGGCTGACTCCCAGACGCTAACAGAGACATAAACTAGTACGCGCCTTCCTCCTGTAGCAAGAATCGCATGCTCGCTTTCTCGATATGCCAAGGGCCCATGTCGTCGACATAATCAAGGATATCAAGGCGTTAGTGAAGGTCGCGTCCCCCTATCACCGGTGTGTGGCTCTCGGGCGATTTCGTGACAGACGGAGAGAGACAGTGGGCGTGGGGTGTCGAGATCGGTGTTTCCCGGAAGACTTGAGCCCCGATAGATCCCCAACATGAGGCCAAATGGGTTGATGAATTGCGAAATGTCACAGAGACGTCCTCCCTTGGAACAATTGCACCGGCTCTCGCGGGCCAATGCAATCCTGAGTCAGCGGCGAAAATCCAAATATGGAATAGCGTCCAGCCTCGGTAGACACTAGCAAGGGGCACCCATACATCACCCATGTTACAACTGCCGCGTTGTGAAGCGGAATGTCATGAGGAGGATCGAATCTTGCAACTCTCAATCTAGCGAAGCATTCATTCATGAACCTGCGGATACTTGCGATTCCAGATAATACGATTTATCAGTTCGCAACTGCGTCACAGCGCGACTTGCATACGATCTAGTTCCGTACATGTCAAACACGTGGGTTTCGCGGTACTCGAATCTCATCTACCCACTCAGCTGGAAACTCAAGTTCGAGAAGAGCGAGCATCTCATACTCAATTCTATGTGACCTGATCAGGAGATGTACGGGCCGGAGGATCTTCCTGGCTCGGCTTATGAAGGCTTTATCACAGTTTCTGGAAAATTCTTCGGACAGATGCGTGGATTCCGGGTTCTCGAGATGGTAACTATCTATTAGAGCAAGGCCTTCGACGGAAAATCCGGTGCCATTAATATTTTTTCATTCGAAGAGGTCAAGCCGAGAAAAGATTCAAGGCCTTTCTGTGCTTTTATCAACCTCTATATCTACTTCTTCCATTATCCTACTTCTTCCTACTTAACCTTCACTTGGACACCAAGTGTCCTTAGATATGTACTACGCGCTCTCTAGATTATATGAGAGAGCTTAAATGACGGTTTGGGAACATATTTGCCACTTATGTTGCAACTTTAACCATCTGCCAATGGCATTATCCTCCTGCTAACATGCTTATAGCAAAGGATTTGAGGACTGGTCTTCGCGCAACCAAGTACATTTTACGATTCGAAAGCGACTTAACACTTAGCCTTGCACTAACCCGAATTTCATAAGACGTATCTTGGCATCTTGTCGTTCTCATGATATTGGCAGGACATATTTGTTGTGTTCAATTTTGCTTGCTGGTCCAGCCTACACTTCCTATTTTCGTACCTCTGCGCTATCGCAAGTACGAAATCGAAACCCCAACTTGCTTTTACCTTAATAAGCTGCACTGGACTCTCTGACTAGATATGCTTCGTAATCTATACCCCAAAGTGAACGTATGGTACCCAATGGAGTGGAGGATCTTCGCACAACACAGCATCCCTTGATGCTCTCTCCTTGCCTTGCCCCAAATGCGGTTGTTTGACAATTGGTTGGCCGTTTTTGCCGTCCCTGTCTCCAATCCCCCGCTCAGACGTACCCCCCCACGGTATTTTCCAAGATCCATTGGCCCCTGAGATTCCTAATAGCGTGATGAAGTCCCTCACTGACAGATTCATCACGCATATCTTGGCCTTTGATCCACTCATACGTTCCGACTGCTACATCCACGCAAGAACTGTCGTTCACCTCCCACAAAGTGCCTATGACATTCTGGAAACCAGCAAGCTGACAAGCACCAATCAGATGTAGCCCTTCGTCCACGAGTTCCTTACGTCTCGTTTGACCTGTGCCACACGCAGAGAGATAGGCTAGATATGGTCCTTGGTTTTGAAGGTTTGATTCAAAAAGACTCGCTACTGTTAACGATCCGTCACTAAGGAGTAGGGAGCTTTCTGATGGATCTGACTGGTTGGACTGCCCATGGCCGGCGAAATGGAAGATCTTGCAGTCATTCAAAGCAGACAAGACATCGTTCCGGTAGGGCCTCGGCCTGATTGCGTGTAAATTCATAGAGTTGCAAAGGCCCTCTATCTTGTCAATCTCTTGTGGCGCATATTGGAGCTCTTGCATGCCCACAAGAACAGCCCTTTGTGAATTATGAACTCTCATCTGAGAGCGATTTTGGCGACTGGAGATGAGCACTCTGACAGAACAATTATAGGATGAGATCACCCTGTCTAGGATGGTCTCGGTCGAATTGTTGGAATGGTACCCTGCCGCATGGATTGGAAACGTGCATAGAGGCCCGGTAGGGATCCACCATATACGAGGCCAGTTGCCTTCAGTTGGCGGTTTTGTGAATCCCAATGCGGATAATATTGGATTGCCGATGGTTTTCCATAGCCACTCAAGTAATTCCTCATCCGTCTTGTTTATGCTCATTGCGCGAGCTTCAACCTCACGTCTCGTCAAACTTGAGAGGGGCAAAGTCCTGAGCCCACCCTTCTCAATGATCAACGCATCGCAGCGGTAGTAGCTCACATTGACCAAAACAATTGGCCCCTCGCTTGCAATTGCCGTCAGTTCATCCTCAGATGGTGGCAAAAGAAATCGATCAAACCCGGGCAGTTCCCGTATGGCCTGGATTGTTGTTTCCAGTTTCTGGCCAGCATCGTGAAATTGATTGGCATGAGGTTGCATCAACGCCCTGGGAGCGTTGAGTCGGCCTCAAGGTTGAACGAATGTCTCTGCTAACAATGGATGCTTTTCTTGAAGCATGGAGATGTCGTCACTGGTTTCGTTCAAAGACTCTATCATCACCCCGCGACCAAGTTCAAGAAATTGGATTGCATCAAGTCTTTTCCCCAGCCATGAGTGCGATTGCTGTCGCGTCAGAAGCAATGTTTGAAACTTCGCTTAGGAAATATTGTTTGTCTGAAGTCTCAAGAGAACGATTCGCAAGTAGTGGGATAAGAGACATGGTTGTGTTGGAGGCTCGGTATGCCTTTAACCAGAGCTCAGCTTCGGCATACAAGCCCATCAATTCTTGACCAGGTGGTAGTCGCTCACTTGCGGGTGACGAGTAATGGGCAAGAGCCTGTTCATATTGTTGGATTGCCATCTCAAAACCCGATGTTTCGTCTGATGCTTCATATTTATCTTGGTATTGAATTCCGAGACTTTGAAGCCGTTGTGCACGCTCCGGGTGGTCGTCAGGTGTGAGATCGAGGGCTTCTCGGGACAATTGAATTGCGATTTCAAGGTGCTTTGTTTCTCTGGTCATGTGGTATTTCTCTCTGTATGCATCTCCAAGATTCTTAAGTTGTCGTGCCCGGTCTCTATCGTCGTCCGGTGTTAGATTGAGTGCTTCTTGTAAATGCTCAGTTGCAGTTTCAAGGTCATCCATCGTTCTAGCTATTCGGTAGAGATCTAAATATGCACCCCCAAGGCTGTAAACGCAATGGGCTCGATCTGGATGGTTATTCGGTATCAGGTCGAGGGCGTCTTGGAATTGTTGGGTTGCTGCTTCAAGATCTGACACTTCCTCTGTTCTTCGGTATCGTTCTTGGTATCCAGTACCAAGACTTTGAACTCGAAATGCCCTGTCTTGGTGATTATTTGAGGTCAGATCGAGGGCATTTTAGTATAGTTGCATTGATGTTTCCAGATCGGCCATTGCTCCTGCGGTAAGGTACCTGTTTCTGTATCCATCTCCAAGACGTCCAAGTTGATGTGCCCTTTCTGGATGATCATCTGTAGTTAGATCGAGAGATTCTTGATATCGCTGAATTGCCATCTCAAAATCGGAAATTGCCCCTGTTCTGTTTCCTCTGGTTTCATACCCATGCCCCAGACTGCCAAGTCGACGTGACCGGTCTGACTGATCATCTGGTATGAGATTGAGAGATTCTTGGTATAGACGGATTGCTTCCTCAAGATCTAGAACATCTCCGTTTGCTTCGTATTTGTTCAAGCATTCATCGCCCAAACTCTCAAGTTGATATGCTCGGTCGGGAGCGCCTTCTGATACTAGACTTGGCTCCCTCCGACCTTGTTGAATCCTGTTGCGAAGGGTTTCCATTGTCCTTTCTGCTCTATGTATCTTCAGGAATCCCGATGTGAGTTATAGGTACACGACACGCGACTAGATGAGGCTCTCCAACTATAGAATTTGATGTCACCTCTCGGATTTTGCGACGGCAATGATTTCCGGCAATAAGGCAGCGGTGAAGCCTCCCGAGTGCTTCGACGAAGACAGAGGTGAGAAATTGCGGCCACTGCGGCGCGGTGAGAGGCAAAATGAGGAACAGAGGGAAACGAGCCCGGTTTATGCTGGAGCAATGAGACGAAGAAACACACTCGCACAATAGTAATAGAAGTTATTCAAGCCGCAGTGGATGAGAGCTGAATACAAAAAGAGAGAGATCGCACCAAGGGAGACATAGATCCGTGAGTTGTGTCAGACGATCACTATTAATGGTATGGGTGAGGCATTTATCGACAGATGGCATCAGGTGACGTTAAACATTTAAATTGAAAAGTACGCAAACATGATGTCGGCAAACATTACATCGGCATTTGGTTCCCTCGTTGATAGAAGAAATTCTAACTAAACAGCTAAGGATACTTCTTCATATTGTGAGCAATGGTAGAAGCGATTTGGAATAGTCGTCACTTGGCATTCCCGCTCCACACCAAACAGCTGCATCGAGAGATGAGCTCGGGACGTACAAACCGGACTATCCAACCATGTCTGGCGAGCCAGCTCGTTCTCAACCGGAATTACTCTTTCTAACTCGCGCCGGGCAATTCTCCATCCCGATATGCCTACCTTCAGAGCGCGGATCATGGAAGCGACATCGCCATGAATCACACTGTGAATGTACTGGTACACCTTTTCTAGTGAATCTGACTTTGTCAAGACCCAGGAGGTATCGACGTCTAGCGAGGTCGACTTCGAGAACGTCTCCCCATGTACCCGAAATGAGCCTAAATCCCGAACAAGGAACCCTCGAATCGCCCGTGAGACTGGGTCTAGTCGGATGAGGAGATTTTGCATATGGGCCTGTAGAGCGAAGCCATGCAGCAGGACAGAGGGCAGTACAGCACGGAATAGATGGCTGCAGAACTCGCGCAACAGCTCCAGCTTACTTTCGGTAGTCTCATCCCGCCAGATATCTTGGATATGTTCGGCTAGTGCAGCACAAACAATGATCCTATCCCCTGTTTCGGCTGCGATAGACTCCGTGCTTTGGCGAATGATACAACCTAAGTGTTCGCTTGAAGATGCGGCTGCTCCGTATTCGCGGACAACACGCAAAGAGCCACCGAAGGTTTCAGCTGCTTTTTCGATTACTTGCAAGATTGGCTCCATTCGATAACCGATGGTGATCGCCCATGGTCGGATAGTTCGTACAATCGACGTGATTTTGATGGCAAGTGGCACTTTGATGCAGAAGTCGGGATCGGGGACAGAGATGGTTCGTACAGAGCTCTGCGGGCGACCGGTGATAGTTTGGGGCAATATTTTGACTTGGGGGAAGGCTTTCATGACGTTCGGCAGTTGAAAAGCATGGACGGGGAGAATAATGCGACCTTCATCGGGTTGATCGACAAGGGCAATCTTGCGGATACGTTCATCGTAGTCTCCAACAACCGTCATCTGGTCTCGAGTAAGAGTCACAAAGTGAATTTTTGCCGTCTCAAAGTCGCCCACCATGGGATATCTGCACTTATGCCATGGATGCATTCCATGACCTTCCACGATTGCTTGTTCCCAGTCGATAGCGGGAGAGTCAATGGTGAGAGATCGATTGCGTCGGTATGATATCTCCAAGTTGTCGACCGAGTTTTCCAGCTCTCTGCAGATGCTGTCGATTCTGTCAGACGCCAACTTGGCCCAGGTACCAAATATACGCATGAGCTGTGCCCCATCTGACACCACATCTTGGTTGTAAGTAACCTTGCCTGAAAGTTCGGACGCATGGACGGCGTCATGGAATTGGAGAGGCTGAGTAAGATGGACGCGGATCGTCTCCTCTATGTGCGAGTATGACAGCACAATTGCTTCATTGGTGAAGTCGGACGTAACGAGACGTTCATTTATCAGGCAGGCCGCTACCCGTGAGAGTGAAGCAAGCTCAGCTTGACTTCTTTCCCGTGATTTGTGCATGACAGAGGTCAGGATAATATATCGGGGAAAAAATAATCTCCAGCATGCCTTGATAGGCGCTGGTCAGAGTTGGCATTGAAGGAGTTAGCATTGGAGGGTGACAGAGCATTACTTATACTAAAATTGGCACCTTTAGCTACTCCCTAAGAGAAGCGGGATTGCATGCCAACCTTTGCTATTTGCTTATTCCTTAGTTCACATTGACATTCTCGTAGAGATGCTCTTGATAGTCGACACGTGGTGGGACAAGTGGAGAGATTTTCCACCACAAAATATGATGAACGAGGGAATCAACCAATCAACAATCAACTTGTTAGTAAATACTACTTATCTCCTGCATTAGGCTAACTTGTTTAAGGAATGGGAGTACAAGACTATTGAATCATACGTGTACTGCCGATCTTACCGCTTGTCAGAGACAAAACTCGGCAAATGAAAGCCAATTGTTGAGAATCAGTACTACGTGGTAGTACGACATTCGATCGCTAGTCTGTACTAAGTATACGTCTTTCCTCCCGCCCTCTAGATACGGAACACGGCAGAGCATGGGCCAATTAGTGAGATGCACGTCAGTCAATTACTAGTCTATAACAAGTACATGGCGTTCCCTCTCACCTTAGGTAACAAAGGCGACAGAGGACAAGATTTGTAATAGCCAATGGCACGTCTACAATTGGTCTACACAGTTTCTTACCGCCATTTAGAGGTTAAAAGTGGCGGAGTGTGAAACAAGAGCTGAGAAGTAAGACATCTGATCGCTGCCGTAATAGGCCTACGGCTTCATTCCCGCCCTTCAGAGACGAGATGCGTCAGAGGAAGCGGGGTCTGGCTGACGGCGGGCGTGCACTCCGACCCTTGCAATCAAAGGTGGCTAATATTACATACCTCGTTACACGACTTGATTGTGTTTTATTGGAGTAGACAGACCGAAGGATGCAGCTCTAGAGGTTATCGGAAGAACACCCGAATCCTCACCATAGCAAAGGCACGTAGCAGTATATTAAGCGAGCTAGTTCCGCTGGAATTGTACACATCTCTCGTCTGTATTGCTCTCTATCTGCATGTCCCACACCACACATCATTTATTAGAATGACGGTCCTATCCAAGACCGATGTGGCTTTTTTTGAGACCACCAGGCGTCTCTTGTCCCACCTTGTTAACGAGGGCCTCTGTTTGGCGTTTATTGAACCGACTGCAAAAGATCCAGTCCAATGGCTTTGCTTGACCAGTACCCAACGCGATTACGGGAGTACCTGCATGGTAAAGGTACATTTCATCCCCGAGAGAGTGGTCTTAGGTGATGCAGGTCAAGTTACCTCTTTGGTTCGACCACACCAGCTGAGGCCGCGTGTGCTATTGGATTGTGATGGTCAGCCGCTCCGCCTAGAACTGGATCCTGGAGTGATTTTTCAGTCCGTCTATCCATGGTTTGGAAAGACCGATGAGAATTCTCTCATTGTGAGAGACCAAATTACCCGAGAGCTTCAGAATGCATCGGCGAATCAAGGTATGCAGTCAGTCACCTAAGATCCTTGACCCATCCACTCAACTTAGCCAGAGACTTGGCTTGATGTCGACGCACAGCTGCCGCAGTTGGATTTGTTCAGTCCGGCAATAGAGTGGGAAAAGACGTTGATTACCGGCCACCCAACCCATCCTGTAAGTGATCAAAACGGTGTCATCCTTGACCATGACTAACCACGTTCACGAAGCTTCACAAAACCCTCTTCACACAGGCACCGTTGCCGCAAATTTGCCCCAATGAAATATGGCAAATGCTATCTCCAGAGATTGTTTTCCTCTCCGTGCCACGCTCCCAAGTCCGTCTTTCGGGGCCTTTCGAAGCGACGCTTGGCGATCTCCTCACAACGTTAGGTATCGCTGGTTGCTCAGCAGACAGGGTGATAGTTCCCAGTCTGGCACAACAGAGGCCTGCAATCGATTCTCGATTTTCGGAGGTACAAGTCGTGGGCTCCGATCGTGCATCCGCGCAAGCTTCGATGCGCACCGTGTCTCTCCGACCTGAGTTGCAATTCAAGTACCACCTGAAGCTTTCTTTAGCCTGCCAAATCACTTCTGCCCTTCGCACTATTACTCCATGGACCGTACTGGGTGGGGCAGAGGTCTCGCGGTTGCTCGAAAAGCTGCTTCCCCCGGACATGTGGGTATTCCGGGAGGTGGCCGGGGTGACTGGAGCCCAGGCCGACTTCAACGACGCCAAGCATCTCTCTTGTATCTTACGAGAAGATCTGGAGCTACGAGCCAATCTACAGAACGAGTCTTTGATCTTGGCGTCAGCATTGAGTCAGCACCCGGTCAGTGGCATTGGGAAATCACACGCCGAATCTCTGCTCCCACCGGAGGGAAAGAAAGAATGGCTTCAGAAGTAAGTCAACCCTTGCCATTAAACTGTTGCTATTCTCATTAAAGCGACCAGGTACGTGGCCTGTCTTCTTAATCTCACTCTTGTTCCACTGGTAAACCACGGTATCGGCCTGGAAGCCCACGGCCAGAACATCTGCGTCCGCATCTGCAGAAAGACCAAGGCTGTCAAAGGCTTCGCCGTACGCGATTTGGGTGGAATCAGATTGCACCTTCCCACGTTGCGAAGCCAGGGTTTCGAGCTTCGTGACATTCCCCCTGGCGCAGCAACGACGACGGACAGTCTGGACGACGTCTGGAGTAAGGTTCATCACTCACTATTCCAAAATCACCTGGGTCACCTTATAGTGGCCCTCGGTTTAGAGGAGCAAGGTGGGTGGGAAATCGTCAGAAACGAAATCAAGGCCATCTTGCATCCCATGGACCAGCTTGGTTCTGCCCATGCCGCCCAATTATATGAGTTTTTGCTGGCAAAGACGATGCCTTTCAAGTGCTTTTTGAGCATGAGGATGGAGGGGAAATATCGGGACGTAAGTATTTTCGATATAAATCCCCGTTTCGTTAGTCTTTGGCTAACGTAGCTAACTTGAATAGTACGTCGAAAGGCAGCTTCCTAATGTGCTGCTTTATTGATAGCAGGGGAGTAAACTAATAGGCGGTAGGAAAGCCATGATGCATTCCATTATTGTGGTTAGATCTTTTCCAGGATTGAAGTTTGACCTATTAATGATGAGAAGTTTCAGTCCCTACTATATTATGTGGCTCAGTATTGTCTTTACGTAGTATGATCTGATCATTGTCTGCTGCTAGCCGGGTTGAAGACGAAGGGTTGAATTGAAAACTTGATAAAGGGACGTGTGTAGCAACCTTGCTGGCTTCTTTTACTAGGTGTAGTGCTCGATGTCTGCTCTTATTATTTGCAACTACCGCATAGTATAGCTGATAAAAAAAAGCACGATAGCTCATACACACAACATTTTCTCCATTATGACTGGTCATGTGATGAGTCTGTATTCGGATTCTGAGCCGGTCTGACATCAGCACCTAATCTGATATGCAGTTCGACAAGCCCCACTGGTATTGACTATGTAATTATAATTTTGCGACTTCTTTAAAAATTCAAGGATAAATAGATGGCAGTCTGAGATTCAGTATCCCTGGTCAGGGCTGAAAAGCGAGATACGCAATGGTCACGAATTAAGAGCAGCAACCCAGACTCGTGGGAAAGCATCTTCTCGCTGAGACTCTCAAAAGATCATGATAGCTTCTACCCATCTTCTACCCACCACAACGTTTTCCTCAACAAATGCCAGTATAGAGCGGAGTTGTCAACTGAAACTCCGCTGCTGGTGCGTGCTCGATGTATCTCGTATCGGCCAACTCGACATCCGCGCTAGAACTCATCAGTGCATTTCGCCGACGAAGCTAGAATTGTGCCTCGGCACAGGGTGGGGAAATCGGGCAAAGCGCCAGACAGCCGTTGGATCTGCTTGACCGACCACGCGTTTTCGCCACGGAGGGCTTCTGCCGTGTTCCAGCTCGACATTGGTTCTCTGGGGATGCTTAGAAATGCGTTCAATCGAGCCTCGGCATCTCGTTTGGCTTGGATCTCTTCAGCCCTGTAGCGCACTGTGCTTGGACGCGATCTGATGCGAAAATTCTCCTTGCTTGGCGAGATAGCGTCCGCCGGCTCACCGCCACACACAGTGCATTAACTGATATTGGCATTGTTCGCAGTTTCAATGTTGGTCTCGTCAGTGGCGTCATCGTGTCGAGTTTGATGCGGTGGGGCCGGCGATGAAGCTGCATTCTACGCCACCTGGCCCAATTACTGCATGCCAATAGCTGTCCCACTTGTCACACTTCAACTCCGCTTTCCATATAAACCTCAAGAGTCCTACATCATAGCGTCTTACTCCCAATCTACTGCCAAGTTCTCTTATCAAACTATCACACTCTTCACCATGACCTCCAACAAAACTCTCATCTTCAAGAAGGGCCCCACTGGGCTGCCCGTCCCTGGAGAGCACCTCACTGTTGAGGATCGACCCATCGACCTCGAGCAGGCGGCTCCCGAGGGCGGCCTCGTCGTTGAGATTCAATATGCCTCTTTCGACCCTTATCTGCGCGGCAAGATGCGTGATCCCTCCATCAAGTCATACTCGCCAGCCTTCGACCCAGATAGCCCCGTTGTCAGCGGCACCGTCTCCAAGGTTCTCAAGAGTGACAACGCGGACTACCAGGAGGGTGACCTCGTCGTCGCATATGTCCCCATCGCCGAGTACGCCCGTGTGGCCAAGGAGGCTTTGTTCATGGTCCAAAAGATCTACAACCCCAACAACCTGGAGCTTGGCCTGTTCTTGGGACCTTTGGGCATGCCCGGACTCACAGCCTGGTCCGGACTGCACAAGATCGGAAAGCCCCAGAAGGGAGAGACCATCTTCATCAGCTCCGCCGCTGGCGCTGTTGGTCAGGTGGTTGGACAGATTGCCAAGCGCGAGGGTTTGACTGTTATTGGTTCCGTTGGATCCGACCAGAAGCTTGAGTACATCACCAAGGAGCTTGGATTCGACTCTGGATTCAACTACAAGAAGGAGAACCCCAAGGAGGCACTGCCTCGCCTGGCTCCTAACGGAATTGACATTTACTTTGAGAATGTCGGCGGTGACCACTTGGAGGCCGCTCTTGCCAATTTCAATGTTGGCGGAAGAATGCCCGTTTGCGGCATGGTAAGTCCTCGGATCTATACTTCAAACATGCAGGTGCTAACTTTACTTAGATTGATATTTACAACACCCCCTACGAGGAGCAGAAGGGTACCAAGGGTCTCATCCAACTCATTGCAAAGCAAATCACCATGGAGGGTTTCTTGGTCAGCAACCCCAAGTTCGGCCGTGCTTATGCCAAGGAGCACCAAGAGAACATGCAGAAGTGGCTTGCTGAGGGCAGTGTGAAGGCGAAGCTGCATGTGACCGAGGGCATTGATAACGCTGCCCAAGGTTTGGTGGACATGCTCGTCGGAAAGAACTTTGGCAAGGCGATCCTGAAGGTCAGGTAATCGATTTCAACATAATGATACGAATAGGCGATAGAAAATGATATCCTCGAATTTATTCACCCAGTGCCAAGATCTGAGAGTCTAGAGTCAAGAGAAGAAACGTCAGGATCATTCGGATATTATTCTAGGACCGACACCGTCCATAACGCAGGAGTCACTAATTTGAGAGTGCACCTGGATGCAATGAAAGGAACAATTAACCTTCAATTGTAACAGAGGTCTCGATAGTAAGAGACGATGAAAGTAACTGGGTTTGAAAAGGTACTGCGCTATGTGCATAATTTCCATTTCCCTACTCAAACACACGCCTCCACATCATGTACCACTTCTTCGACTGAGGGGGCGGGGCCTCAAGCGCGAGAATCTCATCCAAGCCAGTCGTCAGGTCAATCTCCTCCGGTCGTAGGGCCCACCTATCGTTTCGGCCAATTGTATAGCGATGTCCGAAGTAGAGAACGATGAAGATGACGATACCGATGTAGGAAGTGATGAAGGTGGGAGTATCCCAATATCCCTTGACGAAAACCTTGAATCCCTGGAGCAAGAGGAGGATTGTGAAGCCAATCATGCTCACCCATGCGCCATAGGGCTGTAGCTTCGAGCGGAAAGGAATGTCGGTAATGCCCTGAACCTCAATCGCCTTTCGGTAACGGAGGTAAATGAAGCAACAGCAGATCCAGCTCTGGAACCCTCCAGTGTTGACCAAGTTGACGAACCAATTGAACACGGTGGCTCCACTGCTGGCTAGGTTGAGGTATGCCAGAAGGCTAAAGGACGCGCTGGTCGCAGTCGCAATATACGGGATTCCAGACTTGGTGCACCGCGTGAAGATCTTCGGTGCGTTTCCGTCAACAGCCAGAGAGTACAGAGCACGGCTGGCCAGGTAGAGGTAGGAGTTTCCAGCCGACCAGGCGGACATAACAATAATGCCATTTACCACAGAGTCGAGGCCTCGGATTCCGGCATCGCGGATGGCAATAGCCCATGGAGAAGCGGCGGCGCCACTTCCACCACCCAAGAGGTCGGGGTGGTCACTGGGAACAAGGAAGCCGATGGCAAAAGCACCCAGGATGTAAAAGGTGACAAGTCGGTAGAAGTATCGTATCGTCGCCTTGGGGATGTTCTGTCGGGGCGACTCCATCTCACCGCCTGTCACAACCAGAAGCTCCGGAGCAAAGGCGAAGGCGTAAACAGAAAAGGTGATGGTGCCAACAAAGGCACAGAGTCGTCCTACTCCGCCTTCAACCAAGTATTCGTTGATCGGTCCCGGATTGCTCCAGTACTTGAAGTATGTTGGTTCTCCGGAAGGGCCGCCGCCAAAGAACAAACACACGGCCATGATGAGGAGACCGATGATGCCGATGACCTTGGTAGATGCGAACCAGAACTCGGTTTCACCGTACACCTTGACAGGGAAACAGTTGCATGCGACGATAACAATGCCGACAACGGTGAGCCAAACTGCAGTGTGCACAGGCGGGTTCCAGTATTGAATGACCAGCGTGGTAACATTGATTTCGGCCGGAACAGTAATCGCGAAGACATACCAGCTACACATTTGTCAGTTCTGAGGACAACGCAAACCAAAGACGTGGTAACATACTAGACCCAGCCCAAGGTGAATCCCAAGCTTCGAGACACATAGCGAGTGCCATAGTAGGACATGGAGCAGCCGTAGACGGGAAGATAGGAGCTGATTTCGCCAGTAGCGGTAGCGACGCCGTAGACGAGCATTGTAATGACGATGTAAGCGAGCAGAAGAAAAACCGGGCCACCCATACGCAAGGCCTGGCCAGAGCCCACGAACAGGCCGGTTCCGATGGTTCCGCCCAGAGCAATCATCTGAGCATGTCGGGACTTGAGACCACGCTTGGTCGTCGGTCCCTCAGCGGGAGCGCCGCCGACCTCCCCGCGGGAGAGGGAGTCGGAGCGGGCAAGGTCAACTTCCTGTTCGGTCTTCATTGTTTCTTTGTCCATGGTGGACGTTTGGGGATGATAAGTGGCAAGTTATGCAGCCAAGTGGAGAGACAGAGTAAAAAGCAAAGGTAGGATCCTACTGCTGTTGAAAACAATGGGGAATTGAAACCTGCCTGGGGTCCGATGGCGTCCCAACTTATTATAGACGTCGAGTCCACGAAGAAGCTATGACTCGAAAACGGCAACTGGCCAGTGGGAGGGCCTCCGTGAAGACTTTCCCTGTAGGGTTCGACATCAGGCCAAGATACAGGCGCAGGACTTGTCCGATAGTGAGATGCTGGGGGGTCTGGACTCGCCAAGGCCGGAGCCCCTTGTCCATTCCCCTCACCACATGGCCGCGAGTCGCCAACTCCGTTAGCACCTATCTCGGATATCGTTCGGGCAAAGATAAGAGTGGACAACCGGGCTCCGCTTAACAAGTGCTTGATCTCTTCGCCCCATGGGGAAATGGAGAATTGGGCAAGTCGGAGGGCCAGGGGTAGGGGGGCACCCAAGCATCCGGTGACGAACCAGCTGCAAGGCCTACCTCTAGAACCGGCTGTCTGGACAAGCCCAGTTCAGCTTGTTTACGATGAATCTGTTTGTCATAGCAATTCAGAAATAACCTGACAATCCAAGAAAGCAACGCCACCAAGGATGCTACTTTGAGTCCCTACCTATCAAACGTGTCCACCTTTCCTCGGCTGTGGGGCGCGGTCTATCCAGCTCGATGCGTTGGGTAAGTTTCCGCGGTACGAACCCATTGCCACATTCCAATGCGTATTGTAAGCACCAAGGCATTTGGCGGGACTCTCAGCTCAGCGCCCCTTCGCGGCGAGTCTTACATGGCGAACTACAATGATCCTTGCCGATGGAAAACAGGGGAGCGCACCAATTTGGACACGTGTGATGATGTTTAGGCATGGCATCTGGGGTAACAGCCAAGTCCCACGACACACTACAGGCGGAATTACAGATGGTGCGAGTCAGACGCATATGGCCACACCAAAGGCTTGGAAGCCGTACATCATGTCATTCAGTAAATCATCGATTGAATGCCAAGCACGGTGATACGGAATCAGAGAGTGTTGGGGTAATATCCAGGGCTTTTTCATCCTGTTGTCCCTGCTGGGGAATTCCTAACGTAGTTCTTTTAATTGCCAAATCCAGACCGTTATCATCTATCTTTCCATATCCAAAAGCCTCCTTCCCAAAGTGAACCCCTCAGCTCTGCGTAGGCATGTTGACGCTCTTCCCAGAATCAGCCTCCTCTTCGCCCTTCCACAGACTGGTTACAGTCTTGGTCTGCGTGTAAAAATTCAGGCCGGACTTGCCGTAAAAGGTGCTGACACCACCGCCGGCGATGCTCTTCTTGTTGCCCGTGAAGCTGAACATGGGCAGGGGCACGGGGATGGGCACGTTGATCCCGACCTGGCCGGCCTCGATGTTCTTCTGGAACCATGCGGCCTTGGGGCCTGAGTTGGTGAAGATTGCCGTGCCGTTGCCGTACTCGTTTGCGTTGACGAGCTTGGTGGCCTCTTCGAGCGTGGAAGCGTGTAGCACGACCAACACAGGGCCGAAGATCTCCTCCGTGTAACACTTCATGTGGGTCTTCACGCCGTCGATGATGGTAGGAGCGATGAAATTACCATTGGGGTATTTGGCAGGGGCATAACCGCGACCATCAAGGACAATCTTGGCACCCTCCTCCTCAGCTGAGGCAATCAGGGCCTCGATTCTATCCTTGGACTTGGGGGTAATAACAGGGCCCAGGTCGGCGCCGTCTTCGAAACCACCGTCAGTCTTCAGCTGCTTAGCGGCGTCAACCAAGTCATCAACCCAGGCCTGAGTGTCGTTTCCAACAAGCACAACAGTACTCAGAGCCATGCACCGCTGGCCAGCGGCACCAAAAGCAGCACCGGTGATGGCGTTGATGGTGCTCTTCCGGTTGCAGTCCGGCAGGACGACAGCGTGGTTCTTGGCGCCGAGGTTGGCCTGGACACGCTTGCCGTTGGCGGAGCCTCGGGCGTAGATGTATTCTCCAGCAGCGTTGCCGCCGACGAAGCTGATGGCCTTGATGGCAGGCTCATCGATGATGAAGTTGACGGCGCGGTGGGTGCCGTGGATGACGTTGATGACACCGTCGGGGAACCCAGCCTCCTTGGCGATCTCAGCTAGGATCATAGCGGCACCGGGGTCACGCTCTGAGGGCTTGATAATAAGCGTGTTACCAGTAATGGTAGCGATCGGGATAGACCACAGAGGTATCATGGCAGGGAAATCTGTGAGAGCAGTTGTCAGCAAGGCCTAGCGAGCGGGAGACCAAGGTGCGACTTACTGAAGGGGCAAATAGCAGCAACGACACCAAGGGGTTCTCGATAGTTGCGCGTCTCCATATCCTTGGCAACCTCGAGAACCTCACCAGTGATCTGGGTAGTGATGCCACAGGCAGTCTCGGCAACCTGGAGGCCACGGAGGACATCACCTCGAGCATCGGCAAAAGTCTTGCCCTGCTCAAGAGTAATAGACGCAGCGAGACGGTCCCAGTTCTCGCGGATCAGACGCACAAAATTGAACATGATCTGCTGGCGCCGCAGGATGCTCGTGTCCCTCCAGGCGGGGAACGCATCCTCCGCAGCCTTGACGGCGGCCTTGAGCTCCTCGTCGGTGGACTCGGGCACGCGCGTCACGACGTTGTTGGTGGCGGGATCATGAACGTCGATCCAGGTCGTAGCCGCGGAAGGCGTAAAGTTGTTTCCGATGAAGTTGTGAGTGGGCAGAGGTTCGGCGATCTTGGAGTGCGTCGTCGGCCACGGACGCATCGCAGCGGAATGGCTGGAGCGCATCATGATTCGCGCCCTCAAGGGTTGAGGCACGCGTCGGGCAGCTCGAGAGATGTTCATTGTGGCAATTGACCTAGAAGGGAGCAAAAGACGTGTACTGGGGAGTGAGAGGCTGCCGGCAACAGCATCTCTTAAGAAACCTCATTTGCGTTTGCGATGACTCCGACTACTCGATGCTTCCATCGCAAAGCCTAGTCACAGGCCGGCGAATGAGGCAAGTGGATACAATGCTCGGAAGAGATCACCGGTTGTGCAATTGCGAGCCATGTGGTAAGAAAAATCTCCAAAGACGTTGAAGACGGGCGACTGCATCCGTTGGCTCATGGCGAGAGCTAGCTATCCCAAGCTGCCCTTACTATCACCAACTACCCCATCTTCCATTTTTGACTCGGTTCTCCGCATCATGGCTCATGCTCATTGCCCCAATTGTAAGCCGGCTAGTCCCCGTTCCCCTGTTCGCCTCACTCTCCAAGAAGGGCAGGCTATCCCGCCCAGTACACAATCGAGGCATGATAACGCGGCTGACCCTCGACAGATTATCTGGCAGTCTATCTAACCAAATCACATGGTCCAATTCATCGTGTCATCCTTCTCGAATCGGGGGAGACCCGCTGCATCCACCGGACGCGCAGCCGAAGGTCAGCTAAGCTGCGAGCTCAGGTGCTGTGCCTCCGAAATATATTTGTACCAGCTCGAGCGGTCATCGTCCCGCGCAGCAGTTGTAATCCTTCACCTCTCAATTGTATCAAAAGCTCGTTTATTGCTCCTCTTGTCGCCATGGCCAACCGCGGAAAGACTTACGACCCCAAAGTCCACACCATTGCGGATTTGAAGGAACATGGCTGCGCCAATCTTCCCAAGATGTACAGCGGTTCGTCTCCCTGATTCAAGCTGCAGATCGCCTGGGCCGTGCTGAAACTGTAGTATAGATTACTTCAACGAGGGTGCCATGGACTTGTTAACGTATGTCTCACGCTCACTCCAGATCACCATGCGCGATTCCTCTACTTAACACTAACGTCGCATTTTTGCACTCTTCAGACTTAGGGACAACGAGGAGGCATACAACCGCTACAAAATCCGCCCGCGAATCCTGGTCAACGTGCAGGATGTAGACATCAGCGGCGAGATCTTTGGATGCAAGACGGCGCTGCCTCTGGGCTTCAGTCCCGCGGCGATGCACCGCCTGGCTCACCCCGATGGCGAGCTTGCGACTTCGCGCGCCGCCGCCAAGGCTGGTATTTGCATGGGCTTGTCGTCGTATGCGACCGAGTCAATTGAGGATGTTGGCGCCCAAGGACTCGGCAACCCCTACGTGATGCAGGTCTGCGTTGTTAAGGACCGCTCGGTTACGCTCCAGATCCTGCAACGAGCTGAGGGTGAGTTGATATGTTTCCAAGCACGACGGCGGCTCGTCTAACGAAGACCTCTGACAGCGGCCGGCTACAAGGCCATATTCCTCTCCGTCGACGTTCCCCTGCTCGGCCGCCGTCTGAACGAGTACCGCAACGGCTTTGTTCTCCCCGACGACATGGCGTGGCCCAATCTACTATCCGACGGCAAGGACGAGCTCAGCGGCGAGAACGCCGGCACCGACAGCAAGAACGACTTCGATCCTTCGCTCGACTGGGAGACTGCCATTCCGTGGCTGCGGCAGAACACCAAGCTGCAGCTGTGGATCAAGGGCGTGTACGGCGCCGAGGACGTCCATCTGGCCATCAAGTACGGCCTCGACGGCGTCATCATCTCCAACCACGGCGGTCGACAGCTGGACGGCGTGCCCGCAACCCTAGATGCTCTCCGCGAGTGCGCCGTCGCAGCTGGCGGCAAGATCCCCATTGCCGTCGACGGCGGCATCCGACGCGGCACCGATATCTTCAAGGCGCTTGCCATGGGCGCGACTCACTGCTTTGTGGGACGAATCCCCATTTGGGGTCTTGCGGTTGGTGTTCCCGACTGTACGTGGATTGATCTTAGCTAACGCGCGACAGTACAATGGACAACAGGGTGTCGAGCTGGCCCTCAAAATCCTCACAGATGAGTTCAAGATTACCATGGCTCTCGCCGGGTGTGTATTGCGATCTTCATGCATCACTGCATTTGTTAACCATTAGTTAGATGCAAGACGATCAAGGACATTACTCGAGACCACCTACGATACCTCGACGGAAACGGCATGTTGGCCAAGCTGTAAAAGTGTGATGGCATTGCATATGAAGCGTTCATAGATTATTTAGTGGGAAAGGCGCATTGCGATAGCACTTGTCTATTCATCCATGATTCCGCGTCGTTACTGTAATGTGTTGCTGTAGTGTTCACCGGAGATGTTCTAGCTGCGCATTCCCATCTACGCCAAGTGCCGCGTCTTGTCGTCCAGGCCCTCTGAGTGTGAAGAATAGATTGCAAAAATGACGTTGATTGCAGGTATCTCCAATCCGCGCCGGTTCTTTGGCACCATCGCGATGCAGGCTCGGATGATGGCCTCGGATGGGATCCCGTGTCTTCCAACTTGTCAAGCCGATCACTTCGGCTCCGAATCGCGCACATAACTGGGAGCTGTCGCTGTGACGTGTGAGTGCGCTAAATAGATCGGCCCGGCTCAAACTGACGGAGGCGACTGGGGAACTCACCCTTGTCTCGGGATCCTCCAGAAACGCGGCTCAACTTCCGTCACCAGGACCTCCGTCTTCGGCGAGAGCGACACAGCGCTGACTTTCCTCTTCCCATTTCGTGTGTCCATGTGAGCATGTGGCAAAGTGGGCTACATGTCGGGGATGCTATCTTTTGCCTCCTATCGCCGTATGCTGGCAAGCGAATAAGTGCCGGTAGGGGTCATGTAAGAGTGCCCCACCACCGTGATAACTTTCCTCATTCAATTGAGCAAGACGCCCTCCGACATGATGAGCCACGCGCTAAATCGCGGGGAACATTGGTTTGCTTCGACTGAGGGACGAAGGGACGATGGATATAATACTGCTCAAAGTTGGATGAATGGGTTCCTTTATTATTCATTCTCATCACCATCTTGATCTCTCTCAAGCTTGCACCATTTACATCTTCTTCTTATACCCACATATTTAAAATGGCCCGCAACGTTCAGGAGCCTTCGGGCATCATGGTCGCTCTGATCACCCACTTCAAAGAGGACGGCTCCATCGATCTCGCTGGCATTGACGCCCATGTCAACCGCCTTATCGATGCCGGCGTGCATGGCCTCGTCCCCGGCGGCAGCACCGGCGAGTTCACTGCCCTCACCACCGAGGAGCGCAAGCAGCTTGTCGAGCAGGTTGTCAAGTCTTCCGCCGGCCGTGCCCACGTCATGGCCGGCATTGGCGAGCTTTCCACCGCCAAGGCTGTCGACCTGGCTGTCCACGCTGCCAAGGTTGGAGCCCACTCTCTGATGGTCGTCCCTCCGTTCTATGACGCTCCCAACAAGGAGGAGCTCCGGGAGCACATGCGCGAGATCCATACTGCTAGCGGTCTTCCCATTGTCTACTACAACATCCCTTCTGCCAGTGGCGTCACCCTGTCGCCCAAGGAGATTGCTGAGCTGAACACCGTCGGCGTCCACTACCTCAAGGACACCTCTGGTAACGGCCCCGCCCTGACCGAGCTGCTCTTCGCCCACCACAAGGACATCACCGCCTTCAATGGCTGGGACACCCTCACATTCTATGGAATCGCCGCCGGCGCCAAGGGCTCCGTCTGGGGTGCCACCAACTTTATCCCCGAGCTTTCCATGGAGCTCTGGCAGGCGCTAGCCGTCGAGGGCGACCTTAAGCGCAGCCGCGAGATCTGGGCCAAGATTTTCCCCATCTGCAAGATCCTCGAGTCTAACAACTACTGCGCTGGCGTCAAAACTGGCATGCAGCTGCGCGGATGGAAGACCGGCGAGGTCCGCAAGCCGTTCAAGATCCTCGAGGGAGCTCCCAGGGCCGAGCTCGAGGCTGCTCTCAAGAGTGCTGGTGTGTTGTAAGAAGGATTGAAAATGGAAATGGAATGAATAAAGAATAAATGATTGGACGGAGCTAGATGATGAATATAAAATAAAAAGACTACACTTTATCAGGCGTTTCTAGAGGAATAATTGGCCCTCGTGTTGTTATTCATCGCTATTTGAAGGCTGAAATTTCGGTGTTGCACTGTAGTCTGATAAGAGCACTTTTTTGTATCTACTCAGATTATTTCAATTGTTTGTTTCTATTCTTATTTTTTTTCAACATATTTTGTGGTCAGAAGGTATACTCAGCGCAAGCTACACCCTCGGTACAGAGGAGGCTCACTGACGCAGGGAAAGGAAAGGATTGGCCCGATAGCTCAAGCTAGATCATGACTGAAAAGGCAAACATGGGAAATCTAGATTTAGCACTTCTTGCTGCGCCCAGCTGATAAGAAGTAGAAAGATGGCGATGAGAGTTGCGGCGACAGCTTGCTTTAAAGATGGGGCTAGATAAGAGTCACACGCCGCTATTTGCGCAGTAAGTATCTGGGTTTACCTGGGACTGAGGTGGAGCGTTTGTACCTGGTTGTATATGATGGCAGTCTTCTTTACGGTAATATTTACAAGTTTGTCCACTGTTAAGTACCACTTACGCATACACCTGATACGGGCAGGTGGAGAATAAATAAGTGTGCAGCGTAATTGGCTCGATGTAGCGGTCGATCCTCTCATGTGTGGGAACAGCATTCCTCCTAGCCCAAAATACTTTTACAGCCAATGCGCCTGTATCAACGCCATATCCATACCTCCAACGAATTAAGCTTCATTTAACAATCGACAAGAACAGCAGGCCAACTCAGGGTCCAATCTCCCGTCTGCTTCCGTTTCTCCCATATTGAGGAAACAATCTGCTTCGCCGGCTTCGGGGTGAAGAACAGACCTCGCTCGTCAGTTGCCGTCAAACACTTGAGTGCCTGTTCTTGAAGCTCAGGCGTCGCAGCTTCGCATGCAGCAATGAACGCGGGCCACGCGAGGCTCGCCGCGAAATCCTGGTCATCGATCATCTGCTCCATGCACGGCTCGAGGAAGTCCAGAGTCTTTTTCACCATGTCCTGGAGTATCATGGCGTTTATATCATATACACGTCGGTAGAAATAAATGACGAGGGCTTGGTGGATGGCGAGAGCCATGGACCTTGCATGCGGATGGTCTATTAGTTCTCCGCCTTCGGAAAGTAAATGTGGCGGTCGTGGTGGCCCGAGAGAGACTAAAGACCAAGACCAAATGCTTGTTTCTAGCGTCTTGACGTGGTGTGCCAAGTCGACAGAGAGCTTTGGATTGCAGCGAGCCAGGGATTCTAGCCGCTTCTTTTCGTTGGCCACATAAATTGTTTGAGACAGTAGCGTCATAAGGGACTCGGGGATGCCGTAAATGACTGGATACAGCGTCTCTTTCCAATGCCCCTGGATTTCCAGATGGATGTCTTTGTAACCGAGTTCGAGACTCTTCTCCTGGGCTGGATCAAGACCGATGTTGAGAGAATCCTCGGCGAGTCGGAATGTCCGAACATCCACTGCCGTTTGGGAGTTCTGAATAGGACCATTCATGAGGCTCTCTGGGCAGATGGAGACACTTTCAGCAATAACGCGTAGATGTGTGTACATGTGATGGAGTAGTCGAATTTTGTAGGGATTTGCATTGACCAATCCACGCAAGCGGATCAATCTCTCGGCGTCGAGGAGAAAGATGCGGAACGCATGTCCACCATTGTACAGCTAGTTACGTTAGTGCTATTCGATATTATTTGAGTAGGAACATACCGAGGTCATTGCCATGGCAAGGATGGCCATGAGAAGTTCTTTATACTTGGCTTGCTTGGGCCCAAACATTTCAACCTGCAGCGCGTTGCGCAGGTGCTGCTGGGCCTTTTCCTGATGGCGCTCGCCTACTTCCCGCCAGTGATTGGCAAAGGAGCCCGGCTTATTCGTCATGTGGAGTTGAAACGCGCTGTGGGCGAGGAGGGTATAGAGGATGGTGGAGCGCGTGTGGGAGGTGCCGTTCCAGAGTGAGAGCTCGGCAAAGGTCTCGAGGGCACAGGGGAGGAAAATCAGCTGCCAAGGGGATTTGCGCTTGGTTTGCATGGAAGCAGTGGCTCCGTCGATATGCTGTTTATAGTAGCGGAGCAGTGGTTCAGCATGCTCGGGAAGGTTTAGTGCGGGTTGTAAGAGACCTGGAGGTGGGCCTGGGGATGGTGCAATATCTATACTCGGTGTCGAGGATTCATCGTGAACTGTATCAGCGGTCATGGCACCACTCTCAATAGCGCGAGAGACAAAGCTAGGACTGAATAGTGACAAGCCTTCAACTGCGGGCGGGTTCTCCAAGAAGAAGTTGTTCATGGAGGGGTCCGATATGAGTAGCTGGCCAGGACTGTGGCCGTCATGCTCAAGACCCAGGGTCGGGTCGAGAGAACCGACAAACAGGTCAAAGTTGGCTTCGTTGAGTTGATCGGTCCAGTCCTGGCGATGGATCTCTTCGATGAGATCGTTGGTGTCTGGACATACGCTGAGGTCTGAGTCCACACCAACCAAGTAGGTAGAGATGGATGAATGGGAGAGTGGGGAGGTGGAAACTGGTTCATCTTGGGACTGGAAAACACCAAATGGGCCCTTGACCAGGCTTGACAGGCTGTTTTTGTCGTCTTCAATCTTCTCACAGGCCGAGTCGATGTCCGCCAACAGGTCCATTGCCGACTGGCGGCCCAGACTATCAGACAGCTCAGCGCTCATCAGCCGGCGGTGGGCCTCTGTCGCAATCAGCAGGCCGAGCATATCACGCATGTACGGAGACTCACCGGTGAAGAGTGGATATCGGAACTGCGACCCTCGGTGCGACAGCTGCTGCTCCGGGCGGAGGGCCGAATCATCCGTGATCCAGAACAGCCGGGCCCCGTATCCGCCGCAATCCAGGCCGAGCCGCTGACAAGTGCCGCATTGGGGACGGGCCTCGTCACACTTGGCATGACGGCTGCGACATGTGCGGCAGCCTGTGAAGGTGCGGGTGCGTTCGACCTTGGAACCGCTCTTCGTCATGGCGTGGTCAGAAGAGAGGCGAGTGTCGATCAATCGAGATAGGCAAGTGGGGGATACAGAACAAGGGAGGTTGAGATGAAAAGACGACTTTCCTGATCCTGCGCGGCCGGGTGCAATATGCAGGAGGAAATGAGAATCTGGGGGAAGCCTTCTATTCAGAGGAATCTCAGCGCGAGGACGAAGCGCACTTTAGAAAAGGCACGTCGTTCCACGATAGGAATGCCTCCGCGGCGAGAGTGGAGCTGGCCAGGGGGGTCTATCTCCCGCTAGGAACACTTGCTGCAGTCAATCCCCCGCATGAGAGCCGGAGCTTCTAGCTCGACACTAATAATATGCTGTAAGAGAGTCATGTGGAGATGGATATTCTGAAAGAGCAACCAGGTGTCGAATTCCCGAGGTCAAGCGCAGTATCGTGGAAATGGGTATACAAGGCAGTCTCGCTCAACTGCGGGCTCTGTATGTCCAGCCTACGACTCCGGGCAATCACTCAATTCCCCTCTTCAAACGATTCCCCAGCGCTGTCCTGAACCCTCGTCACCATGCGAAAGGCAGCCTGCAACGCGTCCTCGCTCCGAGCGTTTGCTCCCCGCTGCAGCAGCTCTCGCCTTGCTGTGCGGACCTTTGGCAGCTCGGTGCGGCGACTCAATATGTCCCCCTTGGCCAACGAGCCGGCCAAGCCGGTGATGCGCACGAGCATCCCGGGTCCGCGGTCTCGGGCTGCTATCAAGCAGCTCGACCATGTCTTTGATACTCGCAGCTTGAATATGCTCGTTGACTACCCCAAGTGCAATGGAAACTAGTAAGCATTTGAATTTTCCCGTGTCTCTCATTGAAACTGACTTTGTGTCAGCGTTGTCGATGGCGATGGCAACACTCTCCTCGACGTGTAAGTCAACGTCACCAAACCATTCAACACCTTACCCTAACCTTTATAGATTCGCTCAAATTGCCTCCATCCCCATCGGCTACAACAACCCCGGACTAGCCAAGGTCGCCCAGTCCCCCGCCATGGTCAACGCCATCATCAACCGTCCGGCCCTGGGAAACTTCCCCTCCGCCGACTGGGCCGAGATCCTCTCCACCGGCATCCTGCGCGCCGCCCCCAAGGGCCTCGACCAGGTCTTCACTGCCACCACTGGGTCCGATGCCAACGAGACGGCGTACAAAGCTGCCTTCATCTGGCGGCGGACCCAGGAGCGCGGTGGCAAAGACTTTACCGCGGAGGAGATTGATTCCGCCATGGTCAACCAAGCCCCGGGTGCTCCCAACTACTCTGTCCTCTCCTTCACCAAGGGCTTCCACGGTCGTCTGTTTGGCAGTCTTTCTACTACGCACTCCAAGCCTGTCCACAAGCTCGATATTCCCGCCTTCGACTGGCCTGTGGCTCCCTTCCCTCAGCTCAAGTACCCTCTAGACCAGTACGCAGCCGAGAACAAAGCTGAAGAGGAGCGATGTCTCCAAGAGTTCGAGCGCATCATCTCTACCTTCCACAACCCGGTAGTTGCCGCTGTCGTTGAGCCCATCCAGTCCGAGGGCGGTGACAACCATGCCACGCCCTTCTTCTTCCAGGGTCTCCGCAACATTACCAAGAAGCACAATGTCCTCCTGATCATCGACGAGGTCCAGACCGGAGTCGGCGCTACGGGCAAGTTCTGGGCTCACGAGCACTGGAACCTCGACAGCCCCCCCGACATGGTCACCTTCTCTAAGAAAGCCCAGGCTGCCGGCTTCTACTACGCCAACAAGTCTCTGCGGCCTGACAAGCCGTACCGCCAGTTCAACACCTGGATGGGCGACCCTGCGCGCGCCCTGTTGTTCCGCGGCATCTACAACGAGGTGGAGAGGCTCGGCCTCGTCGAGCAGACGGCCCGTGTCGGCAGCTACCTCTACAACAAGCTGGAGCGGCTCGCCCAGCGTTATCCCCACGAGATCCAGAACCTGCGTGGTAAGGATCGGGGCACGTTCTTAGCCTGGGACAGCCCTCGCCGAGACGAAATCATCCGGTCGGCAAAGGCCAAGGGCGTCAACATGGGAGGCAGCGGTGACTCCACCATCCGATTGAGGCCGATGCTCATCTTCCAGGAGCGCCACGGTATGTCTCATCCTGAATCTTCACCAACTGAGCTAACACCCCCTAGCTGATATCCTCATCGAGACCCTGGAGAGTATTTTCAAGGCGTAAGACCAAAAGACTCCGTGATAAAATGATAAGGCACGACAAATACCAAAAGATCATGAAGTAGTAACCAAGTGGCGCAAGCTCTTGTCAGCTCCATCCGGGCCCTGTCTTATGTCGGACACTGCAGCCGGTACTATTTTCAGGCAGGAAATCGCGAAATCACCGTGGTGCATTCTCGCAGCTAGAAGGTGTAGAAGGTGGTATTAGTGGCTAAGTTAGTAGCCAGTTAGTGCGTAGCAAGTGGCTAGTGAGTGGCGTCGCCAGTTTCTGTCCCATGAAATATAAACCTCCTTTACCAGCCGTTTTCCCCTTCCTCAACAGCTTCTACCTCACGCCTAGCCAGCACACGCTTAGTAATGCCTTCTTAATACAATCTTATTTCTGCCTCTGACACCTCATCTCACCGTCTTAACTCCTTTCTAACCTAGGAAAGCGCCGAATACGAACGCGCCGAACTTGATTACCCTGAGCAACCCCACTTAAAGCCTGGCAGCATGATCTTGCCGAGCAAGCTATAAGCCGATTTTAGCTTCGAGATGGCCATGGACGATATCCAATATCCATCAGGCTTCGGCCTCAAGCACGTCGTTGGCTGGGGTACTACTGGCCTGGTGGTGCTTGACGAGTCCACAAGAACCGTTATCAAGACTCCTCGCGACCAGGAAAACGCATCCTTAATCTCGAGGGAGCGGCGAATCTACGAGCGCTTCACTGAAAAGGGGGGACACAAGGGACTCTTAAGATACTACGGCACTTTTGAAGTTGGGATTCGCCTGGAGTACGCTTCCAATCATCACCTCCGGTCGGTCAACAAAGGAAATCAAATCAGCGATAAACAACGAATATCCTGGGCTATTCAAATAGCAGAAGCGATGGATTTTATACATGCGGCTGGCATCATCCATGGAGATCTGACATGCGCGAATATTTTCTTCGATGAGGGATTCAACGCCAAGCTTGCCGACTTTGCGGGATCGTCAATTGACGGCTCCCCTTTGCTGGTGGGAATAACGGCTAGTCACGAATCTCCACGGTCCCTGCTGTCTGTTCAGGGCGATCTCTTCGCGTTCGGCTGTGTCCTCTACGAAATCATGACCAAGCAAGTTCCTCACGACGGCAAGACGGATGACGAGATACGGGGCTTGTATACGAGCGGTGTTTTCCCTGATACCAGCTCCTTGGGTGCAGTGGGCCGCATTGTCAGAGGTCGAACGCTCATTTGCATCGTCATCATCGCAACGGCCGTCCTCGTCTATTCGAGATGGTCAGCACGAGTCCGTTGAGTTTTGCCGTATGTCCCCTACGGTGTCTAAGGAGTAGCATTTAGGACACTCTCCAGGTCTTCTCGTCGACGTCATTTGGATTATTTCACCATTCAACCCCTTAGCTGGGGTAGCATTTACACAGAGGTAGTCTTTGACAGGAGATTTTTCGCATCGATCGTATTTTTTGTTAAAGTGCATGTGCTTTGGGCCTTTCATACAACCCTTGTATACAAGTTTGACCTCGAAGTAGTGGCACATTGCGTTTCGATAAATCAAAGTAAGAATGGTTTGCTTAGAATTTCTGATAGATATCCAAGCGGGGCATAGAGTAAGAGACATTGGCCGCTTTATATTGTACCTCTGATCTGCAAAACTGGGTGAGCTACGCTGTTACCTCCAGGCTCGCCTCACTTCTGGTCATCTTCCAATATACAAAATGGACTCGAGCAGCGAAGACAACTGCATGCCGTTGGAGAGGAGGGAGTTGTTACCCAATGAGAGCGTTTCTGTTGGCTCCCCTTAGGACTGTTGGCCTCTTTCTTCAACCTGTCGCGCCATGGTTGCATAACCGGCTGCATAACTCATCGAACCTCCTTGATACCGACCGTTTTCCCAACCAATCGGACATCCGAGACGGAGTGACGTGTCCCACATGAGATTTTGTCACCATAACCTAATTAAATGCGAGAGCATAGCCCCGCCTTCATGAGCGCAGCCTACTTAGCGCCCTGCTGGAGCCTGATGCAACCTGTGCAAAAAGGGCCACTGCCCGAGATAGTCTCACGAAGGTGGGGCTCCCCAACTCATGATGCATCTACAAAGGCGGGGCGGCTCAAAGGCGGGACCTCAGGGATGTTTGTGCCGCTAATGACATGTAAGGCACAGGACGCAGCAGCAGGCAGTGTCGTCGACAGACTCTAGGGTACATGCCAAGATATACCTAAGTTCATGTCAACCCCGGAGATGCGTCAATGGCTTCCGAATGGCCAATGGCTTAGCCGTTGTGGCTTATCCCTGACGGTTTAGTTCGAGTAGTTCACTAAGAGAAGAACGAGATCGCGCCAAGTTACATACAGCTGGTCACACTTGGTTTTGCATTCGATGACCGGCAGACAACTGTACACATGCGTGTGTGGAATGTTGAGGCCAGACGAGTGAGTGATCGAGGGCATGGCCGTAGGCAAACAGATGTGGAAAACATTCCGGAACCAGCAGATGAATGTTCTGGATTCAGATAACTAAGGTATTCACAAGTCTTCTTTAAAGAATGCCAAACTAACCCTCCAGATCTACTTACATGGTATGATCTAGTCGCTTTACGATACATATAGGTCGAAGATGAACATTCCGATTGGTTTCGACCTCGCTAGGTTTGGAAGATACGGTCTTCGCTTTCGTCTTCCATGAATCCATCACTCTTTAGTTGCAATAAAAATTATTTTGACCGCGCTAGTAATACAACTTGATTCATATCCCAAATTATGCCGACATCGCAGTCATCTGAGGGATCATATTCTTTATTTAAGCGACCAGGCAGTAAGCACCCTAGACTCGTAGATGACAGTCCACGAACGCCTGTTAGGGACCTAAATACGAAAATGCGGGCCCTCTTTGTTGACGTTAGCCAAAAAAAAAAAAATTTAATCAATTCGATTTCCTGATGTTATATCTCAGATAGTTGACAGCACCGTTTTCCCTCACAGATGCGGTTTCCTTTTCCTTCATGCCCGCTCTAAATATCTATCAGGTGAGAGTGGCTCTAGAACATAAGACACTCTGTTAAACCAAAGTCAAAGTTATCACTGCTCGTGAGAAATGACCAAAGCAACTGGGGGATACGATTGACTATCCTTGCTGTCGTGTGTATCACGGCGTAGTGTGCTTGGCGCCCCGTATCATGTATGGATCAAAAATGGGAGGTTTCCGCGGGCGACTCCAAATCAGGCGATTGTACGTGTCAGACTGTCCCCGGGCGATAGCTCTGGCAAGGCCAGGCGTGGCCAATACGGCAGATTAGAATTGATGTCATTATGAATCATAATTTGTCGCCTGGGCCGCTTAACGTGCCCAATTGTTTGCACCTTTTTCTGCCGTATGACTTCATCCATCCCCGCACCGAATGTGGCTTCGTTTGTTCCCAACTGCCACTTCACCACGCATCCGTAAGGGCCGAAACGTGACAACAATATAAGTATCACATTTACGTGCGACACGGGCTTTATCAAACCGCGTCTACTAGTCCATCGTCATTAACCCTTGACCTAATATTGCAGAAATAATCCGCAATCATGGCTTCCATTTTCTTGTACACATCCTGTTTACCCCGCGCTGGTGATGGCAGCTGATTCTCTTCAGGACTGGTGCATCTGGCTACGTCGGCGGGCAGGTGCTTCAAGAGCTCTCGCGAAGCCACCCGGAGTACACCATTGCGGCTCTGATCCGCGATGGCGAGGTTGCGAAGCGCATCACAGCCATATTTCCCAATGTTCGAGCAGTAGTGGGCAGCCTTGACGATTCGGGTATCGTCGAGGAGGAGGCATCAAAGGCATACATCGTTCTACGCAAGTATTCGAGCATTCACGACTGAATAACGCTGACCATATGCAGACCTTGCTTCAAACAATCACTTGGGCAGCTTTCAGGCAATCGAGCGTGGTCTAGCAAAGCGAGAATCTCCTTGTAGGACCCCGCTTAGTCTCCCGCGTGAGAAGATGGTATTCGAGATTCGGTCACTGACGTCTGGTAGCATTCTGGATTCAAATCTCAGGCGCCAGCGCTCTCGCAGCGGGAGAGGTTTCATCCCCATCCTTCGAGCCTGGCTCGGCTTCGTCGCAAATTTACGACGATGTCGACGACGTCGCAGCGATTCGCTCGCTGGTCCGGGCTCACCCTGCTCGCGTGGTGGACAACTACCTCCTCGACGTGGCCGCAAAGAATCCCTCGATCAAGACGGCGCTCGTAATGCCGCCCATCATCTACGGAGTTGGCGAGGGGCCAATCAACCAGCGGAGCATCCAGATCCTCACGCTGTGCAAGGTGGCGCTGGAGAGGGGCAGGGCCGTCACTGTAGGCAAGGGCGAGAGCCGATGGGGCAGCGTCCACGTTGGAGACATTGCAAAGCTCTTCGCGTCCCTGGCTGAGGCTGGCGCAAAGAAGAATCAGGACGAGGCGCTCTGGGGAGAGAACGGCATCTACCTGGCGGGCGTTGGCGAACTTGTAAGAACAGTGCCGGGCTCCCAAACTAAAACCCGGTGGACTAACGCATGTAGTCTTGGCTTGAAATCTCACAGAGAATTGCGCGCGAAGCCCACAACAAGGGCTACATCAGCACCGTCGAGGTGGAATCCGTGTACAAGCCGGAGATGGACTCGCTGCTGCCCGCGGCCGCCGTGCTGTTCGGAAGCAACGCGCGAAGCAAGGCTCGCCGCGGGGCTGAGTTGCTCGGATGGACACCTACAGGGGAGAGTCTGGAGGCGGAGATTCCGAGGGCGCTGGCGGAGGAGGCGACGCGGTTGGGCGTCGGTAAGGTCTAGAGTAGGTAGAAGATGCTAGAGTCTAGATCTAAGAGACGGTTTTTCTTAGTCGGATCTATATCGGGATTGATCCCCTATCGCATCTGAATATGGAAGCCGAGATCCCTCTATCGTCCCTTCTATCGTTCCCCTCTATCGCGTCTTGATTGACTTGTCGGTGAACCCGACACGGCCAATTGAGCCGGATGAAGCCTCATTCAGTTGATCCCTCAGGCATGATTCACGTGATTACCGGTCATCTGCTTCAGGTAGCCAAATCAACCAGAGGCGCAATCGCAACAATACTCTCTTTCTACTTTCCTCTTTCGCAACATCCGAAAGCCCGCATTGCCATCGCATTACTCGTCGTAGCGCGGAATCGGGAATGTGCTGGCTGATAAGGAAAGTTTCCGCGTCTCCACTCAGAGCTACCCCGCGGTTCCACGATCCTGCGTCATATCGCCAGAGTCGTACTCCGCGCAGCGCACTTGCTGAACATTCGCCTCATTGGGTTAACTAGAAGGCACGATACGATTCCCGATCTCGGCCGCGTTTTCCAATAAAAGAATTGATCCGTGTAACGACATCTGAGCAACATTCCTCCTCCAACGTCCCCGCTATCTCACTCCCAGAGATCCTCCTCGAGATCTTCCTCAACTTCAATCACAATGGCTCCCGCATTCCTCGAGCTAGAAGCCCCCAACGGTGTCAAGTACACGCAGCCCACCGGCCTCTTCATCAACAACGAGTTTGTCGAGTCATCCAGCGGCCAGACTATCACGTCCATTGACCCCGCGTCAGTAACCCCCGCACCGTTCACATCTCCGCCGCTGACTGAGAAATAGAACCGAGGAAGTCATCGCGACTGTCCAAGCGGCCGATGCCACCGATGTCGACAAGGCTGTCAAGGCGGCCCGTGCCGCTCTAAAAGATCCCTCGTGGAAGCTTCTCCCTGCTTCCGACCGGGGCCAACTCATGGCCAAGTTGGCCGATCTCATGGAGGAGAATCGAGAGCTGTTTGCCACTACAGAGGCCTGGGATAACGGTATGTCCCATCATAAATGACCCCGAACGGTACTGACAAACTCGCAGGCAAGACGTACCAAGAAGCCCTGGAGACCGATCTCGTTGAGGCTGTCGGCGTCATCCGATATTACGCAGGATGGGCCGACAAGACCTACGGCCAGACCATCAACACCACGCCCCAAAAGTTCGCCTACACAATCCGCCAGCCCATCGGCATCGTCGCTCAGATTATCCCCTGGAACTACCCCCTGTCTATGGCCACCTGGAAGCTCGGCCCCGCCCTGGCCTGTGGCAACACTGTTGTGCTCAAGGCGGCTGAGCAGACTCCGTTGAGCATCCTCGTCTTTGCCGAGCTGATCAAGAAGGCTGGCTTCCCTCCCGGTGTGGTCAATATCCTCAACGGTCTCGGCCGTGACACTGGTGCCGCCCTGGTGCAGCACCCTCTCGTGGATAAGATTGCCTTTACCGGCTCTACGGCAACTGCCACTAACATTATGGGCATCGCAGCCAAGACCCTCAAAAACATTACCCTCGAGACCGGCGGCAAGTCACCTTTAATCGTCTTTGACGATGCCCAACTAGAGCAGGCCGTCAAGTGGTCACATCTCGGCATTATGTCGAACCAGGGCCAGATTTGCACGGCCACGTCTCGAATCCTCGTCCAAGACGGCATTTACGACAAGTTCCTGGCTCAGTTCCTCGACACTGTCAAGACCGTCAGCAAGGTGGGCACCCAGTGGGATAAGGAGGCCTACCAAGGACCTCAGGTCTCAAAGATGCAGTTCGATCGAGTTCTCGAGTATGTTGAGATCGGCAAGAAGGAGGGCGCAACTCTTGCTACTGGTGGCCACCCCGTAAAGGTCGGCGATAAGGGCAAGGGCTTCTTCATTGCCCCTACTGTCTTCACGGACGTGACTCCCAAGATGCGCATCTTCCGAGAAGAGATCTTCGGTCCAGTTGTCGCTATCGTGCGATTCAAGACCGAGGAGGAGGCGATTGCCCTCGCCAACGACACGACCTACGGCCTCGGCGCCGCTGCCTTTACTACTGATTTAGAACGCGCCCACCGGGTTGCCGCAGAGATCGAGGCCGGCATGGTCTGGATTAACAGCAGCCAGGACTGCGACCCCAGGGTGCCATTTGGAGGTGTCAAGCAGAGTGGTATCGGCCGCGAGCTGGGCGAGGCTGGCCTCGAGGCGTACTCACAGATTAAAGCCATCCACGTGAACATGGGTACCAAGCTATAAGATCACCACAAGGGATGCAGAGTACCGTATCGAATCGATAAATTGGCCCTGTTTTATTATGGACTAAAGCTAAGCTATGTAAGGCTTAGGTTTTCTAAATCATTTATTATCATTAGGCATAAAGAATCCCGAAGGCAATCAGTAGGGGAAGGATCCAAGGCGAATTTACTGAGTCGATGGTATGTTTAACGTCAAAGTGTGTATTAAATTAGATGGAGCTAGCATTCTGAAGCTTTTCAACTATGAACCTTCCGTGTAACCAAGCGTGTGAACCAGGTGTAGTAAACCAAGGGTATGCAGATAGATTGAATTGACCATTTGTGACAAAGAAAACACCCTGCTGTCGTTGGGCCTCAATTATAGATAGTCAAAGTGATCTATGGAATCGGATTTAACAAAGAGAAATTATCGGTCACGTCTAGCCAGACGAGCAAGTGTTCAACCTAGGACTCCGATAAAGTTGATACCCACCCTCCCGACTCCAAATATGCCCGTAGGCAGCATCATAGCAAGTCCCAAAGTCCTGTTCATCGTACAGCACATCGCACCAACGCCTCGTACCCAGTCTTGTCCGTTCATCGCTTCAGGCGGCCCTCGTAGAGGATCTCGACGGCCTCGTCCCAGCCGCGCGAGGCGGCAATCTCGGTGACGGTGCGGCCGAGCTCGTCGCGGACCTCGAGATCGACGCCGGACTTTTCGGCGAGCAGGCGGAGGACCGTCTCGTCGCCGTTCTCGACGGCCTGCATGATGCCGTTCCAGCCGCGGTACAGCTTGTTGGGGTCGCCGCCGTGCTCCAGCAGGAACTCGAGGATCTCCGTGTCCTCGCGGTGGCGGCGCAGGGCCTTGACGACGGGCAGGTGCTCGCCGGGCGAGTTGATGTCGGCGCCGCCCTCCTTGACGAGGAACTCGACAATGTCGCGGCGGTCCTCGCGGATGGCCGAGGTGAGGGGCGAGAAGACGCCGCCGTTCTTGTCCTCGACGGACACGCCGGCGTTGATCAGAAGCTTGACGGACTCGAGCTGGCCGGCGACGACGGCCATCTCCATGACGCCCTTGAAGGCACGGGGCTCGGCGAGCACGGCCAGGATGCGCTTGAGGATGGCAGGGTTGCGGACGGCCATGCAGACGGGCCAGTCCTGGCCGCGGATGTTGGGATCCGCGCCGCGGGCAAGGAGCGAATCGACCATGTCGACGCGGTTCTCGCGGATGGCCGTGGACAGGGGCGAGTGGCCCTTGGGGGTCTTGTCGTTGGGGTTCATGCCCTGGTCGAGGAGCCAGTTGAGCGCCTCCATGTTGTTGACGCTCACAGCGGTCTCGACGATGCCCTTGGGCGAGTTGAGGTTGCCACCGGCGGCCACCAACTGCGGGAGATACTGCAGACGGTTGTGCGTGATGCACTTGAAGGTCGGGTACTCGCTGGCGGGCACGTTGGGATCAGCGCCGCTGGTCAGCAGCAGCGCAAAGATGTCGGCGCGGTTGTCGCGGATCGACGTGCACAGCGGCGTGTAGACACCGTCCTTCTTGGCGTTGGGGTCGACGCCGGCCTTGAGCAGCGCGCGAACCGACTCGATGTTGTTGACGCTGGCCGCGAGCTCCATGATGCCGGGGCACTTCTTGTGGTCGGCGCCGTGGGCGAGGAGCGTCTGCAGACAGGGCGTCTGGTACGTGGCCGGCCACAGCATGTGCTTGGGGCCGGGCAGGTTGGGGTTGGCGCCGTGGTCGAGGAGGCTGTTGACGATGTCGACGCGGGAGTTCTGGATGGCCTCGAACAGCGCCGTCTTGCCCTCGCGGCTCTTGAGGTTGGGGTCGGAGCCGTAGTCGAGGACGAGGTCGATGAGCTTCTTGGGCGTCTTCTTGTTGGTGGCGGCGATGATGAGCGTGTCGCCGGTGATGGTGAGCTGGTCGGGGTCGCCGCCGTAGATGAGCAGCAGGTGCACCATGTTGAGGTTGTTGCGGATGCAGGCCTCGGCCATGGGAGTGTCGTGGTCCTGGCCGCCGGGGACGTTGGGGTCGCCGCCGTACTTGAGAAGAGGCACGGCAGAGGCGAGCGAGCCTCGGTCGACGGCGGCGAGCAGAGGGCCCATGCCATCGCGGTCGGTGACGTTGGGGTCAGCGCCGAAGAGGAGGAGCAGACGGACGCTCTCGGCGTCGCCGTTCATGACGGCCTCCTTGAGGGCGAGGTGGTCAGAGCCGGTGTTGGGGTTGACGCCGCGGTCGAGGAGCTGCTCGACGAGCTTGTGGTTCTTGCCCCTGACGGCAGACAGGAGGGCGCTGCGGAGGTTGTTGGCATCTGAGCCAGCCGAGCTACGGGGGTTCCAGCGAGGCATGGCGGCAGGGTCGGCCTTGAGACGGACGACCTTGGTGTTGTTGTTGAGCTCCAGGCCGGCGAGCTCCTCGAGGCTGGCCTCGGCGCTCTCAGACATGCCCGAGTGCGAGCGAGTCTCATGGGCCTCGTCAAAGGTGCTCAGACGGTCAAAGGTGGCCGTGGTGCCCGAGTGATATCGCTCGTTGGAGCTGACGGAGCTGGCAGTGTGGCCGCCGCCGCTATATCGCATGTCGACGCCAGGGCTGGTGACGGACTCCTGCTGCATGGACGACGAGCGCTCAGCCCACGGCAGGGGAGGCAGAGGAGGCTGCGAGGAGTGCGACGGGGCGCCGTTGCCCTCGACGCCGCGGTGCTGCGAGGACGACGAGGGACGGTAATGAGAGGCATGGTCCGAAGGCTTGCTTCGCGCCGCGACGCCGGCGCGGTGATCCATGCGATCGAGAGCGGCGGCCAGGCCAGTGTAGCCAATGCCCATCTCCTTCTCAATCTTCTCGTTGCCGAGACTCCACTGGAACATGAGGGCGCTCATGCGCAGGCTCTCGCGGGTCTTGCCCAGGGCGTTGATCATCTTCTCGATGTCGTGGTCGCCAAAGATCTTGCCCCATCCGCGGCGCATGCGGCCCATGGCGCCCTTGCGCTCGTTCTCGAGGTTCTTGTTGAGCATCTGGTCGAGCAGCTGGAAGTCGGCCTGGGTGACGCGGAACTTCTTGCTCAGCTCCGAGATGACGTCCGAGGGGAACGACTGGGCGGTGCGGATGCACTCGCCGAGGCCGGCTTCGATGGAGAAGAGGATCTCGCACGTGTCGAGGAAGTCGTGGGCGAGCGTGTCGAGCCCGTGAGGCTGCTTGGTGACGGTGCTGAGGTACTCCAGCATGCGGATGGACACGCGGTCACCGACCTGCGTGGTCTTGTGGCAGAGCTCCAGACATTGCGTCTGGGCCTTGGTGGACGTGGCCATGACGGCGCTCTTCTTGGTGGTGAGCGACCTGGAGGGGGGGGCGGGCTGGTGGTGACTGCTATGGGCGGGAGAATGAGAATGAGACTGAGGCTGAGATTGAGGCTGGAGAGTATGGGGAGGGGCAGGCTTCTGGAGGTGGTGAGCGTGGGGGATGGAGATGGGGATGGGGGTGGTGGGCAGCGTAGGCGTGGAGGGATGCGAGTTGAGGCCGAGAGACTCCTTAGACACCAAGGTCAGGGACTCTTGAGGGCCGAGGGAGAGAGCTTCGATGAAGGAGTATTCCTTGTCTACTCGATCTGTGCCCACTGTCAAGTGGTGCTTGTTCATGCTGAGAGGCGAGGTCAGCGTGAAAGTGGACATGGGCTTCCTCTTTAGAGGAATTTAGAGGGCGTAGCAATGCGGGAGCAGCAGACTTTATGGCGCTCGCCCGACGCCCAGGACGGTCCAGGCTGCGTCGCTATGCTCTTTGCGTTCTTTGCGTTCCCCTTACTGGGTCGACGGGGGCCGGGCGTGGACGTCGTGGATATCCCGACCTGCGTCGAGGGCGTCGAGGGCGTCGAGTGCAGTCCACGGCGTCCATGTCGTCCACTCACCACACCCAATTGCGTCGAGCACATCCACTCGAGGGGCGTCCACCGCGGCGTACCTCGTCGTACCTAGGCCTAGCTCCGCCGCTTGGAGCTTCGGGGGGAGGGGGTGGAAGCCGTGGGATGGGCGTGCTGTGCGCTTTGACAGCCTGTGGAGATGGCGTCGTGCGCGCTACGGATCGACCGGGGGCGCCAAGGTGCCAGTAGTTGTACCCAGTTCGACGGAGTACTACGTAGTCCCATTGCATGGTCTGCCCTAGTGTCCCCAAGATCAGGAACCCACTTGGCTCCAGGATCGCCCACTGCAGCCCAGGGCGTCCCCGGTCTAAGCTACTAGAGCACGCTTTGACGTGAGCATGCCCCTGGGGGGCCGGCCGTCAAAGGCTCGCATGGGCCCGACTTGCCGGCGTCTGTGAGCTGGTGGCCGAGACCAAGCGATGGCACCCCCTCGTACGGAGAACTAGTTGCGTATGTACTGTACAGTAGGATGGTCCTGTGGTCCTGTGGTCCTACGGAGCCCACGGCGGCGCCCATGTCACCCATCATCCCATCGAGAGAGCTCACGGTAACCCCACCCGGTGCAAGGTCCGAGCAGCGAGGCAGGCCAAGCCGTTGGAGGGCAATGGGCTTCGCAGGCTATTCCGCATGGAGAGCCTCAGACAGAAGCCGCTACGCGTAGTCACTGTGGATGGAGATGGTGGTGGGGTGGTGAGGACGGTGGGAAGTCGTCGTGGGAAAGCTGAGAAGAGGGGGGGGGACGGAGAGGAGGGACGGGGAGGACGGGGAGGACGGGGAGAGAGACCCGGGACAGCAGCCAGCAGGCCGAGAGACCAACGAAACGGACGAGACCAACGCGATGCAACCAGCAAAAGCCAAAGCGCAACCTTGAGAGAGTTAAGCGGGATGCGGGATGCACTGCGGGCTTGTTGCGGGCGTGTGGACGAGTGGACGTGTGGACGGAAGCTTCACCACCACAACGACCCAGCCGCCATACCCAATTTACAGAAACAAGCCTCGCACCAAAAGCACTTTGACAATTGCCGATGCAGCCAAGCGGACACAGCAGCAGCAGCAGCGAGAAAAACGCCCAGAAACGCTAACGGGGATTGATGGGGGCCCGCCGAGTCCGTAGCAGACCCAACAAGGCACTCGAGACAGCGTGATACACAACGCACGCGAGAACTCAGACATTGGCATGGCTTGGCCCGGCGTCGGGGAGCGAAAATGCAGCATCAGGCCAGAGGCGCCGCGCAGCGCAATCAAAAGGTGGATGAATCGACGGGCCCAGATCGATGTGACTGTTGCTTTTTCCGATTGTGCATGGGCGGCGTTCAATGAGTCGAGATCGAGCCCGGCTCGCGGCTGCTGGGCCACCAGGGCCACTCACTCACTCTGGCTAGCAGCATCGCTCCATCGCATCGGAACTTTTTTTCCCAGCATCGGAGCTTGCGACCAGTCGCTTTTGCGAAATCGGTCACCCGAGACCAGACCAGACCGGCTCTGCGTAGGGGGGGGGACGGGCAGCAAGGAACCAGCCTCGACGAGCAATGACCACCAAACGCAAGCCTCGCTCCCAAGAGCAAAAGCAAGTAAGAAGAGAGGAAGCTAAACTTGCTTGGCTGGTGCTGTACTGTGGTTTACGGAGCACAGGGAGGCTATATTGGGTCCACACCCCCCCTGCTGCGATGTGCCAGCTTTCGTCCAGCAAGCCACCGGGTTCTGGCGCGGAGCCAATCGCATTGCAAAGTGCTGAGACATTGCTCATTCCAAGACCCGAAGGGCGGCGGCCCCTCGCAGGCGCAAGAGCCCAGATCCTGGGAGATAGATCCTGGGGTTCAGGTCCTGGCCGGAAGTTTGCCAGGACCAGGATTTGGTTCCAGGTCCAGGGGCATTCCCGTCACTGACAAGACAAGGCTCGGCTGACAGCCAGCAACAAGAGTTGGCCGCCCCAGCCCAGGTTCCAAGGCCAAGGCCAAGTCCAAAGTGGGCTGGCTGGCTCCCCGGCAAGTAAGTCGTCGTGTTGGTCGGACGAGGCCACGGCGAGACGACAGCGGGCCCTAACGAGGCGGACTTCCTCCAACGCTCGCCGAGAGGCCTCTGATAGCGAAGTGACAGCGGGGGAACGACAGAAGGATCCGCGCTGAACGAGCTCTGGCCGCGCGCTGGTGCTGGCCCAGTCGCGGGCGCCAACACGGCCAGCCGGACGCAATCGCATCAGTGCGCACGCCGGTCTGCTGCCAGGACAATGTCTAAAACGGCGCTGAACAAAGCCCCCCGACGACCGGTGAACAAGAGCCACCACAATGGCAATGTATTGGAAACCAGCCCGCCTTGCCTCGAGGACACCCGGGCGGCGGAACTCCAGGCTCGAACAATGGGCTGGCGAAGGATCACGATGGAGATGAGGACGCCCGCGCCACCACACACACACAAGACGCAGGACGCACAACAGGCTCGCCTAGCCCTGCGCCGCGGCGACCAACAGAAACTCACAAAACCCAGACGTCGCAATCTTGTTCTGACTCGGTGGAGATGGGACAATTGGGAGGGCTTCAGGCGTTCACGATTGCGCCAGCGCCGCCTGCGCCCATTTTCCCGGGTCTGGTTTCCCTCCCCCCTCCCCCCCAGCAAGGCTCCTCATTCTCGCCCGCGGCGCAATCGCGCATCTCGCAGCAGCGCCAGCCCGGCCGGGGAGGGGGAGGGGCCCCTTCGCCACGTGGAGGATGCAGCGGGAAGAGCGCGAATATGCAAGGGGAAGTGTATCTCGTTGAGCGCTGAGCGACCGCGGTCTAGACGGGCTAGCCGACGCCCATACGAACGCCCACCCCTCTCTCCACCCAGACTTTCCAGCTTGCCCTTCGCCGGCAAGGACAAAGTGCATTATGGGCTGCCAGAGGCTGAACGCAGTCGGCGAACAACTCTCCGGATCGAGCATGGCGCGGAGGCCCGTCGGAGTTTCTCCTCTGGCCTGCCACAGCCTGGCGTCGCCGTCGCTAGGGAGGTGTCACACCGGCTAGCCTCTCTCCACTGCGCAGGGCATTCGGAAAGGGGGGCTAGCTAAAACACCCAGCTAATCACCTCGACTGACTCCATGTTGGGCCAAGGCATGCTCACCCGAAGGATGGATTCATCACTTCCACCAAGCTGCCCGCCAGAGAGGGTCTCGGCAGTGGCGGGAAGCTGTCGTGGAGTCGCGAGCCGGCACGTGGAGAGGAGACGGACGTGGGCCTCCGGGTCTCAACCAGACTACGGGGAGAGCGCTGGATCCATTCATTTAGTTGCTTGCTTTTTTCTTGGCCCTCTATGATCAAATCATCTGTCAATCCCTTCGCCTGGGAACGGAACACGCCAGGTCCCACATTGCAAACGGAGCACTACTACCGCCCAGCTCTTGGCTCGTTCGGCACACACACACACACACACGCCATATATACTTTCGGTAGCTTCGGCTGGCGCGCCCGATGGGATGCTTTAGTTTTATCTCCGCTGATATCTTATTTGGCTTTTACTTTCCCCCAAAAAAGCCTCTTGGGCGATCCAGGCCGCTGGGAAGAAGGGGATCCGGCCGATCAAATCTCTGCAGCAGCCCGCCGGGCCGTCTTCTGCAACAAAAGAAACCGGCCGTGGCACGACAGAGTTCCAACTGTGTAGCCACCAGGATCGTCCCAGACCTCGCCAGGCTCGTCCCAGACTCGTCCCAGAGACATCGAGATGAATGTGGAACAAAAGCTTCCACCAAGCCACCCTTGCGTGAGAAATGATGCGACGCTGGGATTCCATTCCCGGTCCGTCACGCCCACCCCATGCAGGGAACGCCGTTTCCAGTTTGATCACTTTTTTCCGTCATTTGTCTGCTTTTTCAGGGTTCGTTTTTGCTGACTGCTCCGTATTGCTGCTCCGTATTGCTGCTCCATATTGCTGCTCCATATCATTGCTGCTCCATACTGGCTGCTCCATACTGGCTGCTCCATACTGGCTGCTCCATACTGGCTGCTCCATACTGGCTGCTCCATACTGGCTGCTCCATACTGGCTGCTCCATACTGGCTGCTACGTGATCTTACCCGCCATCAGCCTTGGCACCCACACAACGTGTTTGAGAAGTTGAGAACTGATCAACGCCCTGCCTTGTCACTTTCCTTGTTCCCTTGCTACCCTCCCTCACAGCAAGACATTTGCCATGGCGCACGGTCAGCTGGGTTCAAGCCAATGACGAAACCTCGATTGGATGAACCTGGGCGCAACCCATCCATCGTCCCCTTGCTTTTGGTGCGGCTTCCGGCGTCCGGCTTCCATTCCATCCTCCCTTCCCTCGCTGCCACGCCGCAGCCGCAAAAGAAACGTGAGAGACCTGTTCTATATCAGTTTTGCATCTGTGCGCACTTCTGTCACCTCTCACCTGCAGCTGCCATGCTCTATTCCATGCGCATGCGGACGAAACCTGATGTGAACTGACACCCGCTATAGGTAGTCAGCGTCCAGTATCCGCAGTTCTGGACACAGTCCCGCTGCGGGGAGTTGCATCGAGGCGAGCCCTTGCATGAAGTCAATTCCTACTGGGCGCGTGGCGGCTCCCCAGTCCTCTTCCAGCCGCTCAATGTCATATATCAGATTCTCCCACAGTGTAGCCTCTTTTCCATCCCAATCACCAGCCTCATCGCCGCCCTTTCGTTTCAAGCGGCGTCCGAGGTGCAGCACAATAGCGCAAAAGTCCCGCTCGACTCGGCATCGCAGCCACCAGAATCCCAACCGCCCCAGCAGGCCAAGCCAGTAGCTGAATATGCACAGCGCGCGGTCGTCCTGGCAGTGCAGCAGCTCGACAAACTCTGGCCCGAGCTTGCCCACGAACTGGAGGTAAATAAAGATGTTGACCGTGTCGGGATCTATCAAACGGCTCTTGCAAGACGGCAGCGTCAAAGCGGTCCGCGGCGCACGGCCTGAGCAGCGCCGTCCACGACGAGGGGATGCTGGTGAAACGGTGATCAGCGCTGCTAAGAGTCGGTCGCTCATCGTCGGATGCCTCAAACATGGGCTGCAGCGCGCTAGCATCCCTGAGCCGAGACGTGGCCATCAGGAGCGGCTTCAGTCCCAGCTGCAGCTCAAGCCACCCGAGCCGGCCGCGGTCTGAGCCGACGACCCAAGACGCGGACAGCCGTGCGTCGTCGACAAAGGCAACGGCCAGCAGGTTCAGAAACATGGCGGTCGTTAGCAGGGCATCGGACCGCGACTGATCCAGACGCTGATGCAGCGCCGGGAGGAAGCCCTGGAGCGTCGCCCGTTGCTGGTGACTCCGCAATCTCGTGCGCCGTTGGACGAGCCGTGTGGTGACGGAGGTGGCAGGCTGAGACTGCAAGGGTGGCGGCTAGGAGATGGCCATGATCGCCCTGCAGCTTACATGCTGGGGGCAAGATGCCTCCGGAGATGGCTTCGTAGTTTTAGTTACAGTGGTGAAGCAGCGAGTCAACAGACGTAGCACCTAGAAGAGTAAATTTAACACATGCCGCTGGAACAATTGGCTTGTAGACCAGCTGTGTTAGGGGGCCGCTGAGACGTCCGTCCTGCGACAACAAACTCTCTAGACGCCGATCCAACCCATAGACGCAGCGTCTGTTGCTTCACGCGCAACCTGTGCAATGGGCCTCGTTTCATCACACTACGAGATTCTTAGTCCCGGCACTCCATATGCACGTCAAAGGCCATGCCAGCTGTGGATACCTCGATTCTCCTCTGTTTGCAGGCGAAGCATCAACCGCGACTCTTGACGTGGAACCTGCGCCGCCTGTGTCTGCGAATTGCCAGCGTGGGCTGGCCGGTCACCAGACAAGGAACTGGGCCTCGACCGGAAATGAGATCAGTAATCGATCCGAGCTGTCGGCTCTGCGGCATTCCAGATCGAGTATGCATACACGAGAATAGGCGACGGGGCAATCTGGGAGCAGCCTCTCCATTTGATGCCTGCCCTTGATGCCTGCCACTGATGCCTGTCAGATCTCACATGACGGGCAACGGCTCATCGTCCTCGGCTAGACTCGTTTGCTCGATCTGTGCTAGCGGCTGACACACGATTGACAGGATGGAATCCTTGTGTAGATCTGTTTAGACTATTTGTGTCCGAGTCATGGCAAACGAGACGGAGAAAAACAGGCCGATTATGACGATGATGAGGATGTGAGGTTGATAATGTTCATGAATAAATAATATAGGACCTCTCTCTATATACAAAAGGAACATTCAAGTGTAGGCACCAACTGAATTATCCGTTTGAGAGTGAAGCTCCCCGATTCATTTCGTACATCTTACCCTATACCCTGCACACCCAGCCACCGTTCATTTGAAAACCCTGCTGACGAGTTGAAAACAGCTCTTCTACTCAAACTGGGATTTATTTAATTAATTTTGTCGCGGTATATTCCGCCAGTTACAGTCTCGCCGAGGCACGGCGAAATGAAAAAAAAATACTAGGGTTGTTAATCTGGGTTACGCAACCCGTCTGCCAACTTTCATGAACTCCACCCGGGCGACGCAATCCATATGCCAACTTTTATCAACGCCACTCGATCAGGGCGACGCATCTTAATCTACAAAAATCTGGTTTGCGGATACACCAATCAAAAAACTCCATTTTCGGAAGCCTGATACGAACATGTCCAAGTCACGGAGTATCCGAGATGGATACGCCCGGTGGGCTAGTACCGACTGTATCGCATGAGCCCCTGCTGGAGCTCCATTTTCAACGGTCAACGGTGCCACCTGGGGTCACGGAGATTGTCTGTCCTCGATGTTGACGTACCTGAAGATGTGAGAACAGGCGACAACGTCCCCGTGTCGCACTTTTTTACTTTTTCTTCAGCAGCGCATACGCCTTTAGCAGCAAGGACCTGTGGTTTCATCCCTTGGGATTGTTTGATCTGGGCGGACATAACTCGAATTCATATTCGTCGCGAATAATTACCGGTACGAACTAGCACCTGAAGGGACTGGTTGTGAAGCTAATCTCCTGGCAGCCTTGGTGTCTTAGGGTGGGCCTCTATGCCCGGACTGGACATGGATACCAATGTGGGTATGCATGATTGTCTTGCGGTAGCCGGATGGACGTGCAAGTTTGTTGGGGGATTTGGGGGCGACCGAAATAGAATAACGGTCATGGGGCAGAGCACCGGTACATGATTTATTCAATTATTGACAGTGCTTAATGGTGGCCGGGAACTCTGCCATTTCAGCAGGAAGGTTAAAATCAGGGACGACTAGCAAAGACTGGCGGATGCAGGCTTTCAGCTCGTCTCCAGATATTCCTCCGCGACGATATGTTTCAGCTTGCTAGACGCCTATGTTTCGGACTATGCTCTATCGCAGTGCCACTATGACAAAAGGGAACGATCACTGCTTTTGGCGGCAGTGCAATTGTGGTTCATATCTCCCTCTGATATCCTCCTCGAGTCAGCAAACTACACCACCCTCGGGTGTCTACGAAGTGTACCTGAGGATACAATCCGACGAGCCAACGATGAATTGATAAACAAGATGCCTTGTGACGCGGGCGGGGGAGTTTTTGGACCTACGCCTGGTTTTGGGCCTGTTCCCGACGCTAAATCGATCCCTGACCTGCCGACGATCTTATTTCAACAAGGCCATTATCACCGGGAGCTTACTCCGTAAGGCCCTAATCGTTGGGAGCATAGCTGACGAGGTAAGGTGACGGGCGCGCCCCTGCTGGGGATGTTCATCGCTGACGTGTTTAGGGAAATGGCCTTGCTCACGACACAGACCAACCGGGATACTTGCCAACAATGGTTAGGCAGCTGATCCCTAATGCCGCGGATGAAACCGTCGCACAGATGCAAGCTCTGTACGACTACAAATCGAACCTTGCGAAACTAGCCTGGGATTGGACGGTGGATGTGATATTCGGATGCAACGCATAGAGTATCACTCGCGCCTTTCCCTTCCGGAAATACCGTTACATAGTGTCTGCACCCCCTGCCACCCACGGCTATGACTTGTTCTTTAAGTGCTGGCTTGTTGACTCGAGACCCTGGCTAACTCGATTGAGATTATTTCCTTGTCGATCAGGAGACCACACTAGCTACCAACCTACGATTCATTCATGGAGAGGAAATTCCTTGGTACAAGTACGGTCGGCGCGAGCGATTGGCTAATATACCCACGGGGGATTCGAGATGGTAAATCTTAGGGATGACTTGAAGAAACGGTGCGATTCCACCATAGCGGCAGCCATGGACCTAATGAATGAGGATAACAAGCTGGAAACGAGAAGCAAGGTGTAAGAGCTAAATGGATTGATAGGTCCAGGGTATGCCTTAGGTTGTGTATTGTGTAGAAGACCCTAGCCGCAAACGAGACACCAATCCGCTAGACCGCCACTTGTGTATGTCGATCTTCTTTCGGTAACTAACTTACCCGCGAACTTAGGGCACGAGGGCAGGTAAAACGAATGGGCTAGCGGCCCCTCTTCCGTACGTTGAGCAATGACGCTCTAGCTTTGTGTGGGTATTTGACATACGTCAGAGGAGAAGCGAGTAAAAGGAAAGCGGCGAGCTTTCAATATATTGGTAAATAATTGAGAAAGATACAGCGAAAGAATTGAATGCATAAGATGATAGTAGACAGTATCTAAATAGTAGAAGCTGTGAATAGGAGTCTTGGAGGTGATGGGGAGGTCGCATCTTAGAGGCTCTTTGATAGAGGTGAAGAGTGGCGAAGTTTCAGGATAGTAAAAATACCGACATTAATATAATGCGTTGCATTCCGGCGAACAGAGCAATTCATGGGATCCGATCAATCTAGATCGGACAGGACCTTGTATTCTGACAAGTGACGAAATCCACATGACCCTGTTCGATACTCGCTCAACCTAGCAAATAATGAATCCTACATGGGCCGAGTATCAGAATCTACCACGGTCAGCAAACAACAGCCGAAATGCCAGTAAATTCCATTGAACAAGTCAGGTCTATGGATTGGAAGTTATATCCTGAGTAGTCTTTTTACCCCCTCAGAAGTTGAGCTAGCTGACTTAACCTCTTCCCTCCAACCTTGCATTGTAATCAGCTGACAAGAAGGGAGGAATAGTAGCGACATAGCCACGACAGTTCAAGCAGAGGAAAAAAGCAAGACAAAACGTATACTTGGATTAAAGACGATGAAATGCGTGTCCCCCCCCGAACTTTGGCAGAGCCACTACTCAAGTAGTGCCTTGTTAGTTAAAGACCGAACTCGACTAAAATTTCGAAGTGCCTGATAGCACGCACTAGCACCATCACAATATAACCCTAAAGGCTCAGCGCATGGCCAGGGCGCACAGAATGCCAATCGAGAATAAGCTTAAACATATATTCGGAAGCGGATGATTTATGGAGAATTTATGTCGGCCAATGTGGGGAAGAAAATTGGACTTTGGAGATGACCGCTTGGTCACGAACCGGGCTGAGGGGAGGTCCTGTTTTTTTGTATCGGGAATTGGGAACACGAAAATGACTTCGAAGCTCACTTCTGAGCTGCAGGAGTAGTTAAGACCCCATCGGCCGGCATCTCGGCCCTCGCTATCGCGTTTCACCTCTCTCCTCGCGCTCTCCGCCTTTGCATATCACAGTTTGCATTGGTATGCACATCCGCCCTTCGTCATTTGTTACACATTAGCTCTCCTTTCTCGAAGTGCCCTAGAGCTTCTTTAGAAACTTATAACTGCGAAGTGCCTATCTCCAATATGAATATGCACAGCTGTTTGATGCAAGAGTTAAATGGAAATGAGTGTCAAATAAGATGTAGCAAGTAAGGTATCTCTTTGCTTTGGATGCTGAACTTTTATGGCTTTTTATAGCTTTACTAAATATCATAAAATAGATCAAAGCCATGCATAGTCTTAAATGGTACGAGCACACATGTGTCACTACGAACTATTATCGCATATGAAGGGAAACTGACCACAGGATACACATAGCTGTATTATCACTGTTGATGTGATTCCATCTAGAATGGCAGCGCATGATCTTCAAGATGCTGTTTGACAGCCAGGAAGTCAAGTCGAGAATTGGCATCCATTGCGGACCTTCGACAGAGCCAAGGAGATCCAAGCTTGCGGGCCATGCGAGTGTGAATATAAGCTACCCGTTTGCTTACTTCAGCGATGGTATGGCTGGAAGGTCCACTGACAGTCTGCAAGCTTGGAAGCCTAAAAGCATGAAGTGACTGGCAAGGAAGGAAAGTGGGACTGGATGGAATAGATCGCTTTGCTGTTACTGGATTAGAGTTATAATTCGTGGAGCTGTTCAACAGCTTTGAAAGGTCAAAGAGTAGTCTACTGCAGGTGATGATGAGACTTATGGTCTCATTAAACGCCATACGGCCACAAGGTCCCGCCAATCCCTTGATAGAGCAAGATAGGGTACTAGGCTAACTAAATAGAAGAATCTGAATATATAGAAAATATCAGGATGTTGGATGGGTCTGCACCGGGATTGACGCATCAATGGCTGCCTCAATCAGCCCATTCCCCCCTGGCATCTCTAATCCCACAAACTGATATTACAGAAGAACAAATATCAAGCCCGCTGCTCGTAAGCGCACGGGGCGGGCACAGTATCCCTACTGCATCTATCAAGCAGTCATTGCATAGAGTACCGGGGAGACCTAAATATATAGACCCACGAGGGAGCATGACTGTGAAGGGGCGGGCTGCAAGAGTCGGAGCTGCAAGAGCCGGCTCTAAGAAGCCAAAGGGATTGACCTGCAAAGCTATGGTTATACAATAACGAGTCAGAGCCTCGGCAGATCGTCTTTGTCAAGTTCCAGAGTATATATCGCTGGCTTCCCTTACCGAATCTCTGCCTTGTACACCAGCGGCTGGGTCTTCCTGATCGATGATATACTATTGCTATAGCCGAGGTTGGGCCCGTACAGAGATCAACTTGACATCGTCCCCGCTGCCGTTGCTGCAATACAGCTGAGGTCAACTCTCTTAAGTCCTTATTTGCTGCCGCTGTTGGTGGCCTGCGAATTGTTTCCCACCTCTCGTAGCGCTAACAATAGTTGCGGCGGGAAAGTATTTGCAGAAGAGGGTTGAGTTTACTGTAGGTTAGGGCTAATTTGATCATATGAAGGGTGGGCAAACTGTTCTGCGATTTGCGAGAATAAATTCCGGGTTTGGCTAACGCGAGCTCAACTAGGATGTGCCAAGTGTCTTTAGCTGAACCGCCATCCACTTTGGTCTTGATGGTGCAGACAGGCACGCAGGAGTTTTAATGAAATTGAACAACTACGGAGTTAAATAGGTAGCTACTTAAACTAGCAGCTTAGTCCAAAACTTGGAGGGGGAAGGTCTCCTCTTTTCTTTAGCTTCACGAACATTGTCCATCATGCCTTGCTCCTTGACTCAAGCCGTCGCAACTGTTCTCATCGCTATTTCTTTGCACGCTTTGGGAAGCACTGGGTTTGATATTCGTGAGCGACACATTTTCGTATCTAATCCGGGCCCCGACCTGCGTTGGGCTTTTCTTTTCGACTTCACGGCTGGCGACAAGCGCCTCTGTCTGTTGGTCGTGGCCTGCAACGAAGTGCATTCCCACCACACTACTATGAAACGACCCTAAGCTAGCTATTATACTTCATACAGCCCAATGTATTCATCCGACTGCATATAGTATTAATAGATTTGATACCTTTGTCTTGCCGTAATTGTAATTTTCTGAGTTGAGGTATCTCATGTGGCTTGCTTCGGATTCGGACAAAGGAGAGGAAAGTCTCGTAGCTAGACGTTGGTTTATTGTATGGTTATTAGATGTCAGGGATGAAATCCTCAATAGAAGCATGTTTGCCGTATTGTGATTCCATCGGCTGTTCCAGAGACGCGTAGCCAACCCACATTCCAGCGTGACCCACCGTGGTATGAGGCGACTGCGGAGCCGGTCTTGTTAGTTTCATCGCTTAGAAACTGGCCGGGCTTTTATCCAAACTGGGGAAGCAAAAAAGTGACCTGATCTCAACTCGAACTAAATGGTTCCACCTTGGGCCGATGATTTTTGTGTTGACCGATGTGGGCTGGACTAGAGAGAGTAGTGATGTACGTAAATACCGGATGCTAAGCTTCATGATGTGCAGCTACCTGCCGATCCTCGGCACTGAAGCCTTGCTTGGCGGAAATTATGCTAACGCTATGGATCTTACTTTGTCGTAGGAATGGTGATTTTAGACTTGAGGACTACGAGCATGTCATAATCTAGAGGTCCTATCGTGGTAGTAGCCGTCCGGTGGTTATGCCTGTGGACTAGTATAACAGCGTCAGGGATTGGGCAAGGCAATTGAGGTGTCCACGCTCTGATTCGAACTAATGAGTGTAAGGCTGGAAATTTAATTGCATATGTAAGATGTTATCTGGCATGTATCTGGCATGTGTCTTGCGTGCATGCAGTGAAGTGAAGGCAGCCGTTCGCGCTTTCTCAAACAGACCACACATTCCAGCACTCAAATCGTTAGTCCGCCTTTTCGATTAGCTGAGATTTACATAACCTCAGTCCAGCCAGAACAAGGCTAAAACCCCTTGTCGTCGTGACTTCGAATTGTCGGTTGCACCCCGTTTAGACCACCTTGGGCCATGGTGCCATCTTTGGGCCCCACCAATTTATGCGACGCCAAGCGGAGCGTCAGTCCCATTTTGCGCTCCAGCTGCATGAGCACATGTACTTCGCAGAAAATGGACCGACCGATAACCGGCCCCTATTCTAGATCCAGACGTCTATCGCCTGACACTAGAGAAACGGGCCAATAAAGCATCCGACCATGAACGAACCGAGGACATTTGCCGGATATGTCGCGAATCTAGTTAGTTTCGGGTCTTCAACGTCATAAAGACCGAGGTTCGGTATCGGTTTGTACTCTCATTTGGTGACTCCCTTGCAAATTCTCCACCGACGCCTGAAGCTGTTGGTTTTCCTGAAACTAGAGACTGACAAATGCCACGTATGCAGATTCCCTACATCGATGCTATAATAGCTCTTGGAATAATCGAGTCATGCGAGCGTGAGGGGGATAAAGTGCTTGCGAAGCCGCCAATTTAAACTCTTTTCACCTCCGCATGTCTAGGAATTCCCACTCAATCCACCAAAGTGGCTCTGTGTATTAAATTCTCCGATAATGGCAGCAATCGTCCCCGCCTTGGCCAAAATTGGTTTTGTGATCGGCGACATCCTTATCCAGCCAGCGCTTTCGGCCTCGCTCCTTGCTTTAATATCGTATGGCCCTGCCGATCTTGTTAGCCGAATATCCGAACTGGGGCTCCTACAAAACTCCATTGGGCTCGGAGGTTTGAGGGCTGTTCTGAAGCTCCTCCTTTCTCTTGGGCTCATTAGAGCGACTAGTCGTCTCTTTGACGTCCTCGCTCTGAACAACTGGCGGATTTCGTCTAAGAAGGATTGGGAATGGAATAAAGAGGTTGCGGTAATTACTGGTGGATGCAATGGTATCGGAAAGGCCATTGTGATTGGTCTTGTTGAAAAGGGAGTGAAGGTTGCCATTCTCGACTACGCGGACCTACCTTCGGACCTGGCGGAGATGGATGCCGTGTCGTACTGGAAATGCGACGTTACCTCCGAATCTGCTATTGCGGAAGCAGCTGACGGAATAAGAGAGACCCTGGGCCACCCTTCAATCCTCATCAACAACGCCGGCGTCGCGGGCCCACACTCGATTCTTGAGACTTCCCAGGATGATCTGAAAAGAATATTCGGCATCAACGTTATTTCGCACTGGTCAACAACTAAGCAGTTCTTGCCTGCCATGATCTCGAAAAACAAGGGACACGTTGTTACGGTTTCAAGCTTGATGTCTTACGTGCCACTACCAAAGGTTGTGGATTACGCCGCGACCAAGGCCGGAATAATGGCGTTCCATCAAGGTCTATCATGCGAGATTAAGCATCTCTACAAGGCGCCTGCAATCATGACCACCATCGTTCACCCGATGTGGGTTGAAACCGGCATGACAAAGCGACAAGCAGCCAAGTCTGAAGCTACAAGAAAGAAGATGATGCAACCGGACTTTGTTGCTCGCAAAGTTTTGGACCAACTATTTAGTTGTCGCAGTGGACAAATCTTCCTCCCTGAGAATGCCACATGGTTGACGGGGATCAACGCCTTCCCGAATTGGCTGCAGGTGTCGATCAGGGACCTTGGTGGAAAGGCAGCTACTCAATAGTTGTTGGATGGGTATCTAAAAGCATGATTTGAATAAAGCTCAAGGTTCTATGGGATAAAATGCAACATGGCTACCTCGTCCATATGCACAGAGATGAGCCACTGATGATTCAACTCGAGCTGCTGCCCATGTCCCATCTGTCAAAGTCAAACTCTGGAAGGCTGTTCACCATACCAGATCCAGGACTTGAACCCAACGTGCCAAGATATAGATCTCCGAGCAATGAAAAGTCCTCCATATTTGACCAGGACTGGAAAGCGGCTCCTTGTGCCACTGGCTCACTGGGAGTGGGATACAGAGAGCCAGGAACCATCAGATGATTCGGGTCACTATTGACACTGCCTGTGTCACTGTTGGTAGTCTTGCCCGGTAGGTGCATCATGGGCTCAATGAACTGGCCGGAGAGGCCGTTCTGGTCCAGGTTGCTAGCACACCATCTGGCCAAGTTGGCGAGGACACAACTGAAAGTCACTGAAATATCAAGGCGTTGCTGACCTGCAGCCAATTCCAGTTTCTCCAATATCCGAACGAGGAAATGCTTCGGGGTCCATTCTTCATCAAGGAGGGAATTTTCTCTGTCGTCATTCCTCTGCGTCGATACGTAAACCTTGATCAACACGATCACGGCGTAAGACATTCTCGTGTAGGTAATGACTGGAGCTGATCGAAGGACCTCGACGGGGAGGTTGATGAACGCCGTGATGAGTTGTTGGGCCGACACGGCACATTTGGTGATGGCGCCAATGACATTCATCCGATCTGCGCTTTGCGGCTTCTTTGCCAATGGCAGTGACCGTATCACGTACGGAGGGCGAAAGTCGGCAATTTCGTGGCCACCGTAGAGTGCAGGCTCATCGAGACTGACGAGAATCATCTGGTAGTGTATCTCAAGCGGTCCTTCAACAAGATTAGCCAAAGTCTCTGGTAAGTGGACGTGCTACCCACCATACATGATATCTTCTGGAATTGACTGTCTCCACTTGGTCACCGCCTGAGCACAGTTCCTCAGGATGAAGCGTGTACGAGTGTCGGAGAAATCTACAGCCATTCCTTCATCAAACCCGACCATTGTTAAACTCTCTTCAGCGATTCGTTGCAGTCTGGCCCAGGCGAGGAGCCGACGGTCGTTCGGATGAAGGAATGGAGCCATCTCAAGGATCTTCGTGGAGCGTTCGACCCAGGCCCCATAGCGAAGCCCGTTTGGTCGGCGAAACGAAAGCGCAATGCTAGACATTGCCTGATTAGTTTGGTAACCGATAGGGGTGAATTGGAACTCACCTGGAGCAGAGAAAATAGCACGCGAGGAAACTCCTGCAAGTCTCTATCAAGTGATCTGATGGAACAAAGGCATTTTCAGGATCGGGAATTTTGTAGTTTTCATCGTTCGATGACTGCAGATCCATAACCATTGTTGCTGCCAACTGTGAAGACTGGCTGAACTTGAGTCTCTGGAACTTTTCGGGAGGCTGTTGCCAGGTGGACATGATAAGGAGGGCTTGGACAAGATCCAAGGACCTTTCTCCAGACACCACCACCTTCTCAGCGAGGAACTTTCCCGTGTCGTGGAACAAGGCCCGAGAGAGTGTTGGATCTGTACTACTGGAGGCGGCCGTGATAATTGCTCGAAAGAGTGCAGGCCGAGTTATCCGGGTTTCCTCACACGTCAATGATTCTGGGACATGCACAAGCGGATAAAGTGGCTCAAAGTTGTGGCAAAAGGCCCAGTACAGTCCTTCCGCTTGGTTATGACTGAGAAGCCCTCTCGAAACTGGGTCTGCTGTCGCATCATCGGGCGAAGGTGTCAGCAGCAGCGAGTCAAGAGTGCTGGGTGTTGTTGCCGGGGATCGGCCATTCGAAGGTGCGGAGAACTGCGTATCGGCGTCTCCATTTGGACCAGAGAGCGAGACAAGAGGCGCGCTTCGTGGTTCGCTGATGCTCTGCTGGATCTGCTGGAACTTGCGTTCAAGTTCTTTGATCCTTGTTTCGTTTCTCCGGCGCGTCTTCTTGATGGCAGGAGGAAGGAAAACACAGTCGATGTCGAGCTTCATACACCTCGTGCATTTCTTCTGATTTGGCTGCGGGCCTTGTGACGCAATGATGCATTTGATCCGACGATGGCGGCAGCCCTGTGGAGGACCCAAATTAGAGACCGCACGCTGGCGGGAACGGGAATAGGCGGCTCGCAATTACCTCGCATGTCCGATTTAGGCCGACAGGGCTGGAAGTCTGGGGCGGCGCTTCACTGCGCGGGATATCTGTCGGCATCAAGCTCATTTCCGCACTTAATTTGGGTGAGTGGTGAGTGAAGTGGAAGTCCAGAGTTTCTTCGGGGTGGTTAAGAGGTCGGCACCGCTCAACAACCGGAGCGCGGAGGCTTATTCTCGACCGCGCTGGCTTAGTCATTTGAGAGAAGCGCGTAAGATGACCTCAAGTGCGTCCAAGAAGGGTTTAGGGAGATCAGTAGGACGGAGGCTCAGACGTACGTATTCTAGGCGGAGCAAAAGTTCTGTAATGAGCTTGGCGAAATCCTACCGATTATTGGGGATACGCGCGCTGAGCATCCGTGCCTGGGGTAGCTATTCTGTTCCGTGTAGCCCTCGGGTGCTCAAAGCGCACCAGAAGCGGTGATCGTAATGTTGACTCGACTCGATATAAAATAAATAGATGATAATTTACACACCATCTTTCAATTCCACCGTCTTCCAATTCCATCATCACCTCTTCTCCAACTCCAAATACTTCTGTACTCTTGCAATTCCTCCTGTTCCCAACATGATACCTTTTAAGTTGATCGGGGTCTCTCTCCTATCGACCGTCTTGGCGGCTGCCGTTCCTTTGACCGAGACGTCATGCTCAGTCGGAGATATTCTTGACTCGGCCTTGAAGCCCTTGGTGGCGAGTCTGCTCTCCAAGATCTCCACGGCGTCACTTACCATTCCCCAAAGTACTATCCCAAGCCATAAAGTTCCATCATTTTCTGACAATTGATAGCAACTATCGCTCACGAAGTCTCATGCAAAGCTACGAGATGACCCGAGCCGATACATTCATTGCCATCTCGGGACATCAAAACATATCATTCAGTTTCGCTTCGGATGAATTGCAACAGCGAATTGACAGGCAATTTGTCCCCAGTTGTGAGTCACTTCCGACGCATAATGGCGAATGACGCTCACAAAATACAGCGTACTGGGTATGGGCATCGCCTGCACTCGACCCATTCAACTTCTCACTTGTGGTTCAGAGCGGTGACGATGGGTTTGCCTGCTACGTTCATGGGAACAACCAGATTTGGCTTCCCCCGGATCTCGCGTCCGGATACACGGATTGTATGTCACCATCTCTTCTTCAGTTGATTAAAATGCTAACTGCTACCATAGCTGCTCTTGCCGAGTACATGGTTTTGCATGGTGACATGCTCGACCCGAGACTCCTTCTCAAGGTACATAAAATCCTGGTCAGTCTAAGAATGCCATGCTGACTAGATAAGTTGAAATCGAGCAAAAGTACATCAGTTTCAAAGACGATCATCAACAACGTAGAAATGTTTAGCGGTATGAGAAACGGTTCTAGTCTACAACATGTCTAACAATACACAGTTTACGACTCTCACCTCGACCTCACTGTCATATTTGACCCCTCCAGCAATCTGCCCTACATTGTCCGCACCCTAGAAGACCATTCGATCTATGGAGCGTCAACCTTCGATCTTTACCTCTCAGACTACAAAACTGTGAAAGGCCTCAAGTTTCCTCATCAGATCCAGAGCATCTACAACTCCTCGTTTCAGAATCTTAACGCTGTCCTGGAAGATTATGTCATCGAGCAGATAACCTTGAACCCAGACTTTCCGTCGGACTTCTTTCATGGCATATCGGAAGAAGAGAGCATGTTCCCAAAGGCAGCACCCAAGAAAGTCCAGGGCTTATCGCATGCGCGCATCACAGAGTTCAGCTCGAATATGCTTTGGGCCGGAATAAAGAATGTCACGGTAGAAGGTCTCAAAGGAGAGCAGCCGATTTCTGACCTCCCCTGGGTACACTGGCTCATTCTCGATGACGATCCTCTTGGCGTTAAACAGATGATTCTCGAGTTCGAGACTGAGGTCATTGTGTGCGATGCGCCGCCTCAATTTAGCGACAAGGTGATTGAATGGATTGCTCAGAATTTGAACAAGCCGATCACGCATCTCTGGGTAAGCAGCAAAAAAACAAGGCGATACGTGAATTCTTTTTGCTTACAACTTGGCAGCCGACACACCACCACCGCGACCATAGTGGGGGAGCTAACAAATATGTCGAAGCTGGCGCAAAGCTCATCGTGCCCGACATGGCAGTACAGTACTGGTCTAGCATTCCGGATGCAACATTCGTGACTTTCAAGTGAGTTTTGAATTCTTTTGCTTCAAGTTACAGCTGGGCTAATTCATTGGAAGTGATACGAACCCCTACGTCCACTCTGATGGCAATATCCAAGCCTGGTTCATGTGGGAAGAGCAAGGATCCCACGCCGCAGACTGGTCTTACAGCTTCGTCACTGCCAAATGCCCTTCAGAATACTCCACAGTGGCTGTCCTCGAAGCAGATGTCTGGCAAGCGGGTGTTTCAACTGGGCAGTCGGATCAAGCTCTTATGAGACAGTGGCTCGATCAGGTGATGGGAGACGGACTGACCGAGAAGGCGATGTAAGTACCGGCCCTGATGCCAAACCAAGGACAGGCACATTTTAACCATAACACAGAGTTCTCCCAACTCACGGGCTTGTCACACCGCTCCTTGATATGATCAACATCACCGGATACCCGTACCCCAAAATGTCGACTACTGATTGGAAGGCTGGAGCTGCAAAATGCTAAACATGTGGATTCGACCTCGCTCTCCACTTCACTTTACATTGGGTCTTAGACTTGCGTGGCCAAGGTATTCCTTTTTACAAGAATACTCGCACAATCTATCGTGTCTTCCATGGTGGTTAGCTGTAGATAATATCGTTAAGTGGTCCCGGGGGAGCCCTTCTCCGGCTAAGCGAACTAGAACAACTGAATATTGTTAGATGAAAATATATTTAGACACTGTATAATATTTCTCATATACGTATCCTAGCAACTCATTGATCGCCTCCTTTCCCGAACCATTGATGGTGTTAACAACGGGTCAGCGGGACTAGATTGAATGTAAAAGTCCAAATCGCATCGATCCTCAGCTCCTCTGTATTCCATTCTGAACCAGCGGTTTCATAGTAGAGAAAGCATATCTTGCAATCTTCCACTTTCCATCTTCCTTCTTCATTATAAACAGCTCCTGGTTGGCATGAGGTTCTGACTCTTGAGTCGCGAGCATGGTTTTGGTACCCTCAGCCGTCGTCCTGGCGAAACCCCAGTCGGGTGACATGACGACCACCTCTTCGATTTCAAAGGTAATGACTAGCTGCACAGATGTAAAGATGCGTGTGTATGACTCGCGTAGAGCCTGGGTGCCGGCGCTTGCGGAAAAATGGGGCGGCATTATAACACCGTCTACGGTGTATAACGCGACCGCCTCCTCTACATTGCGACTTTTTAGGGCCGCGCCATAGGCATGGAGAGCAGCGGTAATTTCTTCAACTTCGGCGGAGGACACTGCAGTTATTAGTTCTTCATTCCTATAAGTTGTATACACTTCAAAGGGCGAACCTACTGATTGCTAGTAGTCGCAGATTCCACAGAAGTTTTTTCTTAATAATTATACAAGGAGTGAGGTCCTAGAATATTCTCAAGGCATAAACAGCTCGTTTGAATTATCCTTAATCGTCTGAAGTGTACGCTTAGTCTCTTATATTCGAGTCCAGCGTAAGTGGGGGGTTCCACCTGTCTTGACTCGGTAGTGGGAGAGGCTAGATATCATTATCTAGAAAGGTGGGGGTTTTAAGCATCCATTCTCAAGAGTGGACGTATGCCTTTATTGGGCCGGTGGAATAACACAAGTTATGATGGCCGAGAGGAGTGGAATTTGAGGCCCTGCGTTTGCCCCTTGAGTTGAAGGGTGACATTTCTTTGGCTGAGTAAGGCTTGGTAGAAGTTGCTTTAGAGTGTGCCAATCTGTGTATCTGCATGGTACGTCTAACAAGCTGGTTGCTAAGTTTTTACGAATCAACAACGTGTTGTATTTTCCAGCTTTGTCTTGACCAGGCTCGCCAATGCACCTTCACTGCAATTTTAGCGTTTTGGGGGAAGTTAAGATGCTCCACCGTCCACGACTCAGGATACCGAGTCTTGATCAGGCTTGCAATTTTAGCCCTTCCAGAGGAGTTGTGAAACCCACCAGATCCGCCACCACAATGCAAAGCGAGCGAATAAGGCTCCGTATTCGAGTGGGCCAACTTCTCTTGGAGCCCTAACATTGGTGTTTTTTGAAAGCAGGGCGGAGGCGCAGATTTCTGAAAATAGGGCTGACCATTTGAACTCCCCTCGCAGTGCTAAAATTGCAGTGAAGCAGCTTGTCACACCTATCAGCTTGTGAGACTACGGCCCGGTTACAAAGGGTCTCAAGGAAGTCTCAAAGACGCGGCTTTCTAGCAAGCCGGTCTCGAAGACCCGGATCCCTTGGATCCGGTCTCAAAGGAAACTTTACTATAGCTTCTGTGATGATAAGGATACCTTCATAAATAGAGCTGCTACGAGCCCTCTATTAGATAGAAATCAAGAGCTTCCATCACATCTCAATGCACCCTTCCTTTCTGATGCAACACAGCCCAGCCTTAAGGCTCAACGTCAAGTAATATTTAAACTCCCCTTGTAGTGCTAAAATTGCGGTGCAAGCTATTTTGCAAACTATCAGTGGGGCTGACTATTTGGACTCCCCTCGCAGTGCTAAAATTGCAGTGAAGAGTTCGCGAATACCGGTATTGAGGGAATCCGGGCGGACCAGGTAGTGGCCGCTGAGCAACATGATGACCACGATAAAAGACAATGACGTCGAGGTTTCCTTGCAGATCCTCCACTAGATTCGCCGAAGCCATTTGAACTGCGAAAAAACTGCCAATCATCCCCGTGGTTTTCTACAGCAGCAGCCGGCCGCGTAGGTTAGCATCAAGCCCATCCACATTCTTGGGACCACCAGCCCAGCTAAGAATAATTAAAACTCGCATTGAGTACGCACCAAGCCTGAATAAGACATTTCAAGATTCAGGTACGGGATTTGAGGTAGCGTTCCGACTAGCTATCGTATGATTGATTGAGCGTCTTGAACCACATACCTGATACCCCAACAACCGCATCTCATAACGCTCCTCTACCATATAGAGTAATCAATGTACGCCAAGTGAAAAATTCGAAGGAGCCATATTTAGTAGAGAATTCCGGCAAATGAGAAAATTATGCCGCTCTATGTAGCGCTGCTGGGAAGAAGAAACTCCGATCAAGTCCACCACTGAAAGCGCCATCGAATCCTAGTCAAACTTGCAGACCTTCCGCGAGGCCGTCCATATAACGCGCAAAATCAGATGTCGATACCGGTGGATGGATTATTTGTTCATCATTCATAATGACCGAATGGCTGGGAGGCAGAGGCTATCTATTAATACTACAAGCAGTCGCCAGTGACAATTGCAGTGGTCGATGCCAAGGACATCAATGATGGCGTCAATTTCTCATTCTAACCAAAGAGCAATTGGTGATGCTTGTAAACAAAAATATACATCACTTTTGCTTAAGGAGCTGAACAAGCTAGCTCGAACTTAATCGCAATCTAATTAATATGTCCGGGCATGTTGGACGCCGCTTATCTTTCACCGCTTGATGTTTTCTGATCTTGGAGTGGATATCTTCGCAGGCCATCACGATAGAGTTGTGAGACAATTTTAGCATTACACAAGTTAACGTTGATTTCTTGCAGTTGTATTGACTTTAGCTGTGTTTGAAATGGGTAGCGACCTCCTACATTTTGACCTTTGCAATGAAGTTGGTTTTCGGTACCGATCCATACCCTGGTCCCGTGAGTAGCACACCGCCTGTTCCTAGTCACTAATCTCGTTCCACCGCATTGTTGGCTTGTTCGGGAAACGGTGCGATTTCCCCCCGCCCGGGAAAGGCTTTCGACCCAGTTGTGGAAATCCCGGCCCTAGTGGATCAAGTGAAAGATTGAAGATTTCCTGGTCGGCGCTCCTGTTGCATCCTCTGACCGATGCATCGTATTGGGGCCAACGGGAACTTGGAAGCTTTGTGTACCATACGGGATAAAACGATTTGTGCCGTCTCCGGAGTTTTCCATGCTCTCAACTGGCAGCATTGGAAAGCTGCTAATATAGTTGATATATGGGTCTGGTAGCCGGAGTGCAGACAGAGGCGGGAGAATCGGGGGCTGCGGTCGAGGTGTATTCTTTTTTGTGATAGGGGGTAGTGTCAAGCTTGCGTTCAAGTCCCCCAGCAAATGTGGAGGCTCAGTGAGCCTCGGGATATCATTTGGTAGGACCGGCATAAGACGTCTCGGATTTGTAGGAGCTGCAAATGGTGTATGTGATGACCTCGACGAGGGTTGAAGTGGGCTATCGGGTGTTGAAGGTGCAATACCTGCATAGTTGACAGAAACCTGAGATAAAATAGCGGTTTCTGCTGCAGTAACCATTGGGTTGGAGTCACGCTCATCCAGGAGTCTATCGGCTTCTTCTTCGGTGATGCCGTGGTGGTTAGCGAGCCACCTTCTCAGGTAATATCTATCTACGAGGGCATTGCAGGTCTCCCTATTAGTTTCCTCGCCGGCTTCAGTGCTATTTACCTCCCAGTTCTCGGCGTTTGTCACCACCTCGAAGTATGCTTCGAGTTGGGCACGCTCCTGTCGGCTGAGATGAGCAGGGACATTGACGCTCTTCGTCGAACCACCACCCTGCACGGACAAGTTAGAGGAACGATCTTGACTCCAGGATACTGAGGCCGACGACTCGCCTTCTTCACCGCCATTCTTCAATGGTACAGCCCAAGTCGAACGGGTGTGGACAGGGTGGTACATGCTTGGAGAGCGCAGGGCCGTGGGTTTTTCTTGATCCCCGGCGGAGTGCGGATAGCGGACGTCCCGCTTTTGTGAGACTCGGTTTGTCCAAGTGATTTGAGGCACAAGATGGCAAATGTTGTGAGATGGAGGAGGGGAAAGGGCGTGGGAAACAATCAGCTCGGTCAGGCTGTACTGGTAGGTGACATAATAACGCCTCACTGTCTCATTGGCCACGCGAGGCCAGCCTAACCCATAAGGTCGATTATGCGTTGGAATGTCTCAGCCAAGTGAAAAGTTTTATCCCGCTGAGACAGTCGAGCATGGGGAGGTATTTCCAAGGCCCGTTTTGGAGGCCGAGACATGGTGAAGAAGGGTGATACAGACGAAAGACACAAAGCTTAATCCGCAATCTAGCAGCGGAGATCATGGCACTAACGTTTTAGTCTAAACAACACGAGATCTGAGATCTGTCGGACGCGGGGTAGCATTCGACAATTCAGGTTTGGACTGGGGGCTGAGTTACTCATGGCCACCGATGGTAATACGAATGCTAAGTTGGGAAGTGTCATCGGCGCACACGAGATGATATTTAAGGCCAGCTTCCCATCTTCCCATCTTCTACTACCACCATCTTGAGCACCAACTTGACCAAGACAAGTGCGAGCCGTTACAATGTCCTTCAAAACAGTCTTCTCCGGGATCGCCGCCCTCATGGCCACCGCTGTCATGGCCAACGACTCCATCCCAAGTAGCGCTTTCGAGCGTGAGTCAATCCCCATCTCGCCACTCTAGCGTCTGTTGTTGAACAAATCGCTAATACTACCACTCCTTCAGAGGGAGGAGGTCTTGCCGCTGCCGTTGCCGCTGCCCCCATGTACCATTTCGGTCGATCCTGGGACCGCGCCCCATGCTACCCCGAAGCTGCGGAGACTGATGGTGTCCAAACTCAGGGTGCTGACTCTGATTTCTGCTTTGCAGCCCAAGCCGAAGGCTGCGCTGACCCAGGGCCCTGGAACGGAGCCAACTCGCCCGGAAATGGATTTCCCGTGTACTTTACCGTCCGTCAGTGCAACGACAACGAGTGGCGTGTCGCTTATAGTATCTACTTCAAGAAGGATTCGGGTCACACGCATGACTGGGAGAACTCGATTGTCATCTGGAATGGCGACGGCAACGGCCAGTGGACACGTACGGGAACCCTCCTCGGGTGGCACAGCACTTGGGACTACATCCAGTGGGACGCGATTCAAAACACAGTAAATGAGTAGGTCGGCCCTTCTTTACACGAGCTACAGCCCTCTAGTCACCTCTCCATCCATGTACGCAATGGCTAACATGTGCGATAGCGACGATCTCTTCCTTCAGGGCGGCCAGAATCTCAACCATGCCAAGGTCTACCAGGGTTTCTACTACCATGCAACCTTCTCGACAAGAAAGACATCCCTCAACACTTGTGCCAACACCCGAGAAGAGTTTCGATCTTGGGACTGGTATTTCCTTCCCGGAGAGCACTGGCTGTACGATGGTGAGCTCATCCGGGATGGGTGGGATTGGGGGAGTGCTGATACCAACCCCTCCTCTCTCCGCACTGAGGCCCGCTGGATCTGCAGCCGATAGGCTTAAAGTCTCGGTGCCCCTATGAGTTGAACTTCTTTTTCGGCCCATGGGTACACAAGAAAAATTTGGGTAGGCCCGTGGGTACCCATGGGTATTGACAGCCTTCGTCAAGTGTGATAACAAAACCTCACAAGCGGATTGAAACGTAGAATTAAGTGCAAAAGACAGTCGCTGTTTAAGAATTATACACGATTTCGTATAGAATCAGGTATAGATTATCGTCCCGTGGACGAGATTTTACGTGCATTGAACTATTGGTATTAGATATCTGCAAACAAGGGTGAAAGAGGGCGATGTTGGAATCGTCAATATGCTCCAGATTAGGCCCCGAATCTCCCAACCAGTATCGAAGGCTTTACCAAACGGTACCCTTGGTCTGCTTGCCCTCCCTCTCTTCCAACTTTCTAACGTTGATGTTCTTCCACATCAAAATGCAGCCCAGGCAGAGCGGGATGAAACAAATACCGGTGATGACCATTTTTCGTTGAACGTCCGAGTAAGCGTCATTGATGGCATTTCGAATGTCGCTTCCAACCGGGTAAGACATCTGCACAGTAATATCACTGTAGATTGTAGCCATCTGGTCCTTGGCGTCATCGGGTAGCCTGGCAAGCAGCTGCTCGGGGAAAATGTTGGTCCACAAGCCACCAGCAATGGCATATCCCATAGCGGCTCCGATGGAACCGAAGAGGCCGAATAGAGCAATAGAAACAGCGATCTCCTGATGCGTTACGGAAGCCATGATGGCAAGCTGGGCAGTGAGAGCCCAGACGCCGCTGTAGACACCGTTGAACAGTTGGCACATGACGAGGTAGCCAACGTCGGAGTCTGCGGTTCGGAATTTGATGAGCAGACCGACACCCAGGGCAGCAAAGGGTAGCATGGCAAATGAGGGCCACTTAAATGTTCCGAGGTAGCGAATGCCGCTGTCAAATGTTAGAGCAGGCTAATGACTGGAGATGGAGTAGGGAGCTTACATTCCAATAAAGGGACCGAGGAAAGAAGACATTAGGGAGAAAGAGTTCAGCACATAACCCGAAGTAGTGATGGTGAGGCCGTGAACGACCTGGAGGTACGAGTAGTAGTATGTATCCCAGCAGCTAGTTGGTTGACTGTCAGCAAATGAAAAAATGTGACAGCTCGTAGCAAATAACAGATACTCACAAGATCGAGCAGAACATGAGTCCGTAGACAAGGCAAGCACCGAGAATCGTGCGATCCTTGAGGAACTTGAATGGAATGTAAGGCACGGGCGAGAAGTACTTCTCCCAGACTGCGAATGCAGCCAGCAGGACAACTCCGAGGACGATCATGGCAATGATGTACCCAGTCTTCCAGCCGTTAGGTGCGTAGAAGACCAAACTGAAGGGCAAGAGGAGCAGCGAAAACCCGAAGACTGTTAGGAACATGCCGACGACTTGAATAATGTTAGTGGGACTTCACACCGAATAAACGAGGCCTGTATGCATACCATCGAATTGGATAAAGTAGTACTTGACGGATTCCACAAAAGTACGGTTCTCAGCCCTCATGGGGTAAATGCCTCGAGCGACGGCCTTTCGCTTGCTCCAGAGGAAGATGATGGCAACAGGGATGCAAAAGACGATCTGGATGATCAAAAAGGCACCAAAAGCCCAACGGAAGTTGACGTTTGTGTAGAACAGATCGGCAATCTTGGGACCAGCGAATGTGGTGGCGATGATGGGAGTCGAGTTCAATCCAAACAGGATCATTCGGTTTCGGAGACTCGTAATGTCTGCAAGGATGATGGTGATGATGTATCCCAAGCCCAAATGACCAACCCAGTAGAGCGTGTGGGCGGCGGCGTACATCTCGACGTTGTAGGAGGTGGCCTTCATGATCATGCCAATGGTTACAAGGAGGAGCATGAACAGGAAACCTTCGACACGGCCCCAGATATCAATGACCTTGGCAATAGTCAGGTTGCAAACGCCTCCCATGATGGTGGCGACAATGCTGGTGGTGGCCAGCAGACCGTGCTGGCTGAAAGAAGAGGTGATGTAGGCGACGAGACTGCCCTGGACTGACTGCAAGAGCTGGTCGGTGAAAGAGACAAGGTAGAGGCTGGTTTATTGTTAGTAATTGATCAGGACAAAACACAAAGCCTTGTACTTACAGGACAAACATGACAATGAGCACCTGGTTGTTCCACACAGTGGTGATGGCCTCGACTCGCTTGACACCATCCTGCTTGTTGAGGTCCTCATCACTAATCTGGGGCTTCTCATCATCGTGCACGTTAATGTTTTCATTGGCTAGCTGCTTCTCGATCTCGGCCGTGACGCTGGGGTTGACCTCGGCGACCGGCTGCGTCATGGAGTTGATGTTGGCCATGATGAGCCCTCGGTGGTATTGGATACTCGGGTTGGATAAGGCGAAGGCTGCAGCTGCAAGTGGACGACATGCAAAGGGAGTCTGCCGATCTGGAGGCTGGGACCGTGGTTATAAATCATGGGAGAAGCCATGGTGTGCTCGGCGAATGGACCCTGAGAAAGAGAATCGGCCAACAAATTGTCGGTGCAACCTAACACCATGTAAGGTGTAGTATCCATCATCCGGGCTTAAGGCTCCGGCGTCCCACCAGTCCCAGTCTTTCGGGCTCAACCCATTTGCTCGGCCCCGGAGATCCATCGTCCATCGTCCTAGCAGCCTATCACTGAAGGTCCATCCAAGACCCATCCAAGAGGAGATGAAAATTCCACGTCGGGCAGCCTCTAGTACGTCCTATATTGGATATGATGGACAAGAAAGCGCGCCACTAAGTCGAGTTTCTCTCCTTGCAAGGTTACATCTCGCAGGATCTGTTCCAGGGTCAGTGGAGCCGTCGCGGCCGGTGTTTCTCAGAGAGGAGTAGACTGGATATAGGCCCTGTTCTATAGGCGCTAGATCAGCACCTTTGTGAGGTAAATCCACCGGAGATGGCCCCAAAAACGCCGTTGATCAGCGGTCCAGGCCTTGTCTTATCAGATGATCGAGATAAAAAAGTTCGTCGAAGGATCTCCACGGTGGAGTGAGAGGTTTAAATTCCCCAATCATGGCGGGCAGGTTAAATGTCCAAAGACAGCCTAGATCGGCCGGACCCGATAATTTATTCTCGCGACATTTCCAGACGCGGCAAGCGACTCGCCTAGAATGATTGCCACTAACGATCCAGTTAGGGCCGTCGGTGCGAGTATCGCATCCAGATACACGCCACCACTTACGTGTACATCATCTATTGCAACACTTGTCGATGGTTTCTCAATTCTTTGTTGGATGCGTTCTTGTTCATCCTGTCGTCTGCACATCCGGCGCTAAAACCCGCGGAACCCTGGTCGTCTCACCATATTACCTTGGGCAAGCGAGTCCGGGTCTCGTCCGGGATCAGAATTTTACTGCAGGACCACTCGAGATGAACCATTACCACATAGTTAATGTCCATACAAACATATTCCGTGAGCTCACACGAGTACCTAATGATTCGATTCTACAGATATATGACTGAGTACTGGTAGGATTATATCCCACGCGGGTTTGCAAGCCCAAGACTACCATCTGTGAAGAGGTGACTCCTGGGGGTGATTAGAGGCATAAGCTCTCAGTATCCACAAATAACACATTTCGAAATACAAGATGTCGCGATCCACCGCGGATGAACACCCAATTCGGACGCGCGTCTGCTCAGTCAACGCGAAACAGCCATTTCATAAATATTAAACTCAATGGGGTACAGAAGCCATCACTTTCCGACCGAACAAGGTTATGTCCCGATGTGTTAGGGCTGGAGCAATCGCCAGAAAAGGACTACCTTGTACAACGTAGTATGTTCGTAGCCTCTTGGCAATGGCGCTTACCAGGCCCTTTACGTCAATCTTAGACTGAGCGTATTCACGCGCCTGTTTACCGTTCGCATGCCTCGATCAACTGTTCTCACAACCCTGCCCGCGCTGGTTCCTTCTTTGCCAAGCCCGTTTCTTCCGAGCCATCTCGCTAATGCGGCAATGTGAGCAAACTTCTCCGTTAGGGAGCAAAGATTCGACCCGGTCGCCATTCCTTTTACCTCCATAAATCTTGGCCATAAACCTTGGCCATTAGGTAGGCAGAAGTACCTCATAAGTATGTAGTCTCCACCATTAAGCATCAGTCGAGCCACCTCCAGACACAATTCTGAGGCGTTTACCACGTTCATTCATGCAACGCGCATTCAGCCCTGTGCGAGAGCCAAGACGTTCCATTCGGTTCCCACCAAGCTCTGAGGGGTTAGGGGACGCCCCCACGCGACACAAACCCATTTACCTGCAGGTCGCCATCGACAATTTACCGACAAGTTTGCCGGGCTGTTGGTTCACGTTAACGGACGAACTGATTCGAGCCAAGAACTCAAAATCGGCCCTTTAGGGCTGAGGCGGGTGTTGCTTTTGGTTAGACCATCACAGCAGATCTGCTGACGCGCAAAACGTCAACTAGCACCTCTCTGCGAGTCATGTTCTGGACTGCGAGATCACCCTCGTAAGCGGCATGGTGTCTTTGCACCTGATGGACTTGAATCGGCTAAATTTGGGCAACGCAGTCCTTGTGCATCCAACCACCTGAAACGAATATCTGACTGCAAAGTCCTCGAAGGCTTTCTGGCTGACCAATACCCCAGACGATAGCAAAGTGTGTAACCCATTCTTTCAGCTAGCCAGCTCCAACCACATCCATTCATAGAGAGCTAGTCATCGGAAGAATGAATTGTTTGAGTTACCCAACTTTCTGGTGCTGGGCAGGGCACCAAGCTGCTTGAGATTGTATGCGCGTTGCGTTGCTTGATAACCGAGTGCGACAGAGACTAAGCTAGATTACACAAGTCCACTGCGTATCTTCAAGTAAGAAAATACAAATTACACGCCAAAATGAACATAAGGAACCCAATACAGCGAATCCAACCCCTTGTCGTAGTCATCTTCGTCCTCGTCTAGTAAAGCATCTCTCGGTAATCTCTCATCTCCCAATCTTGCGTCCAACCTAACCCCTTCCTTTACAATGGCTTCACTTCCGGATCTTTTGTTTGGTTGCCTATTGAGCCAGCGATCTCGAAGTTGTCTAGTTGCGTTGTGGAGACCCCGGCACACAGATTCATCCGTCATACCACCATCTCTTATCCCCTCGTACGCAATCCTCGCCATATCAACACAGAGTTCATCGTTAACTTCCCATAGCGTTCCGATGACATGACGAAAACCCGCTAGCTGAAATGCACTGATTAAGTGGACGCTCTCATCGAACAGTTTCGTATTGTTGATCTGACCTGTCCCACAAGCCGAGAGATATGCGAGAAATGGCGACTGTTTGCGAAGATTCATCGTCAGGAGGTCCGCCACCATAAGAGGATTTTCTCTTCCGTCTGCCAGAAGCAAGTAGCTCTTTGATGGGTCCTCGTCGTCTGTGTGGCCATGGCCAGCGAAATGAAACACCTTGCACTGCAGCAGCTGCGACATGACGTCTTGCTTGCGACGCTCTGGCTCGAATGGATGCAGTTCCATCGACTCAAAAATGCTGTCCAACACCCGTATCTCTTTGGTTGCAAAAGGAAGTGACGAGTTCCCTGGTGTATGCTCCATAGCAACAAGGACCGCCAGATCTGCGGAAGGAGGCGGGCGTTGACGGCCATATATAATCGCCTTGATAGAGGAACTGTAAGACGACATGACCCTATCACACACTGCGTCGAAAGAGCCTTTGCAGTGGCGTCCCGCAGCGTGGAGGGGAAATTTGCTGAGAAGACCAGTCGGAATCCACCACAAACGCGGCCAGTCGTTATTAGATGGAGGCCCCGTGAACCCCAAACTTTGCAGAATCGGATTCGCAATCACATCCCATAACCATTCTAGAACTTCAGGACGCCCTAGATTACCATCTCCTGACCTCGTCCTAATATCATCGATGTTTAGATCTGGTAAGGGGACTAGTCGTATCCGCTGCTGCTCAACGAGAATTGCATCGCAGCGAAACTCGCTAACGTTGATGACTGCAATAGGCCCGTATTGCGCAGAAGCCTGCATTTCTCTTTCGCTTGGGGCAAGCAAAAAGTCGTTGAATCCATCTTTCTTATGAATCTCGGCAACCAGCGTCTCCAGCTCCTTGGCGACTTGGTAACGCTGATCCGCTTGAGCCCTCCGGGAAGACTCATGATTTGGGCCAAAGCTGCCGCGTGGTATGGGCGCTTCAAGTTCATTGCGCAGCGAAATGAATCGATCCGCTAGTTTGGGATGGGCTTCTTGCAGGTCCAGAATATCAGTTCGCATCTCTTCGAGAGACGTTGCAATCAACCCTCGACCCTGCTCAAGCAGGCTGAGCGCACCAAGTGGCCCTTTCTCTGCATTTATGGCTGCAGCGGCTGCATTAGAGGCAAGGCCAGCGACTTGGCTAAGTATATGCTGCCTGTCCGAGTTCTCAAGTGATCGTGATGACAGTTGTGGAAGAAGATCAATCACAAACTGTGAGGCTTCATAGGCTTGGGTCCAGTCGGAAGTGAGTGCAGAGTATCGAATAATGTTCCTTCCAGTCTCTATACGATCAAGAACTGGAGATGAACCCTGATGCAAAGCTGATTGGAGACGGGAAAGTGCCTCTTCAATATCAGCAACTTTTCCCGTCTTCAAGTATCTGTCGTGAAGATAGACGGCAAGGTCATTTAGATACATTGAACGGTCCGGGTTGCCGTTTGGAGTTGTATCAGCTGCTTCCGTTGCGAATTGGATAGCCTCCTCGAGGTGAGACATCACTCCTGTCCTTGAGTATTGGTCGCTAAGGTAGTTGCCAAGGTTGTGTAGACATCCTGCACGATCCGGATGTTCTTGTGGAAACACTTGAATAGCTTTTCTGGTGCATCGAATAGCCTCGTCAAGATCGGCTCTTCTTCTTGTTCTTGCGTATAGATCGCCAAGTCGAACGCCAAGGTTGTTGAAGTAAGCTGCATACTCGGGGTCGCCCTGAGGGATAGTATTGGCTGCTTCTCGGGCATGTCGAATTGCTTCATGGAGGTCCTCCATTTTGCCTGTCCTGACATATTTCTCACCAAGCTGACTTGCAAGATTGTTCAAGTATCCTAGGCGACCCAGAGATCCCTTTGGAGTTGAAGTAACAGCTTGCCCTGAGAGATTAGCAGCCTCTTCAAGGTCAGCCATCATACCGACTCTTGAGTACCTCTCATTGAGATGATTCGCGAGGCTGACTAAAAGCTGCGTATAATCCGGATGATCCTTAGGAGCCGAGGTAAGAGCCTCTCTTGCAAATTGAATAGCTCCTTCAAGGTCATCAATTATTCCTGTTCTTGAATATCGATCGCCAAGCCGAATTCCAAGATTGTTTAGCCGTCCCAGTCGATTCGGATCCTCTGGTGTAGTTGCATTGAGAGATTCTCTCGCGAATTTAATGGACCCTTCAAGATCAGACATTATCCCCGTTCTTGAGAATCTGGTGCCAAGTTGGATCCCGAGAGTGCTTAAACATTCTGCACGGTCCACATGATCTTGTGGAATTGTCTCAACAGCTTCACTGGCGAACTGAACAGCCTCCTCAAGGTCACCGATCGCGCCGGTTCTTAAATATCGATCATTGAGGCGGATTCCAAGGTTGCTTAAACGCCCTGCGCGCTTCAGATCGTCCATTGGAGTTGCATTGAGAGCTTCCCTCGCGAATTGGATAGCTTCCTCGAGGTCAGCCATCGTCCCTAACCGCAAATATCTGTGGCCAAGTTGGGTTCCAAGATTACTCAAGCGCGCTGCACGTGCTGGGTGGTCTTTTAGAGTCGCGGCGAGAACGTCTCTGGCGAGTTGAATAGCCTCCTCGACATCAGCTATGACTCCTGTTCTGAAGTACCTATCGCCAAGTTGAGTTCCAAGGCCGCTCAAGGACTCCAATCGACCCGGATCGTCTTGCGGAGTTGCGGTAATAGCATCCCTTGCAAATTGAATAGCCTCGTCCAGATCGCTCATCGTCCCCATCCTCAGATATCTTTTGCGAAGGTGACTTCCAAGGTTATGTAATGATGCTCCACGGTCCATATGGTCTTCTGGAGCTTCATGAACAGCCTTTCTTGCATAACTAATGGCCTGTTCAAGGTCAGACATTGTACCTGTTGCTGAATATCGATTGCCGAAGCAATTTCCAAGTTCGTCGAAGTGTCCTATCAGTTCCAGGAGGTCTTGCGGGGTTACGCTAATAGCGTCTTCTAGACATTGAACAGCCTCATCAAGATCACTCAGCATTCCTGTTCTTGAGGACCGGTCGCTAAGGGAGATGGCAAGGTTGTGCAAATGTCGTGCTCGATCCGGATGGTGTGAAGTTGCGGTAACAGCTTCTCTTGCAAATTGAATGGCCTCCTCAAGGTCTGATATTTCCCTTGTTTTCGAATATCGATCGCCAAGATACATTCCAAGTCGATTCAAGTGTTCTCGATGGCTCGATTCGTCTTGAGAGGTGAAATCAAGAGCTTGTTTTGTCAACTGAATACCCTCTTCAAGGTCAGATAACATCCCGGTCACGCGATATCTCTCGGTATAGCAAAACCCGAGCAAACCCAGGTATTCTGCATATTCTGGATCATCTTCCGGCGTCTCATCGACGGCATCCCTGAAGAATTCAATGTTCTCTTCAATCTCATCCATGGTGCTCGTGTCTAGCGGCTAGTGGTTAGACTTAGTTAGGTTGAACGATCTTGTTTGGCTAGCGTACCCGAACCAAACCACGAGGGATGAAAGCTTGGTCCAGGAGTGGGGTGGTGCGTGTAGATTTGATATCTGTTTGGTGTATGGACAAGGTTTAGCTCACGATTTTAGCCAGAATCTAAGTGCTTTGGTCCCGTTTGAAGTGCTGGTGATAACTGTGTATTTGGAGCTCGCTGCTCAGATTGCTTCAAAGGACGTAAATGAGGGGTAATGGTGATTATGACGTAGTTGTTTGCAGCCTAAATGGGTCGCAGCCTGCCCTGCTGATCGTCAGGCTGACACGTCAGGCTCAACCCAACCCAACCCCCCATAACGTGTAACTATGCACCAGGTTGAGGGTCTCCAGGCGATAGTCGAGAGTTGCAATATGGCCTTCCCCTACGGTTAATCTTTATTGAGAAACTCTAGTGGTGTGGGAAGCAAAGCACACCCGACCGGAAAAGTATACCACGCGATGGAAAGGACGTCAGTCACGCGGACAGAGCAGAATTATCGCCGTCTAAAATACAAGTAAAGTTGATATCTCCGCTCATTACTACGTAGTTTCTCCAGACCCAGCTGCGTCGACTCCGTTAGAATTCGGACGTTGTCAGACGATACTGCATGCATATCCCCGACTGAATTCATAAGCATAAGACTTTTTTTATCGCTAGGGTTCATTTAGTCACCCAAAATGAAGGCGGAAACCTCATAGTGCCGATGAGGCGTCTAATGCGTACTATGAGAAGCTAAGAGATGGCTAAGTACAGTGCATTGTCAAGTCAGAGTGAGTAGCAAAAGCTCAGGAGCCCTATAGCCTTACTTCGGCATGATTATTTGGTGAAGGAAACGAGCGACGGTGGCCTCGGCCCAACGTAGATGTGAAGCTTCCTTGTTTCATAGAGTCAAGATGCACAAAGTTGGAAACAGTTGCATTGAAAATAACCAATTCCATCACCAGAATGCCACCATGCCCCAACCACCATTATCCCGGTCACTGCAAACATGACTCAACTCGTGACAGCATGCAACCATTCTCCGCCCACGTTTCCGATTTGGGCCAGCCTCAATTGTAACGATACCGTCACAGCTCGCAGATTTGAGAAGCTCCAATGGGGCGGGGCGTCGCCGCCTTGGCGTCCTTGCTGACGAAGCGGTTTGTGAAGTCGACGATTTCTGCTTCCAATGTCTCGATATCCCTGCACTTCAGAATCCCTTCTTCCTGTAGCAAGGACAAGATCCACTTGGAACACTCACGGTCAGTGGTCATTGAAGGTGCGTACGTTGTGATGATTCTATCGATCTTCTAGATCGACAAATCTTCGACTGCCGCAATTTGAAAAAGACCAACCAGTGTCGCTGAGGTCATGATTTCATCGGTTGACGGATATTGGGCAGTCCAGCCAGCACCTCGAGCTTGGATCGGATATACATTTCCATCAACGGGTTTCGTGCGAAAGCAAAACGCCCACTGAGGATCTAACGGCTCCTCTTGAGCTGAGAGGAACACGTAGATCCCCCCGACAACCATTTCGGTCTGGAAGTTGGTTGCCATTGTTGCCTGTGGCAGCAGAGTAGTCGCAGATTGAAGAATCGAGAGAATAGCCGTAGAGTAAGGCGTTTGCGCCAAATTTGTATCAAGAGGAGGTCAAAGAGTTGGAGAACAAAGGTTCAGAGGGAGATTTGATGGATAATTTATGCTAAAAGAGTCGCCATGGAGGTGTTTGACAGCGGGTGCTTGATGGAGAACGTGCGCAAACTTGTGTCCACCGCGAGGGAGGATGACGACGCATGTGTGCTAGAGGGAAACGAAGAGGGTGTCATGGGGCAGGGCAACGGTGGAACTTGGAGATCCTAAAGCGGTCGGGAATCCGTCTTGACATTGGGTCATTTCCGGTCGTGTTACGGCCCCAACCATTCCAGGATCTAGCAAGTTCAGGGTTTGCGCGCTGTACTACAGTTGACACGTCACTTCGTAGTATTTTCGAACAAACAGTTGGACATGTAACCTGGCCAGGTGTTGTGCCCCCATCCACAACCAGCTGTTCACCTACGTGGCCAGAAAACCCTTCCGAAAGAGGCAGATTCGGTACACACGCACTCCGGTTACTTACTCACAGTGCATCGAGGAGCTGAGAACATTCTCGTCTGTCACACCTTTCCTTACATTTTATTGGTTGATCCTTGTCGTCACGGCCGACTTCGTGTCACTTGCCACGCAAAGCTCCGATGTTACCAGATCACTACGAGTGACTGATCATGCAAGTTCGGCTTGTGTTCTAGATTTCTCCCATTGATTGAACGCCACAACACGTCTCGTTGTATTACCCGACAGTTGTCATGGCACAAAGAATCGCTTGTGTTTCATACACAAAGTCGCAGCAAGCGAGATGGCTACTCAGCAGCCCTCATGATGCGCGTTCAAGCCACCACGTAGTAGCGATGAGTCACTCCATTTTCCCTTGAGACCACATGGCGATTAATGATTTAAATAATTGGGTCTTGTAGTCCGTCATCCTGATTTAAATCATTATGTTCGGGAATCAGAGCTAAGAGGCGACGGCCAGAGGAACTTTGCGTCCACTGGCGCCATTCCTCAAGGTGGAATTCTATTTGCAATCCACTCATCCATGTCCATCCGGACGACCTGCTTCCCTACAAAAATGGCCAAAGTCAAAATCCCTATTTCGCCTCAAGCAACGAACTTTTCTCGCCATGCAGTCGCAGTTGGCATCATATTCATCATCGCCGCGAACCGTCCAAGCGGCAGCATCTTGGACAATGGCAGCCAGTGATTCAAACAAAGAAACAGCAGGCGTTGTGCAACTCGGCGCATAATCAGGGCATGCCTTCTAAAAACCACATTGACTCAAAGCCTTTGTCAAGCACCAACACTCTCAAGGTACATCCTGTTCCACCTATAAGAAAGTCATTTCAGCCTCTGGGTGATTGCCTCTCAACGCAACCCTCAAGCAGTCCCAAGCTCACTCTCAACCTATGTGAATCACCCGAGATTCAGAAACATTCAGTTACCTCCCATATATACGTTCAAAACTCGTCCGTCCTCTCGTCAATCCCCAGAAATGCCTGTCAATAGAAACGGGCCGCCTCTCACCATCCAAGTCCGCCCAGACCACACCGGCTGGTCATGCCCCCATAAGCCAAGCTCAGGGAGCACGGTTTGCGGCACAATCAACATAATGGAGGATCTGGTCTGTGTGACTTGCGGCCGGGTACGGTCTCCGAACGCAAAGGCTCTCGACTCAGACGGCAAGGACATTGGACACCTGGCGATGATCAACAGCAACAGCGTGGAATTTTGGCAGTACAATGAGTACATACCAGACACAGATTATTAAAGGAAATTCACCCCCCGCAAATTTGGAAATCGAATTACACATGGCGGAACCTGGACGTGGGCACGAGGAATGCAAGCAGCTAGGCCGTGAAACAAATCGAACACTCCAATTAACCCCCACATATGCACAATGCATAACCACATTGTCTGAATAAGAATTTAGATTCCCTGAAATTACATGTATTCTGTGACTTCTCTCCAGTCTCCTACACAGTAGTCCATTCGAAAGAAGAAGAAAAAATGTTGCGCAAGTGGCGCATACTAGTGTCTCGGCCAATCCCGAGTCTCGACGCACTCACAGTCACTGTCCACTTCTTCGTGTGATCTGCCGCTGATATTAAACGAGCACAATGTCCTTTATTACACTAAGACATGTTGCGGAGATCCCGGAGTAGAGAATATATTGTCCTTATGTTCTCTGTGAATTGGCTTGAGCTTCCCATGACAAAGAACCTTGTCCAAGGAACACCGTCGAAAAAAGTCCCGCAAACTCCTTCGTGAACAGCATGTCATATTCATATATTACCACTAAAGCTTAAGAAATGTCCCAGAACATCATGTTGTAAATTGCTTCCCAAAAAACTATAAAGCTCCTGCTGTTCGGCTCCCAATCCGACTCTTCTCTCCTCACCAACCGACAACCCAAGACAAGAACCCACCACTACCAACCTCTAACCTTTAGACACTAACAGCACCTCATCTCCCAAGAACCCCAGCCACTCGATAAAATCCGCAAGTATGCCTGGACTTCTTATCAGCAACGTCCGCTCGGACCACACCCACTGGGCCTGTGGGTGGCCTCTGGACGAGGATCGCAGCATGATTTGCTCGGCTGGTAACCCCATGAGCAGCACCACCTGCTGCCGATGTGGAAAGCCTCGCTGGGAGGGCGCCGAGGCTCTTGACAATAGCGGCAATGAGATTGGCACGCTCACTGGTCATTGGGGCGCTGAGGAGATTTGGACCTACAACTAATGATCTAGCGGGTTCCGCCCAACAGCCGAGTCTTCGCACCTTCGATGATCCCTTCCTTGGGTCGCAGTTCGGAGTTGAGAATAGATGCAACTGGTTATTGATCACAGATGAGGATATTGGCTTGCCAATCGGTCTTAGTTTAGAGTACGAAAAAATGGTACGGAAGAAAAGGTAGTCAACTTGATGCACTATTTAATAAAATTACGTTGACTCCAATCATGTTCTGCCAAATAACTCGCAAAGTGACAAGTATCTGACATAACCCTAGTCGTATCGTGACATGTAGACCAGACTCGCAACTCAGCTACTTCTACTTAGTAGACGTATCGGAAGCTCAGGTTCTCCTTATCGGTAAGATCGTCCCAAGCCCTGATCATGGCATCATCCCTGGCCTCAGCGACGCCCTGTGCGGCTAATTCATCACGTCTCATGTTCTCGCGACGAAGGTGCCAGCGCAGAGCGATAATAATGATAACCAAGAGGGAGTAGCATCCAAGATGGGTGGCAAAGGCGATAAAGTACTTCGGGCCGTCCCAGGCGAGGAAAACTTGGGGTCCTTTGTCGGGTTAGCAAGATGTAGCGCAATCAAGTGGTAGGGTGCTTACCGATGGCATTTCCAGCAGCCCAGATGATGAAGTTGAGAGCAACAGCCACAGTCTTCTTGGTCTGGCCAGCAATGTTTCGCGAGATCATGGAGAGCGCAAGGGTCTGCGCGGACCAGAAAGACAGGGTGATGTAGTAGCTGATGAGGAGGCCGACGTGCTGAGCCGTGGTCTCGTTCGGGACAGTCATGAGAAGAATAGTACCAATGAAAGACCTATCGCAATTAGCATGGCGACCTTGACACCTGAATTTCAGCACTTACGGGATACAGAAGCCCAGCATGACGAGGAGGTTCTGGTTGGTCTTCTTGACAAGCCACACTGAGGAGAGCAGCACAATGATGATGTAGAAACCCAAGACCATGGCGAGGAGCTGCGTCTCAAGCACGGAGAAGCCAAAGTTCTTGATGATGATGTTGGCAAAGGCACCGAGTCCGGAGGTGGGAAGAGTGGTGCACAGGGCAATCAGGGCGTATCCCCAGACCTGGGGGTCTAGGAGACCCTCAATGAACTGCTCGCGCTTGAACTCGCGGTTCTGCATGCCGGTCTGGTTGTCGCGCACACGCTCGATGATCTCGTGCTTCTCTTGCTCTGTGAAGCACTTGGCCCTCATGGGACTGGCCATGTGTGTTAATTTCAAGATCATTACAGTGGGCGAGGCCATTGCCTGTTGGAAGAACTTACCTATCGGGCATCCACCACAAGACGAACATGCCGAAGATGACCGAGATAATGCCATATGTCAGGAACAGCCACTGCCAAGACCTGAGAGGTCCAGTCTTGATCAGGGAAAAGCAGTAGGCCAGGAGTCCGCCGACGATCTGCTGGGCTCCGTTCATCATGTACCAGTAGGTGACTCGAGCGGCCTGCTCCTCTCGGCGATACCACATGGCAGAGAGAATAACGAAGGCAGGCTGGCAAGCAGACTCAAAGATACCGAGCAATGTTCGTACAACGACTAGACCAGTGAAGTTTGTGCATGCGGCGTGGCAGGCCAAGACGCTACCCCAAGCGATGATGGAGAAGCCAAGATACTTGGCGATGGGGACTCGGGCGATGATGTAATTTTGGGGGTACTCGACGACCAGGATGGCAATGTAAATACAGGTGGTCAACCACGAGTACTGGATGTAGTGTTAGAGAGTTTCCTCAATGAAATCTTGCAAAGCAGACTTACCGACTGGGTCACCTTATCATTCGCGTCGACCATGCCAGTGTCCTTGGGCAGGCCCATGATGGACGAGAACGACAGTGTGCCCTTATCGATGGCTTGGAGGAAGTATGTCGCGATCATGACAGCCAAGACTCGCTTATCGATCATCCTGCGAAGCTCGACATTGCGCTCCGGCGAGATATTCACGCGGACATCGGAGGCGTACGCGGCGAGTTCCTTATCGACTCGCTCCGAGTGCACGGTGGGCTTTTCCAAATCAACCGAGGGTCGTTCCACCTCGGCCACGGAGCGCTTCTGCAGGCCATCGGCGGTGGACGAAATGTCCTTGGAGGCGCCAATGTCGTTGGACGCCATGGCTGAAGATGGAGGGGTGGGAAGATCTGGGTGAGGGATCTAGGTGAGAAGGAGGATTCTGACACGGCAGCTGGTAAAGATGAGGCCCAGGTTCTGTGTGAAGTCTTGGCTGCCAGTTGCTCAGAACATGTTCGACATGGGCCGACGACGGGTTTTATCTAAGAATTCGCCCCAGCCGGGGAAACGGGGAAATCCCCATGCGCTAAGCGGAGTGGAGGAGGTTTTCCCCAGGCCCCCCCCAGACAAGCTGGAGCAGAGTGGATTTTGCACAGGCCCGGGGACACGAGGAACGCAAGGGTGCTCTATTCCTCGTCGTGGTTTGGCCCGAAGCGCCGATTGACTCGGCGGTACGGTCGAGTTGGGGCCAGGGGAACCCCAACGGTTCGCCGTCGTGAGAGGCCGGTTTGGGGATGCCCTCGTCAGCGGTCGGCCCACGCGGCATCGTCGGTGGGATCCATGGGCGCTGGGATGCGTGAGGGTGCGGTACGACGTTGAGGACAGAGACAGGATCCCAATTGGCATGACACGGCCAGTGTTGTAGCTTCATCGACCGATGCTGGGAACACACAGACAGGATCAGGCAATAGACACACGGTGTTGCCCACTATCTCCGACGCGAGTTTTGACATATCTGGCAACCTCCACAGCAACCTCCTCCACAACTCCAACCCATCTCGTTACGTTACGCATGGGGAACAGGCCCACCGCCACGCCACCACTCGAGCGCTTCTACCCCGACGCAATGACTCGGCGAGGTCCCCAAACAGCCCCGGCAATGACTTGGCCTCCTCCCCAAACAGCCCCTGCCACGACTTGACCTCCTCCCCAAACAGCCCCCGGCCATGACTTAATCGCTGAAGCTCCGCATGGTCCCAAACCTTGATGCCTTTAGAGGCTAGCCGAGAGCCCTCCGCGCATGCATCTCTCCGCCCCCACCCCCACCCCCACAGCGCTGGAGATGCGGAGAAGGCTGTGGAGTTGTGTGGAGTTGTGGGACGCCAGTCAGGCATCGAAGAGATGAAAACTGACAAGACGGATGGGCAACGAGAGTGGCATCTCGGTCTACTTCGGACCGAAACAAGGCCATCATGCACCGAGGTGGCCAGGTGTTCAAGTGATCCAGGGTACCCACCAGTACATGCCCCGCGGCGACATGCCCCTTTAAGTTGCCATACCGCTCGCGGACGACTCTCACCAACCCTGACTCTCCCAGCCGAAGGACCGAAACCTGGGAAGAAGACACGCTCTTGATTCGCGCTGCTCCACGCCCTACACACGTCTCTTCCATATCTAGCCCGTTTAGCTTTTGCCCTGCGTCATGCCGACCCACGTCCACGGCATCGCGGCGGACCACATCCACCGCCAGGTCCGCCAGCTGATCCACGAGCTGGTCAACATAAAAGACACGACGGGCGAGTTCTTGATGACGCTCGCCGACGGCCAGGTCATCGACACCAAGGGCTGGAACGACTGGGAGTGGACGCACGGCATCGGGCTGTACGGCATCTGGAAGTACTACGAGCTCACCGGCGAGGATGAGTTCCTCAAGATCATCGAGGACTGGTTCCAGGCGCGGTTCAAGGAGGGCCACAAGGGCAAGAACATCAACACCATGGCCGTCTTCCTGACGCTGGCCTTTGTCTACGAGAAGACGGGCAACCCGACCTACCTGCCGTGGCTCGACAGCTGGGCCGAGTGGGCGTACCACGACCTGCCGCGCACCAAGTACGGCGGCATGCAGCACATCACCTACCTCGAGGTCAACGAGCAGCAGCTGTGGGACGACACGCTGATGATGACGGTGATGCCGCTGGCCAAGATCGGCGTGCTGCTCAACCGCCCGCACTACGTCGCCGAGGCCAAGCGGCAGTTCCTCCTCCACGTGCAGTACCTGTTCGACACCAAGACGGGCCTGTTCTTCCACGGCTGGACGTTCAAGGAGGGCGGGCACAACTTCGCCGACGCGCGCTGGGGCCGCGGCAACAGCTGGGTGACGATTGTCATCCCCGAGTTCGTCGAGCTGCTGGGCCTCACCGACGAGGACCCCATCCGCGCGCACCTCCTCAACACGCTCAGCAGCCAGTGCGAGGCGCTGTCGAAGCTGCAGCTGGACAACGGGCTGTGGCGCACGCTGCTGGACGTGCCCGAGGAGGAGGGCTCGTACGTCGAGGCCAGCGCCACGGCCGGCTTCGCGTACGGCATCCTCAAGGCGGAGCGCCGCAAGTACATTGGCAAGGAGTACTCGGCGGTGGCCGTCAAGGCCATCAAGGCGGTGCTGGACAACATTAGCCCCGAGGGCGAGCTGCTCAACACGTCGTTTGGCACGGGCATGGGGCACGACCTGCAGCACTACAAGGACATTCCGCGGACGAGCATGCCGTACGGCCAGGCCATGGCCATGATGGCGCTGGTGGAGTTTCTACGGGCGTTTGTGTAGGGTAGGATAATGGGACGGGTATGAAATGACGGACAAGGACAAAACTGCCGGCTGCAGAACACTGTACAGAACAGGGTGTAGAGGCTGAATGAATGCGATGAAGTGAATGAGTAATTGAGATTGTTCCATTGGTTGTCGGCTGTGCAACGGTGAATTTGTCAAGGCTGAACCCGGTCGATCGGGTTCTGTGCACCACTATCATAGTGGTACATCTTGTCAGCAGTGGTGTCGTGATGTTGCGTGATGATGCACGTGACGCCAGGGTATTCGAGTTCGGTCTTATGCCCCGACAAGGAAAGTGGTAGTCCTTTATCATCATCTCTGCACCTTTGCCAAGGCGGATGCGTGTCTTTTGATGGGGATGGGATGTGTGGGATCTCCGTCGTAGAGAAACATTTGCAATGTGTACGAGACAGAGAGAGAGTGAACCTGCCAGCTGACAAGTATAGGTAACCTCACGATGTCTCCTCTAGGCGCTCCATACCTAGGTACGAACTAGCTCAGCGACTAGCTCACCCGTCCCCCAAACTGTGGCGGAGGCACAAACTAAACTAAATAAAACAAAATAACGTCATGGATCTGCAGTTAGCTTCGCTTCCGTTCCCTTTTCCCTTATTCTCTCTTTCCTCTTTTCTTCTTCTTCACGCGCCAACAAACCCCTCCTCCATCACAGCCCATCCCCGCATCTCGGATCTCGCTCGGAGAACCAATTTGCCTGCCGCGAGTCTCTGCGCTAAATGCGCAATGTGCTTCATTCATCCCCGGCGGAGGCACAAACCCGGGCCCTGGGAACACACCCGCGGGTGATTGGCCAGCGCTCCGCCACTTTCGTCGAGGTGCAGCCCTTGACGGACTCGAACGTTGCAGCGCGCGTGCTGTGCCTGTTTTTGGTGGTGGTGGTGGTTGTAGTGGCTTTTCGGTAGTGCGTTTCTTAGTGTCTTACTGGCAAACTCCTGGCGTCGGGGATCCTCTAGCGGGGACGGCGATACCAATCAACAGTGCGGCGCTGCGACAAGAGCCAGCCGCCCTTTTGCCATCACCTCTCGGTCTTTAGGACGCTGGATCGTTGACGTCGTTTATCCCTCGTCGCAATTCCTCCTCCTCCTCCAAATATCGTGACTCTGGCGTCCTCCCGGCTTCCTCCTCTCATCCTCCCCAGCATGCGCCAGTGGACGGCCCGCAACCCGCTATCGCTGGCCGTCTCCTCCCCCGCGGCGCCGTAAAATACGTCACGACTTCGCTCCCGTCCGGCTTCGTCTTCCCTCACGCATCGCGCCACGCCGCAACCACCGCCGGAATGTCGCCCTCGCGAGCGAAACCCCCCGCGCGCACAACCTCGTCCGGCTCGTTCCACGCCGGAGCCCCGATTCCCACGCTCACCACTGCGCGCCGCAATGCCTCGCCTCGCTATCAGACCTTCCCCGATACCCCGCCCAAGACACCACTCACGCCGCCGTCCGATGCCAGCTCCGACGTCTCCGAGGCCGATGCGGACGAGACGCCGCTGCCGGTCCGTCAATTGCTGCTCCTCGCCTTCCTATCGCTCGCCGAACAGACGGCCCTCAACTCCATCGGCCCTTATCTGCCCGAGATGGTCGCCCACATGCCCGGCATCCCGCCCAACGAGAGCGGCCTCTACGTCGGCACCCTCGCCAGCGCCTTTGCCCTGGCCCAGCTGTCGACAAACTTCCTCTGGGGCTACGCCTCGGACCGCATTGGCCGCAAGCCCGTGCTGTTGATGGGCACCTTCTCGCTCATGTGCTGCTTCTGCGTCTTTGGCCTGTGCAAGGAGTACTGGCAGATTGTCGTCGTCCACGTCGCCATGGGATTGCTGAACGGCAACGCCGCCTGCGTGCCGACCGTCTTGGGCGAGGTCACCGACCGCTCCAACCAGAGCAAGGCCTTTACATATCTCCCCGTCATCTACTCGCTCGGCGGCATCACAGGCCCAGCTCTGGGAGGGCTGCTGGTTGGGAAAACAGGCGCGGAATATCCCTTTCTGGGACCAAACATTCTCGCTGCCGTGTTACTGGCCTGCAGTCTCATTGCCGTGGGAATCTGGTTCGAGGAGACGTTGGACGATGCCGATGACAGCTTCGTGAAGCCTGCTTGGGTTGAGAAGCTCACGTCTCTGTTTTCCAGGAAAAAGTTAGAGCCGCGCCGCGATTCTTGGATTGCACGTTGGCCCCGCGGCCGCTCTCACAATGAACCGCTGCTCTCTTCGGGCGATTCTACCTCCGAGGATGACGAGGACGACGACGAAACCGACCTCCGAAGTCTAGACGACGAAGACGCCAAATCGGATTCGCCCAAATCCGCATGGCGCCATCTCAGCGGCACCACGTTCCTGCTCCTCTGCACCTACCTCGTGTTCCAGCTCTCCAACATTTCCTTCAACAGCCTGTATCCAATCTTCGCCGATACCCCGCCCCCCGCCGGTCGGGATTTGCTCCCCAGCAAGATCGGAATCAGCCTCAGTCTTGCCGGCGTTGCCACGATTCTCTTCCAGGCGTTCCTCTTCCAGCCGCTCAAGGCCAGGGCCGGCAACCTGGGCACATATCAAATCGGGCTGCTCGGAATTGGAATCGCCATGATCATGATGCCCTGGGTTGGCTACAAGGACGATGCCCCGCTATTTGGACTGGGTAGCGGAGAAATGTGGCTGTATATCGAGCTTGGCGTTGTCCTAATTGTCAAAAACATCTGCGCCGTGGGTGGTCTATCGAGCGTCATGTTGCTGGTAAGCCAGATCATCCTAATATCCCTCTTCACATCTAATAACTCTTTAGATAACCAACTCGGCGCCATCAAACGCCAGTCTAGGCGCCCTCAATGGCATCGCCCAGACCCTCTCAGCACTGGGTCGCAGCATTGGACCATTTGTGTCCGGCGCCCTCTTCACACTGTCGACAAACGTCCACCCCAAGGGCGAAATCCTCGTGTTCACCTTGTTCGGCGGGCTCGCCGTCTGCGGCTGGGCGGCGTCCCTGTTCATCAAGAGAGATGGCCTCGAAAGCGACGACTGGATGGGGTCCGACTCGGAGCGGCAGTCAGATGAAGAGGCTGCATGAGAGCGTTTGTCATTTACTGCTATAACGTAAGGAGTTCCAAAGGAGTGTGTATTAACGATACCATGGTATAGATGAGGGAGAGGTAGACGGAAGGCATTTTGGCCTGGTGCATGAGCATACACCGACACATGACTGAAAGACGTGGAAGACATTCAACGTAGAAAGACGTGGGGGCAAATTACTTCGCTATTTAGGATAGAAACCAGCTCTATATTCTCTAATGTATCGTCAATCCCTCTATACCGTATACAATGCAAGGACAATCTTCAAAACACCACGCTCGCTGACCAACCCAAACGCAATCACGCCTAGAGACCTGCCTCTAGACTTCCTCAATACCACGACGGCGGAGTCTGCCAATGCCGCAACATCGTATCAACCGCCACGTTCCACTCATACTCGAAACACGCGGCCAGCTGCTGCACCTCTTCCTGCGTCGGCACCGTGGCCCCCCACATCTCCTGTCTCGACGCCTCAACCTCCGAGTATCCCGAGATCAGGCCGTCGTCGCGCATCTTGTTGAGGCACAGCCACGCCAGGTTCCAGCTGCGGTTGCTGTCCGGGTCCGCCCGCACGCGCGTGTGCGCATCGTGAATAACGTCGGCGCTGATGGGGTAGTTGCCCGTGAAGCCGCGCAGCTCGATCAGCAGCTGGTTGCTGGTGACGTAGTACACCCACGCCGCCGTCATGGGCTCCTGGAAGGCCTTGGCGTCGGCTTCGTCCTCGCACGAGGCGGCGATGCGTTCGATGCGGCAGAGCTCCGTGAGGGTGTTGACGCTGTGGTTCTTGAGAGACTTGATGATGGACTTGACCGAGGTCTAAAGGCGACTTAGTAACGACTTCTTTCACTTTCTGTGGGATTGTTCTGGAACAAGGACTTGTACTCACGCCAGAACGCCCTGACCGGGAACTAGACCCTCCAGATCGACGGGAAGACGACATTGTGAGGTCAATTGATAAAGTGATGACTGCGAGATCGAATACGAGGAGCCAGAGTATAACCCAAAAGACTGCGAGCTTGATCCAAGTCCCTTGACGAGAGCATCGACGGGTATTTTATCCACCCACTGACGAAGGCTTCTATCGCCCCCAACCGCCGTCTTCGAGAAAAGAGTCAGATTCCCACTCTTTGATTAGAAGAGTGAGTCGTGCTGAGAGACGATGCGGGGCCAATAAGACTTCCCACAACGGCCAAGAGCAAACCCCCCAGCGGCTCGTCGACACCCTGTGCAAAACAGTTCACGAGACACATGCCACCACGAACCCCCTCCCCGTGAGCTCTCTCCGGCCGGCGACTTCCCCAAAAGGCGGCCTTGCTCGACGGCCGCAGAGCCACAGTATCAGCTCGTGTGGCCCGGGAGCAAAATAGAAGCCCAGGCAGGCTATTGAAAACGACGGGCTGGGGGAGGCGCATACGGTGCCGGTGTGGTGCAGCGGCTGCTATTACTGGGAGCCGGGGTCCGGCTGGGGACGTCCGCAAGGCACAGAGGGCCACGGGTCGAAGTGTATTCATCCTTCGAGTGGCTGGAGGGCGTGTTAGTGACGGGCTCGCGGGAGCATCGCCGTTCCGCGTCTGACCAAACTCGGGATTGCCACCCAGCAAAGAGGGAACTGCCGCAGCCTGGCACAGGGTCGATGAGGCGACGGGAGAAGATTCCAGCAGTAGTCAGATGTGTTCTCTCTCCCGACAAGCCATCTCCGTCATCGACTGGCCTGCCATGGCCCGTCTCGTGGCCCCCCTCGCCCAACGGTAAGACGACTTGTCGACTATCAGCCCTGCTGGCCCCAAGGCACATCCCAACAAGGCACCGAACGCGCAAAGGGCCCCCACGCGTGCTCAATCCGAATCACAACCCGCCGCTGCGAGTCCTGATGTTCGTAGCTTCGTCGCAACATGGGATGGATCGCATCCACGTCAGATTTTAGACCGGGATGGAGTCTAGGCGCGGCACATGGCGACAAACTCCACACGGCCTCAGGCTTCTGGATGGTTCAGAAAGCTCCGACGAAAGGGAGTCAGCAATGTAATGTAATGTAATGTGCGGAATAACGACCGCGGAGTTTACATGCCTGCCGACGGCACTCCCATATCCGTTCCCATTGTGCGCTTGATTGCTTCGATCCCAAGCCAATGAGTCGTCTGGCCTCACTGCCCTGTCAGCTTCGTCCCAGGGTATACAGGGCGGGTATATCTAAGCGCATAGCCGCATGTCCGCCCTCGTCCCGTCGCCATCCATGTAAGTCATCCGCCGCGGCCCTGCATCCTTCCCACCGCGCCGGGTCTGGCAAGTGAGATGAGATGCCCGAGAATACGACGCTGCAGGATCGCGACCCCGTCCCGCCGCCCCCAGTGCCGGTGTAGTTTCCACCGCGCGCACGAGCGGTGGGACGAAGCGAGAAAAAGAGGCCTCTTCATTCCATCGAGCTGCCGTCGTTGAAGCCATTGCCAGAACGCACAACATGCTACTCCGCCGCCGCGTCAGCCGGCTCCCGCCAGTGCCGGAGCTCGCTTATATCAGCCACGGCCATGAAGTTCGCCCCAGCCTCTCCGCGCGCTCCGGCTCGCCAGAAGCCCAAAGACCGGAGTGGGCCGCGTGGCACCTAGCTAGAGCCGGAGATAGACTAGGGCTTGGCAGGTGGTCGTACGACCCGACTCTTCTTCTCTCACCGCGGCGGCGGAGTTGCCTCCCTGGTGACGGCACTGCCAGGCGCAGGGCCCCCCGCGCGCGCTGACGCGACGCCGCCTTGCTGGGCTGCAGCTATGACGGCGCTCGGGACGCAGGGCGGTGTTGGGCCTTGATATAAACAGGCCGTTCCCGCAGTTCGTCGCAGTTGGCTGTGTGGCTGGTGGCCGTGGTTTGGCGGTTTGCTTCGTATCACCGTGTCACGGGCTTCGAAGCCTCGTTTCCCGAAAATAATATCCCAACGCGACCAAGTAGCGTTCTAAATCCAGCTCCAACCCTAATTGAGGCTATGGCTGGGTTCGGGTTCAGTCGAGAGGGTGGTCATCGGTGTTGTTCATTGCGTGATGCATCGGAGGACGTCCGTACCAGGAAGGGAGGATTCTGGTTTGAGCGTCTTCAACCGCCCATGCAATACAGGTCTTATTTCCGACCAGAGGGTACAGCCATGGGGTCGGTTATTTTGATCGTCGACTCACGTTGCAAAGCCAGATGATTTCGGTTCGGGGTTAAGTGATGACTACCTTTCCCTAGGGTCCGTCACTATGGGAGGTGATAACTCATAAACCCCAAAGAAAGACTCAATTGGTTCGGCCAACTACACCGCGACAAGGATTCTGCTCGAGATAAGCGGCCGCCAGTGCCGTCTCATCATCGAAGGCGAATTTTTTCGACGACCGCATGTGATGTGGTCTCAAGAGCTTCCATTTCCAGCCATCTCCGCTATCTGACAGATCGCCCGTCCCTGGCACATCGCGGTCGGTAAGATGGTTGGAATCTGACCTCATTGGCGGCAATTTCCTTCCCTCAGCCCTACCAGGGTCTGTGGATGTGCACCGTCATCCATCAGATTTGTTTGGTCCACGCCATCTTACTTGAAACAGGATTACTGTACGCTACCAAGTGCCCTTGACTTTGAGGTCCCTCGAGCTCTCCCCCACCGCCATCGTGTACTCTCCATCCACCAGCATCACCCAATTCTGCCTGTCCACATCCCAATAACTCAGGTCCCGTCGTGTCAGGTTAAACTCGATTGTCTTGCTCTCTCCCTTTTTAATCAACGGCTTCTCGAAGCCTCGCAGCACGCGGACCGGGAACTCGACATCTCGTACAGTCTTGGGGTACGACAGGTACAGCTGTGGCACAGCTTTACCGTCCATTGACCCGGTGTTGGAGACGACGACCGAGACGGTCACGTATGTCTCCCACAGGTCTGGGTTTCCACCTTCGGCGCCGCCGGCTTGTGAGGGAGGCTGCTCTACGTCGTACCCATCGGGGTAGGGATAGTCTCCTTGCTTGATGTCTTTGGCGGAGTCAATGTAAGGGTACACAAACGTCTTGAGTTTGCGAATGCCTTCGGGGAAAAGGGCCTCCTTCACGTCGGGAATGGTATTGTCAAACTTTGGCGGTGTGACGGCAGCCTCTGGTCGCTTGGCTGGAAGCGCCGACTTCTTCTTTCGCTGCGTGACCTTGAGATCTTTGTACTCGAACGAAGTGTACGAGAGTCCAAAGCCAAACTCGAACCGGGGCTCAATCTGGTACTTGTCAAAGTGCCGGTAGTCGATGAAAAGCCCCTCGTCAAAGTTCTGCTGGGGCACAACGGCATTGGGCACGTACATGATCTGCCCTCCCTCGCCGTACGCCTCGAGAGATTTTCCGACCGTGTAGGGCAGCTTGCCGCTGGGGCTTTCGTCTCCAAATATGATACTAGCAATGGCGTTACCGCTCTCTTGGCCGGGGAGGTTAGCTGTGAGCACAGCCTTGATCCCGGGGTGCTCGATCCATTTGTCCATGACCACGGGTCCGACAGCATGAATCACCACCACGGTTGAACCAGAGCCATCTCCGCAGTGGTCGGCGACCTCGAGAATTAGATCATCGCCGCCCTTTTGCAAATAGAGGTCGTTGCGATCACCGCCAACACTGCCCCAGGCGAGAAACCCTTCGCCGGCGTCCGAGTTCGCAAAGACCAGGCAAATATCCTGATCGTGAAATGCCTTGGGATTTTTCTTGGAGCGCACGTTATTCGAGAGGAACTCTGTAAATATGACCTTGTCGTCGTTGAAACCCTCTCGCAGCGAGTCCACAGGGGGGACGAGGTATGGGAACTCGACGGCGCCACTGCCCCATCCGGAGCCCAGCGTGCCTTGGTTGCATCCTCGATCTTGGCAGTAGTTGGGGCCATGGCCGGGGCCAGCATCTTCGCCGAAGATACCGACGCGGAGCTTGTCGGTTCGCTTCTGTACCTTGGAGGAGCTTGTGGCTCCGTCGCGGCTCAAGGGCAGGATTCCGTCGTCATTCTTGAGCAGGACGGTTCCTTCGATGGCAACTTGGCGAGCGACGAGTGAGTGGTTGCTCTGGACGTTGACATACTTGTTGACCTCGACCTTGGTCTGCGGAGAAGAGCTCCCTGGAGCGATGACGTCCACTTGGTCGTGGGTCCAGGACGAAAAGTTCGGTCCCTTGTTGTCGAACAATTTCTCATCGTCCTGGCCAAGCTGATACCAAGAAGCAACAATCCGGACCACCATGTCATTCAGCCGATCTACCGGCAACGATCCATTGAGAATAGCCGTCGTCAGACGAGGACCCCAAAGAGAGTCGCCGTCCTGCCACTTGAGACCGTCTCCAGGCATCGTCATGTCCAGGCCAGAAAGCGCACTCGCCACGCCAGACCTCTGGGCGAGCCAATCGGACATGACGAATCCCTGGAAGCCCATCTCGTCCTTGAGGATGCCGTTGAGCAGCTTGGAGTTGCCACAGGCATATGAGTTGTTGACCATGTTGTACGAGCACATGACGCTGGCCACGCCAGCCTTGACAGCATCGGCAAACGGCCAGGCGTATAGTTCGTGCATGGTGCGGTCGTCGATGTTGGACGACAAGGCATTGGGAAGACCCCACTCCCAGGGCTGGCGGAAGTGCTCTTGTTCATTGCCGACAAAGTGCTTGATGGTGGCCATGACGCCCTGATCCTGAATCCCTTTGACCGTCTGGGAACCGCCAATGCCCTGTAGATATGGATCAGGCCCAAAGCCCTCCCAGTTGCGACCGCCAGCGGGCATCCTTCCGAGAGCCCCGATGCAGGGTCCGAGGAGGATATTGATGCCCTTCCCGCGAGCCTCGAGGGCGTGGGCTTTGCCACGCTCGTACATGAGGTCCTTGTTCCATGTAGCCCCGACGGTGATTCCAGCAGGAAAAGCAGTCGCATTATCAGCTCGTCGGATTCCCAATGGTCCGTCCTGCAGGGCCAGACCGGGAAAACCAACATTGAGGGCAGGGCCGGTGTTTCCCACGGCCAATCCCATGCTCCATCCCGTACCAGTAGTGATGTTGACCTTTTCGGGAAGTGTCATTCGCGACACCAGGTCGGCGGCCTTCTTGTAGCTATCCGCCCACTGCTTCACGGTGCCTCCTTTGGGGCTCGGGTACCACGGCGGCGACTGGGCGTCAGGTGGCGGGGTACTGATCTTGTGCCAAGCCAACGCCGCCAGCACGGTGATGATGGCCCAGAGGATTAAGATGACGGTGGCGATGGTGAAGCAGCAGCGCTTTCTCGACGAGCAGCATGTTTGGCAGCGAGCCGCCCAGCGGGACTGGCGGTCCTTAGCCGGGAGCAACGACGACTCCCCGGTGGTGAGAGGCTCCTCGTCGAGGTATCCTGTGGCGTCAAGGTCGGACAGTTCATCTGAGTCGTAATCGCCGTCCTGAGAGGACCGCTTGGGCCTGAGCAGGCCTTCACTGCTGGGATCCATGGTCTCACCTCACAAGCATATGTGCAAGCAATAGAAATCACTGAGTGGCGTGGATAGACAGATGTAAGGCTTGAGAGTCATGAACAAGCTATGGGATGAGAAAGGGTGGCATGAAGCCGTGCGACGGATGGGATCTAATCCGACCCCGAACAATGATTATCTCCCAACACTGTAGCTTCCTGCAGCCTCCTGTAGGCTTAAGCATGGTCAGGTATGCTGCGTCACATCCCCTGAACGGCCTGAACGGATACGGGCTGGTGGCGCTATCTCGTCCCGCAATCCCGGCGCTCCACTGAGGAGGCCAGCCGCACTGCAGCAAGCGGCTAGTTAAGTTTTCCTCATTTGGGTGATTCTGGGTGATCCGGGGATAAGACAATGATGAGAAAATAATAAAAAATACAGCTCAAAGATGGACCTAGATTAGAATTCAGTAAACTCTTCTTTAAGCCGATTGATATTTAATTCATATCGCGGTCGACAATAAACAACACCAGAGACGGGGCAGGTTCGATTCTTCCTGGCCCGGTACATCTTCGGCAAAACCTCCACCCATCTGATTTCGAGTTTCTCTGCGCGACAAAGCCATCCGCAGCATCATCGTCATCCCACTTCCAATTGCCCAGCATGTCGATGTTCCGTGCGAAGAAGCTCGACCTGGGCTGCTTCGTCAATGTCCGCACCCTGCGTGACCACACGAAGCGCAAGGTCTTTGAGCAGAACGAGACTGAGAGGTGCGCAAACTCTTCCCTGGCCTTGAATGGATGGACACGGCACGGTCTAGCAACGACGACGACGACACCGACACTTCCATGGCTGCTGTCCAATCCATATCCCTTGGTCACATAAGGGACCCTTCTTTGCGAATTGTGCTAACTAAACCGCTACAGGCAAGCCCTCCGATTCATCATCCGCAACACCACCCTCCCTCCCCGAGTCCGCGCCGAAGCCCAGCTGCAGCTGACGCAGATGCACTGCTACACCCGCCCGACCCAGATCCGAAACCGATGCATCATGGGAGGCCAGGGCCGCGGTGTGCTGAGCGACTTCAAGCTGACGAGAGTAAGCCACCCCGCCGAGCTGCAAACGACCCGGGGTCTAACAAGCTGCAGTTCAATTTCCGAATGGAGGCCATGGCCGGAAACCTGCCCGGTGTGAAGAGGGCCAGTTGGTAACGCAATAATACATCTCAATGCTGGACGCAAACGAGGAAACGAGAGCTGTATGACTACGTGTGGACGCGATGTGGCATTCTAGGATTGGAAAAGAACGACCCGCGCGAATGACCAAGATATGGCAAATAGACACCAAACCCGACTGTATAATACATGTGAATACCACGCCATCTCAGTGGAATTTGCTCTTGGAGGATGCGTGTCCGGACTCTTCGTCAGTGAACGTTGGTCAATGAACTGACAATCCATGGAGGATCTGGGTCAATGGAATTGCTCTATGACACTAGGCATCAAAAGAGACCTCTACATGAGATTTACCAATCTCACAATACCTTATTATCGCTATCTCTATCAGTATACCTTGGCTCCTCTGTGCCTAGTTCCGGAGTACACGACGTAAGAGATCCAGCGGGCATCAAGCTAGGTCCCCACTTAGTGAACGCTGGATAATATTCCAAAAAAGGTCTAGTTCAGATACGCCTGATAACCCCCGATAAGTGATAAGGCATCGATAAATGGATTTTTGCCTGGAGGCTGGGAGTCCTCCAAACCAAACGTCAGTCGCCACCCCACCAGCGACAGCGCATCCTCATTCTTCAACCCCAACCAAACCAGTCTCCGAAGCGCAAATTGCCCATCATGGGAGGCGGCGATCTCAACTTGAAAAAGTCCTTCCATCCCGGACTGCGACGCAACCAGGCAGCGGTCTACGACGAGGAACAAAAGGCCCTCGCCGAGCGCAAGCGCACCCAACAGCGCATCAATGAGATCAAGGAGGAGCGCGCCAAGGAGGAGCTCCAGCAGCAGCTGGAGGCAGCCGGCGGAAAGAAGCGCGTTGATCGCGTCGACTGGATGTACCAAGGCCCTACCGATGGCCAGACAGGCACCACCGAAGAAACCGAGGCGTACTTGCTGGGCAAGCGACGAATCGACAACCTCATCAAGGGGAATGAGCACAAGAAACTGGAGAAGCAGGCCGGGGAGGAGAGTTTTATGGCCTTGCAAAACGCCAACAGCGCCCGCGACACGGCCGCCAAGGTCCGCGATGACCCCTTGCTGGCCATCAAGCGACAGGAACAGGCCGCATACGAAGCCATGATGAACGACCCGATCAGGCGCCGCCAACTCCTCGCTTCGATGGGTGTCGAGGACGAGAAGAAAAAAGACAAGTCGAAGCGGAAGGAGGAAAGACATCGACGGAGGCATCACCGCCACCACAGTCCCGATTCCGACGAGAGACGCCACAAGCGCAGACGGTCGCATTCACGATCACGAAGCCCCCGAAGACGCGATGGATCACAGGACGAGGACCGCTACAGGCGACGAGACGAGGACGAGGCACGCCGGTCTCGACGAAGACGAGACAGGTCCAACGATGGGGGAGAACGCCAACACCGTCGACGGGATAATGAGAGAGACCATTGGGAACGCCAAGATTCACATCGGCGCCGAGATGACGACCGACGACGGGATGATAGTCGGCGACAACAAGACTCAGAATCTGGAGATGAGCGGTCTCGGCGGCGCTCTGAACCCTACAACCGTTCTGAACCCTCACGCAATGGCTACAACGGCGATTCGAGGAGAGACACACGGAAGAGTTACGGCGGTGACGCTCGGGATCGGGGACCGAAGCCCAACGGCGGCGCTCGATCCGAGGAGAACGATCAAGCCAAGGAGGAAGAGCGACAACGCAAGCTAGCGGCGATGCAATCCGCAGCGTCGGAGCTGGATGACGACCGAGTGAAGCGGCTGGCGGCGTTGGAAGAGCGGGAGCGGGCACTACGAGAGGCGGACGACAAGGGGCGAGAGCGCGGAGGAGATCGGGGCTTCGTGAATGGACTGCATCGCCAGGCGGCCGGCAAGATGGATCTGGCGGAGCGAATGGGCCGGGGGCGACAGGGCTTCCGGATGGATGACGATTAGTGGTTTACGGCGGATCTTGATGGTACGGATATGGGTCTGCTCTAGTATGGATATGAGTATGGGCAGTTACAAGATAGAACGATGGGCGCAATGGAGCCAGTCATGTAATATAGGCGTACACGCAATCGAATTCCAAGACCATTTGGGGGCAGAAGCTATTGGTGATAGTTCTCACGCCAATTCATCTCGATAAGATAATAAGCAATCTGTGATAATCACAGTGTGTATGTGACGCTTGCATGACGAATTCGTTCACGGCTGACCTAGACCAGCTGATTCATGTTGCTTCGATGCACTCTCATTCAGAATGCTCCTATGATGAAAGCAGACTAGACCAAGCCACCTCAATTCCCCCCTCGGACACTATTGTCCCAGTCCCGAGGAAATTTAAAATAGGCAACGGTTTCAGTCCTCACAATTCCCTTTCGCTTTGGCGGCGAGGATCCATCGAGGCGCCCCATATCAATGCACACCCATCGTAGTCCAGCTAGGCGGCTATAGAGTAAGCCGGTTCCCATAGTTTCCAAGCCTCCATGTTCCTGGGTCCATGCTTACCTCGTTCACTGCAGTCCCATAAATATGGCCGACATTAATTGGTTGCTTGAAGTTGACTGGCTATGAAGCAATCCCGTGATTTTCTTTATCCCGTCTTTGAGTACTACAATGGGATTCTAAACGGTAAACACGATTTTTCAAACGTCTCACCGGCAACTAACTTCCAGAAGTCTGTTGAGAAATTATATTCACCGCTCAACATGTCATCGTTATCACCACCTCCAACACCCCCTGCCGAAGTGCCAAACACAGTCGCAAATGACCGATTCAAGCCGTCCGTGTTCGCTTGCGAGTGGGCCGAGGCATATCGGCCTGGTGGATTTCATCCCGTCAAGTTTGGCGACATTCTTGCAGGCGGAAAGTATCCGTCATACGAAAACTCGGCAATGGTTCGTTTTCTACTGTATGGCTCGGAGTGAGCGAGTACGTTATGATCCTTTCTCAATTTGCATGCTTGAGCGTTTCCATTTCTTGAGTTGACAAGCTGACCAGGTCTAGTGGTGTAAGCGTACCCAAATATGTTGCCATCAAAGTCATGACAGCGAACCAGTCCCTTTCTGCTGCGTCAACTGAGCTTCAGGTTGCATCGGTCTTGTCTACGCGAGACGAAAATGCACCCCCAGCAAAGCATGTTCTCCTTCCCCTAGATCACTTCGATGAGGAGGGGCCCAACGGCGCGCATAAGTGCTTTGTGTATGAGCCTATGGGGATAACCGTGTCGTCAGGGGTACACGAACTCCCACAGTACCGAGATATTGTGCGGAAAATGCATGACAAAAGGAGATATCCGAAATGGATGGTCAAGATTATCTTGAAGCACACCCTCATCGGACTTTCATCCCTGCATGGGCGCAACTTGGTCCACGGTGATTTACAGCCTGGCAATCTACTGTTTGCTATCCATGGTTTGAACGAAGCCGATGAAGCAGAGTTGGTGCAGACTGTTGGGGATACGACAGACGACATTGAGCGGTTGGATGGCAAGGTCGACAGGTGGTCGCCTCCATATCTTGCCTTGGGTCAGTCACTTCACAAGTACGCCGATTTCAGTGAAAACTTGGAAATCAAGATTTCGGACCTTGGAGCTGGTAAGCCATACGCTCTGTTCTTCTGTTGAAAGTGTACTGAATCATGCAATTACAGCCTTCTTCCAAGACCAACCTCCGACGAAGATAGTAACGCCATTCTCTCTTCGGGCCCCCGAAATAATCCTCAAGCAGAAGGTCGACGAGAAAATAGACATGTGGAGCTTTGGATGTCTTGTCTATGAGCTGATCACAAATACCCAATTGTTCCCAGTCGCGCCATATGACGAAGGCCAAGAGACGGAAGAAGACGACGATCACCTCCTGGCCTTAAATGGCATCCTCGGAGATCTTTCCAGCAACATAATGGCTATTTGGCCACGGTCAGATTCCTGGTTCGGACCCAATAGAGAGCGCCTCAACCCAAGAGCAGAGTTGCTAGCCGACGATGACCTCTTCAATCCCGAACTTCATATCGATGATTCCTTGGAGACTCTTTTTGGTCAAAACAAGCCTGATGATGTCGATGAAGCCGAGTCTGCGGTTATCATCGCTTTGATCCGTCGCATTTTGAACTACGACCCGGCACTGAGACCTACTGCTGAGGAGCTGTTAGAAGATCCTTGGTTTCATAGTGAGTAGGCGTGACAATTAGTGAAAGGAACATTGAGGGGGGTTCGCTAGCAGAACTGAGATGACTCTGCTCATTTTGGCGCATTTCACCCTGGAGGGTTGGAACGTATCCTAAGTACAAGGTAATCAAGGGTACAACGCGGTATGTCAAGATTTAAGAATCGCAAAAACAGTACAGTTGTGAATGGAACTCGACTGCGAATTACATGGTAGCGAAAGTGGAAGATGATGGCATCTGTCGAAAGGGAGCGGATTCTGTTATGCTGCAAAAAGAATAACGTTTGTAGGTTCATATTCTACTTGAGTGCATCACACGGATCTACATCCTTGGGTCCGTTCAACTTTGTTTAGACAAGTAGATGAATTCCACCACACTACACTGGCCAATCCTAGATTACATCCTGGAACAGAAGATACAGTAGCCTGTCAATAAAGTTATTGCAGACTAACCTTTGCCTTGAGCTTCAACCCTTCTGACTTCAACCCTGCTGTCCACAGCCAGCGACCTTGCTGTCCGTTAGCAACGACCTTGAGACACGAACCTTAATCCAGAGCATTATATAAGAGGGACCGACAAGCCGCTAACTTGCAATCCTGCAGCATACCTTCTCATCCTGCAAAATATCTTCCAACAGTTATCAAATCCATCACACTTCCGCAATAACTATTCCAATCATCTGCAACGTCTTCCTGAAGAACTATGGGGCTTCTCTTGGCGCTCTTCTGGAAGGCTTTATTGATGATTGGAGTAGTCATTGTGGTAGTTTGATGGATTTGATAATTGTTGGAAGGTATTTTGCAGGATTAGAAGTTCCTCTATGTATAGTCCCAATACTCTGTATGGTCAATTCAGCTTGCACAAAGGTGCCATTTACATTCGGTGCGAAATCATCTGCTCAAGTTCCCAGTGACCCATTTGTCCTGTTTTCTTCTTGGGAGCGCGTGTAATGCAAATCCATGAGCCTATCTCGGCAGATTTTGTGCGAGTCACCTCAGGCTTTGAGGTGTGTACTGTGTGACCCCTCGCTAGAACCATTTATAAGGGTCGGGCTCCTGTAACTATGGTTGTGTTAGCGCCCTCATAGCTACTGAAACCACAGCCGCTACCGGGTAAGGATTCGGGCCTGTCATCACATAGTGACCAATACCAACTTTCCAGGTAATCTCAACTAATTGGCTGGAAGATTGATCAGCTACAATCCGGGACGTTGCGCCGAATGTTGCGTTGCGAAGCCGTCTGTGGCGGTGGCGGTGGCGGTGTTTGGCGCTGCGCCTGGGAGAAAACGCGGTAGATTCGCCCCTGAGAACCTCGCTTCCGAGGCCACCTCCCGGGACTCCCAGCCGCTAGCTACAGCAGTAACTTTGTAGGGAAGTTCGAAGAACAGCGCTAGTTTTTGGTCGGAGGGCGGCTGAAGGTAAATTTCGCCATGGACAAAGCTCTCTGCAGACTTTACAGGTCGGACACTTGATTAGGCCGGATAATATGCTCGTGCTGCTGCAGTGAGATTGGATCCAATCTGAGATCAACGAAGGAGGGTTGATTTGGTGTTATATTGGCAGTGACAGCTTTAGCAGGACAGATAGGCCATTGTCTAGATTGGCAGGGCCTAGGCATGATATCTTGGTGAGGTCATTAACGAATATTCCCACTTGTCAGGAGAAATCCGACGTGGAAAGCTCTCTTCTCATAGGCTCTTGGGTACCACTTTCGGCCCAGACTGGAGCCGAGCCAGGCCAAGTCATGGCCAGAGTTTAACGAGCCAGAGGGGGGTCATCGATAACTCTCTCAGGCCCCCCACGCTAACTTTATACGGAGGGCCAAGGGCCTAGGGGGTCTCTATGCATGTTCTATGTAGAGGCCGAGTGGAGAATTGACTTTCATTGTTTGTCGCTCACCTGCTGATTGAACTGTGTCGTGCGTACTTTTCGCTGTGCGATGGAGTCATGTACTTGTCCACGGTATGCACGTCTGTCGCACATCTAGCGGGTGCCCTGGTTCCGGTGGCTTTTGGCGGGTTCAGGCCACCGCCCACCCGCGCGAGCCCTGAACTCTGAACCGCCACATGTCCAAGCCTGTTCCTATCGCTGTCTTTGTGGATGGGAATCAATTTAATATGTACATGACGCAGACGAGTGCCAAATCAGACACTGGAATTGAGAGCCCGGGTCTCAGATTGCACTTGCAGAAGGCCTGCCAGACGCAATATCTGCTCCCTTGGTAGCCGTTAATTACTCGCAGGCTTCCGCTCCGGAGGCGTCGACACCAATTTGAGACAGACGGAGGCGACCTTGAGCCCTGTAGGTGGCCCGCTGAAGACAGGGCGAAAGACACTGCAGAACTGGTAGAGGAGGGGCTCAGGCCGCTGGAGAGGCACTAATTAGAGCGGGGGGTGCTCCATCCCAGCGGAGGGTTTAGTTATCACAGCGTCTTCCCCCGAAAAACTCCACGACGCGCTGCTGGAGTCGCCCCCTGTCCAATCCAGTCCGGCGCAGCCCAATCAATGGCTCGAACCATCATTCCTGCGGTCGAGCACAGGAAAGTACAGCGCTAGACTTACAGTAGCTTCACCATGATGGGGAGGTAAAGCAGGTACAGCTGTACAATACATTCATACATGGGCTTAATGGAATCCATTCAATCCCTGTTCCTTGTTGCTCTTTTCACTGCCTGCAGTCTGTCTGTCTGTATTGTTCCTCTGCCGCTGCGCTGCCCTGACCTGACGGCCACTCTGACTTCATCTCGGCCCCCCTGCCCACCCTCCAGCGGCTCATTTCCTGCCCCATCCGAATCCCTCCCCCCTCTCGCAGTGCTAGGTGATTATTCGCCTGGTGTCGCTTTTCTGCCCTTGCTCGTGACCTCAGATCGACGCTTGGGACTGGCTGCTGCTTGCCATTCAATAATTGGGACGGAGTACTAGTCGATCCGTGATCCCTTCTCTTCCCCTTCCAACCCACCACCCCCGGTCTACTGGTCTACCTACAATACCAACCTAAGGTACCTACCGAGTGCAACCCCCCAAACAAGGCTAGGTACCGTTCCTCCACCCGCCCTGTGCCTCACACCACCACCCGACCTCCGCCTCGCGACGCTGCGTCCGAAAACGCTCTCCTTCATCATCTTCGCCTCCGTTTGTTCCATCGAGTCGCATGCGGTTGCGATTGCGGCTCCCACCACCACGAATCCGAGTCCCGAGTGCCCAGTCCGCATCCGTCCATCGCCGTGCGCGCGCCACCTTCGTCCACCACCAACCCTTTACTACCACCTTTTACTACCTTTGCAGCACCGCACCGTCAGGGTTCTAAGGGAGGACAAATCTCCGGTTTCCCAATAACACCGACGAAATTCCACCGTCGCTTGATCACGCTGTCCTCGATCCTACACCTCCAACTCCGGCTCCAACTCCGATCTCGACCTCAACCTCATCCTCGACGACTCCCCCCACAACCCGACACGATGCCTGCTCTCTGCGGAGGTTCCAAGACGGTTCAGCGCAAGCTGGTCCTGCTGTGCGTGCGCCTTTTCACCTAGCTTTCGCGACCGTTCCGCCGCGATCCATCCTAGAACCAAGACCAGGCCGCTGACTTGACTGCTTAACAGGGGCGACGGTGCTTGCGGAAAGACGTCGTTGCTAAATGTCTTTACGAGAGGGTATGTCGCGCTCCCGTGCTGCTTGCTCCTGGCCAAGACCCCGACTGATCCATTGCGCCAGCTACTTCCCGACCGTCTACGAACCCACCGTCTTTGAGAACTACGTTCACGGTACGACTCCTCCAACGTCCCTCCTGGACTCCCGCCTGCATCGAGACTAACGATTCCCCCAGACATCTTCGTCGACAGCGTCCACATCGAGCTGTCTCTCTGGGACACGGCCGGCCAGGAAGAGTTCGACCGGTTAAGATCCCTCTCATACGGTAAATGCCCCCTGTTCCCGTCACCCCCTCACCGTCACCTCGACCCCCGCGCGCCCACATGCTAACCGGGGTCCTCTATCGCAGATGACACCGACCTCATCATGCTCTGCTACTCGGTCGACAGCAAGGACTCGTTGGAAAACGTCGAGTCCAAGTGGGTGGGCGAAATTACCGACAACTGCCCGGGCGTCAAGCTCGTCCTAGTCGCCCTCAAGTGCGATCTTCGCGAACAAGGCGAGGGCGAGGAGGACGACGCCGAGGCCGGCGACCAGCAGCGCGAGAAACGGCCCACCATCACCTACGACCAGGGCCTCGAGGTCGCCCGGCGCATAGGCGCGCTGCGGTACCTCGAGTGCTCCGCCATGAAGAACCGCGGCGTCAACGAGGCCTTCACCGAGGCCGCGCGAGTCGCCCTGAGCGTCCGGAAGGACCGCGAGGATAGCAAATGCACCGTCATGTAAGAGCTGGACAAGCCTCAGCTCAGCCACGCGCCTCGTCACCACCAAACCCTGGAGACGAGCCACGAGTCGAACCCGTCGAAAGTTGTTATCGAAAGCGAGCCAGTACCCATCCCTCTACGACGTGTCCCTGGGACACCTGGCATGGCGGCCCATTTCTCGACCGCCTCCCTACACTACCCTCTACGCAGGCGTTTCGGCTGAATTGTTTTCGAATTCTCATCCCCCCTCCCCGACCCCGTCGGGCTTCAATTGTACATAGCGAGTGCGGCATATATGCACATAGGGATTGGTGTTGCATGTGGGCTTTATTATTATCGTTGTCGTTCTCGGTGCTTGGACGGCATTTGTCGCATCCTGGAGATACGTAGCGGAGGTGGAGGCGGAGGGCCAAGGAGAGAGGCCCTCCCTCATCTACCGCCCTTGACAGATTTATTTTTGCTATGTGGTTTTTTTGGTCATTTTTCTTCTTCATTCTCGGCATGTATCCCCCCTAGTAAGCGAAGTTCAATGTGAATTCGAATTTATTCTCTCCACGCAGCGTCTGCGTGGAAGTTGGAAGGGAGGGTGTCAGTGTGGCTTTGCGGGTAAGCAGAAGTGGTGAGGTGGCCAACCGACGCGCACGCAGCATGCATACGAGGGCACATATACGAAGAGCCACGGCGTGATGCTACGTTGGGACACTCCATCTTGCAGGTTTGCGGCACGACTTGCACCGCCCCCGTGGGCCATTGAGATCGGGCGCATCGATGCTATGCGAGGTGCCCCATTTCGAGGTGCCCCATCTCGAGAGGGGTGCGTCTTGTTCCAGCTTTGTTCTGGCATCTCGCAGCTGTTGTAGCCGAGGTCACCAGGCACCTTGAGAATGGTGTGTGACACGGCTTCCAGAAGGGAGCGTCGGAGATTGATGCCCGTGGCGCTTCGATGGAATTGAATACGACGGTGTTATGCGCGAAAAAGGTCCGGCTCATGTTGTGTGACGTGAGTATTTGGTCTTTTTGCGGTGTTAGTAATGGGACATTATCCAAGGTACACTGTCCGAGTCCAGGGCACATTGTCCAACGCACAAGATGCGACGCTGGCTACCTTATCTCCTACGTATGCGACATTCCCGAGTGAACACCACCAGCGTCATAGCCAGCTTCAGGATTGATGTGACGATGTACGACGCTCATCACTTTCCTTGAACGAACAGTCCCTGGCACGCAGCGCGTCATTACAAGGCCGTGATTGGTGGGCTCCCAGTTTCCCTGGATCGTCGTTGGCTAGACCCTCGAGACACCCTTGAGGATTAGTCTACCCTACACCACTTCTTGACGTCACTGCGATAATCCGGCAGGAAACATGGCTTCAATGCGTGCAAGCAGGTTTGATGCTCGACAAGCCAGGTCATAAACGACTATTCTGGGCATCATGGTGTCCTCGGTGAAACGTAAAAGGCGATGAACAACCCAGTTGCGAGGAACGGGTGTCATTATTCTATTTTCATCAAACGTTAACTTCACGTACTCCCTGGTTACTTGTGGCGTCACTACAAAACTACAACTAACAGCAAACACACTTAACATGCCCTTCTTCGGCAGTCGACGGGAGCCTTCGCCCGAGCCGGTCGTTGAGCCGGAGCCAGCCTACGAAGCACCCCGAAAACAAGGCAGCTTCTTCCACCGTCGTGAACCGTCTCTCGAGCCAATCCAATCGCCCGTCTACGACGAGCCCAAGAAGAACGGCTTCTTCTCCCGGCGTGAACCTTCGCGGGAAACGGTCCCGGAGCCCGTCCATGAGGAAACACCAAAGAAACACGGCCTCTTCCAACGCCGCGATCCCTCGCCTAGCCCCACAACAAGCACCCGCTCGACCGGCCGCCGCACATCGCTGAGCTCCGTGTCGACGTACCACACGGCCGGCCACAACGAAGGCGGCCTGGGGCTCTTCCGGCGGGGCACGGATGCGAGCTCGTCGACGCAGCGCCGGGGGATGCTGCGGCGGAGCTTCGGCAACGGCAACGGCAACATGCACCACGAGGACGACCCCAGCGTGCTCGACGCCCGCCAGCGCGTGCAGAACGCCGAGGCCATGGAGCGCGAGGCCGACCGCGCGCTGGAGGAGGCCCGCGCCAGCGTGCGCGACGCCCGCGAGCAGGTCAAGCGGCTCGAGGTCGAGGCGCGCGAGGAGGCGCGCCGGGCCAAGATTAAGCAGCACCAGGCGCGCGAGGTGTCGAAGCTGGGCAAGGCGCTGGGACGTGAGTATATTTCCATGGCACGGATCACGAGAATGATGCTGACAATTGTCCGATTCCAGGACATGGGCCGTAAGAAAAAGAGCCGAGATGGAAACGGGTTTCTTGAGAATTTCCCGATGTGGCGCTGGACGAGGGTGAGATTGGTCTGATCTCAGTTGAGCTTCTCAGTTGAGTTGTGTAATTTGGACCGGGGGAGTGAGTCACTTCTTCTTTATGGAATTTAGTCTTTCTGGCTACTATTTATTTATGCTTATGAACACGTCCAAAGAAGCTGGTACTTCTTGAGAATAGAAACAAAAAAGAATACACAAAGATCAAAGATGCAATTACACAGGACCCTTGCAGCGAACCAGAATAGAACCCACGACGCGCATTCACCGGCACCGCGAGGCCGAACTCCTAGGTTTAGCAACGGCGGATAGGCAAATCCGGCGTTGAAGACGCGCCCCGTGGTTTCCGATAGTCCGAGCCTGGTCCATGGGAGCCCGGTGTGGAAATGCCATACTACGTAAAATGAGATTCTCGCCGCCTGTGGTTGGATCGTCTGCGCGGGCGAAATTGGATGGGTGCAGAAACCTGGTTGCGACGGCACTATTTTTGGCAGGATGGCTCTCCGACTCCTGGGAAATGCTACCGCTGGGCCACTCCACATCCACCGGGCCGCTTCACCGCGCACATGCGTGTAGATTTCGGTGAGATTCGAAAGCCCGGATGTCGCTTGCTGGCGTGGTTGCCGTTGGAGCCGGCAGCCGAGGGAACATGACGGTATTGTCGTCATTGGAGATGATATCCCGACGATGCTTTGTTCCCAGCGGCCCTGCGACACATTGCGCATATCTGTCTCGGATATGCGTGGGCCGGGCTGCTCCTATGTGCAATTTCCAAATCTGAGATCTGCGGTGCTATGTGCAAACCCGTCGACATCAAACAGGCGGCGAACGGCCCCCTGAACCAGCTGATAACGACCCATCCATTGCCAATGCCGCCATTGACGACTGCCCAGCGACATCTCCACCGCCCCCGGGGGATTGACCATGGACCCAAGAGCCAAAGGGGGTTGAGAACCCGGCCAATCTGTCGTCGCTCGGTGGAGTTTAGCACAAGTACGGTTTATTCTGGTCGACTCTTCAAAGGGATTTGCCCCCTTGCGAGAAAGCCGAGCGCTCTTGGCTCCGGCCGCGTCTCCAGTTTAAGCCGCCAGTCACCGCGCTGCGTTTCACGTCCCCAGACGTAAAAGGCCCGGGATGACTTTATGCTAACTCAGTCGAGCTGGGATATATCGCAACCCGCAACCCAGGCTTCCCAAGCCCAAGGGGGGGAACAGACGCGCGGCTGGTGGTTTCCACGACGGGGTCCTTGCCCCGTTGAGCTTGCATGGCCTAGCTTGGGGCCTTGCTTGGCTGGTGGAGTTGTATCTGGCGTCTGGCGGGTTCGCTGCGGGTTCCGTTGAAATTGGCAAATTGCAGTCCAGCGCAAAGTGTTCCAAAGTTGGGGATGGCCTCCTGACTATTCGCTTGGTGTGGCCTGGGCAGAGGGAACTCCTTGTTTCTTTAATTCTCTTGGCCTTGTCCACTTTTTTGCACTTGTACCGGCTTGTCTGTCCCTCCTTTGATTTGGGCAGCGGATCGAGGAATTCTCTCTTTATTATCCTCGTCGTCTGTTTCAGTCGTCTGCAGTCCCGCTCGGTCACTCATTTTTCATCGTCGTCGTCGGTTCATTTACTGCGTCGACGCTTCGTTGCCGACTCGATTCACTCGTCGTCGGTCATTCACCATTCCTTGATTGAATTCCGCGACAGACACTCCTTTTCCCCCATCGAGCCACACGAATTTCCTGCGTAAGACCGTCCGACGCCGTAACCGCATCGGCCCCAAACCACCACGGCCATGATCTCGCGATATCTCGCCACGGCGGCGGCCCTCGTGGGCCTCGCCGTCGCGCAGACGACCAGCGACTGCAACCCCCTCAACGAGACCGACTGTAAACCCAACCCGGCCTTCGGCACCAACCACTACTGGCACTTCAACGAGACGCCTTCGATTGACCTGTGGGAGACGCACGTCGGCTACGTACCCTACGACGAGGACAAGGGCGCCACCTTCACCGTCACCAACCAGGGCGACTCGCCCACCATCCGCACCACCTTCTACTTCTTCTTCGGCCGCACCGAGCTGCACCTCAAGGCGGCCGGCGGCGTCGGCATCGTCAGCTCCATGATGTGGCTGAGCGACGACCTGGACGAGGTGGACTGGGAGCTGCTGGGCTACAACGACACGCACGCCACGACAAACTACTTCGGCAAGGGCCGCGAGGACTTCTCCGTCGCCGAGTCGCACTACATGAAGGACGGCATGCAGAGCGACTACCACAACTACACGACCGTCTGGACCTCGTCCAAGCTGGAGTGGTTCATCGACGGCTCCCTGGTCCGCACCCTGAAGCCCGACGACGCCAACAGCACGCAGAACTACCCGCAGACCCCCATGCGCCTGAGTATCGGCATCTGGGCCGGCGGTGATCCCTCGCTCCCGGATGGTACCCGAGAGTGGGCCGGCGGCACCACCGACTACACCAAGGGCCCGTTCAACATGTACGTCAAGAGCGTCACCGTCGAAGACTACAGCTCCGGCAAGGAGTACTCCTACGGCGACCAGAGCGGCACCTGGAAGAGCATTGAAATCACTGCGTAAGTCATTCCAATCCATACCCTCACTTACATACTTACACCAGAACAGCGGCAACTCGACGGCCTACGAGGCTCTCCACACAGAACCTAAAAAGTCCACTGCTGAGAAGTGGCAGTCGCTGCCCACCGCGACCAAGACGGCCGTGTACGCAGGCGGTGCGGGTGCCCTGGCCGCCGGTGTCGCTGGCCTCGCCTTCTTCTTCCTCAAGCAGCGCCGTGCGGGCAACGCAGAGGCCCAGGCGGCTACCGAGAAGGCCGAGTCGGAGCGCCATGAGCTGATGGGGTTCAAGAACGGCGAGGACTCTGCGAACCAGGGACACGAGTACAGCTCCGGCGGATGGAGTAGGTTGTAATATTGGAAGATGAGCTGAGCGTGTGGCAAGGAGGAATACACTGGCTCTCAGGTCGAAAGGCACCGTCTAAAACCGTGCTGACAATTCAATCTCGGCGCTGGACATGTCCCGGAAGAAAGGCCCGTCCTGAAGGATCCGTTTCGTGGTCCCGTCAGGGTCAATGCCGGCGGACCTCAAGTCGCCACACAACACACGACCTGAAACTGGAGACAAGTTACAGCTTGAGGAGAGTCTGAGGGGGATGAGGTTTTCTATTTGTGTGGTGTGGTCACCCCGGTGTCCATTTTGTGGCTAGGAAGCCCACCAGTCAAATTTGCATGGTCTTCACCATTTTCCCATTGTCATCATCTGCGGCGGTCGTTTAGCACCCGTCGGAAATATAGTATTGGAGCGTTCTGGAAGGCTCGGCGTTGTTTTGCATACCGGCGTATAGAGGGAATTAGAATTTGGTTCTTACACTGCGCGTGATGCTTCCGGTTTGTGAAACTGTGATGGTGAACGTATAGGCAGTTGTTTTATGTTTGGCACTTCCCGCTGAGTCATGGTTGGTGATGTACATGACTGCTGTTAAGGTATGTTGTGACGGTTGTGCTCCTTGACGGAAACAAGGACGCGTCAGGGTTGGAATGGTTGGTGGTACAGTCCTCACGGCTCGATTGTTCGCTCAATCATGACAACAGTATTGAAATCAAGCCGCCCCATAGCACTTTAAGAACATGGTGAGCAATTAGTGCATTTCCTAGAGCATCCATGTGGTCAATAATATCCCTACAAGGGTCCCTAGGGTAATGGTTCTCCGGTATAAGACAGCCTCAGGGCGAAGTAAGCCGAAGTGAAGAGGGAAGTTTGCGGGAACTTGATCTCATTGGGGACATCTGGGCAACTACTCTGGCCACCAAAGGGGGTCTGATTGGTGCCAGTAATGGCCATTATGGTAATAAACATGAATGTCTGTAAGGTATTGATTGGTCTTTGAAACGTGGTCTTGGCCGCTGTTTATAGACCTGCCGTCCTAATGCCACGATTCCATCGCCTCATTTCTGTGTCGCCTAGTCTCCAGCCTGGAACAACACACAAGTCCCTCCCTATTCGTCGCTAAATATGTTCCTGCGGGAAGTTTCGCCACATCACAGTTCTTTCTGGATCTGGGCTACCAGGTCTACGAACGACTTGTCACTAGGTTTGAAGAATGCACACCACGCAGGTTCAGAAATGGCTAGGAGCTTCAAGATATCAGGGCGCTTCGGGGACCTGACTACTAGAAATATCGCGTTCTTGATCTGGTACTTGAATCACCACGTTTTAGTAGATGCTAGGCCGCCTCCGGGCAGCTATTGTGGTGGCCATGACACTGATGCAGGTATCGAGCTCTCAGCTATTGTCACACGCCGATGGTTCACTCTGAGCGAAGACTAGTTTACCACTTAAGGAAACCCCATCCAGGTATTACTCCAATTCTGCAAGGTCATGGCGTGCTGAAAATAAAGGTGTTAAGGCCTGAATAAGAGCGCTTCTTCAGGCAAAATGGACTCCAACGTCCTGGTTGGGCTGGCGCAGCATCTGCAATTGTCTTGGTCTAGGGTAGGTCGCACCTCGATGGACTTTACCTTCGATGAAACAACCAGCATATCTACTCTCCAGCGCGATATGATCGTCGACAACCGAGAAGTGTAATCTATGAAACGAATACTGCTATACTATATGTTTGTAGATCTAGGTAGACCCCACATTAACTCCCAATAGTTAGAAATTCCAACTGCATCTTGAAGCCGGAGGGCCGTTCGAACCCGTCAAATTGAAGGAAATTACCATCTCCGAATGGTATTTTACGATTAAGAATGTAAAGAATAAGAGACGAACAAGTGTCGTCGGACTAGATGGGAGGCTGGAGATGCTGGAGAAGTTTCAGTCGACAGGAATGCCGTTACTTGTGGCACTAAAGCCGTACCACGTGCCCGGCTGACCGACATAGGGGCTGCACCAGCTCAACGTTTGACCGCAGGCTTCACTTAGCCTGACCTAGCTGGGTTAAGGGTCGTGAAATGGGTTTGATATGGAAAAGGTGGCTGTGGTGGTGTTGATCAGCGCGGAGGCGGAAGCAAAACAAGGACAAGACGTGAGGATGCATGTCGTAGAACAGAGCGTACAGGATAATCCTGGCACCTTGGCGATCGGTGCCGTCTTTTAGAGCTTGGTAACGACGTATTTGGGTTGCGCAGCGTACAGGCTTGGCGGTCTCATACCCTTCCACACGTCTGGCTTGGCGACGTGGGGAGGTTAGGGATGCTCGCGAGACGAGCCGTGGTGATGGTATTCAATGCTAAGCAACCGGCCGCTTGGTAATTGTATGAAGATGGACGAATTGAGGAAATGCGATGTGACGGAGCCGGCCGAGGATATTGATAGATACTCGTGTCATGTTGGACTTTGAGCAGACATGGGAAAACAGACGTCGCACACTTACATGTGCGGATTGCTATACGTAAGATACTGGAGTCGCCTGGGATTTGTTTCACCTATAATTTGTGTGACAGGAGCTCATCTCGAACGACTGTAATGGAAAACCTGGAACGCGCGGAAAGATGGTTTGAGTTGAAGCATGTCACGACTACGCTGAATCCAAGTACGACGTGAGAGGAGCGATGTTTTGGCCACATGTGGGGGAGCAAGCCAAAGGGGTCTACCGTATCGACTCGATAAATTGCCTTTGTTTTATGGAATAAAGCTAAGCTATGTAAGGCTTAGATTTTCTAAATCATTTATTATTATTAGGTATACGAAATCCCGAAGGCAATATGTGGGGGAAGGATTCAGGGCCAATTCACTGAGTCGATACGGTGGTCTACCACGGACTTTTCTCAAATGAACCTTTTCGTTAAGGTTAAACTTTTCATTAATAACAGTCTTATTTTAAAATGCCGAAGCTAGACCAGGCACGCGCCTAGTTTGTGAGAGCACGAGAAGTCGGTGCCTATTTCGAGACTGGCTACGATCCATTCCCGGGGATCTGATGGAACACTCCAGCAGTCGTGCCAGATTCCAAATCGGCCTAGACAGTGCTGGGGAATATTTATTCGTGACTTTAGTCCCTATGGTATGGGCAGTTTCCCTACGTGGACTCGCTGGTATACTTTCAGGCCCGTGGCTGATGCAAAGCCTATCTCGAAGTCGTAAAACAATTTTTCCAAGCCGGTTTACCAGACACTACACGAACCAGGGTCCGACAATGGCCGGCAGAATCAGTGCAGCATCGGTGCACCAGGGTAACGCACTGCAGTGATTGCGGCCACGGTGTCACGAGACCTTGCCCATAGTGGAAATCGAGGCATAGAGGTGAAACAGGCTGACAAGCCAATAGATTGCTGCTACCAGGCTATCAGCGAACATGATGCTTGCTGTTGGCCCCTCCATTGCCCTGGGTCAGCATTTGCAAAGCTCATCTCCATGCGGAGACTCGTCGACCGGGCGAGACTCATCCCAAGAGCGGTCCGGCCGACGTCTCGAACGTTGCTAGAGTACAGAGGCACTCCATAATATTTCCCTTCCGAGCCTTCAATGGCCTCACTATAATGGCTTACTGTCTGGCTCCCACTTATGGGCTGATGATCGGCTCGTCAAGCTCCCAGCAGTCTACCGGCCGCGAACGCCAATACCCAGTCCAACGACGGTGCGCGCATCCACAGAGGCAGGCGAACGTATCTACACTTCACTCCGTAACCCAAGCCGGTAGGAGCTCACGCTCCCACTTGCGGCCATGGACACGCCTGGACGCTAGTGACACAGTACTGACATCCCGCACGTGTAGGTGGAGAGGCGAGCGGCGAGAAGTGCGTATAAGTCAGTCCAACAGGTGCCACAGACGCGACAGCAAGGACTCGCGCAGCACCAAGCATGGGACGATTGCGTGTCCGGGGATCCAAGATAAGCTCCGCCCAGCATGCTGTACTCGGTATTACACTCCCAGCCCGCATCTGCGCAATATAAACCTCTCGCTTGCTACTTAACCTTTGTGCTTCGCTCCCCGTGTCTCTCATCTCTTCACCCCAACACCCACTTCCCCTCTCCCCTTCTTTGGATTCTTTCATCATTGTTAATTAATCCAATTGGGAATTCACTGTTCACCTGAGTTCCTGAAGTCACCATGACGCTCTCTCAATACGACTACATCTTTGCCATTGGCACCATGTTTGCCATGCTGGATGCCTACAACAACGGTGCTAGTAAGTACCTCATCCCATGCTACACAAACCCATCTGCATCCCCTTATCCCCTCAATACTGACCACCCTCCACAGACGATGTTGCCAACGCCTGGGCCACCAGTGTCTCTTCCCGATCCATCAGCTATCGACAGGCCATGATCTTTGGTACCATCTTCGAGATGCTCGGTGCCATCACCGTCGGTGCCCGAACCGCCGATACTATCAAGAACGGCATCATCCCCAACGAGGCCTTCCAGGGCAATGCCGGCGTCCAGATGCTCGCCTTCACCTGCGCTCTCGCTGCCGCTTCGTCCTGGGTCATGTGGTGCACTAAGCACTCCGCCCACGTCTCGTCCACCTACTCTCTCATCTCTGCCGTCGCTGGTGTCGGTGTTGCTACCGTCGGTGCCTCGCAGGTCCAGTGGGGATGGAATGGTGGCAAAGGTCTAGGCGCCATCTTTGCTGGTCTCGGCATGGCTCCAGCTATCTCTGCTTGTTTCGGTGCTACTATCTTTATGCTCATCAAGGTTGTCGTCCATATGCGCAAAAACCCCGTCCCCTGGGCTGTCTGGACCTCGCCCTTTTTCTTCCTAATCGCCGGGACTATTTGCACCCTTTCCATCGTCTACAAGGGTTCCCCTAACCTGGGCCTCAACAAGAAGCCCTCGTGGTATGTCGCTTCTGTCACTATGGGCACTGGCATTGGTGTCGCTACCCTCGCCGCTCTTTTCTTCGTCCCTTTCGTCTACGCTAGAATTCTCAAGAAGGATTATACTGTAAAGTGGTATATGTTCCTTATGGGTCCTCTCCTGTTCACTCGCACCCCTCCTGCCGACGCGATCCATGCTCAAGTCCCCGATTACGCCGTTGTTCAGCACCACGATGACGATGACGAGCCCCCCAACTCTCCCGATTCCATCACCACGGATTCCATCACCGAGGCTGGTGATGCCAGTAAGAATGTCGACACCAGCGAGAAGAGCCTCGTCGCTGCCGAGACCAACCAGGCTTCTTATAAGGACCTCATGAAAAAGGGCCAAGAAAAGTTCCATGCTTCTCTCCGCAAGAAGGCCGGTCCCCTCGGCTGGGCCATGCGCACTCTGTACAACAACCCCATGGGCCCTGGCCAGATGTACGAGTTGAGCAACATCCGAATTCTCCTTATCCGTATCCCCGCTATGATTACCTGCGGCCTTCTCTACGGCCTCCACTACGATATTCATGCTGCTCAGAGCGGTATCTCTGGTACTCCCGAGGGTGAGCGTATGGCCCGTGTCTATGCCCACGCTAAGAAGTATCCTAATGAGGTCGAGCACACCTACTCTTTCGTTCAGGTCCTGACTGCTTGCACTGCTTCCTTTGCACATGGTGCCAATGATATCGGAAACTCTGTCGGCCCTTGGGCCGTTATCTATGGCGCCTGGTCTACTGGGGATGCCGCTGAGGCCAAAGCCGTAGTCCCCGTCTGGCAATTGGCTGTCCTCTCTGCCACTATCTCGCTGGGTCTTATTACTTACGGGTACAACATCATGAAGGGTAAGAAAAACCTAATATAACATATTGTGGACAAGCTTACTAACGAACCCAATAGTCATGGGAAATAAGATCACCTACCATTCTCCCAGCCGAGGCTGCTCTATGGAGATGGGTGCTGCCGTTACCGTTCTCCTCTTCTCTCAGTTCTCTCTTCCCGTATCGACCTCCATGTGCATTACCGGTGCCACCGTCGGTGTCGGGTTGTGCAACGGCACCTTGAAGGCTGTCAACTTCCAGCGAGTCGGTCTCTTGGTCTTGGCCTGGATCATGACTATCCCCATTGCTGGAACTCTGGGTGGTGTCACCATGGGTCTCTTCCTCAATGCTCCTCACTTTGCTTGAGAAGCACGCTTAATTCAGTCCTAAAGAAACCCACATTTGATACCATCGCACTGGAATTCTAGATTTATTTATTCGTACATGTAATGAGGTTGGGCGGCATAGACTGGGCTGAACGCTGGCGATTCTGAGAAAATTATTTTAGTTTTATACCTGGCATCGAGCCGTAAATTCGGTCAAGTTCTACATGGTTTGATTGCATTTCATTGCACCAATGTGAAATGTTTCGTACGTTGCTTGGATAAAAAATGTCTTGTTGTGAATGCGATCTTTCGCCTAGGATATTGATTGCCGGTCTGAAACCGAGCCTCCTACGGCAATGGGTGGGCTGAGGAGTCCTTTAGCCCAGTCCCGATTTGTTTTCGAGCTCCTCTGGCACTGACTGAGGGTCGTCTCACCCATGGGCCATGGCCAGCAATGATGGCTAACAAAATGCATTAGAAACATACCATTTTTGAACAATGTCTATCACGAGCCCTACACTCCCACACATATTTTTGATCATGTCTGTTGCGAAGATCAGTGACAATGACGTGGGGCACGCACTTCAATTTATACCCTCTGCATCGCAGCAGCTCCAACGCACACGTTGGATCAATGCATCGCACTGCCACCATTACCGTCGTGCAGATTTGAGTAATTAATCTAACCGTGTTCAACTGTCCGGAGCGTAAAAATATTTCCATGCTGCGCCACAACTAACCAGTCTCATCAGGAAGGCTTAAAGGCGAAGTCAAGACGCCGCAAGCGCTTACATGCCGATCGAGCTGTTCTCGGGGACCTGCTTTGCGGCCTCCCCGATTTCCTTCATAGCCGCTAGGATCTCCATCCTTCCCGATTGACTCCTTTTATGCAGGTAGTAGTATCCCTTTGCCGTCTCGGGATTCCTCGGCGACCTGCTGGTGGTCGGCGACTTGATATCATTGTTGGAGGCCAATCAGCCCTACCAGCGGCTTGTTAGTAGGACCGACTACTTAAATAGTCAGCTTACTTTAATTCAGCAGAATAATCCTTGACAGGCATCAAGGTTGCTAATTGAAATGAGCGACAGCGCCACATGTCCCTCAGCCACCGACTCGCCAGGTTTCAAGCGAGATCAGTGCAACTGCAAGCCAGTCCCTGGACTCCTACGCAAGAAAGTGGAGATGACTGGCATATTCCATCAGTTCTGCCCTATGCACACAGTGAACACCGCATGGCCTACGCATACAAGCTATGTTGATGGTCGCCGATCACACCGGGAATCATGTACGGTCCCCGCTGACATGGAGAGGCTGAGACGGGCAAGTGATGGTATTATTAAAGAGACGAGGTGTGCTGCCATGAATCACGTCTCATTCAATAAACATTCTGTACACAGTCACTTCCTAGCGTCATTGCCATGTTGCCCAAGTCAATTGCTTTCTTCGCGTTCTTCGTTCTCGGAGCAGTGAACGCGAAGCCATGCAAACCCGGCGCCTCTGTCACTTCAAGCGACCTGTCTCCCTCCAAAACAACTACTCCAGCATCCGAGACTACCTCCACTTCATACGATGCGACCCCGTCCCTCGGATCCTCTGGTGATATCTGCAACGGGAAAAACCCTGCCCCGAGCAATCGAGTTTGCGGCGCTCACGGCTATATTACCAACCATGACGGAGCATGGGAATTCTCGCTTTCCGCAGCTGATCTTGATTCATGCGCCGACCTCTGCTTCAGGAGAACCGGATGTGTGACCTTTTCCTACATGGACAGCTGGTGCCAGCTCTTTTCGACTCAAATTTCCAACATGGGATTCAGCCAAGATCGCAAGGGGCCACCTTTCCATGAGCTGGGATGCTTTAACTGTGTGCCCAACGGTCAGTTATCATGCACCCTGTTTTGACTACACCGAGGCTAATTGGTGCATAGGTCACTTAGTTTTCAACGTCGACTTTTCTGATCGTGATATCGAAGACTGGACACTCATTACCGCAGAAGAGGACACATTCTTTTTCGACATCCAGCAGGTTCAAGAGCCAGCGGGTATTATGTCGAATGCAGTTAGAATCTTGGAAGCGACTACTTCCGGAAGGGTTGAGCTTCGTCACGACCCAAAAGTCACTCTCGAGGCAGGAGGCAGCTATCAAATATTTATCTCCGCACAGAGCAAGTCTACAGGCAACGGGAGCTTGGGTGATGACTTTGGGCTTCTGACAATCATGCTCTACAACAAAAACGACAGAGCCTTCGAAGCCAAGCCTGGAAAAGGCATACCCCTCGGCATGGACTGGTATTCATGGCAGTGGAGCTTTTCACTTGACGAGAGCCAAGGTGGAGAATACTACTTCTCAATTTTGGCAGATGCAAGTGGATTGGAGCTTGATTGGTATTTTGATGACATTTATATTGAAATAAAATGAAATATGCGTAGGATATCGCCGGCAGTTGCGGATTCATTATACCGACGGAGTTTTTGGAGTATTTGGTGTTTTTTATAGCTTTACTGGACATTATTAGAGAGATGAAAGCTGTATAGTATTTGTAAATAATAGAAATATATATTCAGTACTACTTTTCCAGCGATCTAGCTTTTTCAAGATGCAGCTGTTGCTGCAGCTCATTGAGGTATTGCAAAAGGTAACCAGTTGGACTAGAAACCTTAGTCTGTCTGAGTAAACTGTTGACCTTTAAATGGACTGGGCAGATGGTCTGTATTGTTGATACTATTGTTAGTATTTTCTTTTTACTGTTAAGTTTCTAGTCCCCCCTCTGGGTATGTGTGTACTAGGGCACAGTCAATCTTTCATCGTTGGTAGGCTATGGACCAGCATCTGAGGCCCATATTAAGTTCTTTTCATCCACACTCTAATCAGTCGTCCCCGAGTGAGACTCGTTTCATACTAGGTGCGACCTTTCTTGGGATCAACCAGCCAGCGCCCGGGCAGGGCCTCGGCGGGGACTTGCAATGGCTTGATCGGGGTAAGCCGCGCGGCGGTCTTTTGAACGGCTCTTGGATTCAGTCTTGGCTTTCAATTGCATCGCGCCTGTCGCAATGGGATTGACAAGTGGTGGCTTGGGTCTGGGACTCATGGTCGCGGTGGTACGGCATCCGGGCCCTGCTTCACTATTTGAGGTACGGTAGCTGGTTAAAGACCTATATAAGCACTGAGCCACATCACACACCGACAGAGTTTTTTTGATCTTCGCAAGTTTAAACTGAGTTCACAGGTGTCAGGATTTGAAACCTTGAGGCTGCTCGTGACCACTGTTGTGGCCACCTTTGAGGTTGCATATAAAGTTGTGATCTTTTCCTGCGCTGCGACACCCCTTTGTTTAAGCATGACGCAAAATAAACAACAATAGCTACTTCTTGTCTTACGATGTCCTCTCAAGGTTTACCTTATCGACCCTCTTTCCAGTCAGCGTTGGTACCAATGCCGCCAACCACATCAATGAAAGCTGACAAGACATCTTGGCACTACTTTCCTCCAGAGGTTCGACTTCTGATCCTACAAGTCTTAATGAAGGACGGCTGCAGCCTGGCTGGCCTAGCTACAGTGTCGCGAGAGTGGCAGCGTATCATTGAGCGGCACAACTTCGCCCGAATCACCCTGACACCGTCACGCCTCGCCGATTTTGGTTCGATTATTCACCGTAATCGGGCTCTCGTAGGCTATATATGGCTTTGCTTGGAACTCCAAGAATATGGGTGCGACGAGTGTGCGTCTGGAGAGACAGAGGCGTGGTGCTTCAAGGAGACAGAGAATATCCTTATTGTCACGGCATTCCAGGATCTGTTCTCAACTCTCACCACATGGGAACCACGAGGCAACTTGCTACTCGATATCAGCGTTTACTCGCCCAGCGACTCCGAGCATTTCTTCAAATATCTGACATTTGGGCCTGATCTTCCTTCCCACGAGTGCGGCCGGGATCGATCCACAGAGCTGTCGATATTGGCCAAAGTTGACGACCGCCAGCACGGTTGGAATGCTGGCCTTCAATGTGTCGCTCCGGACAGAACAGCTTTTCCCAAAGTCTTCGGGGAAATCATGGGCGAAGGGCCGTTCGATGATGAGGAGTCCGAAAACCAATGTTGGCAGTCGCTGCCATTAATCCCGGTGGTAACAGGTGTGCTTCTACGTCAACAGAACCGCCGACGATGGAAGCCGGTCGCGCTGTCGCATATATTTGCCCGTCTTCCAAGACTCCAGGAGATCCACTACGAGCCTTGGAGGGAATGGGACCATCCGCAGCGGTTCACAGATGGAGGTGAGTGCTGATGTGTTCGTTTGTCATTCTCTGTCATGTGTTCGCTGCAATGTTGACCGATGACCACCTACTAATCCTCATCTTTGATGTAGATTACCAAACGCTTCTCAATTCGCTCGCTTCTGGCCAGCTACGAAAACTCGTACTCTTCGAGGATTTCAATGAACAGTACCCGGATTGTTTTAGAAAATACCTTTTTCTACAAATATCAAGTACCGAGAGTATTCGAACCCCGAGCTTTAATCTCAGTCGAACCGTCGCCAACACTAGTCTCAAGCTTGAGCACCTCTCAGCGTCGTTCATGGTGGATGCCGAATATTTCTTCTATGCTCGTGAACCTTCTTGGGAGTGGCCCAACCTGACTTCGCTTGCGCTGACTTCAAAGCTGCTCGCGCCCAAGGAGAACCCGGAGAACATTGACAACATGCTCCAGGAAGCGGCAGCAGCGGCCATGAAAATGCCAAATCTTGAAACAATGGAGATATGGAACGGACGAAAGGGATTGGCGATGCTCTTCAGGTACCAACAGCCAATGGAGAGCTGGCAGCCATCTGTGATAACCTTGAGAGGAACATGGGAATTCGCTATGCAGGCTTCTACGATTCGGGCTTGGCAATCCGTCGCAATTAAACACCATGGCTGCGGGTCCGTTATTGTCAAGGAATTTCTGGATTTTGGTGTTATCCAGTCCCATGGTGATGCAATCCACCATTTGAAGCTCTCGAGCACAGTAATTCGGCCAGTTTCGTTACGACAGATTCGGATGGAGCACAGAATTCGTGTGGGGGAGGTTGACTGGTAGCTCAATTTCTGTTGTCAGTCTAGGAAGATGGTTTAGTCTGAGACATCCTCTTCATAACAAGCACAAGTGAAAGTTGTACATTTGTCAAGTAGAATGCGAAAATAATACGGGGTGTTTTCTACGGCAGCACGTAACCTCGGCCACAGAGGACGAGGGGGAGGGATCTGTCTATGCAATGTTCTATTTGAACTACAGTGAGCAATAGTTGCTAGCCTAACTACCCATCTGTCTTTCACGCTCGCACCTACTCTCGTCCATCCCTCTCTGCGATTCAACAAGATTCTGACCTCCTCTCCATAGGTATTAAACATATGCTAAATTGCCGCCCCCCATGGAGATTCCCGTACTCTATTTAGATAGGAGGGTAAAATATTAATCGTCATATTTAGTCCAATATAAAAAAGTAGCCATTTTATTGTTTTATGTATACTAAGTTTTATTATATACTTTAGGGTCTAGCTAAAAGATTTGTATACTCACCCTCACCCTAACCCTAACCCTTCTTAGTCTGGGACATCCTCTCAATATTAAACATACACCATATGACCGAGCACCAACCACTCGCCACCGTCCTGCCACCGTCCTGCCCTCAACCCATCATCCCATGAATCAAAGCGCAATTGGTCAGGTCTTAGTTTCAGACGGTTCGCTCGAACCGGCTTACTTATCCATAACACCGCGGAAAGGTGCCCAACCATCGTTCTGGACCACTACCAGAACTCTGGATCGTGGCGCCTCCACTATGCTCACTCGAGATAGCTTCATAGGCCTAGATACCTATCTATGCGCATGCGATGTGTTGAAGGTATGGGAGCTCGTGTCAACTTTCGCTCCCCTGTCAATAAGAAGATTCGCAATGCCCATATGACCGGCCTTTAGAGCCTCCCAAAGTGATGTGTTGTGATTCTTATTACAAGCGTCAACTTGTGCCCCCTTGTCGATGAGAAGGCTCGCAATGGTATAACGGCACTCTGAACGTCTCCCATGGCAACTCCCAAATGTGTGAGGCTGTCTTGCAATCCATAAAAGTGGCGTGTCGTCATTCTGATCACGAGTGTCAACTTCTGCTCCAACATCAATGAGAAGCCTTACAGCAGCCTCACAATCGACTTCTGCAGCCCAAAAAAGTAGCTGTTGCCCTTGTTCATTACAGACGTTGACTTCTGCTCCATTATCAATGAGAAGTCTTGCCACAGCCTCAGAATGATCTTCAAAAACTTGTGGACGTGGTAGTCCCCCCCCCTTATGAAGAACGATGGCTTCTGCTCCATGGTTGACGAGAAGCCCTCTGGTAGCTTCGTGAAGCCCTCTGGTAGCTTCGTGAAGCCCTTCTAAAGCTTGCAAAAGCGGGAGCCGTCCCTCCTCATCACGGGTGTTGACGTTTGCCCCATGGTTGATGAGAAGCCTTGCAACGGCTTCATGACGCCCCCGTAGAGCTTGTGACAGTGGCAGCCTCCCCTCCTTATCACGAGCATTGACATCTGCCCCATGATTGATGAGAAGCTTTGCAACAGCCTCATGGCCCCCTTGTAAAGCTTGTGAAAGTGGCAGCCTCCCGTTCTTGTCACAAGCGTCGACTTTTGCTCCATTATCCATGAGAAGCCTTGCAACAGCCTCGTGGCCTCTTTCTACAGCCCGAGAAAGTGGCCGCCGCCCCCCCTCATCCATCGAATCCACGCTCTCTCCTTTTTGGAGAAGCCGCTCGACAAGGCCTGTCCGACCATTCTGTGCAGCCCAAGATAGCGGTGTTCGATCTTCGTACTCCGTCAAGTCTTTTCTACATGTTAGACCTTCTGTGATGTCGACTCCGTTGTAGACGCTTGAGGGCAGGTCCAGAAGAGCAGCTACTGCCTCCTTCTGACCGTTGGCTAAAGCAGCAAACAATGGATACTTATCTCTCTCTCCTCGAACATGAACACTGGGGTACTCTTTAAGCATTGTGCGGATGAGCTTCGAATACCCCTTTTCTGCAAGAAGATAGAGAAGACTGGCGTTCGGGCTGTAACGGCGAACTTTGAACTTTTCAAAAACATTGTTGACCCTGACCCAGTCAGAGACAGGAAACTGTTTAAGAAACTCCTGGTGAGAAGGGGCGTCCGCAGCATCCGCCATATCAACCGCAGACTCCGTGTGATAGAGAACATGCTGGCTGGCGTACTCCAAAAACGGATATTTCTTTGCGATTTTCTTTTTGTCGGGCTTTTTACCTATGGCTTCAAGTACCCGAGGATGAATCATGTATGTGCTGCAGCATTGTTTGAGCTTCTCGTGAGCTTGAATCTCCCAATTGAACCCAAAATCAGGCCACAGCTCCTGGAGGCCCTGATCTTTGACTAAAAAGTCTCGGACAGATTCATGAATGAATTGAACGGTGGGCTGCTCCGATGTTGTCATCTCAGCAAGTCCCTTGGAGGAGCTGATAACGCATCTGCTGATACTATGGGCAGCATGGTCGGCCGTAACGTCAGGGATATCGAGATCGACCCGATTCTCCTGTGACAAACCGGACCATAGGGCATGATAGTACTCATTTGGTTTCAAAGGACGCCCCGCGCACAGAATCAAGAGCATGCTTAGAGGGAGGCGCTCCCTATTCTCATTGTCGCGTGTGAGCATGTCCCTGAACAGTTCGCTCAAACCGCTCGGAATCTCTGCCAACCTTTTTTTCAGAGCCAGTCCACCTTGTCGATCTTCTTTGTTAAGAATGTCCACTACGAGGACGACCCACATGAAAACCCCAGCAGCTTTTTCAAGAAGTCGAGGTCGCAATTCAGAAAGCGCAGGGTCTTTGATTTGGAGCCGACTCGTAACGTAGGCTTCTAAGTCTTCAGCATGAGCTGGCTGGTTCTCTAGTGTAAGCTGAATCCCCTGCGGTATGTATATGTGGGGATAATGTCGACTAGAGAAGCAAATTCGGAACTGGATGCCATTGCTCGTAGATTGTTCTGCCAACTCTTCAAAGTACTGGACCATATTCACAACTTGTTGCTCATCGCATTCGTCCAGAGCATCAACGAAGCAGGTAAACGAACGGTGACCTAGTCCGGAAATTGCTTTGGAAAATAGGTCCGTGAGAGTATTCAGAGAAGACCAGAGGTTATGATCTTGAGACACAGGGTCGACATCGTCGAGGACGGACTGAAGATCAGAAAACCCTTTGAGCAGCTGGAAGAGCAAAGATCGGTACATTCCTAACATCGACTTTTCCAAGTATTCACCTCGAGCGTTGAAGAAGAAGAAAGCAGTAAGGCTATCTTTGTGGCGGACTTCGCGCTGCATGTTCGAGTATAAAAACTTCATGATCGTTGATTTGCCAGCACCCGGTTTACCATGGATCCATAAGAAGCCAAAATGTTTCTTTAATTTTGCAGGATCAAGCCACGATTGGTAGTCCGAGTGCTGGAGGAACTAATGACATGTTTTGGAGTGGGCCGTTTCGATCGTTGACAATCGAGACTTGAATTGGGCGAATTTGAGGGAGCCCAGCAAATCCCGTCGATGACCGCTAGAAACGCGCTGTTCTGTCGACCGAATGTTAGATGTGATGATCAGTGAACATTGACAAGACGTATAACTTACGAGTATCAGGCACCTTCACGGCTTCTGCATGCGTTTCCACCACAGGAAACACTTCGAGTAGTTCCCTAGCATATGCAGTCGCAGTCGCAGCCGCATACCTCTGCCATTCCTTATTCTGATGAGAATCTGCGTAATTGCAAATTCCCCGGATTGAAAGACATGGAAGGAAATCCATTACATCAGCGGCCTCTATTTCGAAACATACCACGTTCAGTTCTTGCGCAATGGAGTCCCGAGTTGTACCGCTCATAACGGCTTGGTCCCCCGAGGCAATGGCACCGTAATGTATACCCGGATCATCTGAACGACGATTGATTCGCGAAACCAGGTTGGAATGATCACATTCCTCACAAAAAGATGTTTCGGATACGTGATCATACGTTGCGCGGAATAGGAAATCTGATGAATTCGGGCGACTGTACTCGGGGTATACCTCGAACCTCTCCCGTAGGATGGATGGGACCCTACTGGGGCCCAGTTCATGTTCCGATCGTAAGTTAGACACGAGCTTGTTGAGTACTGAGTGGAGAACCCTCCGAGCAGTGACTGTCAGCGGTATCTGCCTGTCCCCGAGAGTCTTCTCGGAATCGTAATGCATCAGCCTCGTTCCGACAACAACATCACCCAGTCGAATGTCGGTCATACTGCTAGGCGCTCCGCACCCAATCCCCACCATCAAAGCCAAGCGGAGCGACGGAAAATTAACGGTCATGTCTTTTAAGAAGTTAGACGCATTGTTCGTCCCGTGCCGGATCATTTGCAAGCAAGCAATCACGACATTGTGTTGCTTGATGCGGCCAAGCGCGTAGGTGTTGCTATCAGTCAGATGAATAGGCAAATCTTCGTGACGCTCATCCAACATGGCACAAGCTGCTGTCATTTTAATATGCAACTGGCAGATCCAAACGATATGGTAGTCATCGCGCGATGTAGGTGGACCGTTTTGCGATCCGGGGTGATCATAGAAAACCTTCTGCTTCTTTGAGGTGCGCGAGGTGCTTGACTCGACACGGTCTGCAGGCCTAGGTAAAATGACACTCTGAATACGATCGACGTTGGAAGTCTCTTGGTCTCGTTCGAAGCGAAATTGACGCTTGGGATGCTTCGGCATCCCGGATCTCAGTAAACTCGGGGCTTTTGCCTAGGAGGACCACTGAACAGTTCAGTATGGACCTCAATGATACTATGGATTACATACACTGCATCGAGGCTCGAGCCGGCCGCCGTTTCGAGATGGCCCGTTGCGCGAGACTATCAAGCCTCTCGCGAGCATTGTCGTACTCGTGGTCCTGAGGCTTGAACCTGACCATGTCAAAGTGCGTGCGGGCAATAGCACATATATGTTCTGGGCCGCTTTCCCACGGACGGCAATGTGTGGCAGACGACTTGGTGACCAAAACTGAGGTTGGTCCAGTTATCGTCCACTCGCCATGCGCATCCTGTTCTCCATTAGTTTATACACATATATTGACAAAAACGATGCATACCTGATGAGCGGTTGGCGACTCAAGCGTTTCGTAAAAGCAAAAAACCTCCGAGTCACCGTTACTACCCAATGCTGTGTGGAATTCTCGTTGCTGGATGCTAAGTAACTGCGAATTGATACGGCTAATTGACTCGATGAGGAACCGGTTCGGCCCATCACCAACCAGTGGGATAAGCGAGCTGGTATCCATGCCTTCGTGTGGAACTCCAAAGAACACAATGCCATATACTACTTTGACAAGCTTCGTATCGTCCTCGGCAGTCGATTTCGATAGCGATATTAGAGCCTATGGTGCGGATTAGGATATTTGAACATGGCCAGACGTGTAAAGAGTCTCACTTGTTTGACAATTAACCCCCCCAAGCTGTGGGCGATCAAGATGATCGGTTTGATCGTTGGGGCTCTAGCTAGCGCAATCAAGGCCGTGTGGAATGATGTTGCGAGATCCTCCAAATTCTGTATGCTCTTACTCTGCGAAACTCTTGACTCATAGCCGTAGGTCATTACTCGCGCTATCGGGGTGTCATCGTTATTGTGAGTGATGTCGTACGGAAGGGCGTCTCGCAACCACATGGAGTCACTGCCTCTTTCTTTAAACGAGCTGAATGCATGTCCGCCAAGGCCGGGTAATGCAATGACACTATGGAAATCAGCACACGCTACCTCTTCAGATGGTGTCCTTACTCGACTTTATGATCGTCCGGGCTCGGGGCGTAGAGTGTCGTGATACCGAGGAAGTCGTCGCTGAGTGCAAGATATCGGTCAGGTCCATTCTCCTCTGCTTTAGGTAACAGAATGTACCACGTCTTTTTCTGAAGGGCGAGGGGGACAGTCTGGAAGGTAACCGTGGCGGTGCTGGAACGATCGCCAATCTCGTGGGCAAGGGATTTGATGACTGGACAGGCGGCATTGTCATGTTCAGTTAGGAATGACTTCAATCGATCGGTGTCCCAGGTGATGGGTACACCACGGACGCGGAATGTTCTGTCGTCTCTTGATGACTTGCTGTCAGACACGGTCGCAGGTGTGCGACCGCAACTGGATGGGTCCATATCTTGGCAAAGCAAGGATGGCCACGCTGCTCCTTCTGGATCGAATAATGAGGACGGTGTGACATTTGGCGAAAATTGTGGAAGATGAAAGGTGACATGAAGGCTGGATGTTTGTCTCCAGGTTGCACGAGCTGAAGCGAGGGCACCAATAAGACGGCTTTGTGAGACATCTACCCATCAATGTGGGCTGGGGCGGTATAACCTAGCGCCGAGGTGTGGCAAGACGTCTTTTTGGTCAAAACGACAAAGTGTTAGATGGTTGTGTAGATACGAATAGGGCGGTCAGACACCAAGCTCTTCAACAGCGCCCACCGATTGCAACTCAGGGAAGGCTTGCTGACTAGCAGTAGGTTCTGCCTCTAGAATCATGACGAAATGCACATTATTAATCGATTTGTCGACTGGAGGGCGGGGGGGCTCTTCCTCATCTATCCAAGTGCTCTCATGCTCAAATTTACGTTCCAAGGAATTGCAATTCATCAGAACCGCATGTGTCCCGGGACAAGACAGCGAGTGCCATATGGCTAAGTCCAATTTGTCTTTCATTTCTTAACTATAGTGTAGCCGCTCTCATTGCCCGGAGATGGGTGGATTCCAGTATGGGTATACTTGTGCATTATCCCTGGAGGGAACCCAATATTTGCATCAACTGCGTTTTTGCTGTGCGTGTTACAATTGCAAAGGCTCACGTTTGTGTTTCAAGCTCACTAACTGAAGTTTGAAAGAAAGGCAAATGTACAACAGCCTCAACGTCAAACTATTGTATTTTCTGGTACTAGGTGTGGTACTAAATGCGTGTCTATATGTTCTGTAATTACTGCACGGCTTTGACCTATCTGATGATTTTTAAAGCTAAGGAACGAAATGCTTGTGCATTATGGCGAGCTCGGAAGTAGGTAGTGTATCACAGGGGCCGCCCCATGTCTCTATTAGCTTTAAAGTCGTCAGTCAGCCACTAAGAAGAACCACGAGCGGGTAGTCAAGAATCAAGTTGCTAAGGCTCGGGAATGTTACAATTCCTGGAACTTAGAATCTCTTAACTTAGTGGTCTCATCTAGAGAATACCGTTTTAATTGTAGCTAAGGAGGCAATCTTACAGGCGCCTATAAAAGACTTGGGTAGTATGTACAGTGTCTATCCTATTATAGTGTCGGATATTTTTAACGCTTGCAAATCTTCATCTCAAGATATCTCAGAGGCGGGAATACCACCATGGCAAATCCGCAGCCCAGCCACATGCCGAGATCCGCCGCGGAGGCGGCCACAGAGATAGGGCCGATGTACCAGACCTGGGACATACCGAGAATAGCACCAACCCAGCCGATAATGAAACTTGCAAGGGCAGCCCATCCAATCGGGAGATATGACTTGTCCTCCCAGGCAGCCCAGTCAAAGCCCTGGCGGCCGCGGAAGAACAAGTGCTCCATTCCAACAATGCAGATCATGAGCATGACCCAGTAACCCATGAGGGCAACAAAGTTCTGGAAGATGACGAGCAGGTGCTCACGACCAGCCATAGCGAGGACCAGGGCAATCACAGCCAGGACACAGGACCACGTCCACCGGGGAATGGCCTTTCCGTAGCGGCCGAGGACCTGGCATCCCAGGGCGCCCGAGTAGATTGACGGAGTGCTGTTAGCGATGACACCGAGGGCGACAATGACGGAGCAGAAACGTCCGAAGCCATGGAGGGGTTCGAAGGCGGCAACAATAAGGGCGCCGGTGCTGATGGCGTTGGCGTCGGACCAGGCTTGGTTGTTGACGAGACCGGTGGCGAGGCCGATGGCAATGAGGTAGACGAGGTTGAAAGACAATGTCAGGCCGACGACGGTGAGCATGAAGATCTTGACCCGCGAGGTGCGCTCTGGGTAGTAGACGTAGAAGTCAGACGCGGCAGCAGCCCAGGAGTTGGGCACGTAGAAGCACAGGGTGAAAAAGGAAAGGCGGTTGGCAGCGAGTGTAGAGCCGGTCACGGTGGGCTGAGCGGAAGCGTCGAAGTATTGGCCAGCGACGCCGATGAGGACTGAGAGGGCGATGACCTGCGGGATCCAAGCGTATCTGGGACACACGTCAGTTTGATATTAACCATGCAGTGAAACATGGAAACATACCGTTCATATTTGTGGAAGATGGCCATGCCAAAGACGGCGATCAACAAAGTCACGATGGCAACGACAATAACACCGACGAGGATAGTCATGCTACCGCCGCTCACGGCAGAGAGGACTTGACCACCGATGATACAATCAATCGTAGTGTAACCGACCATGAGAACAACGTTCAGGAGAGTAGGCAGCTTGGCCGGCCAGTACCCCATGAAGTAACGCAAGACAACCTGCAGCATGCGAGTCAGCCATGGTTGCATCTAAGGTCGAGAGGATTCACTCACCATGGTTCGGTTTCCACTCTGCGGGCCCCATGTGGCCATGTATGCAGTCGAGCATGCACCAAGGATCGTTCCAAACACAGCCAGGAGAGCACTGTCCAAGAAGCCCAGGCCGAAGACCATGGGGCCGAAGAGGCCAGTGGCGAGGTTGTTGAGAGACAAGTTGGCGCTGAACCACAGCACGGCGACCTGGAGGTCGGCGGCGTGCGAGGCCGGCTGGCGCTCATCCGGAGGGACGCGCTCGATGCCTCGCGCCTCGAGGCCGGCGAGACCCTCGATGCGGTCGTTGAGCGACCTGAGGAAGGATGCGGGCGCATCTGACTCAAGCCTGCTCATGTTCTCCTCGGCTGAGGGCGCCGAGCTCACGGTGGCGCCCTTCTCGGCCACCATCTCAACATCATTAGTTGGCGACGCCATCCTGTCGACTCCCGGATAAGAATATAGTGATAATATATGACAGATAAATGAAAGATAGATGGACAAGACGCGTGGACGGACGGACGTGCGGGTGGTGTGGCGGCTACGGCGCGCAGTGCAGCATCACACGACAGACCTAGCCGAGAGAAGCAGGAGAGGTCCGGTCGAAAGAAGAAAACGTAGGAGCTGAATTGGGAGAGCAAGGTTACAGCGCGCGAGGAACGGGAATATACTAGAGTTTTGTTTAACAAGTCCTGCAGCAGCGGCTGAGCCCTCCAGGGAACGCCCCGGTCCTCCGCCGTTGTTCGCATGCGACGCCGCGAGACGCCCGGAGATGGCTCTGACAGTTTCAGTCCTAGCGCCGCCCCCTCTGGAAGCATCAGGGATTAATGGAGCTTATGCGCAATTTTTCCCCCATGCCTTTTTTCTTCTCTCTGCGACTCTGCTGCGCTGGTGGTTGGCGTTCGATGCTCTGGACCCTGGCCGCGCCACTTGGCCACTAGCTGCAGGATGCCGATGCAACTAGGGCGGAGTACGACGGTAAACTGCCAGGGTAAACGAGAGTTGCTCCCCCCGGCTGCGCTATGTCCGTTTCAAGCCAAGTTCATTCTTCATCCTGGCGCGCCGGGCGGCTCCAGCGGGGACCCAAGAGATAATGCGGGAGCCAAGAGATAACCCGGGAGCCAAGAGATGAGCGGAGCACTGGAATGCGCGGGAGCCAAGACATTTAATGTGCCGAATAGCCAAGAATGCGCGGGAGCCAAGGAAATGTGCTGCGGCCAAGAGATGTGCGGGAGAACCAAGAGATGTGAATGCCGGAGCCAAGATATGTAGCCAAGATGTGTTACTGGGAGATGATATGTCACTGGATTATTCTATTCGCACCTGGACGAGTCAGCCTCGAACTCTCCTTTTATCTCGACTCGTTAAATTACGCTAATCAGACTCTAGTTGAATTTACGCATCCCATGTCCATCTTCCAAGTACTCCGTACCCAATTGCCACCATTTTTTCCCTTTGATCCGCCCCCACGCTAGTGAGGGCATTTTCGCATTCACGTCGTCGTTACATCCACCTTGGTGACTACCGTGATGTGGTCGCTCGGCTTGTGCCGATGGGGTTTGGGATCACTGCTAACCTCCGCCTCGGTCTGGTATGGCTGTTTCACCAGATCCGGTCCTCTCGGGCTGCCCACGAGCTCAATTTCGCTGCCTTGGTCGCGGGACCCGTCAGTCCGCGTGCCATCTTCGTCTTCCAGTTTGGCCCATATGGATGCCTTACTCGTGAGCGGGTTGCGGCTCTGGGTCTTGCGACGGGCCGAGTTTTCCGGGTATGATGGGTTCGGGTATGATGACGGGTTTGATGAGTCGCCCTTGGAGCCGAGTGCGAGCCGGATGACGGGCCAGCAGAGCGGCAGGTTGCCGACGTAAATGGCCACGCCGACCTCGGTGACGTACCAGTAGAGGAAGACGTATGAGTTGGGGTTGCTGAAGTTGTAGTATCGGTTCAGGACTGCGGCAAGAATCTGTAGACTGTTAGCGAGCGTGACCTGTACAGCGGCACACATGTCTTACGTTGAAAATTCCCAGACCAAAGACGCAGCAAAGGCCGATTTTCCTGCAATTGTCAGTTGTTGTTGGCTTAGGCATTTGAGTTTGACAAACCTCTTCATCGGCAGACGGATCTTGATCATGATCGGGATCGGAACGCAGAGCAACATGAGATCTGATGAAATGTTGCACGCCGTGGCGAAGATCATGTGGTTATAGTAACTGGCACATTGGGCTGACGCCAGTTAGCAGCCACAAAAACGCCCGCATGAGATGACTTACATATTCTGACAGGGACCTCCCAATACTCATACGTATGGGGACTGCACCAGAAAAAGACAAACATGAAGGTGACGAGAAGGTAGGTCACGAGGCAGTAGCCGGCAACCATCTTGACGGCCAAACTCTGCCGTGTCGACGTGCCTTCTGTCAGTCGGCTGTACAGCAGCAACAGACATGCCTTGACGGTCCAGGTTGCTGTGAGGGTGAAAATCTCGAGAACAAAGGTCATCTTGCTTCCGAAGACGGCCTGCGCCCTTCCCTTGGCATCGAGGCTCTTGGCCACCTCCTCGGGCATATAGTTGCTGCCATTCTTGGCGACCTCGTTGATGCTGACGACGACGCCGGTGAAGTTGACCTGCGGACGGAGCGGGTTAGTATCGCCAGCTGGCCGCAAAGAGTTGTTGGTTGGGCACGCACGAGAGCAAAGACCATGAGATAGTCTTCAACCATGAGGCGGCCCCATTTGCCGAGCTTCATGCGCCTCGCGATCCTGCACGTTGGTCGTTAGCGATGGACGAAATGGCATCCGCGCGGATGGGATTTTTTTTTCGCATGGTACTCACAGCCGACACACGACGACGACGACGCCCAACACCCACAGGATCCAAGACACAATCTTCAGCGAGTCTACTAATTCCATGTTGGCAGGATGGGCAAAGCAGCCATGACTCGATTCAGCGGACGATCGCAAGAAAAGGGAAATGAATTTCAAACAGAGGCAACGCCCCTTTCTTTTGACGGAAGCTTAATGGCTGGAATGAGCGCCCATCGATAAGCGGGAGAGAGGATGCCGCCAGGGGCACATTGCAAACGAACCATTTATGCGCGTCGGGGAGTATCCCACGCGTTATACGCTGTACCATGCTCGATATTCAGCCACCCACCCAACCTGTGCAGAGATGTCCGGCAGTGAGCACCATTTGCTCCGTCCTTTGACTTTGGTCCTGCAGAGACGAAGATGGTCGACCAGGGACCCCAGCCATGCGGAATCTAGACTAACGCTGGATCCAGAGTCCAGTTACGAAGTACGGTCACATTGGCTCCGCCGGAGACAGCGGTTGAACGGGCCGTTTCCGGCCCATGTTCCCCGCGGTCTGGTGCAAATGTTAGGTCCCCGCGATCGTGCGATGGGTAGAATTGGAGCAGAAATGGAGCAGAATGGGGCAGAATGAATTAGAATGGAGCTGATATGGAGCAGAATTGGTAGAGCACTACGTAACCCTAGCTCTACTTCGGCACTCGAGTTTGTTTAGCGTCTTGTTCCAGAACCTTGAGATGCGTCCACCAGCATGAGGCCGTCATCACGAGCGTCTGAGAACACGTATGGAAGCGTGCGCCGTCTCCAGCGCAGCCTTATGTCTTGAGCTCGTGCCTGCTTTCTCTTTTTCGCCATCCTTTTTTACTGCAACCCTTGGCTGCTTTCCGATCAAAAGATGCACTTTGTGGGATGCCCATCATTTTCACCCCCAGCCCGTCGTTCAGCAGACGCTAGCTAAACCTTCAGGGGTCGTAAACCGTATGACGCCCCCCACTGCCAGTCTAGAACACCCCCAAACCATTCCATCAATGAAGATTCGGAGCTGCGGGTGCGAGTTTATTCGGAACAATTTCTTCTTCGGGGCAGTACGTTAACCCAGGAAGAGAAAAAACGCGAACGTCTAAGAAGGTTAGAAAAAAAAGCAAAGAATCGCGAGCTAAGCTTGCAATACCACCCCAGGACCCCTTGCATTCCCGCCTGGTTGGATTCTTGGATGTTGGTGAAGGCAAGGATACGGCGTCACGACGGCTCGACGCCTCCACGTCTCGAATCCTGACGACTCGGGACTATGGAGAGCCGTCGCTGCGCTAGAGCCCCTGGTGCTTCTGCGTCCTGGGTTGGTCCCCTGCACTTGGACGTTGATTTGCTTTTTTACGTATTGACGTGGTGCGCCTGGATGCGACTGGATGCGACTGGGTGGGAGTGGGAGCAGCCGAGATGACTGACCAGGTAGCATCAATCCTTCTCGCTCCCCTCCCCCTCATCTTCGCATGACTTGTCAGACTTTTATCTGCTGGCTACCCCTCGTCTCGACAGATAACAGGACTCGGTAACGGTTCCCGGCTAAGCATCGTAGCCAGAGGCCAAACGTGTCGTCCGTCGTCTCCGGACGTCGACTCGACCAGGCCGGGGGCCATTCGCGCGTCTATTGCGTGCGTGCAGTGCAGGCTAGGTAGTTACCAGCAGCGCGCGGAGCCCGGCGGCATGCATGCGTTGATGAAGTACCGCTTACCTATTCGCAATCCGTCATCCTCCGACGACATCCACCCGTTCCCTTGCCGCAGCACTGGCGCTATGATTTAACAGGTACGCTCTCCGTCCCGAGTTATGCGGTCGAGGCAGTAGACTTCTCGTTTGTTATCGTAAGAGGCAGAAGAGTTCTCGTACCGCCGCTCTCCCGTGGCGTATAAGTTTCTGGAAAATCCCGAGCAGGCCAAAAGATAGGAAGGAATACACAGCCACGGGTTTCACCATGACCATGACGGGCGAAACAACAACCGTCAACGCCGACGACTTCAGCTCCCGCAAGTTCGACTTCCTGGTCGTCGGTGGGGGGACAGCCGGCCTGGTCGTCGCCGCTCGTCTAGCCGAGGCCAATTCCTCCTACACCATCGGCGTGCTCGAGGCGGGAGGCGTCGCGGAAGATGACGAGGATATCCAAATCCCCGGCCACTACGGACGGTCATTGGGCGGCCGCCTTGATTGGCATCTCGAGACAGTACCGCAGCAAGGTCTCGGGGGGCGAAGGCTACCCTGGCCTCGCGGAAAGGTCCTCGGAGGCACCAGCGCTCTGAACTATATGGCCTGGAATCGCGCTAGTAAGGATGACTACGATGCATGGGAAGCCTTGGGGAATGCCGGATGGGGTTGGGACGAGCTTCTGTGAGTGATTTTCCCGAGTTTGCCAGGCAAAATGGCTGTATCAGGATAGCCTTGGTTGACTGATTGGGGGGGCAGGCCTTTTTTCAAGAAATCCGAGACGTTCCACCCACCCAGTAAGAGTGTGCAGGAACAATACAACGTATCCCATGACGCAGACACGTTTGGAACTTCAGGCCCCATCCAAGTCTCGTATCCCACCGACTACTCGCCCTCGCATCGCCTCTGGCACAGCACGCTCAATGCCCTGGGCGTTGAGACCAACTCATCCCACGTCGGAGGCTCAAACGTCGGCGTTTGGACGACTGTCAACGCGGTAGACCCGCGATCCGCCCGCCGGTCCTTCGCCACCGACTACTGCGCTGCTGCGCCGGCTAACCTGCACATCCTCACTCACGCGACGGTAAATGAGATTGTCATCCAGGATGTCGATGGCGAGTGCGTTGCCACCGGGGTCCGGTTTGCGTGCCAGGGCAGAGAACACGTGGTTTCCGTGTCCCGCGAGGTTATCCTCTCGGCCGGGAGCATCAAGTCACCGCAGATCTTGGAGCTTTCGGGCATAGGAAACCCCAAGGTGCTAGCCCAAGCTAATGTGTCCCTCAAGGTGGACAGCCCGATGGTCGGAGAGAACCTGCAGGACCACTTGAGTAAGGCACCACCTCGGATCACATTCCGTCTCCACATGAGGCTATACTGACTCGGCTGATAGTGCTGGCTACCATCTTCGAGGTCGACCCTCTTCTCGCTAACAAGGATGACGTGCTGAAGGATGAGACACTCGCAGTCGCGGCTCGGGAGCAGTACGATCGGGACGGGACCGGTCCGCTCACGATTCTCCCCGTCTCTCTTTGCTACGTGCCCCTCGCCCACATCGTACCAGACCAGTCTCTTGCTGGCCTGTACGCCAAGGCGGATGGGTTGACTGCGTTTGATGCAGAGAAGAAGGCGATTCTGCAGCAGCGGCTCGACGGCCGTGCCAAGCTGGGCCAGATTGAGTACATCTTCGATCTCGGCAACTGGAGCAACTTCTTCAAAGGCGAGGACGGCAAGAAGTACGGAACCATGCTGCAGATCCTCCAGTACCCCTTTTCCGTCGGCTCGATCCACATCTCTCCCGCAACGGACCACCCCACCACGGCAGAAGATCCGCCCGTCATCGACCCGCAATACTACGGCGGCGCACACGGCGCCCTCGACGCGGACGTCATGAAGGAGTGCGCTCGCTTTCTACACAAGATTGTCAAGACCGAGCCGCTGTCTGGCATCATCCTCGCACCAGCCTCGCCGTCTGCGGCCACGATCGACAGTGAAGATGGCCTCAGCGAGTGGATCGTGCAGAACACCATCACCGATTGGCACCCGGTAGGCACCTGCGGCATGGGCGGGCGCGCTGGAATCAAGGGCGGCGTCGTCGATGAGCGGCTGCGCGTGTACGGGGTTCGGGGGCTAAGAGTTATCGACGCCAGTGTCATGCCGCTTCAGATCAGTGCGCACATCCAAGCTACGATATACGCCATTGCGGAGAAGGGGGCCCACATGATTTTGGAAGATGCCCAGGCTGCCAAGTAAAGAAACAGCCTTGGCGTGTATATAGGTTCGGCTTTTTAGCATGCGTAGTGAGGCAGACACTCCACCATTTGGTAGTGCTCTAAATACATACTCGAATTCCTCCCAAGTATTTGCATTGAAACCCCGTAGAGGCTCATGTCTGAGACAGCCTTCTCGGCACGGCCCAGTACAGTGGGATGCACAAAGTCCTGATCCAAAGTGTTGTACTTGGTACGCACCGCTAATCTGCATTAAGGTATGATGTGTTGCCATCTTGATCAGGGTTAGGGTTAGAGGGAGTATGAAGATCTTTAAGCTAAACCCTAAAGTATATGAATAAAGCTTAGTATACGGAGTATAAAATAATAAAATAGATTCTTCATCTTCTTAAGCGAGCAATGCACTACATTATTTTGGATCAGGACTTTATCCTTCCCACTGTACTACCTAGAGATCATCAGGCCTTGGGCTTGGATAAGGCAATGCTGGCATCTTAATTTTGACCTTCTCAAGCTCCAAACACGCACATGATGGAGTAGCCCACGCCATTCGACCGACAATGTGACCATCTTTCACAAGAATTCCCACTCCGTTCTCACGAGAGAACTCATACTGGAGACCTCGGATCCGGTAAGCAACAGCCCCTCTGACATGTCCCGGCGGCTTGAATAGTCCTGCCCGAAACACATATGGCAGGTGGCATACCGTACAGGGTGTCGAGACTAGACAATTGCGCCCAGCGTGTCCGAGGTGGATAGTCCCTCCATGTGCACCACTCACTGCGATTTTGCTTATGGATGTCCCCGGCTCGCCCTTTGGGTTTGTGAGAGAAAGCGTCATTGCTTCTGCAACCCACTGGGCCCCGTCTCCTCCTTCCAGTGGCCAATTATCCTCCATTTTATTGACCCTTTTCTGAAGGATGCCCGTCAGTCTGTTGCTGCGGGTACCAACAGCTAGGTTCTGCTTGATAAATTCAAAGTCTTCATTATACAGTCGGGTTCCAAGTGCCTTGATGAAGGAATCAAGATCTGGTCCAGTACACCGGAGGACGAAGGACGCATCGTCGGCAAACCGGTGCATGAGGCCCATGTTGGGCTGCTGGTGAATTTCAAAGGCTACACCGACCCTTTCCAACGTGAGGATCGGGCCACCGTTTTCCCAGTCGCCGTTCTCGAATAAAAAATCGGGATGAAACTTCGGTGGTTTTCTTTCTGGACCAAGAGGCCAACTCTTCACATTAGAGAACCCGTGGTTCATATCCCGCCCCTGCTGAATATCTTCGAGACGAGGTGTCATTAGCAAAGGGCTGTAATCGCCGCCAGCAATGCAAAGTCTCGCGATACGTAGGTACTCGCGGTCAAAGTCATATCCAAGGGCTCGGTCATAAGTCGGCTCGACCAAGCCGATCAAAGCGTGTAGGAAATCGCGGTTGCTCTGGCACCTGCGTTTCGAGAGAAGATTGAAAGATAGCCCGAACACTGACGACTTCCCGTTGCCCATCTTCTGAATCGGCCCTAGGGCCCATGGCACAATGTTTTTGCCAATCTTCGCTCGAGCCTCGAGTTCTTGAGCTGACTTGTGTTTTGAAACCTCAATGGACCACACGTGGTTCATCTGGTTTAAGAAGAGAGGGTCGTTCTTGTTGGGGCAGACATCGAAGTCTTCGTCTATCGAGATTACTTGTCGGCTCCGAACGTACTCCATTGCTGTCCATACGCGACTGAACCACTTGATATTGCAAATATCGGTGATTGCTTTCAGACGTTGGTTAGTTCCCTGTGCCCCGTAGAGCGCTTGCAGGCTTTCTTTTCGGAGGTCTTCAAAATGGAGAGTAGTCACATGCGCTGATCCGTAGATGTCGGGTACGGCAAGAAGAATTCTGTCCTTGACATCGTTTGACCACTGCGGCACGCTGATATAATCGTGCCAAATCTCATCCGTCTTTGAAATCTCGCCAGATTTCAGGAGACCGCGGAGTATGAAGACGGGTAGCTCAATTACTCGACGACGGACTTCCGGGGGCTGCGAAGAGCCTCTGCCAAGGACTTGAGTACGGGATATTTCTGGATCCCAGACGTGAGAAATAGCACAGTACTTGATTCCACCTTGGAGAAGGCATTGTAGGTGTCGGTCATAGATGACGATGTTTTCGTCGAATGGTGTGTGGATCATCTTGCTGGACCCTAAAGGCTCGTCATCTTGGCTTGGGTCATACAAGCGGAAGGTCCGAGCAAGGGTTGCTGAACCAATTTGTGATTGACAGAAGCAGCAAATCAAGTTACCAGGATCCGCTTCAAACCAGAGGTCGTCCAGCTTTGGGAACTCTGGAGACTCCATCGGCAAGGCTGGAAAATAAGCGGAAATGTGGGTGGTGTCAGATGACGGAAATAGGAACTGCCGACAACACGACTAGACGGGGAAAACGAACCAGTATATGTAGCTTCGTGCATCGTGATGTCATGTATGCATGTCAGCATCTGATTATCTGGCTTCATCCAATACGCCGCGCCCACGAGCGCCCACGAGCGCGGCCCCAGTCACTTGGGAATGGGGTTATGGGGACAATCCGCTTCACACCGCCGCCCACAAAAAATAATTCCACGTTGTCATCTTGCTAATAAATTCGATTATTATCTAACATCGCAGCCTGTAGGGTACCCGGGAGAGGGAGGGTATTGGACGCGGCCCATTGTTGGTTGAATATTGAATTCTATATCAGCTGACCTATCGGTAATCTTAAGTAAATGCGAATGTATTTCTGTCTTCCATATATAATTTCTTTATACTACATATAAGAGGTTATTAAACTTTAATATCTATTAACGTCTATTATCTAGTCCTGGGTGTAGCACTGACTGTTTGTCTCTACTGTTCAAAATTACTGTACGCCTTTGATTTATCCGATGATATTGAGCAAGGCTAAGAAAAACCCGATTTAACATCTATTATAGCATTAAATATAGAAGTCTTTTTTTGAAGGAGATAATCCAACTCTTCTTCTTAAATTTTTGCCAGCTTAAACTCTACAAAGTTATTCGGTCTTACTTGCCTGCCTCTTAAGCTCTAGATCTTAACCTTTCTATCGGAGCCTTGTTTTCTGGAACCATAGCTGAAGCTCAACTTGTAGAAATCTGACGGGCTTGAGGCTGGGGGTTAAGCTGCCGCTGAGGTAGCTGAGGAATGCTCTTGGCTCGAGGCCACAGTCGATAAACTCAGCGTTCTTGTTGGCCGCCTTGCGGTGGACTTCTTAGTCGCCGCCCCCGCTGAAACACCAGCGCGTCAGCCTGTGGGGGCCGTGGCCAGAAGAGGCCCGTAAGATGGCACATTGCGCTTGGCAGGTTGACGGGATGCGGCTTAGCGATAAGAGTTGAGCTTTACTGGATTTCCTGTCGGTTTGCGTCTCTGATCGTGGCTAAAAATAGAAGCGTTCGGCCTTATTCCGTGGGTACAGCCTTTGAATTCTGCGGAAATAGGATAAGGTTGTATGCGCCGAGGGGGCGCGTACTTCAGCTTTAGCTACGCCAAGACTCGCGAGGGAGGCGCATAGATAATCGCTGGGAACCTCTTTGCTGACTGGGGACTAATATTAACATAAATAGGTGCCGCCTGCTGGTCGGTGTTCAACGTGCTTCAATAGAGTAATCCGCACCAATCGAAACCAAAGATGGAGTTACCACGAGACTCGACCCAATATCTATTACCGCGCGATAGCACCAGTCGGCCATCGTCACCCTCGACTCTTACGGAACACGAAGACGATCAAATTTCAACATCTGCCCAGGATGCACCTCTGGAACACGGCCAACATGAGTTCGCCGCAACAGCGACTGACAACCTACTGCGAAAGAAGACTGGCGAGATGAGGATTGAACCGCTCGAAATACTACCCAGCCCGAGGGTCTCGACGGGCGAAAAGATTCTCCCTAGCATCATCCTCGTCACCTTCATCGCCATTAGCGCTCTGTCCATCGCATTCTGGCTGGTAGACCATGTCAGACGCAGGCTCGGTGGAGACTTTATTGCTGCCAAGGTCATGGGCGGCCGATTCAGCTCGACCTGGGCAAAGCTAGTTGATGCCGCTGCCTCTATCATCCTAGCACCAGCGCTTCTCGCCTTCGCAAATTGGCACATATTCAGGCTCACTCGCTTGTGCGCCGTCGACGAACGTCCCCTGAACAACAGGGCCGTCAGCTTGAAGGCTCTCGCCGAGGTTGCCCAGACTAATTGGGGATCATATAGCCCCTTCAAGCATTGCACCTTCATCAAGTCGCGAGATCCCCAGCTTATTTGCTTGGCTTTGATTACCGCCCTCTCCGCCCTGAGCTTCTCCCTTCTTTCCAACGTTGTGGCTTATGAAGCTAAGGATTTTGCAATACTTGACGCCACGAAAGAACTTGAATTTTTGGATCAGACACCTGGGTGGCACTTGATAGCGGATGCCTATGGAGGCAACCTGTACGAGATGGTAACGCTTCCTAGTATGACAGATCAACAGGAGGATGAACTCAAAGGGCAAGTGAGGAAGCTGCTATGGGAGATTGGGGAGAACCCACCACAGTCGTTCTCGCAAGGTGTGGATTATCTCAACATATCGCAGAGAGCACAAGGTCAGATGCCAAAGGTGCGAAGAATCCTCGATGTTCCGACCGTTCGAGTTACAGCGTCTTGTACTCCATCCACTATCGACGATGTCAAACTTAGCGTCAAGACTATTGTTGGCACTGTAAGGGAGGTGACTATAGATCTATCAACAAACTCAGCTACGAACAGCTCTAAGATGGTTTCTATGAAGGCGTTCAGCCACTCAGCATTTATCAATGCTAACTGGGAAACTCCTTCTGCCTCGGATATCGTCTCAGAGGAAACAGTATCACCTCTCGTAGCCTTCAAAAGCGGAGAAGGCTCCCGCGAGTTTTGGGTTGGAGGTTTTTGGGCCTCCCAGGGGCGAGACTCCGGCGCGACATGCAGAACGAGGACATACGGTGATCTTGAGGTATTTAACTTTGACAAATCAACCTACCTAGCAAAAAATACCGAAGACGACTCAGATGAGAAGGAAGAAACACAGGCGTCTGGCGACTGGTCATTCTGCGGCGTATCCTGCGTCCTGAGATCCCAGTTGGACGAGGCAGTCGTGGATCCGAAGACCTGGTCGACCAAGAACGCGGACTTTAGCGGTGTTCCTGCACAGGATCTTCACGGACCCCTCATGCTCAAGGATTTGCAGTATCTAGGAATCTTTGATTCACTCGGGTTTAATGGCCTATCCGGGCTGGGACCAGTTTCTTTCAAAATCTTGGTTGAATCTGGCGCCATGAAACCTGAGTCCTACTGGAGCCAGATTGACTCGTTCGTCGATACCACGGTCTGGTTCGAAGTTCAGGCGAGAGAAGCTGCATTCAACTTGGTGCAAGAAAAACGAGACAAGGACCTTGTATATGCAGTCAGAACTGAAAAAGATGGACAGCAACTTTACGCCATTACGTTTGTACCGTGGATCATCCTTTCTGGTCTTTTCGCACTTGGCACTGCGAGCCTCCTAACCGTCGTACTAACTATCGGTTCGTCACGACTTTCATTCCGTAACGGAAGGATACTTGATCCGATCAAGCTTACGATGGATGTTGGAGCAATTGTTGACAACGACGTGTTTGAGCAGTTGACTGAGTGCAATGGGGAGAAAATAGATGCTTGGGCGGAAAAGACAAAGCTGTGGTATGAGGTTGTACCGCCAAAAGTGGTAGATACGGAGACAGCCACTGGTGGCCATGGTGTATTAAGATTACAGTTGGCGTAGAAGCGATTTGAAGAGAATTTTATTGATATGGAAATGTATATGTATTCTGGCTTACTTGTGCGGGCCGCTTTGTCTAATAATAGGTGACGGTGAAAAATAGTGGGTTTTAATATTAAGCTGCTTCTTTATAAAATTAATAATATTACTGTTAAGTAGGTAATAAATCTACTAGTAAGTAACAGTATTAGTATTTAGCAGGCTGTCACGTCCCAGCTCGGCTGGACATAACGACATCACATACCTATGGACACCCCACAAAACTTCGACCAACAACAAGAAGATCATTTGGATCACTCCATGACCACCTTGATCCTCGTTAGACATCTAGTATATAATTCGAGGAACTGGCTGTTGCTAGGACACTAATTCCTTAGCTATCAATACAGCTTAGTTACCTAGCTCACTGCACTAGCTAAAATATTACCAGACGTGACACCCTCACTACAACTTACACATATAAGTTCCGATTTATAGATTAAGTCGAACAACTTATAAATCTGACGTCGGGTAGAATCTTAAGCATTGAACTCTGTTATTAGTCTCACGGAACGAGCTCTTCGCTATCTAAACGTGCCTCTCCATAATCCCGTTGCCGCATCTGTGGTGCCGATTAAGAAGCACAAATCAGACGCAACACAAGTGCAATGGATTGGGGGAGTCTTTGACCAAAGTGTTGCAAAAGTGTGACATTCGGAATGTACTTGGTATAGGAGGGCCAGGAAAACAATTAAATCAGCGGGAAGTCAAGGGCACTTCAGCAGAGACTAAGATAGCATGGTACTCACCTCTAAATCCCACAACCTTACAAAACAATCCAAACTGGCCGTAAGTACCATCGTGGTATTTTGACTCTGGCTCACGGTTGGGTTATCTCCGCAATGGCCCTTGAGCGAAGACAGAGGAGTCAAAGTGTGCATAGTAGCCTGACCTATTGGGACCATAAATTGGGAAGGATTCAAACAGGATCCGTTAGACAGAGCCATCCCTTTTTGCATCTCATTCAATTTACAGTCTTTTGGCCTATTCTTTTGAGACCTCTCAGAGATCCATTTGATCAAATGGTATCAGCTGAGAAAGTCATCTATTTTGCTCAATCAAGCCATTTACCCGGGCTTCAAGCCCGGCTCTATCCGACCTTTCCGTCACAACACTATTGCGGTCATCACAGCTCTGCCTCTGGGTGGGTTATGTGTTCTTAGTGTCTTCTGCTTACGCCTTCACTCATTAATACTGTTATTGGTATTTTCTTTTTACTGTTAAGCTTCTAGTCCCTCTCTGGGTATGTGTGTACTAGGGCACCCTAACCTTTTGGTAGACAGTAAATAACTCAAGTTTCCAAGTTCCCAGGTCTACTCGTAGTTTCGTAGTATGTACTAAGCTTCCTTACTTAGAATACTACATAGTGCACACTGGCTGATTACTGGCCAACGACACCAACGTTCATCAACTGAGCCTCCGTGACATACTTGCCCATCTTTCTCGGCAACACGCCCTTCTCGTACATTTCATCAATCTCCGCCGCGTTGCGTCTGGCGCACTCGGGAAGCATGAACCAGAGGACGACGCAGACGGCTGAGCCGGTGCCAAAGAAGAGCCAGGCCGTCTTGTAGCCCCAGTTGGCACCGTTAACGTCGACTGCGACCATTTATTAGTACCGCGCGAAAATAGTTGTTCAGTCGGTTGGGTCAAGGTGAGAAAGGGCAAGGACTTACGCATGAGTGGGACAGTCGTGTTGAATATGAGACCAAAGATCACCGCCAACCCCTGAGCAATACCGGCGGTTCGAGCTCGAAGCCTCTGTGCGCCGACCTCACCCGAAAAGGCACCGCCGAGGCTTCCCACTGGAATGCAAAAATAAGGTTAGCATCTCGATACCAAAAGGGAGTGCGTTGCAGAATTTGAGACTCACCAATGCTGTTGAAGAAGGACCAAACACAAGCAACAAAAATGAGAAAGTTCATTAGGGCCTGAGTTCGGGGCACGAGGCCCAGAATGCCCACAACGAGCAAGGCGCCCATGCAAAACCCCATGGCGATGAGGACGAGCAGTCGCCTACCAATCTTATCGGAACCTAGCATGAGACAGAAGGCGGCAAAGAGCTGGATGCAGCCTTTCGTCTGTAGTTAGCCGGATGATCAAGTATAAAGTCCCGTCCACAAACGACATACATTGAATCGTAGTAATGAGGAAAGCATTAGTAAAGCCGCTCTGCTTGAAGAATAGGCTCGCATAGACGTTGAGGAAAGAGAGACCTGAGAGCTGCTGAGAGCATGACGGCAGGGCAGCGCCAATGGTGCGGCGGAAATTCGTGCCACGGAAGCACTCCACGTACGAGTCTAGAACCTCTTTGAAACCCTGACCCGACGTGTCTCCGTTCTCCTCCAACTGCTGTCTGCGCTCTTCCAGGATGGTGTTCTTGATAATAGCGTATTCGACCTCGACGTCGTAGCCTTGGACTGAGCCGTTCACCCTACGCAGGGTGGCTTTACCGTCCTCATCCCGGCCTTTCGCGGCGAAATAGGCTGGAGACAGCGATTAGTCTCGATACACGATCACTCAAGATGCGGGTTCGTAATCGAAAGGGGGGAAATGTGGGACATACCTGCCGTCTCTGGGAGCCAAAGGAAGACCGGCAACATCACCCCGAGAAACCCCCATTGAGTTAGGATGGGAACCTTGTAGTCAAGCGGATCGGTCTGCTGGCATACCATGAGGACGAGGTTGGCTAGGAACTTGCCAATGGTGTTCCAAAATCCGTACGTAACCACCATGGCGCCGCGAATGTTGACGGGAGACCACTCGTAGACGTATATAGGCAGGGTCGCCTGGATGGCGCCGACGCCTACACCAGCAAGAACCTTGGCGCCGGCCCAGTCTCTCCAGTCGCGAACGAGAGTCTCGATGATGAGAGACTAATGAAACGAGAACCATGAGCAAGGGAGACTCTAAAACTTTGGTTGCCGAGCTCAGCTGGGCGGGGAAGGCTTACCCCCGCGAGGATTATCCACAAACAGTACAGGGTTCGCTTTCGACCGAGGCGGTCGGAAATGGGGTTGAGGAGCACCTGGCCGATGAGTTGACCCAAGGACTGCATGGCACCCCAGAGGGCTGTATTCTCTGCTCTGAGCGTATACACACCGGCCTCGTTGCGGAATCCAACGTGATTGGTAAATCCTTGGTTGGCAATGATGCCGCCTACCAGCCATGTCGGTCAGAAATCTTGGTTCACGCGGAGCAAGGGGCTCACATACCATTTAGGTTGATTTGATACCCGTCAGCCGCGGCTGCGATGCACATCATATTGCAGATGAGGACGGCCTTGCAGATGGTTAGCCCTCCAGAAGGCCTCTTGAATGGCAATGACAGTTGGCCATGGCGAAGAATTGACTACCCACTTTTGGGAACGTGCGAACTGTATCCCACATGCTCAACTCGTCATTGGTCGACTTTAAGACGGGGGCAGCGGTCTTGATGGGCGCGTCAGAGCTCTTATGACCCGATTCGACGTGTTGGACGACATCCCCTGATGGGGCGACCTTGACTTCTTCTGGCTGTGCCGACATGACTTCGACGGCGATAGAGATGGCGTGCAATGAGGTTGTGGCAGGAGCGAGTGTCGGCAGCAGCGAGATTGCAAAAAGCTTGAATTTACTTGTCAGAACCGACTCTGGAGGATGGTGGTTTGGATGCTCAATATATGTTGTCCGGCTTGAGGCCAATTTGACTACCGATGAGGGAGACCCAGAATCATCCTCAAGAACAGTCCTGCAGTTTCGTCCAGGAGAGTAAATCGGACGACTTTACACCGAATTGAAATGTGGCTGAATAGCAATCTGGCCAGGTTGGGGCCCCGAAACGGCAAAGGAGGAACTCCATCAGAGCATTCCGCGGAGTATAATCACGCGGCGTGACCCAAACTAGAATGGACCCATGTCGTGATTGGCTTCACTGCGCCGCCCCCAGGGTATTCCCCGCACTCCGCGGAATGCCCTAGTCAATGACTATGCAGTAGTTTGTTTCCGCAAGCCACGTCTGGGGAAGGCAGCTTTTGAGACGGCTTCTTCAGCATGGCTTCTCCGGGGACTCGTGACTAGCTGCACTTTTGAGGTATCAGTTTCTGGCGGGAGTGGGTAACGCCCTACAGAGCTACAGCTCTAGATTATCTGCATCCATCTGACCATTGGACTGCCAGGCTCTGGTCAAGTTTAATCCCCCAGGCCCTTCCTTTGATCATTCTCCGAGGCCGAAGCAGCTCGGTGTTCGGTTGTTCTCTGTCCGCCATGACGATTATATTGGCTGCGGGGCGGGGAAGCCTCCATCTACTCCAGGATTCCCCATAATCTTGGCACCTATCTGGAGGGCGGTCCCGCCTTTTCGCTGCCGCGCAGAGTATGGCCGAAATGGCGAGATCCCGATCTGGATTGCTAGAGAACCGGTTGGGTTGCCCAAGTGGCAAGGCTCGTGAATAGCTTGTAGCACGTCGGTGAAAGACCAAATGCAGCAAGCTGAAAACTCTTCGTTTCATTTCTTGCTCGGAAACATGGTTATATAAACATGTCAAAGATGCCTACTCCTGGAATGATCAACCGTCGTGACTGGACAGCAGCAAGTTCTACATGCTCTCGATTTTGACTCCGCGGCATTCGTTGTATCTAATTTACATCCTCTAGAATGAAAGTTCTTGCTACTTTTGTTTGGGCCTTGCTTAGCCAGGGCATTACTATTGTGGCCTTGCCCCAGCATGTCCCAGGGCCCCTCGGTGCCGATTCTATCCCGGCATCGCCTCGACTGGAGCCAATTAGCCTTGATCGATTGCCACTCCCGCCGGGCATCACCTCCAACAGCGTAGGGGCATGTAATACCGAGATCAACCCGCGAAAGACTGGATGTATGCCGGTGAAGAGCGGACGCGATTTTCAGTCCGGGGGTTTCCTGCCCGATGGCAAGCACGTCCTTGCCGTCGTGCCGTTTGTTGGCGCGCCGCTCGCCCCCGACCCGGCCTCCGTCTACAGCGGCTCACAGATCATCATTATCAAGACTGACGGCTCTGCTTTTGCCAATGGCGAAAAGTGGAAGTGCATTACCTGTGGCTTGCCGGCCAAGAACGCCGTCGGCCGGAACCCAACCTTCGACTACCCCCAGGCATTCCATGACGGCAATCGCATCTTGTTTGGGACCAACATCGCTGATTGCGGAGACTATTCACTCGTCAGCGAAAAATGCACTCCAGAGCGGACGTATATCTACCCTATCCGCTGGAACACCAGACCTGATGGCTCTGGCGCTGGGGGGAGCATCCGGGAGCTTCGACTCCACCCAGATAATGTTCATCTGGGGTTCAGCTCCTTCACCGTCGGAGCCAAGCTGGGCCAGCTCGCATACTTCTCGCGCTTGCAGTTCAACCCAGCCCCCACGACCGGCCTGCCACTCGCTCCGCGGTATGATCTGATCAACGTCTACACCCTATACCGAAGCGACCTTCCCACACCGCTTTCGACCCGAGGGTCCCAATTATACATCAACGAGAGTGCCATCTCTGTTGGTGAGCTTCGAGGATTCAGCGGTCGAGGAGACGAGATTGTCTACGTTGGCTATCCTGTCGAATCCTCCAACCTGGACGCGTTCGCTGTCAGTCTGCAAACCGGCTGCGTTCGCCGCATCACCACCCACCCAGAGTATATCGACCCTATAGACCAGTCCCCTGACGGTAAGTGGTGGGCTATAATGGATACTCGCGGCACCAACCGGCAGATGTTCCTCTCTGGCATGCGTAACGTCCCTCCCGTCACCGACCAGGTCAGCACGGCTGTGACCTCCGCCACCCGGAACAATGGACAGCGACGCTTCTTCGTACCGTACCTACTCGACAACTATGGCGACCGCGGCAACTACTATGGTCAGAAGATCAATGGCCCCGGATTCAGCGCGCCAGGCAGTGGCGATTTCCGTGATCCCGAATGGAACGGGCAGGCCGACCCGCGGTGGTCTCCTGACTCGACGCGACTCATCTACTGGGAGGCCCACGTCGAGTCTCCGGCCTGTGGTGGCGCAAACCCGCTGCCTTGTTACCCATCCAAAGAGCCCGACGGCAAGGACATTCGCATCGTCCTTGCTAGCTTCACCAGTCGAAAGCCCTCAAAGTTCGTCCCGGTTGCCCCGGTTCCCGACAACGTTCCTTGGGCCAAGCTTTACATCCCCGGAGGAAGCACCCAGGAACGCGAGGGACTTCCGCCCGGCCAATTTATCCTCAAAGCCAAGGTGACTGGCTACGCCAAGGTCCAGGTCGGCCGGACCGGAAACGCGACGGACTCGAACCAGATCGCAGTCACCTACAACAACTACTCGGACGACGGCATGACGTTCCTCAATGGATGGGAGAACGTTACCAGCACGGCACAGAGCCTGACCCTTAACCGCGTTGACTGGTACTCGGATCTGGTGCAGACGGGCCGCGGCATCTACAATACTAAGAAGACGAGTGCAGACGGCTTCCACCTTGAGATTGATGTGTTGGCCAACTTATTCGATGCGAATGGCACGCTGACTACAACCATCAATGGAAAGGCATACAAACAGCCTCGTAACAATGCCTGATTCTGATTCTGAACTTGGCGCGGATTAACTTACGGAGACGAAAATATCGCAGGCAGAAGTGGTTTTTGCTACGGGGTGTTAATCCCAGCTGGAAATACCGTAGGCTTGTTTCTCCTGCTATAGCAAATATACATTGTTAGGAATCGTGACAGCGTGCTGGTAATAGACCACGAAAGATGGAGAGTGCCCTCGATGTGATGATTGAGCCAGTTGTAGGTCAAGCTGGACCTCCAGCCAGCTCGTCCGAGGCCTTGGAATCCAGTTTTGCCAACAAGTCTAACAGCTGTCCGAACTGCGAGCGTGCCACCTTCTCGATGACCTTGTTCTCCGTGTTGTGAACGAGCTCCAGTAGGATGGTGCCGACGCGGCGGATCCGTTCGACCTAAGCAAGAGTTCCTATTAGCTCGTTATACTTGCGGATGTTGGCCACTTGGTGCAGTCTCTGAAGGAAGTAGGGGAACCACGTAAACCCACCGCCGTCTCTCCCTGAGCCTTGAAGCAACGAAATGGCACCATCTGCAGCTCGTGCAAAAAGTCCCGGACAATCTCAATCTTGCGCATCGCGCATGGCATGACCTGCCCGTTTAGCCCGACCACGGACGGGAGGTCGCTGGCGACACATTTCTGCAGGATGACCAGGCGCATGCAGTGGAAAACGGTCATGATGTTGCTCCTCTGGGTCCAGAAGCAACTTCTTTGGTAAGCGCTGACGGTCTCATACATCGCATCTCTTTCATGGTCGGAGGCGGCGTCGGGACTCTTGAGCCATGTCGGGAGCTGGTCCGCTAGGCTTGCGAACAGCAGATACGCCTCACTCAGCCGGGTAAGCTCGTTCTCCCTCTCTGGTCCTGGCTGGATCTCACCCCGAGCTTCGCGGCGCGAGAAAGACTTAATCTCGACCAACAGGTCGGCCGCCGCCGCCCAGATCCGCCGTTTCAGATGGAAGCCGACAAAGAGTCGTGTTTCGAGAGCATTGCGGTTCACGGGTTTCGTGGAGTCAAGGAGCGGCTCATCTTGCTTGCCATTATCAAGCAGCGTCAGTTCACTGTCGAAGACAGCTTCATGCAAAACCGGGGGCCGCGTCTCTAACGCTATTGCTGTTTTATCCGCCAGGTATAACAGCCAAAAGCTGGCGCGAAGGATCTGGGACTCCAGTTTGGTGTGTTGTTGAACAGCCGCCTCGTCATGTAGGCGGAGCCGTTGCGCCAAGAAGGCGGCCTCGGCGTGGTACTGATAAGACGTGCCTACCCTGCCGGTCGTATTTTGCATCGCGGCTGAATGCCACATGCGGATGGTGAGAGACGTGGAGTCTGGATGTTCGAGGTCGTACGCATCGTAAACCCGGAGCATGGCCCGCGACGCTGCCAAGAATACTCTGGACAGCAGGGATCGCGGTGACGGCGATGCGGGAGGTGCTGGCATGGTAGACATGACGAAGGCGCAGAGCGCGGTGATTAAGGCGAATCTACGCAAGCATGTTATGTGGTCGGTGTTGGAGGAGGCTGGGGTACGGCCAGCAAGAGTCGAGCGACTATCGACAGCAAGAAGCGTGACGGCGGCTCGAAGAGTTGGTTCGTGTGCAACCGGGGTGTTGGGAAATAGATACTGCACAAAGAAGTCGATACACTCATGGGCGACGTCCAAGATGGACTCTGAGCCGAGGAGTGCGTCGACGCCAGTAAGCAAGGCCGAGTGGACTTGCACAGCATCATAGTGGAAGATTGGGGCCTGGGCACTCTCTCCGGAGTTTGAGTCCGGAGTCTCCGGACTCGACAGCCATTGGGGGGATTGGGATTGGTGCTGGGTTTGCTGGGTTTCGGTCAGGGCCTGCTGTAGTTCAACGGCAACACCGAGGGCAGCTTGCGCTTGAATGGCACCGCCGAAACCAGCGTCGGGATCCGAGGCTGCTGCCAGGGATGGCGTCTGGTCGACAGCTCTGGGGCTTTCGGGGGCACGCCTCATACGGCGTGCGTTGTAACCGCACTGAAGGCCTGATATCCGGCAGTTGGCACAGGGTTCTATCCCATCACACTTGACCTTCCGGCGCTTGCAGGTATTGCAAGCATGAGCTGGTGGCATGGTGCAGCCGAGCCGTGTCCTCGGAGTTCGGAGTATCTACGAACGACCCAGGAGCTAGTACGGACTCTCGAGACAGTAGCTGGTCGGATCGAAGACGTGGATCCTGGTGTGATTGTTTCTAGGACGATCCCGTGGAGAGGACATTCCGCGGAAGGGAAGGGATATATGGGGTGGGTGGAGGCAGTGTCCTGGGGAAATGGAGCAAGCAGGGACGAATAAATTCTTCCGAGGTTATCGACGGCGGTGTCAGCTGAAATCAGTGTTAGCGTACATAAATCGACCCCTCTTGTGGCGGAATGACGGTCGAGTTTGTATAATCCTTTGCTGTACGGTGATAATTTGCCGCTTGGGGCGGGGAGAAGGGAATGGCCACCCCGCCTCGGAATAGACTATTACCAGTCTAGGCTCATCATCCACTGCAGTCACGCTATCATGTGCTCGGAAAGAAATACGCGTAAAGAATCTTAGTCGTTTGGGTAAGTACGCACCCCGCTCGAGAGCCACGGGCAACTGGGTTGCACTCCGCGGAACGGGGCGGGGTTCCAGAACTTTGCCCAGAGGACCAAGTCTTGGATGTTTGTGAGATCTACTCATTGGAATTCTAGAATCATGCCACTTCCCAAAGATATTCCGCTTGTTATCGGAGTCAACCACCACCGGACTAGCAAATGATCAAGCGCAGAGAAGTCATGGTATCTTTACAGAGATATAATAAAGGCACCTGCTATGCCACCCACCCATGAATGCTGTACCGAGTGATTCGGACAAACCGAACAGCTTTTTCAATCTACGATACAAGTACCGTTCAGCCAAGCCCAACACGGATGGATTGAGCAAGCTGCTTCCACTTCTCTCTCTCTCTCTCTCTCTCTCTCTCCATTGTAAAACAAGCCTTCTTTCTCTTTTTTTATGAAGCGGACAGGCATTTATACCTCGAGATACCACCAATAGCGTGCGTTCTTACAGTGTCTCGATTCATAACCACCTCAATGTCGGCGACCTTCGATCGAACCTGGATATGGCATCCATCATATCCCGAGCATGAACCCAATACCGCAGGCTTGTTTGTACATTTTAAGAGACAGTTCTCCCTTGGCGCACACGAACTCCCGAAGTCTCTGAAAATCCACATCACTGCCGATACAAAGTACAAACTCTACGTCAATCGCCGGCTTGTCTCTTTCGGTCCGGTCAAAGGGGACCACAATCTTTGGTTCTACGATGAAGTCGATATTGCGCCGTATTTAGTCGAGGGGATCAATTGTGTTGGAGTTCATATTCTTCGCTTCTTCTACTCGACCCAGTTCGCCACGTCATTCCCGCGCCTGGCTACTGGAGGGCTCAGGATCGTGGTCCCCGACTCGCCTGGTCCTTGGTCTGAGTTACTCAGCAGCAGCCCCCTCTGGGAGACAGCTATCGATCCGTTTGGCCGGCTCCGCGTCGACGAGCCCGAGGATTGCTTTCTCCACGTCTATGAAGTGCACAGCAGAGTAGAAACCGGCCGTTCGCTGGAATGGGTACCGGCTAAAGTTCTCGAGTTCAAAAATTCCACCGGCAATTCGCCCCCTTGGCATCTGTCGCCTCGTCTAATACCAACCTATCGTATCCAGAAGGCCACATTCTCAGCAATACATCACCTTCAAAGCGACGTGCAAGTGGAACACTGGAACAAGCTTTTGCTCGCTGGCGACGGAAATGCGAAGCCTCCTGGCGAATTGCGTCTCGCTCCGGGGTGCTACCATCAGTTCGAACTCGAAGCAGCCCACCACATGACAGCATTCATTCGGGTACTGTTCAAGCGTCCCAGCGAGGGGGGAGGGTATGTGAAGCTTACATACGCGGAAAGCTACGAAGACGAGCCGGACCTCTACAAAGGCGAGAGGCGAAAGGCTCACCGTCGCGACATGACGAAAAGGCTCATGGGTCCCCATGACTTGTACCATCTACAGGGCACAACGGACTTCAATGGCCCTGGATATTACGACGAAGAGATGGAGGAGCGCTTTGTTCCGTTCCACTTCCGGACTTTCCGGTTCATCAAAGTAGAGATATACGCCGGAGCAACCGAGCTGGTATTTTGCGGCCTCGAGATGGAGTCTGCGCATTATCCACTGGACGTGCGAGCCTCCGTCTCAGCTCCTGATGAGCTCGGACAGACTGATGGCGACCGCGCAATTGTCGATCAGCTGTGGGCGACTAGCCTCCGCACCCTCATAAACTGCATGCACGACTGCTACGAGGACTGTCCATTCTATGAACAGCTGCAGTACGCCATGGACACCCGAAGCTCTACACTGTTCACTTACTGTATCTCTCACGATGATCTTTTGGCACGTCAGGCCATCATTCAAATCTACAACTCCTTCCAGCCGAGGATGAGCCTCACCGCCAGCAGGGCGCCCACACACCGCCAGCAATTCATCCCCACCTTCTCCCTGTACTGGATCTGTATGCTGTCTGACCACTATGTCTATTTTGGGGACAAACTATTCTTGTCTCGATTTCTAGTCGTCGTTGATGGCGTCCTGGCATACTTTGAGTCTCGAATCGAGACAAAATTGGGCCTGGTAAAGACTGAATTCGGGCCAGGGAGCGGTGTATGGAATTTCGTAGACTGGACTCAAGAGTGGAAGCCATATGGCTATCCGGCAATCTGTGAAAGTACGGGATTCTCAACCTTTACCAACGAGATATACGCCTACACCTTGAAGCTTGCAGCCGAAATGGTCAGCGCTCTGGGGAGACCAGCCATCGCAGACGAATATCAAGAGCGAGCTGCACGAGTGGTCGCTGCTCTCCAACAGCACTGTTTTGATGGTGAGTTCTTCACCGACAGCATCCTGTCCGCACAGCAGCCGCTCGGTGCAATCGTGACGCACAGCCAGCACAGCCAGATCTGGGCAGTGTTGAGCGGAGCCTCAAGCGGCGCCGAGGCCCAGGAGTTGCTGCGCAAGAGCATGGAGCGGACGAGGGCTGGTAAATTCGTGCAGGAATCTATCTCCATGTCCTTTTACACAATGCGCGCTCTCAGTCTCGCCGGGGGCGACCTTTATGACAAGCACTTTCATGCGTTCTGGAAGCCATGGCTGGACCAGTTAGATTTGGGTGTGACCACCTGGGTGGAAGACAGCGTCGCACAGCGGTCCGACTGCCATGCCTGGGGCAGCGTGTCCCTCTACGAGTTCACGGCCGAAGTGGCAGGAGTACACCCAGCGGCGCCGGGCTGGAAGGCCATCGGGGTGAAACCAAGGTTGAGGCTGTACCCGAGTTTCAACGCCAGCGTGCCGCTGAGCGTGGTTGACGGAGGGCCCATAGGCATTGTGCATATATCCTGGACAACGTGCCTCACCACTGGTGATGTGAAATTGTGTGTAAGTGGTGACATGGATATAGTTGAGCCAGTTCCTTTATGTATTCAGCTACCAGGTTATGAGATTAACTTGGCATGGGCTGGGCAGAAACTAGACCTTACAGTCAAGGCTTAAACACTGAAGTAGTATTTATAGAGAATTTCACTAGTAGGAACCAACCTGTTCATTCCATTATATAGTGTATAATGCGCTGTAGTGATTTAAGTAAGATAGGTCGAGCAGTAGAGTCAGTAGGTACATTCAGTGTAATGTGTGAGTGGAGCGGGCAGGAGCGGGCAGGAGACCAGAACACCCACCAAACCACCCGAAAATCAGCTTGATAGGGACTGGAATAACAATGCGTCTGAAATAGCGGGGACACCAGAGATTAGGAAAAATAGAATTGAACAAAGGAGATGACACGAGCGGCTATTACTCTCAGTACCATCTGATTCAAATGATTCAGTAAAGGAGGCTACAAGCTTGGGTCAAAATATTCAGAATTAAACGAGGTAACTGCTACACAATACGTACGACCTGTCAATCATTCCAGAATACTTATCAGTGAATTACAAGAGTACAAAGACATCATTCATCCAGACTGCCCAACGTTATTATTTGCCATCCAACTTTGTCTCCTATTTCTACATCCCTCTGCCTTTTCTCGTTGCACCACACGCAGTGTGGCAAGCTCGCCAACGTTTTCACGTCCAAAAGGTTTCCAAGTATCGAGAATCTGAGTTGCAGCGATGATGTAAGTTATCTCTGCTTTTGCAATTCAAGCAAGAAACTCATGATCAAATCGGTTACCGCAGATTCAATTTCCGCCTCCGACCCAAATTTCGATATGAGACGGGAGATTCAAATGCAGCATGTTGTCCATGGGCCTATACTACATCTCCCGGTAAGCCCAAGCTCGAGTTGCCTGCTGGTGCAGGCCGCGTCATCACTTCAGGTCATTTCCATGACGTTGTTTGAAGTGACACACTCAAGGCAGAAAGGAGTTGATGCCATGCAAAGATGGATATTGCATCCTCAAGACCCATCGCTTATCCTGGGCTTCGGGCCGAAGGGGGTCCAAGTTCTAGACTGAGACTTGGCGGAACATTAGAGATATAATTACGACCTCCCTATCGATCACGTTCTTGGTGAATTAGAGGTCACAGACACTGACGGTGGAAAGGTCAAAGTTGTTCAAGTGCTCATCACGCATGACACGAAACACTTACCGGTGCAAGTTTCGCAACTTGGAGGCCCAGACTCACTTGAAAAAACTCTCCTCTACTTCGTCGAATCATTTTCGTTTTGGTCCGCAAATTCCGTCGAGGTGGATCAAATAAAATATATCATTTAAAATACTTGCGAACGGCCTGATCTCGTAGATCTCAAGACCGCTTACTTTTCTCTCGCACAACCATCTTATCTTTCTTTTAAAAGCGCTTTCGATTTGCTGTTGGCAGCTTCCGGCTGGTCCTGTTAAGAAACTATTTTCGTTACCGGGGAATTAGATCAGTATGGACTACCTCGCCTTGTGTAGAGTTTGGAATGCCGAGAAAGCCCTTTCTTGTCCTAGAAATGGGGAGGTTGCTACGGTCAGGTGTGCAAGTTTGGCGCAAATTTTACACTTTTCAAGTTTCTAGTAGTGGATATATCTGGCCAGCTAATATTCCCAGGAGTGAAAATATAGTTGACTTGCCCTGGTGCTCGTGCTATTCAGGCTTATAGTGACCTCTTAGCCAACACCTGGTAGTATGAGACTTATAGAATACTGTTTAAAATTGGGCAGAGTTAACTGCAAAGACTACATCAAGAAGACGATGTTTGTTGAGAAAAGTGATAAATTCTACAAAAAGCCCTTGTTCTGCTTTTTCTTAACCCCTCTCCTCCATACCTTAATCAATACTTTCCACGAATATCCATACTCGACATGCCAAATCCGACCAAAATATCACCTTCCCATCACACTTTGGGTTGCAGATGCTTCCTTACAACCTTGTCAAAGAGTATTGATCCGAAGGCTCTGAAGTATTTGGTTTGGAGTACCAGAAAAAGCTTACAACCATGAGTAATGCCATGAGAGCGACATCAAGGCCGTACATCGGCCACTCATGTGTCTGTAAATACCCGCCCGTCCCAGATCGATACTCTGCGAGACGAAAGATATTTCGAACAGTGATAAGGAGACTGCAAAAGTATAGAGACCAAAGCATCGGTATGAGGCGTAATGCTGGGTCAATACACTTGGCCACCTGCTTCGAAACTCGAATGTGGAAAATAGCTGCGCAGAGGACAAAGAAACAGAAAAACAGAATCTGTAGCCCCAAGCCCCCAAGAATTATGTTTTCCGCTGTCGAAATAGAGCTAGAAGTCTCCGCATTAATTAACTTGCCCGCACCCGCTGCTTGAATAAAAAAGCAGAATATATCTCCAACGACGAATATCTTCGTCAACCATCCAACGTTGATTATGGAGAGCTTTTCATGACCGGATGCACGGATGAGGCGGCCGAGGAACATGTAAACTGCCGCAGCGAAGAGGATCGGCGCGAGTAGGATGAGGAGGACTTGAATGACGAAGGGCGTCTTCTTTTCTAAGTTGTCGCGGGAGTAAGCGCGGGCAGCAAGACCGACTGCTTCAACTACAGAGATATGCAAATTAATCAAGTGCTCAGTCAGGAGACGTCGAAATGTAGACAGCACGACTTACACAGACCACCCAGCACATTGGCGAAGCCGAACCATTTTTTGAATTGAAATATCTTCCACGCATGAAGAATGCTAAGCAAAAGAAATACAAATGCTCCAGTGATAGCTATCGCTTTAGACGGTAGGTAATAACCGTAAGGGTTGACACTTTGGGAGGACATTGTTCTTGGCCAAATGTTCCAGAGAGGAGTTGCCGGATGAGCTGTCTCCAATATGGGTGGACTTGGTAACCTCGATCTTGTTCGAAGTGTGGTGGTTAAGAGACGCAAGAGGGCAAGAAAGATGTTTGTTGTCGGTATTTTATGTAGAGTGAAGAAGTCGCTGTCAAAAGAAATTCAAGTTCGAAGGTGGAAAGTAGAAGCGATATAAGTAGAGTAAGGATCAAGATAGGAAGATAGAGAGTCGATTCGTCGGTGAGGAGAGGATGTCTTGTCGAGAGAAATTTGGAAGATCCCAGTGGTAGTAAATGAAATTCTGTTCCTTTTGAACTAAATAAGTGGCGGGAGCATTGCCAAGCAAAGCACAGCCTTCTCACTGTCTCAAAGGGAGTACAGTAACCGGAGAGCTTAAGATTGCGTAGTAGAAGCCACATACATCATGGACCCGTATTTGACATCCCAGTCCGAGACATCTTTACGCCCACATCTCCACTCGTATTTTCTATTCTTCCTTTCAGAGCAGTGTAAGTGCAGCGTCCAGAAGCCTAGTCTTTAGGGACTGTCGTCGGATATAATCCTCGTAACCTTCTCGAACTGTGCCGGCAAAGCAATGCGCCGTGCTCTGACAAACGGCATTTCGTATCCAGTATTCCGTATATCAAATCTCGTATTTCGCACCCCCTACCTTGTGTCTTAAATCTCGTACATCAGCATGATCGTCAGGTATAGCTTCGGGTTTAAAATTCCAACATGTCTCCTTGTCTTGAAAAACGGGCCGATATTAAACATACATGGAAGACACAACAGAGAAATAGGATCCAAAACAGATTTAATCGTTATTATAGAGACTATACCGTTGGGTGGACATAAGAAGTATGATATATGAGAAGGATGTTGCCAATGCAAGCTCTCCTAGACCCAGCCGAAGCAAGTAAAGATTTTGGCGGCCAGGATTCGAAGTCTCATATGGAATCAATATTCAATTTCTCTAGTGGATAAGCAATTGTTTGCGAATGAGTATCCGGAAGAAGGGCCGACATGGCCGATGCGAGTCTCACCTCCCAATCTGCACACCGCCATTGCGAACTGCACTGCCCAAGAGTGATTGCGTAGTGGGCAAGAATGGCCATGACTTTGGGGTTAATTTCCTTGAGTAAATCAAGATACTCAAGGTCGATAGGATTCGGCCTGATGAATGACCTCAGGTACAGCTTAAAGTTGAGATCAGATAAAGTTCAAAGCTATGAATCCGCTTGTAGTTGAATATTCGAACACTAGCGTCGGCAAGGTATTTCTCCTGCAGTAGGACAGATCTAAGTCAATACAGTGGCCACTGCAATCCCATCGGTAAGGCGAGGCTATCGATGATTTTGGACGCAATCTCGTTATATTAGTTGTTTCGATCACCACGAAGAAAAAACAAGCAGGAAGGAGACAAACGCCTCCGGGATCGAAAATAGAACATGTATCCAAGGTAGAGAATCTTCTACAAGATTATGCAGACTCGATTTAGAGTAGTTGTCATAATTGAGCGCTTTGTGTACAATCTCTTCCTCAATCTAAATACATTACAGCATATTCTAACCCTACACGCAAGGATTTGTAAGTAAATTGTTGTCAGCGCCATAAGATAAGGAAAGAAATTTTTCTTACCGCCACGTGAATAGGGCGTGTTTCATGCGTAGGGCGTGCCTAGCTGGTCCGAAGGGCGTGAATAGGGCGGGAGTTCGTAGGGCGTGCTTAGCTGGTCGGAAGGGCGCCGATTCAAGTGTGCTTCATTTAGTATATTAAAAATGACTCACATCAAACAGAAAGAAAAAGCCGCATGCAAAATGGAAGAATGATATTAAATGCAAACCATTAATTTGCTGCAGCAGATGAATGACTTCGCTCCTGCTTCTGCCCAATTTAGCACTCTCAGATCAACAACCATGACCACAAGCGAACCTGCGATGAAGGTTTTGATCTACGGCACTGGTAGCATTGGAGCGGCATGTGTCTATCTTCTGTCAAAAAGTGTACCTTGCGAAAACATTGTCGCAATTTGCCGGTCCAACTACGCGGTCGCCAAGCAAAATGGGTTCACCATTAATTCTACTACCTGGGGAAATGGCCTGGTTGTCAGACCAACCGTTGTCCGCTCTGTTGAAGAGGCACTGCACCACAAGGGAAACGGTTTTGACTACATCCTTGTAACAACCAAGGCTACGGCCCTGGCCTTGGGGGAGGTGCATCCGATATATCCTGCAGTCTCACCACACACTACAATTGCCCTGATGCAGAATGGCATTGGCATTGAGAAGCCCTTCCACAAAGCTTTCCCAGAGAATCCGATTATTAGCGCTGTGCTCTATCCAGCTCTTGCTCAAACTGCCCCAGCAGTCTTCTCTCACCAACTACTCGATAGAATAGTACTGGGGACCTTTCCAGCAGAGGCATCAGCTTCGCACAAACACACTGCGACGAAATTAAGCCAGATGCTGGCCGAGGGAGGAGCTGCAGCAGAGCACCACGACGACGTTCAAATTGAGAGATGGAAGAAGGTTCTCATCAACGCATCTGAGAATCCCATCTGCGCACTCTCCCGCCTCCCCGACACTCAATTTTTCCTGAGCGCCGAAGGAGCGATAGATTTCATGAAAGACGTGATGATGGAGATTGCTGCTACTGCTAGAGCCGCTGGATACCTAGATATCACGGATGACGTGGTGGATTCCCAGTTACGACTTCTCACGTCCCGACCATTGCCTGGGGTAGCACCAAGTATGATGCAGGATGCTATTGCAGGTCGACAAATGGAGAATGATGCTATTATTGGCAATGTGGTCGAAATTGCTAGAGCAAACGGCGTTTCTACACCAATGCTATGCACACTATATTATCTCGTTCACGGGCTCAACGTGAGCTTCAAAGGTGGAGTGGGTGAAGTGGCCAGATGAATCAGTTTTCACAACCAATGCAAGAAGGATTATCTGTTTACCAAACACTTTTAATAATATGTTTGGAATGTATTAGTGGGTCAGATATGCCCTAGAAGTTCATCAAGCTGCCATATCACGAGCGCTGCCTTTTCTAAGCCACGAGCCATTCAGAGGACATCACCTAAAATACCCCAGCCGAAGTGACAACTGTTCAAGATGTATTCAGGATTTATCTCTCCCGCCATGTCTGCACGTACCTCTAGCCATTTACCAAGCCTATTAATTAACCTAATACCCCCTTCCCCAATCATTCCACTTCAGAACTACTATCACGCCGTCCCAGCCATCATCGAGAGGATACCCACTTGCACGTCGCGGCAGCAAAAATGGTTGATGAAATGACGAGGATAATAAAGATTGGCGCCACAGCGCGGCACTGGGTAGAGATAAATTACTAATGGCCACCAAATATAAAAAGCACCGGATATTGAGTCTGAGTTTTATATTAATAGACAATTGGCTGTATTACGAGTATATGAGTCCCCCATCGTGAGATGGACCTGGACAGATATTGCGCCATGTACCAATATGCTGCAATTCGCTCACTCATCCTCCGGCAACCGCAGCCTCGTAGCTGCCGTATCCAACTCATCAATAGCCGGAAGCTACGGGTTTCATTCGTGAGTGTGCTTGTACGTCTGGGACGGCATCTAAAGGTCCGGATCCGTAGGCTCTAATCCTAATCCATGGTGTCCGTAAACCTGACCTGGATGACATCATAGGATGTCCTTCAGTACATGCGGAGCACGTACAGAATGCCTCGGAAACAATGAGTTTATAAATATAGATAGTGAGCGACACTCCGCGACGGTGGAGCCACTCTTGGGCACTGAAGCATTAGCGTCATTTTCACTGCAAGATCAACAAACTATTTATGGGGACGAAGCACGACTGGAGGACCGGCTAAATACGCACACAGAGATCAACATTATAATACTCTGAAGATCCAAGAGGGTTTTCTCTCTGCCTGCTCCCGATTCTTTCTCTTTCAATACAGCCTCTTTACAACCTTTGCACACCCTTCTGGCCGATCCTTGAGACAATATGCCGCCAGTTCGCAATCCCATCCTTCCCGGCTTTAACCCGGACCCCTCTATTGTCAGAGTAGGCGATGATTACTACATCGCTACGTCAACGTTTGAGTGGTTCCCTGGCGTTCAAATTCATCACTCTAAAGACCTGGCGAACTGGGATCTCATCACCCGCCCGTTGACTCGTAAAAGTCAACTTGACATGCGGGGTGACCCAGATAGCGGTGGAATTTGGGCCCCTTGTCTGACTCATGACGGTGACAAGTTCTGGCTTGTTTACACGGACGTTAAGCGGAAAGATGGATCCTTCAAAGACTTATACAACTACATCATTAGTGCTCCTGCCATCGAGGGACCCTGGTCTGATCCTATTCACGCCAACTCTTCGGGAATCGACCCTTCCCTATTCCACGATGACAATGGCCGAAAATGGTTCGTTAACCAATTGTGGGATCATCGCTACCGCCCTCACTTCGTCGGCATTATTTTGCAAGAGTTTAATCCCGAATCTGGAAAGCTTCTCGGCCCCAAGAAGAACATTTTCACAGGCACGGAGCTGAAGATCACCGAGGGGCCTCACCTGTACAAGCGGAACGGGTGGTACTACCTCTTGACAGCTGAGGGCGGCACCGCTTATCAGCACTCTTGTACCCTCGCTCGCTCTCGCGACATATGGGGCCCGTATGAATTGCACCCCCAGAAGCATATTCTGAGCGCCAGAGATGCCCCCTTCGCCGCCTTACAACGTGCTGGACACGGCGACATTGTGGAGACACCGGAGGGGAAGACGTACGTCGTGCATTTAACAAGCCGCCCGACTACACAGAATCGTCGGAGTGTGCTTGGACGCGAGACGGCGATACAGGAGGCTTATTGGGCTGAAGATGACTGGCTGTACATTAAGAACGGACCTGTTCCTTCTCTTTACGTTGATGTTCCTGGAACTCGAGACGAAAGCGTATACTGGGCCGAGCAGCGCTATACATTCGGGGACGGTCTCCACAAGGACTTCCAGTGGCTTCGCACGCCTGAGCCAGAGAGAATCTTTTCTACCGGGGACAACGTACTCACGCTCTTTGGTCGCGAGTCTATTGGCTCATGGTTCGAGCAAGCACTAGTAGCTCGTCGTCAGACCCATTTCTCCTACGATGCTGAAACTACCATCGACTTCTCTCCCACGGACGAGCGGGAGCTCGCTGGTCTCACCGCTTATTACAGCCGATTCAATTTCTTTTATCTCACGGTAACGGCTCATTCGGATGGAAAGCGCCATCTCTTTATTATGAAGTCTGAAGCATCTTTTCCAGATGGTGACCTCAAAACCCCCTTCGATGAGCCTATCCTGCTTCCCGAGTCTGGAAAGGTTAGACTCGCGCTGACTATTCGGGGGCCTGCTCTTCAGTTTTTCTACGCTCTAGAGGGCGAGACACTGGAGAAAATCGGGCCGGTCCTTGATGCATCGCTCCTTTCTGACGAATGCGGTGGGCACAAGGCGGCTGATGGCAGCTTTACTGGCGCCTTTGTCGGCATGGCTTGCTCGGATGTAAATGGCACCGCAAGGGCTGCCAAGTTCGACTACTTCATTTACCGACCTGTTCAGGATGAAAGTGACCGTTACGATATTTAGATTTGATCAAAGTCGATGGTACCAATGGAGAATTGTTCAAGGCCAAGGTACTTTGCGCTTTGACTGCAATAGGACGGGGTGGTCTTGGGTATTTGTTTAAACAAGAGAACTTAGGGATAGTGCATCGAGTTCAATAATCTCAACGCATAACGCATCACAAAAATTACCAGGAGCAGATCACTTGTAATTGACACATTGACACATTGACGAAAAAGGATGGGGTCATTTGCTAGGGAGTCTTGCTGGGCGCCAATCCGATGTACCCAAGTCTTCGCCAACGGTTGAGTGGGGTTCTGATTGTCATGCAACACGCTATCGCGGAGTATCGCTCGACATTAATGTGGTTTTCGCAGCTACCGTTCGCATCGAGGTCTATAGATTAGATCATCAGAGGGGGGTAACAGCTGGTGGGACCTCAACCACACATCATCAGACCGGGTTTTTATCGCCTCAATGGTCTCTACTCTTTAGGTAATTGGCAAGACAGCGCAAAAGCTACTACGGATTCCCAAAAGAACCCTACGCGTTAGGCCCTCTCAAGATCAATGAGACCTAATGCAAAACGAGACAATTAGCAACGCGCCAATCCCCACTACTACGGTCATGTCAAAAAGGCGGACCGGGAATTCTCAATGAAATGGAGCCCATAGGCCCGTAAAGATTTGAGAGAAAGCCATTCCAGAGGCTCGTTTCTCAGCTTCGCGGCTTAATTCACTCACGGGTCTTCCCGAATCCACTTCGCGTCAAAATTTCGGTTATACAGAGTGTATTTAAGAAGTGAAATAAAAGGTCCAAGCGATAGTTTGTTACGGATCCTCCAGCATGAAGTCAAATGCCTAGCATGAAAATGGCTTGCCGACGGAACCTGACTTGAATGTGGTGATCTGAAGAGCAGTTAGAGCGAGATACCGACATTTGATAACTTCAAAACTTACCAGTTCCGCAACAGTAGCGTATGTCCCGGCCACGAGTACAACAACTCCAAAGAGGAAAACAATGCCATTATAAATAGCACTTCGTATGTTTTCTTTGGCATACCATTTGCCTTCCTTGAGTAGGAGGAACCACATGACGGGAGGAAAATAAAAAGAAAGACCAGACACGAAGAGAGAGGCGCTGATCGACAATAGCTCGGAAAAGATGGGGATAGCCTCGGCAATGATCCAGGCGAGGAAAGTGATGATAGTCACCAGTCCCAGCCATGTAATCCAGCCCTTCTTAGTGTTGACATAGCGGACAACAGAGTCTTCGTAGATCTTTCCATGGATATATCGGCAAACGATCGTGGTGTTAATCGAGCCCGAGATGAAGATAACCGGTAAAGCAATTCCAAAAACAATCCTCGAAACGACGGGTCCGGCGGATAATAAGGCAGGTGACTGGACTTCTTGGCCCACGAAAGCATAAATAATAGCTCCCGTGAGAGTATAAACGACGATTTGAATAACCATAACCGACCAAGTGGATTTGATGTAGTCCTTTGGCGTATGCATTTCCTGCATAAATGATGGCTGTGCGCTTGCAAATGCGTACGCAAACACAATGCTATTGACCGCGATAAAAGCTTCAGAAAACTTGAGGTCCTCTTTTGGCCAGGCGGACCAGGTTGAAGCGGCCAACCCGCCGGGGGCTTGGGCACCTTGGATACCAGTTGCAATCATGGTTATTAAGATGGCCAAGCCAATTGAAGCGCAATCAATGTAGCCCAAAATAGCAACCTCAGCAAACGAAGGTGGTATGGCAAGGAGCAATAGGATGATAGCTGATACAATCCCAAAGACAACAGAGCAAACGTCACTTTGCGTGATATTGTTGAAGGCGATTGTGCCAGTGAGGCAGTGCGATCCGACAACCAGTGTCAACTGCGAGATGAAGATGACGCTGAATAGGTTGTATCCAAAGCCACCCCACATAAGCCGCCCAATGTCGGCATAGTGAGCAACTCCGGGGTATTTCAGCGAGACTTGTCCGATGATGTAGCAGGCGTAGATTGCAATGAGGCCGATGCCGATACAGAGAATGACACCCGCAACCATGCCGAGCGTCGCAAACGCAGAAGGCAAGCCCAGGCTTCCAAGGGCGATGGCTTCCACGATGAGGACGACGGTGAGTCTTTTCCATCCGAGGCGGTGAAAGTGGGCATCTCCTTGCTGGATTTTCTGTTTTTCGACATCGGAGCGACCGTTTTCGTTTAGGACCTCGCCGAACACAACGCTGTTTGAGACATGGGGTGCAATGACATCTCCATCGCTATTGTCTTTTCCTACAGCGTCGTTGCCGCGCTTTTCGGTGACCCCGTGGTCCATGATCAAGTCGTAGAGGAGGAGGGCAATAACAAAGCCGTCGTGGATGGCGAGAAGAGATTGGGAAGTGTCTCCTCAAGATCTGATACTTCCCAGAAAGGTCAATGTGTATTTTGCAGTAAAGATATCCAAGAGAAGCAAGTAGGGCAAGGCGTGGATATATATAATAGTGTTGAGTCTCCTCAAGTCTGGCTAGTCTAGGCTGGTCTAGCAAAGCAGCTTCTCCACCACGACGACATCAAAGAACTTGTCATAGAAGCATGGTACCACGACCCCGGATGTGGGGAGATAAACATCTCCAGATGTTCTCCTCCACGCCAACCTGGGGACTGGGGAGATGGCTTACTGACCTTGTCCTTGGTACAAAGGGCACGGCCATATGTCGAGACAAAACATCAGCCACTGGATGTGATATAATCTCTGAGGCATGGACTGGGAACCTAGTGTTGGCCCTGCAAGCTGCCCTTGCCCGCGATGCTTGAGTCAGTACCGTGCGTGGGGCGTTGATAGCTACCTTGTCGAGGGAATCAACCTGGGCTAATGGCCGGTCTGGCCGAGTTCTCGGAGCATCGGATTGTGGAGCCCCGGAGGCCCGAAGGAAGCCGTGATGAATACAATTGGTAATACGGGATCAATACGGAGTGCCATCAGCTGTTTCCGGCCTAAATCTGGCTTGGCGCCCGGTCCTGGGAAGGAAAGCCGAGCCGACGCCGGATACACGCGCGACCTGGCCGTGATGGAACCGCTAACGAAAACTCGTCACTGCCAGTTTTATGTCGAGTGGTTCAGCATGAATTCCCTCTGTGAACCCCATACCAACCTATTGTACGATGCCCAATCTTTCGGGTGCCAGGTTCAATTTCACAAAAGACGTACTTTCCACTAGCCTTCTTGTGCATTCAATCTCCCTCAAATTTACAGGATAGTTATGCAGCATAACTGAATGTCGGGTTTTCAGCATTTATTCTACCCCCCATAGGTCAAGTGTTCCGACAGTAGAGCCTCATTGGCGTACCTACAAGTGAATCTTCTAGTATCCTACCAATACTCAAGTTTTGCATCTCGACGACTACCACCGAACACGAAGACGTGGCGTGGGACGCGCCCACATGCATTAGTCTAACGAATACCATCTCCGAGGATGACCTTACAATGACCATGATATAGCTTGGGTGCTATTAGGCGAGGCGACTCATACAGCAAATCTCTGAATTCCCCACCCTCAAGATTGAGCATGATGATTACGGGGTGGGAAGATGATGTTAAAGACGGAAAGAAAAGTTTTCTAGTACTCGGCCTTATTATAAATGACTGAATATGTTGCGTCTCTATTGTAGAGTGAAACTTTGTGACATTGAACAACACATTCGTCTAATCTACTCAAACGCAAGAGTATGCTCATTAATCTGAACTTCGGACCTTCTTTCCTCTGAACCAGGTTTCTTTGACCTTTGCCTTCAGCAGCGTTTGTGCGTCCCATTTCATATCCACTATCACAATATCTGCCGACTTTCCCACCTCGAGACTCCCCGTCCGGTCCTCGTTAAAAACACTCTTCGCCGCACCGGCTGTTGCTGCGGTAATGGCCTCGCAAACGCCCAGTCGGAAATGCTCATTCACAATTTCCAGGCTCTCCGGCTCCCGCGCCGATCGCCGCGTGGTGGCAATGTAGATATTATGCAAGGGGTCCCATGGGGCGGTTGGGCTGTCGCTTCCGAGCGCCATCAGGGCGCCGGCGTCGGCGAAGTCGCGGTAGGCAAAGGCGCGGCCGCAGCGATCCTCACCGATCAGACGCGGCCAGGCCCGTAGGATCGCAGGGTCTGCGTGCACGGGCTGGACGGAGGCCGTGATTCCCAATTCTCCAAGTCTTCTCGCCTCCTCGGGGGCGACAAGCTCGAGGTGCTCAATGCGATGGCGACCTCCTGGCTGAGTGTGTGCCTCGAGAACATCCACAGCCATTCGCACAGCTCCATCTCCAATGGCGTGTAGCGCGATTTGAAGCCCTGCATCCGAGGCCCCTTGCACAATGGGCTCGAGATCTTCCCGAGACCAGATCGGCGCAGGCGAGTCAACCGTCGAGTATGGCTCGGAGAGGTATGCCGTACACGCGTCGACGATGCCATCACACATGATCTTTATGCCGGCAATCCGAAGATCAGGTGACGTTGCTTTATTATACTTTGCGTTCAGCTCAATTGCACGGTTCAACTGTCTGAGTCGATCGGCGTGGGTGCCGGATGGCTTGATGAGCCAATACGCAACTACACGCAGCGGCAGGTCTGGTCTCTCATCATAAAGAGCTAGAAGCGCCTCCCAGGCAGCCTCGTCCATGGCCATCTCCACTACGCCAGTATATCCCGAAGCGTTGTATGCGTCGGTGGCGGCGATCATGGCATCCATCCGCTCCCGCTGAGACGCAACGTTGGCCAAGTGCGGCCAGATAATAGTGAAGACGGCGCCTTCGGTTAGGACACCAGACGGCTTGCCATTGGCGTCGCGCTGGATCTTGCCTCCAGGCGGATCCGCCATATCGGCCACGCCTATTTCAGCGAGCGCGGCTGAGTTGCACCAGGCCCCATGCAGGTCTTTAGAGTCGATGAAGATGGGTCGAGAATCGATCTCGTCCAACATGGCCGCGTCAACGCCATCGGGGGTCATGGAAAGCATCCAGCCCTTGGCCAGGACGCGGGGAACATCGGGATTCGCCTTGGCAAACACTCTAAGCGCCGACAGGATGTCTTCGAGAGACTTGCAATGGTCAAGGCTGAGTTTCCTCAACGATTGGCCCAGGAGCAGGAAATGCATGTGGCCGTCGATGAAGCTGGGGAGAACCGTCTTCCCGCCCAGGTCTTGGACAGTAACCCCATCCCTTTGGTACTTTGCGACTAGGTCTTCTCGAGAGCCCAGCGCGACGATTTTACCATCGCTCACGACAAGCGAGTCGGTAAAGGTAGGCTGGCCCTCAAGACCGACCCCGGCCTTTGATAGAATGCGGCCATTTATGAAGAGAGTTGTTGAAACGGGAGGTACAGTAGAGTCGGCTGAAGCCATGATGAGAAGGGACTGGAACAATGGCGCCGATGGGGATAGCAAGGCAAAGCCACGAGAGGTCCATCCAGACGATGCAGCGAGACTTTATGCTTCGTCAAATGGGAACAATTCCTGGCGCACACCAAAATTACCTAACGGGCGCTCTATCCCTCAACCGCCTCTATCTATACCAAGCAAGCCAACTAGTGCATTACGTACCGTCCCAGCAGTGCCATTCGAAGCCATATGATGGTCTCTAGCTTCTGGCCATGGAGCTGCTGACCTTAAAAGCCTCTCGTGGCGAGATAACAAACGCATACCGCCGGTACTGCAATTGACCGGAAGACTCCCGCTTACCGTGTCAGGGTCGTCCATGTCCGAGGCGGTTTTCACATTGGCTAACAAGCTCGGCTCCATGCAGCGCCTCGACTTTCCTTCCCAGGACTGGTCCGAAATGGAATAGCTTCCGCCCTACCCCACGCCCTGCATGTGTCGTCCCACCTTGTGGCGTTTTCATCCTCGCGTCGACTTGAACAGACGTCACTGACTCGACAGATCTGGTATCGCACCCATGAACCCCAGACATTCCTTGCTTCTTTGAAGGACACGAGGATAGAGCGCAAACCTGGGGGAATGAAGGTCTGGGGAACCTGGATAAAACTCGCTATGATATTTCAAACAATCCAAATACAATAAACACGAGCTGTACCGTAAGATGTGCTCCCGCTAGACCAGAAGAGCGCAAATACCCATGTCCTTCATGCCGTCGCGCCAATTCCACGGCTCGCCCGGATGGTTCCTTCGGTAATTCCAGCAGTGCTTCATTATGCGGAAAACCGTGTCGCAGTTGCTGAAGCCCGGTCCCGACGGGTTCAGAATCTTTGACATCATCGCCTCGAAAAACAGTTGCTGGTCTGGGTTTGCCATCGAGCCTGCGATGCAGATGGGCCATGTCAAACCGCGAAGAGATACCCTCTCTGGGAGAACGCGGATGGAAGCCATGACCCTTTCCACAGCCTCTGCCACCCCTAAATCCGGCATACAGAGGTCTGGGTATAGAGTATAGAGCTCCACAAGCGCAGCTGTCGCAAAGACACGCGACACAGCATGGGCTCTAGGTATTGGTGGCTAGTTGAGATTCGGCAGTTAGCAGGGCCTCCCTCGCCACTAGTTTGAGTCAAGAATGCGTACCTCTCTTGCCGAGTCAAGCTGGCTCAGCCCAGCCTCCAGTCGTTTCTTGACGTCCAAGGCCTCAGCTGGGACCTCGGAGTCCCCGGACGCCACTCGAGCGCTGAGCGTCCCAATATCGCCAATAGCCTTCATAGTCCAATTGTAGCAGCCCATGAGGGGCCCAATTTCAATGCCACTACGGTCGAGCCATAATTCGTAGGACGAGATCTTTGGAGATGTGCCGCACGACGTGCACGCCAGAAGATCGAACCATAGTAGCGTCGCCACCATGAACGCCTTAGCATTTTCCACACTGTCGGCTTCCTTCGGAGCGGCCTTGAAGAATGCTCCCTGGTGTCCGGAGGGAACTTGAGATGGAGAAGGGGCCATTCTGTCCACCACCATGCTGAGCGCGTTGAGGTGTGGCTGCCAGCTCGCCGTTCCCCCTCGGAATACCTGTGATGGTCAGTCATTACCGGAAAGAGGCATCGGGTACAAGATCAACTCGGGCGTACCTCGAAACTCAGTAGCGTAGAGCCGCACCCCAGAAAGTCAATCAACCGTTCATTGCTCGCCGCGAACCCATCAACCTGGTACTGGAGCAAAGTCTCCCGAAGCCCCTGCAGCGCGCGAGTGTGATACTCGATCAGCTCCCGCTCGGTAGTCCCGGTCTTGTTAGAAAATCGTGCGTGGTGATGAAGGGCTGAGAGTGTGAGGATGGCTTGGTTGAGCGGCCCATTTCTCATCAACAGCCAGAAGAGCCAGCCTCGGCCTCCGAGCTCGGGATTATCAACATAGTATGGAAACTGGAGAGGGAATATGTAGTCGAGATAATGAATCAGAAGATGCGACTCTCGATAGGGCATGCCAACACTTGGCGAGACGGCTCTTGATGCTACGGGTTCCGAAAAGTCCAGAACCTCGTGGCCGTCGGGCGGCTTCCTGGCCGTCGACGAACGCCCTTTGCGCAGCCTCTTGTTGCGGCGGAAGTTTTCGTTGACGGCGCGTTTGATTCGGGTCAGTTCAGCGTCGAGCTGAGAAGGGTCGTCAACCCAGCCGGGCTTCGGCCCGTACCCATGGCAGCTGATCAAGCGATCGCTGCACTCTTTGCAGATGGGGCGCAATTCGTCGCATTTTCGGTGCCGGATCCTGCAGGTCCAGCAGCCCTCGGTACTGCGGTTCATTGGTTGCTTCATATTTCGAGACGAGTGCACAGCAAAGTCATGACGGGCGGGGCGGTCAAGACTCAAGTGGGACGGGCTTTATGGTGTTCCTGATGTCTTGATTTTGCACTATTCCAACTCTACTCTCCAATTGTCTCCACGTGACCCCTGGCGTTGAGCTAGATTCACATGGATGGATTCAATGCCCAACGCCTAGAGATCTATATTTCTGAAGCAATAGAAATAGCCTATTCGGTTTATATACTCCATTTATCCTTTCTTGACATCTTTTTAATCCCGCTCCCACAAGAGATGTTCGTGACTAGTCGTCCTCCAAGTCCTCTACCACTCACGTTCTGTGGTAAAATCCAATCTATCTAATAAAGACATTCATGGCGGATTGATAAGACGATAGGCTCAGCACTTCGGTCGTTGATGTCATCATCATAATTGTGAAGGTACTTCCTACCCTGGTGATGTCCCTGAAGGAACCACATTTTGTTCTATTCGGTTTACTGCCCCATTCAATGGGCCCGCGCGGTCTTAAGTAGAAAACGAGGTTTCGTTTAGTGACTCTCAGTCTTCTGAACAGTCAGTTGGCGGCTCCATGATCGCTGCGGCAATTATGCTGAGGCCTTTTGCAGCCCAGCCTCCGAGATGGCCAACGGAGGAGCGAATCGGATGATGTCTCCGTGAGTGGGTTTGGCCTGTGGACGAACTATTAGCACCTCGTCAACATGTACGTTAATCAAGGCCACCTGCCAATATACCCTTGCTCTTGAGGAGTAGGCACAGGCCCCAAACCGTCCGCCCATTCGCGGCGGACTCGTCCATAACTGTGGCATTCAGTAGACCCTTTCCTCGAACAGTCTTGATAATAGGGCTGTTGAGAGCCTCGATACCCTCTCAAAACACGTGGCCCAATCGCTCGGCCTTCACTGTCAAGTCTTCGTCTTCCATAACCTCCAGGGCAAGGGTAGAGACGGCACATCCCAAGGGATTACCACCATGGGTCGAACCGTGGGTGCCAGGCTCAACAACCAACATGGTATCCTTGCTGCTAAGAACACCTCTGACTGGATACAGACCTCTAGAGATAGCCTTGCCGACAGTGACGATATCGGGCTTGATGTTGGCCCACTAGGAACAAAACATGCGTCCAGTTCGGCCGATGCTAGTCTGGATCTCGTCGCAAACAAATAGTGCCTTATTCTTCTTGCAGAGGGCCAGGACTTGGGGAAGGTAGTCCTGATCAGGTACGACAGCTCCAGCTCCGCCCTGGATGGGCTCGCAAATAAAGGCAGCGGTCTCCTTGATGTGAGCCTCTAGCACCTCCTCAAGATCGGCGATGGTGTTTTATCGGATGGCCTTGCCAGTCGAGGGATCAATGGCACCAAGGTTCGGTAAGTAAGGTTCGTAGTTGTCCTTAGAATCGGTATCGGTCGACGGGGTAATGGCAGCCATCTGGGTTTCTTAATGTCAGCAAGAAACGCGAAATAATAAACAGGACCTAGACTGAGAACATACGTTCGGTCATGGAAGTTATCGGCAACCGAGGAGATAAGTGCCTTATCCTAGGGACGCCTTTGGCCTTGTACGCTCACTTACAAGCAGCCTTGCTCGTGGTCTCAGCGGCCTCTACTCCCGTGTTCATCGGGAGGGCCATATCATAACCAAAGACCTAGTTGACCTTCTCTGCCCACTGAGGGAAGACATCGTTGTAGAAAGCACGGAGCTGAGAGTAAGACCACTGGCCTCATCAACTAAGGCTTGACAAGCTCCGGGTGGTAGCGACCCTGGTTGACGGCGCTGTAGGCTGAGAGAAAGTCGAGGTATTGGCGACCCTCAGAGTCCCAAACGTTGACTCCCTCCCCGCGAGCAAAAACGACGGTTAAAAGGAGATAGTTGTGGGCAGCAAATTAATTCTCGACGGCGATAGCCTTCTCAGCAGAAGAATGGTATTTGGAGGAAACCTCGTTGGCATCAGCGTGAGGGGCCATAGCGACGGTGATTGTTGTAAGTGAGATTACCACTCTTGTTGTAGGGACTGAAGTAAATATTTGTTGCAGTGAATAAAGTCGAATAACCTACAATTGCTCAATGGTAAAAAAGGCAGCGCGGAGCAATGGGAAAATAAAATAAAAACCTCAATGCGCAAATGGTATTGCTCCATAATAGTGAAAGAACCTCGACGATAACATGGCACAGTCGATGCATCCAGAACGGCAACGGGCGGTTTGTTACGGAGACATGGTGTAATCTCTGCAACAAGGCAAGCTGGGCCGAGCTCGCTCAGACAAGCTCGTCTCGAGGTTGACCAAGAGACTAAGGAAAATAAAACATGTGGGCACACCAACAGCACGGATGATACGGGTGGATATGTAAAATGTACCGCTAGGATGGAGACAACAGACCGGACGGAACCTGGGCCGGGAGGGACAAGAGGAAGAAATTAACAACATGATGACGTAGGGAGATGTACATGGACGTACGTGGGTTCGCCATTTGTGAAGGATGCATCGAGAATGGGGGCGTATGGACGAAGACTGTGTGTGGCGCGATGTATTGGATCCAGCGGTGGACTTGGAGTTTCCCATTCCGTCTGTCGATTTCGGGTATCTTCATGACGACTTGTTCGACCTCGCAACCACCGACGGAGTAGACAACTTTTGTACTGATGTTGGGGCCGGCTTCGGCCACGCGAAACATTTCCAATTTTGTTCCAGATTTACCAACAGAAAGAACCTCAAGATTTGCGTTGAGGGAGTCTATTTTGTGGGATGATCTTACACGGACGCAGAATTTTTCGTATAAATATTGAAAAAGTAGCAATTGAACGCATCGAACCACATGGGTCCTATAGTCTAGTGGTCAGGACGTCAGATTTTGACTGATCATCGTTCTTCTGAAGTCGCCAGTTCGAACCTGGCTAGGACCTCTTTTTTTCCCTTTTTCTTCCTTTTTTTCTTCATTCCAGACAGGCTATGCGCGCACGCTCCTAACTTTTGTTAACAAGACGTCGGAACATCCACCGGTCCTATAGTCTAGTGGTCAGGACGTCAGATTTTGATTAATCATCGTCCTTCTGAAGTCGCCAGTTCGAACCTGGCTAGGACCTGTATTTTTACTCGAATAATCGACTGTCTGCGCGCTCCAGGGCGTTGTGTTTTTGTCGCCGCAGCAATCTTTTTACCCTCAGCATCCGGACGCTTGCCGAGCCGTGGTGCGCACGGACCAAGCCTCAACATCCCCCATCATTCTCGTCTGCCGCCATGGGTCTCTATGGAAGTGTACAAATCCGAATCGCTTCGACAAGATGAGGTATCTGAACAAGCTTTCTACGACATCGCAACATGAGGTATGTGCCATAATAACTGCCTACATGGAGGGGATCTCTATTTTGCTTGGTCAAGCAAATCATTAGTTATTGGCCTCGGTAGCCTAACCACGATTGAGTTTAATATGTACTCATAAACTGTATTAAATATCTGAAATTTTGCTGATTCTGTATTTACTTAATTTCGAGAAGGTATGCAATCCACACGCTCCTTGTAGTGGCTTAGATTATTGTCATTATTCTTGCTTGTTCAATTACCCTATATACTCGACATGGACATCATGCTCCGTCTGATTTGACCCCACGCGAACTTTCCACTTGGGCTCTCCTTCAAACCCCATCGCCAACGCTAGATCATCATATCGCCTCCACCCTCGTGATGCATCACCCGCGGGTGACCATTCCCGAAACGGCTTGTCCCAGTCGCTTTCAATGCGGCACAGATCGTTCACCGTTGAGTCGAGCCGCTTGGGCGGGAAATCGGACGAACTATACTTGATATCGAAAGTGCACTTGGCTGGTGCGTAGTCCTTGGCGAATTTGTGATATTCAATCAAAAGAGGAGATCTTTTGCTGACTTCATCACCCTGAAACTCATGTTAAAACACTAGCTTGGCACGTGTTGAGGAGTGATGACATGCCTTTCTCAGATACCACTGCATCCGTCGCGTAACCATGACTCCGTCGGGATCGCGCTCCTTATTGTCGTGGGCAGGATCAAAGTCACTGAGCTCACTGATGGGGAAGCTTGCCACGATTCCGTAGCTGAACCTCGACTTCCGCGCTGTCACGTCCGGCAAGCTAGCCAAGACTCTGCGTTGTTTGGCCGAGAGTTGTGATTGCGATTGCGATGCCATCTTGTCGCGAAGAAGGCGAATTACGGCTCCGTGGGCAACAGCCGACCATCTTGGGTTTTAGGTTAGTCTTTGCACAGCATTGTCGTAGAAGAACAGCGGCCCGTGGTGGAGAGATCAGAGATGGCTACTCACCCACGAAGGGGTCTGAGGACAATTCCCTTGAACTGATCGTTCAGCACGCCATGGATGTAGAGAGAACTTCCCAAACCTCCGACAAGGAGAATTTTCTAATCGTTGATGAGAATAGGCGCATAGCGGTGTGTTAATATGACGTACCTTGGGTGGCTTGCCCGTGACCCGTTCTACTTGTTTATACTGCTCGTTGACTAGACTACGGATACCGGTGAGGGACCTGCTGAAGAAGGCCTTCATCTCTTCACTACTCAGTGTTAATAGGAGTTCGTTTGCCGGGATGATGTGTTAACTGACCTGCTGATTGAGAAGGTATCCTTGCCCCGCCATAGATCCATTTTCTTATACGCTTTGCTGGGCGGCCGGAGGAAAAATTGTCGTGATTGTTTCTCGTTTGAGAAACTCCTTTTAGCGCCTCTCTCCCAGTCTTCCATGACGAAAGTATTGTATTCGGCTTGGTTGAGTGATTTGAATCTCAACTTGGTTTTACCCTTGAGATGGTTTTCGAAGGCTTCGTCGATTCGAACCGCACCAGATAGTTTTCCTGCACGTGTTAGAGACCTGAATACTACAAGCACATGGGGTAGGCTACTCACCGTCGCCCTTGACGCATTCTTTGATATGAAAAGGACGATATGAAATGACTGTGTAACTGATAACATCCTGGTATGGGGTTAGAGACATGTCTTTAATCTGAGGGATCATGGAAAGGGAGCCCATACAACAGTGCCACCTCCAGCGTCGCACACGACGAACGATTCACCTTCCTAGGGCCAGAATTAGTATGCTCCATATTTTCTCTAGGGGAGGATGGGGTTCCCACCTGTATCTCAGGCAAATTGCTGCGTTCAAAGAGAATCGATAATCCCGCAGCTTCCGGCTCTTGGACAAGATCTAACGTGGTAGCGCCAATGTCTCTCTTTGCGGTGATGCCGGCAATCTTTGCTGCCTCCCTCATGGCCTTTTGCGCATAAGGCGGCCAGATAGCAGGGATAGTAATGGCGACTCGGAGGGGCAGATTATCAATCTCTAGCTTCGCCTTTAGTATGTTATAGGTGTGATCCCAGAGCTTCTTGAGATAAAAGCCAACCACTTCGGTAGCCGTTGGGGCATTGGGAAGAAGCAGCTGGTTACGAGCCTCTTGCATTGGCTTGGACTGGCGAATCTCATCTCTGGCTATGTCGTCATCGTTCAACAGCAGCAGCTTGAACCACTTCATCGGGACCATATCTGGCGTGACCTCGTAGCCCCATTTCTGCGACTGAATGTCGTACTGTGTCGGTACCTGCACCTCGTTGCAGTTGTTGTGGTATGCCGCAGGCCATTCTGAAATTTCGTGGATGGTGTCGGGTTGCTCCGAAAAGGCCCACGAAACACCGGAGAAACTGGAGGGTAACCATGGTCAGATAATTGGAGTCCAGGGGAACGAAATTGGACGAGGGAATACTCACGTAGTCCCGAAGTCGATGGCAATGGCAATAAATTTCCCGGAAGAGTTGCCCACCCTAGGCGTTCCAGAGACGGAGCGATCTGGTAACGAAAACATCGCCAAGGAACAACAGAGTCAACAAACTATAGGTACAATGGTCTTGCTTGAATGAAAAGAACTTTTGGGATGGATTGCTGGCCTGAAATAAAAAGCGGAGAGGATATCACAAAGGCAACGGCCCAGAGGCAACCAGGCTCCGGCAGCCTCAGCCTATCTTGAGGCTGAGACAAATTAGCGGTGGGATGGCCAAGTGCAGCCCCCAACCACGCTATTGACTAGAGTGCGTCTAAACGAGGCAACAAGGCATTTTGAGGGTGTGTGACATGATGCACGAGACGACTCGGCATCGCCGCAAGGAGGCGGTAGGCGAACTGTTGGGCAGCCTCGTTTTGGTGTGACGCATTGGATGCCGCCCACTGGTCTAGGTTCATCCGAACTCTTAATGACGCATGTAGTTTATGTATTGTGTGTAGCCGATTGCCTTGGATTGGTTGCCTTCCGAGGGATATCCCATGTATTGCTGATCAACCATAATCCATCCCACCACCACCACCAGTTTTCCGATCCTTTGCTCATCTTTCCCTCGAGCTTAGGCGCATCATGGAGGACTACGACTTCTCAAGCGAGGGCATCATCCTTGTCCTGGGGGTGACTGGAGCTGGAAAAAGCTATTTTCTGAACCAGCTCAAGAGCCACAGCGCAACAGAGGGTCATTCTCTGCATTCAGGTACGTTCCGCCCCGGATTGGCAAAGAACCACAAGCTCACGGTATTTTGCAGAGACTTTGCAGTGCAATGCTGTTCAGATCTTCCTCGACGACGAAGAGAAGCGCAGCATCACCGTCGTCGACACGCCGGGCTTCGACGATACAACACGACCGCAGGGGGAGGTCTTGGCCGAGATTGCCGAGTTTTTGGCAGCCCAACACGCGCTGGGCGTGCCCCTACGAGGGGTTCTCTACTTGCACAAGATCACGGAGAACCGCATGACGGGGTCGTCAATGACGTACCTCCGGCTCCTCGAATCGCTCGTTGGAGACCATGCTCTCGAGAATGTCATTCTCGTCACGACCATGTGGAACCAGTTGAGGGACGAGGATCGTGGCAAGGCTCTCCGACGCGAACAAGAGCTTCTTGACCGCTACTGGGCGCCCATGGAGGAGAAGGGTTCGTACGTGGCCCAGTTCGATGGCACCTCCGACTCGGCGTACGCCCTCGTCTTCCAGCTCGCGGGCAAGGACAGCGTGGTCCTCGACGTGCAGAGGGAGATCATCGACGAGGACCGCACCGTGCTGGCCACGTCTGTCGGTTCGGACCTGCTGTGTCGATTGCAAGACGACGGCGAGGCGTATCGTCTCGAAGCAGCCGAACTCGAGTCCCGTCTACAGCGGGCGATGGAGGCGGAGCCGAGGGACAGGGACCTGATTCGGCATCTGCGTGAGGAAAAGTCGCACGTAGAAAAGATCTTGCGCCAGATGGACGAATCTGTAAATCGAATGAGGGTTCGTCCGGGCTCGTCCATCCGAGACCGCATCAGGCAGGCCATGACAAGCAGCAACAGAGCGGCAATTGGGGGCGCGGCGGCGATTCTAGCGGCAGTTGTGAACTTGACCGTGTTTGTGGTCCAGCTGGGGCTTGGGGGGTGATGTCTCGATTCCGACTAGTTGCAGTAAGGCAGCTTTCCTGGCGTTTCCTTGGTAGTTTTGTTGGATTTGGTAGTGTAAAGATTTACGAATAGAGGTACCCAAAAGCCATGGATCCAACCGCCGCTTGTGCGCCCGTATCACAGCCTGATTTGATTGAATGCGAGGCGAAGTGCAAAATGTAGACTGAGTTGCCCCTCAGCTCAAATTCGAGACTAGACGAGGCAGTCAATGACAAGTGCCCTTCAACCTGCATATGCCGTCAGAATTGAAATGGATGAACCTAGCGGGGGTCGTATTCAGCTCCTCATGTACTAGGTGCCGTGGCTTACGCCCCCAATCGATAGATCAATTACCATGAGACAGTCGAGCTTGAAATGCCTCTAATTGCTCAGCATGGTCACACGGCCAAAAGCCAAGGCGTTCTAGACTCGCAGCCTGATATCTGGTGGTTCGCGGCATACGCCAATTGCCATTTCCGGGCTTTTGCAGCATTCGCCCTCGACATATCCATTCAGCCTCACAGTTATGGCCCAGACCCATGCCTGCCTGATTGTCCGCCTTGGCTGGGCTGAAGCCAGGGCTTCTGCGGTGCGACCCAACAAGCGTTTGCCGGTTACCTCCCACAGCCTCGTTATCATTCAACAAAGGACTTGGCGACTTCCATACTTTTTCCCATTCATTTGTTCAATTTCTAAGCAATCGAATCCATTCACTCAAACTTGCACGCTGTCTTCCTTCTCTTTTTTCTTATGTAAATTACCCTCCAACGTAAACAGTCGCCGCCACCCATCCGGTGAGAACAAACTCTGCGACACATGGCCACCTCTCCGTACGATCTCACCAGGAGAACAGGGAGCACACTTTACCCGCCCAGTACATCCCAGGGTCGATCGCTAGCGGCAGAGAGACCTCGCAGCGCGCATTCAGGCCATTACCCTCGAAACTCCGGAAACCACAGAAGCGGGCGATCTAGAAGCCACCAGGGCCGATCCAACACCACCATGTCTGCCTCCGAACTAGAATCGATTCGGACTTCCCTTCCTAAATCCCCGAAGCAGCTGTTTACTCGTTTGTGGCCAAGGTCGCCTAAATCTTTCATCAAGGATGGCCAACGGCCCGCTACTGGTGAATCGGCACCGCCCGGAAGCCCTACTCAACGCGGCAGGAAAAACTTTCCAGGGTCATTTTCAAACTTGCCTCAAGCTCGCACTCAGGAGACTAAATATCCTGGTGAAAAGATGGGAGAGAACCTTTCCCTAGTCCCGGCTAGAAAGCCTACCAATGGGATCCCCATCTCTGAGGAAAGGATGCATTCTCCTGAACCCAAACCAGCCCAGCCAACAGATCTTACTGGCATCAATCCAACCAGGCGCGATACTGTCGAATCAATCCACAGCACGGGACCAGGTTTGACACATGACCAAATCCAGGCCGCAAATTCCATCGAGTCTGAAAACAGGACGCAGAAGGAGGATGAGCTCTTTCGTATGGTGAATCAGCTAGTCAAAGACGTTGCCAACTTGGAAACGCAAAAAGACGAAATCATGGAGACATTACGGGCCACCGAGGCAACACTTGAACGGGAGCGCCTCGACCATGATAGCAAAATGCAAGAAGCGGACGAAACCATGGACCGCCTCCGTGCCCGCGTAACCGACGCTGCCAGCAAGTCGGCCGAGATGCCAACTCAGTCCCCACTCCGCCGCCCAGAAACCGAAATCATCAAAGACTGGCAGAGTTTGTCGTACGATGTGCGGAACCTGGTGAGCAACTACTTCAAGGGGATAAAGGAGACCAAGATGGTTAGCTGGGCCAAGTCGCAGGGGCACTACCTCGAAGAGCTCACCCCTTACTATGCACAAGCGGCGGCAGACAGCAAATGCGGCATGGCGTTGATAGAGGCGGCGATTTGGAACGTCCTCATGAAACTGGTTTTTGGGGATTCGGCGACGAATGGAGCCATGTGCTGGGCAGGGAGGCATAGCGGGAAACTTTCGAAGCTGAGTAAGACTTATCCTCTGAGACAGCAACCCAGGAGTGCGAAACTAACTGCGAATTTGTGATAGGCAGGGAGGTATTTAAAGACATCCCTCGGAAGGACTGGGATGAACAAGCCCCCTTGTTCCACCGGTGGAAAGCTTTAACAACAGATCTAGTCTCAGGCATCAGCCTGAAGCAGGACCGCGAAGACAGGATTGCCGACGTGACTGACGAGCTAGAAAACATGATGGAGCGCTTTCGATCCAAGCTGAGCTTCGCGTCGTTCCGTCGAGAGCTTCAGAGCGTCGTGCGTCAGGCCATCGAGCTAGACGAGTTGTTCTGCGGCCAGGAAGCTTGGTATCGTCTTGCCGTGCCAGCAGTGGGACGCCATGATATTGAGGTCGATCGGAATTCAATGAGCATTGCGGGTGGGGGAGTGAACACAAGGAATGTCAGGTTTTTGATCCGGCCATGCCTCTGTCGCGCTGGTGGTGGAAGAGGGGAGCCCTATGAAAAGGCCTTCTTGTTAGATAACTATGTTGTGTGGACGTATTAGGCAGTGTGATATAGCGACACTTGGCTGCTCTTTTTATTACTTAATAATATATAACGGCTTGGCTCAGTCTATCGTACTAAAGTGTGACGCCCTACCTGCCTATACAGGAGGTATAGGGTAGTCGCAGATCGTAGGGGTGCAAGTCTTGGTAGTAATGAGGACGTCCAGCGTACTTGTATTACCGCCAGAAGCAAGAGCAGGGCTTAGCACAAGGTAATCAAACAGCTTATACGTAGGAGACTCAATTTACTCTCTTGAGGTTGCAGAACTGCATCAGTTTAATGAGGAATTACGGGTCATATTTAATGACAAGCCTACAGACAAAACTAATTTTGTCTCAATCGAGTTGACTGAAAAATGAATAAGATATGAGTAATGCTATTTATACATTCAAAATGTTGATTGTATATAAGTACAACCTTTTATACCTAAACTTAGATCGTGTAAGGTGTATCTGGACTGTACGGCCGCCTTAAGATATCTTATTCTGAAGAGTCTTCAGTCTCTACCCTAAAATAAATTAAAAGATAAAAATATAAATAGCAGAACTTAGAGGATAAATACTTTAAATTTTTTTTTTTTTTTTTAGGTTTATACTAATAGGTATACTGTTGAGACTTCTTGGTAAAATTAGCCTATATACTTAAGTATGCCAGTAGTATATTAAGTGTGAGCGAATAGCGATAGTCTAAGACATTTAAATATGCAGTCGCTGTAATCCTTACATCAGATTCTCATTTCTAAGCTAGTAAACACGACTCCTGGTGTATAGAAATGAGCCCTTTATTTGTCAGACTAGACAAATCCAGTCAACAGAGTCAGAGTTGTCAAATTCTCACACCAAACCAGCCTAGAAAGCCAAAGAACCCAGCAGTCCAATTGACTAACACGTAAGCGCGGCGGCGCCGTCGCCACCACATGTCAAGAACATGTCAAAAATATGTCAAAATTGACTAGGTCCATGTCAGGTAAAGGGCGCACCTCGCAGGTAGCGCTTAAATCCATGACAAGGGGCGGGATACTACGGCCGGACTTGGACGGAAGTGGGTTGTCCGGTTTTCGGAAGCTGGATGGGGCGAGGCGGCCGTTACATTCGCTTTTTGCCATTGTTGATTGTCGCAGTTGTCGAGTCTGGTTTAAATGCCGAAATAGCTGCCAACTCCAGAACCCATTTTGTTGATCAGGAACTCATCAATTGGACTCGCAACAACACATACTCTTCATTCTTACACCCAATCTCTCTCATCTCCCTCACCGCCAAACATGTCTCTCACATTCCGCAAAGCCACTCCGGATGACACCGACGCCGTCTTCGCGCTCGTCGAGTCGGCCTACCGCGGCGACACAAGCCGCAAGGGCTGGACGACGGAAGCCGACATCTTCTCGGGCGACCGCATCAACGCCGCCGGCGTGCTGGCCAAAATCACCGAGCCCCGCGGCGCCGTGCTGCTGGGCTACGACCCGGCCGGCGCCCTCGTCACCTGCGTCGAGGTGCTCCGGCGCGACGACAAGGTCGGCTACTTTGGCATGTTCGCCGTCGACCCGCTGCGGCAGGGCGGCGGCGTCGGGCGCCAGACGCTCGAGCGTGTCGAGGAGTATGTGCGCGGGGAGTGGGATGCGCGACGCCTGGAGTTGAACGTGATTTGGATCCGCAACGAGTTGATTGCGTGGTATGAGCGGCGCGGATACCGGAAGACGGAGCAGACGAAGCCGTTTCCTTACGCCGAGATTGTCAGCGGGAAGGTGTTGAGAGATGACCTCTACTTTGTTGTTCTCGACAAGGAGCTATGAGCGAGGGATGGGTGAATTTACATATGGCGTCTCGGAGGCAAATAAATAGATAGCGATGGGGAGTTATGCATGGGCAAAGTTTTGAGAGAAAGAAACCAGATTGCAGAGTTGCAGTAACTTTTACGCGACCGAGGCCAAACTACTGGAATTGATGTCATTCATGAGCTGTCATGGTCCTTTGTGAACCGGTATATACATATTTAGATCCTGCTCTTGTCGCTTCATGTGATTTACTTTTCATTCAACCCGCAGAACTTATTTTCCCTCAACCTCCTTGAGGATACCCTCGAGGTTGATGCTCTTGGGTCGCTCAATAGGAAGACCCAGGGCGCGGTCCCAGATCAGCTGAGCCAGAGGGCCGAGACCTCGCGAGACACCAAAGGTGGCGGTGTAGTAGAGGGTCTCGTGGAAGCCGTAGTGGTGGAACAGGACACCGGAGCTGCTGTCGACGTTGGGGTAGGGGTTCTTGGTCTTGCCGTGCTTCTTCAGCACCTCGGGCGCGATCAGGCTGTTCTTCTGGACCAGCTGGAAGACGGGGTCCTGGGCAATCTCAGGGCGGGCAGCGGCGTAGTCCATGAGGGCCTCGAATCGAGGATCGGGCTTGCGGAGCACAGCGTGGCCATAGCCAGGAACGACTCGCCCTGAGTTGAGGGTGGACCAGAGGTAGTCGTTGACGTCCTGGTCGGAGTAGGCGGCGGGGATGTTCTCCTTCATCTGGAGGATCCATCGGAGCACCTCTTGGGCGGCAAGTCTATTGGAGTTAGCAAATTGACCAAACACAGTTATAGGCTCGAAACATACCCGTGAAGGGGACCTGCGAGACCCTGCAGGCCGGCGCTGTAAGACAGGAAGGGATCGCTGAGAGCGCTTCCAACCAAGTGGGTAGCGTGAGCGGAAACGTTGCCACCCTCGTGGTCACCGTGCAGAGCAAGGTAGAGACGGAGGAGGTCCTGGAAGTTCTCGTTCTTCTTGCCACCCTTGCCGAGCATGGCGGCGAAGTTGTAGGACCAATCCTGCTCGAGGTCGACCTCGGCGGGGAGAGCACCGCCGCCACGGTACGAGTTTTGGTAGATCTTGGCAGCAATGGTGGGCAGCTTGGCGAGCAGCGAGATGCAGTCGTCAAAGGTGGGCTCCCAGTAGTCGGCCTTGTTGAGGCCCTGCTCGTAGGCCTTGGCAAACTTGGACTCGTAGTTGAGGGCGGAGACGGCCATGGCAAACTGGGTCATGGGGTGGAGATCCGTAGGGAAGTCGTCAAGCATCTTGGAGACGAACTGGGGGATCTGGGCCTGCTCGGCGAGCTGGCGGGAGAAGGTGCGGACCTGGTTCGTGGAGGGGACTTGGCCAGTGAGGAGCAGCCAGAACATGGCCTCGGGCAGCATCTCAGTGCCAGTCTTGCCCTTGGGAAGCTCCTTCTGGCAGTCCTTGATGGTGCGGCCGTGGAAGCGAATGCCCTCGTTGGCGTCGAGAACGGAGCCCTCCCAGACCATGGCCTTGAGGCCGCGCATGCCGCCAAGTGTGTTCTCGACCTTGACTTCACCGAGAGTCTTGTTGGAGTGGGCCTTGACCTTCTTGAGGAGCTCGCGCTTGGCGGGAATGGCCTCGCGGAGGGTGGTCTTGAGGTCGGGCTCGGCCGTGGCATATCCGCGAACGCCGGAGACGGCGACGCGGGTGAAGGGCTGCAAGAGAGAAAGTGTCAGTATCCCGATTTACACAGTCGCACAAGATGCGGGGCTGGCCAATTGAGGTGCCAACACGTACCTTGAAAGCCCGGGTGGATGTTCTCAAACGGAGGGCCATGGTGACGGATGTGATGCCAGATGAAGCTGGAGGAGGGAGAAGAGAAGAGGAAGAGACGGAGGAGGAGGAATAATAGAGGGAGGTAGGCTTCAAGGGCAAGAGCCGAGAGACAATGGGCCGCGGCTTCCCAGGCTATAAACCAAACCCGTGGGGTTGAATCTGGGGTAACAGCCGGACGAGCGAATAGCGGGGGCCGAAATGGGCACAGATCAGTTGTTTTTTTGGGGGGGAGTTCTAATTGCGGGGTTCGGTTTAGTGGTCTGGCAGACGCTTATCGACACAGTGACGTCGACGTTGGGGTGAGGGGGGATTCGGAGCAACTCACTGTGCGACGGGAGTCAATTGAGCTGGAGGCGAGAATCTGGAGAAAGATATAAAGAAGAGGAGGAGATCGGCAGGAGACTCGTCCGGGAGAGGAACAGATATGGAATGCGTCCAGCTCCCGCGTCCCTCTTAGGCCCGGGCTGGCCAGTGACAGGCCTTCCGTCACCACCACGTCTGGGCTTCCCCTCCTCTCGCGCCGCGCCACTGGAGGCATGCTGCTCGACGAATGCGTCCGGCCAGGGCTGCACGTATCGGACGACAGGACGAATTGTGAGGACTCCTCCCCAACTTCCCACGGTAAGCACAGGCAGGGCGGCTCGTTCAACGGCTGGCCAGGCCACAACCGAGGAAAGCCGCTAGGACCCGGCCCAAGGTCCAAGACCATCTCCAACCAAGGTCCAACCTGTCTGCTGCTTAGCCCGTAGCCCCGTCATTGGCCAATCCGTTCGGCAATGCTTTGCCGTTTAACCAAGGCTGTAGCAGGGTCGGTGAATACCGAGCTTCTGATTCGGATTCTCGACAATGATGCTCAGCTGTTGTGCTGTATCGCGCGCTGCGGCGGAGCTGGCTTCGGTCGCCGGTCGGTCATCGAGCTGCCTTGAATCAATTCCTCGTCTTGGCTGCCGTCCGTTGTCGCAGCGTCTCCTCAGCCCTGCCTTTTGTATCTACTCGGTCGTTGTTCGGTTATAGCGTGGTGTTGTAAATTTTGCCATGGCGGAGACATCTCGAAGTTCAGACCTTGGTCATAATTATTCATCAGCCGAGCTCCATCTGTAGTCCCACCACCAGCTTCCAACGCCCACCCTGCCTCTTACATACAACCACCACTCCACCTCTGCCTCTTCTGCCTGCCTCCGCATACAACCACAGTCGTGCGCGGTGCAGCAGAAAGTCCACTCGCGGAGCCATGACCATGATGCAAAGGTTCGCCTCCAGAGCTCCCCGGCGCCTGCTGCTCTCCGCCACCAAGGCCCGAATCGCCTCACCCCGAGCGCCGTTGCTCGCCCTCTCCGTCCGCGCCCTCTCCACCTCCGCCGTGCGCGCCATGCCCACGCCAATTCAACCCGCCGATGCCTTCCAGCTCCTCCCCGAGGCGCAGAAGCCTGGCGTCGCCGAAGACGCCCTGTACGAGGCCAGCGTCAACGAGATCGAGGCGTGGTGGGCTTCGCCGCGATATGAGGGTATCAAGCGCCCCTACAGCGCCGCCGACGTCGCCAGCAAGCGCGGCTCGCAGAAGACGCAGTATCCCAGCTCCGTCATGGCCACCAAGTTCTTCAACCTCATCCGTGAGCGCGAGGCCAACGGCGAGCCCATCCACACCAGTAAGCGCACCTCTCTCCTCAACACCACAAACCACTAACACGATCCTCGCAGTGGGCGCCATCGATCCCGTCCAGATGACCCAGCAGGCCCCTCACCAGGAGGTCCTCTACATTTCCGGCTGGGCCTGCTCCTCGCTGCTCACCAGCACCAACGAGGTCTCCCCCGACTTTGGCGACTACCCCTACAACACCGTCCCCAACCAGGTGCAGCGCCTGTCCAAGGCCCAGTCCATGCACGACCGCAAGCAGTGGGACCTGCGCCGCAAGATGACGCCCGAGAAGCGCGCCGAAACTCCCTACGTCGACTACCTACGCCCCATCATCGCCGACGGAGACACTGGCCACGGCGGCCTTTCGGCCGTCCTTAAGCTCGCCAAGCTCTTTGCCGAGAACGGCGCCGCGGCCGTCCACTTCGAGGACCAGCTCCACGGCGGCAAGAAGTGCGGCCATCTCGCTGGCAAGGTGCTCGTGCCCGTCGGCGAGCACATCAACCGCCTCGTGGCCGCCCGCTTCCAGTGGGACGTCATGGGCTGCGAGAACCTCGTCATCGCCCGCACCGACTCCGAGTCCGGCAAGCTGCTGTCCTCGGCCATCGACGTGCGCGACCACGAGTTCATCCTGGGCGTCTCAGACTCCACCATCGAGCCCCTCGCCGAGACCATCCAGGCCATGGAGGCCAAGGGCGCCGTCGGCAGCGAGATTGACGCCTTCGAGGCCAACTGGGTCAAGAGCACCAACCTCGTCACCTTTGACGAAGCCGCCGTCGCACACATGCAGAGCGAGGGCGTCGCCCAGTCACAGATCGACGAGTACCTCGCCGCCACGGCCAAGGACCGCGACATGGGCATCTCCCGCCGCCGCGCCCTTGCATCGCAGTACACCAAGACGCCCGTCTACTTCAGCTGGGATGTCCCGCGCACGCGCGAGGGCTTCTACCACTACCGAGCCGGCATGGACGCCGCTACAAAGCGCGCCCTCGCCTTTGGCCCCTACGCCGACCTGCTGTGGGTCGAGACGGGCGACCCCAACGTCGAGGTGGCCACCAAGCTGGGCCGCGAGGTCCGCAGCGTGTTCCCCGGAAAGGGCCTCGTCTACAACCTGTCGCCGTCGTTCAACTGGATGGCGCACGGCTTCACCGACGAGACGCTCAAGTCGTTCATCTGGGACATTGCCCGTGAGGGTTTCGTCCTGCAGCTCATCTCCCTGGCGGGCCTGCATTCCAACGCGACCATCACCACCGAGCTAGCGCGCGACTTCAAGACGGAGGGCATGAAGGCCTACGTCGACCTCGTGCAACGTCGCGAAAAGGACCTCAAGTGCGACGTCCTGACGCACCAGGCATGGAGCGGTGCCAGCTACATCGACGGCATCCTGGGCGCCATTCAGAGTGGCAGCTCCAGCAGCAAGAGCATGGGTGAGGGTAACACTGAGGGACAGTTTCATTAGAGCTAGTTGCATGTGAAAATGAAATGAATGAGATGGAAATGCATGGGCTGGAGTTTGGGGATTTGCTTGTGTAAATTATCATCTGAATAAAGAATTCAACTACTTAGAGCCTCGACGAGCCTAATTGTCCTTTGTATCATGCTTGTCTTGTGCATGGGTGGATAGTCAAATCCAGTTTCATCATCCTTGTCGAAAACCATCGACGACCTTTCATACATTCGATTCATTCCTAGCTCCATGCCTTGCCTACTTGACAAGGCAATTCCAAAACGCCATCTTCACAATTCGCATCATATTGTCATACATCCTTACTCCAGAGAGTCCTTGCTGGCGTTGTTCTGGGGAGCGGGGGCAGCAGGACCCTCGGCAGTGACATAGGCCTTGGTCATGCCGCCATCGACGGCAAAGTCGTGGCCGTTGACGAAGCTGGACTCGTCACTGGCCAGGAAGACAACGGCGTGTGCCTGCTCAATGGCCTCGCCGAAGCGGCCCATGGGGAAGTGGATCTCACGGCGCTGGCGCTTGGGCTGGTCGTCACCGAGCCAGTCCTGGAGAAGAGGAGTGTTCAGGGGCGCGGGGCACAGGTTGTTGAAGCGGAAGCCCTCGCGAGCGTGGACCATGGAGAGCTCACGGGTAAGGGCGAGAACGGCACCCTTGGAAGCTGTGTAGGCGAGCTGGGGAGTGGCGGCACCGACAAGGGCGACGACGGAGGCGGTGTTGATGATGGAGGCCTTGGTCTTGTTGTGGCGGCGAAGAGAGAGGACGGCGTGCTTGCAGCCGAACCAGACCCCCTTGACGTTGATGTTCTGGGTCAAGTCCCAGATGGCCTCGGGGGTGTTGACGGCATCGTCGTCCTTGGCGTGCATGATACCGGCGTTGTTGAACATGACGTCGAGACCGCCCCAAGAGTCGAGGGTCTCGACCATGGCCTGGACCTCGCTCTCCTTGGAGACATCGCACTTCTATAGATGGGAAGCGTGTCAGTGGGATGGGACATGGGATAGAGCAGCAATGGAGTGGAGGGGGACTAACAAAGATCTCGACGCGGGCGGCATCGGGAACAAGCTGCTTGACCTTGGCAGCGGCCTTCTCGAGGGCAGGGAGGGAGATGTCCGACATCAAGACGGAGGCACCCTCCTTGGCGAAGAGGATGGAGGTCTCGAGGCCAATGCCACTGGAGAGGTATTGTGTCAGCCATGCGGGATGTGATTGTGTTGACAGCCGACAACTGTAGAGAAGAGACAGGCAGACTCACCCAGCAGCACCGGTGATGACGGCATTCTTGCCAGCAAGGCGGCCGCGAGACTGGGATCCGGTAACAGCAGGCATTGTTGCTAAAGTGGCAATGTGATTGAGTCGGGATCAAGGTTGAGGGAGTGTTGTTGGGTTGAGAGTGGAACGTAGCGAGGTGGGCAGATGTTGCGATGTGTTGGATTTATGTATTCGAGGTATGGCAATTGAGGGGGAGGGGAGACAAGCTTATCGAGAGAGCTACGATAAGAGCACAAGACCGGATAGCACGACAGCAGGGGGGAAGGGAGGACAAGGCGGGGTGGAATAGACCGGCAGCGCAAAAAAGACGGTCAAGTGGTGCAGGAGAGGAGACACGGGACCACTAGAGCTTCGTGATGAGTCAAGGAAACTCCAATGGTCCAACGCTGTGCTTGCTTTTGGCTGGCTTCCCGACCGACAACGGCGTTGGCGGGCGGAGGGCGCGGCAGACGCTGCATTGTCGCGGTCAAGTCATCGTGGGCGAGCTGCTGTGGGTTTTGGACCCCTCATTTGCGTCGCGGTTAACACTGGTTGACGTGACGAGACGTGAGCCGGCGCTGGCTGATCAGGCGGGAGCTTGCTTATCAGACCCGCTAGCATCTCTCTCATCGGAGCGCGGCGGCAGCTGGAGTGGATGCGTAGTGGGCGCAGACGAGCAACTTGAGGCTTGGGACTTGAGAGGCTGAGGGAGGACTCGGGATTCGGGATCGAATAAGAAACAAGCGGAGACTTGTGGATGGGGCGCCGGTAGTGGCTGTTCGGGGACGCTCTGCTGGATATGTTTGCCCAAGACTCGTGTATCAAGAATCCAACATCGCGAGATGACGGGTTGCGTTGCGGGCGTTGATCTGGGACATGGATGCCACATTCAGGGGTCCAGTTGCAGCACCGCATCCTTGCGACATGTGCGCGATGTCGGCGATGCGTGGGCACGAGAACTGGGAAGAGGGAGCATGTCAGATCCGGCCGGTGCGGGACGGCCACTCGCGGCAAATCCATTTGTCAAGCGGAACGGCGCAGCGCGGTTCTAGATGGTTGCGACGGCTGCATAGTCGCACTGGGGAACAGAATGCCACTATTTCATTCTCGAGCTCCACGACAAGACGTCGCGTTCCGGACCCCACGCACGGCGGCTCAACTGCACATGTGTCTGGACGCTGGATCGGGCAACTCCTGATGCATGGCGGGGAGCTTAGGCCAGGGGATCCCAAGCGCGCCCAGTTGTCGGGTTTACAAGCTCGGGCCAGAAGGAGGAGGGAGGGATGAATGAATTGGAGATGACGTCTAAGTTGGGGGTAATACGGAGCAGCTTCTGGGCGGATCGCAGCCTCGGTCTTGAGAGCGAGCGCGCGGCAATTGGGTTGCGGGATCTTGTAGACGGCGCACCGCGCGCAATGCCGTGAGGCCGGAGACAAGATGAGATGGATGGATTGCGACTTGTAAGAATAGCCGACAATCTAGATACTTGCTCACTCTACGAGGTTGCAGCTGGATGCCTCAGGAGGAGATGAGCACGTGCGGCCTCAGGGACAGCTCGCGTGGGTGGTGATGGTTGCTTGCTTCTTATCTCCCGGTAACCCGGCACCTCATCATCCCAGCATCTCCAACCGAGCGTCGTGAGCGTGTCCGGTATGGGATGGTGGTCGCAAAGGTCAGATGTCCCTTATCTACGGCCTGCCTCGTTCCGTCCGTTTTCCATCCCAAGTTCCCCAAAGAGGAACTTGGAATACCGCCATTCTGCGTTCACTCGCTCGTCCGTTCTTCCCAGATCTTGTTCCAAGGACACAAACAGCACACAGACAGCGGGTAGCGCACCGTTTCAGCACATCTCCATGATCCATCCCCCGCTAAAAACGTCCCCTCCGCGGCTCTAACTGCAACCGCACTAGAACATCGACGCTCTACGTCACCGAAGCCTTATCGCAGCTGGGGCTTATCGTAGCCGCGCTGTGCCATCCCGCCTGCGCGCTCCCACGCCCACATCACAAGACACACACCCCCCCGTCCGCCTCCTCCTCCTTGCAATCCCTCGCTCTTCTCCTCGCTCCTCAGCCTTCTGCTCTCCACCTCGTCCAGACAATCCCCACCTCTCTCCGTGCGGTTGCGTGGATTGATTTGCTTGCTTTGCTTGATTCGATTGCCTGGATCCTATCCGTACTGCCGCCTCTTGATTCCCCACACTTGCGACTCCACGGCTGCACGGCTGGCCATTCCGCTATTACGGCACCGAGGTCCCGGCCAGCTTCTAAGTCCTCAATTAGCCCTGCTATCGCCGTCGCATTGACGTTCCCGGATTCATAACCTCCAGCTTCGTTTCTTCTCTCTCTTCCCTTCTTTCATCTCTTCCCTCTGTCGCTCAATCACGTCTCTTGTCCATCCTGCGAGCTTCAACGGCCCGCCCTCCCTCGCACAGCATGACATCCGCAGCTCCCTCCACCGACGGCCCCGTCACGGTCGAGAACCTGGCCAGCGTCCTGCAAAATGATACCATGGTCAAGCTCGCCGGCGTCGATGTCGACGGCATCCTGCGCGGCAAGTTGATCTCCAAGAAGAAGTTCATGTCCGTCGCCACCGCTGGCTTCGGCTTCTGCTCCGTCATCTTCGGCTGGGACATGCACGACCAGACGTACATGCGCGAGCTCAAGATTTCAAACGCCCAGAACGGCTACCACGACCTCCTTGCCATCCCCGACTTGTCCTCTTTCCGCCGTATTCCCTGGGAGGACAATGTCCCCTTCTTCCTCGTCGATTTCCTCGACCCAGATACCAAGCAGCCTATCTGCGCATGCCCCCGTGGCCTTATCAAGTCTCAGCTGGATAAGCTAAAGGGTGCGGGTTACGGTGCCATGGCTGGTGGTGAGTTTCCCTCCGCTTCTTTCCCGGTTCCCGTACATCCATCTCTAACGCTTCTCCCTAAATCTAGCCGAGTATGAATTCTTCCAATTCCGAAACCCCGAAGCTTCCTCTACCTCCACCGCCGCCTATCTCCAGCAGAACCCTCCCAGCCAGCTCCCCGCACTCACTGAGGGCATGTTCGGTTACTCCCTGACCCGCCCCGTCCACAACAAGGAATACTACTACGACGTCTTCAAGACGTGCGAAGCCTTCCATTGCAATATCGAGGGCTGGCACACAGAGTCCGGCCCCGGCGTCTTCGAGGCTGCGCTCGAGTTCGGCGAGATTGCGCAGATGGCCGATCGCGCAGCCCTGTTCAAGTACGTTGTCAAGAGCGTCAGCACGGGATACGGCATCACCCCGTGCTTCATGGCCAAGCCCAAGCAAGGTCTACCTGGAAACAGTGGCCACATGCACGTGTCGATCGTCGACAAGGACGGCAAGAACCTTTTCGCGAGAGAGACTCTGGACGAGAATGCCAAGTGGAAGGATATTGCCGGTCTCTCAGACCTAGGCCGACATTTCCTCGCTGGAGTCCTCGAGGGTCTCCCTGACATCATGCCCCTCCTCGCCCCTACCATCAACTCGTACAAGCGTCTCGTCGAGAACTTCTGGGCTCCCGTCACCGTATCATGGGGCCTCGAGCACCGCGCCGCCTCCGTCCGCCTCATCACCCCGCCCACTGCCAAGCCTTCGGCCACGCGCTTCGAGGTCCGCGTACCTGGCGCCGACACAAACCCTCACTTTGTGCTGGCTGCCATCCTCGGCCTCGGCTGGCGCGGCATCGAGAAGAAGCTCGAGATCCCCTGCCCGCCCCTCGCCATGGGCCAGGACGTCGGCGGCGACGCTGACCGCGGCGAGCGCCTGGCAAAGAGCCTGAAGGAGGCGACGGCGCGGTTCATGGCCAAGGACAGCATTGCCAGAGAGGTGTTTGGCGACGACTTTGTAGACCACTTCGGCGGCACCAGGGAACACGAGATTCGGTTGTACGACGAGGCTGTTACGGATTGGTAAGTCCCTGGCGACATCTCTTGACATGCATAGCTAACAAACGGCTAGGGAAATGAAGCGATACATCGAGACGGTGTAGACGGTGGTACATGGAGTTTTGGTGGGAGTGCGCCAAGCATCGCATAGCAGAATACGAATCATGGCATGACGGTGTCGAGTCTTGGGCTGAAGATACCCAGCAGCAATTTCTTTTTCCCTTTTTCGTGTTTGTATAAAGCCTAGGTTATTCAATTGGTTCAATTTCTGTTTTCTTGTAGTTTCGTCCTTTGCGACAGATTCCCACCAGTTTAATCTGGACGGTGATGTAATGGCGCTGTGCACAAACGGTCGGATCACATGACGAAATCCCCTGCGGATGGAAACAACACGACAGATCCACCCGCATCCACTGCCTCCTGATCTCGCAAGATCGCAAGCTTCCCCCCATCGCACCAAACCCATTGACCAAAAAAGAAAGGAAAAAAAAGCCCCGAAAAACCCGTCCCGTCCCGCAAACGGCACCATCAAGCTCCTCCTCCCCCTCCCACAGCGAAATTTGCCCCGCCCCCGCTTCAGCTCCTGTGGGCGTTGTGGGCCAGTTCCCACGATGGACGCATGCGACCTTGCATCCGCCCTCGTGGCGCCCCTGAAAAAAAGGTTCTGCGCTCGGGATATTACTAAAGTCAATGGCCTTTCCCGAGGGTTGACGTGGGCTAGTGATGCGAGCGGCGGGAAGGGCATTGTCGATCTCAGGGATGTCTTGCGGGTGTGGTGGCACGGGGAGGATCACCATGACGACATCTGGGGGAGCTTGGACGGGACGGGACGGGACGCTGTGTGTTGTCGAATATGTTCATTTAGTATGCAGATGTGTACCCGGGTGTTTATGTACTTGATCCATATATGCACAGCCCTTGGCCCGTCCATGATTCCGTAATCGCCATCCATGATATTCCCCATATATACTCCGAAATGAATCCTTTGCTTTGTCGTACATGCCGGGTTGGGGTCGCCATTCAACCGTGCTGTTCAATCGTCTCTAGTGAAATGCTTGCTTCCATCGTGAAATGAATTTGTTCGTACAGGCCAAATGATGTTGTCGTCCACGGGCATCAGTCCGCGTGCCCGCTGTTGGGTGCCGCCTCGGCGGTAGCTTTAGCTGAGGATTCGCTATTCCCGGATGCAGCGTCGGCAGCTTTTATCGCTTCGTCAACTTCAGCTGAGGGCTCGGGCGCGTGAAGCGGTTTTCGTGCCGTGATAAATGTTCTAGTAGAAGACGTCAGCTCAGTCGTGTAAACACGTTCCGGATAGGAGCCATACACTTTGACATTACTCTTCCGCTCGGGGTCCTGGACCTCTTCTAGGACACGCGCTAGCAAGGCCCTTGTGTCCTTCTCTTTCCATCCACCAAGCCCAAAGAGCATCAGGGTCCAGTTCTCCAGACCTGTCACAAACGTTAGCTTACGCCTCCAATTACTCAAAGCTTCGTTCCACGTACCACATTCAATCATCTGGCTCAATATCTCGCCCTTCTTTCGGCTGATTGGGTCGTTCCCCCAGTTGCTCACGGGCAGCCAATCGACCCGCTCGCGTGTCGATTCGGCGCCCATGTTACTCAGCCACCCTGGTATGCGGGGAACGGGATCAAAGTCTAGACCTAGCTTCATGCACACGTCTACGTAGGCCGTTTCGTATTCGCAGCAAGCGGCGCCGATGGCAGGTTTTGCGCCAGCCAGGACACTCGGCAGGTCGGCTTCCTCGGTGTCGACACCGAAGAAGCGCGGGCGGATCTCGGTGAACTCGAGCTGGCCTCCGGGCTTGAGGTGGGCGTAGGCGCGGGCCAGCAGCGACTGCCAGTCCCGGATGCCGCCGCCGACCAAGTTGCGCATGTGGATGAAGTCGTAGGTGTGTGGGGGCCAAGGGTCCGTCGCGTCAGCAATCTCGAAGGTGACATTCGCGGGGACGTCATTGGGGAGCAGGGCGCGCGTGATGTCGATGCCGAGGATGTTGACCTGGGGATGGCGCTGAGCCATGTCGCGGGCCCAAATACCGCTGCCGGCGCCCACGTCGAGGATCATGAAGGGATTATCGGGAGTGTGGTTTTCGAGGGGCAGCTTAGCGTCCACCAGGCCGCCGTCGAGGCACAGTTGGAAGAGCTCGTGTTGCAGGGCCATGCGACGGGCCTCGGAGTCGTCGTTGGGCGTCATGAGCTGGCCCGAGCCATGGTACGTATGGCTGTAGGCGCGGATGAGAGGCAGAGAGTCTTCCGAGACGGTCGAGAAGTTGGAGCAGGTCTCGCTGAGGTCGGCATCGTCGTCCTCGGCGTCCTCGGCGAGGCTGACATGGCCAATGTCGACAGAGAGGTTTCCGACGACGTGGTAGTCGTCAATTGCATCTCGCGGCATGTTGTGGGGGAGAGGGGCCGTCGCAGACGAGGCAGCAGACTTGCGCCGTCTTGGTGGAACTAGGCCCGTCATTGTCGCAAAAGGAATTCGAGTAGAAGTTCGAGGAGAAGGAGAAGAAAATCGCAAAGATGATTAGAATTAAAGGCGGATATCGTCGTTCTGTAATTAGAGCAGGCAACTGAAAAGTGAGCCTGCGGACGCGGGTGGAGTCTTGCCAGGTAGGGAGAGTCGTGATGGCGTTGCAGATCGCGGTCGCTAAAAGAAGCGCCAAGTATGACGGGAACGCGAGAAGGAGAAGGGAGAGAGGGACGGCGGGAGACCGACGTCCATGGCCGGTTTGGGGGGCGCGAGTTGAGAAGCAGAGATTATGTGCAAGAAAAGGAGATTGTGAGAAAGAGAGAAGGGAGAAGAAGCAGATGAGGGAGAGACAGATGCGGAGATGGATGAATGGTTGGTTGGTTGGTTGATCATTTGGTCTGTTGGTTCTGAATGAGAAAAGGGTCTGTGTGCGCAAGCGGTTCTCGGCCGCCGTCGTGCTGCCGTCGTCGCTCGCCCGTTGCGGCCCCGACTTTATTGGAGCATTGGAGCTATTGCATCCAGAAACCCAGCAGCCCACTCCACAAGGGACGGGGGGTGGCATTCAGCGAAAGGCGAGGGCCGGGCGGCGGGCGGAGGGCGGGCGGAGAACGGGCGGAGGCGGCGCCATGGGTTGGCTTCCTACTGCTGCTACTGTTACTGCCGACCCGATGAGACGCGCGCGCATACTACGTAATTATGGAGAGACGGCAGGCTAGAAGAATGGAATGGTGCTGTCTAAGACCTTCCAGATCTCAGATTCCGCAAGTTGCAGAGACGCAGCCAAATCTAATCCAGTTGCTTCCATCCGCTCCCCAACCCCGGCATCCCCGGGGCTGCCGCCTTCAGAGCTGAAAGCCATGCCCGCAACACAGCTTGCCCTCAACACAACTACCGGCCTGGCCTGGAACACATTCCCAGCTTCATGGCTCGAGCGCACGAATACAAACCGGGGCCAAACAATGCGTCAAGACGGCTCCGCGAGGAACGCAGAGGCGGCTAGGTTGCGGTGTTCTTGCGCCGGTGCGACGTGACGTTTTGGCTTCGCCTGTGCCGCTGCCTCTGACGTCGTCCCGTCTTCAACGCGCGCGCGGGCAGCCAGTCGGACGCCCATCCAACGACTCCTCGTTCACGTTTGGGCTTCCATCACTTTTTTGACTCTCGCTCGGGGACTAACGTCAAGATGCGACCGCACATGACGATCCGTTCCCTGGGCTCTGACTCTCGTTTATTACTCTGCGCTCCGTACTCCGTACCGCACAATGAAATACCAGGTACGCAGTACATGTGATTTCTCGTCGTCGTTTTCAGCACCGCACGGGGACGCCACAAGCCCATGCCATGCCATGCCATGCCATGCCATGCCCATGCCCTGTAACCTGGTCTATACCAGGCGCCTCTCCCCCAAGTCCCTCCCCCATAGCTCCCCCCTCCCCCCAGTTCCCTATCCATCCCATGATGCCAATAGCTCCTAGCCCCAGTCCATCTCAATCTACCACCACGGCCAAATCACGTCCACGCGATGCACCCTGTTCGCTCGCCTCGCCGGTAGTTTACTAGAACACAGACAGGCTCCCCTTTCGTTCAGCCTTCCTTCGTAACCCGGTCTCTTGCCGATCCTCATTGTTGCTGCCGGGCGCCCTCAGCCACCCGGTGCGACTCTGCTTCTCGCTGCGGAGATGCACCCGCGATGCGAGCCGGTTCAACTTCCACGGCCTGCAACACGCAGCACCGCAGCAATGCATCACCTCCCGCAAGCATGCGGCGTGCAGCAACGGCGGCCCATGCAGAAAACCTACGCACGCACCGCCTGCGGCCGGCTTCTCGCTCGCCCAGATCCGCCCGCAGTTCTAGTCGCAGTTCTAGTCGCACTCGCAGTCGCAGCACGACGTCCAATATCCCTGCGTGCACATCCTCTCTCATCCCTGACCACCACGCCGGCCCGCTCCCCAGTGGATCCCCCCCCTTGTCCCCCCCCCAAAGCTCCTCATTACTCAGGGCGAGGCCACGCTTGACAGACAGCACCAGCTCGGAAGGACGGTCCAGACCCTGCTTCCCAGCGGGGTTGCGCCAGCCCGCGAGCGTCAATAGCCTTGTGAGGGGGGCGTCCTGGGCAGTAGCTGGAGTGCGCAGCGCTGAAAGGTGGTCTGCTGCCAAAGGTCCAGCCTCGCCGCGAAGCCCTTCTCGACCACGGCATGGCGTGATAGACGTCGGGTCCAGGCCGAGAGTCGTACAATGATGATGTTATCACCAACACCAGCCCAAAAAAAAACCTCGAGCACAGACCGCGAGGGAGGGAATCTTGGACATTTTGCTCCGGCTGCGTCCACCAGAGTTTCGTTCCAGTGATAATAAATAACCAGGCCTTGGCTGCGTACTGTCCGCATGTGCCACGCCGTAGGGGCTCCCTCTTCTCACACCCGCGCGCACACCATGCACAGAACTTCAATGCAGCTCGTCTCGGCCGGCAGCTTGGTCGTATTCGCCAACGGCCCAAGATGCTGCATTCGCCATGTCGACACGAGGCGTTTTCGATCACGCACAGCCAAGTGCGAACCCCCCAAGAACCCTGAACAAAAAACCCTCTTGCTCTTTTAAATGTCTCGCGCGGCCTTTTACCCCGATGATAGGCCTGACCCCCAAAGCGTTAAATAAGTCATTCACCCGCAGTCGCCAATGACAGGGCGGCGATGTCATCTCACTACATGTGGACGGACCGAAATCGCGCCCTCGGCGACCATTTCCTAGTCATTCCCACTCAGGGCCGCTAGAGACGCACGGTGCAAGTGACGGCGGCTCTGGGCGCCGAATAACCTCCCAAGATCGATCGCCCATTCGCCGCGGACCCAGAAGTCTCGAGGCAACGACAACTGCCGCTCTCTCTCTCTCCGCCTGGCCCCGTCGAAACCAAGACCGCTTCCCCCACGTCCCAAGGAACTGCCAAGAGAAGAGTCAAGGGAAAAGGAATCCGCCAGACTGACTAACGTACGGTGTTTGAGGCAAGGGCGGCGGCCGGAGTGGAGATGTTGACTGGAACCGAGGATGGCCTACTTGGCGACGTCGTCTTGGCCGCGGCTGAAATGCACTGGGACGGCGAGGACTGCAAGTGCATTCCCGCAAGTCGCGATGGTGCATTCGACGGTGCATTTGGCAGAGCTCCAGATGCTGAATGCCCTGCTGGATGCCCTGCTGGATGCATGTCATTTTCTTCCCGCTCCCGGTCAATCTGCTACACCACGGTACCACCTCCACTACAACTCCGTTCCAACCCATCCCATCCAGGTGCCTCCCATCACATCTCGTCACCTCCCTTTGACTCACAAGTTCTCCCACCTCGCTCGACTCCATCTGCTCAAAACATCGCCAATGCAGCTCCTCGGCTTGAGACAACTTCCGCCCACGCCCTCGCAACGAACCAACCAACCAGCCAACCCCGAACCGCCCTCGCTACCACGTTTGTGTCCCGTCTCCATGCCCATTCTTCTCCACCTCGCCAACTCCACCTCGCTCCTCACATCCCCATATGCCAAAGCTGACGCAGCACTAAAAGCACGCGTACGGCACGGTACAGACATCCCTCCCTCCTCCGGTATCCCTCCCGTCCCCTGCCCTGCCTGCACATCGCTCCGCCTCCCCTCGCTCCCTCCCACATCACCAGCCTGTCCGTCGTCGGTCTAAGCTCCCTATATGTCCACGTACTATGTGCACTAACTGTATCTCTCCCCGTCACGCTTCCACTCACATGGGGCCACGCAGACGGATGGGCGCATAACAATCACTGACATGCTCTTTCTTGAGACAACTACCTAGCTAGAACCCTACAGAGCTTGGTCAACACCAACCAAGAACCAAGACACCTGCACTGTGCCCCTCGCCTCCCCTCGTCAGAACCCACTCGCCACCCAAAACACAACGCCATAACTATCCGGCTCAACCAGACAACCCGACCCTCTTATTTGTTCCGCACTAAAGAAGAAAAAGAATTAGAAAACAGCACCAATTCCATCATGTGGGTCGGCCAATAGTCCTGCAAAGTAGTGACCAAGAAAATGATCCAGTTGGTATTGACCACCATGAAAATAATGGCTCTGAGAGATGCCCCGCCCCGTAGTCACAAAATAGGCTCGACTAAAAAGACGTCTTTGAATGAATGCTGTGTGTGCGTGTGTGTGCCGGGGCGTATTCATGTCCTGCTCATTCAAAATGAGCCCCTTTCATCCCTCCATCTCAAATCATTCAAAGCTCATGCCCAATCCCATGCCCAATCCCGGTCCTGATAATCCCAATCCGAGACTCAACGTCTTGCAAATTCCATCCCCAAGCTGCATGTGGTCAACCGCCAAAGATTACTCCACTCCCCCTCCTTGTTGACGGGCATGCATACAAAGGAAACACTCCCTATGGCTTGCCGACCCATGCAGAGAAAAGAAACAACACCGTTTTCACCAAGCAATCAATTGCTGGTCAGTCTGCCCCTCCCCCGTTGAATGATCCAGTTCCCCATCCCCGCAAAACTCCGGGGGGTATCAAACAGTGAGTGCCTCCCATCCAACTACTTCCATCCACCGTCTGAATCAATCCAAACTGAGCTCCCGCACATGCTCCCAACCGCTCAATGTCGTAAGAAAAATGGCTTGTTGAGACCATTCTGTGTTGTTGTGCCGTGAATCTCTCTCAGAGCGTATGCATCTCCTCGATTCCATGCCCATCCACCGCATTCATCTAAGACGGCGGCTCTTTCTTCATTTTGCGTTTCCCTCCAACTCTTCCATCAACATGCTCATCGTCCGGGCTCCATTCCTCGGGGTGGAAGTCTGGGTTTCCATAGTGTGCACGATTCCATATGCTGTTCTTGAACGTGTTTGTCTTGACATTGAAATGTGGTTCTATGCCGGTCCTATTCTCTTCATATTCGAGTTGAACTGGGCTGAATCGAATTTGGTAACCGGGGGTCGTCCTGTTATTCGGCGGCGGCAAAAGTGCAGGCCCCAACCCAGATGTAGCAACCATTGGCGGGTTGGGCCCTACGCTTGAGCTGGCTGACATGGAAGTGGGTGGGGATGGGGGTTGTGGTGATGCCATGAGGGCGGGTGCTGGTTGAGACTGAGTCTGAGGGGATGAAGCCGGTAACCCGTCGTAAGACGATATCCATGAATTCTGCTGCTGCGCAGAGGTCGTGGGCGGAGGGGGCGCCAAGGGGGCCATCCCCATCGAGTTGAGCCCAGGAATGATGGATAGTGTGCTAAAGTCAACCGACGAGTACTCTCCAAGGTCCATGGTGCTGGTAATCGGGGTATGGCGAGAGAGGTGGTTGACTCGGTTGACATGCATCGACACCGGAGCAGTGGGCACAGGAAGCGGGATTGCCAGTGGGGGAGGCGTGAGGTACAAGATGTCGTAGTGGTCGGGCCGATAGAGCAAGTAAATGATGGGACCAAGGTTGGAAGGGTCTTGACCGTTGGCCTCCTCGGGAAAGCGATATCGGTTTGCCTGGCTGCCGGGGCTTCGATCCAGGTAGACGATCTCGAGAACAAAGTTGACGGGCTGGAGCAGCATGTGGACGAGGGCGACGATGCCCAGGTGCTCAATTTCGCGATCGACCAGCTCGATGGATTGGTTGCAGTAGCCAACGACGCCTCCAGCTACCTCCGGGAGGAAGGGATCGTAAGTGGCAGCGTTAGCCTTGAGGTAGGTCGCGGCGAGCAAGCGAAGGTAGTAGATGATGCTGCTACTAACTGCAGCATCATTCCACCGCTCAAGCAGTAGTAGGTGTGGCACTTGCGGGTCGGGGCTATCCATGCTCTGAGCAATCTCTCGAAGCAGTCCGAACATCTCGTCGGCCCACTCTTCAAAGTAAGCATAGCCGCCGACATTAGACATCATGTGGTTCATGCTCATCAGTCGGGCGACTTCGCCCTCAATCTTACCCTGATCGCCTGAATCGATGAGTTTCTCAAAGTAGGAGAATCCAATTGCTGCCGAGACAAAACCGTTAGCCAAGATTCGACAGGTCACTTGAGACAGGGTCCCGAGACACGGGCGGCAGGGCGAGACAAAGCAACGTGCCGCCGGAGAGCGGAGTCGTGTCTGGGGGAAAGGCGTGGGTTTGGCATCTGGGCCTGAACCGCCCTTCTAGAATCATGTGTTGTGGGTGGAATGGGTCGATTGACTTACCTCGCCAGCCACAGTTGCCGTCGCCCTGGATGGGCCGATAGTGGGAAAATGTCTGGGGAAGAGCCTGGTGAGACATGGTGTCAGTATGTCGATGATGTAATTCGGAACCTGGGGAGACGCACAATTGTTTTCTCGACGTAGACTTGGTCGGCTTTGGCATACTCGGCGGTGATGGCATCGCTGGACACTTTGTTGCCGACCAAAGGTCCCTGCAAGATCGGATGGTCAGCATTTTGGAGGGGAGGAGTGTGCGACACGGCGCAAGAGTCGCGACTTGCCTCGTGGACGGCTTGGTAGTCTTTGGCGGCAGCCTGCTGGGCGGCCATGTCGTGCTGGCCCTGCTGGTCTTGCTGGTCCTCCATCGTGGGGATGTTGACGAAGTTGGAAGGGTAGGGTTGGCGTGGCGCTTGGGGCGCTTGGTGGTGTTGATGCTGCGAAGTATGGTGGAGCGGCTGGTTGTTCAGCTGCTGGAACTGCTGCTGTTGTTGGCGGAGCTGCAGGTCTTGGTGCTGGTGGTGGTGCGCCTGAGCAGTGTCTCGGTTCGTTGGGGTCTGCGGCGGTGGCGACGTCGTCGAAGTGGTGGATTGGGTGTAGGAAGCGGTGGATTGTGCGTAGGGAGAAGCAGCAGGCGATGCCGAGGCTTGTTGCTGGCGCTGCAGGTGAGGATTCTGAAGTGGTGCACCAGGCTGTTGTTGCTGTTGCTGTTGCGGTTGAGAGTCGTAGGGCGACCCGGGGGGCGCACCAGCTCCTCCGCCTCCGGCTGACACGGGATATCCCAAGTCCAGTTCGGGAGCTAGGCCGTAGGACGCGAAGCTGCTGGAGGCGAACGGCGTGGGTTGAGGCTGGAACATGCCTTTGTTGAACCGTCTCTCGGGGCGGGGAAGAGGTATTGGAGAGGTGTTGGAGAGGGTGTTGGAGAGGGGAAGGGGAAGGGGAATGGAAAGAAGGTGCGGCGAGGAAGGGGAGGAGAGAGGAGAGGAGACGGAGCGGAAGGATGTAGCTTTGAGAGAAAGCGAGAGGGGAGTGGTGAGCGGACGAGGTGAGCCCAGCTCTCTGGGACCTAGGAGGTTGCGAATTGGAGACCTATGTAGGTAGGTCAGTAGGCCGGTAGGTACGCTGCCGCTGCTGGGCTGGTACGGTACAGCGGTGCTTGTGTTACCGCTGCTGCTGCTTTGGGGCGTAGGTTTTAGGTAGATGGAGCGATGTATGGCCCCGTCAATGCCCCCGGTACAAGCCCCGTTCAAGGCCCTGTCTTGCCCTGCCGAGCCCTGTCGCTGGTGGATCAGTGGGACTGTGGGAGGAGCCGTGGGATGGATCAGTGAGGTGGGCAGTGGGATGCTCGCCGCGCTGGGCGCTGGGCGCTGGGGAGCGAGAGTGGGCGCTGGGGAGGGGCGCTGTAACACTGGCCGCTCGGTGGCCGAGGAGTCCAGGCACCTGGGGGACGAGAGATGGAGGAGGGGAGCTAGGGAACTTTAGCACAGCGGGCGGACAGCGGGTGATGTGGCCTAGCGGAGCGCCTAGCGGGTGGCCTAGCGGGTAATCCCAGCGGGTAAACCACAGCGGGCGCAAGGAATTCGACGGTGGGGAATCGGGCTGGCGACTAAGCTTCGGATTTTGGACGGAGCAAGAGACGTCCTGGGCTGGGACGACTGGTTGTCTCCGAGAAAGCGACGACCACGGCGCGGAGAAGAGCAGTAGGAGCAGTGGGAGCAGTGGGAGCAGTGAGCCGAGAGAGGGCGCTAATCGCCGTGCTAATGAGATCCAAGGTCCGACGGGCGCGGCTAGCACGGCCGCGAGGGGTAGTACAAGGAAGGATGGAGCGTCGCACAGGCGGGTTTGAACACCCGGCTGCGGTTGTGACTTGCGACGACTGAAGGGATAATAAGCAGCAACCTGGCACGTCGAGCTATTGGGCCGTGGTACTATGGTACAGTACCCTGCGCAGCTAGGGAACGGGACCTGTTGGGTGTACGGCAGATGCGGTTGCACAGGACTCAAGTTAGGGGTTGGCTGACACGTCCGTCGACACAAGTGTCAAGTGTCGAGGTGTGTAGAGTCCACAAGGAGTCCACTTGGGGACGACTCAGACGAGACGACTCTCCACTTGATGGCCAGGAGCCAAGGCCAAGCAGGGAAAGGTCGAGGGGACCCAACGAGCAATGACGATCTCCCGTTGACGATGCGTTGCGACTCGATTTCGATTCGATCGACGTATGTGCGTAATTCCTGGCAGGACCGAGTGCTTGGCTGTGGTGCAAGAGTGCAATTGGGTCGACGCGGGCACGATGGCTCCAGTCGTCCAGGTACGTCCAAGTACGTCTAAGAGGGTTGGTGGGCGATGGCGCCAGTGATTGGTGGAGATGAGGGTTGAGGAGGGTGTGACGGTAGGGCGAAGTAGGGCGAGAGAACAGGACGAGAAAAGAAGGAAGTGGAGGGCAGTGAGAGGATGGCCGAAGGGCAGTGAGGCTGCTGTGATGAACAGTGACGGACTGCGGGCGGCGTAGGTAATTCGCGTGGGGGAGAACGAGGTTTGGACCCGAGCTAATGGGATGGCGGATGGAGAATGGATGACACGATGGGTTCTTAGTCCAGCTAGTTTAGACGGGATGGAACAGAAGTTCGGAGTCGTTGGTTCTGCAACGTTGTGGCAGCCGCGTGGGAGATGAGATGGCACCACGGCTGGAGCGGGAAACCAACGAAGCAAGGAAAGCAACAACGATGGATGCGTCAGGCTCTGGGAATCGGGCTCTGGGAATAAACAGGGACCCTGCAATGTGGATGGGGCTGATGCGGATGAGGGGGGATTGATCGGATCTGTCGATGACCCCGGATCAGCTTCCGTTGGCGTATATGACAATATCGCCCGTGTCTCCTCACTGTCTGCAGGGCATCTACAAGATGACTGTGCCTCCCGTGGGCAATGGGGCGTTATCGCTGTGCGCGTGCGTGCGTGCGTGCGTGCGCTCGCACTACTGGGGTGCTTCTGCTGGGCTGTGGCGCGTTTCTGACGGAGCCTTCTTCTTGGTCCTTGGCTGGTTTGTTGGTTCGGCCGTGGAGTCCCAAGCCTGGTCCGACTTGCTGTGCCACTAGTAGTCGATGCGATGGGCTTTTGCAAATCCCAGTGATCCCTACCCTAGCTATCGGATCAAGGGTCCGGGGTCTGGTCTGTGTCTTCTGGTAAGGGTAGAAGCTGTCTTCCACTCTTGTCACTTCCCAACCCACTTCCCAAACACGGCTCTCTCCGTGTGCGTAGATGGACGTGCGCGTGGTGTGCGTGAGCCCAGTGTGAGTGGGCGGGCCTTGTGTTGGTCGTGTCTTGATGCGGATCGTCCCTTACTAGAAGCCAGCGGGGCTTGGCAGGCAGGGAACCGGGGACACGGATGTTAGGGGGGGGGTGTTGAATGTTGCTGAGGGCTGAGGGCTGAGAGAGCAACAGTGGGAGTGAGAATCAGATGATGATGGGTTTGTATAAGCGGGTGGAAATGGGGAGATGGCAATGGCGTCTAAGTGCTAGTGATGGTGCTAGTCTTGGTGATGACGATGACGATGGCGATGGTGATGGCGATGGTGTTACCGTTGGTGCTACTGCTCGATCAGGAGGTACCTGGGCAATAGTGGTGATGCTAATGCTGAGAGTGGTGTGTACTGGGGTTTGATGTGGCCTGGTCAGAGTCGATGCGGCGGCGGCAGGCAGGGGGAGCCAACAAGAGGTGTTGGAGATCAAGCAGCCGTCGGGTTGGACGAATTGGCTGGGCGATTGGCAATGCAGCGGGAGCAGAGGCGCATGAATTACCCTCAACGTCGGGAAGCGTGACACCACGTCGGAGATGATGCGATGCCCTGGGCAGACGGGCAGACAGACCAGACCAGGGTTGTCGGTGATTGGGAGGACGGCGGGTCTCGTCTGACTTGCTGAAGGTGGATTCTCTCGACCTGTCTCGGCCGGGTCGACGGGTAGCGTTGATGAACTGACCCTGCAAGCCTGTGTGGCCCTTGCGTTGCGGGACGGCGGGTGCCCTTGTGATAGTAATTTATCTACTAAATTCGGACGTTGGAGGCCGACAACTGAACTGAATGCACGTGGGGGAGAAAGCCCAGAACAGGGGTATTCCGCCGAGGTGTTCTTGTTGCTGATGGCGAGAGAGGAAGGGAACCGCGAGAGATCCCGGGGGGGAGACAGAAATGGATAATGGGTATGGCGGCTCTGCTGCTACAGACAGAGGCGAAGGCGCTGCTGGTACAGCGACGAGGCTCTGGTGGTTGGCTGCTCGTGTTTCTGGAGGTGTTGGCGGCGGCGGTGGCAGCGGTGGTGCTGCTGCCGAGGATGATGAGAATAGCAGAGCGCTGATTCGCTGCTCGCCTTCCTTGCTTCTGGATGCGACGCCGAAGCACAGGACAGGCACAGGCACAAGGCACAGGCACTGACAAGGGGGGGGGATCAACCGTCTCAACCTAGGTGCCAACGGAGACGGAGACGGAGACAACGACGAGCTGAGGGAGGATCCAAACGATCACCCAAAGCTAAAGCGAACGAGGACGAAAGGGGCAAGTGGGAAAGCGCAGCTAGTATGGGAACGATGTGTAGTCGGCAGATGGAAGGATATAATAATGATGGACACCAAGATGGCCGGGGACGGTGGTAGCAGGGGAACAGGGGGGCTGTACGCCAGAATCTAGGGTGACCCAACTCGGTGCTGGTTGGTATCTGGGGACTTGACTTGAACAAAGATGGCTTGAGCAAAGATGAGTTGAGTTGACTACGCAATTGCTTGCCGCGAAGCAGATGGGGACCGGCGGGTTCATATGGTTTCTCGACTCGCCCAGGTCGACGGTGAACAGCTCCTCCATCCCTCCCTCCCTCACTCCTCCCAACAACAACAGAACCCGCGAGACGGCCCGCCAGCGGGAGACGGGAAGACGGACGACACCCGCCCAGCCAGCGAGCCAAAGCAACTAGCCAGAACCCAACGCCCAGACAGACCGACGAGCAAGCAAGCAAACAAACGGGAAGCGTCTCCACCGCCCGCCAGCTCATCCCGCCCGCGCCCCCGTGGGCCACGATGCTTGGGAATACCGGTACATGGGCTCCCCTCCCCACGGAGCGAACCATGGTACTGCGGCTCGCTCTGCAGAATACAACAGCGGTACGGCACTTCCCACGACCGACAAGGGTGTTTTGGTCGAGGTGGGTGCGGGGGGGGAAGGGCAGGGCAGGGCAGCGGAGTCGCAGGAGTTGGCGTCTTTGGCTCGTTCTTGGGATTGCTTGCCTTTGCTTTTTCCGCCTTGCCTTGATGGCTTGCTTGGAGGTTTCCACAGGCCGGCGATCCTCTCTCCACCATCCCACGCAGGCCAAGCAACGGTGTCGTCTTGACTGTGGCACCCGGCACATGGCACACACACACACACACACACACACCCGCACCCACGAACCGGGACGCACACGCGCGCAACGCACGCACACCACATGGGACAGACACACACCTCCATACTCCAGACCCTCACCACTTACATAGTGCAAATTGCTATATCCGGGTGGCATCACAGCACAGTAGCTCTCACCCCGACCGCAAGCTCCAACGTCATTCCGGCCCCAGGCCCAGGCCAAAACATATGACCGCCAAACTAAGCTCCGCTAAACTGTTATGACAGCATCTCACGTCCGGGTCGGAACCTCCGGGGGCGGGGGGGGAGAAAGGGAGAGAGAGGGCAACGGCACAATATCCCGAGAAACTCCCCTTGTTGTCTCCTCTCTCCTCGATGGAACTACCATGTGCTATTCCAACCCCACGACCCACGTCAATGTTCCCTCCCAAGTTTCCTCCCTTTTTTTATTTCTTTTTTATTTTGTTTTTACCTCAACACTACGTCGTTAGCGGCCGAGCCGGGCACTGGCGGTGCGGAGGGGCGGCGACGGCGGCGGCTGCGGCTGACAGCGCTCCACCCTCCCTGTCTGTCTTCAGGAATACGCACGTAGGAGCTAGGTAGGTAGTTAGCAGTCATCCCTCGCGGGCACTGAGCAGCCAAGAGGCCGCTTGCACTTGGGACGAAACGATAGTCAACTCCACCGACCCGCGTGGACACCCCCCTCTCGGCCGGGAGGGGGGCTTGGGTCCGTTACGTCAACACTACGGACGGGCGACTCCGGCCGTTCGCCGCTCCGTGCACCCATCGGCTCCAGGGCCTGAAGCCAGTGTTTTCGTCCGCCCTGGTCTCTCGTTGCTCCGTGTCCCGTGCCTGCTCCGTTGCCCGTGTCCCGTGCGATCCATCAATTAATGCCCTGAATACCCGCCCGCCAGGAACCTCGTGAAACCAGCCGCCTTGGGGTTGCACCCTTCGCAATTGTGCGAATGCGTTACGAGACTTGGTGGGACAGCCCTCCGTACCCTGTGCCGTTGGAGAATTAATTGCCCATTACACTAATAGAGTGCCGGCATAAATCCACATCCAGATCCGCCTCCAGGCACTAGACGACGACGTCTGTCTGCTCTAGACCCTGCACCATCACCATATCCCGTCTGCCAGAGCATGAAAAAGTCCTGGATTTTTTGACCGGTTGGCTCTCAGCATCCCATCTCACTTCGCCGCTCTTTTCTCCTCTTCTTCTAGACGCCTCATTGGTTGCTTGCCTGCTTGCCTGCTTGCCTGCTACCGCACTTTGAGCCTCCTGCAACCAGAAGCTTCCTGCATCTCCGCCAGGCCTCTCTCATTGGCCATTTCAGCCAAAACTATCGTTTGCCAGTCCCGCTGTCAGGCTCTCATATTTGACATAGTCAAAGCTGCATACTGCATACATCAGCCGCTTCGCAACTATGCCAGACACAGATCACCTGCATGCTTGATCCCGCCCGGGGACGAGGCCCGACCCGATCCCTTCCATCGAGAGGTGTGCGGATATGGCCATCGAGAGAACATGCTCGTAAAAGCGGCAGCGAGCCGTGGCTTTTCGTCGTCGTGCGGTGAATGAGCGTCGAGCTGATGCATGGGCGGGACAGACATGGGGGGGTCTCTGCAGCTGCATCATGCCGCCTGGACAACAGGCTCGCCACCGCCAGACAAAACGGTTTTTCTTATTTCTGGCCGGTCCAGTCACGAAGCTGGATTCGCCGCCGTTAACCTTTCGTGGCAGAGTGGGATGGAGCCGGGCGCCCGGTCAGTGGCCTCCCTCTCACCGGGTTCTTGGGCAATATATGATAGATCATTACACTATCGTAGAAGCAATGTCAGCCACCAAGATCCGCAGCCTGATCAGATGACGCAAACACCTCGTATGAGGGCGGCTCTGGCATCGTGTGCCCTCAATTCCGCTGCTCCTTTGCGGCTGCCGCATCTCTTGTGCTCCCCCAGTCCTCCGAGTAACACCCGTGGTTTCGATGGTACCGATTTCGGGCAATTGTCACGTCTGCCCTGGTTGCTGTGCCTTGTGTATCACTCTGGAACGGCCTTTGCTACACAGGCTCATCGCTCGGACGCCGCACTTCATTGGGCAATCTATCTCTTTCTCGTATACCGAGGTTCCCGTCCGCAGGGGTGGACCGTCAGACCCTCCAAGGCAGCCAGCCTACTTACGAACAACTGCAGTCCAATGCCCATAACCTAATATCGTCCATGTATCTTGCCTCACCGCTGTGGATTACATCCGACGGCTACTTGCTACAGCCCAATCACCCACGATCGCGGCCCCGGTTCAGCTTCCCTCTTCAAGCCTCACGGCCATGCATCAAGCCCTCTGACCAGATCTAAAGCCTCGATGCGTTGTGGTTGTGGGACAGGAGAACGCCTCAGCTGCGGCTCTCTTCCACTGAGATTGGTCGAAATTAAAGTCTCTTGCTTGTACTCCTGCTTGTACTCCTGCTTGTACTCCCACTTGTACTCCCACTTGTACTCGTGGTACTGTTGCCTGTTGCTGGCGATGCAACTCGACACCATGTCTGTGACCGCTTGTCCTGCACTGTCGCGACTCCAGCAGTCTCATTTGCCGTGTTTGTAATTCTTCTGTGGACTCCATCTGTCTGTAACTAATAGCTATGGCCTGCACACCCAGCCATGCATGCTGGCCCTACATGACTGCACTTCAACCCCAGCCCCCTATTCGCAGATCTTGGGCCAGATCGCTGGGCACTGGCAAACATGTTCACGTTGCCTGCTTGTCCCCGCATCCATCCTACCTTGGAATAGTCTTGCTCTGGCTCTGGCTGTCGGCCCCGGTTCCCCTCGGTCACGTAACTGGCCTCCTTCATGCTTTCGTGCAACTATGCAACCCACTGTGGCGGCTGAGCTGTAAACCGACCGCCCTTCAATTCCCCATTCCTGCAGCTTTCGTCATGCTACCAACGCTACAGCCCGTGCGGTGCTTTAGAGGGGTGAGTTGTTGAAAATATGCGGCGAAACTCCAAGGCCATTGGACCTCCGTTGCCTATCACCACATGTCTCAGGTCTAAGTCGACACGGGATAGACAGCAGGGGATGACCAAACAACAACGCAGAGTCTGTATCCATATTCAGAGCGTCTCCTACGTCATTCTGGTTCCATTTTGCTGAGATCCACGTTCAGCTGTCCAGGGCTGTCGTCTTCTGTTCTATTATTGATCGGTCTATGCTGCCACCCCGCGATAGCTCGGTACAAACACACGATGACATTACGTTGTACCATATCAGATCCCGTCCTTCATCCTATGGCGGACAAACACGCATGCAACCTCCGCTTCTCGAGCTGTGCTAACGTTTGGTGGCGTATCAACAGAAAGTGAGAACTGAGTTGCAAGGCCTCCATGCGCAATCGTGGTATCTGCCTGATCATGAGTGCCGTTGGGGGTCTACGGGATCCCCTCATGGCCAGCCCGCTACAATTCCCTTGCCTTTCTTGCTCCGAAGAGCCGGCCCACGGCCACCTGACCCCTTGCCAATCGGGATCCCTTGCATGTCCACACCCTGGTCCTCTCCTGTCGAGTTTTCAATATTACGGAAACCCTCACCGTCCCTAAAGATAGTCCCAAACAACTCCGAAATCGATGTGGTCAAGCCCTGGAGAGCCAAGATTCGCTCCGAGTCAGCGTCAGATGTTATTTCGAGAAGTCCCTCCTGCTGGTTGATCCGCCCGCTGATCTTTCCATCGATGATGAGGAAGCCCAAGATGTCTTGCACCTCCGGCTCGGATATCTTGAGCTGCTTGGCGATCCACGCAAGCTTCATTCGAGTGTATGGCGCAATCAGCTTCACAACACCCTTGGTTCGCATGTTACGCGTGACCTCGTCGATGTTCTCAGCGATGAAGGAGTCGTCCAAGATGTCTTGATTACGCGCCAAGACCTTCTCGTAAGTGTGGACATCATCCCGTTGGTACGCGTCTACAAGTTCCGTCATGGCTGATATTCTGGGGTCCGTCTTGTACGGCTTAGTTTCTTGCGAGTCGAACGGGTTGATGTTGGACTTCATCAACATTGTCGTCAAGAGCAGATACTTGAGAACCTGGATACGCTGCAACGAGCCCGCCTCGTCGTAGTTTCGGAATGACTCGAAAAAGTCGCTCTGCGCCTCCTTCCAGTTCTCCTCGCTCATGTGCATCTTGCCACCACACTCTCGGATAATTCCCATGATTCTGGGATGGGGTACCGCAGACTTGACCTTGAGGGCTCTCTGATACAGGGCCTTCAGCTGCTTGTTGTTCTTGGTCTCGGCAAACATCTGGATCTCCAGGGCATAGATCTCGAGCGAGTAGGTGCCCTTGCTGGGGTCGTCTGAGCCGTCCTCCCGCTGACAGGTCTTGTGGAGCTCTCGTAACTTCTTCGACACGGCTGCGTACTCTTTGCGATCGAGCAGGAGCTTGGCTAATTTAATGTTCGTCTTCAGCCATAGCCTTTCGTTGTTGGTGCTCTGGAAGCTCTGCAGAGTGAGGGAGTAGAACTGCTCCATGCATCGGATGGCCTCGGGTCCATCGGCTCCTTTCTCAATGTAGTCAAGCAAGTTGTTGATAGATTTCTCGGAGTAGTTCCGGGTGACGGCCGACTTGACGTAGGTTAAGAGCTCGGCGAAGTGCTCAGCCGTCTGCAATGATCAATCAGCGCGATGTTGGCAGTGATTTCGGAGAACCCAACACACCTTTTCATATTGGCCCAGCTTAAATTCCACCTTGATTGCTTGTTTCAAGCCTTTGAATCCCCATTCTCCTTTCTCGTCCTCCAGCGGGGGGATGCCTAGGAACTCGGCGACCGCATCCTCGGGGTCGGAGAGCTTCAGCTGCTTCGCGTTGTAGTACTTGTTCTCGATGTCGACATCGCCGGAGTCTTCGTCGTCATCTTCCTCGTACTCGAAGTCGTACCTAGATATGGTCAGCCAGAGCATGTGTTGGTGTGGGCCAGAGGGAAACGTGCTGCTCCTCATCCGACTCCTGCATGAAATCCTCGTCGTCCGACATGGTAGCGGCTGGCCTCGTACGCCTCGATAGATAGGTGGTATGCCGAAGTAGATCGGTAGGAGGAGAGGTGCGCGGTATCCAGGACAAGATGTTGCGATTCGAGGAGGGTTTCGAGGCTGAAGCGATGGTGAATGGATGTTGGAGCTGCCGTGGAGTAGGCAGCGGGGTGGATGGAGTGTGGAGAGTGGGTCATTGCTTATCGATAAGACGATAAGCCGAAGCTCTCTGGTTCAGCTTGACTACCTACCCAGGTATACCCGCCATTGGGCTCCTACCTGGAGATGACATTACATGAATAATAGTGTTTCTTAGGTTCTAATCTTGAGTAAAAAATACGTCTAAATTATGGAGACAAACAGAAATTCTTCCACAACCCTAATAGAACGCCTTGGCCCTTATGCCTAACAATTACGAGTGTAATCTACGTCCACATCCACACCCACATCCACATCCACCATCTAGACAACGCGACGCTAATTTTCACGAGCTTGTGCCACACCGGTCGGAATCTTAAAAGCAAAGACGGCCGCCGTGATTCCCATTGACAAAACAGTCAAAACAAGGAAAGGCAATCCTTGCCAAGCACCTCCTAACTCCATCCCTTCACTCAGCAACCAGCCCATCGCCGGGCCGCTGGCCAGGGCCATGAGCATCTCGGCAAGCGAAATGGTCGTGTTGAGTGTCGCAACAGTATGTGGTTCAACGACGGCATTCAACAACGCCCGGCATAATGCGCTGAAGCCATTTCCTAAGCTTGTGGTGACAAGTGATGTGATGAACAACCATGGAACTCCGGCAACCGTCATGAGCAGAAGTCCAGATGCCATGAATAAAATTGAGATCCGCGCGAGAAACAGATCTCTTTGCAGAGGACCGTACTGGTATCGCCTGGTGACGAAAATTGATGCAAGAGGAAGAACTACGAGCAATGAGGCCACGGTCGCAAGGATACCAGCGGTAGAAATGTAGGTTGCCTTGAGATGCCGTTAGTAAAGGTATACAATCCACTTCAGCAGGAGTACTGACCGTAGACCATTCCCAGTTAAATCTTTTTGTCATATACTGGAGCAAGATGTTGGAGAATGCTAGTCTGATGGGCAAATAGGCAGAAAGGGCCAAGATTAGTATCATGACGCTCCTCGAGGCAAAAATGAATCGCCAGACATGTCCCATGTCATTCTTGACGGTAAACCAAGCCTGCTGCAAGATACGGTGTTTGAGCGTGCCATTCCCGTTTTCATTCTCTTCGGGATTGCCGGTCTCATGATTGACTCCATTTCGTCGCCGGTCATCTGCCTTGCGTCGAAGCGACAGAGTCTCGGGAATAAGCAGCGTAGAAAGCGTTCCGAGGACGAGGAACCCAAAGCTCAGCCACATTGGGATCCAGGGATCGAATTGAAGGAGCCAACCCGCGATTGGGTTGACGATGACGTTGATCATAAGCGCCACAGCAGTCAATTGATAGAACACTGAGGTTCGCTCGGCGACGGAGACGACGTCGGCGACAATGGTCCAGACCATGGCTCCGGCCATGGCCCCGCCTCCTCCAATGAGGTAGAATAGGCTTCCGGGAAGGACGGCCCAGATGGAGAAAACATTTGGAAAGAATACTGTCGGGGTGTGAGTGATGGACAAGGAGGCACGGTATAAGAGTTGGACGTACAGACAATCATGACCCAAAGAGTTTGGCATGTGCACCCAAACACCGAGAGGAACAAGACGGGGCGACGGCCATACTTGTCAGCAATGATGCCGAAGGGGAATTGAGCAACGATGGCTGTCATGGCTATGTCAATTACCAATTCCTTCGCGACACCGACGCAGACCGGGTAACTCACGAGTGGCCATCTCAAAGGCCAGGGTCCAGCCCCTCACCATAGCTAGCGTCTTCTGAACCTCGTTATTCTTGCAGCGACTGTCCTGTATGCGGGGCACTCGAAGGGCGTGATCAGGGTAGTAGTCGCGACAGATGATGTCTTCCATGATCTTCTGGAGTGGCGGCTCCATTATGAACTGGCTGACCTCGACGATAAAGAGAGAGAGGATGCACATGAGCAGAACGCGATTCCGGAACGACTTGGCCGGAACGATATCTGGAGGAAGGTCATTTCGCAACAGAGGCGAACGCTCAGTCGAGTCGGCCTGGAGGAGGTCGGCGCCTTCGCTCTCGACATCGGAATCTACCGCGTCGTCTGGGCGCAGGTCAGTGGGCGACATGGTGCAAACTGAAGGGAGAGAATGTGGGATGTTGGAGCCAAGTGAGGGTTCATTCAGTATGAGCACAGTAGGAGAGTGATAAATGAGCGAATTGGGGCATCACGAATGGATAAATAGCTTAATGAAATGTATGACGACAAAAAGAAAGTTGGCGACATGGATGAAACAACAAAGAGATGGTCGTTGCAATAGGTCGCGAGGCGTAGATACCGACCTCCCCAAAGCGGAATGGCCAAGTTGAAAGTCCACTTACTCGTATTCTGACGTAAATGCGATTGGAGCCAGCCTCACTCAGGCACTCACGAAGGAGCCACGCCGCGCAATCTCACAACACTCGGTTACAAATGTCCCTTGGATGCGCGCATACCAATGTCCTCGCGCGGTCCCGTCTTCCCAATCCTGCTTCGTCGCTGACGAGGGCGTGACGTGGTGAGGGCTGCAAGGCGGCGTGGACATGGGGGCAGCCCGGACTTCCGGCGCTTGCACCTCGTCCGGCCAGATAATGCAGATCCAGGAACGGATTGATGACTGCGTTTTTGAGCATGGTGATGTGGCCGTTGGGAAGACGACACGGCATCCATGACGGGCAGCAAGAGGCCGCGTAGACGGCTAGGCAGCATCACCAGGGCGCCAATCCAGACGCCCTCGACGAAGACAATAGGAAGGGCACGGTGTAATTTCGGGAAGAAGAGTTACGAAGGGCCACGATTTGCGGATGCCGCATTGTTCGTTCAATGTGCGAAATTGCTTGTCTCTCGGCCTCAGATCTGCCGCCCTCCACACGGCCGACCGCTAGCCCGTCCTCCGGCTAAACTCCCCGGGCCCAGCCGGAGCGGACACTCAGAATGTCCGGGCTCGTTCAGCTGAGTGACCCAGCGCCGGGCCCGCTAGCTCCGGAGCCATCATTAGCCATCGCCGGACCTGAACGGCCGTATTCACCGTGGCAGTCCGGGTCTAGCCACCGGACATTCCCGTCAAACCTGTAGCTAAAGGATGCCGCTCAGACCAGGTGAGAAACACGACTAGGGCGGACGGAGGTGGCTGTGAACGAAACTGCGACCCGCCAAACCCCTTGCATCTCCCAGTAATATCAGCCTCAGCGCTCAACCAGCAGGTGGTTAACAATCTAGAGGAGACGCTACTCAATCATGGTCGAGAGTTAAGGTTACTACAAAGTAGTAGACTCCTTTATGTTTCAACTTTTGGTGTACAGTTGTGGCGTTGCTCACACAACCAGAGGTCTGCCCCAACCGTCTCACGATGGATTGTACGTAAAGACGCAGCTGTAAGATTAACAGGACTTGACCAGCGACTGAAGGGATTCAAAACGGATTGGATCCATTGAATCCTCCGCCTGCGCCGCCTCATGAAGTCACCCAACTCCGCTCAAGTCTCACCCCTTCTCTCCTTCAACCGTACCTCATCCAATCAGGGCACTGAGCATTAAGGGGTCGCGACGATCATCACGACCGTTCGATCCCGACTCCAATATAGCACTGAGAATTGCCGACGGCACTCCTTCTTGGTCGGGGACGGGTTTTAAATCGCACGGCAGGCCCATCCGCTTAAAGAATAAAATGACAACTAGCACCTGCACAAAGCAGGTTGCTCAGAATTGAAAGCTGCATGACGGTACAAATCATCAATCTGAACATGTGCTATGGGACGGCATGCTCCAACTCAATCCCTTCATTCATCCTCCAGCTCATACATGAGGTTCGAATCCCATATCGATCATGCAGACCACGAGAGAAGAACGCTCTGTAACGTCCCCTCGGGCCATGTCAGCTTCAGCCTCAAACTAGTGTTTCGCAACCGATGAGACTAAGCCGGTGATCCGATCCTCAACCCACGCGACAGGGGATAATTCCCCAGGCTGTGTCTGTCCACCACGTTTTGGAACATGCGGCCCGGCCTATCGCGTTGTTTCCTTGGCTCCCATCCATCCCTGTACTCTCTAGCAGACATGTTCCTCATGGCCCAAACTCGTCCGGCACTGCTCATGGATGGCTAGGCGTGATGTCTTGCTTCGCCCCGTTCGCCGGCATGTCATCCTTTACCCCATGCTTCCAGAAGCAAGGATAACCTTCAAAACAAAGATTCAAGTCTAATTGAGAAGGGGAAAGGATCCTCATCCCGACCGTCATAGCATACATAAGCTGGGACTGCTCGAACTCAATGGTGATGTAGTCCAACCAAGCCATTCATTCATTCATCATTCATTCGTTCTTTCAACTGAGTTGTCGTTCGTCATGTATTCTTCCAAGTCCCTCCTTGCTTCTCTTCTTGCTGCAGCGCCGGCCGCCCTCGCAGCAACCACGGTCGATGACTCGCAGTGCGATTGCTATCTGAGCAACGGCACCAAGCCGACCTACTACGCCAACCACATGTTCTTCGACTTCCGCTCGCTGTCCCAGTACGCCAGCATCCCCGACCTCATCAGCACCCTCGAGGGCAACGCCAACGCCGGCTTCACCAGCGACTACTTCAACTGGGAGTCCGAGTTTGCCCAGACCTGGGGCCTGCAGAACTGGTCCAACGAAGACGCCGACTTCCCTATGCAGAACACCTTCAACAATATCTACATCCAGAAGAACACCGACGATGTCCCTGCAAGCGACACTTTCCTGACCATGCGTACTGCTCGTCACGATGGCTTCCAGTCGGCCTCTGAGTTTGAGACCATCGAACAGCACCAGTATGCCTCGATGCGCATGTTCGCTCGTACCATCGGTTCCGAGGGCGCTTGCACCGCCATGTTCACCTACCGAGACGCTGCAGAGCTCGCGAACGTCCAGGAGGCTGACATTGAGGTTTTGACGTCGGACGCCGACAACGTCATCCACTACACCAACCAACCCTCGTACACCGACGCAGGTGGCGAGGTCGAGGGCGCCTCCGAGACCGTCACTCTCACCAACGGCCTTACATGGTCCAAGTGGGCAACCCACCGTCTGGACTGGACCCCTGACCAGACCGTGTGGAGCGTCGATGGCCTGCAGACGGCTGTCAACTCCTTCCAGGTTCCCAAGGATGCTTCGTCCCTGATCTTCAACGCCTGGAGCAACGGCGGATCCTGGACCGGCAAGATGGACGAGGGCGGCGTTGCGTGCCAGCAGATCCAGTGGATTGAGATTCTTTATGGTCCTGCGGAGGCAAGCTCGTGCCAGAAGGTCTGCAGCATCGACGAATCGACCGAGCTTGGAAAGCCGGTGGTTCAGGGAACGTCTAAGGCCAGATGCTTGGCGTCTTCTCAGATGCGCCGCTTCAGATAGTTGGATAATTACCTTTTTGTATATACCTTTAGATATAGCAGATAAAATTACATACATTCGCTTGGCTTCAAATCATCAGCTACTCACTTTGTCACCCTACCCATCGCTTTGAGAATGCTTAGACTAGGGTATGGTACTCAGGCTGCGAGCATCATCGACTCGAGTCCTTGCACTTAGAAAGCTGCTGTGTTGTGTTGACTGCGATAACTAAAGGGAAGATAACCAAATTATTATCAAGAATGCACACATTCCATCCTTGCGGGCTGCACTTATAATGATATCCGACCCAACGTATGCAGGGAATTCACGTATAACCAGGCATTACCTCTTGACCAGCTGCGCATTGAACCCTAGACAGATCCTCGGTGTAACGTTAACAGACGACGCTCAAATACCTCCGAGGTGGAGTCTTCCCCAGACGCCACCCCGACCGGACCGGCTTCAGCCTCCGATAGTCGAGCCTCCGCCCGGGGTGTTCACGCACACCCTCACACCACGCTCGTGTAATTCGCCCAGTTCAGACAGGTTTCGAGCCTGATTGCGTACCTCCAGAGCACACAACCACCATGCGCCGCTTATCTGTGGGTACTGGTGATGCCGGTTTGGGCGTTGAGATACGGTGCCATTGCGTCGACAGGGTTCTTTTGTTCGACGCTTGGGGGTTCCCCTCACTGCGTTCCGTCCAGCTTGCCGTTTATGGCCCCGCTTGGCGCGCGTTGCCAGACGAGAGATATGGTGACTGAGTACGGGAGCCTCATTAGTTTCCGGCGGTTTGCGCGAACCTGATCCTTCGTCGGGGAACGAGAGGTTGGCCGACCTCGGGATCATGATCCGATCCCGAAGGGCCCATTGTAGATTGCAACCCTCCCACGTCAGGCCCTCGAACGACCGTCCCAGCGGTCTTCTTTATCAAAGATTCCATACGCTCGGGTGGACAGGGAAACTCAATCCATGCCGATCAAAACCTCCCCATGGGTTCTTAATGAGGTGTGTAACGTGGGGAACGTAGTATTTAACACCTGTTGTCCCCTCGTTGCATTGACTGGCCTTTCTCGCGTCCAGCCATCTTAGACACTGCAACTTTGTTCAAAATGAAGAATCCTTTTAAAAGTCATGACACTGTAGACGGGATCTCGGTCGACCCAGTTGAGGTCCCCGAGAAGGACTCAATGCCAACCGAGGCCACCCCCAGCCCACGTGGTTCCGATAGCCCCAAGGAAAAGATCAACACCGGTGGTAAGAATCCCGTGGACTTTGATGCCACTGAAGTTACCCAGCCCGATGGCGTCTTCTCAGAGGACTCGCCCTATGAGGAAGTGCGAGCTGCTGTTCGCAACACCGATGGCAAAGAGGTCGCAAACACTGTCAGGGCCTGGGTCTTGGGCATGCTCTTCGTGACGATTGGCGCCGCTCTCAACATGTTCCTCAGCATGAGGTAAGCTCTCTCAGCACCAGTCAATACAAAATACTTATACTTCACGTAGGAGCCCTGCCATCAACTTCCCTGCCCTGGTTGTCCAGTTGCTCGTCTACCCCCTCGGTTGTTTCTGGGCAAAGGTCGTGACTACGCGAGTCTTCAACACGTTTGGCGTACGCTGGACTCTCAACCCAGGCCCTTTTACAATCAAGGAACACGTCGTTATCACGCTTATGTCCAATGTGTCCATCAGCTACACCTACAGCACCAACGCGCTGCTGGCGCTGCAGGGCAAGCCCTTCTACAACGTCAACCTCGGCTGGGGCTTTGCGCTGCTCTTCACTCTCAGCTCCCAGCTCATCGGAATATCTCTAGCGGGCTTGTTCCGAAGATTTCTCATCTGGCCAGCCGCTATGATGTGGCCGAGCCAGTTTGCCAACACGTCCCTGTTCTATGCTCTGCACGACAAGAGTAAGAGCGACGGCGCCCACTCCAACGGATGGCTTATCAGCCGGTATCGTTGGTTCGGGATTGTGACTGCCGGCATGTTCTGCTACTACTGGATCCCAGGAGTCCTATGGCAGGGACTTTCGGTCTTTGCGTTTGTGACGTGGGCCAAGCCAAACAATGTTGTTGTTAACCAGCTCTTTGGCGGCTTCACTGGGCTGTCACTCATTCCCATCACATTTGACTGGACTTATGTCACGGCGTACTTGGGTGATCCCATTTTAGCCCCGACAAATTCCCACGTCAACACCCTCATCGGACTCTTCTTCTTCGTCATCATCTCTTCAATCGGAATCGTATACTCGGGCGCGCTCTATTCAGAGTACCTGCCCATTGTCACTTCGCAGACCTTTGACAACACCCAGGGCTATTATAACGTTAGCAAGATCCTCGGAGACAGCTTCACCTTTGATGATGCCAAGTACAAGCAGTACTCGCCGCTCTTCCTGTCGCCCACTCTGGCGCTAAACTACGGTCTGTCGTTTGCGGCGCTGACTGCGGCATTTGTCCATATCGGACTGTACCACGGCAAAGAAGTCTGGTACCGGTTCCGAGCGGCACGCAACCAAGAGCCAGACATTCACATGAAGTTGATGAGAAACTACGTCGAAGCCCCCGACTGGTGGTATCTCGCCCTATTCCTTGTCTCGGTCGGGCTAGGGTTCGCCACCACCGAGGGCTACAACTCTCAGCTCCCATGGTGGGCCTTCTTCGTCGCCATCGTGATTGCGCTCGTCTTCATCATCCCGACAACCATGATTCTGGCCGTCTCCAACATCTTGCTCAGTCTGAACGTCGTCTCCCCGTTCCTCGCTGGATTCATGATCCCGGGGCGCCCAATTGGAGTCATGATCTTCAAAGTCTTCAGCACCATCACGCTCGGCCAGGCTCAGACTTATAGTGCTGATCTCAAGATGGCCCACTACATGAAGGTTCCGCCTCGGGTCACCTTCTGGTGTCAAGTTGTAGCCACCATCTGGGCCTCATTCGTGCAGATTGCCGTCATGAACTGGACACTCGGCAACATCGAGAACATCTGCGACAACGAGCAGGCGGACCACTTCACCTGTCCCAACGGCAGGGCCTTCTTTTCGTCCAGCATCGTCTGGGGAGTCATTGGCCCACGTCGCATGTTTGGCGAAGGAGGCATGTATTCCGTATTCAATTGGTTCTGGCTCATCGGCGCTGGATTCCCCATCTTGTTGTATGTCCTCACCAAGGTGCTAAAGTTCTCCTTCTTCCGTCACTTCCACGGACCCGTCATGCTGGGTGCGATGGCTTGGCTGCCTCCAGCTACGCCGCTGAGCTTCTCAACATGGGCCATCGTGGGACTCATTGTCAACAAATGGGTCCGCACCAAGTGGAATGGCTGGTGGAAGACATACGCCTACACGACTGCGGCAGCGTTGGATGCCGGCCTGATTATCAGCACCATTATTATCTTCTTTGCGATTACGTTCCCGGGCGTGACGATTCCACAATGGTGGGGCAATGTGGGTGTATACAATACCTTGGACGCGAGTTATTCGGCTATCTTAAAGACGGTTGGCGAAGGAGAGACGTTTGGTCCGAAGACTTGGTAGGGGCAAGCCAGATGCAAGTTTGGGACGGCTCAGTTTTGTAATTCCAAAGTGCGGTTAATGGTCACACTCTTTTAGATATTGTTACGCAATAATGAACTATTTTTACTTAGCATGAGTATGTCTTTCCAAAAACGCCGGTTCAAACAAATACTCCTCGCAATACAGCACTCGGATAGAAAATATATCCATCAGTTCCATTTTAGCAATTTATAAATATTAATACAAGAACATCTCAATTCTGGAACGGCGTTGAGAATCTCTCCCAGCGTCCAGTTGGCTCCAGGGTAACCAATCACTGACGTAGTCATCTGCCCCTCCCCGAACTTCGGCGGGGTTCTCCTCGAGCTGCCACACGACAAAGCTGCTCCACTCTAACACTACAACCAACAGATAGAATAGACATAGACAGCAAGAATGTCGATTTCGGACGCAAAGATTCTCTCCACAGGGCCACTGGTACGCGTTTTCATTATCCGACATCTTGATTGACTCGCTCCTAACTGAATACAACACAGCCCGAGGAGGAGGCCCGCTGGACCAAGCTAGTCAAGTAACGATGCTCTATTCTAGCTCCATCTTGCACGCTCGCTAACTCTCATCTCCTCCAGGACGACTTACCAAGATCCCAACGGCGTCACACGAACATGGGAGTCCGCAGAGCGTCGCACACGGCCCAAGGACGCTGACATCGACGGCGTCGGCATTGTCGCCATCCTCGACAAGCCAACCGGAAAGGAAATCATCCTGCAGAAGCAATACCGACCCCCCATCGCCATGGTCACAATCGAGGTCCCGGCCGGCCTCATCGACGCCGGCGAGACGGCTGAGCAGGCCGCCGTGCGCGAGCTCAAGGAGGAGACGGGCTACGTGGGCGTGGTGACGGAGACGTCCCCCATCATGTACAACGATCCGGGCTTCTGCAACACCAACCTGCGCATGGTCCACGTCTCTATCGACATGTCGCTGCCCGAGAACCAGAACCCGAAGCCCGAGTTGGAGGAGAATGAGTTCATCGAGGTCTTCACCGTTCCCCTGGCGAACCTGTGGGACGAGTGCAAGAAGCTTGAGGCTGAGGGCTGTGCCATCGACGCCCGCATCGGAACCTTTGCGGAGGGGATCCTGATTGCCCAGAGATTGAAGCTGTAGAGGCTGTGTACTATAGTTGAGGCGATAGACCTTGTAGACGGGGCAAAGCTAGGGCGATGGCAGCTTCTTCTCCTGCTGGAGACCTTGCCAGAGGGCCAGGGCGGCGAGACACTTGGCATCACGAGCGCCCGCCTTCCATGCATCCTCCATAGGAACCACCTTTAGAGTAATCTTCTCCCCGTGCGACCTCAGGCCCGTCAGCCGCCCGCTCCACTCCTGCAGTTGGTCCCGTGGGATTCGCCGCTCATGGCTGAAGATGGTGATGTGCTCGTCGCAGCCGCCCGCGCTGGGAAACATGGCCTTGGCCAGGCCCTCACCGCCGGCCTCTTCTTGCGGGGCAGCAAGTTCGCTAAGACAGGTAAGCTCGTCCTCGTGAATGGTGAGCCCCAGCTCCTCCTCGATCTCCTTGGCGGCGACGCCCTTGAAGCTTCCCTCGTCATCGACCATGCCAGCCGGTAGCTCCACAAAGCCAAGGCTGCCAGCCGCGATGCGGGGCTGGACGGTCAACACCACGTAGCGCTCGTCCGAGTCGGGAGGCGCATCGTCGGGGATGAGCATCACCAGCATCGCGACACTCGGGCCGCGGAGGAGCGCAATGGCGGGCAGCGACTCGCCCGCCGAGTTGGAGACGGTTGCCGCGAGCTTGACGAAGCCGAGGCGGCCGCCGCCAAAGTAGTCGTAGGACTGGATGGTGACGGCACGCAGGGCGTACGGGTCCGCGTGGAATGGGTGAGCTGCGTTGGACTGGAGGCGCAGCGAGTTGGTCAAGGTGGCGATCCAGCTCTGGGAGGCATTAGCGAGTGTCCCCTGTCTGTGCAGGTACCCGGGAAGAGCATCTCCACCCACATTGAATGGCCTAAAGACCAGGAGTTGATCCTGCGAGAGTCCATCCGGCAGGTTGAGCGGAACATTGTGGGACGTGAGCGTCGTGGTCGACATCGCACGGATCAGCGAATTGGAGCGTGGCAGCAGACAGAGCGGTCGAGGTGATGCTGGAAAGAAGCTTAGGATTGTAGTTGCATACGTGATGTATCTCATTTCGCGCAAAGGCATGTGTTATGTGATGCGTCTGCGTCGATGAATGTGATGAGGACAACGAATCATGAAGCTCTTGTGCTGACTGGTCGTCAAAATAAAGGTCAAAATTAACGACTCAGCCACCAAACCACATCGCAGCGAACCTGAACCAACAGCGCACATATCACCACCTCAATCCATGAATTTGCCCTGAATTTGCGCTCCAAAACGCGGATACGGCGAGGATGAAACCTGTTTTATTCGTGACATTTAGGGTTCTCCCATCCCTCGATCGGGTGTCCTTGTTTGGAGCAAGTTGTCCCAGCCTCTCTCAATAGCCTCGTCTTATCGGAGAGGTTGACAACTATTTGTGAAAATTCTTTCTGACCGCAATTGGCAAACCCAAACTCCAAAAGACAGGAAGGAAATTATTAGTATAATATCTTGATGAAAACTACACGTGGCAGTATAGACGCCCACCCTTCTAATGTGCTAGGCCAAAGTATTGGGAACCCGGCGTCAATCGCTCGCGTTACACACCCAAGCCATCGGTGCCAAGCGCTCGGGTTGAACTGGTCGCGTCTTTGTCCTCGGCTTTCGCGCTCGCCCGTTTTTTCGGGACCGAAGGTCGACGGCGGATCTCCATCTCGTCTTCCGGTTCAAGACATCCCTGCTCACTGGGCCGGGATCAAATCGACAATCCAGCAGACCCAATCTGTCCCAGCAAACCGGTTTGCAGGCCGCGCTCAAAGGATTTCCCAGTGTCTCAAGTTTATTCCTGTTCATCCGTCTCATATCAAGTATTCCTGGTATTCCTGTAAAAAATCAAAAAACAGCGGTATGCTTGGCTGGAGTCGAAAATCGCATCATTGCACGGGCTGCGATCTAAGCCCTATGGGTCGGGATTGGCGAGATCCGGCTATTTGGTCAGAAGAGGAATAGCCTCAGCTCTGGGCAGTGTTGTGTCAAAAGTGTGGAGAGAGTCCTTGGCATTGCCACGAAGGATCACCTCCAAAGTGCCTGTCCCCGCGATGGATGCTGGGCACTTACAACCCTCCACTCAACGGTCCTTACCGCTTTGTTTTGCCACAGCCCTACTTGGATAACAATCTCGTTTAAGCGACTTGGGACAAAGGATCCAGGATGAATCATGGCAGGGGGATGGTGATGATGGGCCTTCATGATGATTTCGTCATGGGAGGCTGAGAAGCTCTGGGGTTTGGACTCAGCCTTGATCTTCACGCTTGTGAATGATCTCGCCATATAAAGAGAGCTGTATTCATCAACAGATCGTTTGATTCTCTCAGGCTCATCACCACCATCAACTCATCCTCCTCTCTCAACCCATTCACCTACGCACAAACTACACCAACTACACATTCTGCAATCATGGTTCGACTACTCTCCAGTTCCTTCGCGGCGTCTGCGCTCCTGACTGCCAGCCACTTCGTCTCGCCCACTTTGGGATGCGTTCGATCCGTCCCTACCAACGGAACATCGACTTACCCATTCCCTGAGGTCGGCAGTGACATCGCATCTGATCCAGCCACCACCGGCTACTTCATCAACCATCTCTGCCTCAACGTCATGAACCTCACAGCGAGCATGGACTTCTACACCGAAATCTTCGGCCTGCGACACATCTTTACCCTTCATGTCTCGGAGCACTTCTCCGTCACGTACATGGGCCACAGCCACGGCGGCAAGAACGGCACCGGCTACCAGACGGCCGAGGAGCTGAACCGAGAGAAGAACAACGCCGAGGGACTTCTTGAGTTGGTCCACCTCGACACTCCCGACAACAGCCTCCCTGCGTCTACCAGAGTCGCAAACACCTTTGGCCACATCGGCATGGTTGTGCCTGATATCCTAGCCACCCAGGCAAGACTCGACGCGTACCCCGGTATTGAAATCATCAAGAGAACCGACGACGACCTCAAGGTGCCCAGCGACATTGCCACTGCCACCAGCCTCTCCCCTGAGAAGATTGCGCAGCTGTCTCAAGCTGAACGCGATTTGATTTTGGGAGTCCTGATCCCCTTCAATAAGCCGCTGATCTTTGTCAACGATCCCGATGGCAACTTGATTGAAATTCAGCCTCAGGAGGGAGCAGCTCTCCTGTGAGCACAGAGGGTGATTATTTGTTGGGAGTCAGAGACGGGTTGAGAGATTCGGTGTAGATTCTTATTCATTTCTTTGGTGTGTTGGAGGTGACTCCATGTTAACTAGAAGCTGTAGAATTACTGGTGATCTAGGAGATTAAAGGGATGGAACATGGGTTTTCAAACTTGGAGAAGGGACTGTCGGCGCCAAGTTAGATCGATCCGGAAATTTGACTCGCGTGTAAATTCTTTCTCACCTCGAATACCTAGATCCATCTCTGAAGCTCCAATCTTATCCATCAAAATTGACTTCTTGTGTTGAAAGCTGAACTCATATAAACACCCCAACCTAAACTGCCCAGTACACATCTATCTTGACCTTCTCGACGTTGTTTTTCCAGCCCGGAAACCTCGCCTTCGCCCATAGCGTAACCACGTCTCCCAGCTTCAAATCCCTGACGAATGATCCATCCAGGGTCTCCCTCCCCCTGCCCTGCAGCTCATCAATCTCCTTGGCCTCGGACGAATCGCTCCGGATATTGTCCAGATACGACCATGTAATCTCATGGTCTTGAGGGTCCTTCGTTGCTGTCATGTTGCGCTGGACTACCAGAGATTCGATGTGATTGATCGGATGCTTGTACTGGAATTTGCCATTCCCTTCAGGGATAGGCTCGATCTCAGGATTCAGAGGTCGTAGACCACAGACAGGTAGTGGGGATTCTTTGGACAAGGATGACTTGAATCGGACGTCATACGTGCAGTCGGGAGTGCCTTGCACGGTTAGTAATTTCCATATTACGGTTAGCGGGACGACTCACAAGTCTGATCGGCGTCGAATCTCTCTAAGCCGGCCTCGAACCAGCTCCAAGCGCCCTTGTATGTTCCCCGGTTCCCAAGTTCACCTCCCCATCCTTGGTCTGCGCTGCGGATAGAAAAGACAATCTTGCGGACAGGTCTGACAAGTGTCGGCATAGGATACTTTGGCAGCCGCTTGAAGTATTTGGGATCATGCTCCCTACTGAGCGGTAGTGGCTTGGCCTCATTCTTGTCCCACGCCAGCTCTTCGGCAAGGTCCCTTTCGTTCGCGTCTGTCAATCCCGTCAAACCAACAGGAAATGCTCGAAGCTATGAAACATGTCAGTAGCGGCGCTTAAAACATTAGTGCGCTCTCGGTTCTACAACTCACCACAAGCCTGTTGTTGGTGCGACTCTTTCCTAAGATGCTCAGAGGGTCACCATGCTCAGCGATGTAATCGATTTCGTTGCTCGAGTGAGCCCAGTACTCGGCGTGGTCGAATATAACGTTGACCAAGTCAGTGGGTAGCTTTAGACCCCGCGCAAGCATGATCCTGACCACAACAATGTCGATAGGGGATGGGCTGAAAGCAGCACTGTCCTTCGTATCACTATCCATCGGATCACTATCACCACTTGGCTTGGCGCCTCCCTGAAGTTCCATATCTTTCAGGCTGTTGATCACGGCATGGGGGAGGATGTTGGCCATGATGATGTAGCTCAGGAAGAAGATGGCGAGATAAAGAAGCATGTGCGAGAGTAAGCTAGAGAGGAGAAAGGACTCAAAGGAGAGAGGAGGAGTTATATTCAAGGTTGAGATATTGGGCTCAGTAAAAGATGACGCGTTCCACGCAAGCGAGAAGACAGGTGAGGCAGCAGTTTATTGGACTTGAAGTTGATGTAGGACCACGAGATGGAGTGTGACGTACGTAAACAGTGCTGACGTCAATGCATGGAGCCACGGAATGCTGGGTGCCTGTGGGTGGATCCCGCCAGGCCTTATCTTATCGACATGATATGCTTATCGATACGCAGGGATCACTGCACGTGAAATGGCGTCATCTACGCGGACCCGGTAGCCGTGCTTTTTGCCCCACCTTGGATGCATCGGCCGGGTACGGCGTCGGCGTGGACGCTTAGAAGCCGAAAGCTCTCCGCGCAACGATTACAAACACTGCATTTCTGACTCCATGGCACCCAATTGTTCTTTTCCTCTTGCATCTCCGATCCCTCTACCCTCCATATCGCCATGAAGTCTTCCCGGACCCTCGTCGCGACGGGGCGCGGCCTTCGAACCATCCTCTCGTCACAAAGAAGTCTTAGTGGCGCTCGTCCACGCATCCTCGAAGCTCAGCGAAATTCCCAAGTCAATATCAATGGAACCCGCCAGCTTCACTCCTCGCCCGCCCGAAAGTCCGGCGCCGCTTCGAATCCAGCCATGTCATTCCCCTGCCTCGACGCCCTCGAAACCCGATCTGCGAAGCTAGGCGCCGGCAAGACCGTCAACACCGAGTTTGGCACCGACTTCAGCGGCCCCGAACCCTCGTACACTTCCGGCGCCACGCAAAACTACCACTGCAAAGACTCCCTGCTACTTGACTGGGGCGGCACGCTTCCCGAGTTCAACATCGCCTACGAGTCCTGGGGCGAGATGAACGCCGACAAGTCCAATGTCATTCTCCTCCACACCGGCCTCTCGGCCTCGTCGCACGCCCACTCCACCGAAGCCAACCCCATGCCCGGCTGGTGGGAGAAGTTCATCGGCCCCGGGGGACCCCTCGATACAAACAAGTACCATGTTATTTGCACAAACGTCATCGGCGGCTGCTATGGCTCTACAGGGCCAAGCAGCATCGACCCGGGCAATGGCGAGCGTTACGCCACGCGGTTCCCAATCCTGACGATGCAGGACATGGTGCGCGCCCAGTTCCGCTTGTTGGACTCCCTCGGTGTCGACAAGCTATACGCCAGTGTCGGTTCCAGCATGGGCGGCATGCAGTCGCTCGCCGCCGGTGTGCTCTTCCCCTCGCGCGTTGGTCGCATTGTCTCCATCAGCGGTTGCGCTCGTAGCCACCCCTACAGTATCGCCATGCGCCACACCCAGCGCCAGGTTCTCATGATGGACCCCAACTGGAACCGCGGTTTCTACTACGGCCAGGTCCCGCCCCACGCCGGCATGAAGCTGGCCCGCGAGATTGCCACCGTCACCTACCGCTCCGGCCCGGAGTGGGAGCAGCGCTTCGGCCGCCGGCGCGCGGACCCGAGCAAACCTCCGGCGCTGTGCCCGGACTTCCTCGTCGAGACGTACCTCGACCACGCCGGCGAGAAGTGGTGCCTCAACCACGACCCCAACAGCCTGCTCTACGTTAGCAAAGCCATGGACCTCTTCGACCTTGGCCGCGAGAACCAACTCGCCACGCACGAACGCCGCTCCCAGCGCGAACAGCAGCTCGCCTCTGGAGTCGCCTCCACCATCCCGGAAGCCGCTTGCAGCCTGACCCTCCCCTCTCAGCCCTATGAGGAGCAACCCGGCTCGCACATTGACGACACCGACACACCGATCCCGGGCTCTTCGCGCCCGCCTGAGGACCTGATCCTTGGCCTTGCCCCGCTGCGAGACACCCCAACGCTCGTCATGGGCGTCGCCAGCGACATTCTATTCCCTGCCTGGCAGCAGCGCGAGGTCGCCGAGGCCGTCCGCCTCGCCGGCAACCGCAACGTCACGCACATGGAGTTGAGCGAGGAGATGAGCTTGTTCGGACACGACTCATTCCTCCTTGACCTCAAGCACATTGGCGGCAACCTCAGGCTGTTCCTGGACTAGACAGTTGTGACTGCCAGCTCCGCCATGAAAGGGGCATACACTGCACTGGACCTGAAACTCGGTGCTTTTTTTGATGTGATGAAGATACGAGGCGAGGTTTGTACTTACTTATTTTGGGAGCGAGGGGGCTTGCATCACCACGGAGTTTTTACGGGACAAAACAAAAATAGGCAGAACGGAGGATAAATAAAATCCATGACTTCCAGATCTCGATCTAATACCTTGGTGTTTGACGAGTGCCGTGCCCAGGTTGGCTAACTGTGATTTCGGCTTCCCTTCCTTTATCTTCACCTTGTAAATGATACCAAAATGCAGAAAAGACGACGTTTCAAATGGACAAGCACACTATATTGCAATCCGAGACGGACAGACACTCATCAGCACCACGTTTTAGAAGTAAGTGAGAGTCGAATGTCTCGGCTCTGTTATATTTTTAATACCACAGTGTAGATAATAGCGGCTTCAAACTGTTACATCGCGCCTCATTGTCTCGTTACTTCACGCCAATGGTGAACATCAGACAATAAAGCTCCATCGTCATTCTTATAAACCTAGATTGTGCCGACATGAAGCCGCTGAGGAAGCTCTATATTCGATCTACCATTTATCGAGATTAGGTACATACTGAATTGAGAGAAAATATCGCCTCCTCGGAAGTTATGCTTAAGTGGAACTCTAATAAAAGATGAGAGACTATATTCACTGCAACCAGCACGTCAGCATCTGTTATATCACAATTTGGACTTTGTAGCAGATGTTGTTGAATACAGTCATTGAAGTAGCTTGGTGTCTCGCCTCTATTCCTTACGAAAGATCACACGACTGGTTAATTATCCTAGCAAACAATAATTATTTACGTAACCTCCAAGACGACAGAATGCAAATTGGCCAACCCTCTTTAGAGATACCGCAGTCAAATACTACGCATCTCATTTATTTCACTCGAAACTTTTGCCAAACCTTACCCTCACCGTGCAGATCTTCTTGCTCCATTTCATCTCTTCGTTAACATGAAGGTTTACATTGGTCTTTTAGCATATTTTCCGAGCTAGGATTAGCAATTCCCTTAATAGAAAGAGCCGGGACATGACGGTATGCCCTGATAGAGGTTTCTTGTGTCCATGTAGAATGTTGTCCCCAATTTGGCTGTTGTGTAAGTCCCTAACTTACCACGTTCATACGGAATCTAACCTAGCGGCATACTAAAACAACTCATAACTTAGAAAGCTGAGTGGCAGGATATGCCTTAGTTACCTAGTACCCAGGGAGACGGTCAAGAAAGATTTGAGGATGCTTTGGTAGTTGTATGGAGTTCTCCATTGAAGTTCAAGCTCGGCCGATTAAAGAGGGTTCCTCAGCCACAAGCCAATAACATTACCTTCCCTTACACATTATCACTAATATTGCCTTCCTGGCAGTTATGTACAAGAAAAATAAAATCCAACGCTATGTACAGTATATCCAACACAGAAGATATTCGCTAGCCCAAGAGAAACTCATACACGGGCCACAAGGAGAGGCTTTAGCCAAAAAATTGCATGTCCACATCTTGTCATCAAGGTATCATCCAACTCATCTCACTGAACTCCCAGTTGTTCGTTCATCGTGCTTAGGTCGGTCAGATAAAGCCGGGATTAAACTGGTCCACGGCGACCGTCGGCGTACGGCTCCTGTCCCGCTCCGTGCCCTTGGACGGAGGGAGAGTGATGGGGGTTGGGCGTGGAGGGGCCTTCTTGGCTTCCATGCGGGTATTGGCAGGGCTCAAGGGGCGGGAGAAGTCGCCCATGACCGGAGAGATCAGGGGCCGATTGCGGGGGTAGTTGTAATCATTGACGGTTATGTGGTCGACAGCCGTCTCGAAGGTCTTGGCGAGGGTCTCGCTGGAGCTTGAGATGGAGGTCTGGAGCGAGGAGAATGACGGCGAGGGGAGACTGGGAGGTTTCGGGGAGATGGGAGAAGAGGTAAACTGAGGCCGGCGGTTGCCGTCGTCGGCAGGGGGTGTTTGCGGAAGTTGTGAGTCGGTGCGGAAGGGAGAGAGAGGAGCAGGCATCGCGGATCGATGAGGAGAGGCGCGATCGAAGTCATTCCAATTGGGAAGCGTGTAGCCGTGGTCATCGGCACCGTTCTTGGACATGGAATCGCTCGTGGGTGAGGGCTGAGCCTTCGGAGGAGGGTACATAGGACGCTGGCGCTGCTGTTTCCTGGGCCCCAGACCACCAGGCTCTGGTGAAAGGCCCTCTAAAGCAGGGGGTCGTCGTCCACGGGGAAGACCCTTTTGAATAGGGAAATCTCCCTCAGGTGTCGGGCGGGTGAAAGGACTTTGAGCACGAGCCTCAGGGGGTGGTCGTGGTGAACTCTCAGCACGCAGGTAGCTGCCCTCATCAGGGGGAGGGCCGTAAGGGCTACGAAGATTGCCGGCGCTGCTGCTACTGTTGAGACTGCTGATGCTGCCACCAGCTGACCGGTCGACCAGGGATGGTGGGACGCGGAGACCGTTGGGAGGTGGTCGGCGGCGTGAGTCCGAGCCGGTACGGGGCCGGAACCCACGGGGCGGAGGGTCGAGAGGACGGGACATGTAACCCGGGTGTACTCCGTAGGCGGAAGCTGGAGGGGCGTTGTTTGTTCGGATGTTGGTGGTTTTGGGCGGCGCCGGGACGGGAGATGTTGGTTCCGCTTGTATCGGACGGAAGAGGAGGTCAAGCTGCTGTGGTTGGGCGGCAAAGGTGGGTTGAGCCGGTGGTATCGGGGACCGGCGGCCGATGGACTCCTGAGTCGATGACAGTGCGGACAACGAGGACGGTGCGTCACTGGTGTTCCGTTCCCTGGTCGTTCTCGATTCATTCGATAATGAAGGCGTCGACTGCATTGACCGAAGGGGACTGGCAGTTCTCGCAGTTCCAAACGGCCGTGGCCCCACGCCGCCAGTCGGGCTAATGCTGTCGATGCTGGGCGCCTCCAGACTGTTCTTGCTCACGCTTCCTCTCCTCACGGTTTCGCCAAAGTCGAAGGCAGTGAAATTGCCTGCCAGTCCCTCCACCATCGGCTTACCCTTGCCCTTGTCCACATCGTCGACTTCCATGGAAAAGCTCTGCCTCCGCGGGGTGTGGAATGTAAGGGTGTCGCGCTTGGCCTGGACGTTGCGGATCACGGGTATGTCCCAGACATCCTCACTCGTACGGGCCACGGATGCCGCTGGGCTAGGCAGCGCCATTGGGCCGGTGATTTCGACATTGCGCAAGGCACTCGGGGCATTGCGTCGACTGCTGGAGGGACGGCCGTCCGGGTTTATAGGAGAAAAGGGCTGATCGCCACTGAGAATGGACGGCGGCGGGGAGGGATATCCGGTGATTGCTGGATTGCTCGTGTCTCGGCTATGGTTGGCCGCGATGCCGAATTCAAACTGCTCCAGGGAATTCTTTCCTGCAGTCGGGGATATGGGTGTGTTGCCCGCCGAGTCCTTTCCGCCGAAATGCACATGGAAGGGGTTGTCCCATTCGGTCTTCTTGGAGGTTGCCGTACCGGGTCTCGTGGGGGTTCCAGGTCTGTTCGCAGCAGGGCTTCCAATCGGTGCTGGCATGGCGAGGCTTGTGGAGCTGCCATTGAAGCGGGTGTTAATATTGAGGTCTGACGAGTGGAATCGTGAGCTTCCGAGGCCAGGAGCTCGGGGCGCAGCTAGGTCAACCATAGAGGACGCTGCGCCTCCGCCTCCTATGTACGGGGCGCGCCATTGAGTAGGATCGTGGGTAGAAGATGCGGTATCCGGACGGCCTGGGCGAGAAAAGTTGTTTGTTAGGCGGTTCAATTCCCTGGGGTTGCCTTGGTCGTTTAAGTGCTGGATGGATCGCGAGGGTTGTTTGTGCTTGTCCTTGTCTTTGTCGCTAGAGGCATTGTGCGGTTAGGAGAATGTGGCTTCATGACGAAATGAGGGAGGCGAAAGGAGAGCGCAGATACTTACTGGGACTTCTTCTTGTCACCCCCAAGCTTGAGGCCGAAGAAGGAGACCATTTCGAGAGGATGTTGAAGGCAGCTGGGGCGGGCGAGTGGATGCGCATGCGAAGCCCACTTTGTTCTTCTGGCAGTCCTTCTTTTGGTGTTCTAACCCTCGCCCAGATTCGTCAAGACCTGGGGAACGGGCCCGGTTTAACGAGGAGGCGTATGCGCACGAGGCGCAGATTGCCGGGGGTTAGGTTAGGTTGGTGGTGATTTAATCGTACAGAAATAGTGTCGGTAGCGTATGGTAGCGTAGAGTGTCGTGTTGGTGGTGTCGTCCAAGGTGGTGGGTGGTGTGTGCACGAAGCCCGATGCCCGGTGCCCGCTTAGCGGTGTTCCGGGAATGAGAGTGAGAGCTGGAAGATGAAGAGGCGAGAATGGAATGACGAAGATGGAGTCACGGTGATGATGATTCGGGACCGGGAATCAAGCCAGGTTTCTGTCTCAGTTGAGTTTTTCGTCGTGTATTTTTCCTTTGATCGTGTCTCGGCACCGGCTGGAAAGGAGCCAGGTGCAATAATAGGTAGTTCCAGGGCCGGCGGTGCTAAAGAGGTTGCTCAGGGGCTGGACCAGCGCCGTCGCGGGGTCGAGATTGAAGAGCTGAAATCCGAGCGCAACCACCTCGTCGATGTCGACCAAAAAAAGAACTGCAGGAAATAATAGATGGGAAATCAAGGATCGGAGGGATCGAAAAAGATCGCGGAAAAGAGCTGTCGCAGACGGGAGGGGGGGGAATGGCAAAGAAATAAGGACTGTGGGAGCGGTCGATAACCAGACGCCGCTGATGACACTGCCACAGGCGCTGGAGTTTAGGCGTGCGTTGTTGCTGTTTCTGGAGCAAAAAAGACAAAAATAAGCCGGAAGGGACTGGCTGCAAGGGAATGGCTGCGCCTTGGAACGGAGGTCGGATTGGCGCAAATGCCGGACGGCAGCGGCGAGCGGGCGAGAAGAGGGGGGCCAAGAGAGGGTGTGTGAAATGCCACAGCCACTCGCTGTCGTCGGTCTCGATCCAGGACGAAGACGAGGAGGCGGAGAGGAAGAAGGAAGAGGGAGAGAGGGCATTCCAGGGCGGCACGATGAAGCCCAGGCTCAGGCTCAGGCTGCCCGGCGAGAATGGGAGCCACGAGCATGCATGTTCATCACTTTCGCTCCACTTCCCACCACTCTCCCCAAAAGCACCGGACCAGAAATGGCCCAGAAATGAGCCAGGTCCCCCCCTCAGAGGCCTAAACTAGACGGGGACGGGACGTATCCCAGCCAGTTCGGGCGGCCGATGGGGAACTCCGTGCCGGTACCTTGCATGCGAAATAGGGGACCTGTCGTCCCAAGGCCGGATTGCCACGCCCGAGACCCTGGGATTCCTCCGCCAGAGAAACGCAGCACCCAGCGCCAAAAGGGGGCAGCACCACCACCGTCACTGTGCCAGTTCTCCCCCGTAGGCGGCGCTCAGGTGGCCTATCCACGCCCGAACCGGCAGCTCGTGGCCAGGGATTCCATCCTGGGGGGGCCAGGGGAACCAGGTGAGGGAGCAGACAAGGGGGAGAGGTCAGCGCTTGTGAAGGTCACATCCCCGTACTGACTGTTCCTTACATAGTACACGGGTACTAATACTACCCGTTGGCATTGTGGGGCAAGCCGCCTACCAACCTCGTCCCGAGGTTGGTCCGGAAACCCTGTGTCAGCCGGGAAACTATGTGTCACTAAATCCTGCCTGACCTTCATCAACCGCAGCCCAAAATCACACCAAATTTTCGTCTTTTCAGATCTACCACGCGCAACCACAAGATGCCTCGCAGACGCGGCATTCCTATAGTAAAACAGCCTCTGAGGAACCCGTCAGATAAAGATCGGGCCGATCTGACACGACGGGTGCTCGCTGCACTCAATCCAAATACGCCGTATAACACACGAAGTGCCGCCAAAGCTGCTGCATCACCACCCTCATTGCGCGCTGTTGCAGACCAAATTGACGAGAATAGAGAGGCCGTTAGACGTGCTGCTAAGAGGTCATCATCATCTTATGTTCCTCCGAAGCCTCCCGGCCGTCCGCCGCTTCTGACAGCCTCTGAAGAATCCGCCCTGGTTGCGTACATCATCTGGTGGGAAAGATCCGGCTTTGCAGCAGAAAAGTCACAAATTGAAGAGACTGCATTACAATTCCTGCATTCTAGAGGCATCGAGAAAGATCATATGTCAAAGTCCTGGTACTCAGACTTCCGTGGTCGTCATCTCGAGCTCAGGAAGTCATTCCTCAAGGGCATAGATAAGGCACGCAAAGCATTTGAAGTTTCTGACGTCAAAGACATCAAGAAGTTCTTCTCCAACCTTCAGGAAGTTATCTGTGACCACGATATCGGTCCTTCAGAGTGTTGGAATGAAGACGAGTGCGGTATTCGCATCGGATGCCTTCGAGAACGGATCCAAGTCCTCGTGGTCCGCACCACGCGGTCACAACGCTATGAAGTTGTTGATCCCTCGAACCGTGAGTCTTGCACACAACTTGGGTGTGCTAATGCGGTTGGGGATAGTATCCCTCCTTGGCTGATCTTCAAGGCGTTAGCAACAACGTCTTGGGCCAACATAGATGCTATCCCAGGGATGAGGATCGCACAGTCAGATACCGGCTTCAGCAACCAACATATCACGTTCGAATGGCTTCATCACTTCAATGCGTTTTCCTGGCTTGCTTCTACAAAGGCTAAGCAGAAAGGAGTAACTCTCACAGAGTGGTTCGGCTGCGATGAATGGCTTCGAGATGCCTCATCGCCACACATCACATTGACAGCGCCTCCCGCTATTCGTAATGATGAGGATAGAATCTACCGACTTCTCGTAATCGACGGCTTCTCCGGCCACCTAGGCTTCGATGCTATTCAGTATTGCATTCAATTTGATATCATCATTTGCGTGTTGCCGTCACACTCAACACACCTCACGCAGCCGCTTGATGTTGGTGTTTTTCAGCCGATGAAGAACTCACATCAGAAGGAACTTAGGAAGTCTATTCGGGAAGGCAACATAACGTTTTCCCGCGAAGACTTCGCCTCTGCATTCTCAAGGATCTATAAAGACGGCTTCAAGAGACATAACATCATGTCAGGGTTCGAAAAAGCCGGTATTTGGCCCACATCTTCGAAGCCCGTGATCAACCGCATCCTCGCCAAGCACCGCAGAGAGCGAAATGCGATCCATCCGTCTGTTCTTAAGATGTTGCCTTCAGAGACTCGATTTCAGGATGCTCAAGACCAGATAGAGCGGATCTACAGGCGGTACCAGGAGGTCATGAGCTCCCCAACCCTTAAAGCTATCGCCAACATCCGCGACGTTGTGACTGAGGCGGGACTGCTGCATCGAGAACGTGAGGCCGTTGCCTCACACCGGCTTAATCGTATCGAGAAATACGGGAAAAGAAGGAGGTCCGGCCAGCGCGTACGGCCAAGTGGTGACTTCGTCACAAGTGTTGGATTTCCTGAGATTCGGGCTCAACATGAAGCAGCTATGGCAGCAGCAGAGGCCAAGGAACAGCGTTCTCAACTGCGGTCAGGCAGATCTATCATTCTTCAGGAGATAAGGGCTCTCAAGGCTGCTTGGCGGCAGGAAATTCAGTCCCGGGGAGTCAGTTATCTGCCGAGACTAACTTGGAACCAGTGGCTCGAAGAGACCGGCCACCTCGACCGATACAAAGACCTCGAAGCAAATCGAAAGCATCATAATGACTCCCTTAGCCAGCGGCCAAAGAAGTCACTTTCTGAAGCCCAAGAACAAGCCCGCCGTGCCGCAAGACCGATTATCGCGATGGATCAGAGTGCCTGGCCTGATGATGATGATGACGTCGAATTCACCCTCACAGGACCGCTCCAAGAAGAGGAAGACGATGAAGATGATGAAGTCAATCTCATAGGGTTCAGTGACCTAGGCGGCGAGGAAATTCCTGATCTTACAACGCCTCCAGGGATAACATCATCGCCGCCCCCTAGTGCCTTGGATCTAGTCGATGACGCCGATGACGATAACATCACAACACCACAACTTCCCGACCTAATGCCAACAGTACGCAGATACGATAACATCAAGAAGATGCTGAAGGAATTTCGTGACGATCAGGCTACTAGGAAGGCGGAGACAACACATCGTCAACAGGATCCTGATCGGCAGCCAGAATCAGGCCCTAGGAAAAGGCGGCGCAATTGAGGCCGAAAATGTGATTTCCGCTATTTTCTGTCAATTCGTGTGTTTTCAGCTATTTCGTAGCTTTCCAACGAGCCTAGTTACGGCTTATTTCCTTTTTAAATGACTCTGTCATAAAGTCTGAAAGATAAAGATCCTGAAATTGATGATTTTACAGCTTGAAGGCAGCAGCTTACGTTGACACACATTTTCCCGGCTGACACAGGGTTTCCGGACCAACCTCGGGACGAGGTTGGTAGGCGGCTTGCCCCACAATGCCAACGGGTACATAAACTACCTACGTACCTAGAGGATGACGAGAAACTGGTGAGATCAAATCTGACTGTCCATCCGGCTCCCCTTCTCCGCCCCCGACAGGCTACCCGTCACAGGGCAGCGTGACGATCGTCTTTTTGCCTCTGGCGATCGCACCAACTGAAACAACGGCTGACCCTGAAACGACGATTCTCCCGTCCATCACCCTTGGCTTGGTTGGCCGTATGCCATTTTCCTTTTTTTTCCCATGATTCCCAGCACAACTCAATATCACGTTCGCACTACCCAAAGCCCGCATCCTCTCCCCATGCCGCCACAAGTTCCCATTGTACCTGTGCTCACTTAAACCGGACGACAAACAAACTCATCTCCAGGCATCATCCCGGCCCTGGTCCGCCCGCAAAAGGGTTCATGCGTCTAGTTTATTGCTTTTGACAGCCTTACGGCGACCACTCACGAATTGCAATTTATGAAGGGGTGGGGTCATCTTAATTACCACCCCAGTTGAACAACCAACCCCGGCCTTCTTGCTCCCGGACCCGGAATCCTGTGATCGACAATCCAAACAACGCAGAAACAAATCGTCCAGTGCAGTTCTCACAATCGCAATCCCAACTTCTCGTACCTCACGAGACCAAGGAAGCCACCAGGGTTTCGCCTTTGCAGTGCAATCCACTGATCTTCGCGTTGATCTTCACCCCACGGGCCGTTTTGACGCGTCCTCGCGTGCTGCCGCGTCCCGACTCGCTGGATTTGTGGCGGCCGTTGAAAACGGGATATGGCGATGTGCAAGCCAATTGCAGAAAAGAGACAAGATGGGAAACCCCCAAAAAATCTTATAATGTGCGAGAGAACCAGGACAACCCCGTGGTTCTGCGGCGCTTGCGCTCTGGTGCAACGTCATTGTGTCATCGTTGCATTCGCATATTCTATGTTTTCCTTTTCGCATTCGATACCCCAGGAGCCAGCCCGGCCCAACCTATCAATTCAACCCGAAACGCCAGGACCTTGATACATATGCGCTCTGCAGTCCAAACTGCACTGCCATCCTAAGAAGCAAACGGCCGCCACTTCCTTTGTCATCCAATTATCCCTCGTAGATTTGTGCCTCTTATCTTTCCCGTGATTCGCAGTCTTTGACCAAGTAAGCAAGACTGAAGCACCGCCTTGGCATAAGCATGGCGATGACCGTAGTCATATGCCCGTCCATATCCTGTCGAGGTTTCAATGGTGGGAGACTTGGGCCGCTGCACGGCGGGGGGAGTCGACTTGTCCTCGGCGTGAGATGTCCTTGACACATCAGAACTGGTCGGCGTGAATCGTCCAGCTGTCCCTCCAATAAGCCAGGACACCGGCTCAAGACTCCAGGTCCAGGTGTTGTAACTTTTGTGAAATCTCCTCTGCCCATCCTCTTCGTCCATCCCTCACAGCTGCTCCAGCAACTTCCGCCGCCTTCGCTCAATCAACTCCTCATGCACCTCATCCAACGTAGGCAACTCCCATGTCTCTCCGTCGCCTGCATCTCCCGGGAGCGGTTCCCAGCCATCAGGCGTGCCCTTCGGTCCGGTCTGCATCATGTGCTCCACCGCCTGTCGCTCCTTCTCGGCCTCATACTCCAGTAGCTTGTCGTCCTCCTCATCAGGCGCGTAGCCGTAGTACGCGGCATCCACATTGCGCCGCAGGTCCTTGCTGTCCTCCAGCGGTTTGTCGTCTTGGCCTTTACTCCGCGCCGCTTCGAATAGCTCCTTCACGCCGGGCAGTTCGCGTGCGCGCCCAAAGTACCGATATCCTTTGCCGCCGCCCGGTATCTCGCGCCCTTGTTCGTCGTACATTTTGCCACCGCCGCGCATATAGTTGGGCCCGCCTAAATTCCGTATCTGCACCTCCCACATGTGCTTTTCGCGCATGAGCTTGTTGATCTCGTCGTTGAGATCGCGGATCTGGTAGTCGCTCAGAACGGGGTCCTGGATCCGCGACATCTTGCGCGAGATCTCCTTGAGGACCTGACCACGCCATTTCTCGCAAGAGGGGATGGCTTCGACTTCGGTGATGACCCTAGGGCGGCGCGTTCGGCCGGCGTCGATGATGCCGAGGTCAGCTGCTTGGGCTTCGCGGAAGCGAAACAGCATAGACTGCGCCTTTTCCGAGTTTCGAGCCTACAGGGAGATTAGCCAAGCTGACCAAGAGCTTCTCGATAAAAGGTACATACCATTTTGACGGTATTTCAGCTGTCGGCGAGGTAGAATGGGGCGGAGGGAGACGTCTCGTGGCACGGCGAGCCAGAAGTTGAGGTTTGGGTGCCACTCTCAAGTTTTCCCAGCCTCGCTATGACAGCGGCGCCCCAAGGTTCCGGGTGTCAGCCACAGCGCTCAGCCACACCTGGGGCTTGGCTCTTTCAGCCTTCTCTAGCTCGACGCGTTTCAACCGCGACCAGCAAGTTTAGCTACCTACCAAACTTCGTTCATCCATCATGATTCACTGTCAACGAGACAGCAGAGCTGGCAGCTGTGAACGCAGCTCTGCCAGCTGCCAACGGCCCGATGACCTTACGTGCCTCCCATTTGTTTACGGCTGCGCCCCATGACTTCTTCCAAAGGAAAACCGCCCACTTCTCGACTCGCCTCTGGATTTCCCTCCTTTCCTCTTCATCATACAACCAAGAACATAACCCATCACAACAAGGAACAGCATTCCTTGTTTTACTCTATCCGCCTTTCCCATCCACCTTCATCCATCCCCATAGCCCAAGAAGTCTTGACTTTTCTCGTCACCTTCTCATCTTCTCACCTTCTTCAATCCCGACCTCATCCTTCACCACCATCACACTTCTCATCATGTCGTCCCACTCTCGAACCCTCACCTACCACCATTCGCTATCATCCTCCTGTCCACCATCACAGCCCCTCCGCCGTTCCTCTCATCGTCAAACTCGCCCCTCCCCCATCTCCTTTCGCTCATCTCCTCTCAGCTTTCTCTCGTTCCACATCTCAGCCTTCTGGACCTTTGTCAATACCCCAGCGGATCCTGACAAAACTACCCGGTTCTGGACTGTTCTGATCCTTCTTCTTTCTGCATTCCCTTCTGCGTTTCCTTATTTGCTGCTTTCTATATTCCTTTCTGAGTTGATTCCTATTCTGTCCTCAAGGCGTTGGGCGTTCCGGATCTGGCAATGTTGGTATGGGGAACATCCTTATGGGAATATCAATACGGAAACATCGCTATGGATTTATCAATGTCTCAGGAGTTTGGCGTTTGGCGTTGAACTGTTACTTGATGTTTGGGAGTTCTCCTAGATTCCCTCTCCCCCTCCCCTCACCCCTCTCCCGTCCCCACCATTCTCCCGCTTCACCCACCTGCAATGAGGATAACGCTCACCAGAGCATGGTGATTCCTTGGGGATGGTTTCTCTTGAAACCACCCTTTGCGAGCGTGACCCTCCCAAGAACAGAGATCTGAGCAGGCCGAGTTCCCTTTCCCCTTTGCCCCCCACAACACTGACGAGTCTCACATAGCCGCAATGACCGACACCCCACACACGAAGAAGTCGTCTCTCACCCACAGTTGCCCTTTCTCTACCGCTTCAAAGACAGCTGACCCTGTACAAGAAGCAAGTGAGAGATGGTTGCTTGCGGGCTGGCAAGATGCTTGTGATTCAAGAATGTTATAGTTTTCAATCGGAGCAGGCTGAGCTCACTCAGGTTGTGGGGGACACAGGAGGAAACGCTCGAGATACAAAGATGCCCGGTGATGATGCAGGACCAAAAAGCCAAATTTGCAGGCAGCAGCGGTGGCATCCATCCTTGTGGTGGTTGCGAGGGCTTCGGTCTACACCGCGGGTTGTCATTGAGAACCCAAGAGAGCTAATCTGAGGGCATCACTTTATTGTATCCGGGCTGGGGCGCACCCGCAGAGCAATCTTTTGAGCGAGGGAAGCAGGCTTTGCGTTAGATACTGAAGTAGCATTCCATGAATCCAACCTCGACGTTGTGGAACCTCTTTGGACCCAAAGCGATGGCTAGGTGATCCAAATTCATGAAGAAACCCAATTTGATACTTTAGACGAGAAACTGCGCATCTATGTCATTCCATTTTTTGTCCTTACTCTACATACGAGTGCTCATCCATGAGCCCCTCGTCTCTCAAAACATTGTACAATCCACCTTCCCAGATCCATTTCTCCTTTATTGAGTCTTCTTCGCACCAGCCGGGGTCGTTTTGACGGGCTGGCTGTACATCCACAGGGCGCTGAAAGCCACGAAGCCCACCACGGTGACTCCGATACCAGACAGCCAGGGCCAGGCTCCAGAGATGGCGTAGCTGCGAGGCCACTCATCGTGGGCCATGTGGCGGACGCTGACGGTGTGCTTATCCTCGACGTGGGTCAGGAAGGGTCGCTTGTAGTTGATCTTGAAGTTGAAGATGCCGTGCTGGTCGGGAAGGGTGAAGTTGGTGGTGAAGATGGTTTCACGGGCGGTCTCGGACTCGGCGACGAGGTCTCGGCGCTCAAAGGGAGAAAGCATGGAGAACTCGAGCTGGAAAGCGTCGCCCTCAGGAACCTGGAAGGGAACCCAGCGGCGCCAAGCGTACTCAGAGACGGAAATCTTGTAGAACTACATGCGTGTTAGATGGACTAAAGACAACAAAAACGGACAAGGTTAAGAATACTTACCACATCGTTCTTGACGCGGTAGATGCTGGGGTTGATCTCTTCATCGCCGTCGAGATGGTGCTCAACGCTGTTGACTCTCAGGACACCCAGCTCCTTGAAGGTCCAAGCCGACAGTGCAGTCATGAACTCCCGGTTGCTAGTGTACTGCGCCTTCTCCTGAGGTCGAGCAACCTTGGTCTCGAGCCACTTGTCCTGGAGCATCTCGGCCGAGCCCACGAGGGTGAAGCGCGCCGAGTTGAGAGCCTGCATGACGGAGACGAGGGCCAGCTGCTGTCCGGCAGCAAAGAGGTCCTCGGGGTCAACGACGTCGGCCTGCTCCTTGGGGTTGTAGCTGTAGGCCGTGGCGGGGGCTCTCAGGATAGGAGTCAGGAGAGGTCCGGAGCCGAGGCTGTGGCCAACGGCGTGGGGGAGGGTGAGGGCAGCGCCGGGGATCTCGAAGTACTTCTTGAGGCCGGGTCGAACGTTCGGGGGGGAGTTGAGGACGAGAACATCGTGGGTCTCGGGGGCGGAGATGGTGTCGTAGTAGAAGTGGTCGACGACAGAGCCAGTTCGCTCAGTGGGGAGCGAGATGTCGAGCTCAGAGAGTAGAGCAACGAGCGAGGTCGGGACGGAGTGGGTAGAGGACATGGTCAGGAGGACGTTGCCCTCGGCGTTGATGAAGTCGAGGAGGATGTTGGGGGTCAAGTTGGGGCCGAGACCTGTATCCAGTCAGCATGAACTCGGTAATATCCAGCACAGTCGCGGAATCGAGGCGACTCCGGAGGTAACGAACCCTTGATCTTGGAGGGCAGGAAGATGAGGTGATCATAGTTCCTCTCGCCGTGCTCGAACAGGCTCAACGCATCGCTCTTGGGCGTCTCGTAGGTGATTTCATATCCACGATCTACCGCAAAACATCAGCCCCGTGGTCTCACATGCAAAACACCAATGCGTCGGCAACGCAATGGCGGACGCCTTTCTTACCAGCCAGATCGGTAAAGAAGATGGAATACGCATCCTTCTCCTCGACGTTGTCCACCACGACCAGCAGGCGGTTGCCGGCAGAGCTCAGGGCCGAAACCAGGGCGGTAAAGAGCAGGAGCGCGAAACTCACGAGCGACCGCATCTTGGGCTGTGATGGTCGCGAAGGGATTGGGTGGTGGTGCGGTTGCGGTTGCGATTGCGATTGCGTCTCTGGGAAGCAACACGCTGGATACGCAGACGCAGACGTGGACAGCTCGGGGGGAGCTTGGTGAGCTGCGTTGAGGGATACGTAGCCTTGCCAAGCGTGTGTGGGGCTGCCACATTGGGTGTGCGTCGTGTTTGAGAAAAGAAGTCTGAAATTCAAGGTGGCACTAGTCCCTTTTGGGAAATATCATCACAATTAAATGGACGTTAGTTACACGATAATGGGAGAGCATCACCAGAACTCCCAATTCCTTTCCCGCATAGAATTCCTGATCAACTAAAATGATCAAGTTATATTACCCACCATCCATTTGGTGTTTCTTACCACATTGAACTACATTTAGTCACAAACACAGGTCAGAAGCTGACATCTCCCCAATGTTGAACGACCCCTATCAGGCTTAGCGCCATCTCTCTCGCAAGCGGATTATCCAACTCCCGCGCTTGGTTTTTCCGCTCCTGCGATTGGACCGAGCCAACGGCGCCTCTCGTGAGGTCGTCTCCAGCCCATCAACACCACGGCAAGAATCCCACGACATCTCTACCGCCAATTGAGTACGCCGCCCCAGCTCCCGCACCCTCCACGCCCTCGCCTGCTAACCCTCTCTCCCCTACCGCCAGGATATCGCCCATAATGTCGTCGGCCGCGCCCCTCTTCTGGTCCACGCCCCTCAAATACTGCCGCTGGGCAGCCCGCGAACGCCCGGCCCTCTTCTGGTCCGTCATCATCGGCGCCGCCGGCCCCGTCGCCATGCCCATTGTGCCCCCGATCCGATACTACTTCGGCGACGTTGATGCGCCCCCGGTCCCCGTTACCTACCCTGGTGCGTTGTGCCCCGACCCCAACCTTCAGTGGGAAACGAAGAGGGAAATCTAACCAGAGCTTATAGTCCCGACCGGCCCTCGGAAACAGCTGACCGGCTACGATGACGAGTAAACCGTGGTATCTGTGGATGATCCGAGGACGACGCATGTGGGAGACCGCGATAGGCACACATTGTACAAACTACGGCGTTGGAGACAGCAGAGGAGGATAGAACAGAGAACAAGGACAAGGACAATCGAGGTCCATCCAGCAATTGACGCTACAAATCTTTTCCATGACGCTCCTACAATCCATACAGAGAACAAGGACAAGGACAATCGAGGTCCATCCAGCAATTGACGCTACAAATCTTTTCCATGACGCTCCTACAATCCATACAGAGCACCACACAGAGCACCCGCTATATATATGCGCCCTCTCTCACCTCGAGCTCTAACATGCTCCAACACTCTGATGCCATTCAACGCCCGAGGTCAATACAGCCAAAAAACCACGCTCCTCCCACGCTCCTCCCACGCTCTTCCTATCCTCGCCACAACATCCCCGCGGAGGCATGTCACATCGAGAATTGCCGGTGGCTACTCTGTACCGTCGTTCTGGCTGGTAGACTTAGACTCTATCTGTCCTTGCTCATGAAATTCCACTCGTACTAGAACGCGTCAGTAATGGCCCCGTTGCGGGAAGGCTGTCGATGGAACTTACAACTCGGCCATCGTCATCTCCCGTATACACACACGTCGGCATTGGGGTAATGCATGTCATCCCCGCTTCCGTGTTCGCGCCCTTCTCACTCTTGTAGTCCACATGATCCAGCCTCCTCAGAAGCTCCAGTGTCCATCGGCCGCCAGTGATGGTCCTGCGCCAAACATTAACCCGTCCACGCTTATGTCCTGTAAAGACAAGGTAGCTCTCCAACCACTCGTTTCCTGCGCCCTCGTAAAAGGCACATGAGTGTATATAGTCGTCCTGCTCAAAACAAAGATTTTGGTCAAGGAGGAGCGTGCCGTTGAGGGTGTACAAAAGCACATTCGGTCCAGAGCAGAGGAGGATCTCACCCGAGATGTCATTGATCCGAGCACACTCCACTGGGCGTACCAATGGCAGTTTGCGAATAAACGACAGCCGGTTGAGATCCCACAAGAACGCTTGTCCGTCTGAAGACACCGTCAAGAAGGTGCTGAACGCCTTACTCACCGCAATCGTGGTAACTGGCGTCTTGTGTCCAAAAAGACTCGACCTTGGGAGGAGCTCCACTGGTTTACCTGGGGCCGTTTGCAGCGCATAGACCGACACGACGCAATCCTCACCGGCGGTGATCAGCGTCTTGGAATCAGCAAAGCACGCGCACGAAATCTGTCCAATGTGGAGGTTTTCGAAGAGGCCAGCCGGCTTTCGGGAGTTAGCGAGGCGGCCATAGTCAGGGATGTAGTAACGCTTTACCTTCCGGTTGTCGCTAATGAAGAAGCGGATGCTGTTGTCGGCGTATCCCCATTCCAGGAACTTGTCATAGGACGGGAGGTTCAGGCGAAAGGCGGAAGCGCATAGGAGCCGGTCCAGCTTCGGGGCGTACATCAACGTTGACACACGTTCGTGACTCTCTGTTTGTCACGCTTTAGTTGGTTATCTTCAGAGTCATGCATTGGTACAGCTTACCTAGAAGCGGGTTTGGTAGGCATGCGAGTGAAAAGATGCCAGTATCAAGCCGGCGAATTGGGCACCGGACATGCTCCCGCCATGGATGAGACTTTGCAAACACCTGGTGCGGTGTCTGGCCAAAGTTGTGAATCACGCCAGCCATAATGGCTCTCTCCTTTGCATCCGTGATGCTGTCCAAGTCGGTAGCACCTCGGTAGGACAGATGATGAAACACATTCAGGTTTTCCACAGCAGCCTCTCCCCGTTGCTTGAAGCCAAAAACCAGATCGATCCATTTGTGCAGGTTCTCACTAACGTAGGGGCTCTCCAGTGCCTCTCGATGCTTGGCAATGAATATTCTCGGGTCGCCCTTGGCCCATGGCGGAAGTTCAACATGGTCAACCTTCACACCATTGCTTTCTCGGTTGCCAAAGTTGTAGCCGTTGATGTTTGTCAAAAACTCGGGCAGGCAGAAGAACTCGGGGATGAGCTCTCTTACATCAGCCTTATTCCTACTAGAGGCTGAATTCCACGCGTCCGGGATTGACTGGAATAGACGATCTGCATGGTCGAAACTTCCTCCCTGGAGCAGGATGTAGGACTGCACGAAGGGCGGCAGGCGGATCAGGTACGATGAGACGATCATGGCCGAGGAGTAGTGAGTTCCATAATGGAAAGGTATCTCTCCAATCTCTTCCAATGCGGTGTAGCTCTCGGCAAACCCTGAGACTCTACTTGGAGTCTGCGCACCCATCGGCTTAGACAGATCTCGAAATGTTGCCGGGTCTTCCAAATCCAGGTCGTCACTTGTATAGTCGGCCAAGACCCAAGGGAAGACAGGATACTGAGTGAGATCGTTGAACGTTCGTCCAGCCATGGTGTTCACCATCATCAAGTAATGGAAGTTTGAGATCTCACCCCGCTGCCATCGCTTCATCATGGGGTTCCACGGGGATGAGTTGAAGAACGTGCCAAACTTGGATCCAAATCCTTGTGGCGACTCGTCAAAGACCTTCAGTGCCTCTAGCCGCCAACCATCTTCGGGGTTTGGCAGTGCGTTGGCACCGCTAGTGTGGGGAGCCTTGTTGAGCATCTTGACGAACAGCTCGTCGCGCACGGCTGGGTTGATGGTGGTCAGCAGATAACTCCGTCCATCTGTGAAGAACACTTCAATGGCAACATCGCGGAAGAGGAACCGACGTTTCGAGATACTGATCACGTCATGCCATCTCCAATGCCTCGACTCTTGATCGTTAAGTCCAGCATTCTGTCGTTTCTCGGACGTCTTCGCATCGGTGACGATCTGAGAGAACGGATCGCGCTCCTCAGGAGGCGCCTGCCACACATTTACAATGTCTCCGTTGGCACACTGGAAGACGTTGTCCATCATGTACAAGGCCTCCTTGCCTATTATGAGAATGCCTTCACATGCTTCCAGTCCGACGATACGGGAGATGTTGTACGCCGCTTGCACTTGGTCCCCATGCTCCAGTCGGCGCATCACCTTTCTGTTCTTGTCCTCGAAGCCTTCGTCCCCCTCGTTGGGGTCGTTTGGGTCATCCACAAGCTCAAAATCGTCCTCGGGAGAAACCCCAGAGCTCGGTGGTTCTGTAGATGAATCAGGCTCTTCCGTAAATTGCGCCGCGTCGCTTCCATCCAGAAGATTCGATGAAACGATCTTGGTTGACGGTGTTACTGCGCTCGTTGTGACTGACGGAACTGGGCTTGCTGTGGTATTGATCCGCAGCGTCTGCATGATCTCGCTTGTCTTCCGCTTTGGCTGATACTCGTCCATGTTCATGCTGTAGTCAGGGAGCACTCTCAGTCGCATTCGGTTCCGGCCTTCAGTTCGATCGAGCTTCCACTTGGACGGGGTCGACTCGCTAAGGACGGCACCGGGTCGCCTCAAATCTCGCTCCATCTTCTTATAAGCCGAGCTGAGGAACACCAAGTCGTCTTGTTGATCTTGCATGATGCGCTGGTACTTGAAGTACTCTGAGTTATAGATGCTCTTCATCCAAGCGCTGTTGCCAATATCATGACTGAGCATGATCTTGTCAGTGTGGCTGTTCTCAGAGGTCCATGCTCTGAGCTTCTCCTTGCGCTTGGTCACGCGGGTTTTGGCAGTCTCAGCAGTATGAGTGTTTTCTGCACTGACAAAGTCTTCCCACGTCTTTGACATGCCACCAAAGAAGAGGACATCCAACGATGGGCGATGTTTGTCAACCCAGTCCAAAAATGATTCGTCGTCCACCCCAGTCAGCTTCTGAAAGTCCTTTGACAGCTGCTTCTGGTCCGGGGACATGCATGAGCGAATCAAAGCTGCAGATTCGTCAGGCTTCTGCACCAGAATGATGCGCAGGAAGTTTGCTGCAGCTAGCCGGATCGACTTTTTGTCATCCGTCAACTTTGTGTACAGTTGATACCAAAAGAGCTTGAGGTAGTCATCCTCTGAGGTGAAACAGGCCAGGATAGACATTTGCCAGTATACGATTTTGTTCATGAAATCCCTCGCCTCAAGTTCTGTGGTCTGGGGGTTATCCAAATCGGACAATCTCAACAGTATGATCCTCAGGAGGCAACTGCGGACCATGGACACGGCTTGACTACAAAGCCGCACACTCTTCAAGCTAGCGATATCGGGTCGCTGCAGGAATTCTAAAAGCATGCCGATAAATTCAATCAAGGTCTCGGCGCCATTCATGAACCATCCCTCAAAGATTGCTTCTGACATGTGAAGACAGAATCGTGCCAGGTTTGTGATGATTCGAGGTTCGCAAATTGCCTTCTGGTTAAGTTGGATATTGCTGGTGAGCTGAGCGATCACATTTCTCAGAATGTAAGACTCAAAATAAGCCTGATGCTCCTGGAACCCTGGTGGGACCTTGGTGAAGAGGCCAAATCCGGGAAATTCCTTCCGGGCGAGCAGCTGGTCCATGAAGACGCTCACAACAAGCTCCACAAGACCCTCCAGGATCTCGCTGCTAGGTTTCTGCTTTGGTGCTTTCTTCCGGGGCGACAGTGCTGGACTCAAGCGGGCTGGGCTTGGACCAAGCGGCGACTTGTGGGCTGTGAGGAGGATGAACGACGACGCTCTGCGGAGTGGCGTGCCTTTCGGGGGGGTGGACTGTGGCGATGGGACTGGGTCAACGCTGCTTGTCCGTACAATTGGTGTTGCTGCTGAACCACTGCCACCAACGGGACGGATGATGACGTCGGTGCCTTCGAAGGTGAGTGCCGAATTCCCCGAGTTTAGCTCAGTTTCGGGTGACACAGCATCGGCGCTGACGATTATGGGATACAGAGCAGCCAGCAGGAGCCTCACCCACTCCGAAGTCAGGGCGAAATCACGGAACTCGCTCGATCGCGCATGGAGGTCTAGCAGGAAACGAATCACGGTGTGCAATACACCTGCGTGGCTCACAATCCGCTCGCTGTCTCTTGTAAAGTTCACTGCTGGTGGTTAGTCGAGCAAAGTTGTGTCACAGAGTTTCACGTACATCGAGTTTCAAGGGCTGTCGCAAGGTCCATGGAACTTGCCCGTGGTCGGATATCCTGAGCAGAAGGTTGCTTCTTCAGGATATTGAACGAGCTGGTATTGCTTGCTGGGGAGTCTGGATCATCTTGGTGTCTCATCACATCTTTGAGACCATGCTGCAGCATCGCGGTAACGACCACTAATGAGTCCGGATAGACAACCTTGCGCTTGCCGAATAGCTCTAGGAGACTGAAGAAGTCAAAGTTCCTGTCAAAGTCGATTTCGGAAACGTCATATCCGAACAAGATACTAAAGCAAATTGGCCACAAGGTCGGCATATCCCAGAATCTTTTGAGTCGGCTCGCCATGATGATGAAGCCACCAGACTTGAGGGCGAATTTGGCAGTGTAGGTGGATCCATGAACTATCAAGAGTCGAGCAAGGATCTTGCAACCATGGACAACAACTTCCGGGTCATTTTCCGCCAGCAGGTACAGGAGCCACTGCAAGATGTGAGTATGTAGACTATAGGCTGGTTGGACTAGTTCTTACCTTATTGGTCACTGTCCGGGCGAACTTCTTAATATGAGTCGTGTTGCCCTTCTCGCACAAGATGCGAGAGTACATGCTCAATACTTTGACGCCAAGCTGCTTCTTCGTGAGGAACTTCAACCCAGAAGGCGAATTACTGCCCGCCCCGGTGTCGATTGGAGTTCTCCTTATCGGGGCTGGAGTGCTGGACCTTGATATAGCCGACAAAGGTCGTGATGTTCGCGAAAATGACGACAGTGGCGAGTGGAATGCGTATGTAATGAACAGCGCCAGAGACCTCAGGACTTCTTGGCTGAAATTTGACCTGACCAAAACTTCAAAGGCACCCATGAAATGAGGCACCGTATCTTCTGACACCACTTCACCTTTCATGGCATCTAGCAGTCGTTTCACAATCCCTATAGTCCACGTCAGTATCGCCGTAGGTGGTGATTTAGTGGGCGCACTTACTCATCCGGATCAACCTCCGGCTATTAAACTCATGGTACTTGCTCTTGACGGCGAATGTGACGAACTGCTTGTAGTACAGCTCCTGGATGCGCGGCGCTGACTTGCGCCAAATATCCAAATCAATCAGTAGGGTCCGGTAGGCGAGAGGGTTGATGATGAATGATTCGATAGGGTCAGCATGGTTGTATCCAACGAATCCAAGGATTAGGCTAAGAAGCTGGAATGCCAGTCGATCTCGTTCCTCATTAGTGATGGGAAGTCGGTACACAGTAGCATCATTGCGGCCGCTGTTGCCGTATCCCAACTTCACACGGAGCAGCATGCCCAAGATGCCATATCCAGTATCTCTCTCCATAGCTTCGCTGTTTCTCCAACTCTGTCGTATACAGTGGAACAACATTTCAGCGGCGCGGACAGTCTCATCTGTCGATGACGCTCTCTCAAAAAGTTTGAGCGCCAGGGGTGTGAACCCAGCCAGGCGCCACAGATTCTCGTCCAGGTATGATGGAACAGCAACAATTGGGCTGCCCCGAAACGATGCCAGACCTTGTTGCCTGAACAAGGTATCGGGAAGACATGGGACAGCACAGTTAATAGCCAAGGCAGAGCCCTCTTGGTTAGAGGATCGAAAAAGATTACGAGCACAGTTCCTCGGCATTGAGCGCAGCAACCCTGTGTCCAAGTATTGGACGTTCTCAGGGAATGTAGCCGAGGGGAGTATGCTCAGCAAGATTTTGGACTCTGGAAGCAATGAGCTGGCCTTGTCACGGATCGCTCTCAGAATATCGGAACTCTCTTCTTTTCCGGGGTGGGCGATTTCATTTCGTAGACCCAGAGTGGCAGACGCCTCGTAGGTTTGGAACCCTCCCAGGCTGTCCTGGAAGTTACCTTGGTACCGTGGCCCGAGACCATAGTGGACAGCCAAGTAGTCGTCACTCAATGCATCCTCGAAAAGATGAGCAGAAGCAAGTGACCATCTCGAAAAAACAAGACCGGGCCCAACCTGGTTTGAAAGATCCTTGGGAGTCCCCAAAAAGGCTTGGACAGGGTTGGTTTTGTTCTGGTTCGAGTTGAAAGAAGCAAAACTCTCGTTGGTTCCGTTCGATAGTGGGGGCGAGTGGGGGTAGTTGCAGCGAATCTGTTCAGAAAACTCTCCGTTGACATAGAGGGATGCCTTGCTGGTAGTCATGGTCTTTGGCCGCCGGTGGACGATGGCGATGTGATACCACTTATTTTCTCGGAATGAAACTGACTTAAACCGAATGCTGGGCTTGTTGGAATAGACAGAGGTTTGAAGAATAAAGTTGTGTGTGTCTCTCTCCAGATACATCAGCAAGAAACAAGACTGAGAAGAGTCGAACACGCCAAAGACGGTCGTGTGCGCAGTAGGGTCGAAGCTATCTACCCGGATCCAAGCCGTAAAGGTATATCCACCGCTTGACTGGGGTGGGAATGAGCGGCCAAGGCTGGAAAGTTCAAGGGAGGAGTGGCCGGTTAATGAGAGGTCGAATTGGAAGAAGGGCGGCCCAGAATATTTGGCCGCCATCTGCAAGCAAAATTCGGATGCCTCGGGGCTCGGTGATGAAAGCAAGAACTGTGTGTCTGCAGGCTGGTTGACGCCCAGAAACATGAGCATCTTGCAGACGGCCAGGACCTTTTCGCGTTCAGGAAGGCTCAGTGCCGAGTCGGTGCTAAAGACGACTCTGAGGAACTGAGATAGAACTCCAGTTGAATGAACAGCAGCGCGGTTATAGATAGAGACAGAGATGACGGACTGTATCGTCTCCAGAACAAGGAGGGCAGCCGGGCTAGCGGGTCCATTCTTCAGTCGTGGGATGGCAGTCCAGAAGCTGACGACTGCTCTCAAAATCTCCGGGTGGCGTAGGATGGCCTTGGAGTTGATAACCTCTTTCACGCCTGGTGCAATGTTCTCAGCCGACTTGGCTAAAACCAAATCCCACTGCTCCTCTGTCCCGGAGCTATCATCGTCACCATTTGCAGAAGAATTGTCCGTATCTTGGCGGAGAGCTTTGGCGATGGACTGGCAGAGTAGATCAAGTCCCTCGTCGTCAAGAGCGAAGGCGAGCAGCTTCCCAAAGACATGGCAGCTTATCCACGCATCTGGCTCAGCGCCCCCTAGCCCAATGCTGGCGATGACCTGTTCCAATGCTTCCCAGCCACCACCTTCAACTTTATATCTAAAGAATCTCCGGTTGCCAGAGTGTTCCTTTAGGGCTGCTGAAAGGACGTTCAAGGCCTCACCTAGCAGCTTGAAGAAAGACAGCATATCCGAGTCACTCCTCTTATCGGGGTTGTAGTAGCCGGAGAAGACACGCAATACATTGAGGATGCGCTCGAAGCCGTTGGCATGTCGGAAATCATTTTGGTGGACGGGGGTCGCTGAAGCAGCTATGTGCTGGGCGATGTGTCGAAGGGTCTTTGATAGTCGGGGGATCTCGGGGTATCCGTCATTTTGTTGGAGGGCCGCGTCTTTGACAAGCCCAGAGAGCAAGCCGTCGAGGATCTCGAGGGACTTGGAGCTGGGCGGATTCGAGACCGATGTGGAAGATCGGTATCTCCTCGAGAAGGAGGCCATTGTATTCATTGCGGAACCAGCGGTTTATTCCAAAACCACTTTCCCAGAGCCCATCAAGGGTCCAGGTTGTTATCAGTCGTAGTCGGCATCGAAAGGCGAGATCTCGAGCTTGTTGGAGCTACGAGCGCGGGGCGCATGAAGTTGGGGGCGAATCGACGATCGTGGGGCCAGGGGCCGGCAGGAAGTAGGCAGCGGTATGGAGATGTTTGCAGTGGTTTCCGAATTCAGGCGCCGTGAGCCGTGAGCCGTGGACGCGATGCTGGCAACAAAATGAGTGTCTCAAGCAGCTGGTGAACTGGAGCCTGGACGAAGTGCTTGTGTCGGTTACCAACTCGTCACGGTCAGCCTTGAAGGTGTGGCTTAGCCCTGCTGTTCTAGGGGTGGCCCCGCCTTGGGGCTGGTGGGCTCTGGGCTCTGGCCATTAGGACCTCGAGTTAGGGAGGCTGAGTGACATCTCCCACTGCTTGTCCCTCGCAACTCCGCATGCGGAAACCAGCCTGCCGGGAAGGGACGAAAACCGGATGCAGGCGAGATATATCCATTTCGAGGACCTGAGACTCTTCCATCCTACTCATACTCCCCCACAACGTAGTTTCCATCCCTGCTCAGCCTTGCATGGCCAAGCTCGATGGCAGCCGGGTGAGTGGTGTAGGGTAAGTTGGCGAGTGGGTGAGAATGGGGGCTGCATGAGAATGGCGCGACACGAATCATGGCAATTGGTGACAATGTTGCTTTGTGTTGAAAACCTAATACACACAGTATACTGCTTATGGAAAGATGACGGAGGGCGCGTCCTAAACAGTGCAACGGGGCATCTCCGTGATGGGAATTTGCGATGGTTGAGGCAACATGGCGAAGCTTAATAAGAACCCATCCTGAGTCTCTCTCAACTACATGGGAAGACATACAGATGAAGGACGGCCTGCCTACAACGGCTCAGTCGCTACTCGGAGTCGCCTGTCTCACCCGAGGCTTAATTACCCCTCTTCGATATGGTAGGTAATGGCTCCTCGTGCTTGAGCGAGAGATACGGATGTCCGTACTTCATGCCTATCTAATCAGGCAGGACGTTTGTAGGGTACCTTTTGAGTGTGGAGTCGGGCGGCTGGAATGAGCGACGACCAGCGCATGATGGCGTTATCGGAAGATGGAAGAGATAAAGCTACCTTGAGACAGACCGAAGGCGACCGGCCAGGCTTGGCTGGGGGACGCGGCGCGGCTGGGCCCAAAATGGGCTATGACGGCGTATCTCCCCCAACGCGCTCAGGCGGAAGTGCCTTGCTCTAGCATGGATTGACGGAAACGAGACCAGGCTGTAGGCTACAGGCTGCGCACGGGATGGGGAATGATGAGCTGTCGAAGTCATGACGTTTCCCGAGCTGCGGCTTCCCATTCCATGATTGATTCCCGTCATTGATTGAGGCGAGCTTAGCTTGTCCAGCTTGCTGCTTTCGCCAGGGATCTAGGTCAGTGTCTTGGGGGCCTGAGAGTGAGACACTGGCCTGGCTTCCACGCCAGGCACGTGCCAGGGACGTCGTCTGACTTGATGGATCAGGTGGATTGCGGCCGGTGGGGGGCCAATCGGAGCCTGGGAGCCGAGGGCCCCCCCGCATTCTGACACTGCACACACTGGGAACTCCTTGGTGCAGTGTTAACTGAGTTGGGTTGGCCGTACCTACCTGCCTTACCAAGCAGGGCTCTAGGCCGGCGGTACACTGTACGTAACGACGTACCTTGCGGGAGCTGTCCCTGGTGTGGGGACCTTGGCCTTCGCGAGCAGGATACATGCGCCATGACGGCCGCCAGACAGTGCATATGAGACCCAATGGCGTTCTGCACACGGTGCTCGCCTCGTTCATGGTCTGAGACCAGGCTCGCCTACCGGTGGTTACTGGGAGGTAAGCCCGAGGATTGTGCCTGTGGAAACGGCAACGCCTCAGTCAGTAAGTAGCCTCTGTGCCAGCCAAGGCGACCTGCCCGGGAACGGCGGCGTCAGCCGAGCGGGGGATGAGACAATCAGCCCTTGGGACCTTCCGCTGTCGTATTCTCTACGTAGTTCATCCAGGGGAGCTACCAGTAGCCTGTGGTCCACCGCTCTGGTAGAGTTTACTCGCGTGCTCAGCATGGCAAATGGCTCATTACTGTTAGTAGGGCCCCTGGCGCTTGTCGCTGTTTGTTGGGGAAAAGGCAACCGAGAGGCGTGACTCGTGAGGCGGGCGCATGGCATACCGTGCCAGCCCGAAGGCGATCGCACGGAGCGTCATGGGAGCTCCGAGGTACCTGCGATTCAGCGCTGCCGTTATCGCATCGCCCTGGGAACGGAGTGCGTCACAGGATTGGATGGCCATGGCGCCGCTAAACCGTGTTTGGCGCTCAGCCACCTCTGTTATCGCCTACCCTAGCGGCTGGATGCGTCACACTGCTCGCCCGCAGCGACCCGCGTTGATCCGCTGAGGCAACACCGGAGCTGTCGCACGCCTGTGCTCCTTCCGTTTATCTACCCCAGGTCCGCTCGCCATCCTCTCTCTTCCTCCATCATCTCCCCTCATCCATCATCTCCATCATCCAACGCATCGCCCTCTCCAATCCCATCATCTTAGAGGGTTGTAGATCGTACGCTTGATTCTTGCTCTTTTCGGTCGCCGGTAGACCATCCCAGAACCTCGTTCGCTCTGTCGCTTCGCACGCGCGGATTCGTCATCATGAGATACGCCCTCACCCTCTCGCTGGTCGCTGCCGCCAGCGCCAGCACCTTCGGCGTTGGCACCATCCACGACAAGTCCGCTCCCGTCCTCAGCTCCATCGAGGCCGAGAACATCCCGGACTCGTACATCATCAAGTTCAAGGACCACGTCGATGATTCCTCTGCCTCGTCCCACCACAACTGGATCCTTGACATCCATTCTGGCGGCGAGCAGGAGCGCCTCGAGCTCCGAAAGCGTAGCGAGTCCGCTGATGACTTCGTCCCATTCTCTGGCGTGAAGCACACCTTCAAGATTGGTGCATTCAAGGGCTACGCTGGCCACTTCCACGAGTCCGTCATCGAGAAGGTCCGGAACCATCCTGATGTAAGTCCAAGCCATCCACACCACTCCCTTTCCCTCGCCACCGAGCCGAGGCTAACCCCAAAACTAGATCGAGTTCATCGAGCGAGACACCCTCGTTCACACCATGCTTCCCATCGATTCTCAAGACAAGGTCACTGAGGACACCTGCGACGGCAAGACCGAGAAGCAATCTCCCTGGGGTCTTGCTCGTATCTCCCACCGAAACACCCTGAACTTCGGTACCTTCAACAAGTACCTCTACACCGAGACCGGTGGTGAGGGCGTTGATGCCTACGTCATTGACACCGGCACCAACATTGACCACGTCGACTTTGAGGGTCGAGCTCACTGGGGCGCGACCATTCCCACCGGCGATGCCGATGAGGATGGCAACGGTCACGGCACTCACTGCTCTGGCACCATCGCCGGTCAGAAGTACGGTGTTGCCAAGAAGGCCCAGGTCTACGCCGTCAAGGTCCTCCGATCCAACGGATCTGGCTCCATGTCCGATGTCGTCAAGGGTGTCGAGTTCGCTGCCACCAGCCATCTTGAGCAGGTCAAGGCTGCCAAGAAGGGCGACCGCAAGGGCTTCAAGGGCTCTGTTGCCAACATGTCTCTGGGCGGTGGCAAGACCCAGGCCCTCGATGCCGCTGTCAACGCCGCTGTCCGCACTGGCGTTCACTTCGCTGTTGCTGCCGGTAACGACAACGCCGATGCTTGCAACTACTCTCCCGCTGCCGCCGTCGAGCCCGTCACCGTTGGCGCTTCTGCTCTTGATGACTCGCGTGCCTACTTCTCCAACTACGGCAAGTGCACTGACATCTTCGCCCCCGGCCTGAACATCCAGTCCACCTGGATTGGCTCCAAGTATGCCGTCAACACTATCTCCGGTACCTCGATGGCCTCCCCTCACATCGCCGGTCTCCTGGCCTACTACCTGTCTCTCCAGCCCGCGGAGGACTCCGAGTACGCTGTTGCTTCCATCACCCCCAAGGAGTTGAAGGACAGCCTCGTCTCTATCGCTACCCAGGGCACTCTGTCCGGTATTCCTGACGATACCCCCAACCTGTTGGCCTGGAACGGTGGTGGCTGCAGCAACTTCTCCCAGATTGTTGCCGCTGGTGGCTACAAGGCTACCGCTAAGGATGTCCCTTCCTTCGTTGATGATCTCGAGGCCAACATCGAGGACGACTTCGAGGTTGTCTCTGGCAAGATCGTCAAGACTGCCAAGAAGTTCGGCAACAAGGCTGAGAAGTTCTCCAAGAAGATCCACGATCTCGTCGACGAGGAGATTGAGCAGTTCCTCTCGGAGATCTCTCTGTAAGATCATCAATAGGATCATCATCATTGGTGTATTGGTTATGCATTTTCGCTGGGATTGCGGACGGGGATTCGGTCGCTGGGTTTCGTTTTGGGTAACAATTGATATGAATTAGGGCGTAGACTATTGACATTTCTTGTCGTCATCGTCATTGCGTCGTGTCCTTGGTGGCTTGACTTGGGCCACTGAGATTGGTTGCATACACATAGGAGAGGGACTTTGTTCACTTTTGATAAGAATACATTTCGTTTTGTATTAATTTAGTTGTTTGTGCTGCTGTGATTGTTGTCCCTAAGGGTGTTGTGCCTGCTGTTTGCTTACTGAGTTTCGGTTGCACATGCTCACCAGATGTCGGCTCTTTCCACCCTAAGGCTTACCGATTGATTCCTTCCCCCGAGAATGGAGCTCCTGGCCTGCCATGACGAGGACTTCTGTGCCATCTCGAGGGCGATTCCTCCGTCGACTAACTGTCTTTGGGCGTGTCACATTCATCAACCGCACATCATTTCATCTCTCCATCGCAGTTGGCTTGCACCATACGTCTTTAACCGTCTTAGTGTTTTGTTAGTTCCCTGTCAACCAGAGACCCTCCGGTCGCACGCACGGCTTGATACCAACATCTCACCCATCCGCCGTGAACGGGATTTTTTTTACTCCAAGATTCGAAATCTCCAAACCGAAGCCGTCGTCGGTTGGAGATGCTCCGTCGCAACAGTTCTCGAAACAAGCAACGCCGCCCACTGAGTCGCAGCAAATCGACCAACTCCATTGTCCGAAGCTCTGTTCACCTCCTGGAAGTCATCGATCCAGTCGCTGCGGAACGAGACGCACACATTGCGGCTGTGCTCTCCTATCACCGAGCCCAAAGCAGGCGTTCTCACGAGATGGCTTCTATTCCTAGAGACCCAGCCAGTTTCTACCTTGATAGAAGTGATGGGGCATGCAGTTCGACAGGACAAGGTTTAGAACGGAACGATAGCACGAGGAGCAGAGGAGATGGCTCAGTGAGTGCTTCCGGAGTCAGACGACAGCAGAGTGTACGTTTCGCTGGACCAACTGCACGCCCGCGAAGAGCCCTGGCGTCAAGGGCGACTGAGAACCCAGGAACATCTGATGTTGACAACTCGAGCCTCCATGTCCTTGGTAATGTGGATAATAGACCCGCCTCAACGATGTCATACTCTAGGAGAAAACCCGACCCTCACGCTCTGACAAGACGTTACCTAGATTCTCTTCAAGCGCCGGACCAATGCTATGCTCCAGAAGATGACACTGACTCGGTACCTTCGTCATTCCGAAGGTTGCGCAAGTCAAAATCCATGTTCTCTACTTTCAACCCGCTCACTTCAGGGTATCACTTCAACAATGGGACTCCCGAGAAAGTCAACCCACAGCTTGCCAATTCCGGCTCCACACCCATACAGAAGGAGAATGATCCTATCCCAAGGGATCACCCACCTAGGCCCTCAACCTCACTGAGCGTCCTAAAGAGCCGTCGTTTTGTTGGAGCCTCTCGCTCAACTAGCCGCGCTGAGAATGATCTTGCTGTTCAATTGGCCCGAGAGAAATTCCGGGAGCAGGTGGAAGGACAATCAAGATTGAGATCTCAACCATCGATGCTCTTTAGGTCGAGGAATAAGCGAAGCGAAAGTTCTCTGGGATTCCGCAAATCTCTACGCAATAGCAGCAACAACAGCACTGCCTTGTCGTCGACATTCTCCACCAATAGCCTGTCCATATCCAAGCAGCCTGGACTTCGAAAAACTGCCCGAAAGGTGTCCAAGACGCTGAAGACCAAGCTGAAAGGGTTGTTTTCCAGGCCGAAAAGCGCAGCAGGCAACGGGACTGAAGGCAATGACCCGGACCTCTGCGAATCTGACGGCGAGAGCTGCTTACGCCTAGAAGATGACCTGACTCACCATGAAGCATCAATGTTTCGAGTGCCTTCACATGTTCCATCGCTACACGCCGTTCCTTCACATCAAGAGATGAGGTCTCGAAAAGGCAGTGTCGAGAGCATCGACAGTGGCGAGCACGAGATTCCTGACGACAAGTCTCGGGTCACCAGCTGGTCAAACTCTATCACCAACACTGCCTCGAGTGTGTGCGATTGGGAACGTCAGCGTCTGTCCATTATCAAAGAAAATTGCGCTCATGTTTCAACCCTTTCCCGAGCCGCAGACGAACACGGAGAGGGGGGTAAAGGACAGGAGACCTCGCCGGGACAGGGAATTGACAGCGAGCGTGTGTACTCTGCGCTCATGAAGAGAATGCAAGATATCAAACGGCAAGAAGAGGCACTTAAGGATCGAATTAACTCGGGAGAAGGATGGAGGACATCCACCATCAGGAGTGTACAAGCCGATGACGATGTCTTCGGGACTCAAGGGGGCGACCCAACGACGATGAACACCTCCAACTGCGAAAATGCAAATTCTTCAAAAGGGTTGATAGCAACACCGGCAGTCACAGCTTCTGAGTCTCAAGCGACCGTGGACAAAGACGAACCGGCTTCACCACAGAGACGCGTTGTGGCCGTGCAGCTCGAGCCGCCAACCACACTCACACATAGGAGTTCGGCTTTCTTTGCCAGTCCAACCTGCCATCTATTTCGCACAGCAAGCCCGTACCGTCGCGCTTTGCGAGAGAGTATGATAGGTTCCGAAGAACAAGAGCAGCCAGAATTGGCTGGGTCGAAATATCTCAAGTCTCTGTCTGCCATCAGCCTTCCCACACGCCGGACCAGCAGTGCAGGGTCCGACGGAGACCCTCGAATGGCATATGCAGAAAGCGTTTATTCTTGCTTGACGGATGATGTCAAGCCAGCACTCAAGAACCTGCCTGCGGCACCTGCATCCCAGAATCATGGGGATGCGACAATCTTTGTTGACGTGCCCACCTACAAGCCTACCCTCCTTCAACATCAACGAGATGTATCAACTGCCAGCTCAGTGGAGTGGAAGACTTGGCTCAGTGCAAACGTTTCAAAGTTAGAAGCTCCGATCACACCATCAAAGACCCAAGCCGAGGGAGAAGTATCGGATATGCTTTCAAAATTAGGGCATATCAGAGAAAGAGCAGAGATTGACTCACCCCAAGAAGCTCTCAGATCCACGAGGCAGGAATCCAATGAACCAAGTGCTCGGAGCCCATTGAGTCCTATGGAGGGAAACGCTCGTTCAAACTCAGATGCCATAATACCACATAGCAATTCTGCCAGAGGTACGCTACCTTCCGACGAGAATGAAGCTCCTAGGACTGCCGAATTTCCAGACAGGGAGGGTAGATGTCCTCCAATTCCCCCTCGAAAACACACCCGACCTGGTCCTTCGCTCCTGATGGCGAAGGATAACTCTGAAACCAACAATCCCGATAAATTACCAGAGACACCTCGCGTGCTATCGTTTAATACCGTTAGCCCTCTTACTCCCTCTCATGGTGAGTCAATTCAAAAACGTCGCACACGGCTGCGTGGCACCGGGTGGCACGGATCGCCAGCTCAGTCAAGCCCAGGTATGACTGGCGCAATTGAACGAGAATCACCGGTGCAGAGATCTGGTTGGAGTACCAGCCACTCAACACCTCGGACTCGGAGACGAATTGATAGATACAGCGACAACCAAGAAGACAGCGAACCGGGTCGCTTGGGGCTTGACACGGAAGGAATGGGAAGTAAGATGATGGTGGACATGTTTCTAAACAGCCGGCGCAATAGGACACCAGGCAGTGTCACCGGTGTGAGAATGGGGAGTTCCCCAGCGGCATTTATATGATTCTTGTTGGTGTGAGAGGAATAGTGTTATTGGAGGATCGTGTCGAGCCTGTCGACATGGAATGTTTAATGCGTGGCTTCTATATTAGAGTAGCCACCGAGTTCTCATGTTGTATATACCTTACGGCGGGTCAAGGGAATCGGAGGCACAGGGACGTCGCTGCAGGATCCAGAATTAGACAGACCAGATAGAAGTTTGCAACAGACACATACACAATTAACGCAGCTGTTGTGATATATTGGAGCCTCCAGAGACGGTGAAGTAGTGGGCTACGAGGATGCGAGGGCAAGGTTCACTGAGGACTGGCACCACCTCTTGAAGAAAGGAATTGTACATTGCAATTCTAATACTGATACAGGAAATCCTAAACGCCGGCTAACTAATCACCTCGAATGTTGAGGACTTACATGAACCTCCCAGTGTTTTGCCATGTCCTCTGGGAAGCTCTTCTTCCTGTCGTCATTCACCCACTTGCCGTATTTCTCATGTGTCGTCTCCTCTCGCAGCACCCCCGTCGCCTCGCCTCTCTCTAGGTAGTTGAAGAAATCGAGCGACACCTTGACGTACTCATCCAAGGCCTCGCGCACAGGCATCGTAGTCGACGTGGCCCAGCCCAGCAGCAGCGGCTGCAGCAACGGCGCGTCGGTGATGCTCGGGTGGGCGGTGCCCAGACTGGTGAGGAACCACGAGGCACCGATGCGGTCGGCGACGCCGCGCACGAGGTCTCGCACCGTGTCGAAGTGCGGACGGCCGAAGAAGATGCTGTGCTGGCTGGACCACGACGAGGAGTGTACGACGAGGATCGGCACTGAGATTTCGGCGTTGAGCGGGCCGCTCTCCTTGCCCGGGTCCAGGATGATGCCGCCAATGGCGGGGTTGCCCGTTGTGTTGGCCGTCTTGAGGGCCTGAAGCGCGCCGGTTGCGCCGTACGAGTGACCGCTGATGGTGAGGTGGTTGAAGTCGAGGCGTTCGGCCCAGGCGGCGAGGGCGTGGCCTTCAGATCGCGAGTTGAGTTTGAAGACATCGTCGAAGCCACGACCTTCGTTGATGCCCTGCAGCACGCGGATGGTCCCGGTGATTTCGGCTTCACGGAAGGCGAGCTGCTCTTCCTTTAATTTGGCCGTGGTCAAGGGAGGGTCGGCCTCGAGATCGCTCTCGCGGAGGAGGACGACTCGCCGGTCCTTCTTGTTCTTGATCTTGACGATGGATCCGGGACAGCTGCCGTCCCGGTGCTCGATGGCGGCGACGACGTATCCGCGGCTGGCGATCTGGCCGAGGAAGTGCGTGTAGTCTGTCCGGGAGCTGGCCATGCCGTGGGAGAAGATCATGACGGGGAACTTGTCGGCGTCTTCGGCGTCGTCGCCGTTGGCCCCGAGCAACGGCACGTCGACCTTTGCCGGGATGCCGACACTACCGACGAGCAGCCACAGCGCAAAGGTGAAGATGGGCCGGACGACGAAGTTGTCGACGTGGGCAATGCGGGCGTATCCCTCGGCCGTCAGGCTCAGCGGGCGCGGGACCCACGGATGGCGGGCCTTCTTGGAGCGGGCGGCCTTCGCGGTGGGATAGTAGAGGGTGAAGAGCACCGTCTCGACCTCGAAGGCCGGCCCGCGCGAGTCCCGCAGCAGCGTGTCGGAGATGCGCACCGCCTTGTGCAGCGGCACCTCGACGTCGATGGCGCCCACAGCGTGCGGGCCGGTGTACGCCGGCAGCGCTGACGAGAAGAAGGGCTGCCAGGTGAGGAAGCAGTAGGCGATGTAGAGGCACACGACGGCGAAGGCGATGTAGCGCCAGCTGAGGCGTGGCCGGAGGAGCGTCCGCAGCCGGGTCGCGAGCGCCTTGACGAGCGGCGACGACGTTGCCCACTGCCAGATGCGCGATTGCGAGAACGACGACGGCAGCAGCCATCCGCGGCTGCGGCCGGTGAGCCATCGGGGCGTGGGCGTGGTGTGCTGGCCGCTGGGCGTCATGGTCAGCGGCAGATCCGGGTCGTCGAGCAGGAGGCCGCTGGAGTCGTCGTCGTCGGTCTCCTCCTCCTCCTCGTTGCTGTCGTCGTCGTCGCCGTCGTCCATGCCGTCAAAGGAATTCAGTTCGAGATCCTCCTCTTGATACCAATCCACGTGCCCAGGATCCTGCGGGGAGGGCTGCATCGCGGGCAGAGGGCGAGGCTATGGCATTTGGCGATGCGTCGCATGGGTGGTGGTCGCGGCTGTTGGAGCGTGGTGGTGAAGGGCGGAAGTCAACTGACGTCAAGTTCAGCGAGGGCTGGTTAGTGCGTTTGGCGGGTTGGTAGGGCGGCCTGGGCTGGTTTCCGGGGGGCTGTGGCCGGGCCGTGTCCCTAATGACGCAACGGTCTAGCGCTCGCCCGCGTCTCTGCTGTCTTATCGCCGTCGCGAATACGGGCAATCCTTTTAGGCCACGCGTACCGTTGATACGACGAGGCAGAGACATACTAATCCATTCATGCGTGCCTGTGATTATTGCATACTGGGACGCTGCTGATTCTCCAATGGCGAGCCTGGTGTGGATGGGCTGACTGTGGCTTAGAAACAGCCCCTCTCCCTCGTAACCAGCCTGGTCTAATGTGTCAATCCGCGTATAACAAAGGTCCCGCCTTTTGATTTCCAACCTGGCCCCCTATCTTTGCAAACAGCGGCACCCCAGTTACTATTAACATGGGTTCACTTCAATAGCCTGAGCAATGGACAGCCACGGCCATCTAGAAACTGCGCTACTCCCCTCAATAGTGCATATTTCATGGTTGGTCAGGGACAAAATGACCCAGCGGGAGAGGACTTTGAAACCTCACACATCGACGAATTGACCACAGTGGGTACTTCTTGACCGTTTGAAAGGTCTAAGCTAACCACTCATAACAATTGAATAAAGGAGATCAAACTTGTGTTGGAGCCTCTTTTCAACGCAGTATAGGTTGCGTTTCTATCACGGACTGAGGTCGGTTTGATGGGGAAAATAGATTGTATTACTTGCACACCAATTCTCAAAGAAGAATCGGAAAAACAAAATCATGAGAACTAATAGAAGAGAGAGTCCGGGTACAAGGAGGAATCATATCCAGACTTCTCTTTCCAAGAGCCCGGATTTAGGTTGTCCTATATAGTACAACCTCTGGGATGCGGCGTGGGGTGCTGCTGGTTGTTCTTCGCTCGTGATATTGATTAGTATTCAATAGTATTTTAATAACCCCCTTTCAAGCTACCGTCTTGTCAAAACTATCTTTGCAGTTATAGATCAACAAATTCTGAATGATATATCTAGGATGTGTTTGCGGTGGCTTTGGGACATATGTAGGTGGTGCTTCATATATCGTGGTTTGAGTATGAGTTCCCCAGTATTGTCCTGGTGTGTATCTAGTAATTCCAGATGGCGATTTTGGGATCAGCGTCGGGGGGTGTCTGCTCGGATTTGAAACCAATGACCTCGAAGGTGGCTTCAGATATTGCCATCAAAGCTGTGTCGTCGGAGCCACATCAATAGTTGCGATAGCAGAAAGGGCTACCATGATAAGAAAACACCTTTTAATATATGCCATCTTTGCTTGAGCTGTTCCACCTTGACAGTATTTCCCCAAGAGATTGATGCCTGCGCCACTGCTTGAAAAATCGGCACCAGGGTTGACGCAGAATGACGACAGCTTGAACTACGCCGGGTCTCATTCGTGGAGCTTCCAGGAACAAATCCCGAGGCTCCCTTTTCCTAATTCGTCTCTCATCGCCGGGGATATGCGGTTGGAGAGATGCCCATAACCTCAGCCACCGCAAACCGAGTTTACAATGTCCTCCTAGCATGGAACGACATTCTGGCCTGGGCCGTTGAGGTAGCAATAGACGGCTTAAACTGCAGCGGGGTACTGGACGACTGTGTGACAAGCGGAATGATGTTCAATGCCATGCGAGAAAAAGTGGCTATGAGGTGGGCCAGTGGCGGATTTCACGGGTGCAAGGAATGACAGATTCACAAAAAGGTGAGACACACAGCTTACAGGAACGCGGAGACACTGCCTGGTCAAGGGGTTGGGCAATGCAATGTAAGTTTATTATGAGTTTACCAACGGACAACGCTACGGGTAAAATTGAGTCAGCCAGCGTGTCCTAGTACGTGCAATGGTGAAGCCATGTCTTGTGGGTGATGGAGTTGCAGAGGAGGTACCTGTGTATTTTGGTGGAGGTGTCCTCCAGCTTATTCTTGGGGGCGCATTGGATCATGATGATGATGGTGGCTTGTAGGGGGTGATTGGGGGCTTTAGGGAGTGCATGTGGAGCATCTCATAGGGCGATGTTGAGGTGATTAAGGCTGATCAAGTAAGCCTAACAGCGGGCGGGTGCAGGGGGGGCAGTTTCACAGCTAAGGGGGTCGATCCTGCAGGTCCAGGCTCCAACAGCCTCTGGTCCTCTGGTCCTCTGGTCTCCAGGACAGACAGAGTACCTAAGTAAGCGATTGATTGATTGATTGATGCTCATTTCTCTCCCTTCAGCTCTGCTTATCCCTCCTCCACCATCCGCCCATCGGCCTCCTCGGATGTCTCGTCGTTCCTTTTGGACAAGCCACCATGTTCTCCCGCAATAGAACCGTTCTTTGGGTCGGCGGCTTGATGTCGCTGATGCTTTGCTACTTCTGGATTAGCAGTCGCCCCGACACCGTCGTCTTGGAGCATCATGGCAACCGCCCTATCCACTCATCGGCCTGGCGCCAAAGTGGCGACGACACGTATTTCTGGAGGACTGTCGGTGCCTTTAACCAGCCAAGTGGGCCGGTTCAGATGCTGCCGACTGGCATTCCCCAGGCCTTCCCCAAGATCCAGACCAAATTCGGCTACGAGTCAAGCTCGGCGCGCAAGACCCGCGAGCAGCGTCAGAATGCAGTCAAGGAGTCGTTTCTCAGAGGATGGAAGTCCTACAAGGAGCGCGCTTGGATGTCCGACGAACTCATGCCCGTCTCAGGCGGCAGTCGCAACACTTTTGGCGGCTGGGCCGCTACTCTCGTTGACGCGCTCGACACCCTCTGGATTATGGATTTGCAGACCGACTTCGCCCAGGCCGTGAATGCGATTGATGCGATTGACTTCACTAAAACCGACATGACTGAGATCAACGTCTTCGAAACCAACATCCGCTACCTGGGTGCTTTCCTCGCCGCCTTTGATCTCAGCGGCGACACCCGCCTGTTGCACAAGGCTGCCGAGGTGGGCGAAATGCTCTACAAAGCCTTCGACACGCCCAACCGCATGCCCGTCACCCGCTGGGATATCCACGGGGCCGCCAACCACGCAGAGCAGAATGCGAGCTCCGGCGTGCTCCTGGCCGAGATTGGCAGCTTGTCCATGGAGTTCACTCGCCTGTCCCAGCTGACCGGAAACCCGAAGTGGTTTGACGCCATCCAGCGCATCACAGATGCCATGGCGGAGCAACAGGATTCTTCCGAGTTGCCGGGCATGTGGCCGCTCGTTGTAGATGCTAAGCAGATGATTTTCAACCATGGTTCGACTTTTACTCTCGGGGCCATGGCCGATTCAGCCTATGAGTATCTGCCAAAGATGGCGGCCCTGCTCGGCGGCCAGCTGCCCGTCTACCAGACCATGTACGAGAAGGCAATGGACGTGGCGATGAAACACACCCTGTTCCGCCCGATGACGCCCACGAATGAGGACATTCTCATCTCTGGACAGGTGCACACGGAAATGAGAGATGGGAACACGGCCGTCACGCTCGAACCTCAGGGACAGCATCTCGTGTGCTTCCTGGGCGGCACGCTGGCAATAGGTGGAAAGCTGTTCGCTCGTCCTGGCGATGTCACCATCGCGAACAAGCTCACCGACGGTTGCATTTACACCTACAAGGCGTTCCCGCATGGAATAATGCCCGAGACCTTTTACATGACCCCCTGCGAATCCCGGGAGCAGTGCCAATGGGACGACAACCGCTGGAAGCAACAGGTCCTCGAACGCGTCAACGGCGAAGAGGGCAAGACGGCGCAGGCTGACTCCATCATTGCAGAGAAACACCTCCCCAAGGGCTTCACTGAAGTCCCGGATCGGCGGTACATCCTGCGGCCCGAGGCCATTGAGAGTGTCTTCATTCTCTACCGCGTGACAGGTCGTAAAGATCTCCTTGCGTCAGCATGGGAAATGTTCCAGGCCATTGAGGAGACCACCAAGACTGAACTGGCCAACACGGCCGTGTGGGATGTCACTGTTGAGGGAGAGACTGCCCGTCAGGTGGACTCGATGGAGTCGTTCTGGATGGGCGAGACGCTCAAGTACTTTTATCTCATCTTCAGTGAGCCAAACTTGGTTAGCTTGGACGAGTATGTCTTTAACACTGAGGCACATCCTTTGCGGCGCATGCTCTAGGCAGGGAATATCAGGTATAACAGGAATATGTCGGTTTAAATCCAGGATGGGCATTGCTTTTTGTACAAACTTTCTCTCTACATACACATTAATACCCCAACAAGTTGAGAATGATGATTTATGAGCCATCGGTTCTTAAGTGACGTATTCAAGAAGTCTGTCTTTGAAATTGACTTGTGGAATTCTTAACCACGCGAGATGTGGAGGAAGTATGAATCTATGGGTGTTGTTACTCTGTGGTTCGGTGACAGTTCTAGTTCGCTCTCGGGTTGGATAGTAACGTCTTTACTGACGAGCTCTGTTCGTACGTATGTCTAATACTGTTCTTGCCACTAACACAGCTGTATCGTGGTTTTATTCAACTGTGCCTCGCTCTGAGTTCTCTCTCGCGAACCCATATTATGTCATATTCTGTAAGAATTCCATACCGGGCTTAAGATTGTGAACATAAGTTGGTGTGCCCTAATGATAGTACAGGATCATAGTTTTCAAAATACTGCATCAATGATCTCGCTATCACTGACAAAGTGTTCTGGGTTCTCTCAGAGACTTTGGACTAGACATCTCTGGCTCATCGCCAAGGAATCCGTCTTTCTTTCTTCCTTACAACTCTCGCATCTCCGCATCTCGCCAGAAACCTCCACAAACTCCCCAAACCTACTAATCAACTTACGAAATCTACCATCGCCAGAATCATCAACCAAGATGCCTTCCACTTCTGGCAACGGTTGGGGCTGCGCCAACCCTCGTTGCGCTGGGAAGCCTCTGAGCCCTCTCGTTTCCATTGCGTGCCTGTCCTGCGGCTGCAGAGCCGGTACTGATTTCCAGAATTTCACCGCTGAGCAGGCCTCCAAGACGGCCGACGGCAAGGACAAGTACCCCAAGAAGTAAGGTGAGACACGTGGAATTATAACCTGTTGATAAGGAAGACGGATTTTTCCGAGAGAAAGTGATCGTCCGGAGACGATCTTGTTACTTTCTTCGCCCAATGAATAGGAAAGGGAGTTCCCATAGTCCTCCCTTCTTTGTAATCCGTTTTCACTAGCCGATCCGGAAGTGAATTTTTGGGGGATTATTTACTTCTTTGCTAATCCCTTCCCTTAGTGACCCGGAAGTGTGGCTTCTTTAAGATCTTCCATCCCGAAATATGGAAGGGACGGTCCGGTACCGTCTCTTGGGGATAGTGCAAGAAGTATTGACATGAAATACTCTCATCGTGCATCTACCCTGTGGGCTAGACTTGGAATCTATAACTGATCCAAGTGATTGAGACTCTACCCTGGGCAAACTTGACATTTATGTACTAATTTAGAAAGCCTGGGAACTATAGAACAGTCCATGAACATCCGACTTGATATGTTAATCTTAATTCTTCGAGTTTGGTCTTGTACACACTTCCATGAACAGCACATGCCACTCCAATTCTGTAAAGTAGCAAGGACTACGTGTTTTCGCGACTTAAGATGAAGTTTCTCGAACAGGGACTAACTACGATAAACTTTATACTCTTTGTAGATCGCGGATTCTATTAAAAACTCTGGGTTTATATTTCCAGCCTCGACGTCTTCAACTATGAGAAAACGGTGCTCATGTGTTAGAATTGCCTAGAGATCGTGCCTTTCTTGTATCCTAGCACTCGCACGACATCGTGGGGGATTGATTGAAAACCCGTCAAGAGGAGCTCCAAGCACAATGATAGATTTCAAGACCGCTAGTATGCCCAATAACTTTCCCACCTTGAACACTAATTGTGCGATAGTCTAAGAAATGACGGATACGGTAGTTATCAGAACGATACCAGTAATGCGCTGTCGTCGATAGCCAGTTGACCCCTTCGGTGATGGGGAAACCATAATCAATAGGTGGATTGAAGACACTGGGCACGAGGCTTTCTCCGAGGTCTTGCTGCGGAGGTTCTGAGGGAGAAATCTACCGCCAATGATCCCAGGTAGTCCCCAGGGCTCAGAAATACATGCATGAAGAGATGAGATAGGACGGGAACGTTTACAACAGCAGGCGAACAACCGTTCAAGGAATGAATTGATCCCACTGCTCCTGAGTTCCTGAAGCGTAGCGGGTAACCTGATAAATACGTTCTCTTCGCTGGCCATGCAGCAACCCTGATGGCCTGATCCGACAGTTATAGTGGCCTGTCTTTACCGGCGTATTGTCGTCGACTTGAATCGCCACGATCGAGCGTTTGCTATCTTGGAAGATTTTCAGTAAAAAATACATGCCTCGACTTCAGTGGTGGTTCGTATAATAAGCCCATGGGGCTCGCGCGAGAGTCTGTGTGAGTTGAGCTCTGCTAGAGATATTGACAAGGCGGCTAGGTGGCCTCGAGAACCGTGTCCCTAAGGCGTCCGATAGGCGTAGCGAGGCTGGTTAAAGACATTATCGGCATCAACTTTTGCGTTAACATTATTGGTAGTATTATTGGCGAGCCTGCCATCAATCTTTACGGGAACTCAAAGTTGAAGGCCTGCTCATTCGGCGAGAGCATGCTTACGACCGGCGATGAAAAAGCTAACGATGGTATCATGTTGGGGAGAGGAAGCCCGTACCCTAGAGCCATTAAGCGGCTTGTTGGAATGCTAAGATGTGCCTAGAACTTATGAACGGCATAGATCATGGGAACTAGACTACGATATACAATTCATTGCTACTATGACTGTCCAGGTTTTGTTTGCTTGGTGCCGGGAGTGATGACTGGAAACCTTCTTGCCTCTGAACCTATCTGTTGGGAAGCTTCACTTTCACCCTACTGGTCAAGAGAGTATCGAGTTATGTTAGCAATCACTGTACGAGGGTTTGTCACGATTCGATCACGGAAGGAAGCCTACAATTCCAGAAGCTGCCCAGTTTTTGTCTCCAGACACATCAGCTCGTGAGGTTGTGCCTCTCTCAGGCTCCGCCAACAAAGTGTCCTGTTTTGTCGTCGACATGGTCAGCTTGGGTTCAAGTAGCCTGTGGAATTGTAACGGAGACGGATGTGCGGTTGCGCGAGCGAGAACATTGCTTCTGCAAGTTGACTGTGGAACTGAGCCTGATAGGTCCTTGATGCTATGGCAATGGCGGCTCGTTGCCAATATCGGGAAACGCTGTGGAATTCACATAATGGCATCGGCAAACTACGGCAGGGTCAATTAACCGAGATGTGGTAAGTGGAAATGATGAAGAAATCGACGGTGAATAGTCTGATTCGTCCTGGATTCGAGGCTGAGCTGAGCGATCAATCAAGAACGAGGAACTTGTTGCGCATCTCGCCCAATCAATTCCGTGTTTCCGATCAGGCTGTGGCGGACTGCGGCTGACTGTGGATGAGGAGCTGTCACATGGGCGGAACAAAGCTTGCACCTGGAGTTGTAGTAGAAGCAAACGAATTTGGACGTGGACTAGCACTGCGACCAAGAAAATACATTAAAACATAACCACCTTTGGAGGGAAGCGACTTGAGACACAACGTGATTAGCATAGCCCGTTTATCCCGAGCGGTAAGTGACATACAAGCCACCCAACGTGGCCATGTACGCCGCAGTGGTTTAGGCATCCAGTCGAGTAGTCATCTAAGTCACACAGTATCAAGCATTGCCACAATTCCCTTGCCTGCCTATCATCGATGCACTCTTTGGGAACTGGAAAAAGGCCCGTGACGTAGAACAGAGCACGCTGATGCAGGATTTATCACCATCGCCCACAATCCGGGGACTAAGCTAGGCGATACCCCGGCCCCATGTCCGCATTATTGCCCACCGGACAGTACCAAGAGTGGCGGGTCGCAAGGCGAGGGGAGTGAATAAAAGGAACCGGAACGTACCAAAACGCCCTCGGTACCAATATTCATGGTGGTGACGAGATAGGTATGCGTGCAAGCTAGGCCAATGACGATGGCATTTGGGAAATCCGGGGTGTAGATTAGCCGGGCCTTTGAGTTTCAATATTGACAGTATTGATACGTGGAGAGGGAGTTGACGTGGCCAAGGGGCGTCCAGAAGTCACCTCACGTTGTGGACTATCGGCCGGGTAAACTCGCTCGGATGCCTGGAGTCCGGTACTTTGATAGCATCGGGTGTAGATACAGTACCTTCAGCTCTCCACGAGACTGGGGGCGGTGGTTGCTCCATGACTTACTCCACTGCTCCGTGACTCGATATGTGTTGCCATACTTGGCGCCAGCTAGACACTAATCGGGGGGTTAGATACCCGGACTTTGAGGGAATGGAATCCAACTCAGATGTGAGCAGTCTCGGTGAGCCTCTCATTCTATGGCATCAATCTTCATGGAGACGAGGGTCGAAGCCCGGTCGAAGCACCGTCGAAGCAAGGCCGAAGAAGCAAGTCCCTAGGGTCACTCGAGGTGTGGGGGCGACGGGGGTCCTTCGGCGGGCCCGTCTCTCCACCACCCGTCCCCCATCCATTGATATCCCTGTCATCTGGACTGTTAGCTCGGGACTTGGTCAGCATTTGAAGGAGGACAGGACCTGTTAAGGCCAAGTATGGCACCAGACGCCGCGACCACCTAAAGTGGACATTGCGATCTCGGCTCACTGAAGGTTACTTGTAGTAGCTCGGGGTTGTTTGAAGCAGTCCGTCCCACCACGTGCTCACCCTAAATGCATGGCGTTCATGGAACGGAATAAGGGATCGTGGAGGCGCCGTCCCCCCGATCTGCTTCCTTTGTACAAAGTAAATGTGGTCCGATAGCTTGGCAGCTTGGAAGGGCGGAGGATAGAATGGTGAGACAACAATGCCACGGAGACCCGAGTTGACAGCTCTGCAGGCGGTTTCAGGTGGTGATGGCCAGCTGTGGCACAAATGGAGCCGCGCCCTGAGAAGACTTCTGGGCATGTCGGGGAAGTCTCGGGTGTGATAATGTTGGCAGCGGAATTTTAGACGCCGCTTCTGGCGCCTCGGAGGAAAAAGGGTGGCACCCTGCAGGCTTTGGCACTGTGTGTAGACAACGTCTGCGGGATGGCTTGCGTAACGGGTTGCTGAAGATAAATGCTGCAGCAGGCGCTATGTGATAGCCACGATCCATCCACAAAATGTCCAAAGGGGAAAGATGCCAAAGATGGACGGTTCACGATTTCCGGGATTGATCTGTTCCGCAGACTGGCATCATAGCTGAGGGTCAACCTGACAGGCTTAGGATCCCCGGTAGTAGGGGATGGCCGAGCATCGAACCATCCTGGCCCAAACCGGCAACGTTTGATGACCAGACGCTGAGGGTGTGACGTTGAGGTGTGATGGCTGGGAAGTCACTGTCCCGAGTTTCTTACAAGTACGAAGTACTTGGCGCGGGAGTAAGACTGGAGCCGGGAGAGCAAAGGATGACGACGATAATGCCGATTCCAGCTGGGGGCATCCCGTGGATGAGATTCGGCCTTCCTGCTGGTAAGATCCATATTGCAACGACAGCCTTGCCAGACTCGTATGAGCCGCGACGGCCAGTCGATCTTGCTTCTACAGAAGCAGAGACCGAGATAAGATGGAGACGTCTTTTTTCGGTGTAATATACCACTCCGAAGGGAATCCATCGCCTTGGGTGCCAGTTGTTGCACGCCACTGTCGTGTGGGGGAGATAGGACGGTCCTAGCTGCAGGGAGTGGCCCCCAGCACGGATGGACTGGAGGATGAAGTTAGGTGCATATCCGATGATGGGTAGACAGAACCCTTGCTTGGACACGTCTTATCCCATCGTATTGCATGGAGAGCCTCCATCACGAACGTGTTAATGTTAAATGTAATCATCTATGAGAACGCCCCAGGGTCGTATCGCGATGCGACTGGACAATTTAGAGGAGCCTCACGAGCCCAGAGCTAGTAGGCATAGGGACTGGTCGGTATGGCCATTGTGTTCGTGGCTGTAGGATAGCCACGGACGAGCTGGACCCGGAGCTGGCACTGTCATGAGCTGAGGGACTGCGACTGGCCAGCGAGCCAGGATAATCTCCAACATGGTGATGGAGGCTGCAGAGATCAGCAGCATGGCGATGAGACATGAGAGCTCGGCATCGAGCAAGGCGGCTACCTGAGAGGATTCGGGATTCGAGAAAAGAGACGAGACGAGACGAGACGAGACCTGCGGGACGGGATCCGACGAAGAGAATCAGCCTAGCCCACATCACGGAGCACCCTAGTAGACGCACAATCAAACCCGCAGTGCCGGGAAAAAGGGGGCCGCTAGGAAGCGACAACAGCGAATGCTGAAATTTGGGACCCCACAGCATCAAGATGAGTTGGAGTTTGGTAACAACGGGCGATGTTGTAGTGAACGATGAGGAGTGAGAGAGGGAGAGACGGTAATGAGAAAAGAAAGAGTGGGACATGACGTCCGAGTGCATCTAGACAGTGTTAACGGCCAACTTGAATCCCAAGTTGACGCCGTCGAAGTACCTAGAGACAAACCTGACCGCCGGACGTGTTTTTTTCTTTTTCTTTCGCAGTGGCGATCATGTGCTCTTGCGGATTCCATCGCTTGTGGATGCCTTCGAGTCAATGCGGTTGCTTGATTTCGTGGTTGGTTGGACTTCCAAACAAGGCGTCATAGAACGAAGATCGAAGCCCGAGATGTTTTGTCGTTGGGTTTGCCGGTGGCAAGACAATCAGGCTGGATGGAACGGTTTGGCGGGGGGCCGTGCTTGTCGTGCCAGGGCGTTCGGGGTCCTGGGCAGCCTGGAAGGCTTTGGCGGGTGCATCTGGGCGTTGTGGCCACTGGGGCCAAGCGCTGAGCAGGCGGAGATCCGGGCATCCAGGGTGCACTCTAGGGGCAGTCAAGGGGCTCACAGGGCATCTCACAGGCGTTGCAGGCCTCTAGGGCGCTAACGGATGGCGCGAGCTGGGACGGGACGACGGGCTTCGGCCGAAGCGACCCCAGGACTCCCCATCTGGGGCGAGTCGGTGACATGCGAGTCTCGGATTGGGCTGGATTCGATTGGACATGGAGGCGTGGGCCAGGCCCAGAGTTGGCCTAGGAGGGGAATGGCAGAAGCCCCGATGCGGCGATGGATTGGCGCAGCCGTGCATGTCTCTGCCAGCCGTTGGCAACGTCGTGGTGGTTTGTGTCCTGCTCACGATGTTGCTGTGCTGCATGTCGGGCGCCGTTGCTCGCTGGTTTGCAGCTGAAAAAAACAGCATGCGTCTCGTGTCAGTGTCCATGTATTCGCACAGTGTTCCCAGGCCCGAGCTGCACTGGCAACCCACCCGTCCGCTGGCAACCCTGGCCCAGTGCCCAAGAAAGACGCGACACCCCCCACATATCGTCATTTCAGTGTCCGTCATTAGCCCGGTTATCAAATCAAATGGGGCGCCTGTGCTCGACGGACATCGAGCAGACCAGGGTCCTGAGGGGGTCAGAACAAATTGTCGTTTGTTCGGTGGAATTCGATGCGCGACTTGTACCTGTACAGCCTTGACGATGTGATGGGACTGAGAGACAGGTGCGGTGCACGCAGATGAGACACAGTTGACTCTTGCTAGGGCATCTCCGGGAGGGAAAGGTGCCCCCAGTGCCATCGTGCCTGCCTATCCCCCAGGTCTCATCTCATCTCATCTCTCCGTCGTATACCTTACATAAGGCAGTAGCAATAACTCGTACAGAGTGCCTACCGCACCACCTGAGGGACGAGGGGGCCCGACTACGGGAGTCAGGCAATGTGGTAGGCCAGTACTTTGTTGTACGGCGGCGTTGCTTGCCTTGTGAGGAAGAAGGTACCGTTGGGTCGGGTACCTCCCTCGACCCGGCCCGGGCGAGGTGTCCCCCCAATCTGGGTCCCATCTGGGTCAATCTACAGCGATTCACACCCACTAAAGAATGCGTTGCACCCGCCTAAGAAACGGCTTCCGGGGCGAGGTACCGACCTGCCTAGAACAGACAGAGTACATCAGCCCAGGTACCTTACCTCGCTCACTGGGCGGGCTGTCCATCGCACCGCACCGAACCGCGCCTGCCACTGCCACCTGTACTCGACGACCAAGTTGCCGGCTGGCGCCCACCTGCACTTGAAAGTGGTCCCGTCCCCACGACGTGACTTCCACTTTGATTGATGGATTGACTGGCCTGCTCCTTCTCCCTCTCTCCTTTCCCACCTGGAATTTTTTCCCCCCATCACACCTATTCAACCTTCCTCAACTTCGCCTCTCTCTCTCTTTTCTTTCCCTCTCCTCCGTCCTCCCCCCTCCGTCTCCCTCTCTCCCCAGACCTCCTGTCTGTCAGAAAGCGGCCCGCGCATCGACTGCAACTCCCGGTTCGTGGTTGATTTTTGTGATCCCGCGCTCTAAGCCCGCCTTCTCCGCAATCCCGAGACCCTCGCGTGTGCCATTTCCCGACTCGCGCGGCCCGTGGCATATCCCTTGCGCTCTACCGGAACGACACAGCGGTCGACGACGAAGCACTCCTCCAACCAGGGTGAGTCGATACTGTGGTGCAGGCGTGCAAGGAACCGAGCGATTAGTCAACGTGTTGCGACGGCGGCTCGGAGGGTTTTTGGTGGTTCTCGATGGACCCTGTCTCAGATGGTCGACGCATCGCATCTTGATGTCGGCCCTAGGCGGCAATTTTCCACCATCTCCCTCGAACCCCCTCGTCGCATCACGCTGCTTCCCGACTGTCGCATCCTGTCGCCGCCCGACTCGTCGCGTTTCCTCAAGCTAATCCGACCCCGTGCTTGATAGATTTCCTTCGACGCCAGATTTCAGTAATTTCAAAAGCCGGCTACGTGCTGCATCCTCCCGATTTCCTCCACTCGGCATCGGAATCCCACAAGACAACATGTCCTACTACGACAACCCCCAAGCCCAGTGGTCGGCTTCGTCCACCCCGAGCAACAACCAAAGCAACAACACCAGCAACAACTGGGACCATCAACATCAGAGCGGCTCGACCACTCCTGTCCGTGCTGGTACGCTTTGCCCTAAATAACTGACCCCGGCCGAGATTCCTCAACTAATTCAGTATCCTCAACAGGTGCCAGCGGCCCTCAGCCTCAGGATGACTACGCCTTTTCCTATCAGTTCGATGGTATGTGCTCAAATCTATCACCTGCGACTATTAAAACCCTATCCCGCCGTTTGCCAGACTGGAACGATGCTCCCATCGACTCGATAGAGCGGGCTGTGGCGAAGATGGCTACAGGTGACACCATTTGGAGGCGCAATAAATGCTGACGAATAATTGCTCTACAGAGGTTGATCGAGCTTACGAGAACTTGCAAAAATCAGGCAAGGGCTATGGAATGGGTGGCCGACGTAAGTTCTATGGTTCATTCCCAACGGTCCTGCCAGGATTCCCCCCAGGTCTCGGTGAGTAGACTGGGACTGGCGGGCGTTATGAGCGCCACGATTAACCCTCAACTTTTTCGTAGACGGACGAACACCTCACGGCTCTGGTCCCCGCTCCCATTCGGTGAACAACTTTGACGATGCCCGCGGTCCTCAGGGTCCCAACCTTCAGAACTTCTACGCCAACCAACGCCACCAGCCCTCGCGAGGCTCCAACGAGGCGGAGCAGGTCATGCAGGCGAAGAGAAGGATGGCAGCTCAGCGGGAGCGAGAGCTTCGAAACCTGCACACGGAGCAGCAATATCAGCGAAGTAGGCCTCCCTCTACTGTATAGCACTTCCTACTATCGCAAAAAAGATCACAAATAGAAAATTCTGGCCATGGGCGGCTGAAGAAGTCGATGGACGCCGCTCATGTTTTTTTTTCCTTTTCAAACCGTTTCTTTTGAACAGCACAACTGTAATCCATTCTGTTTCCGTTGAACTTGGGCTAACAGATTTTCTACGTAGCTGTCCTCACTGAGATTTCCATCGGAAACAAGCACATGTCTGAGGAGGAGACCCGGGAGCTGATTGCCCGGCAGCGAAGCGCTCTCTACGGTGAAGGTCCGTTCGCCGAGAAGTCCGGCTACGTCGATGAGACCGGCGCTGTTCGCCCTGGTGCTCCCGTCACCAGTGGCCCCTCCAGCATCCGCGGTCACTCCCCTATGACCTTCGATAACATCGGTCGTGCACCTCCCGCCGAGGCTGGTACTCCCGGCTCTGCCAGCGAAGGCAATGCACCTCCTGCTGAGCCTACCTCTCGTCCCCAGAGCACGACTAGCCCTCAGGCCTCGGGCCCGACCAACAAGGTCTTCGACAACGCTGTTGGACATCAGAGCCGTACCAGCACGTCCAGCCCAACTGGCGGATCTCCTCCCCGGGATCTCGCCCCTGGGTCGAAGCCCGGCCAATCCGGCAATACTGTTGCCCCTATTGGAACCCGTCCTTCAGGCACTCCCGCGACGACCTCCTCCTCAAAGCGCTCAACCACCCCTCTTGCCTCCCCCGGTGGTTGGGGCCGCGGCAACGGCGTTTGGGGCCAGTCTTCTGGCCTCGGTGCCCCCGCCAGCGTTTGGGGTTAAGGAGCTTGAACGCTCCAAGCCTGGGTGGAACACTGGGGCCGAGGTGTCGTGAATTGCATGGGAACGGGCGCTGGAGGATGGGATCCATTAGTGTTTACACGGTTAATTGGTCTGGTTTGGGCGGAAACTAGGTGTTGGCGCTCTTCGCTCTTCCTCCTTACTACGGGCAAGACTGAATGGCATTTCTGGGCGAAGGAAGGAAGAAAGCATGCTATATCACTGCGCGGATCCGGTTGGAGCTGGCAGGTCTGATTCGGGGAAATGGAATGGAAGGACAGGCATCCGCAAAGGAGTTGAAATTTTGTTTTTGGTTTGGCTGCTGGTTTGGAATGGTTGATGAGGAGTTGCATCACATCGCGGCGTCCTCACAGTTAGGGGGTGTCGATTTCTGCATGCGTCAGCAACGGAACGGAGAATTCAGAGGATTGCGGTCTTGTTTAGGGATGGGACGGACGCTTTTGGGTTAACTTGGGACGAAAATTTGGGAGGCATGGTGCCAACGGCGCTCGTCATCTTCATGGGATCGGCAACGTCCCACTGGCCAACAACGAATACCCTGAACGGAGTGAACACGGAGGCGTTTAACACTGCTTCCGAAAGGCAAATCTGCGAATCAACTGCAACATTATGCAAGCATACACGGAGCGGCGTGTTCGGAGTCTTCCGCAACGGTGTTTGTTTTGATGGCACGCGTGAAGGGGGCACGTCATGAGAAGGGATATACGGACGATTGGTCAATCCTCGACTCTAACAAAAGAAAACACGACATGCGTTTATATACGGCGAAAACGAAATAACAACCAAAAAAAGGCATCAATCGGGGTTTGGGGGTGGATTTTCGGGGGGTTCTTTCCATATGCGTTAAATTTCCTTCTTGTCTTTCGTTGATATAGTTTGGGATGGGTTTGGAACAGGCTCGGTTTAAGGGGTTGGTTTCTATATGGATTGCTCGGCCAGGGAAAGGTGTCTTGCGCTTTCAGATGGTCATTGAGGGGGCTAGGCATTCGTGGGTAGCACATGGCGAGGGTAATCTTGCGAGGATGATTTTCAGGCAGGTCATCGGGAGGGAGGTTGCGGGATAGGCGCCATAATCTGAGCTTGTTGCGAAACGTCGGTGTGCAGTGATTGATGTTAGAGGAGTATTGTTCTCAGGCGTTGACTGCATCCACTTTGTCTGACTGAATTCTGCGTCATGTCATTCATTAATGATGCTCGGTCTGCATTGTTTGTATCTAGCTAGCAATCTTTTCTTGACGTCATCGACGCTGTCCCAAACCGTATTCGCAGCGGCCTGAACTTTGGGACTGCCACATGCAAAATGAGTGGTAGACGGTTGTTTTACACATGAGACTACAATAAGAGATGCAGACTGCAGGTAGCCCGACCGCATTCGATATCCCTGTCCTAACCGAACCTTAAATGTCACAAAAAAGCCAGTGACACAATGACGCGGATAGGCGCGGTCTCGGATCTCTCCGTTTCGCGAAAGCAGGTGACTTTAGAGGCAGAAGCTTGCGCAACGCCGCTGTTCGGGACTCCCCCAGCCCAAACGACGCGGCCGGGAAGAAGGCCGCTCCGTGCGTGGGGTTTGATGTGGAGTTGATGACGGTGCCCCACGATGAGGGGGAGGGAGTCCTCGATGATAAAGGAGCAGGATTCGCGCGGTTCTTTTCGTATCTCACTCTGCGAATCATTGAATAGAGGCATATTTACATATTCATGAAAAGATGGCCCAGTTTGATGAGCAGAAGGCTTATGTCGAGCAGGAAGACGTTGTTTTCTTCGACGATGGCCGTGAGATTGAGCTGCTTCACTTTGTCTACAGCCAGCCCAACATTGATGAGCTTCGCGGATCGCCTGAGAAGATCCTTGCCGTGATTGATAAGTATGCGCGGACGAAAAAGTATCTCATGAATGTGGGCGAGGACAAGGGCAAGATTGTGACGGACTTGATCAACGAGGTCAAGCCCCAAACCATGGTGAGCACGATTATTCGCAGGGACAAGACCAAGTGAATTAGCGCTGACGATGGAAATAGGTTGAACTGGGGGGCTATGTTGGATACTCAACCATCCTCTTCGGCGCCGCCGTGCGCCAAGTCGGCGGCTCGCGATACTGGAGTCTGGAGCGAAACCCCGAGTTCGCCGCCGTCATCTCGTCGCTCATCGACCTTGCGGGCCTCAGCGACATCGTCAAGGTCATCGTCGGGCCCAGCGACGCTTCCCTGCGGCGCCTGCACAAGCAGGGCGCCTTGTCTAGCATCGACCTGATGTTCCTGGACCACTACAAGCCAGCCTACCTGTACGACCTGAAGCTGTGCGAGCAGCTGCACCTCGTCAGCCCCGGCAGCGTCCTCGCGGCCGACAACGTCATCAAGCCGGGCAACCCGCCGTACCTGGCCTACGTGCGCAGCAGCGTGGCCGAGAAGCGAGCGGCGCTGGGGGCGAGCGAGGGTGACGCCGTGGCCGAGGGCTTTTCGGAGAGGACGGCGAAGCAGTACGAGAAGCGGGAGGGCCAGGAGCACTTGAATGCTGAGGTTCTGGGAGATCCCGGGTTGGTGTATCAGAGCGTGTTGGTGAATAGCTGGGAGCCGACGGGTGTTCCGGTAAGTCCAGGACTTGTCCTATGCTTCGTCGTTTGGTTCAAGGAGCTGGCTAACATGAGACGTAGGATGGTGTCGAGATTACGAGATGTGTTGGAAAGGAGGAGTGGGTTGAGAAGGTGTAATGTCAAGAGTAGTAATATTTGCGTAAATATCATCGTGAATAGACATGAGGCACAAGCTAGCTTTCTGAACTATAACTTCTTTAAGACGCCTTCCAGGACCACATATATGCAATACCTCTTCAGCTGCAACTTTAGGAAATCCTACCCTCTACAGTGACGATATGATTGGGTTCCTACATTAAAGTTCACTAGGATCAAGGTTACTCGCGAAGGGAGCCTCTGTGGCTTCAGAAAGTTAGTGGCGAAAAATAACTACTTGCTATAAATAGGGAGGTGTCATTGTGAAGTCTGTGACAAACTGTGGTTTTGGGAGAGCTCCCGGAAGATGATCAAAATATTGACGTATCCCAATTATGGTGGACCAGGTATTAGAAGAACAGCATCTGCTGACAGGCTGTAACCTCGTTTCTGGGCGAGCTAATAGATTCTTGCACAACGTGATTCAAAAGGGATTCGATTAACAATAGAAGTTGGACTCTTGGCAAGGTCATTCCCCCTGTCACGAAAGCAAGGCTTCAAATAGCAGAAGCTGAAGAGAGCAGCCCCTAAGTGAGTGAGAAACAATAACACTCCTTACTTCGGGAGTTATACGGGGTACCATTCAGATTGGTTCATCCCCTACTAATCATTTATTTTATCTATCAACTTAGATTTAGTACAATACTCTTCATTGTTAGAGTGACAGATCCCAGAGCTGTGTCCGTTCTCACCTCCCTCGTGGTATAGGAGTCTCAAATGTACCAAGAAGTACTGAGTTCATATCCGATACTGAGTTGATCAGCTGTTATTCTAACAGCAACTCACACTCATACATCTTTACACGAACAACATTCTGCGACATTTCAGCAATGATGTAAACCGATATTGACGAAACTAAGCATCTGTATATCCAACTAACCCCCAAGACACATCTGCGCCAAACTCCCAGCCTCATGCGTTTATCCTCACCTCATATCATGCATTGTCTCAATACCATCATCTATCCATCCTAGGCCATCAATATTCTCGCCCCATAGTCCAAGTCCATGACATCATCTGCCCGAAGCGCTTTGCCACCCCAGATGACCGTCCCCGTGCCATCAACTGCAAACGCACCGGCTTCCTGCCACTTGTTGCCCATGACAGTCATTGGACCGTCGTCTCCATCCTCGCCCCCAGGCCCGCTAGCAGTTGGGCTTGGTTTCTCCTTGATGCCGTTGCGCTGAATGGCGCCTGCAACTTTATCGCCGAGCCAGCCCGTCTCCTTCCACCCCTGCACTTGGGTGGTCGGGTTGAAGAGGTACCACATGTTGCCCAGGCCGAGGCCCCAAGCAGCATAGAGGGCGCGATCCTCGTCAATGACAACGCGGACGCTCCAGGCGCCTCCGAGCATGTCGACCCACTTCTTGGTGGCCTGGTCAGAGGAGTGGGACACGGCAATGCACGTCAGAGCATCACCGTGGCGGTTAGCGAGGGTGCGAAGATTGAGAAACGTCTTCTGGGCAACTGAGGATTGTTTGTTAGTTGAGATGATAGACGCAGATTTGACTCACGTTCAGCCTCAAAAGGAAGGAACCGTGGGAACGTGGAGATGGGATGAGATGACATACACGCACAGCCAACACACCGCAGGAAGACGAGCAGAACCCGGCGGCCGCCACCGACAACGAGCTTCTTCTCGATGTCCTGCGGCGCCTTGTCGCCAATGCCGGGGACGCGGGCAACGTGGACTGGAGGCGGCGGCGGGTTGAGCCACGGCTGGACGCTCAAGGGCAGCGACTTGACCGACATCCAGCCGCTCCAGCCGGCATTGTCGTCGTCGTTGTCGAGCTGGCTCGGCGGCTTCTTCCTGAGTTTGTTCGGCGGCGGGCGGGCCGGGCCGGAGAAGTCCAGCATGTCGCTGGACAGGCCGGCCTTCTTGAGGGCCAGCTTGGTGGTCAAGCTGGAGAACATGTTGGACAGGGATCGCGACGGGAGCGTCACGAGACTGGGGCGATATCTTTGACAGCCATGGAAACAGAGGATAAGAAGAGGTGTCGAATTGAGCAACGCAACGTGCGTGTGTGCGTGCGTGTTCGCGTGCGTGCTTGCTCGATGCGGCTCGGGCCGGAGATGAGATGGTCCTGTAAAAGGGGGTTGGTCGATGGGGTTGAGATGAATTGAGGCTCCATCCACTGCATCCAGACGAGTTGTGGACAATCTGGAGGTTGAGGCTGACTGCAGCTGAAACTCCAGGGGGTGTCTGCCTCGTGTGTCCCCCGTAGCCTCTTCGTCCGGCATCCTCAGGTCCAGTTGGGGGCCGCTGCACCGCGCTACAGGGGCCAAGCGAGGAGCCGCCCTACTGTCCACAGGGCTTGACGGGGTCCTGGAGTACGGGGGGCCACAGGGGCTTACAGGGGCCCTCTCGTGGGAGCCCTGCACAGCGGCCTCTGGGACGACTGGGCTCCCCTGAGCTACCGCAGAACCGAGGCCATCGGAGTCGCCTCATGGCGATGCGACGAGCGCACGACACTTCCAGCTTCACAAGACGTAGCGGACGATTGGTCTCAGCAATGACCGGACACGTAGATGAAACCCCATAGTTAACTTCTAGAAGCCCCACGTGTCGATTGGCTTCCGCCTTCCCGGCAAATTGTTCAATTCGAAAATATCTCTTTGCTAGGATCTCGGTTTCGGTTTCTTTCTTTTCTACGTCATTAATTGCTGCAAGTCGTCGGCATGGGGGGTCTGCTGCCCACATCACCCAAAATACATAGAGCACGTCATTGCCCAAAGCCATGTCTTGTATGCCATGCTAGTATCGCATATCGAGGATTGCAAACAAGAGCCAGAGAAATAACAAACCAAATGCACAGCATGGGACATTCATGGTCTCATTACTCGACCGGGCTTGCAGCCATCACACCAGTTGTGCATGGTATCATATTTCGACGCACTGCAGATACCTGCGTGGCGGAGGGGCACCCCCATACTGGGTGCCGGTGATTAAGGAGTGTGTTAGTTTGAAGGAGCTATCCGCTCTTTGAAGTTGAATCGGCTGCTCTCGACTCTTTCGCCTGAACCCGAGCTTGGTGCTGGGCGCTATTCAAGGTGTGGAACGAAGAAGATTAACCTGGATGTCTTACATTGGCTCAGCCCAGAGACTCGGCTATTTCTTCGGATAACTAGGTATTGGATTGGCCTATTAATCATTACCGGCCTCTGTTAAGCCGGTTGCAGCAGGCTTAATGGCGTTCAATATGACTGCCTGGCCTTCTTCCTCTGGTTCTCTCCCCCACCTATAACTGTCTCTCGGCTCGGACTTGTAAATAGGCAAGGAGAGCCACGTGGCTACTCTACATTCCTTAGTCTTCTGTTCTCATTATGAGACGAGAGCGCTTTTGCAACTATCTGAGCACGTGCACGAATCAGATTGGAGGAAGAACACGAAGAAACTAGTTTTGAGTTGGAGAACGCTCCCGTCCGTGCCGTAGACCCATCCTCCCTAGTCTCAACTTTACTCGGAAAGTATGGCAGCGGATTTGAGTGATGTCGTGCGGCAGTGGTACGTTAATAGGTGATAAGCTTTCCTGCTAGGGCAAGGATCCTTCACACCATGCCATCCCCGGAGGATTTGTGGAAGGGCGACTTCGCAGATTGACATTCCATAAATAGATGAAAATGTGACTGGAGTAGCTGCAGAAGACGAGGGGTTGTCATGTTGTGGCAGTGAGTATGTTTCACATTTTCTATGTTGCTCAATCCTCTTGTATCTCTTGTTTCTGGGCCTTTCTTCTGAACACGAGAGATGAAATCACGTTGAATCCTATTTGTGGGATAATCTCGTACATCCACCTCGCCTCATTCTCAGCCGTCACAAGGATATATCTACTAGGATAATAGTGAATAGTTTGAACCTTTGTCGGTACGGCTTCTAGAACGAATTTGGAATACCAACGTACGAAGATGTACGGGTAAGTCCGAGCCATAGAGTCATCGCACAATTGGTGGATATATTGTGGGGTCTCAGAGAGGTCGTCATCCATGCTCGCCTGGCGAACACTGATGTTTCGCGGTTTGCAAAGTAGTGTGCAAACATTTAAACAAAGAATATTGGGAAATCACATTGCGGATAGAAGGACTCTCGCAGAAACAAGGAGAGTGGGTCACGATCGGAATGGGCCTGTGCCGCATGAGAGAATCTCACTGACACATCTAACCTACCCCATATTACAATGGCATTCTCAGCTGTCGAAACATTGCTTGGTCGCTTGGCATATGATTAGGTAGGCGGGCAAGTTGGTAGTTCTCTCCGACGAGAGAAACGGATGTTGCCCATCGCGCAGGTCCCGTTGGATGACTTACGTTGACATAACTCTCTGGTTCCATGGGGGTTTTACTGGGCTAGAGCCTTACCTGCTGCAACCAGATGACATGAATATGAAATCCCGGGCCGAATGGTTGAAATAATACTGGTAGGTACGTAGTGGTAATGACGGCGAACACAATGCACAGCCATCACTACGGAGGGCTGTGCTTGTATCTAGAACAAATAAATGAGTCAGGTGGATTCACTGCCACAAGGTGAGTACATGTCTTAAGTCAGGGATCGACGGGTATCTGCCCGAAGGGAGGGAATCCAAGCGACTCCGAAGTGACGACATTAAGGGGATCGGCGAACTGTGTGCGTCACGGGACGGCATAAGAAAAGAGCCATAGGAATCGGAGGGAGACTGAATTGTGGGTTGGTTTGTCTTCGCTCAGGGACTTTGGCGAATATGGGTTTGAAGACTGAGACCTGTCACTTTGCGTGCTGCCACCAGGATCCCTCGTCAACCTTGTGTCCATACTGCCTATTTCTTCAGGGGCGGTTGGTGGCACAGATGGCGCAGTCCTGGTACGACATAGTTGAAAGATAGAATACCAATCATCAGCTTCCACGGTTTGTCTCTAGAGGCCCCGTGTACCACAATCAGCCAAAGGGCATGAGACAGCCTTTTGCTCTGCACATTGTAGCCGGCAGTTCAGCTGGCTATATGGGAGACTGGCGTCTTGGCAAGGTTGTACGTACATGCCGAGTGAGCCGCCACAAGACTCAGCTTAAGTAGAGCTTGAGCAGCTAAGTGGCGAGGGTCGGGGGCGGCGATGTGTTGTACGCTCCGGGAGGTTTGTGATACCTGTGATACCCTGGCCGCTGGGCGATCCTGCAGGGTCCTGGGATCATCAAGAGGGACAGTAAAGAATCAACGATGAGTGCAGGCTAGGGAGAGTGAGGTCCTTACTCAGCGGCCGTCATCTTGCTGAGGAATGTCACTGTGCTCTCGGTTTCGACCAGTTATCGTCCTAACGTGACGAGAGCAGTCCCCCACGGACAAAGGTAAGCTTAAAGAAGTGGCTTGCGGCGCGGCGATTGTTCGCACTGTGCGCTTCATCCATCCGTAATGATGCTCACATGGGACCAGAGAAAGGGGTGTCGGACTAGAGAACCTGTGTGGTTGTACCTGACCTCAGATGTGGCGCCTGAGGCTACGAGGCTGGAAAGCCAACCGCGGCGGTAAGCAGGAGCTGGGCAACGACCAGCGAGTTAGAATGGAGACAAAGGCTTTGGGCTAGAACTGTGGCTGCGCCTGAATGAAGAGCTGAGGGTACTGCCGCATATCCGTATTGCCTGAGCGGAGGAAGAGCATGCCCAGGCGTAATCTATCATCGAGTACGAACGGACACGGGTGCCATCCGGGCCAGGAATAGACACGATACGATACGACACGGAGGTGCGGCGCCCTGGCGGGTCAGGACAGGTTTAGGGGAGGTGAGCCATAAGCCCTGTAAGGGTGTTCTGACGTAGCAAAAAGTCCGGGGATCCACGGTTTCTCCCCATCCATCCCCCCGGAAAAATGGCAGCTTCAACGGAACAATTGGAAACAAGTCGGGAATGAGTTGGATGGTGTCAGAGCTATTGCCAGCTACGTACATGCAATGCTACCTTGGCTAGGCAATGTTATGCTACGAGCTCGTTCTCGTCCGCCGTGCGGCAAGGCACATACATACATGGTGGCCAGCCGACATCTCGCATCCTGCATCGGCTTTGCATCGACGTTGCAAGGGGCGTGCATGTCGAATTGTTGGCTCCGCTGGTCGTCTTTGACGCATCTCACGCGCGCCCGCCACAATTCAATAGAGGGAGCAGCTACTACGTAGCAGGTGAGAGAGCTCCGAAGCAGCCAAGGCGTTTGCGGGACAAGGGAGAGCGACGAACGGGCAGGGGAGGAGGCGGGCGGGAAGACAAGGAGACGGGCTCGGAGAGGCACGACGAGACAGATGACAAGATGACAAGATGACAATGGCTGGATACGACCATCATGAGCGCTCCCTTTGGCGGATTTTAGCCGTCCGCTCTTTTGGCTTTCCGGTCACTCGTCCTTGGCTCATTGCGTTCCTTTGAACCCTTGCTGCCCGTTTTCCCCCATGGCAGTTCCGGGAGCACGGAAATGGGAAATGGGAAATGGTAAGGGGGAACGTTCGGCGTGCGGATTGGGAAATGGGTGGGAACCGGAGACGGCGCTAGATTCTGGAGTAGAGTGTCCCGGGGAGCGAGGGTCCCGACAATTTCGCATATGGCGTTGAATGAGCGGTTGATGAGATTGATAGGAGGACAGGAGAAGCGGTGGGATTACGTCGGAGAGGAGGAGCACGAGGCTAACCAAGGCTTCAATAGAAGAATCAATATTCCCAGACGCCCCTAGAAGTAATATTTCCCAATTGAGACGCCTCTTCTTCAGAGGGCTTCCCTGGGCCAGCCAACCATCATTCACCCCCTGGCATGATGGGAGATGCAACTTTTGATAGATGACGCCCAGGCGTGACGGGAGATGCTGGCTCGTGGCTCATGGTGGCCATGTGCTGGCAGCAGCACCAGCGCCAACGCCGCCGCGGCCGCGAGAGGGGCAAACTAGACACGGGCCATCAGCGGGCTTCTGTGGCTCACCACCACATTGCACAGACGACAGAGGCGCCGCCATGGAGCTCATGCTCTGGCTTCTGGCTTGCTCTGCCCTGTGTATACGAGTAACGGGGAGAATGGGAGCGTGCTGTGGCGGTGGGGGGAGCACATTGCCGATGATGGACGGGGGACAGATTGAGGCCCACGCTGGGTCTCGGCGCCTCTATTGTAGCCCAAGGAGAGAACCGACCTGAGCAATTCAGCAGGTACAGAAGAGGAGCACCCGTACCATGTGCCGGCATGATGGCATTCAAGAAATGTTGGAGGGCCCATGTACGGAGATACCGGTACAGTTCATCGTCGACTTGGGTTAATGCCTCTTCCCATGCAACAGCTCCATTTCTCCATATAAAATTACACATTGCAGCACCCGCCTTGACTGACTGGCTGCAGCAGATACTTCCCCTAAAGCACACTTCAGGCGGGGAGGCTTCTGGGCGCACTGGGTTGTACTGTACTATACTGTCTGTGCTGCTTGGCCGCCGGATGTCTACTGGCCCAGCGGCGTGTGGTGACTCTTGTCGGCGTGGGTTTTTGGGCCGAGGCGTTGTTGGTGTCTCTGCCGTCCCCGCCACCCGGAGATTTCGGTGGTTGATGGGAATCCAGCCGATGGTCGGTCGAGGTTGGTGTTGTTGTTACGACTGAGTTTGAGGGGAATTGGAGGACCCTTCGGGAATCCAGAAGCCAGAATCCAGAAGGCACAAGAAGCCGTCGCAGAAGGGGAGGGATGGATGGGAACAACGGGTCTGATGGCTGGCTACCGGGGGACAAGGTACCTCGGAAACCCTTTTACGCGTGTTGCAGGGCGTGGCTCGACCGCGTCGTGACCTGGCGTCACCGTAGCCGCGAAACAGCCCAAGAAGACATGGGGGGCTTGGGAGGAGCCAGAAGACCTGGCGAAGCATGGGCTGGATGGATGGGAGGAGGCATGGCAAGTGGCATTGGAGGGGGCGTGAGCGGCGCTGGCGGCGTCAGGGTCCCGTCCCGACAACGGCATCGCTGTTCCCTGTCCCCTGTAATCCAAGTGACACACGGCGAGCTGACGATCTGGTACGGAGGTACGGGAACGTCTTCATGTTGGCCCTCGCTGCAATAGCTGAAATCTTGTGATTGAGGCGGTTCCCGGGGTCGTAGCTGTAATCCGACCCGTCATCATCTTTACTGTGTCTTATCTGACCTTACTTACACTTTCAGCCTACGGGGCCTCTAGTGAAGTAAGGTAGGTGCATATGTACAGCGCCCGGGTTGATGAGGTGTAATTTGCATTCTCCTATTGCATCCTGTCATGGTCGTTGTCTGGTCATCTCGGCGCCCACGCACTGTGCCATCCGCTCCCCCATGGCCCGAAGCCGCATAACATAGTCACCGTAGGTAGTAACCTGATCTGATGAGGGTTCGCTCGGCCCTCCCATCAAGTTACCTTCTGGTGGTGGAAAGCGAATGCGCACATGCGTGCGGTGTCGCTCGGGGCGATGAGCTTCCACTCCCACGCTGGGGCGCTGGGCGAGCTCCCGCAGCGCAGACGACGGAGCGGCGGACGCTGGGCACACGCCCAGGGATGGCCTGGCGCCTCTTCTCTCTGGGACCCTTCTGTGCCAGTTGGCCCCGCTAGGCCCTGCTAGAGCCCTTGTTGAAGCCCTGCTGAAGCCCTGCTGGGTCTCTTGGCGGTGGGGCCCCTCCCCGGCTTGGGCGCCCATTCGCTTAGTGGTCCCGTTGGAGGTCCTCAGTCTGGCACTCGGGTGCTCTGGGACCGCCTGCCTTAGTGCCGTAGCTGTGCGACCGCGCACTGTGCGTCACTGTGCGCCGGCGACCGGCGGGGCGGTCCCTTTTGCTTTGCAAGGGCTCCGGCATGGCCTCCAGTGGGCGGGTGCACCAGTCACAGCGGCCCCCCTCCCCCCCCAAGCAGGTCCCAGGTGAGGTGAGGGTAGGCACCGTACAGTGCCTGCAATGACCAACGCACTCCACACGCCTCTCACACAACTCACCTGCATCCACATCCACATCCATCCCAGATCCAGAACGACTTAGGTCGTCCCCCAGAGAACGAACGGCACTTGAACGTTCGCTCTTCTCACAAAGTCGCCCTCCGCGCATCACCTTCACCTTCGCCCTCGCCGCCGTCTCTTCTTCACTATCCCCGCTCCGTCGCCGCCTCTTGCGACTCGCCTCGTCTCCAAACTCGTTCGCTACCGTTCGACTGCTTTCCGCTCTCCCCCACGCGCGTCGACCCGGCGTCCTTCGCACCGAACGACCCCTTTTGGCAGGCCCCCCCACAGCGCCTCCGTCGGTCCCATCCCCATCCTGCTCCATCCATCATTATCCCGCGCGCCTCACCTCGCCTCACGGCCTACCGTCGTCGTCTCCCATTCTCGCCCGCTCGTCGAAGGCGCTGTTCCCCGCTCCCGTCTCGTCTGACCTCAGGTCCCGGTTTCGTTTTCTGCTCCCTCGACGATTCTACGTCCTTCTGCCAGCCGTCTCGAACAGCCTTGAACAGCGCCTCGCCGTTTGGCTTCACTATCCCCTTGGCCCTGCTTCTCCTCACCCGGCATTGGATTGGATTGCATGCGTACGCGAAGCGACTTGCTACAGCCTTCGACGCTGCCCGCCGTCACTGCTTCTGCTTGCTCAATTCTCCTGCAATCAACCGACACACGCAGCAAACATCTCCTAAAGTCTGAAGCCACGACACTGCGTCACGACGGCCTGCTGCTCCCCGCACCCCTTTGCAGTCCCGGGGCTCGCTCGCTCGCTCCATATGGACACCCAGACCACTACGGCCGAACCCCAACATTCTTACCCTCCTAGCCCCTGGACCACGACATCAACGACATCCACGACGACTACGACGACGACAGCTACGACCCCAACCCCGAGCAGCCATAGTGCTCCCGACGGCTCGCTCCTCGGCGACGCGGCTGCTGCACAGTTCCAGCAGCCCCAGATAGACTTCTTCCCCTTTCTCCTCCCCCAGCAGTCTAACATCTACCACGCTCAGCTCCTCCACTACAACAAGCTCATCTCGCCCGCCCGGGGAGGCGGTCTACAAACGCCGCCGCTCGCTCCTGTCGTCTCAGCCCCCCACATCCAAGCCGCGCCCCGGTCGCGATCTGCGAGCAAGACGTCGCTGAAGGACGGCTCAGCCGGCAAGGGAAGCACAGGAGGAGGAGGCCATGGGAGCAGGTCACATCAGAACTCAGACAAGAGCCGTACGGTCATAGCCTCCAAGGAGGTTCCGCCCAAGATGGCTCCCAAGCAAGCGGCCGACCTGTCGAGGAACCTGCCGCGCCGACCAGCACCTCCCCAGCAGGCACACTCTAGTTCAGTGCCCTCTACCCCCCATCAACACGCTCGTCAGTTCTCCTTCGAGGATCGCGAACCCTCACCCACCGCCACTACAAACCACTCCCCCCGTTCCGCCTACTCCGAGACCAACAGCACTCTGCCGTCGCTGCGGCCCCTGCCCCCTCGATTAGGAGGATGCAAATACGAAACTGCTCAGATAAATTCGAGAAGGAGGATACCGTACTCTGTTGGCAACGACCGCCTCGAGAAGCTGGACTTGCGAACGGTCAAGAGCAAGCTGACTGAGGAGGAGGAGAGGAAGTTGGCTACGGATATGCGCGAAGTCTTCGACCGGCTCCTACCCACCGATTCGGTTGAAGAGAACCGCAAGAAGCTGGTGCTAAAATTGGAGACGATTTTCAACGATGAGTGGCCGGGACACGACATTAAGGTGCATCTCTTTGGCTCCTCAGGGAACCTGCTATGTTCGGATGACTCGGATGGTTCGTTAATCCTGCCCCACGCGAGCCCGCATCTTAGATCGATTCTAACATGTGTCTAGTTGATATTTGCATTACAACCCCGTGGCACGATCTGGAGGGTGTTTGTATGATCGCTGACCTCCTGGCACGACGTAAGCACCAATCCGCTTGTTTCTAATTTCGGTAGCGCTGATAAACAATCCAGGGGGGATGGAAAAAGTAGTGTGCATTTCCGCAGCCAAGGTACCAATCGTCAAGATCTGGGATCCTGAATTGGGCCTTGCCTGCGATATGAATGTCAACAATACTCTTGCGCTGGAGAATACCCGCATGGTTCGCACATATGTCGAGGCCGATCCTCGAGTCCGACAATTAGCGATGATCATTAAGCACTGGACAAGAAGGAGGATAGTTAATGATGCTGGTGAGTTGCTACCGCAGCTGGTGTTTATCCCGAGTTAATGCTAACTATGGAACAGCTTTCGGTGGTACTTTGAGTTCTTACACTTGGATCTGCTTGATTATCGCATTCCTGCAGCTTCGGAACCCGCCTGTTTTGCCCGCCCTCCACCAGTCGCCACACAAGCTGGCCAAACCAGATGGAGCCGTGAGCGACTTTGCAGATGATCTGAAAAAGCTCTCTGGGTTTGGTAGCAAGAACAAGTCCTCAGTGGCTGAACTTCTTTTCCAGTTCTTTCGGTTCTACGCGCACGAATTCGACTACGACAAGCACGCCCTTTCTGTGAGATCCGGAAAGCTGGTGACCAAGACGGAAAAGAAGTGGCATTATGCGATCAACAACCAGCTTTGCGTCGAGGAGCCTTTCAACGTTAACCGAAACCTGGGCAACACTGCGGATGAATACTCTTTTAGAGGTCTGCATATGGAACTCCGACGAGCGTTCGACTTAATCGCGGAGGCAAAATTTGAGGAGGCATGCGAGCAGTACATTTTCCCCAAGGAAGAGGAGCGTGTTTGGACTCGACCGCCACCTCAGTCTAGGCCCGTTTTGTTACGGAGCTCTTCACAGACTCACTCGGGTCGTGGCGGGCGGGGCAACCATCGAGGAGGGCGGCACAACAACAACTTCCACCGGAACAACGGGAACCCCAACCGACGAGCGTCATCGAGTGTTCCGACTTACGACACCAACAGCATGTTTATCCAACCTGTCAACATGCCACAGGACCTGCAATGGTATCAAAACGCGCAGTTTCCGTACCAGGTTACGCAGCAGGATCTCATGACACATATGGCCTACCAACAGCAACTGCACCTATATGCTCACTCCCCAGCATTTATGCAACATCAGGCTATGGGTCAACAGCAGCAGAGGATGTCGACGGGCACCGCCTCCGGACAGCAGTCAGCGGACCGCTCTAGGACCAACTCGTTCGACAATGCGCCCCTCAGCGCCCCAATCCGACCCGACCTCTATGCTCTTTATGGCATGACGCTCGGCTCTCCGTACTTCCCCCAAGCTGGCGCTGGTTATGGACAGTATCCTACCTCGCCTGCGGCTACGAACGGTGCAAACCAAGATTTCCGTCGGTCTCTGCAACGGTCTGTTGTGACCAATGAGGGAGGGGTCTCCGCGTCGAGCAGCTCCCTAAGATCGCACTCTCAACCAGCATCGCGGTCACCGTCATCCCAGCCCACAACGGGCTATTTCGGAAGTCAGTCGATCAATGTTGCAGCCAATGCCTCGTCGAGAAATCTTAATGTTGGCCCGATCCCGAATTTCACTCCCGACGAGGGCGATTTAGACGAAACGCCCAAGGCGACGCATGCTGACTCGCCACAGTCGGAGGAGGGCAAGTATTCTTCATTCTACTTGACAGAGAACTCAAGTCCCAGTAAGCAGTCACAGCCTCAGCAAGCTCCTAATGGCCTCGCGTTCAGCGACCTGGCAAAGGAGAATTCTGGTCCAGGACGACGCCGGCTATCGACAGATCAGCATCCCCAAACGATTCTTGATCGCAGGATGAGGAGGACATCGCGCTCCCCTTCACCACTTGGACATGCCCGGGCATTCTCATCAGCCACATCTTCGGCTCCCGCTACATCAGTTCCCCAAAATAGGAACCTCGCACGTCCCTTGGTAGTGAATGGATCTGGTCTGAAGACAAGTATGACCAATACCAGCCCGCGTCATCCCTCTGGAACGGAGAGCAATGCGTCGGAGGATTCTGGAACCTCGAGCTTCGATAATGCTCTCCTGGGGACTATTGGCAATACGGTCACAGGCTGCCAAGCTGACGGCTCTATCACTACACCCGTCGCTGCCCCGGTCAGACAAGATCCTTCGCCGACTCAAAGTGCCTCTGATCGAGCACCAGTAGTCGCGAACGGGTCTAATGCGCCGACCGCCGCTGCCGTGGCCACTGCGCCACCTGAGAATGCCTCATTTCAAGAGCGCATTGCGATGATGAGCTCGTATTACCTGAATTCACCTCAGACTGCTCAAGAACCCACAGCTGTTGGAACCTCGCGGCTCTCGCCCTCTACCCGACAGCGATTAATGTCTCGGCAACCACAGAATGGAGTGATTGCTCCCCTCGACCTCGCAATTTCAGACCACCGCATTGAGCACCCAGTTGGGCCTGAATTTTCGCACCTTTCTCCCGTGTACGAAAATCGAACGCCGTCACCAACTGTCATCCGAAAACCAGATGGTCCTCTAAAACAGGAAAAGGGCAGCGCGCAGTCTAACGCGAAAGCAGGTCGAGGAGATGCCTTCAAGACAAACACGAAGCCAGATGAACGAGCACAGGAGGGCCCGAAATCTCAGAAGTCACAGAAGCCAACTACTCAGGCGCAACGTTTGAACGGGTCGAAAGAAAATGGCCATGTTCGTGGTGCAAAGAGCGAGAGTGATGGAGGATGGCAAAAGGCCGGTGGCAAAGGAAAGAAAAAGGGCGCCAACGGTGCCAACGGTGTCAACGGGATCGTCCAGCAAGCTAGCGAACAGCTTCCCAAACTTGAATCGGAACGAAAGGGCGGTTAATGGATGTCCAGTTGTGGGATGGTGTCCAAATGGCTGGGCCGCCTTTCCGTCAACCACCGGATAGCACCCAAGTTTTGACTCGGGTGCAGAAGCTACTTGATTTACAACGTCGAATCGTGCTTTTCTTGGATAGGACGGACTGGCCGTGGAAACCGTGCCTAGTCAGCAAGCGCGCGAGCAACCAAGATGCGAGTGTACAGGCAGGTCTCCCAGGTACGGGTGGGAGGGAGGGAGACTTGGACATTCTTCTGGATGTGTCCAAGCTAGGAGAGTATGAGTGAGTGTGTAGCATGTGTGTACGATTGGGGCGAACGATCATTGCGGCAGCTTCTTATCCCACATTGATAGTGGTGTGCGAGCTCGGCCGAGATTGGCACGGAATGAGGAGGGGAGACGATTGATGGACGAACGGATGGCTCTGGAGGGACGGCGTTGGCGTCTTCAACACATGGCCGGTGAGGCGTTATATATACACAGTTACAATTGCGTTGAGAGACAACCCATCTGGGAGGAAAGGGACACCACTTGTATCTCCTACAGGCTACAAAAGGGCATGGGGCAAAGCGGTCAGCGGCATAGATGGAAGTCACAAAAGCATGGACAGATGTAACGGAGCACAAAATGAGATAACTGAAAGCTTTAAAGATGATCGATTGCCATGGTGAAGTGTGATGCTAGAGGTGATGAAGTGGAGCGTGGGACAATAGCGGAGGCTGAAGCTTGATTGATCAGCTAAAGAAGAAGGATATGATCATGACGTCTTCCGTTGATTAAGGATGACTCGCATGCTTTTTTTTGACCCTCTAAGTTAGAGTGGGTAGCCCAAAGGGGCCGATGTTCCGTCAGCAGAGTCAGCATCAGTCATGCACCAATGGCGGCTTAGAAAGAACTCTGTGATAGTTCTAGTGTCGAATGGGAGCCTAGCAAGATCCAGAGCGGCTGAAGGGTGCCTGAGTGACGTCGGGAAATGGACCGAATCGACGACTAGCTTGGAATTAGGTGATGATGATTGATATGTGATGCATGGTGATGTATGAGTTTGTCTGCGGAGGCGGGAATGTATAAAGTTCGATGTCTCCGACGCGAGCGAGGAGAGTTAATACAATCCAGCCTCTCACCCATACAACATTACATTCGACGACGCAGACACTCCCCTTATAACTTACCAAACCCACAAACGCAAGCAAAATGACCATGCTCGCAGCCCAGGTCGCGGAATGGGGCGCCTCTCCAAAGGCCGTCCAGGTGCCGCTGCCCGCCACGCCGACCGACGACTCTATGGTCCAAATCCGCGTCCGCGCAGCAGGCCTACATCAACTCGTCCGCACCCGTGCCGCTGGAAAGCACTACACAGCCGTCTCTCTGCCGCACACACCTGGCGTGGACGGCACTGGAGTTGATGTGAGCACCGGCAAGCAGGTTTACTTTAACACGCTGGGCGCTGGAACGGGCACCTTCGCCGAGCTGGTCAATGTGCCACGGAGCAGCGTCGCCGAACTGCCGAGCGGGGTGGATGCCGTGCAGGCAGCGGGGCTGATGAACCCCGTCATGAGCAGCTGGATGGCGCTACGGCAGAGAGTCGATTTTATCAAGAGTGGCCAGAAGAAGGACTGGTCGTGCTTCATCTTGGGGGCCACGAGCATGAGCGGTAAATTGGCCATCAAAGTGGCCAGGATGCTCGGAGCGACCCGAGTCATCGGCGCTGGGAGGAACGAAGCCGCACTGAAGACGCTCGGCCTAGATGAGATTATCGTTTTGAAAGAAACCCCCCTAGACACAGACTTCGGTGTCGCCGCAGACGTCGACGTGGTGCTAGACTACCTCTACGGGCCGTGGATCGGCGCCTATCTCGGCTCGCCGACGACGCGCGCGGGCACGACGCCGCTCACCTGGGTGTGCATCGGGTCGATGGCCGGGCTGGACGGCGCGGTGCCGGCGGCGGGGCTGCGGCAGCGGGACGTGTCGGTGCGGGGCTCCGGGCCGGGCGCTTGGAGCACCGAGACGCTGGACGCCGAGGCTGCGGGCATGCTGGGCGTGTTGGACGGCGTGCGGGAGGAGGGTATCCGCGAGGTGCGCATGGAGGATGTCGAGGCCGAGTGGACGAGCGGCGGCAAGGGAAGGGTTATATTTGTGCTGGGGGATGTGAAGGGGGAGCTGTGATGGCATGGAATTTTAGCAAACGATGAGTAGTAGTACGAAGAAGAGTAACTTACAAGTATTGGAATGATACGGCAGATTGGATAAGATTGAATAGTCTTGAAATATACACCGTCCTTGGGTCGTTTTTTTGCTCAAAATGTCTCTCATTTATACAAAATACATAATCGTTTTTAATTAAGTTGTGTCTCAATGGCACCCGTCCGTGGTTGATAATCCTCCTCGGCCCCCAAACTGGCAATGCATCCCACCCCAACCCCGACAACACCCTCGGCGCATCCGTCCCAAATCCCTGGGCCCAGGAAAAAAACTTTCCGATCTCATCGGCCCCGGAAATCTGGAATCGCAGTCCAGGGGTGGCGCGGGAGAGGCTGGGTTGGATCTGCTGGGGCGGGACGCACACCGAGAATCTGGGGAATCAGCATCGTGTTTATGTGGCAGCCTGGAGTCGTTGCAGGGCTGGGGGCGCGGGCGGGCGCGCGCTTGGACAGGACGAGCAGATCCTGGGGTAAATCTGGGAAGTTGAGGAATCGCGAGGAATGCGGGCTGTGAGTTGATGTGAGACGTCGATCAATGGGGCTTTGTTTCTTTGTTTGTGATGTATTCTCGGTGCCTAGTTTGGGTGTATTTCGGGCGATGTGGTACTATTTGTGGTGTGGGCTTGACGTCGTCCCCCGTGTTCAGTAAGTGGGCGTTCGTATCAGCAATGATGAAACCCAGCAACTTGGGCATCAATCAAGTAACAATAGGTGGCTGAACGGTCGACCTAACAGGCAGCGCTCGCTCTGCCTGGGATACGATGCGCCTGTGAAATACATGTAGTTGTTCTATTTCGGTGGCGAGGCGACCAGTGGCTGTCCAAGAGTCTGAAACCGCCTGCGACACGAGGTTTCTGAGGTAGTGGCCGCTGCGTGCGATTAGTGGTCAACCGTCTAACCAGTTTAGCTTGGTCTAGGACTCAGCTGACAGGCATGATGCGAGAGCGACGAGATATGGCCTCGAAAGATGATGAGCGGTCCGCAGATAGGGCTGACTAGTATGTGCATTGCCTGCGGTGAGGATGATGCAGACAATATGGTCCGGCGCGGAGGTATAAAGAGCGTCTTTGGCAGCGATGCATGCGACCGCGGACGATTGTCTCGTGACTGATTGTTCTCTCCATCTTTTCGGCTTCCCCCGCAATCTCAACTCCCCTGGCAGAACCGCTGGAAGTACTGGACGGTACCGACGTTACAGTGCTAAGCAACACACGCATTAAGATTGCGACGGGTACTCCCTTTCGACCCGGCTTCTGCATACTTCCCAAGACGAAACAGGATTCCACAAAGACCATTGTTTTCTTTGCGTGGATTTGGGTGTGTTTGACGGCCTTCCTTTTCTGCTTGGTAGTTAAATCGACGCCGAGCTAGCAGGCCCCTGTCTTGATCCTGGGGGTGCGCCTACTGTGCTGTCTGATTGCCAGACACTGTGCAGCGTGACCATTCCATAAGCCAGGGTATACAGTACGAAGTTGACAAGACCCGTGTCCGACCACTGTGTTTGGACAGCCGTCGCTCGTCTCATCTCTCCCCTCTTCTCACCTTTCACTCTTCAACAGTCGTCCATCTTCTCCTTCTTACATACACGTACATGCCCACGCACTTTAATTACGACTCAACTCTCCCTCCCCGGACCCACGACCCTGTCCTCCAACTGAGGCCCGTTCCGAAGCCCTGTCACTCCCAGTCAGACCGAACTCGCCAAGTCTTGCCCCAGTCAAGACCCAGTCCTCCACCCCGGTTTTCCTTCCCCAGTGGCCCCAGCCCACTGGAGTCCACTTCGCCCACCCCAATCGCAGGCGCAGACAGACAGACGACCAGGCCGGACTGCCCAGCACGCCGCCTCGACGACAATAGCCGAAGCCTGACTGACTCTCCATATTGGCCTGTCAAACAATCCTTGGCCTTGAACTAGGACGCCTCTGTCACATCCTACACCACCGTCTCTCCCCCTACAGTGTCGTTCTGTCGATTCCCCTCCAACAGCCACCCGACGATCAGCCTCGGTCCCGCGATCAAGCGACGAGTAAACCACGGACCGGCCGGCCCACGACGCTGCGAACTTAGATCGAGACCGTCACGCTGAAGACGTCATTTCCCCTTCCACCGAGCCCCCGCCGCTTTGACGAGCGCATACGCTGCTGTTACGGCGCAACAACCGCAACACCCAACTGTCTAGATTCTCCGCCCGGCTACCCTCGTTCTCTCGAGGGGCCTCGCATCACCGCGGTGGCTATCATGCTGTGGTCCAGCGCGGGCACTGAAGTTGCCTTGTTCATCACGGCCTGATGCGATCCCGCCGAGGAACCGCTTCCACCCACGACGACGACCGCCGCGACGACATACTTGGAAAAGCCAACATGATCCAGAGGAGCAGCACCGAGAGCGCCGGGCCTCCCGGCGGCGCCAAGATGCGGCTTTGGGGCTCTGCTCTTCGCAAGATCTCGAGCATCAGCGTCAGCAAGGACTCGGTATGTGCATCGCACCATTGAGCTTTGTCTCTCGAAGCAGACTATCTGACTTGTCCAGCAGCATCGGTCCCACCTCAGCCCCTCCGAATCAGACCCCAACGACTCTTTCTTGAATCCCAGGTCACCCGACTCCCACTCAGCCAATATCTCCCTCGACGGCCCCGACTCCAACATCCGCCAGCTCCAGACCATCGTCCAGCGCATGCGCGCCGGTCCCTCGACGCCCCATCAAGTCGACACTGCATACAAGGAACTCATCAAAGTCAAGGATCAATGCGCCAGCCTATCCCGCCTCATTCTCCAAGAGGCCCTCCGGCGCAATCGAGACATTATTAATGGCGCTGACACCCTCCCACGCCGAGACTCCTCCCTCGAGTCCCCCCGAAGCCCTGGCGCTGTCTACGATACTCGAAGCTCCTTCAGCGGCCGCAGCCTCGCCGAGGTTGTGTCTGGAAGTGTCATTAAAGAACCCCACGCCAACGACTCATGGTTGAGCGTCATTCGTGACTGGAAGATTTTTCTTGAGGCTCTGACCGAGTCGTTCAAGATCAGCCTTGCCGATACTTATCGGAGCTATGAACGCGATGCCACTCAGGAGATGATTGACGCTTTGTTTGCGAGTAAGCGCTTCCGCAAGGAGGCGGTTCTTCGCATGCGCAACGCCAGTGTGACTCGGGTGATGTCGGCGGATCCTCAATTTGTGAGTCCCCTAGAGTGACTAGTGAACTGAATATTTGCTAACCATCGTGTACAGTTTCCACGATATGAGATTCGCTTTCGTAATTATGAAAAAGTTAAGCAAGAGTTGAACGATATTCGACAGTTGCTACAGACCGCCGAATCAGGCATCTCGCCCGACCGCACCATCGAAGAGTATGCCATCTCTCCCCATGGGGATGCTGTCCTCGAGTTCTCCAACATCTCCAGCGACTCATCGCCCCATGACCCCGCTCTTCGATTCCGAGTCTCTTCCTACATGCTGGCTGAGACATCTCCCATCTTTGCTCGCATGTTCGCAGGCCACTCCAGCAGTCTACACCTCTTCGACGACGATGACATCTTAACCCAGCTGCCGCCTCCACCTAGCAGATATTTCTGCAAGGACGGGTCAGAAGCGAGACTCTACCGCATGCCGCAGCGGGAGTTGAATAGTCTTAATGCACTCGAGATCCTCCTCCACGCTGCCCATATGCACAATGAAAAGGTACCTCGCGAGGTCACTTTCGAACAGTTTGTTGCGATTGCCGAGTGCTGCATGAGGTATAAGAGCACCTCGCCGCTGGAGTTGATCGTCGAGCACCGCTGGCTGCCGCAGTGGATGCACAAAGGAGCGGACGACATGCCCGACGGCCTCTTGGTCATTAGTTACGCATTTGGCCTGCGACAACTGTTCTCACGCATGTCCAAGACGGCCATTCTCAACCTCGTTGATGAGAAAGAGCTGCAAGCGAAGCCGTGGCCCCAGAAGATTAAGACCAAGATATGGGCTGTCCGATGTGCAAAGGTTGCCCAGGTCCATGCTTGCTGTGTCAACACTGCCCAGGAATATCTCCGACCACCAGCATCCAACCCAGTGGAGGAACCAGAGTCACCATCGGCATCTGAACCCCGCACAAATTTCGCAGCCACTGTTCCCGTTACAATGCTAACGAGCACACCAAGGTGTCCGAAGGGCAGCCACTGGTGTGACGCGACGAACATGGGGTGGTTAATGTTGGTGTACAATGAGATGCACATTCTCCCTCACATTATGCGGCCGAATGTACTATCTCACATGCCGGAGTCACAACCTCCGCCGAGGAGCCTCGCGCAGATTGTAGATATTTTGAGGAGGATTCCCACCCCCCCAACGCCAGTCCATGGGGGTGTATGTGATCCGGGTCCAACCTTCCGAGCAGCGATCAATGATATTTACAACAGTGTATTGGGACTGACCCTTTTCGATATCAGCGGTAAAAGTCATGGCTGGGCGCTTTCGAAGCATCGGGAACATGAACCACAGTCTCAGCTCAACAAGGGCCTAGGACGCATGGCCGCCCAGGATCAAGCACATAGCGTGGCAACCGAGTTCCCCGAGAGCATTCGATTGCGAATCATGTGTGAAATCGGTGAGCTGGACGATCTTCACGCTGCTGCCATGACGAATAGGGCGTACTTCGAAACGTACAAGAAGCACGAGCTGTTCCTGATGCGCAACATTCTCCGCATGGATCGGAAGCGAGCAGGAACTCTCAGGCAGCAGATACCGTTGATTATCAACAATACGGAGGAGAAGGTGCTCAAGACGGAGTCGGATGAGCTGAAGACGGCTGTTGGCGACAATGCAGATGGAGTCACGCTCCGCAGTGACGATGATGACGAGGACTATTCAGACTCTGATGATGGTATGAGCCTGTACTCTTCGTCGCTAGCTCCGTCAGTGAATCGATCTGCTGGTAGAGATTCACAGGGCGCTGATCGTCAAAGATCAGCGGATCCCGTGACAATCCGGACGGGAAGCCCCACGCGGACCGAGGGGTCATCGACCAATACTCCCACGGCACGATCCACCAGTCCAGCATCACCAACGACGCCGCGACTATCTCCCACGGAGCCGCCACAGGCCGCTGTGACCTTGGCTGTAGAGCCTAGCTTCACCCGGACCGATGAAATCGATGAGCCTCCCCTGACGGTAGAGGAAGCGAACCGAATCCTTTGGCCCGAGTCTGCCATCCAGGCTGTAGCAGCGTCCAGTATAAATCCGCTATGCGGCGTCGAGGGTCAACGAGAGAAGTTCCGAGTGGGCGATCCAGCGCTAGCTGAAGGCCTGGAAGAGAAAACACTCGTACCGACAGGAGAGAAACAGTTGCGCAGTGAGCACGACCGGCGGGTCGGCCTGCTGAAAGGGAAGGGAGACCCGTCAGACGAGGGCGTGGTTGGTAAATAGCTGTAAAGACACAACATGGGCTTGGGATCTAAGTCCGGCCTCGGGCACAAACTTGTTTGTTCGCTTCGCTAATACAGCGTTGCTTGTATAGATGGACATGACGAAGGGCGGTTGGGAAAGATGTGAAGACGGAACACTTGGACATAGGCGGGCGGGCTCTGACATTCAGGCCGCAGATACCCTCGGCGCGAGGAGTTGTAACTGGATCATGAATTGGAATGATGTTTGGCGTTATGTAGCGAATTTACATTGATCAAAGACACGCGGATGCTTTCTTGTTGAGTTGTAGAGATGTTAGAAAAGGTTGCGACTAACACCCCCCGCTAAGCATGAACCATAACATATATAATAGAGTATTGCTATTCGCACACATACAAAATACTATTCGCACACAAGTACAAGCCTTTGCACCTAGGTTTAGTGGAAGGTAATATATCTGACCTATATACCCACTCTAAGTATTTTAATTTAAAAATATTCTAATTTCTACTCTAAAATAAATAAAATAAATAAAATATAAATAGTAAGACCTAAAGAATAAATACTTAAGAGTTAATTTTATTTAATTTCTTAGATTTAATTAGTAATAGATATATTATTAAAACTTCTTGGTGAAAATTTACTGAAGTACTTAAGTGTGCGAGTTGTATTTTGAGTGTGTGCGAATAGCAACACTCATATAATATCGGTATATATACTCACTGTGATACCCATATATGATAGAGTAGTTGGAAATCCTGGGTTTTGCGTTTTTGAGGGGGATATTCATGAGACAAGTCACCGGGACTAGACGGAAAGAGGCTGCAGGTCTAAGAACCTCCAGTCGCTGTTGGTTTTGCACTTTCAGCCGCACGAGGCTGCCAGCCCGTCATCCTTTTCTTTTGACCTCTTGTCCCTCACACCTACTTTTCCCATCCTCTCCTCCACTTGCACCAGTTTTCGTATCATCACAATATCTACCAGTCTGCCTCACCGACCAGCAGTGACACGGCACCCGATACTACACTAGCACTCGCCGCCGCGACGACATCCAGCTCCAAGAACCGCCAGGACGCCAATATGGTCAAGCCAGCCCGTCATCCTGATGACGCAGGCCGTCTTTCCTGGCGCCGGGTTTTTGGAAGGCGCACACGATCGACACCAGAGTCTTTACATGTGGACAAGGAGACATCTGGATCTTTAGCGACATGAATGCTGCACTCCTTGCTCCATAGCCAAGTTGTACAAGGCCGAGAGTTCCAGTGCGGATTGCGGTGTTTGGTCATCCCAATGGTCCAGGGGGCAGTGTTGCGATTCATTGTGGGACAGGGCGCGGATGGTATGGAATATGTGATATGCGCCGTTTAGGCGCCTTCGGGTGTCAATCAGAAATGGATTCTCTCCTGGTCACTCGTTGGGAAAGGTAAGATGGTGATGGAAAGGAGTAAGAATCGGCCACGTTCCCAAACGCTGATCGGGTTCTTCACACCAGCGGAGCCACGGAAACAACAAAAACCGCGCCCAAAAGCAAATTGCGAAATAGCGTCGGAGGGAGCGCGTCTGGAGCGCGTCAGAGGGAATGCGTCGGCAACGCCACGGCAAGCTACTCTCCGCAATCCTCGCCCATGAAAACCAGAGTTCAAAACGCGAGCTGAAACGCACTTTGCTTATGATATTGCCGGGTTAGATAGGGCATTTATTTCCCACCATTGGAGGATGTAGAAAGCTATTGAGAGAACCTAGCGGGAAAAGCGCTGTAGCCTTCGTATCAACACTGGGCACGGTATCCGTAAATCTTAATTAATTCGAAAGTTAGCCTCTTCCAATCCCTTTTCTGTCACAAGTACCGCAGTCCATACGTATACGTTCTAGGCCAAGAAGGAGTGACGGCTGGTTTTTGTTCCGTTCATCACCAAACCTCCGTGGTCCTGAATTGTCCAAAGAAGCGAGAGAAATCATACCAGTGACGCCTTCGTACAACTTCGCATCCATTATCAACCAGGCCAATCCATGTTTCCACTCGCAGCGCCCGCCATTTACCCTCGGCAAATGGCCGTGGACACGTCACAATGCTCCTTGTTGTCGTAACTAAGCCCAAGTCTACTCATGAAGAGCGCCGGGCTGGGCAAATTCTTGTCGCTATAGCGGAGCTCGGCGTCGGAGAAGATGTTGTCTAGCACGCCTGTACCATAGCTAGACTCATTTCTGGCCGCTGCCAGAGGCATTCTTGGTAATCATATAAGTTCGGATGATGTCCTGGGCTTCGGCGAGGTCCCGGCGTGGAACAGTCTTATTCGCCATTCGGGAGCGGAGCACCGTCATGGCAGCTTCATAGATGTCATCGTCTTCCCTCATAGAGGTACGGACAATGGCTCGAGCCTCTTCACGGTCGTCACTCTTGTGGAACTTGAGTCCGTGACTGAACATGAAGTTGGTCGAGGTTCTCCAATTCGACCGAACCCAATCGAGCTCTTTCCCCACAAAGATATGGTCTGCAAAGTCCAGTTCCTCTTCGGACTCGTCGCCATGCATCGAAACACGCACCAGACTTATAGCTTCCTCGCAGTCCCGTTCCCGGTGCAACTTGAGGCCATGGCTGGTCATGAACTTGGTCGACGTCCCATAGTTCGACCGGATCCAATCGAGCTCTGTCTCGTCAAAGAGGTGGTCTGCAAAGCCCGCTTCCGGGTCGGACTCGTCGTCATCTTCGTCATCGTCGTCAGCATGCATCAAAGCCTGCACGAGACGTTTAGCTTCTAGGCAATCCTCATCCTTGTAAAACCTAAGTCCGTAACTCATCATGAAGTTGTGAGGATCTCCCCAGTTTGACTCGATCCAAGTGAGCTCTTTCTCATCAAAAAGGCTGGCTGCAAGGTGATCTCCCGGACTGTCTTTCATTTCAACGTCATTCGAGCGCACAGATGGCGGGGCCCTCTGGAACGCGTCGAAGCGGGCCTTTTCACTCTCGGGCCATCGTGCATGGATGAAGTAATGACCGGAGGGATCGAAGGGCGAAGGGCCAAGTCGTGGGCCGATAGGGGGTCCGCTGAGCCTTACCTCAAATCGTTGAGATTGGCGAGCGGGTTTGAAGTACGCCATGGCTTTACCGTCAAGGTCCATGATAGTGCCCATCGATGCTTCCGAAGTCTTTGTATCGAGGTTGTAGTCGTCCAAGATAGGGCTCCCAATGATATTGCAGACGCTGCTTGGGATATGCAAGACATTCTTGAGGACCAGCTTTCCATGGGACTTTTCCCGATTTTATCTGGAGATGTCTTGACTGGGAGAGTAACGGAACCAACTCCGACGACTTTCATCTTGCCGGTATCGATCAGGCCGGTAGCGAAGGACTCGAAGGGAACATAGTCGTCTCCAACCAACTGCGATCCTTGGCGACACTGGAAGTAGCGCGATCAGCCACGATCCGCAATTGACTAATGGCGGCAAACGCAGTGGGAGAGTGGGAAGACTCACTGGGCGGTGGAATTGTTGCTCCATGCCCAGGCTGGGCAGGGGAGAATCGCTGCGTCCGTCTCCTGGCCGAGCGACATGATGAGATGGGATGGGATAGGGTGGAAGAAGATGGAAGAAGATGAGGAATTCGATGCTTACGCCAGGGCGTGATTATGTAGAGAGAGAGAGCTGTGAGTTCGGCACCAAAGACAAGTAAACATTAGTTGGGGGGACCACATTACAGTGTAGCACAGTGCATTTTTGTCTTCCAGCAGTGCCCCAAGGCCCTCAATTTACATTACTTGGGTAGGACACTACAATTTAGTTCTTATTCTTTTTCAATGGCTGTCACTCAAAGTACACCGAAGCGTGCTTAATTAAATTTCATTCCTCCTACTGAATTTGGAGAGCGAGCTCCCACAGGCGTCTACTGCTTTCCTAGTTGATCGATCGCACATCAGACAGTGCGGGAGGTGGGCGCCCTTCAAGTCGTCCGTCAAAGCCGTACAATGCAATAGCCCCAACGGATTCCGCCTTTCCGACACCTTGATGTCCAATATGGCACGGAGCCAACTAGCACAATTCCCAGCCATTCGATAGGGGAAGCAAGCCGATGAAACTGGCCATCATGTCAATCCAGACGGAGCTCCGATTTAAGAGAATCCGTACGCACCTCAGCCGTAAATCTGCTTTCCCTCCATGTACATCCTCAGCACAACGCGGCCGTCTTCTCGGTCATCGTCCTTCCAGATTCTCAGGCCGTGATCGCGGAGGAAGTGGTATTCATCGCCAAAGTTGTCTTTGAGATATTGCTTTTCTGTTTGGTTCAGCGGGTCTCTGCTGGGCTGCGTCCATGGTTCATCAGAGGTAGAATCAGCCGTAGAGGCGACAGAAGCGGCAGAAGCGGTAGAAGCGGCGGAGGCGGAAGAGGTGGAAGAGGTGGAAGAGGGGGTCGATGCCTTCTTGGTGGTGTCGGTGGAAGCCATGATGAGCTGGGATACGGCGATTTAATTATGTTGAGACAGAAGGATGATGAATCGAGTAAGAAGTAGTTTGAAGACAGGCTCTAGTCAGCTGTTCGACACGATCAGAGGAAAGAGCAGTGGACCACAGCGAGTTCGAACACCAGAATATATACTGGAGGCTGGCGCAAAAGCACACGAGGGCAGGCCGGAATGAGCACTGCCACCGCCACCATTACCAGAAAGTCTCAATAAATTGGCTAAGTCTAGCGCTACACTTTTGTGAGATATTGTAGCTTGATTAGGCTTGACCTGGGGCCGATTGAACTTCTATCCAATAAACTCAAGAAGCTGGTGGCCTGGTTTTGCGCTAGACTTGGCCAATTTATTGAGATATTATGCCTAGCCACGGCATGGGTCTAGGAATGGAGGCCCAGGTAAACAACAAGTGACATCAAGTAGTGATCACAATGAAATGATTGTGACATGGTAAGACCAAAAAGTACTGTGTACCATACGATGTACCACATGAATATTAGCATAATTATGTATTAGTGGAATGGATGTTGTCTATCTCAACCAAGGTCACTAAAAACCCACTCTTCCAGGACTCTTGCACCCTGGATCTCAGCACCTCTATCCAAAAAGAGACAGACAATAACCAGAAAAGCAAGTTTCCGTAGTCTCCCACGTCAATTCGACTCTCCCGGCTCCTGTCCTCATTGACCAACATTCTCATTCCCCCCTCGCGGCGTAAGGTGCTTATTCAGTACCTCAAGCGGCAACAGTGCCGTTCTCAGCCTCGAGCTGGGCAGCACGAGCAGCGTTGAGGGCCTTGAGCTTGGCAGTTCCGTAACCAGCAACGCCGTCCTCCTGGTTATCACCGAGCCAGGGCTTCTTGGAGTCGCCGAGCATGCTGCCTGCAAGGAAGTAGGTGATGAGACCGATGATGATAAGAACGAAAGCGATGGGGTAGAGGTAGTGGATGGTGTATCCGAAGACCCGGATTCCGATGATGACACCCCAGAAGTTGGCCGTCAACAGCGAAATGTCGAAGAAGGCAGCGCTGCCCATGCGAAGGATGTAGGGAGCCAGGAAGTAGAACACGTTCAGGCAAAGGGTGTAGCCGACGATCCAGCCGATGACGTCGCCGTTCCAGGTGGCGTCACGGAAAGACTGGCGATCAAAGATGGCAGCCTGGATACCGTTGATGATCATGCCAAACATGCCCATGAAGGACAGAACGTGGTAAACGCGCGCGCGGGAGACGAGCCACTCCTCGAAGACGTTGGAGGTGCCGTACAGAGTGGCACCGAGCAAGGCGAACAGGTCGCCCTTGACCAGGTTGATTCCAGGGCCGCCGTTGGAGCCAGTGATGTGGTCAGACGCAAGCAAGATACCCATGCCACCGCAGCAGACGAGGATGCCGATGACCTGGAAGAGCTTGTAGCGGACCTTGAGGAGGCAGAAGGAGATGATGACGACACAGATGATAGACCAGAAGTTGATCAGCTGCGCGGACAGGATGTTGGTGTAGCGGTAGGCCAAGACAGTGAAGTAGTTGCCCTCGACATCCAGGAATGACATGATGAAGTACTTCCAGCCGTCCTTCTTGGCGATGCGCCACCACTCGCCCGGTCCATCACGGTAGAGGAACACGGGCGTGTAGATGAGGAACATCAGGATGTAGTTGAAGACGGTCTGGAAGGCGGGGATGTTGGTACCCGCATTGGCGAGGAAAGTGGTGAAGGTGTTGGTAGCGGTAATGCACAGGGCGAGGATCTGGCCAATGGCGAGGATAATCCAGAAGTCGGCCGTGGAAAAGTAGCTGTACCAGTGCACCGACTTGGTCTCGAGGATGTGCAGACCCTGCCCGACGGCGGCGTTTTCGTCATGAAGGGCGTCGCCGTGGTTGGCGGGAACCGCATTGGCCGTGGGCGACTCGAAGCCCTTGGTGTCGTCAGCGGACATGGTGGCGTTGCCGATAGACAATTGGGTGCCGTAGGATGGGTGGTTTCGCGACGAGCTTGACGGCGTAGTCGTGCTGGTCGAGGGAGGGCTGAGCAAGCTCGTATGCTCGTTCATACAACTGGCGGGTCTGTACGGCGGTTCCATGTTAGCATTGTCCTGTCTGATTTCTTGCGATTGTGTCGGGTGGCGATGGAAGCAATGCGGTAATAGAAGCAAGGCGGCGCGGGTTGCGCCAGGTTACACAAGCAACCAGCGCAACAGTAAGAGCGTACCTTGAAAGATCCTATCGCAAGTGTAGACAAGAGTATGTATATCTCGTGTAGGTTATTCGCAAAGTATGCAGAATGTATTTAATTCAACCGATGAACAATGTTGTCAAATTCGGTGAAGTCTTTGTAAACGTTCCCAAGGAAGTTTGCAGCAAGCGCAAAGACTCAAAGTCGCTCGCTGGATAGCTTATTGGCTGAGGGGGCACATGTAACGATGTGCCCGGGCGTAGTATGTGAGGAAGAGGGTCGAGTTGGAGCAAGTCGACATGGGCTGGAGCGACGGGAAGCTGGTGAAGTTGAGGGAGGAGAGGGAGTGAAGTGGCGAGAGCGGCGCGGGGTTGAGTTGAGTTGATAATGCGCGGGCGCCCACGTGTTGGCAGAGACAGAGTGTCGAGACTCGAGGGATCGACGGCTACGGCTAGACTCGAGAGAGCAGTAAAACGGCGATCGGTCGGGGTTGGGGAAGAAGAGATGGAGACGCGAGAAACAGGTGGATGGATCGAGTCTTATTGTTTTGCGCCGTCTGCAGCCCGACTCTGATCATAAGAATTTCCTTCTTTTTTTCGAGGTCCGTTTCCAGCCCGGTCCACCGAAAAATGCAAAGTCGACAGATCTAGCCTGATTATTGGGTGGGGGCTCGCCCACTCTGGACGCTCTGCCGGGAGCCAAAAACCACAGCTATCCCCAGAGGGGCAAGACGGTCCAGCGGCCAGTGGAACGGCACGGCCTCAGGCGCTTTTAGTGGCTCGGCGCCGTTCTTCACAGCGGGGTCCAGTGGTGATGGCGGGCCCAAGCTCCCCCTCCCAGCTTGCGCTGTGGGTGTGATTACAGTGCTGACCGAGAAGCAGACAGTGGGGGGCTTCCCACGCGGCCTACACTCCCTCCAGACGGGTGATTATTACGTGTCAACGGCGATTGACTCGGGGAAATTGGAGCTCCAACATGCCCCGGGCAAACATCCCTAAAAAGGCATCTAGAACCGAAAAAGACGCTCGAATACGACCAAGAACCCAGTGGATACGGCCCGGCGCGGGTGGGTGCGACTGGGTTGCGGCTGCGTGGCGGCTGCGGCGCGCCGAGAATCAATTGCTGCCCGTCAGCCTGTCACCTCCATCTGGTGTCACATGGGTCCAGATGCCGCCACAGCGTGGGGACGAAACAGTAAGGTGGTGTGCGGCGTGGCAGGGTAGCGCAGAGTGAGACTCGTTAATTATTAAACTCGTATTAATAGGTTGACGTGCCCGATATAAAGGCCCTTTAGTTGAGTTGAGGATTTCTTCCCCATCGATCCCAGATGGCATTCCCATCGATCCCGATCCCCCATGAATGAAAGTTCACAGGCCTTGGTACGCCTTACTCTATGTCTGTCTAACACATTACGTCCCTTGCAACTGCGTTAGGTTACCTGTGCGACTCAAACAGCCGCGCAGTAACCCCAAGCGCACCCCGATCTGCACCAAATCAGGGATGCGTGCAGTCACAACTGGGAACCAATCCCAAATTCATACGCCCACAAGCATGCAAACGCCACAGCCGGATTTTCCTTGACCCTACCGAAAGAGCCAGGTGTTATCGGCGCCAGAGGGGAGGGGTCATGGCACATGACGATGTAGCCACATCTATCTGTGTGCCATGGAGTTGCACCGTATTATCCTGGACGCATCGGAGGCATTTTAGCATCGCACAGCCGAAGCCAGTTTGCTTACTCCAACGCATCCAGCAGTGTATCTTGGCGCATACTTCAAACTGGCAACTATGGTCATGGTCCGGTGAGGATATCAGCCATGGCGGATTTCACCGTCCTTGCTATCCAGACGTTTGTTGTCGTTCCGTCGGTCTTTGACGATTCGCCTTTGCTCCAGTCAGCTATCGGTTCTAAACAGTGTGGGACACACCAGTGCAAAACACTCACGAGGAAGAAAATTCACTCGGCTTTCGGAGGGTGACGATTCATGGCTGCCGGTGGACACTTCACGCTCCGGTAGGGCTGAGACCTCGCGCGAGAAGAGGTCGTGGCAATCTTGTTCAGACTTGACGTTAAAGGTCGAGGTGCTTGATGACTGGCCTATGAAGGGTTGCAGTTAGCATTCCATGCCCAGATATGGCTTATAATTCTGCTGTTTTAATAGTATTACTAGTGACATTGATCCTCATAACAATGGCCAAGTACCGGAGTGATTGCGAAGTCCAATGTATATGGGGGATTGAGTACTCGGTAACATACCCGGTTTCGTAGCCGGCAAGACCTTGGGAGTGGCGATGGCTGGCATCTTGTCACTTCCTCCGTTTGGGGTTGCGGTCGTGTTCCGAGTCATTAATGCTCGACCCGAGAGTCTTTGCAAATGCGCTGTGGCGTCGAGGGCCGAACAAGAAAGATGGGTGAAGTTGTCCACGAGAACGGAGTCGGACACGGAGCCGGACCAGAACCCTCCGATTGCTGACAACCTCTTGACTTGCTAGTGCAGATGGCTTGCACTAATTCAGATTTGCAACAGAAACTGGATTGTGCACAACAGAGTGAGGATGAGAGGATATCCAAGAATCCAAGATCCAGCAGAGACTCGCCACGATGACTTATATACACCTTGTCGCACATCCGCGCCTCGGGCCCGGGGGTGAGCCGCAACGACGCAATCATCCCAACCCGCCCGGGGAATAAGCATCGCTGGCGGCCGGAGTGGGGCAGCAAACCCTCGTCGTATTTCGTACCGGTGCGAGAGCGATCTAAGGACACGCTGGTACGTGGAAACGGTCCAATCAGCGCGGCGCCGACGGCTGAGGATGCAGCGTTGTGCAAGGGTCGCTGGCTGGGAACAGGCCTCGCAGCATCATCCCCCAAACAGGCAAGGCGAGCACGAGGCCACATAACGTAGAGGTTTTCGAAGATGGTGCTGCGGCCAATGGGCGGAGGGTACGAGATACGATGGATGCCCGATGAGGGCGAACATTGGTTGTGCCTTGCAAGCAGTGCGTATGCCTTGCGTCGCGTTTGGGACGAGGAGTCGTCGTTCTGTAGGGCTGGCTTTTCGGCCGTTGGTCGGTTTCTTCGGGTTCGACAACCCGGGGAACGTTGGATCTGGCATCTGGAACTCAGAGGCTGGAGCTTGAATCTTCGTCTCCCTCTCGGCTCCCTCTCGGCTCCCTCTCGTCTCCTTCTCGTCACCCAAGATACGGCGGACCATGTTCGTCCCCAACAAAAACAATATTCCTTTTTCGCTTCCGATACCCTAGATCTAGGCTTCCATCTTCAGGCAAGCCATGTTGTCGCATTCATCCTCGTCATCGCAGGCGTCGTCGTCGTCTTCCTCGGACTCGGAGATGATGTTGAGCAGCCGAAGCGGTCAATATTCAGTCAACCGCCAGCCCACGTCACCGTCGTCATCATCGCAACAGTCGAGGCGTCGCAATCTTCGGGTTGATCGGGTGTATTTATGCTTACTAGTGAAGACGCTGAGTCTATTTTGCAGTTTTGGGGATAGTCACCTCGTAACGTGATGCCAGGCAACCACATTGGCGGATGAGGGGAAATGATTGCTACGTAATGTTCTCGACAATCCCAGCAAGAAAAAACGTGTTAAGATGTCGCAAAGAGCCTAGATTCACGTTGGTTTAGTTCCTATGTTGTCTTACAGTATCACAGAACCTCCACGCTGTCTCTCGTTCCTATTCAGAGTCTAATAGGGCGTTGCCGTATGGGGTGGTCTCACGTTGAGCGGTCATGGTTACCTCCTAGCTTGACACCCGTATTCAGGTTGCAGTTAATCACATCTTTAAAACCAACTTCATTACTTAGATACATTCCCCATGAGCCTCATATCTAGACCTCACACCTCGTGCCCATGTCTGTCGTTGCAAGTCATTCGTGAAACGCCAGCGTCCCATGACCCATGATCATGAGGGCTGAGTCTCAGCACTGACCGCCAGTGTACCCAGTCCCCGGAACAGATCCGACCCCACTGATGCCCACGAGCTCTCGCTGATGCCCGCTAATGGCCGCTGTAGCAGTAGCGGATGGTCCCTGCGTCCCAGCGGCGAGCTTATGTAAACTCACATTCCGGAGCTACCCAGCCAATCCCAGGCCCCAGATACGGGCTATCAGGGTCCCCTCACGTCATGGCACCTCGCTCCCCAGCCGCCGGCCTCCCCAACTTGACTCTTATCACTCCCATCCTACCAACTCAGCGCCAACGCGACGGCCGTCTTCCATTGTCGCCGCTGGTGGAAACTTGACTCATTGGAGTCTTTTCCATTGCTGTCCTCACCATGATTTTCCGAAATTCGATTACGGGCGCGGCCCTCGCCTCCCTCGTCCGAGCTTCCCAGCCCAATGCCGCCAAACCTGTGGCCGCTCCCATGAGAGACCTCAACTGGGGTCAGCTCAACTTCATCCATACGACTGACACCCATGGCTGGCTTGGCGGACATCTTCAAGAGTATAAATCCCCTCAGGCAAGACATTCAGGTCGCTGTTCCGAGGCTAATTAGCTACAGACCCCAATACTCGGCGGACTGGGGTGACTACATCTCCTTCACCCAACACATGCGAAAGCAAGCCGACGACAAGGGTATCGATCTCCTCGTCATCGATAGCGGTGACCGCGTAGAGGGAAATGGGCTCTACGACGCCTCCGAACCCAAGGGCCTGTTCCAGTATGGAATTTATGCCGAGGCCGAAGTCGACCTCCTCTGCACCGGCAACCACGAGCTCTACAAAGCCTACTCCGCCGACTGCGAGCACAACACTACCGTTCCCAATTTCAAGGAAAATTATATCGCTTCAAATCTCGACTACATCGACCCTGAGACAGGCGACCGCGTACCCCAGGCCCAGCGATACCGCAAGTTTAAGACCAAGAACCAAGGCATCGAGATTGTTGCATTTGGCTTTCTCTTTGACTTTACTGGCAACGCCAACAACACCATCGTCCAGCCTGTAGCTGAGACTATCAAGGAGGATTGGTTTCAGGAGGCCATCCGGGAGAAACCCGATATCTTTGTCGTCGTTGGCCATGTCGGTCTGCGAATGGAAGAGTTCAAGACCATCTTCACTGCTATCCGACAGCAGAATTGGCACATCCCCATTGCCTTCTTCGGTGGTCATGCCCACGTTCGCGATGCCCGCAAGTTTGACTCCAATGCGTTTGCCATTGCCAGTGGTCGTTACTTTGAGACCATCGGGTGGGTGTCGGTCGACGGCATCAAGAAGATCCCGGACGCGGTTGAGGCAACCACATCGGCCTCATTCTCGCGCCGGTACATTGACACGAATCTGTTCGGCCTACACTACCACACTGGGCTCAACGAGACCACGTTTCCCACCAAACAAGGCAAGAGGGTTTCCGAGACAATTACACGTGCCCGCAAGGCACTTGATCTCGACTATCAGTTTGGGTGTGCTCCCAAGACACTGTGGATGAGCCGTGCCAAATACCCTAGCGAGGACAGCATCTATACATGGATCACAGACGAGGTGTTCCCCGACATTATCACTCGCAAGGACCGCAAAGACAAGGCCAGACTAGCCATCACCAACACTGGTGGTATTCGCTTCGACATCTTCAAAGGTCCTTTTACTCGTGATACCACGTATAGCGTGAGCCCCTTCATGAGCAAATTCCGCTACATCCCAAATGTTCCCTACAAAGCAGCCTCTAAGGTCATCGACCTACTCAACAGCGCTGGCAGGATCTTTGAGGAAGATAGTCTTGACACCCGGATCCTAACCATCCCGCAGCAGAGGTTCCCTATACCAGTTGCTGATGCCGACGAGACTGAGGAAACCGAGGAGCCCTGGTTGGAGCTTCGTGATCTCAAGAAGGAGCCTAGTCTTATTGCGGGGTACACAACTAAGGATGATATTGGTGACGACGGTGACGATACTGTTCACGAAACCATAAATTTTTACAACCAGCCTAACTGTATCCAAGGGAAGATTGGCTTCCCCGAGGATGGCGAGCCGGAGACTGTGGACTTTGTATTCCTCGATTTTATCGAGCCTTGGATCATCCCAGCCCTCAAGTTTTCCGGTGCTGACTACAGCAAGGATGACGTTGAGGAGTACATGGAGGGGACTTTTACATACAAGATGGCTGAGTGGATCGGCAACAACTGGAAGGGCAACTGCTGAGACTGCTGATTAGTTATTATTTCTTCGGCTTGATGCATTTGGCGTTGAGTTTGCATGGTGCTATTGCATTGGGACTTGGTCTGGACATATTATTCCACAGATAGACTGGACATGGACATAGTTCGATAGACGAACTTGAAATCGTATTTGATTACCATGTCCTCTTCCACTCACGTGCTGTTGCTTACTTCCCTCATCTGCTGTCAGCCATCAGATACATAGAGAAGGGCCATCACGGTGGCGATCATGTAAGCTTTGGGGGCATTGTGGTAGATTGCAGTCTGCTAATGCTACCTATCTAATAACCTTGGACCCCGCATCCAATGTTTATCTGAGTGTAGGCAAATGTAAAAGGATCGTAACTCATGCGAGCATGAAAAGCAAATGTACCAAAAAAAAACTCAAGAAGCCCGTATTCATCCTCCAGTATCAACCGCTTCAGTACATCCACATCCCGGCCCGTGTATTCGTTGAAAAAAGTGAGGATTAAATCTCATGGTGAACGAGCGATGAAGAAGTGCAAAAAGGTTCGCGCATGCCCTGAGATGAAAGAAGCCGCAAAACCCAACGGTTCTCGTTTCTCGCGCGAATTGTCGGCCCCGCGGCGGTGGTTATGTCGCTTAGGGGAACTTGAAGCCGGGGGGAACGCAGTAGGGGCTCTTGCTGGGGGGGTAGAACTTGCAGATGGTGTCGGGAGGGCAGTCACCAGCGAACTGTGAGTATGATGTTAGACATGTATTGTCATGGATCGGAGGCTCCTATTCTCCATTGAGGAGAAGAGAAGAGAGATGGGAGTGGTTAGGTTTGGGGAGAGACTTACGACCCACTGGCCCTGGGTGTTGCAGACCTTCCAGGCGTACTTGCCGTCGCAGGCGTAGGTTGCGGGCGTGCATCCGTAGCCGCCGGGGGCAGCCTTGGGAGCAGCGGCAGCGAAGGTGGCCATGACGGCGACGAGAAGGGCAGAGTACTGCATGTTGAAGGTTGTTGTCGAAGATTGGGAAGTGGTTTGCTTGAGGGAGGAGATGTTGAGCGAGAGGCTTTGGTAGTTTGCTTGAGTCGGTTGCTTGAGTGATGAAGAGAGAGGATTCGAGACTGAGACGGGGAATCCAGCTCCTTATATACCTGATTTCGTCTATGAGGGCAATGGTTGAGTAGCTTGAATGCAGAGGACCATCTCACCTACACGAGCCCAAGTCACCAAGTCAAAGTGCACTGCCCAAGCCTCCTCCCTCCTCGGAACTCGGCGCAGTCTATCCTAGCGGATGTCTCGCAAGAGCAACACCTCCAATACGCCCGTAGGCGTCACTGCAAGCCACAGCACGATCTGGCTGGCCGCTTCGCCCTCGGCCGTCCCACCCTGCTCGTACAGCCGCACCCGGCATCGCAGGGAGCGTTCTGGTGGTTGCCAAAGACGACGATCCGGCCGCTGGATACGACGGCGCTGGTCATGGGGAGCGGGTGATCGGCGACCGGGACGGGGGGCGGCAGAGGGCTGGCGGACCGGGCGTGAGGAGGAGAAGAGGAGAGTTGGATACGATGCTTACTTGGATGCGGCAACTTCCTCGGTTAGTCTGATGTGAGCCGTCAATGTCATACTTGATGCCTCCCCTCACTTACACTTCTCTCAGACCCCGTATTCGCGCTCTGTAAACCTTCTATACGGCTCTTACGAGAGCACAGTAGTCCAATGGTTAAGGTAAGACGGATCGACACTACCATGGTAGCTATTGAATCTCGACACGGAGCAGCACCTCTTCCCCATCTCAGCAAGTCTAGCCCTACGACGTAACGTTCCTCTCACGCTTTGAACAACACCACCGTCTGTCGTGTCTCTCCAGACCGCTCCCAGAATGAGCCCGTCACCTGCTAAGCCGCACTTCTAGGTGTGTTCTGTACGACTCCAGTCTCAGCCGCTCCGGGGCCTCGCGCGCAGTCTTACTTTCGGGAGCTGCATGGACGGGACGTCGGCGAAAGGCAGAGGATTCCCCATTGGGCTGCCAAGCCAAGAAGCAAAAGTGAGCATCACCAGACGACGCACGCTCGTATGTTGAGGCCCGTCGAGTCCCTCAGGCAAAGCAAATCCCTCTTCGATGCGGTTAGGGAGGGTCTCAGACACCATTCCTGGCCCATCGCCAGTCCTCCCATCTCCCATCGGAGGAACTTGACGTATGCTAAAAATAATCCCCACACCACCCACAGAGTCGGCACTCAAAAGGCCAAGCTAGGTCCAAAGTGCAATAAGTCGGTAGATGCCGCTAGTACCCCGCAAAACGCCAATACGATACGACACCACCATCAGCTCCCTCGCCCTTCTGACATTCCAGCAAGACTGCCCGCTTATTCGCCTACGAGTTGCAAGCTGCAGACGGCCTCGTGTTGCGGAGCCTGAGGCCGAGGGCCCGGGGTCAGCTTTGCGTATCACAGGATATCAGGTGCGCAGTTGGGGCTGGCATGGCAAGCGAGAGACGAGGAAGCGAACGTCAAAGTGTTGATGGGCGGGTTTGGTTTCCCACATGGCGTTTTGTCTAATACAAGCTGTGGTGATCTGATTGGAGGCTTGTTGGTATGCAGCTCAAGGTCAGAGACGGATGGTACGGGCTACGTTCAACCGTCATCGGGCGGTTCACACTCCAGCCCTGGGGGCGGAGCACCTTTGCAAAGGGTAGGACGAGGTGCGTTGGGCGTTGCTGATTCGACATGTTTTGCAGAATAGCTCTTGGTCTTGATGGTCGATCCTTTCGCTGCTCATTGCCGATTAGTCTGAGTAAGACTCTCAGCCCCGAGGAATCCGCCGCGCTGCCTCACTCCGTCGATCCATCCATCGCCGGTTCGTCGCATAGTTGGCAGACAGAGCGTCGTCATCTCCTCCTCCCCTTCCGGGAGATCGCCGACTGTGAATGGATGGATGGACCGAGGGCCACAGAGAGAGCAACTCTAACCACACCCCGACCGATCCGACCGCTGCAGCTTCAACTAGGAAGTCCAGATGCCGGAACTGACTGACATTGACAACATGATCCCGCCGAGGCCCGTATACTCACTCCCTGCGATGCGGGGGCTCCCATCGTCGTTTGCGCCTTATAGAATGGCATTCTCGTATCAAGGCTATCCCGGCAAGCAACAAATGTTCAGCTCATGCCACTGGCCCATGGCTTTTCGAAGGATCCACGCTACGTCCAGGACACGGCCGAGACTCGGGTAAGCAGAAGAGGCTCAGGACTAGCAGCCCGAACCAAGACGAAGCAAAAGCAAGTTGACACGGCCCATCGCATGTTGCCCGTCGACGAATACCACTATACAAAGGTACATAGCGCCATGTGTCTCTGTCGGGCATTATTCCAGCCTCACGCTGCACAGCCGCAACGTCACCCTCCAATAAGACGCTTCCAATGCCCACGTCTGTCCACCAGTTCTGCCTGTGTGACCATCCCTTCGTCTAGCTCCCTTCCCAGAATAGATGAACCTAACTTAAACCCTCTGAATACTTTCGACGCTGCTGCTTCAAACCCCACAATACAGCCGTACTTGAGCCCGCCAAGCTCCGCCGGTGGGCGGCGAAGGCGAAGGCTGAGAGCCCAACAAGGCGACCCAATCGTCCGCTTCGCTCAACATCAGAGAGAGTTCGACGCCGATGAGGAAGCTAGTCATGTATGTCTGTCCCCCGCCGGGACGGTAATCGGCAATCCCTCATTCTATACGAGGGATTCGGACGTGGCCGCACCCCAACAGACGATGACAGCGGGACAAGATAAACATCAATACAATGCAATCCTGGCGACTTACCAGGCGAAGTTTGGGCAAGCTCGGAACAACCCTGCCAGCCCTACGCCAGTCAGCTTAGGTCCCACGCCGAATGTCACTTGCAGACACGGCGCTCTCCCAGTCAAAGCGATCATCAGCTCACTGGAACATCGGAACAACCAAGTGCAAGAAAAAAGAAAACCGCCATCTCCATTTACAGCTTGAATGCCGACCCGATCCCCCCATTGGCCCGGGGATCCCTCACAGCGGCGGTCAGCTCTATTAGGCTATCCATATGTCCCACATGTCTCATGTCATGCCACCAATCCTCGCTTTCTCTACATCGGTGCCTCCCATATCCTGTTGATTTGCTTTCTCCGCACCTAAATTAGAACATAGTGTTAGTATAGCTGCGTGGCGCACATAGAGCCGAGAATCGAACGAAGATGGCAAGGAGGGGTCAAAAACGTACCATAGGCGACAAGAACATCACGCCCCAAAACAACGCCACCACCGTCAACACGAGCGTCAACTTGTTGAAGCCCTGTCCAAGAATGTCAAACACGCCGCTGGGCGCGACCCTCGTGGCAAACACATCGACTCCGTAGGCCAACACCAAGCTGGTGCTCTCTACGATGGCCGGTGCCGCCACAATGCCCTTGACTCCTACAATGCTTCGCTGGTGAGACACAACCGTACGGGGGTCGACCTCGATGGCGGGCGTATACTTGATGAGACCCTCAGCCTCCTTCTCGGCGGGTGTCGAGTCTCGGCCGACGGGTCGTCGCGGTTCCAGAATCTGCCGCGGCACACCGACAATAGAGTAGGACTCGGGCAAGTAAGCCAAGAGCTGGCGATTGGCGATGCCCTGGCGCGTTTGTGTCACGGCCAAGGTGTTGAGGGGTTGGGAAATGACATAGGCCTGCTGAACAACCCAGGGGAGGGGGGGGCCGGTGGGGGTGTCCACGGGGTTTAACGAAGAGAAGTTCGCTGCATCCCCAAGAGGACCACGGTCATCTGGCGTCTCCGACTCATAGAGCTCAGACACAACAACTTGGTAGCCCTTGATCGTCCTCTTGGAGCCGTCGTTCAAGTCATGTTGCCCGAAGAAGGAGCAGGCATACCAGTTCTCCGCCACGGCACAAGAAATTGCCTTGGTGGGGTCGACGCCAGCATAAGACTGGGACACCAAAACCTGGCCAGAGACGGTGTCGACCAGCTGGACCATCAGGGTAGAGTCGGCCTCGTTGACCGCAGCCACCACAATGGTGTTGGCGTTCAGGTACTTGTAGTTGACACGGCGATCCCCCAGAACACGACCGATCGAGGCGATGGGGTCATGGGACGCGGCCTTCGCAATCTCGACAATCTTCTGGCCGGGGAAGAGTTGCAGCTGCCAGATCTCCTGCTCGACGGCCTTGTCGCCCTCGTTGGTGAACTTGAGTCCTCGGATAATCTCCCCCTCGCCACGAACGACAACGGTCTGCTCAGGAGTCCAGCCCGCGGGTATATCGCCGGCTTGGCCGTTGGCTCCCAGGGGAAGAAGCCACTTGCCAGAGGGGCTATCGACCAAAGCGGTGCTTGAGACCGGGGACAACGAGCCAGGGGGCATAACTTCGACAATCTCTCCGCTCTCGCTCTTGATGGCAACGTACTCGCCCTTGGCGCCGCGAAGAGTGACGACACCCTCGTCCTTGGCATAGATTCCCTTCACATCGAGGGTCTCGCCAGCGGCCTGGGGGAGGACGGTCTTAGACCAAACCACCTCGCCGTTGTTGGCAGTGCTCAGGCCGTACATGCGGCCACGTCGGGTCACGAGCACAATAAGCTTGTTGAAGCCAAAGGTATCACGTTGCAAACCCTCCTTCTTGCTCGGGGTTGCGCCGCCAAAGAGACTGCTCATAAAGCTCTCAGGGATCGATGCCAGGTAATCGGGCAGGTACTGGAGATCATTGATGTGGCGGTTGACACGGTGAATGTAGGCGGCCAGGGGGCTGGTGTGCGCCTCCTGTTCCAGGACCTTGGCGAGGGTTTCGCTCACGGGAATATCTGCCCAGACGGCCGCAACCGCGGCAGTCAATCCTTCGGGGCGGATCCAATCCACCTCGCCGTTACGGACGAGAATCCAGTCATCGGCCTTGGTCACAACAGCGGCCCTGACGGCAAAGCCCTCGCCGGTGGGCTTCTTGATGGCTTCCGCGACAGCATGGATCGGCTCAACATCACCAACCGGCTTAAAGGGCCAGCGAGCAAGAACGGCATGTGACTCGGAAGAAACGATGATAACCTCGTCCGCGGTAATTCGGGTAAAGTAGACGTTGGCACCATCGGAGCTGGTCGAGATAGCGCCGAGGCCTGAAAGGTGAGGTAGTTCGTAGGCCTGGGAGATCTGGTTGTTCTTCAGGTTGGTATGATAAACCTCGGCTTTGTTGCCATTCTTCGTCCTGGTATGGACGAGGAAGTGAGGCTGCGACTGAGTGAGGTGGGGCGCATGGATAGTAACGGAGACAGCCTCGGCGGGGAGCTTGATCTCCTGCGTCGCCTTGGTGCCCAGAACGTTGACCTTGAGCTTGGTGAGGGTGCTGTCGGTCCACGCCAGGATGGGTGCCGCAGAGTTGCCGCCAACAAACATGACGTCCTTGGGACCATGGACATCGCCCTTGGTGCCAATGGACAGATCATCGAGGCGGGTTCCCGCCGCAATGTCGAGAGCCGTAACCTTGATGCTGTATGAAGCGGGCGAGCCATGAAGGCTAATCACGTAGACCTTGGCGATGTCGGTTGACACCTGCAGAGGAGTGTTCTTTGCGGTCTCCCGGAACTCCCACACGACGTGACCCAGTGTACCATGTATGCGTCGCAGAACCGTTGTTCCGTCTTCGTCGAACAGGACCAGGACGTCCTTGCTCGTTTTCTCGGTCAACTCCAGGATCTCCAAATCCTTCACCTCGCCCTGGAACTCGGCCTGCCAGAGGTTCCGGCCCGTCAGCGCATCCCACGCCTGCACGCGCGACCCGTATGCAGAAGCAACCCAGTGCTCGCCATCGGCGGCGCGCAAGAAGCCACCGCCATTAGTGAGGTCATCAGCGACCTGCTGGCGCCACACAACGGCTCCATTGCTAGGATTCACAGCGCCAATTACGCCGACATCGCTGAGGGTGTAGAGGAGGCTGGCCTTGTCGGCCTTTCGCGGTCGATGGAAGAAAGAGGTTTCGACTTGGGGGACGCCGACGAGCGCGTGGTGGAAATCGATGTTGCCGACTTCGTCCTGGAATACGGCCACTCCTAGCGACGATAGTCCTAGGAGGAGGAGCGGTTGTAGTGAGAACCGCATTGTCGAGTGGAGGGCGTTGCTGCGGCTTCACACTTGACAGAGCTTGGGAGAGCTTCAAGCTGATGCATCATTATGGCGACCTGTTACGATGCGCGACGCTTAGTCATCGCGGGGCTCCAGGGTAGGTCATTAAGCAACGACCACTCAATCAAGTGCCAAGATAACTACTTAGGGATAGTATTAACATGAATGGGAACAATTATGTGTTCTCTGTATCCTATAGCCTGCTCTTGGTTTTTTGGATTGTTCATTACATGAAAGATTTGACCGTAACACTTGTTGTGCCGTGCTTACTCTCCGCGCATTGTAATGTGCTATGGTGTCATATCACGACATAGCAAGGACAGGCCCATGATCACGTCAACAGTCAAGTACGGGGGGGAAATAAACAGATCAATTAATAAAAGAAATAGATTTGGACATCACCTCATTGGAATTCTCCTTTCTATCCTTCGTTTAGGTTTATCGTATTATTCCACCCTACCTGTCTTGACGAACCAATCTTAGATATTGTCTGCGGGGTTCGTCTGGCGTAGCATGGATCTTTCTTGTCGTCCGATCCAGCTTCAATTAGACCAGGCTGGAAGATTTTCCCCGAAGTCATGATAACTAGGGACTCTTAAGTGAATTGAAACTTGCTTTTATCTGAGACACTACATTCATGGGTCTTATCAGCCGGAAGCACAAATACTCCGGGTATATATTCTTGTCCCACTTTCCGTGATATGAGTTTCCAGGAGATGCATCTCTCCTTGACTTGATCATTAGCCGCGCGGCCCTTGCTTCTCCTCCTCTCCTTCGTGCTAGAACGGGGCGCCTCGTATCACTCGAGGACGCTAGAATAAGAGGATACCAGGGCTCACATAACGCGGCCATCACCCCAAAGTAGGCAAAGGGTGGCAATTAAGATGGATCCGCATTCTGGATCCAGATTTCATAAGGTTTAGGCTGCTCCGTCCAGTGACCCCATTCCGATAACGCAATCCTCCTTAATGAGTAGGTGCTAAGCACATTTTTCCAGTCTAGGAACCTATTAGCGACGGATTCGGCAGATTGCCCCCGATGCCATTGTCTTAAGAGCAGCAAGAGCCATGATCCTGAAGATGAGGAGTCACCTCTCTTAGCTTCTGTCGATTGTCAACATCGAAAAGCCTCGGATATGGGACCACCACTTAGCCCCACCGTCGACCAGGACTCGGTGTTGTCAGATCGGGATGCGGACGGTGATCTCGTGACAGCCGCCGAGCAGCGCGACCTCAAGCGCGGGCTTGCAGAGCGCCATCTGTCCATGCTTGGCATCGCGGGAGCGATCGGTACTGGCCTGTTCCTGGGACTTGGCAGCGCGATCCAAAGCGGTGGTCCTCTTGGCGCCTTGCTTGGCTATGCAACCGTTGGGTTGGTCGTGTGCGCAGTGCAGTTTGCCCTCGGTGAGGTTGCTGCGCTGTTGCCCGTTACTGGAGCCTTTGTGAGGCACGCCGAGTTTCTCGTCGATCCTGCGTGGGGTTTTGCCATCGGCTGGAACCTCGTGTACGGCAATGTCTTGTCCATTCCGTCGGAAATCACTGCCATCTGCGTTCTATTCGAGTTCTGGACCGACGTCAACCCCTCCGTTTTCATCATCACATTTATCATCCTCACCGTCGTTGTTGGGCTTGCCTTTGTTCGCGTCTTTGGCGAGGTCGAGTACTTCTTCGCTGTGCTCAAGATCCTCCTCGTCGTATTCCTCATCATTCTCGGCCTGGTGATCGACTTGGGTGGTGTTCCAGGCACCCCCCGAATCGGCTTCAGGCACTGGAAGAATCCCGGTCCTTTCGTCGAGTACATCACCACCGGGCCATTAGGTCACTTCCTCGGCTACTGGAGTGTCATGACAAGCGCTGTGTTTTCGTTCGCTGGCGTTGAGTCTATCGCAATGGCAGCTGCCGAGACCAAAAACCCTCGCAGAGCCATCCCGATAGCCTGCAGAAATGTCTTTATCCGAATCATCATCTTCTATATGCTCGCCATCTTGGTGGTGGGCATGCTCGTCGCCAGCAACGACACGCGCCTGGACGACGCATATGGATCAGCCGCGCAGAGTCCCTTTGTGATTGCTGCTTCTGCTGCTGGACTACCTGCCATTCCATCTGTTGTCAATGCAGTCGTCATTACTTCTGCTTGGTCGGCTTCGAACCAGAGCTTAATGGCAGGAACCCGCGTCTTGTACGGCCTCGCCCTCAAGCGCCAGGCTCCGCGCATCTTTTTGAAGACGACCTCATGGGGCACCCCATGGGTGTGTGTGCTCTTTTTTACCGCCTTCATGTTCCTCAGTTTTATGAGTCTTTCCAACGGCGCTATGACTGTGTTTTGGTGGTTCGTGGACCTGACTGCCGCGGGTGTCTTGGTTTCGTGGTCCGCTATCTTGTTCAATCACATCCGATTGAGACGCGCTATGCAGGCACAGAATATCCCTGTCTCACAACTTCCGTGGCATAATTCCTGGACAAGTAAGTTGATGATACTTCGGCGAGAGAATCTTGGAAGAAACTCAAGGCTAATCTGATCACCTTCCAGTCTATTCTTCATACGCGGCGTTGGTCATGTCTATTACCATCCTCCTGACAGGTGGATTTGCCGTCTTCACCAAAGGCAACTGGAGTGCTGTTGGCTTTGTCTCATCATATCTGTACGTTCTCACTTCATGCGCATGCTGTTCGTTGTTCGAGGCTAATTTTTTCGTAGGGATATCCCTATTGTGATCATAGCATATCTTGCATGGAAGTTTGCGAAGAAGACGAAAATCGTCTCGTTAACGGAAATCCCTCTCCGTGATGCTTTTGATAAATGCCACGAATAAGACCCATCATCTGATCTTTAGACTTCTGACTGGAACCCGCATCCGAGGTAGACAAGCGTGGCGACTCACTTGGTCGATTTGATCTGGGACGTTTGGAAATGCGAAAGAACTGGGACGATGCGAAGCTGAATAACTTCTAAATAGACTAGAATGAGTCGTATTCATGTATATAAACTTGCTGCTTACGGCTAAGGCGACGTTTGCGATAATCGATCACTAATTAATTGAGCTTCATGAGTGCATGTCTTATGGCGACAGTGGAAAATGATTGATCGAAAGGCACACTGGTTCCACTGTTTTTAGCTTGGGCTTGATAAATCATAAAATCTCCCCACAATTCACCAACGGATACCATCCGCCAATCAGTGACAGAGTGGCCGAGTGGTTAAGGCGTCAGACTTGAAGCGCTCTTTGAAACAGGATCTCCGGATTTGCCAGTAAATGAGCCTAGATATCTGATTCCCTAGGGATCGCAGGTTCGAATCCTGTCTCTGTCGAATAACTCCTAGACCCCTTCACTCAGGGTTTTCTTTTTGCCTTTTTCATACCTTGATATTCTTCACGCTGTTCTTTTTGAATGCGTGGACCGACCTAGCAGATTGTGGTGCAGATCTAGGTGGCTGCATTTATTAATAATCTTCGCAACCACCTTGACTTATCTATCCTGAGACTGGATGGAATGTCCTCCAGGCGCTTGACCTTCCAAATTCAAGAAACATGTCATGCTTATACCCTGCCGAGACATGTTTCATTTTAAATGCTACAATGTGAGCAACCATCGGCAGTTTTTTGGCTCCTAACCAAGGCGACAATACCTTGTCAAGTCGTGTACTTAGCCGCATGCAGGGTGTCATAGGATCTCCCCTCGCGGCAACATGTCTCGTGCCAAGTGCAAACAACCTCAGTCATCAACATCGTCATCGGCACTTGATACCTGGCAGGCATGTGGACATACCAATAGTCATCATCTAGCAATAGTGAAACCACTCTTCTCTACCTTGTCGAGAAGAGGGTGTTCAGACGATTTGGCTGCCCCCAAGAAGGTCCCGTTTAATAGTACGTGTGATGTCTGATCCCTAGTTCCCGCTCTCATCTTGATACATTTCGATACGTCTTCCTATGAGATAAAAAAAAGAAGGACGATTAAATCGCCGACCAGGAGCTTGCGCCAAGTTTTGAGGAGTCAACTTTAAGATCTTGAGGGTCGTCTTTTGCTTATCTTGCACAACATCCGCTATCATGGAGGTATGGTCAAGCTGTCCACGCCGATACAATCCAGCCACAGCTAACAAGGACATAACAGCTACTCCATAGATCCCTAATATCCTCCTGGAAAACTACCCCAATCCCCAACCTCACTCTCTCCGCGAGTGGCCTCCTCGCCCTCGCCGACCTCCGCAGCGTCGCCCACAGGACCGCCATAACCGGCGGCTCATCCTGGCTCGACTCTCTCGTCCTCGCCCCGGGGCTGCACTACCAGCAAGCTTGCGAATACCTCGACCGCGAAGCCCCCATTGGGCTGATCGCGCTGCCCACAGCGCCAGCAGTACCAGGCGTAGCTGGGGCCCCGGAGGTACGATATGGCATCAAGAACGTCGTCACGGTGAATTATCTCCTAAGTCTGTGTCGCGAAGACAAGAAAGGGATCGTGACACTCGACGTGGGATCTGTGCCGGGATGGGACGTGGCGAAGCGGCTGCGCCGAGTGCTTAGACGGAAACGAAAGATTGCGGACGAGGAAGACGAGGAGTCTCATGACTTCTCGCCCCCAGATATGGACTGGTTAAGCCATTTCATGTACCTCACCACCCCGGTTCTCACAGTCGTCTCTACAACCTTTATGATACTCTTCGAAGACTGGTGGGGGCTCTCGATCATCCTCGCCCTCATCCTCTCCCGCGTCCTCAACATCCGGGCCATCAAGAACCGGACCGAACCACCCTCTACCAGTCCCACCACGGTACCGCCTGACCATCACATCACAGAATATAGGATCGACCTCGGCGGCGGCAACATCGTTCGCCTGCGCGGCCTGGACGCAGACCTCCAGGCCCTCACCACGCAGGCCTGGCTGCGCGCGCAGTCGCACCTGGACGGGTACTGTGAAGCTGCCGCCAAGCTGATCGTGTACATCGTCGCCGCGCTGAGCGGCAACATGACGCAGGCCGGCGCCATTGTGCTCGTGGGGTTACTGGTGTTGAGCGCTGCGCTGCTAGGGCTGAGCAATGCTCATGCCCGGGGGTTTCGCGTTCACGGGCGGTATGCGCTGCCGGAGATAGACAACGGAGCCGGAGATGCAAGCGTCGGAACGAGCACGGCGGTGCAGAATGTGGATGGACAAGGAGTCCGAAATCGACCAACGACAGCACCATTCCCACGTCTTGAAAGCAAGACTGCCAGTAGAGAATGAGTTTATACACACATGACGAATAGAAACACTTAGTTTAAACCAGCAAAACGGCCGTTCATTCACTGAACTCTACCCAGGATCCTCTCCCATAGCAAGATTCTGTTGTACAAAAACGCCCACCCAGTCCATTCTCCGTACTGCACAGCCCAGAGCAAACAAAAAACAACGAAGCATCCAACCAAAAGATTGACCCCAACAATCCTGACCATCTGTCTATCCAAAACAATTGTCTTGACGAAATCCACTCAAACTCTCAAACGTACTCCTCCCAGTTCCCAACACAAAGACGCTTAAGACGCCAGATTATCCTCCTTCTTCTCTGCAGGTGGTGCCTCGACGGGTGGATCTGCTGCGGGGATTTCTGAGGGGGAGATCTCGGGCACGGGTACCTCCGGGATAGGCTCTTCTACCTTCTTCTCAGAGGGTTCTGCCTCCGGCACGGGGGCCTCTGAAGGTTCGGTCGATGCAGGTACAGGCTCGGGAGCAAATTCAAGTACAGGCTCAGGAGCCGGCTCGGTGGCGAGTTCGGCAGTGAGTTCGGGAGCAGCGTCGGCAGCAGGCTCAGCGGCGGGTTCAATGACCGGTTCGACGACTGGTTCGACGACTAGTTCGACGGCGGGTTCGACGGCGGGTTCAAGGGGAATATCGACGACAGGCTCGTCCACAGACTCGACCACAGGCTCGACCTCAGGCTCAACGGCAGATTCGGCGACAAGCTCGAAGATAGACTTGACGACAGGCTCGATAATCTCAGGGGCGGCCTCAGGGACAGCCTCAGGAGCAGACTCAGGAGTAGCTTCGAGGGCAAGCTCAGGGATAGGTTCAGGGGTTGGTTCAGCAGCAGGTTCGACGGCTGGCTCAGACACCAGAGTTTCCATCTCCAACTCCAACTCCATCTCCATCTTCTCATCGACCTGACGGTCCAGCTCACCAAGTAATCCACCAAGCAAGTCAGGCTCCTCAGCGGCATCGGCAACCACAGGAGTCTCTTCCTTCAGAGGCGAAGCGGGCTTTGCCTCTTCGGGGGTGGGCTCGGCGGGCGCCTCAGCAAGTACATCAGTTTCCATGATGTCTTCGACTGCTTCGGGCTCGACAGGAGGGAGCTCTGCGGGCTCAGACATGGCAATGCTGGCAGGCGCGGAATCCTCTTGCTTAATGGCGTCCTCGGTCATAGTGATATCGTCCTGCTCTAGGGGTGGATTCTCTAGGATTGCTTCTTCTCCTGTTTCGACCTCCTCGATGGGAATCTCTGCACTGTCTGCAACGGTGCTACCCGAGTCTTCAGCAGTGGGAGTGGTGGCGATATTACCGACTTGCTCGTGCGGAGGAGGCAGCAACGTGTCCTCCTTGGGAGACTCGTCCTTAGGGGCGATGGCGTCGGGAGTAGTCTCGGGTGCTTCTTCTGCGGCAGCTGAAGGAGGCTCAGTCGTGACCGGCTCCACGATTGGCGTAGCCTCAGGGGCTTTGACGTTCTCGACAACGGGCTCCGTGGTGAATGTGTTATCCAGTGAGACATCCGGAGGAACCTCCGTTGTGGGAGAGGGCATAATGACATTCTTAAGTGGGCTTCCCTCAAGCTTTGACATGCTGGGGGTCAGGTTGAGAGGAGGAGGAGGAGGGGCTAGGCTGAGAGGGTTGGGAGGTGCCTGTGGCTCTGATGGAACCTCGTTACCTCCCATCTCAACATCTGGAGGATCAAACGAGGACGTTTCAACAGCGGGCACAGCGTCTGCCATTTCATGATCCTGAGCCTTGTCGCCGTCGCCGTTTGTACTTCCGTGCTGAGTGCTTTCGGCTGGTGTCTCAGCGCCTTCGTCACCATCCTCGTTTTCGTTGCCGTCTTCTCCCTCGTCGTCGTCGTTGTCGTCATCGTCGTCGTCGCCATCGGCCATTTCGCTATCGTGGTTGGCGTTATCTTCGCTTTCTTGCTTGATGCCCTGTTGACGGTGGTTAGCGTTATACTGCATGCAGCGAGCTGGAGATCTCACGTTGTCGCCAGTCGGCTCGGGCTTGACTGCAGCAGGAGCCGCGGCGCCATTTATCGGGACCGCAGCAGCCACTGGCTGTCCTGCACCAAGAAGAGGAATCCTTCCCCTCTTCTTGCCTCGGCCAGGACCAGCCCTCGACTTTCTCTTCGGTGGATTTGGTCGTTTCCTTGCGTTCTGAGGTGCCGCAACATCAACCTTTCTCACAGTCACCCTGGTTACAGTCGGCTTGTCCTCGATTGTCTTGCTGGCGATGGTCACGGTGTTCTTTCGTCGCTTGGCCAAGTGCGAGACGGCTGGGGCCTCGACATTCCGGGGAATCTGCTTCCAGAGTTTGATGCTGTATCCCTTGGCGCTGTCGTCTTCCTCCTTCTTCTCTGGCTTCTCCGGGATCGCTTCGGGGTCAGCCTCTTCCTCCTCAACTGGCGCGGGACGCTTGTAGAGTCGACCGGATCGCGCGGCGAGGAGTAATTCCTGGCTATGCGTCGGTAGAAGGTGCGAGTCCTTCGGCATGCCGTGGATGACGTCGATCGACCAGATGTCGTTCTGCTGCTGTTGTTCCTGCTGAGGCGGCGGCGCGACGTTGACCCAATCGTGGCGCCATTGTCGCACTGGGAGACCTGGAGATAATTAGTAGCCGTCGCAATCCCCCAACAACGCGGTCGTACCTTCGAAGTCGTCGTGGTCGGCGTATCCGCTGCGATTCGCGCGTCGCGTCTGTGCATCACTGTTAGAGCCGCGAGAATCAAGCCACCGTGTAGGCACCTACGCCTGGAGCCATCGTCGCCGACGTTAAAGCACAGCTGCTGGCGCAAAAATGGTAATGGAATTAAGTCGGAAAAATGGGGCGCTGCGATTGGGTCGTGCCGCAAGTGTCGTGCAATGCGCCCGTGGCCTGGTTTGTTTCGAAGGAGGCTGAGAGAGGCTGAGCTTTTGTCGCGACGAGCGTGAGGATTGGTGTTTACATTCTGGCCAATCAGGGGTTGGTTGGCGATGACATAAGCTCCGCGGACTTGGTCCTGCCAAGGAGAAGGCACCAAAATGCGCAGAGGGGATTCCATGGAGCATGATGTGACAAATCAGGCATTTTAGATTGAATGAGCCGAGTGTGCCTCGAGCTGTCTGTATTCTAGCTCTGCCGAGCCCTAGGTGAATTGGAGAGGAGTGGTTGTCGGGAAAGATGGAATCTCCTGAAGCCCCTCTCAGGAATCCTCCATGATCACATCTCCCTCATGATACGGGCGCGGATAACTGCACCGGTCTTAGAATTGAGATCCGCCGTCTAGTACCCCAGATATGACATGCCCTTGCCTTCATCGCCTTCGCGCAGCCCTCGCCTGAGCTGTCGCTGCCCCCCCGCCCCAGTTTGTGGTATCCGATAGATATACATTGCCGCCGTTCCTACTATACACTCCATTCTATGTCCTTTTTGCAATGGTCGATTGAAGGCTGGCCCCAGCTCGGCGTGATCAGTTGTGTCTGTTCGCATCTGTGAGCCTCTATGACTGCCATCGGCATCAGGGCGTAAATACCCGTGCTTCTTCTGCCTTAATGCCTCTTCTAGCTGTGTTTCTGCTTGGCCTAGTCTTCTTGTCAATACGCCGAGATTTTGGTCAGTGAGGAAATAAACGTACCGAGAGCGATCCCTCAACAACTAAGCGATCAAACTCGTAGAACTGGCTGATGACCGTTTGCCGCTGTTCCTTCTGTCAGCTCTGACCTCCGCCATGATGACCAACAATATCGTCACGTACCTTCAGGCCCTGGAGATCCTTGAGACCCTTCTGAACCAGTTCCTGGACCTTGCGGGGGTCTTGCTCGGTCATATTCTCCCGGAATGCATCTCTCGTCCGTCGCTTCGCATACTCGCGGAAGTTGTAGGCGGCGAATTGCTCGCCTTGCCGTAATAATTGGCGGTACTAAATCGGAGTCCATACGTTAGCCATCCAATCCTTCCCAATCGGTAGGTTGTGCGGCGCCGGGCGCCCACCCGAAGTCGCCGGCATTCACGCCTCCCACTCTGGGAAGAAATTCGGCCAGGCGGCTATCCTGGAGAGCGGAAGAGGAGGAGAAGCAGGTGACTTACGAGTGATCGTACTTGTTGCGGCATGTCGCCCTTTAACGTTCCAACGACGGACATTCTGGGGTGGATGGGGTTGAGAGGAGCGGCGGAGAAAGAGATCGCGACTGGCTTTTGGGTGGCCGGTGATGCAAGACATTGGCGATTGGTGTTCGGTGTTAGTCGGGGCGGAGAAATTTGCCGCTCCGGCCGGACATTCCCCGGAGACCAAAGACACGGCGACATATACACTGTGCAAGCACGGGTCAGAAATGTGTGAGTTAACAGTGCGAATATATTGCTTAAAATTGTTAGCACTGTCGCACAATCCCCGGAGGTATCTAGGAATGTCGGCTTTTTGATTGCGGGAGGAGTTGCGTCGGCTTCATCCTGGCTGGAGGTTATTAATTCATTGTTGCGATTGCCATCAAGGTATTCTCGTGGATAAATACCCGGGATGCTTTTACTGCAAGGCGTGCCCGATCCTGCCTTGCATTGCGCCCGCACGGCTCATCGGCTCATTGCGCTTTTGATACCGTAAACTATGGACATGGGATAACTATGCGGTGAATGAGAAGCCCCCAATACAGCACTTGCCACGCGCACCATCATGACGGAATAGAACAGGCCCGACGATGGGACCCTGGGGACCCTTGCCGTTCGTTCCGCATGACCCGCTTGACCAAATACGATAACAAGAACGCACTCAAGACCTGTGCCCTCACTGAAAACTAGGCCAATCAAGGATCATGGGAAAAAGCACCTTGGTCATCATGGGGCCATTTCGATGCGACGTCCCCAGTTCGCGACTGATCCCAGTCGCCCACGTTGTTGGAATCGAGATCCATTGCAACCCCACGAAATTCCCCATATGTTGCTGGTTCTCTCCTCTCAGCTGCTGCTCTCAAAAGCATAGATTTGCGCACATAAAGTTGCCCCTCATTGCACAGCTCCAGCCTCACAGACATCGTATGCGACTTTCCTTGGTCTTAAATGTTGTAGGACAAATACGATTCTGATTTTCTTTGATTGCGCGAGAAAGTACCGTGTGATTTGTGATAATTGAGTAAAGACCGCGATTGGGCGTCATTTTCGAGGGCATTACCTGACAATGAACCCCGCGATGGTAAGGTCCTCTAACTATAGATGGACAATGATAATAGCTTGGGGGCTTTGCATCCCTCAATTCCTTTCTTGTTCGGCTGCATCACACGCAACCCACGGGCACACTGGCTAACCTTGATCCGGCAGTTGTGATCTGTATACCGAGCGACGGCCACGAAGCACCGCAGTGATGCATCCTGCATGTTCAATTCTGATCAAGATGGAGCATAGGCCCGGGTTGGGTAGCATTTGTGCCCAAGGTGTGTGTCCACAAGCTTCAGAGCGTTGCACACCGGTATTTGCCCAGGCATCACCAAGCATGGCCCCTGTGAGAAGAGGTCCTGCGGATGGGGACCGGGCGGATTTGTTAGTCAAGGGCAATGCCCCCAACTGGATATATCACAATTAGTGCTGCACAACCTATGGTCGTCGTTGGACGGCGTCAAGGCGGTGCAGCAGGGTGACATGGCAAGCGCCTGCAAGCTATATGTGTGGCACCTATCGGATCTCACATGCATGCTCCTGCAATCCATGACGTTCGAGCCCTTGGAGGCTGAAGGTGGCATGCACGGAAAGTGACGTGTGTTGTTGGGCGGGATCCGAAGGAAAGAAGGTTGCATCGCTTGCAGCCGTGGCGGCGTCCCTTGCAGTAAGACACGTTCAGGCGGGGCTTTGGGTTGCAGTAGACTGGTGGAAATCAGGCTTCTGCAAAGCCGGGTGATTGTTGATGATGGCCCAGAATTGCTGGTTCTGGCTCGCTAGCTCAGGGTCCTCTTCCTCATCTAACGAAGGGGAGAGGGTGGGGATTGCTGTCTCAATCGACTCTGATGAGAAGCCCTTGGAGTCGAGCATTCGACTGAACCGTGTGGCGGAACTCAGATCACTGTCGAGCTGGGCAGTGAACACGTACTTCTTCTGGTTGTGATTCGGCTTGACAATATTGATAGCTTTGGTTGGCTGTGCGGTTGGGAGTGGCGAGACGAAACATAGGTTCGTGACAGCTGCGTTGAGATTGGCCATCTCAGTTGGGTGGGCATTGTCTGCCAGGCTCCACCGAAAGATTTTGCCTTTGGTGTGACCCGAGAGGATTGAGGTTCCATCGTATGAGAGAGCAAGACAGGACGGCTGTCCTGCCTCTGGGTCTGAGACTGCAAGCGGGGCGTTGACCTGTATGACAATGGAAGCGGGTTCCGTACTCCGAGAGCCAAGAACAGGCTTTGGGCCCCCAAACAGCTCAACGAGGAAGAGAGAGCCGTCCTCAGAAGCAACGAAAAGGGCTCGCGCACTTGGGTCGAGACAAGCGCAGAGGGGTGGCGTTGGGAAGAGCAACGTCCGGAGAATCTGACCGGTCTGGAAGTTCCAGACAATGCACGTCTTATCCTTACTTGCAGAGACGCATATGCTGGTCTCGGAGTTGGTGCTCGGGCTTACCACTAGGCTGGTGATGGCGCCGCGGTGGTTGGACAGAGTCCGCTCAGGTTCATGCTCCGCCTGCACGTCCAACGCCAGAAGGCGTGATAGCGACCAGACGTTGATGTTGGAGTCATCCGAGCCGGACAGGATGTGATAGGGCGTGACAGCCAAGCACGAAACAGCCTGGACATGGCAGGGGGGAGTTGACACTTGTCGGCCCGTGCACACCTATGACCTGTCAGTAGCTGGAATATATGGCTTGCATCAAGTTATACGCCATGTGGCGGGCAGAAGCATCGGAGTGGGCTGGCTGACCTCCCACAGAAACAGTCTCCCCTCGGCGGTACCCAGGACCAAGACTTGGCCGGCGAGGGTCAAGCTGCGGATCCTTTCGGGGAAGGGGACGAGGGCCTCCTGGTTGCCGCGTTGACGGGAGTAGACGTGGACGTGGGCCTTTTGGTGCTGGGCTGCGAAGATGTGCGTGTCGCTGAGGGCCAGGCAGTTGACCGGAGTGGAACTCTTCTTGAAGGTTGCCTTGACGGCGTGAGAGGGAGTCAGAGCGTGTGAGTAGATGCCGACATCCTTAGCTATGGCGGTGTTGGCAGCGAGCGCAGGGCCGCAGATGGCCGAGACGAAGTCCTGGGAGAGCATCTTGGCTGGGCTCTGGTCAAGATTTTTGATGCTGGGACGAAAATTCTCCACCGATACGAGGGTTGCGGAGAGCTGCTCCGGAAGCCCACGGGGCGAGAATAACGACGTTGGAACCGAGCCGGGCGAAGCGAGCTGGCGGAAGCTGGATTGACCTGAACAGACCAACTGGACGCTGCGGTCCGGTCGACGAAAGAATTTGCAGACGAGATCGAGATGCTATCCGACCGCGGAATTGGAGGTGTTGGTCTGTGCCCGCGTACCAATATGGACTCGAGTTGGAAGTGGATGCGTGGGTGAGAGCTACTTTGCACGTCTACCCTCCGTGCAGTAGAACGGATTCTCGGATACGAACCGTTGCGGAGCCAAGACACGCGCAGCAGAAACAAGCAAAGCCACTGGACCAGGCAACGAGTCCACGACTGAAGCTGGAGGCGTGGATTCGCAGCGACGCAAGGGACCGACGTATCGGGGCTTAATGGGGAGCCAATCAGCGCTAACCCTAGACCTTTGGCTGCGTCTTCTAGAGCAATACTCAAACCACAGCCCGCGCTTGTGGACCACGACGGAACTATCGTCGGATCGAAGCAACGTCAGGAAGACCACAGGGGAAAAATTGACTCTTGTTTGCTAAGTTTTTGGGCGTTTTCCTGTTGCGGCCGGGGAATTTGGTCGGAGGCCAAATCCGGGCAATATTTTCTTTTTCTTGGCGAGTCCAAGGTCCGCGCCAATGCCAGCCGCGGGCGGTGTGGCAGCCGCTAAACTAGCACCGAGGACACCACCCTCTCGCGACTAGTTGGGAGAGGGGGGTTTACGTCTGCCAGGCATTAGTGCCTCTTTCTATTCCTAGCGGCCATCCTCCTCCACTGCTGCCAGCGCTGGGTGGTTTTCGCGGGCAGCCTGTTGGCCGTGTTTGCCAATGGTTGGTGGCTTGCGCAGTAGCAGAGGCTCTCGGGCCTCTCTGTCTTATACAAACATGCCACCCCCTGTAGCCGCCATCGCTCTAGGGAACTCTTAGGGCACACCTCTGATCTCCTAGATCTGTTCGGAGTCATTATTAGGGCCCTAATAGCCATTGGGTTGTGATCGCGGTGCCTGGCTAGCTGATGAAAGTTGCCCGCCGCGGCGAGAGCCTAGCCGGGCCGTCTTTTGGAGGCAAACCTTCGGGTGCTGTTCCCGTAAGTGGTGCCCTGTGATAGTGCCCTTGGTGGTGCCCTCCAGAGTTCGGGAGTTCGGGAGTGGCCCTATAGTGCCTGTAGCGCATCGCAGTGCCCTATCCGCTGCCCTGCCCTACGCCGCCCTTCCCCCTGTGCACATCCCCCAGCGAACCTCCCTTTTTTAGTGCCCGTACCCCTTCACTGGATTCCCGTGATGGGGAGGGTCAGTTCAGGCAAGGGCCTTATCCCTGCCGGCGCAGCTCGATGCCGTAAAGCTGTTTGATCCTCCTCACATCACCCATCACCTCGCAACTCTCGCCTCAGCCGGGTCGCCAACCCCACGGCCCTAAACGGTTTGCAGTTAACCGTGTCTCGTGGCCCATGCCTCAGGGCCCATGTTTTCTTTTTCCTCGCTTCATCTTTGATCAGTTCTCAGTTCCCCCTCGCGTCGTGTCCACTGCCCGAACGTGCAGGAGGATGGCCTCTAGTCGCGCTCAACTCGCGGCCCCCGCGCTTTCCATTGCTCCCGGATGATGCCCCGCTCGGTCTGTCAATTGACAGGTAATCTTTCAAATCCGCGTATCCCTGGACACAGCACATCCCCTCGCGATGCTCGACCCTCAATGGACAACCAACAGGCAGACTTGGCACCAAGATGGGGTCATGACAACCCCTCGCTTGCAGTCCAGACGCATCCGAGCGAGGAATGGAGCAGGCTTCAACCATGTTACCCTCAGCTCTCCACTTTGGAAGGTTGGCTGCCATGCGGACGCCTGAAAGCCATGTGGCAGAGGCGGAGACAGCATCATGTCCACCAAGCTGATGGCGTAATGCATGCCGCCGAATCTATCCATCTGACAGCCTGCTGCTCCCATGGGACTGGTAATCATGGGTCTTTCATGCCCATCACCGCGTCTGGCGATGCCGGCTCGGTCTGGGTTCCTGTCCCGGCTGCCCGACTGACCTTGGCTTGGTCAACCATATTGACTCTGTCGGAAAGTCTCGACCTTGGCAGACCACCTTGGAAGACCACAGTGACGGAGTCTAGATCTCAGCTCCATACCAGTGTCTCGTTTCAGCCACGGCCCGCACTCCAGTGACGTCTTCGCTCGTGATGTCTGGCCAGAGTTGCAAAGGATTGAGTTGTGTCCCTGTGTCCGTTGTTTCACGCTCGAGAGCCACGGTGATTGCTTATGAACCACATTCCGGAGCCAGCCCCAACCGGCACGCCTCTCAATCTCGATGACGGGAAACGGTAATAACAGGCTGATGCTCATGTGTGTACGGAGTACCCAGCACCATTTTGATTCCCTCATTAAACCTCCCGCATCTTGCGTCTCCCTGGCCCGTGTCACTTGGGCTAGTGTACGTCGACGGAAAGAGGTTGTAAGGGGTGGCAGAATCTACCTGATACGTCCTCTCCCTTGGGGGTGTGGCCAGCATGATCTTGGCATCCTGGTTGTGCAGTCGTCTGGGCTCGCCCGAGAGCTTTGTCCAAGTGGAGACATCATGAAAGCTTCATGGCATCTTCGCGGCGACTTCACCAGTGCTGGAATTCTATTGTTCGGCGACCGCTTCCACCTCAATCAAGACGATATGGCGACAATCGATTGCCTCTCTTGTCCCTTTTCTTTTTCCCTCTCTGTGCAAGGATCATGGCCTTCCAAACTTCCAGTCGAAAATCACATCGCGGGCCTCCCAAGCTACCATCCTTGTTAGTTGTTAGCTGGGAGCCATTTTACTTTTTGGCAACGCACCAACATGCATTTTGCTTTTTCGCGGTGCAACCACTGCTCCCCGGGAACGCCACCCAACTTCTCACCTCATTCCTCTTGCAAGGGCGCCGTTAGTTACATTATGTGTCCTGGCCTCCCTCCGTATCACTGTCTCTCTCTGGCACCATGTGCGACAGACCCCGCCCGTGTCTTGCCCACAGCGGCTCCATCCCTCCTCGTTTTCGCGGCCCTCGATTCCCATGGTTGCGCGACATAAGCAGTCTCCCTTGACTCTGTCATCTCTGCCCTGTGTGCCCACTTTCAGATCCACCCTCCCACGCCTATCGGCCCTCATGGTTGCTTGTGGCCGAGTTCCAGGCCCGTCATATAACACTTGTCGCGTCCTGTGTGTTGTTGCCCACCTACTGGCATTTGGACCCGACTTGTCTTGACTTCCGCTGAGTTTGTCTCCCAACAGCCTCCATGTCTGTCCTCGGTCCGAGGATCCCAGTGGCCATCTACTTATACAGGGAAGACCCAGCCCTTACACTCGAGGCCGCCAAGCGAAGGTCAGCGCCCGTCATATTGAAGCGACGTTCTGTCTCAACTATGAAGGACCTGTTACCGCTGTCACTGCCGAAGACCCGTTGCGGTTCACCTGGCAGTGAACCTGTCGAGGAAGCCATGAACGTTGACCTGTCCCAATGTTTCCCTGAGATTCTCGCAAGAGACCTGGAGATGTCGAGTGCTGTGTTTGCGGCTAAGAACATGACGGCCGGCAGTCCCCCGACGGCTCTTGTCTACGAGGAAAAGAACAAGCAACGAACTATGTCCTGCCCTGGTCGGATGATCACATCGCCCTACCTGACGGCTTCGCTCCGAGTTCAATCTCTCGGTGCCATTGAAGAGCGCGATTCAGTCGTGTCCTTCCTGGAACATCGAGGCTACGGTACTGAAGGAGCATCTGACCTAGATTCACTTCCCGGAACCGACTCATCCGGCGGGCTCGAAGGGCCCTCAATTGGCCTTCGCCAGCAATCTATCATTACAACTGCTACGTCTCTCACTTCTGCCAGTGGCAGTGCCCCTTCGCCAAAAGCCCTGGTATCCGGCAAACCGTCCCGGGAAAATAGCTGGATCATCGACGAGTCCGACGACGACATTGACAGAGACGAGGAGGAGGATACTACCAGCGACCGGCCTGTTGCGCTCTCCCCAAGACCACAAACTCCACCCAACCCAGGTTCAGTTTTTGACAACATGGGGAGCCTCAAGGAGCTGGCCAGATCAAGGACACCTCGTCACCAGAAGACGGGTTCCACCAACGACACTCCTTCGAGAAAACATTCAGTGAGATCGGTCGAAGTTCCTCCGCGAAGAACCTCGCTGGCCTGCACGACGTCCCCAAGCAACTATTCGAGATCCCAATCATTATCGCCTAGCCCCGATTCGAAGTCAGCTTCACGGAGGCGTCGTCGATCCTTTCAGCCCTCCCGACACACTCACGACTTGAATGAAGATGAGACAGACACATCCACCAGCAACGCACATCCCCTCGAGCCCCTCACTGATTTCGATGTGGACTCAATTGGCTTTGATGAAGACAGCATTTTTGATGCAGACTTGCAACCGTGGCCTCGACCGAGCACCGTGTACATTCAGACAACCCCACCACCCTCACCACTGCCGACCGTGCAGGCATGGCTCGACCGATCAAACCCTCCTTATGTTTCCCAAATACCTGTCGATGACCTGGCGAAAGCAGTTCCGCTACCGCCCGATGTCATGGAGACATTGAGGGTGTCCATTGCCTGCTTCCCAGAGACGATGCTCCTCTCTTCCAGTCTTACTATCGAGACTATCCGCTCATACTCCAAGAAAGTCAGACATCCATCGACCGATATATGGAGGGAGTCACTGGGAGACCTCACACCCCAACCCCCGCGGAAGTCTCTCTGGAAGAAGGTGGTCTGGCACAGTCGCGAGTCCATCTCCACGCGACTGCACCTAACCCCGCCACCCAGCGAGGTTGTTCCTGTGGACGTGACACCAAGCCAGGACGTTTTGGCGTCTCCTAACGCCTGGGCGCCGTTACGGCATGTCTTTGGCTCATGTTCGGACTACATTTGCGACGCCCTCTATGCACACATGGTCGCATACAACTACATCTCCCGCGTTCCCCGCAGCCAATCGCTGCCCTTGAACCGAGCCTCAACGGTCAGTTCAAAAAAGTCGCAGAACGATGACATCCCCAAGAAGGCGGCGTCCTTGCTGGGCCTCGACAGCCCGCAACTCCCTGGCCCGCCCAACGGCGGCCGGATCACCAAAAAGTTCAGCTCGCCCCTGACCGCCTGGGGCTTCGGCAAGGACGAGATGTCCCCCGTTGGTGGGGCGTTGTCGGCAGCACAGGACAACACGACGCGCAACATTGAGGCTGGCCTGCTGCGGTGTATCATGCGGCTGATTGGCACGGCGCGCATGATGGCCGAGGAGGGGGGTGGAGAGGATCGGCTGATGGAGGCAGAGCTACAAGAGGCAGACATGATTTTCGTCAGGAGCTTGTGCGAGATTGTGAGGATTTCTGAGGAGACGGCTTTGTAAAGGTCCGTCTGGTGAGAGGTTGAAGTATTATGGGTTAACGATCCGGCCAGGATATCACGGTTATTGTTTCCTCTGTTTGCAACGGGCGGCGGTCCTGTGGCTCAATACCCTCATTGGCAACGTACAAGTTCTTTTAATGTGTTTCTGCCTTTTTAATGTAGTAATGCTGACTCCGATAATGGTCATTCTGATTCTAAACCGATCCCGCATCTCCAAGTCTCATTTCCCCAAGCAAACATTGCGAATCCCCTGCAGGGTGCATTGTCACTCCGCGGCCTGCAGGTAGACTCAACACCCAGCCCTGGCCTGCAGCTGGACTGCCGTTAGTCTGGGCATGGAAGAGGCGTTGGGCCTAACGTGGGGGAGGCGTTTCCCGGGCTGGGTTCGTGGGTCAAGCGGCATGGCGATTATCGTAACGAGATTGCCGGCGCGGGAGATGCAGACTGTCGGCCCCCTTTGTCGACGGTTCATGGCTTGATCGGGTATTCCGGCATTGTGGCTATTGCTATGAGACGTCATTTGCGTTGGGTAGCTATGACTGGGCAGTGATACTCATTAAGTCGGTTATGTTCACGGCCAAGAACCGCATTAAGAACGGCCTTTGACATGGCCCCGTGTCTATCAACTCCTAATCCCATCATGAATGCTGTCATACTCTTGTCTCTCCCTCACGCTAAATGTCCAGAGGCCCCTTGCCATCCCCAAACAGCTCGTCATACCACTTCTTGGATTTACCCTTCTGGCAGACGCCATCCCACCCGATGGGCGTAAACTGATCGCCCGGCGTCTTCGACGGCTCAAACACCCTCACCGCCTTGTGCTGGTCCTCCCGAGGAGCCCAGTACACGATGTTGTCCTTGCCGTCTGGAGATGCGATCTTGGCCAGCGGCGTGGCGTTGCCCTTGGCCGGCCGCAGGCGTTGTGTCACGAGCTCCCGCAACCGCGGGTAGTACCACATCTTGTCCCACCAGTGCTTGAGGCGCCACGGCTTCAGGCCGCCGACGTAGGCGTTGTGATGGATGCCGACAGGCGTCGTACCGAAGAAGAAGTCCGTGTACAGCGGCAGTTGGCCCCATTTGAGGCCCGCCAGCAGGGCGTCTTGCGTCCCGGAGTCCGGCAGCTCCTTGGGGATCCCGCGGACGCGCACGTCGCCTGGCACGCCGGCCTTGGCGGATTCTGCCTTCACTGCGCTCTCGTCGTCGATCTTGACGAAGGCGCCGTCTTCCTCGGCGGAGCACGTGGGCGGGATCGTGGTGAAGTTGTAATCCAGCCCGATGCCGAACTCGAAGCGGCGTCCTCGCAGCGCAGCCGCCGCGATGGGCCGGACTTCGGGACTCAGCGACGACACGTCGTTGTGTGCGACTTTGCCATTCCACGACGACCCGAGATGCCTCGCCCACTTGCGCCACAGCTCCTGGTCGCCAATGACCTCTGCAAAGAGCGCCTGGTCGCTCCACAGCTGGCGGCCGTCCATGGCCACACGGTCGACCTTGTCCTTGCACCGGCGCAGGGCGTCTCTGAGTCCGCCCATGGTGCCCATGATCATGCCGCTGTTGACGCACCGCGGACGCACCTTTTTGTACTTGCGCGCCGAGTCGAAGGAGAAGGGGACCTGGTCGGTGCCGTCGCCGTACATGTCGGCCGGCATGGGCGACGCCGGCCAGTGCTCGTAGTGCGGATCTGAGCCTGAGTAGCTGTCTGGGAAGCAGTCCTTGGCGGACGTGACGATGATGTCCTGCCGGGGCGGCGGGATGGGGAGCGTGCTCTTCGAGTCCTCGTTCGCCCATTGCTTGCGGATGCGCTCGTCGGCTTCGCGGTTGATCTGATGATAGCGCTGGATGAGCACCGATGGCGGTAGTTGGAACCAGATGTCGTATGCGTCCACCAACACGGCGAGGTCATCCTCGCTCACATCATCGGTTTTCCCGGCGTCTTCCAGCAGCGCCTCGATGCCGCCGAGGAGACTCAGGAGCTTGGCGATGTGGCTGCCGGCAAAGTGCCACGCGGGTCGGTTGTACTCGCCGTTCCAGTTGAGCATCGTCGGCATCGGGTAGCCGAGTGCAACGGCCGACATGATGGTCTTACACAGGTTGATATGTGGCGAGTCAGCGGGCATAAATATGCGCAGCCGCCGCGAGGCGTTTAACTTGTCATTGCGAACGGGAATGTTGAGGCGGTCGAGTTCGACGTGAGAGATGGTCTCGACGGCGGAGTGGTGGCCGGGCAGGATATTTCCAAGGTGAGATGTAAACTATGAAAGCTGATGTGAGCTTGAGTTACGGTACTGAGCAAGGTTGCTAGTTGCTACTCACAAACACCAGATACGCGGACCAGATTACGAGCAGGGAAGCAGTGCCGAAAACCACCCACCTCAACCGCCTGCACAGTTGCAGCATGACGCGAGACTTGGAAGAATTTCCGGAAGACAGTGACGTGCGAGATCTACCTTGGTCATAGCCAGCGAGATCATGATAGTCTGCACCAGGCCCTCGGCTCATCCTAGACGCCGAGCGGCGTGAGACAAGAGACGAGGCCATCGCGACAGCATCACCAGCTCTGGCCTCCCGGGGTATGAGATATAAGCTCCAGACAAAACGAGTCCAGCAATCGACCAAGAGCAGGTAGATGAGCGCGGAAAGGTGACAAGACCAAAAGAGAATTCAGGAAGGGTTATCTCGTTGTGAAAATTAGCTGGGCCCCGAGGATGAGGCTGGCATAGCACTGTCACAAACTGACGCCGGTACAGCTACGTCACATCATAAGCAGGAGGGTGGGCAGGCCAGCAGGTGCATCTCCTTCAAGACTTGGTGTTCGACCCACGGGGGAGATAACCAATTGAGTCTTGCGGTGAATGTATTGATACATTGAGGCTCTCCTGCTTCGGCATTGGTCAACAAGGACACGCGTATGGGATGGCACCGAGCATGTGCGGCGTTGAGCCATCATGGGACCTGGCCCGTTACTGGCGATCTCAGTCTCAGACCGTCCATGCCATGTCGGAGACGGTATAGTCGCCCTTGTTTAATTGCGGGTTGCAACATAAGAGCCAGAACCTGGGTCTTGGTGTACGGCCGGGCTGAGACGGTTACCAATCATTTGACACCGTGACGGCGGCCGATGTTGTGGACACGACTAGGTTGAGCCAAGCACATGGCCACGTGCAAAGGCGAGTTGCCATGAGAGGCTGCCATGATATCGGTTGGTAGGTAGACCAACAATGATACCAAAGCCAGAGCCAGGACTAGAGCCAACACCAGAACCAGCACCAACACCAACACCAGTGCAGATGTTAGTCAAGCCCCAGGTAGAAAGTGACAAAAAAAGACACGAAAGGAAGACCCATATCCGCCAGGATCCACGGCGCACGCTCGGCGGAGTGGCCCCCACATGGCTCTGCGCGGCGGTTAAGTTAGGAGACGATCCTTCGGGGGGCCCAACAGCCCGTGTTGGCTCTTCTCCATGTCGTAATGCCGGTCGTTCAACTCCCGCAGGATGCTTAACGCCAGGTTAAAGGTGGTTAAACGGTACCTGCGTGCCAACCGCGTTTGAAGTTCCCTAAAAGGATGCGGTTTCCCCGCCCGTGCCATCCTCCGCTTCCCATTCCATCATGGCTGTGCAGCGCTTCCAGCGACTAGCTAGCCCGAATCCGGATCGACTCGTCTCATGCGCTCGTATCGACATTTAGACCACATTTAGACCCGCGCTGCTGCTCGTCTTCTTCTTTGTAATCCTCTCGACTTTTTTTTCCTATATACATGCTCGGTCTTGGCCTTGCCTTGGCCCGCCCCTTGGTTGGTGATTGGGTCAATGATTCGGTCTTGGCTGCCATCATGATTCCTCCACGGAGCCGATGCTGCGGCACCACGCTGCCATCATATCTCGGCTTCGCCATTCTTGGTGCGTTAATCCACAAAGACCCCAAAGAGACGACTGAACGAAACACCAACTGACAGATGCAAAAACAGGCCTCGTCAACACAGTCGTCCCCTTCATCGTCTTCTCCGCCAACTACCTCATCATTCCCTACCCGCGCTGGGTCGTCATCCTCATCGAAACCCTCCCCGCCCTCATCACCAAGCTCGTCGTCCCGCACTTCCTCCACCATGTGCCCTACTGGATGCGACCGCTCACCGCCGGCGCCTGCTGGATCCTCGTGGCCGTCGTCACCAACGTGACTCCGCCAAACGTCGCGCCGCCATTGAGGATCTTCACCACCGTCTTGGCCGCCTCCGCCGCCGCGGCCATGGAGGTCTCGTTCCTCGGCATGACGCGCTACTACGGCAAGGCGGGCCTGGCTGGCTGGGGAGCGGGCGTTGGCGCTGGCGCCCTGTTCTGCGCGGTGCTGCCCTTTGTTCTGACCGTCTGGATGGAGGCCTTCCTGCGCACCTTTATTGACCTCATCTACGTCTTGACTGGGGCCATGCTGGTGGGCTTCTTCGCCATCCTACCCGGAGCGCCAGTCAACTACCCCGACACCCAACGGAAGCGCAGCAAGGACGATATTGAGGATGGCCCCGAGAGCGCATTCTTCTTAATGTTCGATCCTCTAGAGGAGCTCACTCGCCTGTTGAGCACAGAGAACCGAGTCGCTCTGATCAAAGCCGTGGTCCGCCCTTACATGGTTCCTTTGTTCATCGCATTTGCGACCCAGACCCTCATCTTCCCGGGAATCTCCCGCGCCCTGCCAGTCTCTCCGGCTTTCGAGACATTCTTCTCCTACTTCACCACCTATGGCTTCGCCTTTCAGCTGGGCGGCTTTGTCTCGCGAACCCTGACACCGCTATTCCGGGCTCGCAGCACCAAGGCCCCCTTCGCCATCCTAGGGCTCGCAGCAGCCGTCGTGCTAATCAACGCCACCTTCTCCCTCTTCTCCTCACCCGTCCTCATTGGACTACTAGCTTTCTGCGCCGGGCTTATGGGAGGCGCCATCTACATGATTGTTATGGGAAATGTCTTGGAGGACAAGACCTCGGAGCCGGGCATCAACCAGGAGTTCTGTCTGCAGGCTGTAGGCGCTGGCGAGACCGCAGGCACCATGGTTGGTGGCCTGTTGGGGTCCATTTTGGAAGCGAGTTTTTGTAAATGGGATATTGGGGCTGGGGCAACACATCGATGGTGCCAAACAAGCAAGTAGAAGGGGAAAATTATTAGAATCCGTATTAAAATGAATCACCGTATCAGTCATCTTCCACATCTGGACCACCCGACTTTGACCTGGACGACCGCTGAGCTCTCTGCGCTGATCTCAACCCCCCAATGCACCTGGACAATCGATTTCTGCCAGTCTGGATCTCGTCAACACATCTAAGTTAATGCAGACCAAGAATCCAAATTCGCAGCTCACAGTTTCTCCCAGACGCGGCCATCAATCATCGGGGCGGCCCGCGCCAGATTTGGTAAGCCACGAGCACAGCCACGCGTTTCGGATCTGCGATCCTCCAGAGGCAGTGGAGTTCAAACGGCTGACAGCGAATCCTTCCTCCTTAATAACCCCCGCCATTAGCTTTGTAAACGACTATACGAGATTTCATTTCATCACTGGACACAGATTCCAGAGCGAGCAGACACGAGACCCCGACCCAGCTTGAGGAGGCTAAGAACGCCCGATGCAAAAGCGAAGACCTCACAATAAGTCGAGGAATGGGTGTCGGAACTGCAAAAAAAGACATGTGAAGGTGACATCATATTGACATCCTCCAGGAGCTGAAATGTTTCACGTCTTGTTGGGCCGACTAACACCTCGTATTGCAGTGTGATGAGGAAGGCCCTCCCTGCGGCAATTGTTTCGTCCGAGGCCTGGAAGACTGCTCATTCCCAACGCCCCCGTCAATATCATCGCAGGATGGGTCGTCAGCTGGAGCGCAAAGCGCATTCAGTGGTCTCTCGCCAGAGGCGATGCAGAAATTCGAGCTCGAACTACTGCATCGCTGGTCAACGTCTACATACCAGAGCCTCTGCACAATCCCCGAAGATCAACACTGGATCCAAGTGGGCATTCCGCGGTGGGGTCTCAAGCATGAATTCTTGCTCAATGGTGTGTTTTGCCTTTCGGCCTTTGAAATCGCCTTGTGCGGTGGCGCTGTGTTAGAGGACGACCCGAAGGTCTACGTCAAGCTGGCGTTGGAATACTACGACAGGGCGAGTAGGTTGTACCGAACAGAGCTCAACAGAATCACCCCGGAAAACATCAAGTCCGTGTACGTCTTCTCGTCCATAGCCGTGCTGATCAACATGGCAATACCCCAATGCGAAAGCATGGCTGGTGACGATGCGCCCCAGAGCATCATGGTCCGCATGATGGCCCTGTTCGACCTCCTCGTAGGGGGCGCTGCCATTGTTGTCGAGAACATCGATCTGTTGATGGCAGATCCGGAAGCTGTTGCTCCGATGAAGGCCGGACTCGAGTCACTGAACAGTGCTCCCACCGGTCCATTACCAAGCAAAATCGAGGCCGCCCTGACGCGGGCGAACGAAATCGTCGACAAGGGTGTTCATGTTCCCGGGGAGCACGACGCAGACGCTCGAGAAGCGGCCTTGATTCGAGTCCAGATGTATCGAACCACCGTCTCTGCGCTTCGCATGTGCTACGTTGAGGATTCAAAGGAACTGATCAAGGGAATTTGCATTGCGTTCCCTGGCCTCGCCGGGCAGGGGTTCGCAGGCGAGTTGAAGAGCTCGGAGCCCATCGCTCTGTTCCTGATGATGCATTGGGGCGTGCTGCTTCACCACCTCGGCAAGACCATCTGGTGGGCCAAGACCATCGGCGCAAGAATGGTGCAAGAAATTTCAGAGATGCTTCTTCAGTCGCAAATTGCACCGCTTTCGGGGACAGAGGAGTTGCGCGACGGGGTCGCCTGGGCGAGGGAGGAGGTTGGGTTGCCACCATTTGACGATACGATGGACCAGGACTAAAAATAGCCATGGATTTATACAAAACAAATACCCATCTCATTAATTCAGCTCGAAGTCCCGCTTCTAACTAAGTCTATGTACAGTAACGAATTGTGTCGAGTTCACATCCCCGATGCCTTGCGCACGTTTGGATCATCCATCCCCATTACTCTTCGTCTGCAGCAAGTTGCTCCAGGACCGCGTCCCACCCATCGGAGCCCGAAAACAGAGGAATATCAACGTCACAAATCGTATCGGTATCAGGGAGCTTGCCGTCAACAAAATAAGCCCTCACAGTCTTCGCCGTACACAACGATGCCTGCAGGATGGAGGAATGCTACACCACCAAAGTCAGCCATCAATCCCAGGTTACTGCGCACCGGGGTAAACTCACGCCGTATCCATCCTGCTGCAGCAAAACACTGCCCTCAAACGTCTCGCTGACGTTCCGTGCTGAGGCGAGCGGCGTCGCGGGGTCGTAGGTGTTGCCGATGACCAGCATCGGGTTCTTCGTCTTGACGCGAAAGTCGCCGCTGTACCGCTCCTTGGCCGGGATCTTCCACTGAGCACACCTCATTGGCACGATATCTCCCGTGTCGCCTACGTAGCGGCTGGCTTCGTGTCTTGCGTGGACGATGGGGAGGATGTCGCTGATGTTGGACGTCTGTCCGAAAGTGTCGCCGCACTTGATGCCAAACTGGGCCTCGGCGTCCAGCATCGCCGGGGTGGCTGCCAATTCGGCAACGATGGCAGCAATTGTCTCAATGTCTCGAGTCATCAAGGCGTTCAGAACAATGGCCGCAGACGGCCATGCCTGGGGGGCGTAGAGTTGGCGGTGCATCAGCGGCTTGACCGTGCTGTAATCTAGGACGTAGCTTGCGGTGGGATCCGGGATGACGATGGGGTTGTATTTCAGGTCCTCAAAAAATGCGTAAACCTTGGCTTCGAGTTCTGCGGCGGTCATGTTTTCCTTTGCCAACACGCATTTATCGGGGTTGGCGACACAGCCGGTACAGAAGCCGTAGAAGGTCTTGTCGGTATCTTTGTATAGCTCCACCTCCCTTGATAGATACGTCAGTAGCTGTAAAGTCCTATACTCATGGTCAAAGGGGAAAGGGCGCATCACTTACTGGTTAGAATAATACTCGAACGGATTCACTACTCCATCGAGGATCACCTTGTCCATTCTCTCTGGGAACATTGCAGCCGTAGTTGCTCCCAATACCGTACCGTAAGAAATACCTGCCATGTGTTAGTTTAAAACCAGGCAGCAATATAAATGATGCTTACCCCAAAACCTCAGTAGGCCATCCTCCTCCAAAGCATCGACGATTTGCATCATGTCCCTTGCTGCAAAGGCCGTGCCTACAAGGTCTCCGGTCTTGTTTTGAGAAGTGTAGCAAGTCTGAGAGAAGACCTGGCTGTCGGCCCAGATCCTGCCCAAGGCAGTGTCGGATGCGTTGCCAGAGAGGACTGGATTTGATAGGGCAGCGAATATCCTCTGTTCCGTACTGTCGTAGCAGGAAAATGTGAGAGTGTCACCAGTGCCTCTATATTACACTCCTTGTCAGTGAATTTTCAAATTCTGGGTGTTTGGTGAACGAACCGTGGAACAAATGTCACGAGATCATGTTGGCCACCAGTAGCTCTGTTGTGGTTGTCAGTCTTCTGTTCAGAGTATAGATCGTACAGCCTTCTTACCCTAATAGCATACCAGCAAAATACGCAAGATCTGCTTTTCCAGACGCCCCAGGGCCTCCGAAGTTGAACAAGATGCTCCCTCTGGATGGGCTATTCACGGCATCGACCTTCAGGAGCTCCAGCATGAGCTTTTTATTTGAGGACGTATCTGTGTAATCGAGAGGTACAGCGAGGCTTCCACATGACATGGGGGCCGTTTCGTTCAATCCGAGGCCACACGGTCTCCAAGTGATTCCATGATGGATGGGATGTTGTAGTCCAACCGGCGTGGCAGCTACGGGGAGAAGAAGCTGAGACAAGCGAAGAGGCGAAAATATGGCCATTATGAGACAATACAGGTCGTGAATAGGTATTAGATCAAGAAATAAAGCAACCATGATTTTGTACTTATATAATTGCGTTGAATCTACCGTGCGAACCTGTGTACGTGTATGAAACGAAGGAGCCAAGATCGCAAAAGCTGAAGTATAGCGCAGTTCTACAGCACTGAACGTGCGGTGCTGGGCAATGCCAATCTTTGCTGATTTAGGTAACATGGGGCGCTGTGATGAATTAATGCGTTGCGGGGTTGCTGTCAGCGAGTTGGTCCTCCACTTGTCTGAAAAGGGACTCATGGAGCGCTCGGTGGAGCCTCCCGGACATTTCCTCAAACGTCCTGTTGTCACGACTCAATTTGCTCTGTATGCACTATGCACCAACATAATACCTGCCTGTCAACTTGAAGGCAAATATCTGTTCTTTATTAACTTCGCGGTTTTCTCCAGTACTCCTTACGTGACAAAATTCTCTTCATGAAATAAATACAGAATGTGTGCATCGCATCGTCTTCTTTCGTCTCTTCATATACCAGATCCAACGCTAACCAACGTTATCAAACATTTCCGGCTCCTTTTTCTTCCAGCATGTAACACAATTGATATTACACCCTGTGTTCTTCCATTCGAAGGGTGGTTGTAATTTTAATAGACGGTCGACTGTTGCCGGTTCGTCCCTCATGCCCAGGCCCCGTCAATTCCTCCTCGCTTTCATTGCTCGTTGGCCGTCGTGAGCTCCAGCCAGAAGCGCCCTTCTCCATTGAAGACTTGTCCGTTTGGCCACTCCCAGAGTCGCCGGCCTCGCCGCCCGCTTCAGTGTACTCATCATCACCATGACACGCAAAGGTAGTAAGGCTAAAGGGCCCTTGCTGCGGGTTGCCGTAACCCGTCGCATGGCTCAAATGTCCGCCAAATCTTGAGGCTGCTGCGCGCTCTGAATCCTGAATCTCGGAAGGTCCCGTTGATGATAGACCTAGCTTTCGGCTAATGGCTCGAAGTAACGGTCGGAGTGTAGCGAAGCTCCCTGCTGCAACGGCCAGACCTTGTTCCGCCGCCGACCAAACCGCAAGATCAACCGTTGACCCTTTACACGCGTTAGGGTTGTCACCTATCAGCTTAAGCGGGAGGGAACTTACACAGGAAGTCAGGGTCTCTAAAGTCTTTCACGTATGGAAGTCGTACTGCCACAGCTGCGCTCGCCCTATTTTCATATGAGAACTCAGCAATGCACTGATGGGGTGGGATGAGGGACGAACACGCAGGCCATCGTCATGATAGGTACTAGAGCAATTTTGCTCTTCAAATCCATATTCAGATTCCAGATAAGAAACATAGGTAGGATCGCGTAAGTAAGGTCTGATACCAGGCTGACAGTACTATACAAGTATGTAAGAGCTATGATAACGTCAATGTCGACGCAAGTTCCCGACAGGTCTTTGTTCCAGAAGAATGAAATCGGGCGACACTGGAAGAGAGTAACAAAGAGGAACGCGGTTCCCATTATGACCGAGGCCATCATAGCGCCGTAGACAATGAATTTATGAATCTTTTTAACCGTGATTCGGAGGAGGAAATAGCCGATGGAGAGTTTAGACATAATCATCGTAATTATATACCAAATATAGCAAAACCACCAAACCTAATCGGCGTCAGCATCTCATTATCAAGGTATTCTATGGAGGGCCGTACCTTCATGCCGATCTCAAAGTCTGCATCGCTAAGATCCGAGCGGTGATGGCCAGTACCATGCTGGACTCCGACAAGTGTAAAGATTACGAAAAGGGTGAACGTTGTCTGGAGCAAAAGGTCAGCACCTTCCCCGGCATTGCTAGTTGAGAAGAGATCGAACAGCATACAAGGGCAGCCACCATAAACCAATCGTCGAGTCCAAAATTCTTGACCATACGAGCCCTCACATAGCATCGGAGCAGGGTCGAAGTCACGGCGGTCACCAGCAGTGTGTAGCAAGCGGCCTGGATCTCCGGGCCTCGGTTGGGAACAGCCATCGTTGATGGAGCCCGGAACGTCTAGGGAACGTACGATAATAAGTAAGATGGGGCGTCGACATCCAACGATACAGCCATGAATTTCTAAAGATGAAGCAGAGAGAGGCCAGAAACCAGGGCACCTGGCGTTTATTTAAATGCCATCAGATATGCTCGGCCCTTGCCTGTCTCCGTCCTTCGCGGGTGTGAGACCCTTCCAGGGCAATCCACCCGCGCAAGTCAGCCACACATTTCCCCTTTATTCTATCGACTGATTCTATTTGATATTTCTGCTGACAGTCACCGGAACGAATCTTCCCCGGATTAGCGGACATAACCAAATTTATTGCCATGCCCTACTACTTTGACACTGGTAGTACCTCGGCCCGCCGGCATACCATCAAACCGGGCTGTCGGGACGTTGTTTTGGTAAGTTTTCCGGCGAAGGCAAGGTTCGAGTGGACTCGGCTAATTGTGAAATGTTTAAGCCCCGGCGGAGTGGTCTACTCTTCTGGGGAAATACTACATGACTGGGCTTCTACCCCGGCCCGTAGGTTTGTGATTATGTAGCAATGGGCTAGTGCGCAAAACTCTGGGGTGCAGGAGTGTGGATGAACTATCGGAGTTAGGAACATGGGTTTCTTATTGACAGGTCGTCATGCACACTAATTACTAGTCAGGGCTGATTCCACCGCTCGATTGATGGGAAGACAAGGCGGGATTTGGTGGGTGGTGCGGCTGAGGACAGGCAGGAACCCCAGAGAGGCTGCATGGCGTTCTATGAAAGTTCAATAGATGGGTGAGATCGCAAGGCCAAGTGGACCTCTTTATCTATCCATCAATGACGGCAAGGCATCCTGCATGGCATAATAGTTTCCAACGCTTGGACCCGAAGCATGATGTCGAGGTGGATGAACACTTCACTGAGTGGACCGTGGCACAGCTCCTACCCTAGATCAATGCTCAGCCATCCCCGCATTTGGCCGGTTGTGGCCGTTATTGGGGAAAGTGGAGTAGGATGCGGGGATTCCACGCTATAAACTTGTTGATCAGCTGACCCAGGAGTCCAACCCCGTATTCTTCATCCCCGATGCGTCGAGATTGCAGCCGGAAAAACTCCCCGCTTCCAACTACCAACTCGGACTTCTCCAAGACGAAGACATCCGGAGTCTGCGAACGTGGCTTGGGCCACAGGGATCTGGAGGACTGCAGCGTTCCTGGCCCCCTCGCCTGAGTGGCGGCGCTCTCACACCACGATGGCCTCATCGCCCCCGCGTCATAAACGCCGCAAGGCCTCATGCAAGGAGTTCCAATGCACCCACGAGGGCTGCGGACGGACGTATTCTCGGGCCGAGCACCTCCAAAGGCATCAGCTAAACCGTAGGTTAGACCCGTGGTCACGACATCAGCCCTGCTGACGCGCTGCAGATTCGCCCAAGGAGATTTACTACTGCGACTATCCCGGATGCTCATTCTCCTTTGTGAGAAAGGATCTTTACGCCCGCCACAAATTGAGACATGAGCGACAGATTCAGCAATATGGCAACGGCCGTTTGTCTCAGAGGCCCAGCACGTCTCAGCGGGAGTTCTCGAAAATGCCGAGACACCGGTACTCGTTTAGTGAGGATGGATCAGCCTGGAGTGACACCCAAGATGAGGCCAGGGAGACTCCAGGCAAAGAGGGAAATCCGAGCAAGCATGGTCTATCGTTAGGTGATGGCCATGGTGAGGCGGACGAATTAGGCCTGCAGTCAGAGGCGGTCGGAGGCTCAGGGCAGCACGAGAATGGCAACGACATGACCGATGCTCTTGGCCATTTCGCCGACCAGAGGCAATTTCGAAGCAGGGAATCGTCCATATCGCCAGACAAACAGCCTATGGGGAGTGTCCCGTTTCGGATGGATCAGATGCAAGGCACCGACATGCCAATGACGATACAGAGTCCCGGAATGCCGACGAGGCCGGAGCGCGCGAGAAACCAATCCTTCGTGCTGCAGGGCGGGCTTCCCGCCACCAGCGCCGAACAGCTTCTCGAAGACCAGCCGTTTGGTGTTTCCCCCTCAAGTACGGACGAATTTACCTCTTGGCTGTTCAACGGACAAGGTGGCATCGGTTCTGGGTACTCCTTTGTTCCCGGGAGTTCCTTGGGAGGAATGGGAGGATATTCCAACAACTTTGGTCAACTCTGCCCTGAATATCCAACCCAGCCGAACATTATGGGCGGCTCATTTATGGAACCAATGAACCTTTGGTTCCAGTCGGAGACAATTCCAATGGCCACCACAATGGCAGATGTTGCACAGCTGGGGAAGACGGGATTGTCGGAGCACAAACGCCAGTCCCTGCTTCAGTACATGATCCAACGGTTCAACGAAATTGGCTCCCAAGGAACCAAGTCAGCGACAGACATGAAGAATGAGATTTTTGGAAGCGACAGCGAAGCCGATACACACGTGTTAAGTTTGCTGAATGTACAAAAGTACATCGATTCGTACTGGGACAACTTTCACGACCAATTGCCGATTCTCCACAAGCCAACTTTTGTGCCGGAAACAGCACACGACTTTCTCTTGCTCGCTGTATTACTAATGGGAGCATCTATGCTGGAAAAGAAGAATGGGCCCTCTGACATGACGGACAAAATTTCAAAGTTCACCACCTTTGTATCCTGGAACCTCCGATGGCAAGTGTTCATGCACGCAGATTCTCACCCACCAGCCAAGTTATGGGTCATACAAACGCTTCTCATCCTCGAAGTGTACGAGAAGCTGAATGCAACTCGCGTCCTTCACGAACGCGCCCACATCTATTTCCCCACCACCCTCTCTCTCATGCGGCGAGGAAGCGCTCTAACGGGGAAGCAATCGTCGTACGCGTCACGAGTCCCAAGTCCTCTTCTCAGCCCAAAGCTAGGCCAACCTATAAGGCATCCGCCTACATCAAGTCGCCCGCAGTTTGATCCATCATCACCCGAGAAATGGTGGGATCATTGGATTGCGCAAGAGGCCACACGCCGGGCGGCGATTGCTGCATTCATCATTGATGCTACCCATGCTGCCTTGTTTGGACACACCCCGACACTTGTAATCCACGAAATCAAGCTTCCTCTGCCTTGTGACAACACCTTGTGGTCATCAGACTCACCATCGGAGATTGGCTGTGTCGAGTCCAGTCTTTATGCCAATGGCGTCACTCCAATCTCGTTCCTTGACGGACTGCAAAGGACGCTCAACGGTCAAAAAGTGCGAACAAGTCCCTTTGGAAGAATTGCGTTGCTCGCTGCACTATTATCAGTAACTTGGCAGATGCACCAGAGAGACCTCGATCGATCCACTCTCGGTACGGACACTATTCCTGGAGTTCAGGAGCGATGGCGACCAAAGCTACTGAGAGCGTTTGATTGGTGGAAAAAAGACTACGATGATGGCATCGCCCATGTTCGACACGCTGCCTTTGACTGGCAGAGGTTAGGGTTGAGCAGCAGAGGTGGCAGTGACGATGGGGATGCTTTCCAAACTCTTGGGACTGTGCTCTATCACTTGGGGCATATTACTGTTTACATCAGCATGCCAGAGCTCTGTATTTTCGCCGGTGTTCCTCAAATTCTTGGACGCACTGTCTCTTCCCTCGATTGGAGGCGAACGGAAGCAAAGATCAAGGAATGGGTCGCGTCCCCCGGCGCGATCGGTGGTGTTTACCATGCCCTCCAGTTGATCAAGCTTATTCTCCTACAAGAAGATCCACGACGAAACGCTCTAGGTGACCCCAATGGAATGTCATCAAACTTCAACCCACCTCCGTATCCCACATACGATGCCGGGAATGACAATCTCTTGAACAGAGCCTGGGCTTTGTACTACGCGTCCTTGGTGCTCTGGGCCTATGGTTTCGTGCAAGATGGAGACCTTGACCCGTTCCCCGAGAACCTACAGTATCCGTCTAATAACTTCTCGGTGCCGCAAATGACTGTGGAACCAAGTATTCAGTCATCTTCAACCTCACTCGGCCAAGGCGCGACACCAGCAACGAGCACTAATGAGGTTCCTCAACCGCCCTCGCTCGAAGGTACTTCCTTGTCGATGGGATCCGATTTTGAAAGCGTGAAGCGTGATCGTCACGAAGATCTCAAGACATATCTCCAAATCATGATTCCACCGACGATCAACTCGATCAAAGCGTTTCATTTGCACCAAAACCAAGCAGGAGTCGTCGGAAACCGCAACAAGATAATAGGTCTCTTGAGCGTTGTTGACGAGGCTTTGTCAACAACACGGTGGGAGCTTCTATCTGAGGCAAGGCATAGACTGAAAATGGCGGCGTCAATGATGAAACACTCGGGAGAACCGAGGATGTGAAAGTACAGGAGGTAAGGTTTTGTATGATGGTCCCCTAGTTGCCAGCGCTTGTTGGATGGGTCCAAGATGTGAGCGATGAGCCCTGTAATTATGTATAGTAGATCATAGCGGCAATGCATTTTTCTTTAGCGATTCGAAAGCATCTCAATCAAATTGTTCCAACGCCGAGCTGCAGGGCCACAGAGGGACTGAGGAATTTAATCGGATGAGAGACCGAGCGCATAGATACTCGATGTTTTTATACATCGGTAGGCGACTGTAAACGTCAAACATAGCCTCAAAATAAGTGGAAAGCCCGTGGAGGATTGATAACGAAGACCAAGTATCACCGGATCATTCTTCCTATTTGATGTGGCCGCTATTGAGTTGCGTGCTCCGAGCTCGGAGAAGCTCCGAAATGCGGTGCGCGGTTCCGAATAACGGGAGCGCGACCGCCGCGGCCCGAGTCAGCGCAAAGCCGTGGGAAGCCACCCGCTAGCACACTCTACGCCCGCTTCGTTATCTGGCAGCAGCCCACGTGATCGGCGCACAAGCCGGTTAAGCCTAGACCGGAGCGATTTACCGAAAGTTCTTCTGACTCCGCGATCCTCGGATCCCCTCCCGACAATTCTTTCCTCAAGAGCACCCTGGCAGGTTTTTCTTGACTGTCCTGGAGATATTGCAGACCGAGACACAAGGCTCCAAAATCCAGTTACCCTCCGAAACTATGGCTCCCGGATTGGACCGAGTGAGATTGCCAAATTTAACGGCCGGAAGAAAGGATGTGCGCAAAGCATCCTCGGCGTGAGTGGAGTCCTCTTGCACAAATCATTGCCTTGGTCCCAAGTACAGGCTTGTGGTTGGGACAAGCTCGGGGCCCGCAGCAGCATTATCTAACTGAGCTCTTGGACAATAGCTAACGTTGGGTAGTTGTCTCACATGCCGCAAGAAGAAGGTCAGATGCTCTGGAACCAGCCCCTGCCAGTACTGCGTCAAGCGCGGTTTGGACTGCATTATTCGTGGACAATGCCCCAAGAGGGTGTTCCTAGCCAGGTGAGTACTTGCATTCTCATTCTATCCTAGCTCTCTCCTAAGCTTAGTAAACGTGATAGTCGGGTTGAGGAACTTGAAAGTCGTCTGGCCCAGTACGAAAATGTCGACAAGAACACAACATCAAACACTCAAGGTAAATTCGTACTGACACTTGACTTAATATATGGAAACTAACGACAAGCAGATGATTCTCCTCAAGGTGCCGCCGCAAGTGCACCAGCTATCACCCAGACGGTACCGTTGTCGCAGCGCCCCCAACTATCGCCACAGACAGACCCTGGGCGAGGCAATACACCGCCAAGATCACCCATCTTACATGGTCCCTCTCCCAGCTTCTCTGCCCCTTCAATGAGGAATGGCCCAACGCAGTCATCGCCGGCTTCAAGTTCGTACCCTTCACATGAATATCGTTCTGATTGCTGACTTTGATAGCCATCCCCGTTCCTGCGTCTATGAGTTCCAGTCGTAATTTTTCATCCATGGTACAAGATCTTTTGTCACCCCAAGGTGATGGCAGCAAATCCTCCAGGACTCCATCATCCAACCAAGCTAAGGAACCAACCATGGACCCTGCTCCGTTGCGGATCTCCAGCCAAGATTTCCCAAATCTACCCTCGCACCAGGAAGCTCAAAGACTTTTAGAGACTGCCATGTTCTATATTGGACACACTCAGCATCACATAGATGCGCGGGATTTTTCAGACCGGTTATGGGTCTTCTACGCCAACAGAGATGACCCGAACCAACTCGCTTCCCCTTGGTGCCTGGAGATGATGTTGGTGATTGCGATCGGCACCCTTTTCGATGCCAACCCCGAAGGGAACGGTGAGTTCTCTGGGATCGAGCTATTCGACTACGTCCACAAGAACCTACCAACGCTCAGCGAGATGCACTCGTATGGGAAAATTGGCGTGGAAATTTTTGGCTTGTTCGCAATTTACCTGCAGAACTTCCACAAGAGGGAAGAAGCCTACCTTTATGTGAGTTCTACCTTCGACCTCTCAGTGTCAGTTGCTAACAGGGCGGCTAGATAAGCACCGCATTGCGATTAGCAATTTCACACAAGTACCATCAGGTTTCTGGAACCAAGCATTTGATGAAGTCCGAAAAGGTGCATTTGACTCGTCTCTTTTGGACGATTTACATGCAGGAAAGGTATGGCTTCCCTGTTTGAAACCCCGGCGTTGAGCTGACTCATATCTCAATCATAGGCGATTAGCAGCTGCAACTGGGAATCCGTCTGGCATCAGAGATCAGTCGATCGATGTTGAACTACCAACGAACTCTCCTGGGTTCGCACCCGCAGGTCCTATATGCATTAACATCAAGATCGCTAGAGTCACTGGTCGGATCTTATCGGGTACGTGCTTCTTCCAACTCGACTTGAGTATTGGCTAAAGATCATATGATTAGTTCTTTACGGTCCAGACCTTCATACCGAGGACACCTTTGTTCCAAACGTCCAGGAGATTGTGAAATCCCTATATGAGATATCACAGGAGATCCCATCCGATACAGCCAAAGATTTTCAGGGCATGGGCCCTGATCTATGCTTAAGAACGACGGGATCCCTACATCTCATGCTTTATCAGGTATTATCACACCTCATTACTCCAGAGAAGATTCTGATAATTTGAATTAGGCTACGCTTCTCACTCTTCGGCCTATTATGCTACATATGGCAAAACTTGTTCTTCGAGGCGAGGGTCCAAGTAGTCCAGGTCAGAATACCTCGCAACTCGAAAGACTATCAAGGACCTGTTCAGAAGCGGCTCGGAGGTTGTTGAAGGTCGTTTGTTCCCTTCGAAATCGAAATATCCTCGGTATGATCCACCCGCTATCTTATTTTAAATCCGTTTGTTAACCGATTCTAGCGATTCATGGTTTCTTTGATTTCGACGCGGTTTGCTCGTCATCTTTCATCATGATTCTGGTTGCGATTTTAGACTCGGTTTGTGACGATGGCCAGAAATTTAGCCCATCTCCCGGCCTTCCAGATGCTTTGGAAACCATGCAGTACCTCGCCGACAACGGGAGCAAACATGCTGCTCAGAGGATAAAAGACTTGAGAGGCATTTGCAGACTCATGTCTCACAAAATCCAGTCCCTTCAGGCGATGAACAACTCTCCCAACACGGGTGATGGCTCCAATGGGAACTTCAACAACTATAATGTTCTCAATGGCACAGCTGCAACCCCAGGAAACCATCGAAACCTGGAAACGGGAGACCAACTAGGCGGTCTTGAAAACTCGGCGCAAGGCCAGCAACTGCGACTAGACGAGACTCCAGGCCAAGACATGCAACTCGAACCAGACCTGTGGGACAATTTTGCGCACATCTGGATTCCTCCAACGGATAACAGGGGTGAGAACATCTACCAGGATGTGTCAATGGTAGACATCTCACCAGATGAGTACTACAAGTGCTACTTCTCAATGTATAACAATGCCGATTGGAGCCTCACAGGAGAGGAAATGGGTGGTTTTGCCGAATTGGGCCGGCACATCCAGGATGTTTAAGCGTGGTAAAAAGTGTTGCAAAAATGGCGTTTGGATATTGGTCAGAAAGTATCCTCAACGATGCAAAAGTAGATTCGTGGTCCTTTTTCTTGATATCACATATTGATTCCGGCTTACGTATGGCCCAAAATAATTCTATCAACAGAAAACTCACCAGAAAACTCACCAGAAAACTCACCAGAAAACTCACCAGAAAACTCACATTATATGGGGAATTAACGTCTTAAGTGCAACACTAACTTCATTCTCGGCCTGTCAACGAGCGGAGCCATACAAAGCACTAAATTTATGACAGCTCGAGCAAGGTTCTTGGGTGAGTTCAACCTCTTTAGTGCAGGTGAGTCTTGTGATGAGCTCGGCAGAGAAGACTTGTGGAGGTGGCATGATGGCTGGTGGTCATGATAGTATGGCGGAGAACGGCTCGATAGGTAGGCAGAGGTGGTGGCAGGGTGACGTGGCTGGGCTTCGGCAGGCCGCGATGTAAATTACCCTAAAATCCTCCTGTTGGTATCACGTGAGCTCCATTTTGAGCGCATTTTCTTCTCCTAGACTGATTCAGAAATGATAGGAACGAAGATGAGATAAACCTTCGCTTTCCAGGACGAAATCCTCCACTTCTTGCCAATGCTGTGTTGGTAGGACGAAACCCACCTCCAGCTTCCTAGCCTCATGACAAGCTAAAACCGGTGGGTCGTGCTAGTTGCTAACCGTCGGCCGCCATGCCCGGCTGCCGTGTAAAATAGGCAAAATGCACACCCAGGCGCTAGAGATATCTCCTACCCGTTCCTTCGGGTCTTCGTCTTCTCGTTGTCCACTCAAGCCCGGCTCAACTCTTCAGAGGTGGTTCGACGTGACACGGTGACCCCGGTCCATCATACAAGGGTTTTCCGGGGCCTTGGGACGGAGGCGCTGTGGCACCCCAGTGCCGTCCAGTGGAGGGGGAGGACTCGTGGGATCGCAAATAGGCTAAATACAATGATAATAGCCGTGGGAAGCTTTTTTGCTAATTCGGGCTCTGCAGGAACTGAGTGGCGCATCGAGTTGTGTGGGTTGAAGCTGACATGTCAAGCTTCCCCTCACGGCCGCCCTCGGGTCGCGGCCTCATGGACCCCGAGCTGGAGGAACACATGCCATGCTAGGGATGGAGGAGAGGCGCCAAGATTCAGAAAGAAGCTTGGCATGTACAGTTTCTTGACCTATCAAAGCTCTCACGGCAAATACTTGTACCAGCTGCTTGGGTAGCCCAGCGATTGTCGACTGACACGCAGGACGAACCCGATGCAGTTTAGATGGGCACACCACTATACGAAACTAGCATCTATACTGGGAGGGGATGCTTTACTGTAGATCGCCTCACGAACCCACTTCCCGATGGTGAATTAATCGTGCTGGGCTGATCTCGAACCGTGATCTGGAAAGGATTGGTTGATGACGCGGGGGTGGCGGGTTCTTCCCCACACCCAAAAGTTCAAGTCACCTCCCTTTGAGATGCTTCATGTGAAAGCTTGCGGCATTTTGAAATCTCATTTCGAAGCTTGAAACTTCATAGAAGGATAATGCCTCTGAGCAGCACTTAAGAAGTGGTGAAGTGGTAAGTCGCAAGCAAGTTCACGACGTTGTTCGTGGCGTGGTCTGCCGTGGAAAACAGAGGTGGGACAACACTGGTCCCCTCCCTGCCTTCGCAACAATCACAAATCTCGTCGACCATGCATTCATATCCTGATTCGTGAGGGTTTGGGACCTTGTGATATGCTCAGGTGGCTGGGCCAGGCAAGGGCTTTTTGCAGCCTGCACGCTCTGTCGGAAACTAATGCCGACAAACTCGAGGCCATCCCCCATGCAGCGAAGAAATGCAACTTCAGAGGCATCGGAATCCTGGCTGCTTGTGTGGCCATGGTCGGCCGCAGGGAAGAAAACGGACTCTAGACCGAAACACCACAGACTCTTCCGACCATGAGTAACACGACTCTCTGGGATACCCCAGATTCCCCACTTGCAACTCGCTCCCTTTTACCCCAGAGCACTCCGCGTAGTGGATATGGGCATCATGGGTGTGAGTGGCCAACATTGACTTCGATCATAGCCGGTCCACTCATGATCTGGGGACACTAACCCATATCCCGGCCTTGTTAATCCCCCGCAGGATGTTCCACCAATGGCAAGCTCCAGGTTCAGCGGCAACCCCCCCTCTGATCGACCTCAGAGCATCTTGTACGGCCCGTCGTTCCTAACCCGGCTGTAGGTTCAACATGAGTGCCGGGCCTGAGTCTCCGACAAGCTCCCTCAGTCGTGAACCAATCGAGCAAAGGTTACATTGACATGAGCGAACCATGGGGGGACGATCCTGGCCGAGAACACCTCGGATGGGGAGCTTATAACCATTGGCCTCGCCCGTCCCAGGATTTCCCAGGATGCAACACCATATCCTTCGGCATATAAGGTGTCAACTGTTCTATAACTGTGCAATTGGGTCCAATTGAGGCCAAGTTGATCATGTCGTCCGAAAAGAAAGTCGGCGGGGACGATATCCACCATGCCGAGATCTCCGATGCCGGGCTTGACCACTTCAAGAATGTCGACCTCCACGACAAGGTCCTGGCGAACGGCGCCCTCGAGGCAACCACCCAGGAGCACAACCTCGGCGTCCTCCAGGCCTTCAAGACCTACAAGCGCGCCGCTTTTTGGTCCATCAGTAAGTCACCACCCCGGGATACCCTGTTTGCGCCCCTAACAGACGACAGTGATCTCGACCACGGTTATCATGGAGGGCTACGATGTTACCCTGATTGGCTCTTTCTACGGATACCCGACCTTCAAACAGAAATATGGAACGTACCTAGAGTCGACGGGCGACAAGCAGATCTCGGCCGAGTGGCAGCAAAAGTTCAACTGTCTCGGTGCCTTGGCCAACATCATTGGCGCCATGTTGAACGGATGGGCCACGGCGAAATGGGGCCACCGAAAGGTGCTTATGGTCAGTCTCTTCTGGCTGGCTTCGTTCATCTTTGTGGTTTTCTTCGCTCCAACGATCGAGGTCATGCTGGTCGGTCAGTTCCTCTGCAACATTCCCTGGGGCGTCTTCGCAACGACTGGCCCGGCCTATGCTGCTGAAGTGACTCCCCTGGCCATCCGAGGATACCTGACTGCCTACATCAACCTTTGCTGGTGCATCGGACAGTTCATCTCGGCCGGTGTACTCAAGGGTCTAGTCAATAACGATACCGAGTGGAGCTACAGGGTCCCATTCGCGGTCCAGTGGATTTGGCCTATCCCCCTCTTCATTGCAGCATGGATGGCGCCCGAATCGCCGTGGTTCCTCGTCCGCACGAACCAACTCGACGCCGCCAAGAAGTCTCTCCAGCGACTGTCAGAGCCCGAGCACCAAGTCGATTTCGACGGAACGATTGCCATGATGGTCCATACCAACAAGCTCGAGATTGAGGAACGCGCGGGTGTCAACTACTGGGATGCGTTCCGAGGCACCAACCGCCGTCGCACAGAGATTGCCTGCATGGGCTTCATGTCTCAGATCACAAACGGTGGAGCTCTCTGCTACAGCGGATCTTTCTTCTTCCAGCAGACCGGCATCGGTGCGAGCGCTTCATATGGCATCGCTCTGGGCGGTACTGGAATTGCCTTCCTCGGCGTCATCGTCTCGTGGTTCTACATTTCCCGATGGGGTCGCCGCACCATCTGGTTGACAGGCTTCAGTTCGCTCGTGCTCATCTTGTGGACCATCGGTTTCCTGGCTCTGCCAAAGCAGACAAATGCCCTCGCCTGGGCACAGTCTCTGCTTTGTGTGGTCTGGCTGGGCGCGTACTCCATGTCTGTCGGACCCATCATTTACACCATTGTTGCTGAGATTGGTTCAACACGACTCCGAACGCAAACAGTCGTGCTGGCACGTAGCTTTTACTATGTTGGAAACATCATTTGCGGTGGCCTCCTCCAGCCCAAGCTCATCTCTCCAGGTGCTTGGAATGCAAAGGGAAAGACTGTGAGTTTTTAAGAGCCACTTCATCGCTGCAACTATATGCTGATCCTGAACATAGGCATTCTTCTGGGCCGGTCTTGCTACGCTGACCCTGATCTGGGGCTACTTCCGCATGTTTGAGACCAAGGACCGAACCTTTGGTGAGCTGGACTACATGGTAAGCAGTTGTTCTCGAATGTATGTTGTGAAGCTGGCGCTAACCTATACCTAATAGTTCCAGAAGGGCGTGAGCGCTCGAGAGTCGGCTGGGTATAAGATTAATGAGGAAGAGATCTACGCCGCAGAGGAACGAGACACCAAGTTGGAGAAGTGAATTTTGCTCCATACCCTTGATATCTCAGCGAAGATGCAGGCAAATTGAGATGATAATATTCGTGGAGAGTGCTTTTTGGGTCCTATTCTCCTATGGTGAATGTGAATGTGAATGTTCTATGCAGCCGACTTTATCCACCCTGCACAGGTATGCATAATTCAATGAGCCGCGTCAGCTGGAGGTTGGAGATGGTCATTGGAACTGGTAGGGCAAGCCACGGTGGAGGGAGGCGTCGGTTGGTCCAGGGGTCACAGGGATTGAGGAGGCCGAGGGCTGCGTTCTGAGGAGCCTCATGTGCAGCCAAGACGGCGATCACCAATTCAATCGTTCTAGCTGATGAGAAGGGTCGAAGCTGGGGTTTGAGACGGATACCCCTATTAAACGAAGGCATCAATCCCGTCCACCGCTAATTGCTTGAGCAGACATGCAAAAGAACAAACGGGGTCGACAGGATCTAAGGTCCACTTATCAAGGGAGAGGACGAAACCCACAACGACCTCGTGAATCCGTCGAATATGCATGGAGACCCCAGCTGGTGAAGCACCAGTCAAAGCGCAGGACCTGCATTGACATCCGGTTTTAAGGTTATAGCGAGGTGGATTGCACAACACGAAAAATCGCTCTGCTGGCGTCGAGGAACCCGAGCATCAGGGAGATGCGCGTTGATTTGTTGGCCGCGGGCTCCGACCAACGGGACAAAAGTTTCGATAGACGATCATTGCAGTTTGGGTGGAGGCCTCTGCAAGAGATGCCTAAAGGACCTAAATTCAGAACAGGGCTATACGGGAATACGACAGTAATCTCAACAACGGGAATCAATGTCAACGTGGGATTCTGGTGATTGCGGATGGCGCGTCGATTCCTTGTTGTTGGCAGTTGATCCTGGCAAGATGGCGGTGGCGGTCACGGATGGCGGGCTGGTATCTGACCTTGTAATCGAGAGGCCAAGGAGCCGCCAGCAGGCATGACGGTGGATACGCAGCCTCGTACTTGTACAGGATGATGATGGAAAGTACGAAGTCATCAAAGACAATGATACGAGAAGGAGAAGCGAAGGTAGTCGGCAAGGACGAGCCGCGTTATGCAAAAGGCAGAGGCTGCACAAACGCACAAAGCACAAAGCACAAAAGCACAAAAGCACAAGAGTGATATCATGCCAGCCATCAAGTCAGCGCATCATTGTTGTTGTTTGGCTGCCAGCAATCAGGCAAATTAACGTCTGGATTAGGGTTAGTGGGGCGCTAGATACGAGGGAGGAGACAGTGAGGAGAGACTTGCCTCAGACTGGGGAGACGGTGGAGAGATTCGTCTCCGCCATTGGCTCAATCTCCCAGTTTCTATTCTGGGGACTGGATCCAGTGCCAATCCCAATAATTCCACTTAGTCCACGGTGCCTGCCCGGTCCACTCGGCCAGCACCTTCCCCTGCCAAGAGCCCAAAAACCGGCACACTCGCCCCGATCAACACGGGTTTTATGCATGCACGTGATGTGTCACGCCCGGGCGAGTCCGTTCCCCCTGATTTCACGCGTTCCATATCATCCGGTCTTTTCTTCCGTCCCTACTTCATCAATTCGGCACTTTGCTTCCCATTGTTCTTTTGGGATCCGACATTCTTTTTTCATCTTTATTCTCTTGCCCTCGGGCCATTTCTCATTCACTCGTTGCTGAATCACCACATTCGTTAATTTTTGCTCGAATCGGCTTGCGTGAACATTTCCCCTGTGCGACACAACCACGGATATCGACATCTCCAACGACTTCGAATTCCCGTAGCCATCATGCGTGTTTCCGCCACCCTCACTGCCAGCGCCCTCGCTGTGGGCGTCTCGGCCAAGAACTACCTCGGCTTCAACTCCGGTGCCACTCTGGCTGATCGATCTGCCAAGTTCAAGGCCGACTTCAAGGCCGAGTTTGAGACTGCCCAGAACCTCAAGAATGCCCCCGGCGACTTCAACGCTGTTCGCCTGTACACCAACATCCAGGCCTACTCCACCAACGACCCCATCCAGGCCTTCGAGGCTGCCATGGAGACCGATACCTCTATCCTTCTTGGTGTCTGGTGCTCTGGTACTGACAACATCGACGATGAGATCGCTGCTCTGAAGACTGCCATCTCCAGCTATGGCTCCTCCTTCACTGATCTCATCATCGGTGTCTCCATCGGTAGCGAGGATCTGTACCGCAACTCCAAGACTGGTGTTGAGAATGAGTCCGGCATCGGCGCCGACCCCGATGTCCTCGTCGGCTTCATCAAGGACTTCAAGAAGGCCTTTGCTAACAGCGCCATCGCGAACGTGCCTATCGGTCACGTCGACACATGGGATGTCTGGCCCAACTCCACCAACGCGGCTGTCATTGACGCCGTCGATTTCGTCGGTGTTGACGAGTACCCCTACTACGAGAACGACAAGGGCAACACCATCGACAACGCTGGCGCGCTCTTCGACAAGGCTTATGATGCCACTGTCGCTGCTGTCAAGGGCAAGCCCGTTTGGGTTACCGAGACTGGATGGCCCTACAGCGGCAAGACTTGGGACGAGGCCGTTCCCAGCGTCGCCAACGCCCAGCAGTACTGGCAGGACGTCGGTTGCGACCGTCTCTTCAACAAGGTCCCCACCTTCTGGTACAACCTCCGTGACTCCAACCCCGACAACACCATGAAGTTCGCCATCACCAACAACCTGTCCACCACTCCCCGCTTCGACCTGACCTGCCCTAAGAAGAGCGAGACCAGCACTTCCAAGGCCTCAACCAAGACCAAGACCAGCGACAGCTCCAAGTCCACCGACTCTGGTTCCAAGTCTACCGACTCCGAGGCCTCTGACTCTACTGAGACCAGCGGCTTCTCCAAGCCCACTGGTTCCGACTCTACTGCCACTGCGACCGGAGATGCCTCGGCCACCGCTACCGGATCTTCTGGCTCCGGTTCCTCCGGCTCTGGCTCCGGCTCCTCTGCGTCTGGCTCCGACTCCAGCTCCAGCACCGAGACCTCCGGATCTTCGACCACTCCCAGCACTATCGACTCTGGTGCCTCCACCCTCAAGATGATCTCCGTTGGTGGCATTGCTGCCCTTGTTGCCGTCCTGGCTCTGTAAATGTCAGATAGGAATATGGATAATGAAGGCCATTGCCCATGTGGCTTGACTGGTATCTCGTTCGCGAGATCTGTTTCTTGTATTCGCCGATAGACCAAGGATAGACTTTTAAGGATATTGCCGTTGATTTCTCTACTGCTATGATGACTAGAATATCTTGTATATCTCGCAGCCTTTTCTCGTGCCCAATGAACAAGGACCTGCGACCTGGAAGGTTCTTGATTCGAAAACCGCGATTCATTGACGGAAACCTATATTGTGACGACCGTAGCTGATCGAGACCTTGCCATCCCGCCTGGAACACGTCGTCAACGGGATGGATGTTTCCCAGACAAAGACGTGAGCCATGCTGTGTGGATTCTTGTCATTCAATCGACTAGCTAAACTCTACGGTACTGGTGATTCGGAGACGGGACGGGATTAACTGCTAAGCCGTGAACACCGAACACCTGACAAAAAGAGGCCCCCGCATTAGGCCATTGTTGAACACTACACGGGTGGGTTTAAGCATATTGGCTCAACGCCACACCCAAAGTCGGCGCCGTGACGAACTCTGGGAGCGATGCTTCTTTGTGGATGATGGGCTACCTTCACTACGTCCAACTGGCTGGAACAAAGGCTGAGAGTGGAGACTACGTAGTCGAGTTAGGATTGTGCCACGACATAAGTTGCATACCGATTCACACAAACTCACACCAGTCTACAAAGACTAAAGTCAGTTGCATTCCAGCCAGCGACAGATGGTGACGCAAGTCTGCACCTCGGCGCCCTCCCCTCGCATTCCACTCACCCAATGTCTTTTAACCTCAAAGAACGCTCGGCAAATGCTTTCGAGGCACAGGCACACACACCTACTTCGCCGGAATACTACCATGCTCTAGGGAGGTGGGAGATGCCAGACCCCACTCCAAGGGCGGAGCTATTTTGGGGCCAGTCCCGTGTGGTAGGGGATCGACAAACCGACAGGGCGGACTGGCGAATCGTAGGTAGGGAGGATGAAGCTGAGGACGGCCGCGACGGGGCCGTGGAGGCTTAGATGTAGCTGCTGGACTTGAGGGGCAGCTTCTGCTTGTCGTTGTTTTGGCAGGATTGCGATGGTCCGGAGAGGATGAGGTCGAATTTCGATAGCCCACGGGCCGAGATGTCCCTGTTCGATGCATGTTTGCGTCAGCTCTTCCCTAGCCATTGGATCTTTGGCCTTGGATCTTTGGCATTGGTGCTGAGCTGATGCGACGCCGCTGCCCCTCCTCTTCACCTCGCGGTTACCCAACCAGCTTTTCCCCGATACAAGTCACAATCCAAGCTCCACCCACCGCAGCCTGGAGAAGCACCAGAACGGAGGCCTCACGGCCAGACACAACCCTGCGGCAAGCGCAAGCGCAGAGACGAGGGCCGTCCATCCACTACTCCCTCGCCGTCGACGCAGTCAGCCTTGTGAAACGCCACGAATCCGGAGGGGGATCTAGAAGCGCAGACGCCTCCTCTTTTGGCTTTGCGAACGTGGGCTAAGCCGCGAGCCTAAATCGCCAGCGGTCTCGATTCGCCAATGGCGTCGCGCCGCCCCCCCGCCGGCGATGCTGCTGCAGTCTATCGAAAGTAGGGCAGTGCTGGGGCTGCGGAGGACATGGGTTGGGCCTTCGATTGGCATCAGCCCTACGCCTTGGCTCCGTCGTGGCGGCTGGTCGATGGCCCCTAGCTCTTCAGCTGCTCAGCCCTTCCGGTGGTGTTTCCATGTGACTGCCCGCCTGTTTTCGTGCAACCTTTAAAGACGGGCTGTGTCGCCCACGTCAGTCCTGTAGCTCAGCTGTTATCCGACTCTTATTCACCACCTGTTGCCATTCGCCCTCTGTCTTCTCCTCCTGAGATCCTCCGTCACAGCTGCCGACGATCCGCGACGCCCACCAACTTACCCTCACATCATCACGTCACATTTCACAATGGCCGCCGCCTTCCAGCTCCCCCCCGCGCCGCGCGAGATGGCCGTCTTCGACAACCTCATAGCGCGCCAGACCGAGACGCTGATCCTGCGCGAAAAGGTCATGTCCCTGACGGGCGACAGCTTCGAGATCAAGCTGGCTAGCGGCCAGCCCATCCTCAAGGTCCAGGGCAAGGTCATGTCCATCTCGGGCCGCAAGTCCATCTTCGACATGGCCGGCACCCACCTGTTTGACATTGTCAAGGAGCACCTGCACATCCACACCACCTTTGCCATCGAGACGCCCACGGGCCAGAAGATTATGGAGGTCAAGAGTGGCTTCAAGCGTGAGTTACCCCAGTTTGCGCCTCCGTGTTTGGAGCGGAAACAGAAGAACCCAATTGCTGACGCGACATCCTAGTGCTTGGGTCCAAGGCCACCGCCACCTTCACCTCGTCCAAGGGAACAGCCGAGACTCTCACCATGAAGGGCAACTGGGTCGACTACTCGGCCGAGATCCACGACCAGGCCAGCAACGCCCTGGTTGCGCGCATCGACCGCAAGGTCCTGAGCGGCCGCGACCTCCTGTTCGGCCAGCAGACGTACGCGCTGACGGTTGCGCCCAACATGGACATGGCCCTCATGGCCGCGCTGTGCATCTGCATGGACGAGAAGAACAACGAGAAGTAATCGATGTGTGTTGTATCATGGTTGACGATGGAAACGTGGACGAGGAGCGACAGATACCCACCCACTGAACGGCAGTGGAGCAGGCTGAGATTCCTGGTTACGCATCAGTGTTATGGTTTTTTTTGTTCTCCAACAGAGAGAGATAATGGAAGTTTGGTCCCCTGGTATGGGAGCTTGGGGTTTGTGACGGGACAGTATTGTTATGTTTGGACGGTACCTTGACGCTTTCCTAGACGCACGAGTCTTCACCTAACGTCGATAGTTTGTTGACAACCAAAGAAAAAAAACGACAGACGAGAGTTTTGGCACCCGTATTGATACACGCAGAATAGTTTGCAGAGCAGAAAATACAACCTACCGGTGATTGTCCAGCTCAATGGATCAAGCAAGCATGGGCCAACGTTGCCTCACCGCGCTGTGTCTCTGATGACATGGACAGATAACGTATCCTCTCAACCCGCCCAAAACACCCACCTCTCTCTCTCTCTCTACCAAGCCGCTTACTATGGCTCCCCTCGTGACTCCCCCTTGGCACGCTGCACGCCAAGCTCAACCCATTGCCTCTCCCAAAGTCCCCCGTCTGACGGCGCCTGGCTCGGCACCCAGCATCCGAGAGCAAAGCCTCGACTCCAGGAACAAGCTTCGCAGGACGAATGCTTGTTTCGCCCCCCATCGCTGAGCTTAATAAAAGGCTTATCGAGACCTCATCCTGCCCTGCCCTGCCCTGCCCCGTGTGTCGTGCGTTTTGCGTCGGTACTGCGTCCCGGGGGGAGAGCTCTTCGCCGTGGCAAGGGCTGCAAGGCATGGGCATCTGCCGGGCGTGCAAGTCGCGGGTACAGATGGACGTGGTTGTCGCGCATGCGGGCGGCTCTGACACAGCCTCACGGGGGGATCCACGCCGGACCTTGTGTGTGCGTATTTTATTTACCGCTCCGGTGCGTGGTTTTGCAAGGCAAGTCTTGACCAAGTACACGCATCTCACGAGAAAGGCTTCACACGTGTATGAGTGTCGGTCTGGTCAGAGCGCCAAGGTACCTACGGAGCACGTACTTACATGGCCCTACACAGGGCTCCAGCGGGCTGCAGCCAAGGACCAAAAGGCCACCAACGCAGCAGGGCATCGGGACCACAAAACGAGGCTGTGCAGAGGTATTCCCAAGGAACAATTGCGGCGCCCGCCAAGCTGCCAAGCTGCCAAGTTGCCAAGCCATGGAGCCTTCCTCTGTTGGAGGCTCGGCGCCCTCAGCGCGTAGCGGGTTGTGTGGTCCAGAACGCCAGCGGACAGGCGCCGGGTGAGACAGAGTGGAGCGGCGACGTCTTGGCTCCGTGCCGATAAGCGAAATTCGTAGGCTGAAGTCGCCGACGCCAAGGGAGGCGAACGGGGTTCTTGCGGCCAAGAAGTCATGGCGTGAGGGCCAGCCGTGGAGCTTCCTCCGGACAAAGGACAACGCGCAACGCACCGAACACCGAACCACATAGTTATTCATTCACCCACTGCCAAGATCAACACTTCTCCAGTGAGACACATCTGTCACCATGAGGGGCAGTGTTTGCCAAGATGACACTGCCAAGACGACATCGCCAAGACGCCGGCCTCGCCAGCACAAGCATGAGAGCACGAGGCACGATATATGAGCGAAAAAAAAGTTGTTCAATCCCTAACGGAAAGGTCCTGAACTGCTATGCACCCGGCCCTGCCCTTGCTCTACCAGCTCAAACTTGATTGGATATCAAACGTGTCGTGCGCGCGTGTGTGGTCGTTGCTCATCAGACAGACAGACAGCTTAGTCCTCGTAGACTTCCTCATACGTCTCCTCGTACTCCTCACGGGCCTCCTCAATATCGCTCTGGCTAGCGTCCGAGTCGGCAAGCGCCTCCTCGTACTCCTCGCGAGCTTCCTGGACGTCCTCGCGGTCACTTGATGACACGGAATCGCCATCCGCGTCCGTAGCGGGGAGGACAGCAGGTGGGCCGTCGTCCTCAGGGGGGGGAGCCGACTCGTAGGTGTTGTAGGTGTTGTATGTGTTGTATTCGGCTGCGGGGGGAGCTGCAGCAGGAGCAGCAGCTGCAGCTGCATGGTGCTCATCATCGCTGTCGTCCAGGGCGTTGGCGATTAGGGCGCCACCGATAGCACCGACGGCGAGACCACCAGCGGCACCGAGAAGCATGCCCGACTTGCCGCTCTTCTCCTTCTGCTCGCCGCGGTTGCCATCTTGACCGTAGCCTTGGCTCTGGTCATGTCCATAGCCCTGGTTGTAGCCTTGACCCTGGTTGTAGCCTTGGTTCTGGCCGTAGCCCTGGTCGTGTCCGTACCCACGGGTGTCCTGTCCACCACCATATTCACCACCGTGGCCGGGGGGAGGTGCACCGTATCCCGGCACGCCTCCGTAGCCAGGGGCAGGAGAGCCATATCCAGGAGCGGGAGAGCCATAGCCGCCAGGAGCGGGGGAGCCGTAGCCGGGAGCACCACCGTAGCCACGAGATCCGTCGGAGCCGTGCGACTCCATGGGAGGGCGAGAATCCGGAGGAGGGACCGCCGGGGCGTTATACTGGCGGGGAGCCTCCCACTGGGAGCGACCCGTAGCTACCTCAACATAGAACCAGCGCTGGTGTTGCTGGTCGAACTGGGCAGTCCAGCCCTCAGGCAGAGGAGGTTTGTCGGAAGGGGGTTGATAGCCGGGCTGGGGAGGAGCGGCATAGTACTGCGCAGGAGGAGGACCGCCCTGGCCGCCCTCGCCGTGGTAGCCATAACCGCGCTGACCTGAGAGACGAGATTGTTAGTTCATGTAAAGTTGGGGAACAAACACCACAAGAATCAAACAGAGCGTGGAAGCAGGACACAAGGCTTACCCTCAGGAGGCGCGGAGGATTCCTCCTTCTTATCGCCTCCAAGACCGAGGTTCTCAAACTCCTTGGAGATCTTCTTGAAGAAAGACATGGTGGTGGTGGGGTGGAGATTGGCCTCTGGTAGAGGACGGTTTCCGGGTTTCTGAGTTGTGGTTTGGGGAAAAGAAAGGTCGTGCAGGAGAGGATGAGAGGGAAGAAAGGAGGAGGAAGAGATGAGAGAGAAGCGCAAAGAAATAGGTCTCGCAGAGGGGCGGCCTCTTTAATGTTTGACGGGAGGACCGGGTGTAAGCTCGTGGGTGGCAGTTGGCATCAGTTGGCGAGTGGAGAGTGTGGACGCGGGCAGCTGGCGGCCAATAACGGCAAGTGAATATGAGTCTGCAGGCGTTCAGGTACCTGGGAATGCAGGCAATTGCCAGGTGCAAACGCAGGTGTGGCTGTGTGTGCACCTCATTTGCTTGGCTTTGTCACAGACTGACACAGATTCACACACGGGCATCGTGTCAGTGACGCCTTGGAGGTGATGCATCCCATGTGTCCCGCGGGCCATGTATGCCATTGAATGTGGCTACTCCGTGCCACACAGCCATTCACTGACAGCGTTGGTCCAAACGGGCAGCCTGGCGGGCCGTTCCGACGGGGCTGTGGACCCTTCTTTTAGTGAGCCCAAGCTTGCTTTCAGCGCGAGTTTACGAGGGGACAGTTGATAGGTCCTCTATTCCATGAGCTCTAGCTATCCCCCGAAGCTCTGAGGGACTGACTTCGGCAAGTCGGGAGATACTTGCCTACCGTGAGGCAAGCGCATATATGGAGAAGCACAGGGGGTGCTCGGTGCGAATGGCCTCACGGCCTCACCATCAGCCCCCCAATGCAACTTACGCGGCGGTTAGGGACGCACACAAGCAAGCACGGCGCAGAATCAGCCTCCTGTGTAGGAGGTATCGTGTGTGAAGTATCGAGTACAGTGCACATGCTCCCTCCTCCAATACGTGGCATGTTGATTTCCTCGGGAACAAAAGCGCGGGCTGCCGCCGAGGCGCAGCGTAAACAAATGCGCGCAATCTCCGTGCCACAGCCGGGACTTTCAGGGGTCGGGCAGCTGTGGTTGTTTCGACGGAAGTTCGTCCACAGCCCGTCATGATGGAGGGGCCCGCGACGCTGCTGAGGGAGGGACTGAGGGACTGCTGCGAGGAGGGGAGGGGGAGCTTGCAGCGCCAAGACGCCCGGAGGCCGCCCCCCGCAATGTCGCCTGTAGCACGTCGCCTGTAGCCTGTACGTAGGGCCCTTGGCGTCGCTGGGAGCCACTGACTCACTGTCCAACAGGGCAGTCCAGCCTCCTCGCAGGGCAGGGGCTCCACAGCACCACAGGCCCCACTGGCTCGTAATTGTAGGTGGTGGGCGCCCGTTCTGTTGGCTGTCGGAGGCTAGGACGGAAGGACCCCGCCAGTAGCGCCCGCTCATGAAGCTGCCCGGGTCGCATGGGACACGCCCGCGAGGTCCCCGCTTCCTCACGACGTGCCGCGTACGTACTACCTGCTTCGTACACAACCGGCCAACCCGTCACGACAAGCTCCCACGGTGCCCTGACTGCACCCGCCTCGACCTCAACTCCACACCAATCTCTCTCTCCCCGGTAACAGGGCTGCTCGAGAGTTCCCTTCAACAATCATGTCCTACTATCCCGGCCAAGGCCACCACGGGCAGGGCCACCACGGAGGCGGCGGAGGATACGAAGGCGGCGGCGGTGGTGGTTATGGAGGCGGCGGCGGTGGTTATGGAGGAGGCGGCGGCTATGGAGGAGGTGGTGATCACCAAGGAGGTGGCTACGGAGGTCACCAAGGAGGTGGTTACGGAGGAGGTGGTGGTGGTTACGGAGGAGGAGGTGGTGGCTACGGCGGCGGCGGCGGCTACGCTCCTCCTCCCGGCCCTCCTCCCTCCGGGTATGGTCCTCCTCCTGGGCCTCCTCCTCAGAACTGGGGGGGCGGCGGCGGCGGCGGATATAACCAGTACCAGGCTCCCTCCCACGGCCCTCCTCAGCATCTCGACGCCTACGGCCATCCTCTCCAGCACTCGAACTATGCGTCCCACGCCCGCTCCGGTCCTCCCCCGCCGTCAGTTCCCCAGCAGTTCGGCCACGGCGCCCCCGAAGGCTATACTTTCCAGTACTCCAACTGTACCGGCCGTCGCAAGGCTCTGCTCATCGGCATCAACTACTTTGGCCAGGATGGCGAGCTGCGCGGCTGCATCAACGATGTCCACAATGTCTCTGCCTTCCTCATCGAGCGGTACGGCTACAAGCGCGAGGACATGGTCATCTTGACCGACGACCAGTCCAACCCCGTCATGCAGCCTACAAGGGACAACATCATCCGCGCCATGGGCTGGCTCGTTAAGAACGCCCAGCCCAACGATGCCCTCTTCCTCCACTACTCCGGTGAGTCCGAGTAGAGCCCCCCATTTTCGCAGCCCATCTAACCTTGCTTGTCATACAGGACACGGCGGACAGACCGAAGACGAGGACGGCGACGAAGACGATGGCTACGACGAAGTTATCTACCCGGTCGACTTTAAGAACAAAGGCCACATCGTTGACGACGAGATTCACTTCTACGTGGTCAAGCCTCTCCAGCAGGGTGTCCGTTTGACGGCCATCTTCGACTCGTGCCACTCGGCCACGGTCATGGACCTTCCTTACGTCTACTCCACCAAGGGTGTCCTGAAGGAACCCAACCTGGCCAAGGAAGCTGGCCAGGGCCTGCTGAGTGCCTTCACCTCCTACGCCTCTGGTGATGTGGGAGGCGCGGCAAGCTCCATCTTTAACCTCGCAAAGTCGGCCTTTACTGGCGATGCTGCCTACGAGAAGACAAAGGACACGCGAACCTCCCCTGCTGATGTCATCATGTGGTCCGGCAGCAAGGATGACCAGACATCGTGAGTCAGCCCTAGGACATCCGTTATCTATGTAGCTCTTGCTAACCTACTATCTCCCAGCGCCGATGCCACGATTAACGCCCAGGCTACCGGTGCCATGTCTTGGGCCTTCATCTCGGCCATCAAGGCAAACCCCCAGCAGAGCTATGTTGAGCTTCTGAACAGCGTCCGTGAGATTTTGGAGACCAAGTACACCCAGAAGCCTCAGCTGTCGTGCAGTCACCCCCTTGGTTAGTGACGCCTTCTAGAGACTTTGTACTCCTATCATTTGCTAACCTTTGACATTTAGATGTCGATCTCATGTTTGTCATGTAGTGAGGAAACTCGAGGACCAGTTATGCTATGGCTGGAGTTTGATGCCAGCTATTGACGGGCCATTAGTGATGAGCTTGGATCGAGCCTAGTAATAACTTGATGACCCGAAGTGAAATATCTCAAGCCAGTAATTCGGCAGTATGATGATGACGACCTGCTATTTGTATAAGGACGAGGCTCAAAATATTAAGGCCAGGTGCGTATGGGCAAGGACCTCTGAGCAAGCAACCCGGCCCAACGTGCAAATCCAGATGAGGACTTCTATCTTTCATGGGTACGTACATACGCCGGGCATACAGCACTCAGAAAGATCTTAGCCCCATCTTGACAGAAGATTGGTGTCCCAGAGTGGCCTGTGTTCATTCTACATTTGGTGTTTTGTTGAGAAGAGTAATAGGCTGAAGTCTTACCGTTCTATCACAGAACTGAAGCCGTCCGCTGTATCCGGCGAGGAGAGCTCGATCTTTCTGTCCCGCTGCGATGAAACCATTGACTTTCTTGTCACTGGACTTCATGCAAGGGACGCCGCCCGTTTGTAGATTGCCCGTGGTGCAAATACAGAGTACCCTTTGTCGATGGCTTCCTCTTAAGGGAGCTGATCATTATGGTTCTCCGTAGCTCCTTTTCCAAGTCCCTTATTTTAACTCAGACATCCTCCAAACAATGCGTCTAGTTTATGAAACCAGCAAAGAAAAACCCAGCTATGTAGAATATGAGTAAAGGCGTGTGTATTTAGGAAATATTGACGATAAAAGCGATCCAACCACCACCGCTCTAAAGGCTTTCGTTCCTCCAACGTATTGCACTCCAATGTCATTCCCTTATTTTATCTTGGAAATGCATCGTGTGAGAACTTATTTACGTTCTTGTCCTTCATATTGCTTGGCTCTTGGATCCTCTTGTCCTGTACCAAAGTCAACGTCATCGGTACCCAGAACCCAGAGTCAATCCGCCCGAGTATATCTCGGGCCGACCCATGTATCACTAACGTATGCAAAGAACTACCGTCCTTTCAAAGATCACGAGGGTACTTCCGTGGCCGAGGGTCAAGGAGGAGTGATTTTAACTTTGCCAACATCATTGAAGCCTCCGGTGATGTTCTTAGCCAACCATCTTGGGATACCCACTTGTTTTGCTCGGATTCGCGCCAGATTAGGCATTTCTCTGACCCCAAAGACACCTTTTCAGAATTCATCTATATACGGGTGCTGGGAACCGGGTGAATCATTTATCTGGCTGTGTAAGATCATCAAGAGCATGGTGCTCGAAGTGTCTGAGTGGCGAGCGCTACTGTCAGCTCGTGTCTTGCAGCCTATCAAGCGACTCGCCACATACGCCAGCAGTGGAAAGCCCTATACAGTTTCACCCTCACTGAAAATGAGGCCGTTGTGATCTGGTTCCTTGGTGATGGCGCGGGTAACACCAAGTATGGACTGAGTGGCAGAACATTCCCTGGACACAGCCAGGGATGAGATCTTCACTGTGGGCCTTGAGCTGGAACAATAAACACCTGTGGATCCAAACCTAATATAAAACTCTAATTGTCAATATTTGATAGAAAACGAAGGCCTCTGCAGACAGAGATGTCTATCAGCACAGTCTATCCCGACGGGATCTTTCCTCCAGGCCCTCTGACAAAGTATCCGGACAAGCTAGCAGCTTAGACTTCCAGCTGGACTTGTAAACGTTCAATCTACGTATTATTTGAGGGCGGTACAAACCCATTAATTGCGCAAAGAAATGGCGTAAAATGAATACAAGTAGAGTTGATTCAGTGGCATTAAGCATCGGGTTTCATGTTAGTAGTTGGCACGACTAAGTAAGTTCGTCATGTGGATCCTCGCATTACTGTATAATATGTACTATAAATCCGCTTGGTCATCAAAACGGTTCGATAGCTCAGTGGTACGAGCGAGGGATTGCAGATCCCTAGGTCGCGTGTTCGATCCACGCTCGGACCTGAATATTTCCTTTTTGCCCTCGCTTTTGAAAGTGAGCAGCTTTTGTCACTTTATCCTCGGGTGGTCCTTTCAACAAGTCTCTATGTGCAGTTTATTCGCGGCGCTTTCGGATAACATAAGATGGGCATCAAGTGTATTCAGTTATACAGTCTCTAGCATTGCCGGGACTCTTTTTTTCCCCCCAGGTGTGCAATCAAAGACCAAGATCCTTGATGATAATATCTGCGGCCTTCTCACCAATCAGCATAGCCGTGTTATTCGTGTTTCCTCCGACATTTCCAGGTGCAATGCTCAAGTCGGCCAGCTTCAGACCCGTGGTGCCCCAGACATTCAGGCGTTCGTCTACGGCACCATTCTTTTCACGAGGAGCCATCTTACACGTGGCGATTGAGTGCCAGGTAGTTTCCACATGCTCGCGGATCCACTGCTCGATAGCCTTGTCGTCTTCGGCTGAGTACTGCACATCCTTGACGTTGCTAAGAGGCCCCTCAAGGTCAACAGATGCGGCCTTTGAGCCAGCGGGCCATGTTGGATGGCCGATAGCAAGCTCACCACGATACATTGCGGTACGCCGCATGATTTCGCGGGACTTCTTGTACGCCCAAACTTGCTTCTTGAGGTCGATATCATTTTCATCGCTGAGGAATCCCACGTCGAAGTCTATCGGATCGTTGACTCCAGAACCTGTGATGTGTATATGACCACGCGAGTAGGGGTAGGCGGTGTAGTTGCCAACAGTGACATACTGACCCTCCGGGACCGCTGACGGGTCTCCCAAGAAACTGTGCGTTGTCAGCTGTCATTCGTAGCTTTGTACGTCGCGTCACTCACCATGACACAAGTCCCATTAGCATGATGGGTCGGTCAGGGGTGTTCTTGAAGTCCCTGTCCCACGACCTCTGGAATTCAGGTCCAAGAGCAGCGACGTCAGCATCTGAGGGCCGGAGCTTGGACGAAACGTCAATGGAGTTCCAGCCTAAGACTGGATCCTTGGAGTCAATCAACTCTTGGCGTTTATCCGGGTTCCTGAGGACCCTATCAATTGTCTCATGGGGCTGAAGGTTGGTCTGGTATGGGTAGAGAACGAGGTGATGGTCTTCATAGCTGTGTCCGACTCCAGGGAGGTCGACCTGGACGGGGACATCTGCCTTTTCGAGGATCTTGGGATCGCCGAGACCTGACCTTTCCAGGACAAGCGGCGTGCCCAAAGCACCACAAGAGACTACCACAAGCTTGCGAGCCTTAACAGTCAGCTTTGGGTGTTGAGTGATACCTGTCTCGACTTGGAAGGCGGGGTTGGGGGTGTACTCGACGCCAACAGCCCGCTTCTCGCCATCAAGGAGCACGCGGACGACCTTTGACTCGACGAGGACATGGAGGTTGGGGTACTTGTCTCCATTTAGCTTGGCGTGAAGATATGCCGTCGCAGCGTCTTGTCGCTTGCCCTCGGGTGAAACAGAGCGGTACCAACGCTGGAAACCGTTGTTGGCGTCCAGCGCCTGCAGATCATCGAGTTCAGGCCAGCCAACCTGGGACGCGGCTTGGATAAAGTCGCTTTCCGAGTTGGTGGAGCGAAATGTACCGCTGCTGATGTGGACAGGTCCGTCAGAGCCGTGGACTTCGGGGTTGGTTTGTCCATGGAATGTCTCGATCTTCGAGTCGATTAGTTCAAATGCGCGTTCCATGAAAATGACAAAGCACTGTACCTTTTTCAAGAAAGGGACAAGATCGTCGGAGGACCACCCGGGCGTGTTCCAAGAGTCAAAGTCCGAACGTTGGCCACGCGTATACATCATGAAATTAATCGACGAGCCGCCGCCAAGAGTTCCACCGCAGGCGACAATGGCCTCGCGGCCCGCAAGTTGCTCTGCTTTGTTACCCTTGTAGAATATGGTCGTCTTGCTAGTGGGCAACAGGTGGTCCAAGAAGAAGACAGGATTCTCAATGTTCTGGACGCCACGGTTGTCCGGGCCTCCTTCGATGACTAGGATCGACAGCCCAGGGTCGGCTTCTGCTAGACGCCCAGCGACGACACATGCCGCCGCACCACCTGTTGAGCGTGGTATTGTTTAGCGTCGTTATTCACTCCGATTTAGAAAAAGATTGGCAGCCTACCTCCGGCAATGATAATGTCAACCTCATCGATGTTCTCGGCGAGCTTAGTGTACACGCCCATGGTTTTGATATTTGCCGGTCTCAGAAATTAGGTTTGTCGGTGGGTGTTCTACGACTTGTGTCTGGTGCGTAGTCTTAGTTGCTGTCCTCCCAGGCTCTTATACCCATTCTCCACCCCAGCTTCCCCTCTCCAGCCGATTGTTTCAAGGGGTGAGCGAATCACTTCCGATGCTGTACATACGGTGTGCATATTCTTCTCCGCTTTCAAGCGGAGAAGGACACCTGCGTTTCCCTTGTTGGAGAAGGTGTGACGGTCGGCGTTGCGCGGCGATATCCCTCCGAACACCAGGCGGGTTTGAGCAACATCGATTGGGCTTGAACGAAAGCTTGTGCTATGACCAGGTAGTAGTTCGGAGCTTGATGCCATTTCCAACGATAATGCAGCTGTCCATCGGTCCGGGATCTTCGTACCAAATTGGAAGTGAGTGGCGCTGAGTAGCCGCTCCGCTAGCGTAATAGTAGTAACCGAGTTGCTGATCCCCGCATTCTAGATCTGTTGGTTGAAGCCTCACCTATGCCACCTGAGAGGCTAATGATCCATCTCCGGGGTTCAAGCCTGCATTTGTATCAGGTTAGACCGAGACCGAACGAGTCAGGTAGCGTCCTGTCAAGACAGAGGTCTATGGGAAGGGAATGTATTCCAAGGTTGATAATATATAAGGTGGAGAGCCTCTGCTTAAAGAATTAACCTAGCTTATTTTTATATGTACTTTCTAGCTATTTTAATCTTTTGGATTTTAAGCCTCCCAGTACGATAGACCGGGTACAATAGCTAGTAGACTTAAATCTCTCTCCATTATACCTCGAGGCCCAGTTGGGCCTCAACATATCGCCCACCGCCTGTCAGTGACTAAACTAGTGCGACGTAGCCTAGTAGCTCAGTCATACATAGTGAATATCATAGACGAACTTCCTAAGACGCTTAGCTCCCCCGGAGCTGTGGGGCGGCGTGTCACTATGAACTGCCGAGCAAGTAGCAGCGTTCTGCTCAGATTTACCGAAAACGAAAATGAATGCTAAAGTGGACACCGACAGTCGTCGTCGTATTTGGTTGCCGTGCTTCTCTTCTATGTTTTCTGCCAAGCTTTACCTCCATTTCCAAACGTCCAGTCGGGTATCTAGATGGTGATCCCCGAAGGTAAACCGGCTCCACCTCCACGTCTATTTGAGACTTATTGTGTGCAATGTCAAAATACGAAGAACATACACGCGCTTGCCTCGGAGTATTTTCAGCAAGTGGAATGCAAGCTCCTGGAGAAGGAAACGAACCAGAGTTTAACGTCATCAACCCCTGGAGGCAGCAAGGCACGGGCAAATCCCTACTGGCGGCTTCGCTGGCCATGACTCGTGCGACGTCGCAGTTCGTGGCTTGAGGAAAAAATGTAGGGGCTGGCCAACAACCAGCACAACCCAGCCTTCGGACGGCTGATCTGTGAGTGCGCACGTGGTAGGGAACGGCGACGAAAGACGAAGCCCTTGAATCCTTGATATTGTATTTCAACCCCTGCCAAACAGAAAGCTTATCTTCCCCCCAGAAGCCGGTAATCCGGGGTGAGGGTGACATGGCAAGATTTAGTGCCTCTAGTTAGCGTCAGGGGCTGCCGGGAAAGACGCAATATTCAAGGTCTGGTCGAATCCACCACACACTCGGCAGTGAACGGAAGATTCCGTTATATGCTTTCGTCTTAGTTCGAGATCTACATCATTCGCGTTACAGAATGTCACCCGCTCGCTCTTATGAACTTTTAGCCCCGGATGATACCGGCAACGCACACCGTCAGAAATATAGGGATCGCCATACTCTCTATCCTCCTTTTTCAGGGCGCAATCTGTGTTCCCCGGGCAGCGACCTTGCTCTTCCCAAGAACAAACGCCGCCCTTCCCTCGAGATCTGCTCAATGATTATACATAATCAGTTTGACCTCCCCCCTTTGGCCCCTGTACCATCGCTTTCATCTCGTTGATGTGGCTTCCCTAGTTCCAAGTCTGACTTGGGCGGTGCATCTTGTTGCCACTGACTCGAGAAGAGTTCGACCAAGATGGAGTCCAAGCAGACTGATATTCGGGCGGTGGTGTTCATCACATTTGCAGCAGCGACAATCGTCATGATACTTCGCCTTCTGAGTCGGAGGCTCAAGAGGATTCCCCTGTCTTGGGATGACTACTTTGCACTATGCTGTTATGTGGGTTGCCGTTGCGCTCCTCTTTGGTCAGCGACGTCTTTGCTAACCCATTAGGCCATGGCGATTGCTTGGATAATCATCATTCCGTATTGTAGGTTTTCGTTCTCACACCGACCGATCAGGACACTAACGCAGGTGGCAAGGGCTTCGCAAAGGCCTCGGGCTTCACATCCAGGATATCAAAAGCCCGCCAATCGAAGATATACTCTTCCAAAGCAAGCTCCTACTCTTCGTGGCCGAGCTGGTGTACGCGTTCGCCCTCTTTTTCGCCAAACTCTCTATTTTGAGCTTATACTGGCGCATGTTCCATGTCACCAACATTAGACTCCCAATCCAGATTCTATTTGGATGCTCTATAGTCTGGATCATCTTCCGAGTAGGTATCTGGCATGGCTTCAATGGAAGGACAAGATGAAACTGACTGCTGATAGATATTTATGGGTATATTCCACTGTGTTCCCGTTCAAGCTTTCTGGGATTCCTCTGCCGGCGGAAAATGTGAAATCGAAGATAAGAAGTTCTTCTTTGGAACCACCTTGGTCCACGCTTTGATCGATATCGCCATCTTGATCGTGCCGATCGTGCAAATTGGAAAGTTGCAGCTGCCTTCCCTGCAAAAGTATGGCATCATGATCATGTTTATGTTTGGTTTCTTGTAAGTGACACCAAGAGGAGCAGACGATATGTGTCGCTTTATTTACTGATGGAACAAAGCATCTGTGCGGCCGCCATAGTGGTTATTGTCGCCGCCACGCAATTTGACGCCACATCGGTAGATCTAACCTGGAACATATGCCCTATTGTCGTTTGGGCAACAGTGGAGGTGAACCTCGTCACCGTATCAGGTACGTCTGGCCCTCAAACATCCGTGTGATTGCTATTAACCACCATTGCTGTGCAGCTTGCCTCCCTACCGTCCGACCCGCCTGTATCTATCTCTTCACTTGCGCCAACCCGGCGTCGAGGACTAGCGCAAGCTCAAACAACTACGGGCAAAACTACAGTCGCAGTCAGGCCAAGCAGTCGATCCGCCTCTCAACAGTCAACAAGTCGGGCGCCAACGACGAATCCAGCTCAACACACCAGCTCGCCGATTCCGAGGACGGCGGCCGTGGCTCGGTATCCGACTTTGAGAGCCACGCACTCGACCGGTACCGCGGGAATACCTCGACTGTCACTGGAACACGTGGTGCTGGCGCCGCGGAGTTTGGCTCAACCTTCGGTGGAATTATGGTCAAGAATGAGACGGTGGTGCGGGTTTCGAAGCCCCGTTAATGAAACAACATTTATAACAAGCAACGGCATCAATGGATAAACGATAATCTATTCGTCTCAGCGACTGAATAAACAACGAGTCATTCAGCACTACATCGCAAGAAGTTCAGCAAGACCGAGTGAATGGCACGTCTCAAGATGTTTGTGGAGTCTCGATAGCCGTGATGCGCTCGCACATTCTTCAGTCTCTCCGCGTCGGCACTGTTTTTCCTGGAGCTGCTTCTGCAGCTTCTCAAGTTATTCCAGGAGGTTGATAGATTTGTGCGTAAGGTCGGGTTCCACTTTTCTACCAGCTCTTGAGCTCGACTGGACGCTATGGATGGAAGGAAAAACAGATCGCCGACCCATGCTTGACAATGGATCTTACCTTGCTTGAGATATGTTATCGTCTCCATGGCCAGGTAAAAGTGGTTAATTGTCGGGGGCCTCTCAGAAACGGTGGTCGGAGCGATGTGGATATATTCAGAGATGAATAGGGAGAAAGGTCCCTCTGCTTGGACGATGTTTCCTCAGTCATCTTTGCATCTGATCTAACATGTACATCAAATGCGGCGTCTATCGTTCAGATCGTGGTTGAGACCTTTCTAGCTTACACAAATGCACTAGCCAATTATCTCATAGCCGTTTCAGTCCTGGGCTTGTTTTGTAAATTGCTGAGATAGTCGCCCTTCCCACCTTTATCTCCCATACTCTGTCCATGCCTTCGACAAGGGCTGCCAGGGTGTATTCGTCAATGACGAATCGCCCCCACTTAACTGCATCGAATTCTCTTTCCCCAGTTTAAGAGAGACTCCAGACATCCTAGAATACAATTGGCTTTCGATCCCTAGCGTCTGGATACTCCGACTTACTCCTATGCACTCAGACGGTACCATAGGTACTCATAAAAGTCTTAGTATTAATTGACTGGAATATTATATATCCGTTAAGGCTGAGAAAAAGTGGGTCAGATCTTCCGGCAGCCAGGGCCGTTTGAGTCCCCATAAGCCGGGAACCTCGCCGAAAAGCCGGGCTGCATTCGACCTTTACCACTCACTACCCCGCCTCCATTATCTTGTGCATTCGCTCGATCCTTTGGAGAGAATGACGCAGATCTCCATCCTCTACCTGAAGCAGCGTGACCAGAGGGGTAAATGTCTTCGTCTGGAGCTCAGAGACTTCCTGCATCGTCCCCGTTTGCACGATGGCGATAAAAAGAGATTCGAGAAGCTGGGATATCAAGGGCCAGCTATCCTGTACGTGCGTGTGCGTGCTGACGCAGGCTGACGCTTATCGACATTGACTAGGATCATTGAGGACCACAACGAATCTCATAGCATTAGCCGCTCCATCAAAAGCTTACTCCATCGTGGTGACGAGGCTGTCTTCCTCGATCGCATGGTCAATCTCCTTGTGGCAACGGATAATTGTCAAATTCCAGAGCGCACGACAAATTATTCAGAAGATATGTGGTCCATCATCAAGTATCGTGGCCGTCATGACTCTCTCGATCACAACGAATATTTGCTCAGCCAGGACCGGATTTCCAATTTCAGTAAACTTCGAAGGCGTAAGAGAAGCCCAAATTACTGGACAGCCTCGAACCTCGATTTGATTCAACTGACTTAGTACGAAGGACACGATCACCTTTTTCAATCAAACACTAGGGTTGCGACCTGGATCTGTGCCGATACATCCATCCTTCGACCTGACCCGAGGGTAAATCTGAGTGGCCTCATAGTTTTGATGTTTGGAAAGGGCCCTAGAAAGGGGGACTCGGAGGCTTTTGCGTCCATTCTGCAAAAGATACTCAGCCCTGATGGCATCGCCGATGCTATCCAGAACAACCCACTCCTCATACACCTATACTTGTATTTCTGCTTCAATGACTTCAATCGTGTCCTGAAGCTCTATGAACATTTATACAACGTCGCTGTACGTAACTCCTCCTATGAAACTTGGGCGAAGATGACATATTGACACTCAAAGCTTTCGACAAATGGCCGGACAACTTGGGGGATCTCTGATAAATCATTTCTTTTGAATAACGCGCTCATACAGATTTCTTTCAGTCTGCCCGATATCCTACAGCACAAAGCTGTCCTGAAGAGGCTCTCTGAGTACAACGACCAACGTCCGATAAGAAGTCGAAGTCTCAACGCAGGTACTGGTCTTGTGGATGCTAAGAGGCAGGCCGCGTATACCCTCTTGTCAATGAGAGATGAAGTGGAAGACTTCGAAAAACAGGTTGACATGTTCCTCGAAAGGTTCACGGCCTCGCTTGATTTAGTAGGCACTTCAACATCTGAAAATCCGCTGTGAACTTAACCTGTCTTAGGAATTCAGTGTGGCCAACGAAAGGATGAGCTGGGTCATGTTGTGGTTTACTTTCGTTGCCATCCTATTCACCCCGATGGCATTTGTAGCTGTATGCTCATTCCCCTTGATTGACCGAATCAAAGGTTGCCTCTGCTAATTCTGCTAGTCGATCTTTGGTATGACCTCCCTTGAAGCGGACCCGAAGTGGTTTGCGGCCGCAGTGATCCCGGTCTTCCTGGTTTCGTGCCTGCTTTGCTGGTACATTTTCGATAAGAGCCAAAGGCTCGATGATGAACTTCTCCCAACTGAAATTAAAAACCTGCTGCATGCCATGCCGTACTCGCAGATTGACACAATCAAGCGAACAAAGAAATACAGTGGCCATGGGAGACCAAGCCGCCGACAAGCTCGCCGCCGCACTCGTCGTCACCGCCCGACAACAGAATCCGGGATATCAGGGGGTTCTGAAGGTAGTTCTGACGACTCGAGCTCGCCACCGCCCATGTACGAGACTGTGCCACCACCGCCCCCGGTCGTCTTAGGAGTAGGCGAACACCCAGGTCCACGGCCCTCAGTAACAGCTTCTGGGAGGCATTGGAGAGCACAAAGGCCAAGCTTCGAACCCAGGCGCAGAAGAAGAAGAACCGAGAGCAGCACTACGTACAATGCCTTGAGGATGCCGGACTTTCGACCACCTCCGCCTCATAGACCGTCTTCCCCCGCTGGATACCACAATTCATACGATGAGCCAGGGGGTCCGTCTTATGAGTACGTGGGCCCTCGGCCCCAGGAGCGCCGCAGCTCTTACCACCAACCAGGTGTGTCAGAAGACAGAGACGAGGAGGTAAGCCACTCAAGGAGATCAAGGAGTGGACCAAGAATAGTGAGGAGTAGATCAAGGACATCAGGGAGATCAAGAAGTAGAGCGAGAAGATCAGGGAGTGGATCGAGTACATCTGAGGAGGTATATGTTTTGTAACCCCCGTCGGTGTCGGGTATCAATGGGTGACTGGATGAGAAATATGCAAGCTTTCATCACCCGAGAGTATGGAGACCGAGATTGTGCACTGCTGCATATTGGATTCAGCGATGGTGGTAATGATCTGAGCCATGAGAAATCTCGTGATTTCTTCCTATCTAATGATGGTATTGGTCTCATGTGAAGACTGTGACAGTAATGGAGACAGGCTCCATGGCCTGCGAAACTCTTGACCGACAACCTCCAGATAGATCTTTGAGTATACGGAGTTGACTGAGCTGGAAGAGTGGAAAGTTAATCCTCTGCGTAGGCTCTGGGCTTTATGCGCCTCTGACGTCCGTATGATGAGGTCATATGTAACCGAACATGTGACACTATCGCACAGCGACAGATGCCAGTGTGTAAACTTGGACTACGGCCGAGGTAGTTTAGGTGCTTGGGAAAATATACCTATGCAAATAGAGAATCAAATGCGAATACCTCTCAAAGTATTTAAGGGATTTAAGGGATATGTCCAAGTATCGTTGCTGTCGAAGACTGGTGGGTGATGATGACGAAGAGGGAAGCTGGTGGCAAAGAACACTGTCTGGAATGCACATACATGATACTGGTGCTTTGGTACTCTCTAGTGGGTCCTGAGCTTCTCGCTAAAGAAAACACAGTCGCCGAGACCACCGAGTTGTATCACATTCGTCTGTCACATTGCATTCGGGCGTCGGGAATGTCATCATCGAGAAGGGGGAAAAGGAGCTACCGCTCATGCTGGGGACATGTCGGAACACGCTGAATAATGATGAGTAAATTGTAGTAAATAGCCTCGCCAAGCATTCGCAAAGGGAGGCTTGCTGATTGATCGCAGCGTCAACCCAGACGTCCATGGGTCAGATCCTATCACGGCGAATGGCAGAGCAACGACCATTCCTTGGCGACTTAAGGTTGCGATTAGAATTGCAGCTGCTCCAGGGTGCTACGAGTGCTATACCAAGTGCATCTAGTGCGACGCGACGGCTGGATTGCTAGTGGGTTGCCAGTGGTTGTCAGTGGTTGTCAGTGGGTGCCAGTGGGTTCCCAAGCGAAGAGGGGTACCTAGTCTAGCTGAGGCTGGGGCTAGTCGAGCTGGGATAAAGCGATTTATGCCCTGCGGCGCGTATCTGCACTTTGTCTTTGTACATATAACGCCCAACCGCTCGTCATCATCCACCAAAACTCAGCCATCTCACACATTGATTCCACAGAGCCATTTGGAGGCTGCCCCATCTTGATCTACATGAGCAGCATGGACTTTTCCGACTACGAGGAGGTAGATGGCAGCTCCTCTGACTCTGATGATGGACGCGACTCACGCGACCAGGCCCCTAACGAGGACCTGTCTGAGACGATGAGGGAAAACTTCTCCTTTCCGCAGTCAATCCAGCTGCCGCTCCAGGCTCATCTCCGGGGTGGCCACCCGCCGTGGCAGGGCCATGGTGGTAAGCTCATTGGAGTAGTCGACATGGGAAGGTGAGGACATGATCGCGACAGACATGATCGCGACAGACGTCATCGCGATAGACTTGCGCAACGCAGCTGACCATCATTCCCAGCAACGGCATTCGCCTCTCCATATCCGACCTGTCTGCTCCGATGGCCCGGATTCTGCCGACTGTGCTGGTGTACCGGTCTGGTATTTCGCTGTACGACTCCCAATTCGATCCCGACACGGGAGAGCAGATTCCAATTCCAGATGATGTCATCGAGTCAGTCTGTTCTGTGCTCAGCCGCTTTGTCGTCGTATGTGCCGACTTCGGCGCTACCAGAGAACATATCCATGTCATTGCCACTGAAGCCACTCGCGCTGCTCTCAACTCGGCACAGTTTCTCAAGACGGTCAAGGACAAAACCGGCCTCACTGTCGAGCTGTTGCCAAAAGAGGAGGAAGGCCAGGTTGGTGCACTGGGCATCGCCAGCGGCTTCTCCAGTATGGAAGGTCTCGTTATGGACCTGGGTGGAGGCAGCACCCAAATTACCTGGATGCTCAGTCAGGGCGCCGATATCAGGATCAGCCCAAAGGGCAGCTTCAGCTTCCCGTATGGTGCTGCAGCTTTGACCAAGAAGCTAGCTGACCTGCGTCAAGGCAAAAGCAAGCAGGAGGGAGAAGCTGCAGTGAGCGCTTTCCGTCTCGAAATGATCCAGAACTTCAGAGATGCGTACCATGGCCTACAGGTTCCCGAAGAACTAATCGAGGTCGCCGAAAGAGAAGGCGGGTTCCGCATCTACCTCTCTGGAGGTGGATTTCGAGGCTGGGGTTACTTGCTGCTGTATCTGAACCAGTCGCGAGGGAAGCATTATCCCATCTCCGTCATCAATGGGTACACGGCTGGAAGGGAGCAGTTTCAAGACACTGAAGCTCTCAAGGCTGTCGCCCGCGCCGCCAAAAACGTCTTCCGAGTCTCCGACCGTCGACGTGCTCAGGTTCCCGCGGTGGCATTCCTTGTCAATGTTCTTGCAGAAGCCATTCCTCACGGAATTAAAGAGGCGCACTTCTGTCAGGGTGGTGTGCGCGAGGGGTTTCTCTTCAGACAACTCTCGCCATCGGTTCGAATGCAGGCTCCGTTGGAGGTGGCCACGAGCTACTTTGCACCAGGCTCGCGCCATGCGATCCAGACGTTGCTCAAGCATGCGATCCCGAAACCGGCCAGAAACGAAACAAAGAAGTTTCCGGAGGAATTTGGAGAACACGTCGTCGATAGCTTTTCGAATTCCATGTACTCGCACATGTTCATGTCCAAGGAAACTGCTTCCGCGACGGCGCTCTACTCAACCAGTGTGGGAATCATGTCCACCGTCCACGGAGTCTCTCATCAAGACCGAGCCAGGCTCGCGTTGATGCTTGAGTCAAGATACGGCGGCGAGTTGCCGCCTCGAGAAGTCGAGTTCCGAGATTCACTGCGGGACCTCATCAGCCCTGAGGAGGTTTGGTGGGCATCGTATCTTGGCAGGGTCGGATGTCTGATCACTACACTGTACCCAGCTGGAAAGATTGACAGATCCAAGCCCCGCGTGGTGTTCTCGGCCCAATGGTCATGGACCTTGGGCAAAAATAAAGACAAGGAAGGCTTGATCCTTACTCTCTCGGTGCAGAAGGTCAAGAATGACCCCGCGAGGACCAAAGAGACTCTAGAAGAATTTGGCAAGGCGGTGGAGAAGGTTGGGAAGAAGAAGGCTTGGGTTGGAGATGTTGATCCATGGGGAATGAAGGTCAAGGTCAGAATTGTTGAGGAAGGAATCTTGAGTGGGCCAGATGAACCGTAGGATGCGAATTGATATTTCAAGATGGAATAAGCAGCAGTGTTAAATTGCCAATCCTTCCAGTTTTCTTGTCTTTCACCTTGATGCACAATAATCAGTGGACGTAAAATTTGACAAGTTCTGTATCGATTCATTGACTATGTTTCTGATATTCCTAATCAGGTTGCTGACCGCCATCAAAGAACCCTAAACTAAAGTAATCAAATGCTCGTTATCATATTCCAAGGCAGTTGTCCCATTGAATATTGCCAATAGACGGAAGCTTCAACACCCTTATCGGCTCCACCCTACTCTATCATCCAACGCATGCCTTCGATGAGATGCTCCAGCCACTGCTTAGATGCAGGCAGGTCGGGACAAGTTGTCCAGAAGCCATGTGGGAGGCCTTGATAAATCCGGACCTTTGTTGATAGTCCAACTTCCTGAAGGAGTTGGTCCAGCAGTATGGCTTCATCGCGTCGAGGATCCCAGCCGCAGATTGCAAAGTATGCCTTCTGGGCGATATTTGCGTGTGAGTCGAAGAGAAGGGGAGAAAGGCGTTTGTCGGTAGGAGGCGCGCCATATTTCCCTATGAGTAGATATCAGTGTTTGTAGATCTTAACCAAACGAATTATCGCACCTGCGAAGTAGTCGATGGACTTTCTAGTGAGGCCCGGCGCGTCATTGATTTCATCCACGCTCAGGATTCGATCCAGGTATTTCTCCGGTCTTGCGTTAGGGTGACAAAAGCTTCCAGCCAAGAAGACGATGCCGGTGATTTTGGGGGAAAGGCCTTCGTCTCGGGCAAGATGGCTAAGCCCAGCAGTGAAGTTTGCGCCGGCTGAAGTACCTCCGAGAATGAAACCCTTGGAGAGATTTGTCTTTAATTTTCTCTGGCCTTCCGATGATGCATTCTAGATAGTTAGAGTTAGGCAAGTGAGGGATATGCGCAAATTGACTGTGAGGTTACGAACCCATCGGAGAATGTCAAAGCAGTCTTCAAAGCCAACAGGAAACTTGTTCTCTGGTGCCAGTCGGTATTCCACACTGACGACAGCAACTCCAGTCTCATGAGCAATAGCTCGACATGTTGAATCATCTGTCTCTAAGCCACCAGTCACAAAGCCGCCTCCATGCATGTACACGAAGAGTGGCAGGGTCTCATTACCGCTCGAGGCCCGACGGTAGCTTCGGAGAGTGATGGACGCGTTGTCCCGCACAGGCACGTCGAACTCTTCAATATCCAGTCCCGCTTGGGGCACAATGGGATCGTGAGCTCTCGTCATTCCATGTCTACTAGTTCCCGGCGGCAAATTGTTTGGGAACTAAAGTTTCACTGTCAACTACTTCAGCTCGATCTGGACGAGGCTTCTGCGGACTTACATCCACCCACTGGGGGTCCGGAACTGCGTAGTGTCGATATTCCGCCATGATGTTTGATTGAATTAATGATGGGTGTAGGAAAGTTAATGGCGACAATCATGGCCATATTTTATCGTTTGGAGATTCAATCGGCAGTGGATCGGAGGTTGGAACCCCACCAACTCGTCTGTCAAATGCTGACTGCCAAGAAACGCCGTGACAAATCCGACACCTTGTAATGAAGAAAACCGCTCATTTCCGACTTCCCAACCTGGTTCATTAGCGGGTGATCCATTGCACAGCACACCCTGACGATCTATTCTGGGATTAGCGCCATCAATAGATGATCTTATCAGATGGATCTTCCAGGTAGCTGGTGTGGAGGTTCGTCCAACAACGGAATAGATGCGGTATTTGGCAGTGGTCTGTGATCCTTCCCATGCAGCTACACGAGGCTATACGACAGATGCGTATAACCCTCATGACGTTCAAATTCAACGAAAGCACTTTTGATCCTGGCGTTTGCACGCTGGGTATTTCCATTCGCGCACATATGCGTTGCCATTCGTTCACAGGTACACATGATTATTAGAAGATAAAACAATTAGTCTCATTAAAATGTCCGTTTCTAAACTGCTATATTAGGTTTGTTATTGTCAATTATGCCGGGAATTGTGGGATACACTTGTCTTTGCAAAAGGTCCACACGCCTGCGTGCGACTGTAATACTCTCCAAAAATTGCTATTGATAGATGGGTGTCCTCACTGGCGTTCTTGAACCCTAGCATGACCTATGTCTCATGACCAAGATACCCTTAAATACGTGTAGGTTGAAACGACGAGTATATTTATGACAGGCGTCGATTGAATTGAAGGAGAAATGAACAAAACTGCCAGTTATAAAAAGAAACACCTCCCTGAGCCGCGGTCTCCAGATCAACCTCTGACACTCCCGCTTAGGCCTTCATGAACTTGGCGTTCTCTAGACCTGTCGTTTGCCGACTCCAAATTGTTCTACCCATGGCTACCAATCTCCCTCCAAATTCGTCCAGAACCTCTTGAGCCTCTTTGCCGCCAGCCTGGAACGCCCTGTTGCGCTCTTCTTCTGTGCCTAGAGTGGCAATCTTCCAACCTTCTTTCCACTCGGCAATGGCCCTCAGGGCTAACTCCCCACCTGAATGAACATTCCTAGCCACAACGTAGAATGATGATCTCATCGCGTGACACTTGGGGTGCTTAAAGAGCTTCACCGTGGAGAACTTGCTGAGGGTGTGGATGAGCTTTACACTGCCCCATGCCTCTAGCTTGTGTAGGAGAATAACCATGGTACCGCCAGAGTTCAGATGCTCAAGACTCAGCGCGAGTTGAGAATTTGCCAGGCGGCGAGCTTCGTAAAGCTCTCTCCACTCAGAACGTTGGTGGGTTCGGAGGACTTGACCATCGCATAATGCTAGATCAAACTTCTCCTCTGGCGAGAATTTCTTCTCCAGAATAAACGTCTCTCTTTCCGGATGAGAGATTGGTATATCGTCTTTGGTAAGACCCATGTCTCCCGCAAGCATCGTAACATCAAGAAATTCAACCGCAAGGTTGTCTCGCTTCAGCAAGACTTCGTGCCCGCCTTGCTCCACTGGCAAACTCATTGCCCTAACCTGGGCGTCGGGGTATTTCTTCAACACGGATGCCGTGAATCCACCCGGGGCCATGCACATGTCCAGGATGGCTCGTTGATTTGTGGTGTGGGAGAGGTTGAAGGCTTTGGTAGCACGGTGTAGCTCTTTTCCAATGCCTTGCATCATGTTGTAGAAATACTCAGCATTCTTGTTTGAAGCCGTATCTGCCGACCGTCGTTGCTTCCGGAAATGTTCATCTCCTTTCTCGCTTTCCCATCCCTAGAACATCGTAGCCCTATTAGTACAAAAAGCTCGAGTGACATCCAGGTGTGACGCAACTGACCTTCTTCCGAAGTTCTTGAAGGCGACGAAACTCCTCTGACCTTTCAGACACATAGTTTTTGATTGTATTGTTGGCACCGATTTCCTTGTAGGAGTATGTCCCTGCATCATGTTTGTCATCTCCCTGCTGTTGTCCTGTTTCATCGATCGAGTTGATGTCGAAGCTGGGCGGAGAGCGGGCGGAGGATGGGTTGATATTGGAAGACATGACGATAAGGATAGGCGAGGTTTTGTCTAACTTTGAAAAGAAAAAGACTCTTGGTTGGCAGATGTCAAAGGGTCGAGCTGCGTGTCAAGACAGGTCTGTTCTTGAAGGTTAGTAGAGCAGACACTGCGGGCAGAGCTTCTTGCTTAAGTAGCTACATTTTCAATTCTAAGGCAACCATTCTAGTTTGCCTGTTCAAAATGACACAAGGTTTTCAATTGTTAACACTAGCAGGCCTCCTGCATGACGCCGTTGTTATCACAAACAGGCCAACACAACGAAACCGCGAGTGTGGGGGCCTATAGTCAAACATGCTGGTACACATTCCAAGCAAATGCTGGCACAGGAGTGGCTGGTTGCGCTTTTATTGGCTGTAGATACGGTAGCCTCAACCTGGACACATTCTCATTCAAACAAGGCGCCAATATGCTAAGCCTTCTTTACCTATTGTTGGTAATCGGGGCGAGCTGAATCAGGCTGCGGGCCTCAAAAACGGCCTCCCTAAGTAGAGTAACCGCACCCTGTCTGAAAGCCGTTTGGTGGCCAATTATCCGGCCTCGCCTGTCCTTGCGTTGGTGCAGCAAAAATACACTTTGATGGATGGGAGGCCCAGAGGATACCGGGAGACTAAAGTTCCGACTCTTTCGAAATACACTTGATTGACCATATTAATCCTCGTCGTATTGGTCTGCGTGGCGTTGGCCTACGAAGCTACAACGCCCATAGTTGGCGGGGCCTGGTCGAACAGCCAAGAATCGATCCAGATGATTGGGTGTTCGGCAGAAGCGTCTTGTGGGCGTTCTATGCGCCTAGGAATCAATAAAACAAACCATGTCCACACTAATAGCCAATCGGAAATGGAGACGAGGCCGACTCAAGAATCGGCTAAGTCTGTAAGAGTCTCGATCTAGCACCGTCCGTCCCGTGTGTGGCCGCGTGCCAATTGAACGAGAACGCCGCGATCGCCAACTGACGGGACTCACGGGAGCAAACTGACTGCACTACCAAGCGTCGCAAGCCTGCAATAATGGCATCTCGGCCGATCTCTTTGAGAGTGGGCCTCTAATTACTTTGGTCAAGTTCGACGATGGAACAGGCAGGCGAGCACCAAGGAAATCGAGTACTTTGCCATCTCTCACGTCCGGCGGGATTACAACTGGCGCTCGATTGACGGTATCGAGGGAGAGAAACGGATTTCACAAGAAAAGGCCGATTTTTTGAAGAACAATTTGACTGTAATTGTCGGCAACACTCCCTTCTGAACGGATACGTTGTCGGTGGATCAGAGAAACACTGATGACGCCGTTGCAATAATTCGCGATATCCTAGACATCTTTCGCGATGTGGTACAGACCATTGCCATTTGAGAACCCGATGGCTTCTAACACTGCTGTAAGGAGGCGAGGCATAATTGTCAAGGCTGGCCAGACTTCAATGGCAGACTCATGGCCCACAGTGGAGAGCATCACGATCATCTCCGGGAGGAGTCGTATCTGCGCCGGTTGTGGACGCTACACGAGTGTCCCACATCATCCAGTTTGCAGTTGCCCCGACAAGCAAGTGAACAATTTGACATTTACCGTCTCTGTTGATGCAAACTTATTATAATACCAATCTCAGATGCGCCTCTTCCAAACGTAGAAGACGCCGGTCCCAGAACTGGGGGTGTCTACGCACATCAAAATGGCATGGAGATGCTTCCAGATTGACTCTGGGTCCTACCATATTCTTTCAACGGTACCTATTGATAGGACGATAATAAAGTCATAAACACCTTTATCAAGACATACCTGAATTGGGGGACTATTATACGAGTAAGGTCGCTCGATCGCACCGCGGAGGACACTCCCCACACCATCGGAGGCAAACAGTTCCGTCTCGTGAATCAAGCGTCGATCAAGGCTGTGGAAAAGTCACAAGACTACATATTCGCCAACATGGCGCAGTTCCCATGGCATAAGTCTCCCTTAAATGCCAACGATATGTCATCCACCGAGATTTTAATAGACTTGCATGATCAAGCCTCTGCAGCTGAGCACAGATTTTCTCTCAAAATATTCCAATCCATGACCGGCCCGGATGGAGTTAACGGAGATGCCTGGAAACAAAGCGATGACCAACTCGAGCCCGCCTACCTCGGCGATTTGATCAAACTCATCGGTCGCAAAATAGGGCCCTCTCTGCAACTCATTCAGCCGACCCTTCAAGTGAGCCTGCATACCACGTCGCCTATTAGTGCCAACAAGAGTTAGTGCTACGGGTGATTGAAAGCGCCATGACTAGCACAAGGGACGCGAGCAGTCCAAGTTCGGCGTTCGTCTTATTAGACGTGGCCCTAATAAAGCGAGTATTAAGTAGAAGCTGACACACTTATCACGCTATACGCATATAACTACAAGCGGTACGATGTGAAAGACTAAAAATGTCAACAATTGAGAGGTGGGATGGGTAATTTAGTTTGCTTGCACTATTGCAAAGACCAGAGTGACACCAACTTTGGGGGTATGCAAGTAGGTAGGTAGGTAAGAATAGCCCTGGAGATGTGAAGTAGGGGAACAGATTTACGTTAATAAATACAATGAATATTGCTATTAGGACAGTATATATCACGTAACCCCGCCTTTTTCGCTCCGCATTTCAGATCTTCCCTCTATTCACACGAAATTTACATATAAGTCAGGGAACGAACGAACAATAAGTGAATTCAACAGTTGCCGGCATACCGCAACAACCTGTAGGCCCGACCACAGCCAAATCGTTCAAAAAAAAACCGCATCTCTACAGTTTCCCGAAAGGCTGTAACTTTGGGCCCGGCCTAGCTGCGGCTGTAAGGGCCCCAGTTGCGTGGCCGCGATGACTTCCTCTGTGGCTGCCGGAAAAGTGGGGTCACGTAATGCATACATACTGTCCCAATAGCAATACTCAATACAATACCCAGAACTCGCTACTCTACCTATCTGCACTACTCTCTGGTGCAGATCACCATGGGTGCCGAGCACCGTAACGTACACGGTAGCTTTGAAATATACACCGAGCTAAACTTCAACCGGAAGAGATCGCCACTCTCCCAATCCGTTCAAGTCCTGACTTAACAGCCACAACACTTGAGAAAACGCCCCTGGCTACCACTTCCTTTTTAGCACTCTCCGCCAGGATAATGCACGCACTGGCGGGTTCACAACGTAAATTACACCTTTGAAGGGATAGCCTGAGTTTTATAATCCAGGCGAGCAAGCTACTGCCGTGAAATGATAATTGCCGTCAAGTTGGTGCTGCTATTCTGCCAGGTGCTTAGAGAGAGTGGGCTGTGGCTGAACTGTGGCTGGAGTGTTCGAGGTTGACGCATTCAGAGCGGCGACCTGTAAGTTATTAGGCTTAGCTGCGGTGTACATTACACATGCTGCGTTCACGAAGTACTGCGTACGTTACGGTTCTTATGGATGCCACCCTTGTTAAACCTTAGGCAACTGTGAAGGCAGTTCCAGCGTCGCAATGATGCTCTGGATGCGCGTTTCCGCAGTGCCCACCGCAGCAGCAATCGATGTGGTTGGTTGAAATCCCGGCGGTGGGCGATGGTGGGGTTCATCCGCCTCCGCCAAAAACCTGCCGAGGCCGTACGTGGGGCCAGCGTCCCTTGACGTTGATTCGTGGGGGATTCGATCAGACCTGATCAGTGAGAAGTCTCAGTTCAGATACCTAATTAAAGGGAATATGTAGTAGGAATGCGTAGAATAAAGATTAAAAAAACACGTACATTTTCTCGTGGACAATAGTTTAGGACAGAGACAGGATGCTATGTGAATTGGCGTTACTGATGAGAGGATCCTCAGGGAATTGCGTCTCGATATTTAAGTAAACTCCCAAGTGAAGGCCCTTCCGGTTACAAAAACAAAAAAGTACAAAGGTACATGCCTTCATTGATTTGAGCTGTTCGCCTGATGCGTACTGTTCGCCTGGTGTGCGCACCATTTACCTCTTCCCCAACAATGTTGCCTTCTTTTGCCACTAAGTATGCCATGCGAATGAGAAAGCTCGCAGAGATTCGTACAATTGCCGAGTTCTTCAACCATGTTGCCTTCTTTTGCTCACCCTCTGAGGATATCATGCGAATGTGAGCCTCAGCTCACAGAGATTCGTACAAGCGCTGCCAAGTTCTTCAACCAAACACAGGTGGGTTGCTTTTCCCCAAGCTGGAATCACTGGGCGCACACGTGCGCATTACATTTGTCGGACGATTGTGATCCCGTCGGTGGGATCTGACGGTCCGAGTAGGGGGCCTGTTGCACAGGGAGATGCACGATCAGATGAGGCAAAAATAGCCTGATTGAATTGACGACACATATGACCTCGTTGGCGATGATCTAGTTGATGAATTGACTGTATTGTAATGATCCTGATCTCAGCGAGGGATTTCCCTTGGCTACGGTCTTAGTGACCCCCGCTTCCCTAATAATCACCCTTCGGACCAGATCCCTCCGTCTGACAACATTAGCTCACACCTAACCTTTCATAATCTCCATTCCACTTCGCCGCCTTGGTCCTCATCCACAACGCTTCCCTTCAGGCCCTGACCGGACGACTTTCAGCCAGGCTGGAAATATATGGATATCTCCTCCTTGGTATACATGTCACTTCTAAAAGGGAATTTTGTAGTGATGAAAACTGGCCATGGCTTCAATCTGATCACTAGGTGCAACCCCAACAGTTGCTAACGCCACGTTCCTACGCTACGACAGCTCCACAGCACATTGTAAGGCATCCATTTCTTTTCTTGACCATTCTTGATTATTCTTGCAAGGGCTATCGGGTGGTTCGCGTCCCTGCTCCGGTGGTGTTGGTGCTCAATTCTCCCTTGTACAAATTCCATGCGTCCACCACAGCGTCCAACACTACCACACATTTAGTGATTCGTGACAGAGATAGTGAGTAGCTCCCGACCCTTTGCTGTCGCCGTGCCCCCAACAGGGCAGTTCCTGTGATAACACTCTGATGTAGTGGCGCAAGTGTCCAACACCCAAGTCACCGCAGTCGCAACATGGTTGCACTCGGCATTAATATACCAGCGCCCGCTGTTTGGTACTCCTCGAATCACCGTGCGAACCCCATCGTACATAGCCTCGCAATAGCGGTCATTCGGCCCTCGGTCCCTAAACGTTTTGCAATAGCGGTTGTTCTTAAACAGCCAGAGATAATCTCGGCAAAGGTAGGCGCCTCCCAGATTGCCACTCTGCGCACCTTCTGCTTCCACAAAGCACCTGTGAGCTGGCGGCAGAAACTTCCCACCGTCCCCAACGTATCTGCTTCCGTGGGGCGCCATGTATTCATCGCGAGGTTGCAGTTCATTCCTGGGATCTGGCAGCCCTTGTTCTTGTCTCCATTTCCGGTCGAAGAAGTCGTGGACGGTGAAATTTTGGTCTTCGAAAGATGCGTCCTTGACATTGGGAAATAGTGATACCGTATCGACGTTCGTGTTCTCGAGGTAGTCAAGGAAGGGATCAGGTGTATCTGGGAATTTCGGTGTGGTGATGCCCGCGGCCGTAACTACCAAGGCCAAAGCCATCTGGCCGAGGATAAAATGTAGAAAAAGGCCACCCATAGTGTTGATATCGAAGAATTCCACCCTGGATATTGCTGAGAATTACCGCAGACGAGACGGAAAGCACTCAGAAGTCGAGACAGTGTACGAAGAAGACACCATCTGCAGATGCTCGTCTGTGGTGTCTGGTGCCACCAACACCCGTGAGGACCTCAATGGCCAGGGCGACTGCGAAAAAAGCCCTTCAATAAGTTTTTTGAGTATACACGGTTGAATAATCCCAAGCGGGTCAAGGTTGGCGTATATATTGAGAAGGTTCCACTCCGAATACTGACAACCGTCGCAAGGTGAGGTCTGCGGCATTGACTGTTCTTCCCGGTATACTTGCTCTTTTTAGGTTGTGATGGCGGCTTAATTAAATACAAAGGATTTGAAAGAATTCAATATATTCCACTGTGAGGTCTGTTATTGGCAAACGCTTACACGCAACGCCGGGCTGCATTATCTGTTGAGTGCCAGTCAGACGGGACCAGAAGGTTTACGCTGACCACGGTCGCGGAAAATGAGGGATCCCTAGGTATCTGGGTTACCAAAAGAAAAAAGATTCCTGTGTTTCGCCTCCTCTCCAGTGGTTCAGGAGTTAAAAATTGCAAAAAGATGCCAAAAAAGAAAATGTGTCAATCGTACGAATGCTTGTATAGGAATAGCCCGATGCGGGGGTCGAACCCGCAACCTTGAGATTGTGTACTCGTAAGAGTCTCACGCTCTACCGATTGAGCTAACCGGGCAATAACCGGTTTTGGTTGGAAGAAAGGGCTCTAATTGTACACTATATACCCGCGTCAGAATTCCATTCCAAGGTTGACTCAAATGCGTTGTCCTCTTGGAAAGGGTGGCCCAACACCTGAGGAAATGCCGTGTTCGGGTGACTTGAAGGGAAAAGGACTCCCAATAATCCCAATACAACCCTGAGGCGCTGCTAGAATGCTCACTTTATTCCAGCAGTGAAGCCATAGTTCCTTCACAATGTGACAGCAAGCCCAGATGGTGTTTCGGACAGTGGGAATACCAAGCCGTCTTAGCACAAAGACCTCGCCAGATCCTACCACAGCTTCAAGCCTCCATCATCGCCTTTACCTGGCCTAGAACATCGGTGGTCTTCCTTGCAGTCAAACTGGCGTGTCCGTCTTCCGGAAACAGCTTGAACTGACATCCCGGTAGCAATGCGCTTGCTTTTTCAGCCATCGCAGGAGGCACGTTCTTGTCCAGCCCTCCGTGCCAGATGACAAGTGTGTTCTCTTGGACCTTGACCTCATCGAGAGAAAAGCCCCAGTCGCTGCCAAACAGCTTGGCTTCGTGCGCTGAACCCGTCGCCCCGTTTTTCAACGCTTCGCGCAAGTTGCTAAGGACAATCTCCCTGAAGCCGCCCACATCCTCCCTCCACACGTCTGCGTCCACGCCGGTGCGAGATTCCATCATTTTGCCCACCGTCGCCGCAAATACCTCCGGGTGTTCGGTGTCTCTAGCCGCTTTCCCCAGACTATAATCTATCCCTGCTGCCACTAAGCCGGGCACCCACGGACCGAGGGCCAGCATCACGCGCAACTCCAGTAGCATTCCTTGTGTCCCCAGAACCCTGGGCCAGAGACCTGCCACTATCATGGCAGCCTTGAGCCTTGTGCGCGGGATCTTGTGGTAGCACGCGAGCACGTATGGGCCGCCGCCCGAGATGCCGATGCATGCGAACTGGGGGATTTGCAAGTGATCCGCAAGTGCAGTGATATCGAGTGGCCAGTCGAGGATGCAGCGCTGTGGTTGAAAGGTGCTTGAGCCCATGCCAGGCCGGTCCACGGCGATCAACTGGATGTTGTGGGAGGCCGCCGCATCGTGCAGCATTGCTCCCTCCAGTCGTGATGCGGGGTAGCTGTGGAAGTAAAAGGCATGATGAGATGGCGAGGAAGCACCGTAGATTGCGTATGAGAGGGTACGACCATCAGCCAAAACTAGCTGATTGGTGTTGATGTCTTGGCTCGAAGCTATGGTGGAGTCCATGTCGTCGCGATGTGTTTGGAACAGCAATGGATACAAGTCGGCGACAAAGTAAAAAAGAGGATACCCTCGGACATGATATAATTATCCGTAGCGAGCCTGCGGACACGTTTCTACCCGTCCGATTGGTACTCTGCTCTCGCCAGAGCTAACCATATTCGTAATTCGAATCCTTCGTTGTTGCGAAACCAGGTTCGAGTGGACTCTAATCTCGCCAAAGCCAATTATGCCTACCTAGGATCCGAATCCTTTATCAGTACAACATCGCCAAAGCTAAGATGATTTGGGATTCGCATCCTTCATTCTTATAAAACGGCTTGGTTCATTGCGAATACAGTAGCACCAGTGGCGCATGCTTAATTGAAGCTACGGATAATTTAACAGGCTGTTGTTCTCACTATGTAACGGTACTTCCTATCCACTGTTGCTAGCTACCCTTGCAGGCTATTGAGGGTGAATCTCGATTGTTGGATACAATTTATTATATTGCTCAGGTAGGATATGACAAATAGGATCTTGTTGTTTTCCATGAGCCTTCTCCCCGGCACCGCGCAGCCGGAGTCGGTCAGTCGTCTAAAATACGTGTTGGTACCTCAAACATATTCAGCAAATCCATCAATGCGAGTTCTATAATTCCATGAGATGGCTGCAGTCTCTCATTAGCATGATTCCCCATGAAGGCTGTGGTGTGTTGTGAACATACACAACTTACACGGTACCTGCATAATGGTTCGCATACATACTTGCAAAAAGGGTGCCTCGCATCAGGTGTAAAATCGATCAGATCTTGGATCCCGTAGCGCCAAGCAATGCAACTAATGAATCTTCCGACAAGGCTAAAAGCACAGCATTATGTGGCGCTTATTAGGCTGCTTGGTGGTTCAGCCGTCCCAAATGAGCGTCCCAAATGAGCTTGGTTGCCCGCCCACATCCCGCGATACTTACCTGATGGATGCAGAGTCGCAGCGCATATATTTCCCCACATTATTGATGAATGTAGATTCTATAATCACTTGCTCATAAGAACAAGGATGGTAACCCATGTTTCAATTTGCCTCAAGCTGCATGTGAATGCCGTGACTAGTCATAGTAACGGTACCAACGTGATGGTTCCCTTCTCATATTAGCCTAAACAATGATGGATGCCTATCGCTTACTTAGGTAGTTATCGGAGCGTTAGAACTGGTTCGCACTTATCTAAGGTTGCGAACACAGGAGGGAAGCCGTTGGTCCATTCTGCGCCCATTCTTTCTGCGAGGTTGTCTCGACAGAACCCTCTCACGCCAGCCTCCCCACTTCCCTACAACACCGTATTGTGACTCACTTCAAATCCTTCTCCGACGTTGACATGCAGAAATAGGAAATTGTGATTATAATTAAAATGCCGGGCTAACGCCATCCCATTCGGGATTCTCCAGGTGCGCCCGAAGCAGGATACCAGGCCAACTTCCACGAGGGAACTTCTGCGAATCCGGGTATGTCATGCTATCGATAGGCACGGCAATTTTGACCGCCTGCTTCACCACGGCATCTCCCAGAGCTTTCTCGATGTCCAATCGTGGAAGGAGCTCCTCAATTTGGGCGGCATAATCTCCCAGACCCAATCCAAGTCCGTCACGGTATGCCGGCGAGAAGTCGCTCTTGACGCCGTACCTGACCAGGCGAGAGAGCGAGCTAACGCGTTCGGCAATTCCGGGGCTCGTGTGGACTGCGATGGCGATCCAGACATCGTGGCTATCGCATTCTGTCGATCCATGCGCAAGGAGATGCGCCTTGGCAGCGTCGGCTCCCTCAACCTCGAATCGATGTTTGCCGTTGTAGAGGTCGCTGGCGCCCAGGTCATGGCACACAGCAGCGACGAAGAGCAAGGGCAGTCGGGATTCCTTTAGCCACTCGCTGTTCTCCTTCTCGGCTACGTACTTGGAAAGGAGAAAGACGCGCAGGCTGTGGTTGAAGATAGGTTCGGGGAGCACATCCTGCGCTATAGCCAACGCCTTCGTACAGACATCAGTCTGGGGGATGAGGTCGAGGACGCCCTGAGGCAGGGGAGTGCGGGATTTCTGTTCAGACATAGTTATCAGAAACGAGGCTTTAGCTGACCTCAATAACAATGGTTTATGCGTTGAATTTATAGTTGTTGGATATCGCCATTCTGCTTGGGCATTGACTCATATTTAGCCTCATTATTGAAGAGGGGCCGACTGCGGCGCATTACTCATCTCACCCCACCACGACACAAGCATTCAATAAAGTACCAAGAGGATGCTGACAGAGGCCGAAAGTCATTGGTCAATTAGTGTTGTATAGTAGTTTATCTCCCAAAATCTCCAAAGCTGCCTTAAATGGACGTCGTTCCCATAATTCTCTTAAACTCGCCCTCCAGGTGATCCCAGACCCTGTCTCCCATTCCTTCAGCCCGATACCTGTCGAGGAACTTCACGACAGTTTCCGATGCACTCTCGCCATCCCAGTCAAGGCTGTACACACCACTTCCACTCTTCCCGTCCGAACCCATCGCAATCGTCTCAGATGCTACCCCATTAACACCCTCTCCGGCTTCCTTGGCGGGATATCTCCCACTTAGACACAGCCAGGCATGCCTCTCGCCGCACTCCTCTGCGGGCACCCAGCTCTTTCTCACCACCATTGACAACTTGAACCAATACTTAGCAACCTGCAAGATCATTCCATCTCCACTGCGGATGAGGTTTGTGTCCACTGCGCCGGGGAAGTTGTGGATGAAGGATACTTCGGGGGCTTTGGAAGACAGCGCCTCGAGGGACAACGTGAGAGCGGTGCAAAGATGACCGCGAGCGCCTCGAATGGGGACTTTTCGCCCGGGAATATCGTCAGCGTAAATGGGGCCTTCTTTGGTACCGGCCATGACAGTGACGACGCGGCGGACGGAGGATGCCTGTCGGAGATTGGGAAGTAGATTGACAGTGAGGCGTGTTCGAGAGTATAGAGTCACTGCGGTGGTCAAGGGCAAGCCTTCAGCGGTGTCTTAAGGAGGAGATAGATCAGTAACGGACACTTGACGAAGCAATGGGATAACAACTTACTAATGCCAAACTTCAGTGTTCCTTGGCTCATGAAGAGCACATTGATTGCCTTCTCCTTGCTCTTGATATCTCTACACACTTCATCCACGTTCTTCATCAAGCTCAGATCCGTCTTGATGAAGTTGTACGTCCCCTCAGAATTCAGCGTTTTCAGCTCCTGCTGTAGCCGATCACCAGCCTCTTGTGAGCGACCGATAAAGTATATTCTTGGCTGCAGCGTGTGTTTGGTGAATGCTTTGAGGGCCATCTCGCCGATTCCAGCCGTGGCGCCTGCGAATACAGCGACGAGCCCGCTGGGGAGGGTTGAGCGGGCAAGGAGGTTGGACTCCAGGACTTTGGAGATAGCTACCATTTTAGGCGAGAAAGGGTAATACAATTTACAACTGGAGAGAAAATTATGATGGTAAACTTGGCCACAATGCTATGCCAATATTGAGTTCTGGAGTAAAACATTTCCCATACCATCTCTTGAGACCGGCCGTCTTTATAGCCCTTTCTCAACAGGCTAATCCCAAGCCACGTCTCCCATCGCATTCGCAAACTACCCGATCCCGACCTCGTTGAACTCGTTTCCCCTTTCAGATAAAGCACGGGTCATTAAATTAATCGTCGACGCAGCCCATGATCAGGTGCGATGGTGAAGCGGTTCAATAATGTGCCGGGAAAATACGAAAATGAGTTAGCGTCGGTGGTTAGTACTAGAGGCTTGTCCGTGGGTCGGCGGATGCGAATGCGAAGCCCCGACATCTGGCCAAGTGTGCATTTTCCACCTGATATTAGGCGGTCATCTGTATTACGCCGAGTCCCGGCACCTGGCATCGAGTAGAATGCAGTGACCTGCAACAGCCTAAGTCTATGACGCAGAGGCTGGGTTCATTGACAAGCTTGGTTAGCATGCAGTTTGGAATCTGAGAGAAGCAGAGCATTAATATTCAAAAGCTGAAGCCCTCTTTGTATTGAGCAATTCACACTTGATAAGGTAGGTAATGCAAGAAAAATAAGTCCTCCGTCGCTATCTCGTCCATGCAGCCCACTGCTCGCATCCCCATCTTTGTGTCCTTCGTGCGCCTTAATCCATGTATTGAAGTCGAAAAAGATTAACGCCGTTCCGTCCAACCCCGACAGTGTCACGCCGAGTCCTTGCCAACGAAGGTCCTCGAGCCGTGCCATTGTCTAGTTGTCATTGGTACAAGAGAGCCAAGTATAATACGTACAAAGGAAAACAGTAGTCCAGTCGGATATGTCCATGGTGGTGTCGTCTCGTCTCGTCGTTTGGTCCAGGCGGTATGCCGCATGCTGCATTATGAATACCGCTCATGACAAAGTTACAAATCCCCAGGATAAGATGTCGTAATCCCCGATCCCTCTAGCTAACATTCGCAGGAAGCCTCTCTTACAGTCTGATCCATACGAGCGATGATCATTGCTCAGAGTTGGGTGGTTGGGCCTGCCACCCATTAAGATATGCCATCAAGCCCACGCCGAAGAGCACGACGCCGAACATCGATGCGAAAGGCAAAGCAGCCTGCAGACGGTGTTCCTGTGCGAGTGCTCCCTTATCGGAGGTCATCGGCTTAATGGTGTTGGCTCGAGAAAGGCTCGGCGCATCGATCGACTTGGTGGTGGGGCCAGAGCCATCAGTCTGAGACTTCTCAACAGAGTCCTCGTTGGCTTCTGAAGTGGTTTCCTCGTCGACCTCGGCAGCCGTGGCTGCGGCAAGCCGCTGCCTTGATCGAGATCGAGCCTTCCTCTGGGCCTCCTCTCTGGCTGCCTCCTCCGCGCGAAGTTGGACAACCATCTCCGCTAGAGTCTTTCTGTCGGCATCTCGTTCAGATTCGGCAACCTCGCATCGCTGCTTCCACTCCTCCATCTGCTCTTTCATATCCCGCATCTGACTGTCCATAATATCGATGCGGGCCTGGAGAGCGGTAGCGGTCTCCTGAGCCGGGTCAACAGCCGGGTTGACCTCCTCGATAGCCTCTTGTTCCTGAACGTCTGCAACGTCCTCCTCCTCAGCCAGTGTGCCGTTGATGCCATCTGCCTCGCCATGGACAGCGGAGCCGTTTGTGTGGGTAGTCGCGGTCTCCTCCAGCCGCTTAGCCAAGTCTTCTGCCTCCTCACGTGCGAGGCGCTCCTTCTGGAGCATCTCTTCAAGCTCGCGCATACGGACGGTCTGCGTGTCAATATCTCGCTTGGCGTTGTTAAGAGCCTCTGTGAGTTGAATGATCTGGCTAAGGTTGTCTTGTCGAACAGGGGAACCATTTGGCGGGCCGGATTTCGGTCGCTCGGTTGGGCCTCGCTTCAGTGAAGGCACATCCGGCTTTTCGGGAAGTGGTTGTTGTGGTGGGGGTGCAGGAGGGTCCGAGAAACGCGCCTTAGGGTCGGATCGGAATGGAATACCGTTTCCATTAACCATGGGCTGCGGCTTGGGCGGCTGCGGAGCTTCTGGTTTCTCGAGGTCTTTCAAGTCTTCCTTCGATAGGAGTGTGTTCACGAATTGGTTCGTCCGACCCAGGTCTTGGGCCTGGACACGAGCGCTTCGCATTTCGTTCTTTCGAATAATTAGCGCAAATATCAGAGATTTGGAGATTGGTGACACATACAGCAAGTCGCTTGAGAATTTGATCGGTGGCAATTGGTGTGAGGAAGAAGGGTCTTTGTTGCGGAATTCCGTTAGGCTGCATGCCCATACCACCTCCATTAGACATCATCCGGCCATTGTTGGCCATAGAGACATTGCTGCCATTGCGCCCTCGCATTGGCATGGCGCCGGAGGGAATCATCATGGCACCGTTGGCTGGGTCAAGATCGCCAAAGTTCATGTCGAGTACGTTGTTCGAGGAGCTCAAGAACCCGGCATGTTCGACCTTGGCAGCCACCTTGTGGTGAACTACAGTCTTCTGATCTTCACTAACGATGTCGATACCAAGTTCAAGGTGGTCCGAGGTCTGAAGCTCATGGGGCTCTGATTCACGATTCTCCTGTGAGAGGCGCGTGCCGTTGACAAATGTGCCGTTTGAGGACTTAACATCGCGGATGTAGATTTTCCCGTTGCGCTCGGCATAAATCTCAGCGTGTTGTCTGGACAGCACTTTACTGTCAAAGAACCCGTTGGTGGGCGTCGGGATTGTTTTTTGGTTTGTTTGGCGGCCGATTCGTAGGCTATCGGGAGCAAAAGGAACAGCGATTGTTTTCCGTTCGAAGGTCCCGTTGAGGGAAAGAAGGTAGAGTACAGGTTGCCCGGGAGGAAACTGCTCGGCAGGCATAGGGCGCATCATGCCTTGCGGCGTCATCTGGACTTGACCAGAGCCGGTTTGCACCGGCCCATGAGATACCATCATCCCGGCAGTCCGATTATTGGCAAGTCTGGAAACGTCCTGCTGGAAGTCGCCTTTTCCGGCCGGCCAAGCGCTCTTGGGCTGAGGTCGCTTCCGAGGTGCTCCGTTGGCTGACCATTGGCTCAAATCAGTCGTCGAAGACATGGGAGTGCCATTGGGTTGAGATCCATTCGAAGCGACTGTGGTGGCAGATGAATTTGACGAGTTTGAAGAGACGGACGACGACGAGTTGGTCCGCGACAAGGTTTTGCGCGGCACAAACATGCCGATGCCCCCTCGTGCGTCGTCTGGGTTCATTTGGTGATTTCCGTTAATCGTGCCCCATGCTGGTCGTGAAATCTGCGGAAAGGTCTGTGGGTTTGCTACAGCCGTCATGAGGAAGGCTCAGCGGCGGGCCAGGCCGATGGACGAGAGGGGTGAAGATGGTGAAGGCCGTAGACTCGCGTTTGAAGCGTGCGGCTCTCGCCCGAGGTCGTCGTCGCCACCTCGCCACCGGTCAGGACAGAAGCACTTCCACTGGTGATGGCTCGATGTGGATAGAGATGGTCTCGATCCGGTGCGATGCGCTTCGCTAGAAAGGAGTATATTCGCGTGGCTCGCAGCTCTGCGTTGAAGAAGAAAAAAATGTCAGTCCGAGGTTGGGGCGAAGTTGGCGTAGGGGGGCGGTATCGTTGGCGACGGCCCACAACGCGTGGGGAAGTCGATCGAGGTCGAAAAAAACAACTGCCAGCGGTTGTATCGGTGCAAAACTCACCAAGAGAGAGGTTTTCGCGATGCCTAGGCGGTTTCGCGTCGCAGTGATGGATGGGCTCAAGCCGTGAGTGAGCTGATGGGAGGTTCTGGTGATTCTGTCCCCCCGTCTCGCTAAGCGCTGCTTGGCGTATTGAAATTGGGGGCCAGATACAGTGGAGCACACGCCCATTGACTCTGGCATGTGCTCGCAAAGCACCTAGCACCACACAACAAAGCGAAGGTAAGACAAACAACTGTCTAGATGCTCACGAGAGCTCGAGCAAATGCACAATCAAATGCCTCTCATCTTGGACAGGCGCGCTGTGGAGCCGGCTGTTGACCCACGAAGAGGAGCCACGTGATGTTTCTTCACAGTGACTGCTGACTCGCGGGTGATCACGGGCACTGTGCGCCGTGGTCCGTGCTGCGGAATAACTCTTTTGCCGGGCGCCATTCTCCTCATTCTTCTGCAGCCAATGAGAGAGTCGAATGGAATTGGATGGACGTTCTTGAGCTCGAAAGACTGGCGTGGTGAGAGCTTCGAACAAAAAGAAATCCCGACCCTCACGACCACACCACACCCCCGCCGAACCGTACGAATAGCAGAGCCGAACCTTCCAGAATCAATAAATCGAGCCGATAAGCCTGTTTCTTCGCCATGCCGCCCGTCGCGCCAATGAATGCTGGCCAGCATGGTCCCTCGAACGCAGACAAGTGTACGTTATCTGCCTCGGTCGCTCGAGGAGAGAGCCGAGGAGAGAGGAGAGGAGATGAACCTGGCTAACGCTGGAGGTGGTGCAGTCAAGATGGGCGCTATGATGGGTGGAAGTACGATATCCCACAGAATCCTCGGAGTCTCGACCTTTATTCTGACATGCTTGCAGCCGTGGGAGTGATCATGGGCTTTGTTTTCGGTAGCGCCTCCTGCAAAGCAACACTCGTGGGAAAGCTGGGATACCCAGAGCTGTCACCACACCAAGTGGCAAACCTTTGGCCCCCGCGCCCCGGAGGACTAGATCGATGACTGACACCCAGTAGGAACCGTCAACATCTTCCGCTATGGAGCCGGCCCCAACGGAATCATGAGGACGCTGGGCCAGTATATGCTAGGCTCAGGCGCTACATTCGGGTAAGGCGCATTTCATTGTTATCTCGTCATCTCATCATACGTGCGTAGTCACTGACAAGGGCGTCTTAGCTTCTTCATGTCAATCGGTAGTGTCATCCGATCCGACGGCGACCCCAGAATGCACGAGCTGTATATGCGAGCGCAGCGGCGGCCCATAGTAATGATGGCAAACCCCGCTTGGAAGAGATCATAGGGAGCGGCAGCGGCAGCGGCAGAAGCAAAGGCAGCAGCATCAACAGGATCAGCAAGCGAGGGGCATCTGCAGCTAATGCGAGCAGTTGACACCGATATTTCGCCCATGTACAGTCTGGCCGTCAACGGCCGCATTCTGTAATATATCAACCAAAGTTCTACCGCCTAGGGACAGGGAACAAGGGACAAGGGACAATCTGACTGTGCTTGTTCGGCGGACCGAATTCTCCATGCGTTTCAACCAACGGATACGAAGACAGTGCTTAACCTTTGGCCCGTGAGACGCGCCCGCGCCCAGGGCCACAGCCTTGCCGGGTCCGACGCCCGCCCACTACCCGGGACTGGATGTGGCTAACCTGAGGGCTCGAATGCGGAAGCGGTATGCAAGCGGTATGCTGGCACGAAGGCGGAACCCTCCCACACTGGTCGCCAACAATCTCCACAAAGCCAGTTGTGGCGTTGACCTCGAGGGTGTCAACTGCACATGTCGAAATATCCTTGAATGGCATGCAGGCTGATGCCGCTGCAACCCCCCGTGACCTGACACACCTTACAGGTTGATACGAGGTCTCGGAGGCTTTGTCAGTCGTGGCGCTGGTGCTAGAGGCTTGCCGGCATGCTCCCAAGTGGATAATCTGTTGGTCAGATAAGGTTTTCTGCCCTCTCAGCCCTCCCGTCTTTGCATCTTCAGCGTCCAAGAATGGCGTTTTTGGGATTCTGCACTGCCGACTGCAGATATTACCTGCAATCCATCTGCGCGGGACAAATGGCTCATACTGCGTAGTCGAGTGTTATGCCGCGATTGGTCCCAGCTCACAGAGATACCAGGATCCACCCAATCTGTGGCCAGCTGAGGCCCGACGCGATGTTCCACAACATCACGCATGTTGGGTCTGTCGCCCTAAGTGGTATATTTTTTTTCACCCTAGCTGACTGTAGTGTGACGTTGCTCGTTTGCCGTTGGCCGTTTACCGCTTTGCTGACGGTTGAACGGAGGAGCCTTGCACCATGCCCTCCCTGCTTTGCCCTGTCATGTCCGCTGTGCCATGCCATGCCATGCCATGCCATGTTTTTGGGGCTGACTTGCTGACACTCGCCATGCGATAGACTGCATCGATTACATGCAACAGGCTACAGGACAGCCACCCACCCCCTCATAGAATCGTCCCACCCCCAACGGCAATTGATATCCTGCCGGCCAAGATTCCCAAGACGGCACACACCGTCCCTTTCTCAAGCCTCCAGACCATCCAGACCTCGCAGACCAGACGCGGGCTGCAGCTGGACGCTGCTAAATCCTACGACAGGTTTGCGTGAGGTTACAGTACCAAGACGCCTGATGGAGGGCTGCCTTTGTGGCACCATGCCAGGGGCCCCGGACCTTGCATGACTCCATCCACGCCAATCACGAATGGCATCTTGAGCCCCAGACTCCAGATCGACCGCCAGTCGCGGTGCCGGTCGGGTCCGGAGAGGGCCAGGGCCAAGACGGCCTGCTGTGGGGCGTCTTTTCGATTGCCTCAACCTGAATCCTACATAGCCCCAGATTCTAGCTACATACGTAGCGTATACAAACCCCCGAAGATGCGTGATGACTTGGCGCTAGGCTAGGCCTACGGGACCCGAAGGTCCCAACTAAGACATGCCCGAGGCGGATTCTGACCAACGTCGTGGTTCGTGTTGTCTGTTGAGTTACTAAATAAGCTCTCCGATTGGCTCCGCCACAACCGTATTGCTTCTTTACTTAGTCACAGGAACGGCGAGCGCGATCCTACGGTTCCCACCACAATTCCTACCCCGTAGGGCACACCACTAGAGTCATCGTTTACACGAAGGGGTCTGAGCCCGTCCATCACTTCTCCCGTGTCCATGGGACTTCCCTGGACATCCGAGGCAACCGAGTGATATGACATCAGTCGGCTCTCCGTGAAGGGCTTGGTGCACCCTGTGGCTATTCTAAACGAGTCCTCTCGACACCCTGACCTGGATTGCCGATCATGTTGCTATTTTACACCCGCGTTTGAGGCTGAAGCCACCACACCTTTTTCTACCTCGGGCACTGCGATATGGGTCGATGAGATAGGATCTAGCGGCCTGATAGGCGGCAAGATGCCTTCACGAGTGGCCCTTTTCTTGCCTTTTGGTGTGCTGACTGTCATCCTGCTTTGCAGCTCTACCTGAGCTGTGCTTGAAGCCCCACATCCAGTCCGTGCTGCTCATCAACTCCTCCACAGATCCACCTCCGCTCTATCCAACATGGCCTCTCTAGGGCCTCGACCGAGCTTCTCACCACGTATCTGCAAGCCTCTCTTGAGATGAGCTGTGGGGTGCCAGTAGGAATCAGGCACGGGAGTTCGGCAGATGCGTTGTCCCCGTCCCTGAGAGCAACGGCGTCTTTGCCTTATTTCGCCCTAGCTGTAATCAGCTGCTCCCAGCGGCTCCCAACAGGCACGCGACGTATATAACTGGCAGATTCCGCCGTGAAGATGAAGGATTTTGCCCCAGTACCTTCAGCTCACACTCTTTGAGATCAGTCAATCTTTTTATCACTTGCTTGATAATGGGTAACGCCGCCAGCATTCAGGGGAGGTCCGTCCTCCCCGCCCAGATGGAACCCCGGGCCAGCCACTCCGGTCACTACTCTAACACTTCTCTTGGAGGAGCTTGGAGTCAGTCCAGAACCAATGGGTATGTTCCCCAGTTGTCCCTTGCCTACTCCATCACATGGAGCCCGGTGCTGACCCCTGTATAGCAAATCTGTCTTAGGAACGACGGATGCCCCTCAGCTCCCCTACTTCTTGACCAACAACCCTACCCCCAATGGGTTTCCTTGGAGCAAGATGAACGCCCATACCAACTACTACAAGACCTGCCCCCATACAGGTGTCATTAGGAGGTATGACTTCACTATCCAGCGTGGCACCGTTGCCCCTGATGGCTATGAACTCTCTGCCATCCTCATCAACGGTGCCTTCCCCGGCCCCACCATCGAGGCCAACTGGGGCGACACCATTCAAGTCACCGTTCACAATGAGGTTGAGGACGAGGGTGTCGCCCTTCACTGGCACGGGTTCCTCCAGAAGGACACCCCCTGGGAGGATGGTGTCCCCGGTATTACCCAATGTCCTATTGCCCCTGGAAAGAGCTTCACCTACCAGTTCCTTGCTGAAATGTACGGCACTACCTGGTATCACTCTCACTATTCTGCTCAATACGCTGCTGGTCTTCTCGGCCCTATTGTCATCCACGGCCCTCGTGAAAAGCGAGACTATGATGTTGACGTCGGGCCCATCATGCTCGGGGATTGGTATCACAGACCATACTTCGACCTCGTTGAAGATGTCATGAACCCCAACATTGGCATTGTTATCTCTGACAACAACCTTATCAACGGAAAGAACAACTTCAACTGCTCTACCCTGCCTGCCTCAGACACCACCACCTGCAACAGTGAGGCCGGTCTCTCCAAGTTTAAGTTCAAGCGCGGCAAGGTCCACCGCCTGCGCCTCATCAACTCCGGTGCCGAAGCCCTGCAGCGGTTTTCCATCGATGGCCATACCATGACGGTTATCGCCAATGACTTCGTCCAGGTCGAGCCCTATGATACTAAGGTTGTTACCCTCGGTATCGGCCAACGTACCGACGTTCTCGTCAAGGCAAATGGCAAGCTAGATTCCTACTGGATGCGCGCCAATATCTCTGTGCCCTGCAGTCTGGCCAGAAACGCTAACGCCTTGGCCGCCATCTATTACGATAAAGCCGACCAGACCAAGGAACCCGAGTCCACCGCCTGGGACATCCCTGACCCTGCCACTTGTGTCAACGATGACCTGGCCCTGACCGTCCCGTTGATGAAGCTCCCCCTGCCCGCCGCCCAGCTCACATACGATATGCCCGTCGAGTTTTTCGTCAACGGCAGTGGTAACACCCTGTTCAAGTTTGACGGCATCGACTTCCGCGGCAACTACAATAGCCCGACCTTGCTGCTTGCCAAGCTCGGAGAAGACGACTTCGAGGACCAGTGGAACGTCAGGAACACCGGCAGCGCCAAGAGCGTACGCGTTAATGTCATCAACAACACTCCCATTCCGTAAGTTGACTCAATTTCTCGCCAGACTATTGAATCACGCTAACAACTAAACCACAGCCACCCCATGCATCTTCATGGCTTCAACATGTACATCCTCCATGAGGGCCCCGGAGCCTGGGACGGTACTATCATCAACCGAAATAACCCTCAGCGCCGAGATGTCATCCAGGTTCAGGGCAACGGCCATGTGGTGATTCAGTTCGACGCCGGTGACAACCCAGGTAAACTCCCCCCATATCGCCCACTGCCCCAGACCTCTCGCTAACCGACTTTACTAGGTGTCTGGCCCTTCCATTGCCACATCGCTTGGCATGTGTCCGCCGGCCTCTTGGTCCAGTTCCTCACCAACCCGGACAAGGTCAAGAAGTACAGGATCCCTAACATCGTCGCTCAGACCTGCCGCGAATGGGGCAAGTGGACGAACACCAATATCCCGCTCCAGATCGATAGTGGTCTGTAAAAGCCCTAAAATGACCGCGTGCTCAGCGGTTTAAGCGTTGATTTCACTTCTCTTCTATCTTCTAGTCAAGAGCCGTGCCATGGTGATGGGTCGACTTTCGAGAGAACAGACGAAACCCAGAGGACCAAGTGTCCACTAATGACCGTACGGATGATTATTTTTATGACAGGCTCAATGCCATTTTCTTTGCAATTTTACTGGGTATAAGGGTTATAATGTACATCAAAAATTGGATTAATTATCGTTGGTCATAACTTCATGTGCTGCGTTACGTTATGATGTGATTCTAACGAAGCTCTTGTGCGACGCTGGTGTTGTAGCTGCATCGATCGGCACTCTCGCGTATCATAGCGTCGTCCTCTTGCATGTGATGAAAGCCCAACTAAGCAGCTTCTCGCTGATCCCTTGGCCTCTATCATGTCTCGGACGCATGGTGCAGTGGTACGGTGACCTATCTGAAAGCCCTATTTACAGCCCCAAAAAGCAACGGCATGTAACCCTCCCGCCACCTGTGTCAACGTGTTCAATAGTCTCAATAGTGCGCGCCCTAGTCAGCCGCTTCTCCAGAGGTTTGATTGGCGCCACGCGTCACCTCTCCCACAATTCTGATGTCAGAATGTTGAGGTTGCTCCGACTCCTTGGGGGCGGCTTCGTTCGAATCTGTGGGGGGCGGCGGTGAGCTTATCGCCTCGAGCTGGTCGGTGTTGTGTTTCGCATCCCCCTTTTCGCCCTTTTCGGTCTTCTCGTCGTCTGTTTTGGCGTTTTTGACTTCGGGGGCGCTCGCCGGCTTCGCAGGATCCAGAACAGCTGCCATCCGAGCGACATGCCCCTCCTCTACCTTCGCGTCATTGTAGCTGCCATCGTCCTTGAAAATCAGGACGGACTCGACCTCGGCTGCTAGCTTCTCCACTTCGTCCTCAAGTCTCTCCTCAGCTTCAGCCTGGTCGCCCAGTTGTCTCTCTGCCTCTTTCTCTCCAACGACTTCTCTCCACAACTGCTCTAGCTCATCTCGCCAACCAAGCTCATCGGCAAGCTTTCGAATACCGGCATCACAGGAGCCAAGCTCTGTGACGTCGTCCGCCCTATTTCCAATCTGACCCACTCGTTGCATGTTGAAGAGAACTCGAGGTTTTCCTGGCATAGTCATCTCCGGGAGACCCGCAAAAGGGTAGACGCTCAAGCTCGTCCCGATAATCAACACCAGGTCCGCCATGGCCGCCTGGTAGGTGTTGTTGTCAAAGATCTTGGGGAGAGGCTCGCCAAAGAAGACAATGTCTGGCTTGACAAGTCCGCCACAGTCCGTCTCGTCACAATGAGGGACCTCCCCGTTGTAAACGTGTTCCCTTATCTTGTCATCCAGATACTCTGTCTTGCATTCAATGCAACGCTGTGTTGCGAAGCTACCATGCGCCTCGATGATCTTTTCCGATGGGACTCCAGCTGCACGTTCAAGACAGTCGATGTTCTGGGTGAACAGCATCTGGAGAAGCCCCTTGCGGGCGAGGAGCGCAATGAAGGCATGAGACACGGTGGGGTGAAACTTTCCGGGGTAGAGCTCCTTTGCAAGGACGTAGAAGGGTTCGGGATGTTTGCGGAAGTAGGAGATATCGAACACGGCTTCGGCGTAGGGTAGGTTGAGGCGCGCAAGGTTGTTGTAGAGGCCAGTCTTGGGCGATCGAAAGTCAGGGACTAAATGCCACGGTTAGAGACGCACTGCAGAGGGATCGGATATACACACTTCCAGCAGACGTAGAAATTCCCGCGCCAGTCAAGACAACGATTCTCTTGGCCTCTCCGCTCTTGATGTACTCGGCGACGGCGGGGAGACTCCGGTCAGTGAGAGTCTGAGGCGGGCCATCGGCGAGAGATGATTCCTCCTGCCCCATTCTGAGAGCAACCCAACGCGGGACGCGGGGCCCTAGCTTGTTGCGGTTGCGGCGTCGTCGACCTATGTTGGCGGCGTGAGCGTGGGAGTCGAAGAGCTGGAATCAGAGGCGTTTGGAGCGATGGCGCATAAAGTTGTAAAGATGCGAAACGCGAGGATTCTCGAAGGTGGGGTGGCTTATGGTGGTGGTTATGGTGGAGTTACTCGCGGGGCTGCGCTTATCGATAAAAGGGTGCGGGTGCCTACAAGGCTCTCAGCTCAGGACTTGTGCAGACAATGTGGCGAGGATGCGGCTCAAAAAAAAGGACTTTTGACAGGCAATTAATTGCCTGGTTGACCCTTGTTAGTCGATGACGAGATTTCAAAGGATGCGACATCACTCAAGTGGAGACAATGAAAGCATGATTTAAGTTACCCCAAACACCGCCACCGCTTCCATTCAAGAACGAAGCCTTGTGAAGTGTCTATAAGCGATGGTGAGAAATAAGTCGAGCCAAACCGGGCCCTCAAAATCCAGAGCCCATACCAAACCGGTCCTGTACGTCAACGCCTAGCAATGCCAATTCCCACGCCCATTCCCTCGTAAGATGCCTCAACCGTGTCGTTCCCGCGCCTGGGCAAACTGCTCCTCCTGCAATCGAGCGAGCTCCTCCATCGACATCCCGCTATTAGCGAACTTATCGGCCTTCTTCTCACGTCCCTAGACTAGGGTTAGCACGGTTTCCCTGGATAGATTAGAAAGGCGAAAGCGGCTTACCTTTTGGGTTTCCTTGTGTTCAGCAGCTGCCTCCATCACGGCGGGGACATAGTCGGTGAAGCCTAGTTGTTCAAGAGCCTTGGTGATATGGTCGCATGCGATGGTCTTTTTGGCCTCCTTTTCCGAGATTTCGTTGGCCTCGGAGGAGATGAGAGTGATGAACTCGACACAGCACTCGATGAGTAGATCACGGGCCTCCTTGGCGAAGGCGACGCCAGCCTGTGGGGGCAAGATTTCGGTCACGATCTTTTGAACGGTAGCTATCGAGATGTGTCAGCGCACTGTGATGTCATGGTGAGGGGTGCAATATCATACCTTTGGGGAGCGACAAGTCATCGTTGGCTATGAAAGAGACAGTTAGCGCCATGCTCGAGTCTAGAGTGAAGGTGGTGGCGGACAGGTGCCCGCGTCAAACTGCGCCCAGTAGCGATCTTGAGCTGGTTTTCGCATGGTGAAAGCAAAGATGAGGCAGTAGCCAGGCAAGGGTAAAGGGGCATTTGAGAGATAGGAAACCAGATGGAAAGTGGTGTGCGTGGCAATAGATGAGATGAGGATTCAAGAGCAGACAGCTTCGCAAAGGGATTTTATACGGATTCGAACATGACAATGAGACTCGACAGTTATTCACAAACGCTGGTTTGGAGTAGCCGCGCAGTCAAGCAGTGACGCACAGCAACAGATGGCATCACCAGCTGCTCCGGGATGCAGATGCAAACGCAGATGCAGATGCACAAGGCTTGCTCGAAGAAACAGAAAAAAAGACTTACCTCCAAACTCGTGGTCAGACATGGCTACAGCAGGCGCGGTGCAGTGATGCGTCTAAGTTGAACGGGTGGTGATGTTGGTTGAAGGCAGGACAGCAGAGATGATGCCGGGATGCTTGTATGGGTACGAGGGAGAGTGGCGGCGCGGGCTGGCAGAGTGCAGGGGGGCCACGGCGACGGGAGTTTGGCAAACAAGGCAGGAGAGGAGCAATAAAGCGACAAGAGGGACCGGATGCCAGAGATGGTGCGCAGTGAATGGGTTCCTAAGGCGGCAGCTGCTTCGTTTGCCTGGGTGGATGCTTGATGTCCGCCCCGTGGTTCACCGAGAGGGCGATTTGCAATAGGCGCAGCGTGCTTCGGAGTAACAAGTGCGATCAGAGACGGATGGTTGCTGATGGGCGATGAGTGGTGGGGCAAGCCTCTTTTGTATCCGCGCCCTCATCACTCCTACGTGCCAAAAAGGGCCAAAAAGGGCCAAAGGGCCCAAGCAGGCCCCAGCAGGGTCCCAGCCCACTGAAAAAGGCCCCCCGACCCAAGGGCCAATAGCCCAATGACGGCGGCGCTGGGGCCCCGGCAAACCACAATGGAGGAACGCAGAGCAGTGAGCACTGAGAACTGAGAACACAGAGAACTGAATCCAGCCATGCGAGCCATGTACTACGATCCAGCTGCATGCACGGCCGGCACGGAGCAGGTACGCATCCAGCCCTTGAGGCTCTAAGGGAGGGCCCGTACCTGCTACGCGCCTGACGTAGGCAGACAGGCAGATATGGGGCTGAAGAAAAAACATGATGCCCGCCCGCGCTCGCCTTCTCAGCACGCGCCACACTCACAAGCAATCTTGTCTCTTTCGCGTCGGGCCCCCTGCCGCTAGAGGTAGTGGGGAGCGTGCACGGGCCATCCAGAGCTTCACTTTTATCAGCAGAAATTTCTCTCTGGCAACTTTCTTCCTTCCTCTTCATCACCATCACCTTTCCAAGCAACACTTAAAGAACAACCGCACCATGCTGTGGCTGCCTTGAGTCGTGGCAATGGGTCTCCCTCTGCACTCTACGACTCCTCCTCTCTCCGTTTCCTGAATCCCCGGGCCAGAGCAGAGCGACACAGCGGAGTGCGCCAGGTCTGATGCGTGGTCGCAATGAGCCTCTATGATCCCATTGGTAAGACATTTTCCTCCACTGCCTTCTTCACACAAGCACACCCCAAATCGAATGACGAGACCTTTGTCGCCCCAGTCTTAGGTGGTTCGACAAGCCTCCTATGCTGAATGACCTAGTCTTTGCCAAATAGACGCTACTGATCGACTTCAACCTCACACTTTTTGTCTGACATCTTGTGTTGGCATCTCGCTAACATTCAAAAAGATTAGGCTTGCACTCGTCCCGTCTCGGAACTAGAAGCGCTCCTCCGACCCCCTTGACCGATCGGCCCGCGCGATTCTCTTGCTATCTGGTACCATCGAATGCCGACGTCTTAAGACGGAAACAGTTCGATGGCCTGACCACATTTCAGCCACTGCCACCTTGGTATCCTTCATCTGGATGATGCCGAGTTGACGGATGGTCGAGTGTTGCGGTCTTGAATTATGCCCGAGTCACTTGACATCCTTCGACTCACTGCAAACTCTTCAAGCACAAAGGTAATACTTTTTTTTTTTTTCCCAACTACTAAATGCTGTGATGACAAAAATTACATTCCATGCTAATCCTGAATCTTAATGTGGATTAACGTAAACGAGACTTTTCATCTTTCGACTGACTTTGCATATTTGATCTTCATTACTTGTTTATAACTTTGTCATGATCCAAAGCTAACATTGCTTGAGATTAGGGAAACCCGATTCTTCCGCTTATGCCTGATACACGGCGACCTCAGGTGAGTTCCATCTATGAAGTTTGTCAGTCTTGTGGAGTTGTTGTGTGTGTTGTGAACGTACGAGAATGCTTTGCCGGTCAGCTCCCTGAGCGGGTTGGCCACAAACTTAGCCATGACATGCCCAGGCTGCTCTGGCTTAAGCAGCGTGCCCTTCTCAAAGGCCTCCGTAAAAGTGTCGTATTGCGACTTGTCCATAGTGTCCTTGCCCTCCGACCTCAGCACGCCTTGCATCTCGGTATCTACTCGACCGGGTGCAATGGCAACGCTGATGATGTCGGGCTCTTCAACAGCGATGTGAGAGGAGACGGAGTTGTAGACCGCCTTGCCCGACCCGTATGAACCCCATGCCGCGTAGGCCTTCGTTGCGGCGCCCGATGACACCCACACGATGCAGCCTTTGGACTTGCGCAGCTCATCTAATCCCGCCTTGGCCTGGAGATGATGTGAGCGGGCATTATCGTAATTGGAAGCATGAGGCCTACCATGGCGATTCCACTAAAGACATTGACGTCGTAAAGCTGCTTCCACTCTTCAATGGTGCAGTCGGCGAATCGCTTGGGCGCCAAGACGCCGTGGTTGATGACAATGCCATCAAGCTTGCCAAATGACGACACGGCGAGGTTGGTCAGTTTCGTCGGCATCTACACACCATTCGTCAGTCTCAAACAGGACCATAGATCAAGTGGACTTGTCTACCTCAGGCTCGACCATGTCTCCTGCAATGTACTGCACTTGACCCGGGTGCGACGTTTTCAAGGCCTCCAGGGGCTCCCGGGACCGTGCCGTGATGACGACATTGTGAGACTGCTGGAGCAGGTATTTGGCAATGGCGGCGCCAATGCCCTTGCTGGCGCCCGTGATGATGAAGACCTTGGACACCATGGTTATACGTGTTTGTACTGTTGAACGAGAGTTGAGAGGGTGTGATAGTGCGGGCAAAGAATCCCGAGTCTTTTGGGAGGTGGGGGTTTATGGTGTGTGTGTGGGTCGGGTTGTTTGAGGGACAGAGTAGGAGTAAAACTACCCTGGAGCTTCACACCCAACCCCTAGGAACACGTTACATCTGTAGGACTAGGATTCTTGCATACCGCACCCTGTGCTTGTAGTATAGCCTTGGTATAATAATAGTAATGATAATAATAGCAAAGATCCCTGGTGTTAGCCAGACGGTGAGCCTATGCAAGGCTGAAAGAATTGAGTGCTGATTCTTGGTTGTCTGTGGAGAACATCTGTATTGGCTTCAACACAGCATAAAAACAGTGCCCTTCTCCGTAGAGAGATGACAGTGGGTCAATAGTCCCCATTTGATGACTTGTTTTTTGCTTCTATTTTATTTTATTTAACCGAGTAGAAGACCTTTCAGTTTTGCAATGTCGTCGCTTGTTGCTCGACAGCACCCACCGACGACAATGGTCGGCCAGTTGCCGCGCTCCTGCGTGGCCTTGACAACATCCGTCACTTGCGTCTCCCATGGGCCACGGTCCTGGGCCTTTGCGCCCTCTGGCAACTCCCACTTCTGGGTTGTTGTGTTGTAGACCTCTCCATTCGTGCCATCGGGGTAGAGGATGAGGGCAGGCCACGAAGAGGCGCGGCCGTCCTCGACCATGCGCGCAACAGTGGATTCGAAGATGCGAAGCATGGCGTCCAGCTTGTGCACCTTGGTGCAGTTGATGCCAATGCCCCACGGCACGCTCGCAGACAGTTTGGGATCCAGCATGGCCTCGACGGCAGCCTCGATGGAGCTTCCGTCGGGCAGGGTCATGTCCTCGCCTGGGGAGAGGCACGCGGTCCAGAACGGCAGATGCGCCAGCTCCGGGGTGGAGGCGACGGCCTTGCGCATGGCGATAATTTCGTCCAGGCGCGGGATGGTCTCGAGCGCGACGTAGCCTACGCGCGAGCCGACGTCGGCAATGGAGCCAAACAACTGCATGCGCTGGCGATGCCACTCCTCCAGCGCGGCGGGCGAGTCGTGGGCGGCGTCATACTTGCCGCTGTACTCCTGGCCGGGGATCATGCAGGCGCCGTACGGCCCGCAGCTGAGAGCGACGCGGGCATCGCCGTGGATGGCCCTTTGCGCGATGGCGACGGCGTCGTCGAGGAACGGCGGGACGGCATTGGCGCCGATGCCGTCGGGGAACGTCTCGTTGCGGGTGCCGGCGAAGCCATCCAGCGAGACCTGGTACGTGGCTGTGAGGAGCACGTCGACGGGGACATCGCCAAAGTCCTTCTGGCACGCGAGCAGCGTCGCGGGGCTGGACACGAGCAGGTCCGACGACCACAGCGGCGTGGCGCGGCTGAAGGTGACGCCGTACTTGGCCTCCAGCGAGGTGCCAAGGCCGCCGTCGAGGATGAGGATCTGCGAGGCCATTGGGAGTTGTGTGGTGAGTTTGTTTCTTTGTTCGATTGTTGCCTTGTCTTGGCCGAAAGAATGAATGAAACCATCGCCGATGGCGGGGCAGTGAGACCCCGCTTGGTGGGGTGGATTGCCTCATCGCTCGGCATTTATTTCGAGAAAATGTAGTTTGTCTATTGTCAGGGTCTGGATTTGGTATTGGGGATGCAATAGGAACTGGGTAATAATAATATGGGATTCGCCCAAAAAGAGGTTAGGCAGAGATGCGAGTCCTGCTCCCACCCTGCTGAGTCCATACATTGTCATCCACACACACACACACGCACTCTCTTTGAGTTGTATTCACAGCTTCCGCCAAGAACTGGTAACCCATCAGAGTTGAATTCGTGTACCGACACCTGCAACTCTGCCCATTCGCCAAAAGCAATCTTCGCTAACCATCGATTGTTGGTTTCGAGCGAAATGCCATATTTTGGCACATGGCTTTTGACAATAACAGCCATTGTGCAACAATAGCGGCATGATCGACGGCAACTCACACCTCTTCCATGTCAGTCGCAGCTGAACAGAGGATTTCCGCCAAGGAAGTTCAGGCCTGTGGTGCAACCAACTCTGATGTGGTCGTGGAGGTAATTGGCTCACCGTATGCTCCGTGGCGCTTTGGGCTACAGCCTATCTGGAATGAGTGGTCGGGGTCTGTTGTGCGCGTGTGGACGCCGGGTCGGCTCCCGACTACTTGTGAGATTTCCTGACGTTTGCAGCCGCGCAAGACGGAATAAATGGGAGTAAGACTGTTCTGTAGGTTTATCTATAAGAGCTCGGATGCATGGCCTGGATTTCTGGAACAGTTCTTGTGTCTCTTTATTGGAAACATTTTCACCATTCGTTGAAGAGCACTATTTGTCAAGTCCAATAAAAACAATACTGGGTTCTCGTTACACTAAGACATCAAGATGTCTAAGTCCTCTATCCGTGAAGAAAAATCCAGTCTTGAAGCTGCGGGTACCCCAGACAAAGACCATGCGACTATCAAAGAGGCAGAACGTCACCGAGACGGAGTCGAGACTGAAGGGCAGAGCGAACCCCAACCACATATCCATGCAAAAACATTACTGGCATTGTTCGCCATTTGCCTCATCTACTTCTCTCAGACCTTTGCGCTAGTTGGTACTGGAGCGGTGAGTAAATCTCCCTGGACCCAAGACTATTCCAAGACGTTCCGGAGAATGGACACATCCGTAGAGAAGGTCCTAACATTGGCATCATAGCAAGGTCAGACGATTGCGGCATACTTGGGGCGCCCGGGAGAAGCTGTCTGGCTGACGGCAAGTATTTCTATCCCGAGTGTCGTCCTAGGCCCTGTCGTGGCCCAGTCAGCCGATTACTGGGGCCGGAAGTGGTTTCTCGTCCTATCCAGCATTCTCGGCGCTGTCGGCTGTGCCATCGCTTCTCGAGCCGACAACTTCGCCATGTTTATCGCTGGAATGACCATCACGGGTATCGACTTTGGAGTCCTGCCGCTCCTCCACGCAGTTCCGTCTGAGATCCTCCCACGCCGGTGGCGCGCCCCGGCCCAGGCAGCTGTCATGATTGCCAACTCCTTCGGTCTCATAGTTGGACTGATCCTGGGGGGTTTGTTCAGCCGGAACGGGCATTCGGATGGGTTCCGCAACTACTACTACATTGCGACAGGGATGTTCGCGATTGCGGCAGTGATTTGCTTCTTTGCATATCAACCACCTCCGACGACATTGCAAGCATCTCTCAATCTCCGACAGAAGTTGGCGCGACTCGACTGGATCGGCTATGTGCTCCTGGCGTCAGGTTTAGTCTTGTTCTGCATGGGCCTTGCCTGGTCTCAGAACCCCTACCCGTGGTCAGATCCGCATACGTCTGTACCCTTCGCCATCGGGCTGGCGCTGGGGATCGCGTTGGTGGTGTACGAAACCAAGTTCAAAGCTGATGGCATGTTCCACCACGGTTTGTTCTCTAGGGAGGACTGGAACTTTGCTATCTCGCTAGGTGCCGTCTTCTGCGAGGGCCTTGCCTTCTTTGCCGCGACGGTCTATTTCCCATTTCAGGTAGCCATGCATTTGGAACGAGCAAAGAGACTTGGACTAACATGGTTCTAGGTCAGCGTACTGTACGAAGAGGACCCGTTGCTTGTCGGCGTGCGGTTCAGCATTGCCTTCATCGCGACAATCCCGGCCTCTATCTTGACTGGTCTGTACTGTACCATTACGAAGAAGGTCCGGTGGATCACTGTATTCTCGTTCATGATTTTCGTCGCCTTTTTTGCCTGCATGGCAACTTCAGACGAGTCTTCGGATACAAATACCTGGGGATATCCGGTTCTACTTGGCTCGGCCCTTGGAATGACACTCATCACCCTCCTCACAGTCGCCCAACTGTCTACTCCAACGGAACTCATATCAATCGCAAGCGGTCTGATGATCAGCATGCGGTCTCTAGGTGGGACCGTTGGAATCGCCATCTGTAAGTCATGAAACCCCGCAACTGCTTGTGATGAATAATATAGACCTGACATGTTCCCTACAAAGACAACGCGGTTTTTAGAAATGCGGTCAGCCAACTGGGTGATGATATAGCCGATGCTGTCGTGAAAGCCGGCCTCCCTACTGAGTCCGTTGGACAGTTCGTGGAAAACATGCTCCGCCACAATGAGACCGGCGTAGTACTAGTCCCGGGCGTGACACCGGACATCATCGAGTCTGGTGTCCACGCACTCCAAAATACATATGTGAGGGGATTCCAGCATGTGTGGATAACGGCGGCGGCCTTCGTTTCAGTGTCGACTCTGGGTAAGTGATCCATCATATTTTTTCTCTGCCAGGGATTTGACTGACAGCTCTTCAAAGCCACGGTATTTCTCACAGACCCGAGCAGCGAGTTTAATAACAAAATTGATGCTCCGGTTGAGAACGATGAAAACTTGTATCATGATCGAACATGACAGGGAAAGGAATGATCCTTGTGGGGGAAAAGACTTCCATCAACATCTCCATTTACCCTACTGCTCCATGCCCCTCACTGATACATTCGCACTTCGGCGCCGTCATTTACTTGTACAACGGGAGAAAAGATTGTCACAGAAAGATCCACGGATGTTGATGATGTATATACATCCTGGTGGAAAATATAAACGCATTAATTTGGCTACATGCCCACTGTTAGTGGTAATCAAGTTCAGAAACTACGTAGATGGAGAGTAAAGTTCTCCGTCAACACTACTCTCGAAATAATTTAACGACCTAGGGACACTGTCCGTCGGCAAATGCAAGAGGATCTCGGCGTTTTGCAACGAGTCATCTTCTACAGCGATGGCCACCTGTATCAGTATCAATCCACCATACCCCCCGTTTTAAAATCTCCGAGCCCCCCTGAACTTCTTCAAGCTTCGGCGCTCCGAGCTCGACCTGATTTTGCCCAAGTATAGTCTCGATCTTCTACCTGAGCACGATTTTCGATGTTGAGTTTGCCCTAACCATAACCCTTCCGGCCCGTGAATTTTGCCTTGCCCTCCAAGATAGTCGTAATCAACTGCTACCAAAACCCCTTCTGGTGAACTCCGAAGTTGAGCTGTGTTTCCTGACTGTTTCTGGCAGTCGCCTGCGAGCTCGGGACCAGTCCCACACTGGGCACTGCCTCGCTTGCCTCGCCTGTGTCTATCGAGAAGAGGTGTTTTGCCGCCCTCGTTCCGTCCTCGGCCACTGATCTGGCGATTGCCGCGGATGCGTTTCCGTCCCATCCGGGAGAGTTACCTCGGATCGCATGGTCCGCCGAATGTGCATCTGCTTGAATATGCGACGGACAACCCGGTGAGCGAATATGAACCCCCAGTCCATCTGGCGGGCGGCTAGTCGGTACAGGTCTGGGGATAGTACACCGACTTTAGCTGTGCCTCCCACCCGGCCTCTTAGGAAGAGAGTCATGTAGGGACGCAATCCAAGCCAACGACGAGAGCAAACGAGTTGAATCTGCATCTGACCACCGACCTCAGCTATGCCTTCCACCCTATTCAAAATGTAATAACACATGAACTATCGGCACTTGAAGTCGACCATGCCAAGGCCGTCGAGATGATGCAGAGCCGTCAGAGCTGTCGCTGTCAAGACCAGGTTCCAAAAACAAACCTACATCGGCTTTCGTCTGGGGGATAGCATCATAAAAATTTTCGTCTGGGGTATGGCACCAGAGAAACTTTCGGCCTGAAGTAATGGTGCCTCGCTGGCCTTTCGTGCTGCATCTCATCTGCATCTCATCTGCATCCCATCGTGGACCAGGCCCAAGTGTAAGGAAGTGTGAGAAGAGCGATCTCGTTCTTGCCACTGTGCCACGTCGGGAGCCCACTGGACGAGAAATTTGTCTCTGACTGCGAGTAGGATCGCGTAGACATCATGCCTTGGTCGACGGAGTTGAACGTATTTGCTAGCCCGGCCGCATAAGGTATGTTGTAAAATGTTGATAAGTGCCGCGTTATCTAGATCCGCCGCTGGAATGCAGTCAAACTCATGTCATCCACATCGAGTCCAATGACGCGATAATGTCGCGGAGCAAATTCGAGAGTGGCGTGCCATCCACCTAGAGCAGACGCTCCCACCCCCAAATCTTCACCATACTGAAATACGAGCCAGTAACATTGCGGGCCATCTGGGCTTCGTCTGCAATAATGGTACCAGCCCGTCGAGAGAAGTGAGGCGATCAAGCACATTAACGGTTGTGTTGGGACAGTTTGAGGTCTTGTCGTGCGGGTTTGTGATCTCTCTATCCAAAGATAGTGTGGTTTGTGTCAGATTTGTCGAGCACTCCACCAGAGTCTTGATCGTTTGTTGGAGCGAGGAATTCGACGTCATTCTGAATGGGACGGAATTCTGCCACCGCGCGTTAGGGCTGAATGGAGTGGCTGCTCACTCATGTATATAGAAGCGTATATACTAAAAGGCTGATGGTAGCGAGATCGTTCTCTGCTGTCATGGCATTCAACAACTCTAATGTTCTGGCCAAAGTGTGAGGGTCAACGCGTTTGAGAAACACTTGGAGCTGCGCATCTTCTCTATCTGTGTGTATCGTGAACCGGCAGACATCGTCCCAGCCGTTCAAAGTGTCAATATCTGCCGACACTAAGTAGAGGTAGCACTGGCGGAAAGTGCTCGATCTTGTCGATTCGTACGGGCGAGATGCAATCCATCCCCGAGTTGCAACAGGCGTTGCAGTTCACCTATTGCTCTCTGCCATAACTCTGCGTATGTGGATATCATACAGCAGCCCCTTCACAAATTGACCAGAGTGCGATACTTGTGGATGGGTTTGGTCCAGTCCGACGGGAACGAGCATCTTTGGTCTTCCCACGTTCCGTAGAAGAGGAACTGAAGGACTTCGGCATGGCCCAGAGACGATACCCAGACTGCCTCCGTAGTCACGGCCGCCGTACCGGATCTCCGGCCCAGTTGGCTCCGCCGGCCTGAACAAGCAATCCTCCAATTTGGTACTGTGATTGAGGTTGTCGACTCCACTGGCACCATGTCCAGGAAGAAATGTGTGATGCGCAATCTCCTGTGGCATGCCTTGTAGATATTGATCCGAAGGCAGACGGAGTCAATAAAGTGGCCAAATAATATAGAGGCAATCCATCTCCCTAGTGCCAGCTGTGAGTAGTGTGGCACGCTGTTGTCTTTGTGGCCCACTGTTGTCTTTGTGGCCCATGAAACTTGCGGTTCGTCGTCCAAGGTCTATGTCCGACTCGAAGATAAAAACTCGTAGCAATGTCGTCATCTCATACCGAGGTTGTGTATATATAACGGGGTGTCTCGTTGGTGAGCCGTCTGAAATTGTGTTGTTGGGGTTGGCGGAACAGAGCTGCTCCAGGATTGTCCCAACCAAATCACCAGCATCCGCGCCAGTGATATCGGCGTGCGTGGTCGGGTTGTCTTTCTTCCGCTGTCTCGTCCCTTCCCGCTGGAGTCGAGCACCTTCATCGGAGTCGAGCATTGCGTTGGGCGTTTTACCCTCCTTGACAGGAGGCAGGCGGTCGAAAATGTTGCTGCCTCTGGCGCGGCGGGAGATGGCGTAGTAATAGAGTACGACCACTCGGATCAAATCTTCCATCTGCAACATCACATCGACTTTGATCCACTTCCAGCGCCATCATCTCGACACGGATCTAATCGCTATTAGTTCTTGATCGCAATCTGTTGAGTGTTTCATTCAAATTTGCGTACCACAGGTCAATATAATATCTTTCGCCCTCGGCGTCATCGTCCTCGAGCTCATGAGGAGTCCTGGCATCATTATGAAGTGACCACACTTCCGTGCCAGTCAGGGGAGTGAGCGAGCAATGGCTGCACCGATCCGTAGCGTGTAAACATGTCCCTCGGTAGGGCTGGTGAGGGCCCGCGACGATGTCTTGTGCTGGTGAAGGGGGTTGGGCCTTGGTCCAAGGTCTCGATGTACGGGAATGCAATGGGCTTCGTTGTCGGTCATCAAAATGTTTGGGGGTGACGACCATGATTATTTTTGGTCGTTGTCGAGGAGCGTCGGGATCGAGTTTCGTTTTATTCGTTCTCTTCGGAGTAGTGGAAGATGCACAATTCTCATCAAGGAGCTTGCGTTTATTTGGAGCAGGGCCATTGCATGTTCTTTTCGTTGTGCGTTTGTGTTCCTTGTCATCTGGGCCCATGTTGTATCGCTTCGGTCATGACTGTGCTGGTTGGTCACGGGATAAACTGTTGGCGTATCTCGGAAGGTTTCTATCCTTGTCGAGGACGGAAAGGGGGTAAGAGAAAAGTATAGTATAAAGAGGGTCGAAGATGAGATGAAGCCGAGGAAGATGGAGGTGAGGGAAGATGGAGGTGAAGAAGAGAAGGATGGTAGAGAGAGGGATGAGATTTCCTGAATTTATAGAGAGAATTTACTCTGATTTCCTGCGAATTATTCTGGCACTTTCTTTCCATTTCATTGACGTCAACGTCCAGTGATTACTACTAATTGGTACCATCCTGAAGAGCAAACAATTCATCTTCGCTGCTCTGTCTGTTACGCAAGAGTCGCTACCCGAATGAGCGGTGGCTCACCGACATGTAGGACTTAACTTTACTCTCTCACTGGTTTCATTATGTAACTTCGGTTGAATAGCAGTTATTTACTGATCTTGGGTCTTACTCTTGCGCTCTCGTACTCGCCACTCAACCCGCTCGATGACATGCGTTTAATGCACAATTGGGTTGGAGGACTATAGGCTAGTAGGGGACAGGGTGGCAATTTAGCTTTCGTAGGACTCCTTCTCGCGTTTTTAGACTCTATCAGATTGTTTGGTTTGACAGCACGGAGGACTGCATCTCCACTACATGCACTGCAGTCTGTAAAGCCACGTTGACAGCACAGCAAGAACAGATCGGAGGGGAGGGATCAGCATGTTGGGTTATTCAACCAACGCAGGTGTGCTGGACTTGCAGGGCGTCAGTTCATTCAGACCCAGAGCTAGCTAACACCCAATCTATCCTTATCTTCTTTATAAACCCCTCCCATCTTCTACCGTTAAGGCTTGCAGCAAAACACTAGTCTCTTTGGTTTGTGATAGTTGCGCCTTGGCTCACAGACTCACTCTGCGATTCTTGAGCATAAAGACTGCTGGGCAAGACTCTTCTACGGATTCCAAATCGTAGACGTCATCCAATGTTCAAGATGCAGGTATTCTCGACTTGGCAAACCCTATTTTCTGTCATTTGTCAACAATTGTCTCGTGTTGGAAACATATGTGCGATCTCATGTCCTGTACAACCACATGTAACCCTAGCAGTGCCCTACCTGCATCACCAGAACTGCTGAACGGCCATCACTTACAACCAGTCGAGTTTTGTGATAGAAGACGTCACATGGCATCCGGTTTGCCTATCTTGGTTTCGCTGTATCGATAATCAAGAAAGCTGCAAACGTGCATCGTCTCACAATCCGGCGTCGCCCTAGGTGCGAAGCAACCGTCGCAGGTGGTCCCCGGAACGACAACCTGCCGATCGGGTTCTCGGCGGGTGGCGCCAAGCACGGCTAGGAAGATGGCTCGGATGATCGCCGTTGAGACAGCTGGGACTGCGTTTGAGAAAGACTCCGACGATGGTCACGGTGGCTCCACAACGACACAGAAACCGGTGTGAATGTTGCGACATTCAACTGCCGGTGAAGCAGGACCAGCTGCCCCATTGGACCTTGACAAATGCCGCAGTCCCCAGAAGGCTTGGGACGGCTTGTGCAATGGAAACGGCGCTGCACTCTAATCCATCGCGGGTCGAAATGGAGCCACTCTGTGGCTGCCGATGCAAATTGAGGCCGCTGGTTGGGCGTGGCGGTGCGGATGCAGGCTCTGGTAGATGAGGTTTCGTGGGTCAGGGGTAAAACAGTGCGAGCAGAGATGGGGAAGCGGCTTGGACAGGGGTGAATCGGAGAGTTTCAAGGTTTTGAGCATGTGTATCGACGTGCTACATCGGATGAACCGGAAGTTGGGGACGGGGACAGAAGCGCCGAAGAGGCAGCCCGTGGGTTTCGCGATCCGCTTGGAGAGACGTTGTCATCGGAGCGGAGGGGGAGCGGAGGGGCAGCGGCAGTGCGTATGTAGATGGTGGGCGAATGGCCTCACATGTTGTGGCAGTATGCTCAATGCCGTGGGACTGTGCTCCGTCCTCCCCGGCACATTCACATTTGACGGCTTGAATCCTTGAGCATTAATTCCATCCGTTAATGCATTCATCAAGAAACTTTTCTCAGGATATGGGACTCCTTGACCGCCTCGTCAGATCCGAAATTGACGATCCGCCCAATGCCAAGGCAATATAATGGTGATATAGGGCGCCATCCGGCTGCGACTGCGGCTGCGACACCTCCACATCACCCACACCTGTCATCACGGTCCGTATAAGGCAATACTTGGTGGCACTCTCAAGTAGCACTCTCAAGTAGGGCAAGGTAGCGACGCGTGTTGCTCAAGTGCTTGGTTGGAATAAGCTCTGCGCTGATCAGGCCGTTTGGGGATGCGATCTGCTACCGCCGGTGCAAGGCCAGACGCAGGTCTGAAGCACGACATGACCGCCTCAAGCGCTTGACGTGTGAGGATCTGGAGGAGCGGCTGCGAAAGGATGGCCCAACGACCCCGCAACGTCCGTTTCTTAACGCCATGATTTGCGCCATTGCAACTCTGCGAGTGTCGGCTTGGACGCCATGGTGCCCTGTGTTGCGGGAGGGCTGGGGATGCATTCCCGGCGAGGACGGTGGAGCACTCACTTGGTAGAAACAAAGCATTGACGGATATGACTTCGTCGCGACAGGACGGGAAGGGAGGGATCGAGTGCGCGGCTCGAGAAACGGACTTTTGCTGCGGCGGCGGCTGTCTGGTAGGCGGAGATGAACTTGTCGGGAGCCGCGATGCGATCGTGGCGGGTGGAGGGCCAGCCACTCGCTGGAACTAGCACGACACATTCCCTTACAGCATTTTTAGCTTGTAGGTTGGACGAGGAGACACGCGAGCAGCGGCAAGGCAAGGGGTATTGACTGTCGTGTCTCTCGTGTGCCCGACCGCCTGTGCCATTTTAGGGATCTGGGAGAGACAGGCGCCGAGTCAATGGGCTTTGTGAGCGCCCTACACATGCAGCACCACCTCATCCTCGCCTTGGAAGGGCAAGCCCAAAAGGAAGGGAAAAAGCCGTGGGCCATTGGAGGTGCGGGCCACAGCACGTCGATGAAACTCGCCCCGTCGGGCTGGCCACGGGGTCCGCTTGTGCCTCGTGCCTTCGCGCCTTGTGTCTTGAGTGTCCGCCGTGCCCCTGCATTGGAGGCAAGTTCAGGCTTGGGTCCGGCATGGCCTATCGAGGCCGTCGGCGCCCGTGGCACCAGCCTCTGGCAGCCTATCGCGGCGACAGCGCAGGCCCCGGTCGAATCTCAAACGGACGATTGTGAGGCCCGTGGCGGACGACCCCAGATCCCGGCGAGCCAGGATGGCAGGCATGCAGCTTCACGGCGCGCGCGAAGAGGGAGGAGGTCGTTGCGTGTGGTGGTGCAGTGTTCTACGTGGTATTCCATGCTGGCCTGGAGAGCGGCCGGGCGACAGGGGCGAGGGAGATGCAGCGTCATGGCGAAAGGAAAGCATGGCATTCCTGGCCATGGCGGCGATGGATGGATCACGTAGGCTGGGGATGTAGGATGGTTGGATGGGCCTTGACGACACCACTGACAGCCGCTGGAAACCACTGCAACCACCGAGCACCAGTGACGAAGGCTCCAAGACGTTCATTCCTGCGTGAGCCTGGCTGCTGCAACATCCCACGTCGATCCGGGACGAATAAGTTGACGTCGTCTCCCGCTCGCTCACACGGAACCTCTTGCCTAGTTTTTCTTTCACGGTCTGGCCACCTCTCGTTCACTTCTAAATTATAGCCCAAAAAACCAACATCAAAAGCTCGACGCCATTACACGACACCATCCCCACCAACCCGCGCGTTGAGGTACGAGTCCCGTCCCTCGCAACGAATACGCCTACGACCACAACCACGACGACTACACGACGAAACGAAACGAATTTTAGGCCTGACAGTCGCTGCGACCCAGGCCCTTGAGAGACTCCACCGGTTCTTGCCCAATCACCGGGTCAATCCCTCGCGATTCCGTGGCCAAGGCTCTCATCAATCTCCTGCCAGATACGAGCCATTTCCATCCATCCAAGCCGGAGGGTTCGAAATCGTTGGATCCATCCGACAAGCCAACCCGTTCCTCCTGCCGTCCATACACACCCGTTCGCTCCCGTTCACTACGCCCCTCTCTTGCTTTTCTCACGTCTCCCTCACTGCTCGAGTCTCACGCATCCCGAGCGCCACAGTCAGGGGCCGCCTCCAAACCCACCACCACTCCACCGCGCTCCCCCTCGCAGCGAATAATCGTGCATCGCCGCCCATCCTCATCGTCTGGGCCCAGCATACGCCCTTCATTTCGCTCGCCCGAACGGCCACTAGCTTTTCGCCAGCCCAGGCCCTGCACGCGCCCTGGACTACGCCAACGGGTTTAGCCTGTCCCCCGGCGTGCCACTCTCCCGTCTGTCTCTGCCCTGCTGCCCTGCCGTTCCTGCTGCCCTGCCGGCTCCTCCAACCAGAGACGGGTTGAGGGTTGAGTTTATGCCCTGTGGCCCCAGTCTTTCTTCGTGCTCCCTCCCTTATTACAGAAGGCGTACGCACTGCAACTAAGACCCGGGCACCCGACCGGCCACAGCCAACCCGTCCGACTGAGCCCTGACTGCCCCCCGTATTCGACTGGACGGCAGCCACCTACCGATTTATTGGGTTCCAGACGGCGTCGCAACACCCCCTTCGCTGCCACACCGCAGCAAAAGGCTCCCACACCACGCCCAAGGTGCTGTTGCAACGCTACGCTACCGTGTGCCGGGCTGCTAATTACTGCTGCTTGTGTGCTGACGGGCGGGCTCTGCCACTCTGCCACTGCGCCTCTCCGTCCTCAGGTCTTCAGCTCAGCTCCCGGGCAGCCCAATTTGGAACAGACCATTGAATTTGGCGTTTCCATTTCTACTCTCCGGCTCCTGCTCACGCCCGGTTTCCCTTCCCAGCATACTTCCTACTCTTCTTCGTTTTCTCTTTCGACCTGATTGATTCACTGCTTCGACAACCCCATACCTTTCGTTCCAGCCCTTTGGATCCCACGATTCCAAGCGCTGCGCCTCCTTCGCAGCCACCTGCAATCGAGGCAGCCCTTGCTGCTGGACCAGGCACCCGCTGTCCTCTTTACCCCTTTTGTCTGTCAGCCGATCTGACAGGCCCGGACCCCGTTGCAAGCACGCTGCACTCGACTGTATACGACTGTATACGCGACTCGGATCGACTAGACTCGTCCCGACTCAGCAGCTTTTCGTTCTTTGTTCCTGGCGTCTGTCTCCTCTGCTCTGATCTGACGAGTAGCCTGCAAGTGCCACCTTTGCGGAGCATTTGTGTGTGTTGTTGGCTGGTGCAGCCCAGGACAGCCCAGTGCAGCACAGCGCATTCTTCTTACGCCAGCCAAGTCACAAGTCACAAGTCACTGCTGGCCCATCTCACCTCACACACGCCGCCCAGGATCCCCCTTGTCTCCGCGTTTTTAACTCTACGTACCCGCTCGCATCTCGCCTCTCGCCCTCTTGTCTCTCCCGCCTCCCAACCACCCAGATCCTTCATCCCCTTCCTCCCCAATCGTGGACTTGATCGTCCTAACATAGTCATTCCTTTGATTCTATTTTGTGTCGTCTTTTTTTCTTCCCCGTCACGCCCGTTAGCACGGCCCCCAACCGACCGCATTCTCCGCCTTACGTCCTTCCTCTCTCTCGACGACTCAGCACAGCCCAGCGTCCTGCGCCGAATGCTCCGGTAGCAATCGCGCCTCGTCCGACTCTCAACAATCAACCCCCGATCAAGAGGCGCTTCCTCTCCTTGACTGCTTCGACCCCGAACTCGACTTAATCACCTTCTTTCCTTATGCCATCGTACGGCTCGCTGGCTTCTCCGTCACTCGCGAAAATGGACAACTCGAGAATGATGTACGGCGCCCGCCGCAAGGGGATCCAGATGGGCAACATCCTCGGCGATCCCTTCGCTCTGGCCACCATCTCCATCGCCACGGTAAGGCCTTTCCCTGCACCGCTAAATGCTGCCTCCACCTAATCGCAGCGCTAACTTTCGTCCAGCTTGCCTGGTGCATCACCTTCATCGGCTGTCTCATCGGACAGGTACAGAACCACAATGAGGTCTTCCCGACGTACGCCTGGTGGGCTTGCGTCTACAACCTCATGCTCATCATCGGAGTCTTCGTCGTTATTGGCAGCGACTCGATCCATACCTACCACGTGGCCGTGACCGGCTTCCTCGCAGCCGGAATCATCACCGTCACCTCCAGCATTAACCTGCTGCTCTACTCCGGCAGCGGCGCAAGACAAGCCGCAGCCGCTGGTTTCATCCTGTTGGCAATGGTAGTGGTAAGTTCCAGCCCATTTGTGCCTCACACTGACCTCCAACGGATCGCCATGCTAACATGACTTGGCAGGTTCTCTGGACCTTCTACTTCGGATCAAACCCTTCATCAACTCCCCGAGCGTTCCTCGACTCATTCGCCCTGGCTAAGGAATCCACGACGATGCACCGATCAACAATCAACTACGGCGGTACCGGCCGCCCCGAGACTTCCAACTCGGTCCAGCCACCTCAGATGTACACTTCAGCTCAGCTCAACGGCTTCGAGAACCCTTCCCCCGTTGGTGGCGTGTCTCAAGTAAATGGCCGTGGTTCTGCCGTCCCCCAGAGCTTCACCAACTCTATGATGCAACAACAGCAGGCGCAACATCCGCAACATAGCCAAGGCAAGCCGACCAACTCTCCTGATGCCGAGGTCGTACCGCCGACCGAGTACCCCTACCGGGCGAAGGCCATCTACAGCTACGAGGCCAACCCAGACGATGCCAACGAGATCTCATTTTCGAAACACGAAATCCTCGAGGTGTCAGATGTCAGCGGACGCTGGTGGCAGGCTCGCAAAGAGAGCGGCGACACGGGTATTGCACCCAGCAATTACCTCATTCTATTATGAGCAAGGACTCAAATAAACATTCTCTGGGATACCCGCCATTGTGCAATTATGAGCCGCTCAACACCATCGGTGTCGGAACGGGCTGCTTGTTCATCTATTTTGTTAACGTTTTAGAGTCACGACTCCTCAACTTGGTTCGTTATTGGGATGGGAAATGTGTTGGATGGTGTATATTTAGGACGAAAGGCCCCTTTACAAACGGCCCACGGCGCCTGGCAAGTCGCTGCATTCTTTCTATCTTCAATGTCTCTTTTTCTTCAGTCGTCATTTCTGTTTCTTCTTCCCTTCATCTATTCTCTTGAATCCTACGGGACTCAAAACCCACTTGTGCAGTGCAGACGAGATCAGCATCAAAGCCAAAGCCGCTCCTGGTGCTGTATTCACAAAAGACATGTGGATGGAATTCAAGCATGACGAGGAATTTGGGTCAAGGGCCACGTAGGTTGGCCGGTGGGCGGAACTATGCCCAAGCAAACAGGACAGACCATGTGCAGTACCGGTGCAGGCGCACAAGTAGGCGCCAACTACACAGGCGGAGGCGGTAGCTAGAACGAGGAGGGACTCACGATGTCCCTCGTCTTGGTCAATGTGAAAACTATTGGAATGAAGTGGCCAACCTAGCCGATGCCGCGAAGTCTCAAATGTTACTGTTAATATGCTGTCGACAGTGGATACGGTCACGGAAGATATATACCAAAGCACCGGTGACAAATTAGGTTCACTGTGAGCCCGGGAGCATCGTGAAATGGATATCAAATTTGTCATTCGAGACTTGAACGCGTGTCCGGTCTCAAGAAAGCTTGAAGCTTCCTATTGAAACATGGTGTACTCCTGACTCTCTTCTCTTCCCGGAGCGGCCAATCGTCCCAGACGATGCCCTTGCTGGACGGAAGTCACAATGCCGATGCCAACTCGGAAGGGGTTGGCGGACGACGGATCGGCATGCATCCACTGAGCATTTTGCTCAGCCGTTGCATCTCGACTGCCGATCATATTCGGCTCGATCCGCCCCTTTCCTATCTCGATTGGACACCCATCATTGCCCATTTTGTACGTTGGGTCCCCATATCATCAATCGTAGATCATTATCCCCAGGGATTTGGGGATCCCTGGATCTGTTGTGTCCCACATCGCACGTGCGAGGTCCTTCAACCTTCAAGTCGCTTCCTCAGCTCCCTCTCCTTCTGTAGCACCTCGAGCTCTAACCTCTCAACGCCATACCGCAAGGCCTCCTTGCGCTGCCGTACCGCGCGAGCACGCAACCTTTCCTCGGCGGTGAGCCGGCGTCCGTTACTACCGTGCTGCCGGCGCTTTTTGTCGAGGTGGATATCGGGGTCGCCATCATCGGACCGGGCGAGACGGCCCTGCTGCAGCTCGGCGCGGGCCTTTAAGGTCTCGATGCGGCGTTCCTGGCGCTCGATTTGAGAGTCGGCGCGGGAGAGGAGCAGGGCGATGTAGGGGCCGATGTCGTCGCGAAGTGAAGCCTCTGCGGCGGCGAGTGTGGGCTGGGGGATAAGTTCGTAGTGCTTTTTTCTAACGTTAGCAAAGACGAAGAAGATTGCATTGTGATGGACGGGAGAACGCACGCGAACAGACTTCAGCACGTTGACAAGGCGGGGGAAGTCAGAGACGCCATTGTCGAGGGTCTCAACGGAGGATTCGAGGAATTTGAGCGAGGTGCGCAGGGATGTGACGCAGTCGGCGTAGGTGGAGAGATTGGCGGTGGAAGTGCTGGTCGCCATGGCCGGTGGTGTGTATCGTAGTGTGTATCGTGGGGTGTTTTGGGAGTGCGACGCGGGGCAGACGCTGCGAACAAATGCGAGGGAACTATCGTGAGTGTGTTGTCTTCATTCCCGAGCGGGGGAGGCGAGCTGACTATTCCGCCAGTGGTATTCAACGGGAATGTCGTAGGATTGGAGATTAGGCTTAGACCCGGAGAGGGAGGGCAAAGGCGTGCAATGTTTGGGGGTATCGTGAAGGGAGCTTTGGCGTTGAGGATTGTTGTGATATCACGGTTGGAGGCAGGGGACGGGAGTCAAGCGCCAAATATGCACGGGCCACACCACATATGTGGGGGCGGCTTCCTTCCCCCCGCGCTCCGAGATATCAGGGGAGCACGTCACATGCATCGGATTTCACTCCATCTCAAGTTCTCGATAAAGCCAGGTGTTTGCGGGCGTCGTCGTTTTCCTCTGTCTCAGTTCCTCACGTCAGACCATGAGAGTAGGGGACAACGAAACCTCTGCGCACGGTGTTCCCACCTTCGCTTCGCCGTGACTGGATCCCCAGCGAGCTGCTGGAATGCGACGGCTGCATGCCTCATGGGTCTGATGGGAGGGGACACAGCCGTCGGGGCTTGGAGTTGCGGCGTTATTCAAGAGGATGACCGTGGTGAGGCGAGGTAGTGCTGAGTGGCCACCTTGATCCCCACATGTTTGGTCTGCTCGATTTCGCCTCCATCGTGGACGTTCCCCCGTCGACTCTTGGCTGATCCGCTGTAGATCTTTTACTTCTCTTTCTGCGGCCGAGTGGTCCGCTATGTAATTCCTCGGCATCTACCGGCAACTCCATTGATCCGGGGCTTGCTGCTAGGCCGTATGCTGGTCTCCTGGAGAAGATATCTATCTGGGGCATATTGTACTACTGGGCTGCTTGTTGAATTTGGATCTATCAGTGGATGGACAAAGATAGCCCTAGGATATCGGACTTCGACCAGCCTCATCTGACACCTTTTGATGTCACCCGGCATCCGCCACACCTACTCGCAAAGGATCGGTGATCCATGGCCCATGAGAGCCCAAGACTTCGCCACGATGCGACAACGGTAGACAAATGAGACCCAATTCACGGCCAACTAATCTCGCATCACTACCATTGTATTGCTATGGGATGGCCAAGGGGACATCCGTCATCCTTGGCTCCATTCGGTGTCGTAATTGAAGGCCGGTCACTCGCTTCGGCGCTTCTCCTCCCGGCTCAATGACTAAATCGACTGAGTCTCCCTTGCCGGGCTGAGACCTTCAATCATAGGCATTCTGTCCGACACCCCACCCCCCGGGTCCCGAGGCCACTTTGCCTATATTACTTAATGCCCGGCTTGTTCTTCCCCCCCATGTTCGTGTTTGATCCCCACCTTTCCATCTGGAACCCCCCACGGGTTTGGCAAAGTTCCTGTGGTTTATCTATTTGCATTGCGTCGTTGCCATTACCTTCATCTCTCCTATCCTTCTCGCCATTTTTGCCTCCCATAACACTATAGATGGATAACAGCCCTGGCGCCACACGCCGGGATTCCGAGGGCCATGGCCTTCGCTTCCTCAACGAAGAGTGGAACGAGAGTATCTCCAACGGCGAGCTCTTTACGCTTGTGTGGAATGAAACGATCGAGGGTTCAGATGCCCAACTGGGTGTCTTCCGGATTACATACCCCCGAGATGGAGTCAAAGAATACGAGTTGGTGACGAATCTGACAGGTGAGTGTTATACTAATCTGTGCTCCTGTTTGCTGTGTATTTAAGTGCAGGCATATATTAACCAGCACTGTAGAGTTCATGGAGTCGACGACTTGCGAATGGACGCCTGATGAATTAAACGATGACCTCTATGCCATGTGGCTGACAACGGTCAGCAATGGGAATCAGAGCTGGACCATTTCACCCCCCTGGAAGTTAAGAAACTATGTGAGCCAGTCCCACAAATTCTCTTCACTACCTCTACGTCGTTACACTTCTCTCTAACACAGCCCTCCGATAGAGAGGCCGAAGACTCCATTGGGCTGCTCCCGTTGGCATCCCTATTGTAGTCATCCTCGGCCTCTATGCTCTCTGTTTGGTGGGCTGTCTCTGGTACAGGCGTCGGAAGCGCTTGAAGCGTGAACGGGATGCCGCTGACGGCGACGACCACACCAACGAGGCCACCGATACCGAGGACGCTGCAGGCCGGCACCCCTCTGTCAGTTCCGTCGAGACGGCTCAGACATTTGATGAGCCCGACTTCAAGAAACCTGACACCGTGGTGGTCGTCTCTCATGAATACCTCGATTTGCCGACTCCAGAACGGGAGCAACTACGAGACTCCCAGCGAGGTACCTGGATTGAGACTGTGCACTTTGATGGCATCAGATTTGATCGAGGTCGACGAAGAAGCAATGACAGTGTGGACGATGAGGAGCGTCAAGGTCCACCGCGAAGGCCCGGGGAGTTGTACGTGGCGCCTGGTACGGCAATATGATGGATAGTCTTTGATCCATTTCAACATGAATTCAAACACATAGCGAAAGAACGAGACGCATGAGAACGACGACAATGATTAAGATGCTCACATAGGATCAACAGGGGCTGGGTTGGCGGAGTAAGAATTGGGGCTTGAAAACGAAATATTGGAGCATCGGAAGCTGTAATCCGGTTCATAAACAATACCGTCTTTAGCTTGAGTATGTTTTTGAAGTGGGAACTATTAACCTCACCGACAGACTCCGTTACGGCAGTGAATATTATATTTTGAAAATACTAAATTAACCTGCACCCTTTGATAATTCAGAATCCCCCACCCGCACTTCAATGTGATCTTGGGTTCCTCTTTACAACCATAATGGCGCATGTCAAAATGGCGGCCGGGTGAAGACCTCAAGCCTGCCCAAGGGCTTCTTTGCCACCCCTGCAATGACAACTGGTTCAGTCACGGGCGAAGAGACATTTTCTAGCGAAAACTTCATTATGCTAGAAGAACTAGGGAGTAGATAGTGAAGATAGGGTATTCGGCAAAATCGCCGGAAACGGACTGGAATTTGGGCCATGATCAAGGCATGTCCTGGACTCTTGAAAGTAGGGGCCTCCCTGTCGATCTCACCGCCCACTACAAAAGTTCAAGGGGCGATCCACGTTCGCGAAGCTTATTTAGTATGTATCTATGTCAGATGGAAGTAGTTACCTGAGATGTCACAAAATTGTATCTCCCATCTCCCGTCTGCAACGGTGTCGCGGCGACGGACAAGCCTACATCGTTCATGCTTTGTAAGTGGGCGCATCTACACAACCCAGTCTTTCATACTCCATAAGCACTTTCCAACCCAACATGATTGAAAACCCCACTCAAGGATTAAATCCTAAGATTTTGCTCTCAGTTACTATTTGGTCTATCGTTTGGCAGTGAGGTCTTGGTTGTCAGTTGTTCGAATGAGGTGTCACGTGCACCACCATTGAAACCCGGAAGTGACCGGGGTTCGGGTCCACTTTGTTCCATTTCCAGCCTTCGCGGTCTGTGGCAGGCAGGAGCCTCTTGCGTGAGCCTCGTCACTAATCCAGCTCCGTCCATCCAAATCCCAACACGCCCCACGACACTCACATCCATCGCATCCAACCCGATCAACAATTCCCACGAGATCGATCTTTTTTTCTGCGACTCTCCTTCATCGCAACTACCATTCGACTCATAATATTACACCCCCGCCTCGCCCATCATGTCTGAGGGAGCTCTGAAGCCCGAGAAGGACTTCTCGAAGGAGGTTGACCAGCAGCTTCCCGAAGCTGAGAAGTTGGCTGCGGTATGCTTCCTTTTGCTTGGCTCGCCAGCCCAACCATCTGCTAACTTGTTGCCCTAGTCCAACAACCTTCAGGGTGCGATTGAGAAGCTCGTTGCGCTTGAGAAGCAGACCCGACAAGTAAGCCCCAAGCTCCACAGCTCCGCAGGGCGTCTCTGACCCAGAACAGGCCTCCGATCTTGCGTCGACATCCCGAGTACTCGTCGCCATCGTTACACTTTGCAAAAATGCCGCCGACTGGAGCTTGATGAACGACCAGACCCTGGTCCTGTCCAAGAAGCACAGCCAGCTGAAGCAAGCCATTACCAAGATGGTCCAGACCGTCATGGGCTTCCTTGACGAGACCCCCGATCTCAAGACCAAGCTTACCGTTATCGAGACTCTGCGAACAGTAACAGAGGGCAAGATCTTTGTCGAGGTCGAGCGCGCTCGCGTTACCAAGATCCTTTCCGACATCAAGAAGGAGCAGGGAGACCTCAAGGCCGCCACTGAGATTCTCTGCGAGTTGCAGGTCGAGACCTTTGGATCTATGGACAGGCGAGAGAAGACGGAGTTCATTCTGGCCCAGGTTGCGCTTTGCATCGAGAGCGAGGACTGGACACAGGCTGGCATTTTGGGCCGCAAGATCAGCACACGATACCTTTCACGGAAGGTGAAGAAGACTCCCGAGCAGCTGGAGAAGGAACAGAAGGAGCGCGAGAAGAAGAAGGCCCGTGGCGAGGAGGTACCCGAAGTGAAGGAGGACGACACAACCGACCTTAAGCTCCGCTACTACGAGCAACAGATCATCCTCGCCAAGCATGACGAGAAGTACCTCGATGTTTGCAAGCACTACCGACAGGTCTTGGACACGGAGGCGGTGGAAGATGACCCCGCCAAGCTGCACCCTGTAGGTACACTAGCTTGCGTTGCTCGCTTCGCCACTAACTGTTTTCCAGGTTCTGCAGCGAATCATTTACTTTGTCATTCTGGCCCCCTATGACAACGAACAACACGATCTCCTCCACCGCATCCACAAGGACACCCGCAACACTCAGGTTGCGGCCGACGCTGAGCTTCTCCGGCTCTTCACCGTCCACGAGCTGATGCGATGGCCGGAGATTTCCAAGAAGTTCGGTCCCCAACTGTGCAGCACCGATGTGTTCGATGTTCAGGCTGGCCAGTCATCAGACGAGAAGGCGCACCAGAGGTGGAAGGATCTGCGAAAACGGGTCATTGAGCACAACGTCCGCGTTGTTGCCAAATACTACACCCGCATTCAGATGGGTCGACTCACCCAGCTGCTCGATCTCGACGAGGATGAGACGGAGAAGTACATTAGTGAGCTCGTCACATCCAAGACGGTCTACGCCAAGATCGACCGGCCTGCCCAGGTTGTCAGCTTCGCGAAGCCCCGGGATGCCGATGATATCCTGAACGAGTGGAGCCACAACATGAAGAGCCTCCTAGGCCACCTGGAGAGGATTGATCATCTCATCACCAAGGAAGAGATGATGGCTCGTATTCAACCTGCAAGCGGAAAATAAGTCTGGGCACCGGGGTTACATGGCGGTTAGATACATATTCATGACGGTTCTGGGTGGAGTCTGTAATGATACAGGTTAGATAGTCCTCGGGGTGAGGATATGTAACATTTGGCGCATGAGTGCATTGCGCTATTCCCGTGTCTATTCCGAATGTCTATATGTATCGCCAACCAGATTAGTCTAGGAACCAGCTTCTCAAAGCTCCGCTTTGGGTTCTGCGTCGTAAGCATGCTGCTTGATGAAGCCAGCCAACGGCATCGCCCACTCCTTGGACACAGGTACGTGATGTCCGCCGGGATGGATCACGACGACAGGCTCCTCGCACCGATCCACAAGCCCCTGACTGCGGCTTTCCTCAACGACGGTATCTAGGCTTCCCAGGTAGTGCAGCGTCGGGGTCTTGATCTTGGGTTCGTAGCAGAACGCGAGAGAGTCCACGGGCGCAAAGAAGCCTGAGTAGCTAACGGCAAACTTGACAGGCTTCCCGCCGTTGGCCTCCCTGAGTCCTCGTGCCCAGTTGCCCTCCTGGCCCTCAGGCGTCGGCCGGTCCTCCAGCGCAGCCGCCACAAGACCGGCCATGGCACCGCCCTGGCTGAAGCCGCACACGGCATCGACACCGCCGGCCTCGCGGATGGCATCAGCGACAGTGGCCATGCCCTCGTCAAGGTAGCGGTAGGCGCCCGAAGCCTCGTCCTTACGCCACCACGCCCAGGTGTCGGGCTGATAGTCGTCGGCTTGCGGCTCCGCGGGTGGCTGGTAGCCCGGGATGTCGGCGGCCGTGAGTCGGTTAGGCGCTGTGGGGTAGATGGGCACCGGGAGCAGGGCGAGAGGTGTGAGAACCTTTATGAGGAGCTTCTCCAGGGCACGGGTCTTGGCCCGGAACAGGGGGCCAGACTGTGTGAAGCCTGCGATGAGGGTTAGTGAGTGGCTTTGTGTGAAGGTGAGGATGGCAATCCAGGATAGAACGACGAAGTACACAACTCCTTAGAACGCTTCTCATAAAGGAAGTGACAACTCCTGTTTGGTGACTTACCGTGGAGCATTAGAATCTTGACTTCCTTCTTGCCTCCATTGCTCTTAGGCTTCTGTTGGTTTGCGCCCTTGGGCCCCGCGGCGGCAGTCATGGTGAAAATCAAGGCTCTAGGTGTAAAAACAGGAGGTCTAGTTGTGAGTGGTCTAGCGGTGGCAAAGAAGCCAGAGAGGAAACGCATCTACAAGAGTATAAATGAAATGTATGATGACAAAAGACGGACGTATCTGGCTCGCCGTGTGAGTCGTCGGATCGTGGTGTGAGCGATAACGGTGATTTGTCAGAGTGAGATTTGGGGGATCTTAGGCCCGTAATTCAGGACTGGAGGGATTCCGGTTTGATCCCCCCACATGAGGACAACCTGGGCTCTATAGATATGGAGATATGACATATTTCTACGGTCTATGAGTTTGGAGACGCCTAATTACTATGATTTCCTCATTGTGCCAAGCCAAGGCCACAATTGGAGGTCCACGGTTGACATATTACACAAGTTAGATTACCAGCGAAAACGCATCACGTCGGCAATAGATATATAAGCTACGATAAGAAAAACTTTCTCGAGAGCTCTCAAGGTGGTAAATAGCCAATGACACGGCCAGATCCTCTCAGTCGCATTTCCAGTTTCCAGTTTGAATGGTTCGATTGTTGTGTCGCATGGACAACAGCATTGGGGTTGGCAAGCAATCCAGGCACGTGGGACGTATGTCGAGACGATTCGTTTTGACAATAGGTCAATTAAGCCCCTTATGCGACTCTATGATACAATTCCATCTCACAGGATCCGGGGCTCGCGCTCGAGCGGATCGATTGTGTTTTCTTCGACGAAATCTCAAGTTCCTCCATGTCCGATTTAGTGGCCGCCAGTCTTGGCGTTGGGGTTGCGGGCGTCGTTCTTCCACTCGGCAGCTATGGGATACGGTCAGCTCGAGATGACCTCGGGGGGGTTCTTGTCGTAGGGGGATCGTACAGCTCATCATGCTGGTCTGGATAGAGTTGACACCGTAGGCGATGACAACACCTGTATATTCACGTCAATTGCTGTCCAAACTCGTCAACGCATCAATCGGGGTCGGCGCGTGGGGGAATGCTCGTCGAGGACACGGTATCGTCGGGAGAGCTGCGCATTGTCACGTACCGGCAGCGAAGAAGGGCCAGTACGGCTTCACTGTTAAGAAACTGGTTAGCGGGACACGTCGCTTCGGCAACACGGAAGGAGTCGCAATTGGAACCGGAGGGACGCACGGAAGGGAGCCGGGAACTTCTTGAAGGGTTGGACACCGAGCCACGACATTTTGAAGGTGTTGGAGGATATCGCGAGGAAGGGGATCGGTTCGGGTTGATGGAGGTTCGGCAGGGTGCTTTGAGATTGAGAGTCTTCAAAACGAGCGCTTTTCGATGCAAAGCTCCGAGCGGGTTCTGCCGAAGCCGAGCACCGGAAATCAGTGGCGGCCTGAGGCAGCGAGGCAGGCGGCTGATGCAGAAATGCCAAGCAACTGCACGGGCCAGGCCCCACCTACTACGCGCTCGGAGCCGCATAAACCATTCTGCCGAACCCCGCGTTTTCATGCAGGCGCTAAGCACTTACACGTGATGGTGTCCTGGCAGGTGACATCATGGGGAAGCTCAGCGAGCTCGCAGCTTTAAGAAGAGGGGATACGTACTTGTCTCACCCAAGCTTTGTGCTTTGACTTCTTCAAATCAGCCTATTCTGCGACCGTTGAGACTCGTCAGAAACTCGTCAAACTATCCCAAGTGCGGGGTGAAGATACCTGGAACGTAACAGAAGCTGTTCCGTCCCTCCAATACCACGCACCCACTTGTCTTGTCTCGTCCACCCTGGTCATTGCCAACCCTCCCTCAACTCTACAGTGCCGCCAAGGGCAAGCTCGAACCGCTTCGCTTCCCTCCTTCATTCTGTGCCTTGCCACTGTCTGCCAGCTGCCGGTTGCCTTCTGCCATCCGTCATCTGCTTCTGACGCAACCAACTGCCTATTTCGTCTTCTGCCTCTCCCTCTACCTCTGCCTCTACCATTCAATCTTGCGCCTCCTCTTGCTCTCCGATTGCCGATCTTGCAACCTCGGCTTTCCCGGGAGATCACCCTTGTTTACCTCCCCTCCTCGTGTCGTCGCACACCTCCCCGGAGCTTCTCATAGCTCCCAGGCCTTGCACCCTTCCACCTCTCACATCCAACCGCCCTCCCTCCCCAACATGCTGAGCCGTCAGTTTGTCCGTGCCGCCGCGGTCGCCCCGCGGTCTGGCCTGCGAGCTCTCAGCACCAGCGCCCTGCGGCAGAGCAAGACACCTTCGATGGGAGATGTCAATCCTTCGCGGGCAACCGTCGAAACGTTCAATCGGAAGCAGATTGCGTTTCGCGAGCAGCAGATCCAGGCACAGAAGAACCGGGAAGCTAGTGCGTTCACCTCACCCCCGAAGTCGGCTGACGCTGCCTCCAAGCAGCCAACTCAGGGCTCACAGGATGCGAACGCAGGGCGGAGCGCCGAGACCAAGCAGCCTGAACCCGACCGAAAGGCTGGTCCGCTGACGAACCTCATCTACGGAACAAAGGAGGGTCGCGAGCTGGAGGCCCAACTTGAGGCCAGTTTCAGCCAGGTCCTCGCCCGCGGCAAGTACGTTCACTCTATTGTCTTCCACGAGGTCAAGCCCGACAAGGTCGATGAGTACGTCAAGCTTGTAGGCGATTGGTACCCCAAGATGGCCAACACCCCAGAGAACAAGGTACACTTGGTGGGCAGCTGGCGGACAGAGGTCGGCGATTGCGACACATTTGGTATGTTTCCTTGCTCTCTTGTCCGGCTTGTTATCTTTGCCTGCCGTTTGACGTCAACCTCAGAAACACAATTGCTGACTTGAGGCGGGGTTATAGTTCATATCTGGGAGTATCAGAAGTACGAAGGCTACCACGCGTCGCGACACAACATCTCAAACCACCCCGACTTCGCCGAGTTCGACAACAAGCTCAAGGGCATGATCAAATCCAAGAATATCTCACTGATGCAGGAGTTCTCATTCTGGCCCACTACCCCACCACGAGAGCTTGGTGGCGTCTTTGAGCTCCGGTCTTACACCCTGCATCCGGGCAACCTACTTGAGTGGGAGACTCACTGGCGCCGCGGCCTCAAGGCCCGTCGCGAAGTCATGGAGGGTGTCGGTGCCTGGTTCGTTCAGATTGGCGACCTCAACACCGTTCACCATCTGTGGCAGTTTGCCAACCTCGAGGAGCGCCGCACTCGTCGCGAGCAGAGCTGGCAGGTCGAGGGCTGGAGCGACACGGTCCACAAGACGGTGCCCTTGATTCAGAGCATGAAGTCACGCATCCTTATCCCCATGCCGTGGTCTCCTGTGGCTTGAGCTCGCTCCGTGTCAGCATGGACTCGCCGTCTAGAGCTCAATGTTTCACTGCTCGGCTGTGTTGCCATGACCACCGGCGGACTGGACCCCCACTGTTTGACAGAAGCTGGGGCATCATTTTCCTTTGTTGAAATGCATAGCTCATTTGGTTGTTGATGGCGTGAGGATCGGATCGGATGGGTGGAGAAAGCGAAGCAAACTTGTCGATGGTGAATTGCATGTACAGATAAATCTACATTCCTACCAAATTGTGTGAATTGAGTCATGAGCCAACAAGAGAAGACGAACTGCGCCGATACTTTGCCATGTTTCCGATTCCCATATATACAAACCTGTCTACTCTTGACGCCGGGAATATCTAATTCCCATGTTAACCAATGCCCCTCAGTCTTCCGAGTCTACGCCCATCACGGCACTCAAGTTCCTCCTCGCCTGGCCGAGCATGTGACTTAGGAACCCAAGCTTTGATTGCAACGAAATCAAACTCGGGTCCGCGCTCTCGACCCGAACCTTTTCCCTCACATAGACTTCCTGAATATCCCTACCGTTACCAAAGAGTGGAGGTGTAGTCCTGGGTTCTGGGGTGTGTCTTGCGCTGCGGGGTCTTGACTCTCCGCTGTCGCTGCCCTTGGTATTGTACTTGAAGATTGTATCCATTTCATCGTGTTCGAGTCGGCGGAATGTGCCAATGGCAAGACCGAGCTTGGTGCCGAAGTGGACCGGGGCGTCAACGGGTTCGAGGGCTCGCAGCCAGAGGACAATGGAGCTCTCCTGGAGACCAATGTAGAAGCTGAGATTCGGGCCGGGAGCCGGCTGGAAGTGGTAGGCTGGACAAGACGCGGCTTGCCAGCCAGGATCGGCCTCGGTGAGCGGCGGGCCCTTGAGGAGGGCAGCGGAGTCGGTGAGTGAGTCGGCGAGGAGGGCAAGGGTGGAGGCTAGGGAGCTCGGGTCTTGGGGCTTGGAGAGGGTAATGGAGAGGAGGTCGATGGCTTGTGTGAGATGGGTGTGGAGTGAGTCGAGGGCGTGAATGTGGATGGCGTCGGAGTGGGAGAGCGAGAGCGTATGCGCGGCCATGGTTCGGAGTTGAAGGTGGAGGGACTGCATAGACCCAGGGGGTTAGTTTTCTAGCCACCGCGAATAGGGGACTGATGCGCTACTTACGCCCTTGACGATGCGGGTGCCCACGCGGGTGAGGGTCCCCTTGACCTTTTCGTTGCGCGGCGTGCTCATGACGAGCGTGCTCCCGGGATCAATGGGCGCGAGGAGCGCATAGCAGTCGTCCAGGTTATGCTTGAGGTTGCGACAAATCTCCAGCGTCTCTTCGACGATCCATTCAAGCTCTCGTTCCTTGGAGTAGTAAATCAGCATGATGGCTTAACCCTTTGCAATCCCCGTTGCAGTGTTCGTGGACGATGACGGAAGCTCCTCGTCGTACCTGGGTTGCCGCGGCTTTAAGCCTGAGCTCGTCCGGCGAGACAGCGGGCCAGACTGCAATGGACATGGTGGCCTATCGAGACGGGAGTGCGCGGGAGATGGTATAGGCAGCCATAGAGAGGCCCGAGACAGCGAGCTCTCGGGAGGGGAATGGCGGCGACGGCGATGGCTGCGGATGGGCGTTCGCGACGGGCGAGTTGGAGGTGGAGGAATCGCCAGACGCCCTCGCAAGGTTGGCCCGTGGCATGTTGGAGGTGACGTGGGAGGGAGCCGCAGTGGGGTTTGCGCTGCAGTAGCGCCGTGGTCCAGTGGAGACCCGCTGGAAGAATTGACGGCGCCAGTGGGGTAGCTTTTTGACGACGGGCGACTAGGCAGAGAGAAAAGTCGACGACGGACCAGTTCGGACTTCAGACTCACTCACGACGAATACCCGGCACCGCTTGGCATCTCATCGCTATAACCCTGCGAGCTAGGATCTCACAAGGAGCGACTTTAATATTAGGTTGCATTCATAACATCATCGCCCACCAAGGGTCTTGACAAGCCACTGCCATTGGCTCCTCTTTCGGCCGCTCAGTCACACATCAGTCTTCAAACTCATCTGCCTATCTACCCGTCTAGGTAGCAACACCACAGAAACAACACCATGGCTTCAAGTAAAGCCACCGATGCTGCTTCATCCCGGCTGCCTGGGACATTGACCAAGCTCCCTCCTATTCCCAATGGTACTATCCAACTCCACGGCCGACCTACTACGCTCTGACTAACCTCACCATACAGGCGCCCGCGTCGAGAAGCGGCCCCTAACTAGGCGGCAGCCTCCGGCATCGTCCAAATCGCGCATCATCTACGTGTCCTCGCGCACGCCCTTTGTGGCCGTCGTCAAGCGGGTGCGCAAGCAACTCGACGCCTCGCTGCAGACCGTCGGCGCCGCGCCCAAGAGCGCGTCGGTGCACTCGCGCATCCAGGCGCTGGAGCGGATGGGCGGCGAGATCCAGGGGGACGGCGGCGTGGTTACTGTCATGGGCACAGGGCGCGCCGTCGAGAGGACGCTGGCCGTGGCGAGCTGGTTTGAGCAGCAGGACGATTGTCTCGTGGAGGTGCGGACGAGGACGGTGGGGACCATTGACGACGTGGTTGTCGAGGATGGGGATGTTGAGGATGCGAGCCGGTTAAGGAAGATGAGCTGTTTGGAGGTGACGGTTAAGCTCAAGTGACACTTTCACCAGAGTTGGACGACTCTGTTGAATTGAACTGCATAGGGCTGAACAGCATCGAGGTGTGAGGAGGTGGGTGCAGACCAGACCAAGAACGGGGCTTTGCTAACATCCGTCCAGACATGCTTTTTCAGGGCACCCATGGCGGAGCTCGTGGGAAGCCTGATCTAAGTCACGAAGGCCGATACCAGGGGCCTGGCAACCTTGTCAGCAACATATTGTACTTTGGCGTGACCGATGCCTCCGGAATTGCGGTTGCCTCCCATCTACGATTTCTGACTTGCATTCCCCGCTTGGCCCGACCTCCCAGGCGGGCCGCATGCCCGGCGAAGGTGTCAGTTATCAAGAGGTGCGAAGCGAGCTAGTCGTGTCACGATGGCGACCCGGGGATATAGCTGCCTACCCGCGGCCATTGGCTGATGACGGCCGTTGGAACGTGGCATACACCATCACGGCCAGGTCTCACACCGCATATGTCAGCGGCGAAGTAAGGTCTCTCCGCCAGCCATGCCTTGTTCGGCGTATCTTCTGAGCCTGGACTTAACCGGAGTTCCGAATGGGGTACAAAGAATCGCTGTCTAGTGTTAGTGAGAATCAAGCCTGCTTAAGTGCTTAGCAGGTGGCGGATAACCGCGACGAGAGCTTGCAGTCGTTTAATAATCTGAGTGACATCTGATTAGAAACGCCCGTCTCGCGGATCCGGAGTCGGTCGCGAGCATCACGGCGAGGTTATACAGTCGATTCGAGGAGCGCCAGAGTGAGCCGGAGTGACTGTGGAGTTGCAAAGCCAGCCCCCCGCTGTGCGTTTAAAAGTTGACCAGAGTTGTCATGTTTCTCGTAGACCCGTCAACCCGGTGAAGACAAAAGAAAAAAATATGCCTAATCAAAGTCCCAAAAGTCGAATGCAAGTTCCGTCCTGCGCCGGGTTCCAATGCACCGTCCCATATTCGTAATCCCCTCCCCCCCCGCGGCCGACGTTGAAATCGGCGGCCCGCCAAGATTGCTCCCCCCCGTACGCCGAGCTCCGAGGATCCATGCCAATCAAATCGGATCCATATGCAATGCTAAACGTTGTTTGGATGTCATCATCCTCAAACCGTCTTCTTACGAGTCCTCCTCTTCGCGTTCATATCTATGTGACGCGGTACGCACTAAGAAACCCCGGGAGTCAGCACACTGCATCTCATCTCATCCCATCTCATCCGGCAGTCGCAGGAAAGGAGGGCTGTCAAGGGGGAGTTGCTTACTCAATGACGAGGTGCTCACCACGCCAGGCACCGCTAGCCACCCACAGGCCGCAGTTGACAATCTCTGCATAGCGCTTGTCGGCTGTCTTGATAGTGGCAAACATGCGAAAGCCGTAGCGGCGCGGGTCAATGTCCTTGGGGCTGCGCGGGCTGAGGAGCGCATCGAGGACGTCCGACGGGCCCGAGAGGGAGCCGCGTGTACGCATCTCAAGTCTAAGTGTGAGGTTTGGTCAGCGTCGTGGACTCACTAAACCATCATGCAGGGTTGCGGGGTGTAAGAGGGGAGGGCTTCGTACACTGCAGGTATCTCGTCGCTAGTCTGCACAACAAAGGCGCCTTCAACGAGTCTCATGGGTCGGAACCCGCGGGCTTGGCCGAGATCATATCCACCAGCCTATAGAGATAACTCAACTTGGTCAGCCGCAAGACATATACAGAAGGAGAGGCATATGAGATGCCTGTCGCAAACTCGAGGTGTTGCGATAAGGGAACGTACCATAACGCGGCCGTGGCCAAATGAGCCAGACCATACGCCGGCAGCGACCGTTGTGATTTCCTTTGTAGCGCCGGTATCAACACGGGCGGGTTCCTGGTTGAGTCGGACGGCGAGCCGGAAATCGAAGTCGAGGGCGGGCATGGGAAAGGCAAGGCCCGGGCACGGGAAGTGATTAAGAGAGCGCTGGCAGGCTTCTTCGACGGTCCTATAAAATTACCCAAAGAGAAAGTCAGCAAGCCGATGGCTTTAGTGAATGACGGATTCATCTCCCTCAATATGAATATGAAAGTGTTGGAGATGAAGGTTGGGGGTTGACATACTTGCCGGGGCCTTCTCTCATTTCCATCTCGGCTTGTGCGCGGTACAACATGCCACCATCGTTAAAACACCCCGTTCCACTGCTATTTCCACTTGCACTTCCGCTTCCGCTTCCACAGTCGAAAGTAGACGGCGTCCCGATGCCATAATGCGGAAATGCCGAGGGGTGAGGCATGTCCGGCATAACTAGCTTAGTATCCCAGTCGGCGGCCGCGGGCACCTGAGGGACGGCCTGGAACGGCGACGGGAAGCTGGGGTGGGAGTTGGGCATGCATGTCGACTCGGTGACGTCTGTGGGCGCGGTGCTGGTGGGCAGCGACAAGGTGTCGGTCTCGGTGGCCATGTCTTGTTGTTGCGGTGGTGGTGATGTTTGCGAAGCGGATGACGAGAGGGAGCAGACGGAAGTGTGCCGCCCGGTTTCTCTGGAACCCTGGACTTCGACGGGAGAATTACGAGCACATCGAGACCTGGGGGTGGCGTGGCGTAGTTGCTTGATTCTTGTGCTTGCTCTCTGTTTGCGAACCTTGGTGGTCATGGGGTGAATTAAAATCGGTTGGGCGAGGTGAGGCGAACAAGAGGCTGAGTGAGTCGTCGGAGCGGGTTGGTGAGCCGAGGTGTAGATGGGTTTTGTGTGAGCGTCGTCCGGGGGTTGCACGGCGTAGTAGCGATGTCGCAATCCTCAAATCGGGGGAGCCTTTGGAACCAACCACAAGGTGACTCTGCGGCGCTGTAATACTTGAATTCCGGATACCGACGTCACATATAATGGAAAGGATAGAGCAGAGCAGAGCAGACAGGATAGAAGGGCCCGGCGGAGGGGGGGAGCAGGCCAAGGCTGGGTATTTAAAGCGGTTTCCCATCCGGGAATGCCTCGAGCTGCATCCCGCCCAAGCCGACGGAGCAAGGACAGGAGCCCAGGCGCCTGAGGTGTCTAGGTGCTGGTGCTGGCTGCTGCCCTGGGGCGGGTTTTGTCATGCTTGCAAATCTCCGAAGCCATGGAGCACTCTTCGGCCGTGGGGACGGGGGACGGAACTACCTTACAGGTGGCACTGGGTCTAGGCTTGGGCGTGGGCTTGGGCTTGGGCTTGGGTCTCGGCGTACGTTATCCAAACTCAACCAATTCAGCCGTTCGGCGTCTTCTCTCAGCCGCTGGCTTCAGTGGGCTGTACCTAGGCTGTGGGCTGTGGGCTTGCCCTCCAGTGCACACCTCGCGCCGCACCACCACAAAGTCCGAGACGCTCGGTAATCCAAAGAACCCCCCATATCCGCCGTGGGAGGGCACACATAAGCCTGGGCCTAGGCCTGAAGGGCGCCGGTACATCCCTAGTACAGCCTGCCACAGCGCATCTTATTACGCCCTCCGGCCTGCGAGGTGCGCTACTCGCTGCTCGGGTGGAGTTTGCGTGCGCTGCGTCCGGGGTGGTGACGCCCATCTCCCGGTCTATCGGATCCCAGAGCCCTACCAACACGCACCCCAGCACAGGCTTACCAGGATGGCTTTTGATGGATTGGCTGGTGAGTTTTGCCCAGCGGAACTCCGCAGCATCAGCAGCACCCACGGCAGCAAAGTCCCCATCTTCGTTCTGCCTGATGGTGGTGTACCAACTCTCCTCGGTTCGGGCGTCTTGGTTTGGGTGGATAGAGCCTCTCAGCGCGCCCCCAAAACTCTCCGCGGCGCAAAAGCTTCAGCCCCCGGATGTCAACCGACTCAATCGCCGATGGCGCCGGGAGGAGGGCCCACGATGGACCATGGACTTACACCTCCCGCGCATTGGCTCCGGGGTTTACGTACGGAGGCGGCACGCGGCGCATCTTTGTCATTCAGTGAGCGACGCTGCTGTCTCTCGGGCGATGCCCTTACAAATGGGCATGCGACATGATTACGGAGTCAAGGCCAAAGAGACAGGCCTGGGAGAACACACACCCATCCACAAAACACTGGAGCAGGGCGACGACCAACTCCGGCATTGCTGGGATCCTCATGTACCTGCCGGATACAACCCTCCTCTCTCACGTCGCAGGGCACGCACCGTCGAGTTGCATGCAGAATGCAGATGGCAGCCAGCAATCACTCACTCCGCGCCGGCTGCTTTTGCGCGAAAGGTCAGCTCCAAGCTCCCCCCAGCGCGCAAACGCAAAGGCAAACACACAAAACGCCAGGATGCACCTCGCTGGGATTACAGGGCTTAAGTCCGCGTGGGAGCGGGGCCCCCCATCCTGTTCGCCGTCCGGCATCCTCGGACGATTCAGACTCTCCGAGGCCCGGTGCCAGCAACTCGCTTTCGCTGTGTAGCCTGCAACTCAGGTGGCAAGCAGGTTTCGCCTTCGCATTTACTAATTTTTTTGGCCTTCTCACCAGCGGCCGTGATTTGTATTTCCAGCAAGTCGCACTCCGTAATCTCACTCGCGCTCCGAGCGGGGCATCCTCCTGCGGAGTTATTTCCAGGCCGATCGGAGGCTGCTCGACGGGCCTTTCTCGCCGTTCGCTCTCGGGTTCCAGAACACCCTCCGCGCTGGGGTGATCCACCCGCGACCCAAACGAGCAACCACAAGACAACCTCCGGAATCCGATTTCCCACGGCCGAAAGCGCCAGGCACTTAGGTAAGTGTTCCGTCTCTGGAGCAGGTGGTTTGCTACTACGTAGTAAGGCTCTCTCTCCCACTTCCCTTATTCGTCTCCCGTCTCTAGAGTAGGTGGTTTGCCAAGGCTCTCTCTCTCTCTCACACATTTCCCTCATTCGTCGTCTCTCGCCTCTTCGCCTCTCGTCTATCGCAGTTACGTAGCACATGGGAGACATTCCGGGTGGTGGCGCCCGAACCCCCGAGCGCGAACTTCGTTGTGCGGCTGACAAATTGGCGACCCAACCATGACAACGGAACCTAGACAAGTCTGCCCTCGAAATACTGGCCAGTCCCCCGACTAAAAATCCGAGAACCGCTCCCGCACCAGGGGGAGGGACATCGGCCATCATTAGCCCGCATTCTGATAACGTTACGGAGTAGAGGGCACCCTGTTCCATGTAAGTTCCAGCGCGGATGCAGTGCTGCATTTCCCCAAATCTCACGACCTCGTATTGTAGATACCTATACATGTTGGATGCTCCGCGACAGAGAGGGCGACATGTGCTTGCCAACTAAGCTATGTACATGCGCAGTACAGCACACGGAGAGATCTCGATGCAACTGATACCGAGCAGTAGTAGTTCAGTACAGTACATGTGTATGTCCGTAGGGTGGGGGAGGGGCTCCTCTTGAAGCTAGCCCTACAGAACTCCGAGGGAGGGCGTCATGATCTCTCAAGCTTGTCATCGGCTCGTCGTGCCAAGGGCGCTTGTTCCCTTGATCCCTACCCCTTCCCCCTCTCCCATCCCAAGCAGCTTCCTTATCAAGAAACATCGTCAGCCAAACTCTTAGAGACGGTCGTGTCGTCCGTCCCTCCCGGCCGTGGATCGCCACGAGAAGGGCGCGCGCCGTGCAAGTCCCGTATGCGAGTCCGAGCCGCGTCGGAGGGCTGCGCCAGCGTCGGCGAAGACTATTAATATGCCCCGAACACGCGTTGTCTCGCCTCATCGTGTAGCGGCGACAGAGAGCGAGACGTGGCACTCGGCGACATCTCCTCGTACGGTGCGTGGCTGCCCACTGCCGCAATGGCTGTCCGTGATGAATGCCCGTGATGGCTGCCATAAGTTAGCTTCCAGGCCATCATGACACCCGCGCGCGCGGTCATGGGCTAGGAAGCCGGGGTCTGCATGTCACATCGTCCCGTTCCGAACGAGCTCCAAGTCCCCTCCCCCAACATTTTGGTTTTCACATCGAAACATTTCAGCCCGAGCTAGGTAAAACCAGGGCAAGGGCAGAGTTGATTTTGGGCCAAGCGCTGGACGACCGGTTCAAAGATTGACCAAGGCCCCTTTCCCGCGATGGCGGGGGATTCGGGCTTGCTGATCAAGCAGGAATCTGCTCTGTCAGCCAGTAAGGGCTAGTTGATTACGCGCCACCATGAAATACATCAAATTGCACCCTTTTCCGTTATAGTTCAAGGCTGCATATGACAAGGTGGAATTAGTTTCCGTAGTGTCGAACTGAGGGTTGCAATGACTCTCCCTCGCAAAGGGTGAGGCTGGCCTGGATACATCCAAGTTCAGTGGACAAGGAAGTGAGCGGGAATCAGCAGCTCCGGTTCGGAGTCTGTTTCAGCCCACCTCGATCTCCGTCAATTATACTCACTATTCCACCATCACTTTCTAATTTTGGCACAAGTAATAGTTTCTGGGCTTTGAAAAGGAAACGAGTGTGAAAATGTGGTGTGGCGTTCTGCTACCCTTTAGCCGTAACATGTCTCTCACACAAGACACTCTCCGCAACATGACAGCCAAGAAGGCTTGTTTTGAGACCGGTTTAGTGGCCAATGTATGATACCTCATTCCACACAGTATTTCGCATACAGTTGAATTTGCCGTAATGCGGCGAGAGCCACTGGTCCAAGTCCTGAATTAAACGATTGTCCACAGACGGAAAGCATCGCGGAGAGCTCCGGTGAGTTGTGTCAAGGAGAGGCACCACGTTCCCAAGGAAGCTTGTGTTTCTGAGACTAGGCGAGGCCTGTGCACCAGTTGCGAAACGCAAACTGGACTTGCAAGTCATGCAAACTAAACGCTTTTCCCGACAAGCATATCCCAGAACCTGTCAATTAACTCAAGAAGTCATGACCAAAATGAGAAGCTGGACGCAATGTCGGCAGAGACGGGCTCGAGTCCATAACCTTGGGCAACTCTGTCTTTGCTACCCTGAGCAGGCTCGCCACCATAAAATTTCGACAACTGACGAGAATTGGATGGCTTCATGAGCAATTGACAGTTCCTCGCCAGGCAAGCGTGAAATTTCCTGGCCCGCTGCGTCATTGCGCCTCTTCGTATGACGAAATGGAGGACCCGCGTATCCTTTGGCCGTTCAGGAGTATCACGGACCCCTTTTTACGGTGGAGCCGAGGGCCCGCTCCCGACTGTGGTACTTGGCACCATGTACTTCCCTACTTCGTATATAGTACAGCATCGTATAGGAAAGGAATTGTCGGCCAATTCTGATTACGGCGTCGGGTGCCGACACCCTCTTTCCGTGGCCTCGTATCTCCACGCGAGAGTCGGATTCCCCGCCTTGAAGTACGTCTTCGGGCGTAGACCTTGGGTGTCAGAGGGAGTAAATGCCTGCGCGCGCGGCGGCAATCTGACTGATGCTGTGTGGGACGGGAACGCTGAAACAAGCGGCGACGCTCAATCTATCTGAAAGTCTAGAGGAAAATCCAAAGCAATCCGTCCGAGAAGCGAACAAGGGGGGCCCTGGCCATCCCATCGCCCAGCGGTGTGTCAAATCCATCCAATCCCCGGTGGCTAGCCTCATGCCGTTGTCTTCAACGCGGGATTGCCCTGGGTTCTAGCTTCGGCCTGGCTTTGGGTTGTGGGTTCTTTGTCTCGACCTTGTCTTGGGTTGCACATGAAGACTGAATCTGCAATGGATTGTCGAAACTCGCGTGCAACAGGGTTGTTCTGATTCGCCACCTCTTTCCCTTCTGGTGGCCTGCACCGGACTGAACTGTGCTCCATCCTCCGTGCAGCTTCCCCATGAGCGGAGGATGGTATTCGTGTGCGTCCGCGTCAGCTTTGTTGGTGGGTTGTTAGATTCGGAGCTTCGATGTGGCTGTATCTTGTTAATAGACTTCCATCCACGTCATATGCCTCGAGTACCGTGATCAATGACGCTCTGGTTTGGAGTACGAGCTCCCAGTGGCAATGGTAAATTGGCCTAGACAGAAAACAACTTCTGCAGCAGACCGAGATGGCATCATTCTTGTCTTCAGTGCCATCACACTGACTTCCTTATCTGGGCTAGTAGTTGGTCTGAAACTAAGACACAGAGCCAGTAACGAATGGCTGTCGAGGAGTTGGAAAACGGACCGGGCTCGGGCGCCAGTTGGCGACATTGCTTATCCCTTCCTTTCTGATTGCCCATTCTCTGCTAATTCTTCCGTCCCTGGTCGATATCCGGCACCGTGCTCCCTGAGTCCATGGCGATTTGCGCAGGTTAGGTTTGGTGTCTTGGGGCTGTGGCTCTGGCGGTTCTTGTTCTGCCCCACGTCCCCACCGTCGAGACCAGGGTCGCATGTCGTCGCTGGGCCCATCTCCCTTTCGTCGACGACAGTTGGGTGGTTCGTAGACGTCGAGGTACTCCAGGTTCGGCAGCATGCGTGTACTATCCCAATTACGCAGCGCAGTAGGTCCTCCAGTCACCGTCGTCCATCGCCCATCGTTCAACGCCTGTCGACCCGCGGCGGCATGTGCCACAGCGGCCTCTGCGCCCGATCTACAGCGCAGTACATCCCCTAGAAGTGCCTCCCTAACCGGATCCCCCACTCCCCGAAAGGGGCTCCCTCCTGTCGCTGCGAGGCATGTTCGGCAGGCTACCGACTGGGACTCTTTCAAGCTCGGTGCTGTGTCCACCAACCACGTCTCAGGGGTATCTTCAGATTCAGGGTACCTGAGATAGAGGTACCAGATAGCCCCGGACCCTTGGTCCCCTCGATCCATCGTAACTCTGTGGTCTGGGCCTCCACGTCACTTTCACTCGTCGCTCGTGCCGTCCATAGCTCCTTCCACGTATCATTTCTCCTCATATACCTACCTACCAGTCCCGCGACTCGCACGTTGTGGCGTTGGCGTCTTGTTCGCTCAGCCCAACACAGCCAATCTTTTCCTTCCATCTCCTCGTCATCCTCTTTATTCACCCAAGTCCCTTCAGCAGCTCCCTCCCTACTGCGAGTAGTGCGAATAGTGCGAATAGTGCGCACCTGAGTCGATAGCCGCTCGCGCCTTCTGCAATCAGCGTCAAGGAATCAACCCTCACCACTTCCCCTTGCTGGCTTGGCGGATCCTTAGCGAAAACTCCAACGTCGAAAGCGGTGCCACATCCTGCAGCTCCAGAGATTGCGCGCGACCTCATTTTGCCTAGGGTGCAACCGCTGCTGGGGCTCTGTGCTAGAACCGCTGCTAGAACAGTCCCTGTGCTGCGCCAGGGCCAGGTTGTATCCAATTGCGGATCCCCTACAAGACTCCCCTTCCCGCCGCGACGCAACCACCAGGGACTTTTTTTGTTGCATCTTCATTCTTTGCCCGTTGTCGTCGTCGTCGCCTCGCTTCTTCCCCTCGTTCCTCCCGACCGCCCTCTCTTCTCGATGCGCCTCTGGACCTTCACCTAGTGTTTCTCCTCCTCCGCTGCTGACGGCATCTCCCCTGTGACGGGCATCCACTCCTTTAACTATACGAGAGCACCCTCAGCACCGCCGAATTTCGTCGCTACCCGTCGCCTGTCATGCTCAATTCTCGGCGCGCCATCGTGGCCGCCATATTCATCCTCACTTTCTTCTTCCTCCTCTCGAGATCGCACGAGTCTCCCTCAGCTCCCTCGACCCCTCATGCCGCCGCCTCCAACAATGACGCTCCTGCCTCGAACCCCGATTCTACAACCCCCAAGCCTGCGGAACCTAAGGAGATGGAGGTGAAGCCGCGACGCATGAGGCCCCGCATTGACATGTCGGACATGTCCACCGACGGCAAGCTCGCCTACGCATACCCCTACGATGTCGAGTCCAAGTTCCCGGCCTACATTTGGCAGACTTGGAAGTACAGCCCCGACGATCCCAACTTCAAGTTCCGTGACGAGGAGGCGTCCTGGACTGACGAGCACCCGGGCTTCGTCCACGAGGTCATCACTGATGATGTCGCTGTCAACTTGCTTCGCCTTCTCTACGCCTCGATCCCTGAGGTGCTTGAGGCCTACAACGCCATGCCCCTGCCTGTCCTCAAAGCCGACTTCTTCCGCTACCTCATTCTCTTTGCTCGTGGTGGTATCTACTCAGATATCGACACATTCGCCATCCAGAGCGCATTCAAATGGATCCCAGAGGAGGTTCCCCGAGAAACCGTTGGTCTTGTCATTGGCATCGAGGCTGACCCTGACCGCCCTGACTGGGCAGACTGGTACAGCCGTCGCATCCAATTTTGTCAGTGGACCATCCAGAGTAAACCTGGACACCCCGTCCTGCGCGATATCATCGGCCGCATTACCAACAAGACGCTCGCCTGGAAGAGCGCGGGCAAGCTCGAAAAATTCCAAGGCAACGATGTGGTGGAGTTCACAGGTCCGGCCCTGTGGACAGATACCGTCATGGACTATTTGAATGACGGGCGCTACTTCGATGTCAGCGCAAGCAAGGAAAAGATTGATTATCGCCAATTCACGGGCATGGTGACGAGCAAGCGGGTGGGCGACGTTGTGGTCCTGCCCATCACAAGCTTCTCTCCAGGTGTGGGACAGATGGGCGCCAAAGAGCCCGATGATCCCATGGCCTTCGTGAAGCATGACTTTGAAGGTAAGCAGATGCTCAGAACAAGGGCGTTTGCGGACAGGGCTGACTACTTCATTACAGGTACATGGAAACCCGAGAGTGAGCGACACATGGGCGAGCAGCAGGAGGAGACCGTACAACCGCCAAAGCAGCAGGTCATTCAGCAATAACCTCAAGCCCCCGGCTAACAACAATACCAATACACCATTACCGACGAGACTTAATGCTCCACGACGACCTACCTAAGATACGCTTCTCAACATTGTATATTTCAGTTGCTACTCTATTCTAATGGCATCCTTCAATGCCTGTTTTGGGCTGGTTTCCACTTTATGTGGCTTCCCTTCGAGCCTGTTCTACCTACAACGATTGCATTGCAGAGGAAGCGCAAAAAAATTGGGGGCAAAGGGGACTAGACTTGATTTCTTTTTTTTTTCCTCCGTTGGAGTGTGTACCTGTGTTTTTGGGATAGATTTTGGACTTTTTCTACTTCTCGTTTGAGTTGCCATCATCGATGTTCTTTCTAGGGCTGTTTGCAGTTCCTGAGGTGTTGTAAGGGGCAAGAATTTCATGGAGTAGGAGTACGATGACTACTTTGACGGACATGGCCGATTCGCTCGGCTAATGCATATATTTATGTCATGAGCAAACGCGAGGAGTCGAGGTGGCGGACATGACGGAGATAGATCCGTCAACAGCATGGGCTCGGCCTTGAAGGAGACGAGCTGCTGCTGCACTGTCGCGATATGGTTCCAGGGAAGGGATTTTAGACAGTGCCCAAGAGGCACCTCATCAATCAGAACCGGCTATGAGCGAGCAAGTTGCCCACTAATATTCTTGACAACTTGTAGTATCCATCATTCTTGAAGGGCAATGTCATGCGCATGATGGCCATCTAGCCATCGACCAACCAGATGGCCTTAGCTTTGTTACCCCTTGTCAAGGTTACGTCCGTCCACCCGTGTCAAGGACATTTTATCTTTCAATTTATTTTACGATAGAAACTGAACTGTTACAGAATTTAAGACGGATATACGGAGGGCTCTTTCAAAAGTCTTATCTAAGCGCTAGTAAATTATATCTATTTATCCCTGTCGGTTACCTGAGATATATAAAGCTGTTACAGTCTCGTTAAATGGCTGCTGTAACTTCAGGAGTAGTACGCTGCTGATCAGGATATAGCAGTTGCTGTATACTATAGCCTGCTATTCTTTAGAGCCTATAGAAATCAGGAAGTACTTAGTGTACTTATTATCTAACCTAATGATTAGGACTTACTTCTTATAGATAAGACTTTTAAAAGGGCCCTCCGTACAGACCAGGTAAATTATCTCATATTGGACTCGGGTGTAAAAAATTTGTCCTTACATGTCATTAGTATTTTGAATATGTGCGAATAACAATACTCTTCCTTATTCAGGTTGGTTGGCTCAATTCAGTTCAACCGCCCAACTTGGCTTCGCGATTTCTGCTGCAACCCCGCATTTTCCCCAGATTTGGCACGCATGCGCCTCGCTCTCGGCCCCATTCATTGGGCGAACAGCTGAGGGGAAAGGAACTTGGGTTACGGTTCCGCGCCCCGTCCCCCGTCTGTCCCGCATGCATGCCGCTCAAGTGGAGAGGGGAAAGGGAGCGGAGGCACGGCTATCATTGGCGATGGTAGCCGAGGCGAAGGGGGGAAGCAGTGATGATGTTGGTTCAGAGCTGGGGCAACTGTTTGTTCTTCGCAAAGGACGGACGAGAGACGGGACATCAGCCGCCAGACGCGAAGTGCGAGTGAGACATAGTGTCCGCATACATCAGCAACTAATCGATTGGCACGCCGAGACTGAGTGTGAGCTCCATCATCTCACGGCGACAGAGCTATCAGTCGAGAGAGAAATCGGCCACATCTTCAACTCAGCCGCCGGACCCAGCCAGAGTTTACTCCCGTCAATGCGGGCACAACGGCGACAATGATAACGATGCGAGGACTGGCCAGACGCAGTCTTGCGAGCGGGGCGGCGAGCGGGAGGAGGACGTTGCAGCAGCGACGGGCAATCGCCACCGCAGGGTTGAGCCTTCGATGGGGTCCTGAAGAGGTACGTGTTGGCTGGCTTCTTTTCAGTTTGTTGGTTTGCGCGTACATGTCATGATGGGAATGGGGAGGCGGATACACGGGCAAGTGTCCGTGGCTGGGGATGGTGTCCTTCTCTTCAAGCAATGGCGACGACAGCTTTGGGGTCAATGAGGAGATTGACATGCTGGATGAGTCCTCTGTCATCTGTTGGCGTCAACGCAAGTCACGTCATCATCTCATGATACTACACATCACTAACACCCACTCTCTCAGCCCGCCCTGTACACCGGCACCATCCCTCAGCACTTCTCCTCCATCGTCTCCTCCCACGGCGACCGCCCAGCCGTCATTGCCCGCTCCCCATCATCGCCGCCACTCTCCATCTCCTCCGCCGAAACATCGCTCTCGTACTATGCCCTCGACCTGCTCTCCAACCGGCTCGCCGCGTCGCTCGCTTCTCTCGGCGTCCGCAAGGGCGACAGGGTCGCCGTCTCGCTCGGCAACACACCCGACTTCGCCGCCCTCACCTACGCCATCTTCAAGCTCGGCGCCGTCCTCGTGCCCCTGAACCCGGGCTTCAACGACCGCCAGGTCGCTGCTGCGCTGCAGCACCTCGCCGTCGAGGTTCTGATCATCGGGGCTGTTACGGATCTGGCGTACCGGCCTGGCAAGGGGAGATGCAACCAGCCTCTGCTCGAGAGCATAGTTGGCGATCTCGACGCTTCATCCATCCAAAGCGAGACTGTCCCCTCACTAAAGAAGGTCATCGTCGTGGATAACCGTGCCAGCCACCCTGATATCAACTTCAACCTCGAGGGTTGCCGCGCCCTGACGCCCTCCACCATCCTCCTCGAGGGCTCTGACCGTCCTGTCACGCCGGATGAGCCCCTGGACCCAAACGAAACCGTCAATATCCAGTTCACCTCCGGGACTACGTCAACACCCAAAGCCGCCATGCTCTCCCACCGCTCCATCCTCAACAACGGCGCCCTGATCGCAAACCGCATGGGTCTCGTGCCGCAAGACCGCATCGTCGTGCCGCCGCCCCTGTTCCACTGCTTCGGCAGCGTCCTGGGCTACATGGCAACGGCCACCACGGGTGCGGCCATCCTCTTCCCTAGCCCGGCCTTCGACCCCGTCGCCACGCTGCGCATGTGCGTCGACCACGATGCCACGGGCCTCTACGGCGTGAGCACCATGTTAGTTGCAGTCCTCGAGGCGCTCGACTCAGGCGAGGTGGTGGACTCGGCGCCCAAGAACCTCACCAAGGGCATCGTCGCCGGCAGCAGCGTCCCCGAGTCGCTCATGCGCACCCTCTACGCCCGGCTCGGCCTCGGCGACGTCGTCATCTGCTACGGCATGACCGAGACCAGCCCCGTCAGCTGCATGACGTCGCCTTCGGATCCGCTGGCCAAGCGCACCGCCAGCGTCGGCGTCCCGATGCCGCATACCGGCGTCAAGGTCGTCGACCCGCACGACCGGAGCCGCGTCCTTCCCCTCGGCGAGCGGGGCGAGCTCGCAGCCGCGGGATACCTCGTCATGAAGGGCTACTACGGGGACGAGGCGCGCACGGCCGAGGTGCGGCTGGCGGACCCCGAAGACGGCACGGTGTGGATGTACTCGGGCGACGAGGCCGAGATGGACAAGGACGGCTACGTGCAAATCACCGGCCGCATCAAAGACCTGATTATCCGCGGCGGCGAGAACATCCACCCCCTCGAGGTGGAGGACTGTCTGATGACGCACGTGGGCGTGCGCGAAGCCAGTGTCGTCGGCGTCCCAGACGAGCGGCTGGGCGAGGCCGTCGCCGCCTTCGTGATCCCAGCGCGGGGGTGGAAGCCGAGCGACGACGAGGCGGCGACGGTCGAAGAAAGCGAGCAGCAGCACACGCTCACTCCCGAGACGGTGCGGTCGTGGGTGGCGACGCGGTTGTCGAAGCACCTGGTGCCCAAGTACGTCTTCTGGGCCGACGAATATCCCAAGACGGCGAGCGGCAAGATCCAGAAGTTCAAGCTGCGAGACACAGCGCGGGAGACGCTCGGGTTGGAAGAGACAAAGTGAAGGACATGTGACTCGGTAAGGAAGAGCAGGGTAAACGATGAATGAATCTTATTGATGTAGATGGCGTCTTCAGGGGTTGTATGTCCCCGTCTCATGTCTATAGGGAAACCACATAGCAAGTCAAGACAAGATATCTGTACAAAACCCCAGGTCCAAAATGCACCCCAAAACACGCAAGCAAACTTTTTTATGTTCTCTCTGCTAGGGCCGTCATCGTCTATAGGACGTATGCTGTTGCTCAGTTCATGCGAGGTGCCTGACCCCATCCATCTGTTCGCGCTCCAGCTCTGGAAGAAAAACCCAAAAATCATCAAGGGAGCGCTCCAACACCGGGTTACGGGTCCAGAGCACATGGATGTGTCAAAAACAAAAACAAGAAACAAGAAACGACAAGACCGCATCATGGGGCGAGTCTGGCGTGAAATGGCAACATGGCCCCGTATAACTCCCCGTCTCAAGTCGTTTAATCAACCTGCTTCTCGCAACCAATGCGACCCAGCAACTCCTTGCGATCGCTATGTCCCGGCAGACTGACTCCAGAGCTGCTAGCCTGCTTCCTGAGGCCGTGACGACGCTCCCAGTTCCGAAGGTCAAGATCCTCGACGCCGACCTCCTCCTCGAGGGGCTGAGCTTCCTCGTAAATGAATTCGTCTTCTTCTTCTCCCTCATCCTCCTCGCCGTCACTCCGGACATCATCAGAGACACCCCCCTTGAGGACTTTGATCACAACACGAATAATCATGGTGAACCAGATGAGGGTGAGGACCTGGAGGAATAGGAGGGGCGCTAGGAAGGTCCACTTGACGGTATCATTGAAGCAGAGCAGGCCGCTGGTGTCCATGAAAGGCTGAAGCATGTACGAGTGTCCAGGAGGCGTGTCAAAAGGTCCGACCCTATTCTCATTGTCGCCGTGGAAACAGACGTTGCCTGTGATTTTGGTCGACTGTGCATAGACAGACCAGCAGGCCGTCAAGTACAGAACGTGCCGACAAACAAACCATGAGACGACGAAAAGGCCAAACATGGCGTCGCAAAGCGTCTGGAATCCGCAGTACTTTAAACATTTGGCGAGCTGTGTATATATGAGCATGGTTCTTCCACACAGGACTGTTGGGAGCGGTGCCACTTACCGGTAGGATCAAATCACCCAGATCCATGATTACCAGTATGAAGTTGCCGATGCGGGTATGGCCGTAGCAGTAGCACGCCCAGATGAGGGCTGTGGTGACGAAATGGTGAGTGAGCATCTGCCAATGGTCCTTACGACGCTCTTCAATATGGATAACAATGAGTTGCTGCAGCCAGAATGCCCACTGGACCAGCAAGTAGCTCTTCATGAGACCACCGAGCTCGCGGTTGGGCCAGCTGGTCCAGAGCTCCGTCATATTCAACCAGTACGGCGAATTGTAGTAGATGTACTGTTCTCAATGTCAGCGGTGCGCTCTCGATGCTCGCGATTCACTTTTGAGGACTGACCATTCCCAGGGGCCAGAAGACAGTGTAGAGAGCAGTGAGCCAAGCTTGCTCGCTAAAGCGGGTCAAGGCTTTCCTCTTAGTGATGCCCTGAAGCTTGGCGAGAGGCGCAAGCAGGTACTCCATGGTGGCGGCGCGGAGGCCGGTGAAGGCAACAATGCCGAAGACGAGAAAATAACCATCGTCGAAACCGATGCCGTACTCGCCGGACAGGGGGTTGTAATAGCTAAGTTGGAAGAATTTGGTGGTGTGAATCCTAGCCCTGGGGATGAAGCTGTGGGCGAGGAAGAGAAGCGCGACGAGGTTGAAGGAGAGGCCTAAAAACAGGGGGTTCCTTGGTTAGCACAGCTTGGCGACCAGATAATACAGCGGCGCATCACATAACAGATGCCGACTCAGATAAGGACGGACAGGGCAATGGGACGGATGCGCAAGCGGAGCGAGAGAAGAGGGGACGTCGTGCCAGCAATCGGCGGTGTCTGGAAAGTCTCGGAGGATGCGCAGGGGTTCGGATGCAGCTATGCCACGCGGGGTGATTGGAGAGCGGGATTCATCCGCCTCTGAGTCCGCATCCGTATCCGCATCCACACCCACAGCACGCATCTCACAGGTGTGAGAGGGGGGGGGGCTGGAGGTACAGCCGGGTAGGACTCGGCGGCATGGGGATGGAGAGATTGGGGGATTGGGGATTGGGGACTGGGAATGAACGGGATCAAGTAGACGTACCAATCTGGTTCTCGACAAACCAGCGGGTGAGGTGTTTCCAGGTGCTCTCGTCCTTTCGCTTCAATCGCCGGACAAGAACCACGCTATTGCCTGAGGTCTGCATGTAGAGGGGGCCGTTCATGTTGGGCGTGCTGTGGCCCGATTTGAGTCGCGGGCGCGGGGCGGCGACGTATGTCGTTTTGATCTTGGAGTTTCCGTCGCCGTTTTGGCCGTTGGCGGACCCAATGGCCGTTGCATTGGCTTTTGGGCTTGCGGGAGCTGTAGCTGTAGGTGTAGCTGGTCGGGGTGCATTTCCAATTGCATGGTCATTGGCGGGGGAGGAGACCGTGTCGTCGACCTGCGACGGCGCAGGGGAGCCCGAGGCGCTCATGGTTGAGTCGCTGGGGGAATACGGAGGAGGGAGGAGGGATTCGCAGTGTTGAGATGAGGAATTTCGGGTGCCTTGTCGTGTGTATCGTGCCGTCTCGTTAATTTGGACTTTTCGCCAGTTGTCTCGCTCAACAGGTAGTTGTGGCTAAAAGGTTGGGGGGTGGCGGGAGGAGGGAGAGCGAGCGAGCGATTGCCAACTGGCAAGAGAGAGACCCGGGAGAGCAAGCAGCGACAGCTCCAGATCTCGTACAGCCACCAAAAAAATAATAGGAGGGGTGGAAGATGACAGATGGGAGAACGAGTACGACTCCCTCAATGGCTTTTTCCTGGTGGTTGGGGTTGTCGACGGCGGGAGGCGGTCGCCAGGCTGCCAGCGATCTCGATGAGCTGTGGATGTCGAAGAAGCAAGAGTGCTTCAGGTGAAAGCCTGAGGTGAGAGCCCGCTGGTGGGGAAGAGAGCCAACCCTCGAGACTCGCAACAAACGAGAGAGGGATCTCGCAAAAGGCCAGAGCACGCAGAGGAGGGGCAGGAAGTGACGAGCAAAGAGGGAGGGAAGAGTAAATACGTCGGCAGTAATTATTTAGCAGCCACTGCTACAAAAGGGAAACGGGAACCCGATGAATTTTGAGAATCCCCGATCTGAATTGGCTCGACAGATCCATGTGCCAAGCCCCGTCGGGGGGGGACCCGGGGGAGTAAGGACGACGCCTGGAGCCAGAACACGCCCCACTACGGGCAAATCCCCAAGGCGGTGAGCAGGGCCCTGGAAAGGCCCGTGGCCCCGGGTGTGTGGGTGCAGCAAGAGCAGCAAGAGCGCAGTGCGCAGTGCACACCACGCATCCAGAACCTGTCGGCACACTGGCCTGAAGCCCTGAAGCCCTCCTGGGAACTGGGAAACATTTCAAGTGTGCTGCGCGCTGTGGAGCGCTGTGGGGAGTGGGAGGGGCCGGAAGGGGGGGTGTACCAGTCCCGGACAGGACGCCAGGCCCAAGGAGACTGGCCAGACTGCCAATTGGGGGTCTCCCAGTGGTCCTCCAGTGGGATTTTGTCGAATTGGTGGCTCCCCAATGGAACCAAGGAACGGTCCTTTGGGCAGGGTCTCGACGTCGCGCATCTGGGCTTTTCTGGTGCCATCCAGATTACAGGTGGCTGTTGAGCGGCGGCAGATGGCCCCCGGTAGCCCCCTCTCTTGGTGGCCCTCCCCTGTCTTCCCCTCCTCCAGGGCCTCCACTACGGAGCACCTCCACCATCCAGCTCTCCCTGCTTGCGACTTCTTTCATCTTCACTCTCCCTGCCGAGCATCGTGCGCCAGTCCAGGCCGCTCGCCTAAGGCATTCCTAGGAAGCGTGGGAGGGGGACTTTTTGGCTCCCGCACCCTAATCTGCACCACCGCGCCGGAGCGTCTGCAGGTAGCGGCTTTGTCCTGGTTGGTCGTTCTGCGTTTAGCTCCCCCGGCTGGCAGACGGCGCCCATCCCATCCAGCCACCAGGTACAGTGGCGTGCTAATATGGTACGGAGTACATACCGGCTCCCATGCCTTCATGACACCAAATCCAAAACGTTGAGGACCCAGAGGCATGTCGACCCTCTCCTCCTTGGCTAGTAGCTACCCCCCTTCCCTGCGGTCCCTGACCCCTTGTCCCTTGTCCCCTCGTGCTCAAGTCGGGTTGTTTTTAGCTGAGGCACGCCGCCCACGAGCAGCAAGCACCCAGCACGGTCCCCTCCGCAGCCCCCAGCAGCACGCACACCTTTGAGGGACTCCCCTCTTTGTTTACTAGAGTTCGCAATCCAATGTATCCCTCACACCCAAGCTTACCGGCATACCTAATCTGCGGTACTTTTCCATCCAGGCAGCGTAGCATTTGGAGCAGCTCTTTTCTTCCTACGTAGTCCCGCGTGGTTCCAGAAGCCTTTAAACTTCCATGCTGGCCGTTTAGCTATTCCCTGGACCCCTAAAGAGCGGCTTTGACAGTTGGCGGGTGGCGGCACACGGCCGAAACCCTAATATCCATCCTTCACCCGCCCGGAACCGCAACAGCGAGAGAGGATGGAAGAGAAAATCGACTGGAAAAGATGTTTACCTTGATCCCAGCAAAACATCCAAGCGAGGTATCGGACCCGGTGCACATGGCCAGACATGCGCAAGGGCCTAGCATTCGCCCTCTGGTTCCCAATCGCCAAGGGTAGGCAGTCTGTCCCGGACTGCTGCATCTCATCTGCGCTTGTTTGGGCCATGCTCCGTCGACTGCCGCTACTGATTTCGTGCCTCGGCCGGGCTGCCCTGCGGCATGGGGGCTGGTTTGGTGAGGTGCCCTGTGAGCGCGCTGTAGCTGCCCTGTGGCCTGGCGACGGGTGACGAGCTGGGCATTTCCGCGCTTCTGGTTGGCTGGCTAGCCCTGCTTTCGCTGCATCCTCGCTTCCCTCAAAGAGACGAATTCCCGGCCCGCCTGTATCCTCCATTCTTCATTCTCCGTGCCCTGTGCTCCGTGCGACGGCCATGCTGTAATTATTCGCAGATCCTCAACAAAGTCCGTCAAATGTCTTACAACAAACCCCGTGGTCAGAGCTTCCAGAGCCGCCCTCATTTCTTTCGTCTGGTCCATGTGCTACAACGTCCAGGACATCAACATTTGGTTCAGCCAACCACCACTACCCTCCTTCCCCCTTTGTCGTGACCTGCCTACCCCCTCACGCCTCACATCCGTCCTCGGGTGCGTCCAGTCCTCCTGTAGGTCCGTATATCAACCGGATGATATCGCTACATATCCGCCTGTCGCATCGCGCATACGGCGCTCCGCGTGTATAAGACGCCACGTCGGCCACTCATCACATCTCGAAAATAATCCCAGCCTCCCGGCTGCCGTCCAAGCACTTTGCATACACCATAACCTATCATACCTTATCAGCCATCCCCGTGGATTCTCGTCCCCGGGTCCATCCACCGCCAAACTGACAGTGTTCTGATCACATCGCCCCTCACTTTCCGACATACATCATATCATGCGCATGGCTGGATGTGACAAGCTGTCCAATTGATCGAACCGGAGCTAAACATTGCACACACACATCTTGAACTGCGTATTCACCCTTCTATGAATAGACATCATAATCCCGGGAAATAATGATAGCTCGGAGTGTCGGTGGAACCAGAAATTGCGTACCCTCCCAAGCACGTAAACTACGCTACTGCGTGCCGGGCATGTGTTCCCCACCTCTGTCGGGTGCGGTATGCTATACGAAAACTGCCCGCCGTGACGCCCCTGCCCAGAATAGGACGCGGTGAGAGCATACAAGCCTAATACTGAGGAGCCTCCACGTTTGTAGTATTTATCTAGAACTGAAGATTGTCTTGAGAACCAAACGCATCTGATGCACCGTTTCGCATTCCTGATGCTGCCCCTCCTACCCTAGACACCGGGGCTGGCTGTGTGGGCAAGGAAGCCTGGTTCGGCTCTAGTGCCCTCACATCAGCAACCAGTCTTTGCGACAAAGTTGTGGAGGGCAATTATTTAAATGGTTTACTCCAAGTCAAGAATCCGTATCATGGCAGTGCCAGATTCAGAGCAAATAAAGCCCCTAGCTGCCTGTAAATACACAGCGAAGCGTACGAAGGCTGGCGCAGGAAGTTTGGCAACTTTCCAAGGTATAGGTACACAGCGGCCTACAGTACAAGTGCAATACAGAGTGTAGGCGGTGTCTTTCAATACCTAACCAGCCCCTCAGACCTTTTATTATTTAGTCCTTGGGGTAATGTACTCAAGTTTCATTCTTATTTTTAAAAGCAAGGGATTACTGCTACTGCTTGCCTTAGGTAGTTGATCGATTGCAGATTATACTGTGGGGGCTGTCCTGATACCATTTGAAGTCGTCAAACTTCCTGCGGCAGCCTTCGTACTATAGATGAAGCTTCCCTCAATCAATGAGCTCCTGCACACGTCGCAACGCCCCAATGTAGGCACCTCCCCCCCAAGCTAGCGCCACAACCCGCACCGCCACACAGTGCTTATCTACCTGTAACACCTGCCTAGCGCCACAATCAACTCCGCCCTCCCACATGACCTCCAAGCGCTCATTCGGCCAGGCGTCATTACCCATTACCCATCGCCTCACATCGCCGACGTCCTCACGCTCTACACAACATCGCTCCCACCATCATCACATCACAACTAGCCCAACTGCGTCCCACCCAGAACCTGAGCGAACCTCACCGTTGCAGCAATGGCTTCCACCGCAAAGTACCAGCCTGCGCCCCAGCAGGAGCCTGATGACGACTTCACCAGCGCGCCCCCCGCATACGGCTCCTCCTCCCGCGACGAGGGCCTCTTTGGCGCTCCGCGCGACAGCGAAGACAACATCCCCGATGACTTCAAGGTGAGCAGAAGGATGGCCCTGCTAGGCGCCGTGGATTGCGAAACCTACCTCCGGATAGATGGAAATTTGGGTATGATGGCTAACACGCCCTTTGTAGTTTGGTGGTTCCGTGGCCGAGGCTACCGTCGACATCCGCAACCAGTTCGTCCGCAAGGTCTATACCATCCTGACCGTCCAGCTTCTCGCCACAGCCGGCGTGAGCTCCCTCACTTTCTTCAGCACCGGATACAAGGAATGGATTCAGAGCCACCCCGGCGTCGTTTGGATTTCGGTATGTTGTTCTGGTTCACCACCACCCATCTCGCGGAGACGGCGGTTAAGCGAGACCGAGGGGTTATCCAAAAGAGTAAAGTGCTAACACAAGCCACAGCTCATCGGCGCCATGGTCTTCATGGGCCTGACCTACTGGAAGCGCAAGTCGTACCCTACCAACCTTCTCTTCCTGTCCCTGTTCACCCTCGCCGAAGCCTACACGATATCCGTCATAGTGTCATTCTACAAGACCGAAATCGTTCTCAACGCTGTCATCATCACCGCCGGTATCTTCGTCTTCCTCACTGCCTTCGCCTGCCAGTCCAAGTACGACTTCACCTCATGGATGCCCTACCTATTCGGTGCCCTGTGGGGTCTAGTCCTCTTCAGCTTCATGGCCATGTTCTTCCCCTACAACTCGACCGCCGAGCTCATCTACGGAGGTGCTGCCGCCCTCATCTTCAGCGGCTACATTCTGGTCGACACGCAGCTCATCATGCGTCACCACCACGTCGAGGAGGAAATTGCTGCCGCCATCAGCCTGTACCTCGACATCATCAACCTCTTCCTCGCCATCCTGCGCATCCTCAACAGCCAGTCCAACAACTAAGCTATGCGCAACATGAATGAAAATGGTGAGTGTATGTGAATACGTGTGCGACGTGTGCGACGGAGTGGGAGATTGCTCTAGTGATGGAGTTTCCTAAGTCAAGATTTCCTTGTGTCTCTTCTAGTGGAGGACCTGTTGTTTCGGGTAGTCTGTTAATTTCCACGACACCCATTTCGTTGCCCGAGTAAGAGATGGGAAGCTGCATGGGTTACATGGTTAGGCGTTCAAATTGTAGTTCTCATCCACTTCTCGTTTTTACAGACAGCTCGTTTAGTAAGATAGTGCGACCGTTAAGCGTGCTAAGTTCCCAACCACGCTTCATTCTGTGAGACATGCACGCGCCCAAGTACCTGTGGCATATTTAACAACGCTCAAGCACACCCAAGCACTGACTACGCTTATCTTTCAGGTCCAGATCAAATCATGGGAGGATTAAGAAGTATCGAATTGATTTGATATCAGCATTAGAAGGCGACTAGAGAAACAGGAAAAAAACCAAGGAGGGGTGGTCTTTGAGAAAATGGATGCCCAAACAGCTAACAAGATCCGCTGACTTGGCTGGCGGAGAAGCACATAAAACAAGACAAGGTCCTCAGGTCGCCAGGGCGTCAACGGCATTGCATTGAATGGTCGTCTCCATTCCTCTGAGATTCTCCTCTCCTTGCCCGGCTGCATCCTCCGCAATGTCCACGTAAATAAACCCCCTCGCTAATGGCCGTCCTCCGTCATGCTTCCACGGGTGGCCCCAGGGGTGGTATCTCTACCGTCATATCAAAATCGTGGGCAGCTTTTGGTGGGTGTAGCAGGGCGGTTGAAGAAAATAGAAACGACAACTCTCAGTTTCGCAGCAGCAGGGGGAATATTCTCATCTTCTTTCTCTTTAGTCGTGGGAGAGGAAAAACCAACGCCAGCAATAGACAATAGTCCAACGTCGCACTTTTTGGAGTACCGCGGAAAGAACCAATATGTGATGTATGATGGGTCTAGTTGGTCTCCTCGCCGTTGGCCTCGGCCGCCGGGGGGTTGGCCTGGGCAGCCTGCTCTCGTTGCATGCGAGCTTCGATCTCGCGAAGCTGGGACTCGCGAGCCAAGAGCTCCTGTCGCTTCTCGTTGATCTCGCGCTGGACCTTGAGTTCGATCTCGCGGAGCTTCTCCTCCTCTCGTCGGAGCTGCTCCTCCTTGAGGCGGACGGATTGAGAGGCAAGATCCTCAGGGTTCATTGAACTGTCGATGCTACCAATATATTAGCAACTGTGGTTATTCATCGCGATAAGATGTAGAACATACCCGGAAGCACCCTCAACGCTCTTAGAAAGCTTCTCGGTACGGTAGTTCTCGTACAGGAAGTCGTGGGTGATTTCCTTCAGATCAGCCAAATGGCTGTGGAGCAGCGCGGATCGGATGGCCAAGAAGTCGGAGTGACGAGGGTTGTCGACCTCGACAACGCCCCAGGGGTACTGGCGGGCGCGGACCTTGCGACCGCCAATCTCGACGACGTCTTCGGAGCCGACAATGGCGAAGGGCATGAGACCTCGGAGCTCAGCATTCTCCTCAACGGTGTCCTCATCGTCCTCCTCAATGTCGTACGGGAAGTTGTAGACGGGGATTCGGTAGTGCTCGATGTCCTCCATGACCAACTTCTTGGATTCGGCCAGCTCAGCGGGGGTGAGGGAGTCGGCGCGGCCGATGACTGGAATGACGTTGACACGGGGAGCGAGGCGCTTCATGAGCTCAATGTCGAGTTCTCGGAGACTGCCATCGAATGAGCGAGTTGCGCCAGACAAAGGGTCGCAAAATACTTACCCATGGCCAGTGGGGGTGATGAAGTAGAGCATGGCATGGACTCGGTTGTCTCTGAAGCGGGGGTTACGCTTGATACGAGACTCCTCGGCGAGAATGTCGTCGTATTGTCTCTCGAGGTAACCGACGATCTCGGAGAAGCTGTGACTCGTGTGAGCATGTCGTATTGGGGTGCATTTGCGAGAGAACGGAGCTCACCTGGCCTCGTTGTCGATCTGGTCTCCGAATCCGGGGGTATCAACAATGGTCAAGGAGATGCGGGTGCCCTCCTCGTCCAGCTCTAGCTCTGGGGGGTGAAATCAGTAAAGGTGTTCCTATGAATGGGCGAGGGAGGTCGCAGTGTTACGCACCAACGGTGATGGGCTTGATCTTGACACCATCCTCAACGTGGGCGCTGCCGGCGTCGTCAGAGTCCTTGTGAGTCAAAACACCCTTGCCACAGAGGGTGTTGACAAAGGTGGTTCGGCCTGTGTTCGATGGTGAGCTTGTTGTGCAATGGTGGTGATGTCGAATGCAAGAGCGGCGTAGACATGATGGTAGCATTTCTTGAATGGGGCCACGTACCTGTGCCAGATGCACCGCAGACCATCAAGCAAAACTGGATACCCTTCTTGACATTCTTCTTCCTACGGATCATCTTCTGGAGAGTAAACATGTCAGCAACTGGATGTAGGATGCGGTTCGACGCGCTCGAGCTTCGGGGGACGCCCGATGCGGTAGCGGCAGCTCTATCGGGTGGCCATGCCTTGCAAGGACGGCCAGGACAGGACGGGGCAGCGAGCACGCGCTACAGGCGTTGAGGAGAGAAACGTACGGTAGTGGACGACATGGTGGGCTGTCTCGGTCTCGGACGAGGTCGGGGGAGAGGTAGCTGAGAAGCGACGGGCAAAAAGTTGAGGTTGTCGAGATCGAGAGGACGAAGGTCGACGATGGAGAGGCGTTGCGGTGGGCGGTGCGTGGGAAGCAAGGGGAAAATGTTAACTTAGGTAAAGGAGAGGGAGGATGTTGACCTGAAGGGGTCTGGCCAATTTCACGCCTGGCCAATCGCTCCTGCACTGGGACTGGGATGGGGGATGGGGACTGGGTCACTGGGATTCAGGGGGTGGAAGGGAAGGTGCGCACCCAGACTTGCCAGAGCAAAGCAGACAGGTCCAGCGCAGCAGGAACTGAGGGAGGAGCCACACTGACCACCCCTGGCCACGCTGCACGGCTTGCCAGACCGCCTGCCCGCCCCCTCTAGTGCACCCCCCCAGCTACTAAATTTCGGCGTGAGGCTGGTGGCACTCACTGGCTTTTCCTCCTAGGCTCCTTGGCTAGGGGCTGGGGAAACGGCAGTTCGCCGGGACGCGTTTAATTGACAGGTATGTCCAATGTCGCTTCTCACGTGACACTTCATGTGCCGATATGTCTGGATTGTAGTGGCGTGGCATGGCATGGCGAGGGTGAATGGCATGGGGGGAGCTGAAGATGGGCATGCGGCGCACCGTGCGCCGTCCATATGATGATGAGTGTGGCTTGCGTGGCTCGTGGGCGCTGGCAACGTGTGGCTCCGGGTGTGGCTTCAGCTCTCCCTTCTTCATTCGGGAGGACGAGGGATGATGAGCTCCACGTTTCCCGTTTGGTACCTGCAAATGAAGGGTACCGGTTGAGTTGCCCAGTGAATGAGACCGTTTTGGTAACGTCGCCAACCACGGATCTGTACGACGTGTGTCGCGGGAGAAGCAGACTCTGCTTAACCCTGTGGAGCGCAACTGGACAATACCCAAATCAAACAATGCCGCCACCCGGAGAGATATCCGCCAGGTTTGTTTTGTAGCTGTCCGCCGGTGGTAGTTGTCGTCGGCTGTCTATCCGCCATCTGTGCCCACAGAGGTACTGCCCCGATCTCACAAAGGTCAGCCGTAGCGCCTCCAGCGGCCAAGTCAGCACCGCACAGGTACCCGTCCCGAGCTTTAGCAGCCCCAAACGGGTGGATCTGGCCATGTACAGCAGCCTGCTCGGTGACGTCCCGTTGTTCATCGCCCATCGCCCTCATCAACCCGCCTGGCCGGCTTCGACATGCCCAGCTTCCTACTTCTTATGAGGCTCCCCTAACGCTCGCTCACAAAATCTTTATCCTCTCGCAACACCACTACCATCGGCCGGGCGTCCATATACTGCGATCCCCTCAGCTTCCGCCTGGCCACGCATTACACTACCCCTCCCTCCAGACCAGGCTCATTTGGTGACGCTTGCCTTGTCCTCCTGCAACCAGCCCACAATCTCAAGATGAATGTCCGGCCCCCCATAGAAGCGTCCAGCACTGAGGCTGTCTTGTCCGTGTCATTCAACAATGATGCAAGTTGCTTTGCCGCTGGCCTAGACTCTGGCATCTGCAGTAAGCCACCACATCACCCGCATGCCAATGCCATAACGTGCTGTATCCATCGACGATGGACCCTCTCAACTGACAACGTACCTGCCAGTCTTCCACACCAAATCATGTCTTCTCAAGGCCTCCAGAGGTATGCTTATCACATAATGTATCGCGTATGCATATAGAAGCCTAACTTATTCTAGATTTCAACGCGGGCATCGGCCTCGTCCAGATGATGGGCATGACCAACTACCTCGCCCTCGTTGGCGGTGGCAGGTCCCCCAAGTTCGCCATGAACAAGGTGAGTCGCTTCCATCTCAACATAGACACCCGCAACTCACACTGTACGCGCAGGCCATAATATGGGATGACATGAAGGGCAAGGTCGCACTCGAAATCACAGCCTTGACTGCAGTGCGCGGCGTGCAACTGGGGAGAGAGCGCATAGCCGTGGTCCTCCAGAATAGCGTCCGCGTTTACTCCTTCGCAAAGCCCCCGGATCTCCTCCATGTCTATGAGACCGCAGATAACCTCCTCGGCCTCTGCTGTCTTTCAGAAAAGAAGCTCGCATTTCCAGGGCGCACCGCCGGCCAGATCCAGCTGGTCGAGCTGGCAACTGGCAACGTCAGCATCATCCCAGCACACTCGTCGGCGCTCAAGGCCATCACCTTGAGTCCGGATGGCGAACTCCTCGCCAGCGCCAGTGAGATGGGTACTCTGATCCGCGTCTACTCAACAAGCAACTGTGCCCGCGTCGCTGAACTCCGCCGCGGCATCGACCCAGCCACCATTTTCTCCCTCGCCTTCTCTCCTTCTGGCACCGTCCTCGCCTGCACCTCAGACAAATCCACACTCCACGTCTTCGACGTCCCCCACCCACGCAAGCCCCCCATGCACCGCAGCCAGCAGCTGGGGACGTCGGGTGCGGACGCTGGGGACGGGACAGGTAAATGGGGCATTCTTAGCAAGATCCCTTTGATGCCGCGGGTCTTTTCAGACGTCTACTCGTTTTCGTCGGCACCGTTCGAAGCCGGTGACGAGTCCATGATCGGGGGCATCCCATTTTCAGAGGGCACTGTATTGGGCACATCAAGGCCTCCCAAGGGTGTCATTGGGTGGATCGCCGAGGACAGCCTAGTGGTGATCGGCGCTGGCCAGGATGCGAGATGGGAGAAGTTTGTCATCGTGGATGGCGAAGATGGAAAGCGGCATTGTGTGAGGGAGGGCTGGAAACGATACCTGGGCAATACTTGAGTGTCGGAGGTTACAAACCTCTCGAGACATCTCTCATTATGTGCGCGGCGAATTTGGGGAGGCGTTCTAGGCGGATCAAATCATCAGACTAGGTCTGTTGTTGGCTTTGGATTTATCTGTGTTTTTGGTGTATTTTACTAGATTATGGGCTTGTCTCTAGTCCTTGTGCCGTCGTGGCGACCGACTTCTACTCTGTCTTCTTGACTTCTTGTCAGGGCGCTCATCGTCCCTGTGCCTCCTGTGCTTTGAGTCGTCTCCACCATCCCGGCCCTGTCTTCGATGGTCTCGTTCACGATCTCCCCGTCGTTCCTGATCCCGATCCCGATCCCGGTTCCTGGGTTCGTCGCCATCTCTTCTCTCCTTCCGTCTGTCACCGTCCCGTCGGCGGTCCCCTCCTCTCTCATCGTCAGGGCGCTCCCGGAGTCTCCTTGAGTCCTTGTCCCTGCGTCGGTCCTCCCGGTCGACTGTAGGTTCATCTCTTCGAGATCTTCGATGTCGATCCTCTTCGCCCCCGTCTCTTGTTGATCGGTGCGACCGGTGGCGGTGTCTGTGTTTGTGCTTTTGGTCTTTCTTGTCTGCTTTTTGGCGCGCCTCTTCAATCTCCTTCTTCTTCTCCTCGATTAGGAAGCCCTTCATCGGATCGTCGTCGTCGTGATCTCGTATGAGCAACGCAAGCTCCCGCTCCTCTTGCAGCATGGGCCGGGCCTCCTCTTCGTCGCTGCTCTCGTCCTCGGAGACGGCCTTGCCCTCTCTCTTCAACATGTCCTCCCAGCCGACCTTGAATTCGTCGGGATCCTCATCGTCGCGCGCTGTGTACCGCGCATGGTCGACGCGAATTAATCGCCCGCTGATCTCTGCGCCTCCGATGTTGTCGACGGCCAAGTCGGTGCTCCGCTGGTCCTCATACTTCAGCCATCCGAAGCCCTTGGACTTTCCGGTCTCCTTGTCGCGGACGAGTTTGAGGAAGGTGGGTTCGCCGAACTGGGAGAATATGGTGACGACATCGCCTTCGGAGAGCTCGTAGGGAAGGCCACCAAAGTAGATGTATGCTGTGTCGCGGTAGTCGGTATGCCAGGAAGCTTCGGGGGAGCTGTGTCGCAAATGTCAGTGTTAGCAGTGGACGGAACGTGCAGGTAAGGAAAGCGGAGAATCAGGGTATATGGAGGGACGTACATTCCGTTTTCAATCTCCTTCTTGTTGAGCGCCTGAATTGCGCGTATTTGGTTCATCTCGAGGTGTTGGGTTGTGCTGCTGTGACGCAAAGCTCTGCCAAGGTTAGATCACGAAAGGTTGGATGCAAGGCTGAGAGGGTGGCTGCGTGTCTGTGAGGCTTCGACCTAGTATAAAAAAAAAGACTGGATCCCACTGAAGCTCGGCCAACATTTAGAGGAGACTAACCAATTAGCCCCCCGGGACCGTGCGTTGGTGTGTTTGGCTTGGTTATTACAGCGGATAGCGCAGCAGATCAAGGCGCTGAGTTTGTGTACCACAGGCGGACAGGCCCCGGAAGGCCCCCGGAAGGCCCCCGGGTGGTTTGGTTAGGTACCTACTGTAGGCGGGTCAATTTCCGGACCAACAGTAGACAGCCAGTGCAGACTCCGTGCTAAGCAACCCACCCCCGTCGCCTCAACTATTGGCAACCCTGGCACGTAGGGAGGTTTGTCGACGGTCGACGAGACGACGGAAAAGAAGCCAGAACCAGCTGCAATAACGGGGTGCCTTGTCTCCGGCCGAGACCCTCTGACGATCCGCCGCTGAGGCTACGCATCCGACCTTCTGCTTGTCTCGCTGTTGCTGTCCGCCCTGTGCGACAATGCCCCTACGACACCACCAACAGCCCTCTTATTAACATCTTCCTTTGTTCTCCTGTGACGATTACCATATCCACCGCGTTTCCCTTCTCCACCACGCTCTCTCCGACCTACCCATCCATCGCCCAGGCTCCTGCTCACCACCTATGATCTGAGCACCTGCGATCCGCTCCTCGTTCCCCGGTGCCACTGTGCGTGCGCGTGCCTCGCGGAATTTGCGGCCATGACGGCGAGTAACAACCGGGTGTCGACCTACACCACGGGGTCAGGGGACGACGCCCGCAATGGCGAACAGAAGAAGGACCTGTGGACGTCCATGCTGGAGTCCGTCGCCAGCGGCAAGCGCCTACCGGAGAAGAACCTCATTGTCCTAGGTATGCTTGTGCTTGTTCTCTGAGCTCTGAGCTCTGAGCTTCCCCCGCCGTCGCCGCTATTCCCACCGCTCTGCCGCATCCGATCCCGAACCTGGCCAGATAGCTGGTAGCTGATTTCTTGCTTGCGCTCCAGGCGGCACTCCCGAATCGCAACGGGACTTCCTCGAATCTCTGTCCGGCTCCGAATCCAGACGCAATGCCGACCGCCATAAGACACCGCCCATTGCCAACAGCTTCGCCCTGGGCTACACCTACTACGATGTCCTCGACGCCGACCAAGACGGTTCGTCCTCTTTGACACGGCACCCGATATCTTTGGACTAACAGCTTCAGATACTCTTGCGCGCGTCTCGCTCTACTTCCTCTCCCAGCCCTCCGCCGAGTTCGCCTCCCTCGTCGCTCCCCTCCTCACGCCCGATGCCATTCCCAATACCGCCCTCATACTACTCCTCGACTGGTCACAGCCGCATCTGTGGCTGCGTCAAATGTGGACCTGGATTCAGCTCCTCCAGGAGGTCCTCAAGAAGGTTGATTCCGAGCAACATAACCTGATGGAAGACGTCATGTCGGCTTGGAAGGAGAGAGGTCGCGGCGGCGCAGCTACCAATCTTGACGGAACGCCCTCGGCCACCGCAACGAGCGGTGACGGAGACAGCGCGTTGCCACTGGGACCAGGAGAGTGGGAGGAACCGCTGGGATTGCCGCTATGTGTGGTTTGCCAGAACGTGAGAGCAACCCTGAAGCGTGCGCTCTACAGATTGACTGACCAGACACCTAGGCCCAAAAGATGGAATTTCTGGAAAAGAACCAGGGTTGGAAAGAACCCGACTTCGATACAGTATTGCTATACCTCCGAACCGTGATATTGAGACGTAAGTCGAGCCAGCTAGAGTCTATGTCTATGCCATCAATCCCTTTGACGCTAACATGTTCCCAGACGGCGCTTCTCTCATCTACACCTCTCAAAACACACCCTCCCAACTGCCAACACTCATCCACTCAACCCTCGGAATCACCTCTCTTCTCAAGCGCAACCCCCTTAAAATCAACGTTATTGACCGCGATAAGATCGTGGTGCCTACTAACTGGGACTCGTGGGGCAAGATCCGCGTTCTTGCCAATAACTTCGATGCTGAAGTCGTCTCCAACAGCTGGTCCGAGGATATCAGCTCCTCACCGGCTGACATTGAGGCCGCCAAGAAAGCTGCTGAAGAAGACGACACGCAGCCCGGCCAGCAGCGCCCGCCGAGCAACTCCGCCATCGCGCGGTATGAGGAGTGGTGCCGGGATCCCAACAGCGGCGGGCTGGCCGTGGTGGAAAGCGCCATGCATGGAGACCACTGGATCAATGTCGATAGCGACGACACGCAGGTCTTCCTTGAACGCCAGCTCAAGATCCTCGAAGCCTTCAAGGCCAAGGTCCCCGAAAAGGCGCCCGAGAACGCCATCTCCCTCACCAGCAAGCGTATGGAGTTCAGCGACGAAAAGTCCGTCAGCGAGCACATCGGTCCGGTACAGTTCAACATGGGCGGCATCCAGGTCGATGCCGACGATATGTTACAGCGCCTCAAGGTAAAACTCTCCCCTCTACTATTGACACAACCCCTTATTAAGTCTCCGTCCAGGACCGCAACGCACATACCGCATCCCCCGAAGGAGAACACGAAGAAGGCGAGAGCCCCGCGGACAACATGGTCAAGGAATTTGACAACGACCAGCTGCAGAGCTTCTTCACGGGCCTGATGAACAGAACGGGCAGCACCTCAGACACACCCCGATCCTGAGCCAGCGGGACCCGTTGTGGGAGGAAAAACAGACGAAACCTGACTTCTAAGAGAGAACTCTGGGGAGAAGACCACACTCTGATGTTCCGTTTTGATGCTTTGTACTAAGAACCATGATGCGGAATGAGATGGGCGTGGGAAGGGGCGGGGAGTGGCTGCTGTAGATTAGATACCCCTGAATGACAAAGATTTGAACACACTCATTTTGAACAGCTCGCTAACGTTAGACGTGGTCCAGAGAGCAGGTCATGGTCATGGTCTAGATTTGATATCTCTAAAACCTATTCATCAAAGCACAATATGTAGTACTAATTCATCCAAAATAAGGGGGACAGACCCGATGCAAGAGCTCCTAAATAACAACCCCCCCCCCCAATAAGGCCCGGCGTCCAAGATGAGTTCTCCAAAAAGGCATGCGACGAAATCTCATAATGTCCCCAACATCTTCCTCTTAGTCCCAATTAGGTACTTAATCTAGCAGGCTTGTATGCGACCTTCACGTTACTCTTGTCAACACCCAACCGCGCGGCGACGACACCACCGAGCAGGCCGGGGAACAGCCAGGGGTGCTGGAGCATCTCGACCTCGAATGCATTGATGGCCTGGCGAGCTGAGGCAGAGAGAGCATCGTCAGAAAGGAGGTCGGCGAGGCGGAAGAGGTTGGCAACGGTGACGGCGTTGGTAGAGGGGAGGGAAGTATCCATGCCGTCCTTGAGGCGAATGATGGTGTGTGGGGATGACTCCGTGGTGGAGAAAAAGGCGCCATCGGGGTCAGAGAACAGCGAGATTTGAGATTCTGTCAAGAGTAAGTGATCAGTTTATGAAGCATGTTATTGGATGACGGGCCCAGCAGAAGACTTACGTTGGAGTGTGTCAGCAAACTCCAGGAAGGATTCGTCACCGGTGGCCTTGAAGAGATCGAGGAGGCCTTGGGTAAGGTAGGCATAGTCGTCCGCGAAAGCTTTGATCTCCCTTTCACCTTGCCAGATCCGATATAGGGTCTTCTCATTGGCAACCCATAGCTTCTCCTGGATGAAGGCCACGGCTTTCTTCGCAACGATGAGGTATTTGTCGCTTCGCTCTTGATCGAGAGTCTTCAGAGCCAGGCTAGCGTGGGCCAGCGCTGAGATAACGAGGCCGTTCCATCCCACGACAAGCTTGTTATCCAGATCCGGCCTGGCACGATACTTGTCTCTCCTCTCCTTGAGGGCAGATTTGGCCGTTTGGATGGATTGCTCAACTTCCTTGGCGGGGATACCAAACTGCTTGCTCAGTTGCTCGACGTTTCGGTCGACCTTGAGGATGTTCTGGTTTATGAAGTCGTCGTTTGGGTCATGGCGCTCATCCACGTTACCATCTTCATGGACGCCCCAGTGGATTGCTACAAGTGGACTGATGTTTTTGCTCGCTGCGTCAAGCACCGAGTCGAATTCACGTCTTGTCCAGGTGTAGTACGCGCCTTCACGCATTTCCTTGTCACCCTTCTTGGGATACGAATCGGACGCTTCGCTCGATGCGAACCCGCCCTCGGGTAGGGCGATCGGGGCTGAGGAGAGGTAATCAGCCAGTTCCAGGACAATGTCGTAAAACTCGCTGTCCTTTTTTCCGCCGCTCGACTTCCACGCTTCGAGATACAGAGAGAGAAGCAGGGCGTTGTCCACGACCAGCTTTTCAAAGTTGGGAATGCTCCAGTCAGGTGTGACTGAGCAGCGCGAGAAGCCTGTGCCACCAACGTGATCACGCAGAGCACCATCGCGGATCTTCCGCAGGGTGTCCAGGGCAATTTCTGAGGCATGCTTGCATTCGGCTTCGCCAACAACATCCTGGACTGCGCTTGGCGCCTGTGAGAGACCTAGGAGGAAACCCAGCTTTGGGGGCGTAAGGAACTTGGGCGCAAGACCAAACCCTCCGTAGACAGGGTCGAATGTCCCGGCGATATGGGTGTACGCCTCCTCCAGCTGATCGAGGTCCAGCTCGCTGGAAACCGCGGTATCCTTCTCCTTGCTCCCATCGCTGTGGGTTGGGGCTGGCGCACCCCACCCCGAGGGCCCCAGAGACGACGTAGCTGAGATGCGACTGGTGCCAAGGGTACCCTCAGCAGCGAACTCCCTGAGCTGCCCTAAGACCTCGGTTGCCTCCTTTCGGCAGCGGGCCTCTTGGTCGCTCCAGATATCCCGTACCTTCTTCACGATTGTGAGGAAATCCAGCACCTCATCCGCGTTCTCATCAGTAGCACGACGTCGGTTGCCTGGGCCGGGCCAGTAGGTTCCACCGAAAACGGGCTCCAGGTTGGGAGTCAAGAAAAGATTCAAGGGCCAGCCTCCAGCATTGCTCACGGCCTGGACGTAGTTCATGTAGATGGTATCCAGGTCTGGGCGCTCTTCTCGGTCGATGATGACAGGGACGAAGGACTCGTTGAGGACAGAGGCGCAATCCGGGTTGGAGAAGGACTCGAGGAACATGAGTCGGCAGTCTAAGACTATTAGCAGTGGCTATGAGACGCATCACACGGGTAAGACGCTCACAGTGGCATGCCTTGTATCCAATGTGCAAGAAGATGAGCTTGTTTTCCTTTCTGGCCCGCTCCACAGCCTCGTCGTCCAGCAGCTGCCATGACACCAACCCATCCGCCTGGTCCTTGACGTAGGGGCTTCTGCTGGCGGCCGCGCGGTTTCGAAGCGCTGGGAGAGGTTCGGAAGCAATGGCGGCGTCTCCTGGGGTCACGGCGGTGGTGCGCAGGGCCTTGGCCGAGGCAGTGAGCTCTGAAGCGACCATGATGCGAGGCTGATCTCGCGCGCGTACTCTCAGTCTCTGCGACTAGTTCGGGGGAGCTAGTGCGAAGGAGATATCGAGGGTCAGCGGCGTGACGAAGATGTTGGACGATCCAACACGAGTGCAAGTGGAAGGGCAAGTGCAAGCGCAGGTGGGAGGTGGGGGAAAGTGACCGCCTGGCGGGTGGTACTCCGTTCAGAGGTGGATATTCAGAGGTGGAGGTTTAGCAGAGGTGGAGGTTTAGAAGAGCTGTAGGAAGCCACTAGAATGACACAATCTCCAGCAGCAGCAGCAGCAGCGCGTGGTGCACCAGGGAGCAGGATGGGGACCGATCTGTATGTGTAGATGATACCGGAGAGGACGAGATAGCGACAACTGCGACGGCGATATGGACGGCGGCGGTCTGATTAATAAATTAGCCTTTAGCACCAGAGTCCGAGCAGCTTCTACAGTTTGCTGCTGCGTCTCTATTTAGAGGCACACTTTCTCAGCAAGGGCCAAGTCCGGGCCAAGTTTAGGCCAGACGAGTGAGGCGATAGCGGGGTCGTGGGACTGGGAAGCAGCCGCGGGGCAGTCATTCATGACTCAAACAGTTAGATGGGCCTCTCTTCCTCGCGGTTTGCTCCAGTCAACGGTTTTCTCATGTTATGGTACTAGACTGCGTTACTTAATCCGTCCATGTACATGTATCATGCGTCATTCATTCATTCATTCAGTCATCCAGACTCAAACCGCCGACCGCAATCACAATCATCACACACTCCATCATCATGCCCGGTCCACCTTTTTTCCATTGGTCGCGGGATTGAGCCGGTTGGGCCTCGATAAGTTCCGAAATCCGATTGATCGTTGCAGGGGTCTTGCCCGTAAAATCCTCCAACGGCTGCCAACCCAACTGGCGATAGCCAGCATGAGAACAAGCCAATAATCAGGAGAATGCTTGCTGTCAAACATGATATCAAGACCACTTTCGTCTGCCCGCGTAATATCAGCCTTGCTATATGTCTCCACTTATGCACAAGCAGCCCGCCACTGCAACTCTCTCGCCAGTACTCCTGACCTCTCTCACCGCCAGTGGACAGCTGCTCCCATACGAACCCCTTACCCTCGCTCCTATGAGCATGGGTTAGGAAGCACAAACCAATCTAGGATGCTCCTTGTTGGCATGGGCCTTCCCGAGTGACTGCGAATTATATCCGATTGTCCGTTACCGGGTCACTTTTTTTGTGCCTTGTATGTCACCACCCACCCAGGTTTAGTTGCAATCATGCCTCAGGAGGACAACATTTTTCAACTCGTATCCATGTAAAGCAAACGGATTGGCTAGGTGTATCAACTACACCCCGTATGACTTAATTTTACTAGCACGCGTGATTGGGAACACAGGAAAGTAATACGAGCGCAAATGTAGGACAAGTGTTGCTTTACCATCCCAGCAACTAGTAACGAGAGGAAGACAATGACCCGGGTCTAACATGATAGGGCTAGGGTTGGATGAGAACTAATTCGTGTAACTTTGTGATGCTTCTTCAAATTTGGTTGGAGATTCCATGACCATGTCATCTCAACAAACACAATTTGCGCCCTCCACTCTGTCGAAAGTCATCCTACGAAATGTCTCGATATGACCCTTCCATACCGAAGTCTGGCGAAAACCGGACGACAATGGCAGACACAGAAAGCCAGGTTAGTCTGGCATACGGTGTGGCCGTTACTGAACTCGACAATATTCTTAAGCTGGTTCGCTTAGTTGAACCTCCGCCTACGGAAGACGCCAACGCCTTGAAGAGATACCCGGACCTGGTATTCCACCATGTCAAAAGGTTGGCAAAGAAGGTCAACTTTAGCAAAAGATACCTCAAGGCCCGCGACACACAATTCCACTACAGGGCCAAGCGATTGCGCACCAAAGACCGGGTCAACAGGTTGCGACTCTGGAACAGAGAAAAGAAGCAAGAATTGGAAGCCTGTCGATTGCAGTCCGGAGATGCTGGGCTCGAGGCGGCTCAGCACCGGTTCGACGAAGAGAAGCGCGTCATGATCAAGTGCTATGGCCTAGAAGGGCTATGGGAAAAAGCAATGAAGAGGGAAGAGTTGAGCAAGATGGAAGGAGATGACTTGTCAAGCGGATGCGAGACGAGCATGGAGGAATAGGACAATTGGGCTATACCGTGTGATGAAGGGGACGATTGAGGGTGGTGCTCATGCTAGACATTCCTGTTTCTCAGAGAGTGGGTTTATATATATGAGGTCAAGACAATGGTATTAGTTCGGGATCAAGGAGACAGCGAAAGAAGAGCTACAGCTAGTAAACGGTTATTGGCTGGGCATGATAATGTTGAATTGCTGAATCTGGATGGATGGCTTTTTCCACTTCATGAGTTGACCGGGTGGGGCCGGTGTCCAGCTGGCCAATGCGCCCACTATAAGGCGGCAGCTTATCGATAAGTCCACCCCGGACCCTGGTAGCTCACTGCAGGTACCGGCCAAGCACCTTCGTCACCGTCCTCCTCTTCCTCTCCCTCTCCTCGACTTCTTCCCTCCTCTCCCATCCGCCCTGATATCGCGTCCATCGCACGGGCGGCGATCCACACACCATGACCGACCCTACCTACACCGTCTTCATCCGGGTGCCCATGCCCCGTGGCGACTTTGTAGATCCGCCGCCGGTAAGCTGAACTGCAGCATGATGCTCGTCATGGGCCCGCCGGAAATGGCTGCGGAGGGGCTAACAGCCTGCGACAGGTTAACTGGGACTCCAACAAAGACGAGGCGCTCTGGAAGATCTTGTCGGGGGCAGCCAAGAAGGAAATTGATTGTATGTTTGATGAATTATTGCTGGATATTTGGCATATCGCTGACACATGCAGGGAATCACATGTATGTGTAGATCGCCGTTCTCGGCTGCTCGATGATACTGACCCTGACCAGTGCCGATCGCTTCGAGGTCACCGTCGATTTCCTTCTACAACAGGTCGCCTATCTCACTGAACGACATGCCTCCCAAGTCCGCGCCCAAGTTCGAAAGGCTACTGCCGCCGTCAGAGGTTCGGCCGCCCCGTCACCCATCCCTAGTGACTCGGCTGGACTAGGCCATCAGCGAGCGCCGTCGTCCCTCTCCATGCGAAGAGACTCGCCCATGCCGCGCAACGAGCATGGAAGCGGCACCGGAACGCCCCTCCAATCATCGATGCGACCAATCGTCTCGCGAAATCCTTCAACTAACACCACAGTGCTGCGAGACATGATGGGAGGGTCAGCATCACCCCGGCCGGGTATGGCAGTTACAGGCCGTAGCGGAGAACATCGTCGGCGGCTATCATCGTTACCCATCACTTCGAACACGACCAAGTCTCCCGAGAGGGAGCCGCAACAAGCACCCTCGCCCGCACTGCGGGACCGGAGCCCATCACCAGGCCCGGCTGAAGATAGCTCCACGGCGACTTCGGACGACGAATCCAGTCCCGCCCAGTCCCGTATTATTCGTCGCCCTCCCCGCTTTCAGCAACATGACGCAGCGCCGCCCTACGATGACGACGAAGACGATGAATCTGAGCCCGCATTTCAACCGTACAAGGCCCCAGACCAGGCGTCGGCGGGTGACCTGGGATCAACACTCAAGGGCGACGGCCGCGGCTCGTCCAAGAGGCTCCCGAGGAGTCTGGGCAAGGGTGCCATACACAAATCTCAGACGTCCGACTCTTCAGCCAGCTCTGCAGCGATGGTTCAGAGGCCAGGTAAGTCGCGCGAGCAACGCCAACCAGGTCCTCTGTCTCCCCGTCGCGCCGAGCTCGCTGCTCAGAGCCCAGGCAGCAAGAGTAGGGGCTATTCTCGCGAAGGTAGTGACGGAACGCCCAGCATGGGCAGTAGTTTCAGTGATCTCGATGGTATGGTAGCCATGTATCCTCCCTTGTTCGGGCCTTGCTGACCTGATTTCCTCTAGATGCATCAGTCACACAATCAGCGTTGGAAGAAGCTCTTGCAAGCCACATGAATCGCGGAGCAAGTAGCCGGTTTAGTATCAGTCAGGCATTCCGCAGCCGGTACACCCCCAGCTCAAACCAATGAGCGTTGTTTAACTTGGGGGGATTTCATTTGCGTAGGCATGGTGTTTGGATTGCAAGTCCGATTTCTTGTCGGTTGCATACAGGATAGGCGTTGGATATTCCTCTCTACATTTCGCATCGCATTTAGGACTAGCGATGGCCAAAGATCCCATCTCCTCAATTATGAAGCATGTCAATCACAGCCCATTTTTCGACGCAATTGTTTGCATGACCTTGAGAGTGCTGATGGTGACCTGTTGAGTGTGGTTACACAACAAACATCTCGATTGGTTAGCTTGTTTGAAAGTGTTGGAATTTTGCTAGCTTGCCGGGAGTTTGCATGGTTATATTGGAAAGCAAGCAAGTCAGCTTGGTGTGCTCCGTGAGTTTTAATTGCGTCCTCCAGTGATGAAGCGTAACGTGGTGGAAAACTGGAAATCATCCCGTGCTGAAAAACAGGCCGGCTGCGTGCACCTGCAACACTCCTGGCCACCTCCTGATCACTTTGTCTTTCGCCAATACCCGCACCAGGGCCTCTTCCCTCTTCCTTCTTCACTCTTCCTTCATTCCAATCCCCTTTAATCACGGTAGTCGAACACTTTTCTGCATCTCCTCCCTTCAAGCATCTGTCCAACAGGCCGATCGCCATGTTTCGCCGTCACTGGTCTGGCCTCCCCAAGGACGCCTCTTTTCCCTCCGACCTCGCCGGCCTTGGGTTCGTTACCCTTTTCCACCCGCCCCTTCTGTAAAACTAACGAGGAATTAGGTATTTCGTCAACAGTGACGATGAAATTCGCTCTATTGAGAACCCGAACTGCTACTTCAAGTTCTTCACCAGCCGCAACACACGGGTCAATGAGCGCCAGCGTTTTGCGTTCAACGGTATGGCCTTGACAGATTCTACCATCGTATCTGAGCACTAATTTGCCTCTTTAGGAGCTATGGAAAAGATCATACACGACCGTCTCGAGAAGGAAGGCCTTCAGAAAACAACTCTCCCCCTGGAAGCCTCTCGCTCGCAGAACCACGTTCCGATTTTCATATCCCCTGACCTCGCCTCGTGTTCCCGCATCGTCGTCATCTTCGGTGAGCCAACCCAAGACCTCGGCATGCTGGCTGGTCGCATTGCCAACGGTCCCGGCGGGCTCGCAAAGGGCAGCATGATCTCTATCGTCCGCGCACTCCACCAGCAGACTGCTTCGCCCACCGACGCATCCCCGCCAGGTATCGTACTTGCGAACATGGGCCAGAGGTACTGGTGGCCCGAGGGACAGCGTGCTCTCACTATGTCTGCGAGTGTAGATACACCGCTGCCAAGTTTGGTTCATTCAGGAACGCGGCATATCCCTTCTTTGAACGACATCCCTGGTTGCGAAAGCCCACTTCGACACATGGCGACCGTCTTCCAGGATATTCTCGCCAGAATTCCGGAGTGCACGGCCAAAATCGACTTGATTGCACTGGGAGAGAGCTGCGAAGTCGTTGAGAACTACTTTGATGACCAGAAGAATTGGGATTCGTGGGGTCACAGACTCAACTCCATGGTATTGCTTGGTACCGTTTTCGAAACGGACAAGCTCGCCAACGAGGCGTTTAAGGAATTTCTTGCCCAGGTGAGTTGAACAACTCGAAAAGTCCAAGATAACTGCTAATACCACCCTCTTTTAGCGTACGCGAGGCTACCTTGTCTCCGAAGAACCATTGGACACGCCCCTTGCACCCCCCGAAGGCAATGCATCTCTCTACATCGAGAACCTCGGCTGTCCCTGCTACTCCTCTTCCGAGCCACACTACGCCGAGCTCATCGCCATTCGTGCTTTTGGACCTATCCTTGGCTACATTCAGGAGGTTGCCATGACCCCTGGCTTCACCAACCCACCCATCAGTGTCATCGAGCGCCCCAAGGCCGACTTCACCGACAGCGACTGGCAGAACCTGCCGGACGAGAACAAACCATCGATCATTCAGATTGACCCAGAGATCATGAAGAGGGAGGTTAAGCAGGCGAGAAGATGGAGACGGTTTGAACAGACGGGAGAGGCGCCAAATTCAGATTCAGAGGACGAAGATGAAGCCAAGGATGCCCAGCAAGGTGATAAGTCGGTAAGAGATGAGAACGCCCCCTGGTAAGAGGACCAAGACTTTACAAGACAGTTCGTAACGCAGTGAGAGGCGTATCTCATTCATTAGATGTGAATTACACAGCCGCTCCAAACAACTAGAGCGTAGCCAAAATAAGATACAAGACACAATCTCGGCTCGTGCCAGTGACCGATGACATTCCCAAAACCTGTCCACATAAGATACATCAAAGTGCCAATTTTACGCCTTAAATAGAGCTGCCAACCCAGGGTTCTCTTTCCTCACTTCTTCCACCAACTCCTTTGTCCTCCGCACGCGCTCCTTGACGACCGCATCCTCCGCCTCCCAACGGCCCTCGACGGATTGGGCTCCACTCCAGAAAGAGAAGACACTAGAGCGGTTCGCAGCCTTTTCACGGAGCTTCTCCTCCTCCTTGGCGAGCTTGACGACCATCTTACCCCAATTATCGAGGCCCGCGGTGAGGCACTCGCGACATGTCTTTACGGAGGCCTTGTCGTCGGTGATGGGGCCGAGAGCGCGCAGCTGCTCCTCTGCTATGTCGACGCTGTCGCGGGTCCACGATAGGCCATCATCGCGGGACGAGGATGCGTACAGGATCTCGCCGATCCAGAGGCTGAGGGAAGCCTCCTGGCAGCGCTCTTGGGGGCTGCGCCAGGGGGCTTTGGTTCCGTCGGGGGGAGGCGACGGGTAGTCGGGTTGGGAAACGGCGGAGATGATTTGGTTCCAGAGGGATTCGCTGGGGGGTGGTGCGCGGGCTTGGTTGGGGGGGTCGTTGGGGAGGAAGCGGCGGGCTTTGAGTAGGGAGAGATAGATGGGGAGGGCGGCAGAGAGGTCGCCGTTGCGGGCCTTGTGGGTTGCAATGGCGGTGATGGCATCGAGGAGGTTCAGCGAGGGGGGGCCGGCCTTTTCGTTCAGGATAAAGGTCTTGGGGTTGTAAGGTGGGTTCGACATGTCGAGGCCTTGGGTGGCCTCGGCCAGCGCCAGGTTGTACAGAGCGTCCGGGCCTTCTGGTCTCTGCTTGAACTCCATAAAGCTGGCGTACTCCAATGCCGCCTCCAGTTTTTGCCGCGCAGTGAAGCCCTTGGTGGCCAAGATCTTCATATACCAGTTATCGGCGCCCGGATAAGCGATTTCGCAATCCTCCTCTCGGGGCGCATGGGGCTGGCCCGGTGGGATCGGCACCGGCCGCGGGTTGGAAGGCCCAATGACAAACTCCGGGGGCGATATCACATTGCGAGTGAGGTCTCGTACCCAGCCATCTGTGTGTTCTGATGCCTTGGCGGCTAGCATAATGGCTTCGAAATAACCGCGCCTCCACTCCTCGCTTTTCCCGGAGATATCGCACGGGTTGAATTCGCCCGGAAACTGGGCACTCGGGTCGACAATATCGGACAGCTTCGTGACGCCTTGCCCGTCGACCTTGGCGTCTTCAAGACGCAGAACGCCGCCACGAGATAGCTCCATGGCCTGGGCCCAATTGACCTCGCCGTTTTTGGGATCCTTGCCGTTGTTTGCGTCCCTCAACAGCTTCCTGGTAATAAAGCTCCACTCGTGGGGCGTCGGGAAGTCCCTCTCCAGCGATTCCTCGTTGATGAAAAAGTAGATGACACCCATGCAGGTGAGGATGCCCCAGAACGAAACGGTGTACCGGACCGCCATCTTGGCCTCGTGCTTGAGCCATTGTCGACGCTCGGTGGTGAAGCATCGCACGGAGTGGTTGGTTACGGGGATCGCGAGGAAGGGCAGGATCGGCCTCGACTTGGTGGTGAGCTGCGTGTAGTAGGTGAATGTTCGGAGGCAGGGTGTTTGCGATCGGAGGGCTTGCCGCGGGGTGAGCCTGGCCCGGCGAACAGCGAGCCGAGGACGCATGGCGCCGGCTGGATATCGTCGCCCCCGGGTTGTGCGGGTTGTGCGGGTTCTAACTGGGATGCTTCAGTTGCGGGCGTCGCAGATGTTTCGTCCCATCGTCGAATCTAGCGTCGATTGATTGATTTGCGGCTCAGCGTCGCAACTTTTACATCATGCGTCAGTGGTCGGCGCGGCTGCTGACTAAGGCGCTTATCGCGGGATTGGATGTCAAATTCTGGAACCCGGGCGAACGCATGATGTTTCAAAATTCCCGTGAAGCGGTGTGTATACGTCCCTAGAAGAGTCGCTTACAATTTTCGTCCCATTATGGTCTGAAAACATGGCTTCATTCTTCTCAGATACGATTTCGAACCCTCGCTTCCAGCTGCTTGCGACGGCTGTGGTTTCCGGAGCGACAGCCGCCTCCCTGCTCCTCGGCTACCAGGCGCTTGAGAGGAACGAGAGGATCTCTCAACTGAAGAACTCCATCCCAGACGATGATGCTGTCAGCTTACAGCGAGTGCGTTTGAAACCTGCATGATTGATATGGTCGCTCAGGCCCGCTGACACAGTTTGTAGTTAGACAGTTTTGGTGGCCCCTTGGCTGCCCCTGTCGACGAGGAGGATGCGCGGAACATGGCGCTCGCTCGTCGAGCGCAAGCCGGGGATTTTGACGAGGAGCTGATTATGGAGCAGCTTGCGCGCAACCGCGTCTTCCTGACCCCGGAGGGTCTTGAAAAGCTGGGGAGCTCGTTCGTCGTCGTCGTCGGGTGCGGCGGCGTCGGCTCCCACTGCGCGGCGGCTCTAGCTCGCTCAGGCGTGTCCAAGTTGCGACTCATTGACTTCGACCAGGTCACGCTGAGCTCGCTGAACCGCCATGCGGTGGCGACGCTGGCGGACGTGGGAATCTCCAAGGTGCAGTGTCTTCGACGGCGACTGATCGCCATCGCTCCCTGGGTCAAGTTCGATCTGCAGCAGGAGAAGTTCGACGAAGATGTCGCTGAGCGATTACTGAGCCCCTGGGGTGGGGATGAGGACGGCTGGGCTCCGGACTATATTATCGATGCCATCGATAACATCGATACCAAGGTCGCCCTCCTGAAGTACTGTCACGACAACGGCCTCCCTGTGATCAGCTCCATGGGCGCCGGCTGTAAGAGCGATCCAACACGAATTATCGTTGGGGATATTGGGACAAGCACAGATGACGGTCTGTCACGGGCAACGCGCCGACGGCTTAAGCTCAAGGGCATCACGAGTGGAATTCCCGTGGTGTACTCAAACGAGAAGGCAGGCGAGGGCAAAGCAGAGCTGCTACCCCTGGCCGAAGAGGAGTTCGAGAAGGGTTCCGTCGGGGACCTGGCAGCCATGCCTAGCTTCCGCGTACGTATCCTCCCTGTGCTAGGCACTATGCCTGCTATCTTCGGCCTTACTGTCGCCAACCACGTCATCCTGAGCATCACGGGCTACCCACAAGACTACCTCCCGGCCAAGGGCCGAGACCGCATGTACGACGGCATCCTGGCCTACGTCCAGAGCTCCGAAGACAAGCTAGCGCGGATCACGGACGGCGGCGACACCGTCGGCCTCAAGATACCCCTGACGGTTGGCGACGTGGCTTTCCTAGCTGAGGAGCTGTATAATGGCCGCAGCGTCATCACGGGAATCCCGACCAAGCTGGTCCTGATTCGTTGGCGCCGTCCCGAGGGCAGCAGCATGACGGTTCTTGGCGAGGGCAAGGATGTTCAAAAGTGCTCGACAGTGCGGTTGGGCGACTTGGTATGCATGACCAAGGAGGAAGCAACACGCCATGAGAAAGAAGTGTTCAAGGCCGGGAAGCCCCTGAAGAAGGTGTATGACGCCGCCACGATCGAGCGGGTCAAGGCGAAGCTGAAGGAGGCGAAGAAGTACGAAGCAATTCGATGACAGGGTTTCTGGGTTATAAAAACGTCGTGCAATGTACTTTTGTCTTGCAGTAGAGCAATCTAAAGTGTTCCTAGTCATCCGCCAGGTATAAAGGAGCGCGGTTCCCCCCACACTTGACACTTTTCATCCTCCTCTTCACACACTTCACTCTGTTCTACACACCTGAGCTCGTCTTGCGCCAAAAACAACCCGAAGTTACCCTCACTCGTTTTAATTGGCAATTTTCCATTGTCCATTTATATTATATCTTCAAAATGGGTTGACTGTTGCAGAGGCACACATGCAAGATGAGGCCTACCCTAAACCCATCCACGAGACTGTCCAGATTTCGCACAAAACACTTCAAATGCACATCAGGAAGTCGACATCCGGAAAGAAAGCTACAATTGCAGTGCAGAGTGATGATATCATGAAGAATGATAGGAAATATTTATCAACACACATGGTTACAGTACTTGCTCAGAGTTGTTCTCTCCATTGATCACGCGCACACCAGTCACCAATCAATCATCGACGTTGGAGCTGCATATTCTCTCACTCGCGAGAAGCCTCTGAATGGCTGGATGACGCAACAAAAACTATCTATCACCTGCATCAAGCAGCCTCACTAGGTGATGGTGCAGCATCCTCTTGACTCCTCCCGTTCCCAAGGGCAGCTTTGCAGCAAGCTTGACTTTGCACTAGATACCCGATCTACCCCGCAAGCGCATGTGCTAAGTAGAGCATCCAACAGGAAGTTGCACTTCGACTTTGCGGTCAACGAGTTGGAACAGTCTGGGCCGGGAACGTGCCTAAGCGTGAGTTCGCTGTTCTTTTAGAAAGTGCCCATTCGCCCAACTACAATGGGCCATGGGGGCCACAAGCTCAGGCGACTGTCGGTGTATCAAGGCGACTGTTGCAGACTTTCTTTTGCTCAATTTCCCCCCTTCACTGTTTAATGCAGGTGATCGAGAGATGGGCCACAGAGCTACGAGGATCGGTATTTTTTTCCAAGAATACAACCTGATCCCTTCATGCTGACAACAGGTCACAATCCACAACACCCTGCCTCCCTGCCGCCCTTATTTCTGAGCGCGGGTCTTGGGGTAAAACAAGACGGATGCTCAGCCTCGTTGCCTCTCCGGGTGAAATGACCTAAGACATCCGATGGCTTTAAGGCGTGCCAATTGTGTGATCCGCGGCCGGAAGGAGGCGGGGGAGCGCACGTCCGAAGCACCCCCTTTGACCGGGATTTATATTGACTTGCAACATCAATTCTAGGCAGAGAGAGAGAGAGGCGGGACACAGGCACAAGCAAAACGGCACAACAGGAAGCGACCCGTTCAGCCGCACGGCTTCTTGGCTGGTTTCATAAATAGAACGACGCCTTTAACCACAAGTCCTACGGAGAGGGGTTTGCTGAGATACCGTTGCGGCCGCAACCACACGAAAAAGGGTTAGGGAGAAGGCAGAAGGCGGCGCCAATGGCAACCCGGTGTTTGACAAAGAGTTGCCTACTGGCCGCCATTGCAGCTAGCCGTCTGGTACAATTCGGAATCGCGATGAGCAACAAACGGTTGGCTGCGTCGCAGCGACTTGCCGGATACGAAGTGTATCTGCAAGTTTGTGCGTCGCGTCGCGGCACAACCCTCAATATTCTGAGAGGGTGATACAGAGGCAACTGCACATCTTTCGGTGAGTACCTAGCTGATCGGTTGGGACCAACCGCGAGCTGCAAGGGATGGAAATTGAGGGTCAAACATCTGGTCAGACCTTGACCTTTGTGTGTAGGTGAGCCGCACTCAACGACTTGGATTTGTGGATAACTTCAAAAAGATTGGGGTCGCTAGAGCCGTATCCAGCTCTGACAGCTGCTGTTGAGAAGACGTTGTTACCCCGCCAGTTCCACACCCTCTGGAGCTGGGCTTCGCCGAAAGCGACGAGCAAGAGCGTTGAAAAACGTCGTCTTCACGTCGTCATTGCTCACACGATGGAAGCTTAGGTTGCACATTTGCGACCTAGCGCATGCTATTACCTGTCACAAGTCGTGATACTGGATGCATCCCGAGACTCTGTTTGCATTTTATTGGTGACACGGTCGATCTAGGCACTATTTCAAGGAGCCTAGATCGACGTGTTGGCATTGGCTCATGGGCCCAAATTGTGGTCGCGTCGGTTGGGCGTGACGGCCGTTGATGGGAATGTGTATCAATATATGCGATCCGCTGCCTCGAGGAGAGATGTCACGTTCTGCATTTTAACTGGAATGTGACTCCGGTCCCTTTGGTGGTGTCCTGGAGCACTGGCAGGGTGATTGGGCTTGCTTTCATTTGGGGGCCAGCTGATCCCCTCAACGATACTGGTGCCAGAGCCTCAAAATGATGGCGACCGTCCGAGGCGAACCGCAAATGCCTCCCGAGGCAACACAAACAGGCCTACAGCCAGCCGCCTGGAAATTTCCTGTTTGGCGGAGATGTGACGGGCGCTAAGTGATAGGCTGAACCCTGGGTGATCCAAGGATGCTTGCAGCATAAATGCTGGGTCAAATTAGGGGATTCGCAGGGCGTTGACCAACCTTCTGGCGACCTGCCGTTGTCGCGGAGGTACTTTAGTAGTCTGGTCGCCTTATGCCATACTTTGGACTGGATGGATGGCCCGGCTTCAAATCAGGCCGCCATTCTCTTTCGGCCCTGCTTAAAACCTTGAGCTTCATAGATATGCACCGTTGCCTCGTTAGGCTGTGCTCAACCCGTATATCACGAGCTGGCAGCGTTGGCCTTGGTTGGAAATCGCTGATATCGTGTTTAGACGCCAGTGGACTGCGACTCTGGCGGCGGGAAGGGCCTCAAGTAATGCAAGGCAGCAATAGCAGCATCGAATCAATGACACGTCAACACGTCAACACGGCAACCAGCCTGTTTCTGATCTAGGGTAAGATCAATGCGACCGACCTACGCTGGATGCAAGCGCATCAGCCCGGCCATTAGCGAAATACCACGCGCCAAAGTTGCTCGGGCCGCGCACGCGGTTAGGGTGCAGGAACTGCTTTACTAGTGCCAAATATGTCCTGTCGCAACAACATTGCAGCGCTGACATAACTGCATGATTTTGCTCAAGCTTGTCATGCATAGTCCTCGGACCGTGGTATCATGAATATTGATACTAATAATGATCAAGGGTGGCCCTGATCCGTGAACCGCCAGGGTGCTCTTCATCACATCGCAGACCGGTCGGCCACGGTGAGGGACGGGTTGCCTATGTTCGAACATGCCGATGCACAATCACCGAATTAGCAGCCCCTGACAGGGGAATGAAGGTGCCGTGTCGCAAAATCGTCACATGGCGTCGTGTATCAACTCCGGCCTCAAGACGTGAGGCCATTCGTGCTCTTCTTCTCGCTGTGATTCACTGTGATGACATGCATCACTGGAGGGGGGCCAGCATAGATACCCATGTGATAAGCAGGCAGAGGCTAGGATGCCTCACTTCCATCTCTGCGTTGCCTTTATTGATTCGTGTCGTCTAGAGAGTAGACTTGTCAGCCAGCCTCAGCCTTCCTCGGAGTGGACCACGATACAATACAGTGCTGTTGTCACAGGCTGGCCTCTAACTTATGGCCTCCATAATATCAGCCCCTCTCAGGATGTGCACGCTCGCGGTTCCCATTCGTTTTGCCGGTGTTGCCGCCTGGAGCCGCCGAGCTACATGGAGTATCCCATGCCAGTCATACCATCCCTTTTTTGATACCAGAAACGTTGTAATAGGCTGGAAGTTGCCATGGATGACCTGGCGGGAGGAGAACATTCGCCACGTGAGCCTCGCCTCCAAATAAACTTGCTTTGTGATATGGGTGATCGCCATTGATATTCGTAGGCAAATGATGAGGCTTCCGTGTCAGGTGCCTTTTATTGGCATGTAGATGAGTTGATACTGGAGGAAAATATTGAGGCTTTAGCCAATGTTAGTTAAGGGCCAGAGGCGCGTAACTTAATTCGTCAAACAACAGGCTGGGCGTTTCGCCCCATCGCTAAGCCAGGAATCCAGGTCCAGATGGGTCGCCACCTCTCTGGCATTCTGGGCTATTGATATCGTAAGGCGACAGAGACTGTCTCAGTGATGGTCATTCCAACCCCCGTGTGTAATTACCGCCCTGGTGTCTGAGGAGGCTGTATGGTTGGGGTCCGTTTGCGGCCATTGGCTGCTAAAACGAACTATTGACAGACGGGTTGAAATAGATCAAAAATAATAAAAAAACCACCATTTCTGGCTGAGATAGGTGGCTGTAAAACTGGCCACAGGCGGAAGGCTAGTATTCCTATCACCTGGCTTATGAGTCTTAGCTGCTCCGGCAAAGAATTGGAGGAGATGAAGATCTGAATGGTGGACCACCAGAGGGCTGGGGACCGCGAGCTCAATGCCAATTCCGGCCCCCTTTGCGCCAGCTGAAAAGCAAGTCTGTCGCCCGGCCACGCAGCGGATGAGAGGTCGGGTTGGGAGTTGGGTGCGAACGGTTCGCATTCTCGAGGGGGGATCTAAATTGTAGTCAGGCTGTGGTGCGCGGGCAATGTCTTGAACCGCTGCCAGGCGAGTCACTGGCATAAGTAGTCATAGGCTGATGTGTACAAATCTGAGCACGAAAATAGACTGGAGTATTGGAAGGGTAAGAATGGAGATTCTGGGGATGTTCAGTGAATGTGATGATGGAAGAGAGAAGTGAACGCACTTGCCAAGTTGCAAGTTGGCATGGAGAAAACGAATGCTACACTCAGAGACACATAATCAGACACGCAACCATTCACGACCGTGACTAATTCACGCATAGACTAGCCTCCATTAATACCCGACGGGACCGAGCAGTTGCGAGCTTGAATAAATCTCGGGGACCTCAGCGCTTACTTTACTTGGCCCGCCACCATCCAAGTTGCGTTCTCCTCGGCCCTGCTCTGGGAGCACTCAATCATTGACTGCTCTGACCTCGCAACCGTGATTCATATTTTGTGCATTTTGTTCAGAGTAGAATCCCTCCATCACGATACAGAATTTACTTTCATTCAATGCATATTCGACCATAGATTGCAGGACTTGAAATACCAGCCTCACCCAGGCCCAGGCCCTGGTCTCTCGGTGTAAGACGATAACGTCACCAGGCTTCCATTCACGACGGGGCGCGAACATCGGCAAACCTACCCCGGGCGTGAGCCATTCAGCCTCAGTTGGGGGCACAAATCACTATACGAATCCGGTTTACTATAAAGAACTGGACGTGTCTTCCTTCTGGCTCACACAGGGCACTCCTGTATTAAAACGATCTCCTGCTTTTCCTGGCGTGCACCGCCGCATGGCAGATTACTTTTCTTCGTTCCGCCACCCAGTCGAGGGCCTGCCTTAGACCCGGGAGGAAGGAGGTGGGGCAGCAGCAGCAGAGCCGCAAGTCCATGGTTCGCGCACCAAGTAAGTTTTGCGAACCAGATTAAGGCAACCCTTTTTTTCCCACACCGATGCCACCCCCCTCCCAATTTTTGAGAGAGATCTTTCGGGCCAACAGTGTTGCACTTTCTTAGGTCGCTCCTCCCACCCGAAGTGGCTCTCCATACCTGCAACTCAGTCCCCATCCCTCTGATACCCAACCACCCCCCTCTTCGCCGACCACCACGGTTAATCAACATCGCTACGGCTGCCAGCAAACGCTTAGCCCACACTGGCGATTTCGAGGCCATCTCAGGCAGTGCTCACTTGAACTCGTGGACTCTTTTGACTGGTTCATGCTTGTTCGATGTTGGTGTCGTTGGCCTCTATTCACGTACTCCGCACCCTCAGGTTCAGGCACCAATTCTCCGCCCTCGGCAACGTCACGCTTCTGCTTTTTCTTCTCTGCCTTGGGAGCTGTACCAGCATCTCCCCCAGTGCTCATTTCATTGCTTGTGCCTCCGGCGTCTTCGACGTATTCTTCGCAGTCCCACCCCCGTTGGACTTCCGGCCAACTATCTTCCTGAGCGGCGTCGACGTCGCGCCCAAGCTATCTGCTAACCCCGCGGTGCCACCACACCGGTACATGACCTGGACACGACGACGGCGGAAAGCACTTCAGTATGGACTTCACCAAAAGATGGGTCACCCATTTGCGGAGCAACCACCGTCAGGAAACCTCCACTCATACGTTTTTCTGTCCTCTTTGCAAATCTGAGTTGCCCAGCGACAGCGAGGACCTTTTTCGGTCCCACGTTCTTGAAGATCGTGAAAAGCACGCCGACTGGGCCACGGATGAAGAGATATTTAACGCCTACAAGCGCATCACAACTAAAACGTGAGTCCGCTTGTCCCGAAATCCTGACCGAAACCCTGATCATCTCTCTCTAGGCTACAAGAAACGCAACAACAAACGGATCGATCCCGCAAGCGTCGCGTATCGGGTGACCCGGAAGACACCGGCGATGTGGCCCAAGAAACTCCCGGGTCGAGCCCGGATCCCGGAGGCGGCGGCGGAGAGGGCCGGACCTTTAAGAAGCGGTCTCCGTCGGTGGATCACCAACCGGGCCCGTCACCGCCCGTGGCCACGAGTATCCGCAGTCGCGCCAGAGTAGCCGACCCGGGAGACAACTTCGACCGAGGCCCGAAGAATCCTTCTGGAAGACAGTTGTGGACTGACGGTGATGGCACTAAGACCCCCCAAGGCCGTTCGGTTCCCGCAGCCTCGTCCTCTGTCGCTCGACAGCCACCCTCAAATAAGGCAAGCCGGCAGTCTCAGCCTTCCTCCCACGTCAACGAGGCTGAGCCAGTAATCCAAATGATGCGCCAACCAGAGACCAGACCGATATCGCAAGATCAACTGGTCGCTGAAGTTAAAGGAATATATGCGGGCCTGGTCATGGTCGAAACAAAGTGCATTGAAGTCGACAATGCCCAGTCGTCAAACACAGATGCTAACAAACTCAATAACGAACAATGGCAAGCGCTAATCGCCCTCCACCGAACACTTCTGCACGAACATCACGACTTCTTCCTCGCTAGCCAGCATCCCTCAGCCAGTGTACCACTACGTGGCCTTGCTTCAAAATATGCCATGCCTGCTCGCATGTGGCGCCACGGCATCCACTCCTTTCTTGAACTCCTCCGGCATCGGTTGCCGGCATCTCTCGAACACATGCTTACCTTCTTGTATCTTGCGTATAGTATGATGGCATTGCTATATGAGACAGTGCCAGCATTCGAGGATACTTGGATCGAATGTTTGGGAGACCTGGGTCGCTATCGCATGGCGATCGAGGACGACGATATTAAAGATCGAGAGGTCTGGACCGGGGTGAGCCAGCACTGGTACAGTAAGGCTTCGAACAAGTCTCCAAACACCGGTCGCCTTTACCATCATTTGGCGATCCTGGCTCGACCCAATGCGTTACAACAGCTTTACTACTACGCGAAGTCGCTCTGTGTGCCGATTCCATTCCTTAGTGCGAGGGAAAGCGTTATGACCCTCTTCGACCCTATCTTGGATTCTGATCCGCGTCACCTATCAGAAGTCGATACCAACTTTGTCCGGGTGCATGCAATTCTCTTTTCGGGCAAAGGGGACGAGGACAAGCTTAAAGACTCCATGGAAAGGTTCCTGGTCATCCTTGATTCGAAAATTGCTGGACTCACAAAAAAGTGGCTTGAAGCTGGGTGTGTATTTTCGCAGCTCTTGAGGAATATCTATTAACATAACTTAGTTATTTCATGGGCATTGCCACCTGTTGTTCGCTCCTCGGTTATGGCAATGAATCTAATGTTCTCATGAAGGCTATATCTCAGCGACCAGATGAGACAGACGTTACCATGGGTAACTCGGTACTGGAGGTACCCCCTAGTGAATCCTTTAAGAAAGCACTCGAGTTTGCGGTCAAGACATATGAGATCGTCGTTCTCCGCTGGGGAGATACGAACACTCTTCCGTTCGTTCATACAATGATGGTACTCATCCACAAGTTGGCGCAATACCCGGCTGCTATGTCATACCTTGAACAGGTGTTTCCTTGGAAGTTGACTATGGTCATGTTAAACTACCACTTGACTTCGTGCGACTTCGAACCAAGAATGGACGGAGACTTCCCTGGTCCAGAGAAGGATGAGGCTCCCAGGCCTTTACCGGAGGATTATGCCATGCGAGGCCTTATCTACGTTGATGACTACTACCCTAAGTTGTGGTTCGTCAACGAGAAGATCGACGAGGACGAGAAGTACTTCGAACTCGCGTCAATGGTCGACCAGCGAAAGGAGCGAATACTGTATCTTGGTTACAAGATTGCAGCTCAGGGCACATGGTTAAAGTTTGACGCTGACAGTCGGCAGTTTTCCGTCGCAGACAAGTATGATGAGGACTTTGGTATCGTTTCTCGGCCAGCAGAGGCCCAGGAAATAACTCGGGAAGTGAAGAAGGATGGAAGGGACTTGGATTTAGATAACCCTCCTCGATTTCCTACGGATGAAACCTTGGAACAGAAGCTACCACTATGAGTGGCGTGGCGGGAGAGCAAACATCATATTACTGGAACTCGCTTGGTTTTTGGCCTACTGGAATGAGCACGTGGGGCTTTAAGACTTAATATTGCATCAACTTCAAACCCAACCAACCCTACTAGCTCTACCATCGACAAGCCCACGAGTTTGCAACCGTCAAAGACGCCACACACATGTGTTGTCGCCATGGCTTCATTCCGGCAATACTGAGAATGATGGGCTATGGATCTGCCTACTATAGCACCTGACGTGTCGCTTTGGTGCAAGAAACGGTCGTTGCGACTTGCAACCTTGACACACGCTCATGGTAGCGTTGGTACTCTTGCTGGTAGGCGAGTATACCGAGAGTTGGATTGATGGATATGCTCAAAGCGCTCTGAGACGTTGGACAGCTTTCTCAAAACGGACATTTCCTTTATTCTACTTCACTTATGGTCCTCACCACTATCCTTGAGAGCACAATATGTCGTCCATCGGTTCTGGAGTGCCCATAGGGCGAGATTAGATATATTTTGGCGGCGGTGTCAAGTACACCCAAGTCTTAGGTGGTGGCAATAGCTACTTTGTCGGTTCAATAAACATGCAATATCTTTAATCAAACCCCTGGCCCTTCTGCGATGGTTTCCTTTGCATGGCCCACCTGATGTAGTACATACAGAATGACTGTCGTTCACGGCTCCGACGGAGTGGTCTTGACGGCGGGATCGCTGTGGATCCCCCACGCTACTGGACTCTGCTGCAGGGTCCGACTCCGGGGGGGATATACAGGCCCCCGCCACCCATCTTTCCCTAAAGGGACAGTGCTGTTGGTTATGGCCCCCAAATTTCACTCCCAGGTTCGGCTGAGAACAGCCATGTGGAATTTGTATTTCTAATCGCATCGTCTTGCTGTGGAGTCGCAATTCGTAAGGAACGAGGCATATTCATTTGATTTTCGCACGCCGCGTGGAAATTCGGGGAACTTGCCTTCGGGTCAGACAGTGGCAAGTTGAAGGGAGAGGCGAACGCGACTAAGCAGGCCCGAATCCTCCGCCGAACCCGGCGCCATGACGACTGGCGACGGACGCCTTGCGACACACGCCTTCGGGGGCGATGGGCTTCGTTGGGTCTGAGCAAACTGCGCAATGGCGACGATGGCAAAAAAGCATCACGGGGGAGGATTTTTGCTCGCATTAACTGCGCCCCCGACTGGATTTTCAGCTCTCTCACGGATTTCGGGCGACGATGACTTGCGCCAGCGAGCTAAAACGCACAGGACTCTTACGAACAACCCAATCGGGGTAAATCTGGGGGGCCATGCGGGATGACGAAGAGCCACGTCGGCCGTTACCTTATTCTGGGTTTGCCATCAAGGCGCAGTCACCGACGGCGTGACACGGTGAGCAATCGCCGGCCAGGTTCACCGTGGGCGTTCGTGGCGAGATTGGGCGCAATTTCTTGCGTTGAATAGGCAGGTGACGGGTTGCTGCTCTTATCTGGCCGGGCTCCTCGGTGACGGGTTGGAGCAAGGCCCGTGGGGTGAGAGAGGTTATCGGGAAGCAGAATAGGAAGCTGGCTTCGTGGTTGAAAAGACAACTGTCCTCGTGGGGGGGACCGGTGATCAAGACGAAGATATAGGCGTGGGGGTTGGATTGTTCAATGGCATTATTGATGAGGCGAGAGCTGATAGTTATCACAGGCGGTATCACTTTTGCGGCGGGCAACCAACTATCTTGACAGACCAGATACTGGCCAGAGCTCTATCAAAATTATTCTCAAGACCACGGACGGTATTGGACCTCGATTGGTTTAATTTGTTGGACGTGGGGGGTTGCGAGATTGGGATTTGTGAGTGTTGGCAACTGACTCACGGGAGAAACACGATGACGAGTAGGGAAACTCCTCAAATTGCTACACCTTGTAAGTATTTGGCATCGTATGACTGATTTTCGTTAATGGAGGTAACAAGGGACCAGAAACTCTAATATGGGAAATGTGTTCCAACTACAACGACTGTCGTCTTATAGAATCCGCGGTCCTCGGAGATGATTGGCGGATTTCCTTGTACATACGTACGCGACTAGGAATCCTATTTCCAAGACTCAAGTATCGATATTGGATATACCGTTGGGTCTTTGGTACTCACTTACGAGTCATTAGCGACTGACACATCTCCGGGCACCTGTCAGTCAACCAACCCTTCACGTCTCTCCGTGCACGGCCAGCCAGCCAGCCAAGCGAGTGGAACCGCCGCCTCGAACTTAAGGGTCCATCGCTAAGCCCCTGGCCGGTCTGGAACTGCCCATATTAATTAGGTCGGTTGCCTTGGCCGGAGACGAAGTAGACGGCTGCCTACTCACCGCTACTCGTGATGCTAATGCTAAGTCCGGTACGCCTCGCATGGCGGGATTTCATGTGACGTGTTGATGCCCCTTCCCCCCTCGCGTGCTCCAGAAGGCAACCAGCGCCATTACAAAAAGAATTGCTAAGGAGCCTCCACTCTTGTTTGCCTTCTCTCGTCGGTTATGTCTAATTACGGCTTCTAAGCCCCCTGGCTTACGTTTGCCATAGCAACGTCAGCGGGCTATGAAAAGCCCCGTTTTCAGCTGGAGAGCTGAGCGAACAGCAGCCTAGAGTTACCCATGTAAGAACAACGGCTTTTCCGTAAGCAACCGGGATTTCGACTCGGTTCTTTTATGTCAGCGGGGTCGGATAATATGCATCTCCGTTTGTCCAAGCGACTGGTTACAGACGCACCCACCACCGAGGCATTTGGTTGCCTGGCAAAGCAATGTGACGACATGATTGCTTCTCGATTGGCTCTCCGGCTATCATGTCTTAGTCTAGGTTAGGTGAGCATGACACTGATAAGTTCTTGTGGACGAGCCGCAGCACTTTGACGCAGTGGTGATACTGGGTGGGGGAGGACACCCTCTGGATTCGTCCATCCATTGGTGTGGTGCTCGCCTCACTTTCAGAGCAACCCATATCGGTGTGTAGGGATTCGACCACGATATCGCCTTGGACGTGGGTGTATTCTTTTCTGAAGGCAAAACCACCCATGCTTTTTGGCCCATCGTTATTGGGAGAAAGACTGGGGATCGGCTCCTTAGCCGCACCGTTTTCTTGTCGCCTTGCGGAGCCTGGTTCGCGAATGTGAGGCTCAACGAAGATCCTTGCACCTTGGGAGTCTACGAGCTTCCCCGCAATACCTACATGTGTCAAACTTGCCGATGGCCATGTGGGACCGGGTTGGTCTTTGCTTGAAAGCCGGCTCTTGTGATGATGGCCGGACCCGATCAAGAGTTCCTTTCAACCCACTTCCGTCTTCTGGTGACCCTATCTGTGGACGCAAAGAACAGATCTAGCCCGGGCTTACTGCCTAGATCGGAAAATGTCTAGAAGGCGTTCGTCGATCATCAACCGGCGGGCCGGGGCGATGGAAGTGGCCGAAGACCCCAAGCCGAAAGTATCGCAGGCCGAGGTATCATTGCCGGCCCCGGATGCCGACGGCTTTCCGGATTCGGAGCCCGGTAACTCGGTCCCAAGAACCCATCAATGTTTAATGCAAGGCGAACCGAGTCTTGCGTTGTCTCTCGTAGAACAGATGTGGGGTGTTCTGTCGTTCGAGTGGGGAGTCGAGTGGCCGGTTTGATCGGGTGACATCGCCCTGCTTCTCCGAAGCGGCGAAAGAAAAGAGCCCACATGACGATAACTTACCTCACCTCGGGGAAGAGCTGCACTTTATGATAGGAGAGAAAGCCGTTTTGCACAATGCAATTATGGAATCGTGACGTGGATCTGCCACGTAGGGTCACGCAAGCAGGAATGGTGTACACCCTTTCCGGCTCTGCTCAGAACTGCAAGGCAGGCCAAGCTTCGAGTTAGAAGCTCTTGTTTCAAGCCCCACGTTAACGGCTACATGCTCGAGGCGTCCAGTTGCCTGCCTTATGCACACCGGGTGGGAGAGGTGGTGGTCAGATTTTACCTGCATTCAGGCCGTGATCGCCGTGATGGCACATGTGAGTGGCCCTCAATGCAGCCCCAGAACAATCCAATGTGCGCAGACGCCTTTTTCATAACAGGCCACGAATCAAGAGTAATGTTTTGGTGAAAACGGAAATTAATAGGCATCCCGAATAACACTAATGCAAGTCTTCGTGTAATCCCTCAGGCGTAGACCGATGAAGAACGCGATATCGCTCGAGGCATTTCTGTCCAGGGCAAGAGGCAGCGGCTAGTTCAAAGGCGTAGCGCAAGACGCAAGGCAAATTTAAAGGCAGACCCTGCATGATTGGAAATCACTGAGCGGTTTTCTGGTTCGATGTCACTGTTGCATTGGGCTCGGAAACTGCCGGAGGAGTGCAGTTACCAGGATCCAGTTGAGTCTACAGGGGCCATAGAAGTAAAAACGACGCAAGGGAGAAACTAGTAGAATAGAATAGAATATATGTTAACAAGGAAGAGTAGAAAGGTATATTGGTATTGTCATTTGTTTGTTTGTCAAGCTCATGAATGTAGAGTTCCTTTTCTAGCTATTGCGGTTTGAGGGAGAGGATCTATTAAATTTGAGAATCGGAGAAGTAAAAGATAGATCCCACGAGATACCCACTATCGTTCCAAATCGGTGGAATACCTAAGGGCTTGCGGTTTGTTTCCTAGGTCAAGTCTTACTGCGTCTCTGAGATCAAGCACACATCAATTTGGGAAGTCTAAGGCGGGCCAAGCAGGTTTCTAAATAGAAATAAGAGTCTCAAAAAATCCCGCAACACCTAGTTTATATCCCAAATCATAGGAAATTCAAGGAGCTGCCTTTTAAGCCTTTCTAAGTTCCCCTAGTTGGAGGCCAACTTCTTTCCCATGCAGAGCCAGGGACGCAGTGGCTAAGCACCAAGAGTATTGTGGCTGTCTCGACATGATTTAGTGATCAGTCCGTATAAAGAAAAAAGAATCAGAGGTGAACATAATCCCGGGTCAACCAAGTCTGGTTATCTTCGAGTCCAATGTAAGCGCTCTGCCAATAGTCTCTGGAACCATCGCCAACCTCCGCCCTCGACGCCTCCTTAGTTGCCCCAACATCCATGATGACTATAAGCTTTGCCGTGGGGGCACTGAGACATATGCAAACTAAACAAGTTGTCCACCACGTTCGCCAGTTCTCCCGTTGATTTCGGTTGGCTTCATCGCTGGTTATGAAGAGATGGCAGCGGTGGCCTCAACATCCAGTTTATATGTACTGAATATTTACAAAGATTTCATCGAAGTTTAATAATTTTAAGGTATCTTATCTGGACATAGAATTAACAACAACCTCTCGAATTTCGCCTAGGATTGAGATTGCCGTTCATTCGTTGACGTTGATTATGTGGCGTCTACTGATCAGGACCCACACTCAAGAGGAGTTGGGTGACAGGGAGAACATTAAAGAGATGCGTGGTTGCCTGAAAATAACAGTTATTTGTAAGGAAGCACATAGTAGTATTTGTCGTGGTCGCCGGCAACACATAGCAGCTTTTCGTTATTAGATACACTTCATTCAATCTGGATGTGACTCGTCTTTTCGACGCATCGCCGAGTTGTTCAATGTCAACCACTTTACCGCAAGTTAAGCCCGCCTCTAACTTATTCCTTTCATCCAGTTAGACATGTCTGGCCTTTACTTATGATGAAGCGCGAAGCAAGCCGAGGTATGTCTCTGCCTTTCTGGTTAGGATGGCCACACTCTTAGGCTCAGGTGATCACCATCGAGTACATCCGGGTTAGGAACTGCGTCCTTGGGCATACTGTTGCGACGAAACACGCACCTGTTGAGCCTGCTGTTGGCTGGGACGTAGATGCGCTCTTGTCACGACCAAAACACGAACAAGACCGGTAAGAGACATCGTCAAATCAAACACATCATTCTCAGGAGGCTAGAAATCGTCGAAACCCGAGCGCCAGAGACCCCGCAAAGGAGGAGAGTAGCCTGACTGCGAATTATGACAAATTTCATGTGACGCTTCCTACTCGGAGCGGAACTGTTGCACTAATTTGGAACTGGGCTCTCATTTAGAAACCAGGCATCCCAAAACGCCACGTCAACGCAGTTAGCTGCTATCGCACAGACAACGGGTGATCTAAGATAGGCAGTAAATTCCCGACACCGAACACTCAACTCGAATAGCAATGAGCAGGCTCAATCTTTCGCTCTCTTCTCGAAGTCTGGCTGTGAGGCTTCACGGGATGACCCTCTGCTCCCGTGAATCTCCGTCCCATACCGGGGTTAAAGATTGGCGAGAAAGGGTAAAATCGGTCAAACGGACCATTCTGTGTCGCCACTCAGGTAGTTGATGGGGAAGCAATCTGAAATCCCGAGCACTGTGCCATGTTCACCTGTGTAGGAGTATGGAACTGCGAGGACTGTGCATGCACATTTTCGCCGCAAAAGACGAGCGCCTATATCTACAGCTGCATCTGGTGGCAGCCGAAATTTACCACTGGCACGTTTCTAGGACCTTTAGTACTATGCGACCTGATGCTGGTGCTATTCCCCTACTTAATCGTTGCCGTACTCTGGTTATCGGTCGGGCAGGACGATGCTTGATGACTTGGCGGGCAACTCTGCTCACTTACGGTCTTCTCTACGTATCAGTCTGCACTCCCATCATTATACTAAGAAAAGCGGCATCCACATTCTCAAAGCTAGCCTACAAGTCCTGCAGCGCACCCAAGAGTGGTCCAACGACGATCAATACCCAGGGGTCAGTTAAGACCAAACTAGACGGCGATATCTCAACAAAGAAGTTGATTCAGCACCGTAACGAGGCCAAGCATCACTGTTAAAAAATTTTCAGGCTGGGTACCTTGTAGGATAAGAGCTGAGAGCACAAAAACGTTGATATTTGCTCGTTTAGATTGCCCAGTCCTTCTATCCAGGTGCCCGCAACCCTCAAATCGTCCGTAGGCCCGCAAGGTTGTGAAAAGTCTTCATCAGAAAGAATTTAAACCATTTCAAAATCTGATCTCTTCTTTGCATTCGTACGTTATTCCCAAATACTTCTGTATCTTTCATCCTCGGATCACGCAGCCGCAATGTCGCAGGAACGTCACAAACGGAAGATGACCTTCAAATATGCGAAACTATCCAGCTTTCCGGCCCCTGTCAAAGTTGCAAGTGACCTTGGTAATGCCTTGCGCAGTCTTTTGCGTCCGAACTCACCCTCTGGCTCCGAACTGCCCAACGTGGACCATCTGCGGATTCCCAAGAACGTCGTCGAGACTCGGGTCACCCCACGGCAATGCATCGCCCACCTCCACCTGTTGGAAGAGTTTGTATCGGCAAAGACAAAAGTAACAAGGTGGGCTGACCATAATATGATTCACCGCGAGTCAGCCTGGAGGTTTTATGTCAACATGGCGGTTGAGCGGATGGCGAAGTGGTTCGAAGCCTCCTATGAGCTTAACTTGAAGAATGTGACTCCCCCACTGGATGTGTTGATGGTTTGGCACGCCTTTTTACAGAGTCCAAAGGAGTGGGATCGATTTTCAAACCTTGCAAGAATAGATCATCATAGTTGGAACTGGGATTCTTTGGTAAGTTGGCTCCCTGCAAGTCAACACGCCGGGCTGACATATTCCCAGCTCAGTGCACTACGGACGACCGACACTTGCAACTTTGAGATCCCAAGGGACTCAATTGATATCGTCCGACAAATCTATCCCGCACCTGATCTATTGGAGCTTATGGACCTCTCTACATCGTTTTTTCAGTCGCCAAATCCGGACGACACAACCGAGCATCTTACCCATCTCTATTTACACAGAAAGAAAGTCCATTCTTTCAAGACGCCCAATCGGCATTTAAATATCCGCTTCGATTTCCACGAGGCGGTGGGTGCTCAACTAGGCTTCGCAAATCGGCTGCTCCAATACTCCTGGCATCGGATGTACTCGGTCGAAACTGCCAACGAGCCACAGTTCGGCGCCGCTATCGAGCGATACAAGAAGTTCATGAGCCTGATCAAGTTTTCGTCCGGCAGTCACTCCAAGGAGCCACTAGCACGCGCGGTACCGAATCTCGTCCCCGCTCTGGATATTGACCTCGTCTGGAGAACCCATATGCTATCGCCCGGGGAATATCGTGGATTCTCCAACCACAACCATGGCAGGCTCCTAGAACACAGACCAAGCCCTCATAACGCCGTGTCCAGACTCAAGACTGCTGGTGTTTATCAGCATGTATTTGGGGAGGAGTATGATTTGTGCTTGTGCTGGCCCTGCGTTGATGGTCGAGAGACTCGAGGCTTCTCTCCGGTAAACTGGTCTCCGAGGCCGACTTTTGACGAAGAGCGGGCCGCGGAACTTAGCCGCCGACTTTCTTTCATCATTGAAATCCCCTTGACCTTTAGCATCAAGCAGTGCAAGAAGTGCGGATTTCATAGTCGTCGAGGCTGCAAGCCCGGGGACGCTTTCAACGGTCCAGACTGGCAAGTTGAACCTGCTCTCCAGAACCCCCGAATCCCAGTAGTCATACGGAACGAGAGGATCACGCACAGGATCCCTACTCCGTGGGCTAGATCAAACCTTGACTCGTCGCCGGGACTTAGAGCCATCCGCGCTGAACTGGGCCTCCCACCCGTTGGACAACGCACCGGACCGATGGTCCCGCCTCCCCGTCATCAGTATAGACATATCGCTACGCAAGCAACACCATGGGCACGTCAACTTTCATTCAACAGCTCTAAGAACAAGGGCCCTGCTCGAGCCCTCTCCCAAAGATCCCTTCATTCCGCGGGTAGCGAGAGGGACACCGCCCAAGAGAGTAATTACACCCACCTCCCGGCTTCCTACATGCGATCGCCTAATCATGTGGCTGAAGCGGGACCTTCCACCATCAACAGAAACCGGGAGGAGTTATATGAGGGACCGCTAAGTGATCCTGATTTTGCGGATAATGTTGGCAGCCGAATGGGCATCGATGTGGGCTTGTGGATGTCAGGAGTGGTACCATCTCCCTGATACTTGCCCTGATACTTGCCGGCCGATGTCCCGATGACGGCGGCAAACAATGACGCCCATTTGAGTTTGGCTGCATAGCTTAGGGTCTTTTGTCGATATCGTATTCTGCGAATTAGACTAGATTAATCCATGTGTTTTACCTCTCTTGCCCCTGGACATGCTCCACGAGAAGTCTGAGCGCAACAACGACAATTCTTAGCGATGGCACCATGGGAGACAAGCCCAGGATGAGGACAGAACTTACCTGACAGCTAGCCAATCCTAAATGGTAACACCTAACTCTCCTAGGCTAAGCTCGTCTCGAATGCACGCATTCGAATCGCGAGTCTTGGTGTATGAGACAGGGCAGTGCGATAATTTGTCATTCTGTGAAGGTTTTGCCGCGGGCGCCGCTGCTAGACCATTATTCATTGTTAGCATTAGCGGGATGGCGATCAGAGCATGGCTCTGACACATTCTCCCCTCGTGGATTCAGAATGTCTGAGATTGCTTCTGGAGCATTGCGGCGAAGCTGGTTCCACGTTCTAGTCCCGGGACGGAGACTCGGTGTTGATCCCAACCCCGGGCGATCCAGAATCCGATGGGATTCGAATGGCAAGCCTCTCAATCTTACTGAACATGATCTCCGCCCTGTCGTTGCTTTTCCTCGCTCTCGTTTACTCGTAACCGCCAATTGCCGCGGAGGCACGGTCTAAGACATCTATGTATCACTCCACATCTAGAAACGTCGACCCCCAACCGCCACCCTCCAGCCACCGCGTCTGACCTTATCCAAATGTGATATCTGACATCTGTGGCTCCTGACATGAATGTCTCCCTTGGCGGGCGTACAGGCATTGCAAGGTCTAACACAAGGCCTATGCACGGCGCTACCCTCCAATTCCCCGGAAAAAGCAACGGGCTGCATGCGGAGTGGCGTTCAACTGAAGTGCGGTTGTGTGGGAAGAGTCTGCCACTTTGCTCCTGCGAGGCAAAGCAAGGAGAGTCTACCGGAGGGTCGTACGAGTATTAGTGTGACAAGGCGAGCTACGAATGGCAGGAAAAGGAAAGGGATACATTGCCGAAGGTATAGCCACCGTCAGTATAGCCACCGTCAATATAGCCACGTTAGCGTCCACATCGCGGGTATTGGGACGGAGCTCTCACCGAAGACGTCGAATGAGCCCCGGACACACGATGCCCATACCCCCATTAACACACCAAGGGACTACACCGAGGGAAGGACAATAGCTCTACCTCTTCTCCGAAGCGGAAGCCTTGTAGACATATGAAAGACGGAATATCGCCTTCGTTAAGCATGGTCCAGACACGCTATTGTTCCACGGTAGCGCCACCTGCCATGTTGCCTTCCCCAAGCAGCTTGACACACTCCCAGTCACAAGTCTCACACACCCAACGTTGCCCTCGGGTGGCCTGGGTTCAACATCGCAGAAGCTACGCCAAGATATTGAGCGTATTAACACAGTCTTACAATGCCTTCTTTTCTCGAAACAGGGCTTGCGTCCGGTGAGTTATGTGGCGTCTCTGCAAGGGAGACAATCGGCGTCCTGCCAACAAAATCGGCAGCAGTGGTAAGAACGTGGCACCCAGCCAGACCACTCTGTGGACTCTCCGGCCTGGGCAAGACTGGGGTTTTGGGGCGGAGCTGTAGCCGTTAACGCCGACCAGATCTCGACATATCAAAGCTGCATCGAATGCCCCCAACACTGCAGGTGGGACAAATCATCGCGGCCAGCCCCCATAGGCGCCGGGTAGCCCGAGCTGCCATCGTCCCCTGTGCAGATGATCAGCACGAATCTTTGGTACGGCCCGAGAGACCAAAGCCTGGCTCTCGACGAGGGGGTGGATGGGTACGTCTCATGCAAGGTGGTTACATTGAGAAGTCTTAGCTACAGGAGACTGTTGATTAGGAGGCGCTTATAAATCCGGGGGGGGGGGGTCAAAAAGAGCCAGGACTGCGAATTGGGAATGGGGCGTGTGGGATGCCGGCCGTGGGATGCTGGCAGGCGCAATACGGATGAATCGTGGACCGCATGTACATAACGCAGTACACCTGGAGGGATCCTTGGGCATGCCGGAAAGTGGGTAGTCAACCAGCGGCCAGGCTGTGTCCAAAACTCTTTTTGCTCATTGAACACAGAGGGATCCGTGGCGTCGGTCATGACAGCCCCCTGAATAGCGTCACGGCAAATTCTGTAAATCATGACGCGATACGGCTCGCACACTCCCGTGCCAAATACTCCGTCTTTGCTGCCCGTTTGAGGTGCGAGTTCCCGTACCCGCAAGCGGCTAAAGTGGTTTCCTGTTCAAGGGGCGATCACATACGTGCCCTTCGCTTGCAGAGCCCTACCCCACGGATCCAGACAGGCCAAGCCCGATGACTGAAGAGTTGTGGCCACCCTCCCAAGGGTTCGGCCCGCAGGCCGATTTGGCGGTGCTCTACTCCGTACTGCAGAAAGGTGCAGCTGGCGATCCCCCAGCTTGTGACAGGGAGGAGTTCTTGCCACCTCAACTATGTAGGTCAATGTGGGAGATGATTCGTGGAGGACCGACTGACCACCCTTTACGAACAGGGTTTCTTGATGGCCGTTATACGTTCGCTTAAGGGCCTTGCGGTCCCCTTATTCGTAGCTAATAAACAGAACCAGCCAGGAGGCTTGGCAATCATTGTACTCGTCCATGTCATCGAAACCAAGAGGGGAACGGCAGTTGTCGGCGGGTCGTAATTAGCCTATCGTTCTCTCATGAATCGTACACTCCAGGATGTACAGACACGGATATCCCCAGTTGTATGGTTGATGATTGTCCCCCTGATCGCCATCCATACTCCTCTGCAATGGGAATCGTACCCAGTGGCGTGCGCTTTAGAATTGGTGAAAGCACCGAGTCCTACTACGGACTACGTAGTAAAGCGGGCTCGCTGGCCCAACGAATCCCACCGTGAGGCCATAACCCGCAGCTAGATGCACCCACAAGGTCATCCTCGATTGAGCATAACGCAGTGTAGTTTTATCTCCATGAGGTTGAGCACGTTGCCGCAAATACCCCTGGAAGTCGGCAGGCAGGCAAACTTGCCACAGCACGTATCCTTGCCAGCCAGGGCAAGGGGATTTGGCTCTTGGGATCCGGAGGACTAGGTTGAGGATCTTACATGCCGAAGATCTCTCTGGCAGAACGAAGGGACGTGAGTAGGCCGCGACGGGAAACTCGGAACAAGGAGGTTCATGCTAGTTTGTTCGCGCCTGACCCTTCACAAATGGCAAGGCAGTAGATCAAGTGTCCCCGTCCCGGCCGATGGTTGCCAAAAAGGGTAATCATGTCGTCGCAGTGGAGTCCTTGAAGGTATGTGGCCCGTGGGCATTCGGGGTGCCTGGTTCTCGAGCAAGGAAGAGGGTGTTTGTCAGTGTGAAGGAATACGGATGCAAGGACAGACAGAGGCTGACAGGGGATGGGTTCCATGTGGACAGCGTTGCCGTCAACTAATTAATAGAATGAGAAGAAGTCGAAGTCATGGCATCTCCGAACTCAATTCGGAGGCGACGCGTTGCGATGGCTCGGGTCTTCCATTGCCCTATGCATCCGGCTATGGCTGCTGCTCGCCCACATAGTGAAGTTGAGAATGCGCGATGCGCCCTGTGCCTCGATGCTGGAGGTCCGCACAAGATTCAAAGCCAAGCACCAAGCCCAAGCCCAAGGCAGCGCCGCCGCGCCGTGTCCTCAACGCCCGCCGCCTTGGGGCCAAGTTAGCGTGGCCTAGCCCTCACAACAGGGCTGCAACTGATGGTGCCAGCAGACGCAAGAGATTAGTATCAGGCCACTATGGACGAGTGGAGCGTAGGGTCAAGGGGGTGGCTCCCGAATCGAGTTAACCCACATCTCGCGTGGCCTCCATCGTGGACCAACCGGGGTCACCCCTGCTGATCGCCGCGGCCTCTGGAGATCACAGGAAACCTCGTGGGGACTGTCAAGTGAGGGACCAAACGGGACGCCTCTAAGAAGTAGCTTGGCGTTCTCGACCTCCTGGGGAAAGTTGCCTCATGACCGGCCTCCGAAGTGGGTTCCGCGGCGGCCGGAGGTGGTCAAGGTCGTACTTCGTTGGACGGCTTTTTGCATTGCGCCTCGGCCAAGAAAAGTCCGGACAGGATGAGCTGGTTACTGTTAGTTCAGGCTGTGAATGAACTCTAACGGCTGGTGTTATGAAGTCCCCGCCCATCACCCAAGGATGCATGGTCTGCGATGATGGTGACACAGATGCGATCCGGAAATTGCGTACCTGCTTCACTCAACACAAATAGCGAAGCCAGAGAGGAGAGGTAGCGGAATGTGGGACGGAGCGTCCCGGCATGCAACTGCAGAATGGTGAGTGCGACGCTGCAGTGGACACGGGAAATGGAGACTGCAACGCAAAAGGAGATGGGGATGGGCATGGCATTGAGACGAAGATGGAGATGAAGATGGAAATTGATATGGGGATGGAGACCAATACCAGGACGCATCATCTCAAGGTTCGCCGATGATGTTCATTGCATGCATTCCTGGGAGGGCCAGCAGTGGCCCCATGCACGGGGGCAGACCTCTCCCATATCCGTAGTTAAGCCGCAAAGGGAAGTGGCGGAGAATGTGATTTTAGCTTTCTGTGCAACGGCACAGTCAACGGTTATGACATGGATGGTGAAGACGATGGAATGAACGGATGGATGGCATCGAGTGAGTGGAGTTGGAGAAGTGGATGAAGGTTTGATTTAGGGACGAATACAGTAGAGTGTGATCAAAGCACGCACCACGTCATTACCACGGGTACGAAATGCGAAGCACGAAGCGTGAATGAGAAGGTACGTAGCAGCGTGATATTGCAAAATGCATCCATCAAGGCAAGCGCTCTGCCGTTGTCGGCGCGTGCAGTGCCTGGTTAAGGTCAGGTCGTGCCTACGTCAATCTTGCTTCGGGCGGGAAGGACTGGCTGAACTGTATTTGACCGCGGCACGACCAAGCTTGGTTCAGGGCCCTATGCCTAGATACACCGGTACTACGTAGTACGAATTGACGTCGGTGACAGGCCCCTCGTACAACCTACCCGCCTAATTATGGAAGCCCACCCCTGCTCGTTAGGGCTCACTCCAGAGTTCAGTGGGTGGAGGAATCCCAGTTGGAGGGATTCCAGAGGAGACATTCCGGGCGAGGGTTTCGAGGGAGCTACTCCTTAGCTTGCCAAGGAACCTTAGGCTCCTGGTTGACACCAACTAAACCCAGCGAATCCAGCCTCCCGAAGGCCCCGAGGGAACGAGTCCCTTCCAGCAGAATTCTAGGCGCATCCGAAAAACCGGCGTCTGGTGGGATGGTTGTGTCAGGTTCCTTCCTCCCAGGATGTCCCGAGCGTGTCCCAAGCGTGTCCTGAGCGTGTCCCTCGTCGACGTCGACGGTCCACTTAGGTGGGGCCTTTTCCTGCATGCATTGGATCCCTTTGCCTGCAGCATGGGAGATGCAATGGGGAGCGCGTCTGAGGCATCTCACATCTCACATGCGGTGCCTTCCCAGTTCCCTTGGCTGTCGTCCACGCCGTCCACACCGTCTACGAAACAGGCAGGTACCTGCTTCGCCATCGCTCCTTCACTAAACTGGCGGCCGTTGGTTCTTCCGAATCCTCAAGCCACGCGTCATCTCATATCTTCCTCCGCCGGGGCTCCGTCCGTCCTCGGTTCCTAAACTCACCCTTCTCCCGCGCCGCCCGCGACTTGGGAGGCTTGGGAGAATGGGGATAGCCACAACATTGGTCGACCCGTCAGCACCAACACACTTCCAGCTCACTCCTTCAATCTTTGCTTTTTTCAGTGCGACCCTCGCCCCCCTTCGTAACGTCCACGGCAAACTTAGTCCCCACCGAACGGTGCGGGAAGCTTCCCCCAGCCCGCCAGTCCTGTACTGATCGACAGATTTCTTCACACCCTCAACCCTGTCTCGCATCGACCAGTTCTGGAAGTGCCCCGGCACTACGGAGGCCCAGACGGATATTCCCAGCCAATTGTGCCGCCTATGCTGGAACCAAATTGCATCCGATTGACTGGTCGTCCAACTAGCATTACTGTAAGGCTTGGTCTGTGTGGTGTCAACCGGCACCCATTTCCATCCTTTCCTACGACCTCTCCATCTCACCTACAGTTGGAGCGCGGTCGTGGGGGTTCCAATGCCAACAAGAACCTCCCTGTCTCTAACCCAAGCGAGGTACAAGCCTTTCGCCAGCCGAGTTTCCATGGCTGCCGCAGCTCCCGTTTTCACAGACCCCACATCCGCCGTCGGCTCTGGAAGCGCGTTTTAAACCAAGACACGGCACTAACATGGCCACCGCCCGAACTCGGAGCCGGGGCAGACAGGACAACCGCTTACTACGTAGTGCTACCACCGCACGTTAGCTCAACTCAACTGAGGGCGAGGCTACATTCGGTTCGCAGCACATCATCACCTCGGCACGCTACCCAGTCTTGAACTGCAGCACCGGGAACATGTTTCACCACTCTAATAGCTCGGCCCTGCATTCTCGGGAGGACCCTCCATATCTGAGCCGCTGATGAGCTATTCCGCTCTAGACCAGTCTGGGGAATCCTCCACCGCTCTCTTCCTGCTCCCACCGCAAATCCCAGTTATCGCATCACCTTGCCCGGTCGAGAATCTTTCCTCGTCAACATCCACTTGGTCCTTGAGGCATCGCTGGTTCGCTGCCATCCCCTGATCATCCCCCTGCCTCTTGCTCCTCTCTTCTCTCAGCAGTGGGTGTGAACTGTTTTTTTTTTCTTTCTTTGAGGAAACATGACCCCTACCTGCCGAAGATTGACATCGACGGCCCTACAGTATCATTGTCTATTATCCTAGATGGCCCACCATTTTATGCTGCGACCCACCGATCGGCATTGCAACAATCCCGACACTGACGGCCTGACCGGCTGTGCCCCAACACTAGCTGCCCAAGGGCATCATCACTCCTGAGATCCAGATACTAGCAAATCTCCGAATGGTCAACACTGGCTGCATAACCACATTGTTGGGTCCTAGGCAGTGGGCAAATGGAGAAGCCACCGAAGTACCTCCGCTGCAAAAGTGGCCTGAGAGCACAATCAACCACGAGGCTTCTCAAGAGGTAAACATTTCCAGGATGCCCTGGGGAATATCATCGGGGATTATGGAGAACTAGGAACGGATGGCCCCAGCATTTGCGCACCTCACTTTCGTGGAGTGAGACGAAAGGTCGGCACAGGAGACTCTATCCCTTCCCTTTACGACAAGCGATTAAGCCAGCACTTGCTTAAACCCACCATCTGGCATCGCGATGCATGACGTTGATATGCATTTCATTTGCAGGCACTGATTTGAGTGTCGTCCTGCACTGACTCCCGAGATTTTGCCCTATGCATAAAGCTAAGGAAGGATGCATACAAGACATCAAAGGCTTAGACGAGCACCCACAGTTCCTGCTCCCTCTTCCAAGGCGCGGCTTGTCACCGACAATCCGCGAAACTAAAGCATCCCTAACAACTGCCGACAGAGGCTCAGCACCACGAGAGGATAGCGCTGAGAATTGCACCGGCGTTGCCTTGGCAGAGGGCGGTGCTAGTTGGCGTGGCTGGTGATGGCGCGGCCACAGGGAAATGGCAAAAGCAACGCCAGGGCTTCACACGTGTCGTCGCTTAAGGTTTGACAGACGCGGATAGTCGAGGCGTGTCTGGCTCTGTTTCAAAGGCGAGCACGCGCCGGTTACCCTGGTGCAAACCAAATATGTGCTCGCCTCCTTGAGGTTCTGGAGGAGGTATGCGAACGCGATGTTTGGGTATCTTCACCATTCATCCGTGGGTTTCAATACCACAACTGGCGAGCCAATGCATTCTCACCCACCAACCAGAGTTTCATAGACTGTCAGAGGTGATTTTTGCAGCCAGCCGCCGTCATTCAAGGGGAAGCCGGGCGCTAGCCTACCCCTCTTCAAACGCTTTGTCGATCAACGAAGCCCGTGCCAAGGAAGCCCACCATTGTAAGCGAGGAAGGGAGGCGCCCGCTAAGGCGACGATCATCCAAATTAGCCCGTTTTCCTCAGAAGGATGAAAACACGACCCTTAAGAGACAGGGACGCAGATGTCAGATGCAGCGAGCCCTAGCGCCCAACCACCACAGCCGGGCCCGCGGGATAACGCGGTGCCGACACGCCATCGTCGCGCCGTCAACTCGCTTACATGGTCACAATTCGACCCCACGAGACCAGTGCATGAGAATCTGCGAATCTGCAAGCGATACGCGCCGGCCGGCAGGAAACCTCTCCCACACTCCCGAGTCTCCCGCGTAGCCACACCTTACACCGACACGTCTCAGTTCCAACTGATCCAACTCCAACTTGGTTGTTTAAAGATGGGATGAAGAGTTCAGATCGCCCGGATACCCCGTGTCTGTGTCCTGCCCTGGCGGAAGTGCGACGGTTCGTGCGGCGCATGCCAGTTGCCACATGCCTTCCGTCTCGTCCAGCCCGGTACATTAAATTCTAATTTCCAGTCAAGAACTGACTAGGTCCCTTGAGATTCTGACGTCCTCTTCATAACCATATCCGTCCTTGAATTCGCCACTGAGGTCAAAAACCTGCTTGGGGGATACGAAAAGTCAATGGAAATTTGGCATTTAAAGTTTACCCCTTGCGACAACTTAGAAAGGCGTGCAGTCGCCATGGAATACCGTGAGAGCTCGGGTATCGCGGTGAGAGGCAGACAGGCAGAGAGGCACTGTCCTGGAACAGAGACGGCAAACCCGCGACATCTCAGACGCCTGGCGTTGGATGGCGGGTGGCGTTCAGTCACCCCGGCATGATGGCAACTCGAGAATCCGGTCACATAGAGCACACACGAAACGTGACTGAGATTCGTGAGAGAGGAGAGTTTCGAGTCCAAGACGGTCTCAAGTTGCACCCTGAGCGATTCAAACTTCGAGGGCAAGGGCTCCAGGGTGATAGCCAGGACCCTGGTCTCAAAACACAAGCCACGGGTGACAAGACAAGGGTGGATTGGGAGCGGGGCCTCAAGTGCTCTGAACGGCACTGACGTCCTAAACGGGAAATAGTGGTCCGGGACTCAAAAGTACGACGCCGCCGCCGAGATGGCAGGGCTTGACTGGGTTGATTTGGGATGAAGACTGTAGGTCTGGGCCAGGCGACGTGGACGGGCCACAGAGCGCGCCGCGAACCCAAGGGTCGAGTTCACCATGCTTGTTCTTGCCTGGTTTGCCGAGGCGGACAATGCGAAGCAGCGCAGGACCCCTTCAGATAAGCCGTCGAACTCAAGGCAGGAGCATAATATGGATGGGTGGGAAGGGAAGGGAAGGGGAGGGAAGGGAAGCACGTCAAGCAGGCAAGACGACGATCAACACCACACACACACACACACGCACACGCACGGCACAATAGGAGGCAATCCAGTGGATGCCAGGGAACCAGGATCTCGATGATTTGCCTATTGACCGTTGACCACGCAGCGATCCATGAGGATCCTGGCGCCGGGCCACGCACTCTGGCACACTCCCTCCTGCGTAAGGTAGGAGATCTCACCCTCGCCCACACCCACCGCTCATCCTTCCCCTCCGCGCCGTTTGGCACACCCACTCGCACGCCCCTCTTGATCCTCCAAGACGCCACGGGGTGGGGACTCACTGCCGGGACAGACATCATACCAAGGCCCATCGGCCAGGGAGGTTCCGTCACCGTTGCGGACCACGCCCCCCCTTTCCTTTCCTACCCTCCCCTCGTCCCCTCGTCCACCTCCTCAAACCCTGGCCCTTTCCCTTCGTGCCAGGTTCGCCGTCCCGGTAGACGACCCACTCTTCATTTTTTGTGACAGGTTTGGGCCTGGAGGGGGTACGCTCCAGGATGACCTTGACCGATTCGCAGATCTGATATACGGCGCCGGTACCCTTGACAAGCTTCTTTCCCACCCGAGAAACGTACTTAAGTTTCCCAAGGCCCCCTTCAACCACCCTGCAAGTACTGACCTCTTGGAAGTCTTGAAATCAACCATCGATGACCTTTTGACCAGCCAGCAGACTCTTGGGCTCTTTAATCAACAACCGACTTACCCCTCTCTCTGCACCTAATACTCTCCACACCGACTCTTCATTCCTCTAATTCACCGGGGTCCATCACTCCCTCGGAGACAATCACCAGTGTCTGCGAAAGACCAGACTAATATCACCCATCTACCTTACTCCCGCGTACAAATGCATACCGCGGCCGCTACCTTCATGTCCAGCCAGTACGCAGCACAACAAGGAGGACCTCAAAATTCCCGCCAACATCCGCAACCCCCACCTTCGCCCCCCATGGACGACTACAAGTGCTCCCTGCCTTCCATCTCGAACCTCCTGGGTCTCGCCGATGCCGGCTCCCCAGTAAGCGAGGCCTCGCCAGTGTCAAGACAACACTCGCCCCAGCTCGAAGGTGAGGAACATCAAGCGGCGAGAGCCACTGTAGAATCAAGCAACTGACCCTCTCTCCTAGCTGGCCAACAACAACGGCCCGAGACGACAACTGGAAGCAAGGCAGAAAGCCGGCCTGGATCTGGCTATGCCAAGTCCTCCCATCAACGTGGACTGCCACCAACGCCACCAATGAGCACTGATGCGTCTTTCGAGGGCTACAGCTCGCCTTCAAACAAGCCCGTCACCCAAGTGTACCCCAACTCAGCACCCAGAGGATACTACTACGAGACGACACCCCCTCTGGAAGCCGATATCCAGCGCCAGGTGATGGCATCCAACGCCGTCCCTCGCTCAACACTGGCTCCGGTTCAAGCAGCATACCCCCAGCAGCAGCAATACGCAGCCTCCTACGTCCACCAACCGCCCATGGGCAGCTACTATCCCCCCATGCAGCCCACGCCACCTCCCCAACACCAAGTCATGAACTCCTACTACCAGCGTTCGCTCCCTCAGACGTTCCCGCCTCCGATGACCATGGCGGCACCAAGTGCGACTGGGGCGAACCCATGGCAACATCACCACTACCTGAACCCCACCGGCGGTGCGGCGTTCCCGCAAAGCCAGGACCGCTACATTTGCCAAACATGCAGCAAAGCATTCAGCCGTCCGAGCAGTCTGCGAATCCACAGCCACTCACACACCGGAGAGAAGCCGTTCAAGTGCCCCCATTCCGGTTGCGGCAAGGCCTTTAGCGTGCGGAGCAACATGAAGAGGCATGAGCGAGGCTGCCACAGCTTCGAGTTCAATGCTTCGGGGTCTGTTCTCCGATCCTAACGGCTTCAGCGACCTGGGAGAACAGATGGGATTCACAAGTGGAGCCCGAATCATCTGGATTTGGGGAAAGGCCGCTAAAACAAACTATACCCCTTGAAACGACCGGATCCGATACGACTTTGACACTTTTCACCACAACAAAAACAACACACACACACACCCACCACTGGATATTTTATTCCTTAATCAATGTCTTTCTATGGCTTTACGTTACTGGCATGGCGTTTGAGAAACGGTTGGAATTGGAGGGGGAGATGGGAGGGGAAACGGGAGGGGAGCCTACATTCGCTTCGAAGGCATACATGTGTATTACTGGACACGCTTATGGTCATGTTTTTCCCTATGTTTGTTGAGGTACTCAGTGGATATGAACTTTGGCGCTTGGGGGCAAAACCAGCTTGGTAGCAGCATTTACACGGCGTTCTCTTGGCGTTCGCTTGAGCAGGAGGAACCTGCAGGAAGGCGAACAATAGCTAGTCGTGGGGCACAATTATACCAAGACATTGGAGTTTCATGCGCTTTCTTCTTCCACTCGTCCGTGCGTGATAGCTACGTGTAATGCGGTCATCTCCGAGGCTGTATGCGCGGTCCGTGAACCAATCTGAGCGACGAAGGTCCAAAATAGACTACGGGACGTCATCGGGCCATTGACCAAAAATTCATCGATGCGTGCGTGCTCGGACGAGGTCTGTTACCCCGGCATTGGCGAGCGATCATGGTGCGGCCCCGGACGGAAGCACATACATAGTGTGTCGTATGTATGCAAGCTGTAGATTGCGGCGGCTACGTTGAAGTTGGGCGCCGAGACACCACGAGCCGGGTGGATCGCCGTGCAGAGTGCAGACGCCGCAATGCACGAGCGCATGGAATCGGTGGCTCTATCCAATTCAGTTCATCAATCTCCTTGTCGAAGCGCCAATTCATGCTGCAGGCTGTAGAGGGAGGGACGAGCAGCACGACGCCAGGCCACAACGAGGCAACATGGAAGACACGCTCTCTCCATGCGCTCCCCACGAGGCCTGGCCTACTACGTAGTAGGCTGGGCTGGACTTGACGGCTTGGAGGCTGGAGTTGGGGGCCAAACCGGCGGAAAAGTTAAAGAACCTGAGCCGCTGATCAAGCGGAAGCCAACTTGCCAGACCTGACATGGCATTCCCTGCCGTGGCCGTTGTGGTCGGCCCTGTCGACGAGGTCCGAGTCATGGTCAGGTGCGAGAAGGAGTGGATAGTTGTCCGGGCCCGGGGCGCCGGGCTCCCGAGACTTTGGAGAGATCGTGACGAAATCGAATCGACATGGGGCTGGGTGAAGCGGGAGGTTCGGCTTGTTCGCCTGGTTCGTAGCGCTTCATGGGCTGCCGGTAAGATCGCTCACGGGGACGTATGTATGGTAGCGAGGCAGGGCAAAGTGTTTGGGGTGTGTTTCGCCCTGGGATGGCTGTCTGCCTGCATCCGCGGGTCGCTTTGACATGAGGGATCTGCATGTCGAATGGAGTATATCTAATTATGATGGAGTAATCGACATCACAGCTTGACAGGGGATGCAGGTGTTGTTTGTGGTGGTATTGCTGTTATTGATACTGTCTGTGGACCGAGTTGACGGAAGAATCCGTGTGGTTCCCGGGTTGTCGTCAGCGCGCGAGGAATTGAGCCACGATGCGCAATGAGCAATGCACAAAATTTGGACCAGACGAGGATAATCCCTAGATAGTCAACGGGCAGTGCTGCTCGGCATGTACATGGTAGAATGGGATAGGAAACAGCACTATGAGGGCGTGATGTAGCTGCCGGGCTTCACCAAGGCCATGACGATTGCCGTCGGGGACCAAGGGATCAAGGGATCGGCGAGGCGCTGACTGATGTGCCAACGGTCCCCGGACGGCGCGGGCACTGGGCAACGTCACCAGCCGAGCTTAATTTCGAGCGAGTCAAGGGCTTGGAGAGGCTTGGGGGAGGCTTGGGGGGAGGCCATCTAGGCCACGTTGTGGGCGGAGATCCTCTGAAGGGGGGGCAAGGGAGCAGGGGAGGATGATGGACGGAAGAGAAGGCCGGGGGCAGATAGATGATGGGCGATGGAATGGGCGATGGAATGGGCGATGGAACGGGCGATGGGCGATGGGCGATGGGGAGGACAAGAGTGACAGGGGGTACGGAGACGGGTTGATTGTCAGAACGCCATGAGTAACTGTACGTGATTGCTCCGAACTGACAGAGTAGCGTAGCGCAGAGAGCTAGAGTCTAAAGAGCTAAAGTCTAGAGAATTGGATAACTAGGGCAGCTACTCTGTGGGAAGCTAGTCTCCAGACAGAGGGGGCGTGGAAGCCCCAGATGCCTTGACGAGGTGGGATCCATGGATATGCGTGAGGGGGTGTGTAAGAGCGAGATGAGACGCGCCGCAGAGTCCAGTGCATTGCAGTGCATTGCAGCGCATTGCAGTGCAGCGCGGTCAGTGCAGACACAGCGAGCGTGCGGTGGAGAGGGTGCCTGAGACGCGACGGGTGCGCCTTTGCCCATTTTCCCATTTTCCCACATATTCCTGCAGAGGTACTATTTACATACGTACGTAACTTAAGTAACTGGTTCGTTCCCTGGGGAATAGGATCCGTGTGGATGGACAAGCCGCTGGCCCAGGAGCAGGGTCATCAGGGATGCGCGCAGCCGGGGCTATGCCTGTCCCCGACCAGAGCTACGGGATGAAGCAGCATCCCGAGAATGAGGCGGCGATACGACGGGTGCCCTGCGGACGATTGGGTGATGACGCGGGGAGGGGGGGGGGGGCGTCCACTGTAAGTGTAGGGGGTGGGTGCGCTGGAACCGTGGACACCACAGCGGACTCGCTGCGTTTGGGCCGCCTGCCGTGGATCCGGCGCCCAGGCTGTCGGCGGACGGGAGAGTATCCATGGGATCCATGCCGCAACCTGAGTTCAAGAAAGACTGAAAAGAGCCCCCAAGGCTTCAAAAGACCCCCTAAACCGCCCTAGAAGCAACAAGACCACCCCCGGCCCCTCGATGATCCCTCCTGGGGCCGGAGTGTCAGAGGTGCCAGAAGGACAACCCCTAGCCTAGGCCGATGGGATAGGGCGTGCGTGTGTGCGCTGGTAGCGGTAGCGGCCTTGCGTAGCGGCCCTCAGTTGGCTGCCAGGCGCGCTGCAGTGGGGCCCTCCCGCTAAGGCTGGCCACGGAACCTGCTAAACCCCAGAAGTCCAGAAGGGTCAAAGACCCGAGCGCCACTCCACACCCTTTTCGCACTGCCGGACCTGGGCTCCAGAAGGCGGGAGAAGTGGAGAGAGCGATACCGAACCCGACGTCCTGTCCCAAACGTGGGCTCCGGGATCCAGGGAGTTTCCCCTTCGCCCTGGACTCTGGCACCCGCGCGCTCTGCGCGGCGGAAACGGGGATTGCCCTGCGGTTTTGGCAGCAGGAAAAGACGGGCTGCCTTTTCTTTTGACCGCTGCGACGGACGGTGTCGGTGCGCGGGTTGCGGGTTGCGGGAAATATTTCGCCGCCCTGCGCTTCCCCATCCCACGGTACAAGCAGAGGCAGTAAGGATTAGGGATGCAAAATAGACACTGCAGAGTCTTTCCCGATGGCTTCATTTCACTTTTTTCCTCCGAGATCGAGAACGTGCGTCTTCTGCGCTTCTGGCGTGACTCCTGCCTGCGCCCGGCCGAAGGCGTCTTTTGATCAATAGCTGCCCTGTGTTATAGACGCATTTCCTGGTTCTGCCCTTACCGCCGAAGGGGGGACCACCGTGGCCGCAATGCCTCGAGACGCGGCCCGTGATTTACATACACGAGGGATCGACGCGTGCCTGCCGTGCTGCCATGCGGATCGTGCCATCAAGTTCTGCGGCGTCGTTCTCGACCGTTTTCCGCTGGCCACGGTGCCCTTGTTGATTGAGCCTGTTGAGGTCCGTTGTTGCGGGTGTTAGTGCGCCGACGGGAATATCTCGCCTCAACTCTTACACCCAACCTCCTTGCAGAGCAGCGAAACCTCGTCTCTTCCCTCAACCTCATCCCCTTTTAGCCTCGAGCACACAGCATCATCGTCCATCGTCGTTCAGGCACCGCCCCCCGACGATTAACCGCCCTTCACCCCTGAACGGGCCCCCCGCGGACTGCCTGGCCTGCAGCCGGAGAGGCTCAACTGCAAAGCCCCTGCGGACGCGCCGGCGGCAGTAGAGACGCTGGGAAATCGTGGGATCGCATTCACGGCCGCATGCTAACGGCGTCGAGTTTCCACTCGTGATGGCACCGCAGCGGCCGGAGTGGACTGGAGGCCTGGTAGGTCCGCTGCCTCGGCGCCTCGCTTGTCAACGCTCAGTGTTCACCCTCCCTCTCCCTACCGTACATCGTACAGCACACACACTACGATGTATGCACGTACAGAAATACACAGAGAGTATAGTGTCGTTGTGCCGCTATTGACATGTACAGCAAACCACATGCAGCACGGAGACGGGCGAATCATACGGTTGTTTGACGTCTGCTTTCCTTGTCCCGCTCGGACTGGCGCCTTGGACTTTTGCTTTTCCTATTGTTTCTTCTATCTGCCGGCGCATATGTACTCTATTGTAGGCTTAGAACGGGCACGGCCATGTGCTCTGCCACGCGAGACAAGACGAGGCAGTAGTCAAGACAAACGTCCCTCTAAGGCAGAGTGACTGAGACGACGCCGTTGGTGTGAGACGGACAGGCGCACGCACACAGATACACGTGTGTGTGGGTGGCTCCTCTCTCCCTCCCTCGCAGTGTCTCACTCCTCACATCTCATTCCTCCCTGCTTGCTCTGTCCAGGCGCTTGGATCGTCTGCAAGTCTGCAAGGCTGCCGACGTGATGGGGGATGTGAGACAAGGCCCCCCTCCCCTGCAGCACATGGCAGATCCGGGAGAGTAGCACAACAGACAGCCAAGGCTTGAGATGTGTTGGAATGCCCTGGGACACACACACACACACACACAAGTCCACATAACATGGGACGGCATGGGATGGAATACTCTCAGT